ATACTCTAGATTAATATAACTAATAATTTAATATTTATAAATCTTTATAAATAGATTAATATTATTTAATAACTTAATATTAATACTTTTATTAATCTTAGTTATCTTTATAGTATACTATAATCTCTACTTCTTATTACTACTTAGAAGTTATTATAATATATTAAGAGTATTTAAGAAATTTACTAAATAAGTAAAAATTCTCTAGTCTTTATTATAATTAGTGAATCTTTATAAGTCCTTATCTAATGACTTCTAGATAAAAGTAAAAAAAGATAGTATTAATAAATCTTTCTTTTATAAAAGCTTTATAAGTATTTATATACTTTAATAAGTAGTAGCTATAAAAGTTAATCTTATATCTAAAACTTACTTTAATCTTTTTTTAGAGTTACTTCTAGAGCTTCTATAAAAGTGTGTAAGAGTATAGAAGGAGTAAATTAATCTTATAGAGTCTAGAAAAGATAGTTAGAACTTATTAAATAGTTATATTAATAAGGGGTAAAGTATAGAAGTTATAGGTAAAGAATGAGGAGTTGTTATGATGAATCTTGAATTGTTATGTAATGAGAGAAGGCTAAACTACTTTAGGAAGCTACCCTACCTGCGGGTAACAGTAACCTCCGTCTGCACGCTCGATCACCACAACGGGAAATGCTTGGCATCGAGAGTCAGGGGCCAGGTTCAGAATGACGACGGAGCTCGACAGTACTAGTGTTAATGTGGACCGCTATCTTACCCATCATCAAGAACATGGGATCGACGCCAGCGCCTGGTGCAGCAGTCGCTGCTGTGGCCTCGTGCCACTGCGAAATTGACGCGGCATATGAAGCCTTTCGTCCCTCTCTCTCGGGCTGTTTTCCTAACCATTCCTCTCACAACCGAGACGTCCTCGGCGCGCTGGACTACCACTCCCACTCGTCCTAGGACTGCTCGCCCGGCTGGTCTTGGTACTCAACAGGCTTATTGAGTCGACCTCCGTTTCAAATGACGAGAACAGAGATCGTCGTGGTCCAGTGGACCGTGACTTTGTGAGAATGAGGCGTAGCGAGTCGGCCGCACATTGTGGTGGGGTGTCGATGAAGGTTGGGAAGTGAGTCATGCTGCTGTGTAGACGGGATTCGGGAATCATTGTGCAGGATGACATGATGGATTACCCTGGTACGTGAAGCGTGTCTCTATTCAGGTTGAGAGTGGTGTGGTTATGGTTGGACGTGCACGTCAATGTATATGGGCCTCATTGCTGTCCTCTACAGACGAAGCATGAATGCCTTTCCAAGGTGCACGCAAGAGAAAGGCGCCAGTCAACGTCCTGCACTATTCTATTGTTAGTCGTCAGCTACACGATCGCTGGTTTACCACCTGGTTCGAGCTCTGATAGAGTACTTCCTAACTTGTTCTTGCATCTTCTTGTCGACATGCTTGGATGCCTTGAAGATATTTGACATTCGGCAAGACCTTTGGTAGTCCCGTCTTGTCTAGCGCATATGCAGGCTGTTGTGTGTCATGTATCTGGAAGCTGCTGTGCTTAGTGCCGAATGCTGCATACAAACCATTTCCAGGCACAATTGGTGGTGAACATAAAGTAAGCGACATCTTACCATAAAGAGGTATCCCCCATGACGCTACTCTGCCACGGCCGGCTGCTCCTCCCTCGAATAGTACGATCTAAGCGTAACACTGTGGAATTGTGGAGAGAAACAAGAAATGTTCTGGAAAACCCAAGAAGACGGTGCAGCCGGGGGCTTCCAGAGAGTCGGCCGCGGAGAAAGATCATCGCTTTGTTATTGGACACAGCCAACCATCATAACACTCAATGGCATTGAATGTTAGCGAACACGAGCACTGAGAACCTCTTACTGGACTGCTCGGTTGCGTACCTTCCGAAAGGGCATAGCTCACGCCTGCATTAGGGCCAAGCCCGCTGGCACGGAGGTCCTTGGCACTCAGCTCGTTGGCGCTTTCTACTCTCCGACCAGCAGGTCACGTTGTCAACCCCAGACGACTTCAGCCAGCCCTACTATCCTTCGGCTATCAGGACTAGCTGGAGAATGTGTCCATATGGCCATATGTTCTTTTGTCATGGAGCCCTCTTCAGCTCACTATACTTGTTTTGGATCACAACATCTCTGCATTGGCTACCGTTTATGGCCATGCTTGGACACTGCATGCTCATTCCATGCAGCCGAGTCTCCCCTGGAACGGAATAGCGCATCACCGCGTCTCGAACACTTCCGCGGACAGCAGCAAGAATGTAGGCTCTTCCTCGAATACGATTCACAGAAGTGGATTGCTTGGTAGGACCTCGTTACACCCGATCAACGACGTGAAGCTGAACAGATGGCGGTGCTCCTTGGCTTCATCTTGTACGCTCGACTAAGAGCATACTCGCTGCAGCACAACTGAAAAGGGAAAGGCAGTGAACCATGGCTTCAATTCGTACCTGCATTTAGACCATTAACCAAAGTGCCAGGAACAGGAGGACATGCTTCGAACGATATGTAACTCCCGATTCCTCTCATCGTTGAGGAGATCTTCATACAAACAACCACAACAACACAGCAACATCTCCAAAGCATTTCCTTTTCAGCATTTCCTTCTGCTTTTAGCATTTCCTTGCAACACTCTCTCAGAGCAATCAAGTCCTGACACTTTCAAACAATAATCTTTCCAGTCTTCCCAAAATAGCCAATCCCACAACCAACCCAACAATCAAAATGCTTCTCTCTAGCATCCTCGTTCTTTCTGCCGCTACCGTCGGAGTTTTCGCCGCTCCTGTCGCTCAAGCTGATGCTGCTGCTGTGACAGTCGCAGCCGAAGCCGCTCAAGTCACCGCAGCCACTGGAAGCAAACCACAACCACGACAAAGAAGCCCAAGACGACTTCAACCACTACAACCACCACCACCATCAAGACTACCACCACAACGACTGCCACTACCAGCCCCACACCTGCGCTGCCCCTTTGCAAGGATGGCAAACTGAGCTTGTAAGTATCTGGCAGTGATCATGAGCAGCAGTTCCTGCGCTAACAGCATTATTAGCTTCCTCAAGGCAAAGGCTCTCGAAACCCCACAGGCAACGTCGCGCCCCACTCCGGAATTGGCAAATTCATCAAGGACATCGGCGGCCCCGCCGGCTTCCGTGACGACGGCGAGCAGTTCATCCTGTCCGATGAGGGGTTTGTCACATCCACTTCGACTGAAAACATCTTCACTGTGAAGACCAGCGGCAACAACAACCCACCTGTCGGTGACATCATGATCGTCAGCAAGGAAGCCTCCATCTCCAGCAACTGGTCCCCTCTTCGTTGCAACGGCGAGCGCTCCGGTGCATTGAACTGCATTGCCAACAATGGCAACCGCCGTATCGCTCAGGCTTGCGGCAACTTTATCAACTTTGATTCCGCTCGCAATGGCAACTGCCAGGAAGTCATTGCCTTCAGCACAATCCCAACCTGCCGCTTCCAGTAAGGGCTTCTTCGGCCGATAGGTGGATTCATCTGCAGCATTCTGCATAGCGAAGCGAGTTCTCTTTTCGTGTACATGTTCGGCACAGACTAGCGATGCATAGCGACGGCGTTATTTGGCTTGATTTTGGGGGACATACTGTTTTTCAGCTGCTTAGCATTGTGCCATTCAGCGTCCACTCATTGTGCACTCTGTCCTCTTGCTCTGGTTCGCGTGTCCACCTCAATGCCTTTTGTCCATTCGGGCAGCGCCTCAAGTCCAAGTGATAGCAACTGACGTTCGAGATGGCGCGGTTCGGGGTCGAAGTCTGTCCCCCACTCGTCGCTCGTGCACTCATTGTCTTGTTGCTCCATCCAGCTAAGATACCCCTTCAGCGGCGCCATCAATTCTCCCAGTCGACTCTTCGTGCAGCCCAAGCCATTTGCTCTGGGTCCGCATCCCAGCATTCCTCACATGTGAGCTCTCGGCGACGACGTCGGTCTATGTCACCATATGGCTCTTCGAAGACCTGACGACATCGGCGGCAATATCCTCTATCCATCAAGCCTTTGTGCATGAGAGTGGCTTGGTGAGCCACGTGAATAAGCCATGGCTCATCGGGATTTGGCAAACCCTCCTGACCAAGGCAGTCCATGCATCTGCGACTGCCAGAGTTGGGGTGAGTCGCATTGAAGATTTCGTCCAGGTCCATGTAAGGAACCGGTCTGTTCATGTCCCGGAATCGTCCATTTGTGGCAAAGTTATCTGCGCTGAGTAGGCGATTGCACCCAAAACAACAGAACGCACGGTCACTGGCGAGAGCTCTGACGTCTGCGTCCGTATAGCCGAGTGCTTTGAGGTTGTCTTCCGCAAGGTCTTCGATGAGGTCCTCCCGGCTGATGAACCGTCTCAGCGGGCCGTGGCCCTCCACTACCTCCTTCAGCGCCGCGGCCCATTCGCACTCCTGATTCAGGTATGCAGCCTTCCAAGCTTGTTTGTTGTGGCGGAGGGTTCGACAGGTGTTTAACAGCGCTCTTCTGTCAGGAAAATGCAAATGTGAGGTGATGTTGAGGATGATTTCCGCCGGCATCGAAGTCAGACATGGGCTCTCCGAGGGTCTGTTGGAGGCTGTCTGAGTTGCCTGCCGGACTTTGAAGGCGAATACATCGGCCGAAGAGACATATGAGACGGATTCAGCGGATGCTTGCTTGAGATTCATGGTAGCTTTGTCCTCCATCGTGGACAGGACGAGACTATGGGCCGAGTGGTCAGATGGGCTGGCGGCGGTGTGCCGGGAGAAATGAAATGACTCCTGGGACTGAGATATGAGGACGAACTTGCAATCCACTAGGCCAGGGCTGGCGTGAGAGGAAGAATTGACGAGGTGAGAAGCCTAAGTTGCGAAGAACATGCTGGCTGCTATATATACTCATCTTGCTGGGCTGATTTCGAGTGAATAACTCACTTCAGCCGCCAGTGACTACGTTCATCGACTCGAGTGACAATCTGTACTTCATGAGCCAGATGCATCTCAGATTGAGGTGAGAGCTGAATCAGGAGGAGAGCACGCTTAAGGACGAACCAATGCGTAATGGCAGACTCGGTAGAGGGCAGATAGCCGTCCTGCATATACCCAGGATCAGCATGGATCGAGTGCATGCAGCTCTCGAGTTGATTGATTGTCGACTAGGATTATCTTCAGAATTATGTAGCGATCTATCGCATGCCATATTTGGCGCCGAGCTCATTCAGTAATGTCAAAGCCAGCCCAGGGCTCACAGCTCATCGATCCTACCAAGCACCCACTGCAAATGCCTGTAAGTGACGCGAGGCTGAAACTGAGGTTCCATATGGCCACTCAGATACGTCTCAGCGAACATCAGCCCCCTCTCGTAGTGCTGGACGCCCATTATACCTTGCGGTTCATCGTAAGACGCCCCATACTGGTCCAGGAAAAGACTGCCGTAGACGAGGTCCGGAAGGGTGATGTTGATGTACTTGCTGGGCGCTGCCGAGAAGCCCAGTTGACCATTCCATGTCATGTTCTGAATCGAGGAAAGAGTGCCGTTTGTGAGGATGTCCATGTCGAGAGCCCCATTGGCAACTAGCACTCGGTTCGTGGCTTCGATGACTCGGGGGAGGACACGTTGAATGGGATCGGGTGATAGGTCGCCTTCGTCCTCGGGGCCGCCTACTCGGGTCAGCCATACTGCTTGCTTGACGAGCTGAGTGGAATGCTTACCTTCGCCAAGGAAGACTGGACCGGCGCATTCGGACCAGTCGACATCCATGGGCGCATGCATGGCTTCCTTGACATCCGTACGGTTGAAGCTGCGGCTCTAGTCAGTCTCGTAGCAGGATAGGGAGTGGGGGGATTGTGCATCAATTTCCTTCGGCACATGTGTTCCGGTCATGGCTAAGGGCATGAACGAGCCCCAACTTGAGGGTCTCAGGGAAAGAGCCACTTACTAGACTGGAAGTCCAGGATAGGAATATTGCAAGTCAGTTGGATAGCCCAAGGGATCGCTCAGCAGCGGGCACTGAAGTCCGATCTCGTATACGTTGAAACACTATCGCATCTGTTAGAATGAACGTGCGTTGGAGAAGGAGCTGTGCCAGGAGACTGATGCTTTGCGAAGCAGGTGCCCAGAAACACGTACTGGGTTCGTCGCAAAGGCGGTATAGTAAACGAGGTCCTGTAACAGTGGTCAGTAGAGCGACATGCTTGATGCTCGCGGCATGCTCACCCATGTATCACAATCTGGGTCTGCAGTAGTGTTGAAATACTTCTCGGGCTGAGTGCCATTCGGAGGGAAAACGAGGTAGTCCTCAATGAACTCCGCATATCCACAAGACTCGTGCTTCTCATCTAGCGTGGAAATGAACGAGTCGTTGAAACCGAGCACATTGTTGTTGTCGTGGACGAATTTGTTGATGAAAGCGTTGTTGGTGTACGTGTAGCTTCCAATACAGGGGTCGTATACAAGAATGCCACTGACGTTGAAGTACGTCTCGTTCTGTTTGTCTAACATGGCATTCGCAATGTATGGCACATATCGGCCGGCGTAGGACTCTCCTGTAACGTATATCTTGAAGTTCTTGATACCGAATAGTGCTACAAACGTTCTTAGCCATGTTTTGGGAAAGGATATGCTCTAGGACAGGGGTGGATTTGTAGCCGGAGCCCTTCTTGGCCGGCCAGAGATACAGGCATAGAGTCACTCACTCTGGAAGTTTTGGAAGAAGTCGACAAAGTCTGCAGCAATGTCCTCTTCGCTGGTCGCAGTCACATCGCCTTTTGAGAAGCCCGTTCCCACAGGCTGTTCGACCCATAGCACGTTCGTAAGATTAACGAAAGAGTACGGGTTGGCAACGGGCGAGTATTGTCCCCAGGTCCATTGTATGTAGCCAGTCTCCTGGAGAAACCCTTCTAGCGATGAACAACCTAGAACATATCAGAAGTCCGCCACACCATTCCTGGGGCAATTACTTACCTGGCCCACCGTTCAACCAGATCGTGACCTAGTCACCGTCAGTCAGAGCTTCAATGAATATCAAGGCCAGAGCCCACCTCGTCCACAGGTTCGCCGATGGTAGGCTGGAAGACGAAATAGAGAGCTCGAGATGCATTGCTCATGTCAATAGGTATCAACCCGGCATACATCTCAGTCAAGAGCTCATCTGGAACGTCAGGCATGCTTTCCACAAAGTAGGCTATCATCGGTCAGTGAATGGCGATCTCACAGGCGGAAGGACTTGCGAGCAGTGTCATTATTGTAGAACCGAGCTTCGCTCGAATTGGTCGTCCTGCGTTCCGGAACAGCTCGCTCGACAAACTGCTTAGTGAAGCCTCTGCGTCGAGACACATCACTCTGACGGCCCGCGTCGACGACGGTAAGTAGGAGGCAGACAAGCAATGCAATGCCTGCAACGCAACGGCTAAACATCTTCATGGCGGTTTATGTCTGTCAAGGCGAGGTTTGGCACGAGTCCCACAACGGTGGGCCGAGCGGGAGCTCGAGCTCTTGTACTCGGATAGCATTGTACTTTCGGAGCTCGGCCAGCTCGTCTATCCCGCGTGGCAAACCTGTCGTACTGTTCGCGGAGAGGTCCTGTGCCTGCGTCGCCATGATGTATATTGATGTAACCTACTGGCATTAGCGGCCGTTGGTTAGAAGCTTAACCCAGAAACTTCAGGCCTTATCTATGCTTGAATCGCAGATAAGCACTCGTTTTGGGTATGTCAAGCATCCTCCCACGCTTCGCAGCATTCAACCAGGATAAAGCTGCCTTGCGAGCATCTTAGAACATCGAAAGTGTGAGATACCGGTTGTGCGGGGTAGGATTCCAAAGCACCATTGCATCGTTGCGGCCGTTCCTGTTATGGGAAGGCATGCTGTCACCCGTGGCCATCCGACCTGATCCTGCTGTCCAGTGATCTAGTCAGTAACCCCAGGTATTCACACATTTGTACCCTACCTTAGTAATAGGTTTGGCACTCCACAAGGTTTCGGAGGACGAAGTACCCCTCTCATCGGCTCTCCAGACAGAAGCTTGTAGCTCACGGCGACGAAAGAGGTCTTGCTCGATCGATTTGGGTGTAAGTCGATATCGGATGGTAAGCTTTGTGCAAGTCAATAATCGCAATTGGTTCGCGATTGCCTTGAGTGGATCACAGCTAGCATGTGGCATAGATCAGGTCCTTCTGGGTAGCTGACATCCACGATCTCGAGGTGCTCCCAGAAGCTTGCTTTCCGCCACAAAAAAGCTGTTCATTGTGAATGAGCCGAGGAGCGTCGTCATTCGGTGCCGCGAGGCTGTTCGTCGGCGGCTCAGAGCTTCTGCTGGTGACCTGTACGTGCATTGTAAAAGAGGACCTCGGGAGCTGTGTCGTGGGCTGAGTCCTTCACCAGATAGCTGTCTTTGCTGCAGGACAATGTCTTCGAGCATTGTATGCGTTATTGCATTTTATGTGTCGTCGGGAGAACCTGCCCAGCATGCGACAGCTGCGGCAATACATCCCTTATAACGTGTTCAGCTGTGATACGAGCTGCGTTAGATATGTCCACGGCTTTCCGCAGGCCGGGCCTTTTTGCTGATGCCAAGAATTTTTCGGGCAATGGGCGAAGTGTCGTACAGTCCCTACAGTCCCTACGGCATCTGATCTACTTCAATGGCAAGGGCCAGGACTCGCAAGAGAGATGGCGCAGCTGAGAACTCTCAACGAATGCAATTGACCACGTTAGACAAGCAACGCATGCCACTACTATACAGCACTATATCCGCCTCTGGTTCCAGGACCTGACACAGTGTCTATGACTTTCTTGCCCCAGTCCTTGACCAGGAAAGGAACATCACGAATGGTGTCGCCATGTGGTAACAGATCCCAGCCTCTTGCGCCGTACCTGTTGTAGTTTAGCCAGCTGCCAAAGATGAGATACGCGGCGGTGCCCAAAAACAAACTAGACGAACGATGTCAGCCAACGATCAGACAGAGGGCGCCCGGGCACTTACATCAAGACCAGCCAGGTGAAAAAGCCCCAGCCGCTGCTGCCACTGCCGTGAGAATCCGCATAGTCCGCACAGGCAGATGGTGTCTTCCAACGCAGTCTCAATGTGTCGTACTCCGTCTTCTTGTCCATTTCCCTCTCGTAACTGACAAATTGTAGGTCTCCCTCACTGTGCTCGGGCGGGCTTTGGTCAGATTCGTCGTTTTCATCGCGCTTTTGCCCTGATTTTCCCTTGTCGTCGAGTGGCCGCGCGCACTGGAAATCGATAAAGGCTCGTTGCTTTCGCTTAGCGTATGTGCCACCATTCACCTTAAACTCAAGTCCACCAGGATGATCGTCGGTGGTCTCTAGTGTAGACCACTCGTGATCCCAAGAATGTGTCGAATCCGCCCACTGACCGGCTAGTGAGATCACGTTCTCGATCTCGACGTGCTTCTTCTCCGCATCGTCATTCGGGTTCCACGATCGCTTGACGCCGCAGACTGTACATGTACTTGTCAGTATGCTTTGTGCCGTGAAGTACGGCGAGCTTCGCATGAAGGCCGCCCTGGAAAAGTGTGCTCTTACTGTTGGTGCCCGGTTTACACTGCTCGTCCTTGTGGTCGCTGTCCACTTTCAAGGCCGAGCAAATGTTCACGCTCCATGTTGTGTTGTATATTGCAGGAGGACTGTCCTTGTCTAGCACCCACACGGTGTGTGGCGCATCAAGTTTGCTCAGGTCGTACGTCCTCTTGTCGATCCTGATGTGCCCGCAGTTCACGTTGCCCAGAGACGCGGACGTCAATGATGCAAAGAGGAAGGGTATCGAAGTTAATGTTGTTACAGTCCTCATGGTGCGGAGTCAAATGGCGCAGTCGAAAATATGGAAAGGAAACGCTGGAAAGAATGATTGGTATGTTACAAGATGGGTAGATGGGTGGTTGAGAGGTGATCCGATGCTTGCGTGACGACTGCGGCAGAAGGCTGCGGTCGCCCGTAAAGACAACCTTGAAAAAATGGTTGCCTCGTCGCCTTCACGATGGCCTTTCACAATATGAAGTGCTGTCCGACACTTCAGACCACTAGCTAGGCTTACATTCGAACGAAGACTCCAGAGTACATCTCATCAAGAATAGCCGCATCCCCCACATTCGCTCTTGCCAGCCTGTTCCACGCACTGGGATAGTCAGGTCCTCTCTTTCGAGGAGGGTAAGGAGCGATCCCAAGCGTGCAGCTAGCCAACATGAGCTCGCTTCTGTCCCGTCGTGTGGTAAGCTCTTTCCTTGACTATTCCGTCCCACGACCCTATAAGGCGAGCTATGCATGCCCATGCTTGTTTGCCCAGATCAATGTCGTCGCCCGGAAACTTCGGAGCCCTGTTCCGAGGGCTGTATTCTTCAACAATCCGAAATGTTCGACTCTTGACTGACTGCGCTGAAATAGCTGTCAAAGGAGGATGAAGCGTCATCCACTGACGCAGAAGTGACACGCGAGGATCAAGACAAAATCAACCGCTTCTCATCCCTACATAACCGGATAAGAAATCTTGACGAGCAGTTGGCCGTGAAGAAGGTATGTCACCTCCCAATTGCTTCCCTTGGGAACACCTGACAGGCTTTATAAGTCCAAAATGGCATAAGATCTCCCTGCAAAGTTCATCAGCTTACGTAGTCCATACAGAAAGATAAAGAAGATCTCGAAGAAGTCACTCAGGAGTTGGAACTGGTGTTGGACGAGGAAGAGCCAGTCAGGTGCGCTGATCGCCCGAACGTCAAACGAGCGGCAATCTAACTTATGAGCAGATACAAGGTTGGCTCTACCTTCTACTCAGTCCCACTATCAGAGGCACAGACTATGCTTCAAGAAGCAACCTCAGATGCCGACTCGGAGATAGAGAAGCTCGAGGATGAGGTGGGAGTTGTGAAGGAAGAAATGGACAAGCTGAAGGCCGAGCTTTACGCGCGATTCGGGAGAGGCATCAACCTAGAGGCTTGATAACCTGGCTGAGGTGTCAGAAGTCCGAAATACGAGATCACGATTCGGAACAAGTTCACCTGAGTCGTTCATCGGGCCAAAGCTACGTTTCGGACAAACCTAAGCTGGACGGCGCTCTGAACGCCAACTCCGGGCAGCGACTCCAGTCGTCCGCCGCAACAACTTCCAGTATCGAAGTCAGGAGCACCAAGTCACTGCCCGACAGACATGCCACTTGCATGTGCAGGCATTTGTCATTGCCACATTCTGTGGTCGGAGAGAGCATGCGCAACGGAAGAGAAACTGCTACACCGTGATCGATTTCGAGACCGTTCTGAGCCAAGTCAGAGTCCTTTCCAGGCTTCTTGTCTCCGTGGTGGACAACGGAAGTCTCTCAGGCTAGCCTGCATGAGACGCGCAAAGGCCACGAAATCCCTGAAGGCATATAGGACAGAGACACAAGAGACAGTGACCAGGTTTTGGTGATCAGGTATTGGTGACCAGGTATTGGTGACCAGGTTTTGGTGACCAGGTATTGGTGACCAGGTATTGGTGACCAGGTATTGGTGACCAGATATTGGCGACCAGGTATTGGTGACCAGGTATTGGTGACCAGACACTGGTGACACGAAGTCATGACATAAATGAACCTGGCCACCGGGCGGATCATGGACTGTGCTGGCGCTCGTGCCAGTCGTTGACGACATGCCACGCGAGCAGTCCTGCACGGAAATTGCAATGGTACGAGGTCATCGCGGGCATAGGTTGGCGAAAGCTCGATATGTTGTGCGATTCTGCTTACTTTACGACGATGTCCGGATTCGAATCTGGTTTAGAAGGCCGTCCGCTGCGAAGAGCGCCTACAACGTATACGCAGGAGTAACGAGCTCGCGCTGGGGTTGGTGTGGATGCGTTTATGCTGTTGTAGCTCCGGAAGTGTCCTTGCGGCAAGAACATACATCAAGGGCAGATAGTTGTCTAGCTCATCCGTCTCCTTGCACGATTTGGCAGCAAAAGTTGATTTACATCTCATTACTTCCAGAGAGCTCATGGATCTTGGTCGCATCGCAGTGCTCACGAGTCTCCCTTCCACATTACTGTGTTGTAGAATGTGATCTGTCAACACGTGCCAGGTCGGTCTGGAATTTGCGAGGCGAAGGAGCGGCAATCCGCGGCAAGAACCGGGGCAGGAACGAGGACCGAGGTTACTCCAAGATCTTCCTTCGCGCAGCTGGACGATCGACTTCTTGTCATCGAGAGAGTTATCGTGCGAACGGAAGGCAAATTCTGGGCTGTAGTCATTGATATATATCGACTGGATTCGACCTCTCCAGACTTCTATCCTGCACAAGATCCGCCATGGCATCTATTTCACGAACCCTACGGTCTCGCGCCGCATCCCTGTGCACCGCGTGTGCTGCCCCTCGTACTCTCACACGCGTAGTCTTTGCCACCTCGAGAGCGCCCGCAGCGCGCTCAATAGCTACGACAGCACAAAGAAGGTATGCGTCAGCAGCAGAGCAGTATTCCGACGTCGCAGAGGTCGACTATGCCTCCCTCAGCCCGACTCCCATAACGCATTTCTCGGAAACAGAAATCATGCTGGCTGAGTCTGTATCGAGATTTGCCAACGAACAGATTGCACCTAAGGTCCGAGAAATGGATGAAGCAGAGAAGATGGACCCTGCTATAGTCGAGCAGCTCTTTGAGCAAGGCCTGATGGGCTTCGAGATCCCGGAAGAGTACGGCGGCTCAGGAATGAACTTCACATCAGCGATCGTAGGAATCGAGGAGCTTGCAAGAGTCGACCCCTCGGTCTCGGTGCTTTGCGACGTACACAACACTCTCGTAGTCACAGCTATACTAAAGTATGGAACCGAGGAATCGAAGAAGAAGTGGTTGCCGAAGCTGGCCACCAACACCGTGGGCTCTTTCTGTCTATCAGAACCTGCTTCGGGCTCAGACGCTTTCGCGCTCAAGACAAAGGCTGAGAAGACTGCAGATGGCTACAAGATCAACGGCTCCAAGATGTGGATCACCAACTCGATGGAAGCAGAGTTCTTCATCGTGTTCGCAAATCTCAACCCGGAGAAGGGCTACAAGGGCATCACTGCCTTCGTGGTTGACAAGAGCATGAAAGGCTTCGGCATCGCGAAGAAGGAGAAGAAACTAGGCATCAGAGCCTCGAGTACATGCGTTGTAACTTTCGACGATGTCGAGATCCCGGCTGGCAACCTGCTCGGGAAAGAAGGCGAAGGCTACAAATACGCCATCGGTCTCCTTAATGAAGGTCGCATCGGTATCGCAGCTCAGATGACCGGTCTTGCCCTTGGTGCCTGGGAGAACGCCGCGAAATATGTCTGGAACGACCGGAAGCAGTTTGGCCAACTGATCGGCGAATTCCAGGGTATGCAGCACCAGCTTGCTCAGGCATACACCGAGATAGCCGCTGCGCGAGCATTGGTCTACAATGCTGCCCGCAAGAAGGAAGCGGGTGAGGACTTCGTCACCGACGCTGCCATGGCCAAGCTCTATGCCAGTCAGGTTGCTGGACGAGTCAGTGGATTGGCCGTGGAATGGATGGGAGGTATGGGTTTTGTGCGAGACGGTATTGCTGAGAAGATGTTCCGGGATAGCAAAATTGGCGCAATCTACGAAGGAACAAGCAACATTCAGCTGACGACGATCGCGAAGGCGCTACAGAAGAAGTACACGCAGTGAGATTGTATAGATAGATGTGCTAAAGTACCTGGCTTTGCATCGTTGAAACATCGTCAGCCAAGTGATCCTGCAAGAGAGTTACGTAAGCCGTGTGAGTTCTCACACTGATTTCTTGCCTCTGCCTTCTCTTGATCTCACAAGGGCGGGCCGCTGCCGCCTTCTTACTTGTGCTTATCCGCCGGTAGGAAGGCCGCTGTGAAAAGGACGGACTTGCCAGAGACCCAAGCTACTATCCAACTCATTTTACGGCACCAGCATGGAGAATACAAGGACTCTGGAAATGCTGGATGCCCCAGGCGTATATGGCATCCCACCTACTTCGACCCAGACTTCCGTTTCAGCTCGAGCGCAGGAGGATTTGTCTGGTCTTCGCGCCTCACAAGCATGCATAGCATGCCGGCGACAGAAACGGAAATGCGATAAGCAATTGCCATCCTGTGCATTATGTCTGCGGATGAGCAGGCCTTGTGACTATTCAGACAGCACGCCTACACCAAACGCGGATGACTTTGCGCTACTAAGGCAAAAGGTCGCAGAGCTAGAGAGTAGATTGGAGGCCAAGAACACGCCATGGGGAAGGACGAGCACGATTGCTGGTGTGTCATATCAGCATAATGTCAATCCTCCGCCGCCTATCGCCTCGGGCTTTCCTACTATGCTTCTGCTGGACTCAGAGGTATTTCGAGTAAGTCATGGCGTTGCACATTGGTCAGGAGGGGCTATAGAATATGGCCAGAGACAGGCTATGGCGTGTAAAGGTGCTGATCCGCGTCGATAGGAAAGCCGGATGGACATGACCAAGCCAGCCGTCGAGATACCACAAAAGATTCACAACACACTCGGATCCATAATCGACATGCGAGACGTTGTTGAACGCTACTTCGAGAACATCCATCTCTGGCTGCCTATTGTCTCGAAAAAGCGGCTGAGTATCATGCTAGAGCAACCCAACCTCGATCTTACCGCTGATCTAGCTCTCCTACTTCTTTGCATGAAGCTCATCACGCGAGGCGACCACGAATCGCCTGAAGATGCTCAGTCGCCGCTCTATTGGCTGTCCAAACGCTATGCTAGTACAGTCGAATTCAATGGTCTGATCACTTTGCCTTTAATGCAATCAATGCTCCTCATCACTGCGTACGAGATAGGTCATGCCATACAACCTGCGGCTTATCTGTCTAGTGCGCACTGCGCTAGGCTTGGTACTTTAATGGGTGTAAGTTCGGGTTCCGTGGCCATACCTGTGCCCGGGGATCAGCGTCACTTTGGACGATGCCCGAGGATACGTCTCGAGCTGACAAAGAAAGAAGTGCTGTCTCGTCACAATCTTGCCTCGAATCATACATTCTATCCACGAGACAAGGCTGACAAGATTGGCAGATACACGACCGGCAGAATGCCCCTCAACTGTTACGGAGAAGCGGTGCTTGGGCTGAGTTAGAAGAAATCAGACGCTGTTGGTGGGCCGCCTTACTTTTCGACCGTTATGCCTGCCTCGGGAGCGAAGGTGCACGAATAGTCACCGAAGATCCTCCGCCGCACACTGTACTCCCGGCGGATGATCATTGCTGGGACAACGGAGAAATGACAGGCAGCGAGCCTTTGTATGTGTCCTCAACGACATCCGTGAAGGCAGGGGCTTTTGCTCGGGCCTGCCAAGCGACACACCTGATGGGTCGTGCCCTCAGGAACCTGCATGATCACTACTCTGAGCCTTCGCTACGGTTTTCGGAGGCGATCCAGATCCATCGTGTGACGACAGCTCTCTCGAACGTGCTGCCGCTCGAAACAGTTCAAGACCCAGAACGTTATACAACGGCAATGGCTCTGTGTTTTTCAACCCTCATACACGTTTGTGATCCTTTTGTGGGTGCCCCTCGACGCGGTCACACATTGTTCGATATGCTGATAGAGTCACAGTCATGCACACAAACGAACAGGGGCAATTCCAGCGTCGAGGAGACTGAGATGCAGAACATTGCGATCCCGGGTATGCGAGACGTAGCGGTGAAGGTGTTGGAGCTCAGCAAACTCATTCGCGAACTCCTCGAGAAGAAGCCAGGGGCAGTAAGTCCTCTGATCGCTGATTGTATCTATTCCGCAACCTCGATATTCCAGTGGCAAGCATATGAGTTGGGTTTGGAGCAGGATTTCAGCGCCTACAATATCTTGAGAGAGATCTTGAGAGATATGAGCAGCCGATGGGCTGTGGCTGGAGAGTATCTCAAAATACTTGATGTAAGACTGCTTGTGTACGACGTGTGGTGACTGAACTAACAAATTGCCAAGGTAATGAAGACCGTACTTTATGAGGAGCATTCTAAACTCTGACAAGACTGGATGACATAGCGACTCTTTGGCCATGCCACAGTCCCACAGTAAGATTGTTGGCGTGTCGTATCGTAACAGCATAATGTCAATCCTCCACCAAGGGTCGCCCGGGCTCAACGACCAAGTCGTTGCGGACTGGACTCAGTGCGAACGTGTCTCCCATCGACCACTGCCGTGTTGGAGAAGCAAGAGTGAGGGCAACGTGTGTCTCGTTGGATCGTCAAAACACGTTTTCGGAAGGGCCGTCTGGAGGTAAGAGTGAGGCTGTCAACGTGTCTCTCGTTGTGAGCTCATTCCGACTATGGGCAAGCGCCAGTGGACAGAATAGTACTTCGCCAAGCTTGCTGGCTGGCAGGAACGATTGGTTCATATACTCAATTTGAGCCTTGCTGGGTCCCGCCACGAGTTCTCGACCTGGATGTGCTGGATTTGTCCAGATGTTTCGGGCGGCCTCCAAGATCTTGATTCGTAACTTTCTCTGTGCAGTCGATAGACGGTCTTCCTTGTTCTTGTATCGGGCAATGTGGTGGAGGTAGGCTGCTTCGCGAGTGCCGTTCCAAAGTCGATCTGATACGTGGCTCGACAGATCTCGTCAGCATACGGCAGCCAGATTTGACCATTTGGAAGAAGCTTATTGACCGGTAAGGCGTCCTGAACAGTTGTGAGGATGTCGTCACCGGTCACATGGTGCTTTTCGTAGACGCTCATATGCACGGTGAGGGAATCCCAGCACTTGGTGCAAAATTGAAGCTTGAAGGCCTCCCCACCAAAGTTGGGACCCATGGCTTCGAGACAGAGACAGCACCGACCACTGGACAGCATGTTTCCGAGCAACTCGCGACGATATGATAGATTTTCATCGTAGGGACCTCCTACGGCCAAGACCCGTGTGCGGAACGTGGCTTTGTCGAGTCTGATGAGAGGGTATTGCAGATCATCGCCACGCGGATGAGCTACGTAGCGCGTCATGATTTTGTTGTTCTCTTCGGCGAGCATGCTGATGTTGTCCAGTCTCGGAAGCATGTATTTGTTAGGAGCTCGGTCGTAGCCACCCAACATGATGAGCGAGGAAGTCTCTCGAGACATGATCATTTGTCGCATCTCCGTGGCACCAATGTTGACCAAGTGACCATCGGGCAGTGTCTGCTCACCCATAGATGCAGTAAAGCGGCGGACTTGGAGACTATTTTGCGATTCTGACTGGTAGCCCCAGGTTCGAGGAGCAGTGGCGCAGGGATAGCGTTGTACCAATCCAGGTTTGACTCGGCGCCGGTCAGGTAACGACACATCTTTGGGATTGCTTTCTCGAGCTGGAAAAGCCACACCGCGTCGACGTGCCCTAGTATTATGCGCAAGATCTCCTTGTCGAACTGTTCGAGGATGGAACCTCTATCAGGATCAAAGTGACGACCACCAGGATCGAGACTGCGATCGACTGGCAATGCAATCGATCCAGCAGGACCTTGGAGGAACGTGTTGCGTATGAGCGGTTCGATGATATTGTTTCTTGCAGCATCTGTCGAAGAGTCAGCTTCTGAGGGTCGTCGTGAAGCCCGAAAACTTACCCTCCACCATCTTTTGGGTAGCCAGGATGAGGCGGCCTCCGCCGCTGGTCGACTGCATACTTGCGGCCAGCTGAATACACTATGCGGTGTGATTGAGGTTGAGCAGGAGGATATGCAGTAGAGGAAGATGCACAAACATTCTCAGAAGAGAAAGTTCAAAACAGCAGGTTCTTGAAATCTTTTGTGGGCAGTCTATGCAATGCCTGGCGTTGATCACCCCAGTGACCTTGCACACAGTGACAGACGTTGATGCCGAGACTTTCCAAGTGATTGCCTGTGGCAATGTGCTGCCTGGTCTTTTACAATGACCTGCTGCGATGAAGGGCATGATTCGAATGGTTGTGGCTGCCCTTTGGGTGCAATTGAAGTGCTTGCTTCCATACGTGTGGGACGTCCTGGACAGCTGGTAAATCGCGGTGATCGCCCGTACATTTGCTAAGGACCCGTACTTCTTTTTGGGGACCCCGGATGACTGATCGCTGCAGCTATAGCGTGTGCTTGCATTGTCATAGAACGGTAAGTGGTGTCGAGTCTTCTGGTAGAAGCTCCCAGCCTGCAGGCATGGGCAGGGAGCTCCTGCCGTCGCTCACATAGCGCAGGCAGGCGCGTCCGTGGACTCCGAGTGAAGACTTGCGATCTCAAATTGGAAGGTCGGCCATGCTGCCCAGTTGAACCTTTGCAGTTTGGAGCTCCTTCTTCACGTCTTCCCAGGTCGAAGGATTCACACAGCGCTGGACATCTTCGAGGAGGGTAGCCGCAAATCCTGCCTTTACCGCGTCGATTGCTGTGTACTTCACACAATAATCTCCGGCTAGGCCAACCACAAAGACATCTGTTACGCCTCGACTCTTCAGGCTGTGGGCTAAATCCTCGGTCACACCTCCTTCGCCAGCCGCCAGGTTACCGAACGAATCCGCGAACGCCGAGTACATCTCAACCCGGTGATCCATACCCTTTCTTATGGAGATGTCGACTTTATCGACCTCGAGGCCATCGACCAGCCTCGCTCCGTCACTGTCAGCTTGACAATGGACTGGCCACAGGTTCTGCTTCATTGTCTCCTCAGGCTTGTTGCCAACAAGGTTACGCACGTCAATGAATGATTCAAAGGGCTTGTTGTTGGGAGGTGGGTGATTACTGGCGAAGGAGACATGGTTAGCGGGATGCCAGTCTTGAGTCGTCACCTTGGTGTCGAAATAGCTTGAATTGAGCAATTCGTTGACAAGAGACACGAGGTCCCTTCCACCCGAGACTGCAAGTGAGCCGTGCTGCACAGATTCAGCAGGAGCTTCGTGGGTACATGTCTCAGACTCACAGGTGGGCAGAAATCATTCTGCATATCAACAACGATCAAAGCCTTCTTGCCGGCCATTGAGAAGATGTCGACAAGCGCCCTTTCAATCTGCCAGCAGTGCGAGTCTTTCACCTGATGGAAGGAATGTAAAGTACACAAAGCTCTCTGCAGGACAACAGAATGAATGTAGCATTAGTGAAGCCAATGTGAGCACTGGAGAGCACAACATGTTTATAGATGTGAAGCAACACGGCGCGTTAAGGCACAGGAACGTCACTGTAGTCCTCCAGGCTGAGGCGGCTAGTCCCAGAATAGGCTAGCGTAGCCTAGGCATCCCGCCTGGGGTTCATTTGTCAGGTCCCTCCTCAGATCTCAGCAACCAACACCACACTGATGAACGAGACAATCGTCGATTACGCCCAATTCATTGGTCGCGCTGAAACTTGTGACGGCGAAGAGGCCTGAGAAGATACTGGGAGTCTTACCCGTCGATTCGAATCCCTCAATTCCAGGTCGTACTGAGCGAAATTGAGAGGGAACAACGGCGATCAGCAGTTCATACTGCCGTCAACGAGACCTCACACCTGCGCGCGTGCACCCAGCTGCAGTCGTTGCGACGGATCTACGAAGCGTCCATCAGGTCGCGGGTCACAATGGCCAAGGCCACAGTTGTAAGAAGCCGCTCTTTCTCTCAACTTATCTTGAATTGCACGACAGCAGCCGACAGCTGTTCTGTCCACAGGCATACTGACCAGACTATCGTAGGGCGAGGTGTACGTAAAGATCATCAAAGACACCATAGAACTATCGCGCATCGATTTCGAGGAGGGAGGTGTCGATGCAGCAGCTCTCGAAGTGTTGAGATCAGTAAGTGCCCGCCACCTGCGCATTACTTGCACATCTGGACCGAATCTCGTCCCTCGCGGAGGTCGACACGACGGCCGACGACCAACTCCATAAGCGGCTGGTCGAAAAGAACCTGAAAAAATATCAAAATATATCATATGGAACCCAAGTTCATCGTCGTGGTCGGCAGCGATAAGGCAGCAGAAGTTGGCGTTGTCGGAGGGGAGCGCACAGGCAATTGCTGGCCGGAGCGGGGATCGGGAGTTCTTAGGATGAAGGGCATGTGCGGGCTTGAGTCATGCTCTTATACCAAAACTGGCTGCCTAGAATTGGCCCCACGCCCAAGCCACAGTCAGCCCGGAGCGACCAACCCCACGCCTTGAATTGCTTACAGCCACAGCGCGCGCAACTGTTCGATGTGGTCGACTGATCTATTTGGTGACCATGCGATGCAAATCCTAAGCGTGGAAACACGTTGCTGACTCGAATCTTATAGGAATGGCAGACCAAGCTTTCGGCATTGGGTACTGTGGCTCTGCCATGGGATCCTCCATCGGTCAAGGAGGAGAAGCCCAACATCAAGCGGCAGTCATCACCTCCGCCAGCGGCTTCAAGTAACGGCAACGTTTCGAGACCCCAGGCTCAAACACAACACTCTCTCAACACTCTACCTCCGATCAAATCAGAGCACTTCAAGTCGGAGCACCCAACCTATCCCCCACAACAGAGCAGCCCACCAACCCAGCAGTTCCAACAAATGCCGATTCCTCAGGGACGGCCAATGGAGGCACAGCAACGTGCTGCACAGCTGCTCCAAGGTCGCTTTGGTGAACAAGCCAGTCAACAAGTCGCCAGACTCAATGGTACTTTGCCTAACCAGTCAATGCCTCAGCACGCTGGCTCATACATTAAGACCGAAGACGGCACGTACATCAAGCCTGATCAGACTGATGGCGCTGGGGACGACCTCGACACTTGGCAGACCGAGTATGCGCGGCGCAAGGCGCTGTATGCTCGGAGTCGAGCAGAAAAGACTCCAATCCGAGATCAAGTCATGATCATGCAACAACAGCTCGAGGGGGGCGGGTTGCTGGTACCTCTGAGTGATCATGACCAGCTTCCTTCCGGGGCACGTCGGGCAATGGATCAGTCGGCCAGACCTTCATCGTCAGTGACTCGTGCTCAAGCGGATGCCAGCAACGATGACGACGAGGAAGAAGATGTTGATGCTATCAACTCCGATCTGGACGATCCTGATGAGCTTGATGGTCTAGACGAGGACGAAGAAGAGGCTCCGATTGGCCGACGGAACGTCATGCTGTCGACCTACGATAAGGTTCAGCGCGTCAAGAATAAGTGGAAGTGTACACTCAAGGATGTTGTGCTTAGAGTCGATGGCAATGAGTGAGTATGACTCGAATCCTGTGCTAACGCTGTCACTGATACACAAGCAGATACCTATTTCACAAAGCTCAGGGCGAATTCGAGTGGTAGCATCGCTGAGCTGCAGTTCGCGGCATTGGAAACGGCACCGGGAGTGCTTCAATGCATCGTGTCAGGTGCACGAGGATATGCTCCGGTGGCAGAGAGTACATCGTAAGGCGTTTGCGGCACGCGGCAGGTACCGCCATGGAGGCCTCCTCAGACTGGTTCCGACTCAAGGCTTGAATACCAAGATTGACACCCATCGTGACGGCTATAATTGAGAAAGACGTGAGCTCATTAGATACTCCAAAAGCTACAGTACAAAACGTGCTATACTCACGAAGCACTTGACACATTTAAAGGTGCAGATGGCTCATCTATGTAGTGGAATTTGCTACGCGACCCCCTGATGAGCAAATTGTTGATAGAATGGTGCTGCGACTTAAAGGCTGAAGTGAGGCTCCTCCCAAACTTCACAGCTCGATCTGCGAAATAATTCCGGCCCTCAGAGCCCGCCCTGTCCTGGACTATCGGTATTCAATGAATACGTGCATGATATATACTTAGGTGTCAAGTGAAGGTTGGTCTAGCTTGCAAAGTCGCGATCTGGGCAGGGCTGCGTCACCCTTGTCACTACAGGTTAAGCCCGATGACGTATAAGTTAGCACATTTCAATCCATCACACAGAATTGAAATACCTGGTCACTCCCTTCCTGTCTAGGTCTTTCCTTCCATTCAAACCATTCCTCGTTGATCCTCAGCACGCGTCTCCAGATCGCTAGCCTACCCCAACATATCCCCTAAGCCTTGCCCTCGTCGTCGCGGCCAGTACTGAGAGACCAACACACGGCACTCCCCGCAATCATGACTCTCTACTACAGCCTGGTAAGCTGGCCTTTCGTTGACAGATCTGCCCGTGCTGATCAATTGACCAGGTGTTTGCCCTCCTGATGGCGGAGATGGCTATCTTCATGGGTCTCATCATCCCCATGCCCTTCAAAATGAAGCGCAAGATGTACAATTTCATCTCCGAATCACCCCTCATAGCGAAGCTACAATATGGCATGAAGATCACCTTCATCTTCATCCTCATCCTCTTCGTTGACTCAGTCAACCGCGTCTACCGCGTCCAAGTCGAGATGTCTGCGCTCATGAAGGACAGCAGTGGTGCAGGGTAAGCACCATACATCCCTCTCCCTCTGCTCACGTGCCCCACCTACCACCACCTCAAAACAGCAGCTAACGCTGTCTCTCAACAGTCGCGCCGCCGCCATCGGCTCCGAGCGCATGGAAGTCCAAGCTCGCAAATTCTACTCTCAGCGCAATATGTACCTGACCGGCTTCACCCTCTTCCTCTCCCTCATCCTCAACCGCACCTACATGATGGTCCTCGACGTCCTGCGCCTCGAAGAGAAGAACCGCATGTACGAGGGCGACCCAGCTGCCGATCCCACCAAGAACAAGGACGCTAAGAAGCTTGACCCGGACTACCGTGCTGATGCTATCGCGCAGCTGAAGCGTGAAGTGGAGAAGAAAGACAAGGAGATTGAGGGCATCAAGAAACAGAGCGAGGGTCTCCGGAGAGAATACGATGAGCTCGCCGCAAAGTACAATCAGACCAACCCTGGTGACAAGAAGGGGAACTAGGAAGATCCTTTCTCTTCGAGAAGCCTTCAGCATTTTGCTGAGGCTCAAGGAGTCTAGTCTTTCTTTTGGATCTGGCGAAGTGATAGAAAGGGAGCCCAGGTTCCCGAGATTGGTCGTGTTACAGGGAGCGCATAGCTACCAGCCGACTTTTCGCACATCAATAGGCGTTATTCCAGGAATTTAGAAAGCAACAGCATCTTTTAGCTTGGGCAGCAAGGTAGGACAGGATTCAATATCAAATCAGCGTCAAAGTTATGCCCGTCGAACCAAGGAGTACTGCATGTCAGATCAGCAACGCGTCCTCTTCGCAGGCCTTCGAACCACTGAAACAAGGCACCACCACCAGTTCTCTAGGTAAAAAGCAAAAAATATGGCTCTTTCAGTTGATCAGTGAACGACGGCATCCAGCAGTGCCCTGCATCGTGCCGTGAACAGTGAATGCCGCCTTTCCAAGGCTATCTTGCCAGTCATGTGGTGGTCTCGGTTTGCGCCGGTTGCGCCTTCTGTTGGAAGAGCTATAAGTACCTTCTTTGGCCTCGACTTCTTTCTTCTTTCCTTATCTTCATTGAGCTCGACTTGGATGCTTCCTCGTCAAGAAGGTATGGACGCAGAATTGCCATGCCTCGTTAGTACTCGCTGCTACTAGGTGGGACGAGGCCCATGACTCACTTATTAATACTACGTCAAGAGAAGACAACGGAACGAACGGCCTATCTGATTGGTACCGGCGAATGACAAGCTGATGGTTGTTGGTCATGTCTTCGTGATTTCCGATATTTGCAAAGCTTTTGTGGATCTGTTTTGCCATGCATGTCTCCGGCATGTACAGCGTCAAATGTATGTGTTCATGACCTTGTGGTGCCATTCGTGCTATAGCCCTGTCTCGCAGCACCAGCATGGTCACGGTCCCATGCACCACCAAGAAGCGTGTCACCAGGCCGCTGTCATAGCAGGTGTCGATGAAACGACTGGACTGGCTTAAGTAACCGGAAGCTAGGTAGCGGCGTTCGAGACCTCGAGTGGTCGAGTGTTGTTGACCATCAAGGAATGCAGCAAATCGTCATCTAGGCCGTCGTTCCGTGCATGATCTGCCCTTCCCTGACCAGCAAAACACCTTCAGCAGTAGTCACCATGCCCTGCTTCCCTCACCCCTGCATTTGTGAATCATAAGCATTACTCTTATGCTTCGGCTCCCACCTGAACCCCTCATTCGCCTTGCCCAAGAACATCTCCGAGATCTTGATCCAGTCCCGAAAGTTGTCGCTAGACAACAATGTCTCCAGCTCATCTCTGCCCTTGTACCGCGGCGGTCGGTCTTGAATATTCGGCGGCAGCACCTCTAACAAACCCACAGGCACGTAGCGGCAAGCAAAACTCAACCACTCTAGCAGGAACCGCCGAGTCTGACCAACGCCGATCTCATCGGATCCCCAAGCTTCGAGGCCGTACCGGCAGAATTGCTCGATGTAGCGCAGGCGTTCGGTCGAGGACTTGTCGATGTCGGTTCCGGAGTTGGAGGTGATTTCTTCGAAGAGCCATGGCTTGATCAGGGCGCCGCGGGCGAGCATACAGGCGTCGACTTTGGCGTGCTCGAGGTGATCGTTGTAGTGGGTTGGGGAGTAGATGTCGCCATTTCCGATGAAGAAGACCTTGCCGGGCTCCGAGTCGGAGGACGCGCTATTAGCTTGATCTCTGGCGTCGGCGGCGCGGATGGTGTCGAGATCGCGCTCGCGTTGAGCATTCAGAGATTTGATGAGTGTAGCGGTGCTCGAGATGTATTCCCAGTCGGCGCTGCGCGTGTAGCGCTGTTGGCGCGAGCGACCATGCAGCGTGATCGCCGCGACACCGCAAGGGTCCGTAGCTGCTTGGTGCTGCGAGGCGTTACTGCCAAGCACGAGGCGCTCGACGAGGCGGTGGGCAGTGGGTGTTTTGTCTTTCGTGCCCGTGCGGATCTTTACGGTGATAGGTGTTTCGCCGGAGACGTAGTTCATGCCGCGCAGCATCGTTTCGAGCTTGCGGGAGGAGTCCATGAGTGCGGATCCGGCGCCTTCGCGGTACACGAGATCGATTGGGCAGCCGACGTTGAGATCAACGCAGCGCAGTCCACGAGGAAGGAGAGTGGTGAGGATCTCTGTAGCCTTGCAAGCGAGCCACGGCTTGTTGGCGGCAATTTGTGCGCCGAAGTGCAGATCGCGGGACTGGTCGTAGTTGAAGACGATGTTAGGTTGTCCGGCGGCAGTAAAGGTGGGTGGGCGGATTTCAGACTCGTGGGCCTTCAGGAGAGCCCATTCCGACTTTTGGCCCTGCAGGAGAGGCATAGACATAGCCATCTCGGAGTAGGTGAAGGTGGCGCCGAGAGAGGTACACAGACGGCGAAATGGGAGGTTGCCCTGAGTTGTAAGGGGTGCAAGAACAGGTGTCTCAGGGCCAAAGTAGAGACGTCGCTTTTCAGAAGGTCGGAGAGCAGGCTCGACATATTTCGCGGCATTGTCCTTCTTGTCGGCATCATCGTGCTGGCCCTCGGGCTCTGGAGAAGACGAATTTCGGAGCGTGGTCTTGGGGCGGCTATCGCCAGTTCGTGCCTCGTCTGACAGGGACGACATGTACTGCAGGTACTTGTCGGATCGGGGCGTTGGAAAGTTCTTCTTGGTCAGGGCAATGCGTTGCGGTGCGCTCAGAGCATTGGCCACGCCGCTCTCATTGTCCTCATCTCCGCCGTCATTTACGTCGGCAGCGTCTTCACTCAATAACACGAGCTCTTTTCGTCCGTCTTCGCGCTCAACCTCCTTGGAGTGAGATCCAACAAATAGACATTTCCACCCGACTGGACATTTGCCCTTGACCTCGAAGACTGGGCACAACTTCCCAAAGGTGTCGAGATCGTCTCTCTTGCGTGCGAGATAGTTTCTCAGGTTGTGCTCGAACTTACACTTGTCGCCGAAACGGCAGTCTTTTGGCGAAAACTCGTTCGTGCGGTTTCGTGAGGCACACAAGGAAACCTCATCACGAGAGCTACCGAATTTGCGGGCTTTGTTCTGACCTTGATTCTTCTCCCGACGCTTCTGCTTTGAATTGTTGCTGGCAGGCTGGCGATCTTTGTGATGGAATTCTTCAGCCGCATCATCATCGGCAGGCTCCTGTAAGGGCACATCTGCTGTGTGGTCTTGGCGGTGGTCGTTGATGAGAAATTCCGCCTTGATAGGAGCCGTACCCTTCCGACGCTTATTGTCGCCGTTGGCGTCGTCATCCCTATCATCCGCTTTGCGTTTGACCGGAGACACCGTGTTATCTGATTCGAGCTCTCTCACATGTGGCTCGTGTGAGCTGCCATTGGTAGCAGCTGCACCGGCCGCCGCGTTGGATTCCGCCATGTGTTGCTAGATTTGACGAGACTGGGTCAAGCCGAGGTCCAGGGACAGTCAAGACGCTCGAAAAGATTGGTCGATCTGTTAGCGGATCTGTCTTACAGATGAGCTCGTTCGCCGCCGGAGGTACCGAAATTGAGGTTCTGCTCGCCACCGGAACCGGGCCGATGAATTCCAAGATTGACAGGCTTAGCGTTCATCCGAGTCCGAGAGATGGGATCGAACGACTGGGGGGGCCTCTGAACTATTCAGCAGGCGTATAGAGAAATTGGCGTGCTCGTTTCGGTACACCCATACGATAGCCATGCTGCAAAATTTTGAAGTGAGATCTTTGCCTTGGCGGCAAGGGTCACGACGCTCAATGCCACATGGCGCCCCACTTTTCAGTGAAAAACGCCTGAATCACGGCCCGCTGGCTGGGCATTGCCTCTCCTCGTGTTCATGTTCATCACATGTAGCAAACACAGAAGGTCGTCGTTAGGTACAGAGTGCCAGTCCCGTAATGGGATTCAGGCTTCACCAGCTCACACCAATGACTGGGAAGACTCTTGCTCTAATTCCACATTCTCGAAGGGCGACCCAGGTGAGGTGGCCATGTGCGTTGCAAGTATATGCTACCCACGAACAAACGCGACATCTCGAAATCATTGCTTCGACAACCACAATGTCACCAGGTGGCCGCAGACTGCTCATGGCAGTCGGCGCCAGTTGAGACAAATGTGACCTCGATTCGGCAGCGGCCACGTAAGATGTCTCGCATGGGTCCATGTCCCACGAGCTTAGCCACTTCAGTCCGAAAGGGAAAGAAGACTACAGATGCTCTTTGGTAATTGACAAAGTACAAACGATTGCAATGGCTCGAGTGGTCTTGAATGGCAAATGTGTTCGATGTATCCCACAACCTCCGAACGTTCGTGCCAGGTGCTTCGCTTGATGTTTGCCGCCTTACCCAATCATGTTGTCAACGGAAGGTGGGCAGCTTGGCTCAGTTACTTAATCTGGCAGTTGCGAGCCGGTCTATACGCAGGATTTATCAGCTCAAGTCATGAGTAGACTTGTTTGATCTGCGCGCTTGTGATGTGGCTGCTTTAGCGTAGGGCCTGAGCTCAGAGCGTCTGCCAGGCTTCAGCAACTCAGACAGCTGTCTTGCGTCTTCATAGGGATTGTAAGATTGACGATGTCTGCAGAAAGATGGTCGGATGAGGCTCGGCGGTGAATTGCTGAATAGAGAAACCATATCCTTTTGAGTTCGCTGGGGTTGGAGAGTGACGGATGCCCAGGCCGCCCTCTGACGAGTCAGCGGGACGTTGACCATTCCGCCCCCTGGATGATCATGCAATGCTGGTGATGCTCGGCCTGTCTCGGGGACACTACATGAGACTTTTGGCCTATACTGCAGCTGGGGGAATCATCGGTGAATAGATTGCACGTTCCACTAAAGTGAACGATATCACTGCAATCGCGACTGTGGTGAGCTGGGAAGAACCGAGGAGTCCTCGTACTGCCAGGGCCCAAATGAGAAAGTTGTAGCTGCAAGACGGATACTAGCTCCACGGGCATGAAGTGCGTGCGACATCTTACGTTGGAAGCGAACATCCATGCTCATGAAAAGACCCAGGTTGGTATTTAGGGCTTGAGTGGACTTGAGGACTAGGTTGTCACAACGTGCGACGACGAGTCTTGAGGCGTGAGCGACAAGTGCAGTCAGACGACACAACGATGCAGGTACCTAAGGCCGAACAAATCGCGACGTTGAGGACGTCTGACACGGCGTTTGGCGGGACTGGGAGTCGATCTCACATTGAGAACACGGGGGTGCCTGTCGATCGTTCATGAATACATCGTAAGCTGTGGAGAGATGAATTACGTGGTCGCGGTTGTGCATACCGTTGAAAGGTTCATCGAGTACGACTTCAAGCGCTGGAAATAACTCGGTGGTAGTTTCCACCTCGCTACACAGTTGATCGCAAATGCCTCTGAGTCGCCAAGTCCGAGTCACCGGCCGGCGAGTTCTCTCGCCTCCATTTGCTGCATTCTGAGAAGGTTTACTCTGGCAGACCAGCACCTCAGCCCTGAGCTGCTACAGAACGGCGAGCATATCAAAAGCTTTCAAATTGTACTGCAATGAGCACGCTGAGGCAACGAGAAGCACTTCTAGAGTCGTTAATTAGAGGTTGTCGCTTGTGAGCTGGCTCAATTCATGGTCCATTAATACATTATTGTAAAAGTGGTTCGGGCATTGTCGGCCAATGCACTCTCTGAGATCACCGTGGAATTCATGCTTTCCAGGTTGGCTTGGACCGAGGGAGCCATCAGAAACTCTGTGGACGCTGCCGCTGGTTCAACAAGCTGGAACAGTGGCGCTTTGCCTGAGCAAACCTGGCCTTTTCCGGGTCGGGTTACACCCACTTGCATTAATATAATAATCATAATGTGTATGAACATGTCCTCGGGCCAGCGCTGGTAGCGGCTGAGAGGCGCGAAGTGGTAGGCCAGGACGCCCTGAGAAATCATGATGATGAGTAGTCACCGCAGGTGGTGAAGTGCGGCATCAAGCCCGGCACATCCTTGTTTAGCCTTCCTCGAGCCTTTCTCGCACTTGAGCGTAGGGTAACTCTGATGATCGCTAGTCAGAACTCGTTAGTGAGAAGTCCCGAGATGTGGGCGCAATTAAATAATGCACCAGCATGACTGTTCGATCCCCAGCATCCGTCGCGTGAAGAGGACATAGTCTAGTAGCTGTCCATTCCCACCTGTGTGCTCGACACATCACTGTCGCTACATGCCTCAAACCAGAGCAACCTGAACTCATTTCCAGCTCTCATATCCGCGTCCGTACCGGCTACAGCACGCAGGACGCAGCTAGCCCCGTCATTAGCTGCCTATCACGTCACGCCAGTCGTTCAAGGTTGCCCGACCGCCTGTCTGGTGCCCCCACCCGTTGCACTCGACTCACTACTTTGTGACTTCTTGTCAAGGACTCAGGACCGAGTCCTTTCCACAATATACAACACTCATCAATACACATATTTGCATTCTTATGTTGGATTACGCAGAAAGCCCTCCGTCGCTTCGCCACTCGCCGTCTCCGAGTGACTTGTCGCAGGGCCTCTCCCGAGATTCCACGCCTATCACACCGCTGTCAGCTCCATTGGTCTTTAGGAAGGACACCTCTTTTTCCTGGCTGAGCAGACCGCGCAAGTCGCCCTTTGCAGTCGAGCCTGCCATTCTCGAGCCAGATTTTGACAACGATACGTACCCAACATTTGCGACACCCGAGACCTCGATGGCCGGCGCTGCTGCACCGGTCAGTCTACGTCAAACATCCACATCGCCACGCGGCAATCAACCCTCTTCCTTGACGTCGGCATTGAGACGAGAGCCCAACGGCGATTTAAGCAGCTTGGAGGGCATGAGCATTGACCACGCAAGACCCACACCACATTTCCAACCCGAGCAGATCATGGACAGCCAAAGAACCGAAGCGGGTGCCCGCCCAATATCTGTAAAAGGCCGATCGAGTGATAAGATGCGACGAGAGAGCCTAGCGCAGAGTCTAGGGACGGGCATGAGTTGGGGAGGTGTCTCAGTCAACAGCTGGGTTAGAGACGAGTAAGTCTGCCACCACGCCACATCAGTCACTATGCTAATCCTCTGGTTTAGAATGATGATGGCAGGCACATCGCCTTTCGCGTTCCAATCTCCTTCGTACCACTCTTCATCCTACCTCCCCAAAATTGAAGCCAACTTCATGAAAGATTTCTCGTGTTGTGGGCTGACGCTGCCAACCCTGCACGAACTTCTACAACACTATGAAGAAGCGCACGCTCAGAAGGATCCCGTGGCTATGCAGGCTTCACAGCCAGTGGTACCAGACACCCGAGCAGCACTCGCAGCCAATGCCGCTAGTCAGATCCAGCAAGAGGCTCAGCAACGGAACATTCAGAATTCGAGCCTCAACACGCCTGTTATGCAGCAGCCGCACCAGATGAACCAGCAAAGAGGCTTTCCAAATACACTGCAGCCACTACCTGACATTAACTCAGTTGATGATATGGACATGGACATGGATGACGGCAACGACAGCACCCCACCATCGAATATGTTCACCCACGGCTCAGCAACAACCTCACCTCGAAACCCGATGGCCACCATGCAGCCGGCTCAAATCCCACAGCTGAACACTACAATGATGCAAGGCCACCAGCAGTATCGTCAATCTGCGCCTTCCACTCCCATTGCCACAAGCCGAGGGCCAGCCTTTAATAACGCGCCTTTGTCGGCGAATCCCATGCAGCAATTCCAGGACCTGCAGAACCCATACAGGCAGACACCTGACTCATCAGCCCCAGGTACACCAGGCGAGCTAGACGAGAGCATGATGGCTCAGATGGACGATCTGTCGTTCCAGAACCAGCTATACGGATCTGACGCCTTTGCCACTAATTTCGGTTACGGCATGAATAACGACATGCTCGAGCTTTGCATTGATGAACCGGCAAAGCGACTCTTCCAACAGGGCCGACCGAACCAGATTTCGAATGGTTCAAGCAATACTCATAACCGCCTTGGTAGCGGACAATACGGCGCCAACAGCGATATTGCTCGTACTATTAGACAGGCACAGGTCGCAGCTGGTCTGCCAGACACAACGACGAATATTGGCCCCAACGAGGAATCCAAGCCTTTCAGGTGTCCAGTCATTGGCTGCGAGAAAGCTTACAAGAATCAGAATGGTCTCAAGTATCACAAATCCGTACGTTGCCCTTGCCTGATGCTTTTTGTCACGCGAACTAACAAGAATAGCATGGCCACAACAATCAACGTCTGCATGAGAACGGAGACGGTACCTTCTCGATAGTCAATCCTGACACGCAGGCACCGTATCCTGGTACACAGGGCATGGAGAAGGAGAAGCCATACAAGTGTGACGTCTGCCAAAAGAGGTACAAAAACCTCAACGGACTCAAATACCACAAACAGCACTCTCCACCATGCAATCCAGATCTGCAGCCAGGAGGGATATCAGCGTCTGCCACTGCGGGGTCCTCTCAGGGTATGGGTAATGTCGGAGCCGGGCTCTCGATTGACCACACCATGAGCTGAACGACCAAAATGGCCGCAATTCGACAATGTACAAAATGTCCTGGATGACCATGACGACTGAACGGTTGGAATTGAGTCGAAATCCCGCTTTTCACATTCAGGGCGCGACGAGGCGGCCATCATCTCTCACACGAACGAAAAGACGCGCCTTTTGCGAAAGTCGGGGATTTTCTGTATTTGCATTCTTTCACTTTTTCAGCAGACCAGGCGTAGGGGCAGCTTCTATTCTGGCCCGAAGGGCGTCTGCTGTGATGCCCTCCATGTTGAGGGCTGGACTACGGCGTTCATTGTTTATCTCGGCGGCAAAAGTTTCATCTTCCGGCATTTAATGGGGTCGATATAGCGCATCCTTCATCTAATCATTTGAGCAGAGCAGCGGCTGCTGGAGTCTTGGACAGTGGCAGCGCTGGTCCCGTCGATCACTCGGAAGATGGCTGCGCACGGGAAGGGTCATGGGGAAAAGAGAGGGATGGAAATGAGCTCCGTGCCAACGGGCATACATTGCTGAATGTTGATACCCCATAGACCAGCTGCTCGCGTTAGATGGAATAGAAGAACACGGCGGAAAAGCGCTGATAGACAAGAAAACGATTCCGATCCAATTCCTGCTATAGACACTGGCTTCTGACCATTCGAGCACACAAGATTAGTAGTCCATAATGCGTCGTCGCTCTCGCCTGATGAGGAGTTTATCGACAGTACCTGCCCTTGCTGAACGGAGGCTGATTGCTTGCATTGACATCCACTCCACCACGTATGAAGTTCAGATACAACATGCAGGGCACAGTGCTGACACAGACCTGAGCAGGAAGCAGAAAGATGTCGCACTGTGTATGTACGTGAATGCCATCTTTGCGAAGACGGCCCAATACCGCAGCATCGCATAGTACGGCTAAATCTGATACCTCTGTTTCACAAATCGAGCACCGGTGGGGCCGAGGCGCAAGCGCTCACCCTGCTGTGGCTGGCGCGGCTCCAAATCGAGAATATGCTCCTACTGGGGTAATCGCGAAGTGCTGCGCGTGAGAATCGAGGGCTGCTATGGCACTGGCAGCACCAATGAAGGTCATAAGGCGGTAGTCGGCGAAGCTTGGGTAGAGTACGATAGAATTGACAGCATTCTGGCATTATTTGGTACTGCAGGAACAAGGAGTCTTGGACCTGTGAATCGAGGGGTCCAAGCAATCCACTCAAGACACCACCCCGAGCACCACGTATCACGACCTACTATGTAAAGTTTTTGTCTGCATTGCCCCCTTTGAACGCCTCGATATTTGAACGGTGTCCTTCCCTCATAGCTTCTTGCGGACGAACACGCCTACACGCTTGACAAGTAGTACCTCCATCGATCTGCGAATAACTCGCATCCCACTCTTTGTGCACAACGTGACAATCGGCTCTATCTGGTTGCTTGCGCCTCAGCGAAGCCACCGCGGCTTGGCTCCAGTACCACTCCATCAGACCCGTCGCTCATCCCGTCGCTCGTTCCAAACCCGAAATCAATTCATAGCGCCCGATAGCCTTGTACCTCACTTCGCGACTCGGTCAGTCCCTACCTCGCCGGTGTCGTCGACCTACTGGCCGCGGACAAGGGACTCATTGTCCCTCCGAGAACGGCAACGGCTGCCCAAAGCCTGGAGCCTTCAGCTGAATCGACACACGCACACTAAAGAAATAGATACGGCGCGGCGCGCCATCTGCGGGGAGCCGCGATGGAAGACAAATGGGTAGGGCTGGCGCTTGCAATAGTCTCGTCGCTAGCCATTGGCAGCAGCTTCGTCATAACCAAGAAAGGCCTGAATGATGCGGCCGACAAGCACGGATTTGAAGGAGATGGCTTTCAGTACTTCAGGACGCCACTTTGGTGGTTCGGAATGGGCTTGCTAGGTTTTGGCGAGTTCTTCAACTTTGCAGCATATGCCTTTGCGCCGGCTATACTGGTCACTCCTCTCGGCGCACTGAGTGTACTGATCGGGGCGGTTTTGGGAGCATACTTCCTGAACGAAGAGCTGGGCATATTGGGCAAGCTTGGGTGTGCCATGTGCTTGATAGGGGCGGTTATTATTGTCCTGCATGCGCCGCCAGATCCAGAAATCAACACAGTAGACGAGATCCTCCAGTATGCGATCAATCCAGGTAAGAAAAACCATGCTATGGCGAAGTCACGCACGTGCTGATCAGACTCACAGCTTTCATGCTTTACTGCGTCGCTGCGATAGCCTTCTCCCTCGTCATGATATACCGATATGGCCCGTTGTACGGCAAGAAGAACCCCCTCATATACATCTCGATCTGCTCGACCGTCGGCTCGGTGTCAGTCATGGCGATCAAGGGCTTCGGTATCGCGCTGAAGTTGACCTTTGCCGGCAATAATCAGCTTACGCATCCTTCAACCTATGTGTTTGCGGTCGTAACAGCGGTATGCATCACAACGCAGATGAATTACTTCAACAAGGCATTGAGCCAGTTCCCGACACAGATCGTCAATCCGCTGTACTATGTCACATTTACGACTGCTACGCTATGCGCATCATTCATCCTGTTCAAGGGCTTCAATACAACGGATGCGGTCAACACGCTATCGCTGCTGTGTGGCTTTCTGGTCATCTTCACTGGCGTGTACATCCTCAACCTATCACGAAGGGATCCAGATGGATCGCTTGCGCTCAATGGCAAGACAACGGTGCAAGACGCTGCCCCTACTGATGGAATCTCTAACATCATAACCAGGCGCAGCATGCAAGGTCGGCGCAGTATAGACCCGTACGGTCACAGGAGGAGCAGCAGCGTGACCTCAAACTTCAGCCTGCAGGGGATACAAGTACGGCGGCAAGGGGAAAGCGAAGGCCTGATGCATAACTACGATCTGGAGCAAGGTGCAATCGGGCTCTCGGATTTGGTAGAATCGCCGACGCAAGCAGAGCCTGCGAGCGGCACCAGCAGTCGGCGGAGGAGTGGTGAGCGAGAGATCAAGACGATATATGACCGGCCAAGTCAGAAAAGCATGGATCGATGACAGGACTTGAGGAGACAGCGTTGGGAAAGTGCGCAATGGGCACGGTGCTCAAACTGCTGTGTATCAACATATTTTGTTCTACCAGTGACGACTGTTTCATGCATAGCCACGGACACGCATTTGACGAACAATTGGGAATAAGAAGGAAGTTTGGGAGGATCAGGACCCAGACAGGCGCAAGGGAATACATATAGGCAGGTCTTGATAACCGACTGCCGCGAGTCGGACTGGATCTTCACCATACTACAGTATTGGATCAGTGAGATCAACACGCTTTTGAACTTTAAGAAACCATACCCGTAAAAGCCCATTCGAAAGTACTTCCATTCAAGTTCATGATACTGTTGGACGAAATGACGACTGGAGCTCGTATTCGAGACGTTAGGAAAGCGCGGCCAGACCACGTGCAAGGATTGCCAGCCCACCTTCCAAACAACACCAGCCAAGCAGGTTTTCACTATCAGAACTCCTTCAGCTATCTTTACCTGACACTTCGACTGTCGCACACGAGCTTCGTACCTTCTGACTATATTGTACTGTTATATCAGATCCTATACTACACACTACAGGATACGAGACCTCCGCCGCAGCAAGCTAGCATCGCGAGGCCAGCCACCGCCTTTCGAGAATCCGCTGGGATCGCCCGTTGGAGTTTGCCTGATAGCCAAGAACAGCGACTATGTCGCTGACACCATCGCACCTTTTAGGGAGGTCGCCCAATATTGCTCCTAACGAGTCAACGAAGAGTGAGTGCTATCCGTCCTTATGCGAAGCTACGCGGCGGCAAGTACGATGCTGTGCTACACAATCACGCGCCTTGGCCCTGTAAAGGACGGCCGGCCAAATGTGGATGCCTAGAGCAATGGGATCTAGACACAGCCGGGGCACGTTCCTGTGTGACAAGTAGAACGTGTCGCGTGACTTTGCACCGTTCCTCACCAGAGTTTACTTTGTACTGAATCAAGTTTCCTTGCTTAGGTGTTCAACTCCAAGAAGAACCAGAGGAGATACCACCCGCAGCATACCAAGATGAGAAACTTCCCCAGAAACTACACCGAGCAAGTATTTCTGGCAAGAAGATGACGGGCAGACCCAACATGCTACCCACTAACTCTTCAACCTCTTCACTCGTCCGACAAGCATCCACCATCAGCTTGAGTGAGCAGAACCAGAGCGGCTCCGAATCGTACTTTGATTCTCAATCCAATGATCCGCGAAGGGTCCTAGCTGAAGTGGCCGACTGGCTGCACAAGGAGAAGTCCAGAGCCCGCAGGCACAAGGCGCTGCATCATCATTCGAAGGACTTCGGTCATACCGAGGCGCCCAGCACAGAAAGATCACAGCATGATCACGAACCGGCGATGGATCTGGAGAAGCTCGAACGGATCATGTCCGGTTACATGAAGTCGACGACTCCCAAAGGCAGTTCCCGCTCACCAATGGTCGCGCCAAGGTCGCCAGGTCTTGCTCCTCCATCACGGAAAAATTCGATAGCTAGCAAGTTCAAACGAAACTCTGTGGTCAACCTGTCTTCCGATACCGAATTCTTTGGCGACGAAGTCCTGGTACCTGGCGTAGAGGCTTACCTCGACAATTCAAGAACGCTTGCGTACAGTGGTGGGGAAGAGCAGGCGGAAACCACGTCGGTCAGAGGCAAAGAAACCGAGGAATGCTGGGTCACTTTCAAAGAAGATATCTTGCGACTCACTCACACTCTCAAGCTGAAAGGCTGGCGACGCGTTCCCATGGAGAACGCAGCCGGTATTGAGGTTGCGCGCCTGTCAGGAGCGCTCACAAATGCTGTCTACGTCGTCAAGCCTCCAAAGCCCGCCGAAATCGATGGCGAGGGCGGCATCGCCAAAGGACCAAAGCCAAAATTCCTACTTCTGCGCATATACGGTCCACAGAGCGATCACCTTATAGATCGTGCAGTCGAATTGTCCATCCTTCGCCGCCTTGCTCAGAAGAAGATTGGCCCGCGCTTGCTAGGGACATTCTCGAACGGCCGCTTTGAGGAATATCTGCATTCTGTCACGTTGGAAGCCGAAGATTTGCGAGTTCCAGAGACATCAAAGCAGATTGCGAAACGAATGCGGGAACTTCACGACGGTATAGAGCTCCTGAATTCAGAGATCGATGCAGGCCCGTCTATTTTCATCCTTTTCGACAAATACCTGGACCGCTGCGAGAAGGTCATTGCATACCTCGATCGCCAAGTCAACCTCTCCCTCCAACCTTCGAAACCTGACCAGGAACCGCCGCAAGCCAAATACACACGATATGGTCTGGTTTGCGGTACTGAATGGCCCGTGTTCCGGCGTACGTACGATAAGTATCGCGCCCGTCTTGTCAAAGAAGTAGGCGGCAACTCTGGACTTCGCAAGAAACTCGTCTTTGCTCACAATGACACACAATATGGCAACCTTATGCGTCTGAAGCCCAGCGGCGAGTCCCCCCTGCTACAGCCATCGAACCACCACAAGCAACTCGTCGTCATTGACTTCGAGTACGCCGGCCAGAATACCGCCGGATTAGAATTCGCCAACCACTTCTCAGAGTGGTGCTACAACTATCACCATCCTGAAGTTCCGTGGGCATGCCATACACAAGCATACCCTACAGAAGAAGAGCAACGACGCTTCATTCGCAGTTACATCATGCATCGCCCGCAGTTTAATTCCAATGCCTCATCTACGCCAAACGTCCTACAAGGAAGAGAAAGAACTAACATTCCCGACTTCATGCTTGACGCTCGTGCGCCTCCTGGCAGCGAGTCTCCTGCTCAAGGGAATGACTATGACGCTGAAGAGAGTGCTCGGGAGAAGAAGCTGGAAGATGACATCAAACAGCTACTATACGAGACACGACTGTGGAGGATGGCAAACTCGGCCCACTGGGTCGCCTGGGGAATTGTGCAAGCCAAGGTACCAGAGCTAGACAAGGCGAGCAGAAAACATCGCGCTGGCACCAAAGCAAAAGAAGTGCTGGGACGGGTTGTTGAGGGTGTAAAGAGTGGATTAAGTGGACGCCGAGGCAGCCGCAGTGCGGCGCATCCTGGCGGACAGCGCAAAGTCATTGCTGATCCAAACGCTGAGGACAAAGCTGCTGCCGAAGGTACCGTCGAAGTGCCATCTGAAGCTCTCACAGAGAGCAACGGCAGCGCGACAGCCCCCTCTGATCCATGGACAGCCAGCAAGAACATTTACGGCGACAAGACTCCAGCAGCCATCTCCGACGGCGAAGTTGTTACTGACAGCGAAGCCGAGCCTGACGTCAACGCCAAAGCCGCCGAAGCAGGGACAATGGGGGAGGAAGAAGAAGAGTTCGACTACCTAGCGTACGCACAGGACCGTGCGATGTTCTTCTGGGGCGATGCGCTGCAGATGGGACTCGTCACTGAGGAGGAATTACCAGAGGCGATGAGGCAGAAGGTGAAGAGAGTGCCGTATTGATTCGTGGCTGGGCATTGGATGCTTGTGGGAGGACGCTCTCACGTTGGACTGAAGAGGAAGACCAGCGGACGAGGCAGGGCTGCCACAGTGGTGTAATAGACTTCCTCCTTATGCCTCTTCAACCTGTGTTCTCTATGGGTGCAAAACCTAGGCTATCAACTCATTCTTCTCGTGAGCTAGGTAGCGTCTTTCTTCGTCGCTGGGAATCTCACGGTTGGTGATCGACAGGAGAATGATTCTCCTTCTGAGTACAGATGCTGAACGTTTTCTCCTAGCCATAGCGCTGCTCAACTGCATGCTTGCTTCTTTGCAGCTTTCGAAACAAAGAGTGAACACAAACACACACAGAGGCCACCCTGATGCTTCAAGATGGTTTGCCAGCAAGCCAGAAATCCGTTGCCAGGGACAAAGAGGACCTCCCATACCTATTTCCACACACAATAGCCTTGGCAGAGGTGTGCGTTTGTCACCTCTGAGTATTCACATAGGTGCCGTGAAGTGAACCAGTTCCCGAAGCTTCCAAGCAGCAATTTTCGACCAATTCCTCGAGTTTTGCGCCAGGGAGTCCCTCGTCAACACCTCTTTTGAGTCCAGTCATCTCACGACCAATGACAAGTGCCACGGAGAGTCGCAAGCGCTGGTCTGACCTCTTCAGCTTCCGAGCGCCACGAGTCGAGAGCATCCAGGGACTGATTGGGTTCCGCAACGGCCACGATCGAGACTCACAGTTGACTGTTGTTGAAGATAGCCGGACGGAAGACCTCTCGTCATCGTCGTCCGCCAGTCAAGGCGTCCAAGAGCAACAAAACGTCGAGGACACGCCAGAGGAAGACAGAATCACAGCACTGCCGACCGTGTACATGATGGACGTGTACCGCCCAAAGTCGTCGTCCACGGCTAACAGCAAGGTCTCCACTGGTAACAGACTCTCGAGCGTCTTTGGTAGCATCGGGAGGACTTTGCGTCGACATCGTCAGAAGGAATCTCCTAAGGCGGGCTCTGGAACGGGACACTATGACGGAGTGGTGCTGGTTCCGCCTTCACGACAGGCTGTTCAGCGTCCAGGTACCCCTTTTCCGCGCTCCAACTACGCCGACCAACGCGCAACACTGAAGAAGCCAAAGCCCGCCTCGGCGGCGCAATCAAGCACGACCGTCGAATCAAAGGGCTCAAGTGGGAGCCGATCGAGAGTGGGAGGCTTCTGCTGCGGGATGTTCGGGAGCAGCAGCAAGGGCGGCAGTGGAATCGAAGCGCGAGTTCAGGTCAGTGAGAGCGGAAACAACGGTCGCATCGTCGAGGAGACGACGGAAGAAGAAGAGATGTCCTTCGAGGACATGCTGGGCACTGCGCCGCCGAACGAAGCGGCAACATTGCCGACTGTGCCATATCGAGACATTGGGCGCGTTCAGAACGATTGTCGGGCGGGCTTTGGAGCAGGAAACGAAGAGGCTCGCTAAGTTGCGGATTTGTTACTACCGGGATCTTCGACACGGAGTCCTCCCTGGCATGAAAAATTTGGCGTCTAAATTTTAGGCAGTGATGCTCATGTGACGCTCATGTGAGAGACAGAATGATTGCAGATTTCAGTCAAGGTGTCCAGATTTCTGATGCAGCGGCCTCCCTGTGGCAGTTTTTGAGCAGATGTCGATTCGTACAATTTGACTCAAGCCAGTGTCAACTGGTCTTGCGAAACACCAATCTGCTGTTCTTGGCTTGCCGATTGTTGTCAAGAGTTGTGCGCGGGCAACTGGCCCGGAGCATGTAGATCCGGGTCTGTACTACTGCCCATACACCTCCCGATCATTGCTTAGTCGCCCTGGCAGCCTCCAGCTTGTTATTACATCTGGGCTCGACCCCAGCCTCAAAGTCTGATCTTGATCCCAGTATGATCCATCGTCATTGCCACCCCAGTCACAGCAGCCGCATACGTGATCAGCACAGCCATAGCAGGCAGACTGCCCATGTCCAGCGTGTTGACGCTCAAATTAACCACGCCTGTCAGCAGATTTGCGACAAGGAACACGACCAACCCGTTCGAGTTGAAGACTGCGAGTACTTTACTCGTTGCCTTCTTCAGACTTTGTCGATCTTCTGGCCCTTCACGGTATGAGAATGCCGGACCGAGCGACTCAATGAAGGCGAATACACCGATCTGGAATGTGTTGAAAGCCCCTATCCAGTACACATACGGCAGGTTCGCCAGTCGCCTGGAGGGGCGGATATTGAATCCATAGTAGCTCGTGGCCAGCAGGTATACTACGATGTTGATGCCGGTCAGGAAAGCTAAGCTGAAGAATATATGGGAGCGCTCGACACAGACTTGCGGAGCACCTCGTTTGAGCATTTCCCGTGCCTTGGGTGGTATGCGATACGGCAGGATGTCCGCGCCTGTGCTTCGCCCGTTCAGATAGATAGCGAGATAGCCGATGAATGAAAAGATGCCTTCGCGATTCTGAGACAGCAAGTCGACGCGTGGTGCTGTGAGTATGAAGGCTAGGAGGCGTGTCTCGTTGAGAAGCAACTCGTAGACAGCTGATATTGCGAAGGCGACGAGAGCGTAAGTCGCTGGCGGAAATTTTGAGTGCAGGAACGCGACAGCATCGGCCAAGACGACAAAGGGCGGGAGGCAGCCAAGGGTGAAGAAGAAGTTCCAGTGCACGCCATATTCGGTGACGTGTTCTGCATAGTCGACGCCTTTGACCGAAATCAATCGAATGATGCCCAGTAGCAGGAGAGGTACTGAATGGCGCAAGGACTGGACGAGCCGCATTGCAAGAGATGGCTTCGCAGCGTCGCTCGACTTATACAGCTCTCGAGCTGAGACAACTCCCGCGGCGAACACAAATGAGCCAACGCCAATGTCCATCAATGAAGTACCCCAAGTCTCGACCTTGGCAAAGCGTCGTGGAAAGATGGGAAAGTCCACAGCGAGGATCGCAACGACCGTCATAATCATCATCGTGCCGCGGTAGTGCGTCAGGAATGGCCGGGGTACTAGCTTCGACTTGAAGCTCTGCGTGTCCGCCCCTTCGGACTTGCCTTTCTTAGCTGTCCCATTGGGCGCAGCTTCCTTTGGTGATTGTAGGGTGAGAAGCAGAACGGCAGGTGCCACCAAGAACACACTCAACGCAAGTGGTGCTGAGCTGTAGATCGTGAATGCAAAGAGGACAGCACATACATTGAGCAGGAAGTCAACGGCGAACGCTAGAGGACTGTAGGGCGTGAAGAATGATTGACTCCGTTGCAACGCGGTCCATAGGAGGATGGCAGCTGGGACGACAGAGGTGACAATGTTGATCTCGGTGATGGAGCTTCCGGAAAGATTGGACACGAACGCCTCTTTCCGGGCTTTGTAGTCGCCTGCGAGTCTCGCAGCTGCTTCACCGGGTCCCGCCATAATGTATTGGGGGATGGCTTTAAGCTTGGTGATGCTTCGCGTGAGCGCGGGCGCACAGCGCAGATCTTACTCGATACCCGTCACCTCGAAAGCTGCGGTCGGCTCATCGGATCATGCCGCGCTGCATGCACCAGCAATCGACTCTTGATGGCGCTTTTCGCGAAGTGCTTCGGCCTCAACCTTCTGGTCATCCGAAGTGCTTCCTGACGAGAGAAGAAGAGCCACGTAAAATTCTCGCGTCCCCTGGTGCATGAATTGCAGAAGACGTCTATTCATTTGAACTGCCCAAAGAAGCTCAGAATTCGTATTTTCGCGACCAGAAATTTGGGCCGCAAGGTTTCTCATAGCGTGACCAATCATTTCGTGCTGAGTACGACGTCGATTCTCCATCAGATGGTTTTGACAGCCTCTGACGACAGCATTTTCCATACTGCTGCTTGGCATTGTCGCCGTGATCGTTGGTGGAACGTGAATGAAAGGCTTGATCACAGCAATGTTGTTGTCCAGTCCAGGAGCAACTGCTATAAGGATGCGGGTCCCGCCTGATGGCAGGAGCAACTCTTCTGACGTCCAACATTCCTGCCGAACAGAGTCGTGCCTTCTCGAACCCACCCAATTCTGAAGCATTGGAAGCAGCCGCCAGCGTCCTGTACCTATCAAGCCTCCACCGACACAGTGCCACGAACTAAGATGGCAGACTCCTGTGGACGAGTGACGGGTTACATCGACCCAAACTTCCCTCGGCCAGACAGCGATGACTCTGCATGCATCATTATCTTCGGGTACGCTGCGATACCTCCTCATCGAACCTATCTCCGCATGCTAACACAGCCTTGACAGGTACACGCCCTCCTTTGCACTGGGTGTGCTAGGTGTTGTTCTCTTCTTCATTGCGCTGCTCCTGCACCTGTGGCTGCTGCTGCGCTATCGAACATGGTACTTCTGCACCGTGCTGATCGGCACTGCCATGGAAGTTGCGGGCTATATCTTCCGCATTCTTGCGTCCAGAATCAATCCATACTCGGTCGCATACTTCGTTGGCCAGTACTTCTGCATCGTTGTGGCTCCAGTCTTCTATTCCGCAGCCATCTACACTCTGATCTCCGTCATGATCAATCATGTCGGACGGCAGTACTCGCCTCTGCCGCCCAAAGTCATCCTCTGGATCTTCATAATCTGCGACGTCATCGCAACCATAATCCAGATCGCAGGCGCTGCGCTCGTAGGAAGCGCCTATTCAAACGGCAAGGATCCGAACACACCCAACCACATTCTGCTTGCCGGTCTGGCATTCCAGGTGTTCACATTCGGCCTTTTCATTGTGCTATTCGTTTGGTTCCTGACCAAAGCTCGGAAACAGCTCAACACCGCGCTGAAGATTTTCGCTGCAGCCGTATTCGTTGCCACGTTGGCGGTGTACTTGCGGACGTGTATTCGGCTGGCAGAAACAGCAGAGGGCTTGTTGGAGTTCTTGTCGACCCATGAAGTCATCTTTGGCTGTCTGGAGTTTGCGCCAATCATTATTGCGGTATACGTCTTTGTGTATTGGCACCCGGGGCGATGGCTTGGCTCCAAGCGTGGTCAGGGCAAGGCGTTCAAGTCGCAGGCGAGTACTGGGAGCTGATGACAGCGCGCAAATTGTCGGATCATGCATGTCGGAATCGACATGTTGGCATGGTTGTCTTCAAGTTGTGGGGAAGGTGCGGCGGGAAGCTCTTGCACCTTGCGCGTCTTGCGCCTCACGCGTACCTTCTACATAGGTAAAAGAGCTTCCCGTCGCACCTTCCTCATAGCCTCGATCTACTTAGGGACATCCACGGTTCCAGAACCTCTCTCTCCCCTACACATCACTCGTCGATACCTCCCACCTGCTGAGTACTCCAACACTCTTGTATTGGCAACACTGGCCATCATTCAAGGTAAGTCAAATGATGGGAGGGAACGTGCTGCTTCTGTACTGACTTCTGCATAGGTCAATCGTGTGACTCGTTTAACGGGAGTGCCGTTGAGAACGACTTGGTCGTTCCGCAACTGCCATGGAGTCTCTGAGCAAGGTTCAAGACGACCAAGATCTAGTCGACTTCCTAGGAGCTGAATTCGATCTGCTGTTGACGACTGATGCCCAGTGTCGGCCGAAGACGAAAGAAATTCTGCAACACTATGGCCTACAGTACTGGCTGGACGCTCACGACTTGATGGTCCATCCTTCGATCGTCCCAGTCCTCAGAGGAGAAGTTTTCCCTTCCTTCGAGTACATCACAGAGCTGCCTAGTCTTCTGGCTATAGGAGAAGAATTTTTGAAGGCACACTTCGTCGTGTATGTGGCATGCTTTGAAAAGGAGGGAGAGACTGACTTCATCAATGTTGGGTCGGCTGCGAATCAAGATAGTGGCGCCCTGCGTCGGATGCAAGACTATGTTCGTGGCGGCAGCATGTCTCAGCATACAAAGCCATTGCTGGAGAAAGGTTGGGAATTGACCCACATCGGTCTACTGATGGCGATTGCTGCTCCGATGGCTAAGAGGAACGCTCCACTGCGATGCTTTACACTCTCGCAAGAAGCAATGTTTACGTTCAAGCTGTGGTCTCTGTACATGGGTGTGAAGTGGTCTGGAGCAGAGGACTTCTCGCATTACATGCTGCATGCTTTCCCGTGGGAGGACCCACGCCTGCTCGATTACTCCGGAGTCAACTCACACAGTCCACTCAGAGATCCGGTGCGCGGCATCGATCTGCCACTCAACGAGATACTCGTTCAGGCTGATGTACCACACCTCTGTCTCACGAACCGGCTGGCAGCTTCCCGAGAAGCTCTGAACGCATACAAGAGAGGCGAGCTGGACGAATCAGATCCCGCACTTCAGGCAAAGATCTATCTGTGGAAGACGAAGCTGGAGAATTCTCGCAGATATATCCACTCAGTCAAAGGTAAGGCCACCTTGAAGGCCTACTATCTGAGGGAGGAGGTGAGGAAGCGTATACGGGCATTCCAAAGCACGCCGGTTCAACTTGCGAAAAAGAGGGCTTACTGGCACAACAACAAGGAGTCGGAGTCGGCTAGGAAGACTCGCGAGAACCAATCAGTCAGCAGGAAGAACGACACATTGCTGTTGAAGAAAGCCGAGGCGGGAGACTTGGATGCAGAATCATAGGATGATCCTGCTGTCCAGAAGGGCTTGAAGCGCGCGCAAGCGGCCGTGGAGAGCGCCCTGAGCCAAAACGAAAAGCTCAAGCAAGGTCGTGCGTGGCTGAACGCCAGCAACGACGGTACCTTGTCGAAGGAGATGATGGCAAAGCCGGAGGTTCAAGCCGCCATGCAGTCTGCCAGCAAGCAAAGAGCGCGCAAGAAGAAGAGCACCTTTGGCGAGAAGCTCAAGCAAGGTCGTGCGTGGCTGAACGCCAGCGACGCGGGTACATTGTCAAAGGAGATGATGGCAAAGCCGGAGGTGCAAGCCGCCATGCAGTCTGCCCGCAAGGAGAGAGAGGCCGCGAAGAGGAACAGGTCGAAAGCCGCAGCCAAGAAACGTGCAGCTAAACCCAGCGACGAAGACGACGACGAGACCGACTCGGAATGAGCTCACAACGAGAGACACGTTGACACCTCCAATCTGCCCTTCCGAGAACGTGTTCTCGCGAACCAACGAGAGACACGTTGACCCCGCAACGACTTGGTCGTTGATCGCTGGGAGGACTCTGTATCTGTTATGGTGGTATGAGCCGGAATGGTATCATTGTGCAGGAATCGCCTGGGGGATGGGTTGACTGCGCACACACTCATTAAAAAGGACCAGCCATTTTGGACGATCAGCATGAGCATATGACGTACGGATGAAAGTCGAGGATACAATCAAACAGTCAAATAGGTAATAGATAACATGATTTCCGAAAGCAGAGGCCGCCCCAACGACCCGACCCTCGGCGCCACACGACATGCGATGGCCGTCGACTGGCTTGAAGATGATAATCATGTGATGATACTGGCCGCAGAAATGTTGGGTCTCTTGTGGACAACCAAGTCGCTCAACACCAAGCTCGTCCAGCTGGCACAGAACTACCACGTGGCGCGATTGCGGCAGGCATTCGACGCAGAGAATCCTACCGAGCACTCTCAGCGAATCGCAAATCATCACAACGATAAAAAGTTCACGAAGGGCATGAGAATCACGTTGGCCAAGTTGAAGATTGAGCCTGATTCGACGACCGCCGCGGTCGCGCTGACTGCCAATTCCCAGGCTATGCACGATACTACGAAATTGCTCCCTGGAATCATCGGGGCTGCCTGCGCTCTCTGTCCTGCGACTGCTATGGTTTCGCCGAGAGGCCTCCGTGGCGTAGTGGATCACATTCGTCTTGTAAGTATTCTTCCCAATATTGGACCGGGAGCGATATCGAGCATGAAGGTCTCAGAGTCCGCCCTGATACTTTTGTCTCTTACTCCTGTTCCATGCTGCCATCCACCGCGGTCCTTAGCTCCCCACTCGCATCTCGATCCAGGCTAACGAAGAACCTAGTGTCACGGCCCATACTTCTGGGGAGGGAAAGCAGGTAGTCTCGAGCACCTGTTCCACAACCTGGGTTGACTTCGGAGAGGCGCAAGCAATGAGGAAGAGCTTTTGCTTTTGAGGGCTATGTATGAACTTTACCTTGTACCATTTGAGGCGACCGCGTGCGAGACGCTGTTCATACATATGGACGGATCGTGCACTAGCATCCATGGATTGGTCTGCATCTGGGCGGGCTCTAGGCACAAAGACAGGCTCTGAGCTTTTTGGGCACATCCACATGCACATTGAAGTCTTGTGCTGTTGTACGCAATCCACACAAAATCGCTACTCAAGTTACCTAATACGTCCCACTTCGTCTTCTGTGTGTTAGAAGTATATCTTCACGTCCGAGACATCGTAGTAGGCCTCTCTGAACTTCCAAGGTTGTATTGACGCCAAGCCCGATGGTTGGCTTCGTCAGATCAGCCACCCGTGCTCGACTTGAATGCAAGTGAACTCGGATCCTTCTTTTCGTTTGTCTGCTGATTTCAGATTCACTCTTATTTACTGCTAAATTATGCTCATATCGAAATGTACGCATCTGAGCAATCTAATCCTGCGGCGTCTCTGCGACTCTCAACGCGTGGTGTGTCGTAGCAGTAGATTTACTCTATCTACGGCATCACTTCGTGCAATGCCTCATTCAGTCCACGGAACCTCAGGCGACGAGTACTTGCCGATAAGTACTGCCACCACCGCCAAACATGAAGTCCCACCGCTTGCAAATCTCTACTGGAACACCAACCTCACCGCCGAAGAATACACCCTCGACTGTCCGCCTTATCTCCAAAACATTGCCCTCAAAGCTCGCCTTGCGCTCTCAACCCGGGATACCGATTTCCACATCCAGACTTGGGACGAAGTGAGGGAGATTGTTGCGTCGAATCGGATTGACAAATTTCAGCGGATGCCGAGCCAATTGAGAGCCTATCTCAAGTACATGTGGTCGTTGAAGAAGGAGCATAGAACTGTGATGGACCATGTGAAGACTCACCGGTTGCAATGGGAGGATGTTATGCCGTTAGGGAAGAAACCATTCGAAGAGGCCACGGATTGGAAGGTGCTTTATAATGACTGGCCGTATGGTATTGATCCGGAGATCGTGCATTTGGTGGTATGGACGAAGTTCGCGCTGGAGGATGATCCTATTACTGATGATCTGACACCACGCATGAGAGCTTTCATCGAACGATTCGTAATGGAGACCTTCTGTTCGGAGGATGGCGTGGAACGGGAGAGCTTGGTGTGGTTCAAGAACTGGAAGAGTTTGAAGAGTATTCATGCGCTTGGTAAGTCTACTCACACAGTCGCGCCCGGAGAGCTCAGGTCGACGATGGCGATGCTGGCACTGTTCAGCATGACTATTTTCGCGGAGGATCGCTGACATGATGTAGAGCACTTCCACATCATGCTCCATAAGCCTTCACCTCAGTTCTTGAGACGCATCACCAACGATGACAGACCTACCTGGACGACAGTCTGATGCTGCTGTCGCAGTCGGTGGGCATACCAACGACATTTGGAGCACATCTTTCTGTCACACCTTCCGGCACGAGCGAGGCGTTCAGGAATCGACATTTAGACTTGTGGTCTTTCACGACTTAGACTTGTAGATCATTGGCATCGCTTGGATAGAAGCAAAGGCGTTGTGGGCCAAGAAATGGCCATATAGGCGCAGCTCCAGCGGCACTCCCGCGAGGTCTTATCTTTGACGACCTTTCCCAACGATAGACACGGAAGCACTAGACACAACGATGACACTTTAGACTTGAGATGCCCTTGTACCCACGTGTGGTGCATCAGCAGGTCTGGTGGTGTCTCAACTCATCATCATGGTCAGCAGTCCGAGTCCTCGCCTGAGAAAAATGACGTCAGTTTTGACACCCCGCCTGAGCATGGAAAGGTGGAAGATGAATGAGGAACGAGAACGAGAAATTTGCCCAGGCCGCGCCGGTCTGAGGCCAGTCACGACCATGCCAACGCCTTGTGCTGCACCTCCGATATCCTGAGGCGTTTCTTGGATCACTTCTGTGCATGAAGAACGAATTTAGATGCCACGCTGAGCCCACCCCGCCGCAGACTGCAGTACATATCCGCAGAGAGTTTGTTGTCCAAGGCATACCGACTTGTCTCACTCCACTTCCTGTTCCTGCGAACTTCACCTTTTCTCGCAACAGCAGCACACCTGTCACTCGAGCGTCAAACAGCGTGACTGTCTCGTCGGCTGTCTGTTCCATTGTACCACCTCCTTCTGCGACACCGAAACATCGCTCGACCAGACGTTCCGCAAGGTACCGCAACGAGCGTCTCCAACTTTACCTCGTTGCCTGACGTAGCACTCCCCTGGACAAACGCTTGCACACCAGTAGCCACCACGCGTCTAGGCTGCAAAGTCGTACTGGAGCACATTTCAAGAGCTCAGGATGAGGCACCATATAGGCTCGGCCCTGAGGCCACGGAGCGAGTCCCTCAAGAGTAAGATTGCTTGAACATCAACTGGAGCCGTGCTTATATTGTCAGGTAACAGGTCCTCCACCGACGAGGCGCGAGACAACGAGCAGGAGGAAACGGTGGTCGAACCTGACCAGAACAATGGTACGCCTGCCGTTCATGGGCTGATGTGCCCCGAACTTACAGTGATCTCCAGTACTTTCACACATCATTTCACAACTAAGACCAGGGGCGGATCTTTCTCGAATCACCTTACCCACGTTCATCCTCGAAGAGCGGTCTATGTTGGAGAGAATCACAAAGTGCAACTCCTCCGCTGTCTGGTGTTGGAAGACTAACAGGATCTAGCTTTATGGCACACCCGGAAACACTTCTACCGATGCCCGACGTTGACGACCCGGTACAGAGATTCGTCTCCGTGATCAAATTCTACCTCAGCGGCTGGCACATCAAACCTCCGTAGGTGCGCATCCAAGTGGAACGGATCAGTTCTGACAGCGTACTAGTGGTGTCAAGAAACCTCTTAATCCTATCCTTGGCGAGACGTACACATGCTGGTGGGACTATAAAGATGGGACCAAAGGCTACTACATCTCCGAACAGACCTCACATCATCCTCCGAAATCGTCCTACTTTTTTATGGCTCCAGAGCATCACATCCGTGTGGATGGCACGCTCAGGCCTCGAAGCAAATTCTTGGGCAACTCCGCAGCGAGCATGATGGAGGGAATTTCGTACTTGAGATTCACAAACCGTGGGAACGAGAAGTAGTACGTCAGGAAACAAATTGATGGGGGAAAGGTTGCTGACCTAGCTAGCGTTATCACGCAGCCCAACATGTACGCCAGAGGCATCCTTTTCGGCAAGATGAAATACGAGCTCGGCGACCACTCTTTCGTCAAGTGTCCGACGACAGGACTTTCGGCGGACATAGAATTCAAGACACGAGGCTGGGTGTCCGGCACATATAATGCCATCGGAGGCATCATTCGCAACGACAAGACCGGCGAAAATCTTTACGAGCTCTCAGGACTGTGGACGAGTGAGATGACCATAAAAGATCTGACGACAGGACAGAAGAAACCGCTCTTCGATGCAACACACGCGAAGCATACGCCACCTTTGACGCGTCCGATCGAAGAGCAGGGCGAGCGAGAGTCGCAGCGGCTATGGCTCCCGACAGTAAAGGCTGTACATGTTAAGGACCACGTCAAAGCGACAGACGAGAAAGCTAAGATCGAGGACCGACAGCGGCAAGAGGCGCATGCACGAGAGGAGAAGGGCGAGCACTGGATGCCCAAGCTGTTTCGACCAGTCAATTCCGGAGCCGGCGGCTCGGAAGAGGGCGAAGATGATCTCGAGTGGATCATAAATGCCGAGATGTAGGTCTCCGAGTCCGCGTGTGTGAGAGATACTGACAGACATACAGCGACACCAAAGATCCGAAGAAAGCTATAGATCAAATCCTGGCCATCGCACCTATCCTGCCTGGGTCTGGAGCGCAGAAAGGCACCGTGAAAGCGCCAAACTCTACGACATCCGGTTCGGGAGCGCCGCCGGCGCAAGCGGCCGCAGTCCACAAAGCGACAGACAACTTGATCGATCTAGACTCGCGGCCATCAAGCACTGTACCTCCAGAGCCAAAGCCGGTTGCGCAGGCACAGAATCAAGAAGCAGTCAGCCACAACAATGTGCTGCACCCAACTTCGAATCCGAAGCAGATACCTGTGCATCAGTCAACGGCAATACAGGCTCCTGTACAGAATGCGCCGAAGCAAGGCAACTTGCTTGATTTCGACGATGACGTACACAACACGACGAACAAAATGTCAAATCTGAACATGTCACATCAAGCGATGCAGCCTAGACCACCTGTCGTTAGGACTGATACAGAGACAAGCGAGGCAGAAGTCTTTGTCGATGCCGAGGAAAAATAATTGTCGGCCTGGACAAGCACCTCGATAGAGCGGCTGGCCGCTGCGGTACAATGAGGCGTCGGTAGATCAGGCAAGTGCGACTCTCACTCAATTGTTTGGATTGAATGCATAAAGGTCAGCGATTGGGAAGCAGCAACGGCCAGCGGAAAATATAAGCGATCGTGCGCACTTAATTAATCAAAGGCTATCGCTGACAAGTGTCCTTTCCCTCGGGTTGATTGACTGCTTCATCGCACTGTCCAGGTTCAGGAGCTAGCTCGGCATGACCTCAGCTCGAAGTTGAGGTGCAAATCTAAAGTTTTAAGCACCCACCGCAGGATTCAGGCAGTGAACAAAGTCCTCCAGGCGACAGCGACAATGAGCTTCTGTCTACTATGGAACTTATCGAATGACTTGAGCCCCACAGGAGCTGGGAGTCATGAAGTATAAGCCGTGACGAAGCCGTCGCGTCCTCGTGCGCCAGCTCTTGCGCCGGATTCCATCGTCGGATGTGACACACCCAAGCTGCGACCCAACCCAACACCTGTCAACAAAATTGATGCGTATACTCACTGCCACTACGTCGCTTTCCCAGACGCCTTCACAGTGCCTTCTCCTTCCAGATGGTCCGTCACAGCGAGTACCTTTCCGGTCAACAGGTCGAAGCCGCCGCATACTTCGGCAAGAAGTCAGACTTTTGCGAGGAAGGTACTCGGTAAGGTACTACAGAAAGTCCTTTTTCCTTTTCTCATATATCCGCTTCCTCAAGTCCTGCTCATATCTTGCCGCACTCAGAATCTACATTTACTGGATACAGAATCACAGTCCGCGACTTTGCCTTGTGCGATACAACACTTCACAACCGACCCACAGCGTATGACTTCAGTTCTGTTTCCCACGCCAGCCACTCTTCAATCCTGTCTCCCACGTCAGTCTCGAAGCCATCATATTGAAGTGCTTCTGTCAGCCCAGAGACCACCAAATATGTGGTTCTTCGATCCCTTTAAAGCTCTCGACGCTGAGGCCCTCCGCCAGCAGGTGTACGTACCATTGGAGGAAGCAGAACGATGTCAACGCGCTGTCGCTCCCGCGGACCATCGTCGCAACTCCGCTTCTCGCTCTCAATCGGTCGACTTGGAGCGCGAAGCATACCCCGATGTGGGCAACTCGATAATAATGGGCACTCTGCGCAAAAACACGCCCAGTCACGGCTCTATCTCCAGCTTCGACACCTCAGACATGGCCGATATCGAGTTGAACCCTCTGACTCCTGCTCGCGCACACTTGAAAGAGGAGGTAGATGCAGAAGCTGCTGCCAGCGGACTAAGCAGCGTGCATGACCGGAAATGCATCCTCATCAACAAGGCACTACAAGACATCGGGATGGGCAGATACCAATGGTTGCTCTTCTGTGGTTCCGGCTTCGGCTGGTTTGCAGATAATATCTGGCTCTCGGGCGTAGCACTGATGCTCCCTCCCTGGCGAAGCAGTACAACATCAGCGAGCCCACCGTGCGTTTCGCTACTCTCGCGCTCAATGTCGGTCTGATAAAAGGTGCCTTCGGTTGGGGATTTCTATCGGATGTGATCGGACGCAGAATTCCTTTCAGCACTTCGTGTCTTCTCATTGCCGGTCTCTGCGCTATGGGACTTGGAGCGACAACGACCTTTCTTCAAGCGTGTGTACTGATCGCGCTACTGGGATCTGGTATCGGTGGGAGCCTGCCTGTCGACGGGGCGCTGCTTCTCGAGTTCCTGCCCCAGTCGAGTGGCAACAAACTTACGCTGCTGTCTGCGTGGTGGCCTGCAGGCCAGCTCACAGCAGCGCTTCTCGCGTGGGCCTTTCAGAATCATGGTTGGCGCTATTTGAGCTTTACGTTGGGTGGAATCACTCTTCTCTGCCAAATTTGTCGCTTTCTGCTCTTCAGGCTCTCCGAGTCACCCAAGTTTCTTCTCTCGAAAGGGAGACAAGACGAAGCTGTCGCTATCATCTACGCCGTCGCACGCCTCAATGGTAAAAAGACCTGGTTGACCTCGGAGTTGCTAGAAGAAATCGGAGGCACTGTCGACGCAGAGGTCGCCGCGGTGGAAAAGGAGCAATGTGCTATCATGAAGCTCATTAATGACACATTCGGGAGGTTCCCGACACAGAATATTAAATCGCTCTTCAGCAACAGGAGACTGGCTATGAACACCTTACTGCTGTGGATCATCTGGACAGCCATCGGTCTGGGCTACCCGCTCTTCAACGCGTTCCTGCCTCAGTATCTCGCCAGCTCGGGTCAAGATCGATCACCCAAACCTGGATCTATCCTCTACCGCGACTACGCCATCGCCTCCGTCGTCGGCTGGCTTGGCAGCCCCGTGGCTTGCTGGGCTGTCGACACGCGCCTTGGCCGCAGAAAACCGATGGCTATAGCCACCTTCTTCACTGGCGTTTTTCTTTTCCTCTTCACTGTCTCCACCGCAGCCCCATGGCAGCTCGCATGTTCCTGCGTTGTCAGCTTCTTCCAGACCATCATGTACGGCGTTTTGTACTCGTACACGCCTGAGACATTCCCTACGACTAGCAGAGGTACTGGATCGGGAATCGCCAGCTGCCTGAATCGTGTTGCTGGACTCTGTGCGCCGCTGATTGGCATATATGCGGCTGCCACTGATCCGAGGATACCAATATATGTCGGTGGAGCGCTCATATCGTTAGCATTTATGGCAATGCTGTTTCTGCGGATCGAGACGCGTGGACGGACGATTCTGTGAAGTTCAGCAGGCACTCAGGGGCTAGTGATGCGACCTGAAGCATTGACTGGGATTGACGAGAACCACTGCTCATCAGAGCAATCATCAAGAGTGACGAACATGCTAGAAAGTGCGCTAAGACTTGTTGGGATCTCGGAAGATCCTATGAAACGTCAACAACAATATTGACTAAATGTTATATTTCTTATGAAGTCGACATTATGGACATCGAAAGTTCTATCCTTCCGGGAACCACAGTCTCTCCCACGCACAGCCTATCTGAAAGACTTCATGAAAAGCGCTGGAGAAGGACAAGGGTCGGCCGGTGTTTGGCAAAGTCTTTGAAAGTCACGTCATCCGCTTTCAGACTAGGCTACGTCAAGTGTCAACCGGTCTTGATCGCATCAACCGTTCCACGTGCGGCAACAACGCACTAATAATAACCGCGACCGGGCCACCTGCATTAATGAATAGTGTGTAAGCAGTACGCCACGCAGTATGGCCAGCAAAGTACGGCAGGCACGACGGACAGAGCTGGTGGAAGCCGCGACCCGGAGCAGACACGGCAGATCTCGCCACGGGAAGGTAGGATCAAGTCGGCCAGGCACGACCGCGAAGGTACATGTTGGTAGTGGCAGGCACGATGGATGGCTCATCCAGGAAAGTACATTGGTGAATCGCACGTGGCAAGAGCGAAATCCGAATTCGTGGTTCCGTTACAGGACCGGATGACATGGGTATACGTCCCAATACTTGAGTAGCGTTTGTTCGATAAAATATAAACTTTGAAGCTTGAACTATCCTTATCTTCGCAACAAACAAAAGCTCTGCTCTCTCTACGGCGAATCAGACGCCACTCAACCCTTCTTCTCGCATTTTATTCCTGATCAGCGTCAAGCTACCACTAGCAGTCCATGTCGTAACATGACACGTGCATGTGGCAGTACTTAGTATGTAACGGCCTGGTGACACACGCAGCGCATTGAACCACCTCTGCGTCTTGATTTATAGTCTACCAATGGCGTGCATGTGCTAGCTTGTACGATTTCTCGTCGCCTGCTGTACATGCAGTATACCAGATATGCGAGAGCAACGAGTTGTTCAATGAATGGCGCCTGGGGTGGGCATCAGGCGGCCTGTTGCCAGGTCGAAGAACGGTCAGCTCCACATGTCCAATATCGCATCACAGAAGCCCGACACAAACTGACTATTCACGACAGGCTGTTTAGCGTGCAAGAAGATTCACCTTCGGTGTGATGAGTCGAAGCCAGTCTGTCGAAGATGTCAGAGGCTAGAGTTGGGATGCACGTGGGCCGAGTCGCCGACCGAAGTCCAACTTCTTGCTCGTCGACCACATTTCGACAGAGTTGAGTCAGCCGACAGGATAGCCATGGGCGCGTCGCATGAACTCATCGTGCCGCCGTTTTTCGAGTTCCCGATGGCGGAGCGAGCTTCTCATCTCTACATCAAGCACTTCATTCATTTCTGTTCAAGATTTCTTGCCTACGTTAATGACGGGCAGAGTAACCCATTTCGCAAGGAACTGGTTCCTCTTGCTACTTCCTCGCCAGCTCTGCTTCATTCAATAATTGCACTGGCCGCGGGACATATGGCGAGAGGAGACTCGCGGCATTTGCTACCCGCAGTCAAGCATTATTCAATGGCACTGCAGGAACTGAACCGGGCCTTGTCAGATGCCGGCCAGCTGACCTTGACCTCAACACTCGGGGCATGCCTTTTACTATGCGTATATGAGGTAAGCATATTTCCTATGTGGTCAAACTCACCGACTCATACGCCAACAGATAACCCACTCGGAGTCAGGTCTATGGTTGCAGCACTTGCGAGGTGCTCGGGACCTCATTATGTATCGTGGCGGTCCACGAACATCCGACTTCCTCTCCCGGTTCTTCTCATTGCTAGATATATCTGGATCTTTATCGTCTGGCAGAGGTCCACTGATTCAAGGAAATTACTGGCTCAATGTTGGTTTGCATGCGAACGGTGCGCCTGATCATGCCACATTGAAGTGGCCAGACTACGATGACGGGGCAGTAATGGTGGACGCTTTCCACGAATTGATGGTTCACATGGCGAGTCTCTCCAACCTCTCGGCCAAGTCGATGACCGCCTTTGGACGACAAAACTCCCAATTGATCTACGAGAAAGCTGCATCTATCGAACGAGAGCTGGAGCGGTGGTGGTCCTTGCAAGCTCCCGAGCTGCGCGATCAGAACAACGATTGGCGAAGTCAACCGCGACCAAGACCACTAGACGAGCAAGAAACACTGGAAGAAGAGTCCTTCTCCAGTGTCCGATGCTGCAAGTATGCATGCACCATCTATCTCCATCACATCATCAATCCGGTCCCTTCTCAGCCTCGAGGACTCCCAGTGTCCGCAGCAGTTGAGTGCATCTTAGACATCGCCAGAAAGACGCCGGAAGGCTATGGGTTGGAGATGGGCCTCCTTTGGGGGTTGTTCATGGCTGGAGTTGCCACGTTTAATGATAACGAAGCAGAGGCTCTCATACGTCGGAAGCTAAGCCCCGATGCGCGGATCAGCATCTACGTAAGTACGAGATTGGAAGCACCTTCTGCCATGCCTGACGATTGGATTTTCTAGCATGCCAACAGAGGGCTGGAACTGTTGCAAGAGCTCTGGGATCGACAGCATCGATCTAGTCGGAAAGTCGATTGGAGAGAGCTCCAAAGAGAAATGGGTATTCAAGTGTACGTGTCTTGCCCACACTCATGCATTGCAACACTGATCATGTATTGCCATAGCTTCATCCTCGCGTAGAGGCGGCTCTGGAACGTCGGATATTCTGTACGATTACAATAGCTGCGAATGTCGCGCCCTAGGCGCGACCGCCATACAGCCGGGATTTTAGGCTGCCTTATCGAGGGCGTCACTATTTTCCAACTTCCGCAGGCCTGTTGCCTCCTTTCTGAGATATTCGGCGCATTCTCTCCGACTCTTCGTCTCGCTAATGAAGAAAATGCCGATAGTCGGCAATAAGATCAGTGCAGCAACGAACGGAAACGGGGTCCACTCGTTACCATTGGCGTCGACGATCGCACTTGCGACAATTGGGCCGATCCACGCAGAGCCCTTCGACACGATGCCGAGCAAGCTGAAGAACATGTACTCTCGGCCACGAGGACAAGTTCAGCCATGAAGGCCTGCCCGTACGAAAACTGGGCGCCCATGGTAAAGCCGTACTGCGCATTGAACAGCCAGAACTCCCAGAGATTGTGGTAGCCAACCTTACTCGTCCAGATACCGATCATGCCCCAGAGCGCCACAAGAACACAACCGATGTTCGTAGCCTGCAACATGGTCTTTGTCCGGAGATCCAACAGTCGTTGGAGATAGTAAGCTCCGAAAACGCCAAAGACACACGACGCGCCTTGCACCATGATGAGATAGGTGTTCTGCGTGGCAGAAAAATTGACGACTTGGGTCTGTGCAATCGCCACCAGAGTTATTGTGGTTCCGATGCCATCCGCCAGCAAGAAGAATGCAATAAGGTAGAAGAAAGTCTGTTTCAAAGTCCAGACCTGCTTGGCCGCAAACCACGTCTGCTTGAAGCCAAAAGTCAGGTAGTTGTCTCCGGCAGGCAACGGTGGTCCAGGGCGTTTCTTCTCCCACAGGAACCAGGGAATAGCGAGGACGATCCAGAATCCTGTGCACACCGCCACTGACACAGAATAGCCCCAATTGTTCTTGGCCGTCGAGTCGTTTGCGCCGATGCCTGCAAGTGCGGCTAACGACAGGGCACCACAAGCTGTGAAGCCGACGTTGTTAAAACCGTAGGACATATTCATAACCTTGGAACGTGCCATGGAGCATCTGTGTTGATACTCATCTTCGCTGATGGCACCATTTTGCCGTTCTTCATGGGCAGTACGGACTTCGGGGAGGTCGTGGGACAACTTGGGAAAAATGGCGTTGAAGAAGACATACGAAGCCCAGAAGGTGATTGCTGGGGTCGTTCAGTCAGATCTGCCCGGAGAACATTTTCACACGTTATGGAGACTCACCACTTAAGATGTACAGAGCCATCGCCGTTCGCCATTGATCAGCTCTTCTGACGCCGAGAAAGCCGAACTCAAAGGCCCAGCACAACACCGAGAAACCTCGAACGACCCATGGGTTCCAGTTGCCATAATCTGCCAGACTGCCGACTCCAATGAAGACCAAGGCTTGAGACAAGAAAGTCAGACCCGAAGCTATCAAGACGACGGACGTATACGGCTTTGTGCCACCATTCCAGAAGACGTGGCATGGGGCGCTTGGATCGACATCGCAGTTAGAGCTGCCCAATGGCAGAACATTGGGGTTGAAGCCCGCCTGGTAGATCAAATTCTGGAAGAGAAGATTCGAGCTGAGGGTGAGATCGTCAGTAAAGCGTTCGAGGTGTTTGGTGGACCACTGACTATTGGAAGGACCCTATGCCGTTGTTGCCGGCGTAGTAGGTATAGTATGAAAATACTTCTTTCTTGGTCGCAGGTGGTCCATTCGCATGCCCAGCGTCGTCGTCCAGGTCGCAAGGGACTAAAGATGACGCGCCACCTGCATCTGGGGCTGGTGCAGCGACAGAAGTGAACGCCAACTTCGTAGGGTGATGCTCCTCTTGCCTAGCGGTGATATGATCGTCCATGCTGTGTGTGATGTGCGCAAGTAGAGATTTCGCAAATGTCTGATGATAGGGAGGTATGACCCTGCCTTTATGAACTCATCTCGAAGAGCATGAGGACCGGGGCGCGGACAATAGCGAGCACAGATTGTCGTCTCGACCACGAAGACGATTTGATGAATGTCGTGGTCGAGCCTCGCCGCCATGACAAGGATCCACCACCACATCAACCTGATAGACATGAGACTATTTGAGATGACCACTGGCGTGCTCCCAGCATGAACCACATCTACTATCTAGCCGACAGACTTCCACATGGCCCACATCTTCTATCTAGCCGACAGACTTCCACGTGGGCAAACTCAATCAGCAAAGTCCAAATAACTTTGCGTAACGCGTTGAAAGTTCGTCGGTCCCGGTATCGTCCCAGAATGCGCGCGCAGAACTCCTATCTAGCCGATGCCAAGATCTGTTGCGATCAGCCGCCACAACAATAGACGTCCTAATCTCGCAGCTAGCCAACCTGCGCGTCTTTGTGCGGTTAGATCGATCGACTCAAACATCTAGAATCACTGTGTTCGCCCTCCACTGGGACCGCACCGCGATGCTGATGCTCGCTCCGTCCGTGGACACCATTGCTGCTTGGTATGACCTTATGTGATGCCATCTTTCCTGGATTCTGTTGGCGGCGAATCGTTCTGTTATCAATGGACAGACGTTTCTGTCGCTCCAGTCTGCACGGCCCGCTTATATGCCCCTGATGCACAGAATGGATGCCGGAACAGGACCCCGGTGACAAGCATTGCGTACCTCCTCTGTTCGATGTTTTGGTGTAATGTCCACATGGAGAGCATGCCGGAGCTGGAGCCTGGCTCTGGACTCGAATAAATTCTGGCTTGACGCGTGAAACAACGTCGAGCCACTTCGGACGTATGTCATGATTACGACCCAGCATCACCCGTACCGACGTCCTGTTATCGTCGTGTTGACGGCCTCGAGATGCCATCTCGAAACCCTTCGTGCGTGATCGGCATCGATGTTGGCGGAACGAACACAGATGTGAGTAGTGTCATGATGCAGACCGCTCACGCTGACTGTTCGCAAGGCCGTCATACTTCAAAATGAGCAGGTTCTAGCCTGGCACAAAACTCCAACAACATCTGATATACAAGGTGGCATAGAGCTAGCCATTGAGGAGGTTGTGAGACAAGCCGATGTCGCGCCTGCTCAGATTACATCCGTCAAGATTGGTACGACGGTAAGTGCGAATCAGATCGTGCTCGAGGCTCTTGCCAGTGTTGGGCTATACTCATCATGGGGAAATAGCAATTCGTCAACGCAGTACTCGAGCGGAATCGGAACAAGCTTGATCGAGTCGGAGTGATCCGACTGTGCGGACCTTACTCGCGGCGGTCCCCGCCATTCGGTGCGCATTGTTTGATCTTTCATCAAGCAGCACCGCTGACCTTCAGGTTTTAGTGGATTTTCCAGCTGGTCTTCGTGCTTTAGTTGAAGGACACCATGGCTACGTGGACGGTGGCTATCAAGGTAAGGCGTTCACCTCTGCTTGCCATGAAAGGGCCACTTTCGTACTTACCGCATGCAGTCGACGGCAGGCATGTCTCGACACTGAAACATGACCAGCTACAAGCTCAGGCGGCTGCGATCAGATCCAAGTCAATCAAGAGCATCGTCGTTATTGGCATCTATTCGCCATCAAACCCTGACCAAGAATTGGAAGCCGCGTCTGTCCTCGCATCAGAACTTGGACCAGGCTATGACATATCTTGCTCACACAGCATCGGCAGACTAGGTTTCCTGGAGCGTGAGAATGCCAGTATTCTCAATGCAAGCCTACGTCGCTTCGCACGTCATGTCATTGCAGGTTTCCAACATGCCGTTCGGAAATTAGGCAACTGCAGCTTGTACATCACCGTCAATGATGGCACGTTGAGCAAAGCATCGGAAGCGGCATCGCATCCAGTACGTTGCTTCTCATCAGGACCTACCAATAGTGCAAGGGGAGCGGCGTTGTTGGCAGGATCATTGTCACGGGACGCGGAGGACGACAAAGACGTCCTTGTGGTCGATGTGGGAGGGTAAGCTGGATCTCTACTACGTAGGTGACGGGTCACTGACACCTGACAGTACTACAACCGATATATGTGCATTGCTGAAGACTGGCTTCCCTAGGCAGTCGGCTACCTTCGTCAAGATAGCTGGCGTCAGAACCAATTTCAGCATACCTGACGTGTACAGCATACCACTAGGCGGCGGGTCCATCGTTAGGACAGCACATGGGCAGGTCCAAATCGGACCAGACTCGGTTGGATCACGTTTAGCAGAAGAGGGGATCTGCTTCGGTGGCCAGACCATTACAGTCAGTGGCTCTCACTTCAGGGTCCTATGAAGATATGTTGACGAGTCATGCAGGCAACGGACCTAGTCTGGTCTAATACCCTCACAGAGACACTTGTATCATCAAACGTCAAGGCTGCTGGGCGCGCAGAGATGAAACGAGCTGTAGAAGTGGCGATTGACCTTGTCAAAACAAGACCGGAGAAAGCAAGAGTCATTCTCGTTGGTGGTGGAAATATCATAATTGGCGACAATCTGGCGGGAGTTGGAGAGCTGATCCGTCCGAAGCATCTCGAAGTGGCTAATGCCGTGGGAGCAGCGGTAGATATTCCTCACTGTTCCTTGTCTACGAGATACTGACTAGTGCAGATCGGGAAGATCAGTGGCACAGTCGACACCGTCGTCGTACCTCGGACTAATGATGCCTCCATGGAAGTGCAGATTGAGGAAGCTGAAGCTCTTGCGATGGAGCGCTGCATCCGTGCAGGAGGAAGCAAGGCCACTCTGGAAGTTGTTGAAGTTGAGCTTATCCCAATCTCTTACGTGACTGACGGATCTACACGACTGATTGTTCGCGTCGTTGCGGATCTCCTTGAGAGTCAGGAGGAACCCGAAACATTTGAGATGTCACTACACGACAATTGGGCCAAGAAGCTCGACAATTACACCAATAGTTGCGACTCGAAAGCAACATCTTACGAACTCGCTCACCAGCTGGATGTCGAAGGGTATCGACCAAGGATTGAAGGAGATCTGTGGTATCTATCCAAGACAGATCTGCAGTTTCTGCAGGATGGTACAGGTGTCCTAGGAGTCGGAAGCTGCGGAGATGCGTATCCCAGCTACATTGCATGTCTCAGCGCACTGGCAAGGGGCGAGGATATCACTATCAGGAGACAGGACAGCATAACTGACGACGCCACCGTACTGATTGCTGGCTTCATGGTTGGTGCTATACAAGATCTCCTCATCATCCGTGGCTCATCTGATCATTAGGGCTCTCCGACTGTCTATCTCGAGCGAATTCCTGGTACGGACGAGTAAGTCGGCGAAAACGTCATCATCTCAATTCTGCTGACCACCTGTGACAGGATCACTGATGCCGTGTGCGCCGTCCTGAAAGCAACGGACATCACTTCGTTCGATGCCATAATTCCCAACGAGATTGGAGGAATGAACGCGTTCGAAGCTTTACTAGCAGCGCATCACTTCAGCAAGAGCACTTTAGACACAGATTGTGTGGCGCGAGCTACCCTTATCTGTGGCAGACTGTACGGTGTCTCGAAGATACCCCGATCGTGCCGGCTAGCGCAGCAGACGGCGCAGGCAGCCAGCAGGTGCACTCTTCCCACTCCTCTCATTCGCAGGTCTAGACTAACTGACGCTTGTACAGGTTTTCACCAATGTACAGGACAATTTCCAGACCGAGCAGCTCATGCGAGATGCGTGCACAGAGCTAGGGTCCTTGTCGGGTATCTGTGTCAATCCTCTTTACGGCCATGAAGCTCGTGGTCTACCACAAAACAGCTACTCTTTAGGTACGTCACCCATATACTCCCCCTACATGTGCTTTGCAGCATCGGACATGGGCAATTAACAATTCTATAGCATGGAGTATCGGTCGCTCTATTGCTCTAGCCCGCAGTCGGAAGATCGATCCTGTGACAACACTTCTGCAGGAGCAGAATGGAGTGCTCCTCTTTCGTGGGAAGATCAGCTCTGTCACAAGACACGTGGCAAAGGGTTTCACGAGGGGCACTGTCTTACTCGCCTCTTCGTCGCAAGATTCGCAACAATCGTCTGAAGATGACGTCTCAAGCTCGCCTTCGCTATTGGTCGAATTTGAGAATGAGAACCTTTGCGCAATTCTGAAGCAAAAGGGAGAAGAGGATAAAGTCTTGGCTGTCTGTCCGGACCTCATCTGTTTCCTCGACATGGCAAATGGGGCACCACTGGGCGTTTCAGATTACAAGTTCGGCTTGAGGGTCAGTGTTGTGGCGTTGAGGTCCCCGCCTATGTGGACGACCGACAAAGGACTGAAGATGGGTGGGCCAGCGGCCTTTGGGTACGTTCTCAGTCCATGATCCACTGCTTTGCTGACTGAGGGTTAGTCTCGACTTGCAATACAAGCCAATTGGTACGGAAGGATACAAGCCGCCTATGAGTGTTTGGGACATGTTCTGCGAATCGCGATGAGCTTGATGCTGTTCGTCTGGAGCTCGCTGGAATATCGTCCGACGATGGCGCCAGGATGGCCTTCAACATTGCATGTGGATGGTGGAAAGGGCATGTCGGGCTCCGTCGCCGCCATTGTAACAAAAGAGCTCCGGATAGAACAAAGCATGAGTGAGAAGGACAGACTCACCTGATACAGTACCCTCGAAGCCTCGCTCCCCTCACTCCGCCAACCCCGAAACTTGCTCGCAAACAAAGGGTTATATATTTTTGGTCGGAAATTTGGTCCACAATCACACAGCAGCACTTCTCACGATTCGACTTGTGATCCTCTGCGGAGGTGATCAGTCGTTGACTGGTTTAGTGTGATCCTGACTGCCGTGAAGGGGAGGCCGCTAATATGCGGTCACATAAATTCCCTAACAGAGAAAAGTGGCCCTGGCAGGTCGGGGTGGAATCGGTGAATTCGATGGTCAGGATCTCGTCTTCGCCGTTGAGTTCGACTCCCTGGACGCTAGGATCAGAGTCGGCTTACTTTTTGCTTTTTTGGCGAAGAATTGGACGCGACTTCTTGGGTTCCGGGTCCAAAGACTGTGCGGCGGACTTGGTTGCCAAGGCGACGAAACGAGGTGCAGTGCACTTCATGGCATTACTGTGACCAAAGCCGGCGGTCTTGCCACTCGCTCTTGCGAAGACCAGTAAGACGAGCAGGCACGATCTGCGGCACAGCCGTAGCATCTGTCCAATTATCTTGTGACCCTAGTCGCTCCTTGTGCTTCCGCAATACGGCAGGCAATCCGAGGTACTTGTTGTGGCAGGAACTACTCCGCAAATGAGTGCGCATGCTCGTAGGACTCGGTGCCGCTCGAAAGACACTTTCCATCGCACAAGGCTCAGAAGTCCTCTCCGCCAACTCGCAGTGGCCTTCATGCCAACATGCTGGACGCAGAAGTGCGCTTGAAATGTGTTGTCGGATCATGGTCGCGTCTCATTACGATCCCCAGCTTTCGCTAAGCCTCCCCGCACGAGACCTTAGCGCAGCACCTTCAGCCGGACTCCTGCAGATCGCTGCACGCGAATGGCCTAGTATTCATCGTGTGTTACACTACTCGGAGGGAAGCGATATGCAATTTCAAGCATCTGGATGTCGTGACCGCCTCCTGACGCCTCAAGGCAGAGTGGTTGCCTTACAACGAGACGTACCTAGTTATTATTGTCGACCAATGACGTGGTTGAGTGTGGAGACTAGCTGTCGACTTTCTTCGGGGACGTCCTCCAGAACCCAGCCATCTGGCATATAGGACATACTACTATCGACTTTCTCTTAGCTCGCATTCTCTCGAAAACTTGGCGGCATATTACAGACCGTCAAAGCTTGGGGATCAGGCTGCGCTGAGGAAGCGCGTTGAAGGAAAGATGAATGAGTGACGTCCTTACCTTAGCCGCCTGGCTCCTCAGGATACTGTACACCATGTCCACAGAAAGCTCAAGTACACGACAGCTTGTTGACAGGGACCTGGAAGCTGCCACATCGATACCAAGCCGTTTCTCGTCGACATTTGTCAACCATGTGTCCCACAATCAACGTGCCCAAAGCACGCCCTTGGAACTCACGACCGGTACCGGCTACCACATATACACCTCTCTCATCATCCCGCAAATCCTGTCAGCCACACAAGAGGTGATCATCGTCACATGCTTCTGGGCCGCATCTGCGACACGCGACGCGCTACACAATGCTCTTTTGGAGCTCTCAGCGAAAGCAGTCGCCGCGCAGACCAAGATATCGGTGCACATTTGCTTCTCAACGTATTCCTTGGCGCGGAACATGCTGCTGCCGACATCCAAGAAGGGACAGAATTACAAACCATCGAAGTGGCGGAAGCTGGGACTGCCGCGCTCGTCCAGGATCCCAGGGCTTGTGCTTCGTGTAACTCGAAAGTTCGACTGGCCGTTTGGGATCATGCACAGCAAGTACGTGGTTATTGACCGGAAACTCGCAATCCTGCCATCGTGCAATGTTTCGTGGGAGCGTTGGCTCGAGGCCGCCGTTCGTATACAAGGTCCTGCTGTTGCGCACCTGCTCAAGTTTCATGCCTGGTTCTGGGAGAACGGCGCATCACTCAAGCCACTGCCTCTCGATGAAGGGTCTGGTGGTGCTTCAACACTGAATGGCCGAACTTCAGCACTCGAATCGTCAGTTCAAACGACCATTCTGCCGAGCCCGCACACGCCTTCGCTCCTCCCACCACATCTTCGTCCGTCTACCTTGCTTCATCAGCTGCCTTGTCTTCCGTCGCGTCCGCCTAGTCATCCACCAACACCTCTCCTCACCACAACGTCGCACCTCCTGTCCACGGCCCAGCACAGCATCTTTCTAACCACTCCGAATGTCACCGCTCCCAGCGTCCTCGCCCTATTGCGCAATGCACTCTCACCGCCTCGCAAACTCGACGTCACGATCTGGACCAACACATCTCTCATGACGCTGGAGCAACTCGTCACCGCCGGAACTACCACGCCTCGCTGCTTAAAAGCACTTCAGCATGGCATACCGAATCGAGCCAGAAGCTGGGCAAGCTGACCATACATTACTTCGACGACCCGTCGCCCACTCGACCTGGACCAGGAACACGCAATGCACGTAGTGTGGAGGCTGCCTCGCATGGCAAATCGTCGACACTTCTCGATCGCAACAAAGAGACCACGCCGATCAGATTACATGCCAAGATTACGATCGTCGATGGTGACAAGCTTCTGCTAGGTTCGTGCAATATGGATGCGGCGTCCTGGGGCACCTCGCAGGAGCTGGGCATTTTGATGGAGTCGAGGGAGTTGGTCGATCTGTTACTTGAGCGCGAGCTGAGAGAGAAGCTTGTGCCATGAGGTTCGATATAGAAATTTGGAGGACAGTGATAACCACGATGAATATTGATTCAAGTCTTTGAGCGGCTGACCAAATGCTTCAAGGTGGATAATAACGGACGCTGATAGCCTGTGTGGCGCACATCTCTGAGGTCCTTACATCTCTAATGCCAGCAGGTGCGATCTTCCATTCGAGTCCCCAGAAAGTTCGTTATCACAGCCGGAGCGAAGGTTCGGAGGTACACGCTCTCCTCACCTTCGTCTGCCGCCTTTCAATTCAAGAATGTGCACAAATCGAGCGCCGAACCGCCGCTACCGCCGCAAGTCTAACTACTTCTCGAATTTCCCACCTGTCCTATCATAGGAGTCCGCCCCACCTGGTAGCAGCGTATGCTAACATGGCATGGCATGTTCTCTGGCCTTGATGACGATACCGATCCGGGAACGAATGGATCAAGTTGGGGACAAGGCGACTACTTATATCATTAGCACAAAGTAAAGACCCGGGGCAAACCGAGATGATCACTTCACTGACTGAGGTGGGAGTCATGCACTGTTCGTTCCATCGAACCGGGACACACATACTCAGATCAAGGTGCATTGTGCAAATGCAACTTGAATTCCTCCTGAATGCGTCAGTGAAGTGGTTGCTCCGGTTTACTGCGGTCGGCGCTTTGTCAGAATTGTATTAATACTTAGCTTGGACCCGATCTCTTCTGTCTTCTTTCCCTCACTGATTCTGCCTTACCTCGACTAAGGTGTTGCCATATCTCGATAGCACTTACTGCTACCTAATGGGGCGAGCCTAGCGTATCGAAGAGTCGTGCCCACGAATGCGTCCTGTGCTCGCGATCACCGCTGCTATCAGCATGGCAATCTCTATAACAACTCGTCTGTTGCCTCTTGGAATTCTGGAGCGAGAGGACATAGAGACCAGTGAGTTCAAGCAGTCACAAATACAGTCGTAGCACGAGCTCCTGGATAGCCCAGTCGTAGCTGGCCTCCCAGGTACTTCTTACTTTCCAAGCAACAACGGCCTGGTGCGTGTGTGGGCATCAAGGCAAGAGCGTATCACAGCGACTTGTCAAAAGAGGAAACAGCCGACCTCAGCTCTGCCCCACCTTTGGTGGCAGCAGGCGTTGACTGCAGTGCGCCACCCGGATATCATTTTTGGAGAGACGAGGAGAGCGGGGGAGGGGTGGCGCAATAGAGGTGTCAGCACCCAGCAGGAAAATAAATATGGTAGGGGTCTTGATGGAGGGGCAGATATGAATAGTTGGTGGTCTTCCCTGCATTGCTTCTTAGAGGATTGAGACGGTCACGTCGATGCAGGTGATTTACACACGTCGTAAGTAGCAGGGCAAATGTCAGAACTGTGAGCAGGGTAGTTCAACTTTTCGTGGACCTCAAGATGCAAGTCAGGTAGAAGTCAATGAGCTCGGTCCCAGACAATGCATCCTGAAGTCCAAACGGTAATGCTTGATTATCATTTCGTTCCTGCTCAGAGAGTGACTCGCCGTCTACTTTCTGTGGCAGTAACTCGATGCTCTAGTAGAAGTGGGGTGTGGTGTAAACGGCCATGAGTACTGCCGCTGTATTCTTGTCGTCATCGTTCACCATGCATTTCTGCAACGATGATTGGGTTGTGTTGACTTGACACGTCTATTTGCCGTCGGCACCAGCATCGACGATGGTAGGCTTGAAGTTCAGCTTGACCTGGCCATTGCCCGAGCCAGTGGCCTCGAGCGCCTTGACGATCTTCATGCCTTCGTCGTCAGCGACTTCGCCGAAAACGACGTGCTTGCCATCGAGCCAGGAGGTGACGACAGTGGTGATGAAGAACTGAGAGCCGTTGCTGCAGACATATTTTAGCTGACCGGCATCGAGAGAGGGTGCGTGATCTGTGGCTTACGTGTTGGGACCAGCGTTGGCCATCGAGAGGAGACCGGGACGAGTGTGCTGCTTCTTGAAGTTCTCATCCGCAAACTTCTCGCCGTAGATCGACTTGCCACCAGTGCCCTGGAAAAAGATGTCAGCGATATATTCTCCCTCATCTTTCTCGATGCCACACTCACATTACCACGGGTGAAGTCGCCACCTTGAAGCATGAACTGAGGGATGATGCGGTGGAACTTGGAGCCCTTGTAGCCGAAGCCCTTCTCGCCAGTGCAGAGAGCACGGAAGTTCTCGACAGTCTTGGGGACTACATCGTCGTAGAGTTTGAAGTTGATGCGGCCACGGTGAGCTGTGACTCTGTCAGCATGTTGAACAATAGACAATCGCGTCGAGGGGCTGCCATCAAACGCGGTCGTTGACGAAACTTACGTTGCGCAGCACCAGAGCTGACCTGCTTGTCAGTCTGAGCGTCGGTGTACTCGACGTCGAACCAGGCGTTGACGACCATCTTGTTCGGTGTGGATGAGAAAGGTCTGGCTGAGAAAGTGGTCGAAGGAATGTTTCGGTTGGTATGAAGAAAAGAAGTCGATAGTGGGGAGGAGCGTAGGGATTTGAAGGTCGAGCGTGAGAGGGGTTCCAGTCGAGCAGCCATGTTTTTCTGGAAAGAGTGACGGGATCGCGGGGCAGTGAATCGCGTCTATTCGGCCTTGGCAAACCACGTGACCTAGAAATTCACTGCTCAGCAAATCGGGTCACTGAGATCAGCTTCAGTTGACGCGCATATGGTCTCAGATGCACCCAAGGGACGCAGCTCAAGGCAGGAAAGCACCCTTGATGGTAAATGGCCGCCGTCCGAGTCTGGGTCACTCACAGATGATTATTGGGGTGATGAAATATCTAGCAAGCTCGTGTGAAATGCTTCAGGGGTGGTTTGAGGTGTCTGAAGTAAGGCCTGTGATCAAGAACCAAGTCAAGACAACCCGAGAATATGGTACAGGACAGAGGTATAATACAGTAGATCCACGCAGAAACTGGAAAGATGATGACGACCAAAGGCTTTGATGAAGAGTCGATGAAACGCTCAATCACGAACCCTGGCAAGCAAAGCTCGTCCGCCAAGAGCCATAGCTTTGGGCGAGTCAGGCGCGCCTCAGGAGGCGTCTGTAGTGATTCAGATCGACTTATTACTATCATTATCAATATGTGTTGGCTATCTGATAGCTGCCACTATCCAGCCCTGATGACCGCTCACTGGCCATACTGGAAACAGTCGTCTCAGACAGCATCCATCAACTGAAGTCATCCTCGACTGCCGCGCCTTGTGTCTTGATGGCCTGTATCCGCCGCACCAGCTCCCGTGTCTCGCGCGCCACCTGGAAGGCGAGTGGAGGCAGCTTTTGCGTGAAGGACTTTGACGGCGATCCCCCGTTGTACTCTTGAGTCTCGTCACCAGCTTGCATCAACTTTGTTCTGCATTCCTGCAGCCTTTCCTGAATGTCGGCGGTCTGTGTCTGCCATTCGGAACGGTATGAAGCTGGCTCCTGAGAGCCCCTATCCGTCGCAAGAAGCACCGCTTCTACAGTCTCTGCGATTTTATCGATGTTGTCCTGTATGTTCATGGCTGAGTCTTCGCGGCGAACGGATTCAATCAGAGATTGAATAGACTCGACAAGCTGATCAGACTGGTCTTCGACATAGATCTGTGTGCAAATCAGTATTTGACTGAATGAATACCGACCATCCACTCACCTTCAAGTCCTCAAGAGCTGCATCTTCTGGTCCAAGACCTGTATCATTCTTGATCCCAAGTCCGGTCTTCGACGTAGCTCTTCCATGGCCGTTCACATAGCCAGAATTTGATCGACTATGGCTCTTCCGGGACGCGGACCTGAAGCCGTTGGCATCAGTTGGAGTGCTAATAGCACTGTAGATGCTGTCCACCTCGCTCCGGCGCCGCAGAGTCTCGGCAACGTTGAAATATCCGTTGGTCTGCACAGGCTCCATAGTCTCGTTTGCTTCGTCATCTGCGTCTCCCGGTGTCGTTGGGCGGATCTTGACATTGCGGACGAGGTCGACAATCGAAGCAGTCAGATGAGACGCTGCAGCATCCAGAAGACTGACTGGAGACAAGCCTTGTGCTTGCGCATAGTTTTTGGAGGCCGTAATCAGGTTATTGGCTGTTGCTGAGACTTTGCTCTTGAGCTTAGCCCGCTTCTTGGTTGCGTCCTCATCCTTCAAAGATGGCGTTGCGGCTTCGATATCGGTGGTTATGCTGCGGACTGCTAGCACAACTGTCTTCATCTGATCCAAGACAGCCATACAGTCGTTCCGTGCCACTCTGAGCAGCTCATCGATGGCGATCTGGAAGCTGGTGATGTGGATATCCTTGACCAGCCCGTTATTCTCATACAAACTACCGTCACGTGCATGTTGCTGGACATTGGTATTAGCAAATGTCTGTCCCATGGAGCTGGCTCGCATTCCGCGCATCAATGTGCGCGCCCGAATGTACTTCGCCTTCCAGTCGTCGGCTTCACTTTGTAGGCGGGCGACGTCTGCTTGAAGGCGCTCTTCGGCTGCGAAATCACCTCCACCATGTTCGGCCATGCTGCGCATTTCATCAAGGTAAATCGTGGCTTGTTTCCGGACGTCTTCAATTATATCATGCTGCTGCTGGAGCTGTCGCTTCAATTCATCGTTCTCACGTTGCACTTCTGGCCCAGCGGACTTCTCGTTCTGAGCTCGTTTCAGATCCTCAATCTCGTTCCGAAGTGTCCTTTCGATCGTAGCTTGAGTCTGTTGCACGCGGTCTAGCTCACTCTTCATGGACTTGTTCAGCTCATCTGCTTTACTCAGACGCCTTTCCAAATCCTCCTGATGCTCCCGTTGCTCAGCGCTGCTCGAATCCTGAGCTTGGCCCAGCTGTTCATCCTTCAGTGCCAGTTGCTCCTTCAAGTCGCTTATTTCGGCCTCAAGACTTGCGATCTGGTAATGCCCGGTCTTGCTCCCAATGCTTTGGGACGTGGCAGAGGTATCGCGATTGCTGCGTGGACTTGTCAGCGCACTCTCCAAGCCGAATGCGTCACTGGAACGCTCATAACCCGGATTCACGCCAACTAATTCGTCTTCGTCTTCGACCATAGTGCTCTTGTTGGGCGTGAACGTGCTCTGCTGGAATTGGCGCTGCATGGGTCGTCCGTAGTCATCGCCTGAGCCATATCGTGGACCCATGCCGGATGCTTGGCTACTCATGGACGGATTCGCAGAGTGTTTGCGTGCTGGGAAACCGTTTGGTCCTCGTGGACCTCCTCTTGATGGCGGGCGAGTGTCTGGTCTTGCGAACTGCGGAAACCTCCTCTCCAACTCGCAGAAGACATCGGTCGATAGATCCTTGAAGCGAGGCGTCTGTAAGGAGGAAAGTTTCTGACGAGCCTGGTTGCGCTTCTCATGAAAATCTGGACGTGGTTGCAGAAATGGTGGCACTCGATCACGTGGAGGCGGCCGTCCGTTTTGGGCCCCAAGGCTTGACGCCTTTGCAGCTCGTCGTAGACATCAGTGCTGAGCTCGTGGAATTGTATGGGCGACAATCGAAGGAGCTTGTCGCGTGCCTTGTTGGCGCGTGGTGGATGTGCATTGCCTCCTCTTAGATATGTGCGTAGGATGGTGTAATGCTGGGCTAGCTCCGCTTCCATCCTCCGATATTTTCTGCTTTGCACATCCGAGATCGTGCCATCACTAGAGCGCGAGGGTGCAAGAGAAGGAGCGCGAGAAGAGGTTCGCGAGCCATTTTCTGAAGGGCGCCTTTGCTGCGGCTCCGGAGGAGGGGGGCCGAAACCATTGTTCATTCGAGGTTGATGGCCATCAGACATAGGGCTGATGGGATTGGTATCGTCGTAGGCCGTGTATGGAGACTCACTGCGAGTACCCGCTGAGCCGTAGTTGTTGACACCTGACCATTCGCTGCCAGCTGATATGGGTGAGATGCCATCCTGCCCCCGTGAAGGAGGCGGTGGGTATTGACCGTTCATCATCGTAATACCATTGAGGGGGCCGTGGGATCTTGATCAGGGCGGCCTAGATGTGTTGCAGATTCGTGGGACAATATTAGGGTATGGTGAAGCAGATGCTGTCAGGAAAGGCGGTCGGCAGTCCGGAGCGAGGCGCACAGACGGGCGGAACGCAATCGTAGCAGTCTGGATCACTGAATGCTTAGGTACAGAATGTGTCGGCTTGCGACAAAGTATCGTACAGAGTTCGTTAAACGTTTCGATCGTAGTTGCAAAGTGAATGTGAGTGCAAGGTCTGGTCCAGGCGGATCGCAGGAGGAAATGAGAATGAAATTAGCGGTAAGTGGAAGAAGGTAACGTCGCCCTTCGGTCGCACGTGCTGGTCGACCTGCAAACAAGAAGCACCTTACACCAATCTAGTCGCAGCAGTCTAAGTCTTCGCAGCCAGGCTTGCAAAGTCAGGTCGCGACCGTTGTGAATTGAATGTTCGAGAAATGCTGTCAAAACTAAAGTCGCGTTTCTGAATTCCCCTGAACTTCCAGGCCATCAGATGTCACCCCGCCAGTCGGCGCCTAAGACACGGGCGCTAAGGAATAGGGTTGATGCAAGTCAACCACTCGTTTGCCTTCCGAAACTCTGACCCCTGTCCCTGCAGGAGCGAGCAGGTAGGAAGAGCACGTCAGCACGGCTCAAATGACAAGGCTACCAAACAATGAATGCGAAGGCGAAGGTCGTGGAAAATCAGAGCGATGGTGTGCGGTAACTGTTGAAAGTGGCTCAAAGCGAGCAGCAAGTGTTGACTATGGACGGCTGCGTCCTGAAATTCATTCTAATTTGGCCCCGCCCCAGGTGCTCTTGCCCTTTCGAACGCCAGAGATTGCTCCCAAATGCGCTCATCTTTCCTGCTCTCTTGATTATGTACAGGTATCCCTCAAGGGTATTCTGGTATACAGCCGATCAGACGTTCTCTGAGTCTTCTCAAATATCTCTACCGCGCTCCGTTAGTCATCCTCAAGCCAGTAGGTACCGCTGGACCATTTTGCGCGCGTACAAATGGCTCAACGGCAGCGCTGACCGGCGTCGCTGCCCTTGTAGGTGCAGCACTCCGGTTATGAGCCATATGCGCTCTCACCAAATGTCCTGCCGCAAGAGCGCTGCAGAGACTGAGTTCGCCGGCCAATACTGCAGCTGCCACAATCTTGGCCAGCTTTCGCGAGTTGTCGCCCGGGTTCGTAGGGTGTGCGCCCCGGACACCGAGCATTTCGAGCATAGATGACTGTGCTTCGAGGATTGTACCTCCACCGATTGTGCCAACTTCTATCGAAGGCATCGAGACGCTGATTTGTAAATTTCCATTGTTGCTGTGGCTAGTTAGCACTGTCCACACCAGCATTATACTTGCACTTACTTTTTCATGATCGTGATGCAATTACTGCTCTCCACGTTTTGGGCCGGATCTTGTCCCGTAGCCAGGAACACCGCTGTCACGATGTTCGATGCATGAGCATTGAACCCACCAATGCTTCCAGCCATGGCGCTGCCAATAAGATTTTTGGAAGTGTTCAGCTCTACGAGAGCGTCCACATTGCTCTTCAGTACGTTCCGGACCACATCGCCAGGGATTATGGCTTCCGCGACCACTGCCTTTCCACGGCCATCTATCCAGTTGACAGCCGCCGGTTTCTTGTCGGTGCAGAAGTTGCCAGAAAGTGAGATGGTGGCCATGTCGTCGAAGCCACCGACGGTTGACATAACCTCTAGAGCCTTCTCACAGCCCTTCGAGATCATATTCATACCCATGGCATCGCCAGTCGTTGTCTTGAACCGAATGTAGAGGTAGGTCCCAGCCAGAGCTGTCTTCATTGATTGAAGTCGAGCGAATCGGGACGTTGAGTTGAAAGCGTCTGTCATGGTCTTCCGGCCATCTTCAGAGTCCAGCCATACTTTAGCTTGTCCAGCGCGGGCAAGGGTAGGGAAGCCAACACAAGGGCCTCGAGTCATGCCGTCTCCAGTGACCACAGTCACGGCTCCACCGCCCGCGTTGATGGCTTTGCAGCCACGACTTGTGCTAGCGACCAGAACGCCTTCTGTCGTGGCCATTGGAATGAAGAAGTTCTCTCCGTCAATCAGAAGCGGACCGGCAACTCCCAACGGAAGTGGCAGATACCCGATGACGTTCTCACAGCAAGCGCCGTGCACAAGCTCGTAGTTGAAGTGCTTGTAAGGAGTCTTGGACGACTCAAGCAGCGATGTAATGTCCCTAGTGGCTGGAGTACGCGAGACCACTGCTCGACGCACCTTAACAGCGCGGGTGAACGACTCCAGTCGGGTCATGAGGCTTGGATCCTCCAAAGTCTTTTCGATTGCGTAGCCTGGTATTTTGCCTCGCAACGAGAGATCGATGAGTTCTTCGTCGTTAAGATGAGCTGCCTTCTTTTCTTTGAGAAGAGCTTCACACTCCTCTCGCGATCGATCTGAAGCAGCCTCAGTGTTGATCATCTTGCTGCGGCGAGCCACAGGAGACGTCGGTGCTGAGATAACAGGGACTGCTGGGGAGACAGCTGGAGTCTGTGGCTCTTTCAAGCTCCATCTTGCAGCGTTGAACAAATACCCATTCAGAATAACGCTCAGGGTCAGGGCGATCAAGACCCATTTGCTGAGAGCTGGGTCTTCGAGACTTTTCAGAAGACTTTCAATAACTCTACCACCAACGACATTGAAGAATTGGTCGGTGTATTCGTGATCAAAGAATCCAAATTCATCCACGCCACCAGTTGATGGATTAATTGGCTCCAACTCGTACTTAATTGGAGGTAGCACAGTCACATAGGTTTCCACATGATTGCTCTTTGCACTCACATAGATGCTGTCCAGGCCATTCTCGGCAACCTTAAAAGGATCAATCGGCGCTGGGGTAAGCACAGACGATATCGCAGCTGCTGGAGTCTTCAGATTGGTCGTAGGTCTGAAAGGAATGGTACAGAGGTTGACAAGGTTGATAACCACGAACCCAGTAACCATCCAGATCTTGAACTTCGGGACGCTGTTTGGCTTGACTTTCTGTCCAAAGATGTTGAACACCGACCCCTTGTCACTCTGTCCACCAGGCCAGTCATTGTTGTTGGCAACATTCTCGCTACATGTCGATTGATGCCGTCCTCTTCCAAAGCTTTGCGAAGTGCCACATGCCTCTTGATGCGATTGATTTCAAGCTTGATGCACAGTATCGTTGTGTAGAACGTAAAGAGTAGGACGCAGTCGAAGAACAAGATCCAGGCAGCGAGAAAGCAGAACTGTCGCAAACCACCCTGCACACCGGTCGCGGCACCAGCAATCAGAATCGCGATCTCGATCATATAGTCGCGTACGATCTCGAATCCAGTTTCCTTCACTGCTAATTGGATGGCATCTTGGATCGATGGTGGCGCATGGGCGGCTGATGCGGGTGCGATGGCATTGCCATTGGGTGCCGGCTTGTCTGACGGCTTTTTACGCACATCATATGAGGCAGATAGGACAGCTTTGGTGAGTATGATGGACTTCTCAAATCCGACTGTGACTACCAGAAATGGCAACCCTTCGGACAGTAAGACCATGTTGATTGGAACTCCGAGCTTCGTGGTCACAGCCAAGCCGAACAGGAAAGCAAAGAGACTGGAGAACAGGACGGAAACTGCTAGCCAGGCATTGGACCCCAAACGCTTCATGGACACGAAAAGTGAGATGAAGGTGAGATGCATCGACAAATACCCAAGAGCCATGATGACGATATCGAGAGTCTCGGCATGCTTGAGCAGGTCCACGAAAGATGACCATCCCTCTTGCAGCCAGAGGATGTAGGAAGCATGACCATTACCATTGATGCGTGCCGCTTTCATGACCCACCGCTTGTCGGCAGCAGCAGCGTCGGCAGGTCTGGTGGCAGGCAGCTCCTGTACGGCTCGTAGAAATTCGACAATGTTCTTGTATGGAAAGTAAAATGCCAGGGTGCTGTCTTGAGAGAATTGCGAAAGTACATTGGAGGTGCTCGGTACGTTCACAGCGGTAATGTTGGATGGAAAAGCGACTGAAGCAGCGTTCGGTGCCAATTGTGCGGAGGACGAGTCGGGAAAGATGAATGTCGTTAGTGCTAAGTGGTCGATATCATCTGCGACTGCGGGCACTGGCTCGTTGTCATGTGAGAGCCATTTCCAGTCTGTATTCTGTGATAGCTCGAGGGAGCGACTGCCCTTCAGAAGGGCCTTTGTGTCGAGCCGCCCATTCTTCGAAAGTGAAGGCAGTCCCGTGTCGAACAGTGACTCTTGCAGCAAGCCAACGTACGATGTGCTGGCGAATAGGGCAATTGCCACGATCGAATGTATAGGATGCTGACAAGCTATTCGCGACAACGTCAATAATGTAGACGTAACATTGCGGTTCAGCCAGCTGTCGCTGTTGCCGAGTGAACGGAATCGCTGAGGAAGTAGGTGCTGCCACGCATGTTGAACGGCGGGCTGCCGAGGGAACAGGAGAGGAAGGAGGAGGCCCGCAGGGAAATAGGGACGCAATGGGCGTTCTAGTCGTCCATGAGCCTGTAAGACCTGTGCTTGTCGTTCTCGAAACCCCAGCTAATGGTTGTGATCGCTCTTTGCCCAGAAGGAAAATGGCGGTCTGGCGGTCAACCGGCGTTTCGTAAAGGCACGAGTGACTTCGTTTTGGGGTCGCGAGGGACGGCAACACGACAAAGAAATGGTTGTCCTAAAAGAGCGGAGACGAAAGAGCGACAGCGACAGCTTCACTGTTGAAAGCGTTGCGAGTAGTAGGCCCCTTTACCGCCAGTGATCGCCACTTCGAATGTCATGCACCGGCGGCGGGAGACGATACCAAAAAATTGCGTGAGCTAGCAAAACATGGCGATCAGGTTGCGCAGCCAAAATGCCGGCGGGTGGAGTGGTTGGAGACGTTGGAGTGCAGCTCGAGCCAGGGACCGCCTGGAACCACAAAATTGTCACCGCCAATTAGACGACACTCCTTACTAGCCGGGGGTCGAAGAAAGCTGGATTTTGCGGGTGTGTGCGTGTGCTTCTTCTCAACAAACCCAAACACCTATACAAGGCACTTCCAGGTTTTCTTCAGACTCTATATTTGCAAGGTCTACACATTAGTCTTTTGCCGCTGCTGAGGCGTACAAGGCGGCGGACAGCAACTCGACAGCTCTTATATTCAGGTACTGTGCGACATCCTGCATCATCATGCATTGCGTCGGCTGTGAGTATCCGGCGTCGCGTGTTCAGATAAGACCTGCGCCTTCTTGGTTTAGCCTGCAGGAACAGTCGCACCTTCTTGGTCCAACGTCGCGCCACAGTACAATACTCGCTCCTCTCCGCTTCTGGCATGACGAAAATTGTGAGCTCATGTCTCGAGAAAGCGCCGTCTCGGGTACTTTGAAAACACCTCAGTCGATACTACTGCGACTGTACCTGCACAGCTCCTCTGCTGTCGACAGTCTTGGCTCCTCTGATGCAAGCTGTCGAACGCTTCTCTTGCATTCGCACCCAACCTTCAGCTCACTTGGACTCAGCAGAGGCTGCAACCAACCGCTCAACCATATTTACGCCGCACATCTTTCTGATCATCGACTCTGGCAGTGCAAATGGTCGTCTGGTTGTAAACCAGGCTGCCCACGCATTCGTCCCTCTCCAGATGCTGGACGGTGGATTGTCATTCTTCAGCAGATCGTTTGAGACTTGTGCAGCCCACGTCTCTGCAGTCACCTGCACGGGGTATCTCTCGCCACGCATCGTTTTTTGGACCTCGTCCCTAGCACACTCATACCATGATCCAGCCGGCAGGCTCACGTCTCCAGCTAAGGCCTGGTTGGGATAGCCTTGAGACGTCGTGCTCGAGGTCTTGAGATCCACAACCTTGATTCCGAACGCCGCCAGCTCGATCCGCAGACAGTCCGTGAACATGATGGCGGCGGCTTTCGATGCATTGTAGGTCGATTGGTACGCCAGTGTGAAGAAGGCTGCTGTTGAGGTGTTGTTCACAACAAGGCCTTTCGAAGCCCTCAATTGTGGTAAGAATGCCTGTGTGACTTCGATCATCGACCAAACGTTCAAGTTGAACAACTCTTTAGCCTTGCTGATAGACAGATCCGAGATCGGCATCGCATACATCCCGCCAGCATTGTTGACCAAAATATCAAGCTGCGTGATCTTGTGGGACACAGCAGAGATCGACTCGGGCGACAGGACGTCCAGTGTCAAAGTCTCAATTCCTTGTGCCTTCACCTGGGACATCTTATTTGGATTGCGTGCTGTGGCATAGACGTGAAGTCCCCTCCGGTGTAGCTCGAGCGCCAGAGCGGCTCCGAGACCGCCGTCTGAGCATCCTGTAATGAGTACGCTCCTCTTTCGGGAGCTCGAGCTATTTGCTGCTGCCGTCATGCTTGAAATGTCTCTGGGTTTGCTCAGGTAAGAAGTAATGGATCTTTTGTGTATGGGCAACATGAAGACAGCTTCCACGTCGGCCGGACCTCCTTATATCTGATCGCATTACGTCCAACGAGCGCCAACGCTAAAGTGTATCTGCATTGTCGCTTGTTCATGATGCGTGATGGTCGATGTTGATTTCGCTGGCAACACGGACTCTGCGAGGATGTCAAGGTGTTGTTACGTTATCGGCAATTCTATTGCTCCGGTCTGATTATGCATCACGCCCAGCATCCAAGAAACTCACAGTTTCCCACATGATATCACGTAACATCACGAGAGCAGGACACTCTCTGCTCATGAGAGTATCGAGCGAGCGGGAGGACAGACCATCTCTTTCCGGTATATTGTTTGACGAGTGAATGCGCGATGGAAGACGCTGATCTAATACTACGTGTGAGTCGGCAACTCCTGCTGGGTGGCACCTTTGCTCCTCCGCACTCCTCCGGCTGACTTGCTCACAGCAACGCCGTGACCGCGCCAAGTCATCCCAGCGCAGCTTCAGGCAGCGACAAGCAGCAAAGGCCACAGAGCTACAGAAGCGTCATGATCGACTGGAAGAGTTGCTCAAGGAGATTGTCCAAGCTCACGAGGATGGCACTCAAGCGGGACTTAATGGTGCCATTGCCAGAGCTCGCGAAGAGCTCGGACTGCAGCCTAGCCGACAGACCCCTGTTGAAGCAGACACTGCAGGTTCAGGGACATCCCGCGACAATGACAGCAACGCCTCTCGCAGCCTTTGCACATCGTCAAGCTCCACATCTGGAGAAAGCGGACCAATATCGACACCAGCGTCCGAGCATGGAGTGGTCGACCTCACTAGGGAGCAGTCCGGTCGATTCAGTCCTCGTCTAGACTATGTCGTACTGGCGACAGATCCCGACCGATCCAACAAGATCTTTGCCCCACCATCCGACATCATGCCGTATGTCGGAAAGGGAGAGTACAGAGTCGCCGGACGCATCATGTGGGCTTGCCTTGAACACGGCCACCGCCTTCTGAAGAAGACCATCGCATCTGAGAGAGGCTACCGATTTCCCTCAGAGCAAGATACGGAGTCAGATCCTAACGGCGCCGGAGAACGAGCAGACGTATCACGCGGCCTTTGGCAGCGTGCACTTGGCCATTCCAAGCCTCTCCAAGACCTTGCTTACCTCGAAGCGCTGCTCGATGCCCGCCTCGAGTTCCGGAAGCTTGGCTACATGAGTCAAGACACACCTCCGAGATCACCGCCACACACCGCTGGCCAGTCTCCGACGGCTCGTCTTACCAAAGCCGGTACCGACGAGGCGGCCCGTCAGCTCGTCGAGGGCCAAGTCATCCATGGCCTCATCGCCCGTGGCGTGGATCTGAACGACCACTGGACCGCCCTCGAAATTGAGCAGTATATCCGAGTATGTGTGGGACGCGAACGCTTTGCTAATCTTCAGCAAGCCTTGACGAGCACTCTGGTCCATCCGCCACAGTCACAGCAGGTAAAAGAGCTGGAGAGCATCCGGATGTTAGCTAACAGTCTTGCGAGTCGAGCGGTCTGTTTTGGTGATGGACCACGATGGTACTGCGATAACGCGAAGGCGCTGGTCGATGCTTGCTTCCCAACATAATGGCGACCGTAGCGGTACAACACACAGACAATACAACGCATACACGAAGTGTAAAATTTTGAGCGAAACGGTCGACTATATCGTTCCTCTCGATGTCATTCCGACACATCTCTTCAATCTCCTCACATATAAATAACGCTACCAACCACTGCAACCGCCGCCAGACCCAGAGCCGCTTGTTTGGCCACCGCCGTTTGCTTCGTTGCCGCCCCTGTGCTGCTACTACTACTCGATGCAGTCGCTCCACTTGGCGTCTGGTTCACAGTCTGGGTCGTCACAGCACCCAGATCAAACGTTGCCGTTGCCGGCAGCAGGCTTCCCGAGACAGATTCCGTACTCGCGCTAGCATCCGACGGCACAGGAACACTGGCAAGATTGCTGGCCGGCAGCATGAATGTGTTTGTGCTGGAGCAACCTGGGATCTCGGTACCCGATGGGATCGGTGTGATGCTGCCACCACTCGCCGGCGACGCCGCTGCTTGTGCTATGGCAACCTGGTTGTTCTCGAGGTCATACACAAAATAACCAGAGCGCATGAAGCTGTCGCCTAGGACGACGCCGTTGCTACCGTGCTCTGCCTCGACGTTGAAGTTACAGGCGTTCTCGCCGTTGGAGAACGTGTTTTGGCTAGAGGCGTCGGAAGAAAGCGGGTCCATCAGGCTGCTGAGAGGGACTTTGACGGAGGGACCTTCTGGCCCTCCAAAATGGTAGGTTATGGTGGCATTGGCTTGTGCTCGTGAGCAAGGAAGGACGCCCTCTACCACTCCGAAGCCCCTGTTCAGAGCGACTGCCACAGAGGCTGGTAGAACTGTGACGGTGGTGCCACTGTCGAGAAGAGCAGCGACGCCAAAGTCCTCATCGGTCAGAAGCCTCGTGCCGTCGAGATCCGTAACGCTTATGCCAGTCAAAGCGGCCTGCAATGCGGTATAATTGGCATATTCATTGGGAGAAGGCTGCACAGGCAGAGCGACTAGGTCTCCTGAGTAGGCGCTGCCGTCAATCCCACCGAATATTACGTTGCCCGAATTGGCCTCCTGTGAGCCTAGTATCAGGGAATATGCTTCTCGAGCTATGTCGCCAGACTCAACCATGGCAGAAACAACAGTTGGCGGAAGAGTTCCGTTAGCCTGCTCGGTCAGAGGAGTGATCCCAGACAGAGCACGGTAGCCGATTCCTATGGTTCCAATTCCATCATTTGTGATTGACCCATTAATCAATCCGTTGGTCAAGCCTGCGAAGAGAGCGCCCTTCTTGATGTCGATACCACCAACGGACATCACGTCTGTGAACAGATCGCCAATGAACTCTGTGCCATCGCCGTAGGCGACGTCGCTACCATTCTGCAGGATCAATTGATACGTCGAGCTTTTCGCAGAATCAAAGGCCCCCCCACGACACATGCCAGCATCGGAGCATGCCTTCACACTACTGCTGATGACGACTAAGTCTGAGCTGCCTGTGTCGATGTCGAGAGCTATAGCCTGGGGCGGCGTGCCAACCGTGATGTTAAGCCAGTAGAACTGGTCGATTGTCAGACAGTAAGTTCGGATAGCGATGAATGGCAGTCCTTTCGACGAACTTTGACTTACCGTTCTGCTCGGGTCACCCACCAGCTGCTGATCGAGGTCTTCTGTGTTCGTCTGGCGCTTCCGCAGACGCGTCCTCGAATTAGTATGTAGATCAAGCTTGATGAACCCGTCCCTAGCAACAGCTACTCCGATAAAGCTCAATAGCAGGACTGATAGCCGCATGCCTGAAACTGATCGTGTTGAATGCAAAGCAGGCCGGACGAGTGAAAGATGAGAATCATGGCAACAATCTGTGCCATCGGCCTTCTCTTAACCAACTCGTTCGTCTCAATGGGTTCCAGATTGTGAGCACAGCCGCAATGGCATCGCTAGCTCCAGGCCACCGACAGAGCGCAACTCCACTAGGAATCAGCAGAGGAGCAAGCCTGACACGTCCCGCAACAATCCGTTGATCAAGCGGTCGGACATCTCGATTCCTTCGATCCTCCCAAAGCCAATCTTTGTCAAGCGGCCCAAGCCTGTAGATTTGATTGCTTGAGCAAAAGCTTCTCTGCTGCCTTGTTGGCTAAGCCACACGCTTCTATGGGGATTTTCGGTAGCCGCAAGGCAGCCCCAATTTGTAGCCTGACGCCACACAACCATGAGCCAACGCCCACAACGCGCAGCTACTAGGCGGCCGATCGCAAAGGCGATCAGGAACTGTGAGTTGGCTTACTGTGTGCAAGACCGTTCAGCTACAGTGGGAAGAAGCATCTTACACATACCCGGGTATTAGGCTACCGATATGTGCGGCACAGAACAGAGGCTGCAGGTGCAATTGGGTAGCATTTGGATATAGATGTTGAAGTCATGCACCTTAAAGCTGTTCAAGCTGCAACGCGGCCTCCTTTCACCATCTCCTCAACAGCCATGAGAGAACAAGTTCCGGCATCTCAAGGACTTGCCTTCTCAGCATCGGGCCCTTGTTCGTGGTGTTCCAGGAACGAAGGCCTCTTGACGCCAGCGCTCACGGAAGCTCTAGTTTCAACCTCATGAGCACTGAACAAGCCGAGTTCCACATAGATCTTGTTGAGTCTGTCGCGATCTTCAACGGCAGTGCCAGCTGTGTCACCGAAGATCTCATCCATCTCTTCCAAGGTCAAGTTCTTGGTCTCGGGAACAACGAAGTAGACGAAGGCAGCAGCAAGGAAGCAGATAGCTCCAAAGAAGATGAAGGTGCCGTAGGTCATAGCCGCGACCATGTCGGGGGTTGCCTGGCCGATGGCAAAGTTGTTGAGCCAGTTCGATGAGCCACCGATGGAAATACCCTTCGCTCGTGCGCCCAGTGGGAAGATCTCGCTGATCAAGACCCAAGCCCCTGGACCCCACGAATATCCGAAATTGACCTCGTAGATCCAGACGAACACGACGGCGACCCAGCCAGCAGCCTTGTGAGTGTCCCAGGAAGATTGGTATTTTCCTTGTAGACCAGCAACGATGATATGAGAGACACCCATGCCAATCGCCCCGGTGATGAGAAGTGGCTTACGTCCCCACTGATCAATGTAGAGTACAGCTGGAATAGTGGCGAGGAAGAGAAGAACTCCTCCAACGCCACCAGCGAGCAGAGAGGTCGTTGAGCCAGTGAGACCGAGATCCTTGAAGATGAACGAGGCATAGTAAAGGATGGCGTTGATGCCGGACCCTGAACATGATTAGTTTGATGCGGAGGACATGGAGGGACGGGGCTGCTTACATTGTTGGAAGACCATGATGAAAACAGCGATAGTGACACGCTTGAACAGCGACTTGTTTTTCAAAAGAGCTGCGTATTCGTTGAATCCAAGCTTGATGTTGTTCATGAGGCCGCCGCCCTGGAGATGTGGGAACTTCGCAATCGATGTCTCCCGCTCAAACATATGTTGAGCCTTGATCTCAAGATACTCGAGCTGAACACCTTCATCTTGTGGAGATTTCCGGCGCAAATTCGCAATAACTTGGAGGCTTTCTTCGTCGCGCCCTTTTTTAGCAAGCCATCTGGGTGACTCAGGAAGAAACATTATACCAACACCGAGGACCAGAGCAGGAAGAAGCTGGATGCAGACAGGAACGAGCCATGCTGCGTTTGATTGGCCTTCTCCCGTGCCTCCGATGAAGTTTGTTCCATACCCGATCCAGTACGAGATCATGATGCCGAAACAAATGGCCAGCTGTTGAAGAGAGACCAATGAGCCTCGCAGCTCTGGAGGCGAAAGCTCAGCATTGTATAGCGGTACCAACATGCTATAGTATTTGTTAGTGTAAACGTGTATTGGGAAGATGCTGTGCCGAGGGATCGATGTCTCGCCGGGCCATACATACGATACTGTACCGACACCAAGACCTGTCACGAATCTTCCCCCAAGAATGTAGTCGACATTCTTCGCACAAGCTTGCACGATGACACCAACGATGAAAACGACAGCGCCAACAACAACCGCAAGCCTGCGCCCGAGGCGTCGGCCATAATACCGTTGACCAGCACGCCGACCCATGCACCCAGCTCCAGGATAGCTGTGAGAAAGCCTCTGAGGGTCGTGTTTGAAATTGATTCAGGGTGGACAGTGTTGGAGAAGGACGTCATGCTAAGAATCTGGCCAAACATGCCTTGGTTGTCTGGAAGCGGTCAGTGGCATACTCTTGCAACGATAGGTCGTCCTCGATCGTGCTTACAGCCATAGACAAAGCCTCCCAAGGAAGCGAAGACCGCAATAGCGAATACATGGGAAGATCCAATCAAACCCTTGATGCCTGAAGGGCCAGCGAATTGTGCACGCTTCTGCGATAATGCAGCCTGACCGAAGTCAGCGCCACCAGAGACCATGGTTGCGAAGGTCTTTTGCTGATCTCAAGTTTGTTGGCGAAGCCGCTGTAAAATGGAACGGAAGGATATACTCGCGAAGCGAAGACCGGTGGGTATTATATGGGATTTGATGTGGTGGAGGATGTGAAGAACCATTGGACCTGTCGTCCCATCAATTTAGCCGTGCTGGCCGGTGGTAATACGCGCCGCATGCAGTCTGGAGTATGGGGCGCCATGCTCCAGACCTAGATAAGCTGGGTATGATCAGGACAAGCTTTCCGCCTTGTGTAAATAAGCCTTGCCACGGTATACCAGTTGAAGCACGCCGCTTGCCGAGAGCTGTCGTCCAGACCCCAGAGTGACCTGAGCGTAAGCCGCGACTTCACGTGCCTGAGCTGATGTTACATCGGGACTGCATGCGTTGAGTCGCGCATCGAACACCGACTCGTTTTCATTTAGCCTGAGATCGAGATGAAGCTGTGTGGCTTGCCGGCAATAATCACGGTGTAGCGGGGAGAAGCTCGTACGGAGGACGTGATCGTCGAAGCCGGCCGTGATACTCTATATGCGCTGGTCACGGGCGACTTGACCGAACCTCTTTCGAACGCTTTCGGGTTAGCGAGTAAGCCTGAGTGGTGGCGGCCCCAGCTTCACTCAGAAGACGACCGGTGCATGATTCGCTGTGCACCGCTTTGATCCCATATTAGCCACAAAGATCGCTGGCGTACATTTTAGCCTGAGTTCATTCGCCCTTCTAGGAAGTCCTTTTGAGAGTTCTGGAATTCCTCGACTTCGGTTTGGTTCCAATGAATGCGTGAGATTGAACCTTAACGGTCTTCGGAGGGCCGTATATATGACATACCAACCATGAGCTGTGCACGACCAAGGGTGACCTGTGCAGTAAATGTTCTAGAAGGCTGTTCTTGCAGATTTTACAGGGACAATCCGGATCCCCGTGTCCGAAGTAAGCAGGTGGTAGTAGTATGACGCCATAGATCCACGAGCCGTACCTAGGTTCGCTGTCACATAAACAGCCTCACAAGTGCAATCAAGAACGGAGAAGCGACCTGCTTCTTGTGAAAGGGCTCCGTTACAGTGGTAAGAAGCACGTTCAAAAGGAGCAATCGTCCACGGCAGTCGCAGGCTACTGCAAGGAAGGCTGAAAGTGACGCCTCGTCACCTTGCTCATCAACCGGTCTCGAGATGTCAATCTCTGACAGTGCGATGTTCTCGTCGTTGTGGGTTTGGTGGTTGATAGAATGTAACGATCGTAGGTACACCATACCACCCGCACATCCAACGAGTGAACTCGCTAAATTTTCGACTGCGAGAATTCGACTCGCTACGATGAGATCTGATCCTCGACTTAAAGGGTATTCACTTGTGGTTACAAATCAGCCACTCCTCCTGAATAGCTAGCCTTAAGGCACTGAAGACGGTAAATTCGATCTGGCTGACCGAGGAAGAACCCGCTCTATGTGCGGGTGGGCCGGGGATTACCGTCCATGCATACTGTCAGCACATACAGCCTGTACAGTATATGGGCAAGCAAGTTTGCAAGATTCTAAACAACGAGGGCAAGATCCTCGACATTCGGGGAAACGGCGGCCACGGTTATGTCCGAATCAGGCACAGACAGTCCGTACATAAACAAGCAGTTTGCAAGATTCTTGCTGTTCGCGACCAAAGATGGTTTGAAAACCGAGTTTTGTTTAGGAAAGAGCTATCGTACAAATTGCCTATCTCAATGTCCAAGTCATGCACAAATGCCCGATACACAGGAAACCAACATACACTCCACACATCCGGATAGTCAACGCCAATTCATCGAGACCAGCAAATGAACTCGTTATGCCTGGATGCACATCCGTGATCCACCTGTTGATGTCCTCTACTTCTTCTTGCCGCCGCCCAAACCGAGCGACTCTCCTATGGATCCGAGGCCAAGGCCACCAAGCAGCTTGTCGACGCCCAGGCCTCCGAGGATACCATTGACCAAGCCACCCAGGCCAAGGGCATTAAGTAGCTTCCCCACCAGACCCAAAACACCGCTGAGCAGTAGACCAACGGCAGCGATGATCTGGAACAGGGGCTCAGTGAGCAAACCCCAAAGGGGATTCAGCTTCTTCTTTGCATGCGGCATGTCTGAAATGCGCTTCTTGGCGTTGTCAATGGTCTTGACCACTGTGGATGTGAGTTCCTTGAGACCCTCAGCCACGCGGTGCTGTGCCGGTGAGGCTTCGCCGGATGCAGCCTTGGCCTTGGCCTGTGCTGCGATGTGTCCATCGGGATCCAGACCGCGAATGGCGCCGTTGCATTCACCCAGAATGCGACTACCTTCCTCAATTTTAGGCTTGACATCGTTGACGAGCTTCTCTTCGTCGAGCTCCTCCTTGGGCGTGCGATCGGCCTTTTCGACCAGGTCCGTGATATCCTTGCAGATGGGCTCCATCTTCTCGAGGGTTTGGTTGATGATGTTGCCAATCTTCTTGGCAATCTCTTCCTCTTCCTCTTCCTCGGTCATGCCTTGTTCCTCCTCTTCGGGGATGTTCTCGAGCAAGGTAACCTCACCGAGCTTGTTGCCATCCTGGTCCACGACATGTCCATTGTCATCGATGGTCTTGCCGACGCAAGAGGTGAGTTGACCTTCGGTGAGACGTCCGATAACGTCGCCATTCGTATCGCGGACTTCACCTTCCTTATTGACCTTGAGACCCGACATAGGAGACACTTCGCGCTCCTTCTCTTCAGGCTCCCAACGCTCGGCGTGGCCAATCACGTTGCCATTCTTGTCGCTGATGTCTGCATTGATTGGTTAGTACTTGACCACAAAACACAGCCATGGCGAATATGCGTACCTCCATCATCGTCGACCTTGCGGCCAACGAGCTTAGTAACTTCACCCTCAGTGATGCGACCGATGATATCACCAGAGCCGTTCACAACAGTGCCATCTTTCTGCACAGATGTAACCTCGAATCCGGAGAACGGGCCATCGGCACTCTTCTCGCCGCCAGCAATGACACCAGCCTTGCCAATGACTTTTCCATCATTGGACCAGATCTGGCCCTTTCCGTCAACTTTGCAGCCCACAAGACGTTTGACGTCACCCTCGATGACTTCACCGAAGATTGTTCCGTGCTCGTCGACAACTTTGCCTTGCTTATTGACTGTCTTACCCTCAAGTGAAGACAGGTCCTCAGGGGCTTCTTCCTCTTCCTCCCAAGGTTCGGCGTGACCCTTGACATCGCCGTTCTTGTCGATGATGTCGCCGTCTGCAGCTTGTTAGATCCACTGCTCTGCGAGTACACGAGAGGCAACATACCTTCGTCGACCTTCTGACCGACGAGCTTCTTCGGGTCGCCGTCGACAACTTTGCCGACTCTGTTGCCTTCTCCGTCCTCGACCCAGCCGTCTTTCACCACGTGAAGGCCTTCAAGGCCACCGAAGATGCCTTCGGGCTTCGCTTCGCGGTCCTGAGGAGGAATCAGCTCCACGCGACCGACGACCTTACCAGTATCGTCCCAAATCTTGCCTTCGCCATCGACGCGGCGGCCAGCAAGCTCTTTGGCATTGCCTTCGACCAGGCGACCAATGGGTACACCATCAGGGCCGATGACATTGCCATGCTTGTTCAGCTTGAGGCCCTTCATCTCAGAGAGATCAATGGGGGCAGCCTCCTCCTCGGGCTCGGCGTCGGGCTCTTCGTACCGCTCGGCATGGCCCACGGCGTTGCCGCGCTTGTCGAGTATGTCGCCTGTGAACAAGAGTTAGCTTGGGCGACAAGGCGCAATCGTTGCAGTTGAAACATACCATCTTCATCAACGGAACGGCCGACGAGTTTCTTTGGATCACCCTCAACGACCTTGCCAACTCTGTTGCCGTTCTCATCCTCGACCCAGCCATCTGCGACGACGACAAGTCCCTCGAGGCCAGCGAACTGAGCCTCGTCTTCCTTGTCCTCCCGAGCAACGGTCTCGGCGCGACCGATGACATTGCCTTTGTTGTCCCAGAACTTGCCTTCCGCATCGCAAGTACTGCCAGACTTCCAGAGCTTCTTGGCGTCACCTTCAACGAGTTCTCCGACGATATTGCCGCTGAACGTGGTATTAGTACACAAAAAGAACCAAGCTGAGGGCTGGGTCACTTACTCAGAGTCGACAATCTTGCCGGTCTTGTTCACCTTGAGGCCTTCGAGGATCGAGACTGGCGGGCGATCATCATCTTCCTCCTCTGGCTCGCCCTCTTCTTCACCTTCTTGTGGGATCAACTCAACTTTGCCGATGACATTGCCCTCCTTGTCGAGGACTTCGCCCTTGTCATTCAATTTCTTGCCAGCACAATCCTCGAGCTCTCCTTCAACGAGTTTAGCGATTTGCTCACCTTCCTCATCGAGGACGAAACCCTTCTTGTTGACCTTGAGGCCCTCAAGAATCGTGGTATCCTGCTTGGATGCCTCGTCGGCAACTTCCTCCATCTTGACAACACCGTCGTCAATGGCGGACTGCAGGAATTCGACCTTGCCAATGACGTTGCCCTCAGCATCGAGGATCTCGCCATTTTCATTGATCTTCTTTCCTCGAACTTGCTCAAGGTCGTACCCCTCGGAGAGCTTGGCAATTGGGTCGCCATCTTCGTTGACGACTTCGCCCTTCTTGTTGACCTTGAGGCCCTCAAGTTGCGAGAAATCTGGCTTAGCTTCGTCTGCTGCCTCCTTGGCTTCTTCGGCGGCATCCTTGGCTTCGTCGGCAGCGCCCTCAGCCTCCTTCTCTGCTTCCTCAACAGCTTGCTGCGCCTCCTCAAGCTGGCCGACGAGCTCGGGGTTGAGCTCCTTCATGGCCTCGTCAGCGGCCTCGCCCTCAACGACCTCGACTTTGCCGATGACGTTTCCATCATCATCCAGGATCTCGCCGTTCTCATTAGGCACCTTGCCTGCGCACTCTTTGGCATCACCTTCGACGAGCTTGGCAAGAACCTCGCCTTCATCGTCCAAGATGTTGCCCTTCTTGTTGAGCTTGCGACCTTCGACGATCATGAGGTTGGGCTTGAGCTGTTCTTCGATGTCCTCGACCTTAGCCAGGGCTTCCTTGAGGGCTTCGGGCTGGACACCTTCGCCAGCTTCACCAAGAGCATCTGCTGCTTCGGGCACGATCTCAGCACGGCCGATGACATCGCCATCCTCGTCGAGAACCTCTCCGTCTTTGGTGACTTCGAGGCCCTGAAGGTCCGCAGGGTCCCCTTCCGTGATCTTGCCCAGAAGGTTGCCATCAGCATCCTTAATCTCACCACCTTCTCCGACCTTGAGGCCTTCGAGGGCGTCAAGACCAGGGAGCTCGCCTTCGGCCTCTTTCTTGACTTCTTGAGGCAGAGTCTCGGCACGACCGATGGCATCTCCATCCTCATCAAGAACTTCGCCGTTCTCATTGAGGGTCATGCCGACAAGATCAGCCGGGTCACCCTCGGTGATCTTGCCCAGGACATTGCCTTCTTTGTCGAGGATTTCGCCGTTCTCCTGGACTTCGAGACCCTTCAGGACGTCAAGATCTGGGAGGTATGTCTCGACGCCTTCCTTGGCCTCGTCCACAGCATCTTCTGCGGTGTCCTGAGCATCCTCGGCGGCGTCCTCGGCGGTGTCTTTAGCTTGGCCAGCGAGCTCTTGTGCTTTGTCGGTGAGGTCAACGCGGCCGATGACATCTCCGTCTTCGTCGAGGATTTCTGCTTGGCATTAGCGGCATGTCCAAGTCAACCAGATTCGATGACTCACCTCCGTCATCGCCGACTTCGTAGCCCTCGAGGTCTTCGGGATCGCCTTCTGCTAATTTGCCGATGGCATCTGTGGGCACATTAGCATTTTGGAAGATGAGGCTTGTCGATTTGGGCAACTCACTTCCGTCAGAGTCGAGGATGTCTCCACCTTTGTCGACCTTGAGACCCTTGAGCATAGACAGATCCGCGACTTGGCCAGCAGCATCTTCGGCAGTATCTTTGGCGCCATCAACGGCGTCTTCTGCAGTGTCCTTGACGCCCTCCGCATCTGCGCCTTCGGCGGCGTCCTCTGCGGTTTCCTTGACGCCATCAGCAGCATCTTCGGCAGTGTCCTTGGCACCGTCAACTGCGTCCTCTGCAGTATCTTTGGCGCCTTGAGCTGCGTCTTCTGCCGTGGCTTGAGGATCCTCGGCGGCGTCCTCTGCAGTCTCTTTGGCACCTTCGGCTGTGTCTTCAACGGTATCCTTGGCGCCTTCTAGCGCACCAGATGCTTTGTCGGTCGCGCCTTCGCCTGAGCCCTTGCCGCCGAAGAGGCGGTCACTGACCTGTGGGACATCGTAGGTATCGCGGTCCTCAGCGCCGTCCGCCGCGCTCTCTGTGACATCACCTTGAGTCTTTTCTGCGCCGTCCTGGACATCTTCCGCTGCATCTTCGGCTCCTTCTTGGATGTCGTCCTTCGCGCCTGTCGCAGCGCCGGTCACATCGCCTTTGCTGGCCTTGTCCGCAGCGCCGCCTGCAGCGTCTTTGCCCTTGCCAACGAGGCCAGAAACGCCCTTGCCAAGGCCACCTGCAGCACTCTTTAGACCGCCAAGAGCACTGCTGCCCTTGTTCGAGGCCTCGTCGCCTGCCTCTTCGGCGGCATCTTCGGTATCGCCGGGAGTGAGGCCATCGTCGTCATCGGTACCTAAGTAAGAAAGGTGAGCAGTTCGATATCGTGAATGACGTCAATGGGGCTCAGTTCATACCTTCGTCCTTTGCAGCCTCCTTCGAGCCTGGCACGGTCTCCTCATCATCGGAGTCCGCGATAGGCTGGGGATCAGCCTCGGAAAGCTCGCTTGTGTCGGCAACGCTGGTATCGCCAGCCTGCTGAACTTTCTCGCTGGCGTCATTGTCCTTGAGACTGATCTGTTCCTTGGCGTCATCGGCCTTGTCCTCGACCGGCTTCGTTGAAGGAGTGTCCTCCTTCTTGGGTGTCTTAGCACCCAGCTTGGGAGCTTTCGGCCAGAAGCGCTGCTGAGCTTTTTAGTTGATGAGGATTCGGCAGATTTTCCAGTCTTTGTCGGTGTCTCGGGTTCTGAACCACGACCAGCAGCTTGGGTTGGAGCCATCTTGCGCGTAGTGCTTGGTTTAGAGTGGTACGAACGGACCGTTTCCGGACTGGAAGCCTGTGATGTGCGATTTGGCGTGGGCGGGAAACTCTGCGAGCATATTTGGTCAGTACCAAGAGACACAAGCTGTGGGCTTCATGTATGCCAGCGCCGATACGCAGCTTCACGTCGCTGTTCCAGTATACGGGTACTCACGTAGTATGCTATACTGAGTTAGCCAATGTTGCTAAGTGAGATTGTTATAAATGCCTACCGTAAGATGGCTGTCCGTTCGAACTTGTAGTACTTTTTGTACTTTTTGGCATTCGTTTACTATTGGTACATAGGAACGCTCGTTCCAAGCAGATCGTAAGTATAACAATTAGCAGTTATGAGTTACTTTGGGAAATTTGTGTAGAGAAGGACTTCTGGACGCGCAAGGCAGGACACGTGTGGTGAAGTATTGTACCCTACACTCTACGTCATGCACGACGACCACCATTTTGAAAGCTTCGCGTACAGGGGGAGCTCCTCAATTGAGACAGCTTGCAGCCACACATGAGGCTGGAACCTGTTTTCCTGCTGTCTGCTAACGTCAATCGTGAGATCAATGCGTGCTCTCCTCAAGGCAGGAGTGGCACATGCGGATAGAGCTAAGGTCCAATTGAAACGCGGCTGGACGGTTGAGGTTAAGAGGCACCAGGTATGGACAACTTCGATATCGAACATACAGTAGAAGATCGAATTGTCCATGCTCTGACGTGCGGAGAAGGGCTAGGGCAATCCTGGCACCATGCCGAACATGAAGGCTTTTCGTTTCCGTTCGGGCCTCGTGTCGCTTTGTGGTCGTTGCTTCACATGGCTTTCCAGGCGATCCAGCGCCTGAGCAAGTCATCTCGGCATTCTTTGTGCAGTCGTGCTCTCAATTGTGCCATCGATACCTGCTACATTGTTTCGGACGATTGCATCTCTCCATTGTGAAAAGAAGCCCGCTCTCACGTCATATGTCTGTGTTCTTGGACTGCGACAGGGATGACCAAAGCAAGGATCGAGGGTGGACGTCGTGCCAGGGTTTTGGATGGCGGAGCTAACCCGCAACGAGTGAGAAGCCTGTGGCTCGTCAGCTCGCGCCATCCCAAAGTTTGAACACAAGTGGCGCCCCGCCTCGCTTCGGATTGCTGTGGCCTCTGTGGCTAGTGTATATCATCCATTATGCATCCGATCATATGATCGTTGTCAAAAGAGCAAGCACGACCGCCCCGTCGCGACTGGCTCTGTAATGCATGTCGAATTCGAAGCAATCACGACTGAGCCGGTATGATATTCCGGGGCGTGATAGCCACAGCTGAATCGACCCCCCAACGGTCGGGCTCCACTCTCGACGCGAGAGACCCCTGCAAAACCGCAGGGATTCTTGCAAGTTTGAACGGTTGCGATTTTTCGACTGCGACCAAGCACTTTACCAGCAGTTTACACACCGGCACGGAATCCACCATCGGATGTCGTGACCGCAACTACTGTGGTTTTATGATGAAATCACAGCCACAGCCGGTTTGTGCTCGTCTTAACGATGTCAGGTATTCCAGGGAGCGATCGACGCTGCTGCAGGCACAAACTCTGAGGTTCGGATGTGATGACATGTTCCAGCAATAGGGCTCCCATGCGCCACAACGCGGCGGAAGTGTGATACTCCGTAAGTCTGCTCTGGCGAAATCCAGTATGCTACAGCGGCAGCGTGCCCTGTCAGAGCCTGCGTACATACCCGTACATGTCAGAGCGAGCTGGTCTTTAGCGAATCAGGTAAGGTCGAGACTCAGTCGTCCTCGGTGCTCGAGGGCGCCCGCGGGGAGAAAAGGAGGGTCAGAGAGAAAAAGAGGCCAGTATCTCACACGAAAGATGTAGTCCTAGGTATCCTCGGGTCTTTGTCTTCGTGGTCAAGTTGTCCACTTTTTTGGGTCAGTATTGTTTTCTTTATGGCTACGGTCTGGGCCAGGGTCGTTTCTTTTGTTTGAGCGTTGTGGCAAGTGCCAGCTGACCTCCGTCGATGGACCGAGTGTCGAGGAACCAAGTGCCTCTTTGTTCGATAGACTTGTTCGCGGGCAGCATCGAGGGACATCTTTCGGGAAGTCAGAGCCGAGACCAGGCTCATGCAAAGCACAGACTATAATGGTGGGCTGGAGACGGTACAACGTGTGATAGGGAGGAAGGACAGGGTATGCAATCCAGAAACAGCAATCTGTGCCCTCCACCAGGAAACAAGACCGCTAAGGCAATTAAGACAGCGTAAGGCAATTCTTTGGTCCGTGAAAGGTAAGACAAGGCACCAAGTCTTCATATGCCGTCCGACCAGGCAACAAGGCCACTGAGGCAGCGGACAGAGCACAAGACAGACTTTTAGGTCATGACAGGGCAAGGCATGGCATCGAGTCCTCAGTCGCCTGTATGAAAGGCGATGCGAACGTGAGAAGATCTAAAGGATGCACGCGTCGAGTAGGTTTTATCATGTTATGCACAGACCGGTTGACATGCAAGAGTCCGTCTAGCCAAGGATTTCGTGTCTAACCAGATCGTTCGCTCGCCGCCATCGCACGTCTCTTTTCTCCTCAGCCGTGTGCGGCTGTCTACATTACACGGCCTTTATGCTACAGGTAACATGCCTCTGACAATTTCCACGTGGGGTTCGGCTGCTCAGCGCGGGGTGAAAGCCGAAGGGTGGGTCGCTGCCCATCTGCAGACGTGTCACTGCCCCTTCTTCTACCTAAGTATGTACTCATTCGAGCGGGTGCTGCGATTGTCGACGGTCTACAGATTATCAGATCATCCGAACAGTCTCGACTCAGAAATAGACGCAGCATGGCCGAGAAGTCGCTGATTGTAGTCCCCCTGGTCATGAACGGCGTGACGGGCCGGATGGGTACGAACCAACACTTGATCAGATCTATCCTTGCGATCCGAGAGCAAGGCGGTGTCAAGTTGCCCAGCGGCCGCACCATCATGCCCAAGCCGATACTGGTCGGACGCTCTCTTGAGAAGATAGAGATGCTCGCCCGGGCTCATAATGTGGACGACTATGCGACTATTGCTGATCTCCCCAATGTCCTTCGAAGTATGGTCGCTGAAAGCAAGCATACTATCTATTTTGATGCGCAGACGACAGCACATCGTTTTGAGGCAGTCACAGCTGCCATGGAAGTTGGCGCCAACGTCTACTGCGAAAAGCCGCTTGCCTCAACTTCGCAGGAAGCGCTTGAGTTGCATCGGCTTGCTGTATCACAGGGTATCAAGGCCGGCGTGGTCCAAGATAAGCTCTACTTACCTGGCTTGCTCAAGTTACGTCGGCTGATCGACAGCGGATTCTTTGGTGACATCCTGTCCGTCCGAGGTGAATTTGGGTATTGGGTCTTTTCCGGGCTAAGTCCCGATACTGTTGACCCGAGCAAACAAGCACCACAGAGACCAAGCTGGAACTACCGAGCAGAAGAAGGCGGAGGAATCATTTCTGACATGCTTTGCCATTGGCAATACCTAATTGAAGGGCTCTTTGGTCGGATCGCTTCCTTGAATTGCATAGGTGCGGTGCATGTTAAGCAGCGGACGGACGAAGCTGGAAAACAATACAATGTCACAGCTGACGACAGCGCATATGCCTCATTCGAGCTAGACAATGGTGCGATCGCGCACTTCAATAGCAGCTGGGCTGTGAGAGTACGTAGAGATGATTTGCTGACACTGCAGATCGATGGTACGAAAGGCAGCGCTGTGGCCGGACTGCGAGAGGTGTGGAAGCAGAGTGCAGAGGATACGCCAAGAGTGGTCTGGAATCCTGATGTGAAGTCTGAAATCGATTACTGGCAGGGCTGGGTGCAGGAAGGGCTGATGATTCTGACGATACGATATTCGACAATGGATTCAAAGCCCAGTGGGAGGAGTACTTACGGTACGTCGTCGGTGAGTCGATAGCTCCGTGGCGCTATGATTTTCTTGCTGGAGCTAGAGGTGTGCTCGTGACGGAAGCAGGACAGCAGAGCTGGAAGGAGCGGAGATGGATTGACCTGCCGTCCGATGTATAGACTGCACATAGTGTCGCAAGTATAGACGAGGCTGGCGAATGCTGCCTGGACCGATCGCTTGAGATTTCGAACATACTAGGTACGCTCGAGTTTGTGATGGCACGAGCTGCCTACTTTAGTTACCGAGATGTTGCGTCATCCGGCGTCTTCAATGTCTTCGGACATATAATAACAATATTCCGCCACTCCTTCACCATGTGGAACCTCTTTGCAACGTCCAATGGCTTCAACTATCATTTGTCTGATCTGCAGCGATCGTTAGTTCACGATGGTCTTGTCTATGCGAAGTGAGCCATCCTGGACAGCTTAGCACGATGCATCACGCATTATATCGGTACCATCGGGATTTGTCCGACCTCACAACCACGTTTTCCCCAACATGATCTGCACAGCTCGTATCTCGTCGATCATCAAGAAGCGGCCTGCAAGATAGCGACGCGAAAGCACTTGTGCCGTCATCGACTCTGCGGACATCTGCGAAGCCCTGCCCACGCCAGCACACCCCAAGCATACGGAATAAACTCAGCAGAACGTCTGCAGACTCCAGGAGGATTACCATGCTACTGGGCTATCTCTGTATTGTCGATCTCCACCGGACTATCGATCTCTCCGCAACAGGAAGGTCAGTAGATGGCTATCGCCCACTGCCATCTCACCATTTGCCAGCAACTGGCTAAGTTCACCATGCGGCATCGAAGCCGGCGGTAAAATACTCTGTCGAGGATTGGTTGAGTTACTGTTGTCACTGCGCGGGTCATGGAGATCGTTATCTCTCCTATTCGCGTAGCAAAATGTAGATAACTGACCGAGCGACCTCAACGACATTGCATATGACTTGTATAAGCTCCAGGTCCATCGTGTTGGAGTTGTTGGTCGTGTCTACAATTCCGACTGTCCCGCAGCATAACACCACATCACGTTGCATAAGTCCAGGGAGCGCATCATGGCAGAAAAGCTTGGGAAGGACATCGAGGCAAGCCTCTCGAATGGCAACGAGATCAGTCGTACGGTGTCGATTGGCGATGGCTCAGAGAAGCGTGTGCTAGACTCCCGCGATGTGGACGCCGCGCTCAATTTCTTGGAAAGCCACGGCCAGACTTTGAGCTTCGAAGATATTAACGAGAAGAAGCTTGTGCGCAAGGTCAGTTGGATTTTGGACTCGTCACCTCATCACGTATCACGTGCTCGCTAGTGTTGAGTACACACTCACTGATCGTCACTTTGCTAGGTCGACTGGATGCTCATGCCTTTGATGTTTGGTTGCTATTTTCTACAGTACAGGTAAGACGGGAGCCGAAAACAGTCGAGTTCCTGCAAGCAGTTTGGTGTGGCCATTCGTACATAGGGAGAGTACTGACTTCGCTATTTTCGCCGATACAGTGACAAGACATTGAGTAAGCCAGTTTTACCTTGCAGCAGTCTATCCAGAAGCCAACGCTGATTCTATCGCAGTCAACTTCGCATCGGTCATGGGTCTGATTGAAGATACGAACATGCCACCGAACGGCTTCTCAAATTTGGCCATGGTCTTCTACGTATCCTTTTTGGTATGTGAGCCGCTGCAGACGTACTTTATTCAGCGCTTCCCTGTCGCAAAGTGGCTGGGAGTCAATGTGATTCTATGGGGTATCACCGTGGCATGTAATTCTGCTGTCAGCAACTATGCGTCCGTGGTGGCACTCAGGGTGTTATTGGGCGTCATGGAATCATCTGTCGCGCCCTCCTTGATCCTGATCACGGGCATGTGGTATGTCCAAAACAACGCTTCGGAATTCCTGGGCCGAATGTTGATGATGACTTAGGTACACTCGCTCTGAGCAGGTCGTTCGATCAGGTATCTGGTACCAGGGAACATCGATCGGCCCAGCCATAAGCTCACTTCTCAGCTTTGGTTTCCTGCACTACGCCAACTCTCATCCGAATGCTGCCTTCAAAAGCTGGCAGATTCTGTTCCTCCTATATGGCCTAGTCACTATCGTCGTTGGGATTTGCGTGGTGCTCTTCCTGCCAGACAATCCCATGCAAGCGAAGCGTCTTACCGATACCGAGAAGATCTTCATCATCAACCGCGTTCGCAGTAATGGCACCGGTATCGAAAATAAGAAGTATAAGCCGAAGCAAGTTCGGGAGACACTCCTGGACGTGCGTACGTGGTTGATATCACTGATTGTTATATCTACCAATGTGCCGAACGGAGCTGTGTCCTCCTTCCAGTCGATCATCATCAAAAGTTTCGGATTTGATGAATACGAGACCCTGCTTCTAGGTATCCCAGGCGCGGCAATCGCGTTCTGTTCAGTCCTCTTCGGAACGCTTTGGGCAGGCCGTTTCAACGCCCGATCATATGCAATCATCTTCCTGATCATACCGACCTTGACCGGAGGTGCCTTGATGGCATGGCTCCCGGCTGACAACAAGGCTGGGTTGTTGGCAGGGAACTATATTACGAATACCGTTGGGGCCTCTCTGCCTTTGCTTTACTCCTGGATCACGGCCAATTACGCAGGCTATTCGAAAAAAACCACGATGAGCGCTATCGTGCTCATGTCTTTCTGCGTCGGGAATATCATTGGACCTAAAACATTTCAGGCGAAAGATGCTCCGGCATACATTCCAGCCAAAATTACGATTGTCGCTTTCCTATCATGTGCGATCGTGCTGGTTGTGACGCTGGACTTCTTATATGTTAGGGAGAACAAGAAGCGTGATCGTGCGGGCGAGGTGGAAATGCCGGAGGACTGGGAGCTCATGGACCTGACTGATAAGCAGAACTTGCGCTTTAGGTATCTGCTCTAGTAGACATTGATGAGACGGGTGTGAGGCGAATGTCACCACTCGGACATGCTGTCGACGAGCAGGGCCGAAGTTGGTACTGTTGAATACCGGGCTCTGTAATCAAACCTCAGATATGCCTTGCACAGATGTTATCAACATATGCTATAGGTCTTCGTGCGAGACCGGATGACATGGTGAGGGCCGAAACAACGCCGGATGACAAGAACCTAGTCTAGCCCAAAAGCCGCGGGCGCCTTCCCTTCCCCACACATGCTTTGGAGGTCACCGCGGCTTCCCGTGCATCTTCTCACGCCCCTCCGCCCTTCATTGATCGTGTAGCGCATATCGGGTCCATGCGTAGGCTTGTACAAACTCGTCTGACCAAGGTTGCTAGCGGGACGAGTGGTCTATGATTCGTGATTAGTGGTTCTCTACACCTGTCAGACAGCCAGAGAGCTGTTTCTCGCAAGACCTTCGGGCTTTGTTCTTACCTCGTCGTATAGTCGAGTCAGCCAGTCCCACACTACCCAATCAATACCCCAATGTCTGCATCCCTCGGCCGAGGAGTGCCCCACGTCAGACTTCTGAAGACATACCAGCACCACCACCAGCACCGGACCATTTCGCTATATAGTCACCAAAGCCACACTGCTTTCACGGGATCAGGGAGGACACTGTCACCATCGCTTTCAAGCTACCCACGCCATCGCTGCTTCTCGACCACAACATCCAGGATGTCAAGCTACAAGTACGAATACCTCGTCACTGTCCCCGACCACGTCGACGGAGGACTACAGAAACGCATTGATGCCCGACCCACTCACCTCAAGAACTTGACACCACGCGTCCAGTCCGGCCAGGTTGTGTTTGGAGGTGCTTTTCTGGGCAGCCAGCCTGAAGAAGGTGCTCGCCAGATTAGTAAGTTGTCTTCGGATATCCTGAGGGCTCGAAGACCCGAACTTGCGCAAAGCCGCTAACATGATCGTAGCAAAGGAAGTGTGATGCTCATCAAGGCCAACAGCGAGGAAGAGGTCAGGAAGATCGTTGAAGAGGACGTCTATGTCCAGGCTGGCGCATGGGATCTGAGCAAGATGACCATTTTACCCTTCAAGTGCGCGGTGAGGACTCCGCTGTAAGTGCGCTCAGAGGGTGTCGGACGACTCTTGGGTTGCAGGCCTATACGGTACGGTGGCATGAGCCAGCTCCTGTGGTGGCCTGTGCCTCCAAATGTCACAGGCCTCCAGGAACTCCTATTCACGTACGTTGTACAGAATCAGATCGAAGGACGACAGCAATCACGTTTGAAGTGCCTAAGAAGCTCTTATCCATAGCAGCCATCATAGAATTCATCTAGGAGGTATTTTCTAAGTTATTGTCACGATCTCGGCAGTCGTTCACATACACCTCTTCTGCTCTGCCAAGAAATGTTCCGAGAGGTTCAGCTTCGGCCCAGTCACCTCCTTGTCTCGATTGATCTATACCCACGGAGAACGAATCTACGACAGCACGTGCAATCCCGGCGTCCTCTCGCACTCTGCAGCCCGGACCGCATTGTGGACAGATGCATTGCAGACATCAGAAGTCGGCTAATAGTTTAGGAGTAGTATGAGGTCTGGGGAACGAGCACGTGGCTTACCCCTTGAACGCTCCTTCTTTCCCCGGAACCTGGGAACAAGCGAGCAGGAGCAGGCCGACTTCTTCCTTTGATGCTGGCCGGGGCTGCAAAGTGACAGGTGTGATGCACTGCGACCCGATGTCGCGCATTCCTGACACGTGAAACTCGGTCAATCCGGAGCTCTTCTTAGACCATCCAGCGCCTATTGGGTCTGTCGACTATTCGAACTCGTCCTTCTCGAAGCGCTCTCGGTCCCAGAAGCGAGCACTGATGGCATTGCCTCCAAAGACTCGTCCCTCAAGAGCATTGACAGCTCTCAACGCACTCAGCTGGCTGACAAAGCGCACAAACACCATCGCGCCTCCCTCCTCTGCTGAACGTCGATGAATATAGACCCGCTCGACAGTACCATACTTCTCTCCGCACTCCTCACCAATTTCTTGCATGATACCGCCTTCTTCTCTGCCAAGCTCCTGGTCAATGTCCATTCCATCGAGCATATGCTCGAGTCTGATGACCTCAGACATGGCGCCAAATACGCCGTGTTCTTCCCCTTCGGCGCCTTTGGCGCGTTGGCCACCAAGAATCTTGCCAGTCCCGGCAGGAGTTCTGAAACCACCACCTTCCGCGTCAGACTTCTTCTTACGCTTATCTGCCTTGGCATACAGTGGGTTGATGATGCCCTGACCGTTTGCTCCTAGACCCTGACCTTTACTCCAGCCATACTTGGACATCAGGCGCTCAGCGAAACCTGCTTGGCCGGGACGATTTGTGCGACCTTGTTCAGTCTCCGTAATTTCCGCATCTGGCTGTGTCTCTGGTTCTGGTCCAGCCTTCGGAAGGTCCGCAGATGCTTCGGGCAGGGTGTATCGTACCGGAGCGCGAGCAATTTCTCCTATTCGAGCTGACTCTACGGGCGGCGGAGGAGGTGGCGGAGGCGGTTGCTGACTCATGCGCACACGTCGTGCAGACCGAGGTCTCCCGTTGGATCATCAGGTAGGTCGGCAGGTGGTGGTGGTGGCGGACTGTCTCGGTGTTGGTGTGCAGTGTCGTCGTTGATATTCGAGGGCGGTGCGAACGCTTTGGGCGGAGCGAATTGACCTGCTCAATGTTAATAGTCTCGCCGCTGACTTCCATGCAGTTGACTCACGATTTACAGGCCGCTCCTCGCGGTCACTGTAGTCCTCGCTTGACTGCCGCCGCCGCATTCGGTGACGGTATAGTAGGTCTTTCCACTCTCTTACCTCCAAAACTTTCTCCTCGCTGCCCTTGTATTCTTCATAGTGATTCGGTCGACTTGGATCGTAGATGTCATCCCAATTGCGCTCGACAACCACGGCTTCTTTGTTTTTCTTCCTCTTCTTTCGGCCGCCGCGTTGCCGCTTCTCGCCTTGAAACCAATCGTCATCTTCTGCGGTATTGGCCCAGTCGTCGATTGTGGTTCTTGGCGCCTGCACATCTGTCGGTTCCGGTGCTTGTTCAGCCGGCTTGCTATCTGCTAGAGAGATCTGGGGTGCTGAGGACAACTTATTGGCGATAGCCTTGGCCTTCGCTTTTGCAGCAGCCGCCGCTGCAGACGATGGTTGCTGGGGTCTCTTCACAGGCTGGAATCGTAATGCGGCTATTCAAGGAGCAAAGCATGACAAATCGTGAGCACATCTGCAATCAGAAGAAAGGTCCTTACGCTAAGAATTGTCATTACCAGCAAGGGATTGCTGCTTCTTTGCAGCTTCATTGTCTTCAGCACTCTCTGGCTGTTGCTTGTAGCTCACCGGTGCGCTTGTGATGGATGAGCCGGGTGTCGAGCTCTTAGAGCCAAGCAGATTGGCATATAAGGACAAGCCACTCTTTGCGGGAGCACTGGCATCATTCGCCATGCTGGAGCGTTTCGTAGAATGTCGGAGGAGGATTGGGATGTCGCGAGGAGTAAAGATGGAGGAATGAAAGAAGGTGCATGTGGTGCCGCAGATTCGAGGTCGAGTTCGACCAATCGGGATTCAGCTCACGACCTCACTTGACACGAAGCACTTCAAACATGAACGTTCTGCCGGTCTTCTTTACCCTAGAACTTTATGACTGAACGCAAAGGTACCGACAGGACCTTGGTATGAGGAAGCACAGTTCTAGCATACTGTGGCCGGGTCAAGGGAGTGAGCCTCGACCAATGTGCAGTGCATTGCAGGTTACGACATCTCCGGTAAGAGGTCAGCTATCGAATGTCCACTGATACCAAAAGTATAATTTCTTTTTATCTGCTGTCAAGTTTCATTACGCCATCTTCCACTTCCCTATATGTCTAGCTATGGCTTCAACGCTCGCCGGTGCTCTCAAACACCAGTCAGAGGAAACCGCCATCATTGTGCCCCGTGAGCCACAGGCTTTGACGGTTTCTCACACCCAACTAGGCCTCGACATCCGGAAATTTCAGCAACAACTCGCCGACCTAGGCATAGGTCATGGCGATGCCGTCTCAATAGCATTGCTGAACAGCTATGAGTTTGTCATCTCCTTCCTAGCCACTACGAATCAGCGGGCTATCGCCCTCCCTCTGAATCCACAGTATAAGCAGGATGAATTCGAGTTCTACATCTCAGATCTTACATCAAAGCTCATCCTTGTGCCGAAGGGAGTCTTTTCCCAGGACGCTCCGGCCGTGAGAGCAGCCAAGAAGTTCGGAGCAGGCGTGGCAGAGTGTTGGCTAGATGGCTCAACAGTCATCCTCGACGTGAAGCAGAGCAGGGCCGAACGGCCCGCTCAGGCGATGCTTCACCCGGAGCCCAACGATGTTGCTCTCGTTCTGCACACCAGCGGCACCACTGGTCGTCCCAAAGCCGTCCCCCTTTCACATCAGAATCTGACCCGCACCATGCTCAACGTACAACACACCTACGAGCTCACCCCTTCCGACCGGACATACCTCGTTATGCCTCTCTTCCACGTTCACGGCCTTCTCGCTGGCTTCCTCGCACCACTCATGTCCCGCTCTTCCGTCATCATCCCGCCCCGTTTCTCTGCCAAGAACTTTTGGCGGGACTTCACCACCCACAAGGCCAACTGGTACACCGCTGTTCCCACAATCCACACCATCCTGCTGCGCAATGACCCTCCACCGACCTTACCTGAGCTCCGCTTCGTGCGCTCCTGTTCGTCACCACTCCCACCAAAAGTCATGCTTGAGCTCGAAGCCATGGTCCGCGCCCCAGTCCTCGAGGCCTATGCCATGACAGAGGCTGCCCACCAGATGTGCTCCAACCCACTCCCGCATCGCGGCAAGCGGAAAGCTGGTACCGTCGGTATGGGTCAGGGCGTCGAGGTGCGCATTCTCGACGCCCAAGGGAAGGAAGTCGCACAAGGCAAGCATGGAGAGGTCTCTGTCAGAGGCGAGAACGTCACGAAAGGCTACATCAACAATGAAAAGGCGAATGCGGAGGCCTTTACGGCAGAAGGTTTCTTTAGGACCGGAGATCAGGGGTACAAAGACGAGGATGGCTATGTGGTGCTGACGGGACGAATCAAGGAGTTGATCAACCGAGGTGGTGAGAAGATCAGTCCAATTGAGTTGGACCATGTCATTGCCAGCATGCCGCAAGTTGCGGAGGCTGTGAGCTTTGGCATGCCGAGCGAGCTGTTCGGAGAGGAGGTGGGTATCGCGGTCGTGCCGAAGGCTGGGAATGAAGCCGTTTCGAGCGCAGATGTTGTTCAATTTGCTACGAAGAAGGTAGCAGGGCATAAGGTGCCGAAGCGAGTGAGTCTCCCCTATCATACTGAGTCACTGAATGATACGGACCATACGACGCACTCTGATTACTGACAATCTACATCAGGTCTGGATCCTCAAAGAGATACCGAAGACAGCGACCGGGAAGATCCAACGACGCAAAGTTGCAGAGACTTTACTCGCGAAGGACACGCAGCCGAAGCTATAGACGTCAGGCATTGTGCTCTTTCGTCACTCAATAACTGTGATACCCCTACAAGTCCAAGCACCCGTACTCGTGTGAGCCATAATACATGGTCATCAGAATGACCAACTAAAAAGCTTTGTCACATGGTTGCTCTTCTTAACTACCTCACACCAAGAATTTCGCAAATCATCGCACAGGTCGTTGCATTATGGTCCTTACATGACTCCGTATCTTTACTGACAAGCGTTGCATCACACTGCCGCGGGTCTGCGGGACAAAGCAAGGACGATCGTATCGCAACGACGGTTCTCAAAACTGCCTGAAGCCCATCTGGGCACTGTATTGTACCTCAACCCGGGTGACGTTCGCTCAGTGACAAATGCTTGGCGTGCCCCGCCCCCACTTCACGGCCTTGCACAGGTGCTGCAGGTGAGCTGAGCTCAAACATTTTTTTCGCCGGCGATCGGAATTGCAGCGCAAACTTGACGCGCAAATTCAAGATCATAATTGTCGTAGGGAGTACTCTGCTTCCTTTTGACTCCTAACAATGTCTTCGGACATTCGTTCATAATTCTACACCACACTACACTTTCCAGTAGCACAAGATCATGCCTGTCACACTTGTCCTAGGCGCTCAATGGGGCGACGAGGGTAAAGGCAAGCTTGTTGATATCCTCGCGTCCAAAGCGAGTCTCGTTGCACGCGCGGCCGGCGGCAATAATGCTGGACATACTATTGTCGTCGACGGCACCACATATGACTTCCACATTCTTCCATCCGGACTGATCAACAAGGATTGTGAGTACAACCTCATCGGCACCGGCTGCGTCGTACACGTCCCATCCTTCTTCCGCGAACTAAAGGCCCTAGAGGACAAGGGCTTGAAAGATGTCCGAAAGCGCATCTACATCTCAGACCGCGCACATGTCTGCTTCGACCTCCACGCCGTTGTGGACGGCATCTCGGAGGATCGACACAAGTCGGGAGATCGGCCAAAAGACATGATTGGCACAACACGCAAAGGCATCGGTCCGTGCTACTCAGACAAGGTTGCTAGAAAGGGTGTGCCATTCTGGATGTTGGTCAACGAGTCACAATCACCTCGATGGGAGACTCGTCTACGCGAGCTCTACGAAGGCTACAAGTCGACATATGGCGAAGAGGCTCTGTCAGGCTACTCTGTGGACAAGGAAATTGAGAAGCTTCGCGAGAAGCGTGCCGAGCTTCAGCAATACGTGATCGAGCAAGCACCTCTGTTGTCTTCAGCTGTCGGCGACAAAGGAGCCTCGTTGAAGGGCCAGGAAGTGTTGATTGAAGGCGCCAATGCTCTCTTGCTCGACATCGACCACGGTACCTACCCATACGTCACCTCTTCCAACACTGGCCTCGGTGGCGTATTCACTGGTCTCGCTGGTCTATCCGGCCAAGCACTCTACGCAAAGGATAGTAAGATTGTCGGCGTGGTCAAGGCCTACACCACACGTGTAGGTTCCGGTCCATTCCCCACCGAGCTCGACGCTGCTATCAAAGCAGAAGATGCAGACTATGGCGAGCGGATGCAACGCATAGGTCGCGAATTCGGCGTCACTACGGGCCGGAAGCGGCGATGTGGATGGCTAGACCTGGTCCTGGTCAAGTATTCAACGCTGATTAACAACTACTCTCATATCAACCTCACGAAGCTCGATATCCTTGATGACTTCGAAGAGGTGCGTGTTGCTACAGCCTATCGGATCAATGGCGCGGAGATCACCGATTTCCCAGCTGACTTGGATGGGCTGGAGAGCGCTGAGATGGTCTACAAGACATTTCCTGGATGGCAGGCGAGAACTACGGGCGCCCGGAAGTGGGATGATCTGCCTCAGAACGCGAAAGAGTACGTTGAGTACATCGAGCGAGAGGTGGGTAAGCCAGTCAAGTGGATCGGAACAGGCCCGAGGAGAGAGGACATGATTGAGCGTTAAAGACGCTGCATGTGCCAGGCGACTGTTGATGAGGATAAATGCCGGGCTCGACAGGAGTCGTCGTGGTGGCCTGAGTCGAGGCGGCCTCTGGCGGTGATCTGCTAAACAGCGAAATCACAGTCAGACATTTCCCATAGATAGATACCCATAAGATCTCATCGATCGCAGACTTCGGCGGACATCGTGTCTGCGCATCTTCAAAACGTTGCCATGTATGATGCACCTTCGCTCGTCGCAGCAGCTGACCAAATTTCCATGAGTATTAGCCTAGACATCCTGTATGCATTGTGAGGTGCTCCCGAAGTTCTCTTCACGTTCCAAATGCAGTGGCCTCTGGGAGAGTCCTGCCAACCGCAACCACTGAACCAGGTTCTCAGAGCACGATAGCGCCCCACAACACCCCGAGGACGACCACAACCGCGGTACCTAACACCTTCGTGTCACTCATCGCAGGTGGAATGATCGGAGATCGAGATCCAGAAGTCGAAGTTGAGGCCGTCGGACCCATGGAGGCTGAAGTAGAAGTCCCACTCGTCGGCGCAGCCGTGACACTACCAGCACTGCTCGCAGTACCAGTACCGACTGTTGTCGTGCTACTCGGAACATACCTCGGCGCAGTCTGTCCAGCTCAGAACAAGCTCTCACAAACGCCCCTTGCGCCGCGCTCTGCTTGTCACTACCCTCACATAGCGACTGAATGGCATCCTGGACTTTGGGAGCATCGGTGCCGCAGATTGCGACCATGTTGGCGGGGCTAGGCTGTTCGTTGACAGCGGCGAGGAGGCATGCCGGCGGTTGAGTGTCGGCTACAGCGAGAGCCGTGGCGGGTGTGAAGAGGATGGAAGCTGTGAAGAAGGCTGGTGGGAGGAGTGTGGGAGCCTTCATTGTTCTCGACGGAGGTGAGGACTCTTCGTGGATTGGATGGGTGCGATATGGCTGCGGCGTAGAGGTCAATATTTAGCAAGTCGAAGGCAGGATGTCGAATCTGCTCGTGGCAGAGGGATGATATCTTCTGTAGGTGTTTGAGAGAGGACGAGGCGCAGGTCTGCCGCAGAAAAGCGAAATGAACGCGAGGAAGAAAGCATGCGCGTAACATGAGGACCGGACTACCCGGCGGAGAAAGCGACGGTGACAGTGAAGAAGACTTTAGAAGTGAAGGTCGAACTCGTGGCCTGGCGGTGACACAGCGACGGCTGTCTTCCGTTTGACGACGACCTTGGCGTGGACAGATTCCTTCGCTCTGCCTGAAGAGGTTCATTTGAATAAAGTCTGCAGTAAAGGTGAAGCACCAAAAAATTGGCAAATATGATGTCGTATTCGACCACTATCGCACTATCTGCAGTCCAAGTGTTGGGCGGTGTTGATGAGTGAGTATGTCTCATCCTTGACGCGAGTCAAGACTGCCGCTGGGCAGTCTGGCCTGATCATATGTCGTTCGGAATAATCATTCCCCCGGAACCGACTTGCATGGCGAGCCTCGCCATGGAGTGATGCCTGATGTTGTGTTGTCACCATGTCTCGTTACTTCTGCAACAAGAGGTCAGCATCACATGCATCGCAACTTGAGAAGTTGAACACGTACTCCACAGGCCTTGCACTTGCAAGCCTCACCGCAGCCGCAGCTGTTAGGACCATTGCACGAGCAGGGACCCATTTCGTTGATCGTTTGTTGTGAGCTGAAGCCGAAAGCTGATTTTGAGTTGTGAGGTTTGGTTGCTTTGCTGTGATTGGTTGGAGAATGGCTTGTGAATGGCTTGTGTTGTGAGGTTGAGAACAAAGTCCTTGTCGAAGACGGGGGACGACTTGACCTCTATATACCTTTCGAGAGCCAACTTTGCCTTCAGCAGCGGAGTGGAACATTCGCTGGGCGTGGATACTAATCATCAGTCCACTGGTGTTGGATTCAGCACAAAGACCGCAGCGGGCCAAGCTTTCGTAAGACTACGCAGAAACCACGCATCGAGCGCACAAAGCCCGCACATGTGCTGAAATCCAGCGGAAGTCCACAGAATTAAGAAGTCGCGGTTGATATGACGTCCGTGGTTGGCTCACTTGTATCAGGCACTGGCGAGCGTCGCAAAAGTGTGGCCACCTAGACTGCTACACTCCAGACGGGGACGTGATCGCCTGAGTGGCAATGATGCAGTGCCAACTTCCTCCTTCGGATGCACCTTCACGGAACATCGAAGGAGATCGTCCCACCAGACAGCAGCGGGCTCTATCATGGCATGACAACTCGATGGTGGCATCGTCGCGTGGATGATCTGGAGGAGAACAGCTCAGGGGCAAAGCGAAATACTTATACGTCTTCGGCGAAGTGAAGATCCGCAGCAAACCGAAATATACATTCTCTCGACCCGGTAAGCGGTATTCACTGGCCATCTCAGAATCAGTGCAAGCGGAGCAGGCTTAGTCTGACGTCACCTGGAAAAGTGAATGACCTTCAGGAAACTTTTCCATATCGATTCAATATGGTTGGTTCTTGCGTCACAAAAGATCCACGGAACCGTTGTGTATAATGAACGACCTACCAAAGGTGGACTCCATCAGCATTGACAACATTCCCAACATCACCATAACGCTTCCCTTCAATGACAGACTGGACCACCCCAGCGCCTATAGCCTGACCTACCGCGCCTGCCGCCTGATTCTGCTCCTGCTCCTGCGACTTAGAGACACCGTACATGATAACACACACCTTTGAGTGTCGCGTGTTTATCAACACAGGGAGAACACGTGAAGGAAGAAGGTTGCAAGGAGCAGGCAAAGAAAGACGCTTGACAGAGTCAATCATACTTCAGCTAGCATAAAGTATGTACCAGCAGAGACCCAAAGGTCTCCTTGATTAATACAATTACTCATCGAGGATATCTTTGACTTGAGCGCTTTTGCTCGCCGACATTCGCTTTCGCGACACAGCGCAGAACAACCTCCTTCAATCATCACCCCCAGTGGACGCCAGTGTGAGGCTGCTATCGAGCCTCCGACACCTTCCTCCCAATTATGCAAACAATATAAACACTAATTGCACACGCTGGGCGCGAACCGTGTAGGTACCGCTATGCCGCCGAGGCTGTGATGCTGATGATCGTAATACCGATTTACCTCGTCTGTTTATCGTAGGTCGTCATCAAGCTCTATAGTAAGGATCGTACGCTCGTGGAGTGGTGACGGGGTATAATGTCGAATTAACCACTCCAGAGACTTCTTCATTGATATCGTGTCCCGCATTAATATGTGGTATCGGGGGTGAAAATCCACTTTCGATGCAACGCTTCCTTCGGGAGACCTTCCGGGGTTGCACGTGGATCAAAATGAGGCGAATTGAATGCGAGGTTGAATGGCTGAGTGCGGATGGTAAGCGCCTTCTTTAAGACATTTAAGCCAAGGCGACAAGAGCGACGAGACCGCCGACGAGAGCGCCAGCAGCCTTGTTGGAAGAGGCACCGCCAACGTAAGTGCTGACCTGTGTATACCTGTTAGAACGAACACATGTTGGAAAAATCGGACTTACTGCTGGTGCCGGGGCGTAAGTCGAGGGCTTGACCGGCGCCGGCGTAGTAGCAGGTGGCGCTGGGGGAGGTGCTGGCGTAGTAGCAGGTGGTGCTGGGGCTGGAACAGCAGACCACGAAGCTGCTGGTGCAGGAGCTGGGACAGCAGACCACGAAGCAGCAGGTGCAGGGGCCGGGACGGCGGACCACGATGCTGCTGGTGCAGGCGCTGGGACAACAGCCCAAGTCGATGACTTAGCTGGGGCGGGAGCTGGCACAACGGACCACGATGGTGCGGCAGTGGTTGGCTTGACGGGGACGTCACTCCTGATAGTTCGTCAGCATGATGTCCGGATGAACAGAGGTATGAATGTGATTGACGGCAACAAGACAGCGTCTCTCTTTCGCCATAGGCGATACATTGTGTGCAGTACAAGATTTTGGAGAGACAAACCAAGAAGCTGCGCTCCACCCTGCGGTGGTAGGCTTAACAGGAGGAGGAACCACACTCCAGCCTTGGCTTGAAGTGGGCTTGACAGGAGGTGGAACCACAGACCAGCCCTGAGTGGTCGTAGGCTTAACAGGAGGAGGGACAACAGACCAGCCCTGAGTGGTCGTAGGCTTGACAGGAGGAGGAACCACTGACCAGCCCTGCGTGGTTGTAGGCTTGACAGGAGGAGGAACCACTGACCAGCCTTGCGTTGTGGTAGGCTTCGCAGAGGTGGTGTAGTCCGCCCATGTAGTGGGCTTTGCAGATGTTGTGGTCGTGTAGTCGACCCTGTTACATACAAGACTTTCGGTCAGTTTGACCGTACATTATGGTGATACATGACTTCTTGGGGGTTTGCGAAATCGATCTGCAAAAGACAGGAAAGATGGTACATACCAGCCCTTGGTCGTGGTCGTAGTGTAATCGACCCAGCCTTTGGTCGTGGTCGTAGTGTAATCAACCCAGCCCTTGGTGGTCGTGGTAACGACGACAGGCTTGGTGGTTGTGGTGGTGTAGTCGACCCATCCCTTAGTTGTCGTGGTGGGGGCGACAGACTTGGTTGTGGTGGTCGTCACATCACCCCAGGTGGCCTTGGTGGTGGTAGTGGGAGCGACAGACTTGGTCGTGGTGGTGACATCGCCCCAGGTGGCCTGAGTTGTCGTTGGAGCAACAGACTTGGTCGTTGTGGTGGTGACATCGCCCCAGGTAGCCTGAGTTGTAGTGGGAGCAACAGACTTGGTTGTGGTGGCTACATATGTCAGCATAGCGCTCGCGCCTAGTTCTGTCCCTGGAGCTCACCACTTGTGACATCTGCCCAGGTGGACGCATCACGCTTCACGGCGGCGGCATAGCCAGTGGAGGCAACAGCCAGAGCAATAAGACCGGACTTCATCTTGTCTGTAGAGTTGGAACTGCACACGATAGTACTTGATTGGGATTGGGAGCGAGAGTATGAGCAGAGAGCCTTAGCGAAGGAGCTCTTAGCAGAACGAAGGACTCAACCGGTACAATTGGATTGATCTGTGTGGTTGCGGAAAAGAAAGAGCATCGTTTGCTGGGCCATGCAGGATTTTATTCGTAGCTGTGTGACCTGTGGCACGCCTCTGCTGTCATCGACCGGAACCTGCTGGAATACCCATCTTCGTTTGGGTTGCATGGTGAGATGGAGAACAAGCTGCCTGGTACCTGGCAAGGCCGGGTAGCGCTAGTGGCAGGTGGACAACGAGGTATAATTGTGGAACCATTGGAGCTTTTCAGAGCTACCTGACAAAGTTCGCGCGCAAAGAGCTGAGTTGCTGCTCCGAGCTAGTCCTACCATGGTATCCTCAACTGTCGCCGGTACTGAGTTTACTCGCCCGAATGCACATCGATCATCGTGGCAATACTGTCTATCGAAGGCAAGTCAAAATAGGCGCCTTGTACATGGTGGTTGACTGAGACCTGGGTTTGTGCCCAGTCCACCACCTGGCTTGCTGCGCGCAACGTCAATGGCACTGTGACGTGAGCCCTGGGCGACAGGTCACATAGTAGCGCGATGGCAGGCATCCAAGCCTATGCGCAAGGCACTATTGCTGATGTTACTCGCAGATGGCGAAATCCTGGCAGCTCTTGACGAGAGACATCAGTGGCGCATGACCTGAGGAGAAAGACGTTATGGCCTCTATCGTCATATGGCCATCGCCAGCAAGCGTTCAGATGTCCCAAACAGGTAAAGCATAGGCAAGGCTAGCATTCCTAGGCCGAGGCTTGTTCCAGGCGCGGCCAATTGAAGGTTTGTGCCTGGCATCGCGGCTGGAGCCAGCTGAGACATACAGGTTTTAGCGGCCGGCCAGACTTCCCAGGTTTTTATGCTTCCAGCCATCGCTGAATTGTTCCGACTAAACAGCAGGCAGCGTGGGAGAACCTTTGCTTTTGGCGAGTGGTGACTTCGTGACTGTCCATAGCCGGCCCACCCGGCGACATGCAGAAGGCACAGTAACACGAGGCGTTAGTCAGGGCGAACTGAGCAACTGATCCTGTGGGAGAATTTGTGATGCAACCCCGCCCAACGTGCAAAAGCAGGTGTTTCCGCTTGCTGTCAGGGCGATGCAGGCGTGCCCGTGCCCACTCAAAACAGATCGTCGTGATTTTCGGGATTTGTTTCTGGTTGCCACGGGGGATGGCACCGGTCGCACAATCGATCGCGATTGTGGTTCTTTGACACCCACAACAACCATGAATATTGAGTGATGACTTCACGGGCCGGACAGAGCTTTCCAACGCTTTGCCAAGCTAGGTTCGTCGTGAAAGTCTACCAAGCGAGTCCTTGAAGATCGTATTCGACGAGAAGCGTTTCCCGAGGACCCGCTACCCACACCAGTTAGTGCTCACTCCACGACTGTGGTAAGAATAGAAATTTTTTTGGTACACCGGTGCTCGGCACCTCCACGGTTCTCGCCTGATGTGTGTCTTGCTCGGTCGATTTTCTTGCTTTGGAGCACGCCATGACCAGCACCGCAAGCGTGCTGTAGAATCATCATGATCTCTGTATGCGCCGTCTCTTAGCAGTCAAGCGCAACTGCTGAACCCGAACCGCTCGGCTGAGGCTTGCAGCCAATCGATAACTTGCGAAAACGTGGGCACGGGCTGGGCGCATGCTTTCGAACGCTCAAAGCTTACAGACACATCGCCGTCCATCACGGTTCTGGCAGCTGAGCCTCCCGCGGCTTCGGCACAGCACGTTATGCAAGGGCACGGTCCTCACGCCGCACCTGTTGCATGAATACCGCGCGAGCTGCGCGAAAAAGTTCTGCTGAACACAGTCCAGACACATCCGCACTGCGAAGAGAATAGCGTCCAGCGCCTTTACTGCGGGTTTCGCCACTGATGTGTGTCGGTCGGGGCACCCAGAGTCTAACTTGTTTTGTGTGGCTTGCCCCAGAAAAAGCTTCTGGAGAAGGCTCTCGCTCGCGCAGAATTTTCGCGTGCACCTACAGGTGCGAAGCGAACTGGCACATGAATTTGTTGAGGCGAATCATGCAACCCGTCCAGTCGACTACCATGACGTTCCGTTTGCTCCGGGGTGTTGGCAGGCCTCACACTGTCTGACACGGAGCGCCGGGATCAACTCACGCATCTCGATGGCGATGCTTCGGCATTGATGCCCTCATCTTGGACCGCTTCACTCTAAAGCGTTGCATTCAGTCATCCTCGCCAGAATCGGATCCACTGTCCCAGCCATGACTGTAGTTGCTCGCAAGTGCTGATAGGTCGTTGTATATCGATTCTCTCTCGTCAATTGAGAGACTCATTTGCGCCGCGCGCCGAAGCTGTAAAATATGCCCTCGGACTGAGGTCGTACTTGTGAGAGCCGCTTTCACACCGAGAGACTTGGGGTGTAGGTCTCTAGTTTGGAATAGGCCGTCCGGAAAAGAATCCAGCATAGGAAATTCTAGCCTCGTCTTAAACTTCTCAACTATGGTCTCTTCATCCGCACTTTGTCTCACCCGATCATCGGGGAAACGTGTGGGTGCCACTGAAGAGTTGTGTCGTGATCGATGGACTTCGGCTCGGGAAAAGGCGTGCTCGATCCCTCTATTTGATTGTTCCTGCATGGAGAGGAACTTAATGTCCAGTGGGTCGAAGTTTGTCGAATCCGCCTCGCGACCAGAGCTCGCATGCCCGTTACTCGTACCGTTGATGTTGGCAGTGTCATCCTCAAGATAGCTCAGCCCAACTTCGAAGATATTCTGCGATCCATTGGTATTCAAGATGCTCTCAAGCACAGGTAAGGTGAAGTTCGTGGATGCATCATGCACAAGTCTGGTCGGGAGTGTAGCCGACTCGATGGCGACACACTGCAGTGCCGATGTCAGCCACTCGCTTCCATTGAGTCGAATGTAAGGGGGATGCTTGGGCAGTGTCGCCAGTGGGATGTATGCTGAGGCCTGTTGACCGAACGCGGCCACGGAACGTGCCACATTTGACTGGCGCATGGCGTGTGTTCTTCTTTCTACTCTTGCATTGTTCTCAATGCCGAAAACCCAGAGACTCGATTTCGGATACTCGTCGCGAAGAGCATCGAGATAACGAGCGGCGAAGCCACCCCACGCATCATCTGTGCCGGTAAACAGCTGCATGCCCTGAAGTTGATCACATTCTTCAGCGAACAAGCGAACGTCCCGATCCAGTAGATCGACTTCTTTGTCTAGGTCACGGAAGAGGTCGTCGCCGGTGGACCAATTCTCGAAGGGCATCAGCTCCGAGTTTAGCTCATACTGGTTCAATTGGACCGCCGACCTTGGGTGGTAGAAGATCCGATTGAAGTCTGACCAGTATCTCACATCTTGCTGCTGAAGTTGAAAGGTCGGCATGCCACTATCGAGCAAGGTCTGATATCTGCTCGGTTCGACCGGCTGTTGCTGCTGCGTGAGAGTCGACCCGTCCCACAGCCTAGCGACTGCATCATCTTGGGCCTCATACAAAGCATTGATCTTCCTAAGTGATCCAAATCCGCCTTTCAGATCGTAGATGAGTGTTCTCGGTGTGAAGGTATCAATGCCTCCTTCGCCAAGACCAGGTCTGAATAGAACATCATGGTTGACCAGTGGTGCCTCTCCAGGTGAGTACGAAAAGTAAGACTCCTGGCTCAGCGTGAGTTATTTGACTGGACATGTATTATTTTGGCTCACCTGAGCATTCCAGAAATGAGTGGCTAAGTAATTACTTCGCTGACCAAACTGCAGAGTAATGACTTCATGCATACTTCAAGCGGAGCGGGCAGGCCGCACTGCAAATGAATGCCCTGCGAGTTGCTGCGGTCTGCTGGTTTTTGTGCAACTTACTGGACCTCGTTCAGACATTCGTAATACTTGGCCCACCTGTTGCGTCTGCTTTTGCGAGCGTTGGAAAACTGAGCTTATGATTCGATGTTGAGAAAGAATCTGACGAATATCTGATGCCAAGGCCGCCTTGCATACGATTCTGGCTCGTGGAATCATGATTATACTCAGATTTCGCCTCGTTCTCGCAGCAGCACAGTAGCAGATTTCAATAAGAGTCGCAAGTCTGCATACGGAGCTACATCGCCATCGAGTTTGCGCAGATTCTAGAGCAATACTTATACAAGCTACCGCCAACGAATCGATTCCACGTGGCAGCTTACACGTTCATCAATTGCGTATACACGTGGATCGTCCCGGAACCTATTTCCAGAGCACATGTACAGTTCCTAACGCGCCACCAGACTGGTCGGTATCCTGGTACGTCAATTCGGCCGATCCTCTTTGACACACCCGAGCCCTCATGTTGCTAGGAGTCAGCTCGCTCGGGCTCGATCGTCTACCAAGGGGCGCACTTCCCTGGGAGTGCTCATTCCAAGATTGACTGCCCTGCTGCCCTGTTGCTGGGTCTACCTGCCTTCAGCTTTGCCTGTTGACAATTGACATGCAGTCCAGATACCCTGTGAGAATTATGGCACATACGATCTATGGTCCAGGGATTTTGGTAGCAATAGATGGGGCTGCAGCTAGCGGAAGGGTCGTGACTCTGACTTGCTGTTGGAAGGAGTTTCGATGTTGCAGACCAGACATGACGGCTCCTATATAAATTAGCTGTAACCAGTCAATGTCTCCGCTAGCTCCTCGTGCTCGGTCACTGAACGGTCAAGTCCATCCATTTTCTTCCTAACACGTCTGTTCGACGATCCTCAGCTTGCCTGGCCAGTCAAGACGTGCGTTGCGAGTGGAACCGAACTGTAAAATGTTGTCTAGGCATGCTCGAATGCTAGAGCTTCTTCCTTCATTCTGCTACAGGGATCGATGTTGTATGTACAGAACGCTTCAACTCAGACTCATACCCAGGCAGAGAGATCCCGCGTTATCTGTACCAGTAGTCTTCCTTCACGTAATCGGCCATGGTCTTAGGCTCCGAGTAGCCATGGTGGTGATGGTGGTCGTGTGGGTCGTCAGGGGGCCCAATGTATTTCATCTTGTAGACACTGCCGCACTCGTCGCATCGCTCGTACGGTCGATCGCGTGATACCTTGAATATGTCAGTCAAATGGATCCCTTATATTCCGGGGGACCACCTACAACCACCCAGCGCACATGGTGCGAATCTTCTGGACAGCCAGTGCAACCACATTGGAGCTCTTCGCCAGCTGAGTTCACGACGATAGGATCCTCGAACGTGCCTATCTCTCCGTCAGCGCGTCCATCAGGCGAATGACAGCGTGAAATTCCATACCAACACGGTCAGACGGTAAAGGTCTCATATCGAAGATATCTATGCCCTGCATCTTTCCGAGGATTTCGAGACGTTCGAGACCGGTGGCCTGCTCGAGATCGGTGGGAATAGTACCAGGGGGAGCCCCGGGTCCGAGTAGATCTGACTCTTTCTTGACCTCTGCGTGTAAATGTCAACGAGCCTGGACTCTCTTACTCCACGGAAGCAGGAGTTCGTACCATCGAAAGGAATAAGCTTGCCCGGATTGTCGCTGGGCTTCAATTCGTACTTGCTGGCCTCTGTTTGCCATCTCACATGTCAGCCAAGTACACTTTCAGTCTCTTGCCAGGCGAGCGAGCTCCGTGAGCGGTCGCTCCAAATTGTGGTCTAACGTACTGCGCAGAGAGGAGGTCGCAAATGTTCGGCGTATAGGAACGCGCAGAGGGCCTCGCCTCGCCAGGGCGAAGGCTGTCCGTGCAACAGACATGTCTGCGGAGTGGAGAGGAAGGCGTGTAGAGCTTCAGAAACTGTTCAAGCGCACTAACGTCAAAGCATGAGGTCGAGCACTGCGTATCAAGCAGGAGCTCCCTCCGGGCTTGGCACTATCAAGGGTTAGGGCTCATGTCAAGGCTACCTAGCACGACCGAGCCTTGTTGCGGGGGCAGCTTCCGCAGGCGATGACATCAGGGGCTCGCTTCCTATGCTCGTTGGAGCTGGCAAGAGCTACCGGGATCTTGCACATGACTTGAGTCGTATTTCGACTTACATCCTTCCTCTCACCCGCTGACAGTACCTGCAGATCAGTTCGCTCATCATTGAACGCTTCAGTGGACGCCAGAATCCCTTCCAGGATCACTACCGCACACTCAAGTCACCCCTCATGTCTCGCCGTGGTATTCAGGTGCTAGGGCTCGCTGCCGCTGGTGGTGTCGGCTACTGTAAGTACAACGTCGCTTGCCAAAACCGGCAGAATCCCTGAGCACGCCATGAGTCTCGTGCTCGACGAACAATGACTTTGTCCCCCGTTGCTCTTAGCTCAACGACATCTTGCTGATCAGCCCGTCCGCAGATTTGTATAATGCCGGTGGAGACCCGAAACTAGCCCAGAAGCAAGCCGAGGCCGATGCATCGAAAGCCTCAGCAAAAATCAAGTCCGAGGTTCCAGGCCGGGGAAAGGAGGCAGAGAAGCGGGCAGAGTCTCTAGCGCAAGAGGCGTCGACCAAATTCGATCGGGCGAGCGCTGATGCCAAATCGGCGCTAAAGGACGCAGAGGCAAGAGCAAAGGAGTACAAGGACAAGACTGGCAAGGAGATCAATGCCGCGGTCGACAAGTTTGATGCCACCGTCGAGAAGAAGGCGGCCGAAGGTAATGTTCCTCCATGTTCACCTCAACGACAACTGACAAGCAAAACAGCCAAGAGCGGGATTAGCAGTTGGTTTGGAGGTTCCAAGTAGGAAGACACTATCTTGCCAGCGAGATGAGCTTGGCGAGGCGTTCGAATGATGCTCGTGCATGGTCTGGTGGATTGCTCACGTTCCAATTGCTATCACAGTTCGGTTCATCCTGCGAACGCAACTGGCACATCTCTACTCTACTGGACGCGAGCTTGCAACTGTTTCTCGAATTGATGAGGCATCTTTCATGCGCTTAGGCCGTAGCATCATGCATTTCATATCTACCCGATGCCTTTTTGGGTTCTGTACTGGACACGCGCCAAGCATTCGCCGCAACGCAACAACTCTGCAATGCTCTTGTCCTGTCAATTGCGCTATGTATCGTCATTTTGCCCAGCTCGCAGTAGTACCAGTTGAGATGACTGCTTCGCCTCGGATAGAAATGCTCGCCATAGCTTGGGCGGGGTGTCTCACGCGGTCTACTACTCTTCCCCTGATGCAAAGACCTTCCTGGCGGAGCTTGCAATTGATCTCCAGGAGGCCTCTCGTATCGCAGTTCCGCTTTCATGGCAAGAAGGGTGTAGCAACTCCAAGGCATTTCACTTCTACGAGCGACGATGATCGCCCAAAAACCGTGGTAGTGCGCGCCGCGCTGGACACCACAAAGCCACTCCTGACTGCATTGACTTCCAACGATGGAACAACGCGGTCTATCACAATCAAGGCACTTCCCAAATCGAACCTGAATAAGCTTGAGACTGAGTTGAGCAGCTTACTCAATGGCGAGGCGGGGAAAGCAGCTGGCGGTGCGCTGGTCCAGCTAAGTCCTGAGGGAGATGCTGTGCATTTGTCTCTAATAGCTTCATCAAATCGTCAAGCTGAACAGCTTAGATCTAAGATTATGGCGGATGCCGATCGGAAGCAACACCATCCCCATATCGCTATCGACAGTATCGAAGATCACGCACCCGGAACATGTCTGATGATGATTACCTGCACGACACACAGTCCGCCTGGCCTGGGCTTGCGGGATGTACGGCTCGCTACAGCTATCATTGACATGGCTGGGCCTCTGAGGGGCGAGCAGCTAGATATGACCAGCAAAGTACTCCGTGCGACTATGGCGAAGCAACAGGTTCGACATCGTGGAGAAATTAACACAGCAAGGAACAACAACGCCCACGAGAAGTGAGACCACAGGAATGATCTGGTTGTAGTCTACCTCAGTCGCGTTTGACGCCTAATTTGCCAATGTTCCTGAGCCCGAAAATCGACACAACCACGACTGCAGCGCACGAGGCTAGACAGAACCACCACGCCCCTCTGTACCCATCCAGAAGGACCAGCGTGTGCGGCTTACCGCTGTGTTCAACCGACTCAGATATGCTGTTGGCAATGACAGCGCTGATTGCTAGCCCGACGCTTTTGCCCACTTGAGCGACCGTATTGAACACACCGCCAGCCAAAGCCTGAGTCCTGTCCGGAAAAGCACTGGTAATCACCAATTGGGAAGCTGTGAATAGCACGTCGACACCAATGGCGCTCAGCGTGATGGCGGGAAATACAAACTCCCAGTATGACGACGTAGGCTTCATCGTCGCCGTCAAGATAGGCGAGATGCAGCTGATGAGGCAGCTAAACGTTATAGCCCAATCTGCCCGCACGCGATGTATCAATGAGCCCACAACAAGGTTCAACAAAATGCCCATAACCGCCACGGGCAGAAAGCGCAGGCTTGTCGCGGTCGCTGACAAGAGCTGCACGTCTTGAAAGAAGAACGTCAAAAGCGCCTCCATGGCATTGAACGCTCCCCACAGCAAGAAGACGTCCACGCAAACCGACGTAAAGATCCGATTCCGCCAGATCGAGTTCGGAATGATGGCTGGCCGTCCCAGCTTCTCCTGCCGCTGCACCCATCCCACAAAGCCAACGATCAGCACAACCGCCAACAACAATAACGCAATCGTAACGGGCTGCTCAATGGTCCTCACCGACCCTGTCAGCGCCGCAAACACGTAGCTCAACATAGCCAGTCCAGAACTTAACAGTAAAGCCCCAGTCCAATCAATCTCGCTCCTCAACCTCTTCCATATCGTGTGACTGTCAGTCCCATCCTCCTCGAGCCTCGGCAGCCCCCAGAACGTTACTACCAACACCACGGTATTGATGCCCGCTGCCACATAGAACCCTCCTCTCCACGTCACGACACTATCCGCCAACACACCTCCAACCACCAAACCGATCGCAAACCCCACGGGCTGACCACCTCCCATCGCCGCGAATGCCATGTTCCTGCGCCTTCCTTGAGGAAAGTAGCCACTTATTAGGCTGACCGCGCTGGGCAGACAAAACGCAATAGCTACTCCCGCAAGCCCTCTAAACACGATGATCTGCGCAGATGTCTTCGCCAGTCCACACGCGAGGGTGAACACGCTCTGCAACGCTGTGCCGAGGATATACATGAAGCGGGGTCCCACCACGTCGCGATCGCCCCAGAGAGGATCAGGCTGCAGCCGCACGTGAGGGCATTGATGCTGGCGGGCCAGAGTAGGAGGGAGGGCGGGATGGAGAGCGTGGTGACCATGTGTGGAAGGGCAATGGTGACTAGGCCGGCCAGCATAGAGCTTATTGCCGTAACACCGATGATGCTGAAGAAGATAGCGCCGGAGGCGCCTCGCTTGAGAGGCTGCGGGGTGAACGAGCCGTGGTCATCGCCATGTGGGATGGGCAAAGGAGGTTGGTCGGGGACGACAGGCTGCTTGAGAAGGGCAGGTGATGGGACGGAGGGCTTGGATGATGTCGGTATGCTGAGGAGCTCGATGCTCGATGCTGGCGGCGTTGTTTGTATTTGCGTTCGTGACATCTCTTGTAGTAGGGTCAGTCTGTATGAATGCTAACACCGTGGGCTAGATGGTGCTCTTCAAAACCCTCTCCTTAGAGCCAATTATTGGGCGTCCCAGAACCTTAGAGAGTATATGAGATGCAGCTGCTAATGAACCAAAGCTTGCAACAATGGCCCAAACATTGTGTCCGAATTCTTGGGTTCCTCCCTATATCGATTGATTATGGCATCGCCGCGTATTGAACCCTACTAAGTCGGCATGGGCATCATCGGTATGACCTCATTTCCTCCGTGACATACGGTACAAACCTAATCGTTGGTCCACTGTCCGAGCAACACACCGGTGCCTCGTCACTGGAACAGCAACCGTCAAGGCTCCAGCCCCTACTTCTGGGCATTCCTGGGCACACTTTGTAAGCAAGTAGCGAAAGGGCGCTTCGACAGAATCCAACAGCATTCTCTTCCTGGTCGTCGAGATGGCGCAGACGCTGATGGTAGACGGTTCGTCATCCTGCGGAATAGCTCCGAGGTGCAATGAGCGCCAAGTCTTATGGAACAAAGAGGATCAAGCGGTCTCTGTGAGAGCTGGCTCAAGGAAGTATAAGTCAGATCGTAAGTACAGAGATGGCCTACGTACATGTGCTAGACGGCAATAGTAGACAAGAGAACTCCAGTGGCGGCCAACTCTTATGTCTCTCCATCGCTCTTACTTCGCAATCCGCCTCACCCTGACCGTCGCCTTCGACGGCGGCAACAGCACAGTCCCCACGTACTGCGGTGCTACCCGCTCAGGCTGATGCTCAATGTCGTAGTTGAGTACCAAATACGCCAGCAATAGCCTTAACTCAGCAGATGCAAAGAACCGACCAGGACAAGCATGGCGACCCAGTCCAAACGGATGGTACTTCGGCGACACAGACACAAATGAGCGACCACCCGCATTATTGCTGCCGGACTTGCCTGTCGGCTTCTCATTCTGTGCAATGCTGTCAGAGGCATCGATCTCGACTGACTGCCCTTCCTGGACGAATCGGAAGGCTTATAGACGGCTGCGTCCTTGTAGATGTCCTCGTCGTTGTGAATGCCCATCGTCGGGAGACCGATGAGTGCGCCGTATGGCAGCTTGGCTCCATCTGGTGTCACAAGCCCCTTGGGATTGACCACACGGCGCAAGACGTTTGTCAAAGTGAAAGTCCGGAGCCGAGCAGATTCTCGCATGCTGCTGTCGAGCTTGACAAGGCGTTGCACGAGAGATTTGTCCCACTTGTTGTCGTTGTTGACCAGAGCGTCCCTGATCTCCTGTCTGATTTCTGAAAGGTTTTCCGGGTCGCAACTCGCTAGATCGAGGACGATGTTGGAGGTTATGAAGGTGCTCGTATGTATCGTGCCGAATATGGTGGCCAAAATCCGCAGAGCGATGATTCTGGGAGACCTCTCTGCTTCGAGATCAGAGCGCTCGGCAGCATCGATCGTCCACTGCATAAAGTCGTTTGGCTTCTCTTTCGAATCTGCAGCGGTGGCACTTTGCCGTCGCAGAATCTCCGGCTTCAAGTATTTGATGAAGCGTCGCGCGTACCAGTGATTGGGTGAAGTGATCAACGGCGCTACCAATGGCCGCAAGAGCTCCGGAATCTGTCTGAGAATCATCCCGGAAATAGGGAAGAGCACTGACCACCTCTGGGCGACCTTCAACATCTCTTCGTTGCGGCACAACTCCTGCCCAACGAAGACTCGATTGGAGGCTCGCGCGATGATGTGTTGGACAGCGTTGTAGACATTGACCTCGTGCCAGTTGGCGTTGGTGCCCCAATCCTCGTCTGAACTGACAGCGACCTCATCGTAGATCACAGGAATGAGGTTCGGAGTGCTTCGCGTCAGTGTGGCTAGTATGCTTCGTCAGTGCCATGTTGCCACCCAGGTAGTAGCATTTGGGCATCGCAGAGGGACAGAGGGTGTTCTAGGGCAAGCCCCGACCAGTTTTGCGGTAAGAGGACATCGTGACTCTATCGCTCCCTTGGGATGCTCGAGGGCTCTGGAGTGTTTGGAAGGGCGAGGGCCAGGGCTCGAGAAACAGCTGGGGAAGACCATGACAGAGTACGACCGCGTGAGCAGGTTCAGCTGATCGAGCCACAGAATGACTTACTCGAAATCGTGGTGTGGTGAAGAGGATTATGAATAACTTCAGGAACGAGCATGGCATGGTCTGGCTGTAAAATCTCCTCAACTGCGGAAGGGATGATATCCGACTCGGGCTGAGAGATGACCCAATCTGCGGAAGCTTGTGGCAGCAAAATTGTTGTGGTTCCAAGATCGCTTAACACACAGGCCTTTGACGCTTTAGAGAACTTCGAACGTCAGAGACGCGCAATTACTCATTGGAAAGCTGGTACCTGTTCATAGGACGAACTCAATGCCCCATGGATATCTGTAGCTGTCCTCCATCGTGCTCTGAGCCTCCCGAACCACTCTCCGTCATTGTAGTTGACCCATGGAAGATGTGAGTACTTCTCTCGTGTAAGGCGTGCCAGGACTACCAGAAGCAGCCCCGGTACAGAGCCCAGTAGCAAATACAGCGACAGAGGCTGCTCGAACGGCATCTCGACAGCTATCCAATGGAGAGATGCGCGTTCGACTGTGGAAGGCTCGACAGAGAGCAGTCAAATACATGTACTTGATCCCTTGGGAGTAAGCAAAGCTTTTAGTCAGAACAGGCATTCGTAGACTTGTCGCAAGTTGCGAGCGATAGTCGCAACGCTGCCTTGCGAGGAACCCCAGACAAGCGCTTGTCGTCAAGAGTAGCGTTCTGTTCATCATTCGTGGATCTCCTCACAGGCATACGACCCACAGACCATCATACTGCCCGAACTTTGTCACGTGTAGTAGCATATCCGCTCGATCTGGTCGAAACCGCTGTATAGAGTAATCTGAACTTCTATGATCTCTGCTAGCAGATTGGGTGCTGAGGAAAATGCGAGGCAGGTCTGACAGGCAGTCCTCCCCTAGGCGCCCTGCCTGAAGCCTCGTCCCCTTCCCTAACACCTGGGGATCAGATGGCCCCGAGACTTCGTAAGGACAGATCTGGCTAAGTCGAGTTCGATGCGGACCTCGTTTCCCGGCTCAAGAGGTCACCTACCTTGACAGACAGCCAGCTTGATGTCGAAGCACAAGTCGCCACAGGGCGCCCCATATAGAGGTGTACTTCTGTGCCTCCCCGTCGCGTGGCTTGTAGAATTTCTGAAACCAGCACTAGACTCCGAGTATCTCGTGTTTCATGCCCTGCAGAGAGTCATGGACGGCCTCGAGCCATTTCTAGTCAATGGCATTCTGCGCTGACGCAAATGGTTATTGGTAGGGAGAAGCACAGCTATGGGACAAGTCAGCAGTTGATCAGCACAAGATCGCCTGTGCCTGATGAGAAAGATTGTGGCCCGGATATTGGGATGCTATCTCCCACTGACGTCGTTCGCTCTTGCCCCTCCAAGCGGGACATCCATCAAATGTGGGAGGAGCTCAGTTCACTTCCCCCACGCGCCTGTCAACAAAAATTCCCAGGACTATTGGCAGGTGCTTGCTTTTGCTGTACTGGTCTCATTCACAGCTCGCGAGCTCTGCAAACCACAGGACAGACAGCATACTCACACCAAACCCGCCAAAATGGTCAAAATCGACCAAAAAGCCGTGCTCATCGTGATCGACGGCTGGGGTGTACCATCGGAGCACTCCCCTCCAGATGGCGACGCTATAGCTGCAGCAGAGACTCCTGTAATGAGTGGTTTCGCCAAAGATGGATCAGACACCGCCCAAGGCTATACCGAGCTCGAAGCGTCCTCCCTCGCCGTTGGTCTGCCCGAAGGTCTCATGGGCAACTCTGAAGTCGGCCATTTGAACATCGGTGCGGGCAGAGTAGTATGGCAAGACGTCGTGCGCATAGATCAGACAGTCAAGAACGGAGAAATGAACAAGAACAAGACAGTCACCAATGCTTTCCAGCGGGCGGTCGACGGCAACGGTAGACTACACCTGTTGGGTCTGATCAGCGACGGAGGTGTGCACAGCAAGAACGAACACCTATATGCCCTCCTCGAGGTAGCCAAGGAGATGAAGGTTCCCAAGGTGTTCATTCACTTCTTCGGTGATGGCCGCGATGTCGACCCCAAGTCGTCCGCTAAATACATGGAGCAACTCCTCGCCAAAACGAAAGAGATCGGTATCGGTGAGGTTGCTACCGTTGTTGGCCGCTACTACATCATGGATCGCGATAAGCGATGGGAGCGCGTTACCGTCGGCATGGATGGGCTTGTCAAAGGTACCGGCGAGGACAGCGACGATCCGCTCGCCACCATCAAGCAGCGATATGAAAAGGGCGAGACCGACGAGTTCCTCAAGCCCATCATCATTGGCGGCAAAGAGCGCCGTGTTCAGGACGATGACACTCTCTTCTTCTTCAACTACCGCAGCGACCGCGTCCGCGAGATTACCCAACTCCTGGGTGACTACGACCGCTCCCCTGTCTCCGACTACCCTTACCCCAAAAACATCGAAGTCGTCACCATGACTCAGTACAAGACCGATTATCCCTTCAAGATCGCCTTCGAGCCTCAGCGTATGGGCAACGTCCTTGCTGAGTGGCTTTCGAAACAGGGAGTCAAGCAGTGCCACATCGCCGAGACCGAGAAATATGCGCACGTGACATTCTTCTTCAATGGCGGCGTCGAGAAGCAGTTCAAGGACGAAGACCGCGAGCTGATTCCTTCCCCTAAAGTCGCCACGTACGACCTCGAGCCGCCCATGTCTGCCCAAAAGGTCGCGGACAAACTCTCCGAGCGCATATCTGACAACAGATACGAGTTCCTGATGAACAACTTTGCTCCACCGGACATGGTAGGCCACACAGGCGTGTACAAGGCCGCGATCGAGGGTGTGACTGCAACAGACAAGGCCATTGGCTCCGTATACGAGACATGCAAGAAGGAAGGGTACGTGCTCTTCGTCACAGCCGACCACGGCAACGCCGAGGAAATGTTGGACGAAGAGGGCAATCCGAAGACAAGCCATACTACCAACAAAGTGCCGTTCGTCATGGCGAATGCACCTGAAGGATGGAGTCTGAAGAAAACAGACGGCGTGTTGGGTGATGTAGCGCCCACGGTGCTGGACTGCATGGGTTTGGAGAAGCCGGAGGACATGGGCGGGCATTCATTGCTCGTGAGGAAGTAAGTGCTGCCGTCCGTCCGATTTCGAGCGTCGTCATCGCATTTGCTGTATTGGGTTCAGCAAGCCTCAAAGCGCTTCACAGTGGGTTCTCGTATCGTCGACAACTGAGACCCACAATCTGACTCGTCAAACGAGCAACGAGTAGACGAGCGGGCAGCAGATATATGGATCATGGATCAGCTTGCCTGCACGATGCAGGGTCAGGTCCACATTCCCGAGTCCGGCTCGTCTGCTCTTGTGCAGCTTGGGAGCGCCAATCCTTCGCTGCACTTTGCCTGCTGCGTTTCTCCTTCTTACTGCCTTATCGATGTTGTACGATGACAATGACGAGGCTGATGACCAAACTCTCTTCGTCTGATGAACAGACGAAAAGCAGACGAACAAGGCGCTAGAGGGTAGACAGCACTCTCCCTGTCGATAGAACAAGACATTACAAGCACAAAAAGCATTCACATCCTTCAAACACACAGTTTACGGAGCAAGGTAGACGTTCGGGATAGGAACATCTCGTTCTCAGGCCCATGTTTCGGCAGGTTAAAGTGCATCATAGGACCTCAGGCCGGTTGACTTAAACAGCTATGCGGCAGGGTCTCGCGTGGACTCCGGTCAACGCGTGGCGTTTCGGATGTTTGCGAGAACAGACCTCGACAATGTATCGTAAGTCCACACTCGCTGGCCCCCTTGGGTCACCTTCCGAGTCTATCACAAGCAGACTTCGTGTCCTCTATTCGACATGATATATGGGTCCGTTTGTCCCAGGCATTATGACGACACCTAGGGATTCGAGCATAGCTGCGGTATTCTGCGCATCCCATGGAGCGTTTAATCTGGACCTGCAATGACAGCCAACGATATCAATCGCTCGATGAGGCAGCTGATACATTAATTTTATGAAGAAAGAGGGAGGATCAACTGGTGCATCAGTCTTGTGACTCGTGCCGAAGATGCAAGTCGATGCGGTCCTGCTGCTCAAATCGAGCGCCGACGATGTTGTGCACTTTCTCGCTTCACTACCAAGATAAGTGTTCAACAGCTCGTCATTGCAATTGTCAACAGCAAGCTCGCTTAAAGGAAGGTGGGTTAGGTCCTACGAGGTGCTCTCACCATCTTAAAGAACTGGCCCTCCACCCGGCACCTTCCCAGTGGCAGATACACGGTCGTGACTGCCACAAAGCTTGAAGTCTCCCGACTGTGAACCTCCTTCGCCTTGAGCCTCTCTTCAGGAGATTTTCGATCATCATTCCTTCACCATTCTCTTCAAGCAACGAACCTCAATAGTCGATCTCAAGCTGTTGTCATGTCATCGAGACTCCGCACCAGTCCGGCAGACCACCAACGCCCATCATCACAGCCATACAAGACGGTGCATATCAATGGAGACGACATTTCTGTTGACTACTTCCATCCACACTTCCATTCCAACCCCAAAACCCAAGCCACGCCTCAAAGTACGGAGTAGGCAAGAACCGCCGACGAGGTAACAATGCCAACAAGCACAAACCCAAGCATAACAACGCCAGCCCTACGCCGACGTCCACGTCTGCACACGCCGAGCAGAAGCCTTCATTGACCAAACTGGGACAACTCAATGACAGTCCAAAGCACACCAAAGGAGAAAGCATAATACTCGTGCCACGTACACCACCACACACCAACTCAACGCTGACACGCCCGGCCAGGCCAGATTCTCCCAAACGTCCTGCATGGTCACCAATATCTGCAACTTCGACAGCTCTTCAAACGTTGACATCTACTGCTGAGTTGTCTCTGTCACCAACGACGTCGACTTCTACCGCTGGACACCCAGCAAACGTGCAGGCCAGCACTGCTCCACCATCACTGCTTTCTACCCTCAAAGGACCCTCAAAGTTGACGACAACTTTACTTTCTGTGCTCCAAGGCCATTCAACGAGGTCAGCTTCTACTGTTGAGTAACCAGCACCCCTTTATCCACTGAAGCGTCACTACCTCCAGTTGCCGAAGGACCCTCAAAGTCAACGACAAGTTTACTTCCCGCGCTCCAAGGCCCCTCAACTACTGCTGGGCAACAAACTCTCCTTCATCCAACGAAGGTGCAGGCCACCGCTGTTCTACCGCTGTCACCACATCCAGCTGCCGAGGCTCTGTCGAAGTCTCTGGAGCCAGCCACTACTACCGACCGGAGAGACTTGAATAAATTCCGCCGGTGTACCTCGTGTCAGGAGATAGATTGAAGAAGCTCGACAGGAAGACGTGTAAAAGTCTCGGGCTGCGACCGCGGACAGCCCTGCTCTCGGTGTCGAACTTTGGGGCGCGTATGTGAATACAAGCAGAACTCCCTAAGACCGGTACGCAGTATTCCATGTCGAAGTGTAGAGGGAAGGTATCCTCAGACATCCATCTGCGACTGTGAAAGGCCCTGCTCTCGGTGCCAGCAGCGAGGACTTGTATGTCGATACGAAAAGGGCCCCGGACCAGGAATCAAACCTTCGGCGCCACTCCGACCTGCGCGTACGGACACATCACTGCTATCTCAGGCATTGGGTCAACTCGAGACTGTAGCAAAGCCCGATCTTGGAGAAGGCAAAGCTGTCACTTCCGCTGCAGTTCATGGAGACGCCGTCATCGGCCCAGCGATTAAAGCTGGGTCTTCGAAGCGGCTGTCGCTTTTCAATACCATGACTGCCGTGTTCTTTGCCCACCACGATGTCGCCACTTGGGGTTTGCCCAGCTGGCGATCAGTGGTCAATGATATGCGCTCTGCTAGTGTCCCAGACCCAGTCCGTGGCCTCGACGACCTAAACGAAACCATGCTGCTGGAATTAATATCGTGCATCAGCCGATATCACCCCAATGCCATCAACAACGGTCTACGTCAGTCGCTTGCTCGATTCGCTGTAGGCGAGCTGTATTCTGGTCTCATCGCACACCATCTTACGACAGCCTTCCGAAATCAATTGAAGAGCCCTGACAAAGTGATGCTATTTATCTCTGCCGAGCAGACCGAAGGGCAGTTCGTCGCCAATATCACTGTCGATACGAAAATCGTGGTCGCGGTAGTCCTTGCGAACAAGCATTTCATGTGCGTCACTTTCCGACTTGGCCGCCACGGCGATGACATTTCCATTGGCGTATACGACGGATTCGGCATTGCGGCACCAGAGGAGTGGATAGCTCTAGGGTGGCATGCTCCCAGAGACTACATTCCTACAGGACTTGCGTCAGGTTTTGGAGGGCCGGCGATCCGTGATCTACTCGATGTTGCAGACCCCGCATTGATGCCATACCGTAAACCAACGAGCCCGAAACCGGATGACGAATCCTCGTGTGGTCCTTGGTCTTTCTGGGTCGCTTGGCGTCTGCTAGACTCTATGACCCACGGGTTGGCCGACGAGTATTCTGATATGCACGCATTAAGCACTTACTGGTCCACGGTGTCAATCTCACAAGTCGTCCTCACTTTGGCAACGTGGATATCTGGGTGGCGTTGACCGCTCACATTCATAGCCTCGGCGTGCTTTAATCCCAGTGCGCCACCCGCCTGTCTCGCTCACTGCTCTCTGTGAGGTCCGAACCTAGAGCAGATTGCAGTCTCATCTTCATTCCGTCCTAGTTAGTCTCCTTCACCGGCACTCGTCCCCGTCATGCGTGCTCTTCTGTGACGGGTCAGCCAGCAGCTAATCGATGATTCCTCGGTTACGTTGAGTACTATCTCATTCATGGCCCGCTTTACCGTGTTTATGGTATAGACAACTTGGATGAATGCGCTAGGAGCTTAAATACTCTGGCCCATAACAATAACAACCCGACTTTGGCAAGGGCACTGAGCTCGCAACATACCAGGTACCCAGTATTGGAATTCGCCCTTGCGCTCTTCAATTCATTGCACAAATCGATACTGTGGGCTTTGATGCAGATATCCATCATCACCGACGCCGATGCGCTGAGAGCATGTCTTACAGCATCTAGCATATTGGAGTGTCTCTCAAGATTATCACAAGCCCTACTACGGTTGCTCTGCATCGATGATCGCCATAATGGCCAGGAGAGATCGAGACCGCACCAGCTACGCCGCCCCTCAATCAGACTGTTCAACACAAGTTTCACTCTCTTCGCCATATCGACGTCTGTGAGCGTGCACATGGCTTACCATGGTTCATGCAGGACCCTGAAAACGAGCACAAGAATCCGGCGCTGTCATTGTGCCAAACCAGCTGGCCAATCGAAGATTTCGACGCCTTCGATCTCAAGAAGCTCTTCAACTGACTCGGGAACATCATGGCCAATGAATACATCTGCAAGTCAAAATGGATTGTGGCTCAATGTCTGAATCTCGCTGTCCGACTCATGGTGGGAGATTTCTGTGCCGCTGTCTGCTCGCTGTTCATTGTGAACACGTTTCGCAATCAAACTGGATATGATGATCTGGCCACCGAGGATACTAGAATGTCGACACTAGAGTACAACAAAGCATGTGATCGGGCAACAGAATGACTTGAAGGAGAAGGTGTGTACAGTGCCAGCATTTATGGTGTCACTGACTCGGGGATACCAAAATGGTTGGACAGTGCTTTTTATGTCATCATATCCCTCCTGCAGTACCTAACACGCTACAACAATCTGACAATGCCCAGTCAGTCACAGTCAATATCACAGATTCCCCGGAGCATTTCTTGGAGTATCGTGTCAGTAATGATATAGAAGCCTTGCGCCGAACTCTTGCGTCGAGTTCCCCCGCAGTCAACGACAACCTGGCCGACAACCGGGTCGTCTTCGATGAAAAGGGACTAGGAAGACTGATGCTTCGTGGAAGAGATCGCTGAGTGACGCGCCGAAGATGTCAAGGGTTGTGTTGGCTGCGATGTTGAAAGCAGAAGAATCTTTACGACCGCCGTCTGAGTACGGAATGTATACTGCATGGAAAATTGATAGAGGATGTCCAAAGTTTTATAACGTTCCAATCCGAACTCTGGATTCTCGAATAAGTCCGAAGCCGTCTTTCTCCTGCTCAACAGGTCTTCGAAGCCTCAAGCAACAGTTCCCGCAACACCTCAGCTTGACTCGAGTCTTCATGGGAACTTGATTGGCGCGGCGGAAGTCCACGGCAGTGTTTTCTGTAGTAATTGCGCCTTCCCAGCAAGGACGCCCAGGCCTGCAAGTATCACGAACACATCAGGTGCGACGTTTATCTTTTGAGCACGGAACTTCTCCCCAAGCTTGGCCGCCCATTGACATTGTCGTGACCCTTTGTCCAAGGATCCATGTATCGGGCTGGCCACTCACAGCAAAAGGACCAGCCTTCCTCGAGCCACTCCCCAATGCTGGTTCTCTGGTGCAGTCCATCTTCCGCAGCTGATGAATACCATGGCCATAAACGCACTCTTGCGCTTGCAATACAGACTCGAGTCCATCGATGACGGAACACTGCGCCCTGCGCGCCTAACATGGTGCCACATCTGTCTGAATCTTGTTGTTGGATAGTCGCAGGATGCCATCGACTTGCCGACGGCGTAGCTTGCTCAACTCCATTGCATGATACACTTTCCGAAGGCCGACAAGGGGGCCATCGAACAGGCCATCAGGCAGCAGAGCAGTGTCAGTATCACAGGTCTCGAGATAATTGTGGAGATATAAGCTTAAGCATAGGTCTTCCGACAGGCCATTGAGATGAAAATAAGCGGCACCACAGAAGCTCAGCTACTGACATGCTTCACAACACGAACTCGCTTCTGTGCAGTTTGAAAACTAGCTGTGATGAGGTCAGTAAATAATCATTGTTAAGAGTGTCAGGATGGACACTGACCCAAAACATCCGCTGGGATGGCGCCGCGTACTCCTCTGACAAGCTTGATAGCCAGCGCAAGCGCCTTTGCGACTGTTTGTGTATCTCCACGATCAACCTCGGAGGCAATATACGACTGTGTGCTATTAACACCTAGGAGCACTTTTGCGGCCAACGCTGTGTCGCTCTTGAGATCTTCGGCTGTGATCTTGCCACCGCGCACCAGACTCTTGATGCAGGCTAAGCCATTCGCGACAGCATGATTGATCTCAATTATTTCGGCTGGCGCTGTATTGAGGCTCGTGTCTGGTGGCAACTTCAAGCACTCAGAGAGGTCTTTGAAACTGGTCTTCAACTGCTCTGTGACAGCGTCGCGGAGTACATCTTGAGGTTCGATGTTGACAACCATGGTGGGTGCTTGCAGGATGGCTCGTGAACAGGAGTGATGCAGTGGGTGGGAGGTCTGGTGTGCTTGCAGTCGGTTGAGATCGTGGTCATAGGTTGCAGAGGGAGAGAAGAGATATTGCGTTTTGTGCGGCTCAAGTGAATTCGTTTGCTCGTTGCAATGATCTGGTTATGCCTACCAAGACCGCGAGAAACAGCAATAATTCTTTCTCTCCACGATCGGGATCTAGCACAGTCGCCGCCGAGCTTGCAACTGCATCATGGTGATTCAGAGACTGGGGCGGTGGTGTGTCCGCACCTTCCTTAAGTCTCACGACAAGCCATTACTCCTGCCAACATGCCTCACCTCATAGGAAAGCCTCATCTCAAAGGGAAGCCTCAACCCGGCCAGAATCACTCATCTTCGTCCTACTCCGCACCTCTGCTACATCGACGACCATCCCAGTGAGAGCGGGCGGCTTGTTCTCGTCAGGCATACCTTCTTTGCATCTGAATCGCACCTCTGCTACATCGACGACCATCCAAGTGAGAGCGGCCGGCTTTCGTTCTCGTCAGGCACACATTCTTTGCATCTGAATCACACCCAGCTGAGCAGTGCAATACTTCCCGCAGGCTTCTTCATCTACGCCATGGCTCCGATCGAGCTTCGGAACTCATATGCTTTAGGACCCAAAGGTCCAGAGGATAATCCAATCACGCATGCAGACGTTCTTGAGATGTGCAAGACATATCAAAATGGCGCGCGGAAGCCTGTCCCCTCACCGATGACGAGCCGAGAGCACAAACATCACGACGAGTTTAAAGATTATGCGGCTAAGGTCATCGACTGCATAGTCGCAAACTACGACAAGTTGTATGGCTCACACCAAACTGCGATGTCCGCAGCATGCGCCGACGATTGGACAGGGCGCATAATCCGAACTATTGTCGAGGACGCGATTCTACAGCAAACATACGTGGTGTTCGGAGATCCAGTCTCATGGCTCGTATGGTCTTGGGTCCACCTTGTCCGCAGCCTCGAATAGTGTCCTCGGCTTAAACATATCATCTCATGACCAGAATAGCCGACACGCCTCGAATATCCCGATCATCGTGTCGCAGCCACGGCTGGGCTGGGAAGCCGCCCTTGATATTAATGATCAGAACAGACAGATTCTCCAGGAGCGAGACTCTCATGGTCTGATGAGCGGCGGTAGTGTTGGCCGAGTGGATGCCAATCAAGCGTAGCTACTCTAACATCCATAGCTGCCCTAGCTTGACTTGATGGATGCGCATTGCGGTACCTTCAGGGTCGATAGCTATGAGTGAAAACAACGGTATTCGTGAAGGCGTCTTGTGAGATTGAATATATGTATGCCCAGGACAGCCCGTCAGAGTGACAGGTACATGCCGGCCTCGATGGCATCGTCGACATCCTTTTCGTCCCAGCAACGAGTTTCTAGCACGCATCGCTGTAGTTAGAGTGTAGTGAAAGTCTCTGCATGGCAGGGTGCGGTCTCCCTGTCTGTGTGCCTTGATAAATAGACGGGGCTCCCGTACTGTGGGACTTAGCCGTGGCCGGATGACGAGCTCGGATTGAGACCGGTTGACCAATGGAGTCAGTTGGAACCGGATGACACCAAGCTATGGGAGACCGGTTGACAGTCGAACCTGCTCGGGACCGGTATGCTATCTGTAGGCACGATTGCGAGTGCTTCAACCTGCTTCAGCTTGTTCAGACAGATGCTCTACCGGTTCTGCAACCACGACGTCGTGCAATAAAAGCTCTGCTAGACTACCTGATAAAGAATACTGCCTATGAATGCAATGTGCAATGCCAAACCAGCAAGCTACCGGCAATGTGTTCGCTCCGTCCCGGCTACCACATGCAGTACAGCAGCAGAGAGCACCCCAGACATCCATCCATGCCGAGCAGGCTACGGCAGACTTTTCGGATCTTAGGGCGGCGGACCACCGCTAGACCGAGCCCGTCCAGCATCGCAGGTATTATCGAACCACCCCATCTGTAATGTGTCCATGTAGAAGTCCACAGTCACTCCTCCGATGACTGCGTAGAAGCTGATGGCGGATAGGCCTTCAAACTCGGGGCCAAAGTCGCCGATCTTGTTCACTGGGTCATTGTTAGCGGCTTGTTGACGAAAGCACAGACACTGATGGCGTTATCTCAGGAACAGAAGACTCACAGTGGCACGGTGGCGTAGTGCATTTCGTCTCCGTCCAGCTCTTCGACGCGCCTTGAACAACGTCGTCGTTTGTGCCAAAGTCATGCTTCCATGGGCTGGCATAAAAGGTACACGTCTGTCCCTCCGCAGCGCGGGAGAAGTCACTTTGGACGTATGCAGCCGTGATATTGAACCAGTAGGCCGGGAGGTCATTGCGAGTGCCTGCGCCAAAGCCGTTGCTGGGAACTTCGTGTGGAGTAAGCTGACCAGAAGAAGCGTTAGCCCCTGAGGCAGAATGAGCCAGGGTATTGCCGGAGACTGGGAGATATGGTTGATCGGGAGGTGGGCCTCGTGTCCAGGATCTGCCCCATGTAAGTAGGGTCTCTGGAGATCCCGCCGGTGGGTCGTCGAACTACACATCGGGGTAAGCAGCGTCGACCGTCGGATTGCCGTACATACCGAAATCTCGAACGCGCCAATCATTCCACAATCGGGCGATGTGGGCGTGGGAGCAGGCTGACTTGTTGCCGTAGCCGATATCTTAGAAGCCAGCCATGAAGGAGTTACTACGCGAATTAGCTGATGTATCGCGTAAGCTTCAATTCCGACGCACCAGTTGAGACCCAATTCGTATCTGTCAGTGGGGGCCCATCGCCAGTGTAGATGTTACAGAATGTTCCCCCATTCGGGCCACCATCGACAAGCGTACAAATCGGACCGGTCGGTGCTGGAGGAGGTTCTGTCGGCTCGGGAGCTCTTGCGACTTCGTAGTAGGCATTCGTCGGGAGTGCAACGGCCGTTGCCAAGCGAAGGCAGCCCAGAAGGACCAGGACCATGGAGAAGAGCTGGATTGCTAGTGAGCAGGATGGCGTTTCGTGCGGATGGCCACTCACCATGATTCCAGTCCCGAAAGTATGGATCGAAGACGACGCACGGCTAGGGTATTGACACTGAAGACGATTCGCGAGTGGTTTCGAAAGAATATGAGGCGAGAAGAGAGTCGGCTGCCCTGAACGTTCGAAAGTGACTAGAGTCACGTGGCTGCGAAGAATCGACAAACGAAGTGAAGAGAAGTGAAGTCAAGCGCAACGACGATAGAAGAGAGGTGCTCACTCGGTAGGCATGATATACCAATATGAAGAAGTCGCGAGTCCACACTCGATCCTGCGCCTGCCACGGTTGCTTCCATTTGCTAACTTCCGCTCGAAGAACAAAGAGCCATCGGCAGCCTGCAGCACTGGCGAGTCACTCTTCCAAGGTTGCCGTGACCTGAGATGTGACTCGCCTCCGGGTACCCCTTTTCGAGGTCGTTATTATTGCGCAGTTCGGCAAATCTCGAATCTCTGAGGGTGTTCTTCTGTCACTTTGAGACCAGAGCTACACGTGTCTGACACATCCCCGTGGTTCTGTTGTACTCGGCAACCAGTACTACCATCCTGGCCGTAGACTGATACGTGAGAACTCGCCCATCTAATGACTCCTTCAACGTGTGGACGCTGTCAAATAGCTCACATATTCAGATGGAACAGATCTGCTTCTCCGCCTCATGTGCCCCTTGCTGCTACAGCCCCGTGACGTGCTGCGCAAGGTCATTAGGATGTGCGAAGTCTCAGGAGCTGGACGAGACGAGAGCTGAAGTTCCTTTCCAAATCTCCAGGGTACCTGCTTCCGTCCGACGAGTGTGCAATCCGTGTAACACCATACCAAGTCCAGAAACTTCGCTTGCAGGCAGTCGCAGTTGAGAACGTGTTCCCGAATAGGAAAGTAAAACTTCCTGATTCAGCTTCTGTTCGTCCATCCTGGCGTTTGAAAAACAACTTCTTGCTTTACACACTGCGCTTTTGCTGCCCCGAACTTCAAATCATCTGCAAACGAAAATGAACGTGCGGCCCCGCTATTGACAGAGGGGAATCCTGGGGGCGCCAGATTTGGGACGGGGCAGGCGTAGCGAAGTTTTGCATTTGTCGCCCGGTCTTGTGAGAGCCATCGCTGCTTCCTTGCCTGTGGCGTTGATTGTCGACCGGCTCCGGCTATGAAGACGGCCGCCGCGCTTCACTCCTACTTCTGCATCGCATCAGCCTCGTCCTCACAACTCCGTCGCCGAAGGCACATTTGAGTGAATACAGCAGGCAGCAAATGGCCATTAGTAATGCAAAGAACAGTGACTGCCGACCGTCTGACCAGTCACTCCAGGATCGTTTCGGTTTACCCCGGGATTCCACTCAATGGAAAGGTATAAGTAGTTGGCTTGTCCTCGACTTGTGCTTGCGCCTTTTCCCTTCTCCAAGTCATGGATGATAATAGAATGCATATGACGCTGTGCCATGCCAAAGTAGCAGTCGCTGCTAGTTGATGCGGCGAGCTTCTTGAGCAGTTGCCGAGGATACATTCGAAGAGATGATATTGATGCGATGTTGCTGCGGATGCCCTTGCCTCGCTTCGCAGAATTTCTGATGGACAAAGGTGCTTCGGTGACTTCTTCTCGCGCCAGCGTGCTGCCATCAGTCTTCCAATCCTGGAACTCGATTCAATCAAATCAATCATTTCGCTTGAACGCTACACTTGCAATATGGTATCGCAGCCCACTCCATGGGCGGTCCAGAAGTCTGATACTCATACACTCTCGTCTGCTCTCTGACCCATCAACCCTTCCCTCTCCTGCATCTCGATGTCTCCATCGCCACCACCGCCGTCCGCTCGAGCCACAGCCTTGTTCGCCTTCGCGCCAAAAGCCCTCAGGTTCTGCACTTCACGCCACCGTACCGCCCAAATACCACAAAGGACCATCAGTCCAACACTTGCAGCCTGCAGAGTCCACCACAACAGGTTGGTTGGAATGGTTCGGGTGTAGAACGATGTCGTCAGAAGGTGGAAGAAGTGAAGCGTCAAAGAAAAGTCAGGGATCAATGATGAAGGTAGCTGGCGTGTCAGAAGGAGAGTTGGTATAACGCTGTTGAGGTCCATGTTGTTAGTCGTGGAAGCCGACAAGGGACGGGAACATGATCCATACGTGATGAAGCCAGTCAGAACGAAGCAGAAGCCAACAACCCAGCCAAGAGTGGTATCGCCTCGAATCCGCCGCCAGTCAAGGAGGAGGGATATGTTGAAAGATTGACCGAGAGTTAGGGTCGTGAATAGGATGAGTATTAGGGCCGTAGCGTACTGGAGATATTCGTGTCAGCTACACGCTTCGACCTTCAGAAGTCCGTCATCATGCCGCCTGGCCGACAGGGCCTGCATTGATGCCTGATCTGTAGCACTCACATATGACAACTGTATCAGAACTATTGCTTTTGCGATTCGCAACGGTGGAAGGTCTGCTAGAGCGCCAGGGCGCGGCGGCCGTCTGCGCCGTGGCGGCATCTTCGCGTACTACCGATAGCTCCGCTGCATGAAGGCGACTTCTACTGATCTGATCTGATCTGATCTGGCCCAATTCGAGTCGCAGGTGGACGCCAGTCAGCAAGGGAGACCTCGTAGGGTTTCGCTACCGTGATTGTGGATCGTTATGTGGCACTTAGGATCCTGAATATCTCACTGAGGGTGCGCGACGCGGAAGAGTACAATGTCGATTCGTGTTGTGATGTAGTGGCGTGGTTGAAGGTAAGGTACCGTTCGAACAAGTTGCCTGATGCAGGTGGTTGAACATGGAGTTGGAGAAACCGATGATGGCGTAGACGACCGCGAGTGAAACTAAATTTCCTACAACCACCACCTACCTCACTACGACTCTGACCAGCGCCCGCGGAACACTCCAACAAAAGCCATAGGCAGCCGGTAGATACACTCGCATCCTCTGTTTTGTGCGTCTTCCCTCGCTCTGCGCCCTCCTCAAATCTCAGTAAAATGGCATACGGTCTTCCCGACTGGCTCACCGGCGGCCCATCCACCACCTCCTCCGCAAATCCCAAAGGCCCACCTCGATCAAACGACGGCGGCTACATAGCGCCCGACAGAACAAAGCGGGAAGTGTGCTACGAGTCACGAGACATCTTCTTTAAGTGCCTAGACAAGCACGATATCCTGGATGCAGTCAAAGACGATGAGAAGGCGCGGCAGAGCTGTCCCGAGGAGGTGACAGCATATGAGCGGGATTGCGCGCGGAGTTGGGTAGGTCCCTTTAGTGCGCGCTCGTCTGATTCGAGTGTGATGCGGGAACCCAGAGCTAACTTCAGGCAATTAGATCAAATACTTCAAGGAGAAGCGAGTGGTAGATTGGAAACGAGATCAAACAATAGCCGCAATACAAGAGGAAGATGCCAAGGCAATAGCAAAGGCGAAAGAGAAGAGAGGCGGCTGGTTTTAGGGCTCGTCACCCGGGGAAAATTGTACAAAATGCCACAAGATGAAGGGGTCGGAGCGGCGGTGTTGATAGATGTCATTCTCCATCGAACCATCGAATTCCAATTCTCAACTTTCGAACAGCCCGGACTCACTGACTGTATCGTCCATCACCGTCCAAGGGCCCCATGACAGCACCCACCATGACAGCAGCCTCGCGCTCCCAATTCCCGACGATGGACTCTTGGCTACCCGTCCCACCAAGAACGCTCGCCGGCATCTTTGATCCTCGCAAGACGCATTCCCGGATCTCGGACCTGACAGTATCCCTTTGACTTCGCAGTGTCCGCGCCGAGATTCCTCCTCGGTTCAGAATTTCCTGTACTCGTGTCCCGAGAGATGCTGCTAGCGATCGCCAGAAATACGATGGAAGAGATGCTGTGTCTAAGGAGGTCAGGAGTGGCGTCAGAAGATTGTCGCTTCCTTCTCGTCCGTCTTCGAAGCTGAGGTGGTCCTCATCATCATCTTCAGCTGCCTGCTCTTTCTGCTCCAGCTCCTTCTGAAGCAAGGGATGCTCCGGAGCCTGGATACTCTGCAATAGTGCCTCTAAAGCAACAATGTTCTGACATCGTGCGCTGACCTCGATAGTCGTCTTCTCTAAAGTCGGAAGCTGAGCCAGCGCACGGCCAATCGCTGCCGAGCTCGAAGTTATCGCGGACTGTAGATAGCTCTGTAATGCTCGGAGGAGGTATTCAGGTTCGAAGTCCGCTTTTCGCATTGCCTTGCCATCTATTCTCGGTGCTGGACTGAGCACATACAGCATATGCGCTGCGCTTGTGAAACGGGAACGATTGTCTTCAGCATCCTTGAAAGTGGTGCTGGCAGCCGATGGGCCGATGAGGCTGCTGACGGAGAATTCGCGGACTGTTCGCCTGGCGTAGTCTAGTAGGCGCGCCTCACCGTCTTCGAACACTCGTCCTCGAAGACTTCGCACCAAATTGATGCGGCTGAGGTCGACGCCATCCGGTCCGCCTATTAGCTCCTTGAAGGATAGAAGTATGGTACATGCCCGCAGAAGCGCCCTATGATCCTCTTTGCCAGCCCTCGAGCTTCCAAGACCCGAGTCTGACAGAGCCGTCTCGAACTGGCGTGCTACATTGACGATTCTCTGCACAAGCCGTCCTAGTCGAAGAACCTCCCAACTTCGTGACGCACTGATCTTAGCTTCCACAGCTCTATCGTACCGCTCCGCGACTTCCTTCTCAAGGCGAGCAAACCTGGCATTCAAGCGCTGTCTCTCGTCTTCTACGCGAGTGAGGATCCTTTGAGCAGCCTCATTCTGCGTCTTGGTGTAGTCCAAAATGTCTATGGCAGACCGTGACGTCAGCGTGTGTATGTGAGAGTCAATTTCTTGTACATCGAACAAGACTCGAGACAAGGCTGTGCTAAGATCCACATTCGCGTCTGAGGCATTGTTGGTGCGTTGTACCAGGGCTGCAGCATGCTCGTGTGGCGAGAAGTTGGCTGCGGTGAGGGCATCAATGTCGATATACGACGACGTAGATCCCTCTTGATCTGCTGTGGCCATCGCGTCTGGCCTCCCGGCTCATAAGATGGCACGCTGCTGGTGCAGAACCTCCTTCATCCACTGACCGTTCACCGCTGATGGATCATGAAGCTTCGTGACCAGGAGCCAGACAGATTGCGCTGTTGCCGGGTTATGCGATGATCTTCGAATGTGTCCCTGTGTAGTCAGACATGTTTACCTAGGTATTGCGGGCTTTAGGGACATTCACACCTGCATTCAGTCAACCACGATCGACGTCGAATGTCGCTTGGCGCCAAGATGCCTTTTGTGGCAGGTGTCTAGAAGTTCAGGCGTAGACGCGTGTCCTCACGTCCAACCACGTAAGATGCTGCCACATACCGCCAGGTGCCGTGTAGCTGACTGTGGGCAAGGCGCTTTGCCACGATGTGTACCATGTTCACAGCACAACTGGATGTCGACTAACCACGCGATCTAAAGTGAACGTCTGCATCGCAGGCAGGTATGGCGAACCATCTTGTAATTTTAGCTCAGGGCAACTTTTAGGTAAGGCGCGGGCGAGGGTCAAAGGAGCCACTGTGGCGCAATTAATAAGGTACAGGTACAGGCACGATGGTGGCTCCGCCTGAGATCGAGCTTAGCAGGCACGAGGGCTACTAATAGGATTTCGGCTGCAGGTACGGTCCCTCCTGTTGATCAGTGACCTCTGCCCAGCTTCGGATTCTATGTGGTGAATTGCCGGCGCATTGTGATTCATGGCAGACTCCTTTGAGTGCCATGAATTGGCATGCCGAATACGGTTCACGCACGACCGCTAGATCGCAACCTCCGGATCACAATCTGGTGGGCAGGTCAACAAAAGGGCAATGCGAAAGCTGCGGCTGTGAGTGGGCGCCATCTGGCCATGCTCTCTCGAAGCAGCCTAGGCGCCTACTTCTTATGCAAGATCGGTCGCTCTACCCCCGATGGGCCACCCAGGGTCTGATCGAAGGCCATGGCGTTCGCAGTCCTTCCAACAGACCCAGCAGAGAACCAGCACACCCCGCTGGTGCGCATGCTGAAGGCGTCGTGCAACCATATAGGCGATGCTGCCAATTATGAGCCTTCATATAGTGCGACAGAGCGCATCCCGGCATAATCAGTGCTGCATGTGATCAAGTGCTCGAAGGAAGTCTGCTGTGTTCTAGACGACCTCGCAATAGGCGTTGGATGACAGACTTTCCGTGGTCGAAAGAGCGGTGAATGTAAGGAACGCATTTATACTTCGAATTCTTCTTTGACCAGACCATGTTATGTGTTCCTCCGAAGTCCAACCTGTGGATTCTTCGTATGCGAGAGGCACCGATGCCAGGTACAAGAAAGGTACGCTGAGGTGTACCTCGGAACCGAGCCGCTTCTAGGGCGCGCTTACAGAACGATATACTCTGTCGGGCACTGGTTCGCCAATGATGAACAAATGAGAGCTGATGCCTTAGAAGGACTCTTCGGGTGATCAACTGCAGCAAGGCTTGGACGAAAGCTGTCGAAGTGCACCCCTCCTGGCGCACGAGCCTCTAAAGGTAGGCACATGTGCAGCGGGATTTGCCCCGCTCCTTCCCTAGAGATCCTAGTCTGGGTCGAATCTTATGCATGCAAGACATTGGCGCCGACACGTCGACATCATCAGTGTTTGAACACCAGCAGTCATTCATCATCTCACCATCGAACATTGCTCCGCCACGCTGTCGTGTAGAGTCTCACTCTCCGCGGCTTGCGCAGGGAAGACTGTTCCTGACTCAGATCGAGCGTAAATCCACGACCGCCGAACCATGGTACGGCCCTACATCATTTAAGCGTGTGCGTGGACTCGGTCGCACTTCACTGGGGCCCGCAAAGGCAAAAGGCTGATCCAAAGCCGGCCCGCTGAACTCGAGCCGCTGATCCCCCAAAAACCTGCCACCTTCTTAGATGGTGCCTTTGCCTTTCATCCAGAACTCATCACTACCATCGCATCCAGCCTTTCATACAATTCGATCCTCCGCTCCAGGTGACCAGCGGTTTGCACATATTACTGAATAAGTTTCGAGACCATCTACACGTGGCATCTCGATGGCTACTGTTGGGTGCATCCATCACTAATGACACGCATCTCCTTCGATCTTTATCTCCAAACGTACGATTCTGGTGCCGCACCCCACCTTGCCACTATTACAGTCATCTGCCAGGTGACCCGGGTTAAGGCACCCGCCACTATCGTCGTTCCTGAGAGTGACGTCCTGGACCTATTTCCAATCCTGCCTATCGGACTCTATCAAGACGACTTCGACACATCGACCGGACGGATCTACGTAACAGGTTGTGAGCGCCTGCAAACAGGCCATGACGACTCTCAACATCAATAGTCTCGTCGAACATGAGGCTGAGTCGGATGCGACCACTCCAAAGGCCGATCGCTTTGCTCATGGCGCTTCCGCTCGAGATCAGCAGCCTTACGACGGCGACACGAGCATAACCACACCTAAACCTACCGTTGCACCTACCCCAGACACCCGCAACTCGACACCTAATGACGACGACAATGAGGCTATGGACCTAGACGAAGAGCAGGAGAATGAGGACTCAGATGGCGAAGGCGATGAGAACTCCAGGAAGAGAAAGGGACAACGATTCTTTTGCGTCGACTATCCTCCCTGCAGCCTCAGCTTCACGAGATCAGAGCACTTGGCCCGCCATATCCGCAAGCATACGGGTGAACGGCCATTTCAATGTCACTGTAGCCGCCGCTTCTCCCGCTTGGACAATCTTCGTCAGCACGCTCAAACAGTACATGTCAACGAGGAAATACCAGCCGAATCCCTAGCCGCCACCGGCACACGCTTTCAACGACAGATCCGGACTGATCGTGTCCGGCAGAATCCTCGTCCGCGCAGCGGCACAATGGGTAGTACGGGTGGCCACAGCAGAGGTCATTCTCGAAATCTGTCAAACTCTAGCATAGCCTCGACGACATCGGGATACAGCACCGTAACCGAGGCTAAAAGGAGGCCGCCACCACTACTAATGGCCAACGAGTCCAGCAGGGTACGAATAGGTGAACCTCCTCAAACGCCTCCGCCGCAGGGCTATTACAACGCACCTCATTCTCCGAACGGCCTAAGTACTCCAACGTCTGCGACCTTCTCTGCGATGCCGGGTAGCCCAGCTTCCCGCCATCCTATGCTTCTCCCCAGTCCTCGCATTCGCGTGCCTCGAGCCTGGACCACTATCCTCATCGTCGGTTATCTGTGCCTTCTGGTGTGAATCCCTTCCAGCAGTCCTATGGCCAGCCTGGACCATCGCACGGCTCATCATCACAAAGTAGCGTATATGGAAGCCCCACGACCGGCCACTTTCCCGGCGGCCCTAGCCACTATTATCCTCCTGGCGAAGATCCGCGGCGGCGCACGTGGCACCCGAGCACCTTGACGAACACGAACTACAACTACGGAAGACCCGCCACCAGCGGGCTGGCGCACTCGCAGACTCCTGATGGCCCGTTTCCAGCACACACTCAACAAGCGACTGCGGCAGCCAGTCAAGGTTTTCGATTGCCAGGCATAGAGACCTTCGACGATTCGACCAACCGTCGTGATCGAGGCCTTTCACCTCCTCGACGTGTTCCGAGTCCTGTGCATCCGGGATCCGGATTTGGTCCTCCAAGGATGTCCGAGTATCCGCCTCTGGACGATAACGGACAGATAGCTCGACCGAGCAGTTCTTGGGGACAGTCGACCCTGGATGATCTCCAACGGGTCGAAGCTCAACAGCAATACCCTGCACCCTATCACATGGGCCCACCGCCACCACACATGACACAGCCTCACCACATGGAAGCTTACCAGTCAGGCCGTGCTGTGCCCTCACAGCGTCAGAAGTGGAACGGGCCTCATGCCGCAAGGACATCTCCTGAGGACTCGAGCAGCAGCGAAGGCATCAAGACACCCGGCACTGCTACTGTTGAGGTCCATCCGATGATCATGCCCAGCAGTGGCTTCATTGAGCCACAGCATCATATCATGCAGCCTGAAGGCCAATCTCAGGTTCGTCACAATTCAAGTTGCCCACCAAATCCTCCTCATGCTAACCCTCGCAGGCATGCATAGATCCCGTAGTACGCGATCCTTCACCCTATGCCCAACGCATCTCCCAGGGCGGTGCAGGAGATCGAGTCTCCGCCGGCAGCGGTGGTATGAATGGATTGGACGCCCTTGTTGCAGCGGCCGAGCGAGACGAGTCAACGACACGAGACGACAAAATGCACTAGGAATCATACCTCAATCAGTGTCACGCTTAATGTGCCACAAATCGATCTACTGGTATAGAAGAGGACAAGGATTGTTACGAAGCATGACGGTGTGGCAGATGATGGGGGCGACGCGACGACTCGATATTCTTCCGACGGCCTCTTCCGATGTTTTCACGAGAGATACCCCTTTTATTCATGGTTTTGATTCTTTCATGATGAACATTCTTTGGCTGGCTGCGCTTTGCACTTTGCGGTCTGCAACGTTGGACGACTTCTAATGAATATAACTGATTGGGTTGTGGGCTGCATTGGGTACGCGCGCATTGCATTGGATTCGTTCATCGACATGCTTTCCGGGATGCAGTGAATGTTTTGGCACAGAAATGACGGCACGGTGCAAGACGGTTCGGGAGGGTTCTGCTTTTATGATATACAAGTTCTAATCGAATCATACATCCCTTCTCGCATTCTCACCAAGCCTTCGACCTGTCCATGCCTTCCCGTCTACGATCCGTCAATCCAATACCTATCCCCATCATCCGTCGAAACATGCCCCGTCACTTCGCCTCATCCTACTGGCTCTCCCCGTGCCTTTCGTAGCGAGCTTGAGGTTTCCCTTGAGCTCCAGATTCTCAGCAGTTCATGTCCTTAGCCGCCGAAACGGGTGCCGGCGCAGATGCTAAATACGAAAATCCGCGGCTTTGGACAGCTGTATGCGTCGAAGCATCCGGCCCACGATCAGAGGCGCATACGTTGGCTGGAGTCGTATGTTGGCTGGAGTGGGGTACGTTCAGCCTGTCTAGCTTAAATGAATAGTCTTCTGGTCAGGGGGAAGATTTCGTGCACAGGACTCCTGTTCTGGGCAACCCGTCGTAGAGCACAAACGTCGCAGCAGAAGAGAGTGAGGCAGTGACGATGAGGGAAATAGCCTATACCGACAGCTGTCATAACGGTCGGCATAGGCTAATCCTGAGCACACTAACCTAGCATACCTAGCAGAACCACATGCCCTGATCCTTCCTAGCATGGCCCAACCCTAGCACTAACTCTGAGCACACTGACAGCAGCTAGCAAATGGCGAAAGCGAGGGAGGGAAGGAGCGAGGGAGGGAAGGAGCGAGGGAGGGAAGGAGCGAGGGAGGAAATGGGCGAGGGAGAGGGAGAGAGAGGGCAGGCGCACGTGACTCGCGCGGAAGGCGGGAGGGCCTCGCAAGGCTCGATCGGAAAGAGCACAGGATCCTGGAGGGAAGGCGCGAGGGATCCGGAAGGAAGGCATGCGGGCTTCGGAGGAGAAGGAGCGAGTGAGGGGAGGCGCGAGCGAAAGGAGACGCGAAGGAAGGAGAGGTGGACGTGGAGGGCGACGACGATGCGGACTTGAAGGTAGAGGACGTTGGACGTGGTGATCGAGGGGGGAGGCCCAGGCGGCCTCCGAGGTAGGCTGACGATTGTTCCAGGGTGCTACGAAGCACAATGCCTAGCCATACACACGGATTGACGCCAGTGTCTCGCCAAAGAGCAGCTCGTATTGCTAGAGAAACTCGTTTGCTGCGCGTGTGGAGCGAAGCATATCCTTGTACGCCGATCTTAGGGTAACGGAGAACAGCCCGTTCCCGTAACGTTCAGTCCGTCGTCATGCGCCATATTGTTGCTCCAGCAGCGCAACTTTGCTCCCACCTCGTAGGTCTCGTTGATCTGTAGTCCGTCGACCTCAGAAACGCCTGACCAGTCGGAGCCATCGCTCACAGCGGCCGCCTCGTGCCTCGGATTTGCCACGTTCCGTCCAAGACCTGTTCCTAGGATGCAGCTATGTTCCAGCAGATCCCAAGGCTTCTCCTCCTTCACAACCATGAAAGCCTCGCAGGTAACATTTTGACCAGGCTCCTAACGCGCGGCTCCCGTCGCCGTTCCGGTACTGGGGTTTTGATTTTCGCTGTCCGGAAAGAAATACGCTCCCACCGCAATGATGATGTAGCAAGCACACAACAAGGCGCCCTCCAAGTAATTGCTCCGTCCATCCAGAACCAAGAAGTTGACAACAAAGGTACTGACGAACACCGACACCGTCTCGAACAGATTGAAGTACAAAGTCATGGGTTTGTCCATAATCCAGCCAATAATAACCACAAGGGGTGTGATGAATAGTGCAATTTGGATACTCGACCCTAAGGCCACCCCGAGACTCAAGTCAAGCTTGTTTTTGGCGGCGACAGTGACCGCAGTAACGTGCTCGGCTGCGTTGCCGACGATCGGCAGGATGATCAGGCCTATGAAGGCCTCCGAGAGGGGAGTCGACTCGACCATGTGTTGGATGGAACCAACCAGAAATTCGGCACAAAGGGCGACTAGGGCCGTTGAGATCAACAGAAGGATGATCGCTGTGATTTGAGAGAGCTCGGGTTCATCGGACTCGTCGCCGCCATTGGCATTCTCTGCTGCTGCGAGATTGGAAGCACGTGGGGTCAGGGCGCCTGGCGAGTGTGTAAGGGTCAGCGGTGGATAGCTCTGGGCGGCCTCTGAACGCAGGCGACGAATTGGATAGCTGTTCGAATTTGTATTGTTCTGTGATTGGGAACGGAAGACGGGAGGTGCGAAAGAGCGTTGCTTAAGTCCCATCCTCGGTCGGGTCTGGCCAGGCGTGGTGGGGTGTGGTGTTGTTGAAGCACGCACTGGAGCAGCCAGTGGCTCTTTGCCCTTCTCGTTGAAGTCGGCAGTCGTGGAAGTGGCTGCATCAGAGATCTTCTCCGTCTCGGGTTCAGCCGCGTCTGGCTGTGGCTCCTCAATCTCGACCTCCTTCCTGCGTCGTCCCAGCTTTTTGATGTTGAGCCTTTTTCTGACTCGTCTCTGAGATCCTGATGCAGTCGATAGCGACGTTGTCGAGGAGGACGAGGTACTGCTAGAGTTCATCCTGGCGAGTATCCCTGGGCCAGGTCCTGGGTGGGTCTCTGCGTCGATGACGGCCTGCGGGATGCCTTGGTATAAATAGGCATGAGATTTGAGTTGGAAAGCCAGGTACAGCAGATACATAAGCAGCAAAATCACGGCTGTTCCTCGGCTTAGCTTCAGCACGGCCTCGTCGCCAGCCTCAATGTCGTCAAAAGATGCGTGAAATGCAGTCGGGATGAGCAAGCTGAGTACTGCTAGCGCGAGCAACGCTGCCGACATCTGTGTGACGAGACTGTCGTATACTTGCTCCCGGTACTGAAGTCCACCTGCCACGAACGCCATGCCCAGGATCAACAGGAGGTTGGCAAGAATTGATCCAACCAGGGCGGCTTGAACGACTCTTATCTCATTCTTGACTAACGCAATAATGAAGATGATGAGCTCGACTGCGTTGCCGAAAGAGACATTGATCAGTGCTCCGAGGGTAGGTCCCATCCTATGAGCAACAGACTCCGTGGCGAATGTCAGAAGACCGGCCAGCGGTATGACGGCGACGGCATTGAGGGCGAAGACCACACTGTCGTTGATACCAGCGAAGTGCACGGCGATGCCGGCCGGCACAAATATCAGGAGGACGTTGAGCATGAGTGGAAAATGATGCGCCGGGTATTCTCCCATATTCGACGTGTGACGGGGACCTTCGCTTTCGATGCCACGGGTCCAGTGCCGTTTGGATCATGACTCTCCTCATCCCCGGTCTGATTGTTAGGCGGTGGCACGCCCGCCGCAGCGCTGACTTTTGCCCATGGGACGAAGCCGTGCTTCAAGGCCGAATCATGGGCGCGAGTCCTGATGCGATCTAGGATTGAGGTGTCAGTTGAGCGAGCTGAATATCTGAGGTGATGATTCGCGACTCACGCATTGCACACAATAGGTGTTATTGCATGACCACGAATATGGGCGGAGGCGATACGCGTAGTGTCGTGAATGGAAATATCTTAGCCGCGAAGGGCACAACGACAGACGGTGTGAGTAGGGAGTCCCAAATTTGCCAAGCGGAAATGGCACTGGAGGACGCGTCAGCTATTCCAGAATGCCCTCGATTTAGTAGAGTGCACTTTGATTCTGTGATGATAGTAAAGATGGCGGACACTAAGATAGAAGGCCAAGCAAGTGTGAAGCAAGCGAGGCGAAGCTCATCCAAGGTCCTCTTGCATCAACTTGGCCATGGGAACGCGACTTGGGGATTGACAGGGGATCATCTCCACCACTTGGCACCGATCCAGTCGGAGATTGGCCTCGGAGCAGGGGGTGCCGTCATTCAGAGTTAGGGGTGACGTATTTATGAGATTCAGATGGGGCGATGATGCTTTGCCAAATGCTTATAAGAATAACAAGCCTCACACTCTTGTGCACGGCGGGATCTGTACATCGGGCCTTTCTCGTTGTGATGATGAGAAGGGCCTTCACAATAGCAATAGAGCCGCTGGTCTACACAGCTCAACGTCCTATGCGCCTGACAGATCTATCCTACGTACGCAGCGTACTTGCCCAGCACATCGTCTTCCTTCAGAGCTGCAATCTCCTTCTCGGTTCCGCACAAGGCAACACTAATATCACCGTTCCGATCAGCGGGTAATATGATACTACAGCCAGGAGCTGCCGGCATCCCGCCCGGTACACGGACTGCCAACGTGTATCCACCCATCGAGGCTCCGAAGTCCAATCTGCTAGTTTTCAGGTTCCCGTAGCTACTGACTACAAAGTCCCAGTTCAGGTTGAGCTGGGCTCCGCTTATAATGAGCGACTTGTCCTCCATTCTATCGAGTACTGTAAGATATGCACGGAGATGGCGAATGATCTTGTCCTTGTTGAGCAGGAGTCGAAGCCTGCCTGCGAGATCTCCGAGGGACATTTTGGTAATTTCGAGCCGAGAGTATACGCAATCGACCATGTGTCCAAGGTAGCTGTCGATCCCAAGGTAAGGACGTGCCGATACTGTCCGTGCGAGAAGCGAAGTTGCTGGGAATGCGTCCGGATGTATGTTTGATCGAGCGACACAGGTGCGCTGCCAGAAGAGCGCGGAGATGGCATCGTCCGTCGAGACGTATGGCGCGACGCTCTGCTCAGCGGCGGCTGTCTTAAGTGCACTCGACCCAGATCCACTCAGCGAGAAAGATACCCACTCTGCCGGCTCAAGTGATATCGCAGGCGCGTTGGGAACAATGAGAGAGTCGTCCAGCTCGTTGCCTGGCTGATAGTCCTTCTCGAGCAATGCAACAATTTCTCTTCGATCTGCATTTGCCTGGCGAACTTCGTCGTCGGTAAGGGCCTCGTTTCGGCAGGCTTTGGCCAAGTGCTCAATGACAATGCCCAATCCGGTCATGTCCATGGTCGAGTGGTTGCCTGCGATCGTGAGCAGCATGCCTCCTTGGACGAAATTGGCTTGCAGGAGTAGTACAGGAGCCAGCTTGTCGTAGCCATCACTGTGCCACGTGAGCGCAATCGGCGGTACCAGTACCTCTGCTTGCAGCATAGACAGGGGAAAGCCTGTTCTAGCCAAGTCCTCAATGCTTGGAACACCTTCTGAGCTCAAGTCCTTCACAATAAGAGGTATCTTCCCCTCGTTGCGCACAATCTTCCGAGTACCAGTATGGGTGTCATCGCGGCCCTCGTAGATGACTTTGCCGGCTAGCCATGGTATCGCTGCGGTCAGCCGCCGTAGAGACGCTTCCAGATCTGACACTACGCTTTCCTGACTTTGCGACGCAGGCAACGAAAAAGCCAGCACGAGAGCCATGTATCTCTTGATGAACGGCATGTTGCCGAATATATCGACCAGGTGGTCAAATTGTGAGAAGTCGGCCTCCATCATGTGGTTGTGTCCTGCCTGATACTGGACTGAGTGATCAGATCGCAGGATGCTGCGAAGCAGAGATCAGGGCAGATACTTGTGGTCGTATACTTACACTATCGTGTCCGCCTCGCCACGATGTCGTCCGAAGCTGAGCTTCCAAGAAGCCGCCCACGTTCGATTTGTGCGGGATGGAAATCCCAATTGCCGCATTGAGAGTAGTGCGTGCATCATACCTCGTAGCAGACGCAACGATGCCATGTCAAGTTGGCTTGAAGGAGGAAATACTTCTGTGTATGCTCAGCGCTATCTGACATACCACACACTATACTGTGGGAGGAGGCAATCACATTGGCGCTCGCGACAACAGTATCAGCGGCTAGCACCGATCTATATTCCTGCTCTACGGTCAGCTACCGTCTACCCTTGCCATCGCTAGAGGCGACAACGATGATTCGGAGACGCTCGGTGTAAGCTCGCTTGGCTCGGAGTAGGTGTGTTGAAGTATACATCAAAGATGAGTGCAACTGGGCAAGGATTTGCTGATCAACCTGGGAGATTTTGTTTCGGGCGAATACGTGAGCGATCCATCGTCACTCGGTCTCAACGAGTAATCGTTCGGCGGCGCTCGGACTTGATGAACTAGACGTAGAGAAGACTCTGATACTGTCAACCAAGAATGAGGCAGATGGGCATGAGACGCCGGTTGAGTCTTGATACTTACTCCTTGTCATCCGGCTTGGAACGAGCCCTTTTTCATCCGGCGCTATCAAGATCCTGAGATGTACGCGACTTCCTTGCCCTGTGTCTCCTGGACGCATCTGGTCAGGGTTCAAGATGCACGATGCCGCTAATGCCAATTTAAGTCCCTGTCCGCCGGTCCGGGACAAAGTCGTTACATGTCACGAGTGACTTGAGATGACGAGCCGTCGGATGTCTCTGAATCCACAAGTACAGTGAATGCTTCCTAATCAGTCAGGGACGCGATTGTCTCGGTTTGCCTCGCATAGCTCCTTTGTCGAAGTGGTATAAGTGGTCAGTTGGCTTGTTCATGACTCTCGTTCTCTTTTCTTCCTTCCCAATATCCGGCAACACTAGCGAGTGGAATGATGCTTCATTGTCATGCCCAGGCACTGCCTTCTACTGCCTGGTGGGACGAGCAACTCAGTGATATGGGCCAGCCCCGTCCTGAGACCGCATTGAAGGAGTGCATTCAAGTCAGAATTGGTCTTACAACGCGACAGTCCATGCTGGGACAACGTAGAGATGGATAGTATAATTCCGTTCTACCAATGTTACCTGAAGAATGTGCTGACGCCAGTCCATGCCCGCTGCCATCTGATGTGTCCCTGATCATGCGTCGAAGTCTGTAGCGCTCATCCAAAACCAGGAAAGTTGAAAGGCATGCCGCCTCCTCCGCCGCCACCGCCGCCTCCAGTCGAAAACTTGAACTTCTTGCCGCCTCCACCACCGCCTCCTTGCTGGAACACGAATTGTTGGCCGCCGCCCATAGGGAAACCAAACGGCATTCCACCTTCAAACGGATTTCCTCCCTGTCTCGCCATTGGATCATTCGGGTCATCACCGCTGTCGAATCTCTGCTTCAGCTCTGGATCACTTAGCACCTCATATGCCTCGTTGATGGCAGCCATTTTCTTCTCCGCATCTTCTTTCGAGATTCCCTGCGCATGTGCCTTGTCTGGATGGTAAATCTTCGTCGCAGATCGATACGCTTTCTTGATCTGGCGTTCGTCGGCGTTGCGATCGACGCCAAGGATCTTGTAATAGTCTTTGTTTTTCGACTTTTTGAGGGCCAGTTGAGCTTCCTGCAACTTCTGGGCGATCGAATTGGCTTCTGATGGATGGTGCTCTTTGGCAGTGTTGAGAGCATTGATGGCTGCCTCGTAGTTCTCCGCATCGAGATGGGCTTGCGCTTGATGCAGAAGGCCTCGGAGTGAGTGAGGGTCGAGTTGCAGTATTTCTTTGCAATATGGCGCTGCTTTTCGATGGTTGTTCATGCCCATGAAAGTCTCACAAGTCTTCTCGAGGTAAATTGTGTACAGACCCTGTGAAGCCGCAGGATGAATGTACCCCTGTTCTCGTTGAGCGGCGAAGCCAGTCTTGATATCGGCAAGTAATCCTGGCTCAGTGTCCGGCGTGCTGCCTGTCAATTCTTTGCTGGCCTGATTGTACTTTTTGGACGCCAGCAGGTCGTCCACGCGTTTCAAAGCCCTTGAGAGAGCCTTCTCATCTTTGAACAGCGCCTTGCAAGGCTTGTAGTCCGGATCTGATTGCAAGCACTTCTTCACGTTGGCCAGAGCAGGATCTACTTGTCCGAGGCTGTACAACTGCATGCTCGACATATGGACGTACGGCTCCAATAGCGACGGCTGGATCTGCAGCACGTGTTGTAGGTCGCTGATGCCCATCTCGATCTCTCCCTTCTCCAGTCTGCATCGTGATCGTAATTGTCGCAATGCCAACGAACCAGCCGCAGTCATGATAGCCACGCCGGCATTGTTGACGCAGGAATCCCAGTCCTTCACTTTCTCGGCTTCGAACGCGATATATGACGCACCCTCAGCCTCCTCGAGCTGTTTGAGCTCCTCTGCTCCCTTTGCGCCGGCATCCTTATAATCCTTCTTCGCGGCCTCCCATTCTGCGTTCCTCGCCTCAATCTTCGCTCTTTGTAGAAGCGCTGCTTCGAATCCTGGCTTCAGTCGGAGTACGGAGTCGAAGTCGGACTTGGCTTGTGTATGCCTGCCTGCAGACAAATATGTTGCGCCCCGTTGAAAGAGAGTCAGGTAGTCAGACGAGTCTTTCTTTATCGCGGCATCGAAGTACTGGAGAGCCTCGTTAGTCGCTCCTCGGACGCGCGCCGCCTTTGCAGAGGCTATAAGATGTGCAACTGGCTGCTCGTGGAGGTTGTCCTCGGCGCTGCAAGGGAGTGTGAAGCCTAGGACCGCCACTAGCAGGGCGAAATCTCTAAGACGATGAAGCATGGCGGCTAGAAATCAAAATTACTGGACAGGAAAACAGTCCTGACTGCCTCGGAAGGACTCCAGCATATTAAGACACGATTGAAAAGTGAATGATGTACACAACGGCTTTTCAGGGCACTCTTTTGTTGAAGTGAAGTGAATGATCTGGCCTCAACTCGGACCACTCCAACTTGATGCAGGGGCCACGGCTTTGGGGAAGGCGCCCACAGCCTTGGCGTTCGAGGGGTGCATGACGATGCTGCCTTTTCATTCACGACCGTCCTTGGGCCAGTGCACCGAATGCAATTCTTCACTGCATCTTCACAATGGACGAAGCTCTTACCATCATAGGTGAACATCGCTGACGAGTAGACTTATTCGGCATGATCTCAACCTTGTCACAGCCATGGCCGAGCTTGTCAATAGCCCGCTGGGCACTCGGCCGTCGTTGGGAGGCACTCCAAAACGACGAGCATCCATGAAAGTCTTGATGCGTAATGTGCGCGAGGTCGTCCTGGGAAATCTGTGCTTCGAGACATGGTACTTCTCACCCTATCCGGATAACATCATCAAGGGTTCTCGTGCAAAGCCTACCGATACTGCCGTACAAAATCTCACCACCCTGGGCGGCGATGGGATCAAGCAAGATGGAATCGTCTGTGAACGCCTCTACGTATGTCCACTCTGCTTTCGCTACACACCCGATGAAGTGAACTACGCGCAGCATATTATGTTTCATCAGGAGAAGCAGAAGTTTGGCGAGCTAATGCCTGTGCCCGATTCGGCGGAGAAAGTGTACGAGTGGGATGGCTATGTGGTTTGGGAGGTCGATGGCGAAGCAGAGAAGCTCTACTGTCAGAACCTTTCGCTCTTTGCGAAGCTTTTCCTGGAGCAGAAGAGCGTCTTCTTCGACACTGGTGGATTCAGGTACTATGTGCTGACTTACACGGCGCAAGGGAGCAAGGGCAGAGGTCGAGGCCGCAAGCGTGCTTCTTCTGGCGTGGATGAGCCGCTGTTCAAGACACAGGTTTTGGGGTTCTTCTCCAAAGAGGACTTGTCGTGGGACAACAACAATCTGGCGTGCATCCTTGTCTTCCCGCCTTACCAGCACCGTCAGCTGGGGCAGTTATTGATGGCTGTTTCATACAAACTGAGCGGCTGGGAATGGGAAGGAGGCATTATTGGTGGTCCCGAGAAACCATTAAGCACAATGGGCCGAAAAGCCTACCTGCGATTCTGGTCAGAGCGGATTGCTCGCTTCTTCATGGGTCAGTCCCTAGATCAAGACCAGCATCGATCTTTGAAAAGACAACCAAACGAAAGACGGGATTCGCAAGAGAGGAGATGACTGTGAAAGACATCGGCGACCGGACTGGAATGCTTGCGGAGGATGTCATAGCAGCGCTCAATGACATGGGAATCTGCGATATCAAGCCAGCGAAACGGAAACAGAAGATCTCAGGCGAAAACTTGGACACTAAAGTCATCAATGGTCACTCTGACGCAGAGGAGTTCGAGCCAGCAAAGATGGTGGTATCACGAGCGAAAGTGTTGCTATGGATCGAGAATCATAAAGTCGATCTAGTTGCGCCTGCCAGGGAAGAGGGCTTCCTCGGGGAATGGGCTCTAAGTGACGCTAGTGACGAAGTGGAAGAAGCTGAGGATCAGTCCGACGCTTGATCGTCAAGGTGACGCGGTCGACGCAGGCTGTCGGGATCGCGAGATGAAAACACGATTGTACTGAGTATCCTGGGTCATGCCTCATTGGACAGAACGATTATGGTTAAGCAAACAAAGACTTCTGCCACCACCGACACCTCTCATTGACCGTGTCGTCCCTCTCAGTCTTCACAGCAGTGGCGTTCCACGCGTTCATGGACGCATTGTTGCCTTGCATAGGGAAAACCGGCAGATCAGGCCCGTTCGGATCGCCCGACGAAGCAAAATTTACGATGTAAGCCTGATGAACCTCTGCTATGGCCGCAATCAGGCCTTGTGAAGGGTTGTCGCCGCCACCATCGTAAAAGGTGTAGCGGACATCTTGGCCATGCAGAGCCGGCGGAACCTGGAACTCATACGCATATGTGAGATTTTTGAAGGCTTTGTTGAGGTAGTTGGTGTTGCAGGTGAAATAAGCGTCAGAGATGATGAGCATGACGCGATGAAGACTGTCTTTATAGGGTTGGGAACCATCGTAGATCTCAGGGTAGAGATCTTCAACAATCGTGTCGACGACTGCATCCTGGACGCCCGGAATCGATGCGGAGAGGTATAAAGCGATCTCCTCAGAACTGTAGTTGGCGCCTGTCTTTGGTGGCGTGAATCCGGGTGCTTCATTGGCGTTGTGCCCGACCATAACCTCGACATCTTTGGCGAACGCGCCAGCATTGAGAAGGAGTGCCGGTAGTGCTGGGACAAAGATGCCATCTACGGTAGGGTTGTAGCTGACTCCTGCAGCGATTTGTTGCTGGTTCGCGCGAATGACGGCCGAGGAGTTGAGTTGACGGGCTTCTTCAACGCTGCTGACGTTTGCTAGGGTCAGAAACTGCTGGAATAGAGTCTCTTGATGGTAGACTGAGGGCGTGGGACCATAGCCTGGACTCTGCGAAATTGCTCTCTGGAAGGAGACTGGCTGCTGGCCACCATAGGCAGTGATTTGATGTTGCACTGAGCCACCTGAATACTATTAGAAACCGTCAATAGCAAATTGCTACTGTAACATACCTCCTGCTGACTCTCCCATGATAGTGATCTGGTTCTTGTCGCCACCGAAGAGATGGATATTTTCGGCAACCCATTCTATGGCCAAGCTGCAGCTTTGTCAGTATTGGCTTGGGAGGCCTCCTCTTAGAGGTAGGTATGGAAGTGTGGTCACGCAAGGGCAACTCACCGCTGGTCGTAGAGGCCTGCATTTGATACACCTCCCGCACCCTGGAGTGTCGGTCCTCCGCTCCAGCCCAGAGCGCCAAGTCGGTAATTGAGAGCTACAAATATCAGACCTGGTCCTCCGTCAAGCTGACTGGCTTCAATGAGGCCCGCTCCATTAGCGGTGTTCTTGCTTCCGACCACGTATGCGCCGCCATAGATCCTGCGTGGAATCAATTAGTATTAGCGTTCATACCTCCATGGAAAAGTCTTCATAGGGAGGGTTCATACCAGATGAGCACGGGAACGCCACTGATTGAAGTGCCATTAGAGTAATCATTCCAACCTGGACCAGTACTGTTCGTGCCATTCGTGCCTGTCGAGTTTTCGAATACGCCCTGCGGAACATACACATCGAGAAACAAGCAGTCCTCTGTCTCTGAAGGATCCGGACGAGCAGGCGGCGTCGAAGCCAGATACGCCTGCTGTAGCTGTTGAGCTTCCGTCAGGTTGAACTGAGTATAGTTGCCGGCGACGATCGAGGCCACCCAGAGCTGGTTGACAATCGACCCTGTCCCGCGAGCTTGTGGACACGTCCTTGACACATTGCCGTTCTCAACATGGCTACTGGAGCCCCTTGGATATACAGGCGCGGCAAACCTCAGATCACCAACAGGAGGTTCCGCGAACCTGATGTTGCTGAACTTGTAGATCTCGGTTGTCTCCTGCTTCATTTGAGCATTGAATTGCTTGAGTAGGAACTCTGGAGCTTACATTCAGATACCCTTCATGGATCTCATAGCCCAGATCAACCTGTGCGCTACGTTCCTGAGCTGCGGCAGCTCCAGCAGCTAAGAACGCTACCAAAAGTATTGGTGCTGACAACATCTTCCATCAACGAGCGGTCCAAGCAGGCTCGATGGTGAAGTAATGATCTTTTCAACGGTAGCTGCCCATCAAGCCGGACGCACATCGTCCGGCCCTCAACAGGCACTTCATGGCAGCGCACATGGGCTCCGTTGCCAGATTGCTCAAGGGCCGAGGCATTGTGCCGTGGTTGGGTTACCTTCACATTGAGTGGCGTCTAGAGTGGTCGTTCGGCCTCGGACTTCACCTTGGCGAGTTCAGGCAGCAAATCGTTCTCTGAGAAGGCCTGTACATGTTCCGCTTCGTACAGGACTAGCATTGGGCGGTGTGAGTGCTCGGGGTCGGAGACGAAGATGTTTTTGGCAGGTCAAAGCCTTGGAGACCAGAAAACGCGGAGGTCGTGCAGGAAAATGCGGGCTAGCGTCCTAAGCGAAGCATTGGTGACCTCATCTGCCTCGCTTTCATCCCAGCACGACTCGAGAGCTACATACAACGACCTAGATACCGTGTAGGTAAAGAATGGACACTCTGCCATCATTATTCCTCCCGGAATGCAACCGAAGCTTTGGTGCTGCGATGTACCACAGTATTCCGCATCTTCGGATAAGTTGACCGTGTCGAAGCCGGAGCGCAGTGTCTTGCTATCTTCAGCGCGGTCCCGTTACAAGGTCGTCTTACAAAGGAACATACGGACGTGGTTTTCCATCTTCCCTTGCCTGTGCTTCACCATGATGGTGTTAGACTGATTGGAAACTAAGGCGCATCATCTGATCTTCTGGTACAGCTGCAAAGCTCTTACCCGCAGCATGGGCCGTTCCTGGTATGCACTTCAGATGTGCGGATCCTGCAGGCTCGCAAAGACCAGCTTAGTCCCAACTAAGCATTCTCTCGACGGTATCTACGGACGCCTTTAACTTCAGAGCGGGCAGGACTGTACCAGCCCAGGTCGTCGATGACCAGCCTACAGTGTGATGGTTTAGTGCTACAAAGGACCCCTGACAATCCAAGTCGGTCTCCGCTGAATCATCCAAGATTCGGTCGAAGTAGGCTGCAACTCGAGGCTGGGTCCTTTCTTGATTCCTAGATCGGAGTGATTCTGGTCGGCAACCATAAAAGTCGATGGATGTCGACCTGTGTGGATTTCAAATTTCACAATGGTAGGGACCGCGCCTTCGATGAAATTTCCGGCGACGTAACGATGCAAGGACTTGCAAGCGGGCAATCTGTCGCCGGTCAATTCCCGTCTTGACTGGGATTGTGGATGTCCTTGACCGCTGTCACGACACCACGATGCTCAGTGTACTTATGCGACAGCACACACGAGTTTCATGTTGCTAGCGTTCAGCTCGCGGATAGTTGAAATCTGCTGTATGTGTGCGAATTGTGACCTCGTGACGAGATCATGGACCTTGAAGTGTGGCATAGGCAGGCATGCTGGCCAGAGCGCACATCTTTTGACTGCGGTTTCAACAGAGCCTATCTGCTGTATGATGTCAACGGGACAAAATGCAGATATTGCTAATCGTGGAAAGACTGTGGCCTCACCTCCAGAACCAATCGTACTCGATATGCCGCCTTCATATATACTGACCAGCTTCGAGCAAGACCCACGGTCCCCGTCGATGTTGTCAGCAGGGTCAAAGTAAGGTCCATGGTGGCCATGCGGATCCCCTCAAGGCCAAGTCAACCCGAAGATGGGGTTATGCTCGATACACTCACGCCGAAGACAGAGACCGCATACTCTCGACGAGTCATGATGGCATACGGTATGGCCTTTTGCCCCAAGCAAATGTTGCGAGCTGACCTGATGGATGAGTGCTGATCGCGCTGCATAAGTCCAGAGCAGGAAGGTGCCTAGTATGAGAGAAGTACTCTTTTCGCCTTTGCACGGTCATACAGTGACGGCACTGCCGTCGATTTGCAAGCTCGATTCGTCATGACCTTGTTAGATGCGCGATCAGTCAGGCACTCGCTCTCTTGGGTGGGTAGAACTAGCTACGTAGAAGCCTAGGTAAGCAGATGTTTGCCTCTTTGGCCAGGTATTGACAGCGAAGGAAGGAGTGACAAGCAATAGCCCCTCCCTGTGAGTATTTTTATGTCAGGTACTATATGATCTAATTGGTTTAGTTGACATGGAAGAGGAGGGAGGTGATCTATCACCGCTTGATGGGGAAGGTGCGAGCCCGAATTTAGGTTTTTGGTTTTGGGGAAGATTCATCGCCTTGGCTTCTAGCTGTAGCAGGAAGATCGTCGTCTCGCTTCGTTGGGCGAGGGCACTATTGCCATCGATAAGTCCCAGCTGTCCGGATCAAGGCTCCCAGATCAACAAGTCGAGTCGAGTCCTCGGCCGCTACTCCGTGGGTTCCTTCAAAAGGAGTTGAACCCTCTTGAGATCCTGCGGCTTCTGGAAGAGCTTTTGTTCAATAGTGACATATTGGCTTCATCCGGAAACTATAGCGATATCGATATTCAACATGTTTCACACGACAATATCGCGGCAGTGGCTGTGAGGTGGCAGGTCGAGCCCGGGCAAGAGAAAAGATCCGATAGTCGCAAGCCGTTGAATAGCCCCAAGAGGGGAGTAGTTCGTGCCATCGAGTCGTACCAGAGTGATGGGGCTGTTAGCTGCATTAGCTTGGAAGACTAATGCCAGGGGAAAAGTCCGCCCGGCACAGGGGTACCGGGAGAGCGAACTCACTTCCCCTGTCGGTGCAGCGGAAGCGTTATTCCTGCTTGGACAATAGCTTGTCCATTGCGTCTGATCGGTGGTCACAGTATCGTGCAAAGTGTACCGTATAGGCAGCGGTGGAGCTCCAAGTTTGGCCGGGTGTCTCCGAGCGCGTTGCGGCAGCGAAGAGGACACTCACAAATCATGAACCGAACGCGTTACGGGACGATGCTATGCAACTACGACAGGGTATTGTCTATGCTGCTCGTCGTGTGAGGCACTCAAGGACGATGGAGCAGTCATTTTTGCTTCTCTGCTGAGTCTGCTCACACATCACAGTGAAAGACGTGGGGATCTGATCGATAAGTGACACTCGACAGTCGGACCGGTGGATGAAGGGGCAGATTCCATCGAACGTCGCCGCGTTAGCGAGATGCAGAAAGTTGTAAAAGGTGTACTGTGTTACGTGTAGGCAGTACTGGAAGTTGAGTTCCGAGAAGCCGCGAGAAGCGACGCGATGGCAAGGGTTCGCTTCTTCGAAGTCCAAAACACCAAGCACGCGAGCTGTAGCAAGAGGCTTGCATTATTTGCCGCGACTCGTAACGTTCGGAACGATTGTCGAGCAGTCTTAGGGGGCTGCGTTTCCAATTCGACTGTCAGCTTTCGGCAGACAAACTGCTGACCCGTGCACGAGCAACGCGGAGATGTAAAAGTCTCTCGAAGCTGTGCTCTTATCGCAACTGAAAGGTGTCAGTGGTGTGATTGTTGGGGTCTGGCAGTGAACGCGACAAGGTCTAATTTTGGGAACTGCATGAAGGTACAGCCGCAGGTGGGGGACTATTAACCGCGTAATCCATGAGCAAGTCTGTGGCCTAGACACAAGTAGTGTAGCCCATCCGTCTAGTCGGCGAAGCCATCGCAAAGTCAGTTCTTGGCTTAGAGAATGAGTTTTTCATGTGGATATTGCATTTTACCTAAAGCCATGCTGCTTCGAGACAAGCGAGAGAAAAGGCGGGAGGGACGGTGGACATCATATCATATGCTCTTTCCTCGACATTGTTGTGTTCAATCCAGCACATGCTCCTTGTTAGAGGACAGTCTGAGTTGTCGACGTTGACACTTACCGGAAAGCAGCGTTCAGTTCTGGTCCGGCGTCCACTGAAACTGCTGAGTCTCGTGGCTGGGTTTGGAAATACGGCATCGATTGCTTCCGGTCTACTTCTCTCACCACATCAGCATCAGAAGCTAGGATCTCGAGATCGCAGCACTTGCTGCGCAACGCGGTTGTATTTGGATTGGGCATCACCATCACCAGACGCTCCTTTGACTCGATAACCACAGCTACCACAGCAACTGACATCGGATTGTTTGCTTGCTGCTTGCTACCCCAACTTTCGCGGTTTATTTTTGTTTGTTGTCGTGTCCCGTCAATTCCGACACGCGCTTTTGATCTGATTGGCATCCCCACAATCAACAGCACAGACCTTTCGAATTCTAGACGTCTTCTCGAGTCGAGTCTGAGGTTCACGGCATTCTCTGGTCAAGTCGCTCTACTGAATCAAATCAACACCACAGTCACTCCCTTCCCCACAATCAGCATAATAACCTTCGGCATTTCTTGGTTACTGTCGGAGAATCACTTGCATTATTTCAACGAGCCCGTTAGATGCCATCGTCATAGGTCGACAGCATTACGTGCATGACGTCTGTCAGAAGTTGTTGACAGCAGCTGCGCTACGAACACAGGAGACGCGCTCACCGTTGCTTGGGTCATTATGGCCTCGACCTTACCGACACTGCCAGCGAACGGCATGGAGGGCGCTGGCTACGTGTGGGTGCTCGAACACCTTCTCGCATACCCTGGAACGTATGAGATCCCTTTGCGCACTATGTACACACTCAACTGCAGCACGGCGACCCCTCCATCACAATCTTCATCACCAAAGCTGTCAGGAAATGCCTTCGCCACGCCAACTTCATCATCGCAGGAAGATCAGAACAAGATCACTCAGACGGCAGCCGCTCAGCTTAAAGCATCACTGATGCAGCACATCACGCAGCTTCCCCACCAACCGACCTCGCTACCTCCAAGCTTCATCACCTCGTTCGTCCGCCGTTGCTTTCCCGAAAATGTCGAAGGTGTCGACTTCGCGCAGACATTGACTGCTCTTGACTATCTCAAGGATTTGGAAGTGAGACGACGGCGGGAGGTTGTCGCTGCTCTCGATAAGCTGGGTATATCGAGAGACGACATCTGTCAACGCGAGACACTGGCAAAGAAGTACCCAGGAGTGATGCAGTGGATCGAGGGCATCGAGGACAAGGAACGAAAGGTTGAGAGCCTCTACACTCAGGTCTACCTGGGCATAAGACGGTGGGCGATGATCAATGAGCTATCGCTGGTTCCCTTCAACAAGGTCAACTGCATAGCTATGCTGAACACTCTCTACCCACCTTCTATGGTGCATCCGGCTACATTCATACAGCCCACTGTACAGCTGACGGCGACTGTTCTTTCCACGCAGCGACAAGGCTTTTTCCGCTACATCAATGGTGTCGAAAAGACCGGTGCTGGCATCTTGCGCAGACTGATGGAAGAACACAAGCGCGAAGGAGAGCTGACTGGATGGCCTGTTGTCCGAGAGACTCTTGACAACTACCTGCGAATGGCGAACAGCATTATTGAGGAGAGCTTTGAAGTCACTGGAAATTGCGTCTCCCCTACGACTTCGGACTTCGAGCACAAGGTCGAGGAGGACGTACGCCGTAAGGTGGACTCTGGTATCTCTTTCGGCTCTAGCAATTCGTCGAACCGCAATTCTGCACAATCTGAGAAGAGTCACGCCACTCGTCCAAGCACCAGTAGCAGCCTCAGTACTCACAGTCGCAAAGCCTCGAATGATAAGCCTGTCGATGATGACGACGATGTCACTCTCACTGGCAAGACTCCAGGCACCACACTAGAGCGCATAGCTCGTGAGCTACGTCGCATGAAGTCCAGTAAGAGCGTGCGGGATGCTGGGGCCAGCCGCATAGCATCCGTCAATCTCGAACCTGCCGATGTTGCCATCCCGGCAACCCCAACAGAGCCCAACGCACCAGCAACCGGCCGGCCGCGTGGTCTCAGCATCAAGCGAAGTTTGCGAAACATGCGCTCAAAGACTGCCCTGCGCGTAGAAGAGCCAAGTCGACCATCGAGCAGGATCGAGGGCGATCAGCAGGGTGCTATTCCTGCTTTCGATGCAGAGGAGATGAGACGTCGACGGATGATTTGGGAAGCTCAGCACACCAAGAAGAACTCTGAAGGCATGTTCTGAACAATTTTGGATTTGGGGCGTTTGGGAATCTGGTTTACAACGCGGCTACTGCTTACCGCAATGGAGTTGGAAATCTGGGAGGCTGGGATGGAATTAATGCATGGTCACGATCACCTTACGCACAAATGCCTGCATTACGGCCTATCTGAAATGTTTACTGGATGATTGCGGCACCTAAAGCCGTGAAGGATCACGGCGGGATGGAAAAGCGTTCCTGATTTGTTCGGAATATCAAGATCTGACACTACTACTGCCATCAACAACAACCTCGCCAACATCGTTCGCGATATTTCTGCAAGACACGGAATTGCCCTCGCGGGCTGGAGCACGAAAAGGAACACAAAAGACGAAGACTTGCTGGCGACAGCTTTGAGACAGAACAGATCACATTCAATAGAACGAAATGAGAATGTCTCTTGATATTACCTACTACCTTTTGACTCGAGGTCAATCTTTCATATTGATCTGCTGTGACCACGATCATAGTTGCATGTGTTGCTCACTCGACTTAGCCTCCGTGGGTGAAGGTCATTCTACCTACAATAATCACGTCTGCTGCGGCGCTGAGTCTTGACCAGCGACATGACACATATTACGAATCCGCCTTCCGTGGGGTGCTGTGAGTCTTAAACCCAGAAGTCGGATCCTGCAGTACTCCTGCATCCTACCTGTGTTGTTTCTGCTGCGCAATTTCCTGTGCCGTGTTGCAGATGAATCCCCTATGTCATGCGTCTCTTGTCTTAGGTCCGCGGCCTGGACATGATGTTGCTAACGCGCGTCTGTAGAGCACCACAGTTGTCTCGGAAGCTTAAGCAAACACGTGCAAGGACATGGTTCCGTAACTTCGTATGAGTTCGGCATAACTCTCAAGCCCTGTCCGGTGAAACGCGCCAGCGAACGCCAGGCTCGGCATTTAGGAAGCCACGTTCTGTGCCACACGTTCGCTCCTTCCCGAATCGCACCGACGTCAACTTCTACACAGTAGACTTTGGTCTCCCGAAATTGCATGTGTTCAAGCGTGCAAGGCGGCATGTGGCCAGAGCACATGGTTTCTTGACGTCTCTCGGATCATCTCGTCCGGCCGCTGTGGCATGTCTCGAATGTCTTGAGCCCTGAAAAACGCGAAACACACGCGGTCATCCACTGTGGCAGAAACATTGCAGGTCGTCGCTGCAGGGAAAAGGGAGCCGTGCATTATTCTCCGAAGCGCGTTATCGACTTTTTTCCAGGGAGCAGAGCGGGTGCTTGCGATGACCCTTCCTCAGGGACTTTCCCTCTGCTCGCGCAGGAGGCGATCGTTGCTTGATGTCGACGATGAACACGTTCACCACTATTATGTCGCCACCGTTCGTCGATGCTTCGCTCGGTCAGTCATGTGAGTCCAGGCTGCGGCCACCGTGCCTTCCCGAACCACACTTTTAGAATAGCACTGGAGTCGCCCCTGTCTTGAATTGATATCGACAGCAACATGCCATTGGCCAGTCACGGGCTTTATTATCTACGGAACTCGCCGAGTTTGCCGACGACGATGGCTTTCCCTCTCGCTCCAGCTCCAGGCCTAGACCGAATAATGCTTGGACTTGTGCACCGAAACAGTGGCCTGTGCAAGCTAGAGGCCAAGACTCCCGACCAAAAGCATATTCATGTTTTATTGACGGGCCCAGCCACTCTGTACCGCAGCATAATAATGGTACAGTGTACGCCATATAACACGGCTGAGATTGCCAGTTATGGATTGCGGGAGCGATCGACAAGGCAGGTCGTGGGAAGGCATGCGCGATCCGGAGCAGCCTTGAAGTCAAACTCGTCCGCTTTTACTCGTCATTAGTGTTCAAGCATGAAGTTGCTGCTACGCAACAATGACCCCCAATACACCTACACAGAACGGTACATGTCTGTGTACAGTGGTTCGGCAGCTTGAGGAGCAAGCGTTGACAGTCCACAGTCAGCTTTAAGCGCCTGCTATTATTCTGCACCACCAAACGAATTGTGGCAACTTCGATCACGTGGAGTTGCGTACTGAGTATTGAGTATAGACTCACTTCCTCAATATCTCAAGTTGGTACTTCACTATCAGCACGTGGATCGGTCTATGTATAATTCACCACCTAAATTGTCGCCCATCACGTGCGCATGGAAGAGTTCCTGATTTCGACAGCATGGTGTAGCAGGGTCAAACACATCTTGGGGTTGAGTCGCCGGCGGCTCTGACGAGAAGGTGTGCCTGTATGAATGGCACGCTGGACAGATGCAGGCTGCTCAACACCAAGGGAGAGCCCGGTTCTAGTCCGGGTGCTGTTAGCATATTGTTATTGAATTTCCCTGCTTACCACCAGCTCGCAAGAGGATTGACTGGCAACTCAGGCCTACCGTCGCTTGGGCGATCTAGCTGTCTATTGATGCACATGTTCTGTCCAGATCGTCCTGCCCCAACTAGAGCTGTGTGATCGGACAGCGTTCTTAAGGGACACACGTTCCTCAACACTCCTTCATGTCTGCCGTGGTCACAAGGCGTCTTTGTGACCATCTATTTCCACCTAGAATTGATTCGGTGTGCGCATGGCATTTTGAAGGACATGGTCCTCGACTCCCCAGGGTCTGTACTTTCAGGGCTACACACCATAATGCTCGCTTAAGGTACCTACAAACTCCGATGCGCCGTTCTTCGCCTGGTCGCGGCGGACGGTATTGTAACCGCTTTTGGTGTCTCTGCTCGGCAGCGATCTTGAGCCCATGCGCAGCTACGGAACTTGACTTCTTACTCAGGAACATAGGGACAGCGGATGGACTGATTCGACCAAGCCTTCATGCATGCGATCGAGATCCGACCAGATTGGGAAGTGAAGGGTCGAGAAGCACGGACTTTGTGGCTTCACAGGGCTGAAGCTTTGTACTTTGTATTCTAGTAAAGTTTCGAGATTCTCCGAAGGAGGGTGGCAGGAACGTGGCATTCGGTACTTCCCATGCGAGCAGCAACTCTTCGGACCATGCAGGATTGCACATGCTAGCCATGCGGCATGCTTTCGATGAAGTCGAGAAGGCGTGAGTCTGGATTCTGCAGTGCGCGACATCGAGGCCGATTCAGGATCACAGAAAGCGGCCGCAGGTGAAACCTCGTACATTTTCAGCCCAGATTGGAATTTCCCAAGCTCCAGATCACGACGCTGTGCAGAAGCCATGTCTAACCCGTCCGCATCTGCGTGCGGTGCCAGACGGAAGATCGAACTTGCCTGTTTGCTCCCCATCGATGTCGAAATGCGCTGAGGAAGGAGCAAAGGACCTAAAAGCGGCCATGCTAGAACCTTACTTCCAGCAGCCGCTCTTGCCATCTCTGTGAGGCTGGCAGAGGAGGCCGCAAGCCGGTTGACACAACACATCGTCCATGTGCCCGAGTGGCCAAGCCGTGAAACGAGTAGCGACACAGTCATTCGACAGCGTCGATTGACGCTGGCCTGAAGGTAAGAGAACATTAGTCGGTGTCTGTGCGAAGACGAACTGTCGACAACTCCTAGTTGAATCGTGCAAATATCTTGGTGCCATACAGGGCAAGCAGCCTTCTATCATGATACAATGATAGTTTCGTTTTCTACATGAGGTTGTTTCGTAACACATCATGAATACGTTATATACTCCTATGAACACCATGCTTGCTTTTTCTTTTCAACTACCCAAATGTGTCGCCAATTTTGCACGGAAACAGATCACCCAACTTCGACAACCCAACTTTTGAACCTAAAAGATCCCCGTAATCTTCCACCCAGCACCACTGACCTTAGCGGCATAGTAGAAGCAAAAGCTCACAGCATACGCTGCTCCCGTAAATCCGATCAACCCCTCGTACCTCCCTCCAGCAGTCGAGATCAGCTGTCCGGCAATCGGTATGCCAGTCAAGCTCGCAAAGCTCACCACCGTGAAGCAGGTAGCGTAGTACCGCCCGTAGTTCTCTACTCTGCACAGCTGGCCGACACACACAGGCGTCAAGCTGATGCCAGAGCCACTAGCAAAGCCAAACGCGAGTGCGAAGATGATGTTCAGCGCCTCGGAGCTGCGTGCAGGCATCCATAGCCCGAAGATGGAGACCAGCCCGAACGCGATCATGACGAGCATGGCGTTGAAGCGGCCGACCTTGTCGGCTACGAGACCTGGTAGGTAGCGGCCGAGAGTGGAGGCGGCGTTGAAGATAACGATGAGGTTGTATGAGAGGCTCTCGTCAACACCTTGGGCGAGCGCGTAGGAGATGAGATAGCTGATGGGCACGAAGAGACCCCACTCCATGAAGAAGACGGCGGCGGTGGTGAGGGCGAAGGTGCGGTCGCGGAAGATGCGGAGGTCTGGCAGGATGGCTTCTTTGGTGGCTTTCTTGGGTGGGAGGCGCGAGCGAATGCCCAAGTTGGCGATGATCAGGAGGACGAGGTTGATGAGGGCGATTACGCGGCAGGACCAGGCGAAGCCGATCTTGGGGAAGAGGGCTTTGAGGGTCAAAGGGTAGACAATGCCGCCTAGTGAGCCACCTGCGGCGGCGAGTCCGGTGCAGGAGCCGCGTCGTCGGAGGAACCAGTGACCTACAGCGGCGACGGCGGGAGTGAAGACGAGGGAGGTTCCGAAGCCGCCTAGGACTCCGAACACAAGAAGGAAGTGCCAGTAGGACGTGCAGAGGCCGAGAAGGAGGTAGGTGGCCAGGATGAGGACGCTGCCTAGAGCGACTGGGACCCTGGGGCCTTTGGCATCGAACCAAGGACCGATTTGGATGCCACAGAAGAAGGAGAGGAACGCGTAGATGCCGAAGATCCAGCCGACTGCTGATTCGGTCTGATCGGATAACTGATTCGCGGATAGATATGCTTGGTAGGTCCCAATGGTGTTCATCATGCCCAGTGCACACATCAGTCCGCAGAAGGAACCAAATACGCAGAACCACGCAGCAAAGCCTCCTTCGGGATATGTGTTGCCATAAGCATCGGTAGAAACCCGCGAGGCATCTCCTGGGCTGCCATCCTCATCAGGAACTCCGTCATGAATGGTTGATGCTGTCGAGGATGATCGACGAAGCGCTGCAGGGACTGAGGCCTTCTCATCATGGACAGCATCTGGTCTCACGGGCGGCCGTGGGGAACGAGACTGTGCTCGTATGGTCGAGTCGAATAATTCTGGCGGCAGAATATAGGGAGCGGCGGCCACCGACGTGGCTGACCTGGCTAGGCTTGGGCGTCGGTTCGGAGTAGATGGCGTCATCTTTGATCGAACTCTTTCATGGTGTCTGGCTTTCTCGTCCAAATCGACTTCGTCTGTGCTGTCGCTCTGGTCACTCGACCATTGCTGCTTTGATGTTGTTTGTTGCAGTGAGAGGGCAGAATGTGCTGGTCGAGAGTGCTGATCTGGGGCGGGGAAACTGCTCATTACGGTCGATCAGTATGGTGTGGGCGAAACGGATATCTTCGCTGCTAGTATTGTATTTGTGTTCTGTCGTGGTGTGGTGTGTAGCACAATATAATGTAACTTGTTTCTGTGTGTGATCCAAGCAAGACTTTCGAAGGAAGAGTGTGTTGGAGGTGTCAGCTTTTAATACATCAAGCACAGGTTGAAAATTCTCAGCATAGGCCATAGCCGCCATGATGGACTTGTGATGCGGCGCCTTTTTCATGAGGATGATGTCTATGATCCATGCCACCGCTCAAGTCCGGCGCCTATTACCTACCACTTACCACTTGCCATAGGTAGAGTTTTACTCCAGTTCGCTCATCACCGGGCGGATCTCTAGCCGAGAAGTGGGATCGGTCAGGGTCGAGGGTGAAGTGAAGGCGGAGAAGCTTGAGGTAAAAGGTATTTGCCGAAGGCACACGCTCACGTCGTACATAGATCTGCCAAGACATCGTACCTTACTGCAGGTGCATTGATGGGATAGCAAATCTCTAGGGCAGTGGACTTGAGAATGACTTGTGCGAGAATACGCATTTAGAGAGGAGAGGCATTCATATACATAAGATTGGAGTCGTGTAAGCACTCAGCAGCCTCGAAGAATGCCAGGAGCGTGGAATGACAGCCGAGCTCAAACGCGCAGCGACGCGAGCACACCAGCTTGTATCCTTCGCACTTTCCTGATACCTTTTCCCAAAGTGACGGCTCAAGCATTGAGGGGACCATTCCAGCACCTTTCGCGATCATCGAAATCACTGCCTTGAATTGTTACAAGTCGCCACTTGATTCATATTCCCGTTCCAATGAGCGAGTAGCGAGTGTATCTGATCTCCTTTCAATTTCCAACAGCTGACATGACCTTCAGCTTGCGCATTCCCCGTTTCCTCAATCCAGACTGTTGATCCAATCCATACCCTCAAAGACTTCTATCATTTTGTAACAGAGACTCGGATCGTCGCCAGGTTCGCCACCAAACATCTTGAGCTGTTCGGTCTCAATCCTCGCGGCTTCGCGGCGTTGTGCCGCATCCCGATTTTGCCAGGCTGTGTAGCGATTCTGCCAGTGACGGATAGCAATACTGTTGACTGAAGTAAGAGTCGATTGTGGAGGCTTGGGTATCATGGCTGGCGTGGAATAGGCGGAGATTCCCGATGATGCCATCGAATGCAAGGAAGATGTGCTAAGAGAATCGAAATCAACGAGTGATCTATTGTGTCGTGACCGAGGACGATTGCGACGCCGATTGTGTTTGTGCGCCATTGTTGAAAATAGAGAGATGTTTTCCAGGGATGCTGTCGCGAAGATGAAGGAGAGCCAGCGCCAGGGGCATACGTTAGGAAATGGTTGATGGCTTAACAGATACCAAAGGTCCGCAACTTATATACCTTGCCATGCAAATCTGTTCGACTCATATGGTCTGGATATCAGTCAACCATTCAAAGTCATAATAGGACAAATTCGCAGGAAACCGTGGTCTGGAACAGGCAGCAGACAGGGCGTATGCGTGGTGGTGTGTGGCAACACGACCTTGCAATGAGTCATTGATCACCTTGACATTCTGAGCGCCTCTTAGTCGGGCTGCAATTGGCTCAGTCCTTTGTATGTGCCTGACTTGGCGGAAGACGCAAGCATGGTGCCTCCTCGTGCTAGTAGCATGACGAGGCATGTGGCTGTGAACCTACCAAGTACAAGCCTGACGATGAAGAAGGATGGTAGCTTTGCTGAGGCAACAATCGGAAGCAGTATCCGCCAGATCTTGGAATCGCTTGGCAAAGAGCAACAGTCACGTGCAAGGGTTAGGTCATCCGCAGCACCGGCTGCTGCTGCTGCCACTGCCGCTCCCGTCTAGCCTAAGGATTTGTGATTGATGGGGCCAGCCACTCCGATTCCGAAGCCCCAAGGCCCGAAACCGACGCCTGATGAGACTATGAGAGCGTTTCACGCATCGCCTCCTCGTTCCGTTCGTTCCAGAACACTTATCCATCATCTTCACTTAACGACATACACTCAGTCCTTACTTCGAGGAGCGCTGACCCTTGCGCTATGATCATGGTGGTCTTCTGTTTCTTCATCGCATCCCCGGCTGGATCGATTTGACCGCTCGTACTCACAGTTCTGGAACAATTGCATTCCCAGCTCCCTGGAAACCCCGCCCGCAGCTGCAGTCGTCACCGCAACCACTTCACTCGGACCCCAGTACATCGCCCAAATACACCACCGCCTACTATCCCTTAACATCAATTACAACTAGTCGGAATCGCATGAAGGGGCCACATCCGGCTATGCGACGACTTCGTGGTGGGCCGATGCAGTCGTTGGTGCCAGCCTCAACACTCTCTACCTCTACCTTCCATCAGATACCTGGCCCACCCAGCTCGATACCAAACGGCGACGTCGCAATGCCAGGCCTATCAAACAATATTGTGATAAATATCACCGATGGCGGCTCAACAGGCAGAGGCATTCTTATAGGCATCTTATCAGCGTTTGGCTCGGCAGGTGTTGCGGTCTTAGTATTAGCCGTCTTCTTCTTCTTTCGCTATACCAACCGTGGTCGCATTCTTCTTGATCGGATAGGCCGACCTGGCGAGTTTGACGATGAGCAAGCGTTTATTCGAGAAGAGGCCGAGGCCTTGGAGTCGATGGATGAGATGCAAAGGGCGGAGTATCTGAGAGCAAAAGGTTGGTACCGCCTCTTTCGGTCATGAACTCGAATTGATATCTCTAGCATTTGTACAAGCCAATCCGCCCGAGACGATACACACCGATATCTCGTTATCGCAGTTCTTAGCTATTCAAGAGAAGGGAGTTTCAGCTTTTGAGTTCGAGCCAGAGCTGGAAATTGCCAATTGCTTCGTCGAGGCCAGGACCGAGATAGAATTCTTCGACTCCGAGTGCAGTGTGCAGAGCAACCTGCCGGTCCCGAAGCAGAATGAGGTCTACTACTGGGAGGCCAAGATCTACGACAAACCCGACAGCAGTTTGATCAGTATCGGCATGACAACCAAGCCTTATCCATTGTTTCGGTTACCAGGTAAGCAATATTCGCTTTGACATCCTTCCCATCATGTGCTTGTTACTGATAGAGATCTCCAGGCTTTCACAAAACGTCAGTAGCATACCTGTCGACTGGCCACAGACGCTTCAATCAGCCTTTCACCCCAACTCCATTTGGCCCGTCGTACGTTCAGGGAGATGTCGTTGGCGTAGGATACAGACCTCGGACGGGTACAATATTCTTCACGCGCAATGGCAAACGACTGGATGAATTTGCGCACAACCTGAAGACCCAGAACTTCTTTCCTACTGTGGGCGCAAATGGTCCTTGTACAGTTCACGTCAATTTCGGACAGATGGGGTTTGTATACATCGAGGCAAACGTGAAGAAATGGGGACTGGCGCCAATGACAGGTAGTCTGGCCCCGCCGCCGCCATATGGCAGTGAACAGGGCAGTATACTGTTGGAGACGGGAAGAGAAGGCATTCGAGAGCCGCAGTATATGCCTGGACACTCACGAACGAGGAGCGGACTGGCTCGATTGGGTCTCCCTGGAGGCAACGCTGGCCCAGTGAGGACGCCGACAGACATCTCGCTGGCCCAACTGTCTCACATATCGCCACACGAGTTCAGCCCAGCAGCTAGTGCTAGCCTCGTGGATGTAGCGACGTGCAACATCAGCCGGTTGAAAATACACCAGCCGGCCAGCAGATCATACAGCCACCTGAATATACGAGCCCGACAGGAAGCACTCGAAGCAGTGAGTCGGATGATGAGCGACGGCCACGAAGACCTCGAGTTCGAAGTGGTCCGCCCATACCAAGCTATGAGGCAGCGCTGGGTGAGCCTGGAAGCTCAGTGCGGTCATGAACAGATACCCAGCAATTTTATGAATGAAAATTAGCGTTACGATCACACAATCTCTTGAATAACCTGATCGTAAAGCTGTATCACAGTCGTTCGGAAACCCAGAAGTCGCCTCAGCGGCAATATCGGTACTGGACCATCGCTGGCTTGAAGCCCATATTGGCGGGCAGCAGTCCATTCGAGCCATCATCGAGCACTGGCAGGCTGTTCTCGCTAGATGATCGATTGCTGCCTCGCGGTTGCTCATCTCGGGAAATGCTAACGCTTCTCTCGTGTCCGATTCGACCACCACGGTGGGGCGTTCTGGGCTTCCCAGTGGCTCGGTCTGGGCTACCCCAGGTATTCCACTTGCAAGGAGCACGCGAGAATGATGGGTAGCTTCAAAGTAGGCTTATCACTTGCCATGTAATTCATCTTCTACTGCCGTTCAGCGGCATAAGCGTTCAAGATTAGGAAGTCACATCTTAATGCGCACAACAAGCTCTGTGCACCTGCCTTTCAAGCTACCGGTCCTTCCTCCCACCATATCTAGGGGCGACTCGAACTCGTATCCGATGACAGCGCCGCAGATCGTCTCCGTGCTGTAACAGCAAACAAGCCGCTTGTCGGCACTCGACAGCAGCTGTTTGCGCACTGCCTGGGCGTCTGACTGGCAACAGCCAACTTCACAGCGATTCCCAACAGCAACACAATAAACACTATAACAGCAGCAGTGCTCCTGCAGATCAATGCGAGAGCATGTTCCGAAGCAAGACATGAGCCCTGAGCTGCGCGTTCACGGGAAGCAGGACAATGCTTCGTTCCAAGTGATTGTGCTGGTGAGTCCTGTGGCTACCCGTCTGCTGTCACACCTCGACTGACATTGTCTCAAAAGGGCGCTACCGGCGGTCCGTGCGAAGACAACGTTACCGGCCTCCTCGTACGATCCGCCCAAGCAGAATGGCGGAAAGGATCAGTCATCGCGGTGGATGCTGGAGCGCATTTGGGAAGCATTGTTCGACTGCTTGAGCAATATATGCCACGCGCCTCGAATAAGACACCCGAAGCAGGCCATACTACGGTATTGAAGTCTGGTCCGTTTGCCGGCATCAAGTTTCCACAAATCTCAGCCAAGGCCAATGCCCTGTACATCTTTCGGGAGCTGCTGCACTCCGTTCTCATCACGCATCCTCATCTCGACCACCTGTCCGCTATTGCGATCAATACGCCAGCACTAGAGTACGGTCGGGAAGCAAAAGCGATAGTAGCGTTGCCCTCAACAATCGAGGCGATCAAGACCCACATTTTCAACGATTGGATTTGGCCCAACCTGTCCGATGAGGGACATGGCGTCGGCTTCGTCACCTATCGGAGGCTGATAGAAGGAGGAAACCCGAGGCTAGGTAGCGGTGACGCTCGTGGGTACGTCAATGTGTGCGATGGACTGGCCACCAAGTGCTGGAGTGTCAGTCATGGTAAGTGCCATCGGAGAAGTCACAGCCTGTCGCATACGAGAGGCGAGTCATTTGGCTGGAATAACGCAGAGTACAGCTTTCCCACAAGGCGCATGTCGAGGATGTCGGATCACGACCACGGTTACTTCAGCACGATGGGCCATCCAAGCCATGGCTATGGTCCTTCCGGAGCCGCTCCGCCTCCATCAACGCCGGGAGCATACGCGAGCCAGCCCCAAAGCGCGGTTGATACAGCGCATATGTTCGAGCCAGTCTCCAGCTCTGCTTTCTTCATTCGAAACGATGAGACCGGCGCAGAATTGCTCATCTTCGGCGACATTGAACCTGACACGGTCAGCATCTCGCCACGGAATCATGTTGTCTGGGAAGATGCGGCTCAGAAGTTCGCTGCCGGCCACCTGAAGGCCGTCTTCATTGAATGCTCCTACGATGACAGTGTGCGAGATGCAGACTTGTACGGTCACTTGTGCCCACGCCACTTGATAGCAGAGCTGCGATACCTGGCCAATTGTGTCATCAATGCACGCAAAGTAGCCGGACATACCCTCGTAGAAGGCGCAGAACCTCTTAAAGCTCCAGCTAACACGATGCACCTGTCGATTGCCGACGCGAAGAAGAAACGGAAGAGAGGCGCCAATGGAGATCTCCAGAAAACGCCCGAGCTGGAAGCAACCGAATTTGCGACACCTCCATCTCCTCGCCCTTTACTCAGTGGCTATGTGGGCAGCAGGTCGCCTTCGGCTTCAAGGCGGAAGACATCCCACCATTCTGTCCCAGAGCAAGGATCAGTCGGAATGAAGTCTGCGACGCCGACGCGGAAGCGGTCAGTCCAATTCAGTGGCACGGGACCTAGCATGAACGTGCCATCCGGAACTGCGCCTCCACCACCTCTGAACGTCAGCATAATGGGAAGTCTTCCAAAGAAGCTAGACGAGCCTTTGAAAGGTTTGGTTGTTCACATTATTCATGTGAAAGATACCATGATGGACGGGCCATCTCCGGGCGAGGTCATACTCGAAGAACTGCGAGCACAATCTGAAGAGGCTGGCCTCGGCGTCGAGTTCGATGTCACGTCTTACGGTGAAAGCATCTGGGTATGATCGAAGAGCGATGGACTTGTTATATGGGCTCGCGTTACGGCCCAGTGTACGAATTATGTTTGTTTTGGGCCCGCACCGACCACCATCAGCCTAGCAGTCTGGGCGACTGCATGTCATCTCACATGCCTTTCCAAGGTTCGAGCCCTCTGTGGTACCGCGTTCATGGACTGCATGCAGTTTGCCACCTGAACCTAGCCGAATGGTGCCCAGAAATGCTTGTGACGCGCCACAGCCGAACATCCATGAATCACCGCCACAGATCTGCACATCTGCCGGACCATATATCCGACTTGTGGCGCAGAGAAAGACTGACTATATTCACTTTCATGCCTGTTATCTCGTCGCTGCCCAGGAGACCTTTGAGCTAGACATTCGACATGGTCATCTAGACACCTTTACATACATTTCTCTCAACCATTCGCGATAAAACGAGACCAGAGCAGAATGTCTGAGCTCATTTCGCTAGACACAAGGGCGCCACACTGCGTCATACACGGCAGAAGATCCTCGCCCAGGTGTGGGGTAGAGCTTCAAGCGAAAGGATGTCGGCACCAATGACTTCTGCATTTCATTTCCAAACTCAGTGCCGGAGGAAAAGTTGGCTTGATCTAAGATCCTTTTGAACACACTTCCAGGTTTTCTTGTCACCATGGACGTGCACGAAACGCCTAAAGTAGCACGAATCTACACGCGTCTGCATTTTCCTCGTGATGTGGTTCGTCGGACGATTTCCTTGACGGCATTTGCTTTCCTTGACGGCAGCACTTGAGGTCATTCGCAGCAAAGCTGGCATGGGCTTTTGTAGAACCACTCGTATTTGGATAGTAGACCAGACGAAACGTTTCCCTTCCTTGACACTTTTTTCACTTTCGTGTTCCTTGTTGTGACAATTGACAGAACCCTACACGAGGGTACATGCAGCTGGCGACAGGTGCCAACTGACTGAGTAGTCAAGTCTGCTTCGTTTTCGTCTTCAGCGCTGACAACCCAGATCAGTTGTGCCTCCACACAGTAGCACGTCATGGGCATCTTCTCGCGTCGTCGTGACTACGACGACTACGATGATCAATACAGGCATTCGCAGAACCACGGGACTGGCCTGAGCAATGTGAACAATAACCAAGGCTTCGGCCCAGGCTCAGGCCATCACCACGATCAGGGCTTCAACTCCAACGCTCCTGGCGCCGAACACAATACTGGCTTCGGAACAGGCCATAACACGACTGGACCATTCCACGGCGATACAAACACCCACCACGATCAGAATACCATCAACCCCCTCAACAACAGCACGTCCGGCACGACCGTTGGCCATCACAACAACACTGGGCTCAACAATCCGAACACAAATATATACAACAACAACTACCCCAACGACCACTACGACGACCGCCACAGCCGCCACCGCAGCCAACGCCGAGGGCGCAGGTCAGGCGGAGGCTTCCTACGCCGCCGCAGCCGCAGCCGCAGCTACGACCGCGATTACGACCGCGGGTACAACAGTCACACCGAGGGCCGCAACTCAGGATACGGCAGCAGCCTGAGTAAAGGCCGCCACAACCGCGACTACGACCACCACCAGAACTCCAGAATGTCCAACCGCCGATCCCGCTCCCGCAAGCAACGTCAAATGTTCGACATGGAGAGCGGCGCCTTCAACCACCGACCCAAGTTCGGCCAATGGCTCAAGTTCATCTGGTTGGACCTCCTCACCATGGCCATCATGGGCGCCATTGGCCTAGGAGTCTACTTCGCTGACCCAGCCCCTTCCCGCTCCTTCCCCGTAACCTTCGCCCGCGGCTCCCAAGACGTCGTGTACCCCGAAGTCGCCTATCCACTCCGCAACGAGATCGTGCCTATTTACGCGGCCGCTCTGCTGGCCAGCCTGATCCCTATTTTGATCATCCTCCTGATGCAGATCAGGGTGAAGAGCTTCTGGGACGTCAACAACGCCATACTCGGCCTCCTCTACAGCCTGATCGCGGCCGCTGTCTTTCAGGTTTTCCTGAAGTGGCTGGTTGGTGGGCTCCGACCGCATTTCCTGGCCGTGTGCAACCCAGACCCATCGCAGTTGTTGGCGAATGGGAACGGATACCAGGGGATCATGTTCGATCGGAGGATCTGTCGTGGGAGTCGCAAGGCGGTGAATGATGCGCTGGAGAGCTTCCCGAGTGGACATTCGACGGCGGCGTTTGCTGGGTTTATCTACTTGTATTTCTATTTGAATGCGAAGTTGAAGGTGTTTGCGAATTATCATCCGCATTTCTGGAAGGTGAGTCTGGTCCTGTGCTGGGTGGTGGAGTGGTGGTACAGGAGGACTTGAGCTAATTGAGGTTGCAGCTCATCGTCACTTACGCACCTGTCCTCGGCGCTGTGCTGATTGCTGGCTCGATGACCATCTCTGAGTATCACCATTGGTACGATGTGGTCGCCGGTGGCATCATTGGTACCGTCATGGCGGCTTCGGCTTACCGCATGGTTTATGCTAGCATCTGGGATTTCAGGTAAGAAGATCCACCTTCCTCAGTCTGTGTGTCCGGGTTTGTGTACTAATATTCTCGATTAGATTCAACCACATCCCCATGACGCGCCACACCCCCTTCAGCTTCGGCGCCGGAGCTGCAGGAGCCGGTGGCTTCGAAACCGCGGTCTTCACGCGCCGAGCAGGTTGGGGCACAGAGGAGGCCTTCGGCGGTGCACCGTTCGATGCAGCATACCACCTGCGAGGCCAGGTCAACGGCTTCAACACTGGAGTCCACAATCATTCCGAGAAGGGTGATCACACTGGAATCGGCGGCCATCACCACAACAGCGACAAGCACGGTCTCGGCCACCACAACAATGTAGACGATGGCAACTACCGCCGTGACGACATTGAGCACCACGCCGGAACGACTGGTGGGACGACCGGCGGACCTTTGACCGGTAACAATACTGCTGGCGCGACAGGCAACACCACAGCTCTCGATCACAACGCCGGCGTCCACCGCGACACCACCATTGATCAGCCTCGTCGTACCCTAGATCCTAGTAACCAGAGCGGCTACCGTAGCTCGCATGACGGGCATAGGAGCGATCACTCACTCGGTCGCGGAGCAGGCAATAACAACGTCAATCGTGATGGCATGATCGACATGAACAACCAGAACGATTCCTATAATTCCGGGAATGTGAGTGATGGGAGCAATCGGTACCGTCAGCATAGAGGCAGTACGGAGCGGAGGGCGGTCGTTGCTGGTGGTCCTGGGGGGAGTGCGCCGAGTCAGGCGCTGTGATGCGGTCGATCGCGGATTCGACCGTAGGAATAACGACTAATGGAACTGCAAGCAGGGCAACACGGGCCGTCGATTCATGATCTGCGGGCGTTTTTGGCTTGAGCATGTAATTGTGTCGACTTAGACTCGTGTTGAGGAGAGACACCTATGCTCTCCTCGGCGCGTTCTGCGGCTGAAATAGCAACTCACTTCTTTTTCCAACAATTTCTATCTGAAACAATTTCTGTCTGAATAGCTGGGCTGAAGTAAAGGGGTGCCAGCGTGCTGATGTATCTCGCAGCACCTAAGCTTTGCGTGACCGTAAAGCAGCGCCAGGTACGATCGTTCTCGTCCTTGGCACACACTGCGTGTACGATACTCGTGCTATCGTGTCCTTTGTGGGAGCAAATACTCATCGCAGTCGAATCATGTAAGACGGCAAACTCATCAGGGAATGGTTGCAGAAAAAAGGACAGGTCGACGCGAGATGATCGATTTCAGTGTCCGGCCCAACCAACGACAGGGATGGTAGCGCGACCACCTGAGGCTGGACGTTCAGGGGTCCAGGCTTAACGAGCTCTCGTAATCGAATTCCGTATTTCGTCCAGGCTTTCCTGCTAGCTTCGAGGTTGACGACACTGTTTCTGGCCTTGAACGACGTCTCACCACCATGTGATTCCCATACCTTCTGACTGCGGCGTTCCGCAGCGCTTCATAAATCCGATTTGAGACGACCTGCGTATAACACAAAGTACGCGATGGGCGACGACTTGAAAGCTTTCAACCGTCCGGCACCGCGCGCGGGGCCGGATGTTCCCTACCAGAATGCAACCGCTTCAAACCCGATTCTGCGAGGGCCGGCGTTGGCTGTCGCCTCGACGATGTAAGAGCTGCAGACCCCGATGGAGTGGTTAAAGCTGTGGCAATCGGCTGATCGGCGACTACAGAATCACGCGAACAGCTTTCCTGAAGCGATTGCTGTGGCGCATGAACAGATTCGATAAAGTGAAGGACATCGCTGCACTCACCGAATACACCCCAAGGCATGATCCCACGGTTATCCCTGCTGCCTCAGAAGGCGAGGTGCTCCCAATTGCAGGCCTACCTGCTGCTGAGCCAAGACAGAATGAACAGACATATTATACCTCTGGCGATCTGGTCAAGCTGTACGAAGAGGGCACATTGACGCCTGTTCAGGTTGTCGAGCACCTGCTTCCGCTCATAAGGAGAGACATCTCGCCAAAGGGCTCATTCTCGATCGGCTGGGTGCAGGCTCGTGCCGATCTGATACTCGAAGCTGCTGAAGCATCTACAGCAAGGTATAAGGCTGGGAAGCCACTCAGCCCGCTTGATGGCGTTCCCGTCACGGTGAAAGACCAGGTCGACATAACCGGCTATGACTTTTGGAAAGGCACCCCGATGAACTTCAAGTCTCCGAAGGATGGGACTGCCTGGTGTGTCCAGAAGTGGGCAGAAGCTGGCGCGATCATTTTGGGAAAGACGGTCATGCATGAGATCGGAATGGATACGACGAACGTGAATCTCACGTTCGGAACGCCACGAAACCCTCACAATGCTGCCTACTATACTGGTGGCAGCTCTGGAGGTTCTGCTTATGCCGTTGCCTCAGGCGTCGTGCCCATTGCGTTGGGCGCTGATGGCGGTGGTAGCATTCGACTCCCGTCATCATTCTGCGGAATCTTTGGCCTGAAGCCCAGCGCTGGACGAGTGTCGGCCCGTGCTGATACTGATCCATGGAACAGTGTTACAACGATCGGTCCTCATGCTTCGAACATCGATGACCTTGCGCTGGCATATCGGATTATGGCCCAGCCTGACCCGCATTCGCGTGCCAATTACGCCTTTCCATCGCCTCTCATCGATGGTAGCAAGATCTCTCGAGACGGGCCGAAGTACCTGGGCATTATGCGTGAATGGATTGACCGTGCAGACCAAGACGTTGCAGATCTGTTCCGGCGGGCCGTAGACTATCTTGTGAAAGCCCATGAGTATGAAGTTATCGACATCAAGATCCCATTGCTCCCAGAAGCACAGAAAGCTCACGCCTTGACGATTACCAACGAGACCCGGGCTGATCTTACGGACGCCCAGGTATCAAAGCTCACCTATCACAATCAGCTCCTCCTAGGAACGCTGACCGGTTGTGCTACGGCTCGTGACTTCCTCGCTTGCCAGCGAATGCGGTCGCTGCAAATGTCGCACCTGGCATCGCTCTGGGAACAGTATCCTGGCATGCTAGTGCTGACGCCGACGTGCCCGTTCGCGGGCTGGAAGATTGTCTCCGAGAGCGATCTATCAGGCGCCGGAGCCTTTGACGGTGACACAAGCTTGAGGAGCATGGAATATGTCTTCCTATCAAACTTTACTGGCACGCCGTCGATCTCGGTACCCATGGGTTATGTAGAGGAGGTCCTTCCGGCTGGTCTTATGGTATGTTTTCTGGCTCTTAGCACCGCTTTCGCTTGACTCTTCGCTGCTACGGTATGCTGACTTGTTGTAGGCCATGGCAGAATGGGGCAATGAGGAGCAACTGCTGTCTTTCGGCCGTGAAGCAGCTGGTGTCCTCGGCGAGGAGGGGCTTCGACGGCCTTCAGACCCTGAAAGATGGGCGGACGTTCTCGCGATTGGAATCAAAGACCACGCTTGAGTTTATCATGCTTCTGTGACTCTTTCAAGTGCTCAACGGCCGCTCTCAGCATTGTATTCGGGGGGTCCGAGCTCCGTTCATGCTTCAAGAGAAACGCGTTAAGGTGCCCGATGGCGAGAATCGCAGTATCGGCATCGCGCAGCGTCGGGGGGCATATTTGGGATCGATCGAAGGCTTCAGTATGAAGACTTGAGTGTACGCGCCATGATTTTGGACTGTTGAAAGGACTGATACGTCGTCGCCGCCCGGATTTCTGGAAACGAGAGCGCCGTTGAGGCCCGATTTCACGAATTTTCAAACGTGTCAGAACAGGCAAAATTGGTAACGCTCGATAGCATGGGTCCAGGAGAACACTCAGAATGTGCATTTATCATCGATTTTACAGTATACGCTGCGCTACGTCGCTGTCGATATTCTGGCTCGCGACTTCCTTGAGCTCGATGTGCCAAGTCTTGCTCACGTGACAAACTTCTAGCCAATGAGACTGTGGTAGGTGGACTCTGGCTCTGTCATTTGAGCGCCAAGCTCGTCGAAATCGACCGTCATTTGAAACTACTACATCTTTCGAACCGGTTTGCGCTCCTGACCATTTCCTTCCTCTTCACAACAACTAACCACCTAGATCCTCCCTCCTCTTGCTTACTCCATCTTGGCAACCATCCTGGTCCCCGGAGGTTGTGGATCCAAGGGACTAAGCAACTGAAGGATGCCCAATGCGACGCCCAGGATCACCTTCATCTGGGTTGTCGTCGCTACCAAATGATGAAACGAGGAAGCGAGACTTTGTCTCCCTGTCCTCCTAACTGATGGTAGATGATCGCAGCAGGATTGAGAGTCGACTGATAAGTTATTGTGCCTTGCCTTCTTTGTTGCTGACAAAACACTGTAGCAGTTCCAGTCGACGATGACATCCATTCCCTTCTCTTGCTTCCTCTTCCTTGGCAACCATTCCGGTCGGGAGACCGGGTGGTTGTAAGCCTCTCATCCGATCATATCTAGTGTGAACCTGTGCAAAATTCTCAACTGTCAGGGAATCACTGGGTATGGGAGGCTGGGAGGCGTCCCCATCTCTACAGGTCCCTTTGGAGGTCCCTGCCTTATCGACAGGCAGATACCTCCTGGAGGATTTGGGGACACAAGGGGAGCCAGCAAGACTGCCTTTTCATTCATGTCATCGACGCTGTCGATGCATGGGGGAAGAAGTATCAGCTGTACCTTGTACTCATGATCCTCGCTACTGCCTTTTGTCGTCGTAATCTGTGGTGTCTCTTGCCTGCTGCCGCCTTTCGTAGTGCTGTCCACGTACGTCGCTCTTCATTCAATGCTACTGTCCCTTTGTAGTCTGTTGCCGCGTTTTCCCCAATGACGTCTCTGCCCCAATACTGCTCCCGCCCCGCCGTCGCCTCCGCCCCGCTGTCAAACGCATTCCGCTTCCCTCGCCGTCGCTTCGACCTCGCCGTCATGCGACGGAACGCTGCAGTTTCTAAACTCGACGAGCACTCAGAGTAACGGCCACCAGACCCATCCCCGATGTCCTCACCTCCGCAGAAGTAGCCATCGGTGAGATATCGCTGTCATCGGTCGCTGCGGAACAGATAGAAACCAAATCGGGAAAGCCAGCATCCAAAACTGGACTCTGACCTGCCGCATTTCATTCCCCTAGCGATGATTCTTGTCTCTGGGCCTATGTCATTTTCCTTTCCTTGTTGATATTCCTGCCGCCCGGTCGGTCCTCCGCGTCAACCGAGTTCCCCTTGCCGGTCCGCACACGCGTGATTTCCATCCCGCTGCCGCACCTCAGCTGCGTCCATGCTTGAGATTCGCCAATCTCCCCTTCATGTAGTCGCTGCTGCCGACCACGGTTTTCCTTTGAGTACCTCACTTTCGCGATGGCTGCCATCCTCCGCACGCATCTTCCTGCATTCGCTCGTATCTCGTGCTTGCATTGCGTCGTCTTTCCGCGATCGCTCGTGCTTGCGATCCTTTCTGCACCGCAAGTGCCTGCATGCGTTAGCACCTACTATTGCTTGTGTCTGCATTCGCATGTACCCGCATTCGAGTTCACTCATACCTTGCCTCGCGTGTCGTGCTTCGCTCGTAGGCTTTGCTGCGTATCTAAGGACTCATAACACTTTAATGTGTGTACACAATCGCTGCAGTGCAGTTGAGTTCTCGTTGATTGATTCATGATGCGAGCGCGGCACTCCTGCTCACGCTCGAATGCATAGTGCAGACTTGAGTGTGTCAGACGGCGCTAGGGCTTGTTGATGGTTAGCTTGAAATAGTCGGACGATCTGTCGTTGTGACTGGAACTTCGTTGTATGGTATCTGAGTATGCCGAGGGCGTTTGCACTGCCCATTCCGCCGTGGCCAAAGAGTGCTCCCACCGCCGTCGCGTTTGCTCATGTCTGTGAGATGGCCTTCATCATGTCATACCCTCGTCATCGTCATCATCGTCGTTGTACGCTCCATTCTGCCGCTCCTCATCCTCCCTCTCCCTCCTGGCCTGCTCCCGACTCGCCCCAACCTTCCTCAACCCATCCATCACCCCTGTTATAAAACCTCTACTCTCACTCAACGCCATCGCGCCGACCCCATTCAAACTCACTCCCTCCCCCTCCCCCGTCAGCGCCTCCACCCCCTTCCGCATCTTCGCCAGCCTCACCTCCCGCACATCCCTCAACAACTGCCTCACCTGATCCGCCTCACTCACATCATCCGCCGCCGCATCCAACAGCATTTCCGCCATCTCGAACCAGTGGTACGGCAGCGCATTGGCCGGTGCGCTAGCAGTGCAGGATTCGAGGAAGGGCGCGCTGGACGTGAATTGCCTGCCTAGTGCGTCCACCTCTTTCACGTGTGCTAATGATGGAGCTGGCGCAAAGGAGTCTTCGAAGTGATGCGTTTCGGCCTCGAGGATTTCGAGCAGGGAGTCTTTGTAGAGCCAGGGCGGAGGCATGATGTTTGCGCGCCGTTGGCGTTTAAGGAGGATGGCAAGCCAGAGGGGTAGGTTGGCTCTTTGGGGTGGACGGAGGGATGCTGTTGGGCCCTAGTATGAAGACCTGTGTTAGTGATGTCGGGGGTTGTAGAGGGTAGAAAGAGCCTCACACCTCAGGTGTCGTGGCCAGCAGCGTGGGCGGGACTCACTCCTAGCAAGTCCAGTCTTTCGAGCCGTTGGCGGGGTATGACAGTCACCAACTCCATTTCGCAGAGGAAGGCGACTTCTGCTGGCAGAAGGCCGGGAGGGTGCGGGAAGGCCATAATCGCGCGTATCTGGTACGCAATCCGGCCGCTGTAATGCTGCGGTCGTGGTAACGGGCAAGTGAATAGATGAACATCTAGGACGATTATGAAACGCGCCAAGCCTCCGTCGCGTTTTGTCTTCGATGGGATATATTTCTACTGCTACGCTTTCCCACCGACGACTTTGCCCTTCCTTTCCCTACTTCTCAACTCTCGTCTTGATGGCTGTCTCCGACTGGGTCTCCGTCGAAGTCCGGCGAGCTGGTCTCCTTGCCGTGGTATGTGCTGGTCATTACACTTGGAGGCAGCTGGTCAACCTCGAAGTCCCATGCCCCTACCTGGATGAGGTGTTCCATGCTCCTCAAGCCCAGACCTATTGGGAAGGAAAGTGGACGGAATGGGATCCCAAGATCACGACGCCGCCGGCACTGTATGTGTTCAGCTACGGAGTCAATGCGTTCAGAGCGTTCTTCTACGAGGAGACCACGGACGCCTTCGAGCACAATACGGCAGACCTACGGCTGGTGAACTTGATATTGCTGTACGTGCTACTGGTAGCGTTGTATGCGTGGGCGGCGATTTCGAGGAGGGAAATCAATGAGCAGAGTGTGCTGCAGCGGGAGTTCAGCTTCATCTGCTTCCCGTTACTGTTCTTCTTCTCGGGTTTGTACTACACGGATGTGATGTCAACGTTGACCGTGGTCATCACATACAACTTCTGGCTTGCTGGCGTTTCGGCGCACGGCTGGGGCAAAGTCCTGTGCAAGGCCATGCACGTTTGCTTTGGGCTGGTCTCTCTGGCTACGAGACAAACCAATATCTTCTGGGTTGCTGTCTTCCTGGGTGGACTACAGGTGATCGAGACATTGAATGAGCAGGTCGGTGAAAACGAGGTCCACGATCCTGCTATCTCAGAAGCATATTTTGAAGGTCAGCCTATAGGTCTAGCACAGAAGACTATCAATTCTGACATACTCGCACTAGACTTCGTCACCACTGCGATCTCCGTAGGCCACAATGCACTCCGCGTGTTGCCGCGCTTGATCATCGACCTTCTACCGCAGCTTGTCCTGCTGGCCAGCTTTGCGGCATTTGTCGCGTGGAACGGTGGGGTTGTGCTGGGTAAGAACATCTTCTCTCACAGCAGCAACGTCAAGACTGAACACTGGGCAGGCGACAAATCGAACCACATCGCCTCAATCCACCTGACTCAACTACTCTACTTCTTCGCGTTGACAATCTTCTTTTCATGGCCAGCACTGCTGCCTCAGCTCAGCAGCTTTTCCTTAGGCATCAGATCCCGCTTGCCTCGCCTATCGGTCCTTGCAGGCTTCACCATTCTCGCCCTGATCATCATCCACTTCAACACCCTGGTCCATCCATTCACGCTTGCGGACAACCGCCACTACCCGTTCTACGTCTTCCGCTACTTCGTCATACCATTCCCGCGGAAGTACCTGCTCGCGCCAATGTATGTGCTTTGCGGCTGGTTAGCTATCACGGCACTTGGACCCGTTGCAACGACTCCGACTGCTCGGATCTCGACCACGGCTAAACCGAAACAAAAAGCAGATGATGAGTCTCGCGAGATCATCTTTCAGCGAGCTGACACTGTCCATGTGTCCTTCGTTCTGGTCTTTCTGATCTCGGCGGCTCTAAGCTTGATTACCGCGCCACTGGTCGAACCACGGTACTTCATGATTCCGTGGTCGATATGGCGGCTGCATGTCCCGGAGGTGCTGGAATCGGATGCACCGAAGCAGAAAGCGATTGGAAGTGCAAAAGACCCGCGGCAGCCAGGTGTGTTCATACGCGGTCTTGAATTGGTTGCTGCTCAGGCGCCCTCGATCGAGCTGCTCTGGTACATGGCTATCAACATCGTCACGGGATACATGTTCCTGTATCGACCGTTCGCTTGGCCGCAGGAGCCCGGAAAACTGCAGCGCTTCATGTGGTGAGATGTCAGTACCGTCGAAATAAAGGAGCAAAATCTGGAAATCAGCGATAGACACTTTGTACAATGTTCATGAATATCCACAAGAACAAGCCATCTCGATCCTGTCAGCTGGGTGCACTCTGCGTGGCATCCTGCTTCTGCATCTTCCTCCGCGCTGCCAGGATCATTTCTTCTCGGCGCCGCTGCAGCATCTTCTGCCGCTCCGCTTTGTCGGTCTGCCACCCAGGTGATGGCGCAGGCTCTTCCTTCTCTTTCCCCTTATCGCTGATCTTGCTCTGCAAATTGTATCGTGTGATGAGGTCTACCTCTGGCTTCTTGGGTGTCGAGCTAGTGCTCGTCGTGGTCGCAGATGTGGTCGTGAACGTTATCGGCGGCTGGAAACTTGGTGGCGCCTAAGATCATTGATCAGTTGTAGTTCCCTTTCGCGGGAACGGGATGGGTCGCATACCGATTCCAAGCCTCTTCCCGTCAATATTCGCTCTGTAGTCGCCGGCACCGAGCCCCTGTTCCGGTGCAGATCCCACATGATGTCTCGGCGATTCAACTGTGGGAACATTGCCGAGACCTGCTCGACTTGAGCGGCCGTGAAGCGCAAGCCATTGTTGCGCCCGCTACTCGACGTGCCGGTACCCGTGGATGAGGACGTCCACCATCGGTATGTAAAGAATATGACAACTGTGACGAAGAGGAGAGAGGGGATCGAGATAGTCGCTTGCTCCTCCGCAGCGCTGGACATGGCTACGGTAGATGAGCTGTGCTCCAGTTGAGAGAGAGTGGTGATTGTTCCCGGAGCTGTTCGCAGTAGTTGTCGTAGTAGAAACGGTCCACAGGCAGGTTGCCTGTCGCATTCAAGGGCGTCCCAGAGCCTTCAAAAGGTAGGTGCAATAACAAGATAAGTAAGACAATGAAGATGGAAGCCAAAGACCCAGAATTGGCGCGGTTCTCGGCCGTTGTGGTTGCCTTGCCCAGCGCAAACGTTCACAACTCTTTCACCATTCGCCTATCAACTGCCTCTCGATTTCGGACGATATGGTGACTTTTGTTGCTCGACAACTGATCAGTCGTGTACGCCCACCGCAGATCAATAGAGATGTAAGTTCACGGAGGTGGGTATGGTCGGTCAATTCCGCAATGATGACTTCCATCCCGCCCTACAGTGGATTTCATAGCTATGTACAGCATCGTCATGGGCGTCGAGCGGGATTTTCAGGTATTCTTCACTACACGTCTGAACTAAACTCTAGAGCGTGATTCGCGCCTTACCAGTGCAACTCAACGAATGACACTTGAGAGGTACGCGCAACCGCAACGCCTTCTGCAGCAATGGCAAGTGAGAACAATAAGCGCCGGCGTCGCTTGAGAATATGCCTCTCTGTGGACTTCGATGCCGTCTCTGGGTATCTTGGAACTGGCTATGACCCAAAGAACACGTTGGCAGACTTCTCTGCCGGCATCTTCAGCGCCAACGTTGGTGTCGGTCGTCTGCTCACACTTTTCAAGAAGCACGGGATTTCAGACAAAGTCTCGTGGTACGTGCCTGGTCATTCACTTGAGACGTTTCCGACCCAAGCCAAGGCCATAGCAGAGTCTGGAGCCGAGATTGGTCTTCACGGATACAGCCACGAAGGCGCATATGCTATGACTGTTGAGCAGGAGGAAGACGTCCTGAAGAAGTGCATCGAGCTTGCGACCGTGCTACGTGGAGGCACACGTCCCGTCGGGTATCGAGCACCTCTATATCAAATCCGCGAGACCACTGTGAGGCTCCTACAGAAGTACGAATTTTCATACGACACGAGCATGAATGCTCACGACTCCCTGCCATACTTCTTACCAAATCCATTTCTCGGGGAGCCTCCTCTGGCACCAGACTATCAGCAGAAAGCGGAGACATGGATGAAGCCTGCCGTCATACCCGCGCAACCTGTTCGTGGAACCGCTGAAGCACAGAAGGCCCTCGTGGAGATACCTGGCAGCTGGTACGGTGAAGACATGACGCCGCTCGGCTTCTACCTTACCTCGCGAACTCCCAGGGCTACGTCAGCGTTGATGTCGTTGAGAAGATGTGGTGGGATCGATTCGATTGGATATGGGAGAATGAGAGCTGGCTAGACGACGGTCCGGGGAAGGACTATGGCAGCATCTTTCCGATGATCTGGCATCCAGAGAGCGCAGGCCGAGCACATGTCGTCGGCATGATCGACAAGTTCATTGGAAAGCTGAATGAGAAGATGAAGACGGCTGACTCGGGAGAGATCACATTCGAGACAGGTGAAGCTATAGCGAGCAGCTGGAGGCAGTCCGCTGGGAGCGGATGAGTCGAGCTCGTGTGAGGTATTATGCTAGATTACTGTGTCTCAAGCATCTTCACCAGCGCGCTGAGCCTGACGTCGCGCAAATCCTGCTGCCACAGGTTCTCGCATATGTCGGGTCTGTCGATTGGTCGAGACGTTCTCTCGTGACTTACAGATCAGCTTTACGGTGCAGGGACGGGAAACAGTCAGCAGCATTGGGGATTCTGGTATCCGTGAAGTGTTCTTGATGTGGTGTCTGGGTGGCAAATCGAGGACAAGACAATGTGACAGACTCGGTGCCATATTGCCGTCGCCGGGTGTGGACGTCGACGTCGACGTCAAATGTTCGGCGTGCTTTCCCCCGTGGCCAAATTTGGATCAAATCTTGAGCCCAAGGGTAAAACCTCAGTGGGTTGCCAGCAAGCACGCCTGAGGGCTGGTTCTAATTACATGTAGCTGACCACTCTTCAGCTAGTCCACTGGTTGTAGAAAAAGCCGTTGACAGCCGCTAGGCATTTCTGAGTAAGACGCATGGATTACGTGAGTAGACCTACGGGAATGTCATTGTTCTCGCGAGCGGAGGGCTGCATATACCATCAACTCTCTTCGGTAATCTGTGCTTATCTAAGGAGAGAACAGTCATGGTAACAATGCTCGACGTAGTGAGTTGCGACCTGCATGGCACTAACGATGTCGAGGGGCAGACCTCGGCGCGTTGTTGGCATCTCTCAAGAGTGTCAGACAGGTCACAGTAGAAAAGTCCAGGTCTGATTCATAGGCCGGATAAGGCCTTCCGGGCATGTCATTGCTACAAATGACTGCTTCTTCATGCCCCTCATGTCGCCGCTACTCGCATCTTAGCCGCGTTTGCTGATGTTAGTGCAAGTTGCATGCGCCACGTTGATATATCCAACGCCCCGGCAGGACCATGGCACGCTTGATCTGGGAACGAAATGCCAACTTAGCTCCCATTTCATTAGCGGAAGTCACACCAGAAGCAGTTTACCTGCTTTATAGAGTTAAGTCGCGAACCTCTCATCCACTGTTGCGGCCTTGATCAAGACCTGCCTGTCCATAGACAGACCTGTGCACTACCCAAGCCTACATCTGAGCCTGCTCTTAGCCATCCACGTGTTATCGCAAGTTTCCTCGAGCACTATTTGTCCCTAGCTGGTCTTTCAAAACGTCCCTGTCGGCCGGATGTGTTGCACACTTCGATAGCCATTGAGTAGCACATTCGCCGTCGACTGGCCTTCGTGCCATTAGTTCAAACACAATGACGAGCAACGAGAAGCCAACAGAGACTGAGGCTATTGCTGCCGCGCAGCCTCCTCAGATCATTCTCGAACAGGCCAACGCAGCTGCCGCGTCTGCTGAACAAGATACCGAACAAACACCACCCGAGTACCACCACGAACCCCATGCCCGCCATCATGGAGGCTCTACATCGCATCTCGACACCAATGTGCCAGCTCCGGCCTTCAGTCACCATTTCGGCTCACTCAAGATCGAACAAAATGGCATGGAAACCGACGCCAAGGTGCAGAAAGATGGACGGATCAACATCAAGCTCTGCCAGCACAGCAACAAGCTGTCGAACATGCTGGTACCAGCCCTGCGCCGCCAGCTGGAAATACACAAAGCAGAAGCTGCGAAGCAACCAGTCATTCCGGAAGGCCTGGGCGAGACACAGGATGGTCTACCACCGCCGCCCATGAATCTGGTCATCCAGATCGTTGGCAGCAGAGGAGATGTCCAGCCCTTTGTCGCTCTTGGGCAGGTGCTGAAGAAGAAGTATGGTCATCGAGTGCGGATAGCAACGCATCCGACCTTTCGAGACTTTGTCGTGGACAATGGTCTCGAGTTCTTCAGCATTGGAGGCGATCCGGCCGAGCTCATGGCCTTTATGGTCAAAAATCCGGGATTGATGCCGGGCATGGATTCGCTCAAAAGCGGCGATGTCGGCAAGAGAAGAAAGGGCATCTACGAAATCGTCACAGGCTGCTGGAGGTCATGTATAGAGTCAGGCGAAGGCACAGGCATACCAGCTTCCGACTCACATCTGGACGAGGTACGCAGCTTCGACAGCGCTGAGACTTTCGGCGACCCCAGCCAGAAGCCATTCATCGCAGACGCGATCATAGCCAACCCTCCGTCATTCGCGCACATGCACATAGGCGAGAAACTCGGAATTCCAGTGCACCTTATGTTTACGATGCCTTGGTCTCCTACTCAGTCCTTTCCCCATCCGTTGGCAAACATAATCTCGTCGAACACGGATCCGAACATGGCCAACTTCATGTCTTATGCGCTGGTTGACATGCTGACCTGGCAAGGACTGGGAGATGTGATCAACAGATTTCGGCAACGCAGCCTGAACCTCGAGCCAGTTAGCATTATGTGGGCTCCGGGCATGGCAGCCCGTCTGCGCATACCTTGGACATATTGCTGGTCTCCTGCACTAATCCCAAAGCCTGCGGACTGGGGCAACCATATCGACATTTCAGGATTCTACTTTTTGAACCTTGCGAGCAATTATACGCCAGCGACAGATCTGGCAGCTTTCCTTGAGGCTGGACCACCGCCCGTGTATATTGGTTTTGGCTCTATCGTGGTAGACGATCCAAACGCGATGACCAAGATGATCTTTGAGGCGGTCAAGAAGACAGGACAGCGAGCGCTAGTCTCGAAAGGCTGGGGAGGATTAGGCGCTGACGAAATGGGCATACCTGAGGGTGTGTTCATGCTCGGCAATTGTCCTCACGATTGGCTGTTCAAACATGTGTCATGCGTGGTACACCATGGTGGAGCTGGCACTACTGCAGCTGGTATCGCAGCTGGGCGACCAACCGTTGTGGTTCCGTTCTTTGGCGATCAGCCATTCTGGGGAGCGATGTGCGCCCGTGCTGGAGCTGGCCCAATGCCGATCGCATACAAGGACTTAACAGCGGATAAGCTGGCAGACCAGATCAAGAAGGCACTCGAGCCGGCCTCCTTAGAGCGTGCCGCTGAGCTCAGCAACAAAATCAAGTCTGAGCAAGGTAGCCAAACAGGTGCAGAGTCTTTCCATCGGCAATTACATGTCGAAGATCTGCGATGCTCCTTGTGCCCGGATCGAGTGGCTTTATGGCGAGTCAGACGAACAGATATCCGCCTGTCTGCATTAGCAGCAACTGTATTGGGTACAGAAGGCCTACTCGACTTCAATGATCTCAAGCTCTATAGACCACGAGAGTATGAAACTGATGACGGACCTTGGGATCCTGTCACTGGCGGTGCATCCGCTCTGATTGGCACGATCGGCCAGTTCAGCATGGGCATTGCCGACTTTCCTGTGGAGATCCTGAAGTCGCTCAAGCAATCAACCAACGACGTCAAAGAAGGACATGAGATGCACCGAGCATCTAAGTCTTCTCCCATACCACCATCATCTCAGAACCCATCTAGCTCTGATTTGACTAAGGTAGATACGAAGTCTACAGTGGACAGCTCCAAGGCGACTTCGCCACTTTCAGGAGACTCGCCGGTGACGTCCCCGCCACGAACGCCTTCCCTTTCCACGGCGAAAACTGTAGTCGATGATGAATCGCAACGTGGTCGCCACTCAGGCTCGATAGCCAGCGTGTTTGGGCCTGATGGTGAAAGTCGTCATGGTTCTCGCCGACTCTCTGGTGGTCACTCTCGTTCTCGCTCCCGTGATCCGAGAGGTGAACAGGAGTTCAAACCTGGCGAAGATTTGCAATACATCACCATGGAGTCAGCCATATCTGGCGCGAAGGCTGCTGGTAGAATTGCCAGCGCCGGCATCAAATCGCCTATGGACTTCACTCTGTCGATTGCGAAGGGCTTTCACAACGCTCCGAAGCTGTACGGTGATGACACAGTCCGCAAGCCGGAGAAGATCACAGACTTTCAATCTGGTCTTAAAGCAGCTGGCAAAGAGTTCGGATACGGATTCTATGATGGCATCACGGGACTAGTGACACAACCCATTGCCGGAGCACGCAAAGAGGGCGCTGCAGGCTTCCTCAAAGGCGCAGCCAAAGGCATTGGAGGTCTTGTGCTCAAGCCAGGTGCAGGTGTATGGGGTATTCCAGGCTACACAGCCAAAGGAGTGTATGCCGAAATCACCAAGCACTTTGGCAGCTCAGTGCAGAATTTCATCATTGCTGCACGCACAACGCAAGGCTACGATGACTGGAAAAACAGTACTCCAGAAGTTCGAGCTCAAATCGTTACAGCTTGGAAGGACACCCAAATCGAGGGCCGAAAGCATGGCAAGAAGTTCGGCAAGGAGCGTCAGCACGAGATTGAAGATCATATCCTGACCAGGACGGCCAGCAACAATGAGCAGCTCTTGAGCGGCTTCAGCAACACGAGGAAGTTGACTTGGGACGAACGGAAGGCTCTTGCAGCGAGAAAAGACGAGCAGCGCAAGCGCGAAAAGGACCTGAAACGAGCCGAAGAGCAGAGAAAGAAGGATGAGAAACATGCAGGTGGTCACCACCGCAAGCACAGTCTATTCAAGCACGACAGCAACCAAGGCTTGAGACACAGTGCCACCATGCCTGTGGCAAAGTCCGCATCACAAGTCGATGTTGGGGAGGAGTTTGAGAAGGCTATCAAGGCCTCAGTCGCTGCTACCAGCAGAGGCAACCCACAAGAAGACGCTATGATTGAGCGTGCTATTCGAGCTAGCGTGAATGAGCTGCACCGCTCGCAGACTGCTCCTTCTGTAGGGGCGCAAGACGATGAGGTCTATCAAAGAGCTGTCAAAGCCTCAATCGAAGAGGCAAAGAAGGCCCGCGGCGAACTTTCCGAAAGTCCGCAGGATACTGGCGAACATACTGGCAGAGATGATCACGATGCTGAGCTTGAGAGAGTCCTCACTCAGAGCCTTGAGGAATACAAAATAAGTCAGACCAAGTCGGCATCGCAGGGCCATTGGGATGACGGCGACTCCGACCACGATAGCGAGGCGGATGAGGCATTGAAGCGTACGCTGGAGGAGAGCAAACGTCTTCACACCGAACAGCAGAGTCGTCAACAGACCGGCATCGTTTCTCGCGAGCCTGTGACAAGTGCAAACATCACCAGTCCTGCTCGCGAAAGCAACGACGATGAGCTGCAGCGTGCGATCACCGAGAGTGAAAGAGAAGCTAAGCAGCACGAGGAGGAACTGCAGCGAGCCATGACTGAGAGCGAGCAGCACTCAAAGGACAACGAGGCTGAGATTGCGAAGCAGAGGACTGAGGAGGAGATAGTGCTGGAGTATGTGAAGAAGCAGAGTCTGCTTGAGGAAGAGCTTCGAAAGAAGAAAGCTGGGGAGGCTCCGACATAGGGTAACGATGATTAACGATTTTCGTTGAAGTCACGAGGCATATACCCAGTGTTCTGAGCGAGTTTCGTAGTCGATAGAGCAATTTGGACATGTCATGACATACACATTTCAAATGCTGCTGAAAGGCGTCTATCTATGCCTCTGCCAGTGAATTCAAGTCGTCAAGTCAATGGAGTGATCGCTGCCTGTTTGCCTCAATCTTCACTGTGATTAGATGGTATAAGTTGTCGTATTGCCCCTGAAATCTTCTCTCTTCTTCTTCCTCCTCAACCAGTCTGAAGATGAGATCAACATCCTTCGCCATATCAAGGTAGCATATGTCGCTGCTTGGTGGGGCGAGCTTCAAGTCCTCGAACACTGCATGCATGAACGATACTAGTAAGAGTCGAGTGCTCGAATGTGTCTGTGCTTGTAGACGATACTTGACCCGGCACTGTGATCGCCAAGAGAAATCATACGTCGCTCATCGCTGACATCTTCGATGGTGGCATACTAAGTCAGTATCAAAGTGTGTGACAGCGACCACTTTGGCGAAGCATGCCGTAAAAGCATCTCAGTCGTCATGAGGAGTATTGATACTAGGAGGCGGTCTTTCGAATTGATCGCAAAAGTGGACCATGCCAAGATTCGTTCCTCTTGGCACAAAATTTCGCCAAGGTCGATTTCGCACTTTGAACCGCAGGCAAGTCAACGCCCTCAGACATCGCACCTCTTTCCCCGACAAGTACCCAGACACACATCGCCAACATGTCTGACAACGGCGAGGTCGAAGTCGAAGTCCCCTCGATCGCTTCCAACGTCCTCCCCAAGGATGTCACCTCCGAGATTGGCAGCGTCAAGTTGTTCAACAAGTGGAGTTACGAAGATGTCGAGATTAGAGATATCTCCTTGACGTACGAACGCATGCTGCGAGCAGGAAGGACAAGAGACTGACAGTATCAATAGCGACTACATCCAGATCCGCGCGCCGGTGTACATCTCACACTCTGCCGGCCGATATGCCGCAAAGCGATTCCGCAAGGCTCAATGCCCGATCATCGAGCGCCTCACCAACTCCCTCATGATGAACGGTCGCAACAACGGCAAGAAGCTCATGGCTATCCGAATCGTTGCTCACTCGTTCGAGATCGTACGTCCATGTCCCACAAGATACACCACAAAAGGACAAGAATATAGAACTAACAGCTACTCAAGGTCCACATCATGACAGACCAGAACCCCATCCAGATCGCCGTTGATGCCATCGTCAACTGCGGTCCCCGCGAAGACAGCACACGTATCGGTTCCGCCGGAACAGTCCGAAGACAAGCCGTCGATGTCTCCCCTCTCCGCCGCGTCAACCAGGCCATTGCTCTCATCACAATCGGTGCCCGCGAAGCATCGTTCCGAAATGTCAAGTCGATTGCTGAGTGTCTCGCTGAAGAGCTGATCAATGCTGCCAAGGGTAGCAGTAACTCGTATGCCATCAAGAAGAAGGACGAGTTGGAGCGTGTAGCCAAGTCTAACCGGTAGAGGAAGAACTTCTTGGTGGGGGTTTGCTGGCTCGGGGCACAATGCGACTGCTTTCAGTGCTTTGCGACCTGTTCGAAGCATGCTCTGTGCCGGCGTGCGGTTGCAGTGAGGCAATGAAGGGGTCGAGGACTCGATACTGAGGCATCGATTTGATTCAAGCCCACGAGTGCGTGGAGAGTGAAAGAGAGCACTATGGAAGTCATCTGAACCGAATGAATAGGCACAAGTGCCATGTCAACACAACACCTTACTTTTGGTCCCAAGCGACTCATCCTTTGTCGGTGGAATCCTGCTGACCATGACTTGTGCTTTCTCTACCTTACGGAGCACCGGGTTCCGATGCCGCAGGGTCCCCATCTTTGCCTGCTAACACATAACAGAGCCGATATGACAAAGACTTCGGAACCAGACTGAGTTCAAGCGATGGTTTCCTTGCAAAAATTATCTCCTCTGTTGCCTGATCGGAAGAATAGGACTGAAGATCAAGCCTCCCTCCACTCAACAGCCGACCTGCAGAAAGGAAGGGCTGCGGTAGATGCTGCTACCAAAACCACACGCCATTCATGTTGCCCTTGCGAAATGCCAGGACTGCGATGGCGCCCAGCACTGTGCAGGGCTATTCCTTGGCACACAGGACCTGCCGGGAAAGACGTGCTCCCAAGATATCGGCCATATCTTACCTAGCTAGAAGATCATATGACCTGTTCTTACCTACAGGACCGGTGCTCGAATTTCAGCCTTTATGGGAAAGTTCCTTCATCATGGGGTTTTAGCCGGCTTGTCCACAATATCCCTGTCCTGATACATTTCATGACCCCTTAGCCAAAATTTGGCCTTGCCAAGCACCAACGTCGTGTACACGCCTGGACTTCTCCTGGAATAGCAAGGTCCGTTGACGACTTCGACCTGTCGACAATGGGTATTCATGCTCGCAACTACTAATCGACGCCTGCCCATACCACTCCGCGAGATGCTCGACTGAGATGTGATCTCAAAAAGTTCGCCGGACAGCCTTCGCAGCGGAACTAGGAACCATCATGGCACGGCCGGTACCCACAGCACCACAGCACGCTGAAACAAGTACCCCAGTTCTTGTTAAGATCGTTCATGGATAATCTCATCGACTGCGGAGATCGATCCCGGCTACTTTGAGCCTCGACCTCAGGCAAGCACACTCAAGATCTTCCAAGCGATGGCTTCTTCCTTGTCACTGTCTTGGCATTCATGATGCAGGACCTCAGCTGACCACAGGACCCATGGCGACACCACAGTCCAACAACAAATCCAGAAATTGATGCCTCCATTTTACCCGTGCTGAGGGCCTCGCTCTGGTGTATAAGAAGGTCACGTCCAGTCGCCAACAATGTAATACTCAGGCTCCTCGTGCCAGTTCTCCTTTACCGAACCGACCCATCGCTGCTCTTCAGCATCCACTCTTTCCAACCTTTCACTTCTTGACACTCATTACCAGACCAGAACCAACACCATGCGTCTCACAGCACTAGCACTCCTACTCGCCCCTTCGGCAATCCTCGCCGCCCCAACACCAGCAGACCTAGACACCCGCCAAGCCTCCTCCGGCAGCATCGACGCCAAATTCAAGGCCGCCGGCAAAGTCTACTTCGGCACCATCGCCGACCCAAACACCCTCTCGAACTCAAAGAATGCCGCCATCATCAAAGCCGATTTCGGCCAATTGACCCCCGAGAACAGCATGAAGTGGGACGCCACGGAGCCCAACCGCGGCCAATTCCAGTACAGCGGCGCCGACCAAGTCGTCAACTTCGCCACCCAGAACGGCAAGAAGATGCGCGGCCACACCCTTCTGTGGCACTCACAGCTGCCGCAGTGGGTGCAGAACATCAATGACAAGAACACGTTGACGTCCGTCATTCAGAACCACATTGCGAATGTGGCGGGAAGGTACAAAGGGAAGATCTATGCGTGGGATGTGGTGAATGAGATCTTCAACGAGGATGGGTCGCTGCGCAACAGTGTGTTCAGTCGTGTGTTGGGGGAGGACTTTGTGAGAATTGCGTTCCAGGCTGCGAGGCAGGCGGATCCGAATGCGAAGTTGTACATCAATGATTACAACTTGGACAATGCCAATTATGCGAAGACACAGGGGATGATTCGGAATGTGAAGAAGTGGATTGCGGCCGGTGTGCCGATTGATGGTATTGGTGCGTGGGCTTACCCTCTGGCTATGCTCTTCACGCTGACGTTTATCTCAGGAACGCAGGCTCACCTGGGAGCTGGTGGCGGCTACAATCTCATTGGTGCAGTCAAGGCTCTGGCTGCGTCGGGTGTCTCCGAGGTTGCTATCACCGAGCTCGACATTGCCGGTGCTTCCACGACAGACTACACCAACGCCGCAAAGGCGTGCTTGCAGGAGACAAAGTGCAAGGGAATTACTGTCTGGGGTGTCAGCGATGCTGTAAGTCTTCTGTAGTCCCGCGAGTGGTGCATCGAATCGCAGCTAATATTCTCAGAACTCCTGGCGTCAAGGCGACAACCCGCTGCTCTTCGACAGGAACTTCAACGCTAAGCAGGCATACAATGCTATCATGGCTTTGTGATCTAGGTAGCCATGTGGCACGCCAGGAGAAAAGGACCAATGGAGGCGAGTTTTGGAGACTCTTGGTCTGGTCTGATCGATCTCAGCATGTGTTGTAGCGTGCTTTTCGCTGGTGATGATGAGGCAGTATTTGTTCAGATATGCGTCAGACAGCCATATAGGACAATGACAGATAGTCCTCAGGACTGTAGATCGAAACCTTTAGTCACCGCGAAGATTCGCGCCGTGAGTGCGCACGAAGTCCAGATGGATGCTTTACAACTGCCTGTGTTCTTGTCAATCCGAGAAGACGCGGTCAACGAGCAAGAAGATGTCCCTGCTAGTACCTTATGTAAGCGCAGCTCCACTATCTCTTCTTGGCAGAGAAGTTGCTCTCAAGCCATCTCTTCACTTCTTCTGACCAGCGAACTATAACTGCAGTGTGCATTTGGGCACGGCAGGATTTTGGATGCAACTTTGGATATGATAGAGCTGAGACTCTTGACCAAATCGATAACTTCTCAACAATTTTCACCTCTAAGGACCATTTGTCCTACAGGAGCGACGCGACTTCCTACATACTTCATACGAACAGTCCACCACAGCCTCTATTCAGCCATGTCAATCGCCACACCGCCAAAAGAACCAGTCACTATCAACGGAAGGAATTACAGATCCGTCACCGAAGGCTTAGCGTCCATCCTTGCTCCGTACCAGGAGAAGACTACAACTGGCGTGATCGAAAAAGGTCGGCAGAGCCACAACAATGATGAAGGTAATCAAGCAGTGTTCTACAATCCGATCCAGCAGTTCAATCGTGATCTGACGGTGCTGGCAATTCTGGTATATGGAGAAGGGGCGCTTGTGTCCAAGGAGGCCCTTTATGCAAGGAAAAGTCGTACGAGGCAGCAGCAGAGGACCGCCAAGAAGCGACGGAAGGCCAATGGTGTCAAGGAAGTTGATGCTACGCAAAGGGAGGAAGTGAACAAGGAATTGGACACGACTCTCGACGGGACTGAGCAGGAAGTTGGTGCTAAGCCTGACGAGGCTGCAATACATTCGCGCAAACGAAAACTCGATGAGGTGGATCACGAGGAGCGTATCGAAGTGACGAAGAAGGCACGGCCTGACGACGAGGAAGGTGTGAACGGCAACTTGGAAGTAGCGCAACTAGACGGCGCTGGAGATGAACAGATCGACGGAGCTAATGGTAGTCCAGCGGCGAGCACAAAGCGACTGCCTTTCAGCATACTGGACGCACTATCTGCCACAGGCCTCCGAGCCCTGCGATACGCCAAAGAGATCCCGTTCGTGACAAACGTCATCGCCAATGATGTCTCAAAAGACGCTGTGGCCGCAATCGAGTTGAACATCGATCATAACGACGTGAAAGGCAAAGTGCATTCGAACCTTGGGGACGCACGTGCATACATGTACAGTAAGATTGGGAATGAACACGATCAGCCTTCCGGCAGAAACGTGCACCGTTTTGACGTGGTGGATCTGGACCCCTATGGCACCGCGGCGCCATTCATTGATGCAGCGCTCCAGTGTCTGCTTGACGGTGGCATGCTGTGCGTCACCTGTACAGATGCTGGCGTTTTTGCATCGACTGGGTATCTGGAGAAGACCTATTCTCTGTACGGAGGACTGCCGACGAAAGGCGCACACTCTCATGAGGCAGGGTTGCGACTCATCATTCATTCGATCGCTCAAACCGCAGCCAAGTACGGTCTGGCTGTGGAGCCGCTCCTGTCGCTCTCGATTGACTTCTACGCCCGCGTCTTCCTCAGAATACACAGGTCGCCAAATGAGGTGAAGCTACTGGCAGGGACCACCATGATCACTTACAATTGCGATTCAGGATGCGGCGCTTGGACGACTCAGACACTTGCCAGGAATCTCGAAAAGAAGGATCGGAATGGTGGTCTGATCTACAAACACAGCTTTTCACAAGCGCCAACTGTGCCGCCATTGTGCGAGCATTGTGGTTTCAAGATGCACATTGGCGGTCCGATGTGGGCAGGACCGCTGCACAATCCCTATTTCGTCCAGCGAATGCTTGATCGGATACCGAGTCTGGATCCGAAGGTGTATGGCACGACCGATCGGCTGAAGGGAATGCTCACAGTTGCACTGGAGGAAGATGTTACTCTGGCCACGTCCACATTGTCAGAAGTCGAGCCAGCCACGCATGGAGACAGCCCGATCATTACAACAGAAGCCGCACCTGAACAGCCGTATGCCACGACGAACGGCCACTCACCACCCTCGAATGACCCAAAGCCAGCACCAAGCCCGGCGCTGATCCCTCGCCTCCCTCCAGCGACTATCGACCACGCCCCATTCCTCATGATCCCGAACTATCTTGCCAAGGTTATACATACGCAAACACCATCCGAGGCACAAATTTGGGGTGCGATTCGCTCCTGTGGCTATCGCGTCACGCGCTCGCATTGCAAGGCGGGCTCATTCAAGACTGATGCACCTTGGAGCGTGATCTGGGCCATATATCGGGAGTGGGTAAGGACGAAATCGCCCATCAAGAAAGGCGCTCTTAAGAAGGGAAGTCCAGGCGCGAGGATATTGGGTGCAGATATCCTAGACAGCGAGACTGTCTCAGACAAGACTTGGGAGACTGCTGAGCAGGTAAGACGGATCACGGAAGACGTCGCCAAGGGGCTTGGCAGGGCGGACGGAAAGCAGGAGTTGACGGATATGTTGAGGGCAGCGCTGTATAGACTCGAGCATGGGGACCTTAGTATGGTGACGACGGAGAATGGGCAGAAAGTGCATATTGTGTTTGATGAGAAGCTGGGCAGGGAGAAGCCTAGGGAGAAGCTGGTGAGGTATCAGATCAACCCGAGGGAGAACTGGGGACCCATGAATCGGGCGGGTGGGAGCTGAGTGCGACTGTTGTGGCCGGTGTAGTTATAGCGACTGCGACTTTAACCTGACCGGAAGCCTCTCTTGCCAGAGCAAATCGGAGCCAGAGTCTCACGCCAGCTGAAGCCACAGCTGCTAATCAAGATCGGTAGGCGTACCAGGGAGAGGATTGACAGCTTCAAGCAACCATTTCAGGCAACGTTGACGAGTCAAGCATTTTCAGCAGCACATACACCAACGGACCGCCGCGAGTCATTGCATCTGTCCCTCGCCGAACGACGCGCGCATGCGTCGTGAGCAAACTGCCGATCCGAAGCATGATAGCTATCCGGGTGATACACAAACGCCAAGGCTGTCGAAGTGAAGGCCTCTCGGTCTTCACAACCCGCAGAACGTCGGAAGCGTTGCTAAGACCGCGAAATGGACTAACAGAGCGCCTGGATGATACAACACAACTGGCCTCGGCATAGCAGAAGCATTCAAGTTCATCCTCTGAGCACTCTATGGCCACAGATTCCCAGATACTGGCCCCAATCCAGTGAAGTGGAGTCCGGCAGGCTGCATATGCTGGCCCTAAACCATCTCCCCGCCGATATGGTGTATATGGAAGCTCAGTTGCTGCCAAGCGATGTCGAGAGCCAGCATAACGCGCTCTCTATAGGCCAAATATGCCCTCGCATGAAGCGCGACTGCGGCTTATTCAGACCGATCCCAACTCAGCATGCTGCTGCGCTCTATGGCAGTATAGCACACAGGTATCATCGCGGAAGTCCAGCATGAGACAGAGCGTGCTGAGTTTGGTCATGCACGCTTCCAGAATAGATAGCTGACCAAAACTCTCGAACCGGCGCTTGTGAAGTCAACTCATGCGATATCATGGAGCTGCAGCCTGGCTTAGTACTCGGTATGCTGCCAAGCCGTAGGTGAAGCACGGCAGTTGTCACGTATTGTTTGCTACCAGGAAAGAGTGACTTCAAGTGACCTGTCTCTTTCCCAAGCACACATCTCCTGACATCTCTTTGCAAGTTCTGACCATCAACCTTCAAAAATTTAAACTCCATCCAGCATTGACATCAAGTTTTCCAACAAGCTGCGTCCCATATTGCGTCTTCATCGTGAGTGCTTTGCTTGTCGATCCCACTCGCAATCCATTCCGACAAACGCTGACCTATACAGGCTTACAACTCTTTGACCACCTAATCTACACCATGTCCAGAACTCCAGACCTCAGCGCGATTACTGGGCATCTTGCGTCCATGAGCATGTGCACCACCGATACTCCTTCAACCAAAGCTTCTGCCCCCAAAGTCTTCCTGGATTTGCCCAACGAGATCCAGGAACGTATCTTCGAAGCTGCAGTGCCCGCACATTGGAGTTGGGGAGCCGGAGGTATTTATCTCAACTATCAAGGAACGAGCCCACAGCTGGAGCCTGGCAAGTTGCCGGAATGGATTGCGCCATGGGTTCCACAACTGCGTCTGATCTCGAAGGCCATCGAAAAGGTCGTGACGCCGGACATTGGGCGTCACACTGTTCTTCATGTCGATCGCCTTCCCATCCAGCCTTGGTACTACGAGCAACATCAGCAGGCGATGACACAGAAACCTTTGCTGCTTCGCGAGTACTGTCCGAAATTCTTGGTCGATCACCTCGAACAGGCTTTCATCTCAGATTCCACAGCGACCACATACCTTCAGCCAATCGTGCCTCTCGACGTGTCTGGTTTGCCTCAATTGAAGTACTTGGCCTACTCGTGCTTTGACCCAGCAGAAGGACTATCGGTCCAGCTCACCACTCTCGCAGCACTCACTCCCGAAAAGAGCATCGACTACTTGGCCACCCTGACTGCTCGTCTACTCAACTACCCTCAGACCGAATCTGGTCACGCCCGTGCCAAGGCTGTAGTCGAGCGGCATGGAGTTCGGGTGTGGTCGATAGCACTGCTGAGCAAGCACATGGTCCAGTTATTCGAGGATCCGCCATTGAACTACCGAGTCGTCTGCGATGCTCTAGCCACGAAAATGTGTCGAATCGAACGCACGAACATCATCGGTCTTCTGGATACCACCGTCCTCGCAGTCGAAGTCGTAGACAAAGACGCAGGCAATTACGTGAGTAGACCTTTTCTTCAATATCTCACAGACAGATACTAAAGCCTACTAGACTGCATTCATCAAGAAACCCGCGAATGGCATTGCGAGCTCTGAGCTTGTATTGCCTGCGATCGCCGTACACAAGACAAGCTCTCTACTGGACCGTTTTGAGGTCGAAGGGTTTGGTACTCCAGGTGGCCCTTTTGGAAGAACTGCGCTTTCAAGAGCTGCTTCTCGTGTTGTTGATACCAGAGGAATGGACTGGAGCGAGTGGACGAGACGGATGTTCTTTTGATCGGTGCGCCATAGGCGTCCGATGGGAACGAGAAGGCTTCCGGAGTGCTTGAGCATCAGTAGGCAAGCAGTTCAGCTCTTGAGGAGGCCTCCGGGTAGCGGTCGATCTTGTTCTGTCACGATACAGCGATGACATGAGTCGATCGACTACTGTCTTCCGAGTCTGCTGTGGATTGAGATCTGCAGGGACCACAACACGAACACGAATAGAGGTTGTCAGGCAGTCTGATTCCGACTGAATCAAGGTAATCTACACAACTTCCCCCGGAGATGTTCAATGGCTTCATTCTTTATTGGACAGATTTGGGGCGCACGAGAGTTGCATCAGACAGGTGAGGCTGCAGGATGCGCCGAGGTTTGATGACCTTAAGTCACTTCGACGATACACATCAAGCATGAAACTCGATGGATGGCGTTAAGAGATAGGTCCTGCTGCATAATCATAACAGGTACTCGCCGTGCCATGCCCTCCACAAGACAACATAGACTTTCTTCCAACTCCATAGCCGAATCTAAATTACGTCGCATATACTGCACCTTTCGAGCTGAACAGCTCCCATGCTGGTTATCGCCAAGTCTAGTATGCGCTGCCAATAATATGGTTCACGTTCCCGAAAAAGCGACAGTGAGGTCATGCTCCCCGACCCGATGCGTGGAAGCGAATATGCCCGATTAGATAAGCGGCAGCAACCGATTGGAGACCGCGTACGGCAGGGGCACGCCTTACGTATGACGATAGGCCAGCACCGACACATATACATACCTCTTCAGGTATGGATATCTCGAGTCTCACGCACGGTCAGCGCGAATTGAGCCTGATCAGTAACGACATTCAGTATTCGTAAACTCGTAATGGCAACCGACAAGCCGTTTGGCAGCCTGCCCAAAAATGCTGATTCGTCCTCTGTGAAGCCCTTCACGGTGGAGTTCCCCGAGGACGAAGTCAAGCGGATGATCGACTTGCTCAAACTCACCAGAGTTGCAGAACCTGTCTACGAGAATTCTTTGGCCGGTGATGACCGACGGCTTGGACTGAGGCGGGACTGGCTGGTGGAGGCTAAGCGGATATGGGAGACCGAGTTTGACTGGTTGGTGGTTTCCTTCCAATGTATACGCTTTAGGTGCAAGATGCGATGGACCGCAGTACGGCTGACATTCGGATGATTCTCACAGGCGGAAAAGCGAAGACCATATCAACTCATTCCCGAACTACAAGGCGAAGATATCGGACAAGCTTGGCGAGTTTGATGTGCATTTTGCAGCGCTGTTTTCGAGCAGAGAGGACGCCATCCCGATCGTGCTACTTCACGGGTACGCTAGACAACTCATCAAGCTGGAACGCAGATTGTGCTAACCAAAAATAAAGGTGGCCAGGATCATTTCTGGAGTTTCTGCCTCTTCTTAGTCTGCTCAAGAAGAAATACGGCTCACCCGAGAAGCTACCGTATCATGTCGTTGTACCCAGTCTACCGGGCTATGGGTTCTCGAGTTACCAACCTGTGGAGCATGACTTTGCCCAGGCCGATTGTGGTCGAGTTATAGACGCACTGATGAGGCAACTCGGCTTTGGTGGAGGCTACGTTGCTCAGGGAGGAGACGTTGGAAGTCGGGTGGCCAGAGTCATGGGCGTTGAGCAGGAAGCATGTAAAGGTGAGTTGTGCTCGTACCTGGTTATCGCTGCTCTGCGGAACCTCTCGCTGACATTGCGGACAAGCTGTGCATGTGAACATGTGTCTGATGACCGACGAGAAGAAAATGGACATGAGTGCGCTTACTGAATCCGAAAAGGCTGGTATTGAGAGATGGAAGAACTGGCGGGCGACTGGAATGGCTTACGCCATTGAGCAGGCTACCAAGCCAGCCACGCTCGGATTTGTGTTGACCAGCAATCCGCTCGCCACTCTGGCCTGGTACGTTGATGCCTTCCCTGGCTCCTTTCGAGGATCCGAACTAACACCATGATCAGGATCGGCGAGAAGTTCCTCGACTGGACCGATGAAGACCCCTCAATCCCAGCGATCCTCGAAGCCGCGTCCCTCTACTACCTCACAGCATGCACGCACTCTAACATTTGGTCCTATCGCCATTCGTTCACTGCAGGGTCAAAAGGCCACGATCATCCAGATGTCTTCATACCCAAGCCGATGGGATACAGCCTGTTTCCCAAGGAGATTCAGCCGGCTCCCGTGAGTTGGGTCAAGCAGACGGGAAATCTGGTTTGGAGTAATGTGCATGATAAGGGAGGGCACTTCGCGGCCTTCGAGCAGCCAGAGTTGTTATTGGGGGATGTGGAGGCTTTCGTCGCCGAGGTGTGGAAGAAGTAAATATGCAAGTAGACATTGACTCTGGGGTAAACCAATTTTATGTGGACTTCTCACCATGAATGGTCAGTCGAGCACCTTTTCACACAGTCGTATGTACTACTTGCACTTCAGCGTTATGTACCACCAACGTATAGCCAGATCGCTCAACATCTGAACAATTGGCAGCATGAGGAAGCCAATCTCTGTACTTTTCAGCCGGCTTGAGATCAGGCCGTACCCTAGTCAACCGGTCTGATATACAATGATGAGCTCGTTTCGCGACCCTTTACTCCCACAGGCGGTCCCCTAAGTCAAAAGTCGGGCAGTGGCATGAGTTTCCGTTTCGAAATATCCGCTTGCCAGGACAGGAAGAGGGCAGCCACGGATTCGAAAACTGCTCGGGAGGGCATCTCGATGGACGGATAGAAACCGAATGGGGACATGATAGTTTCCCTCTTGGGAAGGCAGCAATGCTCACTCTCCCCAGGAACGGCGATGATGGAGACGCCAACAGCCACATTCATCATTCGACCTCAGGCCGTCGGATATGTGTCACGAGTCCAGAACCTCATCTGCCTCATCGCTCGCTCCGCCATTTCCATCATCGATCAGCAAAACTACAAATCACTCTACAGCCTACGCTAATTACATAGTGGCTAAGCAGCTCGCTTCTTTCGCGGCGTACAACACTCGGGCGGATGGACCTCGTCGACGCTCTTGCGCTCTGCCCTAAGGAAGGCGCCTTGGCGGCGCATGGTCTAGTCACGCCAGCCGAGGCGCATCACGTTCGCGGTTTGACGGACATTCGGGTCAACCTCACCGCAACTGATCTACACAATCCCGCAAGCGCGTCCGCGCCTCGTGCAGCAGTTCCCACCTCGACCCCTCGAGCGCCCTCATCGCCATCGTGAGGACCCCTACAACGCGGTTTCTGCCGCCCGTGACTGCCCTCAGGTCATCTGGATCAGAGAAGTCTCCAGTGGCTTGCAGGTACTGCTCAGCGTCGTGGCGAATTGCTTCTCCTCTGTCCGCTGACAACGGATTGGATGAAGTCATGGCTTGGATAGTCATGTCAGATCGGGGGCCCGGGAAAATGTGCCCTGGGAACGGCCGTAAAGGTCCATCGAGGAGGTAGCCATATGCCCAGACGACGAGGGCCGAGTAATACATCACCCAGGGGCGGATGATGACGACGTCCGACGAGCGTGGCAGATCAGTGTTGGAGCCATCATGCCAAGTAGAGCTCGTGGAAGAGATTGGCTGGCGCCCTCCACGATCCGCCGGAGTGTCAGACATCAGAGTGAGCTTCAAATACCGCACGCTGTGAAGTACAGCAGACCTCGCGCCTGGAGTGTTGGCCCACTGACTCATCTTTGCTCGTACTCGATCGCGGTCAGCTTTACTGATCACGCGCCCGAGCAGGATCTTCGCTCCTGCGAGCGTGCACAGATCTGGCATCTGCACCGACAAGGAGATATGCGCGAGATGGTAGAGTGCAGTGGCCAGGTGTCGAGAAATTTCGTGAGCTTCCTGTCTGAAGCCCGTCTTCGCACCAACGACCGAATATGCCTGCATGTGAGCAAGACTGCTGTCAAAGTCTCTCTTCCACCAGTCGAAAGCCTTGATCAATTGTTTCTTCCAGCCCTCGGGCATGGCGGCAATGCTACTGCGCTCCTCAAGTGTGTTTTTGTACAGCTCCTTCTGACGCATGTGGTGAGCGATAGACAGAAGTCCACCCATCAGAATAAGCCGCCCGAAAGGGTTGGTCCGGACCCTCTGGCTCATGAGAGTACTCTTGATGCCACTGAGGAATGAAGTAGGTTTGATGCCGTTATTGTGCAGACTGAACTCGATTCTTGCCACTTCTGAGGCCGTGGAAGCAGTCCACTGTGCATCGTCGACCGGCAGCGGCAGCTGAATTTCGTGGATGACCATGGTTGCAGCATGACCGAACATGGTAGCGTGCAGTGCATCCAAGAAGAAAGCCCCGAACGCACATCGTCGTGTCGCCTCGCTTGCAATCCAGTGGGTGAACCAGCTGTGATCCGCACTCCCGGACACGGCGGGCTCATCTCGCGACGGAGGCGTGCTTTGATCGCCAATGAGCGCACTGCCACGCCTCATCAGAGTCAAAGTTGCGGCAAAGTGGACATGGGCTCGCTCGTGGAGAGGTCTTGTCGCGTTCATCTTTTCGTAGAACTCGAGAATAGCCAACGATTGCAGTACCCACAGCTTAGCTGGTGGTCCAGAGTCTTGATCCATGAGAATTTGCCATCGCAAAGACCAGGCAACGAAGGTCCCGAATGAGGCTGCCGCTGAGCAGAAGTCCGCAGTATGCTGGGTTTCATCCAGCAGAGACGCTCCGACACCGAGGATCGCCAGCAGGAGCAAATCGTTCACCTGATCCGGAATAAACGTAGGCTTGTGAAGCAGGGGAAATTGGTCGTGGAAGCTGGCAAAGTATGTCGCGATGTACAGCTCCAGGGAGACCATGCTCATGACGTGCAGAGGATGGTCCAGATCCCCGCTGAAGAGTTGTCCTTTCACAAGCATAGTAGCAGCACCTCCAGCCCAGAAACGCTCTCGAATGAGATCCAGCAGCTGCACTCGCTTGCATTCCGGGAATCCAGAAGCTCTTGTAGGCGAGGGCACAGTGCTGGACACAGCATCGGGAACGAGCCCATTCGAATCCATGGAATGGTCGAACATCGGCGCCGGTACCTCGTTACTGTAGATCTGGCCGAAGACATTGGGTTGATCGAGGATGAAATCATAGTAACCCGACAAGTTGGGATCGAACAACCAATTCGTGAAGTCTTCGGTACGATTAGATGGAGAGATACCGAGTGGGTTGTCATCCATGGTTGATCCTCCATAGTCGGTGTTGACTGCCTCGTAGGTTGTGAATGGCCGGGCTGGAACACTCAAGCTCGGTAGCGAGTAGGCGGTAGTCGATAACAATGATCCGTCGAAGGTTGCTCTCCGAGAAATCACGCGGGCAGGAGCGGCAGCTTCGTTCTGTTCCGCGAGTGGAACATGCTGCTGTCGCTGGCCTGCGGTCTGAGCCGGCGCTCGCCATCATCATCACACACATCCACTGCAGGCTCTGACTCGTCCAACTGTGACGCTGCCAACGGAATGTCGTCTGTCGTGGCTGTTGACAGCCTCCGATGCCGCTTCCTGTGCCTATCTCGCAAGTCCTTTCGCACAAACGTCAAGCTGCATGCCTCAAAGTCGCAACTGAAGAGCTGCTTTGGACTGTCTGCTCACTCATTAGCGAGCTGATACTTCTTGCTCGAAGTGAAGACTTCCGGTTGAGTTCATGACGTTGAAGATGCTCAGCACGACTATAGTCTTTGCCACAGCGATCGCATCGGAACCTCTTGCCGGTCACTGGACGCTTCCTCTTCTTCTTCCGGTTCTGGGAATCGATCCGTTGTTCGGCTTTGACTGATCTCGCTGGCACGACCGAGAACGTGTGAAAGTGGCCAGTCGTCAACGTGTCCATCATTCAATGGCGCGAAGCTGCAGCACCAGGACCGCCGTCATTTCAGTCATCCTTCGACGAACAGCATGTACAAGCTGTTACAGTGATACTAGGTAGCAAACGTCTGCCGCCATTCGGCTTTCCAGGCTCTGGGTTTAGGTCGTCTCGCTTGCACAGAGGAGGTCATCCAGGGGCCCGAGGCCAGTCCTCCGCCTCGAATTCGGACTGTGGGGAAATTCTGGGGGTGATGGGCAGCCAGTAGGGTATGCGACACCACCTAAACCTTCGGTCTGACTTCCACCGAACCTACTACCCGAGACGCGTACAACTGGCGACATGTCAAGCATGCTCTTTTCGACCTCTACTCGGCCCACACAGCGGCTTTGTGCAGACACATGCTCTGGACACCTAAACAGCACATCCCTACTGGCAGCATCAAACGACGACTTGTGCTCTCAAGGAATACTGTCGGACAGAGTATTTCCTGAACAGGCACTCATACAGGCAGCATCAACAGACGACTTATGACCACGAGAGGAGCTGACTAGTTCGGACATGTATCGCGGCCTCCCCTCAGTCTAAGTCTGATACAGAGACCTTCATTGGGTGCGTGCAACGGACAACTCGTACTAGGAGCAGGGGCTTATGTCGGGTCAGGTAGGTCAGCGAGGGTTTGGAACCGGCGAATGAGTCGGACTTCGGGTGAGGATGGTTGTTGTTTCTTGGCTGGCCCTTCTCTGTATGTGCTCTTCTGATTCAAGTTTGGTATTTCTTTCTCGATTTCCGACCGAGATGGACCGGGAGCAGAAGCATTTGTGACCGTATGTGGCGGCGGCAGGATGAGTCTGAGTGAGATGGGCTCGTGGAACGTCGAGGGACGCATAATTTCATAGGAGCTGCAATTGTACGCACGGATGGAAGAAGATGATGAAATGTTTCACGGACGATAGAGGGAGATGAGGACGTGGTCGATGACAAGGAACGACGCAAGTGCATGAGAAGCCATAGAAATACCTTCGTGTGAAGCGAGGCGAGCAGGAACGATGGCCGTCGTGAAAACTAGAGCAGGAGCAAGAGCGCAACCATGGATCTGGCAGGAGCGAACGTCACTCAGGCAAGAGCACAGCAGAGGATAGAAGGAGCGATCCAGACTTCCGGTAAATGCTTTAATACGTGCAGCAACGATCCCGCTTGCTTCCAGTACCCATCTTCTGAAGTCTTCACAATGCCAGAAAGAAGCGAAAGACTCTGGTAAATGTAAATTTCCCGTCATATACACCGAGAGTGGTCTCGTTACACCTCCAATGCATCGCAGCATGATCCTCAAATGCAACGTCTGATCTCGCCTCATTTCCACCATTCGCTCATGTCTTTCTCTTGAGCAGGTGTTCGACCTTCGGTCACCGTAGTCATGCGACCGCCCTGAGCAAATGTTGGCGTGGCACCATTCGATGCTGGATTGTCCCAGCGGTTGTTCGAGTCAAACGGATTGTTGCTCGTCATTTGCGGCTGCAGTTGCGTGAACGACTGCTGGTGCATAGGTGGTGTGGGCTGCGTGAACGACTGCTGATGCATGGGTGGGGTGGGTTGTGAAAATGACTGTTGATGCATAGGTGGTGTCGGGTAGCTTTCAGATCCGTTGTGTTCAAATGGGTTGTTGCTACCAGACCCGGCTCTTTGTGTCGAAAAGGAGTTCGATGGTGGTGCTTGTGGTTGATCGAAGCGGTTGCCGCTTTCGAAAGGATTGTTCAAGTTTGCGGTGGCGTCTTTCCCCATAGTAGCGTTTGGTAATGGAGGGCTTGTATGAGTGGTGGAGTTGGAGAGCATCAGGTTGTGTGCTGAGCTGTTAGCTGATCCCAGATTACTCCGACTGTTGTTAGCACTGTGCGGAGCGCTGTAAGTACTAGCACGTAAGGAAGTGCTGCGTCCCAAGGCAGCAGCTGGGCCTGAAAATGAGGAAGGCTCGTCGTATGTTCGCCGCTGGAGATTCAATGGGCGAGGAAGACCGTCATCCCAGTTCGCACCTGTAGGTGTTGCTCGCATAGGTCCAATACCATGATACCCTGTAGGTTGCGGCTTTAGTCCTAATTGGCCAGTTGAATTATTATCCGCGTTATAACCATTCGCCAGGCTTGATGATCTGTTTATGCCTGGTTGTGATGAAGTGCGCTTTTGCGACCCGGTAATAGCTGATCTGTGATCGTAGTCCAGAGCGCCTACGTCCATAGATTGCCGGCCCGTAGGAGCTGCATTCTGATAGTCCGGCTGCCCATTCCATGACTCTTGTGGCCGCCACGACGTTTTTGCGTCGCCAGCTGGATGCGGTTAGTCTACTGTATCACTGAGATAGGAGTAAAAGCAGAAAATCGGGGAGCAGGTGCCGCTCGCTCAAGACAATGCAACTCACCTTCCTGCTGATCACGAAGCGTCAAGATTGGGCGATCATTATCATCCCAAGTCTGTCCGGTCCTTTGAATGTCGAGCGACCGGCTTTCGCGCGAGATCTTCCGCTGTTCGTCGTACTCATCACGAAGGCCCTCCCTGATTCGCAAATGGCGTCAGCGTCATATGAAAAGAAAAATGGAGACTGGAGGCCCAGAGGGACACAGGCCACGCTGTTTCATGTACTCACCATCGTTCGTAGTTCTTTATGCGCTTCTTCTCATGTCGAGCATGTACCACACCTTGATGGGCGAGATAGACCGCGCCAAATATGAGGGAAGTCATCTCCCAACTCGGTACCTATAAGGCAGACCGCCTATCGATTCACAGGCAGTGAATGCGGAAGTGGGGCGGTAGATTTCTTTGATTTCGATTGAAGTAAGTCTTTTGGGCCGGCCTTTGACTGTTACCGGAGTGATGTATGCTTTATGCTTCTGATCTCCCTTGTTGTTCGAGCAATGCTCGAAGAGTATGCGTCAATCGACTTGTGCAAATGCTGTTTCGATGGAGGGGCTCGCGTAGGCGTGGTAAACTCGGCGGCTTTTATCCGGTGGAGACCGAGCTACCTAGGTATCGGGAGACGCGATAAGATATAGAGCATCGATGGTCGCGTGTGGTTGAACCGTGGCTGTGTTGTAGGAGGTATGTCGTGAGTTGTATGAAGGAAGGCAAGCTTGTGCCCGACTGCGAGGTCGTGCCAAATACCACAGCGTTAGTCCCAAGACTACCGAAGCGATGGCACCTTGTTGACGAATCTGGGGGCAGGATGAATTCGAGCGACAGCGGACGGGAAGTGGAATCGCAGCAACGGGCGAGATCCACCTAAGCTGTCGTTACTGGCCTCAAAGTCACTTATCAAGCAGCTCTTAAGCACTTCAGACTCAAGGTTGCAGGCCGTCAGAGTTGCCGCGGGTCCGTTTCTTGCTTGAAGTTACCGGATAAAGAATCACCGGCAGAATCAATTGAAGGTGTGTTCGTGTATGAAAGATCTGGCCCAAAGTCGTGAGTAAAATCTGTGGATTCGATATGGGCACTGGGACAGGCGGTGGTTATTGTGCCTAGGCTTGTGATGACAGAGCGGAAACCAGAAACCGGGCACTGCCTGTGAAGTCATAGATCGGAAAATCTCCTGAACGGCGATGATCTCTCCCGCGACGGGCGCCGCTGCAGGCGTCAACGATATATCCGTAGACTGTGGCAAAGATTTCAGGTCAGGCAACGAGAATGTTCTTCCTTATGGTCACGCTCCTCTTCAAAGCTCAGGCACGAAGCCGGCGCAGCCTTCGAGCATGTGCACGCTGACTTCGCATTACTGAACCTGTCGAAGGATTCGTTTTCGTATTTTTGGCCGTATCTTACGTTCGATCAGAGGGGCCGATCGTGCCCACAGTCCTCAGAGCCATCAGCATTCATGCTTCGCAGTGCTGACCGAGGAAGGACGGTCTGTCAGGTGCTGTGCGGCGCTCTAGACCGTAGCGAGGCATGCCCGCTGGGACGTCGGCAGATGGAGTGATAATCCCTCCAAGCGAGGATTGGTTGCGTCTGCTGCAGCATGATCACCTCAGCACTGCAGGACCGCTAGTCTGGGTCTTTGCGGGAGAGCACCGGCGTTGTTGATGTCCTTTTGTGGAACAGGTACACATTTAAATGGTATATGAATCTGTCAATTGTCTGATTCGCGACTTTCTGTGTGGTATGAACGCGCGAAGATCACTGCGCGGCACGCGACATGAAGTGCTCCTTCCCAACAAGCGACACAAGATAGGCGAGAGCGATCGGCGTCGCTTGTCTGCGTGGCAGTCGCGACTGCATCCTCACGTTGCTGCCGTGGCCCATTGGAAAGCTGTTTGTACAGTGTCACAGGCTGTCCGGTGCCTGGACACGTTTCGCATACGTGTATTGACCCAAAAAGTATCTACACAGGACTGCTACAGGTCAAAGATGTGCCTGACGCTGCCTCTCTGCATTTCTGCGCTGGAATCCCAGGGCCTACGCCATGCTGCCATTCCCTCGCCCCAAATGACTGTATCCAGGATCCCATTGTCGTCCATCGTACACGGTGTTCCTGCTTTCTGGACCGTGGTGCTTTTTGTCTTCACCTCGAGTCCATCATAACAATGTTGCCAACCACTTGCTTCGTCCTCAAACCTCTGTTCGTGACTTTCCTGCAGCACTTGCTTGGAAGTCACAAACTCAGTAATCTTGGCTTTTGTCTTCTAGTCGCCATCATTTAAGTACGTGCTGCCGTCCACGAGTCTAGCCTGCGTTGCCCGGCTTTTCTTCTGTATCAATGTGCTGTGACAGTCAGTAATTCATCGCGGAGCCAAGCAGAAAAGTACTCACCCAGACAACATAGTTGGGCAACCCAACAACTTTGTAGCCTGCCCGTTTCGCCATCTTCGCAAACCCCTCCGTCTCTGCCTGGTTTTCAAAGGCATACGCTGGGAAATTGATGCCCGATCTGTGTACATCTGCCTTGACGAGAATATTCACACCTCCGATGCCGTCCAACTCGATCTCCTCGTCTTTATTGTTCCTCCAGTCGCCCATGCGAGCCATGTATGTCCGTCCCGTGTCGTATTCCTTGTAGCCTTCTGCCAGCACGACATCCTTATCGAGGGAATTGGCGAGGCGGCGGCCCTTATCGGATTCGACCCATGAATTGTAGTCGAACCGGCCTTCGATATCGCGGCCGTTTTCGTAGCGGTGGAACCAGATGTCTGCGCTGTCAGTGATGTTCTTGAGCTTCCGCGGGGAAAACAACTTACTGGGCACTAGGACATCGCGATCATGGGCGACAAAGTCCTCGATAATCTTCTTCGGGCTGTCCACAATATCGACGTCCCTCCAGTAGACCCAAGCGTGCTCGGGCTTCAACGCTGAGTAGAGCAGGTAGTTCCTCGCTCGTCCAATCGCTTTCCTCCGAGGACCTTGTGCGGCGAATCCGTGACGTGACTCGACGTCCATCTCGAACTCTTGCGGGCCAAAATCTTTCTGTATGATGACTGCGCTATGGAACGGAACATTGTCTGTTCTCGACTGTATTCTGTTCAGTTCGGACGCGAGGACCGACTGTGTCTCATCGACCGAATCGCCAACCAGGAATCCGAGATCGATTAGTTCGTGAGGATAAGTGAGTTCGGAGAGGAGATCGAAATATTTGCTAAGATAAGGTGCGGCATCTCGCAGTGGTGTGAGGATTAGGACTCGCTCACGGTTGCTCAGAGCTCGGCTTGTCGACACAATGGGATTGAGGTCGATGCTGTGGATTCCGGAGGTGTTGATGTGATAAGGCTCGTGGGAGTTGAACAGCACTGGTGTTTGTAAGTGTTGATTCCATGCGACCATCTCGTTAGTCGACATCTGGATTGGCGGTTTCGACGGGCCAAAGCAATAGAAACTGTGGTGAAATAGTCAGCCATCTGATCCGTCGATTGACGTGCTCGTCATAGACGTACTTGGACATCTCTTTCGTTGACGTGAATATGCCTCTCCATAATAACACAATCAGACCCGCCAGCGCGAGCGACACCAGGAGCCTCGTTCGTGTGAGAAAGACGAGCACCGCCTTCCATGGTGGAAGTCTTGCTCTGGCAGTCTGCCAATTCACTCCCCCTTTTGGTAGTATCATCTCGTCGTGTTCGGGTGTGGTAGAATATTAGATTATACAATCGAGCACAAAGGCTCCCGTGTATGCGGCCCGATTCACTATCGGGTCGCCAGCGCTGCGAAGAGAATAAGAAACGGAACGAATGGAATGGTCTGAGAAAGACCGAAAGGAGGTTTCGGATGTCGCGGCCACACTGCGCGCTGAGACGTCGCGGCTTAAGAGCTCGGGGTGGGCGGTGAGCTGCAGCTATCGCTGGTCACGATGGAAGAGCCACCGAGGAGTCGATGACGCAGATGGATGTTGATGCTCGCGAAGAAATGCAGAAATGAAGAGAGGACGTTGAATGTCGGGCTTTAGCGAGGCCTGAAGATACGGAGCGCGCTGGAAATTCACACTTTCAACGGTTGAGGAGCTCCAGAGCGGCGAATGAGGTCTCCCAACACAGCTAGGTCTGATGTCAAAAAGGATCAGCTACACGAGATTTCCCCTGTCGCCGTTTTAAGAACCAAAGTCCGTCGGTTCGCGGCTTGCATGTGGGTGTGACTGTGGGGGCACCACGCGGGCGGCCGATCTTCTTTTAAGCAGATCAAGTCATGCTTAGGACTCTTCTTTCAAACTTGCTCTTAGGAACGTACTGATCAAGTGCTCAACACAGTGTGCATGCTTCGAATATAATAGTTTTCAAGTGCTCAGCACTGTATCCGGCTCTCAGAGCTACTATTTTGACACATTTATCGGCTACTAGGTACATCGCACTGATGCCAGTGCCTCCAACCAAATGAAATAGGGGTATCATCGAACAAAATACACTCGACCTTTCTTTCCACCGCCGACCAGCGACATCATATTATCCTCAGCGGCCACACTTTCGGGCTGCTCAGAGATCGACTGATCCTCCTGACGTCCATCTGTAAATCTGTCCATCTCAGCCTCTCCTGTGACCATCTCCAGCGATGCCGCAAAGCCCTCAGAAAGCCACCCCAATCGGACTCCTCAATGGTCCATTGATCTCCCTGATCACCACCATCTCATCCACCTCTTTCACCGGCGACTTGCCAACAACGGCACCATAGTCCAACGGCAAGTCCGGCACACCGCTCACGATTGGCCTCAGCCCCATCGGCACGAGCCCGCTAGCCGTGCTAACACTCTTGATCGTCCCACTCCTGCTCTGCAGGTCAGTGGCCGTCGGCGCCGTAGTCATGCTCTCCATGTCGCTATAGTCGCTCACAACACTCTCAGCATTGCTGACAACAGTCGACACGGTCATTGTCCTTTGGTGAGCTGCTGGCTTAGCAAGCGTCAGGGGCATCGGAGGACCACCTGGCTGAGGCTGTGCGGAAAGCATGTAGAACTGCGATCGTTTCCGACGATGTTCGGCAAAGGATGACGATGTTGTGGTTGCGGATGCAATTGTGCTGATTGAGCCGGAGTGGGAGCGTCCACCGAGCCACTGCGACACACGTCTTTGACTGCTGTAGGAAGCAGCTGTGTGGCATGGGACGGTCTTGAGCTGAGCGCTCGTGGAAGGCTCCGGCGGCGGAGTGGGTGGATCGGTAGGTAATTCGATGGGTTCGGTCTGGTAGTATTCTTGCACCTTTGGGGATGGGGCAGGTTGTTGGTACACGACACTGCTAACATGACTTCGCTTTTCATCGATCTGGGGAAAGTCCGAGACAAGGTCGTTAATCAGACCAGCAGTGCACGGCGGCGTGAACTCTTCCTGCATGGGACTAAGGACCGTCACCGAGTTCTGGGGCTTCAATGCCATGTCGATATGAGGCTCGGTGCCAGGTAGCGTTACCCACGACACTGGATGACTGTGGAGGGCGTCATATGAGGAAGACGGTCTCGAATCTGTGCACGTCGAGACGAGGGTATCTCTGAGTACGCGTGACGCTCGTCGTTCGAACATCGATGCAGCTTTTGCAGGCACCGATATGGAAGGAAGCTCATGACAGACAACTTCCGCTGACCTGGTGCGCAGCAAAGCCCGTGGAGGGAGCTTAATCTCGCCGACCTCCGTGAAGCTGACCGCGTCGAACTCTGGTAGGTCTGACAGCCTGTTATTGGGAAGATATATACTGAGCTCCAACGGCCGGAAAGATCGTCGTCGCACAGGTCGGGAATCTGCAGCTATCACTGCCGGCGTAGGACTGGATATGCTGGGACGCGGCGCGGCTCTCCTCCTAACCGATAAGCTTGCGCGCTCCGACGCCCTGGAAGCCAAGCTCAAGCTCTGATGGAAGAAGCGGGTTGTGACCGATGGAGGAGGCGTCGGGGGCATGTCATCCCAGACTGTGAGTTTCATAGGTGGTACAAGATGAGGTTGTTGGTACACAGTGATGTCAATGCTGCGCTCGATCCCTGCTCTCTTGTCAGTCCTCTGTGCCTTACACGTCGTGAGTGAGTGACCCATACCCGTGCGCGGTCGTGCTTGGCTGCTATCCTGTACATCCTTGCGCGGCGACAGGCATTCAAGCATGCTGAAGCTGTGGCACGTAGGAGCCAGCGAGCCCCGACGCCGGGGAAAGCTGTCCATCACATCAACTCATGCGTGGTCCGAGGTCCTGTTGGCTGGCGCTGAGGTCTGGTAGTCACTGATCAGTGCGAATAGTATTAACAAGATATCTGCTTCAAGCAAGGCAAGGTTTGTGGAAAGGTAAAGCAATGACTTGGGTAAGTTGTGAATTGAGTTGGCACGAGCATGCAAGAAAAACGCCACGAGGACCGATCACAGAGACATGGCGAGACCTGAAACGAGAGCCATAGCCTCACAGACCGTAGTGCGTGCGTCAAGGTCTGCCATCTCTGCTCGTGAGCCTGTTTGATGTTCATAACAAAGCGCTTGCAACTTGAGGCATCGTCCGCGAACAACAGGCGGTCAGACAGGTTGATTGGTCTTCGATTGCGCCGAAGAGGGCACTGGGGCGGTCAGAACTCTCGGGCTCTCCACACAGCCGTTGGCAGAGGCTCTTCGGCGGTATAGCAGATGATTCGATGTAGTTGAATGAAGAACCTCGCGTGCAATCAGAACGGGTAAATGGGCGTCTACAGTCTGTCCAATCATTCGCGGGACTTGTCATTTGCCTGAACATTGGCATGGATCGCTCATCCGGCTTTCATCTCCTTGCAGAACATGAAACATGAAAACATATGTACTGGCCGTCCTCAATGGTGCCATGTGGCAGAGACTGCCCGATCGTGCAAGTTTCAGGAGTGATTCTTCAGGTTGGGTTCGTATTATCCATTAAGCTATTCCACTGCCTGCTCCCGCCCGTTCATGCAAGGGCCCGTCCTGATTGTGATGCTTGCTTCCAATGCTCCACGCTCCACGCGAGTCTGGGTCAGGCCCGCTCCTCAGGGATTGACCTCCCTTGATGGAAGCCAAATTTTGTGGCAATCCCCCCATGGCTTGTGCAGCTCCAGTGATACAATCTCAAAATCTCTGCATGATGATCTCCCGACCATGCTCATCGAAGTAACGCTGGCCCGGTTGCTCTGCTACTCGATAACGAGGCTGATCAATCGGTGCGTACACCGGCTCTCTACCCACAGGTCTGACGCTGGCAGCGCGCATTACAGGCTCTCGTGGCGCATCCTCATACTGAGGCATCGGTCGTACACTTCCCATTCGGACAGGCTCCCGGAAGCCACTGCGGTCATCGAGATAGACCGTTCTAGCTGGTGCACGTTCTGGCATGACACTGGCGCTCCTCGCTACCGGCTGTGCGTATGCCTCGTGGGAGACAGGTGCCATTGACTGTCGCGGAATTTCCTGACGATAAATCGGTGGTGGGGGAGGGAGAGGAGGAGGCTGCATATCCGCCTGAACGTATCGGCTCTGTTGAGGCGCTTCCACGAAGGTTGATGCAGCACGAGGAGATCGATAAGCGGCATAGTCAGCCTGGACTTCTGGTCTGACAGAGCCAGCTCGTGCCACAGGTGCAGGACGTTGTTCGACGATTTCTCGAAACCTACGCCCGTACTGATCTACACGATGCGCTCCACTTGTTGTGGTGGCGGCATGGGCTCATATCGTATTTGTTCTTCTGGATAGGCTTCGCGATACATTGGTGCTGGCGTGCGTGAGACTCTAACCTCCTGAATGATTTGTCGATCGTATGGGTCGTCTAGAGGTTGGCGATGGATGACGGGACTACTTTCTCGGTAAGACGCAACGCGAGGCCGTGAGCTCGGTCCGAAGGTATCATGATCATCTCCCATTTCTGCTCGGACGTTGTGCATGCTGGCGACTCTTCGTAGATCCTGGGTGTCGCGCATGGGTCTCATGGCTTGTCTGGAGACCACTCTTGGTTCGCTCAGAGGCATCTCTGGCTCTGCGTATCGCGCCACTCTTGGTGACGAAAATTGCTGTTCGACCGGAGCATAGCGAACGTCTCGAGGAGTCTCATCAATCACAATAGGCCGATCAGGATTGGATGCTGGTAGACGTCCCGATCCGAGAGGTTGTACTTCGTGGAATGGTGGCGGCGAGACATTCTCCTCCTTCACGCCTGGGGAGCCGTTGCGTCGACGCATCCGATCGCGTTTGTCAAGCTTGCGCTTCTTTCGAGGGTTGACGTAATCTGGACTGCGGTCTCTTCGAGCTTGGGTGTTCTGTTGAGAGGGAGGTTGTTTAGCAAGCGCGAGGGGAGATATGCGTGACGGCTGCGGTGCCACTGGGGAGATGATATGGTTTCTTACAATTCGAACGTTGCCGTTGTCCACTTCCGAGTACCGCCGCAGCTGGCGACTGCGTGGATCGTACACATTCGTTACCGTCGCAGACACGTCTTGCATTGTTGAGTCTCCCTCGACTGCTTCTGGGGGTGAGTATTCACCTTCCTCCTCTTCGTCTTCGGGATCTAGGGCGGGCGAATATGCGGGCGAGTCGCGTCGTGCAAGGCGAGGAGAGTATTCGTCGTCGGCATCGGCGTCGAGAGGCGCACCCATGACAGCGCTTTGAATACGTGCCTTTGCGGCAGTGTCAGTTACTCGAGCGCCGTCTGCGCCAGGAGACGGGCTAGGAGCTCCGCGCTCAGGAGTTGAATCAGGCGCTCTGCTAGAGTAGAAGGAGTTCTCATCAAAAGAATCACTTGCTTCGCCATCGTCCTTCGTCGAATCTGCCCCTGACACACCAGTAGCCTTGACTAGGATGGAGTGAACATCGAAGTCTGCTTTCGCTTCTGCGGGAGCCGGTCTCTTACGTGCATCCAGCCGCTTGTGCTCGAATTGCTCCTTCAGAGCCTTTTCGAGTCTCTGCCTCTGAAGTCCCGTCTCGGCACGTACAAGGTCATCTGACTTCGTGAGGAGGACAGGGTTAATTCCGGAAGGTGTAATAGCTGGCATAGCAGGCGATTTCTGAGCATCACGTTGTGATGTCTGTGGCACAGCAAGTTGTGGTACAGAAGGAGTGGCTAGCATTGGCTGTGTGGTGAGTTGAGGGAGAAGAGGAACATCTTGAGCAAGGTGCGCAGGCACATTCAATCGAGGATGAACTCCTCGCAATACCTCATCGCGCAGCTTGAGAATCTTGCGATACTCGGCAACGTCGTTGGAAGTTGGATTCATCGCAGGCGCGATGCCATTGGTAAAGGGAGCTACCGTTGCCATGATTCCGTGACGCGAAAAAGTAGCGTCGGAATCTTACGATGTATCAAGTCCACCGCAAAGCGGATGTCGACTGACTGACGGCACGTCACGCCTTCAAGGCCTCCTTGAAGCGTGACATGTAGGCGATGTGATTTTGGTGAGGGACGTGAAGCAATGAAGGTAAAAGGAGAAGGCAGGAACTTCGAAGGTTCATCGTGCTCAGCGAGGCTGCATCTTAGCCTCGTAGACCGGCGACTCGAAAAATAGAAACACCCTCCATGACACCGTGACTTTGGCAGTAGCGTAGTGACTTGGCTTGCCCAGTAGACGTTTCTTTTGTTTGTAGTCCAACGTGCATTCCTAAGCATACTAATTTGCGTCGGAACGGCAGTGCTCGTCGTTTGCGCGAACGGACTCAAAAGACAGGAAACGAGCATATAAACGTGAACATTACATTGATATTCAGTCAGTCCAACTATTCATTGTAGTAGACTAGAACCGGGCAATTTCGTCAACAACTGTCACTACCGAACAGACCCCAAGTGATCATGGGATCAATACCACCCCGAGACGACCGTCCGGTCTTCTTCTTCGATATAGACAACTGCCTATACGCAAAGTCCACGAAAGTACACGACCACATGGCCCGCTTGATCAACGAATTCACAATCAAACACCTCAGTCTCTCGCCCGAAGACGGATACGCACTCCACCGAAAGTACTACAAGGACTACGGCCTAGCAATCGAAGGTCTATCACGACACCACAAGATCGACCCACTAGTCTTCAACCGCGAGGTGGACGACGCATTACCCCTAGACGATCTGCTAAAGCCAGATCCAGAGGTCCGAAAAGTCCTCGAGAGCTTCGACAAGACGAAAGTGAAAATGTGGCTATTCACCAACGCGCACATCACCCATGGCCAACGGGTAGTCAGACTTCTCGGTGTGGAGGATCTGTTCGAGGGTATCACCTACTGCGACTATGCTCAGAAACCACTCGTGCCGAAGCCTTTGCCTGCCATGTTTGAGAAGGCGGAGAAGGAAGCGAGCACGAAAGATTACGACAACATTTACTTTGTAGACGACTCATGGCTGAATTGCCGAGACGCGTACAAGCGAGGGTGGAAAAACACCGTGCATCTTGTTGAGCCACAGGTTCCGGATCCGGAGGAGAAGGCTTGTGAGCATCAAATCAGCCGGTTAGGACAGTTGCTGGAGCTCTTCCCGCAACTGATCAAGGCGAGGTCATGACAGAAGAGATTTCCACGAATAGATGGTGCTCATCGGCGAGTATGTGTTGATGTATGGCAGAAGAGTATAGACGATGTACAAAATGACGGATCGATGATTTTGGACCCACTTACCAGCAGTCCAGGAAAGTCTTAATATTGGTGAGACATGCTCAGGTATTGACGCTCAAATGAGGCGGCATCTCGCGTCCAGGGATGCTGTACAGTCGAGAGCCAGCCGTCAGCATCTTTTGCAGCCCCAGCAAGCCTCCGGTCATGCTTTGTCGACGCCTTGCAGATGGCCGAGTCGATTCTCACCACCGAAGTGGTGACAGCGATACCGTGTCAATCGCTTCTCGTCAGATGTACCTTTGAACATTTACCCAACGCTATCGCCCCACCAGGTAGCAGTGGATGCTATCATAGCATGACAAGTGGGTAAGGTCCGAAGACAATCATGTTTCCCAATGAATAAGAAGAAGTCGGGTGGCAAGGCAGATACTTATACCTCTTGATAGTCCGGGCAAAGCCGCCGAGATCACTCTTGTGACTTCGCGAGAAGATGTTCACTGTTTGTTGCATGATTCGGGATCCGTTGCTACCCGTGATCATTCACGCGCCATCAGCATTCACTCTTGTAGTTTAGTGAACATCATATTTGTTTCAGCCTTGACTATTCTCTATGCCAGATATACCAGAACACCATCGCTAGCCAATAAAGGCTGTCTACTCTACCACACAGACTTTCAAGATTCCATTCTCTTCACTGTCCGCCGTCTGCCCTCCCAATCGAACGCACAGAACCCCCACACATCCCTATACCTCCTGCTAAACACTTTCCTCACCGCAAACCCCAACCCCATGGGCAACGGCGGAAACTTACACAACTCCCCATCCATAACCATCTCCTTGTCCACATTTCCCAACACAAAAGCCGGCGCCTCCCACACACTCCCGCCCTTCGACCCCTCCTCCTCTGCCTCCGCCCACACTTTCTCCAGACCCTTCACGTCCTCCACGCGCCAAAGGTCAAGCAGCGTCGGGATCTCCTCGTGCAAGTGCTGCACCAGGTCTCCAGCGAACCGCTCAAGCATGTTGCAGAGCGTCATGCCGCAGTACTCCTCCGGCTTAGTCTTCGAGACATAGGCCTCAAAGAGATGCAGACCGGGCAGGAACGCATCGTGGCCATCGACGTTGACGCCCATGGCGCCGGGCTCGTTGAGGAGCTGTTCGAAGACTGGGAACAAGATCGTGTCTTCGATCTCGTGGTGGTGGTTGAGAATGGAGCAGAAGACGCGGCAGAAGTGTAAGAATGGACCAGCAGAAGCGGCGGTGGGCTCGACGACGAGGCAGTGGTTGTAGATGCTGTTGAGGGCGCGGATGAAGAGGTTGTGGATCTCGGCCATGTGTCGCGCGGCGAGGAAGCAGGTGTGCGAGCGTGGGATGTGTGCTGGGATTGATGATGGGTTTGTGGTTGTGATGAGTGGGTAGTGCTCGTCCATGTAGGTTGGCGTTGTGATGATCGGCGAGAGCACGAACTTGGTCGATGGGGTGACTGGAGGCTGGCTTGGTGCTGAGGTATGTGATGAGACGTCGGAGGCCGCGCGGGTTGAGATCTGCGAGCGGACCGAAGAGTTTGAGGAAGAGTTGGCGCGGGACATGATGCGTTCGCGTTGTGGTGTGTCGACGTAGAGCAGATGAGCGTAGTAGCGAGTGTTCGATTTGGGCGAGGACACGGCGTCGAGGTTCTGTGTTGTGAGCTTCAGTGCTGGTCGAGTAGATGATGCTGAGCAGCTAGATGAGGTGGAGGAACTGCGTGAGCAAGTAGCCATAGATAGTGCTTGGTTAGAACTGGAGGTCACCGACTTGTGTTGCTCTGGAGAAATATAGAGACAGATCAAGAAGGGATCAGCACATCTTTAAAACATCACCACCTGCCTGTACCTGCGCAAAGACGAGTTCGGGCCATGCCAGAAATGTACGGCTGCTACTTTCATGTTGCAGTGGCATGATCAAGAAGTGCAGGGTTGTCACAGACGTTCAGCCACGGTTAGTCCTTTTGCGGCCATTCGAAAACATTTGTGGGAGTCAGGGACAGGCTGTCTCGTGTTCACCTGGTATGGAAGCCTCCCACGTGGAAGGCACGGTTCTTCCATGAGATGAGGGACCAATGACTGTGACCAATGATGATACAACGTTCTGTGTCGACCGACCGATTCGAAACTCTTTCGTAGCCTTAAAACGTCCTACTAGTTAGTAATCGCTAAATGGCAACGCGCTAGTTTTTTTGACAAGCGATGAGGCGTTCGGAGCTGCCGTCCTTTTGCTTGTTTGTTGGCCTCCGACGAACACTGCCAGCCTTGTGAGGCTACAGGTCGACAGAATCAAGGGAGATCAAGACGAAGCTCTGACAGCGACAACCCGCGTTTGTCTTACTCGACGGGTCCGTCAGCTCGCTCCGCGAAAAGTGTGTCATGCGATGTTGAGCTCCCCTTCTCAGGGAGTGCTCTTGACAGTCAGGGAACGCAAGTAAATATGCCGTCTCGTAACGCAAACCTGTCAATATACAGGATCTCGTGTTGCTGATGAAGGCTGTCCCTTGCAGTGTGCGAGCATTCCAGAAACATGGAAGCGAAAGATTGCCTCGTGTTTCCATCAGCCACAGTAGGAACGCCAAGCAATATGCACGAACCGACTGAGCTAGGCGATAAGCGGCAAGTTTATGAGGCAAGCGATTGCACGCTCGCCCAAGAATAGCCATTGAGATCCGGCGATACTTGTAATCTTCCGGCTCTCCGCAACTGGTACCATCGACAGATCAGTCTTGCACAAGCGCATGACACACATGGAATAGAACTGAGGTAGTCATACATTGTATTGAATGAGGCACGTCCTACGGCCACTTTATTGTGGTATGGACCTTTTGCGCATGGGTCAAATCATCCTTCAAGTTCCCTGACCCGTGCTTCCCAAGCTTCAACATTCCTCAACTTCGCCTCGAGCTCATCCTTCTCATCCTCAAGCTCAATGCGCCGCTCAGCATCAAGATCACCGAAGAAGTACCCGCCCTGACCGTCGAACTGCAGGATTTTGGTATGATACTTCCACAGACTGCGCCGATGGCTGACGGTCATCAATGTTGTGCCTAAACTTTTGGCGGTCTCATACATCTTGCGCTCCATCTCCAGCGTGACCGAGCTTGTGCATTCGTCAAGTATGGCGTATCTGGGCTTATGGTAAAACAGACGTGCCATGGCGATGCGTTGCTGAAGTCCACCAGAGAAGACGTCCCGCCACTCTTCCACACTGTCCCATCCGTTCGGTCGCTGGACGACAGAGTCGATCTCGAGGATCTTCAGGATGTCGAGCAGTTCGGCGTCTGACTTGCTCTTTGAACGGAATTCGTACAGTGAGTCAGGGTAGATGATCTGGTCTCTCAGTGTCCCTCGAGATAGGTATGGTCTTTGTGGTATATAAAAGATGTCGTCGAAACTTGGCTTCCTGACGCTGCCACCATACACTGGCCACAAACCACCCAATATGCGGAATAGTGATGATTTGCCGCAGCCATTGGGCCCAACGATGAGCAAGTGCTCTTGAGGCGCAATCCGAAACGAAAGACTTTTGACCAGAACATCTCCGTTCGGAGAGACGATGGGCACCCCCGAGAACTCAATGTCTTTCGCCTCCTCGATCTGTCCGCGTCCTTTCAAAACCGCAGCGTTTTCGTCTGTGCTGGCAGAGCTTACAAGCTTCTTTTCGAAGTGGCCGGCTGTCACATCATCCATAACGTCCAGTAGACCAGCCACTCTCGAAGTATATCCAGCCAATTCGGTGATCTCCTTATAGCTGAACATGATCCGGCCAAATGCATCGGAACTGGACAGCAGTATTCTCCTGTTAGTGACGAAGGACTCTGTGTGATCGGTGGCGGCCCGGATGGCATCTTGACCAGGTACTTTGAAGAAGACTGGCACGGCGCAGAGGCCAAGACCGAGCGCACCCCAGAAGTACTTGATGACAAAGTCCTCCATGAATCCATGGTAGAAGCGCCGCCGTAATATGCGGTTTACGTGCTTGATCAATGTGAAGTAGCCCTTGTCCAGTCCGTCCTTCTCGGCCTCGTGGCCGCCATACAGGGCGATCTCTTCGCTATAGTCGATCAACCTAGTATGCTGAAATCGAAATTCTCCTTCTAGCCGGGCTTCATCTGCGACGTACTTGCCGAACGGTGGGGTCAGTGCTCTCATGACGTTTGCTGACACTTGCACCAGTAGCGCCATGGTGAAAAGACCCTCGCCTCCGACTGACCTGGACAGGGAGTAATTGTATATGATCATATCAAGTGTTGGTTTGGCCAAGTTGGAGTAGAGCTCTGCAAGCGAGTTGCTGAATCGAGAGATGTCAACGGTTATGAGCTGATCAGCATTCTTGATCCGATCGTCGAGTGCCGAAAGTGTGTAGAAGGTCATGTTGTTGAGGTATTTGTGGTGCACGTAGTTCGTTAATCTCGTCCGGTAACTCAGTGCTAGCTTTGTCTGGTGATATTGCAGCATTGAGTTGGTGAACGTAGCTGGCACCGCGACAAGCATCCACCAGACCAGGCCCACCGCGAACTCTCGCCCACGACCTTTCACCAAGGCACCGACCACCTTGCCATCGAGCTCAGCGACGTATAGCGAGAGGAGTGTCCGCAGGACCAGAAAAACGCTGTGACTCAGGATCAAGCGCAACTCCTTGCTCTTGATACCGGGTATCACAATCTTGAGCAGTCTGAAAAGGTTGCGGAAGAACTCTCTGTTGATCTCGACTCGTTTGCTCTTCTGTTGTTCTTTGCCCGCCTCTCCTAGGGTAGCTGACTGCTGTGCACGTATCTCGATCTGCCGCCGCATCGCGGCCTTCTGTTCGGAGATCGCATTGTGTATGCGGTGTATCAGGGCGATGACCAGGGTGATATATACTGTCCTCGAGATCTTCGTTCTGTGCTTGAGATACAGCGTTGTGAACTCGGAGATCAGTTGTCTGATCGACCGGCGGGGAGGGAGCAGCTTCGATTGCGCCGCCATGATGTATGACCGTCAGTCGTTGAGAGCAGAGGCTGCTCTCGAATACATCATCAGTGACAAGAGAAGTTGTCTCACGGGATGGAATGCATCGATAGAGCAGCGCCGCTGCGATCAAATGCCGCTGCGAATCTGGGGTTACGAGCCTCGGAGTGAAGTCATGCGCTCCAGCACGGGGGCGATCCAGGCTCTTGATGGCATGTGCTTGCGGGTATATTTTCCGTCTTCGGGGGCTTTCCGAGACACCGGATGACAAGACGTCTGCACAATATACCACGCTGGAAGACAAAATCTGACGTCCCAATATTTAAGTCGCCTACCTAAGCTGTCAACATGTGTCGCGACACGGTCGTTAATCGGCGACACTTGGCGCGGAGTAGAGTAGAAGACCGCAAAGGTACGTGCAAAGGCGAGGGACGGATTACTCGAGCAGATCTGTGCGAGTATATGTGCAGCATGTATCTTAGTTCATCACTTGTGAAGTTTTGAAGCAAAGTCTTTTCTACTTGTTCGCGTGCCATACTACAGCAATAAGTGACCAGACCCGAACATGGTACGTATATCGCTTCAGCCATTTCGGACCGACCTGCTATTCTCTCTAAGCCCACGGCTTCGAACTAGACGAGCTCACTCCATCTACTCCCACCTCTTGCGCCAATCTCTCCCATGGTAAAGGCCCGAGCCCCAATAGGACCCTCACTTTCCAAGATGTAGCCCTTCTCGCACCTCGAGAAACTTACACGCTCCTGCTGCACTTCGTAGAAGTCGTCATATTGCCTGTTCAGTGCATCATGCAGATCCTTGACGTCTCCCGCAGGGTGCAGCACGCCCCAGGCTGCGTACACTCCTTCGCTTTGCAGGTCTTCAGAACAAGAACGAGCGAGTCAAGCCGTGACAGAAGGTGCGCCAATTTGGTGCTCTTGGAAGTACCCTGTAATAGTTGCTGATCGAACCTGAAAGTCTCGGAATGGTTGCGATTGTACAAGTTGTGCATCTGGTACGGGTCGGTCTGCAACGTGTCAGAAGCTGAAATTTGGGTTCGTAATGCACTCACTATCATGTCGTAGAGCTCATGCTCGCCACTACACCACACGCTATAGTACAGATTGTAGTCCTTTCCGATCACACGTAATGCTTTGTATGTGTTGTTCCAGTAAACAGTCTTGTCGTAGTCTCCTTCGGTCAAGGCAAAGCCCCAGTACTCAACATTGACATGCTCGTGTCGGTCACTGATAGCATCGGAGAGCCCTTCCTGTGAGAGTGGAATTGCGACACCGTCAAAGTCGGAGCGCAATTGTCCTCCAACTAACGACAAGAACGTAGGCGCGAGATCGGTGTGAGAGGTGACAATGTCACTGATATAGCCCTTCGGCACACCTGGACCTCTTACGATCAGTGGCACGTTGATATCTTCCTCGTAGCCGCATTCTTTCCCAGGCTGGAGGCGATGTTGTCCGATGTGGTAGCCATTGTCGCTGGAATAGAACACATATGTGTTGTCTAGAATGCCTGCACCCGCCAGATGTGAGAAGACGCCGTCCACAATCTCATCAACAGCATGTAGTGCTCGCAGTCTGTTGCGGTAGAATTCGTCATTAGCGTCCACATTGGTCTGGTTCTGGCGCTCAAGCTTTGCAACCCATGACACGCCGCTCACCTCGTCTGGATTGAAGTTTGATGTTCGTGGCACTCGAGCATCTGGGAATAGATGTTTGTGCCTCTCCGCTGGGATCGGTGGACTGGTCTCAATAGTATGTGCAGACACATTATTATCGAACCACTCTCCATGAAATTGGACGTTGCTGTGGGGTGCATTTGGTGCAATCGTCAGAAAGAATGGTGTCTTGCTGTCAATAGCGGCATCCAGAAACCCCAAGGCCTTCTTTGCGAGGACATCGGTCGAGTACTCTCCCTCATGACTGACAGGAGGCTCTCGATTGCGCTGGAAGCTCGCATTGAGATACTCGTAGGTATGTGGATCCAGCAAGAAGTCGGAGCCGTTGAGGCCTGATGGGAATGGAGAGTCGTAGTTGCTCAGGGTGTGCGAGTTGAACAACTTGCCGGTATAGTAAGTGCTGTATCCTGCTTGCTGCAACCACAATGGTAACCAAGCCTCGTTGAAGCCCTGGCTGACGAATTTGGGGTAGCCACCTGCACTAGTCAGTCGTTGACGTTTGGGGCAAGGGCTCAATCACCATATGGAGGGTTCACATCTGTAACATTCGTGTTATGCGCTGCCCTTCCGGTCCATAGACTGACGCGTGATGGGCAGCATAGAGCGATCGTGCAATAGTGCCGCTGGAATGTTGTGCCTTGCGCGACAAGGTGATTTTGTAGATGCGGCATGTACGACAGCGAGTTCATTTGCATGTCTTGGTCATCTGACAGTATGAAGACAATGTTCGGCCGTTCGCCGGGAGCTGCAATAGACAGGGGTTGCTGCACATCGTGTATCTTACCAGAGACTCCGACAGCCAGGCACAACAGCTGAAAGAGAAGACTTAACATCTTCCAGTCTCGACCTCAAGTCTGAGCAAATACTAAGTCATGCAAAGCAGCGAGACCAAAGACCAACACTCTTGACCCTCAAATGAAGCATGAGCCCGACAGCATGGAAGCGAAGATCTGTCCGGCAAACCTTTGAGGGCAAGCATGCGATTGCGTGATCTTTGCTCATCCACGTAAGGCCAATCCGCGTATCGGCAGAATCCCAACTGCGATAAGCGTCTAGCATAGGAGCTAGACGACAGAGCTTTCAAAGTGTAGACACAGACAAGTGACGCTCTGACTCACATCGTCGACGTGCCGGGACTTCGTCGTCAAGCAAGAGATGGTAGGTGTAGATGAGAGGACGAGGTTGTTGCTGGCCCAAGGGGCCGCGAATGACGACACCGAAGCGGTTCTGCCAAGACCGACATCCCCTGACTCAGAGTCTTCTTCGACCACCGATGCATTACGGCAAAACCACTTCGCCTCTCTCCGTCGCCATTCCTCCGCAGGCCTACAAGCAGAGGATCATCAGCATGGATCCGCGACGAGGCACTGGAAAGACCAGGACGAGGAGTCCTCTGAAGACTCGGGGTCGTCAAAACCGTCCACATTCTCGATTTGGGCGACAGTGCCTATCCTTTTGCTGGGCGTCTTCGTCGCCAACGCCGATGGATCGCTTGTGATCGCTTCGTCGCAGCACATCGCTTCAGAGTTCGAACAGCTTTCCCAGGCTTCCTGGCTGGTTACGAGCTATGTCTTGGCACAATGCGCCGCTCAGCCACTGTACGGCAAGTTGAGTGATATCTATGGCAGGAAAGCTAATCTGGTCACCGCTTATGTCTTCTTCGCCCTTGGGCTTTTCCTCTGTGGTATTGGAAGTGCATACTGGCATGTTATTGCAGGTCGTGTCGTTTCTGGCGTAGGCGGCGCTGGGATGACGGCCCTGGTGTCAATAATCATCGCAGATCTGGTGCCTGTTCGAAATGTCGCGGCCTGGAGATCTTTCGTCAATGTCGCCGCCACAGTCGGCAGAGCTCTTGGTGGACCTGTGGGAGGCTGGTTAACAGACACTATCGGCTGGAGGTGGTCGTTCTTCGGACAGTGTCCATTGACCCTCGTCGGTTTACTCCTGATATTATGGAAGCTACCAAAAACTGGCATCTCCCAAGAAGAACCGGGCGAGCAGGCTGACTTTTACCACAAGCTGCGACGTGTCGACTTTGCAGGCGCAATTTCTCTAGCAGCCACCATAAGCTCATTCCTTCTGACGCTGGACTTCGTTGCAAATGAGCTCGAGTGGTACTTCATCCTCGCACCGGGCCTTTCTTTCTTCGTCTTCGCCGTCGCATTCTACGCCATCGAAAGCCGATGGGCGAAAGAGCCTGTTCTGCCCCTCGGATTGATCACGAGACGCGACGCCATCACACCGTATCTGATCGGAGGCTTCCAAATCGCCGCGCAATTTGGGGCCTTCTATGCTACGCCGATATATTTTCAGATTGCTGCCGCCAGCACAGTCTCCCAAGCCGGGCTTCGTCTCGTTCCAGCTGTCGTCGGCAACGCCACTGGAGGCATACTCTCTGGCTGGCTCATTTCTAAGACAGGTCGTTACAAGCTTCTGACTCTGCTCGCCAGCATCGCCGCGTCTATTGGATACCTGCTGATGCTGATACGCTGGCGAGGTGTCACAAATTGGGGCGAGAGCATGTATATTTTCCTGGGAGGCTTTGGCAGCGGCATCATCCAGTCGACGACCTTTATCCACCTTGCGGCCAGCCTACCGCAGAGTGACATCGCCATTGCAGGCACCACGCTGTACCTGGCCCAAAATCTGTTTCTGCTGGTCGGTATACAGAGTGCCACGACAATACTCCATGCTAGAGTGCGAAATTTGCTCGAGAGCTCGCTGCAGGATGGGCCGAAGAAAGAATATGTAAGCAGCTGTGTTATTCAAGAGGGTGCAACTGACAAAGCTACAGATCATCGATCACTCAATATCTAGTATCAGCTATATCCTTAGGCTTCCTGAACGTGTCAAGTCGATAGTGGTCGGAGCATACATCAGTGGACTCAATGCGACCTATGGTCAGTATCGGCTGTGCTTCATTTTTACTCACACTAACGCTGCGAAAGGGTTATCACTAGCTTGCGCAATCGCAGGTCTAGTCATAGGACTGACACTGATTGAACGCCGCCTCTGAGTACGAGATCGAGTCCGGAGAAAAAGACACATAGACATGTATTGCATTGGAAACACCAACATCTAACCCAACCTCAGCCTAGGTCCCGCTGTTCATCTGTGCTGCGCATCAACGCGCAGTCAGTCTCGTCTCCTTCATGTGCCTCAATAGCAGCATCTGACACATGTATGTGGGGAGGTATTTGGCTAGTACCTGATCCCCATCTTACCCCAGAGATTGAAGCAAGTGTCGTCTGCGGAGAACTTACCTTCGTCTCTGTTGGAGACACAGTGCGGATTGCATGGCTTGCTTGGCAGGCAGGTCCTAGGGTTTTCACCGGTTCGTTGCATCTGGGCGGCGCACTAGACGTGGCTGATTCAATCGTATGGGCGGAAGTCGGCTCCTTGCCCATAGCAGTACTGCGAAAGGACTGACATGCACCAAGCGCCATCCACATGCAGGTCTAGGGGTCTGCTCATGTTGCTCCAACGCCCAGACTGTACAAAAAGAACATATAAATTCGCCAAATGGAGCCTCAATCGCCGCTAGAGACCATACTGTTTCAACTAACCTGTGTCCGAGCAACATGGCGACTCCAGTGGACGAAGGGTTGAAGGTCGAATCAGTGTCGCATGTCGAGGTCCAAGATGTCGAGCCTCAGACCGATATCGAACAGAAGGGAGAGTCTTCCATCGATCCTCGCGTGCTCAGGAAGCTGGGGCGGAAGGTCGACTTCCGTATCATACCAATTTTGTCGCTGGTGTACAGTCTTTCAATGTGAGGCACTCATAGTCATATTTGGTTTCCTCGAAGCTAAAACCACGTCAGTATAGATCGAATCAATATAGGGCATGCGAAAGTCGGTGCGTGCTCCCTTCACTCTGATACAGGGCATTGACCCATCTCCTGGCAATGTCGCTCCACATTTGAGTGACTGACACAGCGATATAGTCGGTATGGAGAAGGACCTGAGCATGCTGGGCAATCCATCGGCTTACTCGATTTGCCTCTTGGTCTTCTTTCCGGCATATATGCTGTCAGTCAACCATGAACACCCCCAGTCCTCATACTGACATGACAGCGCCGAGCTCCCTGGTAACATGGCTCTCGTCAAGTTTGGCGTGGCAAAGACCCTCGCTTTCCTTATGTTTGGCTTCGGCATCAGCACTCTTGCGCAAGGACATACTCAGTCCTGGCCAGTCCTGGCATTTTGCCGGGTCCTCGTCGGAATCTTCGAAGCCTCTACGTTCCCCGCGGCAGTGGTGCTGATCTCGGCATGGTATGTCAGGTATCAAGCTCACCAGAAGCTGGCTTTGATGTACAGCGTTGGCTTGATCGCTTCCAGTTTTGCTGGCGTTCTAGCTTATGGTCTGGGCAAAATGGAAGGCATCGGCGGCTTACGTGGTTGGCGATGGATCTTCACGGTACACCTTCTTCCCCACCAAATCGCAGGACAATCACTTACAAAATGTCAGATGGAGGGACTTGTCACAGTCCTCTGTGCCGTGCCAACTTTGCTCTTCACCGTTGACTTTCCAGACAGGGCTCGATTCTTGACGGAGCAAGAACGGACGCTGCGGATGCAGCAGCTCAAAGCTGACAAGGGCGACGTCGAGACCGAGCAGATCAGCTGGAAGAACTTGAAGGACCTCAAAGGTGCGCGACAATTTGCCTCGCTGGGCGAATTTGCTGACAGAAATAGACTGGAGAATGTGGCTGGTCACATTCATGTACTTCTGTAATGTTTGCATGGTCTACGGGATGGGTTTCTTCGTGCCTTCGATTCTGGGTGAGCAGCGCCCTCCCCGGAGCGACTCTTCAAGAACTGACCAAATCACAGTGGGGCTGGGATACAGTGGACTGGACGCAACCTTGCACAGCGCACCTCCCTACCTTGTGGCCTGCGGCTTCCTCTGGATCACTTCCTTCTTGGCCGATCATATCCATCGCAGACTTCCAATCATCATAGTGCAGGCATCGATCGGTATCACTGGCCTTGCGCTGATGAGCCAGATTCAGCTAGGTCCACAAGCTCGGTACGCTGGGATGTGCCTGGCAGTTGCTGCGTGCCAGTCGAACAACTCCGCCATCATCATATTTGGCCAGAACAATACCGTCGGGTCTGCAAAGACGAATCTTGCCGCCGTCTTGAATATTGCCGGTGGCACCATTGGAGGCATCGTCGGTAGCACGGTGTACATGGGTAAGGAAGCCCCGTCGTACACGACCGGCCTTTCCATCACTATGGCACTACAAGCTTGCCTTCTATTGTCCTGTGCAGCCGTCTGGCTGGTGAATGCTCGGGGTAACCGGCAGGCGGACAGAGGCGAGGTCGTCTTGAATGGGGTCCAGGGCTGGAGATGGACGCTATGAATGCGCTAGAGCTTGGAGTGCACGTCCTTGGCTGCATATGGGATGTCATGGCAATGTCAAGGGTCTCAAGCTTCCAAAGTTTCTTCAGCAGCAGATCATCTGAGCAGTTGGGGCAAGGGCTCTTGGTGCGAGACGTCAAGAAATGGGGATGTCGGTATCTGTGGGAGTCTTCTATTCATTCATATTACGGAGCTGCGCAGGCGTCTGTATGATCTTCCATCCGAGTCATCTGGCCCATATATCTCGCCCAGCGGGTCGGTGTGTACTACACTACAGCTGTAGTCGGCCAAAAGGAGCTCGATGAGTTTCGAAGGAGCCAGTCCGGTATTTGTCGTTGCACGGTAAAGAGAGGTTGGCACTGAAGTCGAGGTAAGGTTGCTCGACTAGCGAGCCACGACGCTGCTGAGTCAGCCCCTTTCCACCTCAATTCAAGTTCTACGCGACTCAATTTTCACTCCTGCTAAACGCGTCGTTCCAGCCGCTGCGATCGGGGGGTCCAAGGAAGATGGACAGTGATTGTTGTCCCTGTTGGCAGGCTCGGACAGCCTTCAAATGCTCTTCTCGGAGGCATCGATCCCGAAGTTGGGGACTACAAGCATTCCCCATCCGTACCCCAGCTCCCCACATGTTGGCAATGTGGGCTTCGAGATGGTCCCACACTCGACGGCAGGTGCCTCCCGAAGAGTTACTGTCTCACAGGTAGTCAAATTCAAGGTCGTCGACATGCGTTGCTCAGCATCGACGAGGTACCAGAGCCACAATGATCTTCACATCGCCATTCAGCGTCGACCTCCCCAACCAAGACATCCTTACATTCCTGTTTGAGTCAAACCGATTCCAAGACTCGAATCCTGTCTGGCTTGACGCTGCTCACCCAGAGATCTCCATCACCAAGGGCAAAGCCCGTGAGCTCACACAGCGCATTGGCTGGAGCCTGCGTGACCGTGGAATTGGGCGCGATGATGTGGTCGTTCACTTTGTGGAGAATCAAGTCATGATTGCACCAACAGCGTTTGGGATCCTTTGTGCAGAGGCTGTATGTGCGACGTGTGCACCGACGGCGACAGCCTTTGAGGTCGCCAGACAGGTCAACCTTTCTAGTCCCAAGATTCTCATCTGCTCGCCGCAGACCAGGCCTGTGGCGGAAGCTGCACTCAGACAGTGCACTCTTGAGCAGTCGCCAGAGCTTCTGGTTATGGACTCCCCGAAATTGGACATCAGACAAGCAAACACAGGGCACTCAATCCTCACAGATGCCACGCTGCAATGGCCATGCATCACCGACCCCGCCATCCTCCAAACCCGCACAGCATGCCTCATCTACTCCTCCGGAACCACCGGCCTCCCCAAAGGGGTCCGCCTCAGCCACGCCAACTTCATTGCCAACATCCAACAGATCATGTACCACTTCGACCCTCGCTACCACCTCATCAGATCCGAGAACCGCTTCCCAGCCATGGCTGGCGTCCTCCCCAACTCCAACGCCGCAGGCGTCATCCTCCACACAATGCTACCCCTCCGTATCGGCTGGCAGATCTACCAGATTCCCAAGTACGACTTACCTTTGATGATGTCCACGTCCGCACATACCAACTCTCAATCCTCTTCCTCGCTCCTGCAATCTGGCAGCGCATTGTGAACGACTACACGCCTCAAGACGTAGCCTCCGTCCGCTTCGGGATGTCTGGCGGCTCATTGCTGTCCAACGATCTCCGCTCCGCTGTCAGCAACATGTTTCCTCCAGGAATAAATCTCATCACGAATTGGGGCATGACCGAAGCGACCTGCGAAGCCACCCAGTTTCCCTTGCACGAGATCGACACTGAGGCGAGTGTTGGCAGGCTGATGCCCAATATGTCGGCGAAAGTCATCGATACCACGGGCGGGGAATTGGGAAAGAATGAGATGGGCGAGCTGTGCATCAAGGGGCCGAATGTTAGTAGGGGCTACTTCAACAACCCAACGGCGACGGCCGATGCGTTCACGCCGGATGGGTTCTTCAAGACAGGGGATATTGCCATTGTAGGGGATGACGAGAAGGTCTTCATCAAGGGGCGGTACAAGGAGTTGATCAAATATAAATCGAATCAGGTGCCGCCTGTTGAGCTCGAGTCAGTCATCCTTACAGTGCCGGGCGTGCAGGATGTTGGGGTCATTGGGGTGCCGCAGGGCGATGGAAATGAGCTTCCTCGTGCGTATGTGGTGCGAGATTCGAGTAATGAGACGTGCACCGCGGAAGCTATTGAGGGCAAGATCAAATCCACGCTGGCGAATCACAAATGGCTAAGAGGTGGTGTGCGATGGGTTGATGAGATTCCGAGAAACACCATAGGAAAGATCGATAGGAAGATCATCAAGACGTGGTGTGAGGGTGAGGCTCCGATCTTGAAGGCAAATCTGTAGCGTCGGGAACGGCAGAGAGGTCCACGGATGCCAACTTGGGGAGGGTCGGGAAGGGAAGGGGTTGCCCGAACAAGATGCCATAGCTTCGCTTGCGGAAGTGAATGTAAGCTGGCCCAGATACTGGTGGAGACTTCGAATGAAGGGCTCAGCTAGAGCAGATATAACGCTATGAATGGCTACGTTAGTGGTGGCTATCATCGTCCATGAGTCGATTCATTCATCTGGCTTGTGAGGCAGTCGAACCTCAGACTAGACTCCTGGTTTTCCTCGAAGTCAGAAACTTGCGTGTGCCGATCCCGAAGCTTGCCTCACTCTCGCTATCACTCGGGACTTTCCTAGCACTTCGACCTTTTCGAACAGTCTGCTTGCGCTTGTGACCGTTCGGCTTGTACGAGCTCTCGTCACCATCGCTGTCAGGAGCACTGACGGGATCGCTTGACAGTGTGAGGTCCACGAATTGTGTATTGGGCGGTACCTGACTGAGCCTGGGACCCGAGCCATTGAGCTTGATCGACCCGTTCTTCAACGGTGGGAGCTCATGCTCGTCGGAGTCGTCGACACCATCAATCTGTCCCGCAAGGGACTGCTTGTAAGCTTTAGAGCCGCTGGAGCTGCGCGTCGATCTCCTAGTAGGCTCAGGAGGTAACACCTCCCTTGTGACTTTTGTAGCTCGAGTCATGATCTTGCGTTTTTGGCTTGACGACAGGTCACGAAGCGAGGGTAGACTACCGTCGCTGTCAAAAGAGCCGTCATCCTCGTCGCTAACTTGGAAAGAGGAGTCCTGCCCACCGTCTAGCTGTCGACCTAAAAAAGAAGCTGGTGTGGATGCAGCATTGTTTGACCCGTCCTCTGGCTCGGATCCATCATGCGCCATACTGTTCGATTCGCTAATGATATCGATATGTCCATCTTGCACTGATGGGATCAGAGTAATATCTGCTTCTGGAATTGGTGATACATGTTGAGCATCAGGATGCGAGCTGCTGTGGCCACTGGCCCTGATCTGCTCAGGCAGATCGGAATTAAGCTCAAAACGTGATATGGACGGGTAATCGACAGTCAATTGAGGACTAATCGGTGGAGACGAAGACGCCATCGGTGCATCGCTGGAAACATGGTCTGTTCCGTTCGCACCTTTGCTGGAGCCATCGTGATCCTCACCGGGAAAGAAAGGACTGGAGCTTGACACAGCGTCCTGAGCATCCAGGTCGTCATCTTGGATGGGTCCATTACTAGCGTCCGTCACTCCCTCGTGCTGAGAGCTGTCGAGACCTTTGGCTTGACTGGAAATGTCTGGCTTTAGTACATACTCACCGACAGCTGAGTCAAAGCCGTCTTCGTGCATCATGGCCGTGATCTCGTGACGGCGTGGAGTAGATACAGTGACTGGGTTCGCAGGCACGGGTAGGCTGGTCCCTACCTCAGAAACCGGCGGGAGGACGCTCTCTGAGACGGCGAGGGATGGCTGATTTTGCGTATCGGTGATCGGTTTGCCGCGCTCGTGCGCCAGGTCATCGTGACTCGCAGCCACTTGTACAGATGAGGGCGCAATAAGCTTGGCTTCCAGAAGATCGGAGAAGTCGATGTCTCGGACACCATCGTCTTCTCCACCGGCATCAATGATGAACTGGCTCATCCGATTCTCATCGTCATCCGACGGCGGAGCAGTCAGTCGGTCTCGCACAGCAAGGATCAATTGAATATTGTCTCCATTGGCTTTGCTGATTCTTGCAATTTTGTACTCTGACATTTTCGGCCCAAAGCCATTGGCAAAGTCCACGTCGAGCTGCTTGAATGCAATGATAGCCCCAGGCAGCAACTGTGATGGATTCAAGTCGGTAAGCGCCGAGAAGTCAGTTGGCATAGGCATACCATCGCGATCATCTTTTTCAAATGACACAGTCCGAGACTCGGCCGTGGAAGGTTCTTCGGAATGATTCTTAGAAGGTGATCGAGAGGTAGCATGTGCCCTCGAGACTGATGCCGATTGATCACCGTCATTGCTCTGACTCAATGACTGCTGCAGTCTTTCGGACTGCTCGTGATCGTCCTGCTGCCCCGAATTTGATTTGTACCAGAATTGCTTGAATGGAAATGGCGGTGGAGGGTAGGTAACTCCGTCCTTCTCACACTCGACTGCACTGACAATAAGCTTATCTTGCCAATCAATGACCTCGGACGCGCTGGCAGTTTCGGTCTTGGACTCGTCGGTGGCTGGTTTCGGTCGCGACGTTGGTCGCCGAGCAGATGCTGCCAATTTGTCCTGAAGAGCTTTTGCCTGGGCCGGAGTTTTCGGACTCGGAAGTCCAAGTGAGCCAAATATCATCCTGCGGCGTACAGCAGACGCATCTACGTTGCGTGGAGAAGAAGTTGGCGCAGATTCAGCTTTGGGTGAGGGAACCGCGGGAAGAGCTGGGGTCGGGGCTTCATCATGTAGTGTTGCGGCTTCTCCAGTTGGCCGCGCAGTTGGCCCATCAGATTCATCAGCAACTGGCTTTGGAGTGATACCACGAATGGCAGTGTCGGGATCATATGGGTCAACGACGTGAGCATTACTGAAAACCTCTCGGACGCTCAACAGAAGGGCAGATCCTGGCAACAGGCGATGCTCCTTGAAACAGCGTTGGTACCCAACATACAGGGATACTTGGCCAACGCTGCCAGTAGACGAGGATTCAAAGCAATACTTTAGCCACTTGCATGCTCTTTCGTGGTCGTTCAGAGCCAGCCACTGCGCAAAGACGTCCTCCGGAATTGGCTGGACATGGAGTGGTAAGGCATCGCGATTCTCATTGCCACCAGGCTGGGTTTCCGGAATCTCTGGACTCTCCTGCTCATCGTCTTTCATGAGAACGTCGTCAGGCTCGATTGAAGGGGCAATCACGTCGTTTACCTCCGCTGGTGCTGCGGGTGCCTCAATCGTCAATATCGATAGTGCCCGCTTACGAGCAGCTTCGAGGTCTTCTGCCACTGTAGACGAGCTAGGCTGTAACTGTTCAGATTTGCTCTTGTATTCTCGTAGATCCTCAAATCCAGCTGATGCGGGAAGGAGACCTCGGCTTTTCAAGGAATTCAGTTGCTTGCGCATCTTACCCCTGGCGTTGTTCGCCCGAGTTCTATGCAGACCTTGACCTGGTGCTGACTGTTGGCTGGACGTGGCCGACTTGCCGACGCTGGATCCTGAAGAGCCTTCATTCGAGGCCGATATATCATCACTACACTCCGGGAGGTTGCCCCAGTGACCTTAGTAGCCTTCACATTCGGGGCAGATGAAGCACTGGAAGTACCAGCTGAATCGGAGTCGCTCGAGCTGGTCGATATATCATCGTCATCGTCATCATCATCACTGGTCTTGTCTGATGCATCCGATGTTGAGCCGGCGTCAGATCCAGAATCTTCTTCGGAGACGGCAGAGCGCGGACTATGAGCGACATCTCGTTGACGGGAGTCCTCCTCTGAGTCGCTTGTAGATTCTGAGCTTGTTGCTTCCGAGGAAAAGTCTTCGTCTGATGAGGCGTCCTCCTCCTCATCATTTACTAGGTTCTTTTCCTCCCTAAAAAGCTGAGCCTCAGCAATCTCATTCAAGAGACCGTCTGCTTGACTTGACTCGTCATCTTCGACGCTCTTGAAGTGACCGCTTACGTCCCTCAAGGCTCGAGTCTTCTCTGGAGACTCGAAGCCCTCAAAAGGCTCCTCATCTGACTGGGAGACCTCATCGCTTGATCGCCGCTTGCGTTTCCCAAGGCGTGTTCGTGTACGTAGTCGAGACTCCAACGTGCCGTTTGCATCTTGCGAGCTGGCCACTTCCGCAGCGTCCTGCAGAAGCAGTTGGATCTCTTGGCCATCAACGTCACTCAGTTCTTCTTCTGCGGAGTCGGCGTCCTCGAAAATGTCCCGTACAACGATGTCTCCGTCGGCTATTTCTTCATTGTAATCTGTGTCCGCTTCAGAGTCTTCTTCATTCGAGGGAGCGACCAGAGGTAGCAATTGTTGCAGAGGCTCCACGTTCTCTTTCTGTGACTCCTCGTCGTCCTCGAGCAACCTTCTCTTCTTTTGCGGAGGTATCGTCACACCAGGTCTTGTGCTGTCTTTTCGCACCCACGGCTTGCTGAAGACTACTCCGTCTATCAGATGTCGCCCATCGGCTGTGATCTGCATTCGACCACCACGACGCCATAGTCTGAGGTCATCGTTGCCGAGTGGCCGAACGACGATTTCGTCGTCTTCTCTGAGCACACTCTTCAGCGGCAGATAGTGCAAGCATTCGTAGGACTTTTCCTGATCAGCGGTAGCTGCCACTTCTACCACGTAGTCTTCAAGGCCCCATTCTCCGTCCGAGGACTCAAGCGGTACAATGTCGTTCAAGTCCTCGAGTAAGTTGAAGATCGTAGCGGAGCTCTTCGACGTATGCGAGCACGGACCTACGCCGGTAGCGAATACAATATTGGTCGGCGGTAATGTATGGCGGAAGATTGCGACCTGGAGACGCATCATCTTGCTGGGTAATGCGCTTCAGATCATGTCAGCGTCACTGGAGAACGATCCTGCGCTCCCGTGAGACTACTAGGCGATTGATATGGTCTGAAAGCAGTGCAACAGATGCGTTCGACGATGTAAAGTTGAAGATCGGATTCTCCACCTCCACATGCTGCCTGACAGCGGTCCCTGCCGCTGTGCTTAATTCCTAAACCCGCTAGACGCGCCAAGTTCGCGCGTTTCGACCTCGCGTCGTGTCACCTCATCATGTCAGCAATTCGTGACAGTGCTTGAAAAGAGAGAGTCTTCGATTGGCGTGCTAAGATACTACCCCCAGCTCAATATACGTACAGCGGCTCGCTCAAGTGCTCACACTCGATCTTCTCCCACTGCTCGTTAGTGTGTACTCCTTCTCTATACACGGGCTTTCCGAGGCACACTTTCCTCAGAGCACGCTGCTTCCAACAGACACTGCCAGTCACTACCCTGAGGACTTGATCGTCCTTGCTTCTTCTCCCATTCTTATTTCCCTTCTCAAGCATCATGCTGTATGCCGCGATTCCTTCATGACTCATGCCGATCAGGTTCTCTGGAATTTGGTCCATGTTACCAGGCCAGCTTCCAGCAAACATTGCCAAAGCGTTCAAAATCCGCTTTGGGAACGTGCTGTTCCAGTCTTCTCCGAAGAGCAAGATATGACGTTGCCACCCATGTCGATCGATATTGCCTTTCTTCAACTCTGAACGCTTCCGCACCTGTGAGTTATACATCGAGATGAGCCCAGCTCGGGACATGAAGAGGTTGGGAATCAGAGCAACGCGGCTCAAAGCCAGACCCAACATCACCACTGTCTCCATCAGAGTCGGCAGGCAAAAGCCTCTTTCGGGACATTTTCAGGCTGTGTTTCCGGTCCGACGGTCGGCGAGCAAATGTAGCACGCGCACAATGGTTCCAGGCGTGTGATGGAAGTCTCGCAAGTTGCGCTAGCAGCGTCGTGATCCTGTTTCAGACATCGCTCCATTCTGCCCGAAAGATGTCGCAGTTCCGGAAACCATGTGCTCCAGGTAGTGATCAACCCCAATCCCCAAGAGGCGGTATTGGACTTGTTGTCGGGATTCATGACATCTGGAGATATGTCGTCATCGGCCACCAAGAGCTCCCAGACTCTTGCTAGCCCACCAAGCGCGTTGGCGAAAGTCTTGGACTCTGCGTGAGCAAGACGATGAAAGGCTGACCCAAAGACCTTAGTGAATATAGCATCTGGAAGTACTCTTCCTGAGTGAATCAGCACCCTTCCCAAGCTCGTTGGAGTGGTGTGGGTGACATCGGTGTTTCTGAGCCAGATGTGGACGTCAGGCGTTGGCGTGCTCTCGAGGCGCACGAAGCGCAGGCGTAATCGTCGACCACTTCCAGCATTCGCCCGCCAAAGCTCATGCCCGTCCTCGTCCTCTAGCGTCACATCGATACCGAGGCATATCTCAGCATATGCAGCGAACCAGCCTGACACATCCCCGCCTGCTATGACCAGCTCGGACGTCTCAACACCTCTGCCGTTCAAAGACACCAGGGCTTCGGCTAATTTAGTTGCGCATAGCGTTTCTTGCGGCTGTCTCGCGAACAGCAGCCCGTCTTCTGGCTGTCGATAGGGGTTGAGTCTGATTCGATCATCGACAACGCACGGAAAGTCGCTTGTGGCCATGATACCGTTCGCGGACTGGACGAAGATGCGAAAGGAGTTCAGCGACGGCTTCGGTCGATCATCGTCCTCATAACGAGCTGCCAACTCGTTGTATACAGCTGCAGCATAGGGCTCCGACAGGTACTCCGAGAAGGCGGACGCCAGCAGCAAGTGTTCATATTCGAAGAGGTTGACCCCCGCATTACGCAGAAGGTGTTGCTCGGACCAGCCCATCTGCAACCGTGAATCTGCACTCCGAATGATGGGAAGATTGTTCAGGCAGTGATTATAGAGCCGCTGACCATTGCCACCAATATGGATGTCGCGCATCGCAAGTCGCGCAAAGTTGATGAGGTAGAAGTTCAGTCCACCCAGCCCCTCAAACTGGGCCAACAGTCTGTTGCTGATCGACAACGGCTTGTCGATGCCCTCGACCAGCTCATTCTGAAAATGTTGCGCCATCCTGACGCTTGCTGCAGTGAGGTGGATTGGACTCCAGCACTTGCGGATGGCCGTTGACTACCTACATAGCTTGCGCTGGCAACGCCGGCGAACGAGGCGAGCTCGAGGCTGAGCCAGTGATCACTAACGGCAGCGTAGTATACTGTTAGAGGCCACAGCACCGACAACGTTGTTCGCCGAGGCACACCGATGTTTCAAGCTGCTCTTACTGGTAACAAGTACTAGTGTGGTCAATCAAGTCTCCAGATGTCAAGAGCTGAATAAGAAAGCTTAGGAAGCTTCCTCATCGAGTTCTGGCAGCTCGCTTGGAGTTGCCGTGGCGGGCATACTCCTCAGTGACATGCCCATGTCTTGACTATTCGCTCGATCGGGCGCACGAGGAGGTCATCAAGTGCACATGAACGAATTTCAAGCCGCAAATTCAGCCTGTCGGCGCGTTGCTCGAATCACTACATCTCTGCAGGAAGCCAGCTGCGGCGAGACGCCTTGCTTGTGAGCAGCAGATCCGGAGATCAAATCCGTGGAGTAGATCAGCCTCGGCATGATGTCCGTCTACCCCGTTCCCCACACTATAGATGGGAACTTTCTCATCTGATTCTCGACATGAGCTGCTCATGAGAGTAAGGTCCTGCTTGACTGACAACGATGGACGCAAAGGAGGTTGCGAAGCATAACTCGAGAGAGTCCTGCTATGTCATAATTTCCGGCAGCGTATATGATGTTACAGACGTGATTGAAGACCATCCGGGTGGCTCACAAGCAGTACTTCGCTGGGCTGGCCGTGTAAGAAACGCAAAGTCTTCGAGACTGAGTCAAATGGACTGACCACATTTAATCAGGACGCTACACGAGCCTATGTGCCTATACATCCTTCGAACACACTCGAAAAACATCTACCCAAAGGTAATGTAATTACTGACAGGCGTCCGCGATCTGACGTGTCCCAGACAAGCACCTCGGACCCGTCGATCCCAGTACAGTCGAACTCGAGAAGGCCGAGCCCGAACAGACGAAGCCATCAAGCCAACATGGTGTCGAGACGGACATTACCGTTGTCCAAAATCTGGACGATATCGAAGCAGTCGCCCGCCAGAAAGTCTCAGCCAAGGCATGGGCGTACTTCAACTCGGCTGCCGACAGCCTGAACTCATTCCACACCAACCGTGCGGACTGGTCCAAGATCTCCTTTCGACCGCGGATCTTGCGAAATGTAGCCAGGGCGAATATGAAACGGCGGGTAATGGGCCATGATGCAAGCTTCCATTCTTCATCGCTCCAGCCGCCCAGGCGAGGCTCGGTCACCCAGACGGAGAGCTGTGCCTAGCTCGTGGCGCCGCACAGAGCAACATTGTTTACTGCTCGAGTACATATAGTTCTGTGGCACATGAAGATCTTGCTCCATGCTTTGGAAAGTCCAACGGGGGAGCTCTCACATTCCAGCTCTACGTACCGAGAAAGAAGGATGACTGCGAGCGACTCATCAAGGTGGCTCGGGACCTAAAATGTAAGGCTCTAGTCGTGACTGTCGACACAGCTGTATTGGGCAGGAGAGAAGAGGACGATCGTTATCAAGCTCAGCTAGAAGTCGATGAAGGCAGGCCTATGGAAAGAACGATTGCTACGAACGAGGAGGCTGAGGGTGGTGTTTTCCGCGGCGTCCACTGTTCGACGCTCGACTGGGATGATATTCGGTGGATTAAGCGCCTTTGGGGCGCGGAGAACGGGCCGGTGTACATCAAAGGAGTCCAAACTGCTGAAGATGCGTTGTTGGCCATGCGAGAAGGGATCCAGGGTATCTACTTGTCTAACCATGGAGGGAGACAGCTCGATTTCGCCCCCTCATCTATCCGTACTTTGCTCGAGATCAGGAAGTTCTGTCCGGAAGTGCTCGAAAATATGGAGGTCTATCTTGACGGAGGTGTGCGCAGAGGGACCGATGTTGTCAAAGCACTTTGCTTGGGTGCAACGGCGGTCGGGCTTGGGAGGCCTTTCCTATATGCTTTGAGTGCATATGGCACCGATGGCGTGCTTAGGGCTATCGAATGTGAGTCACTGACCTTCGCTTGTGCGCTGTCGTGCTAACAATATTCGCAGTACTGAGTGCAGAAATCCAGACGACAATGCGCCTCATGGGCGTGACAGACATCAATGACCTGGATCTTCGCCATGTAAACACCAAGATACTGGAGCGAGAGCTACCAGACGAGCTATATAGCCACCCACAGAGACCGTACAAGCTATGATCTACAAAAACTTGGATCATAGCTTTGCAGCACCCTTCTGGCTGCGGCCACGTCTTGGGACATCCCTGTCATCATAGCCCCCTGGTCGAATGAAGAGAGCAAGAAGTCCATGCCTTCACTGGCACGCTTTCGTGCCACGTTCTCACCTATACCCATCGTACCAGCGATTTTACCTAGACTTTTCGCCGTACCAACGATTTTCTCCAGCGCGCTAACAAATTCTGGCTCACTTCCATCGAGGGCGGGCGGCATGCCAAGCGAGAACTTGTGGTATTAGCGGACCTGTGACATGATCTCTCAGAGTACGTGCAACACTCACCCTCAGATCAGCAGGTCCTACAAAACAACCAGAAACATGTTCCAACCCAAGTATAGCTTCGACATTCTCCAGCCCTTCCTTGCTCTCAATCATTGGCAAGATCGCAATTTCTCCCCTCTGTGCACGCTGAACGTACGTCGCAACACCCATGCCGGGCGCTCCAAGCCCGTCAGGGTGAGCCAGAGGAGCATAGAAAGGTCCAAAACTCCTCCTGCCTCCTGGTGGGTATATCGCCCGATCTATAATAGCCTCCATCTCCGCCGCGTTGGACACCATCGGGATGATGATTCCAGCACAGCCGGAATCTAGTGCCCACTTGACCCATTCGACAGAATGTGAGGGAATGCGCACAATTGGGAACTTTGTACCTCGTGATGTCTGTACGTAGGCGTGGACCATTTGAGTGACGATGTCCATGGGCAGAGGGGCGTGTTTCATATCTATCATGACGAATTCTGCTGCTGTTTGCGCTGCGATTTGCGCAGCAGTGACTGATGGCATTGAGAGGACTGTGCCGATGAGCGGTCCATCTTGTGAGCGGATCTTGGCGACGAAGTTCTTTGATGTTGAGGAACTCATCGTAGCCACATCTGAATGTGTGCGGGTAGACCTGGATTGCACTGTTTTTTCCCTCGCTCGTTGGCGATCACGATAAATTCAGACAGCTCGAAGCACGAAGAGCGATTGTCTACACGTTATGGGACTGTACCTAACCTCGGCCTTCGTTCAGGACATCTCATTCCCCTCTTACCTTTCTCCGGACCGGGCGGTGCGATGGCGTCTTCCCCATTCAGAAGACCCAGCGGTATCTTTCATGAAGACAAGTCCATTGATCGCGAAGGCGTCACCCTCGGACCGTCTACAGCATGTCTGCTGCGATTCTGTGGGCTAGATCGGGGATTGGGCAACGGCACCTGTCCATTGTCGATTATAACAGGTACCTAAAGCGCGCGCAGAACGGGTCGCGGCAGTCCAGTAGTCTGCGAATACAGGGACAGTACGACAGCAAAGTCTAGACTCCCTTCTCAGACCCCAACAGTGTCAGTCATCAGGCTGCACACGAGGATATGCGTGAAGCTGTGTGAAATCCGCGAGAAGTGGTGGCGCGGGCTTGACGGACCGAACACGAGCTTCATTGCCCTTAAAGAGAAAAACACGAGGTATGCCAAGCTTCTGCTCCCTTCCGGCGGTCGAACTTGAGTCGTTGACACCACGACTGGATCATGGTCGAACAGCGTCCCGTCACAAGTGTACGCAGCACAACGAGCTCCGAAGACGGCGAGTCTTCTTCAAGGTCAAGTGGTACTGCCATGCAGCTCACATGCAGTGATCTACCTAACCCTAACGCAACTAGCGATTGACATTACTGAACGGCCCCCAGCATGCCTTTTCAGGAGAAATCTTAAGCTTCAAACCAGAAGCTAGCCTGATAGCCAGGCACTCGGTTTCGGCCTCTCGACTTCACACCTTTAACAGAGGGAAGCGTGCGGCTAACCTGCAGGAACTCGAATGTGTCAACGCATCGGTCGTGGTCCGATCACTCTTGTCTATTGCTAAGTGAGACCGGTCACCACATCGAGCAGGTCCTCGTGTACGCGACCTGCATTGAACAACGCGATTATGCGAGGCTCGACCTGCCAAGATGGGGCCCAAATTTAGCCACCAGACAGGGCTGCAGCCCACGGTTTCAGCTATTTCGTGTTCTGCCGTTTCTTTGAGATTGTCATTCAAGCAATAATGGCAGAACAATTCTGACACTATCGGCCTGCTACTCTCGACAACAATGGTACCTCCAGACCACGAGAATCAGGTCGCAAGCGGATGCAGTATGCTACGGAAGTCGCACTCACCAGTGCTGACTCTGCGGACTGCGTGGGTGCAACGCTTTACTAAAACTTCCGGCTTCTGTCCGACGGATTCAACTGGCCAGATCACCACGAAATGGACCCGTTCATCTGGGAGCCGCCCCGCTAGGGTGTGGCCCCAAATCCTTCCAAACTCAAACAAAGCTCCATCCGGTCCGTTGACCTGGGCCTAGAGCTGAAATTGATACTCAATTCGAGCAATCAGATGCTGCTGGCGCCGGCTCTATGCTTTCGCGCGACTCGACGGCCCTTGTTTAGGACAGTGACCAGCGCCGTTAATGCTGGCTCACAACCGTGACTCTTTGCTCGCTATCACGCCACTATACTCCATCATGTACCTTTGATCGCCAGGATGATTGGGACTGTACCCACCCAAGATCTTAGATATACACCATAGCATCCGGCCTGAACACAATTGTTTAGTCACTCAACTTTTCGCCCGAGAAGGATTTATAGACGTTGAATTTGGCGCATCCTTCTCGCCATGGCAGATTATCAACGTGTACCACCTGCAACCGCGATGGACTTCTCGAACACCATTCCGAATTTTCCGCAGAAGAACGGCACATATGATACACAGTATAGCTTGAACTCGTCGGGAAGCCCCTCATTTTCCAACCCAGGGCCACAAAGGACGGAATCATGGTTCTCAGTCAATTCGCTCTTCGGGCGGAGAGGCCAGCGAAAATCCTTCGCCATCTCGGATGCCCCGTACACACACAAGCTCACAGAGAAGCATCTGCAGCACACGCCGTCCCAGTCGAATACCGTACGGTTCTTTGACCGCAAGCGGCAGACTCGTCGTGTCTTTCTCGACTGTTTTTATATGTGGTTGATCACAGCCGCCATATGTGCTGCTCTTGCTGGAACTATTGCCGGATTCTCAAGTCTGAACACCGGACTGTAAGTTGACTCCCCAGCCAACTGTTATCGGTTATGGACTGGGTCGGACTGACATGTTATAGAACTTCTGGACAGAAGTATGCATATGTAAGTCATTCATGGCCGAAAGATCTCGCTTCTTCGCCCGAGGAAGAGGCTAGTACAGGCACCGATGGATTTGAGCAATTTCAAAAAGGCTCCTTGGTTCTCCCTTCAGGATCCTTCGTCAAAGCTGCTCGCTCGGTGCCTTCCCGTCACTACGATGTACTGATCAAATTTACAGAATGCCTTGGTCACGGGGTTCTCGATCCTTCTGGGTCTGGCTTTCGCCGCACAGTTCAAGCAGTATTGCGAGATGATGCGGTGGAGATTTCTTGCGTCATGCTATCGCACGATCGATGATTTCGAAGACATAATGAGCTGTGATAGCTGGCGGACCACCTTTCGCCTGATCTTCAAGGGTCGAAGTGTGAAGGCACAATGTCTTGCACTGATCTGGTTGATGATCTTCATTGCATTCAACGTCTTTATCGCGTTGATCGGTCTGACATATTCGATCGATGTGACTCCAGACTATGCGATGTTGTCTGCAGGTATTTGGTGCCATCGGTTGTTCTGAGCGTGGCTGATGTTCGACAGGCAATGTTTCCGTTCTCGACCTTTCGTACATCGCAAGTACACCGCAAGACGATCCATCAAATTACAATGTATTCTACCAGGAGGCTGCAGCAAACAATTGGGGTGCCGTTGGTCAAGCCTTTTCGTACTGGACAAACCAGACTATCGATGATGTGTGGGCTCCGTTGGATCCTGTTTCCTACACAAATGAGGCGCAAGATACATGGTGGTATCGCTTTATAGACCTCTCTCCAGATACGACTTCCGGCAACAACGTTGTCTCACCACGCACCGTGAATACGACAGCAACATGCGAAGAGCTCGAGATCCTTGTCGGCGGCTATGCCGGTTTCAACCGCGAGCCGGGCGATCCTGACCAGTTCCTGCTCGTTTGGAAGGATTCAAGCGGTGTCAATCAATCTTCCGTCATCAACAACGTCGCCACCGGAGTAACAACGTGGATGACTAACGAGACGTCCATCTCCAACAGCACATTCTTCCCCTCACCTTGCGGTGAGCGATGCGTCCAGATTCTCGCTCTGCAGTCAGCGAGTAACCAGACTGCAGACGAGAGCCCTGAAGAGCTAGCGCAGGAATACGTTCCCAGACCACGACTTTGGGCCTGTAACAATACACTGTCACAAGTCACTCACGACCCCTCGGAAGGCTTTACGAACGTCAGCAAAGTCGAGATACCCAACACACAAGCCCAAATTCTTGCAGGTGCCATTGGACTCACCGGCATTACAACCAAGGACGACCCGCTTCAGTACGCCCGGATTGCGGGCGACAACGGCTTCAACCCCTCGGGCGATTACAATGCCACAGACATCGCAAAGTTGATCATGATTTATACCGCCAACACGATCAGCGCGATGGACGGCCGTGGGGCTCCACGACAGAACATCACCGGAGATGCATCGCCAGGACCTGCGCAGATTGTTAATGTCAAGTGGCCGTACGCAGGTGCCATCCTGGCAGGTGTCCCAGTCATTCAGTTCCTGATGCTACTCGGTGTAGTTGCCTTCAGCTCCAAAGCGATTATTCTCGACCCTTCATATCTCACGGCGGCCCATCTCCTTCACCCGGTCATGAACAAGCTTGGAGATAGGGGCATGCTCCTCGATGTGGACGAAATGGCGGAAGAGTTCGGGCCAGACTACAAGATCGCCTACGCTGTGCGACCCAATCCTGAGGATCCAGGTCATCATGATCAAGACTTTGTACGTGATCTAGGCCTGGTCCGCGAGGACGAGGGCTTTGGATATATCCGAGGTAATCAGCCTACTGGCAGGTACGACTGAGCGATATGAATGCACGACTTTTGGAAGAGCGCAGTTGTACATTAGCGATCCGAGCAATTGAGCGATTTATCTAGATCCTAAGATATAAAAATACAGGGTTTCTGACACAAATGAATGCCCAGCACGCCACTTCAACCGATAGCATTCCAGCGCTACCAATTCGACAGAATCCCATCTCCTATACATGGAGTCTCGATCTGTCATTGCGGTCGCAAGCTCTGCACTCGCCTTTTATAGTAATATACATGCGGCTACCTCTGCGCGCTATGCACGATCATCCGTGAACGGCCTATGCTCATACCTCAGATGGGTGTAGTCCGGCGTCGACGAACCGATTGACGAAGCTGGAGAGATGCGAATCAGTCTCGTGGCAAGACAACAAGGACGCAACGTAACTACCGAATTTGGGGCGCGTCCGGTCCGTTTCTCGAGCTCTTCGAGATCCTCGCGCTTGAACCTCGGCCGAATTCAGCGGTACTATATGGGTTTTGTCAGGACCACGAAATATTCAATGGTATACTCACACTGAGCTGACTTACACAGATCTATGACGAGGGTGTCAGTATCCAATTTCGGAGTGCATCGCAAGATCTCTCTGGTGCTAAGGTTCGCATAGACCCCAATGTTGACTCTGCTGTAAGTCGGTGCCATCATATCCTCCTTGACCCAAAAGGTTGAATAGACTGTGACCCGCTTCTCTTGGCTGTACAATTGCAATGTCTTCGCTTCGATTTCCGCCGGATCGATGCTGTACTCTCCTACATTCCAGCTTACTGAGAAACCCTTGTCGTAGATGTGCCAGAAGGCTGATTGAAGGGGCATGTCCAGATGATCCTTCTCCAGGTTTACGATGAGATCTGTTGCCAAATTCAACATGGCGAGCTGTGGAAAGACTTGGCAGAGTCCAGGAAATTGCCATTTGGACCGTACTGGCACAGTGAGATGCTGGCAGAAGCGCCGCAGTAGTAGAGGCAGAATCTGGTAGTCAATCGACACATCCCAACAGTACGATGCGGGGAGGTATCGGAGTTCTCTCGCAGGCTTCAGGTATAGCTCAGACACCGCATAGTAGATATAGAGACCTTCCCGACGAATGCTCTTACATGTCATAAGGATGTTGCGATGGTCAGTGACGTGCGAAGGACGACTGGCCCTGTTAGCGGATGCCGCAAATGACACACCATTTTCTGGGACCACAAAGCAAGAACTCACCTGGGTTCCGCTGGTCGCGACTGCGTAACAGGACTCTTTTCGTATGTGATGATCGAGTTGTTGAAGATGTGGTTGTACGTCATCAATCGAATCTCTTGCGGAAGGTCGAGAAAGCGATGGAAGCCTCTATACTTGCGCAGCGAATACGTCCGGAAAAGCGCTCGTGTGCTAGGCGCCATGTTGCCCAATAAAATGCGGTCCAGACAAGTGTATGAGAATGATTTCCACGTCCAGGTGCCTCGGACGAACTCCAGATCGCAATTCTGATCAGCTCACACGGCGAACGAGAGTAGGATGGGCACGATAGAATCTTACTTATACCATGCAAAGCCCTTGATGAGTGGGTGTAGACCGCATCACGGCGGTAGAAGCGCACTGCCGACCTACATGGACTGACTGTCCAGATGTCACGGCATTGGAAATGAGCAAACTGGTCATGATGGCGATGCTAGCCTCATTGCGATTTGATTGTCGTACATGATTGGAGTCCATTTCGCGTTCTGAGGCAACAAGTCTCGGACCGGTGAAATATGAAGCATCAGCGAGCACGACCGATAGGAAAGTCGTCGCCAATGTCTCGGCCTTGGCAAGCCATCAACCCGTCGGCTTGGGGTGCATACCACGACATCGCCTTCCACTTGACCATGTGAGGAGCATACTGTGGATTTTGTCATGATATAACATAAGATCTGTACAAGTTCGCTATCCTGACACAATACCCAAAAGACAATCATTTCATCGTCAGTATCCAACCCTACCACCACCCAAACACTCAGTCAAACACCTCTCCCTCCAAACCCTCCTGCCCATCCCTCAACTCCCTCTCCGCCTCATCGCCCACAACACGCTCATACTCCTCCAGCCCCTTCTGCACATGCACCTTGAACCCAATAACGTCCTCCAACATCTTCTCCACATCAGCATGCAGCTGCTCTCTGATCTGGCCAGCCTCATCCTGCATCTTCTCCCACGCCAGCGTCGCTTCTAGCTCCTTCTGCTCCATTTCAATCGCTCCCTTGCTCAGATTCTCACGATTTCGTGCCAGCTCGGCCTCGAGCCGCTCAATCGCAGATGTCTGCTGCGTGTGCGTTGTGTTGCCAGTCTCCTTGAGAGAGTTGTAGTTGTTGGAGACCTCACGAATCTTGTGGTTGAGGTCGTCGATCTCAGAGTTCTTCTCCGCGAGTGCATCTACTACGCGTTCGAGCACGTCTTTGGCGTTGAGGTCGGCGTCCGCGGCGTTCTTGCGGCGCTCGTTGATCTCCTTGCGGAGGGCGACGAAGGTTGATTTCACTGTTCCGCGTAGATCGAGGTTGAGGAGATGTGCTGGCGAGTAGCCGGTTGTGGCGTTGGACAACAGTCGATCTGTCTCTATCGGAGAGCCTTTGCGGCTTGTTCGATTGGCCTGAGACGTTGAGAAGGACGGCGTGGGAAGGTTCAGGGTAAGCTCGTAATCCTTGCCACGGGCGTTGGCGGCATTCGATGGAATGAGTGAGAGCTGATAGCCCAAAGAGTTGTATTTCTTGATGACCGTTTCGAGATCCTCGAGCTTCTGTGCAGTCTCGATCTCCTTAGCAAGCACGTTCTTTCGAACTTCGTCGAGTGTTGCAGATGCGTCGTCGTGACTCTTAATGAGACGTTCGCGGTCTTTGTTCATCCGATCGATGTCTTGAAGGCTAAGCCCTTGCTCGTCGACCTTTTCTTGCAGGTCATGCCGCTCGTCCTCGGCTGCCGCGAGCTCGGCTGCTGTAGTCTGGATCTCCTTTCGCAGAATCTCCATTCTCGACTCGTATTTGTCGATCTTCGCTTTGACGTTGGTGTTGTAGTCCTCGAACTTCTTCGTGTCGTCCTCGAGGATCTTGAAGACGTTGTCGAGTTTGGCAATATCTGGCATTGCTTTCTCGAGCTCTTCGACCTGTTCTTTCAGCGACTGATTCTCAGCCTCATACATCTTCAGCTCTTCAGCGTGCTTTGCATTGATGCGCTCGAAAGCCTCTGCCATGGCTTCCACGTGAGGCACAAGCGCGGCATCGGCACTCTCTTCTTCCTCCTCATTTCCGACACTCAGCCAGTCCCCGTACGCGCCAAAGAGAAACCTGAACACGATTCGATCGCCTGAAACGTCGACGCCGGCTTCTGCGCATGCGTCGTCGTACGCTCCTCGAGTGAAGTTCTCCAACATCTGTGCTAGCTGCATCAGCCAATGTAGTAGTCCGAGGAAGACAGGCCATGACGTCTGACTGCCCACAGCTCCAAGTTGGGATTTGGTGATCTGCCACGCGTAAGGATATCTCAGCTGCTTCAGAATTGGCGGGACTTCGGTGTCGACGCCTTTCTGAAACCTGTAGCCTGGGTCGAGACGTCGGTACAACCACTGGAAAATATTTGTGAACTCCTTCTGACTGGGTGATTTCAACGAGTCTTGACGTAACGAGCACTTCATCTCCATCTCAAAGTTGTTCTGAGTGAGGTAGTCCATCAGTTCCTGGCCTATGCGCGCCCTGTATGCGGGATCGCGCAGTGGTCGCTGATCTTTAGGGTTCGTCGCGGGAGGCGCAGACTGCATGAAGAATGATTGATGGCCGACCGGACCGTGGTTGGAAGGTCGCGAATATATGCTGCTTCGTCGCTGAACACTGGCCGAGGCGGGCGTCTGCGATCCAAATAGTTGTCCTGGCATCAGGCTCTGGCGACCTCCGGCCAGCACATTGGTGGTCGATCGCCTGACTGTTGATAAACCCATCTCAGCAAGATTTCCTCCAGATGAAGAACGTTTGAAATTTGGTTGGGGCGGTCGCTGTATGCTGTTGTACGCGGACGTCGATCGAGCATGTTGCGCTGTGTGCGGTGCTTTCATCGCCGACGCAGGTTGTGGTATTGAAGAATAGTTCTGTATGGCGCCCAGTGTTTCGCGCGGGCGGCGCACGCTGAACAAGCCTGTATTCTGAGACATGTTGATGGTCGCGTGTGCGCTCGAGGCGCCGTTATAATTTTGAGGTTATGCGACAGTATCAGTCGTCGGGATGTTGGTTTTGTACAGTTTGCGGTGTAGGGCGCAAAACGAGGTTGCGATACCATGATATCGTCGTTTTGTTTTGGTTACTTGATTGGGAATAGACCCCCAAAGCCCGCCCCGGCGCAACCGACTCGGAGCTTGGCGAGCTTCCTCACGTGACTTGCGCCGATACCGAGGTTCGTCGATCTGAGTATCATGCTCTCGAGGTGGCTGGACATCAAGATTGCCACGATTTACCCAGGTTATCATCAAAGAGTCCGCCCTGGCAGTGTCGTGGCCGTCGATACGGTTTGACACGATTATCTCGCAGAGTCCTCCCTGGAGGCAGGCAACATGGCGCCCCGTGAGGAACTGGTGACGTCGGCAGTCAACTTCCTCCGCGATGCGTCAGTGGCCTCATCACCAGTCGAGAAGCGCATTGAGTTCTTGAAGTCCAAGAACTTGACACAAGAGGAGATCGACGTCTCACTAGCACGCGCCGCCGAGGACCCGTCACAGCCACAGACAACACAGAACCCATACTATCCCCCACCCGCCCAATACAGTCGCGGTCCGCCGCAGGGCCAGTACCAGTATGCTCCCTACAACCCCTACGGTCAATTTCCTCCACAAGGCCCGCCGAACCACCCAGACGCGACTGGCGAGACTGGTTCATCATGGCCACAGTCGTCGGCGGCGCCAGCTACGGTCTCTGGATGCTGGCCGAACGCTACGTGAAACCACTGATCGCCCCTCCCACACCACCCCAACTCGAACAAGACAAGGCCGCCATCGACGAGCAGTTCAACAAAACCTTCGCTCTACTCGACACGCTATCCACAGATACCGAGACCCTGAAGAAAGCGGAAGAAGAACGCACACAGCGCCTCGACAGCGCTATCGCAGACATCGAGTCGATCATATCTGAACTCAAGACCGCAAATACCAAGCGTGAAGACGATGCACGACGGATGGAATCGGAGATCAAGAACATGAAAGACAGCTTGCCGCGGTCGATCGACAACGTACGGGACGCCAGCGACCGCCAATTGAAAGAGCTGAGCGGCGAGCTAGCCAGCCTGAAGCAGCTGATGAGCAATCGTATAGGCGGTCAAGGGCCTGGCGGCATGGCTGGTATCCCTAAGACTCAGCCCGCGAACATCTCGAGCATTACTTCGAGCAGCGGAGCAGGAGCGGGAACGCCTACCGCAGAGACAGCGCCTGGAAGCAGCACCAACGTGACAGGAGTGAATGCTCCCGGAAAGGCGCCCAGCTTTGCTATGCCTACAGCGCCCTCCTCGTCCACAAATCCCACCCCGCAACAGACGCAACAACCCCAAAGGCCCGCCTCATCCACTTCATTCTCCTCGTCCGGCAAGGCAGCAATCCCAGCCTGGCAAATGGCTGCCCAAAACAAGCAAAACGCGAACCAGAACTTCAACATTGCTCCCACGCCAGGCGCACCCAATCCACCACAGGGCCCGCCCCAAGACGGTGCAGACGCCGTTGCGGCATTGACCTCCACCTAGAGCCCGGCCTACAAGAAACCTGAGAAGCGACTGCAGAGGACTTTCCATAGGGAATCTATTGGCGTGCCTAGTGCAGCATTAGCTATCAGAGGCCTTCTCGACACAGGGATAAGGTTAGTAAATGAGGAAGAAGAATTGTGTACCGTACATCATGGTAGTGACGTGGTCAGCTTAGAACAGCATGAAGTACATGGCCAGGGAATGCTGCAGAGGCCGCCTCAGGGGACAACATCAGCGGACGATGACAGAATCACTTCAACGGATCTTCAGGAGCGCGTGGAGGAAGCGGCAGACGGGCTGCTCCAGACGGGGCGGGCACCGGAGCGAGAGGTGGTCGAAGAGGAGGAATCGTCAATGGCCAACGACGCGAATGTTTTCGGGCTGTTAGAGATTCTCCCTGGACTGCTTATGAATATTTTCATGGCATGGCATAAACAGCACAGTAACTTCGTGTGCTCGATCGTGGGAGGAAGTTTTTCTCCACCATGCATTTTGTCGACTACAGTAGCTAAGTGGCCTTGAGGGCCTCCCCAAGACCTTTGAGTACTGCCACACGTTTCGGTGCCATTGCCCTAGGTCCGTGATAACGATGCTATCGTGCTGTTTTTCTACCACATGAATGTAACGCCTGTAACAGAATGCTTATGACTTCACCCATCAGACCTGGTGTCTGAGACCCTACCCTTCTGCTGGTCTTGTCCCATCGTACCACCGTTCGTTGGGTGTCCCTTGCCTTCTCAGGCATTCCCACCTTTTAGACCAGGTGATCGTGATGCCAGTGTCCGCAGAAAATCCAGCACATTGCCGCCTGCAGTCATGATTCCCCTAAGGGCTTCGAATGGCCATCAGCGGAAGCTTGATCGTTCGGCGTCTGCACGATTGATTCTTCCGGACTGTCTACCTCACTGGTGAGGCTCGCAACATCGCCAGCGTCGCCAACGTCGTCGATCAATGTAGGTGCTCCTGCCTCCGCAGAGTCCTCCCCATGGGAAGGCTTCGATGGTGACCTAGAATGACTTCCATCTCCCCGAAGCTTGACTCGAGTTTTCGATCGTGATCTAGACCGACTCATCTCGCCTTGAAGCTCTGCTTGACTCTGCCACATTTTGTGATAAGCCCCGCTTCGGTTTTTGATCAATTGAGCATGAGTGCCAGCTTCAATAATCTTTCCTCCTTCAATCACCAGAATCTGATCAGCCTTGAGGATAGTTGACAAGCGGTGAGCTATCACGAACGTGCTTCGGTCTTTGCAAACCCTGTCCAGGCTCGTCTGAATCTGCCCCTCGGTGATACTATCAACGCTGCTTGTAGCCTCGTCCAGCAGAAGAATGTTCGGCTTCTTGAGCATTGCTCGTGCAATGGCAAGTCTCTGCTTTTCGCCTCCAGACAGCTGACAGCCGCGCTCGCCAACTTGACTCTGATAGCCCTTTGCAAAGCTCAAAATCTTGTCATGCAGGGCCACAGCTTTGCAAGCTTCTTCCACTTCCGCTTCCGATATGGAAGGGTCGCCATATCTCACATTCTCCAGGACTGTTGTATGAAACATGCTGATCTCTTGAGGCACTACTGCAATATGCTTGCGGAGGCTGTCGAGCTGCAGATTGCGAACATCTTGGCCATCAATGAGCACTCTGCCTTTCTCTGGGTCATAGAAGCGCATCAGAAGCTTGAGGATGGTCGATTTTCCACCTCCAGTTTCGCCGACGAAAGCAGTCATGGTTTTTGGATTGCTTTGGAAATTGATGCCGTCGGCTGCTGTTTTCTTTCCATCGTAGGTAAAGAAGACATTCTCGAATTCGACTTGCCCGCCCAAGTAATTGAACGGCTGCGCATCTTCCGCTTCGACAATCGTCGGTCGCTTTTCGAGCAAGACTAGGAGCTTCTCGGCGTCAATCAGCTTGTCGGCGATTTCTGTGATTTCCGCAACAATGTACATGACAGGGCTTGTGACCATGCCCCAGTACCCAGTAAGTGCCGCGAAGTAGCCAGCACCGAGCTCTCCCTGGTAGATTGCAAGGCCGGCCAGAGCCATTGCCAAAAGGTAAGCGAGCGTGAGGAGGATGAAGCGCTCGGCAGTCGTTCGATAGTAGAAATAGACAACCTTGTTTCTGCCCTCAACGACCATGGTACGTTTCGAGGAGAAAGTCTCCTTCTCGTACGGAATACGGCTGAACTGCGCTGCTGTGTACCAGTTCTGAGTCGAATCGACCATCTGATGGTAAGAGTCGTACCACGAATCTCTCCATTTACGCGTGAGTGTGACGCGTGTTCTCAGTGACTTGAGGCTGATATAGACCATCAGGACCGCAAGCGTCATTACCAGCCAACCGAGGTACGCTCCAAAGAACTTCCAGATCATAATGAAGCCAGTGACAAGGTCAATTAACATGGGAGTGATTTGGAAGCAAGCGCCATAAAAGAGATCGATGACGGACTGTGCCTGAGACATTGCTTGCCAGATTTCTGACGATGTTTTCGAGTCTTGAAAGTCCGCAGACAGATCCATGACATGATTGTACGCCGCTCGACACAGATTGAGCTTTTGATAGTTGCTGGTCAACAAGTGCAGATACTCTGCGAGGAGTCCTATGCCGACCCTAGAGTCCAGGAAATACAAGACAAAGTAACCTAATATCGGTAACCAGGGTGCGTTCTGCTTGACGAGTGTGTCGATGATCCAGGCCAGAGCTAGGGGCATGAGCACTGCGACCACGCGGAGACAGATCATGCACAACAGCATGCCAATACAGTAGAGCTTTTGTGCGCGACTCGCCGGCCATATGATGGGTAGGTACACTGAGAATGACCGCAGATACTCTGATACTGGACGGTTGTGCAGCTCTTCTCGTGCTCTCTTTTCCTCAGGCGATTCTCGGCCCGAGCCACTCTCCTCCTCTTCTTCATCCCCCTCTGCGTCCTTGTCGGCTTCGGTATCATTCGTAGCTAGTAATGGTTGAGTCTCCTCATCTGTGCCGGCCGCGGCCTTTCCTTTGGCCAGTATCTGCAAGATTGCCCAAACGAGAACAAGGACTAGACAAAGACCAACGTGGACGGCCCGAAGTACTGTTGCGAGTAGTTCGATCGAAGGAAGAGGCTGATCTGACGAAAGGGAGAGACTGACTAGAGGAGGCGGAGAGACCGCTGCGAGGGAGAGCGAAGACTGATCTGACGAGACGCGAAGACTGAGCTGAGCTCCCAGGAAGCCAAAGCTGACCGGACTGCGAGACGCGTTCTTCGCCAGTCGAACTGGAGCGATGAGTCGGCTGGCGCAAGTGAGGATCCAGACGCCATATTCCGGATAGCTGACAACACCTGGATGTTCAGTGTGTACAAGCAGCACTATCAGCCATAGTAGAAGCTGAACAAGACTGCCGAAAAGGCCATCATCAGTCTCTCGGACCATGAATACCGTGTCTCGTCGACTGACTACGATGGCGTCGACGATAGAGACCACCAGGCATGTTGCGACAGTCACACATGTTGTCGATAACAAGAACCTCTGCGATCTGATCCCCAAGCCTTTCCGGTCTTTTGGGCGCCGTATGAGGGCAACGATGGATGTGATGAGATAGTACAGGAGAATGAAGCTGTTCAACGTGCTTTCGCTGTATGCGTACATCGTGACAATACTTATGGTCACTTGAGCGTTTGCTCACCTGAGCTTCTGGTAATCGTCAGTTGACTTTCAGAGGGCCGTTACTTCAGGCTCCCCTGGACCGCGATTCAACTTTCGGCAAACCGAATCAAAGCAAAAGCAGCTCAGGCAGGGCCCTGAACGCTTCTCCGATACTTGCGAAGACGTGCAAGCTTGTCGTTGATTAAGTACGGGACGATTGAAGTTGGGGCTCGGATGCGGCTATGCGCCTGCCATAGTGAGTAAGTGATAGTTGTGACTGCCCAAAGTTCGGTGGCAACAACTAAATGGCTACACCAATGTTGGAAGGCGCCACCAAGCTGTAAGAATTGCCTGACTCTGCCTTGTCAGTATGCTCTTGCGAATTGGCTTAGTTGTCCATAAGGCGTCCTCTGGAGGTGCTGACCGGTCTGCTGGGTTACTTGACGCAATTGCCAGGCAGCGGGCTTGGCGTTGTCTAGAAGTCATCCTCTCCTGCGCCCTACGGCGACCAGGCCATATGAAGCGTTGGGTGGATGATCCACACCGCAAAAGTCCTTTGTTGCCTGATTATCCCAGAATAATTTGTTGTCCTCATGATCCAATCCATTCTTAAAGGAGACCAAACAAGCGATTGATGCGCCTCCGTGGAGTATCTCCAGGTAGTGATTGCGCATCAGAGGCCACTAGGGTGGGCGTGCTCGGTCAATTGACTTGCCTTCCTCAGTTCTCAAGTGCCGATTCGACGCAGCATTCGCCATGAAGGCAGAGATCTTCCTCACTAGACCGAACAGCTCTCGAAAGCTTTCTGTGACATCAAACAACCTCGCTGTACGACAGAACAGCAATCTCATTTGGTCCGATAGAGTTGCGCAAAGCAAACATCAGACGTGGCGAGCGTTTGGGCCGTACGTCCAGGCACACGTGCATCGAACTGCTCTCCAAGACAATCTCATCGCCGGCCAAGGTCGACACTGCGAACGAGTGGCAGTCTTTCGGTGCCCGGGTGCGTTGCTTCTTGCGAATGAGTGAAGAATGGCTGCACTGCTACTTGAAGGACCTGCCGAAACAGGCCTCCAATGACAACATCCTGGAGGTCTTTGCCAGTCTGCTTGAAGTCAGGATAGGCATTCAACTCAAGGAGCCAGACATTCAGGTTGCTGTCGACCAGAAAGTCCACGCCGAAGACCTCGAAAGCATTGGGCAGTGTCTGAAAGTGGACCATCTGCTCCCGTGCTGCAGCCTCGAATACTTCACCAGTGATGGCGCAGATATCTGCAAAGATCTTTTCTTGCCAATTATCAGTCCGCTCGGTGTGCAGTTCCCAGAATCGATGCACCGAATCATCTTTCGTCGATTCATGCTGGAAGCACGTGTTCGTGAGGTGCCCTGCGAGCTCGAGTGATTGTGTGTCTGCTGATGGTGGCACGTATGGTGTTGAGGCAAACAGGGCAAGCATCTCCTTGTAGACATAGATCCGGAGTGCGCCCACTGCAACAACATAGGTGCGAATGTGGAACTTCCGTTGGCCATAGCTTCGGAAGATGAGAGGATCCTGGATGTATGGCTGGGCAATGAAATGTCGCAGCTGAGACGTCATTGCACCACCAGGACCATCCGTTGTGTCACCATCTGAAGTGAACGGCTGATTGGCCTTTTCTACAGCCTCATCTTCATCTTCATCTTCATCTGGCTCGTCTTCTTCCCATCCTTCGAAGATCTCTTGCAACTGCTGCAGACTGCAGAACAAGCGAATACCGTTACCGCCATCGCTCATGCCTGGCTTCAGTATCCACCACTCGTGGCTCTCGACGGACGGGTTGTCGGCATTACGAGCCATGCTTTCGTTGAGATCCCATGCATCAACGAGTGCTTCGTCAAGAAATTCTGCGTAGTCAAGCTCGAAATGTGTGCACGCTTTGAAGGAGGAAGCAAGCAAACTGGCTGGATGTTTGACCAGCCACGTAGAGACCGTATTCGACAGATAGTGCTTTCGGATGAGTGCTTTGCGAATCGCATAAGCACAGACTAATGAAGTGGAAGGATTCGCGAGTGCGTGCTCGAAATCGATATCTTCATACGCTCTGATCTGAAGTACAGGGCTTGTTGGCGTCGCCAGGAACGAAAGAGAAGTCATTCGTTCAGTCTGCAGATTGGCAATTTGCTGCAATGCAGACTCAATCAGCGGTTGGACATAGCTGTCCGGGTAGTCTATGACGGCTGATAGCGTCCGTTGAGCTCGGTGCACGCTGTCATCCATCATGTCGACGGAAGAGTTCCTGTCATCAAGGCATCAGACACCGCCTTGATCCACCGTAGAAAAGACATATGTCCTATACACTTACTCACAGCTTGATTTCGCCTTTGTACTGAGGAAGTGGCCAGAAATTTGCTCTCAAAGGTGTGACACTGTCGACATCAGTAAGATCCACCTCCACAACTCTGCTGACGATACATACCTGACATTACCCTGGCTAACCTCGTAGCCATCGCCAGAACCAGCGTTCTCTACAGAAATTTTGACGTCCTGAAAGTGTGGTGCCCACTTGAATGTGCGATGCTTAGGGCTATTCTTGGCAGTTGCGTTCGAGTCACCGTTGGTGTGCTCATTTTCGCGAATTTTGCGTTCTTCAGCATTGGCAGCCGCGTCTGACTCGCCGGCAGGGACTTCTCTGTATGATGAACCACTGCTCCATTTGTTCTGGATCATCTCTGTGTAGAGAATTTTGTTGTTGGATACTCCTTTCCGGACTGGTACATTGATGCTGTATACGTGGACATCCTCAGCCCACTCGCGGGCAAACTTCTCGACCAAACGAACGCTGAGCTTTGCCGCCTCCGTGATGATGTCAATGTCGTGGTCTTGCGAGTCGAATGCAAAGGACAAGGCGATACTTCTGTACCCGTTCACTGCGCCTTCCAGGGCGGCACCTAGCGTACCGCTGGACAACGCAAACAACGCCGTAGTGTTTCGGCCATAGTTTGGTCCACTGACAACTAGATCGATAGGTCCACGATCACGAAAGACATGATGAAGACCGAGTTGCGTGCAGCTGGCAGGTGTCCCATCTACCAAGACCCATTCGTCTTGTCCGTCGTTGAAGGCTGATCTGACAGAGTCCCGTCGTCCTTGAGCAGGGTGCCAGGTCGATAGTACTTTGGCGTCAGAGTCTGGCCCACCATATGCGCCTTGCCGATCCATGAACGTTGGCCGTCCGGCAGAATGACTGAACATTGATGGCCCGAAGCTTGTAATCCTAAAACCAGAGATTGTACATATGGCGAGGATTGGTATGAAGGTGGCCCGTCATCATTAGTGACTAATATGTGCATGTTGCCGAATGAACGAGTGGGTCTATTTCTATGTCTAATCTTGTGAAATAGAAAGAATGACCAAAATGAAGAAAGCTACCAAGAATGTTGAAGTGACGAGGATATAATTGATCGGAGACAGCTGGAGATCGGCGTCAAGGAATTTCGGCTATGTCATCCGGCGTGGCGAGTATCCCATATTTGGAGTTCAGATGCGCTTCATTGACAACGAAGTCCTACAGCGTACTAGTTAAGCGTTGCACCGGTCGTGCCGAACATGGCCGGCCATGATGAAGTGTCACGGCCAAGGTCTCCAGATCGCGAGCGGGACCGCAAACGACAACGAAGACACTCGCCGGACTCGCATCGAGCAGATATTGTGAAAGCACTACCATTCGGAGCACGCACTTTGAACAAACACGATCTCGAAGCCCATAGACCGATGTTCACGTTGTATCTGGACATACAGAAACACAAGGATATCGATGAGCTAGATGAGCGCGAGATCAAAGGCCGGTGGAAGAGCTTCATTCACAAATGGTATGTAGTCACCTTCCATGTACCGCCTCTTTTATTGCCGGAGACCACACTGAGTTATGCATGCTGACATCGTAGGAATCGTGGAGAACTAGCTGAGGGCTGGTACGATCCACAGACTCTCACGAAGGCCGTCACTTCTGCTGCTTCTACACAACGGCGGTCGCCGTCTTCGGTTCAGCCCTACAACAGCCACAGACCAGGCAACGACGAGGAGGACGAGGACGATGACTATGGCCCTGACTTGCCTGCTGACCTTGTTGCATCTAAGAAGAGCGCGAATGGTCAGCTTGGACAGCTGACAACTGGGCCCTCGATACCACGTCCTTCTGATCTTGTCGCCCTGCGCGAGGAAGCTGCCGAGTCGGCCGCCGCCTCTCGGCAAGCCTCTCGCGATGCCTTCAGAAGTGACCGCAAGACCGAACGCAAGCTCCAGACTCAGCGCCTCGATGAACTTGTTCCTCGAGCCGAATCCGGCACGCGCGAAAGACAGCTCGAGAAGCGCAAAGAGGCCGCAGCCTCGAATCGTTCATTCGCTCAGGCCGCACACGAGGCAGGAGATGCAGACCTGCCAGACGACGATGTCATGGGCGACGCAGATAGTCTGGGGCAGCTGAAGAAAATGAAGCGAGAGAATGAGAGAAAGAAAAATGAGAGGGAGTTGAGGAGGGAGGAGATGGCGAGGGCAAGGAGGGCTGAGCGGGAAGAGAAATTGGATGTTCTTAGAAAGAAAGAGGCGAAGACCATGGAGGGTTTGAGAGCGTTGGCACAGGCGAGATTCGGCGGTGGTGCTGGAGGAGTAGGTGATGAAGACGGAGGGAAGCAGGCGCCCTAAGCTGGCTTCAGATCACATAATTAAATGCAACAAGATGATATCAGGCAGTGAAACTGGTCGAGCGCCGATCAACCAATGACGTAGCTGCTCTCATTCCCAACGCGCCGCTTGCACATGCTACCGCGCTCTTTCCTCCGCAACATTTTCTGCTATGCCAGTAGTAGCGACCTTGATTCCACGGGCGCACGCTCTGCTCATGATGTCTTTGAGGACCCTCTCGCATCCACAAGCGCCTTGAGGCGCAAAACACATCATGATGGACGATCCTGTAGAGCCCCAACCAGGCCTCGTTCGCCGGCTACGAAATCTTGTGCTTTCAGCAGTACAGCCCCTTCTCGACTTCATCTCGTCACCCACCTTCTTGCGTGTCTCGATCTCTGCAGTTCTCTTCTTCCTCGTCTCTTCTCTGCTCTTCGCCATATCGACCACTGCATTCCTCATATTCTACTGGAACTACATACCACCAATTAGTCTTTCCATACCTCTATACTTCCAGTATGGCGTACACGCGGCAGGCAATGTGCCCTACGCGATCGCAGATGTTCCGTCAGGTACACTGATAAGTCAGCAAGCATATGCAGTCACCGTCGATCTGTCTATACCTCGTACACCTACGAACCTCGATGGAGGCGTGTTCATGGTCGATGTCCGGCTTCTAGGAGCATTTAGTGCTCTAGCTCAACCGCCCGAGACGCTGAAGCAGCTTCTGGGAAACATGACAACTCTGGGAGGCGAGGGCCACACAGTACTACAGCACTCTCGGAGACCGAGCATGCTACGGTATCGCAGTCGATCACTTAGCTTCGCAAGAGATGCAGTCTTTGCGCCATTATATCTGCTTGGCTTCAAGGACCTTGATAGCGACAATGTCAAAGTCAAACTGTGGGAAGCGGCGGTATTCAATCGAGGATCCAGCAACGTACCCATCGCTCTACGCGTCGAGATCGCACCAAGTGGTGGTAGCACTGGGATAGCAGACTCTGGTGCGCTCCTCAGTGTGGGCGGTGTCACTATGCCTGCGTCGATAGATGCGCCTCTTGCACGAAGACAGGTGCAGATCTACAGCGCCAGCATCACCTTTGCTGCCCAATTCAGTGGCCTACGATATATCATCTACCACTATCGCGTTCTCAGCTTCGTCATCTTCAGCCTGGCATTCTATACTACGAGTATTATCAGTATGGGTCTGGTCTGGGCATTATACGGATCGTCCATTATGTCGGGCTCAGAAGATCTTCTCATCAAGCATGAGAACCAAGGCCAGCTAGGAACGAAAATCAAGATTGAGGATGACCAGGAAGCCCAGCCAAATCTTGGGATGGAAGCCGCTCCAGGTTCAGACATCAAGACAGACGCAAACGAAGACTGGCCTGCACAATTTGCTGGCAATGGGAGAGGTCGCTCAGCTACACCCAACGAGGGTGGCCTTGAGGAAGGTGGAGGCCCAGCAGACCAGGCAGAGGAACTTGCGCAAGGCGAGACAGCAGACGACGAGGATGATGATGACATCGGACCAGAAGTCGGACGTGGTACGAGTAGAGACCGTGGTCAAGCCACAAGTAGTGGGCGCTTCTCAGACTCTGGCATAGGAACGATGAGCGAAAGTGCAGCGAGGGGCAGCCGGGCTTCAGGCTCTGGCCTGGTGAGGCGGAGAAGTGGCAGAGGCTGACGATATGGCGACGTTAAGGTCGGCAGACAGCGTCGACTGCTCCATCAACATGATAAAACATGCCGTAGTCTCCCCCTTCAATCAAGGGAATAGCAACTCATATCGTGCCCTCCTGATCGGGCAATTAAGCCGAGGCCAGCCCCGGATCTGAGACGAACACGCGGTCGGCACGTGGATGTGCAGGCTACACTTTAACCTCCCTCTCCTCGCCCGTCTGTTCTCACGGATCGTCAAGATTGCATCCTTCGGGACGCTCACCTGTCAGAGTGATGACTAGTCTGCTCGACGCGTTATAAGCCGCCATGTATAACGTCTTTCGGATCCTCGCCGACTTATGTCATGCCGCCTCGAAATGTATACTAATATGGGCGATTCACTGGAATCATAGCGCCGAAGGCATGTGTAGCTCCCCTTGATGAGACATGAAGCCCACATACTGACTGAGTGCCTGCAGGTGTTTCCCTCCTCACCCAGCTCCTCTACGTCCTCGTCTTCTTTGCCCGATACCTCGACCTCTTCTGGGTTAGTCCCGCGGTCTCAATATGGAACTTCTTCTTCAAGAACTTCTACATTTGGACCTCGTTGTACATCATCTACATCATGCTGCGCGTCTTTGCGCGCACGCGTGAGCGAGAGAAGGCTTGGAAACTTGGCGCATACGCTCTGCTTGGATCGCTCGTTGCTACACCGGTCGTGGGGCTGATATTGGATAAGCACAGCATCTTTCGACCAACGGAGTTTCTGTGGGCGTTCAGCTTGATTCTAGAGTCTGTGTGCGTGCTGCCGCAGCTGTTGCTGTTGAGACAGACGACGGTGCCGACGGTAATCGATTCGGGGTATCTGATTGCGCTGGGGAGTTATCGGTTGCTGTATTTGGTGAATTGGATATGGAGGATGTTTACGAAGAATAAGCCAGAGGCGATACCTGTCATTTTTGGGATCTTGCAGACGGCGCTGTACCTGGACTTTGCGTGGGTATATTGGACGAGGCAGCGGGTCAAGTTGAGGGGAGGTGGAGTGGTGGACTCGGATGATCTGAGGAAGGGCTTCTTGGTGCATAGGGCGTTGGATAGGACGGCGGGTCAGAGAGATTCGGTGGAGGAGGATCCGGAGGCGCAGACTGAGCCTGGAGATGGCCCGAGAGCGGCAAACAATCGATGGGGAGCGAGGGGAGTCAGCATATCCGCGGACGACACGTTGCACGATCATCACAAGACGAAGAAGCCAACAGGGACGGGGACCGCGGCCGAGTCGGCGGGTATGCTGGCAGAGGAGGATGAGGATATTTTCTTCGACGACAATGACGACGATGCACCGCAGTTGGACGGACCAGGGAGCAAGGTCTTGAATAGTGACGCTGAATGGCGAGACGAAAGCGATGTTCACAACTGATCTGGTTGCGCTGGAGATGGACGTCAATTGGCTGGACCCCGTCCTTTCTGACGCATTCGAAGGTCGAAGGAAGCATCTGAAACGGTATTGTCCTGTCACGAATAGCGGCTCTTGGCCAGTATGCACATCACTTTCAATCATCAGGCCTCGTCTTGCTACTGCATCTCAGACAATTTAGCTCGGCGGTGCGAGACATAACACGACAAGGTCTGGCCCTTTCACGACTGCTGGCATGAACAGATTCTCCTTGCGGGAGGCCATCACACCATCACGGTCAACCGATGACACGGGCTATGAGCTGCTTCCAGACTTTCCTCAGGTCCCGGCTACTAGAACTGGGTCCTTAAGTGCAGATGTCATATCGAAGCAGCAGACATTCGTGTCCGCAGCGCCAGCTGGATCTATTTTCGTACTTTTGCCGCTTCGGCCGTGTCTTTTGTCGTCCTACAATTGTGCAGAACGAGTTCTATTTCGAGAGAGCGTCTACACAAGTGACGAGCACATTCGTGTCGTTGAAAGAAGATCGTTCAGAGAGCCCAATGCATGCATTGAGGCTCATACCAGCCCCATGCAGCATGGTGCGACAACAGCTGTGCCGCCGAAAAGTCAATCATAATTTGATACAGGCGCCAGACGAAGCGACCACTTCTCTGGGTGGTCGGGAGGCCTTTGTACGCGCTGCAGAAAAGCGGCTGCATGTTTGTTGCATGTCAGCGACTACTGAGGGCCAATGAGGCAACGCTTGCCCATGCAGGCGTCTCCAGCCTTGGCATCAAGGCCTCTTCATGAAACTAACAACCTCACTCAGCCCGACAACATACTGCGTTCGCCTCCTTCATCTCATTTCTTCTCCTCCTTTTGCTTGGATCTGTGCAGTTGCATTCTTGTTACTATTCTTGCTTCAACTATGCGGGAGGTCTCAAGGTAGCGGATCGGCTAGGCACTTGCCGCCAGATATTTTTGGACATCGCCTGCTTCCTGCATGGATGCCATGCAGCAATACTGGACACAGCTGGGAGTATCCAATCTTCTGTACCAGTGGGCGGCCTTCGACATCATCGAAATGACGCCGACCAGCCTCTTTTCGAGAACAGACAAGGCGATATTGGCGCGTCAACGTCAATGTTCCTTCTTTTAGAACATTGTCGAAGCGCTTTTGGCACGTTCGTCTTTGCGCACCAGTCGGCTGTGCATCAATGTGAGTCAAAAATAGCATTGAAGTCTGGTCACATCTCAAGCGCATCGCTGCATGTCCCTACCGGGCGTCTGGGTCGACGAACACATCGGCAAGTCAAGGCATTGTTACTATACTCAGTACTTCTGCCACGTGGTAAAAACAACAATCGGGTCCATACTGCATCATTGGATGTTGCCCTCGTGGGAACAGACAGCTGGCACGAGGCTTCCTCGAACAATGCCCCATCGCGCGGTTAATATGCACAGAACTACTGTTCGAAGATGCTATGGCCGAAAGCAAGACCTCTGCCGACCTAGAGCCATCATGATGAGTCGCCTGAAAGCAGTCCCAAGTGGAGCAACAATTGAGATAAGCTTCACCGGCCATCAGGGGGCATGAAGGAAGTAGCGTCATTGTTCTCAACAAGGCAGATTGCATACTATGTTCGTGGAGCAAGGCGTCCCACAAATACACGTCCATGCCAGCCGCACTTAACGACAGGCACGGGACCAACTTCACAGGCCGACACATCGATATTCGCGCATCAGCTTCGAAGCCTACAAACTTGTAGCATGTCTGACATCTTTGCGCCTTTTCCTTCCTGCTATAGCACCAGATCTTCATGGAAGGTGAAGAAGCCTGTCGCCACCTACAAGGTAGCGAAATCTCGCAGAGGCCCCAAAGCAAAGTCTTGGACAAGTGAGGAGGTAAGCATCGGCAGTCCAACCCGTTGATCTGTTCTGACCAAGAGAAGGAAACATACCTTGTCGAGGCTCGCTCACACAGAACCGCGTATCGACAAATTGCGGACCGTCTTCACAAGACTGAGCTGGCCTGTCGGCTACACTATCATCAGCTCGTCGTCGTTCGGCCGCAGCAGACTATCGACCAGCATTTCGCTAGATCTCAATCTGTGACCACCATCAGCTCGGCCTACTCACCAAGTGTCGGACAGGTGCCGTTTCCACGACGAACAGCATCGCCACCTTCGATCGAACATGTCACCTCTGATTTCAACAGTTGGCTCGACCAAGTGAGATACCAACGGAGTATCTCCGTGCCCATACCGCTACGGCAACGCTGCGCAACAACGCCACCACCACTTGACCTCACGAAGAAGGCTAAGGCTCCCCGGAGAGACGACTTGGTCGCTTTCATCACTCCCCCTACACCAACAACCTCACACCAATTTACTCCTCCTGTATCAAGCAGCAGTGCATCGAGTGCCTTTACGCTACCCCCCTTATCAGCTACGCTTTCGTCAACACCATCCACAGCCAGTCCGGCATGTCTAACGCCCAGTCCAACGCTTACTGATGGCAGTAGCTGGCAAAGCCATTCTTCTCGGTGGTCATCGGTGGATCTGACAAATTGCGGCGGTGCTACTAGCGCTTGGCTGATGCCGTCCCCAGCTGGTGTCAGCAACACTTCGACGTCAGTGGTTTCTAACAGCGATCGCTGCTCGGTAGATTCTCTTCTTAATCACGACCGGTAGTCTTGTTGTGGGGCACGAGATTGCATTACGACTCACGATACAACGTTTGGCGGGCATGGATACCGATCTAGTAATATTTCTGGCTCTAGGGCATTCAGCATATTAGGGCAGAGCGGAATCTGTACCTAGGTAGGGTTTTATGTATAACAGTACCCAGAAGACCTGTTTTCGTTAAGAGCGCCAGAATTGTTCGTTGAATGAAAAGCGTCGAAGGCAACTCCCCAGTACAGGGAACCACTACTTCATGACACCAAGCTTCGAGTCAACCTCAAGTTCTGTAAAGGCATCGATAAAGCATACATCGACAGGTGGCTTCCTTGTCGCCTTGCGTTGCTATTGCACCTGCCACCTACACATCATTAGGATTGACGACATCTTTCTATTCTACCAATCCCGTCGACCCTCGTGTCGCCTCGCATGGCTTGTGGTGCGTCACTGCTCCGATTGGCTAGGGCACGTTCTAGAAGCAATTTCGTGTGCGGGAGTGCCTGACCAAAGATCTCGTGAAACGTCCTTTTGCTACCAACAATGCCATTTCCGACGCGGAGATGAAATGCAGTTGACTTCAAGATGATAGAGCGGGCCTCAGCTTGTCGAAGGTTTCTGTCTTCCAGGTTTTGCTTTTGGAGAAGCACCGATAGTGGCAACTGGCAGGTAGTAAACTGATGCGATCAAGCGAGACCTTGGGTGCTGAGCCTCGGCTGCCTTTCCAATGCGCCCACCCACATGCAGACCCCCACCAAAGCCGTTGAGTACGAAGTCTGATAGGCGAAACCTATCAGCTTCGAAAACCTGGTTCTGTTCCTGGCAGCGATCTCCGACAAAACCTATGTTAGACTTGCTCGACTTGCAGAGCTTGTTTGTTACCAAGCTCTATGAGGAAGCTCCGTCGACCACGACTTTGAACGATGTGACGCTAGAAGGCGTGATCATGAGTACTTCACGTCACCAACAAGCATCCCGGCTGTAGCTTGATCGCAAAGCTTTACTGAACTCTTATCTGTCTTCGCGAGCATGTACGATTCGTTGCGAAAGGCCAGCGCAACCCTATCGCGTACCTCCGCGCACTCCGCTAAATGTCTACGACATTACGACGACCTCGTTCCTGCCAGGAAGAACCAATGGCGGTCCCAGGTACCATGCATTTCGCCACGATCCGCTGCGGAGATGGGCAACTCTGTACCTCGATGCTGATCGACGTCCCAATGATGTACTTCGTAAGTCGCGTGCCACTGACGGATATTCGCCCGAAGCTGCAGGTACATGCCGGAAAATCTGTGAGAGTCATGGAAGTCGCGAATGGTGGAAGCCATAAGAAAGCAGGTGCCCCAGGATGGAAGCAGCGTTCATGCTTGAGGAGCTATCTCTTCCGTATGAGATCGTTCCTGTGAGCTTCAGCTTACAACAGCGTTGCCCTCAGCTCAGGACAACCTTCACCTGAGCTCAAAACACCCTCCTCCTAAGCTCAGAGCACCTTTCCTCTGAGCTCAGAACATCCTTCCCTTCAACTCCACTTGATCTCTGTTGCGTTCTGCGCCTCAGGCAATCGACTACCTGCCTTTGAATTTTCCACAACCGCTTTGCTGCAACATCTCCAGTCATGCTGTTACGCGCATCATTGGCTGGCGCTCTGCTGGCCATCGCACCGCTGGCACAGGCTGCCTTCAACAAAGCGGCCATCAATGCATTCAACATCGAGCACCCACGTCGGTATGACCAGATCCGCCATCCAGCGATGCCAGAGCGATCGAATCTGGAGAAGAGAGACTCGAAATTCCTGAACAGTAACACACAGAAGTTTGTCGTCAACGGCACTGGTATCCCAGAGGTCGACTTCGACATCGGCGAGTCGTATGCCGGGCTTCTGCCAGTCTCGCAGGCCGCGAACGACTCAAGGCAGCTGTTTTTCTGGTTCTTCCCTACCACAAATCCAGATGCTGGAAACGAGGTGACCATTTGGTAAGCGGATGTCGGCTGTGAATTTGCAATTGCTTGTGCTAAGTGTGACAACAGGTTCAACGGTGGCCCTGGCTGCTCTTCGCTTAGTGGGCTGCTCACCGAGAATGGCCCGTTCTTGTGGCAGGAAGGGACCCTTGCGCCAACACCAAACACGTACAGCTGGTCGAACTTGTAAGTCGCGAGGAGAGACCCGTACCGCCAATAGGCAAGCTGATAACGACAGGACGAACATGCTATTCGTCGAGCAGCCGATCGGAGTCGGCTACACGCAGGGCACGCCCAACATCACGAACGAGGTCGAACTGGGACTCGAATTCATCGGCTTCTACCAAAATTTCGTGGATGCTTTTGCACTTGATGGCGTCACAACCTACATCACGGGTGAAAGCTATGCCGGCTACTATGTGCCATACGTCGCGGACGCCTTCATCACTGCCGCAGACGACAAGTACTACAAGCTCGGAGGCGTGGCAATCAACGACCCTATCATCGGTGATGGTACGATCCAGCAGCAGGTGGTCATCTATCCTTACATCGAGTACTGGAACAACCTCATGAACATTAACCAGAGCTACTTGGACGCCCTCCGATGGACACACGAGTATTGTAACTACTCCTCGTATCTCAACGAGTACTTCACCTTTCCACCACCGTCTGGCGCTTTCCCAGTGCTTCCAGATCCGTATGCGGACACGGACCCCAATAGCAACTACACTTGCGATATCTTCGACTACGCCTACTACGCAGCTCTGTAAGTTGCATTCCCATGGTCAAACTTGTATCAAGAAACAAACGTTACTTTGAAGATTGCCCGGGCATATGTCTCGGGATGACAGAGTAGTTGCCCTCGTTAACCTAGCCATCCTGCCTTCGAGCATACGCCCTTTTCCCGGAACAAGGCTAATCAGATCTCCAGGTTAGCCAATCCGTGCTTCAATATATACCACATCACCGACATGTGCCCACACCCATACAGTCAGCTCGGCATCGTCAACACAGGCGACTACAGCCCGCCCGGCGCCCAGGTGTATTTCAACCGCACAGACGTGCAGGACGCCATCAACGCGCCACATGTCGATTGGTACCAGTGTACGCCAGTGAACGTGTTCGGTGGGCCAAGCGACAACCAGTCGCTTAGCGATAGGTCGCTTGCGCCTGCTCAAAACGAGGTTCTACAGCGTGTAATTGAGTACACCAATAACACCATCATCGGTGTAGGCCGACTGGACTTCCTTCTGGCGCCCAATGGCACCTTGTTCGCCCTTCAGAATGCGACATGGAACGGAGCGCAGGGCTTCCAGTCGTACCCACAAGACAAGACTTTCTACACGCCATACCACGATGAGACCAACGGCGGCCGTCTCTCAGAGGCTGGCGTGGTTGGCCAATGGGGCGCCGAAAGAGGGCTGACCTACTATGAGGTGCAGCTGGCAGGTCACGAGCTACCTGGCTACTCAGCGGGCTCGGGATACAGAGTCTTGGAGTTGTTGCTGGGAAGGATCAAGAGCTTGGACGAAGTCAGCAACTTCTCGACGCAGGAAGATCAAGGTGATCTTGGCAACAATGCGACCTTGACGATGAAGAGGGAGCTGTAAGTCAAACACTGGTGCAGCTGACGTGGTATGCCTAGAACATGACAGTGCATCCTTAGAAGGACACGAGTTATAGGTATCCTTAACGTTAATGACTAGTCTTCCTAGTATCAGAGTTTTCTTCAGCCTTAAGATGTAACCGCATCTTGTCAAGTGCTTCATACCGGGGTCACACTGAGTTGATATAGGCGCGCGTAGACTACTGAGGCCGGCCGAGTCTGCTCAAGGCGTGACCTGCACCAGCAAGGGCAATCCACACTTCTGAGACGAACGCAGGCACACATACGTGATCATCGCGAAACACTCCCGTAGTCAAGCTTCGTCAAGCTTCTCATGGCGATTGCTTGATGATGCTTCTTCTGAGACGCTATGCACGATAAAAGTAACATTCGAGACGACTGGCTGCGAGATATGCGTTGGAAAGGAGGAAGGGGGGCTTAAGTTGAGTTGTTCGTGGTGTTCTGACAGCTCGTGTTTCAGCCTTTTTCGGCGCCCGTTTCGTTCTTGGCGAGGCTTCCTCTCCTGGGAGGGCTTTGTGGTGATGTGGTCCAAGAAGGTTTCTGGAGGAGCGGTGAGGGGCATCATATGGGTCTGAAAGAGCAAGGAGTAGCACGCAGCTGCGGGCTGAGGAGGTGTGAGTTGTTGCGGCCACTGTGTTTCGACCGCCAGGACAGACACAAATCCGATAGTTGAATGACGACGACGATAGCTCGAAAAGGCAGTGCATTCAAGTATATAAGACTTGCTCGGTATACGTTGAGCTGGCGTGGTGAGAGCACGCCCATTTCTCATCTTCCAACTTCTATCGCCCACGAATCTTCACTTCATCGCTGCCGGCCAGTCTAATTCAGTCTCTGTCTTTCCAATCATGTATTTCAGTCTCGCTAAAGCATTCGCCCTTGCCCTGGTGGCCGGCACCACACTCATTAATTGCGAACCAACTCGGGGGTCTGCTTCGATCGAAAAGCGACATCTCGGCGGCTTTACGTCTCTGGCCAGACGCCCTCTCGATGTGCCTATCGTCCGCTCTGCCAACATTGAAGCTCGGGAAGTGTCCTCTGACACAACTGCTGCTTCCACCACGGAGGATGCTGCAGCAGGTGCTACCAGTGCTGAGAATACGGCCCAAGGAGGGCAGACTAAGAAGGACAAGGACAAGAAGCACAAGCACGACAAGGATAAGGACAAGAAGGACAAGGATAAGAAGCATAAGAATAAGGACAAGAACAAGAACAAGGATGGCAAGGGAACAGGTCGAGGCACCAACACTGGTGGCGGTAGCGCAGAAAGGACAACCAGGTAGACTGGCATAAGCGGAGATGGTGCTTAGAGGCTGGAGCAGGCTGCGTGGTCCGCAGCGTGATGGGCTCCGTGGCACAGGAATAAATTGTATGACATTTGGGCAGGCGTTGCCGACATCTCTTTCGGAAAGGACACAGCCACCAATGACGAGGCGAAGGATCATGGAGGTCATGTATCATCAGTTCTGAGGCAAAGCCGTCAGGCGACGCTCGATCCATTCCCCAATCACCAAGGCAGTTCAAAGCCCTCCCTGTGCCAGAAAGTGCCCGTCTGCTCAATGTCTTTGACCTTGACAACATTGCGCCAGAGCTTCTCGGCCGCCTCTTTGGGCTGAACCGTATCAGGTGGCATCTTTGCATTGGGCAGCAGGTTGCTCTGCACATATCCGGGGTGTAGCAACAAGACTGTAATGCCCTGGTCTTTCAGATTCATGGCGAGAGACTTGCCGATGCTGTTGACGGCTGCCTTCGAAGATCGATAGGCGTAATGCCCGCCACTGCTGTTGTCGCCAATTGAGCCAACTCTCGACGATACAATGCCGATCTTGGCTTTGGAAGCAGCTTGTAGATTCGGCAGCAGCGCCTGGGTGAGGAAGAAGGGACCATAGGTGTTGACCGCGAAGGTCTTTTCGAAGATGTCGAGGGTGCTCTTCTCGAGTGAGTCGACCTCACTTCCGGAAGCCACGCCTTTCTGTTCAGCATTGTAGGAATGGATGAAGCGCTGAACTTACCGGCAATGTTCAAGAGTAAGTCAAGTGGCTCGTCCTTGAGTTGGGAAGTCTTGAAGGCGGTGATGGACTCCTGTGAAGTCACATCGAGGACGGAGGTGTGTGCGCCTGCCTTCTCAAGCGAATGCAACGCATCTCCCTGATTTCGGTCTACCGCGAAGACATTGTAGCCCTTCTAAATGTTATCGAGTGTGATGACGACCCCTAAGCAAGGCCGTACCTCCTGCAAAAGTACCGTCACGAAGGCGTTCGCGATGCCGCTGTTTGCGCCCGAGACTACCGCCGTAGGTGCCATCTCGATGAATCAAGGAACAATCGTTGTCACGGAGACGCGGCTAAGACAATCGCCAAGAAATGAAGCTGTAATGGTGGCCACGGAAACGCTGCCGGCGCCGTCTTGCTGTTGTCTTATCTGAATGCGACGCGTGTCATGCGAAGTCAAGTCTGAGTTGATGGTTCGATACCCGCATCTTTAATCCTTCTTCGCACTCATACTCGTGACCTTCATTAGCATTATTAATGTTTTGTCGGAATTATTGCAGAGTCAAGTCGGGAGCACGTCATTGCGATCTCATTCTCCCGAAGCCCGCCTTCCAGCCACCCCGGTCAACGGATATATAGGCCTCCTGCGCCCTGATTGGGGGCCGCCGATCGATCAATTTCGTGGGGAAACTCGTATCTGCAGCCTGTTGGCAGTGTGAGCTGATGATCGAGCTCGAGTCGAAGCGACTGTCAGACACCTTTGACGTGCGCGCATCGGCTCTCGACGACGAGGCGAGACTCGGCTTGTTGGGCTTGGGCGAGAATGGCGCCCGGCGCAAGTCGTCCGTATCGGCGACAGTTGAGCATCACCCGCTTCTCGGCACGACGGCTGTTCTTGTATGTAACAGGCGCACTCGTGGTCGCTGCATGCGTCTCAGCTCTTGCAAAGCTAGCCGCAAACCTCACAAGAGGGTCAGAGCAGCATGCGATCCCGGAGGAGATCCCTGGTGAGCCAATACCGCTGGGGCAGTCGCGGGATAGAGGAGGAAGAGAGGTATTTTGGTGGGAGCAGTTCCCACGACTGAATGGATTCTACAATGGCCGAAGAAAACTGGTCACGTTGTCACACTACGTGTCCGAGCAGGACCGCGAGTCGCCAGAACCTGAACGCGATTCGACGCCGCTACTCGCACCTGTTCGGGCGCAAGTGAAACATGACGGCAAGAAATGTTTCGCCGACGAGGAAGAGACGCTTGAGATCCCGCAATGGTCAGCATACAATGGCTTGCCGCAACGTATGTCTGCTCCGTTGCTCGGCTCAGCCGAGGTCCTTGACCTAGACAACGCAAGATGTTACGACCGCGTAGAAAGACTGGGCCCTTACGGCAATGCGCCTGTTGAAACCGAGCAGAGCGTAGCCTATGCGCCTGGCGGCGACAATGCAGACGGTCCTAGTCGACACCCCGAATGGAGTCGTGCGAAATGGAGTCCAGCTCAGGATAAGTGCTACGAGAAGAATCGTGACGTTGTCAAGAGCAGAACGGCATTCATTATCAGAACATGGGCTGGCTACAAGTACACTCGTTACGATATCGCAGTTTTGCGAGCAATCGTGAGCGAGATAGCTCTTGCATCCCGTGGCAAGTACACAGTGCACTTTCTGGTTCACCTTCAGGACGACAGCATTCCTATTTGGGCGTCTGAAGAGGAATACAATCGCGTTCTGCAATCAAGCATCCCGATGGAGTTTCACGGCATGGCTACCCTATGGTCAGTAGCACAGATGAAGTTGATCTATCCGCCACCATTTCCGGAGAGCATTGTCAATTTCTCTGGTGGCGATGTGTATGAGGCGTACAGATCACTACATTTTCCTCTCCAGTACTTTGCTGAGAAGCATCCGGAATTCGACTACTTCTGGCAGTGGGAAATGGACATTCGTGTCACCGGGCACTACCATGAGCTCCTCGAGCAAATATCGGCATGGGCTGAGAAGCAGCCCCAGGAGTACAGCTGGGAGCTATCATCGCGTTTCTACATTCCTGCCTTGCATGGAACGTATGACGAATATGTGCAGACTATCAAGAATGAGATGGCAGAACAGAGCATGGCACCTATCGCTGGTCCTCAATTGCCTAAGGCAGATTTGGTTGACACCCCGGAGCAGGCCAATCCGCCGCACGCGGACCATATCACGGATTTGATCACATTCAATCCCCTCTTCGATCCAACTGGGACGAAATGGGCATTCCACGATGATATCACTGGCTATGACGAGCGTCCGCCTACTCGTGCCGCTCTCATCACAGCGTCTCGGATGTCCCGTCGTTTGCTGCGGCTAATGCACAAAGAAACTTATGCCAGAAATCATACAATGTTTCCAGAGATGTATCCCGCATCTATCGCCCTTCAGTATGGGTTGAAGGCCATCTATGCACCATTACCGATCTACTTTGATCGCGATTGGCCGCCTGTCCATGCCAACGAGGTGTTCAACAACGCCGAATTGAGCGATGATTCGAAAGGAGCAGGCATGGACCACGGCGATGGGCACTTTCATGGAAAAGGCGGGAGTGTCTTCGGTCCAGGTGAACACGTGTTCAGGGGAGCGACGTATTACAGCAATGCAGCCTTTGCCTCGTACTTGTGGAAACGCTGGCTTGGGCGCGAGAACGATAATGAAGAGTTGAAGTGGGAGTCGCAGAACAAGCAAGATGGTGGCAGGATGTGTTTGCCAATGATGGTGTTGCATCCTATCAAGCAAGAGTGATGGTCAAAAGGGTAGAAGTGACGATCACGCCTACACAACCCGAGCACATATCGTGCCACAGCATTTTGACTTTTGCCGCATGGGAAGCATCCAAGGATGTTGATGCCACGTTGTCGACCTAGTTTCAGCTTGGATCCAGCACTCGTAGATTCAGAATCAGAAACACAGACACCAGCCACCGCATCGTGAACTGCGAAACCACGCCTTCCTTTATCAACGTGTTCATTGTTGCGGCCAGTCGCTCACGCCAACATAAGCTCCCTTGGAAGCGACTCAGGAAACTCGGATCCTTCTGTCTTGCCTAGCATACTCAAACACCCGCACCAGTCATTGCTCAGACTAATTCGACTCCGAGGACACTTGTTCTGATTCGATTGTGCGCATCATAAGTCGGAATCTACACGAGGCCCTCCTCGGCCGATCAGATATGGATGCAGATTGCACCAGAGCAGAAACCGAAACGTTGCCGATGAGTGTACATGTACCTGGTGATGCCATTCCAGCTCCTGGCAGTATCGAAGAGCCTCCCATCAATAAACTCAACAGTGACGTCTTCGAAGTGCTGCTGCAACACCTCTGCCCCATCGAAATGATCTGCCTTGCACTCACTTCCAAGGCATACGATAGGCGCATCAAGAGCAGCAAGCGAGTCGCGCGTCTCTCGCAGCTTCATGATGCAGAGGGCCCGGGGACGACCATTCTCCAACACCTGGAATCTTCGCTCCCACCAGACATGGTTTACTGCAAGTTGCGCCAGAGTATTGTTCCAATTGGGTCCTTGCCAGAGACACACACTCATCCATACACGGCTTTCTGTAAATGCATCATCACCTTGAAATGGCGACGACTGGCAGCATGGTCCACCAACCAAACACTCTATATGCAGATATCTGATGTTCAGAGCCGGCTGTTCAAGGCTCGACAAAATCGAGCGTTTGAGGATGGACTTGCTGCATACGATCAACGGCAGCTTAAGCCCCACTACACCAGTCCTATGAGCGAGTACGAAATTGCCATAGAGCGCGCTCGGATCGAGCTGGATCTGGTTTGCGAAGTCGAGGAGAGACATCCTCGTCCTACACCGTGGGATCTGCGACGAGCAGTAATCAACCGAAGGCATGAACTTATAGCGCGAATGCTTGATCTGAGGGATGCACGAACTGTCATCGAATACCGGATGTCTGGACCGCAGGGTTGAAAATGCTTTACTGAGCATTTGGAGGCTTTTTGACAGACAGCACGTTACCTCCTCCGTGGTCACGAGCAGGATAGAGCACAGAACCTTCAGCCATGTTGATCCCCTAGCTGCAAACTGTTGTGAACGTTGGATTTATGTGGGAAATGGAATCAGAAGGCCTCATAGTCACTGTCAAAGATCAACAGGTCAGCCAACGACCTATGACCACTTCTTTGCATGTGTTTTGTTCTTGTGAATCACCGCAAGACCAGGCTCTGGTACATTTTGACGGCTCAACATTGGGACCGGTGCTCTTAGACTTATGTCCAGAGTTGAGCAATGCACAGCCGCTCGCGTTGCTGTTCAAGCCGCAGGCCTCCCCAGCCGCACGAGGGGTACTCCTTTCTTAATCAGTGCCCACAGTCTCTCGAAAGCACCTGCCTCAAAACTTTCTTCAGTCCGCCATCGCCAGCGCTCACGATGTCGACCACCCGATAGAAGCCTTGACGAGGAAGCACAGCCAAGTCGAGCGCAAGGCGAAGACGACGGCCATATACTCAACCTGCCTCTCTAGCACCGCATATCGTCTCTTCAGCTCGACCATGGCGCCCACGAGCAAAAGCCACCGCAAGGCCATCGAGCAAGCCGCCAAGAAGCAGAAAGCGCACAAGAGGACCAAGCACAATCTGCGCCGCGCCAAAGAAGAACGGCGAAAGATCAAAGCACTCAAAGAGGCTGCAAATCGTCCCGGTAATCTTCAATCACTGCCAACAGAGATTACGGACCGCATTCTCGGCTATTCTGAGTCTCCAGAGGTCGTTTCTGTTGCGCTGGCGTGTCCGACGGTATACCGTATATTGCGCGCAAGACATGGCCGTCTCCAGAACGTGCTATCAGCCACTAATCTCCCACGAAACCAGTTCTTCTTCAATTTGTCCTACAGATGGCGTCGAGCAGACACGGGCAAGCTCTGGGACTTTGTCGCCACCAAGAAGCCTGGATGCGTTATTCTCTGCGATCGCACGGACCTTTGGGGCCACTGGCTCAGATGGGTCAGAGTCGATGCCATGTTGGCTGCCCTACAGCAGTACACGACACGGCGCCTGGGCAACAACTACTTCCATACAGAGTGTGAATGCAACAAGAAGCTTGAGCAGAGGGTTTCGGCATACAATATACTGCTCGAAGCTCTGCCTACCAACAGAAGGATAGCTCTCAGGAAAGATCTGACGAAGGCAGAGAGGGTGGCGTTGGTTGCTGACAGGAGCTCTCGTCGTGCAGAGCTGCAGCTCGAGCAGCAGAAGTGTGTTCTCGCGCTCCGCTTGATTGAGAAATTCCGGTGAGATGAGGAGCTGGAAGAGAAGAGCTCGTGAGGCTCGGTAATCTGGTTTACGCCCCGAGTGGTCGCAGATTGAGATTAGTCCAATATTGATACCTCTTTAGTTGGTCCTGGCTTTCGGTTGCCTCAGCCTCAAGTCGCGATTGGATTGAACTTGCTCCAGTTGGTAGAGTACTTAGGTATGTAGTATTCTACCAAGAAGGCGTTCAGGCAAACCTTAAGTACCTCCTACTATGCAGATCCCCCGCATCTCTCCAACATGGGGATGGAGACCTAGTAGGTATGAGCCTCGGACATGAACCCGCGCAGGCTCATGGCCATGGACCAACGACGTATGACTGTCACACGGCTCAGACGGCCCTTTCAGAAACGCGACAGCTATCAGGATCAACCATTGCTACTGGTAGGTAGGCTCATGGACGTTTGGTAACTTCCAAGTGTGCCTCATGGTACAGCAGCAGACATGAAGTTACTGGGCTATCGAGTTCTTGGCCATGTACAATGCAACCTGCGGGCTCGACACGGGCTCCTCCAGAGTTACAGATCGTGTATGAGAAGTATCCGACCGTACGCTTCCGCCACTACTCAGAGTCCATCCCTCTCCATCACCCCGGTCTCGGGCAGTCTCGGTGCCATAATCAACGACGTCGACATATCCCAAACCCTCTCTCCAACGACCATTGCCGCCATCCGCGCCACTTTTCTCGATCACGGCGTCATATTCTTCCGGCAACCAAAACCACTGTCACCATCAGCCTTCCTCCGCTTCGCCACCTGTTTCGGCCAACCCCAGCGCTACCCTATGGTCCGGGGTCTGGATGAACACCCTGAGATTATCAAAGTCTTGAAGCTCAGACACGAGACTACCAACTTCGGCGGCATATGGCACGCCGACACCACTTACCTTCCCTCTCCACCGCTAGGTACCCTCCTCATGGCTGAGGAAATTCCGATACGTGGCGGCGGAGACACGCTCTTCGCGAACCAGTATCTTGCATACGAGACTCTCTCTACAGGGTTGCAACAAACACTGTCCAATTTACGCGGCGTGAGCACCTCCTCCAAAGCAGACGCCTCGAAGACACGCGAGGTAAACCTTTCGCAATGCTCCATTCCCAGTTCAGGCTGACCAACAGCGTCAGGATCGTATTAAGGATTCTGCCCCATCCTCAGCGCCGGAAGTCTTCTCAGCAACACATCCGGCCGTCCGGACGCACCCCGAGACGGGTCGCAAGTCACTCTACGTGAACGTAGCGCATACGTCGCATTTCGATGGTTGGACCGAAGCGGAGTCGGCGCCGCTGCTGAAGTTCTTGCATGAGTGGCAGACCAAACCAGAGTTCACCTGTCGATTCAAGTGGGAGGTGGGTAGTCTGGCATTTTGGGACAATCGATGTGTGCTACACAATCCGATAAATGATTATCAAGGCGAGAAGAGGGAGATGATGAGGATCACTCTGGCGGGAGATGTCCCTGTGTGAAGATGTCCTATGCGGATGGCCTCGGGAAGAGGAGAGATTTTCCCGTGGGTCTTCGAGGAACCGGTTGACAGCTGTTCCCCAGATATAAAAATGTTCCACTGTACGGCATGCTTGGTTGTTGTAATTATAGGCAAGTCCAGTCGAGTAGTGAGATTCAGAACGGCAAGAGCGCCGCCGCGAGACTTTTGTACCTTCCAGTTGTCGTGACGCCGCGTTCTTACCCTGGTTGAACGCCTACTGGACTCGACAGCCGTTACTGCCCAGACTACGCATTTCAGACCAGCAGTCAGGGAACTCTCCAGATAATTTCATGCAGATGACTTCCTCGCAATCCCTTGCATCATCTATCATGTACTGTATGCAGGACTGTCAGGAACAGACACGAATGAGAATCGGGTCAGGAGAGCCCTGGTCAGGTCCGAGTCACTTTGGCGAAGGTCATGTGACTTCGCGATGCAACAGCCTGAGACCGCGCTGACAGGAGCGGATCTGTCGCAGAAGATCCCGTTGCTGTGGCAGCATTTTTGACTAGGCCGAAACGGGGAACCGCGCAGATCCCGAATCAACATGACTCCATTCGAGGACGCCAGATCGGCTTGCTCGCTCTGCTCCGGTCGCCTGCTCCTGCTCCGTGCGTCCACATTACTTCGATACAGCTTGACCAATCTGTCCCTGACCCGCATGCTGGACTGAAATACCTTCCCACTATGGACCATACTACGACACCGTCGCGCATGCCCCCAGCGTATGGCGACGGACCACCCTCATACATGGGCACCCCGAACGAAGACGATAGCACAAGCTACATCGCTCCAGGAAACAACTCACTCAGATTGCTGCCCACGAGCACAGAAGATCTTAGACCGTATGTAACATCCAACACCAGTACTACTATGCCCTTGATCAATGGCAAGCACTCCCCGAAAAGAAAGCCGCTTGGACAACCGCAGGTTCATTGGGAGGATGAAGATTCACCACAGACTCCCGCCGCACGAGGCAGCCGCTCACCAAGTCCTGTCTCGTCTCTTCTTGCTGAGACGGAAGAGAACCTCAATCGCACCCGCAGAACATACACTGTTGTGGGCAAATCTCCGTCGCTCAAAGCGACAGTAACCTTGAAAAGAGCCCCCAAGACTGACCGAAGTCCATCTTATAGGAATCCTCGCGCATCCCCCGAGCGCTATCATAGACCAACCGCGTCGACTGCCTATGGCTCAAGACCAACCTCGAGCTTGGGCCGAGCACCGTCCATTCCACCTCCTGCCGCAACGAGAGGCTCGCCCATGAGACCCTCCACACCGAGAGGTGGATCAGTAGACTGGACGCGACCGCCGCCTGTCAACTCGGGCTACGAGCCTGCGGAGATTAATGGCAGCCCACGACCTGGTACGCCCTCGTCACAGTACGGAGGCAGCCCTAGACGTCCTCTTCCTCCTGCGCCGCTATTCGCGCCATCAGACAAGAGTGGACCCGTTGAAACGACTATACCAATTCCTGATCATGCAGAGGACGATGTCTTCGTCAACGGACACCCAGTCGTTCCTGACAATGACCCCCGAGCGAGTCTGAAATCCTCACACTCGTATATGACCGAGTCGACCCTCACCTCAGAAGAAGACGATGAGAAATACGACCACTACGGACCAGCTCCAGACGGTAGTCAAGCTCGAAGAGGTCTTCGTAGTGCACAGATGACGAGGAAGGAAGTCAGACTGATTAATGGCGAGCTCATCCTCGAATGCAAGATCCCGACTATCCTCCACAGCTTCCTGCCTCGACGCGATGAAAGAGAATACACTCATATGCGATACACCGCTGTGACATGCGACCCTGATGATTTTGTACTCAACGGCTACAAGTTGCGACAGAACATCGGAGTGACTGCCCGTGAGACAGAACTGCTCATATGTGTTACCATGTACAACGAGGACGAGATTTGCTTCACTAGAACAATGCATGGCATCATGAGAAACATCGCACATTTCTGCGCACGCACACGATCAAGAACATGGGGAAAGGATGGCTGGCAGAAGATTGTTGTCTGCATCATTGCGGACGGCAGAACCAAAGTGCATCCACGAACACTTAACGCGTTGGCGGCTCTTGGTGTATATCAGGATGGCATTGCCAAGAATGTGGTCAATCAGAAGCCTGTCGCAGCTCATGTGTACGAATATACCACTCAGGTCTCGCTTGACGAATCATTGAAATTCAAGGGCGCCGAGAAAGGGATCGTACCTTGTCAGATGATCTTCTGTCTCAAGGAGCAGAACGCGAAAAAGCTCAATTCGCATCGATGGTTCTTCAACGCATTCGGCCGCGCACTCTCGCCAAACGTGTGTATTCTGCTGGACGTGGGAACAAAGCCAGACGGCAAGGCCTTGTATCATCTCTGGAAAGCTTTCGACCAAGATTCAAATGTTGCAGGAGCAGCTGGTGAGATCAAGGCTGATAAAGGCAAAGGCTGGCTAGGACTGCTGAACCCACTAGTCGCTTCCCAAAACTTCGAGTATAAGATGTCGAACATTCTCGATAAGCCGCTCGAGTCCGTGTTTGGCTATATCACAGTCTTGCCAGGTGCACTGTCAGCATATCGATACTACGCCCTTCAGAATGATACCACCGGACACGGCCCACTCTCCCAATATTTCAAGGGTGAGACACTGCACGGCCGAAATGCAGATGTCTTCACAGCGAACATGTATCTAGCCGAGGACAGAATCCTTTGCTGGGAACTTGTGGCCAAACGAGACGAGCGTTGGGTGCTCAAATTCGTCAAGTCGGCATACGGCGAGACCGATGTGCCTGACTCAATCCCGGAATTCATCTCGCAACGTCGCCGCTGGCTGAATGGCGCGTTCTTTGCCGCCGTCTACTCCTTGGTTCACTTCAAACAAGTCTGGAAGACCGATCACACCATCACGCGGAAGGTCCTTCTCCATGTTGAATTCTTCTACCAATTCGTCTCACTCCTCTTCACCTTCTTCTCTCTGGCCAACTTCTACCTCACCTTCTACTTCATTGCCGGCTCTCTGTCGGATCCAAAAATCGATCCTTTCGGACATGGCATCGGAAAATATGTCTTCGTCGCTATGCGTTACGTTGCAGTGCTACTCATCTGTCTGCAATTCATCCTCTCGATGGGCAACCGCCCACAAGGTGCCAAGCGACTCTATCTCGGCACGATGGTCACTTACGCGGTCATCATGGCGTACACCACGTTCGCGGCCCTGTACATTGTTATCAAGCAGCTGACAGCGCATTCGCTCGAGGACGCTTCTGATGATAGCTACAAGCTCGGCAACAACATTTTCACCAACCTCATTGTTTCGACGATCTCGACCGTTGGACTGTACTTCCTGATGTCCTTCCTGTATCTAGATCCATGGCATATGTTCACCTCGTCGGCACAGTACTTCGCCTTATTGCCATCGTACATCTGCACCCTGCAGACCTACGCTTTCTGTAACACGCACGATGTGACATGGGGCACCAAAGGAGACAACGTCCTCAAGACCGACCTAGGAACAGCCAAAGCGATCAGTAACAACAACAGCACAACCACGATCGTTGAAGTCGAGATGCCCTCCGAACAGCTCGATATTGACAGCGGCTACGACGTCGCATTGCGTAACTTGCGCGACCGTCTCGAGGTGCCGCAACCGCCCGTTCCGGAGGCTCAATTGCAAGAAGACTACTACAAAGCCGTCAGAACGTACATGGTCGCGACCTGGATGGTTTGCAACGCGATCCTTGCCATGGCGGTCTCGGAAGCATATCCGGTCGGCTCGAACCCGAAGGACAACTACTACCTGAGCTTCATCCTCTGGTCGGTTGCGGCTGTCGCCATCTTCCGTGCGTTGGGCAGCTGTGCGTTTGGTCTTGTGAATATCATTGGCGCCATTGTCGAGGGTCGAATTCAGCAAAAGTTCGAGCGCTGGTTTGGTGGTGGCGATGAGAACTCACGTCATAAGGAGAGCTCGGGAGCGTGGAGCGAGAGTGGGAAGACTGGGACGAGCAGTGAGAGTGGTCGTGGTGGTCGACTGAGTAAGTCGAGAGGAAGTGGTCTTGGTGGTAGTGCAGGGATGAGTGGGACAATGAGCAGTGGGACGGGAAACACGGGAAGCACAGGGAGCAGTTTGGGGGAGACGTTGAGTGATGTTAAGAGCAGGATTGGTGAGAAGATGAGCTACTTCTCGCGGTGAGTCGAGCTGCTTCTGAGTCGTGTACGAACATGTATGTTATGATCAGGCGGTGGGTTGGGAAGGAGGACGGGACAGAGGTGGCGTTCTGTTCTGTAGATCACACTTGTTGGCATGATGGATTGTCAGCTTGGACTACTCAAGGCACAACGGAGTCGAGTGAGTGGATAGAGGCCCAGGATGTACTGACCAAATGGTAAAGGTTGCCAACATGTGTTCGTGTAAGTTGCGTGTACCTTTCCGCGTTCTTGTGCACGGAAAGGTCGAGCTGCACACCCCGTAGTTTTAAGTCAAGCCGGATGACCAGTATCCGTCGACAAGACTCAAACCACGCCGGTTGACCATGCTCCTCGGATCTAAGTGACGCCGGATGACTTAATCGTCCACCAACCTCTCAGTCGTTCTGCTGACCTGTAGACGCCTTGACACACGTCACGTAATGTACTACGAACTAATAGAATGCTGATCACCCCATCTCGCGTTTTGTCTCAATTTCAGCGTCAGGTTGCCGTCATACATCGAAGGCGATGTAGACCACCTTCAGCATACTGGTCTAGCCAAGCACATATATTCGCCCCGTCCTTCTCAACCACATCAGCAATGTCCGATAAAGCGCTGATCTTCGGCACAGGCAGCGTCGGCGCCGTCTACAGCTACATCCTCTGCAAGTCCCTCGGCGAAGCCAACGTCACCACCATCTGTCGCTCCAACTACGACCAAGTCTCACAGCACGGCTCACAATCAACAGTAACATCTTCGGAAATGACCTGAATTGCCGGCCTCGCGTCGCCCGCTCCGTGCAAGAAGCCGTCGACGCGGGACATGGACCCTACAACTTCATCCTCGTGACCGCCAAAGCCCTCCCTAGCAAACCTTCAATACCGGACTTGCTCCGACCAGCCATCACGTCTACAACCGCCATCGCTCTCATTCAGAATGGTATTGCTATCGAGGAACTCTATGCTAAAGCGTACCCGAACAACCCACTGATCTCCTGCGTCGCTTACCTCCCTGTAACGCAGACCTCTCTTGGGACCTTCAAGCACAGCGAAGTCGAAACCCTGCACTTGGGAACCTACCCAGCCAACCTCCCCAAGGATTCGGCCGCCGACAAAGCAGCCGCCAAGCTGACGACCCTCCTTCAACAAGGCGGCGCCACCGCCCACCACCATGCAGACCTCCAGTCAAAACGCTGGGCCAAACTCCTTGTCAACGCATCCTGGAACCCCATCTGCGCCCTCTCCCGCTCACCAGACGCCACCTTTATGCACTCTTCCTCTGACCCACCCTATGCAGCCGAATTTGTTCAAGCAGTAATGCTCGAGATCGCCAGTATTGCCAATGCAGTGGGCTACCCGGAGATTTCGAAGGAGACGGTGGAGTGGCAGATGGGGAGGGCGAAGAAGAGGGACTTGCCGGGAGTGGAACCGAGTATGTTGGCGGATGCGAGGAGGGGTGGGAGGATGGAGGTGGATGCGATTGTGGGGAATGCGGTTAGGATTGCGGCGGAGAAGGGGGTGGATGTGCCGATGTTGAGGGCGTTGTTAGTGCTAGTCAGGGGGTTGGATGAGAGTTTTGGACGTGATGCAGCAAGCTGAGAGCCTTTTGGAGGACGGGAAGAGACGACTACAGTCATAGCGGAAACGTCTTGGGACCTCATCTGGATTGCTGAATGGTCTTCTTGTCTCGTAGAACTATTACCATGACCACAGACAGGCTCAGCAGCTGGCAATTCCGTGCGCATTGCCGATATCATGGATCATAACGAACGCGATACTTGGTCATCAGGAGCTCGTCCAAGACCTCGCTTGCTACAATATCGAGCTTGAGGTCTGTCTTCAGATCCTGGAAAAGGCGAACGCCATTGCCGATGGCGATCGGGATTGTTGTCAGCACCATTTCGGACACCAGCTTCCTTCGTATGAAGGAGGAAACCGTAGCGCCGCCATCTACCCACACGTTGGTATAGCGCTCCTCATCTATTATGTCCAAAGCCTGGTGGATGTTGTTGGCGATTATGACTCCCTCGCGCGTGGTGCGGCGGTCCATCTTACGCCTCATCAGCAGGATCAGCTTCTCTCTCCATTAGCCGGTTGTCCTCGCCATATGCGAGCACAGTAACGTAGGTATTCCGTCCGAGGACCATAACGTCGCTGTTAGCTGTTGCTTATTAGGACGAAGTCTCTACTGTGGCGCGTTCAAGGAGACTCGATGAGCCCAAGGCGATACCGACGTAGCTGACGATAGCTCTCAGAACGTTTGATTGGAAGGCGACCGCCAGTACGGGGAAAATCAAGCCACCAGCGGTACATCTCATGGTGTAAATACGCGAAACCAAGGGACATTTCCGCCGGATTATTCTCAAGGGTGAGTAGGCGCGCGCTCAGAATCTGTTCGAGCAAGGGGTAGCAGTAGTCGAAGCTTGACTTGCGTGTGCCGTCGAATGAGCTGAGAGTGAGGGTGATCTGACGCCGAGGGTGCTGTAGGTACTCTCTGGCAACGGTTGCGATCCGCCGACAGAGCAGCAAACATGGCGACAGCTCGGCCCACGGGCGGAAGGAGTGACCAGTTGGCCCTTTGATCTCAATGCTGACTAGAGGACTGGAGAGGCTTAGAGCGATAATGTGGCTCAGAATCTCATATGGCATATCGGGTAGGGTAGGTTTTGACTTGATCTGCGATGGTGTGAGTCACGAATACTAATGGATTCGGTATGTCTACATACCGATGGAGGCAGGAGTAACAACGGGCTCGCAGTGTACGCGCTCTCCATGACTGGGGATTCAGGTGAGTGTCCTGCAGCGAGGGCGCTTGTAAGGTGAGATCCAGGGACTGGTTCAGAACTTACAGGATTGACTTTGATGGCCTGGGTGAAGGACAGGTGACTGATCGGTTGTTTTTGTAGTTCTCCGAATAATGCACTACCTAGCTTTGCCTTTGGGCTCTGGAGACTCGCACCAAGCGTGTCGGCTAGGCTGATACTTTGCACGCTGGCTGCGCGCGAGCCTCACTAGTTGGAGCGGGCGGCAGGTAGTCGATGGACCCATACAATCTCGCTATGAAGCCGGCTATCGTGATGCCGATGAATGCGGTGCATCTGAATCGAAATGTCATGATTGATTTCTACGCACCAAGGGCCTGTCGATGTTTCTGGGGCCGGAAGAAGTCGAGAATGAGTATTTGACAACACATCTGCCCTACCTGAGGCACTGTTTTGGACCTCAGCGCGTAATCGGTGCCGCTGTTGATCGGGAGGGGGAAGAAGAGCCAAAGTCCAGCGGCCAGCGGCCACGTCGGAATAGCGGCATCAGCGTGCCCGTTCGACAACACAGCCGGATACCAAGTACAACATCACAGAGCAGGATGGGATCAGCAAATCTGGCTGTCAGTTCATGGACCACTCTGCTTGTGATCCTGGGCATCCATTGTAGAGTTTAGAGGTCCCTTGACCCGATCAACGCGGTGGTTCAGCCTAAGACGCCAAGTAGTAGGGCTGCCAGTGTGTAGTCGAAGCCCGTGTCTGTGATGCAGCAGCGAAGCACATAATAAATTGGACAGAGGCCAGTGAGCAGCTGCCTCTCTGGTCTGTTAATTCATGAATGGCAGTCACGACTCAGTCTCAATCTCACTGCAGTGCAAGGAAAGACCAGTGGTGAGTCATGTAAAGAATCCTATCGCGTGATAGGAGTGGCCCGGCTGCGCAGAGATTTTAGGCGATCAATCTCATACTTCAAACATTTTTCTGTTCTGTCAACTTCTTCCCTTGCCAAATTTTCGTCGTCAATCTTCTCCGCGACGCAACCTGCTCTTCTCTGTCTCTTTCGAACGCATCGCAGATAGACAAACACCGCGCTCGACTCGACGATTTTTCTGACCCTGCAAACTCGCACTCTCTTCACAGGCAGATGACAATGTCTTACGGCAATGGTGGCTACGGAGGCGGCGGCGGCTATGGCGGCGGCCGTGATGGTGGATATGGCGGCGGGTAAGTTGCTTGACGATGTTGTCGCATTCGCATTTGGCGCAACGCGATGATTTTCCGATTCGCTCGAATTTTGATGCTGATATTTCAGTAGGTCCAACGGCTACAGCAACGGCGGCAACGTCAACGGCTACTCGGGTGGCGGTGGCTACGGTGGCGGTGGCTATGGCGGAGGCGGCGGCGGTGGCTTTGGCGGCGCAGGAGGCGATCGCATGTCAAACCTCGGCGCCGGTCTAAGAGAACAAACCTGGGATCTGTCCACCTTGCCTAAGTTCGAGAAGTCCTTCTACAAAGAAGACCCCGATGTCACCAATCGATCCTCCTACGATGTCGATACCTTCCGCAAACAAAAAGAAATGACCGTTCAAGGTCGTCAAGTACCGCGCCCAGTCGAGACATTCGATGAGGCTGGCTTCCCCAGCTATGTTATGTCTGAGGTCAAGGGTCAAGGTTTCACAGCGCCCACCGCAATTCAGTCGCAAGGTTGGCCCATGGCTCTCTCTGGCCGAGACGTCGTTGGTGTTGCTGAGACTGGCTCCGGCAAGACTTTGACATACTGTCTGCCCGCAATTGTTCACATCAACGCTCAGCCATTGCTGGCACCCGGAGATGGCCCGATTGTGCTTGTCCTAGCCCCGACCAGAGAACTCGCCGTACAGATTCAACAGGAAGTCGCCAAATTCGGCAAATCGTCGCGAATCCGCAACACTTGTGTCTACGGTGGTGTTCCTAAGGGTGGCCAGATCCGCGACTTGGCTCGTGGTGTTGAGGTCTGTATCGCTACTCCTGGTCGTCTCATCGACATGCTTGAGGCTGGCAAGACCAACCTGCGCCGTGTCACTTATCTCGTTCTCGACGAGGCCGACCGCATGCTTGACATGGGTTTCGAGCCTCAGATCCGCAAGATCATTGGTCAGATTCGTCCTGATCGTCAGACTCTCATGTGGTCTGCAACGTGGCCCAAAGAAGTCCGCCAGCTTGCTTCCGACTACCTCAACGACTACATCCAGGTGAACATCGGCTCCATGGATCTCTCAGCCAATCATCGCATCAAACAGATTGTCGAGGTCGTCTCAGATTTCGAGAAGCGTGACCGCGCCATCAAGCATCTCGAGCAGGTCATGGAAGACCGCAACAACAAAATCCTCATCTTCACAGGCACCAAGCGCGTCGCCGACGAGATCACCCGTTTCCTTCGACAAGACGGCTGGCCTGCACTTTGTAAGACTCCCTCTTCCAAACTACCGAGACGTTGACTGACTTCAATAGCTATTCATGGCGACAAACAGCAGCAAGAACGTGATTGGGTTCTGAACGAATTCAAGACCGGCAAGAGTCCAATCATGGTTGCCACTGACGTGGCTTCTCGTGGTATCGGTATGACCAACAGCCCCCCTTCCATCCCTCCCCTGGTATTGTTTGTTCTGCATCTCTTACCATTGAAGTCGTGTGATTTTGGTGCAAACTCTCTTCACTCGTCTTGTTCTCTGTATGACTGTTCAGGCTTGCGTTTCTGGTCCTTCTTTGCGAAACTCTTCGTCCTCACTTGCAGCTTGCTCAGGCAACTAGCTTCAGTCTTCGACTGCTATCTGCACTCACGCGCAGTATGCAGCGAATGTTCCTTCATTGGATCAAGCTGCATTCCAGGAGTTTCACCTAAGGACCGTAGACACATTGCCGTCATCTGGACACAGCGGACAACGTCGAAACATCGATAGCTCAAGCTTCGATCGTAAATGAGAGTAATGCATCACACGTAATCACACGGCCACACATGGCCCCCGAGACATTGTAAGCACCAAAGCATTGATTGCTAACCAATATTCAAGATGTTCGCGACATTACTCACGTGTTGAACTATGACTATCCGAACAACTCGGAAGACTATGTTCACCGCATTGGCCGTACAGGTCGTGCTGGTCGCACCGGCACTGCCATCACCTTGTTCACTACTGAGAGTGAGTATCCTCCTGCCATGTTGTTGGAGCCTGATCTAACTTTTTCTAGACGCCAAACAAGCTCGTGAGCTCGTTGGCATCCTCACCGAATCCAAGCAGCCAATCGATCCTCGTCTTGCCGAGATGGCTCGCTATAGCGGTGGGGGCGGTGGCGGCGGTCGTTACAGTCGAGGTGGTGGTCGTGGAGGTCGTGGCGGTGGTCGCGGTGGTGGCTTCACTGCATCCAACGCTGCTCCTCTTGGCCGCGACCGTTGGTAAAGCACGCTGCTTGCCAACGATACTGACGGTCTCATTTTCACGAAAATCCGATTCGAACAACTTCGATACCTCATAGATTAGTCTGGGCCGGATTTCAGCATTCGAAGGTGTTAACAGATCGGCAACAAGTCATTCTACGGCGTTGGTACATGTACGGGGCATTCATGTTGGGGTCGGAATGGTCATTCAGCATCAGGGTTAGATACACAGCGCGATAGAAGGACACGCTGCTTCACCTCGTCGCAAAGACGGCGTGCACTGTAGATCATGCGGCAGACCCATCCAGCACGAGACTTTGAGAGGCTCAATCACAATGCAATATCAACAGTTGATGCTGCTCTTCCCTGGAGACCTCCCTCGAGGCCACTTTCATGATTTGGATCTCGTCTCCGCAAGAGCTCTCTTCTGTGCGGTCGGCGGACTTCTTCCGCTGAACTGCTGAACCGCAGATTATTATTGACCTACCGTGTACAACTGGTGTCGAGTAATCCAGTCCGTAGATTCGTGGAGACTCAGAACGTCGTCTGCCCACCCCTGCAATCTCGACCCAGTGTTCGAGATATCAATAATTCGCTTTCCAAAAACAGCTGCACATTTCCTGGGGTCGACTCCTGAAATGCTGATCAAAGCGTTTTTCTCGCTTAAGACCCGTTAGAAATTGAAATTGACAGCTCCCGAGAATAAGTCGGCCCCACGGACTATCGGATCAGTCCCATCCCTTTCGTCTATGTCGCCAAGTTTGACGTTGCAGGATGATAGAGTGGGCTGGCGAGGTCGAGGGCAGGTGGGAGGCCTGAGGTAATTGCAGGTGAGGATGCAGATGATGGGACATCCGTCAAAACCATACACGGAGTGCTCTGAAAGGTATTCACGTTTGAGGTGCACTGGAAGGCCAAAAATATCGACCTGTTACTCAGCAGCGATTGGGGTAGCGCAATGGTCTGAATCTCTTCGGCAGGGTCAAAGTTGATGCGTGCACGAGGCAAAGCCGCCAGGCAAACAAGCTAGGGATGGCGAGCGTGGGCATCCTGGCATCCATCCTCTGACAAGTGGTCTTCACGAGAAGAGCATTATTTTGACGTTCGAACACATGGAGATCGGCGCTGCCAGAAATTCTTAGGTTGCAAGCGAGACAACATCAGGAAATTTAGGATCCTTGGACGCTGCAGTCGGCCCCTGCGACGCATGACTCGGACAGCGAAGTCCTTCTTCCTGGCACCTGCAGTTCCCCAATAAGCGAGTCGTGACGCCAACTGTGAGCACCCAACATCCCGATCGAAAGATAGGTACCTCAGAAGGTTCGAATCGCTGCCCGTGCCATTCGTTACAATGTGCATGCAGTGCTCTGCGATCTTGATCATCCACGATTTGGAGTGAGGTGACTGTGGGAGGCACCGGCTGAACGGTTCTGTCACACCACCGAGAAACCCAAGTATCTGTGGAGCTCTCTTCGTGCATGAAGCGCACGATTTCTAAGCCATACTGTTCTAGGATAGTGCCACATGCGAATATTGGATGCGTGGATCAAAATCCACACATACGACGGATCTGAAGTCGTCAGGACCTTGAATGTGTCCATGACAATCCCAAAGAGGTGCCGAACTCCACGAAGGAGCCTGGCAAGGCATTGATACGGCTTTCCACGGCCACTTGAAGAACGTTTCTTAGATGGAGAAAATGGTTGATGCGTGGGAGTAGGGGCCGCATTATTGGAAGTCGATGGTGCCATCACCTCCTGGGACGGCAGAAGATGAACATTATCCAACAATTCAGCGAAGAACGTGCAACAAGCCACAGGTTTCACATCATCAGTGACCGAACTCATGCCCGTCAATGATCTGCGACCCTCTGCATAGCGAGAATGGGTAGGAAATTCGTTACTTCAAGCTCATAGACCCGAGACTTCTTCGAAGAAGCGTCGGCATGTGGCTATCATGACCATGATTATTCACGACGCTCGGCAACCCCGCGAGTCACTCACAAGAAGCCCAACTGATCGGGTAGTACCACCTGCGATCACCCACCGGCCACTTCAAGTTTTGCCTTTCGGCCCCCATGTTACTTGTGAATCGAACGATGGTTTGTGCACGGAATACAGTACTCTGGGCCACAGATACTCGGCCATGCTTTCATTCCGCGTGTGCACGTCTCCCTATGCCTGAAGCGTTGATGATAGAGAACGACAAATTGGCAAGCTTCCACGGCTAATAGGCATCTATGTGCTGCAGTCTTAAGAAGTTGAGCAGACACGGGCTGTTGCCAAGTTTTACCTCCCCACATGTACCGAATGCTGGCCCGGAAGAACGGCACAGCATCAAAAGCCACAATCTGTCTCTGTTGCATCGTCCAAGGCTCACAGACGCGCATCGAGCGACAGGACATATCAACTCGGAGAGCACTCGAATAGCTTACCTCGTGCGACGATGAGTTTTATGCCTTGGTGGCAAACACCGCGATGTACTTCTCCCGTCAAAGCTCAAGGGCAAGGCAAACAGGCTAGCTAGGCGGCTAGCATCGACGCCAACCAGGCTCTCCCAACACCCTAAGCAGGATTCTGCATAGTTCCCATATCAGTCCTCGGACACCTATAAACTCAACAACGACAACATACAACATTCAATCGTATTGTTATGCTTCGCAATGCACATGATACACCGCAAAATGCTCAGTGATTTCGCAGCGACGACCGAGAATGGAAACACAATCGGTACTCCGAACATACGCCTGCCTCTGAGTTGCAGGCCCGCCCACAAAAATGCTGCTCTCAGAGTTCCACCGTCGATGTCTTCTCCTGCCGCTTCAAGTCATCATTCATTCTTTCGCTCCTGCTCACAAATGTCCAATGAAGACATTCATGGACCGACAGAAGTACTGTGTGGCATCTTGATTCATAATCCCTGTTCTTGCGATAGGATCATGCTCTGCATCTGACAATGTCGAGCAATAGGAGGGCACTCAACTTGCATTCTACCCTGCAGGCTATCATTCGAGGGATGCTGTACAAGGAAGGCTCAACCTGGCCCCCCTATGTTGCCAGAATTTGCCAGCCCCCTCCCACCTCGACTCACATTTCTCCTCAGCTTTCTCTTCCTCTCGTCATTTCTTCCTTTACACTCTTGTAAAAGTTTGACGCGTTTCTTTTGCAACCCAATCAGCAACAGTGACACTCAATCAATTACACCACCTTGTGCATTGAGACTGCACGTAGCTGGTCGGCAGAGCAAAACATTGAGCACTTGATAACTGTTCTCTAGCGCGTGGGCTAGCGGTCTTGTCAAGCGCCATCCACCCTCGCCACGCTACGACACATCTAGTTAACACCATCTTCGATTTTCTTGCCCAATACTTCTGCGCCGCTTCGCATCCCTGAATATCTCCTCAGGTCGACGCCCGGAGACTGGCCTGCCTGGGCCATCGGCGTCCCACTCCACCGGGACGCCCTCCAACCACACTGCGCATCTGATTTGTTCCTCGGCTTCATCTCCTCGAGCGCAACCTCCTCCTCTACCAGAAAAGTCGCCCCCGAGTCTTTTCCAGGCATCATCATCATCGGACAATCCACTGTCCGCCCGACCAACCCCGGTCAACCAGCAAGAAACAGCTCCACAGTTGTGTCTGTTCAATACCACCCTCCTGCAGCATTGAGACAAGATACCGCTTGAAAGCGTGGACAAACACGTTGTCCGGCGATAATCTTGAGGAGAGCATCCCGCCTGTTTAAGGAAAAATCTCGCCTGTGCATTTGCCGTTCGCAATAAGCTCTTCGATCAGTCATTTGACTTCGACTCGACTCGACATATACGGTGCTGCATCAGAAAACTTGCCCCATCACCTCAGGCACCCACTGTCCGAGTCGTGATCTGCTGCCTTCCATTTTGCCCCTCAGCGGATGGACGCATCGCTGTAGGAGAAAGATTTCCGGCAGATGTGAATATCAGGTACATCTGTTGCAGAGGTCTTGTACCGTGTACTTGCATTGCCAGAGGACCGGCATTGTACATTAGTCTACCGCACTGGCGCCATCAGGACAGCTTCAGGCCGGTCTTGTACTGCTTAATCCCACTCAAGCTCGGGGTAAAGCTCGACTCAGTGACGAATCTAGTCCGCTCGAGGGAAAGGTCACTTTCGCTAAACTTCAATCTCTGCCTCCACCGGCTAGACTGTTAGTTCTTTCCAGGGGAAGCTCTTTCGGTCCACTCTTGTCGCAGAGGACCCAGAAAAGCCTATCAGCCACTTTCAAAGCAACTCACCGACGGCGGTCGATCTGGTCTGCACTCAGAATCAGTACGGAGGATTCCTGACATCGACAATAATCGCTACTCCGAGCTGCATCCCAGCCTCTGCTCGTCATCTCGTGCGCTACTTCTCCACGAGCCCACCCAGCCTGTAGCTCAGATTGCTTGCCTCCCGAGCCCCCAACCTTGATCAGTCGCTTCTGTCTGGCCATCTTGAAATTAAAGATCACGCCGGCCCTCGTCCTAAACAGAGCTTCAATCGCATCGTCGTCTTCTTGCCGAGCGGCGGCTCTACACCTTGTATTTACCTATCCTCCAACGCGTGGGCGCATCATCAGCATCAACAACATTTTGTCTCTGGAAACAGTGAAAGTTGTTGTTGTCTGGGTTGCACACGTCACGTGGCATATACAGTGCATTGATCGCGTCACTTGCGTGGTCAGTCACTTGAAGCCAAATTGTTCATGGACAGAGGTTCTGAGTACGCGCAGTCAGGTTAGCAACCCACCAACGTCGGAACTCAAAATTCAAAACTTCCACCTGAACAAAGGCTTACACCAAGAACGCGTTCAGATCAAGCATCTACTGCGACTTACTCGACGCAAGATCCGCGCTCTGCGAGTCTGTCGACGACCAACACGCCGCAGTCTGAGTACGGCTTGACACCGCAATCAGCTCGGTCTTCTGGATTCCCACCAGAGCACCTGAGATACAGCCAGTACGCGCAGGCGCATCCGCACCCAGCCGTCAGCATGGCTCAACAAAACAGTCCGTCCAAGTCCCTGACAGGCGTCGCCGATGAGGATCATCCAGACGCGTCCTCTCAAGCCATTTCTAACACCAACCTTCCCATAGATCCCTCGATTTCTCAGGCTAGCCCAACTTATCCTCCGTACTCTCCATACGGTCCACAAGACCAGTCGATGCATCAACAGTACCCTCCCAACTACGGCCACAACATGCCGCCTCGCCCGCCGCCCGACCAAGCTTGGGGTGGCTATCCGCCGCAGCACGGTATGCCAGGTCCTTACCAGCATCCCAGTCAGGTGCCAGGTCCACCGCCATCGTCCGCAAGCCAACGCCCAGGTCAAGTAAGTCGTCGCAGATCCTTGCGCAGACGCACAAGCAATTGCTGACTGTCCGCGACAGGTCTACTCGTTTGTTCCGATCCCAGGCGCCCAACAACACAAGCGCCCACGCCGTCGTTACGAAGAAATTGAGCGCATGTACAAGTGTGGCTGGAATGGCTGCGAAAAGGCGTACGGCACACTCAATCATCTGAATGCGCATGTCACTATGCAGTCACACGGTCAAAAGAGAACTCCAGAAGGTACGAACAAACAATTAAGCTTGATCCTCTGAACTCCAACATTTGAACAAAAGACCATACATTCTTGGATGGCTAGCGGCATGCGCTATACTAGTTGTGTCACCACGCTAGTCATCCGACGCTACGAGAGCTTAATCACATATCCTCCGAATGCATTTGAAACTTGACTGACGTCTGTGCACAGAGTTCAAGGAGATTCGCAAGGAATGGAAGGCTCGCAAGAAGGAGGAAGAGTCCGTCCGCAAGGCCGAAGACGAGCGTGCTCGCCAGGCGCAGGCTGCTCAACAGGCCCAGCAGGTCGATAATCAAGGCCCTGATCCTCAACATGTCCCACAGTCCGGCTATCAGCAGAACGGTGGTCGTCCTTCCCTTCCGCCGATCGGCTATCAAGGAGCCGATTCTCAGCACCAGGGCCAATACGCTCCACAACAGCCAAATTCGATGGCCTACCCTCAACAGAATGGTCAAATGCAGCCTCCCTACGGCGGCTATCCTCAATCGCCTTACGGTCAACAAGGACAGGGTGCGATGTATGGCCAGCGTTAGTAATCTCCTTGATGATACGGCAACAAGTTCTAACGGCATCTAGAACCGCATGGAGGCCAGTACTAGTATGACTCCGAATGATCGTGCGATTTCGAGGTAGCGATAGACGACAACATGAACGGCAGCGTGGAAGGTGGAATGGACGGAGATACCCCTGTGGCGTATTGGCTTGAATGGCTTCGGTGATGATGACTTTGGTTCTTGCCGTACTACGCATGGCAATTGGAGTTTCTTTTTACTTACAAAATCATCGGGCGCGGAACGAATTGCAGAATCGGTCTTCAGCAATCCACTCTCTGCTGACACCGGAGAGGCATCATGGGCCGACAAACGACCGAGATGAACAAACCAGACGACTGGGACGAAGTCCGTCCTCGACATACGGGAGCAGCACATATTTTCAACATCCTTCACGCCCTCGACACATTTGGATAGGCCATTGAGCACATCGTCGAGCTGGCAGGGAGATACGGCGCATCTGTGGGGGTGGTAATGCTCGAGCACACTTGATGTGGGCAGTGATGTCGCGGAAGGTCGACTGCGAGCCGCGGCAGCACATGGCCGCAATCGCGATAGCGGAATGTTTGCTTGCTCGGGCGCGTTGATCTTTTGCAGCGGTGTCTGACATGGCAAGCATGATCTTGAGATGTCGTTGAACCGCATATGCAGACATCTGAGTAGTCACACAAGCACGAGAATTGTAAATATTATGATATCCCAGAAGCAGGTCGCCCTTGCAACATTCTTCTCATCCTCTATCCGACGCTCGGGCTCCAAACTCGCGTACTCGCCAGCTCCGATAAAGATCTCACCTCACATCTTGCCAATGGCTTTAGTCTTGCTGGATTACGCAAACCTGCCCTAGGCTCTGGCCGACGCGAGCGAGACAAAGCTACTACTAAACCATGCCTCGTGTCCGATTTACTTCGAGACTACTGTAAGGCACAAGGCCAGCGGACGCCTGGCTTAGTATAGCACGATTACGAACGTTCACACTAGTAGTGCTTTTCCGTGCCTTACGTCAAAAGACTCGTGGCATACGAAAGGACTGTGCTTTAGCTCGTGTCGCCACTAGTCTGGTATACTAGCTGGCAATCTAGAAGGAAGTAGTGCGAACTGTGCGATCCGTGCTGAAAGGCTAGTAGGAAACGCTAGATATAGCGTCGAAGCCAACTTGTTCCTTGCATGCGTTGGCCGTTGAGGGCTTAGGTTGTGTAACGTGACTAAGAGGCGAAAGGCGGGATTGATGAGCTATCATAAGGACCACTGTTTGCTAACTCATGCACGATGCGGTTGCAAGCGCGATGCCATCTGGCCGGGACTTCCTTGCAGTACCGCAAAGGCAGATGGAGAAGCAGGGCAGGTGCGATGCACAGGGCCACGAAGCTGCACCGCTCGGGGTGTCCGTTTGTCTGCTCTCATTGCTGGCGTGTGTCTTCTGCTACAAACACATCTGCGAAGAACAAGGCTGCTGCGTGGTTGCCTTCGAGCGATCTTTCCTAGCCTGGCTCACCTACCAATGCCCGGTGCATTGCTTGCACGAGGTGCTCCCGGGCAGAGTTCCTGGTCACAACACGTAGATGCGCTCTGAAATCGCCGGTGCCTGCAGTTGGTGAGATGCACTGGGCCACTGGTAGGCAGCGGCACAGTCGTGCTTGAGAGCACTCCAGCAGTGGCTGGCTGAAACTGAAACACTGCTATCACAGGATTCTTCGTGCAAAAGGCCACTGCCATCAATCAAGACCGACGACTAAGCTCAGTACATGCGACCAAATAGAGCCTAGAGGTCTCGTTCGCGGTTGCTACGTATCCCGGCGATTTCGCGACCATGCCTGAAGCCATGCATCAGAAGTATCTGGGAACTTCGCTTCATCGGCCGGAGAGCGACTTCCGCTAGCATCCGAAGTGCTCCAATTGGCATACAGACTGTGCTCGGCTAAATTTCTTGATCGGAACATGCCTTCCAAAAAGTGTCTTGGACTGATGTCTCCAGCTTGCAGCAGGATCGATCGACTATTTCAATCGCTGTCAGTGCTGTGCTAGGTCCTCATGTTCACTTGTTCAGCGTGCCTGCGACGCCATTTCTCCTCCATCTCGGCAGACCTCTCACACTCGTTAGCGTCAAATACAACTTTACAGCCATGGGTCCCGCCTTCGTGGAGGGCTCTAAGCCTCGCCGGCCAACGTGATGAACGACCACGCTCCTTGCGCCGTCCCGGCCACAACTTCTTTCGCGGCGCCGCAACGCTCCGGGGCCTCAAGAAAGGCCATCACATTCGGGAGGCGGGGAGGGCTTCACAAAAGGGCGCACCTCCACTGACGTCGAGCAAGGCCCGCTCACCGAGTGCTGCCGCCCTCCGGAAGGAAAAGGATCAAGCTGCTCGGGACAAGAATGGCCGGATGCAACTGACTGAAAAGGGGCAGACAGAACTACAAAAACAACTCGACAAAGAGGCCGAGTACCTGACCGATCCACTTCGTCTGGCTCAGGAAGTTCAGCGGTGCCTCCGAAACGATGAGTTCGAAAAAGCACACGAGACGGTGCTCGCAAGCGACCGACATGGTCTCAAGCGAGGCGTTCCGCAGGGCAAAGTGCGGAACACGGTCAGCTGGAATCATCTGATCGACTGGTGCATGCACAAGAAGAGCAATGCAAAGGCCTTGCAGATCTACCAGGACATGAAGAAGCGGGGCCATGTCCCGGATAGCCATACGTATCTTCTGATTCTGCGTGGTCTCGGTGAAGGAATTCGTTCCGTAGGGCATTACCCACGCAGTCCCGAAGCCACGAAACAGGCGCAGGCGCGAATCAACGCCATGGCGAAGCAGGCGATGGACGTGTACAGCAGCATCTTCAGACCAAACAGCCAGGTGAAGCTCATAACGATGCACAGCAACGCGATCATCAATGTACTGGCAAGGGCAGGCGACATGAGTGCGATTTGGGCTGTCGCAGGCCAGCTGCCACAAAAGGGTCCTGGCAGCCCAGATCATTGGACCTACACGACTATCCTCAATGCCATGCAGTTGGACCTACCAAAGAACATCGAAGACGAGGAATCACACGTCAATGAAGTATCGAGAGCAAAAATTACGCAAGTAATCGGCGACGCGCGAGGAATGTGGATTGATGTCATCAAGAAATGGAGCGACATGAGTTTGGTTATGGATGAGAAACTCGTGTGTGCGATGGGCCGCCTGCTGCTAATGAGCAAGAGAATGCCAAATGCTCGAGATGTGTTTTCACTCGTCAAGCAAACTATGGGCGTCGCTATCGATGATACTGTACTGGCCAGCTTGAACCAGGACCTCGACAAAGCTAGCGGTGCTAATTCTTCAGAAATGGAACATCTTGCCCGAAAGCGCGATGCCGCTTCACTCGCTAGCTCGGAACCAGCGTCGGCTGGCAGCAACGATGCTACTCAGATCACATCTGCGTCTGGGGATGCTGCGGATGATGCTGTAGTTGTAGACGAGTCGGACTTGTCACAGATGTATCTGCAGGTATTCGAGCCGCTATCAATGGACTCGAAGGCCAACTCCAAGGGTGTGCACGCATTGTATGCAACACCTAGTAACAACACACTTTCGCTATTGATTGAGGCAGCTGCTCTCTTAGGGCGGCCAAATATCGGCAAAGCATACTGGCAGCATCTTACGACCAAGACGAATCCGATAGTACCAGATGCCAACAACGTCAAACACTATCTGCGGATGCTGCGAGTGTCTCGAGCAAGTCGACAAACGCTTGAGTTATTGCGACAGCAGTACACCGGCGAGGCAGGGGTGTACCTCAAGTCTCGAGGTGCTTTCGTCGTGGCCATGAACACCTGTCTTCGAGACAAGTGGAATCCCAACGTCTTCGATATTGCCACAAATGTGCTTGATCTCATGGAACAGCACGCTGCTGCTGCCCAGCTTGCGCGAGACGAGGAGACTAATCAGCTAGAGATTGCTCGTCACAATCTGCCGCCAGACACTCCCCTTCCGATGGAACTTAGAAGACCGATCCAACCGCTACAGGGCCTTGCTGTAGATCCCAAGATACTCACGATGTACCTTGAGCTGGGCTTGTACACTACAAAAGGCATCAACAAGAAACGTCCTCTGCAGAAGACGGAAGCCGGCGACCTCGACTTTCCTCGTGACCCGCTTCTGAACAACGCTTTGCGAGCCCTCGAACGACTGAAGCCGTACAAGGCCAGTGTACAAGACATGCTAACAATGTTCATTCGGCGCCTTGAACACGACCGAAGCGAACAGGATCTCAGCGCTTACAAACTGCGAGAGCTGAGAAAGAAGGCAGCATATAAGGAAATTACCGAAAACCCCGGCGACAACCCCGAGGAGTTGCTTGCACTTCTCAACTGCATGATCTCGGCATACGACCGAGTACTGGTCATCAATTTTCAGCTTGAAGAACAAGGGTTGGGACCGCTGGGCGAAGACGTACTGAGGGGAATCAGGCTACAGAAAGCCAGCACAGCAGAGTATGTGAGACGCCTGACAGCAGCACTCACCGGTTACTCGGGAACCCAGAGTCCAGGACATGCTGAGCGTATCCGATTGATATACGACGCCAAACAGAGCGACTTGGAAGAGGAAGTCGAAGAAGAGGACCATACAGACGGTACCCTACGTGCGCTGCAGGCGACGAAGCCGGTGGACCTCGTTGCGGGCGACAGCTATGCTGCCGCACAGGACAAGGCCGCCGCCAATGCGGCGTTGGCGGTGCGCATCAGGAAGAATGCCAGTTACAGTGGCAACTTTCAGCAAGTTGCAGAAAAGACTCGAGAGGATGGTAGACCGTTGACACGGCGACAGCGAAAATACGAATTATGGCTGGAAAATCAAGGAAACATGAAAGGCAAGACGAAGGGCATGTTGAACCAGGACGCTCGAAATGCCGATGTCCACCATGATGGTCCGGTATTTCCGGAGATTCGTTCTCGTATTCGCTCTAGACGCCAGGCACACGAGGCCAAAATGGAGGACAGGGAACACAAGCTGAGATTGGAGATGATGCGGACTGGGCTGAGCGAGAAAGACGTACGAGATCGGAGAGCAGAGAAGAGGAATCAACGGCGTAGCTCGGATCTGGCGTGGGACGGCGGCGAAGGCAGCATGATCGACTGGGGAAAGGAAGACGACGCCGTTGGCGATGGCTCGGCAGGACAAGCAGACAAGGCAACCCTGAGCTGGGAACCGCCCAGCAGAGAGCGGGTCGAGAATTTGATTGAGCAATTCGGCCGTGATGATGATGACCGAGGGACAGCACATGTGGCTTCTGGTGGTCGGCATTGATTGCTGCCAGTGTACATCTACGAATGAGCATACGCGGTGCATAGCGTTGTGGACTTGGTGTGCGCGTCCATTGATGATGTGCGATGTAATTTCAGGTATGTGTCGTTAACAGATGCAGGATCGTGTATATAGAACGCGAGAACTCCCCATGGGCTTACAGACGCAGATTTCGTGAGTGATTAGCTGTTGCGATTTGCTCCTCTGACGTACAGTACGCAGCGATGAGGTTTTGTGGACGCCTTCTAACCTCACCGTGAGAATTTCAGCTGGGTCATTTTCATGTCGAGAATCACTAATAAGTCCGGAGACCACTAGCGAATTCTTTCCGTGATCTTGATCGCGTAAACGTATAGTCGACCTCTGGCCGAGAAACTATTCCGTCAACATCCAGTCAAGTTTGGTCAAGTTTGGTCACTTGAGGTAGATCGAGGACAATTGCTCGAGAAGATTTTGCCCGCATGAGTGCCTAAGTGCTGAATTGCAGCTGCATATAGGAGCATATCCCTGCGAGTGAAGGATTTCAAGTCCATTGTATCTCCTACACAAACTTTTGGCAGTGATACTGCGTTCAATATGTTTCTTGGAATATTGCTAAGAAGAATTCTAGAAGGTCGAGCCACTAGCAGTCTTCACAAGAGGAAGAGTCTCGACTTGCATTCTCGTCATCCTGGTCGACCTCGCTTTGCCGAATCTGCTTGTCGTGCCTCTTGTCCTGACATCGTTCCAGCTGCAGGACCTGCGCTGTTCTCTTGCCTACGCCTTCCTCAGCCTTGCCCTTCTGGACCGCTCTTTCCTCAGCTGCTACTTTGCCGACTGCTCCTGCCTCAACCGTTCTCTCCTCGAAAGCTCCTTCTTTCTGCATGCGGTTGTCTACCCTCAGCGTACTTTCCTTTACATCTCAATTCTTCCGTCGCCGTAACGACGAGGAGGCGACCGTGGCTAAGAATCGTCAAGGCAGTATGCAGTTCAACGTATCGACGATGTCGATTCCGTTGCACGGCTCTGGAAGTCGAAAGGTGAACCAAAGTCGCCGGAGAGCAGAGTTGTGTTCTTGAATCTCGCATTATTATCCCAGAATTTACACTGTACCTTGTCCGGATGTTCTCTCGGACGACTGCCCGTCTCCTTGCGAGATGTCACCTTCGTCTTCTGCACATGACGACGTCCATCTATGAAAGCACTTTGTAAGCCAGACAGGAGCTTGTAGAGTCCAAGTCCTCGCGCTGTTCCGCCATCCTTTCTCCACGACCATGAAGGCCTAGCTCTTCGTCACAGTCCGCAGTTATATGCTCTGTCATCTGTACTGCTAAGTAAGTCGCGACTCGTCCCTATCGACGTTCTGCGCGACGCCCGACCGGTCGCCCACCGATCGTCCACTGACCCCACTTCCCTAGCGTCCCTCATTCTAAGCGACAGCACTGCTCTTTCCGACCTCCTCTAAGCGACAGCACTGCCCCTGCCAACGTCCAGATTCTCGTACCCCTCAACCTTCGTCCCGCCCACATGCCCACCGACCTCATCAGCAAAGACATCAATATCGTACTTGGCGAACTTTCGTGCAGCGATACGTCGCTCGAACATGAGGTCCAGTTCGGCGAAGGACCGGCCGCGTGGTTCGGGTACGCGGAAGTAGGTGTAGATGATGCAGAGGAAGCAGATGCCGCCCCAAAAGAAGCCGGCGTAGTTGCCCCTGTGTTGACAATAAGTGAGACGGGGGACTTAGACGACATTGAGAGGATTTGCGCGGACTCGAGCAGATTCGGGAGGGGTGTGAAATAGGCGGGAGTAAGAAGGGGTCGGACATACCAATTCCACTCGCCTGGGTTGAGCATGTACGGGGTCAGGACGTTGCAGATTATGGCGACGATATTGTACCTAGATAGTTGTCAGTGTTGAAGTCGTTCCACTCTGGAACAAGTTGGCAAATAGGCCGGGCGAACGCGCAAAGTCACATACATGATCCGTCCGAGCGCGACAGTCTTGATTTGCAATCGTCGGGTGCTGAGTTCCGCGACCAAACCTGTAACCCGAGTCAGCGGTTTTCTCACTGTGACCAAAAAGTCGAGGGTGCAGGTTGGGTAAGCATACTGTAACAGACCGTCCCGACCGTCAACTGGTAGCACAAAGCCCACACCAGCATGATGCTGCCCGTGGCAAGAGAGGAAGCATTCTTGTCGCTTGCGAGTCCGAGGAAGCCCATGATCATCAACATGGTGCATAGTCCACATTGCCCATACAGGTAGAGGCTCCTTCGGCCAACACCCCAGCTCATGAGCGCCCACGCGCCGAAGACGCCGACCATGTTGATTCCGTATTGGCCGAGGGTGAAGCTGATGGCGTTCTCGGGGGCGAGTCCGGCTTGTTCGAGGAAGTATGCTGCACGTTCATGTCAATGGGTGCGTTCCAAGCAGAGGAGAAATTTCCATTGGGAAAGTCCCTATGTATGGACCTGTGCCCGCTCACACATGAAACAGGGCAGGGAGCAGGACTCACTGGAGTAACCCGAGAACGAATTCCCGCTCAGATTCTGAATGGCCCACACCATGCAAACGATTTCCGTCCGGCGAAGATCGGCACCTCGAAAGCAGTCGACATAGCTCGCACCCTTGGTGATTTTCTCCTCAAGAGCTGTTGTGTGAACCATCATGCTACTGTCTCGTCGGCGTCAAAGTCGGTCTCGCGGTTGAGGGAGGTAAGACGCAACAAAGAGTGTTTGGCTTTGTCGATTCGATTCTTCCTTACTAGCCACCAGGGAGACTCTGGTGCAAGGAATACTGCTATGGCTAGTGGGAGCGGCCACATCCCTGGGCGATGATTTAGTATGTAGATCTTGTGCAGCTTAATTTGCCCCTTTCGAGGGGCATGGCGAGGGAGTGACAACTTGGGAGGCTATGCTCACATTGAAGGGCGTAGGGGATCTGCAGGTGTTTGGTTAGCCTGAATCAGAAATCCGGGCATCGCAAAGGATAGGGAGGAGATGGGCTTGAGGCTAGGTAGTCGTCAAATCACCGCCAGCAAGTTTTCAAAGCTAACGGCGCCTCGATCAGGACTTCGTTGAATTCTGAGACATCATCCGAGACAAGGGTAACTGATGCTGTGCCAATATTGTCTGCTGGTCGACTAATGCTTTAGGCTGACGAAAAGCGGATAGACTTACCCTGTACGCCCACTGATCCCGCCTGTTAATCATTGCCTTGACAATGCCAACGCCGATGACTTGTCCCAAGCCCCAGCAGAAGTTCTGTTACTATCAGTCGCCGGCCCAGCGGAGTAGGGCATCAAACTCACCACCCAGGTCGTGAGATACCCACGTAGTGCGACGGGGCAAACCTCAGATGCGTACGTGATGGTTAATGTTTGGAAGACACTGTCCATAATAATGTCAGCGAATGCTGTGTCAAGGTCCAAGATTGGCGTCATGCATTCCGGACGCTCGGAAGCGGCTTCACTCACCCCCAAGGAATACCACACAGGATCTCAGCGACTTGTAGGATCTCAACACTCTGGGCTGTGAAGAACAGAGCATAGAGGCCTGTGAGTAGAGCCAAGCATCCCAGCACCGTGTAGCGGTACCCGATCTTCTCGCTGACCCATCCATTCAGCATCAGACCGATGATCTCACCAACGACAGCGCCATTGCTGAGTCCTGCCTGCCATGGTGCGGTCACTTGATAGTCCCCATCCGGTAGCTGCTCGCCGTATTTCCGTCGGAACTGTGGCATGGCATCTGAGGATTCCGAGTCAGCTTCGTCGGCTAAAGCGTAGGAGACCTCTTACAGAATGTGTTGAGCAGGCACAAGTCGACTGGCGTAGAGCATTCCGGTCAGCTACATCGTGGAACTCCTTCGCATATCGAGGAAACAGTTGTGTTTTCGCAAATACTTACAGCCTTCCATGGCGATGCATAGACTGATCTGCATTGTGTGGTTAGTACCAACGAAGTCGCGCATTCGGACAAAGGGCCAGTGGCTGCTAGTTGACTCATGGACATTATTGCTGCGAGTAGTCCTGAAGATGTCGGCGTTCAAGGCGGTCACTTACGATCATACTCCATCCTACCTATACCGTGGTCAGTAAGATTCAGCAAGATCCGTTTTGATCTGTAGGTTTCCATGCACAGCAAGCGTCTCTAGGTACGTACAGCTTTTGGATACAGCCTCAGACCCTGCATCAAGGTCATCTTGTGTTCCTTGTCCGTCGCGGCTTTGGCGTTGCGAATTAGCAGACTGGCTCGGCGGTCTGCGTCGAGGTGGTCCGGGCTCTGCGCATCGTTGTCGGAGAGATGCTCGACGCCCTTTCGATCGTCGATACCTTTCTCGGTGGCCATGGTCACGATCGCGTGTGATTTGTGACGGCGACACGCTGGTGGGTATCCTGAGGCGGCAGCAAGGAGTGTCAATACCAACTAGGGAATTAAGAAGAAAATTGGCGGTCGGCGCTCGTGACCTTCGTTTCTCCAGGTGTCCACTACAGAGTGGGGATCGCAGACGTTGCACCCGCAGTCCTGGGGCTAGTTGGATATGGTTCGAGCTTCTTCTGTCACAAATCACAGTCCTAGATGTTGGTAGCATGATGGACGCGCTTGACGTGTACAGAATAACATACTGTCCGAGCATAGACGCTCCTGAGAAGACGGAGCGAGTGTTTGGAATTCATCGGTCATTGTGCCACACGCGCCATCTCTTGCAGGATAAATTTCCGCAGGCCACGAAGAATTCGCGTTGAATTGTGGGGTGCAGGCCGATCTCCGATGCTCAGTGGCTGTTGGACATCGATGTCCTCTGGTCGTTCAAGGTGCTTACAATATGCGGTCGGCTATTGTCAACTCTTAGGGCGTCTAGGTCATGTGTGCCCAGGGGATGCTTAAGGTAGCTGAAGCTTTTAAAACCCTGTCGTGTATGCAGTATTTTGTAGATCTCAAGTTAAAATACTACCTTAGCACTTTTGTCGAGCTCTCCTCATTCGAAGCTATGTACGCGAAGTTTCTGAGACGCAAGTGAATTAATAGCAACTTTCATGTCAACTATTGCTTGGTCTCAGAGGCTGCACCTGTTTTGCGGGTGTCATCTGGAATCGGTTTCAGACACCTGGTTAGAAGACCACGCCAAATTCAAGCCATTTCAAGCAAATTCCTCAGCATCCCACTCAAACTGGAAATCTGTCATTCCGCAAGTGCCTCCAGGTCGAAGCCCTGGGTTCACTGCTGCTGTTCAAGCCTTACAGCGACTTGACTTGGACCTCCAAGGGCTCTCTCGCGCCGTCCGTCCTGACCTTGTGCCCCAGAAAAATGGCCTCGCAAAGCAGTTGAAAATCCTCGTCACTGCCCTTCACGACCCGAATGTCATCCCCTACATCCTGCACATTGGCGAGGAGCACAGCTTTTGGTGTTTCCGATCAGCCTTGCACCCACTGCTTGCGCAAACAACTTCTGTACGCTGTTGCATTCAAGCCACGAGTTTCGTCTGACTTCTTCGCCTGCGTCATTCACAAACTTCACAGTCACCGCGAAGTCGATTACCATGTCATCGTGTGGGTGGTTTCCAGCGATACAGTCTCGTCCTTCCTGGGCGCTCGCCATGGGTGCTTGAAGAGGCGAATTGCCGTACAAATCGTACAGCGCGTTTGGAGCAAGACCGAGACGGGCTGGCCGTAGACTCTCTCGCCTCAACGCATCTCTGGCGAGCAAGTCTTGGATGGTTTGGTGTCCATTCACAGCACCATCATTCTGGTCTCGCGAGGGCACTGGACCTTGACCACGTTGCTGATGATGAGATTGACGCTGACTATGAAATTGTCGATGTGGAGTACGTGGTTGCGCACCGTCAACTTGTGCAGGTTGAGGTACACCCCGCGTCGTTGTTTCAAACGGCGGATGATATGAACCTGGTGCTGGTAGAGGATAGCGAGGTGCTGGATACTGGTAACCTGGAGGCGGGCGGCGAGGGGAATCGGTAGGAGAAGATGGACCATCTAGACCTGTTTCGCTCTCGCTGTTGCTTTAGTCAGTTATGGCTGCTTTAGAAGGGGAACAAAGGCTGTGCTTACCCTGCTTGTTGCGGAAGTTGGACTGGAACGGGTGCTGTAGGACTGGGCGTGCTCTGCACTGAAGGATTCGTTCTGGCACTCGTCTGTCTCAGCCTCGGGCGTCCCCAGGTTGTGAAACTTGGATCCCAAGTCGTTGGTCTAGGGAAAGGCTCCAACTCCGCTAGCTCAGCAGAGAATTCAAAGACTTTAGACGAAGGCCACCTGTCGGTATCTTGGTCAGATTCAGAATCTGGCTCGAATTCAGAGACCTTTTCGTCTCCGTCAAGTGGAGCACGTGACTGAGAACGCCTCGAGCGCTTCTTGCTAGAAGAAGAGCCTTTGTGGGCCTTGCGCTTGGAGGACATGTCGCGGATGGGTTGTGAAAGAAACGGATGATAATATCTGGTCCGTTGGAAGGGAAAGATCGAAACCTGGAGTGGAAGGTTGAGGGTGGAAGAGAATGTAAACAATGTCGAGAGAGAATGAGAAATTTATAGTCGAGAGGCAAGACTAACTCTGATGTAGTCACCGTGAACAGCCACGAGCAGGAGTAGTCACTGCTCTCGAGTGATCATGGCGACCTGCAAAATTCACTGTTCGTGAACACAAAGCGAGCTGCCTCTGAGGCACAACAGAAGCATCATAAACACCAGCTTTGCTTCCTCACAGTTTGAGCTATAGGATTATTCCATCAGCTATATTCAGGCAGGAGATGGGACAACGTACAAAGACATTTATCTGGTCAAGACTATCAACACCAGCAGGTGCACCTCCAGAGGGTCGGTCTCAGATATCACTTGGACGAAGGTGTCTGCTTGAGCTTCCGAACCAGCGTCAAACTACACGGAGCCTTGACAAATACGGCAGTGACGCGACCTTCGTTAGTCATTGCCCATGGACAAGCTCCTTTGACCGTGTTATTCCTTTGAGACACCCAGGAGCGACTGAGTGGTGGGAATCATGACTGTTGGGCTGCTCTGAGAAGTCACTCCTGTTGGGGATTCGTGTCGCAGGAGGTGTAGGACGCGCCCTCTGATTGTTGGCACAAAGGTGCGGGCGATGGATTCAGAAGGACATGCAGTGTTATTGATAAGCTTGACAAGATCGAGTTCTGGTGTCTCGATTCCTGGTCCCTCGCCAAAGACAATATGATTGGCGAACATGGCCTGCAAGAACCATGTATGGCTTCACAGGACTGATTGAGACCAACATCAGAATCATCGTCCCAGGTGTCGCAGCAATGCCTGTAATTGTTGTCAATCGTCAGAAGCCCAACCAGGTTCTTGGAGGCAAGCGCGGTCAGTGCTCAGGCAAAGTCAGAACTGTGAGAGTGCTTTCGAGCTTCAACGCATCAATGAAGCGAACATAAGGTTTCCGGATTCTCGGCAAGATCTAATTTGGGCCTGGAGCGTGGAGGGTCTGGCGGGCCCTACTGGCTGGCTTGCTTTGCAGAAAATAGGGACAACGAAAAAGCCTACGACAGAAAACTAAACATCCACATCTGTAGCTCAGCCCCTGAAGGGGTTTATTTCGTGAATCAGCACCTCGCAGAGAGCTGAGTGTATAGAATTATCGACAGCACCTCCTGCTATCCTGCTTGATGAGCGATATTGCTTGGCCTCACCCTCAGCCCCGCTGCCAAGGATGCATATAACCTGCCTGTGAGTTGTTCCTTGGGACAGCAGAAAGAGCAACAGAGTATTAGAATGTCCGATTGTTGACGCGTTTGCAGGCTCAACTCAACGCGGTCTTACAGTGTCCCTGCTTGAGCTCTTTGTTACAACCACTACTCCATGGATCCCTGATTACAACACATACATTGTCCAAGACAATGCTCCCTCTCTTCCTTTTCACCTTTGTGGCCCTGGTGGCAGGGTATGTCGTCCGGGATGGCAATGACTGCCATTTGTACCCGGAAGAGTCCCTGCCTGGTGCTGGGCCGATGGACGATGTCCCTTCCATATACGAGGCTTTCAGTCAGTGCGGCCACAGCGGTCGCGTAATCTTCGAAGAAGGCACTTTCCACGTCAATCAAGTTCTTAACACCACTGGGCTGAAGGACTGCGATGTCATCTTGAAAGGGGAGCTTCTCTTCTCAGCCGACATTCCTTACTGGCTTGCAAACAGTCTCTGGGTGGTCTACCAGAATCAACACACGGCATGGCTATTCGGAGGCGAGAATGTCAGATTTATCGGTCAGGGTGGTAGCTTCAATGGCAATGGACAGGCCTGGTACACACAAAACCAGAACAGAGCAAATCAGCCGGGTCGACCGATTGCAATCACGTTCTACAACTCGAAAAATCTTGTGGTCGACGGTCTGTCCTTCATCCAACCACAGTTCTGGGTGACGCTTATCTGGGAGAGCGAAGATGTCACGATGAGAAACATTTACGTATCTGCCCACAGCGATGACCACAACGGATGTGTCAACACCGATGGTGGCAATACCTGGAACTCGCGTAGGGTCACTTTTGAGAACTGGTTCGTCCGCAATGGCGACGACTGTATCGCCGTCAAAGGCAATAGCTCGGACATCTATGTCCGTAATGTGACTTGTGTCAGCGGCAACGGGATGACGATCGGCTCCGTTGGCGAGTATCCCAAGTTCCCCGACTATGTTGAGAACGTCCTGTTCGAAGACATTACCATCCGGGATACAATGCAGGCCGCGTACATCAAGACCTGGCAGGGTCAACCAGCGGATCACTCTGGAAATGGAGCAGGAGGCGGTGGCGGTGCTGGCATAGTCCGCAATGTCACCTTTCGAAACTTCGACGTCGAGAACTCGGCACTACCCATACAGATCTCACAGTGCATCTATACTGAGGACGGCCAGAATTGCGACTCATCGCGGATGCAAATATCCGAGATCACATGGGAGAATTTCAAGGGCACGTCCAGGTACAACATTGCCTCTTCGATCCACTGTGCCGCTGGACATCCATGTCCAGACATCTATTTCAAAAACGTTGACATCAAGTCAATAAACGAGACTCGTGGCCTGCCACTGACTCATACGGATCTTCGATATGAAGTTTATCAATGCGCCAACATCGTCAACCAGAACACGACCAGTGGCATCAAGTGCAATCTTTGGGCACCGAACAACTTTAGTCAGCTTGTGCACAGGAATGTGGCCTCACACGGGTATAGGGAAACAGACAGCCCACGAAAACGGGCCAAATTTGCTTTGCGTGTTTTTCACAAGGTGGCAGATGTGGTGCAGGAGGTCAAGCATATGCTTATCGCGCCTTTCATTCGAACTTAGCCAGCGATCTTGCATGGAAGACACATTTAAAATATGTTTGCAGCCTGCGAGCGGGAGCGTTTTGGGCGTTGGAATCAGGACGACAGACAATTCTGTGATCGTCCAGGGCTAATAGCTCGAGATATCTTTGTACACAAGCATTCTTCCCCTATATGGCGGGACTACATGAGTATGACATTGCGTAGATGCGTGGGATGCGTAGATCTCTACTACTTAACATGTATTCTTGCAGTCAGCTTCTGTCTGAGCTGTGTGTTCATGGGCGATTGCTCACAAGCCTGGTACAGAGAGGCCCCCGGGCCCAGCTTTGAATATTCAAGATCTTGGGGACTAGAGTGCCCTGTCGACCACCGTACTTTCAGGTACCGAATCTTCTGTCGTGTGCCAATCACTCGGGCCCTAAAGTTCCGCTGCATGTGATGCTTAATGACGGCACCGGCTCGTGAACACCGGATAGTCACGCATCATCATGTGTTCGTCACTTCGCAAAGTGATTATCACATCCGCGGTCGCAACCCATATCGCGGGCTGCAGTACATAAGTCTGAATCCTGGCCCTAGTCATGAACGCCCCGCACTCAGCTGCGCAAGCAATGCCGAACACGACAAGACGATAGCATTCGACCGTCATGGTACCTTCCACCCTCAATCCTCGGACGAGTCGGTACTGACACACTGCAGCTTCTGTGCCATCAGCATGGCTCGGTCAAGGTTGGCGAGGTCGTGCGCTTCACCTTGACCTACACTCCGGCCCTGGACCGCATTCTGCCGCCGCCAACGCATCTGCACGTGAAGGTCAAGAACACCTCCGCGGTGCCTCTCCGTGCAGCCTATCTGCATGGCCCTTATACCATCTACGCTGCCTGTTACCCAGCCACGTATGACTCAACCAAGAATCACACACGATCTGTCCAGATCGAGGGCGCTCCCGACTACGAACCCCAGCTCAAGGCTGGTGGTCACTGGTACTCGAAACTAGTGGTCCCAGAGGAGATACGCAAAGATGCAGATCAGTCATTCTTCGATGGGCCGCACAAGGCAGAGCGCAAGAGCTTCACCTGGATCATCGAGATCGCATCACAAGTTCTCTTCTCGACCACGGCTGCTGTGCACTTTGAACTTCTAGTTGGCCGCGATGCGAAGTCGGTAGAATTAGGTTTTCACGGTGTGGTGGGCTCCAGTCAAGGTGTGCCGGGACGACTCGAGGACCATCAGCAGGGACGAGATCGGAACTCGGCGCAGGCAAAGGGCGTCTTCTCCAAAGCCGTGCGCCTGGTGGTAGATGATACCGAGAGCTTGTGGAATTCCCCGCCATTTCCGACGAACGATCAAGAGTCTCAGAAGGCAGATGTCAAACGTGCTCAGCAAGGCGGCAAGCGAGAGGTTGAAGAGAAGAGTGAACGCAATGCCAAGAAACAGAAGAAGATACACTTAGTCCTGTTGACACATGGTCTGCATAGTAATGTGGGCGCTGACATGCTGTACATGAAGGAAAGCATCGACAATGCGGTTCGACAGGCGAAGGAAAATGCCAGACGCCGCAAAGCCGAGAAGGCTGCTGCACCCAACACTGGTGTTGGCAAACAGCTGAGGTCAGACACGCGATCCGCGTCGGTTCCGGAACTTGTGATTGCTCCAACCGAGAAGCATGAGCAGGACAATGAGGATGAGGATTCCGACGACGAAGAAGAGACTCTGGTCCGAGGTTTCAATGGCAATGCTGTTAAGACAGAGAAGGGCATTCAGTATCTTGGCAAACGCTTTGCGAAGTACGTCCTTCTGCTCACTTATCCCAACCAGCCATATCTACCAGTGAAGAGCTCGATATCAAAGTCGATCACGCGATCGTTGTCCGTTCAGCTGGGCTCGAGTGACAAGAAGAAGGACGCGCCGAGCGGGTCAGACAGTGGCAGAAACCCGATACATAAAAACAGCACCATCATGAAAGACGAGAAGCATACTCATCACAAGGACGACTTGCCGTACAAGATCACGAGCATCAGCTTCATTGGCCATTCTTTGGGAGGATTGGTTCAGACCTACGCAGTAAGTCCCGCCACGATTTGACATTCTTGTCTTCAACAACATGAGCATGTCACTGACAGCAAACAGATTGCGTACATCCAGAAACACTCACCCGAATTTTTTGATCTTATTAGGCCTGTTAACTTCATCGCCCTCGCCACTCCATTCCTCGGCCTCAGCAACGAAAATCCCATGTACGTGAAGTTCGCTCTCGACTTCGGGCTGGTAGGACGCACAGGCCAGGATCTTGGACTCTCCTTCATCGCTCCGACGCGTTTTGCGAAGCATAGCTGGACCACAGTAATGAACGGACTTGGGGTGGGGGACACGAAACGTGACAAGAACACGCCAGATCCCGCATCGAAGCCATTACTCAGGATTCTACCAACGGGACCAGCTCACGTTGCTTTGCGAAGGTTCCGCCATCGGACTGTGTACGCGAATGTTGTCAATGATGGCGTTGTTCCTTTGCGGACCTCCTGTCTGTTGTTTCTCGACTACCGAGGCCTCGGCAGGGTAGAGAAAGCAAGGCGGGACAATGGCTTGGTCGGAACAATTCTCGAATGGGGTTGGACAGAAATGATGGGCCAGAACGCTAGTGCTCCGCGGAAGTCGCTCGGACTCATGGACGTGTTCAACGACAGTGACAACAACAGTACGAAATCAGCAACTGACAACGCCGATGCAATGGCAGATCCCCAATCACGGGTCCCGCAGGCTGATGCGGGTCAAGCGTTGGACGATGCCGACGGGACTGAGCCAGGCCGTGGTCAATTCCTTGATGGCAAGTCCTTGCACGATGACGTCCATCGTAGTCAAGGCAATGAGGCCAAGGAAGATGCTAGTGAACAGACTTCAAATATGTGGTCTGGTCTGCTATCATTCTTTCGTCCCCAAGCAGGCAAGCAGAAACCCACCACGAAGAAATCTCAACGTATGTACAACAGAGGACAGACCATGTTACAACACACAGACAAAAGCGACGACACGGGAGACGCTAGTCCGCAAGAAGAATCGAGCAGCGAGAATCCCCGTAAGGCTATGGTCCGCGGACCCTCCCTGTACTCATCCAAGTCGGGCCATGACGGCCTGGAAGCACCGCCGAAATCAACCGTCTTCGAGTCTGCAGCTGATCTGTTACATCCACCACTACCACCTAAGGAGTTCATACTTGACCCTGCTGCACGTCCCAGAACCATATTCCATGACCGTGTCTATCATCCCGACGACATTCCAGCGGCTCCCGTGAAGAAGCAGCGCACGTTCCTCAGAAGAGCGTCCTCCAAGGACAGCGACCTTTCTAACGCTGGTAACGACAGCTCACAGATCACTCGACCGCCATCACAGCAAAGCGATGTGTCAGAGGTGGGCTCCATGCGGATAGAAGAGAAGATTGCGAGGGCTTACCACAAAGATCTGACGTGGCGCAAGGTTCTAGTCCGGCTCGAGCCCGATGCGCACAACAACATGATTGTGCGGAGGATGTTCGCGAACGCCTATGGCTGGCCAGTCGTGCAACATCTGTGTGATACGCACTTTGGCTACACTGCTACTGCGTACGCGCGAGATGAAGAGCTTGAATCCGAAGAACGCGCGAAGCCGCTTGACGCCGAAACTCATGCCCATGGCGAACACGTCGAAGGGCAGAAGGAGCCACCGAGCGAGGAGCAGACTCGGCCGCGGAGCCAAAGCATCAAGAAGCCTCAAAAATCAGCAACGATGAACGATCTGTCAGAACTGCCACAAGGGCCTAAGGAGATCGACAAGATGCACGCCAATCTCTCCCCACCGATCAGCCCTCAGCGGACTCAAGACACGACTTCACCTGCAGCTGGTGCTGGTGCACCTGTCACCTCAAGAACAGCAGAGTTGTCAAAATCATCAACCCGCAGCCGGACTGAGTCCGAGGCCCGCGAAGCTCGTGACGAAGTCTCTGACCTTGTGTCCCGCGTCACTGCCTCGGGTACGCTCTCGACCGAGTCCTCAGGAAGCTCAAACACAACCTTCTCGAACCTGAAGTCTTCTCGATCCGCACTGAAGGATATCGTGAGACAGGACTCGGGGCGGTGGAGTGATCGTTTCTTTGAGGATGACGAAGGAGAAAGTGATGAGGAGGGCGAGGATAAGGCCTTTGTGGAGGAGATGAGGAGGGCGAGGGAGCGTGGAGAGACGGTGAGTGGGAGGGAGGTGCTGGGTGAGGCGTTCGATGGTGGACTGGTTGGCGAGCCGGGTGAGATGACGCCGAAGGATGAGAGGGAGATGGCGAAGAAGCAGGAGGGAGAGCTTGATGATCAAACGCTTGCACTGACGGGCGTTGCAATGGCTGGTGAAGTTGGACTGGGGAAGAGGGTTGTGGGCCAGGTCGAGGCGCCCGAAACGACTGGTGAAGCCAAGTCAGTGAAGTCAGGTGAGGAAGGAGTATCTAGCAAGGCCAGAGTGAGCAGTGTCAGAGTTGGCGAACATGTTGCGGGCACAGCGGTCAGCAAGAGCTCGGAGCGAGACTGAGAAGTCGGGCTTATGTCGAGCCGGTTGACACTACCACCTGTTAATCAGCCTTGGTGCCGGGATTTGGAGGGAATACCCTGTGAGGTGGGCTCTAGGTCTCTACCTGCTCCTTCAGATAATTCTCCAGGACGAGGTCCAGAGGGCTAATTGGACAGTAAGCACAACGTGTAGAAGCGATTTGCGATGACAGGTTGGTCTGTGAAATCACTGGAGTGTATATATCCTATCTGTATATCCATGCAAAACTCGCGATCTACATGACAATACCGCCTTCATTGGCATAATTACGTGCTCTAGAAATGCCCGTTAAATGGGCACGACGACCTCAACGACCCGCCTCCCGTCCATCCCCATTCCCGGCAGCATATTCACTTCCGCCCACCCACTGCCCTCCTTCCCGTCTCCCGCGACCTCGATGATCTTCCCATCGACGCATACCTCCCTGTATATTCCCTCCTGTTCCAGGAACTCGATTCGTAAGCCGTCGATCTCTTCATACAGCACGCTTGGATCTTTCACATGCGCACCGTCCTGGTACGCGAGCGTTAGGATGCGCGTGATTTCTGCCGCGGTGGTGGATTGTGGAGTGGGCGGACGGATGGCGACTAGGCGGAGGCTGCTTGAGAGTGGTGTGCTTGAGGGTGAGATTTTGAAGGTCTGCTCTAAGTTTGAGACGAGGGATGTGAGGATGTAGGCATGTGTGTCCGCAGGCAGCGGTTGTGTTGACTCGGCAGACTCCGCAGTCGTCGTGTCCGAGGGTGAAGGTGAAGGATAAACCAGCTCCTCCCATTCTCCGCCCCGCTGCCTCCGCACCTTCACCCGCGCCTTATACTGATGCGCCTCCTCAAGCAGCTTCCCCGCCGCCATTTTGAAGCGCTCAACCCCATGCTTCCGATACTCCGTCGTGTCAGACATGCTTACCAGACTAGCATGCAATCCCCACGAGAACACCACAGCGCCATACACCACCGCCGCATCATCATCATAGTTCAACCCCAACTTTTCCCTCTTCCTCCCCTCATCCACAACCAACCGACTTCCCGGACTAAACCTCGCCTCGAACTGCGGCAACGGCCTCGCCCTCCCCTCCAGCATAACCTTCACCGGATCCGCCGCCAGTCCCGAGCTCCACGCCAATGCATTCGCCGTGCCCAAGGGAAACAGCACCAACACTGGCCTCACGAAGATCGAGCCCACGCGGTTATCGTACGTATCTCGCATCAGCAAGGTAGACAACGTGTTGACAAAGTCGCGGGCCCGCCATCGCCGGAGAGCAAGAGAATGGTCTGCTTGGCGCCTTTGGTGCAGGCGGGGAGGATCTTGGCGGTGATGAGGTCGATGATGGATGTGGCGGAGGTGGTGGTGTGGACTATGTGGGTGATGGAGTGGGTGGATAGGAGGGGTTCAAGGGTGGAGGCGTAGTAGGAGGAGGCGGACCGGGCGCCGGAGGCGGTGCTGATTATGACGTAGATTTGGCGGTCGGGGAGGAGGTGTGGTGGGAGAGGTGGGGAGGTGGCCATGGTCGTTGGGATGGAGTTTGGAAGCCGGGATGTGGTCAGAAGTTCCGAAGTTACACAGAGATGTTGGCGCTTGCCTGGCAGGTGGAGGTGTCTGGTGAGCGGAAGCAGTTGCTTTGTGATGGTACTCGGGTAGAGTTTCCTGTAAATGCGGATGTGTGCCCGAAATCAAAGTGGTGCCACTCGCTGGATGCTGCTCGGTCAGTGACAACGTCGGAGATAAAGGCCAATAAGTGTTTTGAGGTGTCCTTTGAATTGCTGAGGAAGTGACTGTCGAAGGCGGGTGTGAGTGAGATGCAATACAGCGTTTTGGCATCGTGTCTCGATTAGGCAGCTGCTGTTCTCCCATGTTTGGGAAGCTGCTATTAAAATTGAAGTCCTCAGCTGCTTTGCTGTCCATCACTTACGCGACTAAGACAAACAAAACTTCTCATTGACAAGGACAGCATGTCTGCTCGTCTTGCAAGATCGCGGCCAAATCGATGAAGCTCAACCGGGCGCTCTTCCAGCCTTGCATGTCAAAAGTACATGCCACCGGCATTCACCGACGCCGGATATTGCCCGAAAGGCACGGCCCATGCCTGAAGTGCCCAGCTTCCGCCTGAAATGGCCCGATTCCCGGCGGACGGTGACGTACAAGCTCGACCAGTGGTGCGTCGCGTCGGGCACTCGAGCACTGGCATAACGCCATGTGCTCGACTCCTCGTCCATCGGCTAGACACCACGAACACTCCATCGTCCAAGTGTCACGCTTGCAAAAGTTCACACGCTAAGAGGTGACGACCGCCCTTCTAGGCATCTGCAACCCTGTTCGTTATACCTCCGCGTGACTTTTCTAAGTCCATGAACCACATGTCAGTCGGTCCAGCCGTAAGGAACTACTGGCTTGACGTACAATGGCCCAATGATGGCAAAGGGAGTGGTGCGCGAAACATGCCGTCCTGACCCATACTAGGCTCTGCGATTGGAGTTCGTCAGGTTTTGCCGCTATTAACCGTATCGCTTCAAGCCACCGAGGCAATACATGGGGGTGGATGACTTGTCGACGAGGATGTTGTTCCTAGTGCCTTCAGCACTCGAACATGATTTGTGCACTTCCGCACTCGATGTGCTGACCGGTTTACTGGGACGCATATCATTCGACGGTGTTTCTTCACAACACGGATAGACAGCACAGAAGCCCCGCTGTGTTCGAACTATGACCGAAGCCGTTTCGACACCACAATCAGGTGTGCGGCTCTGCTCGATAGCCCCGCGCCTGAAGTCGCTCCATCCGATGGCCCCAGAACTACGAGGCCTACTTCTACTTGTGCGCCTGATTGCGTTCCTTTGCTTTTGCCATCAATGGAACTTTCGCCAGTGCCACCAATACACCATCATTGCAACTCAACCAAGACGGGGGCCAGTTATCTCGAACAAGCTTGCTCACCACTAAAGTGTTCTAGGTTCCAGGGCGCTGGAACCTGTAAGACCGACTCAACGATCTCCGCGCCAATCAGCGTATCGCATAGCCTCACTTAAGCCGTGTAAGAGGCAAAACGCCCCAGGAACGCGCAGATGGATTACTATGGTAAGCTTTCACCACGATCAGCTTGGTACTTTCGTAACCAATGTGGGCAGATAGTCGAGAAAGGCGGCATGGACCTGTTACCCCAGGCCCGAAACGCGGTGTTGTGACAACGAGCTACGGTCCACCTCTCACCAATGAGGCGTATTCCACGGCCCGTAACGCAGCTAGTATTCAGGTACCGAGGTCACAAGGTCGATCGGACAAGTACTACCCAGACACGGCTGCCTCAGGCCACAAGCGGAGACAGGATGCGCATCTGCCGTTGGTGGCCAGTACTCCAATCAGAGCTCGACAACTACAACCAGTCGTCGAGACTCTGCCTCCAGAACTCATGACCTAGACGACCACAGAGGGTACGCGGGCCGCCGCTCTGGCTACGCCCTATCTGGACATCGTGAGCCAATCGAGGAGGACTCTGATTCTGATGTCAGTCGCCTTATAGGGGCTAAAGCAGGAAAAGGCAGCACGCTAGTTCGCCATACGTCGGACAGCCAATCTCGGCATCCCCCAGATCTCTCCAGAAAGTCTCACTTGACTCAGCAACCACAGCGCCACGAACGATCGGACAAGAATGCTACTGGTGTCAGAAGTTCGAAACACAGTTTTGGGGCTACTGGTTACGAGCCAGCATCAGCGAAAGATCTCCCTCATTATGCTAAGGGGTCTGCGCGCCACGACAGTGATCATCGAACCAGCACTGGTCGTTCAGAGCGCCGGCCATCCACGCTTGGCAAGCAGCCAGACCGAGAATTGACTGACAGGCGGAGACAATTCGACGAGAAGGCTGTCGGCGACTCAGGCAGCTCCGATAGCGAATTCGCAGACAGGCCGCGCAAAGGAGCTTCTCACAAAAGTTCCGGACGCCACACTAGTGACGCTAAGGCTCGCGACCATCGAACAGCCACTGGACGCTCTGAAGCCAGGCAAATAGCCACTTCGAATCGACATGCAGACAAGGTACAAGATGACGATTCTGTCTCATCTGGTGGGTCCGTGAGCGGTACCTTTGGCGCCAGTGGCCGTCGTAAATCAAGTCCTGATCGTGGCAACCACAGCGCTCTGCTGGTGGATAGTGCCCATGCCATCAGTCGACAACGCACTCATCCAGGACATCCGCCCGTCGCTCGAGAGCCCTGCCTAGCCACGGGTCTCGTGCCGGCATTGCGCAGAAGGCCAACGAGGCAAGAGCTCGAGACAAGCCGTCCACGCGGGGCAGGCATGATCATTCGGACGATGACAGGCTTCCTAAGAAGCAGTCCGCAGCTCGCGGCTTGTCACCTCCGAGCAAGGCGAACGATCGACGCCCGTCGAAGTACTCAGCGTCGGAATCGGGTACCGAGACTGAGTCGGACAGTCATGTGGGTCGGGGCCCGAGCAGACACCACGGCAGACGTGAATCACACTCTGCAGCAATTCCACGTGGGTCCGCGAAGGACTCACATCGCAGTGTTGCACATGACGCGCATCGAAGGTCCGCACATGACAGAGACATCAGAGCTCTTGAGAAGGGAGTCCAACGAGGCTTGCTTCTGAGAAAACCTAAGCCTCCAAGACACGGACCTGACGATGACGACGATGACGACGTACGCGGCGGCTTCGGCAGAAGACACAAGCCTGACGATGACGATGACGACGACGTACGCGGTGGCTTCGGTAGCAGGTCGATCAGACCATCTTGACTCGAGCCACCAGCTTTGAGCTAAAGACCGGTCAAGTTCTTCTTGACGATCTCGGTATACGTCGGATCCTCGCCAACGAGACCGAGCTTTTTCAGCACGTTACGCAGTGCGCGCTCGTTCTGCAGGCTGACCGGGTTGTGAGGGCCCAGATGTTCTGCTCGCCATCGCAAAGTCGCTTGCAGCCTGTCCGCGATATCCATTCTTGCTACGCGCTTCTGCTCCTCGCTCCAACGGGCAGCATCAACATGTTTGCGGGTATAGCAGGCCAGACGATATTGTCCATCCCAATACTGAGCGTGCATGTCCGAGAACTGGGGACTAATGCGTGCTTCGAAAAGATCCCTATACGTGTTCATGGCCGCGGTCTTCTTGCCGATGGCCGACTCAGCTCGAGCCAGAGTGGCTATCCAATTGATGGTTTGAAACTTGGATCGACCAAATACTTCTTCTACCTCAGGTCTCAGGTCCCTAAGGATCTTGTATGCTTCATTGTTTTCTCGCATCTCAAGCAACGCCCAAGCATGCAGGTACGTCGTTGAGAGCCAGAACTGGTCATGCGTTCCTGGGGTGAAGGCTTTCTTCGCAGAATCCACCATTTCCGCTAAGTCGGTCAGTCTATACGACGGCTCAATTTGCTTCGAGTACGGGATCTGCGAAAAGAAGTCCAAAGTCGATAGGATCACCGAGACGTATGGTGCCTGCTGATCAAGCGAACTGCGGTTTCGAATTGTGTTGTGCAGGTCGTTTCTGATGTTTCTGAGTATATCTGCAGGGACAAATTCATGTCCGTAAATGCTCAACAGTGCCACCATGTGGTTCAGCACGCTCACACCGTCCCATGGATGGAGTCGGAAAATGTCGCCAAACACTGCGACTGCCTGTATGGATGCGCGTTGGGCATACTCGGTGAAGATCTTACTGGTCTGGCCGGTGTGGATCGCAACAGCACAGCAGTGCCGTAAAAACTTGAAGGCTCGCTGTCGTGATGCTTCATCGTCACCGATGGTATCTCTTGTGGACTTTCCGAGCCACTCATCTATCTCAACCTCTATACTTGCTGGATCTGCGTCGGTCTGAATTGGAGAATTGGATATGAGTGCAGCCATCCTTGGTATGCTCTCTTGGGAAGACATCTCAAGCACACCATCTCCGCATTCTGAGTATATCTGTGGCACATGAAACTCGGAGTCTGAGTCGCTGATTACCTCTTCTGACGCTATTCCATTCTCTTCGCTTCTGGATGTTCCCGAGGATGGTGCGCGGAAGTCATCCAGGTCAGGAGCTGTGATGTGCGTGAAAGACTCTTCAGATATCCGTGGTTTGCTGCTCTCTTGGTCGCCAGAATGTAAGGGCGAAACGTGCACGGGGATTACGACTGGCGATATCGTTGTGGCACCGGCGGAACGCAGGTCTTCCGCTCCGCTAGGCACGAGATCCTCGCAAACAATATGTGGAGGTGGCTGATCGATGTTTAAGCACTCCATCAGCTCAGCTTCGCTTTTGACCTTGGTGGACTTTCGTATGTACGCATATATGTCGTCCATGGTTTTTGGCTGACCATTGAAGAGAACCTGTCTTGGCCTGCCGTCGCTTTCGCCACGGCGGAGCTGATGGCATATGTACGCCGCATCTTCGGAGTTCAATCGCTTGCGGAATTGCCATTTCCCCAGCTGGTCCTTCCATTGTTTCTGACTAGTGGCATTTATCAGTGTCATGAAAGACGCATCCGGAGATTGGCAGATCACTTACGTTCCATGGAACTCTTTCTGTCTTTTATAGTGATCCATGATCTGTTTCAGCGTCTGATCTCTTATGATGTACCGGTCATATACGTCGTGCTTCCATATGTTCCAAGTTTCTTGTCCGATGCCTCGTCCTTTATGGCCGCCGCTGTATGCAGCTTGTCGCACAAATTGCCTGTGAGCTGGTGCAGGCAAACACTGTTGTTGGAGCCTCACATCTTCCCAGATTCGAGTCTCAACTGGTGGACTGAGGGCAAAGTAGGTGCCCACTGGCAGATGATGAGGCTCTTGATAGCTTATGAGCCCATCCGCCAGTGGCCTCGCTTCCACTGAAAGAGCGGTATGGGCCATCGGAGGGTGCTGTGTTTCCCCTAACATTCTGTCAAACGTTCCTAAGCTCTGACCTGGCGTGCCTTAGTTTGACAGCCAGAGATTAGGTCTCCAGGATCACGAACCGGGCGGCTTGATGCAATATGTCAGGCTGGCGTCTCATCTGTCGATGTCTGCCTTACCGGGCCACAGACGTGCGCGAACCACTGGCGAAAGTTCCATATGCATGCAGGAACGTTCGCCGGACGCTTCAATTGGCTCGTTAGAACATGAGGCTTGGAATTCTCCACAACGCCCAACGTAGCAAGAAAGTTGCCTCAAACCTCTGTCGCTCTTCCCTTCACTTCTCTCGCAGAATAATATGTTTGATATGCAGTTGCGCTGCTCGGTCTGAGTAGTGCCTTCTGTACTCTCGATTCGATGTTAGAATATGTCGGGCGTCATCATGTCCTCACGTCGGACAGCAGGAACCTATGGTCGCCAAGCTTCGGTTCTTGAGCGATGTTATGCAGGCTGATGAAGCTTGAGTCGCAGCATCTGCAATGAAAGAAACGACAATGCCTTCGCCGACCTCGAGACCTTGAGTTATTATAACCAGCTCATCGAGAGCGCGAGGAGCTCCCCAAGGCGAACCAGCAGCCGCTTATAAGCTTTTGCCTGCTCGTTGATGCCCAATCACGATGTTCCAAAGTGGCCGACCAAAGTGCCCCGCGGGCCCGTACCAGCTGGAACTTTCGCTAGCCTACACATTCTTATACCATCGTTGGGAATCTGACATATAGCAACGATGATAAAGAACATTCAACGGTTGTTTGGACACATGTCATTGGTCCGGAAGAGCCAGTGCTGCCCAAACACCCAGTAAGATTGCCTTCCGCCGACGGTTTGCGTACCATCTGAGCGTTATCGCGCCGGCCTCAAGAAAGACGCGAGGACTTACATAACAGCGCTTCTGATAGCGTGCACTTCTCGAGCTCCGTTCAGTACCTCATACCGACGACACAACCCAGATTCTAGAGGTAGAACCTATCGTCGTACCAAGAGGTCGTCTTGCTGTCTTCCTGGCGCGGAACTTTGGTCATGGATTGCATATACTAATTCGTTGGTTGTATGCCTTCAAGTCGATCTTGGCCGTTCATCCGATAATCTCATTGCTTATGCAATAAATTAACATTGCGTCAGCTTTCTACATCAATGTATCTCAGGATGTTTCATGTTTCATCATGTGTCCTGGGACAAAGTCGATTGTACCTTCGACCGCTGCCCAACCACGGCGAATGTTCTATGGTATTTCACATCATCCGTGGGTATTGTCTGATAGAATGTACAAAGAAGCCCTCGCCGCCATGATCAGAGGGCACGACCCTTCTCTCTATCGCAACCCGGGCCGCGAGAGAGCCGTCGTGGCTTGGTAGCTTGGACACCAACTCGATACTATCCTACTTAGAACAACCTCCATACCACACGACAGATACCTTCCCGTCGACAGAAAGGACTAACGTGTACAATTTGTATGGAATTTCAATTGTTCGAGTGACCTGACGCAACATGCCACAAAGCTCGCAGATGCAGTATTCGAACGATTCGTCCTTGCGTTCCGCAGTATTTACCGTACGCCATCCAGAGTCACTCAGTGGCACTGACGAAATCAAAGATACCAACCGCCACCAAGAACGCTCGTTAGACTCATATGCCATCCGTCACGCAAACCAGCAGCCTCAACATGCTGTCAAGAGCTATCTACGAGACAAGAGTGATTCCTTCAATCACGTCAAGGCGACTGAAGGCGTGAACGGCACCACAAGCAGCAGTAAAGGCAGCAGCAGTGCGCACGGCCCTGACCACGGGTCCAACGATCGCGACAGACATCTCAAAGATCCACATACTGCGAGAAGCTCTCAGCAGCGGCGCTGCACCTCAACATGCCATGATGTCAACAGCGATCGCCATGCTGCACGTGACCGCACTCACTACGGCGGTAGCACCGGCCACGCACTTTCCTCGCCCGTCCGACGCAGACAAAATGCAGACCTCGCTACGTCGGAAGTGGATGGTACGTCCGCAAGTGAGCAGATCGCACGTCTGGCCCTCAAACACGAGGGGCGTCTGACTCGCTTAGCGTACCAAAGTTCCCAATATGCAACAAAAAGTGCCAAGACCTGGCTCCACTCGATCCCGTCCGGTACATCAGATTCGACCAGATTTCATCGATTCAAGATCTTCCCCGCCCGGCCTCAAAAATGTTGTGGCTCGAAGATACTGGCGTTGGCATTATCAATTCAATAGCCGGGGAGTGATGTGCATCAATACTCCGGCCGGGCAGGTGCGGTCCCGAAATCAGTCCATCGTGGGACCTAATATGAGGTCCGTCAGATCAGGTGCGATGGACTCGAAAGTTGTGTCATGTGAACGAGCGGGATCTGGAATGGTCTCAGACCTAGGGGCGGTGCGATACAGTATGTGCTGACGGAGATGTGTTGGATTCGGCGGAAGGGTGTCTTGGGGCGGAGTCTTGGCGTTTGGTATGGATGACGGGTCGTGATTGAACAGTCTATCGAGGTCAAACTTCTAGATGCACCTTCTGATGGGATTTCGCAGAGATACTCAAGGTAGACCTGGATGTTGGACATTCTAGGAGGTCGTTCTCCTGCTTAGTAGATGCACACTATATAATGCCATGTTACTATCTTTGCCAGCTGTCGATGGCGTTTCTTTATATGCCCGATGCTGACAACAATGGTCTCTTACTGTAGACCGTCCCAGCGTGCCTTGGATACTTGATACTCCTGTCCCGTATACCAGTGGTCGCAAAGTGTGAAGATCTGCATGATAGTGGTGATGGTCGTTAAATTACTGTACAATAAAACACTTTTCTCGTCTCTGACTTCAGAAGCCCCTGCCTTCCTTTTCTGTCAATTGCAACTCTGTCTTCTGTCAATTTAGCTGCATTCATGTCATCCGCAATTCCGTTCACATTTCCGAGTGCGAATCAAGTTTCTCTCAAGACAGCTCGGTTTTCTGTCAATCGCAGCTCAGGTCCGAATTCCAAGTCCGATCACACTCCTTCCGTGTTCTCCCCGACTGCTGGGAAAGACGGAGTACGAACTCGGCGCCTTCCTTGTCGTCGCCTGATGTGCCGTGGTTGGTGTCTTCGGAGGTGCGGTCGTCCCATTAAGGCTTATCCGGGAGTCTCGTCTCGGCATCGTTGCTGTTTGAGGCCGACTTGCAGACAGCACCGTTGAGGAGGAATGCGAATGGATCATGGGAGGCCGCGACTTCGTCGGCGAGCTCAATCCTCCGCTAGCAAACGACTTGAACATATCAATGCTCTTTCTCGCATTCGAGTGCGAATCTCTCGGGACTGGAGTGCTACCGGATTGACCATAGCCCATGAAACCCCCTGTGCTGACGCTACGTGAAGTATTCGGCCGTGCAGAATCGAGGTGACTACTGTGGCCGGTCGGCATTGGCGGCTGAGGCATTGGAGGTGGCGGTGGAAGGCTGTCGCGTGGAGACGACCTGCCACTGGAGGACGAACTGCCCTTCTTGACGAATTTGATGGCGTTACTTATGCTTTCGCTCCGTTTCCGAAGAGCTGAGAAAGACTTCTTGCGGCGCATTGAGAGTTCAGGTGATGGCGTGAATGCGTCGCGTGAAATGTTGTCGTGAACAGGGTGGCTCTCACGAGGCTCAGGTTGGACATAGTCGTCGGGCATCGTATCAGGGGGAGGTGGCAGCGCGTCATGCTGTATATGCTGGCGGATCGCGCAGATGCGTGCGAAGTCGAGGGACGGGCGTGTTGTGATAGCGTGGTAGCGGTAATGGATCATTGAGATCAGCAGGCACTGTCTCGAAGCTGAGGTCGTCCACAGCGGCGGAAGGCGCAACTGCAGTACGCGGTCTGGACAAACTCGTGCTAGGTCGTGTTTGGTGCCGCAGCAAGCTTTCTGGCCGGGCATGTGATATGGACGATGTTGGTGATGTATTGGTGGGAGACACCAGACCTTTGATACTGCTGAACCGAGAATGGCCTGACTTGAATGCTGCCGAGAGCAAGGGCATACTGCTTTTCCGGCTTTGTGATGGACGTGTTGGCTCAGTGACGGGTACACCACTAGCACTCAATGCAATTGAATTGCGTGAGGCGTTCTCAATCATATACATGGCATTGCGTGGTAGCTCGGGCACCGTCAAGGGTGTTGCTTCCGAAGCTTGAAACCCCGAGTTTGTTGACATGGTCGACATCTGTGACAGGCGGCGGGAGGACTTCAGCGGAATTTCTGGAGGCATCGTGGCAGATCTTAACAGCGATCGATTGAACGACGACGATCCGGATGATGGGCGCCGTTTATTATTCGAGACGATTGAGATGACCGCAGGTCGCATCTGGGGTAGCCGGAATGACACAGGCGTGGCAACCTCACAAGGCGTTTCTAGCTCATCGGGATCGGACGTTGGTGACTGTACCAGCTCCACAGGAGCGTCCATGATCATGGAATACCGATCGTAGTGAAAGTCGGCAAAGTTTGTGAGAGCAGCTTTCAGCTTCGGACCAGGCGAAGTATCCCTGGCTGGGGGCTGGACATGCTCGTCCCCAGCGGATGAGTCTTTGGGAACGACAATTTGTAGTTTCTGTTTGCCAGAGTCCAGGTGGGCTTCGTCAGGTGTCATAGGACTGTATTCAGACACAGTCTCGACTGAATCCTCACGGCTGTGAATAGTGACCATTTCCTCATCCGACACTGATCCGGTGTCATCTTCGTCTGAGATCTCTGTGAAGGCTAGTGCTCTTTCCCTGGCTTCTTTTCGTGTTTGCTCCCGCTCACTCTCCCGTTCTTGTATCTTCTTCCTGCGAGCAGAGGCTGATGTGAGGCTGCGTGCTCGGAGCGCCTGCTCCATGACGTTGAGTTGATGGTTGGCGAGCTCAGTAGTCTACAGTTCCGGCTCTTTTAATCCCGTGGTCAGAAGCAGAAAGTGCACTGTAGCAAGCACCTCGACAGGCATGAGATCGATCGTAAGAGGCCGCTCGGACTGGGAAGACGGCAAACAAGAGGTCGCTCAGGGCAGAGAGACGGCAAAGCAAGAGTTCGTACAGGCCACTGAGGCTGTAGCGAAAGAGACTGCTCTGTTTCAGACAGGAGATGGTGCCTCGCTGATAGATGAGGAGAGCGTTGGCGGGAATCAGCTGTTGACGACGTTAGACAAACAACAATTGCTGTTGACCGTCGTGGTGAGCGCAGGAACGACGACTGTAGCAGAATCGTTTAGGTCGTAGTCGGACAGGGTCGGGCTAGATCGTTGCTGGCAAACATGAAGGAGACCGTGCAGTCCATGTTCCACTCGGCTGACTTTAGGTACAAGTAGATTAAGGCCAAAAGGCCCGTACCTTGCCTGCTTGAGAAAGGCAACCTCTAGGATGTTGACGAAAGACAATTCTCCGCTCCACTGATAGTCAGCAACAGCAAGCGAAGGTACAAGTCTGGGGGCAAGCGTCCGCCGTCATGAGAGGAGCGACGACGGACTGAGCCCATAATTTGATCTGCTGACAAGCGAAAAGTGAAATTGCAGGAGGTGGAACTACTCCAGGGGTAGCATGGGTCATGATAGCTGCTTGGAGCCTCGCGCTGCATAAGATCCCGCAACGTGCATCTGTTTCATGCGGCCACAGCGGTGAGAACGTGGTAAATTGGTGGAGAGAATTGAGTAGCTGGTGGAGTGCCGGGCTGTTTCAAAAGCCATGCTACCCGCACAAAGTCTGGTCAATTAGGTTGACAGATTCGCAGATGGCAATGAGATCGGAAACATCTCACGCAGGCTGCATGAACGTTGCGTTCGTGCGTGAGAAGCCACGGCCGGGAAGCCTTCGAAGCGAAGTCTCAGTCACATTATTTGAGGGATGGCAGAATTGTTTGCTGCAGTCAGAGAAGGCGCAGAGTTGAGGGTGAAGGTCAATAAATACGAGCCCCAAGCAGTGGGGCAGTGGATCGCTCGCTTCTCTGAAGTCTGCTAGTACAACTCAAGCGAGTCTGTCATCGTCATTTGCTTTCCATCCACAATATTTTCGGCATCCTCCATCAGAGATTCAGTGACTGACACGCACACAGTGCGTTTTGCCCGGACATCATAGGCAGCTCATATGCGCTGCGCTCGAACTGCCTCAACAATCCTGATGTCCTGCCCATGGGCTCGGTTCTGCCGAAAGCTAGAACACCTAATATCTTCGGACTGTTGTGCACCGCAGCATAAACGGAGCTTGGGGCGCCCCCTATTTCAAGCCGCGTACCAAATGGGCCATCGCTTGGGCCGTCCTTCGGCTTGTTCGAGCGAAAAGCCAATCTCAACTGCAGCAAACCTCACGGGCTGGACAGGGTCTTCTACGCCCCAACCCCATTCAGGTCGAGATCTTACTCCGTATTCTTAGCCTATTTTGTCTTTTTGACCTTCCACCACGTTGTCGCCTCGGGGCTTCGTGCTCATTCAGGTTTACACTGTACAATTTCTCACCGTTCTCAGCCTTTGCTCGAGCGGCACTTCTTTATAAGCTTCGAACCAGCTTCTTTTCAGCACTGTCGACCGGAGCTGCTACTTTAATCTCAGGATAGTGTGTTTCGCAGCACGAGCCGTGTGCGTTGCGGATCTACAAGAGCGCTACCATACCCAGGGCTAAATTCTGTGCCATGCCCCGAGAGGCTCCGACATTGGCCCGAGCAGCAGCAGATGATGATCACAGCATCACGACTTGTGTTCATTACCTTCGTAGGTCAGGAATGTCGATGTAGGTTGCCACAGTTCCTCACAACAGTCTATCAAAGGTAGTCCCTCGGTGCTTGCTGATAATACTTAGCAACTCGCGGACACTTCAGTACACTACGCAAGCTAAACACCGTTCAAAGTACTCCGTACCGCATGGCGAGAGGACTTAAGGCCTGCCTGTGGCCTCCAGTATGTCATACTTGAATCAGACCGTTACGAGGTAGGTATGAACGAGTCTTTTAGAACTCAAAAGAAAACTTGAAGCTCCTCCGAGTTCACCCCACAAGACTTACGAGACCAGTGAACCTTGACTCGACGTTCTTCTCGCTTTGGTAGCCGTCAGGCAGCACAGCCCACCTGGCACACCCGAGTCAGCACAGGACAGTACTCGTGCCGGCGAAGAGGTTTGAAAGACTCAGCACTAAGTAAGCCAGCGAAGGTGTAAGACGGATCACAGGTCTGCCGAAGCAGATCAGCTTCGACACACACTGACAACATTCAGTGAAGCAGCTCTGAGCTCGGGTCGAGCTGCTGTAACCGTCAAGCGATCTTTCGAATGTAGCGGATCTAACACGCCAGGACCACACGCGCAGCAATAAGCAGGATGCCACTCTCACAGGTAGCTCGATAAGACCTGAACTCCCTCCCTTTGCAATCAAGTCTCTATACTGAATGTTCTAGGCTATTGGGTCCGAAGTACGTATATTGTTCACGCCTATCCTGCGACAAAGCTGCTCGAACGCGCCACTGCAAGACTTATCCGTCTTCACTTGAGATACTAAGCATCCCAACAAACTCAGCCTGGACTCAACACCATCTGTGTCTCCCTCCCCTCACAACGGCTTAATACTCTCATCAGTCGACCCCCTCAACTCCTCCAAATTGATCGTCTTCCCATCAAACCCCCAATTCGCCTCCGCCACCTCCCGCATAACGACATACACCCTCCTCGGCTCCCCCTCCGGCAACTTCCCAAACTCCGCAATCGCGTCCGTCGCCCTCTTAATGAACTCCGTCTTGGTCGTGGCACTGTACCCGCCAGTGATGACATTAATCTCCAACGTGATGAAGTGCCTGCCCCCACCGGTGCGCCCGCTGTGGTACATGGCGGACGTTGGATATTCGTGCGTGTAGATCCAGTTGGTGGAGAGGTTGAAGGGGGTGGCGGGGATCTTTTCGAGCTCTTCGCTATCGTACATGAGGCGTTGGGCGACTGAGTCGAGGGCGGACTTGGTGAAGGCGCCCTCGGTGTAGTGGAGGAACATTAAAGGCATGGTGACGAGAAGGGTAATGGGCAGAGGGAGCTTGATCGATTAGGTCGGATTCACGGGACCTGATGATGTGGTAGTGCAGGTGCTTGCTTGAGTACGGGTCAAATCATTGCTCAAGAGGTGCTCTATACTCTCAGTATGTCATGGGAGGTGTTTGGCCTTATCTAGCTGCTGGGTAGTCTGTAGGTCAACATCGGCTGGGTGAAATCCGCTGAGAAGATCCGTGCTTGAGTATGGAACATGATCGAACGCTTAGTCCGTGAACATCCAAAAGCTCGCTAGCCGCAGATGAGGCAGCTGGTCTAGTACTTGGGGCAGTCTGTACTGCAGTACGGGTCGTCCAGATCGGGAAATCACTAGTGGTTTATAGTGGGAATAGATCCGGTTTCCGTATAGAGTACATGGAAGGCAGGTAGCTGGTAGAGTCTCACCTGCTCCACACGAATACTTCAAGAAGTTGCAAGGTGCGAGCGTTGGCATGTCTGCATCGTTGCTTAGGATGTACGATTTTGATCCGCTCACAGGTACGAACGTGACTTAATCATCACTTGCAGCAGACCATGCTGATGGCAAGTAGCGTGTGCTCTGGGCTCCACGCGCGGTTGGAACAAGGAAAGGTCGAACCGAAGCTGGTTGGTCATCATTCTCGGCTTGTGTTGAGTTGTTTGGGAGGTTGAAACTAGGTTCAGCGCACAGATCGCATCTTGGTCCCTTGCCTGTTTGACTCCTGTCACTCTGCGTGGCGTCTAAGCACAGACCGCTCGCAGACTCTGGTTCGAGAGCTCCATTCACTGCAACCTCCTCTGACTAGCGAGAGTCTCCATCAGAACACGCCCGCTAGCTGAAGCGCAGCACGACCGTCACAAACGGCAGTTGCTGGACGAACATCGTCTGGCCTGACAGCCACATACAGTCCATACTTGAGAATAGGCATTGGACTGGCAGCAGATAAGTTCGAACTGCTTTAGCCGCCTCAGTGGTCCGATTGCTGCGTCATTATAGTAGTCCGACATGGCGAGCTCTTGTGCAAATTGCGTAAAGACAGTGGTGCACAGCAGCGGCAGACATTTATTGGCCGAGGAGAAGTGGCACACGGCAACCACCCAAAGCAGAAGGCCCTTATACTGGCCCCAGAGATCAGACAGGTCTGTCTTACGCAGCCTCGAAATGAGTCTAGGTCTGTCGGCAACATGATTCGAAGCGACACTGATCGGAACAGCGAGCTGCTCCACGGTGAGCAAAACTTGACTGGTCCATAGACAGGAGGCATACATAGCCTCGCTTTCCGAGACTGATGATCGCATAACTGGAGGAAATCGTTCCAGCTGCAAACGCAGTGTTGAGCGTGCTGTGAAGTCATCTGCATTTATTGCACGCGCTGTGCCATCCTCTGCTATGACGGTTGCAATCCATTGATGCATCAGATCGGCAAGTCGAAGCATACAATCCGAAAAAGGTAATGCAGGCAGCGGAAGTGCCAGCTCCCACTGCACAGTCAATGGTGACGTCCATTCTGCGGGCAGCCGACTGACTTCATGACTGACCCCCGACGGGCACGCTTTCTCTAGGCAGTCTACCGCTGCGTACGGTCTGTAGTCTACCTCGGTGTTGATCCATCTGTCAGATCAGGTCAGCCTGAATTCAGCGATCAGTTTTCAGAGGACTCACATGTTCATGCATCTCACGATATAGCGGCCCAAATCGCAGCCGCAAACATCGCCAGAAAACACTCTTTGCATTGTGTTCCAGTACACTGATCTCTCTTCCAGGGCGCTATGCGTAGCTGCCGCGTATTCAGGACAACACAGATGCTTGTTGTGATTTGACGATTCAATATACTCCGGCAGACCCATGTTTTGTGGTAGGTCTTGGCTCACTAGACAGACAACAGGGGAGCCCAAAGCCAGGATTGCAAGCAGAAAGTTGGCGCTAATCGTTCCCTCTCGCGATCTCATATGCCGTTTGATGGACTCAAACACCTCAGCTTTCTTCTGGAGCAGGATGGACTTTTTGCCCTGGCCGGTCAGCGCCATCCAATAAGCATAGCTCAAGAGTGAGCAACTAGCGAGCAGTGACTGACGGTCTGTCTCGAGACACGTAATGACTTGTTGTAGGAATCGCGCCCCAAGGAACTTGCACGTTGCCCCGTCGAACTCCGGCAAGTCATCCATGCCATAAGACAGTGAGTATAGTGCTTCGCTTCCAGCGGACCTTGGGTGCCGCCTGCTTGATGTCCTTCTGATGATGTGCAAGCATCGACTGTCTCCGCTTGAGCGGTTCCCTTCGTCGCGATTCTGATCGCTGTCATCAACAGACTGGGAGCTGGCTTCAATCCAGGTCCACCTTTGCCTTTGGACTTTTGCTGCCGCCCCATACGGGCCACCCCAGACGGCTGCGTGACTTCGTGCAAGGCTCGAATGGGCTTTCCTCCAGTTCACGTTTCGGACTTCGTTTCCGAGAGACACAAATATCAGCTCCCGGGAGGTCTTGGCTTTCTTTCGTGAAGGCATTTTAAGACCGCTTAGTCAGTGAAATCCTGTGCCTGTCGACTGTGGCGAAGGATCGTCGGGTCTACGCAGCAACGTCCATGTCCTGGCGGCTAAGCGATGTCCGGTATAGCATCGACGGTTGCTGTAGTGTTGACTGCTTTCATGCGTTGCCGATGAATGCTTGTCGACACTGATGTCGGTCAATTTGGTGAATGGTATACGGCCTATGACTATACCAGTACTGTCTCTCCAATGTTCTTCCAATCTTGGAATGAGTCATTCGAGCAGCGTGCCGTACTCGCTGACATATTTTCAGGCCCCGACTCTCGGCGCATCTTATCCGATACCACTTGTATACGGACCACTCTCAATGGAACAATCCCAGAGCTTGGTGGACGGAAGGCCCGAAAGTCCATTTGCAGGTAGAAGTAAATCCTGCTTTGGGAACAGTGGGGTGGTGTCCACCACTCCACGCCAAGATGACAGATCCCTGAAACTTCCGACTAAGGCAAAAGCCAGCTGCCGAGTTTGGACGAAATTGCTCTACACAGCACAAGTGTATGCAGGTACTATATCTTCGCATGACGTGGACTGCAGGGCAAGGTCTTCAGGCGCGATTTGTTGCAAAGATACCTGTACTAGGCGATAAGGCATGTAGAGAGCCTCCAAAGTGCTGTAGACGTTCTCTCGCGTGGAAGAAGCACAAGACTTTGTCAGCATAGACTCCGGCGACTAGTAAAGTCGTGTGTTCCCAGTCCAGGAACGTAGCCGCACCTCTGCCTGTTGACAGAAATCGTGGAGATGCAGGAGATCTTCTGCCAGCTCCACATTCAGTGTCTAAGATCCGAAACGACACCCTGGCAGGAGGTGCAATCTTCAGAAGACTGTTGCTTAGCGATGATGTGGGCTTGTGATACCTCTGTTGCAAGCCCGACCAGCAATCGAGATGGAGAATAGTTGTCACGACTCCTTTGACTGCGCATCATATCGTCTTGGTGGATTGTTTCGCGGCGAGAGCACCAGAATGTCATATATACCGTGCAACCCGTTCAGGACTACCTCCTCGATCCGGGCTTCATATTGCTTCAAGGATTCAAAGTGCTCGCTTTCCAGCCCAAGCGCCATTGAAGTCGCCGCCTCGGACAAAACATACTGTCTTGACCACAGACTACCCGGACCATCCTGAAGTCTTGGATAATCCCATCATGAAGGCTGTCCAACTTGTCCAGGTATGTACTGTGGAATCGAGAATAGTCGCCAGCGTCTGACAGCCATTTCCTAGTACAAGAAGGAGTATCAGATCCGCGATGTCCCTGTACCAGAGCCGGGCGAGAATGATCTGTTGATCAAGATTGCTGCAGCTGGATTCTGCCACACTGAGTGAGCTCTGTCGGCGACCAATGGTTGGCATATGAGAAGTGAGGACGTTGACAGCTGACGCCATGCTAGCTACCAAGTTTGGGAGGGCGTTTATAAGTCGCCGACGCCACTCATTCCGTCGCACGAGCCGGTCGGTACCGTTGTCGCAATTGGAGCTGCTGCTCAGAAGTCCGGCAAATGGTCTATTGGATCTCGTGTTGGGGCTCTCCTGTTTCGTCATCCTTGTCATCATTGTGTTGGATGCGAGTCGACCTCGGATGTGCGTTTCTGCAAGAACAACGAGACGGCTGGACTGTTGAATGACGGCGGCATGGCTGAGTATATGATCGGCGACGCAGACGACTGCGTTTTGTTGCCCGACAACCTCTCCTTTGAACAAGCCGCACCTCTGATGTGTGCAGGGGTAAGTTTTCTAGGATATTTCGAATTATTGTCACTGACTTGTATAGAACACCACTTGGGCTGCTTTGGTGGCCGCGAACGTGGCACCTGCTGCGCCCGTGGGTATTGTCGGAATCGGCGGTCTTGGTTCTCTGGCCGTTCAATTCGCGAAAGCCTTGGGTCATCCGGTCGTCGCTGTGGACAATCGTGAAGAAGGTCGCGCCCTTGCCACGGAGCCCACTCTCAAAGCAGACCTGGTCCTGGACTTCGGAGACTCCGAAGCGGTGAGCAAGATCAAGTCTTGGGCGGGTCGAGACGGTCTTGCTGCTGTCATAGTGTGCACAGACAATGTCGAAGCTACCGAATGGAGCCTCAATACTCTGAGACCACACGGTGTAGCTGTGCCACTTGGCCTGCCGACGACAGGGTTCAAGTTTGATGCCTTCACGGTGATCTTCAACGAAATCGTGATCAAAGGGTCGCTAGTCGCCACCAGGGATCAAGCTGAAGATATGTTGAGAGTCGTTGCAGACCATCAGATTGAGAGTCACCTCACGGTCGTCTCGTTCGACGATGCGCCGAAGCTGCCTGACATGTACATGTCATCTAACCTGAAAGGAAGGCTCGTCTTGAAGGTCGGGTCATGAGACTGGTTGGAGTGATGCTCATGCTAGATTGAATTATGCCTAGAGATGGTTTGTTCGGCTGGGTAAGCAGTCGCGTCTAAAGAACGGCTGTTGAGCTTGTAGGCAAGATCAGCTCACAATCAGCTCATTTGCTCCTTCTCTCCATCCCAGTCCGGCGCAGGCAGGAGCGCACCGACACAGACCTCGACGGTACCCGTAGTCTCAGGGGCATCTTGACCTCCCGGACCCTTCAAACCGCAACCTACCTACCTCGGTAGTGTGCACGCTTGAAATTGGCGACAATGAAAGATATTCAACTAGCTACGGACTTAGAGCCGACATCAATGCAAGCGCCGGATGTCGTGGATGCCACTAATGAACGAAGGACTGTTGTGAGATGTCGAAGCGACCAAGAGTAGTGAAGCTGACACATCATCTCATTGGGTTTCTGTACACTTCACGGGATTGGTGGGAGTTCTGTTCCCACAGGCGTTCGTCCAAGACCTGGGGTACAGTTTCCTTGCCTCAAGCCCCGGGGTGCAACGCTGTTGAAGCTTGTCTTAGGCTTCGGGTCCCAGTAACCCCTTGATGAGATCCTCAGTATGTATCAACGACGAAATAATTTTCCTGGCCCGGTTAGAACCGCACGATGTCCTGTCTATGGTAACAAGAAAGCTGACGTTATTGGATGGCTTATGTTCACAACCTCGACACAAGATATCGGATTAGTGTTCTCTCATCTTATAGGCAAAAAAGCCGAGGCTATAAGGTGTAAGAAATACGAACGGTCAAAAGCCCGGCAGGCGGGGCGGCCAGTAGAACTTCGATAAACAGTCTTGACGCCTCATATCGACCTAGTATATTGCTGAGCGTAGACCACGAACAATCGAGACATGGCACCATCAAGCAAAGAATTCAACTTCTTTTCGCAGGCTACAGATCGCAAGCCTCTTCCATCGGATCCGACGATCAGAGCCGACATCGAAGCAGTACTCCGGGACGGCTTCGTAATAATACCGGATTGCTTCACCAAAGATGAGGCAGCAGAAGCTCGAAATGAAATTATGAGGCTTTTGGGAGAAAGTCCCAGAGGTGGTTAGTCACTCTGTCATCATGATATTCGAGTTTGATCGTTGCTTGAGTGCTGCCCAGAGCATACCTCTTGAGCGACGACAACCTACTCAGGCTACTCTATTCCGGCAATCAACGACCTCCCTTCAAGCATATTACACTGCTCTGAGACAGTGCTGAGCCAATCTGCAGGTCGGAACAGCTTCGAGGGTCTCAACACTAATCGTATCTACTCGCTATTGAACAAAAGTCGAGTTTTCGACAAATTCACAATTCTCCCGCGAGTGCTCGCCCTCAACGACTACTTCCTTGATCCGGGCTATCTTTTGTCGGCGTTCCATACCATTAACATCAACCCTGGAGAGGTAAAGCAGAATCTGCACCATGATGTGAGTAGTCCAGGAATCGGTGGGATTAAGACCGAGATGGGCTGCAGCAATGGAACTGCCTGGATGGCCTGTGTTCTTTCCAAAGCGTCTGCTAATCCCGACATCAGGATGGCTACATACAGGTTCCTAGGCCCAGGGCGCCCTTTGGAGCGGCTATCATGGTTGCCTTGGATGAGTACACTGCTGCAAATGGTGCCACCAGAATAATTCCTGGAAGTCATAATTGGGGTAGTGAACGCCAGGGCAAAGAGGAAGAGACAGTGCCAGCGCTCGTACCGGAAGGTGGTGTTGTCTACTTCATTTCCACAGTGATACATGGCGGAGTGAGTCCTTGTACCTTTCCGGACCTGCATCGAGCGAGCCCTTGCCTTGAGCTCTGCTCAGAGCGTGCGTCTTGGACGGACGAAAGTGTTCTCTGGGTCGGGCGTGCTTTACCTCTTCATGCTTCTGCAAATGTCCGGAGACTGATCATGTGTTGCAGGGGCAGAATACCACCACGAAACCGCGAATGAGCGCGACGGTCCAATACTGTAATCCATATATTCGTCCGATTGAGAATCAGATACTCGCCGTCGATCCTCGGAAATTGGATGAGCTTGATTCGAGGATCGTCGATATGATGGGGTGAGTCAATCGATTTCTGATGCAATAGTGACCAGTGACTGACGTGCGCAATCTAGATACAAGGAAATGAAACCTTTCGTAAGACTTCGCGACGTCCGAGCGGTCCCAGAGAACTGCTAACACGCACTAGATGGGATATGTAGATGCTCTCAACCCCAGATTTGGGGCTGAGCGTATGATCCATTGGCTGAAAGGCGACGTTGACTACAACCCACCGACATTCGCGCGAGAGCACAAGTTGTAGACCTGTAAGATACTCACGCACGTCCGGCGTGTATAAACAGCGAACTCGATGCTTGTCTTAGACATGGACAGCGCTCGTGTGGGCGATAGGTGTAGGAAATTTTGCTTGAGAAAAGACCGTCAGGCGATGACATAATAAGTGCCTCTGCTCTGAGTAAGACGCAAGAGGAATGGCGAAGACACGAAGCCTGTGACGCGATGGAGTCAGAGGATAGGTACGCCTGGAGGTCCTTGAGGATTGTTACGATGAAGAACATTCGTCGTCGGGTGAACAAGCAGGACAGTCTTATAGCGACGCAACGGAGGCTGTTGGTCAGTCCCCAGTACCATGCGAACAAGTAGTCCTCCTCGCGTTCAGTAAAAGGGCATCTGAAAGAGGAAAGCAGCGTTGATTATTGTGTTTATTGAGCGGTGCTGATGAATCGGATCGGACGGTGGGTGTCAGCCAAAGGTGAGCCAGTGACCGCAATCGACGGGAAAAGCGAAGCGCAGCGTGAGTAAGCAAGAAATTGGAGCTAAAATCGTGTCCGTGGCTTTAACTTCTACCACACTCACCACCGCTGCGAACTCTCCTCTCCGAAAGGACGCAACTTCAGCCCGGCTTGCCGGACCCCTCTTGTTGCTGCTGAGCTTCAATTGATGTTGCAATCATCTGTCACTTGTGCTCATTGACGCTTTTGCTGAGCTACAACAAGCGTTCCGCCGGCGCGTGCCAACTCCTGGAGATTGGCAACCATGTCTAGTCCGCGACGAAACCGCGAACCGGCTGGTGAGGCCTTTCCGGCTTTCGAGGATGAGACTACAACGTCTTATACGACGTCGACAACGACTCAGACGGTGATTGGAGGCGATGGCGCCCCTGATATACGCACCACGACGTCCGCAGCGCATCCCAGTGGGCGCGGACCAGCCATAACACACACAACCGACGATCCGAACACGGCGCCCGTACCCTACACTCAGACGACCGTGGGTGCGCCGCCCACGCAACGATTGGCGCCCCCACAGTATGCAGTGCCACGGCAAAGGCCGATCAGTATCAGGAGGCTACCCTCTGCGACCAATACACGAGCACTGGCTAGCGGGACTGACGATGGCACACCTAGCCGATCGAATTCCGCGCGACGGCGTGCAGCGTCTGCACCGCAAGAGCCGGGACAAGCTAGCAGTGGTGGCCGCCTGACGAGATCAAGCACGCGAGACAACAATCGACAGTCTGGTCTGGCACCGATTGAAGAAGGTCAGCAAGCACAATCCGGATTGGCTGTACCGCCGCCGACCGCAGGCAGTACTTCAGGCATCGGACGGAGGAGAAGCTTGAGCAATGCTGCAAGGTCTTTCGTCAGCAAGCTGAGCACCGAGGAGTCTGAGCACAACCCCGAAGACTACGAGGATGAAGTTGTAGATCTGTTGGACGTGATCGGTACCTACCGCTGCCCATTCTCGGTGCGCCATTGTGCTAACAGATTCCCAGACCCAGAAGTCCAAACACTGAACTCTTTGACTAACGTTCAAAATTCGCTGTTCGTGCCCAATCTCGGTCGCTGGCTCAATCGACGACCAACATACAATCTCACCCGAGCGCCCTCCAAGATCACAGAGGTGTCATCTGCTGAGGCTACTCCAACCGCAACCAACGTACTCGAGGACCCTTCGGCACCGAAGCTCGACCCAGCACCACCAGAGCATCCTCCTGTACAGCGCACCTGGTCCTGGCAGCGCGAGCCGCGCGTGCAAAGGAGGGGCAGCATATCATCCGTTCTGACGGACTCTCATTATGCTGTCCTTCCCCACGGAGTTGACCTTGAGGATTGGTCCGAGGAGGACAAGGAAGCTCTTGACGACCATGTTCGACACATGATGCACTCCAGGCGCTCAAAATTCAAGCAGCGTATGCGGGCTTTTGGCAAATATGTCTCGAAACGTACGTCTTACCCTTGTGTTATTGTAGCCCTACTGATGCCTTTTAGCCCTTGGCTTTTTCGTCACACTCTATGCAACACTGATCACCCTTTTCGGTCTTATTTGGGTATTGTTCCTCATCGGCTGGGTCTACGCTGGCGATGACCGCAACGACTATGTCATTCATATCATCGACAGCGTCCTCGTTGCGTTATTTGCGATTATGGGTGATGGTCTGGCCCCATTCCGAGCTGTCGATACGTATCACCTGTGCTTCATCGCCAACTACGGCTTAATGACCTGGCGTGTGCGTAGGGAACGCAATATGCCAGAACTCAAGGACCACAACGAACTGCCCGAGCGGACCGAGAAAGAAGCCGATCCAGAGGCTGCCAATCCCAAGGACGCAGAATATTCCGTCTTGAGTCCAGAACAGCAGAAAAAGCTGGTGCATCATCAGACCAAGTTCGCCAAGTCACACTCGTTTTACAAACCTCACGAGACAACCACGCACTATGCCTTCCCGCTGAAGCTCCTGATCACCATTGTAACTTTGCTCGATTGCCATTCGCTCCTACAGATATCGCTGGGTGCATTCACCTGGGGTTGGTCCTACCATACCCGTCCTTCGTGGATCACTGCTGTGATCCTGTCACTATCTATCACATGCAACATCACAGCTGGTGTCCTCATCAGTGTTGGAGATAAGAAGACCCGCAAGAAGGATGTCATTGAGAGAATGGCCCGGCAGGATCTGACTGCGCAAGCCATCAAAAAGGTTAAAAAGCACAAAGCTGATCCGAACCATCATCTTGGACATGCAGCTCAAGCACCCGATGTTTTCGACCCGATTCAAGAGGAGCAAACCAATGAGAGTGAGTCTGCGAGATTGAACAGGACGGGAGGGACGAGATGAGAGCGGGACATCTGGTCGGGGATTGCGGCCTGGACTTCGTCTAGCTCGACGCGAAGAGGTGGACTTCATTTGTTCGGACGGCGATTGGGTATAGGGACATAATTGGAAAATGTTTCTTTGGATACCACGGGACGTGTTTGGCTGATGCAAGCCAGCCACCCATGCTTGCTTGGCCTTGGGTCTGTCGATATTGAGCGGGATGAGTTAGCGTTGTAATCAAGGATATCTTGTTCTCGCTGTGCATGGAGCCCATTCCAGCTCGACCAGTCCCTGGGCCCTCACTAGGCCGACTTGTTCGCCACCACTCGACTGGATCCGCAGAAGCTGGTCACAGGACAGGGCTGTTCTTCGCGTCGCAGGAGGACAAGGACGGGCAAGACCTCTTGTTCATCAAAGCTAATGCAGAATGTACAGGTCAGACGCCGGCGAGGCCTCTGCTGACCCCAGCACAAACAGTCCCCGAGCTCTCGCGACACCAGGTCACCGACTTGGTCTCGCCCCTAACCCCACAGTTCCACTGGATGCTTTCGGGTGGAATGGGAAGCAGAATGAGTCTTGTCGATTCTGGTATGTCTTGAGGTGGATGTGCTACCCTGCGAGGCTCCTGGGCAAAGCAGGGAAAAGCCGGGTCATTCATCCTCGTTGTCATCATCGAGAAGAGGCCTCCGAGGGTGTCGTGGCAGCGTATCGATAGGGGGTTGCCAGAGGCAAGGAGGCCGTGCTGAGGCAGGACTGAGTAGACCTCTGTTGTTCGGAAGCTAATACAGGATCTACTGGTTAGAACTTGATGAAGCTTCTGCTAGCTCCGGCTGAGGGAAAGCTGCACAGAGTACAGATTCAGGCAACACTGCTGGGTGGGATGTCCTCTAGCAGTCGGAACTCCTGCCTGACGTTGACGTATGGACATCCTTCTGGAGGCAAGAGCAGTGGATTCCAGTGCAGGAGACACTCCTGGGAAGTGAGATCTGGGCTTGAGCTCCTACCTGGAACGCTCGGAACTTGCTTACGTCCTGTGGATCAAACAAACAAGCAAGACGTTCTATCTCGTCCTATGCAGATCGTCGTCGACAGTCTGTCAGCTACCCTACTCCTAGCTAGTAGGAGGAGCTACTCAAATTGTCCTGTGCTACGCAGTTTCAGCAAAGCTCCTGCTCGTATGCCCGAGGACATTCCGGAAGGCTTCGGGAAGCCTTCTAGGAGAAGGTCTGGTCGACCTTGAGCTCACCGGAAAACGACGCTAGTTCCTTTCTACTTCTCCCTGCTTTGGAGTGTATTCCTATGGTGTGTTGCTACACAGCATAGGAGACCATCCTCACGAGCACGAGAATATCTAGGAAAGCTTCTCGAAGCCTTCTGGATGGCTTGGAGCATCTGAATCTCAGGCTTACTGGGAAGCGACTCCCAAGGCTGACTCGTTCGTCGCCAGGAAAGGTATAGGTACAAGTTGTCTAGCGCTATACGGTACAAGAAGAACATCCTCATACGCACGAGAATGTCTCACAAAGCTTCTGGAAGCCTTCTCGAAGGTTCAGCCAACTCAAGCTCAAGACTATGATTCCTCCTCCAAGCTGTTACCTACCTGTGAGTATCAGGAGTACCGAAGTCTATCCATCGGTGCTGTACGTGACACGAAGAACGCACACTCACGCGCGAGGATGTCCAGGAAAGCTTCTGGAAGTCCGCTAGAAGGTTTTGATTCACTCCAGCTTCGTGATCTCTGGCTCGACGGAACTGACGTCGATCTGCTTTTCCATGCTTTTACTTCTTTCCAGCTAGCACCAACATGCAAGCCGTCTGGTATTATTATTGCAGTATAAGCAGAGCTTCCTTGCATGCACGAGAACGTCCTAGGAAAGCTTCTGGAAGTCTTCTAGAAGGTTTCTAGAAGCCAGCTCCTGCATCACCCGACAGAGCTCGGGCTTGGCCTTTGCCGCCAACGAATCATTTGAGCATTTTTGATTCAAGGTTCGCTGCAAGATGGTCGCTGTTGCATCCCGTGCATGCCCGATACTTTGTCCCCATGGAGGCGGTGCAGTAGCTACCCAATAAAAATCTTTGGACACATGTGAGGATACAGCAATATTGGCCCATGTCATACACACACTTCGTGTTGAATTCATGAGGCGCTCCTTGGCGACTGGGCGGAACCAACTTGGCGACAAAAGCTACACCGGAGCCCCCTGACTTCTCGTCCACACGTTGTCCAGATCATCGAACTCATCCTATCAGCGGTCTGCCTGCCATGCAGCACTGTCAATCATCAAGCCGCCATGACTGCCATACTCTAGTGCTTCGATGGCTTCTCGAGCCCGAGGTTCCGCCAACCAGCAGCTTCGCCCAGAGAGGAGTAACGTCTTGGTCTTCTTGTTTCGGTCCAATATGATGCCGCCCAGCAGATCGACTCGTTACTGCATAAGGACATTCGTAGGTATGGAACCTTGCATCGAATAAGCAGCCACGGTCAGGCTCAATTACCGTCGAATTCTCGTGATCCTTTGTTATTGCTGGGACCTCAATGTCGTGCTAGCGCCAAAGCCTGTGGATCGAAGCACGTTCGAAGCGATGTGGCGGCTTCGAGAAGTTCTACGAGCACCCGACTGGCCAGGCATTTTGACTAGTATACCCCAGCTCCAGTCGTGTATCCTATCAAACTTTCGAATTTCGTCTGGGGCTTCTGGGGTTGTTGGTCGGGATACTGATCGTATGGAGGGTGTCAGTTGTTTCTGCATGTGGTCCGCTCATTACCCTGGGCTGGACTATAAAGCCGCCATCATGCCTTGATGCCTCCATACTCTGCCAGACAGTCACTTTACAGTTGACCACATCTCCTCATCTCTCTTCACTCCTTTCACTCTTTGATCTGGCACACCGTCCTCTTACCCAAGAAGACCATCAGTGCATTGCACCCATCAGCAACCATGGCAACCACCCATGAGACCTACAAGGAGCCGGCCATCATCCACGAGAAGTCCGATAAGCTTCACTCGGAATATGCTGCCGACGAAGAAGGCAAGGCCATCGCCCAAGTGGACTACAGCGGTTCCCACGAGAAGACCGACCCTAAGGAAATCGCCCTCGTGAAGAAGCTGGATCGCTGGATCATGCCGTACGTCTTCGTCCCCGCCTCCTCCCCGGTTCTGCTGGGACGAGACACCTCTTTCTATCCTTCACGCGGTCCCTCTTCCCGCATTGCTCGTGAGTATACTGAATCCATGCTGACAATACCGACAGGACACTTTGGGGCATGTACTGGCTGAACTACCTCGACCGTAACGCCATCGCCCTTGCGCGCCTCAACGACCTCGAGGAGGATCTCAACCTGACTGGGTCACAATATCAAACCTGCGTCAGCATCCTCTTTGTGGGCTATTTGCTTGGCCAGATTCCTTCCAACATGATCCTCACCCGCGTCCGCCCTTCTTGGTATATGGCCGGCTTCATGGCCCTCTGGGCTGTTGTGTCTGCTCTGACTGCATTGTCCAAGGACTTCACTGGTCTTCTGCTTACACGCTTCTTCCTTGGTGTGACTGAGGCGCCGTACTATCCTGGAGCTCTGTTCATGTTGTCCATTTTCTATACTGTGAGTCCTTACTTCCCCGAGCTTGTGTATGATCACAGCTAACCGGAGCCAAAAACAGCGCAAAGAGATTGCCACACGCATCTCTATCCTCTACACCGGCAACATCCTCGCCACAGCCTTCGCCGGCCTCATCGCCGCTGGCATCTTCGAAATGGACGGAGCCGCCGGAATCTCTGGCTGGCGCTGGCTTTTCATCATCCAAGGTGTCGTGACCTTTGTGGTCGCCCTCGCCTCTGTGTTCACTTTGCCGGATCATCCACTAACAACCCGCTGGCTCACCCCCGAAGAGCGCCAACTCGCACACGACCGCATTGAGCGCGACACCGTCGGCAATAGATTCCAGTCCTCGACCTTCAACGGCCTGAAGGAAGCCGCGAAGGACCCCAAACTCTGGCTCTTCGCATTCATGCAACACATGCATCTTGCCGCCAATGGCTTCAAAAACTTCTTCCCGACTGTCGTTGGCACACTGGGCTTTAACCGCACCATCACCCTCACACTCACCTGCCCGCCCTACCTCATCGCAGGCATCATCTCCGTCTACTGGTCCTGGCAATCAGGCAAGTACAACGAGCGAACATGGCACATCACCGCGGCCAAAATCGTCGCTATCGCCGGTTTCGTCCTCGGCATGGCCACGCTCAACATCGGCGTGCGCTACTTCGCCATGGTCGTCTTCTCGATCGGCACCTATGCCGTCAACAGCATCATCCTGGGCTGGGTGGGTGCCACCTGCGGACAGACTCGCGAGAAGAAGGCTACTGCGTTGGCGATTGTCAATACTATTGCCAATGCGAGTTTCATCTGGACACCTTATCTGTGGCCCAAGAGCGACGAGCCCAGGTATGTGATTGCGATGAGCTCGAGTGCGGCGTTTAGTGCGGCTTGTGCAGCGGGAGCTTGGGTCATGAAGATTTGGTTGATTAGGGAGAACAAGAAGATCAAGCAGAGTGATAATGAGGCGACGATGTTTTATGCTTACTAGAGGTCAGTCTATGAGGGAGAGACTGTGGTCGCTCTCGAGCCAAGCTGGAGAAGGGACTGTCAGTGTGTCGAGAGGGCTCGAGTGCTTGAGCAGGAGCATGTGAGACACAGTGAATGGCTTGCTGTGTCGAGGGAGCAGCATGAACAGACTCGAGTAGGGCATGTTGATTACTTCCACAATTACTTGATAGTAGTGACTGTCCTTGCTGTCAGTCACTCAGAACATTTACATTAGAGTTGTGCTTACCTCTGGAATATTCATTCCTCCTTCTCTCTTGACATTGAATGCATTCTACTGCATCCTCAACCTTCCATCTCGAGTTTACAATGATCGCAGTGACCCTTCTGCTGGGCGTATCGGCAGGTTGCGTTGTGTCTGCCTTTCAGGCGACAACTATTTGAGCGGTTCTCTCACTGTTGACCGCAGACGTGGATTTCCAATTGCTGTCGGAATGCTCGTCTAGACTCGTGGCCACAACCACTCCCAGTGAGCAGCGAGTCACCGAGTCGGGTGTATGAGCAGTGCCGTCGTTCCTTCGACGTACAGTAAATGGCAGGCAGTCAGTCAGTGTGCAATATGCGAATCATTGTCTCCATATGACACATATGTTATTCTCACGCCACAAGTCTGCTCATCTTCAGCACTGCCCCATGCTCGGTATTTGTGAGCCTGAAGCTTCAGTTGAGAATACTTCTGAGACCGAGCGAATTCTGCATCTTCAAGCGACATTCGCATTTTTACGTTTCAATCTAAGGCCATACGAGATTCGTATGAAGCGCTCCTGGCCCCAACATTAAGATCTACACGGCGTATCAACTTCCGAGATCTAATTCGTAAAGCTTCAGGTAATCTTGAATATTATCTCTACCTCGTAGTGGTATAGAATTTTGGCGCATATTAGATAAGCCGTGGAGCGACTGCCATTCTCGGGGAATGCATCGATCTGCAATCGAGCCGCATTTCCGCTTCGCGTGCCGAGACTAGCCACAAGCCAGCGGCTCGGGGAACGTCGCGCAAGTATTGCGACGCAACGCCTAATTGATCTGCCCTACGTGTTGCGGTCTGTGAAGCTGAGTTGAGTCGTTGCGAATGCCATCCTGTGTAAGCAGATGTGGTGTGCACTTCGACTCGACTCCGGAGGATCTTCGCTAAGTGCTCAGCACGGGTGGAGCAACTACCGGTATAGTAGACACTAGAACAGGATCGATGCACACCGGCGATTACGGCTATGCGTTGGTGTTGTCGACCCTCGCTCGCCGGACACATAGTCTTACGATAGCTCAAGGCGAGCGAGGATGACTATTGGTTGCAAACAAGCGAGGCGGTAAATCGCGTGCATCTGCATCGACAGTGGATCCCACGTTTGATGTCCCCATGTTCTGCGAGATCCCTGGTTTCAGGAACCTGCCGTCGACTGACTCAGCTGGGTCAAACGAGCCTCAACAACAGTCAAGCTAGATGACCATCCAATGCAGGGACTGAGATCATCCGGCGGAGTATGGCGGCGGAGCATCCTGCGTTGTGGACGTGGCTTTGCCAGAAGGCCGGACATATGCGGGTGATGATGGTGGTGTCACCACATATTGTGGTTGGTAGACTGGCGCGGTTGTCGGTAGAAGCGATGGCCGAGCCGGGTGTTTGCCACCAACAGTAGGTCGGCGGCTGGCAATCAGGCACACCAATAGAAGCAGGAATATGACAAAGAACGCGATCGGAGCAATGTAGAACGAAGTCGACATGTTTGCTGTGAGGTGTGAAAATCGATGGTCGTTCGGTATTGTGCGAATGGAGCTGGAATGGCAAGGTGCGTATGCAAGTGCAGAATGTTCTCCCTGCTGAATATGTAGTGATTTGACATACCTGTAGAGACTTCAGCGAAGCCAGAATCCCAATGAGGCTATGCTGTACTTTGGTGGGCTGTGCAAGGCAACCAGGAATCACTTCGCCTGAGTGCTGTGTGCCTCGTTGCATCCTCACACCATGGCATGTTACGTCAGCGGTCGCCTCGCGCAGAGCGAACTTCTAGGACAATACGCTATAGTGTGTAGTGCAAGGCAAAGCATGGTGTTGACACCACATGGAAGAAAGTTAGAGACGTTGGTGTTACGCGAAATTCCCGAATTTGCCGAGCTGAGTTGGTGTCGCAACCTTGGAAGTGCACCTGCCTCGCCGCCCATCACTGGTCAACGCACCTTCCAGATGCAACAGGTGCCAGCAGCATCGTCAATGACCAGACGCAGGAGTGCTTGCCGTGGCTGACGACAGTGACTTACCGCAGTGTTGGGACGCTCGCAAACTTGCTGGTTAAGGGCGCGTTTTTCCGATTTTTGGAAGAACCCCGATTCAGACAAATCCGCGAAAGGCAGGACTGTGAGTCTGTGCCTTCTGACTCCTAGTTTCGTCCGAACGAAGAGATTTCTGGACTAAGGAATTCCTTACTTTCGTCTATCCTATGAGCCGGGACGCTGACATAAAGCAACTCAATATGCTGTCGTGACCAGAAGGACGAATAGTCGGCCAAGTCCCCAGTACGCAAAGAGTAGGAGCACGCGCCACGAGCGCTGTTTAGCGGTTGAAAGCCTGTACTGCACGTTAGGCGTATTCCAGTTGTGGTGGAGGCAGGCGCCTATGTCCAGCGAATCAACACTGTTGAAATTGCGAGATCGGGAATCATTCTCTACCAAAAGAGCCTGCCACCCCCACTATTGCTGTCGGCCCTCATTTTTGGCCGAAAGCGAAACGAGGGTGACTAAGGTTTGTTTCGGAGGCTTCTCACCTTCTTCCACCAGTATTTGTGATGCGATACGACCCTCCGCAGACACCGAAACCGCGTTTGCGATGGATGTGTCCTATGAGTCCTTCTGCGAGAGCTTTCCAGAAGCCCACTAGTGCCAGGCGACCAAATATATCGCCGAGGCCAGGGACTACATCATCCATCCGATACGAGCTGGGCATGAATTGTAATTTCTTGTGCTCAGCCTTAAACGGCTGATATACGATTTTCATACAGTTACAGGTGCAGTATGATGTCGTTGATGTGATCACAAAAGATATAGATAAATATCGAGGAACCACGGAGTCCATCAACACTCTTTTACCAAAGCCATAGACAGGATTCCATAATCATCGTTCTATCATTCCAACACATCGACGAGATCGTATCACAAGCTCTTCTAGCTGCGACTGTTTACCACTCTAGTCCTGAGATCACGACCACTCGGCCACTAGCAGCCATGCGCCAGACTACTGCGAAGCCAGAAACGCACCCAGCACCTGGGAGTCCGTGGCTACATCAGTCGCCTATCAGTTCTCCATGTAAGTCAAAGTCATACCCTCATCATTTACTGATTCGTCCTGTGAGACCGACATCCACTGCCGGTGTTGAGCACCTCGGTCGTCCGTGTCATCTCCATTTGCTGATTTGGGCAACTTTGCGCATCTGTGATCGTTCACTAATCATTCAATAGCAGCAGATGAGCAAGCAGTAGATGAGTCGGGACTGAATCCGAAGGAGAGGAGACGAGAACAAGTGAGACGAGCCCAGAGGTAAATGTCTTGATTCCGGATCTTGGCTCACGTGTCTGACGAGATTCTCCAGAACACACCGTGATCGCAAAGCTACCTATGTGAAAGCGCTGGAACTGGAAGTAGCCAAACTCCGGGCCAAGGATGCCCACGCCTCAGAAGGTAGGCGAGCCCTCGATCTGACTCGCTAATCGTGCTTGCTAACGGAATCAGACCTACGACAAGCACATATCGTTATTCAACGGTTGCAGAATCTGCTTATGCAATATGGCATCCCTGTGGGACCAGAAATTTTCCAGGTCGACAACGCCATGGCAACAATCGAATTGGTGGGTAGACCTCCCTTTGGTCAATCTCTCCACGCACAGATTCCTTCGATTCCTGTTTTCGACCATTCCATTCCTGCTCCCCATATAAGTACAACGACACCCACTCAACGTGCATCTTCTACAGGCGGAGGATCCGATGTTCTTCTGGCTACAGCAATAGACGAGAAACCAAGTTTCGGATTTGACGCCGCTACAGAAGCATCCTCATCAGCACAAACCATAATCATGCACCCACACGGTTTAGACAGTGTGCAAGTCGGCATCAACTTCGTTCTCGCCCTGGAGCATCCGTGTCTTTACCACCACAGCATACCTTCGGTACCGATGCTTGCTCACGGGTATATGGGTACCGGCCATTCGCTTATGCTGTCAAGTCCGATCATGGAGCACTCTCCGTCCTACTCGCTCAATCCCCTCAAAATGGGATGGCCAAGGGGAGCCAAGTGGAATGTGCCGGCAATCGAGCTCGAAAAGCTTCTTACGTTCTCGGAAGAAATCGAGCTCGAGGGAGAGGTGACGCCCGTGCAAGTCTGGAATGTGGTCAAGAGGCACCCGAAGTTCGAATCGATGACAGCGGAGAAGCTGGAGGCTTTTCGAGATGCTCTTCTGCCTAGCGTCAAATGTCTCGGGTTTGGGGCAGTCATTGGTGAGTCTCCGTTAGGAATTTGGCAGCATACATGTTGAAAGCCATTCACTGACATGATGCGAACAGAACAAGGGTTCTTCGAAACGCAACTTGAGACAGCAATGGGTGCTCTGTGAGGCCATCAACAGTGGTGCTTTTTCGTCTTAAAGCGTTCTTGCGTTGATTTGAGCAAGGCGTTGGCAGGTCATCTGGGAGACTTGATAGATCGAAGGCTCGGGACTTCTCCCAGAAAAGAGCACTCTGTTCTTCACAAGAAATAATCAAAGTTCGTATCGATGTTTGGCTCCGGGATACTTGAGCTTGACGCTCGAGCAATGTCCCACACCGGCCTTCATATGCGCGCTACATGAGTGTCAGCCTTTTCATGACCCCAGCCTCAGGACCACCGGATTCTGGCCCTCGTAATCCTATTTTGCCACCTGAACTTCTGTTCACCCCGAGCTTGAAACTTTCGAGTTGCCATTGCCTGAGCTTTGTCGCCTCTGACTTGAATGGCGGGGGCCGCCTTGCTGCCTTGTTAGGCGGCAATGCCCCGCATGTGACGATCAATGATTTGTGGAGAAATGTCACTTTCGATCGCCAGAGATGTACCTTACACTTGACCTGCATTGCACAAGACCATCCACCTGCATCATAGAGCCCGCCTGGTGGCACAATCACACGTCCGATCCGAATCAACTTCTTCCTTCCTCTGTTCCAGTGTCCTCCACCCAGCGCACCGTTTCGCTCCAAAACCGTTGCGGCATGTCGTGACTTCTGGAGCCATTGTTTGCCATCGGAACGCAAGATGGACGCCACCTTGGGGGAGGCAGCCCAGCTGACTCCAACATTACTGTCACAGAATGAGGACAGCTACAACGCGATCGCCACAAATGTTGTGAGCAAGCTGAGGGGAGCAATACCACCTTCGGCAGCGACGAAGAACACATTAGATGTGAGCACGTGGAATGACTATCACAGCCACAACGCTAATGCTCTTCTAGGCTCTGCATCCGACCGCAGACACGATACCTTACTTCTTTGTCGTCGCAGCGGCTATCAAACATGTCACATCCAGCGGAAAGTCTGTAGAAGGACAGCTGCCTCGCGCGCTCCTACCAGACGGCGAGTTGTGGCCATACATTTCGAGCCTCCTCCTTGAATTCGACCCGATCCAAGCACGTTACGCCGGACAGCCTCTTGCTACGATCTTGGACACCGTCAGCTACGGCGCGCAACAGACACAGAACTATGCTCCTGCAATTCAGTTGTTGGCCTCAGTCATCCTCCGCCTCGACCCAGACGCCTCTACCTTCACCTCGACACATCATACCTTTGTCCGGCTATGCTCCTAGCTGGCGCATTTGCGGACAGTCTCCTCATCGTCACAAGACCAATCTATCACATTCCCCTCGGCGATAAGACCGTGGAAAGTCGTGCAGCGAAGAACAAGTGCTCGATTGAAGAGCTTACGGACGGCTGGCTGACACATGCGTCGGGTCTGACGTACAGAGTCACGCCGCGAATGTTCCTCGAATACAATGCGATGTGTGCGTTATGTCACATGGCTTTGGGCCAGTATCAGCAAGCTATCCTATTCCTGGAAGTCGTCCTCATCGCTCCAACAGGCAGCGGTGCCACAAGTCAGATCGCGGTCGATGCCTACAAGAAATGGATTCTACTCAATCTTATTACCACCGGCAAGGTTCCAGAGTATCCCAAACCCGTCTATCAAGCAACGTCGAGAAATGTTCGATCGCTGGCTAAGCCTTACGAATGCATCATGGAAGCATTCAAGTCACGAGATCCTTCGCGACTCTCAGCAGAGATGCACGAGGGTGCTGACGTCTGGCAAGCTGACTCGACTCTTGGTCTGATTCAGGACGTCTATCAGGCGCACCGCAGATACAACGTGCTCCATCTGGGCAAGACATTCGCCGCGATTCCAGTGTCACAAGTCGTGTCAATGCTTGGCTCCGACCAAAACGGCGAGCCAACTGTGCAGGAATATCTACAGAACCTCATCGCCACCGGCGGCCTTCGTGCAACACTCACACCAGCATCAGACAGTTCGGATCAGATCCTCCGCTTCCTGCCCGACACAATCAGCAAGAAATCTGAGCTCGAGATGGAGCAAGATTTGAACAACCGTGAAGTCCAGCTACGAGCACTTCTCAAACGCATCGGCGAGGTCGAGCACCGCATGCAGCTCAGCAAGGAGTACGTGGACAATCTGAAGAAGCTCAAGAAGACTCGTGATGAGGATGACCAAATGCAAGCCAACGTCGACAAGACTAAGGCCAATGTCGCGGCAGGAAAGAAGCCGCCGACGACCTACGACATCGACGAGGATATGATGGGAGACGAGTTCTAGTACGACATCGACGACATCATGATGAGTGACTCGGCACAGACCATATGAACCGGAGAACGCGGTGTGGAGGCCTTCCTGGGGGGGCTCAAGAGTTATCATGACTGGTGCACGCACCAACACAAGCGACCGGCGATGTGGGTGGACACGCAAATGTTCCATTACCATGCATCATGGTGTATGATGGCCTCCCTGGGGCTAAAGCAGAATAGAGAGATATCCATATGGTCCTGATACGGAGCAGACGAATGAATGGCATTTCAAGCGGCTAGTAGCTGGACTATAGCGCCCTCCCTAGTCCAAGATCCCTTTACGAGCGGCATCTTGTCGGTGACTAGTTCATGTCGTTACGGTGCTTATCGTATCTGCGGTTTGTGCGCTTCGTGGTCTGGATGGTTTAACATGGTGGTTCTGTAGCTTGCTACATGTATTTGTGTCACGCATGTGACAGGAATGCTGTGCTCGTCGTACCGCTTCTGAGCATTCGACTGCGAGACCCTCTCAATATGTCTACAGCGACAGCATGAGCGATTGATACGCGTCTTTCGAAAATCGAGCAGGGCACCGCACGTCGATTCATGACGATCACGCTAAGGAGGGAGCGCCAGCTGCGTCTGAGGGTAAGAGGCAGTCTTCCTCAATTGATAACAATATTCAGTAGCGCAGAAGCGTCAGCGCGCAGGAGCAGCTCTTGGACTTCGACTGCTCCCCATGGCATGCTCACAAAGATAGCATTTCCTCATCCTTGATATCTCACCATTTAATGTGTACAGTGAGCGGCCCCCAGGTCAAGGAAGCTGCCAGAAGCGAGGGTCATCGCATTAAACAAAATGCATCCATCGAAGACCTCAAACTCCCATCATGGCCCGTAGCCTTGCAGCAATTTGCCGCCTGTCCTCTTCCCCAAAGTCAACTCGCTTGCCGCATATGCAACACTGTTCTGGTGAACCCTCCTAAGCCCGAGCTTCCGCACCACTGTCACCCACAGTAGTCACCTTCTCAATCTCAATCTTTGGCATCGCGCTCCCACTCATGCCCAGGTCTGTGCTCTTCGCCTTGGGATTCTTGGTGTAGTAATTGCTAATCGCCGATTTGATCGCATCCTCTGCCAACATACTGCAATGCAGCTTCACAGGCGGCAGACACAGCTCCTTTGCTATCTCTGTGTTCTTGATCCGCGCTGCTTGTTCGAGTGTCATTCCTCGGACGAGCTCGGTAAGGTATGATGATGAAGCGATGGCGGAACCGCAGCCAAAGGTCTTGAACTTGACGTCGGCGATAGTGTCGTTGGAAGGGTCGACTTTGATCTGTAGTTTCATTACGTCGCCGCAGGCGGGTGCTCCGACGAGACCTATGACATTTTCGTCAGCACATATGTTCGGAATGGAAAATATTGAATCTCGGCCGAGCTTGAGCTCGGAGTCTCCGAGGAGCACGTACCAGTACCGACATCATTGTCGTTCTTGTTCATCGAGCCGACATTACGCGGGTTTGAGTAGTGGTCGAGCACCTTCTCGTGGTACCCTCTCCTTTGTGACTGTGCAATGGCTGGCCGTGAGATCCGGGCGGCGGTCTGTGAAAGAGATGGGCGGAGAGCGGGTGTAGATAAAGAGGCGATAGTGCGGGGGATGCTCGTTATTGCGCGGCGAGACATGATGTATGTGATGTGAATGTCAGTCGAGGGCGATGTGTGTGTCGACAAGTGTCAATCGTAGGGAGCGTAGGAAACGTAGATCGATAGTGTTGACAAGAGGCGTAGAGGGTGGAAGAAATGGATGATGTCGAGGCAAGTGATTTCATTCAATCTGGAGGGTCTTTCCGGAATGACATGATTGGCTTGACAAACAGAGCGCTCCCCAACTTTTAGAGCGATTTCTCTCCTTTCAACATTGCTTGTTCGGAGATACCTTTTTCCGATCTTCGCTCTTGCTTACTTTTCGTGGTCTCTATCGGCTTTTACTTCCGATAGCCGGCGTAAGGTTCGTTATCGATATTGCTATCGCCACTATCTCCGAACTTCAACGTGGAGCCCTGTAAACAATGAAGTCCACCGCGATGTTGGCTTCACAGGGGCCGACTTTCACTGTTGTGATACGCCTGAAGGTCGACGACAGCATGCCACGTAAAGCTGTTCCGACTCGCTCGGGCGGCCTTCGCGCCAGCGCCAAATCGAAGCCCAAAAAATCAGTCGAGCAAGACAGTGGCTACGGCAGCGCTCCATCCTCTAGAGAAGCCAGTGTTGAGAGTGAGCCTGTCCAACATGGTACTTATGGCGGTGCACCGATCAGAAAGTTCAGTAAGCTAGGCACGGTCGATGCAAGTCACGATCTCACAACCCATGAGAAACTCTGTGAGCCTGAGAATGACTGGATTCATAAGGACTGGAGAAACCCTGATGATGAGGACGATGACTGGGAGGAGTGCGACGACGACATCAACGAAACGTGGAAGCACAAGACTGGACCTCAAGGCCCGTATCCCGACAAGAAGTACTATAACGCTATCTGGTGGAGACTTTCTCGGAAGCGCCGTGTCTACATCGTCAAGAAGCTCCACAAGGTCGAAATCGAATTCCGAGAATACTACCAGACAGATGCAGAGAAGCCGAAATGGTATCCTTCCGGCATAGTGAGTCCGACAACATTGCTCTTCTCAAGATATTGACTAATTTTCACAAGGGTTGGGCCATGAGTATTCCTCAATTCTGCGAGTTCGTCAAGATGGTGCCACAGATGACAGCCTTCCTCGAAGCCTTGGTCAAGAATCTGAAGGTTCCACGTGTCGACTACAGCACTGAGAGTGTCGAGCTCGCCGAGAAGTACGTCAATGACCCGAGACCCCCGACCAAGGCGTTGAAGCCGTTCCGGGAGAAGACCAAGGGACACAAGCGCCACCTCGAGTACGGCAATGATGAGATTCAGCCGACCCTCCCCTATGTCACCTATTCACTGCACAAGCAAGATGCCTATGAGGCGCAAGCCGAGGCTGTCGAGAAGATCAATGAGGCGAGGATGTGGAACACGATTTCCGCCAAGGAGATGGAGGACGCCCTCAAGAAGATTGCCGATGAGCCTAGTAAGATCGACTCCGGTCCTATTAACATGGGCAATCTCACTGCACAGTACCACACTGGCAACCTTCTCACCGATCGCTACGAGAGCCATGGCCATGACTTGTACATCAACTTGGATAAGGACTCAGAGTCGCAATCCACCGAGTCGAAGGATTCTGACGTCGACATGAACGACGCCGATTCCGAGCACGACTCTGCTGCCAACAAGGAGTAACGATACTATTGGATTGGGTTAGCGCAGGGAAGAGACATGACTAAGACCAAGTGCTGGCATCATCCTCTTCCTGCCGCCTACCTGGACTGATTTCGCGTTGAGCAAGGAGTTTTGACCCACAGGGAGGACTTTGACAGACTCGATTGGCGGTTTTGGACACAGAGTCACTGCAGCATGGAGCCCGCCTGGATGGGCCAAATTGAATACCAACAGATTGACACCAGGATACACACAGCTAAGGCAGTTGCATCAACATGTATTGCTGTGATAGGTAGCCAATGATCAATCCTGACATACTCAGCTGCTGCTCTCCCACTCCGCGATGCGACTCGCGACACTGCCCTTCTTCCAGCTCTCCGGATCCTGCTTCTTGTCAACATTCTTCTCGCCGCTCCCCTCAGCGCCATAAGCTCCACCGCCAGGCGTCATCACAATAATCCTCTCACCAGGCTGCATGCTCGCCGTGTTCTTGGCGCCCATACTGACGTGGCGCTCCTCCCATTCCTCCTGCTCGGTGCTCGCCTTATTTCCATCCACACCTTCCTCCCTCCGCTGCCCCTCTGTCTCGCCCCCTACGCCCGCTTTCTTGGCTTTCTTGACGCGCCTCACCCACACATTTTTGCCACACTGCCCATCCCCACCCCCATGCAGCCCATACGGCCTGTACACCCTCCTCTCACTCAGAATACTGACCTGCACCGGAATCCGAAATTCAATCTCCCGTACCACGCCATCTCCACCCCTATGCCTGCCCTTCCCACCACTCCCGCTCCGCAACTCGAACCTCCTCAGAATCACAGGATATCGCCTTTCGAACACCTCTGCGTCCGTGATTCTAGTGTTCGTCATATGCGTATGCACTCCACTCGTGCCCTCCCAATTATGTCCAGCTCCGGAGCCGCCGGCGATGGTCTCGTAGTACCCGAATCCCTTCTCCTCTTTGCTGCCTGCGACGTTCCCACCATAGCCGAAGGTCAAGTTATTGCAGTCCCCCTGGCTTGCGGCGCAGGCCTCGAAGCATTTGAAGACGACGTCGGTGACGCGTTGGGAGGTTAGGACGTTGCCGCCTACCACTGCTGCTTTCTCCGAGGGCGAGAGGAATGAGCCGGGCGGGATGTTGACGGTTATGGGTTTCAGGCAACCTTGGTTGAGCGGGATGTCCTGGTCGATAAGGCAGCGTAGGCAGTAGATGATCGCACTGTACGTCACGGCTTCTGGCGCGTTGATGTTGGCGTACACCTCGGGCCCGGTGCCGGTGAAGTCGAACGTCGCTGTGCCCTCTTCCGCAGAGATGGAGATTTTGAGCTCGATCGGCGACCCATCATCCATGTAGTCGATCGCATGCAGGTCTTTCCCCTGAAAGCGCTTGCTCACGTCCTTAAGCAGCTCGCGCACACTGCGCTCGGCGTTGGACTGGATTCCCTTCATGTAGAACTGCACGACTTCTTCGCCGTAGTCGGCGATTAGTGCGCTGATCAGGTTGATCCCCTTTTGGTTTGCGGCGACTTGGGCTTTGAGGTCGTTGATGTTGTCGGCCAGGCAGCGTGTGCCACTGCATTCGGGGTACTGGGCGGGTTCGTCGTAGAGGAGCTCGGTGATGCGTTTTTCGTTGAAGTGACCCTCACTGACCAACTTCTCGGATTTGATGGCGGCGCCTTCTTGGTAGAGCTCGCGGCTGTGGGGAGGCATGGAGCCGGGGAGGATGCCGCCTATGTCGGCGTGGTGGGCGCGGCTGGCGACGTAGAAGATGATTTCGTCGCCAGAGAAGGCGGGTGTGACGACCGTGATGTCGGGTAAGTGGGTGCCGCCGTATTCGGGGTGGTTTGAGACGATGACGTCCCCGCGCTTGAGCTTGCCCTTCCAGATCGCGGCTTGGGTGCGCACGCAGGTGGACATGGAGCCTAAGTGTACCGGGAGATGGGGCGCGTTGGCGACGAGGCCGCCTTCGGCGTCGAAGAGGGCGCAGGAGTAGTCGAGGCGTTCCTTGACGTTAGTGCTCACTGAGGTTTTCTGCAGGGCGCGGCCCATCTGTTCGGCGATGGCCATAAAGCGGTGGGCAAAGATGGAGAGGAGGATTGGGTCGAGCTCTGTCGGAGAGGGCTTCTTCGGGGAGGTTTCGTCGCCGACGTTGATTACCACGTGGGTTGCGATGATGGTCGCGGAAGTGTTGGGTGGGATGATGATCGTTTGGGTGCCGTCGGCGATGATGGCTGGGCCGGGGACCTTGTCACCCACGGCGAGGCTCTCCAGCTTGTATATCGAGGAGGTCTGACGGCCACCTTCGAAGTATATATCCAGCTTCGAGTGAGCCTTGTCCGAGGATACAAGAGACGTCTTGAGATCTTTGAGTTGTTGGTCTGCGGTCTTCTCGAGGCCGCCTTGGGATTTGCCGATGCCGCGAACTCGGACGTCGTCGACAATGATGTCGCGGTCTGGGAGCGTGAAGCCGAATTCTTGCTCGTGTTGCTTGATGAAGGCGCTACCGAATGCCCAGTCGTCGCCGGAGAAATGTTCCTTGACTTCGTCGGGTAAGGGTTTGACTACCATCAAGGCCGACTCTGTGCCTCTGTACCGCATGTTGAGGTACTCTTCGTACTCGATGTTGTCGTCTGAGAAGCCTTGGTCGTTGAGCTTCTTGCGTGATCTTTCTTTAAGCTCGTTCATCTTGGACTTAAGGCCGTCCCGGGTGCCATCTTTGGCGTCCCAGACCTGTGACTCTGGCACTTGGCCCTCGTCCACTACATCTGCGAGGGCCATACCGTATGCTGACAGGACTGATGAGTACCGATGTACCAAGATCTGACGGATACCAAGAGACTCGGCGATGGCAACGGCATGCTGACCTCCAGCGCCACCGAACGTCGCGAGACGATGCTGTGAGGTATCGTGGCCCTTCGCTTCCGTAAGAGATCTTATGGGTCGGGTCATGGTCTCGTTGGCGATCTTGATGAAGCCGTACGCCACCTCATCGGCTGACATATCCTTCCCGGTCTCTTTGTTGATCTGCTCGGTAAGTTCCTCGAAGAGCTTTTTGCTTGCTTCGGGATCTAGACCTTCGTCTTCGTTCTTGCCGAAAATCTTCGGGAAGAATTCTGGCAGCAGGCGTCCGAGGAACAGATTCGCGTCAGTGACCGTCAATGGCCCACCTTTGCGATAGCAGGCTGGGCCAGGATGGGCTCCGGCTGACTCTGGGCCGACAACGAACAGACCATTGCGGAAAAAGAGACGAGAGCCGCCACCTGCTGCTACTGTATTGATATCGAGCTGAGGTGACTGAATAGTGACGCCGGCCGTGGTTGTCTCAAAGACGTGCTCGTACCTTCCCGAGCCATATCTCGAGACGTCAGTGGAAGTGCCGCCCATGTCGAAACCAATCACCGGTGTCTTGGTCTCAGGGTCGTACGACGTAAGAGCATAGCCGACAACGCCTCCAGCAGGGCCAGACAAGATAGCTCTTAAGCCAGAGAATTTGTCGACGTCGACCAGGCCACCGTCCGACTGCATGAACTCGCATCGTGCACCTTTCTGTCCAGACTCTCTCTTCACACTTTCCGTGCCGAGACCTCCCTCGAAACCTGCTTCGAAGCCCGAGATGTACTTCTTAATCGCTGGTGTCAGGTATGCGTCCGCACAAGCTGACGTCGCGCGCGGTACCAGCTTGATCATAGGCATCAATTGATGACTCAAGCTAACGTGCTCAAAACCAAGCTCTTTTGCCACCTCGCCGACCAGGGCTTCGTGTGCAGGGAATGTGTAGCCGTGCATCAAGCACACAGCGATGCTCCTGAAGCCCTCGCCATAAAGCTCTTTCAGCTGTTCTCTGATCTTCTCCCTCGCAGGGCGCTTCAATATCCTCACCGTCTCGCCACTCAAGCCTTTGACCAGAGTCTTGCTCTCATGCTCATCAGTCTTGCCCTCTGCTTCCGTTTGCGTACGTTTTGGATCCTCGGCATAGTCTTCCAGCGTCACCCGCTCGTCCACTTCCACCACCTTCTGGTATAAAACATCCGGCCTCCGAATCGCAAGATCGAAAATCTTAGGCCGCGACTGATTGCCTATCTCGAGGCAGTCCTTGAAGCCAGCACTGACGACCATGGCCATCTTCTCACCTTTCCGTTCCAATAGGGCGTTCGTTGCAACGGTCGTGCCCATGCGAATACTCTCGATCTTGGCAGTGTCAAGTGGCTCTCCTCGAGGAATCTCCCGATCTGTGAACTTGGACATCAGTCGTCGGATGCCTTCGAGTGGGGCATCATTGTAGTTGGCTGGGTCTTCCGAGAGGAGCTTGATGATGATGTCGTCTTCCATGCGGCCGGTGCCTGGGTTGCCAACGCAGTCTGTGAAGGTGCCGCCGCGGTCGATCGCGATGCGGATGCCCCGCGGCTGCTCACCCCCGGCATCACCCATCCTGACTGCGTGGCACGGTTCTCAGGGCTTGGGGAACTGTTAGAAGCTGCCGATTGCCTGTGCTATCCCAGAACCTCCCAGGTTATGCTCTGTGATGCCGAAAGATCGAACGCTTGGCTAGTGGAGGCGTGAAGGACAGGCTTCAGTGCTCGCCAAGATGCTGGTCGACCTTTTCTCAGAGAGCTGTATAGTGGCAGACGACAACAGCAGCCAGGCAATCGAAAAGCTTCTTCTGCTGTAAACACCAGTTCTCTGCAGTGTAATCAAGGTACTCCAGAAATGTATATCTCGGCGGGGAAGAAGTCCGTTCGTCGGAGGACGAGATCAGATGGACGTGTAGGCGACAAAATCGTCGTTCACCCAATGCTGTATATATACTGTCTGTATTATTAGAGAGCGACCAGACAGTCATATGATGGTCTCGTCGGCATGTGGGTCCCGGAGCTACAAAGCAACATGATCAAGACTTGAACGTCAAAACTGGCGTCACAGAATTCTGGTGTTGGAGAAGTATTTCTATTCCGAAAGACCTCCACCACAAAGTTGGGCTTCTGTATATCAGTGCCAACAACGCCTTGACTCGATTGCTATCAGATCAATCACTGAGCCCCGCTCGCTAACCTGCGCACAAGCCGAAGACTGCCCGTGAAAAATTCCAAGATGAAAGAAAATCGTTAAAGGCCACCCGGGATCATGACTGGTCGGCCTTGCTGTCCCTGCTGTCCTTGCTGCTCCTGGCAGCACCACGCTCTCCGCCTTTCGTGGCACAGTGCTTGACAATCCATGGATGTCGCTCTACGTCCTCAAGCGGTATCCGTTTCTCGGGATCGAGGACGAGTAGCTATTATATAGTTAGCACAGACTTTGTGACTCGACGTGTGGGAACTGGCAACTCACCTTCATAATCAAATCTCTTGCCTCTGGACTCACAAAGCTGGGGACTTTCATATCAGCTTTGGCGATCCTCCGCTGCGTCATGACAGGCGTATCCTCGAAGGGAGCCTCGCCGACGAGAAACTCATAGGTGAGCACTCCCAAACTCCACAGATCGACCTTCTCGTTGTAGTAGTTGTCGCTTGCTCCAGGCCGCAGCATTTCGGGTGGGAGGTAATCTAGCGTTCCACACATGGTCTGCCGTCTGTTGTTGGGCGCATGGACTGACCAGCCGAAATCTGAGATCTTGATCTCGCCATGTATCCCGACAAGAATGTTCTCTGGTTTTATGTCCCGGTGCATGATGTGCTTCTTATGGAGGTACTTCAGAGCAGCGCACATCTGAGCAATATACTGTGCAGCTTTCCATTCTGGGAAGCGATGCTCTTTCCGCAGGTGCTTGTATAGCTCTCCCTTGCCGGCAAACTCGAGAATGAGGAAGATTCGCTTGCTGTCGTGGAAGTGGCCGTACAGGCGAACGATGTTGGGATGCCGGAGGTTTGACTGGATCTCGATCTCTCGGCGGACCTGCTTCTCGACCTTGCCCTGTTGGATCTCGGATTTGTGGAGGGTCTTCAAAGCGCACACGAAGCCGGAACTTCGCTCTCTCGCAAGATATACACGGCCGAACTTGCCCTTGCCCAAAGGTTTGCCGATCTCGAACATGCCTAGATGGAACTTCTTCGGATCTTGCGCGTAGAACAAAGCAGCTGCATCTGCACCTGAAGGTCGCCCTGCTGCTGCACCCGGCTCGTCTGAGCTTCTTGATGATGGCACAGGTTTTCGGACTGGCGAAGGTGGAAGTGTCGGTACTGTTGTGGTGGTCGTAGTTGTGATGATCTGGGCTGCATTCGATCTGGCCTCATTGCTCTGCTGTAATGCGTACTTGACAAGGTTCGTTCGGCTTTGGCTAGGGACCATACCCGACGCTGCCATGGCGGAAGTCGCAGTTACCTGTTGATGATAAGATCCATCTGGTACTGCTGATATGGGCGGCTTTACCTTGGACTTAAGCATCGATGAGCCATTGTTTGGTGCCTCGTTCTCATCCTGGACGGAGAGGTGCTCGAAACGGGCCTCTAACGTTTTAGTTGCCATTGTTAGCAGAGCGGGCTCTGTGAGAGCTTCCAGCGACAACCAAGTATGAGAGTTGGTGGACGGCGAGGTATGAAAGGGTAGCGCAATTCGTTCACATCTGCGACTTTCTGATCTATTTGAGACCGTTGACCGTTGTCATGGAGACCGTGCGCCTCCGGCGATATCGATAAGCATAATTCTACGATTTTTAACGTGAACCACCCCAACTTCAATCCGCTGCCTGCAATTGTGTGTCGGTCAGTCTGCTCAGACGATACTCGACGCAGGCTCTGGTGGCAACAGGCTCAGTCTGTCGCTATCATGGCTGCCGTTCAACCCGCAATCAGCGCGACGCGCCCAGACACAACACACCCCTCCAGCACGCCACCCTCCACCTACACGATCCAGAACTTCCGCATACAGACTCAAAAGCGGCCTATCCTCAAAGCCGCACCCATAGAAGACATGACCAGTGCTCTCGGAATCGCCCCTCCTGAGATGATCTTCGGCGACAACTTCGTCTCCATCACCCACCTTCCCTCCAAATTCTCGATATCTTTCAACGCCTTTGGCGCACTCGACCGCGTCGACAAGACGGGCGAGAAACGCCTGAAAGTCGCCTACTCACAAGAATGGTCGCAGTCAAGACAAGAAAGTCAGGCTGGCGAGAAAATCCGCGAGGTAGTCAAGCCATTCGACTGGAGCTACTCAACCGACTTCCGCGGCGACGTTGACGCCGATGGCCCGCAACTACAGGAGGACGGAGAGAAATCAATACCACTCGAACTCCTCAAACGCCCCGATCCAATCCTCTTCTTCGACGACGTCATTCTCTACGAGTCCGAGCTCGACGACAATGGCATTTCCATGCTCAGCGTCAAGATCCGCGTCATGCCCCAGCGCTTGCTATTACTTCAGCGCTTCTTCATGCGGCTGGACGATGTGCTGTTGCGGATCAGGGACACACGGGTGTACGTTGAATTTGCAAGTGGAGAGGTGATCAGGGAGTATCTAGAAAAAGAGGAGAAGTACCAGACTGTGAAGGATGCGTTGGTGGCGAGGAGTGCGGGAAGGGGCATCGAGGATGTGGCCGCCGTATTGCGCGAGCCTGAGCAAGTGAGCCAGCTGCTGCCTGAGGTGAGGCGTGTTGTGGATTCGTGCGTGTTAGGGCGGTGACGTCGGCCTCGAACTGGAAATGTTATGAATTCCAGCAACAGATATCAGCATCAGCAGCCTACGAAGGCAGCAGCAGTCACATGTAACAATGCTGCTATTTCCTCGCTGATGTGGAAGAGCCTGACGAACAGCAAGCCAACGAGCGTATTGAACCGCCCGCTACCTTGATTTCAACAGAACTGGGCGGACTCTCGAACAGAGGCAAAGGTCTTGCATCCTATGGCACGAGCAGCAATGTGCCCTCCACTCATACGTTGCAGTTGTACGCAGTGCTAGTGTGTACCGCTGAGCGACGAATGCGCGGTGTCCAGGATGAGCACGGCATAGTTATTGGGGAGTTGTACGAGGAAGTCCCTACCCTGCACGGTCTGCTCAAGATTTTACAGCTTCCTGAAGAGGTTCGAAAGTACTGGTATGTTGTAGCCTCAAACATGGCTGAGATGCCAGTGCGGAAGGAGTATGAGGTCATGAAGGGCCCCAAACTTGATGAGTGCGCTGAACGTTGGCAGGAGCGACATGGCGAATGCGACGAGTGTGATGAATGCAATATTGTTTGAGGTGTGCAAAGCTGAGGTAGGAGCACCAGGGATCTGGGTCAGTGACAATTGGTACAAACACAATATTCGACCAGCAACTCAAACGTGGCAGTCACTATGGAAAAGAATCCCGGCTCCTCGTTAGTACCTACCTAAAATGATGACTGAGAATTCTTGTATCCTGCACATGTCATCGACAGTGGTTGTACGCAGCCAAATACTTTGGGTGCACACCCATATGACCTGTCAGTATGCAGACGCTCGCTGGGCTGCTGGCGAAGTGTCTCACGGGGCGCCCCCTGAATTGAGCGGCATTGATATGTAGACTTTGTCGAGAACGACAACTTTCCGCGCCGACTCCGACTCGCACCGAGCACATGGACAAACTGAATCTGAGATCTGAAGCATCATGTTGTAGGGGGAACGGCAGAGCATGGTGACGACATCCAATCGATGACGATCCGCACTCTTACACCAGTTCGTATTCTCGATGGCAAGCTGGATTCTAGATCCGCATATTCCTCGACAGTTCACTCGCATCGTCAGTGTCTTCCCATGACCAATCATGCATTCAAAAACTCATGGATGGTGGCCATTTCTCTGGGCGCATGCCTCCGCGTGTGCCTAGCTTACGGGCTGTTTCTGACCTGAAGATTGCCAGGTCGTGGCATCTCGTGCCTGTTTCTTGCCTTTCTGGGCCAACTTACGGCCGGCCACTTCCAATGAGCGTTCGCTTAGGTCAAAGTGTTAACGTCGTTGATCACGCAGCTTCATGAGAGCGCAACTTGTCATTGACCTGTAGGCGTCAGAATACTCACTGTGTCACTGTCTTCACGAGCATAATTAATCACTACGACGTTGATAGCGCCCATTCCACCGAAGAAGTCTGGACCGATGGCCTGATTCTACTACCGAACGCTGATCACAAGTTAACGGCCCACCATAGAAATTCTAGAATCACACCAATCTTCGCTCTTCGATTCGATAACTTGCAACAATTGTTTCGACTCACGGAGGCCGCCGTTGTATCTATCGTCGGACCATACATGGGGGCTGTCACCGCCCAGCGCTAAATATCGTGGCCGCGGGTCACTTGAGAGGAGGCACCAGTCAGAATACCGCCGTTGCCCTGTCAAGGCCACTCCGTGTCGATGAGCGTAAATGGTGTTGCACTGCCTCCGCAGGAGACGACTGGACTGAAGCCGTCGGAGGACGCCCGCGCCATTGTCCGGCTCTTCCAGTGTTCTCAATGCTCATATCCTCTTCGAGAGCCGATCACCCTACCATGCGGGTCATCCCTGTGCAGGCCATGCCTGCCACCTTTCTACAAAAGAGAAAACATCACATACTCGGGACCTGTCAGTGAGGGACGCTCCGAGGGCTTCATGTGTCCGTATAGGGAGTGCGGCCATGAACACTCTGTGGCAGATTGCAACATTGACGTCACAATGAGCAAGGTGATGGACACGATCAAGACGTACATTGCCGAGTACAAGACCAGAAATTCAGAAACACCAATATTGCTGGATGAGAAACTCAGCATGCCTCGAATTGCCGACACTGCCATGGACGTCATGCCACGGTCTAGAGTGCTGCACGGAGGCAAGCTGGTATCGACGTTCTCCATGGCGGACATGGGCGAGCTCAACTACTTCTCGGACGTGGCGTACGGCTCCATCATTGACGGCGCAGAAGACCGAGTCGAGGCGTTAGACGTCGCTGTCATGCAGAATCTGAAAGAAGTTGTCCGCGCCGAACTCGAATGTCAAGTCTGCTATGCAGTCATGCTGGATCCTCTGACCACGACTTGCGGTCACACATTCTGCCGTCGTTGCGTGGCTAGAGTGTTGGACCATGCCAATTTGTGTCCCATCTGTCGCCGACGGCTGCCAATGGCTCCTGGTCTGCAGCAAGAATCCAGCAATAAGCGCATCACCTACATTATCGAGGGCCTCCTGCCAGATCTGCTCGCCGCACGGAAATTGATGATGGCCGAGGAGGATGCCATCGATGAAGAGTCGCACATGCCATTGTTCCCGTGTACACTGGCATTTCCGATGATGCCGACCTTTCTGCACATCTTCGAACCGAGATATCGACTTATGATCCGGCGCGCGATTGAAGGCGGGTCGCGGAAATTTGGCATGCTCATGTACAACCACCGTCAGGAACCACAAGGAGAGCTTGGTCCGGTTCACTTCATGCAGTATGGAACCGTTCTTTACGTCGATCGCATCGAGATGCTGCCAGACGGCCGCAGCCTGATTGAGACACGAGGCATGTACCGGTTCAAGACTTTGCAAGCGGGCATGACCGATGGCTACCATACTGGCCACATCCAAAGAGTGGACGATATTCCCATAGCAGATGAGGAGGCTATTGAAGCGCGCGAGACTACCCAAGTTTATACGAACCCCGAAGATCCAGCGACAAAGATCAAGAAAATGACGACGCAGCAGCTGTTGGAATATGGGCTCACATTCACAGCTGGAGCACGATCAAGATCGGCACCATGGCTTCACCAAAGAGTCTTGGCAGCATACGGACAAGCCCCGAGCGATCCCGCTTTGTTTCCGTACTGGTTCGCCAGCGTCCTCCCGATCGCTGAGGAGGAGAAGTATCAGCTACTTCCGGCGACGAGTGTGCGGCAACGTCTACAGATCACGGCTCGGTGGATACAACGCCTCGAGGCTCAACGATGGTAAGTCATTGACATATTTTCTCTTTCTCGAGCCCCTCTCCTGACAGGTGGGCAAGTAAACAAGAATCGGATCTCCTTGCTGCTATCAGAAGACAGCTGGAACGGCATACGGCGGAGCGATTGGCTCAAGAACAAAGCCAATCGCAAGAACCCCAGACTGATCCCCAACCTGCATCCGAGCCAGACGGGCGTACCTTGCGACCACCCACCTCAGACCCACCAGATCCAGATCCAGAATCAGATCCACCAGAACAAGAACAGAACTAACGTATTTGCTTGCGTTGCATCACAGGGAAAACTCCAGTAGCTGCACCGTCTTATGACTAGTGCTCGCCGGTGCCACTTCTGTCATACTTGGTTTGGCACTGGCGATACTGCCAGCTCAATCCAGACTGGGCGAGCAAAGACGATCTACTACGAAACAACACGGCGACGACTACGCAGACGCGGCCGAGGTCATCACTCGAGGAATCATCCTGGCCGTATGCTTGATAGTTGTGGTTCTACGAATAGTGATACCCCTGACGACGGTGCATCCATACCGATATCCCGGGCCAGGTGGGCACCGGTATTTGCTAGTGCATTGATCAGCGAATGACTGCATTTACACCATTTTGTAACGAAGATTTTTCAGGATACATTCCTGCCGATGGATCAGAGGACTTTGAACTGGATGACTGTGGAAGAGCAGTTTATCGTGTAGATATGGGTGGCATAACATGAATGCAGACTTCACCTTCTCTTGCTCTTCCATCCTTCCCTTGTGTTCACGTCGAACACCACTACCGTTTGCTCTGCTTTTGTACCTGCCAACCAATGCCATGTACCGCCTCGAAACGGTTTAGTGGGGTGCCAGTCCAAGTGCTCTGGCCCACCTTGCGTTCATCCCCCGTCTCAGCACATCGCTTTGGACTCAAACACATCGCAAGACTCGCCACAAAGCTTATGCTAGACCATCGTGGTATAAAGCCGACGATCGTAGCGTCCGCCGCAGTATGCATGAAAACTAACATTGAGGTTTGCAACACAAGTACCGTCTGGTTTGTTTGGCCAGCTCACCGCCTAATGCAAAGTGCCCATGGGCTTCTTCGATAATCTCTGGATCGATCCCGGCGTCCTATTCGTGTCACTGCTGGTCGGCAGCACAGTCACGGCTGCAGCTACGCAGTATGGCGGGACTCGCGACCCTCAGTGGATATAGATCCCGGCTACGACGACGATGACCCACCCCTCTTGAAGGCGCATTCCAGTGTTCAATCCTACACAACACCGTTCGCCAAGTACGAGGCAGTCAGAGTGTTCTACCGGCCACATACGCACAAGGATAAGCTCCAAGCGATTGCTGACCTGCCGTTACTGGTGTTCATTCATGGACTGGGAGGGTCGCTATCGCAATTCGCCTCACTGCTGGGCAGCCTCGTGAACACCGGACCGTGCTTCGGACTGGATGTGCCAGGACATGGACTGTCAAAGTTCTCACCGCAAAACTTCGAGGCGTATGAAACGAGCGCGCTTAAAGTCCTGTGGAGAACGGCCATTGCACAAGCTTGTGCAGAGCACGGCCACAAGAGCGTAGTGCTTATCGGGCACAGCTACGGCAGCTCTATCGCTGCTCTGCTCGCTACGGACACCAAGTTCAAGGTCAAGGTGGACGGAATCGTGGCGATCTGTCCGAAAGCTACGCCGCCATCACAGGCTGATTGCATGAAGGCTCGGCTATTTTTATCGTTACCAGACTCGTTCATTGATGGTTTCCGGTGGTACGACAAGCGAGGAGGAATCGATAGCAAGAGTGTGATGCGCTTCGTAGGCCAAGACGCTGGTATCGATCTACGGAAGCTGCAACTAAAGTACAATGCGGCTTCGAAGACGCCCGTGTGGAAGCGAATGGCTACAGGGGCACTACCACATTATGATGCCCGAGGGAATGCATTTGGCGGACTGCCCGGGAAAGAAACGTGGTCGAGAGTTCATGTGCCGTTGTTTCTGATTGCTGGCGAGGGAGACACAGTCACGAAACCTGCCGAGGTCACGAACATTGCGTCGTTCCTGCACGTCAGATCATCAACGAAGCCCATCGCAACAGGCAGCAAAGCCATTCCTTCCGCCGACGCGGCTCCCTTCGGCGGAAACGAGGACAAAACAGCGTCAGATACAGCGGCTGGCACGCTCCCAGACTCGACCACTACCAGTACAGGGTCCTCCTCTGTCCTCAAAGCCGCCACCCTACCCTTCCCAGCGGGTCACGCCCTCGTCTACGACCACCGCACATATCGCACTCTTGCCGGCCTGATCGAAGACTTCCTCACCAGCCACATCTCTCCTCACCTCTCCCTTGGCTGGCAGCTCCAACAATTGACCACGACTGGCAAGTGGGACGTCAAGAATCTCGAGAAGTGGCAGCGAACCCAGGCAGTCTCTGGACCCATAGGACCTAACAATTTGTTCCGAGCACTCAAGACCCTCCGCGAGCAAGACGAGTCGCACACGCCCAAGAAGTTTGTCGAGCAATGGCGAGACAAGATCTACGCTGTAGTGGACATCTCCCACGATGCGCCCATCTACTCGACCCGCACCCTGGAAGAAGGCGGCATCCAGTACCACAAATTCCCCACTGTCTCTAAAATCCCGCCAACAGCGGTGGAGGTGCGGGACTTCATCGCCCTGATCGACCGACTACGCACAGAAATGAAAGACAAAGGAGAAGAAGCAAAAGGAAAGGCCATAGCGGTGCACTGCCACTATGGGTACAACCGTACAGGGTTCTTTGTTGCGGCGTACTTGATTGAGAGGGAGGGGTATGGGGTGCAGCGGGCGTTGGACGAGTTTAGAGAGGCGAAAGCTCCGGGAATCAGGCATGATCATTTTGTTGATGCGCTGTGGGTGAGGTACACAGTCGGATTGAGACGAGCTGAGACGGTGGAGGTTGAGGATAGCGAGGGTTGATGGTTGTTCAGATGAAGCGGTTGCTGTGGTATAAGGCCCAGTCGAAGCATACAGAGAGGCCTTATAGCAGTTGATATCCCTGAAGTACGTCTGTATTCTGCAAAGCGCTATTCTTGCGCGTACTGCTTTGGCGCTCGAAAGGCGTCACTCAAGTACCACCACGAAGCGCAAAGTGATTGAAAGCGCCCGAGCGACAACAGTCACTGCGTTCATGAGTTGTAGCTACAGCCGTGGTGTCGTGGTCGTGGTCCAGTGCAATGCATTCAGATCGGGCTCGCCGAAGCAATGTCTGCTGCGGGGTGACATCAGGCTTCGGGGACAGTGACTCAGGAGGGGCAGGAGCGGTTACAGCCGCGAAAATCTCTTCAAAGGCTGCCTCAGTCAGCTGCTTTTTGTACAGCATCATATATTTGCGCAGCACAAATTTGCGCCAATTCTCGCACAGAGAACGCAACCAAATTCCCCTGCCGGGGTAGCTCAATCGGTAGAGCGTGTGGCTCTTATAACAGACCACCTCAAGGTTGCGGGTTCGAGTCCCGCCTGTAAGTCCTACACTACAACTCCTACGAATCTCCGCATACTGACGGTTCATAGTCGGCTCAATTCCGGAGTTCATCTTCGCTTTTTGCTTTTTGCTCTTTGGAAGGTAGGCGGAAGGGTGGGAGGCGTTGGGAAGGTGTTTGAAGACACGGGCAGCGCTGGGCTTGGGCAAAGAAACACCCTCTTTAGACTTTTGCGTGGGCCTCTTGGCCTGGCGATAACTACTTCGACCCTCACCACCTTGTACTGCTCTTCAGCCTTCTGCAGAGTCACTGCCATGGCTCTAGGCTCCACTGACAAGTCGCAGTCCATTTCCCTGTCACATGAAGAGCGTCGCGAAGGCAAGTACAGCCCCGAGACCTTGGCTAAGGTCCTCGGTGCTCTACATCAAGACGGCCTCGTCGTTCTCAAGGACGTGATACCAGTTGAGACTATTGACCAGTTCAACACATGGATGTGTGCTGATGCCGAGCGCCGCATCAGTGACCCGAAGCAGACCTACAACTTCGGCATCAAGTGTAAGTCATTTGTGCTTCGTCTCGGTTTGGGCTCACAAGGCCCGCCCAAGCAGCTCTGAGCACACAAAGCTAACGGCGCAACGAAGCAAATATCCTCCAGCGACCACCAGTAACGCAGCCGGAGCTGCTGAGCAAGGACGTGTACTTCAACCCGTTCGTTCTGCAGACGGCCAATGCGTGAGTAGCACCTCTCAATGTCCGGTCACTACACAACACGGAGCCTGAATCTCTTCGGTGCAATAGCTACCTCGGCCACCCACCAGTCTGGAACTGGCTGACAGCCAATACCGCCCTCGCCAACACCACAACCGCTCGCCAACCCCCGCACAAAGACCTCGTCCACGACCACCCACTGTACCCGCACTACTTCATCGCCAATATTCCCCTCTGCGACTTCACCATCCACAACGGCGCCACAGAGTTCTGGCTCGGCTCGCACGCCCACACGACGCAGGCGGACCAGGTCGTTGCACAGACACAGGAAGACATTGCGCCGTACCAGGAGGCGAGTGAGATCGGGAGTGTGATTCCGCCGATCACGGCTGAGGCTGTGGGTGAGAGGCGAAGGGTGAGGCCGCCGGTTCAGCCAGAGTGTAGCAGAGGGGATGTGGTGATCAGGGATCTGAGGCTGTGGCATGCGGGGATGCCGAATCATAGTGATAAGCATCGGGTTATGCTGGCTTTGGGATACATGGTGCGTTTTACGCTGCGTCGTTTCTTTTGAAAACAAACGCATGGGATTCTCCTTTGCTAGCATCTGAGGTGGCTGGCTGACTGACTGACTTTCACCCGCTTGACAGAGCCCACACTACCCAAACTCCTTCCTCAAGGTCCACCTGCCTTCCTCCCAGCAAAAATTCTTCCTTGAGAACGCGGCGAGGTCTGGTGTCGAGATGCGAGCTCAGTGGTATAATACCGAGGATCTGGCGGCGACCACGGAGGATACCAATTTTCGAACTGCGCCGGATTGGTTGGAGAAGGCATGAGAGAGATCGAGAGGTTCGTGGGATGGGATGGCAGCGCGTTGCAGATGTGCCTGTTAGTCAGACTCTCCACCGAGCACAGGTCCCAGTAACATGGAGTTTGCAGAGGGAAATCCTTGTCTGGGCTGGACCTTTGATCCGTGGTGAGAAGTCTCTTCGATGCGTAACTCGTGGACTGCTACCTACCTACTGTGGGATGGGAAGGCGCTCTGCTACGTGCTCTGCTCTGTGTCCTGCTCAAGCCTTTGGAAAACATGGGCGACGGTTTCATCGTACGCAACCACTGATTATGCAGAACCGACTCTCCTAAGTCATGCTCATATCGAATCCATATCTGGACTCGTCTCTCATAGCGCTACCCTATGCCATTCACAGAAGCTTCAACTCCAGAAAAGACTGCATCACGGTTGGATCGATCCGACTCAACCACTCCTGCTCAAACGCTTGCTGCCCTCCGGGCCAGCTCTGAACCACAAATCTTAGCCGCTCGCCAATCACTTGCCGGATATTGGTAGTGTAGATGGGATCATTGTTACTCATCACCCTCTTCCTCCTATCCTCCGGCGTAGCGTTCTCCCAGTCGGGTGTATTCGAGGGCTGATCATACCACCACAGATAGTCTCCTTGCGACTCCTCGGCGGCTTCTTGACCCAACTCAGTGGCTAGGTCAGTCCATATCGTTATGAGGGACTGTAGCTGCTCTAGCAGGATAAGTGGTGGTGGAGATGATGCAGTGAGTAGTGCTGTGATGCCAAGGACTTGCAGTTTCTTGCGTAGAACGTCGCCGATGGCGTCGAAATGGCCGATCCATTCTATGACCAGCCAATTAAAGGCGGCCGAGTCGTCCGAGCAGCTGTTGATGGCGTCGATGAACATTGATGGGAACAGGAGGGCCAGACGCGAGAGGAGTGTGAAGAGGCTGGTCTCGCCTGGGCCGATAACGTCAGGCGGTCTTCGATTCGGTCGTGGATCTTTGTGGTACTCGTATGCCTCTTTGATAATGCGCAGGACTTCTGCAAGGTAGCCTGTTCTGACCAGCACTGTGAATAGCGATGCTGTCATCTGCTCTCGCACCACGTTGTTAAAGTTTTCTGGCAATGCTATTGCGGCTGCCAGGTGTTCAAGCACATGCGGTCCGTGAGACGCATCTCGAGCTCGACTGGATGCTAGCATCGGCAGGAGGCTCTTCAGAGACATTACCAAGGGTGTAAGGAATGTTGGAGCCAGGACAGTTGAGGGTGAAAGCGCGATGTACGACTCGATGATGTCAAAGAGTTGCTGGAGCAATTCTGAGCCCATGTCGAGTAGTGGAAGCACCGAGGTCATCAAAGCCAGCAGCTCGTCCGTCGGGTTGTGCGATGGCGTCTGCACAAGGATCGCATTCCAAAGCTCCAATGCTTCTTCTAGAAGATATACTGCAGCTTCAGACTCGGGCTGAATAGAGTCACTGATGATTGTTAAGACGGCGACGTGATACGTCAGACTCTTCTCTCGTAGACTGTTGACAATCGCAGTGATCATCGTAATGATAGCTTGCTTCATGAGGTGTTCTTCTCCACTTTGAGCCCATAATGGCGGCAGCATGTTCATTATGCCTGCAGCATATGGCTCGATCTGGCCCTCAAGCTTGGTGACCGCAACTCGAACGGTCTCGAGCAAGGCCATTTTGGTTTCCGAAAGCTCGGTCTCGGACGTCAGGAGCATGATGTTGGAGAGTATTGGCGTAGCGTACGGCGCGAAGTCTTCGTATTTGAACTCGAAAGGCTCCAGAACCATTCGCAGCTGCCGCCCTGCCGTGACGCGAACAACGCTGTCATTGAGCGGATCGCCTTGCTGGAGTAAGAATGCGAATATCTGATACACAGCAAACTGGAAAAGTCAGCTTGCATGACTCAGTATGTACTTATGGTGAGGACCCACCCTGTCAATACCTTCTGGCAATATCGGGACCCATTGTGCAAGTATAACGGCAGTCCTCCGACGCAGAAGATTGTACCCAGGCTTCACTAGTTGGACTTCGGGTATCAGTGTTGATCGTAAGAACGTATTGAAGTCGAGGACATCGTCTAAGCAAGCGGCAGCGATCCCTATCGCGGCGTAGAGGCTGTCTTTGAGCAACACATCCGTGTTGTCGACTCTGCTGTATTCTTGGAAGACTTGCAGTAACCGTGGTACAAGCAACTATCGTTTGTCAGCACGCTGGGTCGATGCGACCGACTCATGACATACCTCTTTGAAATTGATGACCAGATCCAGAAATAATTTTTCTGAGCATGTTCGGAGAGAAAACTCCCATGCGTCTGCGATTTCTTCTTCTCTTCGTTCCCATTCGTCTGGCTCCGCTTCCCACTCGCGCAGGTCCGACGGCCGTAGCACGAAGTATCGAGTTACCAATACTTCCATTAAACGCAAGACGAATCCATCAGTCAACATCTGTTCTTTGATCGCGTTTGTCGCTAACTTGCGGTCCTCCTTATCTTCGCCTGTCTGGAACCGGAATGTAAGAGCAGGCTGGAAGACCATTTTGATGCAAGCTCGGAACAGTAATAATGCCTTCAAGGCCAATTTGTCCACAGGAGAGTCTTCGTCAAGCTATCGCCATCTCGATAGACCTCCCAGTCGAAGGTAGCATTGACATTTGGAAGCTTGGCACATTCATTGACGATCGTCCATGATCGATTCAAGATTTCCATCGATCCGAGCAGGACGAAGGGGGCTGGATGCTGACGGGCCATTTCCAGGAACAATTTCGCGAGCTGCAGTAAGTGCTTTGTAGCAACAACTTCGTACGCTTCGGCGCGCTGTCGAGTGATCCAAAAATTTTGTTGATGATCCTGCAAGAGATCCCAGAACTGCTTGACTTCTGCTTCCCGATGTTGATGCTCAAAACCCGACACAAGTAGCCTTCTTAGGGTCTTGAGAGCTGAGTGACTGTTGCGGGCCGCGGCCATGTCAAGCTCTCCTGGAGCGTTGATCCATAATTCGACTGTTTGCAGGTACAGTGTGCCGAGGACCTGCAGTAGTTCTGACGAGATCAACTGCAGGCTCCGCTTCGTTTTCTGAAGTCTGCCCGCAGCAAGCTCTTTGATGACGTGTAACAAGATCATTAGGATGTTCGATGTGTACTGATATGCTGCTGGATCTTGGCTGGCTTTGCGCAAATGCTCAATGATGGTGGTGAAAACATCAGGCCAGTCGTTAGGATACTCATAGCGGACGATCTTAGCTAGCATGAGAGCATTTTGCAGCGCAAGGCTTTGGACAGGTTCGTGGACACCGAGTGAGATGGCGCGGTCTCGGATGACGACCTTCTCCGATTGCAAGATGGCATGTTGCGAGTGCTTCTTCCAGTGCTTGTCGATGCCATTCTTCAGCTGGATGATTGCCTGGAAACGAACTTCTTGGGGAAGGGAGAAATCTGCGTAGAGATCCTGCAGCAGTGCGTAATAGCCAGATGTTCTTTCCCAATTAGAGAATTGTTGTGCTGAGGTCTTCAAATTGTGATGACTTGAGAGACTGCTTGATAAATGCGACAGCAACACCTGCCTACTCAAGGGATTCGCTTCTCCTTCGACCTCGATCGAAAAGGAAGGCATGCTGGGTAGGCATGTCAAACTAGCTACCTATGTTGTTGAGTGTCAGTCTTTGTGTTGCTGGCCACCTTTAGCATTCGGCAAGTGAAGTGACCGGAAGGCCTTGATGCGTAAATTCACTGTTGAATATTCAATGGTCATTCACGAGACAAGGCTGAAACAGTCGACCAGGGGCTCCAAACCATGAAAATTGCGTATAATAGCGCAACGGGCCGCCGTTCTGTGCCTCGGCTCGTCATTTGAATTCGAGGCGACTCTTTAACATCTGGCAATTAACTTGCGCCCAACATCCTTGAACACAACTCATCTTCTCGGAGCAATGCGGCCCACGTGAACCATGTCAAATAGCAGTTTTGCTGCTGCTCAAGAACGGATACTCCAACGGCAAGCCGACCGACAGCGTCAAGCCGATGCACGTAGACTTGCTTTCGAAGAAGCCGCACAGTCGACGCCCATCGCACGGTTGCCGCCTCCTCTGAACCGCGCGGCTCCCCCATTGACATCTTTCTGGGCAACACTTGTACGCTCTGAGGGAACACGACCGGCATTCCGCGTTGGGCAGGTGGATGCAGAGTTATTAGACGATGAGCTCATCACCCTCCTGAAAGGGCAGGTTGCTGAGGGACTCAAGTATTTCGGGGCACATCTGCAGGACGACTGGTCACAAGAGATTCTGCTTGCTCTCCGTGTTGCACTATTCAAGCTATCGATATGGGACAACAACGCCTCGTACGGTGCGACGCTGCAGAATCTACGATACGCCGATGCTCGACAACCTATTGCTCTGCAAAGCAAGCCGACCCGGTGGCAGAAGAGTCTGTATGGCCTGTTCACGGTCTTTGGTAGATACGGCTGGGATCGCTGGGAGGACTGGTTGATCGAGCAAGAAGGTGGCTATACTGCGCCGTCAGCCAACGTACAACGGCTGAGTCGCATAACATCCTATGTCTCAGCGACGCACTCCATCGCGGCCTTCACATCATTCCTCGTCTTTCTCGTCAATGGTCGATACCGTACACTAGTCGACCGCATACTACAACTTCGTCTGGTCTCTCCATCGAATCAGATCAGTCGTGAAGTGTCATTCGAGTATCTCAACCGGCAGCTGGTGTGGCATGCATTCACCGAATTTCTCCTCTTCTTGCTGCCTCTTGTAGGTATCAGCCGATGGCGGAGATGGCTGAGCCGGGCCTGGAAGAAGACGAAGTCAATGGTGCAATCAGAGGACGCAGATGGGGACGACGAGACTCGCAGCAAATCTGGACCTCTCTCGTTTCTACCAGAACGAACGTGTGCCATTTGTTACCAAGAGAAGAACCCAGCCTCATCCGAAGCTGAGATCCTTGGTGCAAACACTGGAGCGAGTGGCGGCATTATCGGCTCGGTCGATACAGACATCGTGAACCCCTATGAGACGATACCATGCCGATGCATCTACTGCTTCGTGTGTATCGCTGGAAAGATCGAAGCCGAAGAAGGCAGTGGATGGACTTGTCTTCGCTGTGGTGGAATCGTCATGAAATGCAAGCCATGGGACGGCGATGTCCTTGACGAGCAGAGGTCGAGTAAATCGGTCAAGACAGTTGGATTCAGCGACGAGCTCGAGAAGACACGACAAGCGAGAAAAGTCGCAGTCCCTTTGACACAACAGATGTGACGCAAAGTAATATGGAGTCCAGCCGTTGGAGTGAGGTTGAGGCGGGCTGAAACTACACCTCATGGCAACGGAACACCACCATGTTTCTCTACCTCGCAAACACCAGTCAAAAGAGCGCATTCATGTTTGGTCGCGAAAAAGCTTGGCATAATTGAACGTGAATGACAGAAAACTGATGATCGACTTATGTCAACCCCAGCGCATCTCTGCTTATAATTGCATAAGTGTACTGGGACCTTACTCGCTACATCCTCCACACCATGCACGTCTTCCACGGCCCTCTCATCAATTCGTATCCGACTCCGTCTCCTCTGAGTCGGCATCCTCATCCAGCACCAGCCTCCGCATCACACTCTTATCAAACAGATCCAATATATGCTGCCTGGCCAACAGCCGATAATGATGGCTCTCCAGCAACACCAGCGTCTTCCGAAACAATCCCACATCCATAAACGCCTGTGGGTGTTTATGGCGTAAGACGGATAGGTCCTGTCCGATCTTCTTGTATGTCACGGAATTGCCCATACTGATGACGAGTTTGAGGATGCGGGCTTTGATGGGATCGGCGTCGGTGGTGGAGGATGTGTAGTGGTTGTTGGTTTCTTTGCGAGTTAGTGGTTGCGGGACGTTGGTGGTCGGGGTGTGGGTGGTGTTCATGCACAGACGGTCGAGGTTCCGAGGCACGCATAGACCAAAGAGTGGCCGCGGGAATCGATCGTCGTGTCCCATTCGTTCTCGCTAGCATTTGCACGCCGTGAAGGGTCCGGCTGCATAGGCCGAGTGCGAAGACAGCCGTGCCGCGGATCGACATGACGGCCGCGCCTTCGGCGATGCGCACCATGGACTTGACGACGTCGTCTTCTTCGAGGAAGGGGGCGCCCAGCGCCATGGACCCGATGTTGCCTACGGCCCACAGGCTGCCTTTGACTTTGAGCAGGGTTTCGGAGTCGTCGTCCTCGAGGTCGAAATCGCGCAGGGTGGAGGAGAACTCGTAGAAGTGCCCCGATTGGCGGAGAAGTTTGCAACCTTCTTCCGTGCGGGCCAATTCGCGGTAGAAGTGCGCTGGTGCAAGGCCCGTTTCGCCCATGTCGATGTCTTCGGGGGCGGAGAAGGATGTTTTGGACATGGCTGTGTCTGCGTAGGCGCGGGCGAGGGAGGCTTCGACAAGTGCGACGTAGGTGTCGTTGCGGCCGAGGAACCAGTCGTCCATTTCTTGAGTGATATAATCGAGGCCGTTGAGGTAGCGGTAGCCGATGGAGGTGGCGAGGAATCGAAGTAGGAGGGGCGCGCCGAGCTCGCCTAGGTGGTCAAGTGCTGGGCGACAGCGGACGACGAATTCCAGGTGTTGTTGGAGCTCGCAGGCTTCTTCGAGAATCTTTACGGCGACTTCGCAGACTTCTACGTCTGGGTCGTAGAGTTGGGTCATGACTAGGCGGAGTGCCCAGTGAGCGCTCGAGTCTGGCTGGCCTATACCTCGGGCTACAGCATAGCGGCGGAGGAGTTTGGTCGCGAAGAGCCGTATGCCCTTGAAAGCTGAAGTAAGGGCTTGTGACAGCATCACTCTGAGGTGCGTGTCGAGAGTGAAGTCCATTGACCCGAGGATGGCTCGCACAAGGTCGTCTCGGTCTCGTTGTCCGAGGATATGGTAGAACATGTCCATCATATGCCATTTCTCCATGATGTTCACGCCTTCTTGCGTCGAGCTCAGTGTTCCAAGTATGGCAAAGTAGCCGCCGCTCAGGGTTTCAGTCATTTGATAGCGATCGAATTGAGGCGAAGTAGATGTCAATCCACTCTGAGGGTCGACCTGAGCAAGACATTCTGCGATTTGGCGCAGTACCTTGCTTTCTCCTAAGAATTGTATCCCAACTGCTGTTTGCAACAATGTTCGAAATAGCGAACATCCGTATCGTACGTAACGTTGGTTGAACTGATTGTTGCGTATATCACTGAAGCGATGCTTAAAGGGCCGGTAGAATCCCGTCAATCGCTTCATAAACTTGCTCGATTTTATGGCTTCGTCGAGACGCTTCGGGTTGGTGAGTGGCCCTTCTACCAGACCCATGATAATGTCCCATTTCCACTTGATGTAGGAAGCATGTTGCAGGACCTGGGAATCTGTGATCAGCTGTCTGAACTGGTCTCCGTCGATCAAAGGACTGTATTTGGAGCGCTTGGCCATCGCAGGCCCACCAGAAGAGTCTTCCACAGTATGCGCGGGCTCGGTTATCGAGCGTTTGGATTTGTTCTTGGTACGATTGATGCTCTCGATCTGGTAGAGCATTTCCAAGTTTCCAGCCTGGCTGTCAGAAAGAAAGTCCTGGGCTGGAGACAGCAGCGGTGCCAGCACCTGGATATTCGCGCTCACTGTGGTTGGAAGAGAGTCTTGCGCCATACGCAGAACTTCGGTGAGCACGAGAATGGCTCGCCGTCGCAATGCGTTATCTTCTTCGGTTTTGATCAAGTTGAACAGCGATGGTATCAGACCGACTCTGATCAGTACAGCTAGTACGATCGCCGAGAAGTGATAAGTCAGATCGAAGCGCCCATGACTTCTGTCATCGGCTGGTGCACGTTTCATGTCTGGTTCTGCGGCTTCTGTGTTCACCCGTCCGTACGTGGTCAGTCTTCGTCCGGCGACATATGTGTCCGACCAATAGGGCACTTTGATTCTCAATGTGTCGATCAGCAAGTCGAGTATGATGCCTCGGGCCGCCGTGATCGGATACTGTAACGACTCGATCAGCGAATGCAGAGACATAGCATTGCGTTCAGATAGCGCTAAGAAGCCCGGCCACGTTTTCAGCATAGCCGCGATGGCTTTGGCGCAATGCTTGAGCTTCTCCTCGTTTCCATTCAGCAGCATTGGATCGGTGAATGGCGCAAACATAGCTTCAAACTCGCGACCAGTGCTGAGATACTGCCGTTGTCTGGGATGATCCAGTATGTGCAAGAAAGCGGCAACAAGACCATCTGGAGTCGGAAAGCTGCCGTTCGCAAGAGCATCGGTGAGCGTACTCATTCCTCCGGCTGAGACGAGCAGCGAAGGGTGCTTCGTCAGTATCTCGGCTAAGGTCAACAGACAGATATCCTTCAGAGTATCATCATTATGCTCCGCGACAGCAACCAGACTGCGGACGACAGCTACTGAGAGCTCGTAGACGCCGCTCTTCACGTCGAGAAAGGCTCGGACGAGTTTCACAGCCTGTTCGCGTTCCAACGCAGCCTTGTCTTTCTTGATCAGTGATAGCACGGTGAGCTCATCTGTGTGTAATGATCTGATGGTCCTGAGGGAAGATCTGTCCGTGATGGCGTGTCTCGTCAGTCGATAGCCTGCCGCCACCACGTCCGAGCTATCGCTCAGGAGCATCAGCTGGACTCTTAGGCTGAACACAGACCAGGCCAGGTCGTATTTCAGAGTTGAATGCTTTTTAAACAGTTGTACCAGGGTATTAGCGCGTTCAATGTAGTAGTCCGGTGGCATTCCCTCCATCTCGAGTGCTTGTAGAGTTTCTGTGAGTACTACAGTAGGAGACTCTTCCTCGTTGAGACCTTCGACATCGAGATCCTCTCTGCCGACCAGGCGAGGGGAACGAAGGGGACTCGATCTGAAGTAGCTTGTTTGCCGCTTCGAAGGCGGCGTCGTTGGACTTTGTGCTCGCGTCTCGTGATCGAGCTGAGTTCGCAACTCAGCGAGCTTCCTGTTCGAGGTACCCAACTCTTGTTCTATCGTCGCGAGGCGCTGATCTTTAGCCTGCTTCATATTCTTGCTCATCAAGGCCTCCTTCAACTTCTCCGTTCCCATTTTGATCTTCTCCTCTTTTGCGATCTGAGCCCTCACGAATGCCTGCCGCGACTCAGTGCTGTCGGTCCAGTCCCCAGCACTCGGGCGCGTACTCGAAAACGACTGTCGAGGCATGTCGCGGTGTGACGGCTGTTCATTCTGCGGTGTTGTACTTCGCGACTGTGTGGCGCTCTTCAAGTCCGTACTGAAACTACCAGGCGGTCCATTGCCAAGGGCAGACTTGCCCAACAGAGGTTGACCCAGCTGAGTGGTTCCTCCTGACATAGACCGATTGCTCTTGGTAGAAGGTCTGTGCCATGTTGAGGAGAGGTCGTCACTTTTGCGCGAGGCATGTTTGAATGCAACTCTTTGGGTAGGTGTCACAGAGTAACCCGCTGCATCGTTCGGTGATGCCATCGAGGCATCAAGTCGGTGGTGGTGCGCCCATGCGGCAGGCTCGGAGACAGCGGATGGTGGGAGCTATCAAGGGGAGATTTGTGCCATTCAGTCTGTCAAGCCAGTCGTGTGCTGTGTCACCTAGAAATTCGATTCTCTCGGTCGTCGAAGTTGCGCCGCTCTGGATGTTCGTCACGGAATTTGTGCTGGTAGTCTACGAGTACAATGGACTGAGTATGTGGCTATCGACACCGCCAGATTGTCAAGTGAGACTTCGTGTACTTCGTGAACGGCCGTCGAAGCGTAGCAGTGAGAGTGGAGGAGTGGAAGCGTGGAATGAATGGCCGAGTGTGGTTCGTAGGATGTTGATGCAAGTGAGACGGTCGCTCAGTCGAATGCGGAGGCAAGGTTACAAGCGAGCGTGGTCCCTGTCCCGCCCGTTGCGGGCGGAAATAATGGGGTTCTTCCAATGTGCATTTCGAGGAATCGACTTCGACACAACTCATCGTTGGCCCATCTACTGACCGGCAACTGCAAGGCAAGCATCAGTCCTCGAGGCGGAAGACCCCTTCTTCATGCCTCGCACTACCGAAAACCTCTCATGAGTGACTTTCGTAAAGCCGTGTTTCCCATCCTGCTACTGAATTCGCCTATGCCACCACCAGTCGGAGACCTCCGACGCTGAGGCTGTCGCATTGACCGATCGTACGCCTTCGATTAGGTCGCGTTTTCCTACCCAATAGAAAGGTAACATTCACCTGCTTCCAACTCATCTGCCACTAGCAGATCACCGTCCAGTCCAGAACTTCATCCCGCGTCGTCCAGTGCCGCCTCTCAGCGCCTCGTCGCGGCTCGCCGTTGTTTGCCCTGAAACTTTGTACGGACGTTCGAGCTGCCACAAAGATAAGGACAACACGACTGCCCCTCTCTGAGTATATAGACAGACCTCTTATCGTCCACAGTCCAGGAGTTGTTCTCACAAGCTACGACCACATCTCAACAACTACCACAAGCATTTCAAACATAACAACAGCTCTATAACTCCCACCAATTTATACATTTCTCCATCAGTCACCATGCCTCGCCTACAAGCTGCTCGATATGGCAAGGACAACATCCGCGTGTACAAGGTCGAGCGTGATGAAGCCACCAAGACTCACACGGTTGTCGAGATGACCGTGTGTGTCCTATTGGAAGGAGAGATCGATGTCTCGTGAGTAGCCCTTTCTTTTCAAAAAGTCGATGCTGGTCTGACCCGCTATAGATACACAGAGGCAGACAACAGTGTAGTCGTCGCCACAGACTCAATGAAGAACACCACATACATCATGCCAAGCTCCATTCAATCACTCCCGTGGACCAATGGGCGGCCATCCTAGGCAACCACTTCATCGAGAAGTACGACCACATCAAGATCGCCCACATCACCGTCGTCCAACACCGATGGACCAGAATGACTGTCAACGGTCAGCCTCATCCACACTCATTCTTCCGTGACGGCGCCGAGAAGCGGGTGGTTCAGGCAGACGTCAGCCGCAGCGGCATTGACATTCGCTCCGGCATCTCCGATCTACTGGTCCTGAAGAGCACTGGCTCCGAGTTCCACCACTTCGTCCGGGACGACTTCACAACACTTCCCGACGTCTACGATCGTATTCTGAGCACATCAGTTGACGCTGGCTGGACATGGAAGTTCTCGAGCCTCGATGAGGTCAAGCAAAACGTCGCCAAGTTTGACGACACGTGGACCAAGGCACGGGAGATCACCTTCCGCCTCTTCGCCCTGGAGGAAAGCCCGTCTGTGCAGAACACCATGTACAAGATGTGCGGCGAGATTCTCGACGCCCAGCCGCTCGTCCAGACAGTCGACTACTCGCTGCCGAACAAGCACTATTTCGAGATCAACCTTGATTGGCATCATGGCCTCAAGAACACGGGCAAGGATGCGGAGGTGTACGCACCGCAGTCGGATCCCAATGGTCTCATCAAGTGTACCGTCAGCAGGTAGGGGTCCCGGGTCATTCGATCTCAGAGCGGGCGCTGACAGGGCGTTACAGGGGTTCATCGGCGAAATCGTCGAAGTTGTAGATAGAGGTCATATTATGAATGTAATGAAATCTAAGAATCAATGAGCCATATAATACACGTCTTCTCTGTTAACACGTAAGTACACTTCATGTCATAGTGCTCGATGGCCTCGCCGTATCTGTCTTTTGCGCACGCCGGCTTCGCCACAACTGCATCTCTCACCGTGCGTTCGAGTTCCCGGTTCCAGTTGTAGCACTCCCCGTCGTCGTCTGCCCTTTGATCTCTGCATCCGCAATAATCGCCTCCATCACCTTCCCCTCCATCGTCGGCGGCGGTATCCCATTCCGCTGCACAACTCCCTCAATCCTCACCACATTCTCCTCATACGGATGTTCCACCCCCTCGAAGACCTTCAACCTCGCCAACCGCTTGTCCCTCAACCGATTCTTCGGCAGCATCCCGCTCACCGCCTTCTTCAACACCTCCCCACCGCCCCATTTCTCAAACATCTTGTCCATGCTCATCTGCTTTAACGATCCCGGGCGCGTGTTGTGTGTGTAGTATTGCTTTTGCAGGCGTTTCTTGCCAGTGGTGTGCAGGTCTGAGCAGCCACAGCAACGACGTAGTCGCCGCAGTCGGTGGAGGGGTCCCAGATGGGTTTGTTCTTGCCCATGAGGAAGGTCGCGATGGAGGAGGCGATGCGGCCGAGTGGCCGGGGGTCGGTGCCGACGTCGATGAAGTGCCATGTTCGCGAGTAGGCGAGGCGTGTCTGCGTGGTGGTTAGTCTGTTCCTGGGAGGTCATGGGCATTGAGTGTAGGAGGTAGGTATGCATCTCGCGAGCTGCTGCGACATGGCGGATTGTGCTACCGGCGCATTGGTGTCGGTAAGGTATTTTGCAACAACTCAAGACTCGAGAGGCACTTCCTGCAGCGCTGAGCTCAACACGCAACGTCAGAAGACAATGAAGTTCGCCTCGAGTATAACTAAGATCTGCTCGAGAGCGTGAAGACATCGAACGCTACGGCGAACCTAAGCTGCTGCAAAGTGCTTTTTTCGACAACCGTAGCGGAGAATGACTGTCAGCCGGCGTCGAAAATTCCCTTTTCTTGGCACACTAATCGCCCACTGCATCTGTGCCGGAAGTCGACCACATCTTGAGCGCAGTCCACGAACATCCGCATTCCCTTCACACTCCTTCGAAACGAACTCTGCACACGCCGTCCGCAATTATGTCGGCCCCGCAGATGGTTCAGTGCTTCGGCAAGAAGAAGACAGCGACCGCTGTCGCAACATGCAAGGTGCGCACACTCCCGTTTCGATGACAAGCGCGAAATAGAAAAAGACGGAAGTACTGACAGACGTTCTGCTCGCAGAAAGGAAAGGGCCTCGTCAAAGTCAACGGCAAGCCATTAGCTCTCGTCCAGCCTGAGATTCTCCGCTTCAAGGTATGCACACAACGTCCACCAAATAACGCCCTCGAAGCGCTAAACAAGGACTAACAACACACACAGGTCTACGAGCCCCTCCTAATCCTCGGCCTCGAGCGCTTCGCCGAAGTCGACATCCGCGTCCGCGTCCAAGGCGGTGGTCACACCTCCCAAGTCTATGCCATCCGTCAGGCTATCGCCAAGTCGATCGTCGCCTACTACCAGAAGTTTGTCGATGAGCACACCAAGAACTCGCTGAAGCAGGCGCTGGTGCAGTATGATCGCACGCTATTGGTTGCGGATAACAGAAGAAGTGAGCCCAAGAAGTTTGGTGGTCCGGGTGCGCGGGCAAGATACCAGAAGTCGTATCGTTAGGTGGATGTTTGCTGTGGTGTGGTTGTGGGGGTCTGGCTGCGGTGGTCATTCTGAGTGCTCGAGAATGAAGATGAGCCCAGGTGCCACGACTGCTTCCACGAGAGCGGATGAGGTGTCATGTTTCGTGCAGCCACCAGCTATGATCTGAGGGACTGGCAAGCAAGGAAAGAAACGGTCGCGAGACGTCGGCCTCGGACGGGGCACGATCGACAGTGGGACTTCGTCATATGATAGCATGAATCCCACACATTGCTTGTGGAGGGATACAGCCGAACGAGGCAACAGTTCAAAGCATTTGCTCTCTCACACGTTGGTCAGAATGACAAAGACATCGAGCTCTGACCGCTCGAAGTATTCCTTTCATCACATGCCATGTAGAACGACCGACCACGTCAGGTCTCAACAACAACAGGAGCCCAATCCCCAGCCTCCTCGTCCTCATCGGCATCATCTAATGCCACTTCGATCACCTCGCCGTCCTCTAACTGCACCGTACCTCGTCTCGCCCAGTCATTGCCTGACTCCCATCCAAATTGCTCGTTTAACATCTTCTCAAACCGCCCAAGCTCCTTGCGCAAAGTTCCTCCGGTATCTGGCAGCTCATCCTCCACGAAACCTCGAAATTTTCGCATCAAGCTTCGTAGCCATCCGCTCCCGCTCTCCTCCCTTAACTCGAACAGCCCTCCTTCCACGTCGTCGGCGTGGATGAGTTGCAAAGCCAGCGTTTGCAAGACGTCGATGTAGTAGTTCTCCATCTTTGACAACGCACTCTTGGAGGTGAAGAGGAGTGTAAGCAGTCGCTTCCATTGCTCCAAGCAACTGTAGTTGGCGAGCGTGAGGACCATCAGGAAGGTAAAGCGTAGCTCGGCTAGGATCTCTTGGTAGCCCACACGTGGTCCGCCCTCTGGGTATATGGAACGAATGGAACAGCCCAAATTAGACGCGATATGGTCCAGATACCAGCTTCGATCACGGGCTCGTTCTGTTCGCACGGAGCCAATGTCGCCCTCTGCCCATGTCTGCTTGAGGTTGATAGGGATCAAGTTCAGGTGTGAGTTAGCCGGGAGAGCTGCTTCGACTTCTGATGATACTAGGCCGGGGATAGTCTCGGCGTCTGCTGGCGCGGATGAGATAGACGTTATGGAAGTGGATGGGATGATACGTGATATTGTTGTTGAGTCGATGCCTTCCGTAAGCTGTGCCCAGTCTGAATTACTGGGTTCGTTCTCCCTCCTGCTTTCGTCATCTTGTGTGCTTTTCTCAGAGGTCTGAAGGTTTGCCGTTGCAGCCTGAATGGCAGCATAGTTGATCAGGTTCGGACCGGCCTTTAGCGCGACAGCTTTTGCATTGGTGACGATATCTAGGAACTCGTCATGTTCGTTCCATCTTAGCACGTGGTCAATCGTTGAGCCACCAACGTCGATCCAGCATCCATGGCGAATCGATAATGATGCGTCCGTTCCGGTGTATACAAAGTGAGGTCCAGTAGGTACGTCTTTGATGCCATGGAACTTTGGTGACGAATTGAATGACAGCAAATCCAGACCTACAAGAGTGTTTGGTGGCAGGTCGAGGATCGTAATGGTCCCTCCTCTGCCATCGAGGCGGTCAGTATTGGCACTCATGAGTGTACCATACGTCCATTACTACTGGTTGGAGAGGGAGGATTACGAATTTACGTTTGAGAACGGTTGATGAGGAAGGCAGGTCAGGTGATGCATTTGGAAATTTCTGTCATTCAGGCATGTCCCAACCATCTTGACGGATGGAAGGACAGATGCACCGAGATCGAAGACCAGGCAGTCATCACCGCCGTTCTTCGCGTATTGCTTGATCCCACAATATAGCCTTACCGGCCATACCGCAGCATAGACATCTACCAGAAGTAGACATGACTTTTGTGAACCACTCCTTCACAGACGACGACCACGACGACCACCCTTGCGACGAGTAGAGTCAGACGGCGTCGGCGTAACATCCTCAATGCGGCCAATCTTCATGCCAGCACGAGCCAACGCACGCAGAGCAGACTGAGCACCAGGGCCGGGAGTCTTGGTACCGTTACCACCAGTAGCGCGGATCTTGATGTGCAGAGCAGTGATACCGAGCTCCTTGCAGCGTGCAGCAACGTCCTGAGCAGCCAACATAGCAGCGTATGGGGAAGACTCGTCACGGTCGGCCTTGACTTTCATGCCACCGGTCACACGGCAGATGGTTTCGCGGCCACTGGAATCACCCGTATTAGCCTGTGAACCATTGCTTGTATTTGTGTTCCTACTGGGGTATGGAGGACTCACGAGAGATCGGTGACGTGGACGAAGGTATCGTTGAACGAAGCGAAGATGCGAGCGACGCCGAAGACGAGTTCACCTAGAAAAGGTCAGATCGTGGTTCGATGCGCTCGGTGCGCAGTGTTGTGTACCTTCGCGGACTTGAGGGCCTAGAGAAATGTTTTCCTGAGCGGAGCGCTCGACCTTCTTCTTGGGAGGCATCTTTGCGTTGTCGGTGTTGTTTGGCGACGATGAGGCTAGAAAGACTGCTGGTTGAGTCGCAATCTCGAAAGCAGCGGGCAAAATCATATGTGCGGGACAAAAGTTCGCGCTAACTCATCTAGGTCGAGCGGCTTGGCATCAATTTGTCCTTCAAATTCGAAGCTCCAAAACAATTTTGACCTTCCCATCAAGTATCAGACGAAAGGCAGCCGCACCCGCTTGCTGATGCTTGGTCTGCTCCGATGCGACTGACATCTGGAGGTCCCTGCGGCGATTGACACGCTTTTCAATACAACCGGCCCATGAGTGTCCCAGAACAGTATTCAATATGGACAAATCTATCACGGTTGGGATCATTGGCATGGGCGACATGGGGCGGATGTACGCTCGGCGACTGAGTCAAGCTGGCTGGAAGTAGGTGTTCTCTGTCGCAGCGTCTACAAGCGAAGTACCCTGTTCTGTATCATTATGGTAAGCCAACATTTTTTCCTTTTCCTCCCTCAATCTCCAGGATGACTTGAGTGCATTTGGCTCGAGCGCTCTGGACGCAACTTGGTACTTCCATTCTGGTTCTACTCTCTGTTGCTCCGGCCGCCCAATGATGTAAATATCTCGCTACCTTACTTTTTCTTGTCTGAGAGAAACATCGACCCTGAATATTTCACTGAATCAACGAAGAGACTGAAGCTGACTTTCTCCAAGTAGTTTTACCATCAATGGCAAATCACTGATTATGTCCCATCCAGAATCTGTGCGTGCGATCTGCCTGCAAAATATGAGACACTGAAGCGCGACTTCGAGAACGAGGTTGGTCTATAGACGTGCATGATCAGGACCGCATTGACGACATCAGAAAGGCATCACAGTCCTGCCAAACGGCCACCTTGTCTCAAGAGTCAGCGATTGGATCATCTACAGCGTCGAAGCTGAATTGATCGAACGAGTCGTGGCTGAGTATGGCCCCTCGACAAAGGTGGGTGCCATCGTTGGTGGGCAGACGTCTTGCAAAGCGCCTGAGCTGGCAGCTTTTGAGAAGTACTTGCCACCAGACGTCGAGATTGTCTCATGCCATTCGCTGCACGGGCCCGCTGTAGATCCCAAAGGCCAGCCCCTAGTCATTATCCAACACAGAGCCTCCCAGCAAAGTGTGGATCTTGTGGTCAAGATCCTGTCGTGCTTGCAATCCAAGGTTGTGTTTCTCTCGGGAGAACGCCATGACCGGATCACAGCTGATACCCAGGCTGTTACACACGCTGCGTTCCTGAGCATGGGCAGTGCTTGGGCGGCCAACAACCAGTTCCCATGGGAGATCAACCGATATGTTGGCGGCATCGAGAATGTTAAGATCAACATCATGATGAGGATCTACTCCAACAAATGGCACGTCTACGCTGGCTTGGCAATTTTGAACCCTGCGGCAAAGCAGCAGATTCGACAATATGCAACATCTGTCACTGAGCTGTACAAGCTCATGCTTGGCGGACACAGACAGGAGCTCACTGATCGCATAAAGACAGCAGGTGCAGCTGTGTTCAAGCAGGATGCTCAAGATCAGGGTTTGCTCCTATCAGAGGAGACGCTGGACCGCTTCTCGCTGTCCAAGGGCCCAAAGGAGCGTATGCGCAACAATCACCTGAGTCTGCTCGCTATTGTTGACACCTGGTGGAAGCTCGGAATCGTGCCATATGATCATATGATATGTTCGACACCGGTACGTCACCTTTGAGGACGGGTCGCGCATCGCGCTAATGGAAGCAGCTCTTTCGGATCTGGTTGGGAGTCACAGAGGCACTGTTCCGCAATGATGCTCTCATCGACGAAGTCATTGATACCGCTATCGAGGACAATACATTCCGGTCTGACGACCTAGAGTTCACATTCGCCGCACGGGTAAGTCAAAGGCAAAATCTCTTCCTGCTTGTCGTCGGCTTGCTAACATTCCGTCATGCAGGCATGGTCTGATTGTGTGTCCTTCGGCGATTTTGAAGCATACCGGGATCGATTTGAAAAGTTTCAGAAGTACTTTGCACCACGATTTCCTGAGGCTGTCAAATTGGGTAGCGATATGATAAAGACTATCGTTGAACAAACGAAGTCGTGAATGCGAACGCACGATGGCTATGGCCACCAAGAATCGCGTTTTGGCACCACTGCGCAGGACCTTTCTCTGGTCGTTGTGGTCATGGATTACTTCTGAAGCAGAAGTACGGCTTGGTTCGGGAAACCGACCAGCTTCGCAGGCGTTGGCAAGCACGATGGGTCACGTGTGGAATGCCGTTAGCTTTGCGATCCACCTTCGATCTGAAGATCACTCTCGCTACACAGCATACGAAGGTCGTGCCTGAATCTTCGTGTTCGGAACGGTGCAGGAGGATGCGTCAGATTTTCTGAGTGCTCCTGTCCCTACGTCTTGACTGACAATGGGACATGGACCGCCGAATCTGTCGCTGCGAAATTCGAACAGTTGCGGCCAGCCTACGTGTGCCTTCTATAGCTGTTTGCGATAGCATGCGACGGAAGTGCTGCACGGTAGATCATGCAATGCCGACAAGTGACGGTCCAAGTCCCACCAATAAGGTCAAGGTTGTCGGTCAGCAATATCCATCATTGGCCCCGCGAGCCCCAGTCCCTGGAACCAAGGCCCAAAAGGCCCATGTCCGCTTCTTACCTTTCAGCATGCAATCTATTATCGACCCCTTATCTCAAGGTTTCTTGACATGCTGCGCCTCCTTTGCTCAAGAATTACATGAAGATAATTCGCAGTCTCGAAGCAGTCTACTGCACGGGCACATCAGTGAAGCAATCGGCGCCCGTTGAGCAAGCATGGCACAATCGATAGGCCCTACCATACGTAGGGCCAAGAATAGCCCAGACCGTTGACCTGCCCGTCTGAGCATGGGCGTACGTGTACCCGTCGTTTGGAATTAACACCCCCATAGCCAAATCTCCCCTTCCGCGTCCGGTGTGGTATGAAGATTTCCGAACAGAAAACACAACGCCATGAGCTTGTGTGCTGTTCGTCGATCAAACACTGCGCATAGACCAACACACCCGTTGGCATACGTGTTTCGTCCTTTGTTGCACGTCACCATTCTGCATAATGTGTCTGCCAAGTCCGTGATTCACTGGGGAAGGCAGTCCGACGTGCTGGTCAAAATGTCCGACGCGTATACTTTTATCGTGTCGTGGATGGACATGCAAGGTCGAATGCCGGCGGGTCCACTTTCCACATCTTTACTCCGTAGAACCCTTGGGATCCCTTGGCCCCGTAGTCAATATAGAGCTCTGTGATCCTCTTTGACGCGGGTTTTGAAACAAAGAAACCTCTGAATCATATCGCACGTGTTCTTATTGAGTTCCTCGTGCTTTTGCGCCATGTATCTCAATAAGTTGTGGCCATCGGCCTTGCTTGGTAGGTTCAACGCGCTGTTCTTTGAGCGGCCCCTGAATGCTTACCATTCGCAGCAACCCTTGCGAAAGCGCAATTTGCGAGTTACTCTGAGGGCAGCTACGCGTTGAGCGTCAATGTGCCATCGGATACTGCTTCTGGGAGCGGCGAAACCATCTATCTACAAATCTCAGCACCTTCAGACACATCATGGGTTGGCTTCGGCTATGGAAGCTCACAGATGCGCGGCTCGAGCATGCTCGTTGTTTACGCCGACGGGAACAACAACGTGACCGTGTCGCCCCGAACGGGCACTGGCCATGTTGAGCCAAATGTCGATTCCAGTGCCCGAATAACGGTCCTGGATGGATCACGCGTTAACTCCGACGGCTCGCTCGTCGCAAACATTCGTTGCGACTCTTGCATCGGCAGCAGTCTGTCAGCCACTGCCACTGACAGCACTTGGATATGGGCGTATGCTGGCGGCAGCGCCCTCGATTCCACCGACACTTCGGCGAACATTCAACAACACAGCTCTCAAGGCGGCTTCAACTTGGACCTCACTAAAGGTACCGGAGGCAGTTCTTCGAATCCGTTCGTTGCGGCTGCTGTCACGGAGCCAAGTGCCTCGGCCTCGGCCTCCGCTCCAGGCGAGAGCGGCAGCCCCAGCGCATCTGCCTCGGCCTCGGGTGGCTCGAGTCCTACACCGAGCGCGACGAACCCTGATGCCATCGCTCCTGTCGCCAGTCAGGGCGCCGACTCTGGTGCCAACACCGGTGCTAGCAATAACGGCAGCAGTCGCAGCTCAAGTGACCCCACGCTCTCGCTCCGCAAGTCGCATGGCATACTCATGTCCATCACATTCGTGGTCCTGTTCCCACTCGCTGCACTCACCATGTACCTCCCATTCGCGAGGCGCGTGCTCTTCGTGCATGCGCCCCTACAAGTCATCGGCATCATTTTGATGATCGCTGGCCTCGCCACTGGGGTCCTCCTGGGAAACAAAACCGAGCTGGACGAATACCACCAGATCATCGGATATATCGTCGTGGCGCTTTTGGTCCTCTTTCAGCCCATCCTGGGTTTGCTCCAGCATCTGTACTTCCGTCGCCACGGAGGCCGCTCCATCAAAGGCGTTGTCCACCAGTGGCTTGGTCGCAGCGCCATTCTCCTCGGAATCATAAACGGTGGGTTGGGCTTCAACATCACCGGTCCCGTTGGGTCGACATACGTGCCAAAGGGCGCTGTGATCGCGTACGGCGTCATTGCCGGCCTGGTCGGTATCATCTATATCGCAGTCGTTGTGCTTGCTGGGCGGAGGCGCAGCGGAAGTGGTGCTTCGTCACCTCGTGGTGAGAAGAGTGCTGCCCGCTACAATGAAACTGAGCTGCAGCCGCGGCCGAGTCACCACCAGCAGCAGCAGTACTGGGAGCCTCAGGGTCAGGCGCATGGAACTCCTGGACGGCGCGGGTCGCAGAGGTACACGATTGAGGGGCGATAAGTGGGTGCTGGGACATGTGTGATGGTGGTGTTTATTTCGATCGGAGGCAAAAGGCTGTTTGACGACTGTGATGAATTATGGTGTCTGGGGAGGAGCTTTGCTGTATACACGAGGTGTGAAATAGAGATATACTTCATTGACCTACCGATATCTGTCTATCATATTCTGAACCTCGACTCCCGACACCTCTCGAGCAGTACACCGATGCGCAGACCTTGCCTATGGGTCATGCCGCTGGAATTCCAGGGCGCGCTTCCAATCGGTCTGGGCATCAAGTTCGACGCATCGTCCGGTCTGGTGAGATGCCGGTCTCTGTAGCCTGTTAGGCTGTCGCCAAAATAAATGAGCGGTTTGTCAAAGTGGTTTCCAAATCCACATACAAATTTGTATGCGGAAACTTGATCTGTGTTCTCTGACCGCTCAAGCACTATTTTCCCAGTGGGAACGATAGATTGATGAATACAGAAATACTCGAGCGCTCAAGGCGACTTTACCGATGTAGAGAAAGAGACATCTTCACACCTAAGTTTTCGCGCTACAGACTGTAAAAACACACAGGTTGTGGTGGAGGACAGAAAGTCAATGTCTGGTGACATGGGTTAATGGACTTGGAGATGTCTGGTGACATGGGTTAATGGACTTGGAGAAATCGCCCATTTCCTAAGGTCATAGCTTGCCTGTCAACCGGTCTCTTGGCTGTCCCATCAGTGTAAGGACCTGCCATGCCTGCAGCAACGGCATGGCTCTTACTGCTGATCACACCTGCCACCTGACGGTGACACTATCGCTCCTGCTCACTTGCGAAGTGCTTGTTCGACTTTTGGAAAGTCACCTTTGATTCGTTGCATCTATGTGAAGACCGGACACAGAAACCGTTCGGGTACTTATATCCCCCAAAAGCAAGCACACCGCAGCCCTTAAATGTTGTACTGTTGTGAGACCAGATCACTTGTCATTCAGGTGCTAGCAGATATGTGCCTAAGCCTTCGTGTGAATAACACATCACCAACAATGACACTGAACTACGACGGCACCTTAGATCACAGAGTTCAAGGTTCGCAGTACTCAACGACGTCAGTGCACCGGTGTATGCCCGTCCATCGGTCATCGCCGCACGGCATCAAGCACTTCCAAGCTCCAGTCTTGGGCCATGCTTCCGGGCATTAAGCACCTTCTTAGCGGCTTGCTTCCACATGGTTCCCCGCGAAAGGACGACATCTGGCTTTCGTCATCTTCGATGAGATTTCCAAACTCTTCGTTCTGCTGCGGAAACACCGATGATCGACATCTCCGGACTTCGATCTCCTGGCTTAAATTTCCAGCTACTGGGTACCATGGGGTATGCATGACTGGCTCGTTGATTCTCTCGCCTCGGTTCTCCCCTTTCGAGGCTTAATCCTGGTCTCACGCGCCTGCTAGTAAACATTTTTCTGGAGATTTCTCGCATTGCCGTCTACCCACAGAGCGTGCATACTTCCCGCCGTTACGCTACGTATGCCCGGCGCACACAAGCTAGCGTGCCAGCCGCGCGGTGACGTCGAGGTAGGTACTCGTATGATGCCTTGCGGGGCTTTGGAGATATGAAGCACGACTTTGCCGTCAAATTCGTACGATCTGGCTATCGTCAATTTGCAACTATAGATTGTAGTCACGGGATTCACCAACATGGGACTCCTCAGCAAGTCAGGATCCAAGAAGCCGTACTTCGGCCTGAGAGGGGGATGGCTGACTTTCTGGATCACGGTTGCCTGCGGCACAGACATGACATTGTTTGGTTATGATCAGGGTGTCTTTGGCGGCGTTATTGGTACGTATGCCTATGAACCTGGTGTGGCGAGACATCGATCTCCCGGTTCTGATTCTTCGCGATACGTGTCAGTCTAACAGGTCAATAGTCACTCCAGATTTCTTGCAAATTCACAATCTTGAGGGTCCTACCAAGACGGCCACGTTGGGTGGGTCAATCTCATTCACTCGAAGTAGCGAGCTAATGATGTCCAGGAACTGTTGTTGCAATCTACGATGTTGGGTGCTTCCTTGGTGCTGTCTTTGCAGCATGGTAGGGTGGCCCCGATGGGCCTTTCTATGAGTGACTGACTGACAGGGGACCAGGTACGGCGAAAAGATAGGTCGCAAGAAGGCGGTACTTTTGGGAACGATTGTTATGTCCATCGGAGCAATTCTGCAGATCACAAGCTACTCGCTAGGGCAGATGTTCGTCGGAAGGTCAGTCGTACCCACATTCCATTTACCGACCTGTTGAGCCTGTCGTGCACGTACTAAGAGGGGTTTTAGAGTCGTAGCTGGCATCGGCAATGGCATCAACACGGCAACAGCACCTGTCTGGCAAACGGAGACAAGCCAGCTGAAGTGGCGTGGCAAGCTCGTTGTCATTGAATTGATTCTCAACATCGCTGGATTCAGCCTGAGCAATTGGGTAACATACGGGTTCTCCTTCGTTGGGGGCGGCGTTGCGTGGCGTCTGCCCCTGGCGTTCCAATTCATCTTCATCGTCATTCTATTCGCAACAGTACCTTGGCTACCTGAGTCACCAAGGTGGCTGATTGCTCACGAGCACGAGGACGAGGCATTCACCATACTTGCCGATCTTGAAGACAAATCCGAAGACGATCCATTCATCGTTACTCAGCACAAGGAAATCGTCTATACTTGCCAGTACGAGAAAGCCAATGCTGTACCATGGTCCCAGCTCCTTCGCGGCAAGACTCCCGAGGGTAAAGGCGGCACGAAGACCATGCGTCGACTGTTGCTGGGATGCGGTACTCAATTCATTCAACAGATGGTGAGCCACCAGTATGGACATGTTTCAGGGAAGGTCTAACAGTGTGGCAGGCTGGCATAAACGTTACGTCGTATTATCTTCCGACTGTGCTCATCCAGAGTGTAGGCCTTACAGAGAAGATGGCCAGGCTGCTCGCCGCCTGCAATTCGGTTTCATATCTGTTGTTCTCCTTGATCGGTATCCCGAACGTCGAGAAATGGGGACGGCGGAAGATGTTGATGTTCGCGGCCGCAGGTCAGGCTTTCTGCTATACAATCATCACTGCCCTGCTTCGCTACAGCGAGAAAGAGGGCTACGATGGACAAAAGCAGGTGGCGTCGGCATCTGTGGCGTTCTTCTTCCTCTACTATGTCTTCTTCGGCATCGGAATGCAGGGCGTGCCCTGGCTCTATCCCACGGAGATCAACTCACTCAGCATGAGGACAAAAGGTGCTGCTGCAGGAACAGCGACAAACTGGAGTACGTAAAGTGACCACAGTCCGATGTAGGTGCTAACCGAATACAGTCTTCAATTTTCTCGTCGTCGAAATCACACCTTATGGCATCCAGTCTCTTCACTGGAAGTTTTACATCATTTGGTTGGTGTTCAATGCTTCCTTCGTTCCTATGGTATACTTCTTGTACCCAGAAACAGCAGGACGAAGCCTCGAAGATATTGAAGACTACTACCGACACGATCCGCCTCTCCTGGTGTGGCGCGACAAGGAAGCGACACGTACTGGAAGGCCAGAGAAATACTCGCAGAAGGAGGAAGAAGAGATGAGGCGAAACAGCAGTGCTGATCTAGGAGCCCTCAGACGAGGCTCAAGAATTAGCAACCAGTGGGTGTCGAGGGAGGGTGCGCGTGCGAACAGTGACTACGACGGCAAGACTGAGCATGGCGAGATGGAAGAGGAGAGGAAGGAGATATGAGATCTGCTTCCTTACCGGCGTGGTGGCGGTCCGCGGATGAACGATCTGCTTCGACCGGCATTTACAGCAAGGTCCGACGTGCGTTAGTCGGCTCAACAGGAGAAGTTGCTTCGTATACACTGCGGCAACGCTTCCCGACGAGTCGACTGAGATGTCCATGGTACCGGGACGCAGTCTTGTTGAGGTTAATGGTACCCAGGAGTGTCGATGGACGCCTGTCATATTGAACGCGAATACCATTCCACTTTGGTCACTTCACACTTCTCTTGGACGAATTGATCGCTCCTGAACGAATGAAAACATCAAAGTATCGATCAGGCCTCCGCAAGCCTCGCGTATTATGTTCCGTGCCTGACTAGCTGCCCAAAAGCATTGCCTGACTGGTTTGGATTACCAAAAGGGCATTTCGTCACATACCACATTCGCTATGGTGCTGAGAAGAAGCCAAAGTATATGAACTGGCCTCACGCCATAGATCCACAAAGCCCTCTGCCGACGTCTGTGACAATTGTAGCTTCAAATCATGAGCACCACCATGACTGACGCAGCACTCCTCAACCCTCAATTGACCGCCGTCTACAATGAACTACACACCTACGGCCCGCAAGACATCTCCAAACCTATCCTCAAAGCCACCTCCGACATCAAAGCGACCTTCGATCCCAAACAGGCCATACGACCAGGCCAATCCCTCCCCTCCTTCTCCCTCCGCAACGCCACCAACAAGCTAATCACCTCCGACTCCCTCCTTGCCCGCGGTCCAATCCTCATCATCTTCTACCGCGGCGCCTGGTGTCCCTTCTGCAACCTCTTCGTACGCGCCTACCAATCCCACCTCCCCCAATTCAAGGCCCATGGCGTGCAGCTTGTCGCCATCACGGCCGAGGTGCCAGATAAAGCGCTCGTGACGGCCCAGAAGAACGAGCTGCAGTTCCCTGTGCTGTCGGACACGGGTCTTACCTTGGCAAGGAAGCTAGGGATTGTGTGGAAGCAGCCGGAGAGCATGCAGGTTGTGTGGGATTACCTGAAAGTGGACTGGGAGGAGAGTTATGGGCAGAAAGAGCAGGAGCTGCCGATTCCGAGCACGATTCTGGTGGGCAGGGATGGGGTGGTCAGGGAGATGTTTGTTGAGGCGAATTATCATCAGAGGATGGAGCCGGGGGAGGCGTTGGGGTGGTTGGAGAAGCACAAGGGGAACTTGTGAGTCGAGACGTTGAAGGGGGAATGGGCAGGCAGAGTGGAGTGAGGTCAGGGATGACTCGAGGTCCAGGAAGGGACAGCATGGTGGATTCGGAGTGAGACTGAACGCACGCAACGATGCTGTTGCCCGTTCCCTGACGTCTGGCTCCTTCTTGGAACAGCAAGTGCCCTCAGTGAGGGGAGTTGTATCGTCAGCGTGGCAAGGTCGGCGTGAGTGTACGAAGGACTCGGAGAGGTCGGTAGGACCTCAGCACTTACGTAAGTCGGCGAGATCAGCTGAACAAGTCTAATAATTCTGCCTCTACGTCATCGCAAACACGTCGGAAGCAAAACAGTTGTGCTGCTGCTTGATGATGTACCATACGGGAAATCGAATACATTCAGAGCCCCGATTCGAGTTCTTGCGATATCCCTAGGACGCCATCTCACCGTTCAGTCATCATGAAGGGCTCCTTTACCACGTCGACTCTCCAATCGATGTCCAGAGGCACCCGAACACGCTTCCTCCTCTCCACAAGCACCAGCACAACTCACTTCTCGACCTCTAAGCCGCAACTCCTCAACCAGAACCGCCTTCTTGATCCAATTCGCATCCCTCCCACCTTCCACAACTATCTTCGACAAGCTTCGGCATCCAATATTCTCCTGCTCCTTCTCTTTAGCACCTCTGCCTGCGCGTCATGTCGCGTCATAACTCCACTCCTCGAAGACCTCGTGCATTCCAGACCTCAAAAGCCTAGTGACAAGTTCCAAGAGCTGAGCTTTGCAGAGGTAGAGCTAGATTCGCCTGACAACAGCAATGGGAATATGATGGACCTGGGAGTCGAGTTTGGCGTGACAAGTATGCCGACTCTGATGGGTTTTGGCGGGAGGAGGGCGGAGAGGGTGACGGACAGAGTAGTGGACACGGGGATGATGGGCGATCGGAGGAGGATGGAGGCGTGGGTCGATGAGGTGATGCAAAAAGGAGATCCGAGTCCTGGGGCAGGTGGTGGAGGTGGAGGACTGCTGTCGAAGCTGTTCGGCTAAAGTGGCTGCAAGCAATGGTATAGCGTTGATCACGCGACTTGGCGACCATGATTACGAAGAGCAGCAGCAGTCTGTCGCGCGCTAAATACAGCTCTGCGAAGAGTCCGAGAATCACAGATACTTGCCAATTCGATCTGGAGCCCCAAACGACCCAGCTAATATGGACTATATACGTCAACCCATTCACCGTTTGAATGCAGCGAGCGGAACGATCCCATTTCATATACAGCCAAGGGGCAAGATTGGCATCTGTTGCATTGCGCCTGCCAGGCAGCTCACTTCGGGACCATCCACGGACAGTATATCTTCTTTAGGGCCGCGATCATTCGACAACAGTGAATACAGTTCTGTGCTTTAGCTCGACCACCTGTGAAGCTCCAAGACTCCCTTCGCCAAGACCGCTACCAATCCTACCACAATAGCGACGTTTCTCAGGGCAGTCTTGACTGCAAGCTGGTTGAATAGGTCGATTGCTGCACCCATTGTCTGAGCATCATTACGATGGGGGAATGGGACCTGTGGCACGTCTTTGACCCCTAGGAAGTCGCACAGCGGCTCCCATCCACTACCCAGCTTGTACTCCAGAAGTCGATCCTTCGGCACGGTTGCTCTGACTTCGGCATAATGCCTTTCATACGCAGCCCATGCATTTGCCATCGTGGTCTCGGTGGTCATATTGTCGACAGTGCCGAACCAAAGGCCTGAATACAGGCGAGTCAGCTTCAGTATCCGGCCTGCTCGACTAGGTTCGAGAATGCCCATGACCTTTGACGCAGGGGTCAACAAGGCCTCCATGACCTGACGCATGCTCTTGAGCCACTTCTCGCGGTCGCGGCCTACCAGAATGACTTTGGCGTCTGGATAGGCGTCCAACAGCTCCTTCCAAAACATAAAAGCTGGGCCATCTCCAGCAGCGCCACAGTGACCCAATAGCTGGTCGAATTCTGTTCGTGAATACAGCCTGCGGGTTGGCGAAGGACGATACTTGGCATTCAGCGCTTCCGTCCACATATCGCAGTCTCGACAGTTCTCGAACAATGCGGAAGAGTGGTAAGGATTGGCGAAACCTAATATGCTCAGCGCTTCTTGCATGGAGATCGTGCCAGTCCTTGGAGCAGAGGCGTTGATGACCTGAAAAGGCACTACACGTTGACATTTACGACGGTCAAAGTTCTTGTCGGGATATCGTATGACAGCCCAGGCTCCGTACTTCTCGTATTCTGCTTCGGTTGGCGGCATGTTGACGAGCTTGAGCTCCAAAACGTATGCTGGATGAAAGAATGAGCCAGGCTAAGCATTGATTGATATCTGCCGCTCGAGCAGAGAGAAAGCACTGTCTGCGCAGCCCTTGGCGGATGGTTGCCTGACAGTGGACGCCCAACGGGAATAGCCATGGCGATGCTTAATGCTTGCACTCTACGCGATGAGCCCAGGAGTGCGGGACTAGCGATAGCTGCACAAAATGCTGTGCACGCGCTTGTATCTTGAAGACGCTCCAGCTTGCTCGTCTCACCAAATGGCATAGCAGGCTCTGTCGTTGTCAGTCAAGTCGACGCAAGTAACAGCGCGGACTTGGCGGAGTTGAGCTCGGTGGTCATCAAGAAGGTTGCATCCGACCCATACTGATGTGAAGTAGATCGATCCATCAACGTCGATTCTGGATCACGCTTCCCGATCTGCAGCTACATGTCGACTTTTCAGCAAGTTCACGTAGAGTGGTGTGGCACAACGAAGGCTCAACTCGCAAGTTGTGGTATATTCAAAGTCGGTGATGCGTCATCGCGCACTTCGAGTTCGTCCCGAGGCGCCTCGACTGTCGTGAGCTTGGCAGGACATGGGAAATTCGGTAAATTTCAATGACTAAAACGCGCCTTGGGATATGGAATCATTCTGGCTCTTATTGCTACCTACTGTGTAGTCAGGGCCTTTGACCGAAAGTCGATGACTAAAGTCTCCTCGCCATGAATCGCTTGAGGCTGCGGCTACGATTGGGCCGGAGACGTCGTCGTACAGGGGTGCCCATTGCCAAATCAGGAAATCCTTTGAGTCCGACCCGCGCCTTAAACCCCAGACGCTCGATTTGGCTACTTGGCAAAGATTGCAAGGTCCGATGCATATCGCTCATCGCGAAGAACGTAGGCGGCAGCAACGGCTACATAATAGCCGTCGATGGCACGCTGTTGCACTCTTCGTCCACACACGAGCCAAGATAAGTACGAAAGTATCAAACCATCTGAAGCATTCAGCCCAGCAGCCAGAGAAAGCAACCGGCGAAACAAGCCCTCATCATGACTTCCAGCATCAAGACTATACTCATTGTCGGCGCCACCTCCGGCATAGGCGAAGCCTTCGCCCGCCGGCTACACGCTCAAGGCAAGCGCGTGATCGCCACAGCCGCCGCCAAGCCAACCTCGACGCCCTCGCAGCCGACTGCCCTGGTCTCGAGACCTATGCCATGGACAATAGCGACCTTGCCAGCCTCTCCAAGCACGTCCAAACCCTGATCACGAAGTACCCAGACATCAACGCCGTCTGGCTTAACGCCGGCATCCAATACTCCTACTCCTTCGCCGATCCCATCAATGGGTCGAAACACACCGACGAGGCCATCATCCGCGAGATCACTGTCAACCTGACCGCACATACCATCCTCGCGCGCCACTTCGTTCCGTTCCTCCTCACGCAAAAGTTCGAAACAGTCCTAATGCTCACCTCCTCCGGCATTGCCTATCTCCCCCTGTCCCAGTTTCCAGTCTACGGCGCCACCAAAGCCGCAACCCACCATTTGTGCTGCGCCATGCGCGACCAATTGGCTGACACCAATGTGCGGGTGCTGGAATTGGCAACGCCGTACGTAGCCACGGATCTGGATAAGGAGCACAAGGAGGCGAGTAAGGGGGCGCCGCCGCCAATGCCTTTGGAGGAGTATACGGACAAAGTATTTGAGATCCTGGATGGGAGTGAGGCGAAGGAGTTGAAGGAAGTGGGTGTGGGGTTTGCTCAGATGGGAGTGGGGAAGTGGAGAGAGGCGTTTGGGCCCGTGTTGGAGGGGATTGGGTCGAAGGCTTAGCGTCGATGGAGGAGTGGTTACGCGATGCTTGGTTGACTGGCAAGCGACATAGGCGGACGTTGTGGGCACAGAGGCAGCTCCCTTTGCATCCACAGGCAAAACATCTTTATGGCCAGTATAGTTGTTCGATAATGTTTATTTCTTCTGCTATTGTCCTGTGGTGGCAGGTGCACGAGAGTTGTGCTTACCTCTTTCTGGCCACCCTGGAACTTATATCGTACCTTCCTAGCCACTTCATCTCACCTCCCCAATGCAGCCTCGACCGCCTTCCCAACACCAACACATATCTCCTCCCCAAACCTCCCGCCCACGACCTGCACGCACACAGGCATCCCCTCCACCAACTTCGGATCATACTGATGCCAGTTGAAACGATCACTCTCATTCCTAGGCACATGGTTTTTCCACGCATCGTCGCCCACATCATCCAGACGTGCAACAGTGACGGGAATAGTGAGGGCGGCGAAGTCGACGAAGTTCCAGTGCCCGGTGTAGCTGACGCATTGGGAGGACTTGACCCATGTTTTCGGGCGGAAGCCGACCCAGGGTAGGACGGGCATGATGAGGGCGTCGATTGAGTTTGCGTTCCAGCGATGGAGGTAAGCGTTTGGATAGCCATTCGGAGGCGGTCGAGCTATGGATGGAATGTACTGGTCAGTTGCTGACAGTGGCTATCGGGAAGGGATTAGAAAATCTAGCTCACCTCCTCCGCCTCTTGAATCGAGAGACAGTCAGCAGCCTTGCCGACGAGCATTCCTTGCACGAGTGGCTCTCCGCTCTCCTCAAGCATTTTGCTGACGTCGCGCCCGCCATCGAAGAGAATGGCTTTGGTCCAAAGCCGGTGCGCTTCCACATGAGAGTTGACATCCCAAGGGATCACTTGTTCGTAGTTAGTTGCTGCATGGTGTTGATGGCCTGTGCCTCTGCTACTCACTTTCATGGCCGGCAGCTTGCAGCTTTTCCACTGTTTCACGCATCGCGCGCTCGACTGGTGGCTGGACTTTGACATTGCCATCATCAACATAGTAGCCTATACGAAGGGGCCGAGAAGACTTCTGTGCAAGTTCCTGGCGCCAGGAAATCGGATACGTGGTCACATCCTGTCGCCATGGCTGTCCGGCAGCCACACCTTTCATGAACGTCTCGATTGTGGAGAGGCTCGAGGCTATAGGCCTGCGACCGGATTCACGATGAAATTGCGGGAGCTTGTTGCCTGTTAGATTCCGTACCATCTGTCCGGGCTGAGATTCTGGGATAACTTACACACTCTTATCGAACGGGACGCGACCAGTGCTTGGCGAGAGGCCGTAGAGCCCTTGGAGATTGGCTGGAATGCGAATTGAACCGCCAATATCGGTCCCGATGCCTACAAGGCTACCATGGCAGCCGACCAGAGCGCCTTCGCCTCCAGAACTACCGCCAGAAATCAGGTCTCTGTTCAGTGTATTGACCGATTGCTTGAAGACGTGATTGTAGGAGTCAGACATCTAGTATTCATCAGCGACATTTGTGTGTTCAACCAGTGAGACTTCATACCATGAGTGACTGTGAAACATTGGTCTTGCAATAGATGATAGCTCCTTGCTGTTGCAGTATGTCTACCAGCGTGCTGTTCGTTGTTGCTGGCTTTCCACATCGTCCCACCCAGCCTTTGAGCTCCGGTCAGCCAGTATCCGCGCAGAAGTGTCGTTGCGAGCCTACCTATACTGGTGTCGAATCCCTCAACGTCGAACACATCTTTGATACTGACCGGTAGCCCATGGAGGGGTCCGACGACCTTTCCGTTGACGTGCAGATGGCGATCGAGCTCCTTTGCTCGCTTCATAGCTCTATCGAACATCATCTCAGTGCAGCATCTCGACAGCTGCTGAGCAATAGCAGCTCTTTTGCAGAATGCCGCTGTGACCTCCAGTGAGGACAGCACGCCCGAATGAATCTGCGTCAACAGATGGTCTGCGGAGAGGGTCGAAGTGATGCTCTTCTCCTTGTCATCGAGTAACGACGTGGCCTCCAGATACGCTAATGTCGATCTTGGTAACGGGGACGGTAGCGGTGACAAACGCCACTCCTCCGGGATCTGTTGCCACTGTGTATCGCGTTTCTTGCCGGCAGCAATCTTCCATGGTGGCACCTCGACGACGGCGTGTGAGGCGCCAGTCTTCACAGGACCATCGGGCACTGCGCTCTGATGGACAATCGTTGCCGCCATGTTGGGTAGAAAACCAGCTCCTTATCGATGGCGTGAAGGGTGAGATGAGTCGCAGATGTGCATTTGCTTCAGAGTCGAGAGTATAGAGGAACGAGGGAATGCCTCCTACCCATCACAGACTGCTGCATCGTTGACCCAAACGACTTGAGCTGGCCAGGCTGGCGATCCACTCGTATACTATGATCCGCAGTCAACTTTCCAAATACGGAAGGTTGACTTGTGTTGTGTTTCCGGACTTGTTAGCGTTATGGCGATCTGAAGTCTGGTCCACGCCCTGACGCGGCAGGTCTGCTTGGTTTAGTCGCCAGATACCCGGGACGGCTCTTCAATCTCCTGTTTCTTCGAGTAGTCGATATCGATTGAGCGCTCGGATACGAAGGTAGATCTGCTGTCGCCCAGGTATGCCAAAATCTATCGGCTGTCTGTGTGTGTCGCTCTGTGGTGGCAAATATGCCCATAAAGAAGACTGCGACAGGCAAGTGCGCATAAGAAGCCTCCTGCGGCCGAATCTTGTCAACGATTTCGCAGATCCGGTCCGCTACTAACAGAGCTGACTGGTCTCCATTCTGAACTGTGTCGACATGCAGACAGTCAATTGCACAGAGAAGCGCTGTGTACCGCCAGGCATCCTGCAATAGCACCTGACTGTTGCTCTGCGCATGGCTGACCTGGAGCAACTGAGTACAGATCAGCTGATATGCTTGATGTGGTGCTGCTGTCACATAGCCTTCTACAGAATACCATCAGCTTCTGGCCCGAACGAGAGACACATATCCACGACCCAGCAGGATACGAGATCCAGGAGACACAGCGCTGTGTCTATCACGGGAAGCGAAAACTGCCAAAAGAGCATATGCACAGCACTTACTACGCGTCGTGTTAGCGAAATAGCCGCACCGCGGAAGCAGGTGACTTACCCAGTGATCCGTACATAGAGCTGGAGGGTCTCTTCTGGACAGCCGACGAGTTCGAAGAGTGTACCTTCCATTTCCTGACGATGGAAGTCCTCAAATACAAGGCGTCGGTCCTGATGAACCACAACACCCATAACATCATACCACTGTAGCAAAGAGACCGCTTGCTTCAGTCCGGGCGTCGTGGCGTACAGAAGCAAGAGCTGGTCAAGGTCAGAGCAATGTAAATCCAGCAGAGCCCGGGCACCACGCAAATGACGCGCCCACTGCCCGAATGGACCTTCGCGAACGTCGATGTAAGCCAGAGTTGTGATGCCAAAGAGGGCCAGGATGTCCGTTTCCGCAACGGCCTGATTCAGTCCTTGTAGAGCCTGAGAGTACAATACGTCTCTGTCTGGAGTACTCTGCTGCATGCTTCCCTGCAATCGCTGCAGGATGTGTTGCCACGCGAAATGCCACACTCCATCAACATTGCTACTGTCAACAAGCTCAACAGCATCATGCGACTGGCGAGCTAGTCGTGCCTCAATGTACTTCGATGTGAAATAGTGCAGATAATCCGCGAGACTCGAAGTCCAGTTTGACTGCTCTTCCGTCGACGTGTCAGGCGAGGGCGTAGCTGATGCTTGGGTAGTTCGCGGCGAGACGATTCATTGGTGGACGAGATAGCACTGCGATCAGCTACTGTTGAGCTCATCGTCTTTGCGATAGTCGAAGACTGGGAGCTGTTCCGCACGTGTGCGTTGCTAGAGCCATCTAATTCTTTGCCCCATCGCACTCGAAGCGCGAAGCCCGGGCATGTGATTCTCTCCTGACGACACTGTCCACAAGCTGGCCTGTTGAGATCGCATTTCACTTTCCTGTCTTTGCAGTTCCCGCAGTCTCGATCATGTCGAATGCCGCGCGCTTTGCCACGTTTGCCACGAGTATACGGCATCGTGGGCTGCAGGAGAAGACCATCGGTGTGATGTGGGACGTAGTTAACTTGCCCAAAGGATCTGGGCGAAGATCGCCTCTTATCTTCCTGATATCCACGCCAAAAATGGACTTCACCTACCGAGCCTACCTCTCGCAGATAGCCACTTCCCCGCAGGATGAAGCTGCTTGCCAGACTCCCACAGCACACAGTAGGTCCTGCTGCTCGAGATGCACACGCGGCAGTAGCGGCGGAATTTCCGCGCCGATGACGCTTCGTAGTCAACTCTCCCGAAACAGCAGGTCAAGTACAAACTTCTGTCTCCTATCAGTATCAGAGGGTCTACACGCTAGACGCGAATGCAGGCACCTTATGTGGACATCGCAGCTCGGTATACACCTTGACGATAAGATCTGGCCGCATGCGCTGAGTCCAAGATGCATTTTGCTAGAAGTTATGATATATACTGCTATCACCACCCTCATATGTTCCAGTGGACATTTTCTCTGCTGAAGAGCTGACGACAACATCAAACGCGTACTTCTTGAACTGACCTGAGGAGTCCACTGACCTGCAGACATGGCGAATAGCGACAGCGTGCCCGGCCTACTTCCTCCTGGAACGGTACACCTTCTCCACGTCCACGGCACATCAAGGAGTTCCGATGAGCTCATCCTGGTGCCCAAGCCAAGCGCCCATCCTGATGACCCTCTCAACTGGAGCAAAAGCAGAAAAATACTGCACGCCGCCCTCGTCTACCTGTACACGTTCACCACGGGCGTTGGCGGCACTTCGACCTACTCCATTTTGACTGACATGTCCCGTGATACGGGTCTTACTCTGACGCAGCTCAATCTGGGTACCGCCTTCATCTTTCTGCTTGCCGGCTGGGGCAACCTCATCTGGCAGCCGCTTGCTCTTGCGTACGGACGACGTCCGGTCTATCTCTTGAGCACATTGGGAGTAGTCGCTGTCTCCGAATGGACTGCGCACATCAACAACTTTGGCCAATGGGCCGCAGCGCGTATACTGTTCGGCTTCTTCGTGGCTCCCGTCGAAGTCCTCCCCGAGATCAGCATACCCGACATATTTTTCGCTCACGAAAGAGGGAGCTACATTGGCGGCTATTCTATGACCCTGGCTGGCAGCAACTTCATTGCCCCCTTCATCGCCGGATTCATGAATGACAGCATAGGGTGGCGTTGGGTCCAGCTTTGGTGCGCAATTCTGCTGGCACTCAACTTTGTGCTTGCTTTCTTCTTTCAAGAAGAGTCCAGCTGGCACCGCGACGAAGTCGAGGCAGAGACCGCAAGCGGTGATGCTGATGTCAGGCTTGGGGAGACCGCTGGGGTGCAGGGTGACCCTGAGAAGATGACTACCACAGCCGAGCCTGTCGCCGCCAACTTGTCGCCCACAGTGACTGCGGGGCAGACATTTACCAGGAAGACCTATGCACAAAAGCTGGCGCTCTGGACCAACAACCACCTCTCTCGGACACAGATCATGCGGATAGTCTGGCGGCCATTTCTGATCCTCATCCACTTTCCCAATATCCTCTTTGCAGGCTTTCTCTACGCTTTCACGAACTCATGGTTGGTGCTTTCGCTATCTTCGAACGATATGAGTCCTCTACTGACACGAGCAACTAGGTACTCCGTGTACAATGCCACCGCCTCTCTCATCCTCTCATCGCCACCATACAACATGTCTGCAGCTATGGTTGGGGTTACCTATCTCGCCCCTCTCCTCGGCGCCATCATTGGGGGCATCGTCGCAGGCCCATTGTCAGACAGGTTCACACTCTTCCTGGCGCATCGAAACAACGGCATCCGCGAACCCGAGCAGCGTCTCTGGGGCGTCATCACCTATACCGCGTGCCTGACCATCGGCTTGTTGATGTGGGGCGTCGGCGCCGCTCACTCCGCCCCGCTCGGTGTTCTACTGTTCGGATCCGTGCTGTGCGGCTTCGGCATCGTCACCGGTGGAAGCTACGCCATCACGTATGCTGTGGACTGCTACAAGGAGATTGCTGGCGAGACCATTGTATCTCTGATCATTGTCAGGAACAACATGACTTTCGCGTTCGGCTACGCTATCACACCGTGGATTAACGCCTCGGGCTTACAGAACACTTTTATCGCTGTCAGCGTGATCTGTCTCGTCACTGGCATGTCGTTTCTGCTGATGATCTGGAAGGGCAGGGCTCTACGTATCAGTTGCGAGAAGAGGTATTGGGAGTATGCAGCTTCTCAATTGGTAAAGCACTAATTCATGCTTTGGTCTGTGCGATGGGAACAAGGAGCGTATAAAGGATCGCAACGAATGTAGAGACAGAAGGAGAGACATATGCTTTAGAGGCAAGCACACCTCTAATGTAGTTACTGACAATATTCAATAGTAAGAATAGTCACTGCCGTCAGGCGTTTGTGGTGATAACCAAGATGTTCTGCCTATGGAATCAAAGTGAGCTCCCTCTGAGGCGTGCAAGCCGCATCATACATACCTACTCATCAGAGATAGCTCTAGTTAGGTAGCTGCTACGCCCGAAGCAATCAAACCCAGCATCAGCCTCGGGCGTGGCCCTTCGATACGACAAGTGAAGGCCGACAGGCAGCGGCTCCAAAATCGTGCGATGCACAGTGAATGCTTTCTCACCGCGTAAGTGAAGCGATCGTTTCGGTTTGCATCGGGTCCCCATTCTGACGAAGAAGACATAAGTATCGGCGTTGCCCTCGACCTTTCCTCCTCCTTTCTTCTTTTACACGGGAAGCTAAAGGCCATGAACTCCCTTCAGACACGTTGCCATACCTTGGTAGCAATCACTGCTATCAGCCGGGGCGAGGGTCTTGGATCAACCTGTCGAGGGCGTATCTGAAGAGGAGGTAGACAACGAATGTTGGCTCTGTGGTCAGGCTGAACCACTGCAATTAGCTAATTACATCGTATTACATGTGTGCAATATGAGCACCTTTGTTCATTACATCGTTAGTCACGCCTCAATGAAGCAAACCCTGTTGCCCTTCAAGATTCGTTCATCCACCGCCACCACCCAGCGCATCCCTCAAGCCCTCAAAATTAACCTTCGATCGATCAACCTCAACTTGACTCGGCGCCCGCTGCTGTAGCCAGAACCCCGGAATGGGGCCTTTCTGATTGATGCCAGGCATACGCTGCATACTGCCGAATGGCGTGCTGCCCGTGCCTATGCTGGGTGATTTGAGACTGCTTGATCCGCCGATACTGATGGCGGCATTGGCGCTGAAGGCACGGCTGTTGGTTGACGTAACAGAAGAAGGCATATTTCGCGGTGGAGAGGTCTGTTGTTGTTGGTCCGCTGGCTGCGCGTCACCGCTGACTGACTCCGCTGATGGCACCGCTCTGTCATTTGCGACTTGCGTGGCGTGAGCCTCCGTTGGCGGCGGCGGTGCTTCTAGCAGAGTCGCCAACGCTGGTCGTTTGCCGGTATTCGGGGTCGCTGACCAGCTGAGACCGAACGCAAGTCACCGACAGACTTGGTAGGTGCAACGCCCCATCTGCTGCGCACCCAGCCCCCAACACGGCCTGCAACACCGGGGCTCGAATTTAGCTGGGCAGGCGAAGATTGCTGCGACGAAGAACGATACGTCTTGGCGGCTGGTGAGCTTGCGATGATCTCGAGACCTCGCCGACCCTCGCCATGACCGCGAGTTGATGTCAGCGTCTGGAATTGTGAGGCCGACGCGGCCACAGAGGCGACCGCTGTAAGAGGCTGTTTCGAAGATGTTTTCAAGCCATTTATGGTCGATAAGGGCAAGTGAGCTGGCGTGAAATATGATCGGCTGAAACTTGGTGGCGAAGGACGTTTCGCTATGTGTATGTCCATGCCAGAAATTGAGACTAGCGAGTCATGCGAGGATGATCGTTGTAGAGTCGGGCGAATTGTCACATTGCTTGAGAAAGGGTCTGTGTCTTCCTCCGCCGCGACTTGGGTATCATCCAGTGGGTTGTTGTCCTCCGAGGAAGGTGTCTCATGGTCTGGTATCTGGTACTCTGGTATTGAGAATGTTTCTGGAGCGAGCGGTTCAACAGAAAGAGCTGATGCATTTCGGGAATGCCCAGCAGAGGGTCTGATATCGATCGGGTCTGACGGAGCAGGTGCAAGGATCTGTGACGGCTTCGGGGTCAGGTCTGGTGACGGGCCTCGGCGTACGACCGTTGCAGGTGTGCTATCTTCCTGCGGCGATACGGTAGGTGGCGTTAGTGGCGAGATGGAAGCTTCGGATAAGGAATGTTCGGGAATTGCTGCCGGCCATGTGTTCGAACCTTCTTTTGCATTGTGGGTCGTTTTCGGAGAACTCATCACACTGACAGATTCTGGACTTGTTGGTCGTGATGAATCATCTCCTGGTTCTATGCGGTCGAAGATAGAGCTGTACCGGTCGAAGTAGGATCGCGGAGAACTCGGCAGGCTTGAAAAATTTGAGGACCTGGACGCTGCCGACTGAACCGACCATCTGTTATTCTTTCTTGGGACTGGCTGATGGAGAGCAAGAGGCATGATGGGACTCGATGCATATCGTTTCGGACCTGTAGTTGGTGTCGACGGTATTGACGACTCTGGACTGCTAATCATACCTGGCATCATAGTTCTCCGGACGGCTCTCTTGCGAACTGTGGGCGTACGATTGCCTTTGGCAGCCAATTTGGCGTGGTAGTGGTGATGAACGTGGACCTCGCGTTGCACGTCGGACGGTGCTGGTGGCTCCCATCCGATCTGCTGGTCGAGTGGCAGGGATGAGGGAGGCTGCTGGTCATTGCCTTCAGACATTGGTTGATGCTGCATGATCTGTTGCCTCAAATTATGTACCTCTTCGTTGCTCGACTGTAGAAGCTCCCTCAACTCGACAATACCGGCTTGTAATGTAGCGTTGTCCTGCAGGATGTCGCGAACGAAGTGGCTGACAACGTTGTCGTTCTGACCGGCCTGAATGCTTTGCACTGCTGCAGCACCTTTGAGTCTGCCTTCGGCGCCGCCCAGTTCCCGGTCGAGTATCCGTTCTCGTTCCAGTCGGGCAACAATCTCTTCGTGCTTTTCCGTTTCGCGCTTGGCTTCCCACTCAATCTTCTCGAGCTCCATTTCCAATATCCGCAATCGCTTCTCGCTCTCTCGCCACCGCGTCAGCGCACTCTTGCTCTCTGACTCGCTTTCCGTCAACTTCTGCGACATCTGCGTCCGTTCTCGCTCCATATCATGCACTTGAGCTTCGAGCTCTTCTGCTCGCCTAGCCAACGCATTGAGTCGGCGGACCTCTAGTTCAGTATCTTTGAGAAGCGCTTCGAGACTCTTCACCGTGCTGTCGCTCTCGGTGTAAGTTTTGTTGATGGTGTCGAGCTTTGTCAATAAACTCCGATTCTCGGCTACGATTTTCTCGTTCGCATCTTGCAATGTAGTTCGCTCAGCTTCGAGCGCAGCAATCTTCGCATTCAGGGTCTCGTTCTCCAGCTGTGTTTCGGCGACGTACGATTCATGTCGGGACAATAATGCCTGTAGAGCGAAAGTCAGTCCGCAGGTACTCGAACTTGCGATGGTGCTGTAGCGCTTTCGTTGCGCAGATAGCGCGTCCATGGCGAGGATTGCTTCTTCGAGCTCCGCCATGTTTGCGTAGGCTTAAACGAATGTGATGCAGTTGGAGTGGTGGTTATCGTTGGATGGACTGCGCCCGTTGCCAGGGCCAGCGTGGGTGAACGAACGGCATATAGAGTGACACAGTCTCAAGTCACACTGCACCTGCCGAAACGGTTGCACTGTACCACCACCACCTTTAAACGAGTGTCGCAAGTGTCGAGTCTGCGATTTTCGGTTTCTCGATCTGGTGATCTCACTTTCCTTGACAGCGGTCGTATCCTCAAAGCTAGCTCTTTCCCCATCGCCATACATTCCAGGGTAAAGTGTAAAGAAATAGAAACAGCATCAAAATCAAAAGTCACGTACCTGGCCGAGCTCTGCCGCCTTTGAGAGGTTCCTCTCGAGACCCTCGAGTGCCACATTGTTGTGCTCAAGATAGGCACAGTCGTTCCTTCCGCAGCAACAACGGAGAGGTGGCTCCATCTCCGGCCCTGTGCCTTCATTGGCCACTCGAGCGATATTGACGTTTGTGTTATTGTCGCTCATCTGGTCTGGAATGCGGTCACGGCCGCACGGACTCTTCCCGGTGGTGTCATGAGGTCGATAAAGTGGCTCGTGGACCTTAATCGTGGGGTTCGTGTCGCAGAACGAGCGATAACGCGAAGAGAGTGAGTTCACGTGTTTTGGTAGTGATGACGAGGACGGAGGCGACGAGGACGACATAACGAGCGACGTCGTATCATGGCGCGGCGGGGGCTTATACGTTCATTGGCGACCGTTCGCTTGCGGTCAAGGGAACGTGATGTTCTGCGTTGGCTATCCTTGGTTGTTGATGATGCGCTCGGCTGCCTATTGGTCCAACCCCTTGCGGCCTGTTCTGCGGCCCGGAACTTGTGTGGATGAGGAGGAGATGACCACCAACGACCCGGAGCTCCAGGCACCAGAGCCGCGGCGTGAGTCGCGTGGTGAATTGACTCCAGTGCTCGTCATGCCCCACCGTACCTCTGCTAGGCATCTTGCTGCCTTCTTAGCCTTTTTTTTCTCGCCCGGAAAGCACATAGTGGGGGACGGTGGGGTGCACAACGGAATTGCCAATTCAAAGGGCGTCAGGTTCTTTCCCGCTCGAAGATGCAAGGTCCGTCTTTCGTAGGGCGTCAAGACCGGGATCATGCTACAACGTGGTACTGTGTAAGATTGCCTAAAGATCAAGTCGTGTTTCCGGCTCGTTACTGCGTACTTACATAAAGGCAACCATTGAATACGGCATCATGTCCCCGCCTCGCGCGAACGGCACAAATGGCAACAACCACGTTGAGGCTGCAGATCTGAACAAGAATCCTCCAGTCCCCGTCGACGATGATGCCGCCGAAAGGCTGCAAGAACTGAACCTTGAGATACTTTCGCCGTCCACGCGAGCCATCCACGCCGACGACGCCCTCAATGTGCTCGCAGACGTCGCACCACCCGTCCATGTCAGTACAACTTTTCGCTACGCAAAAGACCCTGCAAACTTGACGCCCTCCCACCTACGCAGTGACCCTCTTGGATCAACAGAACACATCTATTCCAGATACTCGACACATTCGACATCACGCCTAGAGACGATACTCGAGACCCTTCTGCACGCTCCCTGCCTGACGTACTCTTCTGGTCTGTCGGCATTCTATGCTCTGCTCGTCTTCCTCCGTCCTAAGCGGGTGGCTATCGGCGACGGCTACCATGGATGCCATGGCGTGCTTGACCTGTATATGCGTACGTCGAAGTGCGAGAAACTCCCGCTGGACTGCAAGCCAGAAGAGCTAGACGAAGGCAACTTGATCGCTTTGGAAACACCTGTCAATCCGACTGGCAAGGCCTTCAACATCCAGCACTACGCAGACATAGCTCGTTCACGACGCGCATATCTCATGGTCGACTCAACGTTCGCGCCGCCTCCTCTACAGGACCCTTTCAGGCATGGCGCAGATTTTGTGATGCACTCTGGCACGAAATATATCGGCGGGCATTCTGACATGCTCTGCGGTGTTCTGGCTGTGAAGAACAAGGCCTCGTTAGCACCAATGAAGAAAGACCGGCATTTCTTAGGCTCAGTCATGGGTGGCCTCGAGGGCTGGCTCGGTGTCAGGAGTGTGCGGACATTAGAGCTTAGAGTTATGAGACAGGCGGATACTGCTGAGCGCATAGTCCAAGCATTAGATTATGCGCTTAGTGGTCATAGTGTGGGCACAGGTAAGTTCAAAGGAATGTAGTTGCCTTCGAATGCGCTAACATTTTATTAGGCCTCTCGAAATCTGATGTGGAGGCTATCCAAGCTGTTGTCAGGGAGGTCCACCATGCAAGTTTACAAGAGGCCGACAAGAAGACGTGGTTGCGAAAGCAGATGCCTAAGGGGTATGGTCCTGTGTTCTCCATCGTGATGAAGGAAGACGTCTTTGCAAAGCACCTGCCAAGCAAGCTGAACCTCTTCCACCATGCCACGAGTTTGGGAGGCGTGGAGAGCTTGATCGAATGGCGTACGTGTTCCCCTTGTATAAAGTGCCGCATCGAATGATACTGACCTTCTTGCAGGTACTATGTCAGATGCAACCGTTTCGCCAGACATGCTCCGAGTAAGCATAGGCATCGAAGACTATCAAGATCTTCTGGACGATCTGCTGCAGGCATTCCGGGAGGTAGCCAAGCTGAGACAGTCATAGGGAGCACTCAGGCTACCTGACCGCGGCTCGTTACCCACGCTTGCTAGGAACTATTACTCAGGCTGGTAGCATTCCGCTAGGGACACGCTGTGACCATATCACTCAAGCCAACTTGGGACTAATCCTGGTCAGTAGATTTTGCCTCTTCGCTATGCACCACTCAGTCCTCAAGTACTCCTCGCACCACCCATCAACATTTGGCTCCGATCAGCACATCGCCACAACGCGATCGACCATCACAGCACTGTACCCCAGATAATTCCCCGGATCACACAGCCCTTCCAGTTCCTCCCTCTCCACCGCCGCTCTGACCTGCTCATCCTCCCACAACAACTCAATCATCTCTTTGCCTTCTCTTGCCGCCCGTTGGCAAACCTCATACACCAAATCATGCGCATACTGCCGTCCCAGCCCTTTCTCCGCCAATCCCATCATCACCGCCTCGCTCACTACGGCACCCTTCGTAATATCTAGATTGCGCCGCATAGCGTCGGCGTGGACTTCTAAACCCTCCACTAACTCCTGCGTTTTGACCACCGTCGCGTGCGTCAGCGTACTGATCTGTGGCAATACGATCCACTCGATCTCCCATGGCCCTGTGCTCCGCTCGTGGTCTTCCACCATGGCTTCGAACAAACTCGCTGACAGTTGGCGGACGGTGGCGTTCATGGCGGTGATGTATGCGCATGAGATGGGGTTTCGCTTCTGGGGCATCGTTGAAGATGAGCCGCGGTGCGGGACGTAGGGCTCAGAGACTTCGCCGACTTCGGTCTGGGCCATGAGTTTGACGTCGAGGGCGAATTTAGCGCAGGTGGACGTGAGGAGAGCGCAGAAAGAACCGTACGAGGCGATGGTGTCGCGTTCGGTATGCCAGGCTATTGTTGGGGGTGCGAGGCCGAGGTGCTTGGCGAGGAGGCTTTGCACGTCGAGGCCCAATTCGGGGTGGGAGGAGGTGGGTGGGATGGTAGCCAGCGTGCCCGCTGCGCCGGAGAACTCGAGGGTGAGGAGGCTCCTGCGGAGGTTGGCGAGGCGGTAGCGGTGGCGGAAGAAGGTGGCTAGTAGGCGGGCGAGTTTGAAGCCGAAGGAGATGGGGACTGCTTGTTGGAGGTTGCTTCTGGCTGGCATTGGTGTGGTCCGGTGCTTGATCGCCAACGCCTTCAGGGCGGCGATAGTCTTCTGTAATGAGGTTTCCACCAGCTTGAGCGTGTCCCGAATTTGCAGCACCGTTGCAGTATCGGTGACATCTTGTGTCGTCGCACCCCAATGCGCATACTCTCCCAGTCCTGCCTCGACATCATTCACCTGCTTCACCAATTGCTTGACCACCCCGAGGATCGGGTAGCCGATGAGCTCGGTCGCTTTCTTTAACTCATTGAAGTCCAATTTCTCCACCCTGCAATGTGCCACGATCAGATCTGCTGCCTTTCGAGGGATGATGTCCAACTCGGCTTGAGCTTTTGCCAAGGCTGCTTCAAAGTCGAGGTAGTACTGTGTTCGAGTCTGGTCGTTCCATATCCGGGCGGACTCTGGTGTGCTGAGGATGTTGCCAAAGATCAGGCTGTCCTGTACGGATGCCGATCGGGTTCTGTTGGGAAGAGCCCTGGACGGTGGGTTGTTTGTTGTGATCATCCGCCTAGTGGGCGGATATAAACAACACGATGTGGTTGAGCTGATAGCGATACCAGGCTTACATAGACGTCCCAGAGCGGAGCGATGGCCAAGAAATCTGACGGAGTGCACTGCATACAGTGCGCTGGCCATGGTCTACTATTTCCCATGTACCCAAGAAGTGTAGCAATGTATCACGTCGGCGGTCGAATTGTGTGTCTAGCCCAAGCCGGTTGACGTGATGTCAGAATTGGAGCCTAAATTTTCGCGACCCGACGCTGGTTGTTGTCTTCTGCCACACGTGCACGAATCTCGATCTCACCCAGTCGTCGAAGCTAGGTCGCCTACAGAGCGGCGATGTATGCAAGGATGTGCTTGACCTGCAACTCTACTGTGTTGACAGTAACACTCCGCAGAGCTCTTGGTTTCACACTTATGTGGCCTATGGGGCGGAATTGAACGAACAGCACAAGATCTCCACTGTCCTTGCAGAGAGTAGGCGCTCCTATCAGGCTGCAGGTAGACATTGGTCCAAGCTCGTTGATCGCCCTGGACTTCGGAGCGAACTTACCGGGCGGGATAGAAGAACAATGGCAGACAGAATGTATAACACAGCCATATCTCGGCAGGAAGTACTGTGAATTACAGCAGGTCGGCAACCCGTGCACACTAAGTGGTAAGAATAGCTACCTCCACGACCGAAATCTGGTGATGTCGCAAGTCACACCAGGCAAATCCGACCCTTTCGAGGTATTCCGTAAGCCAGCGTCGACAGCGTGTTGCCTGGAATCTGGTCCGGACGGAGATACAGCCAAGACCGTAGGTCATGACCGTGTTGCATCCACAGCGCAGCCGAGCGCCTTCCACTTACAAGGATCAGCTTCGCTTATTACAAAAGTTGCGTCCCAGAACGTGCTCTGATGGAGCATTTACATCAGCAGGAACTCTGAGCCTCGTGGCAAGGTACAGGCATAAAATCCGACACGCAAGAGGCCTCAGCTGAACACGGTACGTGGTCTCACAGGCAGTCCCAAGGCGCATGTGTTTGGTCGGGGCTAAATATATGCCCTTCAAAACGACTAGCACTTGGACCGCGCCGATTGTCTGGTCATCCACATGGCGCACTTCCCCCGGAATGTATACCTGTCTCAACAGGTATCCGAGGAGCCTCACAAATATTTTTCGCGCTCCGGGCCAGGTGCTCTTCAACAGTGTGGCTCACAGGCAATGCGTTGACCGCGAGCGATACTAAAGAGCTCGGCGGTGTACTCCGTAGCTCTGATGTATAGCGATCCATGGACGTAGAGATAGTCGCAGTTTCGACCCGCATGTCGGACGATGCCCAAGAAAGAAAGTGGACCAACGAGCGTCGTAGCCCTGCGAGATCTCCCGCCAGATCTCTCATACACACCTCTTTATGAAGACGCTTCTGTAGCTTACGTGTGCTACCGTCCACTACTTCGAATACCCTGCTGGGAAAATTAGGACCGGTGGGGCGTGCTCAAGGTTTCACTCGCGTGCCTAGCGGCCGTCGTGCTGTTTTTGACTTCACATCACGGCCGCTCTCAACAATCTAGCAATTATCGAAATGTCGACGCGGTGATTGTTGAACAGCTTTGAACCTCAGAATGGACGCGCCGTAATTACGAGTCCACTTAATAATCCGACGTCAGGGCGCTGGACATCTCCGCATGAACAAGCAACGACTTCGGCGATCGGGGAAGGCACGATTTTACTGGCAGCCACGGCTCTCTCGCCAATCACTTCGCCCATGCTTTGATAGTATGTTGAACGCGGCAAGTGCTCCCTCGTGCTTCGCCGTCTATGCTCTAGCGAGGCTCCGAACCATCAGCCCTAGTCGTCAACTCGCTGGACCCCAGATGATTCGAAATACTACTACCAGGACTTCCCCCTGGGCTAGGGCATCCATGGTGTCGGTGATCTGCCGTGAATACGAGGCTGGTCTGCAGCTCTGTACTTATTGATGCCTCGTTCCCTACACGCAACAGCCATGCCGAGATCGATGCATTCACCTGCTGAGCAGCATCCACCTAGCACGGACAGCTGGATCTATGCCCTCGTTGCCGAAGTGATGCATCAAGAGCAATGAATTTCCGGTTTGCATACTACAGTCCACCAAAGACCGACAAGAAGCGGTCACGGAAGTCAGTCATACAGAAAGCCAAGGACAGGACTGACTCCAGAGGAACCGAATCCAGTAAGAACTCTCCGTAGAAGTCCTCATCTGGCTAATGAAGAATAGCACTCACTGAGCATTACCCTGCACAGAATACAATAGCGACAGAGCAGATAGTTCCGGCTTCTACGCTTCGTCGGCGCCGCAGAAGTCTCGACTTTAGTAGTCCAGGCCCTAACTTACTCAGAAACCACAACTCAGACCCTGGAAACGGCGCTGACTTCAACCTTGCTCTGACTGCTCTTGGAGTAGTAGACGACGACACGGACGATGAGACTGTTCTGCGACGGCGACAGACAGCGACGGAGGACGCTCAGCTGCTAGGTCGAAAACATGGAGTCGCAGAGCTCTCCACGCTACTCGGACAGGGCTGGATAGACCCGTTCCAGATATATCCCACAGACGCGACTCGAATCGTGCACGAAGTCATCGACCATGCTGTGCGATTCAAGTGGCCTAACATCTCGCCAGCCAAGATGGCGATACCAGAAGGGGCGCCAATGACGACCTGCCGACTTGACGGAGGACCTTTCCACCCAGTGAAAAGAGCTTGGCTGCAATGTATTATGGAACATCCCGTGGCATTCTATGCGCTAGCATATGCCAGCTCGCAGCATCTTGACTGGCTTCGTGAAGTAGAGACGTTTGCGGGCTCGGACCTTCTCAGGCTATCATACAAGACCGAAGCAGTGCGACTGATCAACAAGGAGCTCCGCGAGCTCAACGGACAGTCCATTCCAGACTATGTTGTTATCAGCATTCTCTCTTTAGGTGCTCACGGTAAAGAACGATCGGTATCGTCGCCAAGGTCGAGCACAACATCCCCAGACAGCTCGCGGTTGGAAGTCAGCAGCTTCCCGCGACTAAACTATGGTCTCAATCCGATGTGCAAGGCACAAATGATTCACTTCTACGGCAGTATGTCCCAAGAAGCAGCTCATATGTCGGCACTCCGGACGCTCATAGCGCACAATAACGGCATCGAGGGCATCAAAATGCCAGCTCTTCGAGGCGCGGTAGAACTCGGCGACATCCTCAACTCCACCATCACTCACCAAAGGCCCTGTGTACCAGTCCCACGGCCTATGCCTCGCCAGATCGAAGCCATTTATTCCGAGCCAACATGCCACTTGCGTCTCAAGACGACCTCATTACCACCGTCAAAGCGCCAGTCAGCAGCCCTCATACAATGCTTCAAGGCCTGTAGGGCCTTCACAGCCGCGTTGAAGGCCCACGTATCGTCACCTCACAGTTCAGAAGTCACTGTCGATGACCTTGTCCTTGCTCGAAATTCCATACACTATGATCTGCTAAGCCTTCCAACGGCGAATGGTTTCTGGGGGCCGCGCTATGCTATCTACGAAGCGTTGCGTGTGGCGTCACTGATATATTCAGACTTCGTCCTCTTCCCTTTGCCCCAGTCAACAGGTCTCAAGCGAAGGTATGCTGCAATGCTCAGTGAAGCCCTTGGCTGCTGCTGGCTGCACGAAGAAGATGGTGACAAAGGCTGGTGTACGCAGGCAGAGCCACTGCTGTGGTGTTGTGTGATGGGTGGCATGGCTGCGGCCGAGGCTGCTGACGCGGACGACGGGAAAGGGACTATGGCCGCAGCCCAAGCACCGTTCTGGGAGAGGGCAAAGGCGTGTACGGACCACCTAGGGTTGTTTGGCTGGGAGGAGGTGGAAGATTGCTTGCAGGGCTGGCTTTGGTGGAGAGAGTATTTAGCCGGCGTGGCGAAAGCGTGTTTTGACTGGGCTTGAGAGGAGTGGCATCTTGCAGGGATCGGGTACTGGGTCAGGACCTCGCTGAACTCTGATCAGAAAGACAAAATCTGTGGCAAAACGCCCTCAACATTGATCTCGGATATTGGGAAGGCCTCGTCTGACCAGTTTTGCCGGGCGTGGCTGTCCATGAGGACGACGTATGCAAGCATGGCACACAGAACATAGCGTTTTCGCCTCACAAGCCTGATCACGGTGAGGGGACAGCAACTATGGCACACTGCCCTCGTGCTGTGAGACTGAAATATGGGCTGTCTTAACGATAGTCGCCGTCATGTGACGGCCTCTGGGAGGATTATCAAGAAGCAGTAGAGCGTGTCTAATCCTAACTGTTCATTGCTGTCTGAATGTTCACTGCGCATAGCAGCGTGGCCATGACCAGCCACTTCCCACCAAGAACCCTCGCTTATATCATGTCAGGCAAAGCGACGAACAGACTCATCCTCCAGTGAACCTCTTATCCGAAGGCTGCGCAGTCACCCGGTCTCTCTAGAGTTCAGTCGGAGCCGGTTGACAAGCATCGCGCCTGCCTCATGGCTCCTGTCATTTTCTAGAAGTGGCAATCGCGATCGAGAATCGCGTGACTACCAGTGCTCTGCACTTTAAATGGATGGAAGGTGGGTACACGCAGTGCATCGTACCTTCTCAAGGATGTGTCGAAAAGGAGGTTGGTCAACCGGTCTCTTCATATCCTCACTGAAGCCGGATGACAACATGCTCGATGACCAAAAATGGTTTTTGCAGCAGTACTTTTCTTTCGTGCCACTGCGATTTGCAGCAGACTATCTGCTTCCCAGCCTTCAGCGCATAGCCTGCAAGACTTACCCGAATCTCAGCTCATTTCTGCGGAGCGGACACGACATCTTCGCTCTCTGAGCGAGCCACTACTCAATGCAACGAAGATGGAACCGGTGAATGCCGTTACAATATACTTCCAATCTGCCTTCCAATGTCATACTTTGTCAACATCTCGGTAGTCGTTGCATCTCTTTTCTGATGGACTCCTTGTGCATTATCGATGCTCACATCATGCTACACCATAGCTCGTGATTGAGCGAAAGTGCACGAAGGCAGCAAACATAGAAGATCTTTTGTCCAGGAGCGAAATGATGCTGTGTCAACCGGTCTCGTTAGAAGCTTTGCGACTTTGTTATCCGGTCTCGTGAAAGACGACAGGTCATCCGATGTCAGATAACGCTGCCCATTGTTCCTTCCCTTGCGCTCCTTGCGCTCACGTACTTGCCACTTTCCCGGGTAGTGTTTCAATACTTCGCAGCTTCCTTCGTCTGGGCTGCAATGCTCATAGTAGAGGAGGCAATCGCGCATATCGTCTACTGCTTGTACGGGAAGGTGTGATTCGTAGTGCAAGAGATACCATCAGTCATCCGGTCTCAATGATCTTGAACGAGACCGGTTGACTGAGGGCAAAATGTGGTGAGGCCAGACTCGATTGCCTCTTCTGAAGGGCTGTCTATCTGGTCTGACTGTCAGAAAACTGCGAGTGTCACTAAAGAAGTAGACCGAAACGCACAATACAAAATCCCGCTCCTGGTGGATCTGATTGTTCTAGTCCTTTGCAAAGCTGATCAATTCCTGCCTATGGACTAAATGGCTGACGGGATCTTCTGTTGTTATCGGCAGGTCTGACTTCCAACGATCGTATTATTGAGCTACTGACCCAGTCCTAGCCAAACTCTTCTTCCATATCCAGTGCTGAGGGTCGTCGGCAGCGCGCCATCCACGCCTGCTCGAGCCTTGCGAAGATACTTATCTCCACTTGCGCCTTGGATCCGTGTCGCTGCGACGCATCACCAAAGACCGTCACCATTGCAATCTGAGCGGAGCACTGACCAATTGTTCCCATATCGTCCATGCTCGTCTAAGTATCCTCCAGTCCGCATCGCCAAATCGGTGACGACGTTCCTTCAAACGTCACCAGGAAGAACCCATGTCATGCCCGAGCCTAGAACGGGTATGGACAATCGCCACCGTTCCTGTGCCGAAGCAGCACATATTCAACGTCTTCTCAAGCCACAAGTCCAAGAGCGCTACCTTGAATAAACCCCTGCAGATTATCCGGGAGCGTGACGAAGAACGCACGGAACCCTTCCTTGGACGGCCCTAGCGATCTACCTGGAGAGCCTGTCTGCGAGTCGAAGATTTCCTTGACATCTAGAAGTGTCTGAATTGCATCTTGGAGGTTGCCGCTGACCTTGCGAAGAATCTCGTGACAGGAGTGAACGTCTACGTCCCAGACAAGTTCCATCATCTTAGTGACCAGGGTGCGGTCCTGAGAACTCTCAATGTCGTCTAGACCAAAGCTCGGACTTCTATCTCGATCAGAAGACACCGCAGTGGTGGTCATCGGCGAGTCTGTGAAGGGATCCTCGAGTGGCATGCTGGACACTATATTGCTCTCCTCTTCTTCAGTCGGTCCGATGTGAGTGCCTGGCGCGGGTCTCAGGACCAGAGTCCGAGTCGGTGGAATCGTCCTCTGCTCCTCGCTGGCAAACCTCTTACGCGATGGCGCATCGTCACCGCTCTCGTAGCCCGACCTCGAATGCTCGCCGACTATTGAGCCATCCGCGAACGTGATCTGAGCTGATGGAGAGGGCTGCTTCCGCTTGAGGACTTCTCTACCTGGCACACGAAACGTTCCTGGACTGCCTGAAAGCCCGGTTGTTCTGGTTCGGGCGGGTCTGGCGGCCTCAGGACTATCTCGAATGAGTCTCTCGCGGTAACATTGCAGGCGGGCGATTTCGCGGTCAAGTTCCTCGGCCTGACGAGCAGAATCGAAGACCATGCTTGTGTTGTTGATTACGCCGGTAAAAGGAGAGATGACGCCCTTCGAGAGCCCATGATCAAGGCTTTTGTGACTTAGATATGAATCAGCGTCGGTGCGATCGCCCTCATCGAGCCCGAGCTTACTGCTGGACGCTTCCGACTCAGAGGAGGATCTCACTGACGCACCGTCGTCAATATCGTCGTCGTCTTCCCCGCCATCGCTCATCTGAACATCATCCCCTGGTAACAGGCCAGTGTCGGTACCCAAAATGGCAGGAGCATCTGCTTCCTTCTCGAGGTTCTCTAGTTCTCGCTGCAACTGCGCTTTCTCGGAAGATAGCTGATTGGCCTCTCTGCAGAATCGAATGCGCTTGAGCTGATACTTGCGAGCTAGACCGGCCTGTTCAGTGATTGATTCGGTGAGACTGCGAATCTCGTCCATGACTGTCGTCATTGATACCCGGCGAGCTGATGCCTTGAGGCGTAGAACTGGATCGGCGTTTCCAAGGCCTCGGGCGACCTCCAGCTTCTCCCGTTCGAGCTGGAGTCGTCGTTTGTGCATATCTGGAATCCTAGCAGAAGCACTTGTTATACCAATCTGTGCCTTGACAGTCCGTTGTTGTACCTTCAACAGCGCCTTCTCAACGCAAGCGAGGTCGGAAACAATCTGGTCTTTGTAATGAGAAAGCTTCACAGCGGCAGCGCCGGTCGGCCTCGTACGCTGAAGCGGCGCGGAAGTGACAGCTTTGGACTCGCCATATCTCTCGGCCTCTGAAAGGGGCGAAGGATCCGGTGACACGGTTCTCGACGGAACGTCCGGGAGTTCTTCATCTGCTGATTTATCGAGCTGTGCTTCGACGTGCTCAGACGCCAGCAGGAGAGTGGCTCTGGGGCTCGGCTCAGCGAGGGGTGCAACATTCGAACGATCAATGGGAGGACGGAGATGGATGATGCGGGAGGCTTCCGGGCTGTCGCTCGACTTGGCATTGTCTTGAAGAACGTTTACTGCTTGGCGGCCGCTGGAGTCTTGTGCGACGACAGAAGAATCACTCTGAACCGATTGATTGGGCGGCTCAAAGGTCTGACCTGCTGTATTCCCACCACGATAGTGGGTTGAAGGCTTTGTCCGTGAGCTCGGTGAGGCGATGGCCGGGTCCGAGCTACCTCCCCCATGCAAGCCATCATCGTCTTCGGCACGATTCGAGAGGGACGCCTCGATGCTGGCCGCATAGAGATGATCTCGAGCTTCTTGTTCCCTTCTCTCCAGACACTGAAGGGCCTTATCGAGACCTTGGCCAATCTGTTGATGATCGTCTCGAATCAAGACGGCCTCACATAGGTTCAAAAGAACTCCCGTCAAGTCGGCATCGAGTAGTGCTCGTGGCTCGATATCGAGAGTCGCAATAGACTGGAGCGATCTTTGCAATTGTGCCACCTGTCCATCGGTGAACGGATCGTTGCCGGAGTCGATGATCGCGTTGAGTTGATCTTTGAGGACGATTACATCTTCTGCAATGGATCAGTCGGGGTCACGATGGTCAATCTCGGATCACCTACCTTGTCGTTGCTCGACATCCACGATCGTGGGAGCCTTGACTGTGGACTCGGCAGCGGCGACAACTGCGATTCTATCTGTGCTGCCTTCATCACCAAGGCGGCAGATCTCACCGTGTCCAATTGTTGTTGTCGTCGGTTCAGGTTGAAGGTGACCTAGGTTTGCTCGTCTTTCGATCTGTTCAGTACCTGACTTGCGAATGGACGTCACAATAAGATCGTCGTCAGACGAGTCGCTGATCTCGATTACGTCGACCAGGTCTGGCATCTTGGACAGCATCGGCCGGTTCAGGACGCAAGACGATGCTCGTAACCGAGGCCTCTTTGGCAGACATGGTACAGGAAGAAGGAGGGAACAGGTTTGTTGAGATCGAAGGAAACATTTGATCAGAAATCTGGCGCAGCAGTGAATGAGCCATGAGTTTTGCAGTGACTGCTCGAAAGGGTTCATTGAATGCAGTGACTGCTTGAGAGAACCCATTGACAACAGTGAATGCCAAACTCAGTCTTCGACGACAGTGAATGGCGTACCCGACTCTATGACGAGCTTTTCGAACTCAGCTGACTCGTGTGCTATTTTGAGCTTCGAATGACATGGGCCCACGCGAGAGCGAGAGACGAGTTGGGCTCTTTGTGAGTGTACAATGATGAGACGTGGTGGTTGCCAGACTTGAATACAACCTCAGCCCGGAAGAGGTCGAAGTGAATGCACAAAAGGCGTGGCTAGACTTGAGGACACTTTCCATGTTGTAGTCGATATTGAGCACACATTGTGCACATGATGCCACAATTTCGAGGCACATGTTGGCTAAGCGGCTAGTCGCTCAAGGCTCGGCATCTTTCATATCACTCTTGAACCGCTCCATAGCGCGCTGTTTGGTCTCGCTCCAGTCTACATATGGCTCAGGATAGCCAAGTTTCTTGAATTCTTCCTTGCTCAGGCGATGGAATGGATCGAAGACTGCTTTGCCTTGCACATCTTTTAGCTCTGGCACCCATTTCCGTATATAGTCGCCATCGGGATCATTGCGCTCGGCTTGGCTGATGGGGTTGAACACCGTATATGAAGGCTCCCAGCCTTGAGTGTTGTTTGACAAATCCCAGTCAATCAGTGTCTCTGCGAAGTAGCGCTCGCCGCGCCTGTAGTCGATCAGAAGATTGCAGTAGAGGTAGCTCGACACGTTCATTCGTAGGCGATTATGCATATACGCCTCGTGCTTGATCTGTCGCATCCCCGCATCGACAAAGGGCACACCGAGCGTGCCTTCTTCCCAGCGCTTGTATCCCTCTTCATCGTCTTCCCATTTGACGAAATCGAATTTGAGATTCTGTGGCATGTTCATTGCGGTGTGCGGAGTTGTAAGCGTCGTTTGTCTGTAGAGCTCTCGGAACACTATTTCCCGTACCCATGCTGCCACTCCTGCTGAAGCTCCGTTCTGCGAGAAGTCGGAAGTTCCGTCGTTGTGCTTCATTACCGCGGAGACCGCCTCTCGCATAGAGACCGCCCCGGAGGAGAAATATGCGGACATTCTCGACGACGAATCTTTGGCAGGATTTGATCTTGTTGAGGCGTACTTCTCGATCTTCTTTTGGATGAATTCGTTCATCCTCTTCATTCCAGCATCATGCCCGGCCGGCCACAGCTTCCTAATGCGGTCGCGTTCCTTGTTCGATTCAAACTGCTTCTCCTTGGGCAAGGAGGGGAGCTTGCTGTCGAACAAATCTTTGAGGCCCTTCTTATCGCCTGGCTGCTTCGATGGGGCGGGCACCAGGTCTAACAAGCTTGGGTCGTCCTTAATCTCGCCCAGCCAAGACTGATGGTATGGCGTGAAGACTTTCATGGGCTTGCCTGCACCCGTCACCATGGTGCCTGGTTCCATGATGGTCTGGTCGTGGCGGAGGCTGACCTGATACTTGTTGTCTTTGGCGTTCTGGAGGACTTTAATATCACGACGGAGTTCATCAATCTCATATTCGTAATTAGCAAAAACGTGGGAGATCTTGTGATCTTTGATGAACTTGGTGATGGTGGGCACGATCTCATCGCGCTCAGCTGCCTCGAGAAATACAAGCGGGATGTCTTTCTCCTTCAATTCCTTCTGCATTAGTGTCAAGGTCTCGTTGACAAAGTCGCATCTTGCGGGACTAGTGCCATGCCAGATCAGTTCTGGCTCACAGTTGACATAAGCACAGATGAGCGGCGCAGAGGCCTCCTTGGCGGTTTCAAATGCGTCGTGTAGGGCCTTGTTATCCTGAGTGCGCAAATCCTGAGAACGGAACCAGTGCAAGACGTTCGTCGTTTTGATGTCGGCTGTCTGGGCCTCGAGCAGATCCTTCAGCTCATCGTAGGGAGGCTTGGCGTCGATTTCCTTGGCCCTTTTGGTGGAGGGATGGTGGTCGATCGGATCGTCCAGCTCCTGTCGCTTTGACATCTTCGTTTGTGTACGCTTGATGGAAAATGCAGCCGTTCTTGTTCGTGCTGTTGCTGAGGTATAGATGAAGCTGCGAAACGTATTGATTGGACACCTGCGTGGCTGACAGCGTAGTATCAAGCTTAATGACCTTGCATTGAGAGACATGACAAGCCAGAACGAGAGAAATGCTTACCGGTAAACAAAAGGTCTGCGTCAAAGTGAGTGGTGACGTAAGGCGAAAAGGGGTTGGAAGCACTGGCAGTGTGGAGGCATAGTTTGCCAAGGTTGGACCTGAGGCTGTCAAATCTTCGACAAACCTCAGCTGCACTGCTTTAAGAGTTCTTTGCACTTTACAGCTTTGTCTGCTGTCTTTCAGGCCGCTTTTCACGTGTAGCAATTTGTGCGGGTAGTCGCAAGGCCGAAGATATTCGTCAAGCGCGTACTTCGCGTCCAGAGTCTCCCTCGCGGCCGGCCATGTCGTCGATGCAAACAAACCAAACCATCCATCTGACCGTGATCTTGGTGCTCATCATTTCAAACTGGTCACAAGACAATAACAGAGACCTATTCCAGATGTAGTCGCCGTCGATGATCAGGAGCGAAACTTGTAGTCTGTGTACGTGAAGTGCTGAGTCCCGCAACATGAATTTTGACATATCGCGATCAAAGATGACACGCGACGACAGCTGGTGACAGACATGGGACTGACTGTGCATCGATGCTCCCCAATGCGGAGGCTTGACTTACAAAGGCATTGACAGCGCTGGACATGAGAATGACCAGGCATGCTGCCGTCCGTCGTTCAAGAAGGCCGTCCTACAGAGATTGTTCAAGACAGCTGCTGAATACGCACAAAGATATTGTCGGCGTTCGCACCTCGTCGGGATAATCCGATACACGGAATTCGACCGCACCTGGTACCGGCCGTCCGGAGATCACAGATACCAAGGACCGTGAGTTGTGATGGATGACGACGCCGAACAAGGCTCGTCGGACTGATCCCGGCCGAGCATGTTTCAGAGTCTTGGTGGTCGAAAAGGAAGCGCGTTTGATTAGGCACCTGTAATTATCGCATCATGTCTCGGCACTTGACGCATCAAGGACTTCAACGAGAGCTTCTCACCTTGCTACTGGAATAGTGTCAGCGCTTGTTGACTCGCGTGGCTGCACTAGTCCATCCTTCATAATTGTTTGAGCATGAGTGCATCTCACGACTTGATTGTCAGACGGCTGCAGCCAGTGCATATACGATGTAATGATAGCGAGAGGCTCCAGGTAACAGATGCAAGGCCACTGCCAATGTGAGAAATTGCGACATAGCCCTCGAAACACCAATGTTTAGGTAGCAAGCGGCAGCTCCAAGGATTCCGGGCAAGGCCCACGCCCAGGGAAGACGTGTGCCAGTTGGGTAGCTTAGGGCTTGACTCATGCATAAAAAGCATTGATCCACCCGGGCCACTTTGATGACCTTCCAGAAGAAGTGGATTCAACCAGGTCGTACGCACATCACCGCAATCGACGTTCACTCAGGGAGTAGAATTGCACCGCGTGTGAGATGTCTACTGCGAGTCTGTGACTTCCAGGACAATACAATTGAAAAGCCATAGGTTACCTCGACATCAGACGTACAATTGCGTGGTATGCAGTATCGAGAATGCCGTTTGGAATGATTGCAGATCGTGGTCTGCATAGGTGCCTTGGCGACTCGGAGGACCAGCCGATGCCAACATTCGCTGGGCATGGGCGACGTGATGGGATACTTGGTCAGTAAGCGCTGAATGTCTCCTCGGTGGTGGTGATGATTTGCAAAAGTAGAAGACCTTGAACCATCAAAGATCATAGCTGCTGTGTGCTCTTCCAGGTCAGAAGAAAACACCACACGGGATGTGTCCGGTCATGAAATTGTGCATTCATTATTGACGAGATGCAGACCGTTGGAAGCGAGCGGAAATGTGCTGGCTCGCATACGCACCATCCTTGCTTGAAAAGAAAAGGCTTGTCTCAACGGTCCAACCAGACGACCACATCGAGCAGAACCTCCGATAGCTGGCCGGGAATTCGGATCAAAGAGGAAAAGCCAAGTCTTGCATGTTGCAGTGGAATATTCCCAGGCCTACCGCAAGGCGCCCCAACCTTCAGACTGTCTCGTAGTGTCGAGACCGCAAACAATGCTGGCAACGCGCCTCAGAATTTCGGACATCGTAATGCTGACGGGACTTTTCCTACGAGTGGGAGGAGCGAAGTCAAAGAGAGCGACCTCACGTGGTCTCAGATGGCAGGTTACAATCACGACAGCCTGAGCTTCAATTTGACGCGGTGAAGTTCTACGGCGATGACGGAGGCGCATGCCGTAGACGAATGGGCGGACGGCAGTATAGCGAATGCTGTCGCCTCAGAGGCAAGAATGGGTGTGTCATGAGGAATTGATCTGCTACATCTAGCAACTGAAAATGTTGAGCACAAAATAAATCTGACTCGACGTTGCATCTGCCGCTTGCTGATTTCTGATTCGTGGCGGATGTCCAGGATATACCAGAGCTGGTGGCACATGATGATGTCCTTCGCTCTTGTTTCGCAAGTATTTGGCTGCGATACATACTTCTTCTAGACAATGCTAGAGTGGCGAAGATATTATTACTATTCAATCGTGGCGGGAGTGGCATGACATTATTGAAAAAGGTAGATGCAGAAGCCTTCGTCATCCGGGCAAAATTCGGTCACTGAACACCGATGATACCACGTCTGTGTTTTGCCGCTCTGGCTGGTGCTGGGAGAAAATTTTGCTGTCAGAATTCTTTTGCGAGTGTCTTGCTCCGGACCGGGACCTGCCATTGATCTTGCTGGTGCAGAGACAACGTCAACAGCATCGTTCACCTACACTCTGGTTCACTGTGTTGAGGATCTGGTATCGGCCATCCTTCTAGCATCTGGAAATAGTTGAACCGAGAGACAGAGCAGGAGAAGGTGCATATAGCCACGTGTGTCTCGTGTCACGGCAGAAAAATAGATTTGGCTGCAAAATCTATGAGCACGACACAGTTGTACATATGTTCTGTAGCATAGAGAGCTCTAGTTAAAGATAGGGGCTGGCTGTAGGTGCGTTGGGTGAGATTGGCACCTATCGAACTTCACTATTTGCCCCTATCACTCGCAGCCAGTCACTTCGAAGTTCGCGCTGCTCTTGCACTCGAATAAATCTTAGCATCCTCCGACCTCTCTTTTTCTTTTATCATCCACAGTTCCCACCTTTCGTCTCTTCTCAACCACTCCGATCATCAAAATATTCATCGCGTCGACGGTTCTCGAGACGCGGCATCTCGAATTCATCAGTGAGTATTGGCCCGCTTTCTTTTTTATATTGTGTGCGCCGGCCGCTATCGCAAGCCACGACGAGGTCCGTGGCTCCATCGAAGCCAGAGACCTGACAGATCTACGCCGCTGCTGTGGGTCAGGCCAGAAGGGTGCATAGCTCCTCCTTGGAACCTCGTCAAGCCTACAAAACAACCAGCTTTGAAGGCGACGGTGGAGCTCCCGGGCCTGCCTTTTCGACTGCAGTGTGTTTTGCATCCACTGTCCATCCACCGGCTCCTCTTCTATACACGCCCTCCCGTCTTCTTACCCACTCTTCCCATCTGCTCCATCATCATTATTCAGTTGCTCACTACCACAATTCTTTCTCCTCCATCACCCCTCTCTTCCCTCCCGAACCCCATCGCGTCCTCGTGGCTGTATCCATCCCGGTGTTAATTAGTCCTTCGGCAACCATCCACTGTCCTTCGAGCTCATCGTCGTTATTCAATTATCACGTTCAGTTTTGCTGACTGTCCTTACCTGCGCCAATCAGCCAGGGACCTGAAGCCAAAAAATTCTTCACGACTACTGTCCTTACCTGAGCAACCCCAACATTCACCCAACACACGGACGCATTCTGTCGCCTGTCGCGTCTCTACTCGATCCCTCGATTCGTCAAATGCTCCAAGAGCTTTGACGCGCCTCGACCCGATCGATCCATTCAGGTAATGGACCCGCGACAATCCGTTTCTCGGACCACATCGTCCAATATTCCCCAGAGCAACTATCAGCCCAACAGCATGGCAACTTCATACTCGATGCCTGCCTATCAGAACAGCGCGCATCTTCCTCCCATCAACTATCAGGGCTTGCCCCCGGCCGGCCAGCAGGGCTACGTGCCGCAGCCGCCATATCGGAATGACATGCAACCACGGTATCCACCCGTGTCTGCGGCAGGAGGTGGCCCATCTCAAGACAGATACAGTCAACACATGACCCCTCCGGCTCCCTCGATGGGACTGCCGCCCTCATCAATGCTGCCGCAGCCACCGAATCAGCCAACACCGCCTCAGAGCTATCCCCCACAACAACAAACGCGTCAAAACTACCAGCAGCCCTTGGCACCGGCACCTCCGCGTTCATCCATGGATGCTTTGGGTAGCAGCTACGGTCAACACGATGGTCGTGGGCAAGCATGGTCCGGACCTGAAGGAATGCCTGGCATGACGTCCGATGTTGGACGCGATCCTACTCGCACCCACGTCGTCGGCTCGCAGGGTCGTCGTGGCATTTTGCCAAGCGCACCTGGTCGTCCTCCAGTCTCCGCCAATGGTCTGAACGGGTCGCCCAAAGGTGGACAGATACCCCAGAAAGATGCCGACGGCAAATTTCCTTGCCCGAACTGCACAAAGACATACCTACACGCTAAACACCTAAAGCGTCACATGCTGAGACGTAAGTTCGCGACCTTCATTCACTTTCAGTCCTGACCCTGTTGCAGATACTGGCGATCGCCCATACATGTGTGTTCTGTGCAACGACACCTTCTCAAGGTCCGATATCTTGAAGCGACACTTCCAAAAGTGTTCGGTCCGACGTGGCAATCCTACTGGTGCTTCCCATCTGTCCAACCCAGCCGCTCATCTCAAGGTCAGTCCTTGTTCCTACTGTGTCGTTGATGACGTGCTGACTTTTGAACAGAAATCTCAAGCAGCTGCCGTCAAAGCCGCTGCCAACGCTGCTGCCAACGCAGGTCACTCCTCTCCAACCGCACCACAGACACCCACCAGCGGAAGCCTGCCTGGTGGGCCCTACACAAGCACTTCCATGGCTCCGAGCAGTGTCCCTACAACTGCCGGAGGCGCGCCTGCAACTTCCATGTCGTACACCATGAGCACCCCTGCTCAGGCCGATATGCAGCGCCCGCAGTCTACGAGTCAGGGCCAGGACCACAACGGCAGCGGTCAGTGGGCCATGCACGGTGCTCGCGATCAACCAGCGATGTACCACCAGGGGTCCACGAACTCCGACCACTATGCCATGCAGAACCAAGGTGGTGAAGACAAGCACGACTGGGGTCAAATGTTCCAAGGCAGCGCTGATCAGCAGTACATGAACCCTGTCTTTTCTGGCTATGGTCAGGCGCAGAGGAACGGCACTCATGAGAACGGGGCTAATGGTTATTATCTGCCGCCTGCGTCTCTTGGAGCAAATCCTGATGGTACGTTTGATCCTCCTCTTCAAAATCGTCTTTGTCCCAGATACTAGCCTGCGCCTGAGAGCCGAACAAGTTATTGACTCGATACTCCCACAGGAACTGCCCCACGAGCGGCCAAATAATCCACACCTACCCCAAATGTTCGCCGACTGAGCTTTACGCGCTTTACGATTCGATACGTTGCCTCGCTTGATCAACACCTGCCAGGAATACACAGACCGAGCTTCAGTCCTTTGGCGACAATGGCCCTCTTGGTCTCATTGTTCGTCGTGGTGCCCTCCATCGCCACGATTTGCATCAATAAGAGATTCGCAGCATCTTTTCCCTGGATCAGGATGCTATTCATCGAACCGCACGTGTTCTTTGACCCATTCTTCATATGACACACAACAGCTATATGAAGTATTCCGGTGATGTTCAAGACCTTCATATCTTACAATTGCTGCATGGACTCGAGACCTGGGCAAGACCGCCTGGGAAACCGACACGACGCTCGCCTGGGGACGAAACGTCTGCTACAGTTGACGTGCTTATCTGTACTCGATGAGTCGGCAACTCCGGAATAGCCCAGGCTTTGAGTACTATCAGACAAAAGCTACCACTACATCAAGACGGATCGGGTCTGTGCGTGATGCCGATCTTGGTCTGTAGCGAAAGTACTCATGCAGCCACATCGCATGGACGACTGGCAGGCTGCACCAGGCGTAAAGCTGTTTTTGACAACGAAAGGATTGTCACTAGCCAAGCAGTGGAGGAGATGCGGTGGCACGATCGTCAAGGTCAGGGACCAGGCAGCGTTGCCCTGATCGGTAGTGATTATATGTCGTCGGAAGCGCTGGTGTGACGCACGTCCAAAAAGCGCAGCAAAAGCATTCTTTTACAGCACTCTCGGGTCGGCACTGGAGGTGGATATATTCAACAACATTGAAGGCGCTTCATGGTTTGCGTGGCTTAGACTGGGAGGTTGTGCTTGCATTTTCATGGTTCATGGTTCATGGTTCGGGAGGTGGAGTACAACTCTGACTGCGCTCAGATTCTCAATGCACAGAAAAGAAACGGTTCAAGTAACCAAACGCATATTCACGAAGCATTCTTTAACGGTCGCCGCACTTCAACCGGTCTGCAGATATCAGCCGAGATGGTCAACGAGGAGGTTATGGATCGATGGGCAACCACTGAGAGATATTCAAGCTGGTTGTCTTCCCGCATGGAAACACTTCAAAAAGGGACATTGTATTAAAGTGCCCGTATCAAACCATTGTTTTTAGAGAAATGCAATCGATTGCAAATGACTGACATTCTACAACTTGCCGTTCGAGTACTCGATGTGTGAGTCCTGAAGTGATACCGCGAAGATACTCATACCTGGACGTTTGAGTCTTTATGATTTCATTAGTACCCTGGTGAATATCAACTTGAGGATCGCCCACCGGGCCAATCGTACGGCTCTTGATCAGACTTGCAGCTTCCGAGTTCCTAATGCCACATACCATGGAACGGGTGATGAGAATGCTTAATGAACTCACGCACACCTGTCTGTACCTGTAGAGGCATTAAGGGCTAGCTGCCCGTTCACTGTGTTGATGGTCATTGCTGCAGCAGCCCAGTACGTACATTGTCCTCGAATGAGCCTCCGCTATACATCGTCGACGGAGAGATTGATGTTGAGCAAAGGGTACAGATCTGGAAAATGCTTCCTGGCAGGCGCAACTAACTTTCGCCAACCTAGTAGTCATCATGCAGCACACACTTAATTTGCACGAACGCCCAAGCGAAAATATCACCGAGGCAAATCGCGCCCGATTCTGCACCAACACGATCTGGGGACGGGAGAGGGGTGGCTCCATCGAGGGAGATCGCTTCAGCACGAAGCGAGAACTGTGGGGAAGCCTACCACCACTGACAGCGACTTCCCTCCCCTTCTTTGCAGGTCCCAAGACTCCTCCAGGCGCAAAATGACATAGCTTCCAGAGCCATGTCGCTGGGTCATATGGTCTGTGGGCTCAACGTGGCGTCGCCCAAATCCACTTCCCCAGTTCTGTTGTGCTTAACTAACAAGGTAGCGCCGAATCGAAGATTCAACGTCGAGTCCAGCCCAACTGTATACATCGGCTGTACATGCACATCGGACGCCACTCCTCATCTACCCTGCGTTTTCCTTTCTGCTTTCCTCCTCTTTGCTCACTTACCCCGGATTTGCATCTGCTGCGGTCGAATATGCTTGCGCAATCATCGCTGAGCCGCATGGTGTCGAAAGTTGCAAAGCAGCGAGCATCCACACTCATTTCCAGGCTGGCGTGCCCACCGTAACTCCCAGTCGGGTCGACGCGCTGAAGCGAAACGGACATGGGAAGCAGCAAGAACGACCATGACCATATCGACCCTTTGGACACAAGGCCCAATGATGCCTCTTCCGGCACACAGCGTAGATCCTCTTCCACTGCCGAGAAACCACATCCTTCCGAGTTTCTCGAGTTCGCTACTGTCCCAGGAAGCGGCGTACGCCTCCAGCCGCTTAACGTCGGCTCACCGACAGCCAACCGAGCGACTTCACCATCAGCCACCGTGACGAACCCGACACACTCGAACGATGCGCTCTTCGAAGGCCTCTCGCAAGCGATACCCAATCTGCGAAGACTAAGCGTCGAAGCTCGTGCGGCGGCCAAGGCGGAACATCGCATGGGCTTCTTTGCCGGTTGCAGGACGTATCCAAAAGCGATCTTGTGGAGCGCAATGCTGTCTCTCACAATCGTGATGGAGGGGTACGATCTCACGCTGATCAACAGCTTCTTCGCTTTCCCAACGTTTCGCCGCAACTACGGCACCCTCCACATACCCGTGGATCCGACCCAGCAGCCAACCCACCAGATCTCGCCTCCATGGCAGAGCGGATTGACGAATGCTGCTGTTACTGGTGAGATTTTGGGACTAATGCTCAACGGCTACCTGACGGATCGTTTTGGCTACCACAAGACAATGGTCTTCACCTTGGTCTGGATGAGTCTGTTCGTGTTTCTGGCGTTCTTCGCTGTGAACATCGAGATGCTGCTTGCGGCGCAGGTGCTTTGTGGGCTACCTTGGGGCATTTTCCAGACGCTAAGTACGACATACGCAGCCGAGGTGATGCCGGTCGTGCTGCGATCGTATCTCACATCGAACGTGAACTTGTGTTGGCTTGTCGGCCAGCTGCTGGGAAGCGGGATAGTGCGGGCGATGATCCACAACACGAGTGAATGGTCTTACAGAATTCCATTTGGTCTTCAATGGGCTTTTGCCATTCCAATACTGGTGGGAGTGTGCTTTGCGCCGGAGAGCCCTTGGTGGTTGGTCAGGCATGACAAACCAGAGGAGGCGAAGCGTGCGTTGAAGCGATTGACGAGTGATGGCGGCGAGGAAAGCGAATTCAACGCGGATGAGACGATCAGTATGATGATACATACGAACGAAGTCGAAAAATATCTGAGCGGTGGTCAGGAGGGCTACATGGCGTGCTTCAGACAAGGATCGGATAGGAGGAGGACGGAGATCGCCTGTATGGTTTGGGTGACGCAAGCAATGTGTGGTAGTACTCTCACCGGATACGCCGCATACTTCTATGAAGCCGCAGGGTTTGATGTGGCCAATTCGTTCAACTTGACGGTGGGAATGTACGGGATCGCGATATGTGGACACATCATGTCGTGGTTCTGGATGCGGAGAATCGGACGGCGGACGCTGTATCTGACGGGACTGATTTTAAGTTTCCTTATTCTGCTGGCAGGCGGCGCCGTTGGGACGGTGAGGCAGACAGAGGCGACATCCTGGGCGTTGGGATCGTTGATCATCGTGCTGACTGGGGTCTACGACAGCACAATCGGTCCGGTCTGCTATGTTCTTGTGGCTGAGATCCCATCGTCAAGGCTCCGTGTCAAGACTGTGGTCCTTGCTCGTGTGGCCTACAATATTGTCAGCATCTTGACGAATATCGTAACGCCTCGCATGTTAAACCCATCTGCTTGGGATTGGGCTGGGAAGTCCTGCTACTTCTATGCAGGGACCACGGTGATTTGTCTGGTCTGGTGTTGGTGGAGGCTTCCTGAGCCATTCGGCCTTACCTACCTGGAACTCGATATTCTCTTCGAAAAGAAAGCCAAGGCGAGAAAGTTCAAGGAGTTCCAGGTGAATCTGGCAAATTCGGGCTATTTCAGTCTCACAAATCAAGGGAGAGACGCCAGTGTGGCGAGTGCAGGAGGTATGAGGGCCGGCAGCGCTGCTGCTTGGGTTCCGGGGCGGTAGCATGGCACTACATGATGTCCTGATTGAGCGATAGGCGTTCGCGGAAATGTCATCTTCATCGTCTTGACCAAATGCCTGAGCCTGAATCGTGTCAACTGTCCTTTATCTCGACCTTTCCCGTAGTCAAGTTGCTTAAAGCTCTTTTATATGGCAATAGCACGAAAGGCATGTCCCGTGTGCGACCCTGCAAACTTGGACACACCCTGAACATCGATCAGACCGAGTGGGGCCGGGGATATTGTCCGGGGATAATATCCGGCCGCCTACAGTGCCAAGAGATGCTGGTGAGGCTCTGCGACTGAGGGCGACATTTTCAACTGTTGGGAGTCCCACACGTATGCTTCTATTGCACATCGTGCACTCGCGTCCTACAACGACAGAAGCGCACTTCCCCCGGCTATCAAGCGCAGCCTGTTGGTCTGGCAGTGACTGAGGCGTAGATCGGAAGCCGCAAAAGCCTGACATAGAATTCGGAGCGAGCAGCAGCAAACATGAATGTCTTTGAGGGCGTAGATGGATCCGGTCAAGCTAGCGTTGTGCCTACAGCGGGTGCAGCTGGGGTCAAGAAGCGTTTCCCGCGAACAGGTACGTCAATAGCGTCTCAAGACCCCAATACTCGTTCGCTAGCCATGTTGCCTGAGTGTCCTACGCGAACCTTGTGATACTAGATCACTGATTGACGTCGTGGTGGTATTCCAGGAGTCGCATATGTAGCCGGCATGGAGCACGAGTACATGAACAGCCACAAGTTGTCAATCTGCGCGAATTGCTTAGCCCTAGGATTCGACAAGCCATTGAAGAGGTGTGCTGGGTGCGGCATGGTGGACTACTGTGGCAAGGAGTAAGTCTTCCACGCTGAAGGACAGTACTGCCTCTAATGATTGTGATTGTACAGCTGTCAGAAAGCCCATTGGAAGAAACATAAACCTTTCTGTAATCTTACACAGGGCAAGGGATCAAAATCCGCATACCTAGATGCGCAGGATCCGGAGTTGGCTCAGCGGATTCTCATCGACGCGTACCGGTTACGCACTGCCGTTGACCACGATGATGGAGACTGTGACCACGGAATCTGGTACGTTGATGGAGGCGAACGGTTCCCCAAAGGCGCTGTCTGGGCGGAGGGCGATGTCTATGCGGACTTTCAGCAGTGGCTAGACCTGGCAGAGCAAAGTGGAGTTCTGTCTGACTGGTGGCGGTTCGAGGAGAGAATGGAGACGATGGCTTTGGCGGTAGACAAGGACGCGGAAGAGAGTGTCTGGAAGCCGATTGACCAAAGTGACCTGTTCAAGCGTTATGAGGCTGACATGTCCGTGAGGACCGCGATGCTGGTCCTGGCTGAGTTGGTCGTTGGATACGAGGGAAAGGGTCCGGCAATGAGTGATAAGTGGTACATCGAGTTTTCTGAGAACTTGGACCTTCACCCGGAGGAGAGAGCCAGGTTGATCTCAAAGAGCGTACAGGAGGTCAAAAAAGCATTCGAGGAGCAAGGTCTGGGTGATGATAGCGGTGGAAAGTAGGAGCTATGGCTTTCAAGGAAGACTCCCTGACATAGCGCTACTGGTGAGTGCTCTCAAGTTCTCAAACAGACCAAATTAGGGAGGCAACGCCGGTTTAACTGTTGAGACATACTCTTGCAATGAATCACAATGCACTACGTCATCTCAGTGCTTTGCTGGAAGGAAGTTGTGGTTGCGAGGCAACCAGTCTGCTGGGCAGGTGCAAACGCGCACCTACCTAAAGCTATCCGGCCCTGAACTCCGGCACTCTTTGTCCACCCTTCCATCCACGTCTGATCACCACAACACCACGCTTTCAGGGCCTTCAGGCAACATTCACAGCAATCTGCAATGGCAGAACACTCAGAAACCCTCAAGCGATATCTTGAGGAGGATGCAGACGACCTACGAATCATTGAGGAAGCTCGAAAACGTATGAAAGTTCGTCAGGAGCAGCGCACGATCGACTCCCAAACTTCAGCCTCGGTCTACACAGATGGAAACGTTAATCGTCAGCATCACGAGCCGCCTGTAAAGGTTGAAAGTCATGGTAGCTTCGAACTTGGCCGCAATCTTGATGATGTCCCGACAGGCGATCAAGATTCGACAAGCGAGTACGACGCGTCCCTCCCGTCCAGTCCCGCTGGCGCAATTGTTGACATCAACATCTACAATCGAGGTAATATTCACTGCTGCCCACGCACGAATTTCTACTGATAGCTACAGATGGTTCCATCAACTTCTGGAACATTGTCAAGCTGTTCAGCCAGAGCTATGAGCACAGTGAGCCTGACGTGCTATCGTGCGGAACTTGCTGTGCCTTGCCCGACGACCCTGTCCTGACGGACTGCCTCCATCTGTACTGCACCGAATGCTTTACTGAACTCCTGATACGTTACAACCACGGAGGAGTCTCACCGGCCCCGGAGTTATCATGCGAGGCTGAAGAAGGTGACCAAATCAAGAATTATATCAAGCTGTCTGGCAAGATGTTCGAGATCCTGGCCAGCTCCGTGAACTTGGTCATTGAAGGCAGACTCGCCGTTCCATTCGAAAACCCGCAGCCTGCGGACATGCATACATGTGGCAACGGCGATTGTAGCAACGCCAGTATGGGACCGGCCATGGAAATTCCTGCATCCGAACTGGACGACATCTCTGCACTCTGGGACGTCATAGTGCAAGCCAAGCGCGGCTCTGATGCCCACCAAGACAACAACGAGGCCCGTGACGAAGTTTCGTGCTATCATGGACTGACACACCTTGAAAAGCGATTTCCGCCGCGGCGCGACGAAGCTCACACAATCGGACTTGCGCAACGCGCCCTCTGCTTCTGCTGCTCTGAAGAAGACAGCGATGGCTTTGACGACGAAGACGATCGATCCTCCTGATACGAGACGTCTAGCTATGGTGAAGCGCTCTCATCGGGAGGTGAAGCCAAAGAACCCTTCATCAACGACGGACCCATCAAACGACCGTTCTACGCCTCGGAGTCGGAAGACCTCAACAGTGACAGTGACAGCTCGGACGAGTTTGGCGATAATGTGTCGGAGATAAGTCGTACAGAGGTGAGGAAGCTACGCAAAGAAATGTATGAATGGTGTGACGAACTGATCCCTCGTCCAGCTCCGAGGGCTGTGGAACAACGGCTCTCGGCCGCTCGTCAAGGATGGCCCTGCGCCAACATCACCATCGTGGACTACATCGAGGAGTTCCTTCTCTGATCAGGATATCATGCTGGGTACGAATGGAGCATCGGAAAATGGAGGTCAAGCTGTGTCTGTACAGGATAATGAGGATACACAACAGTTGCGACTGGGAGAATTTGGGACCGTGGATCGGCCAATCAATCTGGTAGACGGTACGCATTCGGACGTGTAAGATGGCATCAGAGATGGAAGGACATTTGTCTTGTCTACGAGCAGTATCTTATCAGCAAGGCCTCTTCTCTCGTACCGCAGCAATCGAGGCCGTGGTGGCCAAAGCATGTGGTAGCAAGATACAGACTAGCTGGACGATTTCAAGTCGCCGGCCTGCTTCCGACGCCTAGCATTTCCAATATGCTTGGGCGTTAAGACAAAGACTTCGCAACTACAAGATTCTCCTGGTGCATGCATAGAGCCAATGTCTCGCCTTACGAGAAGGGTATGCTCGTGCCGAAGCCCCTGTCGGTGTTTGATCCTTCGGTGTTGATTTGATCAGACTCGATGCTGTCCATCACTTCGTCCTCATCATTCTCAAGCGGCAGGTCTCCATGTTCGGTCAAGCCACTCAGACCACGTTGCTATCTATGTCTACCTGTGTCAGAGTCTGACCGTCGGCTTTCGAAGACATGTCCATCTGGGTCATCATCAGTCGTGGAGATATGTTGAGCAAGCTTCTTGCTCCGCAATTTCGAGTCTTTCTTCGAATCTCTTCTGTGTTTCTTCCGCATGATGCGCCCAGCATTCGGCCGTCTTGCAGTCTGTGTCTCGTCGTCGGTCGATTGCCAGTCCATCTCATCGCTAGCGCGCTCGCTGAATACGGAGGCCTTCTCGGTGTCGACCTCGGTGCCACTCGCTTCGGATGTGCTTGTCCTCTCATCGAGCGAGTCATCGTTCTGATAGGCGCCCCGGGAACCCGGAGTCGGAGAGGTCTCCGTCGCAATGTCGTCCTGGGCGACTGCGGCCATGTCTGTGTACTCCACCTTCATCTCGTCTCGGACATTCCACGGCAGAGATGTGATGTGCGCTGCTTGGCCGACTGGACTCTCGCCTCTAAGATAGCCCTGATACCACTTGTCCATCGGGCCCATACTGCTTCTGCGTCCTCTGCCTGGAGTACTCCCGTCACCGACATTCGAAAAGTCTGCCCGCTGAAGGCTCATCTCCCATTCTCTCTGATGCCTCTTCCTTGCGCGTTCAGCCTCATCTCTCCTCGCCTCTTCGACCAGATTCCAGTAATTCTCGATCTGAGATTCAGCGGCTCGACCTTGCATCACGGCTTCCTGGAGACCCCGGAACGGCGTGGAGTCGCGTGCCCATTCGGCGAGTAGGTGTGCGACTGGCCGTGGCGGAGGTGTAGGTGGACGTGGAGGGACATCGGTTGACTGAGTGGACAATGAATCTGAGCGCCGCTGGTTGGCATTGATTGCGATGAATGAGGACGTTAGCGAAGGCGATGTAGGCTCGTGAGCTGGTGCAAGCTCGACTGGATTGAGTCGCGGTGTGGCAGGCAGGGGACGCGCGACCGCAGGAGGATTTTCGTGGTCTTGGTAAGACATTGGTGCCGAAGAGTCTTCAATGGCTGAGAATCTATCGTTGTGAAGCTGTTTCGTCGAAAAATGTCACAGGGTTGCGGCGTGACATAAATGTGTGGTGTATTTGAGTCTCAACCTCATCGATTCGCGCCTGGAACCTCATCATAGAACTCCGCGGTAATCGACAACTTAGAAGAGAGCCTGTACCTGGGGTGAAAAGATTGCCTGGTACGCGAAAGTGACAACTCCAAAGTGAAGACGTGATAGCTGAAGTCCTGGAAAATGCAGTTGCACTACCTTGCTCAGATAGCCTGGCCGGGCAGCCTCCACATACAACAGTAAGACGGAAGTACTGAGATGTGAAAGTCACACAGTATACCACCTGGTGCACCTTTTTCAAAGCAGTGATACATGATCACGTCTAGACTGTCTGAGCTTTACTGTGGAATACCATGATGCGTGCTTCCAGGCCTTCTATCTGAGGTTAAGATCCTTGCTGTAAGTACCGTTGACTACTGGTGGCAGACCCGCCGACTCCAGGGAAAGGCTCGTCCCTTTGAGACTTCGCCGGACCACGCATGTTTGGCCAGTATTTGAGCAGTCCCTTGACACCCTGATCCAGCTCTTGGTCCAGTTATGCAGGACCTCAGAAGCACATGTGCCTTGATAGTGGGCAAAGCACCTAGTTGATTTCAGCCTTACTTGTTGGAATACGATACCCGGTATTTTGCAGCATCTGTGCATAGTTTCGTATAACAGCTCCTTGCTATCCTAGCGTCAAGCCTTGCAACTGAGCCCAATAGATATGGTTGCTTTGCAGGCTTTCGCTACAACGCAAGCCTTGAACGCTACATCTTTCCACATTCTCGATTAAGAGGTCCCATCAACCATGGCAAAGGCATCTCTTCCTGCGCCTGCGACCAAGTCAAGACATCTAGTAGCGAGTCTCGGATGCTGTTTCGATCGACGATCGCTGTGTGTCGGAGACTAGAGGTAGCAATAACAAGATTGGTGGATGAACTTGAACCTGGGGCCTCAGGAATATGTTCTCCAACAAGGCGGCGAGGCAAACGGGCTTGGCAGGATCTGAGCGGAGCGCGTCATCGAGGGTCCTTTGGATCGAACGAGCATCATTGCCATGCACAACACTACGACTGCTGCTTCGTGGCAGACGTGAAAATCTCACTCGGTAATCAGCATCAACCGCGCGAGGCTTACGCGCTCAAGTGCTTACACAAAGACTCGATGATGATCTTACCAGGACATTACCGATACTGCCAGTGCAACGGCCTACGTTCACCTCAGCTTGATGACATCTGAAACGTCTGATGGCTCTTGGATATCCTCAGGGACAGTCCGAGCGTGTAGGTGTTATTTGGACGCTTCTACGAGGCGCCCTCGCAAGGCTGGCAAAGTCATCGAACAAGCGGCGTCCATCGGGCTGAAGTAACGTAGAACGATGGTAAGTTGAGGAGCTGCCATCAAGTGAGGCCGCACTATCTCACGCGCCCAGAAAAGGTGACAGTTCGAAGAGCGTCTTCACTTGAACAACGATAACATTGAATCTTCAGTCGCACGGATTTGACCTGATCTCATCTAGGACTTCGCATCTCCAACGTTTATTTTTCTTTCTTTCTTTCTTCACAACTTCGTTCACAGATCTACTGGTAGACATACGCTCATGATGGCTCTCAGCACTGACGGAGATCTTGAGGCTCGGTTCAACTCGGTGGAAGAGCTTTTTGAAGGGCTAAAACGCACCAAGCAGGTGATTGCGGAGCAGGATGAGATCATCAAGCAGTCAAAGCAGAACATCGAAATATCCGAAGGTATCAAGCGTCAAGCTAATCGACAGTACAACGAGATCGAACGAGCAATTGGCGCTCTACTCACACCCAAAAGCACTCGCGTGATGAAAGTCGAAGATGAATCACCAACTCGTAAGTCTTGTCAGCGTCCACAGGTTCGATGACTAACTGATCGTCCAAGGCGTCACAATTCCAACTCCCAAGATCTCGTCGCAAGGACTCCAAGGCTCCAACAATGGTCGACAATCTACCCCCGAGGATACCACCGCAATCGCATTCCCCAAGCTTGCAGATCCGCAGTGGCTCGACAAGGCCAAGACAGATGCCCGCGTACACCCTAGTATCGGTTTCTCCGTTGGGCCAGAAAAGTACAAACGGCAAGAGTACATCATCTATGCAAAGACCGAAGGTCGCGAAAAGCATTCTATCAAGAGCTTGGAAAATGGCGTGGAGTACATTATCGGCTCTACACCGAGAGTTGCTCAAGCAGGTGGCTGGATGCGTCGCGCTGGTAGCACGCTAATCGCAGTAAATGGTTCGTCTTTGTGGGGAACGCCTAAGACTGATATCGGCGAAACGAGGCAGGAGTTTTCTCGACTGGACGGATCATCGAAGCTGATGGTATGGTACGAGCGTCACACGGTTGACGTGGCCTGGTGGTGTGACAATTTCACGACCTGAAGGTAGTCTGAGAAGGCGACCAAAGATTGGTTTCGCTTCAGAGTATCGTTGGGGACGTTACCACAGAATTCTTGACCGCTGTTGCGCATGCAGGAGGTGCAACTGATTTCTAGGCACTGACCGGCGTATGGTATCCTTCCCGCGAACGCAGGAGCAAGCAGCAGGAATAGAGCATGACCCGTCAGAAGCACGAATATCACGTGGATGTCGGCCAGATGCCGACTTGGTCCTCTGACTCTACGCAGGCGTTTGTCGTGCCCGACGCGGTTCTTGAGAGACGCAAGCTGAGTCCTAGGTTTCCGAGCGATGTAGTCATGTGGCGATAAGCCTATTCAGCTCCGACTGAAGAATGCAATGCATTTAGGGCCGAACGCGCTCAACAGGTTGTTCTGGTGACGCGCGATTTCCATGACAAGTTGCACCTGCTCACAAAATCCATCCGACTGGACTCAAGAGCTGGGTCACGCCTTCTCTGTGCGATGACTGCAGGCGCGACGCAGTGTCGCGGGCAAGTGCTTCGAAATCCTCCGTTTGCAGCCACTTTGATTTGCAGCACATCATTCCGAAACTCCATCTCATACCACATTCAGCATGCCGATGATCAACATGTCCAACAAGTACTTTAACGCCATGGCGAGCAAGCCGGTAAGAAGTCTCGCAAAGGCCGCCCCAGTGCAGACTGTTTTCTAGGTACTGATTCGGTACCGCACGCAGGAAAGCGTCGATAGAATCACGATAGATGTATCGGTCTTCGAGGAACTCGTCAGTGTCACAACCGTTTGAGCTTTCAGCAGCTAACTAGATGCAGTCGAACGCCACGAACGAGTATACTGCTTTGAAGAGAGCCCTCGTACGAGCTGGCGTGACCGAAGAACATCTCGAGACCTTGATTAGATCCGAGACTGGTGACAGCAATCGACCTAGTTCCGACTACGCACTTCCCAGCATTCGATCAACATCTACATCGCTGTCTTCGTCACCATGCAAGTCCGCCTGGGCTGTGGATGCTCCCATCTTCGTTCCGAGAGAGCCGTGCTCGAGAACTTCATTCAAGCCTGATTTTAGCGCAATCAAGGCCGTTCACTCGATTCCACCTACACCGCCGTCAGAGTGGTGTGACGAGGAGGAATCTGAGCCGGAGAGATATAATGGTGACAACCAAGACCGCTCCATCGTCCTCCGAGGCTTCTCCCCGTTCACGACACTTGCGGACCTCGCCAAAGTCCTCCGTGGTGGCATGATTCTGAACATGTACATTCGCGAGCGAGAGCGTGCAGCCCACGTTTCGTTCGTGGAGCCACTGGCTGCCGAGAAGTTCGTAATGCATTACAAGCGCAACGATATCTACCTCAAGGGCAAGCGAATCGACGTGTCTTGGGACGATAGGCAGTACTATCTGCCTGGGTATATCCGACGACAAGTATCGGTAAGAAGCCCCATGAAGGCCGCCCTGTCCAGAACTTTGTACAGGTACTAATGCGGCGCTGCACGTAGAATGGTGCAACCCGCAACATTGTCATCAGGTTTGCACCACAAGGGATGACCGCTGAGACTGTTCGACGGGATCTGGAGCACATACACCAGCTGGAGGTAGTCGACGTCGTCACTACGGAGAACCATATCTTTGTTTCGACCAACAGCATCAAACATGCCATCACCGCCAAACACTGCATGGCGTCAAGACTCAAGTACAAGGGCACCAAGCTCGAGTTCTTTGAGGACGAATGCGACCAGATCCTGCCGACGACTGTCAAGAGAACCTCAAAGCAGGGCTTTGAGCCGTCCAAGAGACCAGCCACGGTCTCCATGGCCAATCGGTTCGCCCTGCTGTTCGAAGGGGACAATGAGATGGAAGACAAGGAAAAGCCGATGAAGCGTGTCGGTTCGATGGATCTGATGAGAGATCCCGCTTAGTTGGCTATCTTCAACAAGCCCACGAATTGACCAGGCCGACAATTTGCCTCAAAGGCGCTGCTTACGACCGTTCGTGGAGAGGCGTTGCGGGAGGGCTTCAGCGACATTCGTTGAGCCTGCACTGAACATGAGATGGGTGGCGATCAGAAGAAGTGTTGATGCCACCGCAGATGTTGTAATACCCATTCATCATTATGTCATGGCAGTCGGAACGCTGCAAGCATACGCAGCACAGGTGTATAGGCGTCATTCGCTTGTAGAAAGATACTGAAGCCAATCGCACAACTCTTCACTCTTCGAGTTATCGCCCATATGACTCACTGGATATCAAAACTCGTGCCACACCCGCAACTACTGCTCGCTCTTGGATTCCCCACAATCTTGAATTGGCTCCCAATCAGCTCCGTCACGAAGTCCACTGTGCTCCCCTTCAACAATTCCAGACTGGGCTCGTCCAGCACTACTTCTGCTCTCCCTTTGCCGCCCTCCCCCTCCTCCGCTGTCGCCGCAACGAAGACAGTGTCTTCCTCGGCGTCAATCTTGGACTCGGGTTCTAGCGACATGAGGTACTGAAAGCCGTGACAGCCGCCGCTGGTGACGGTGACTCGGAGGTGAGAGTCTGGTGTTATGGGTGAAGTGGCTAGTGTATTTCGTTTCTGTGGAGTGGAAGTGATCGCTTTGAGGCGGGCGGCTGCCGCGGTGGATATGTTTATAGTCATGAGCTGGCCATCCTCGTCGTTGCGGGGGTTGCGGGCTATTGTCGTGGTCGTCGCACGACCTGCAAGGCTGGAAGAGAAGGGTCGGTGTGATTGCTGTCTGCTCTCGGGTGAGTGAGTGCTTACTCTTCTGGTGCTCGGTCGGGGCGTGGGGTGGCGTGAGAGGTCTAAGGTCGAGACGCTGCGCCGGGAGTTGAAGAAGAAAGCGGCGGCTTCGTGTGCGGTCGGTGTTGCTCGTACGGCCTTGACCACATGGCGAGCGACGTAGAGTGACATGATTGCAACAGGGTCGGGATGCGTAGGGTCGAGAGGGAAGAGCAACGAAGTGCTTTACAACTAATCGGATTGGAGAACGCCGGATAACGGTGAAGATCGACAGAATCCGAGGACTCGAGCCGAGACCGGATGACTGGACTCCAACATGGCTGAATCATTCAATTCATCATCATTGCAATGACCTCAGGCTATAGCCTGAGATAGAGCGCTTCTCGCCTCATGAACATGCATCTGGATTTGTCCCCAACTTGCGAGGGTCGCATCACGAGTTCATTCGAATGGACGATCTTTATTAATCGATCAGAACGGTACCTTGGAAACATTCTCTCTGTCCGTCTTGTGGGATAGACTTGTCTGGGTGTTGAATCTTGACCAGCTACACTGATGTTATAAAACAGCATCAGGGGTACTTGTCCATGGAAAAGGGAGGCTCCTTTACACATCAGAATTGTGCCACACTCCACCCCATACGTGTTATAGCTACAGCCTCGACTCAACTCGACACACAGCACAATGGGCGTCCCCATCATATTCCCGGAGGACTACCACAAGTTCGCCCAGGAAGCCGACAAGGACGAACAGTCTCCCTCCTTTCGCTCGCGCTTTCACATCCCTACACTGGCCGACATTCACCGTCCAACCCTTAATCCCGCAACCAACGAAGCACCCTCCTCTGAGCCCTGCACCTATCTCTGTGGCAACTCCCTCGGCCTCCAGCCCCAACACACATCTGATCTAGTCTCAACCTTCCTCGCGCAATGGCGTACGAAAGGCGTCAAAGGCCACTTCGTCGAGCACTCTGACTCAGAATTAGCGCCATTCTTACACGTCGATGATCGAGCGGCAGAGCTGATGGCACCGATCGTGGGCGCGAAGACGTCTGAGGTGGCTGTCATGGGGACGCTGACTGGGAACTTGCATTTGTTGATGGCGAGCTTCTACCGGCCAAAGAAAGAGCCAGGTGGGAGGTGGAAGATCATGTTGGAAGGCAAGGCATTTCCCAGCGATCATTTTGCGGTGGAGAGTCAGCTGCAGCATTGGGGCCTGAAGCCGGAGAAGGCGATGGTTCTGCTAGAGCCGAGAGATATAGAGAGGCCAGTGCTGCGGACGGAGGACATCCTGCGGAAGATTGACGAGCACGCAGAGGAGCTAGCGTTGGTGCTGCTGCCGGGGATTCAGTTCTATACGGGACAGCTGTTCGATGTGAAGACCATCACTGCTCATGCACAATCGAAGGGCATCTTGGTGGGCTGGGATATGGCTCACGCAGCCGGCAACGTGGACCTGCAGCTGCATGAGTGGAATGTCGACTTTGCTGCATGGTGCACGTACAAGTATTTGAACTGTGGCCCTGGGGCGATGGGCGCGATCTTTGTCCACGAGCGGTATGGGCGGCCGTCTGAAGGAGGCGAGCACGAGAACTGGCCCAGGTTGACAGGCTGGTGGGGAGATGACAAGAGTGGAAGATTTGAGATGACTAACAGTGAGTGCTGCAGAGGCCACCTGAATGATTCTGACCGTGGGAGATTTCAAAGCCCGCCCAGGCGCCGCAGGCTTCCAAGTGAGCAATCCTAGCGCTTTGGACCTAGCTGCGGTGGTCTCCTCACTCCAGATCTTCAACGAGACCAGTATGAACGCATTGAGGCAACGCTCCGTCGAGCTGACAGGATTCCTCGAGACGCTTTTGGGTGTGCTGCAGCATGAGACGCCGGACCAGTTCACTATAATTACGCCAGAAGACCCAAGACAACGTGGTGCGCAGCTAAGTGTGAAGCTGAAGAACTCCGTTATGCTTGAACCCGTGCTCGAGGTCCTCGATGACAAGGGTGTCATCATAGATGAACGCAAGCCAGATGTAATCCGAGTCGCTCCTGCGCCGCTGTACAACACTTTCGAAGATGGTGAGTGCTGCTGATATTCATTGCTCACTTTCTAATTCCGTTGCAAACCACGATTGCTGTGCTTCTGCTGACTGGATCATCAGTGTGGAATTTCTACCAAATCTTCAAGGAAGCCTGTTCGCATGCTCGTATCAAACTCGGCATTCATACGCCTCCACGATCCGAATCCTCCACAGCCCCATCAGATTCATCCAGGGTCAATCCATGAAGCGGCGGCAACGATGACAGACAGCCAGTTGTGAACGCCAAACCCGTTCAGGACTCGGTATGCGTACGCATGATCGTCCTCTACCACTTCATGGAGTCCAACATTGAAGATGAATCCAACGATCAATCCTTTTGTAGCAGTCAGCCGACTTGCGACTACCAGCACCGACCAGTAGGGCCTTCCTAGCCTCAACCGGGACGTAGGCTTAATCACTGTCACTGTCACTGGTATCAGCATCCCGCCAGAGCACGAAATCGAAGCGTCCATCCAGGCTCGTCCGGATGAGTTCTCTGATCAAGTCTTGCTCCGTCTCTGATAAGTTGCCCTGATTTGGATCTGCAGCCATTAGGGATAGCTGGAAACCACGCTGTGTCACAGGGTCGAGCTGGCTGATGAAGTCGATAATCTCATCACTCCTGAACTGAGTCATGGCGTAGAGATCCAGCTTCTTCAGGTTTCGGAGGTTGCGCAAGCCCATTAACACATCAGCAGAAACAACATCACCTGATGTCCAGAGTTCTTCCAGCTCTGGCAGACTTAGCGCCAGCTTCATGATGTGTTCCTCCTGAAACTCGTCTGACACCTCCTTCAGCACCAACTCCTTCAAATGAGGGATGTTCGAGAGTCCATCGACCATGATCGTTAGATCATCGGGAACCACGTCCTCCCCAATGCCGCGAAGCCACACTGCTTCCAGTGTCTTTTGCTCTGACAACGCAGTGTGGAACAATCTTGAGCTCGTGTCTCGCACCAGGTAACCTTCGAGAGAAAGTTTGGTCAACTTGACTGTCGGTGAAACGAGTACTTGACTGAGTATGGCTGGTCCGTCGCGGAAGCGTTTGAGGGTAAGGTCTCGTAGTTTAGAGCACGACCTCAGCCATTCAACAACCTCCGTGAAGATGTCATTATTGGCAGCCTCAAGCTGGACCGCTTCATTGTCCTCCAAAACCAAGATCTGTAGCTCCGTGCAGTCTTTGAGGCAATTCAGATTCTCCACTGCCTGTCTTGACAAGTTGTTAAGCGTCAAATCCCGGAGAGACTTGTGCCGTCCAAGAGCTGTGAACGAGTTCCCTGCAATGTCATTGTAGCTGATGATTTCGAAGTGCTCCAATGTGTCGGGCTCGAGGTCATTCAGAAACGCGGCACAGGTCTTGTCTGCTGCGAGAGGATCGTCTGGCAGGATGTTACGCCACTCACGTATAGTCAGACTGCTGAAATGATCACACGTCTTGGCCACGGATTGACCAGCGCGCTGGACCAGAGAATTGCCATTCCATAGAACTAAGCGCTCCAGCTTTGGCGTTCTGTCAATCCAGCGTGGTAGATTGTTTGGGGAAATGTCACCTGCTATTTCCTCAATTTGCGTGGCTGCTTGGGTCAGAGATTCGCCGACCGCATTGATTGTTGCGCTGCCATCGACGTAATGCATTCCCTTCCACGCGCGACTCGACATGATTTTGAAAGGCCTCATGGGACCTCCAAAGAAGGAGGACTGGAGTTTTCCCCGAGCCATTCTAGGGTCTTCAACCATATTTAGCAAGTTCCGGAAGTCCAGCATGCGAAGATAGCGGCAGTATGGCTTGTATGTCTTCGAGTCCGGCAAGCTGGAAATGATCACAGATCGCCACAGTGTCGTCCATCGCTGGAAAGCCTGCTCCGCGTTGGCATATTTGGTGGCAAAGTCGGCCTTTGCTAGCCCTGGATCGGCCTCATCGCTCTGTAAGAAGGCTGGCGATTGCTCGTGGTACTGGTACATTGTTCTCAGCGCAGGATCTGCGAATGACCTGGACGCTTGGGCACATCGATAAAGGGTCACAAAATCACGGTCTCGGCCAAGTTCATCACAGATGATTCCCAGTACTTCATCTGGTAGTACGAGGTCTTCCTCGACTCCAGAGGCGGCCATCGCGCCTGATTTGTCGAGCGTTGATTTTCGTTGAAAGGCGAATTATGACTTCTGGTGTGTAGCCCCGATTAAGAAGAGTTCGAAGATACGAATATGGTGATGAAACACAACAGTGATATGTCGTCGACCATCGAGGATACCAGAGATGGTGGATCCGGAATGTGAGCATTCCAACGAATCAGACGCGTCAACGCGGTCTCACACTTGTCAACCGAAGCTACCTACTGTGCCTTCCGGACTTCAACACCTATCTGGAGAGTCGCCCGCAACATTCATGGCAGTCATCAAAGCACAACTGTGCTGGTCTGACGGCTTTCGGATCATCGGCAGCAGCGATGCCAACACTGCTGTTCACGCTCTCGCCTGCTGCCGTTGGGCAACTTCATGACCTGTTGTCATGCCTTGCAAAATTCGATGAAGCAGTATCATGGGAAGCTACGGCCGACAATTTTCGTATGTCAAGTCTGAATCTCACCAAGACGGCCCATGCATCTTTCGACTTGACAAACACATTCTTCACCAAGTATCACTTCTCGAACGAAGGACGTGGCCCGCAAGGACAGCCGAGGCCATGGACATGTCGAATTCAAAATAGAGCATTGCTTGCCATTTTTCGCCGCCGACTAGCTGATCCAAGAGACAAGGACGTAGCGCTAGAGCGTCTAGATTTCGAGCTGCAGGCTCGTCCCGACCAGACGGAGTGTCGGCTCATATTCAAGCTCATCTGCAGACAAGGTGTGGAGAAGAAGTATCGCCTGTACTACGAGACTGGAGAAATCCTTCACGCCAGCTTTGATCAAGAAGCTTCAGCCAATGCGTGGACTGTAGCATCGAGGACGTTGCGTGATGTCGTGGAGTACTTTGGACCAAAGACGGAGCATCTCGACTGGTGCTACAAGGATGCGAAAGTCACCTTCACAAGCTACACCGAGAAGATACAGAACGGCAAGGAGATACTGAAGCAGCCGATGCACACATCTGTAGCCTTGGAACGCAAAGATTTTAACGCCTTCAACGTCCAGGAAGGGCTTCACATTGGCATCATTGTCAAAGATTTCCGTTCAATCGTTGCTCATGCTGAGACGATGAAGGTCGATGTCACCGCCCGCTATTCGAGAGGTAATCGACCCATGCAGATCGCCTACAGCCAAGGCGGTGTGGCAGCGCATTTCACGCTCATGACTCGTGCTACGTCCAGCCACGTCCCGGACGCCTCACGCAACAGCACACCAGCTAGAGACCTGTCTATGCGAGGAAGATCCCAGACGCCCTCGATGACACGAGACCCATCAATGCCTGCTACCACCCAGACCGCCCCAACAGATATGCCGCCACCCTCAATACGACCCTCAGCTCGGCCACCACCTACCCGACCCACTTTGTCGAAAGGAGGCGGCACAGAAGACACGCCCGCGCCAAGCGCGAGTCTAAATCCTGACAGCTTGTTCATACCGGCAGATGACGAAGACCAGAAGTGGGATGAGCCGAATTATGAAGAAGACCAAGACATCGTGACGTGGGACAATGCTTCAGATTCGGCATCCCTTCGAAGGATCCGCAACTCAGAGTCGGACTCGTTCATCAGCGTTCCGGATGGGCGTAAGCGTACTTTCGACGAGATCGCGCCTACTCAGCGCCTCTCACAAGTCAAGGGCTTATTTGACTGAGCTCATTTGGTCACGTCGAACTCTCTATAACGGCAAAACTTGTCGCACATCCAGCACCAAGCAGCACAATGCGTTCTGTTGTCCCCAAAGCCACATGTACAACGTTCGCAGTTGCGCCTGCATCGCTGAAAGCCCTTGGGCGTCCACAGTTGCCATGCTCGCCCCAGCCCCATGCCAACAGCTGTCCCGTGGTGTCCAGCGCTATTGAGTGCTCGCTTCCGACGGCCAACAACGACACTTGGGCCAGATTTGGCGGCGGTAGTTGTTTGTGGTTGTTCCGACCAAGTCCTCTCAGCTGTCCACCTTGGCGAACAGTGACAGTCGTCCAGCCGGATGCAATCTCATCGATGGCGCCAAGATCTGTGCTGTTCTGATTATCTCCAAGGATGTTGTTTCGTCCAAGCAAGTGCATTTTTCCAGAGCCACCAACGATGCACGTATAGTCACGTCCGGCTGCTACCAGGCGCACTGGAAATGGAACATTCGTCTCTCGCACTTCCCACGCGACTTTCAGTGCACTCAGATCTTCTCCAAGCTGTCCCTTGCGACATGCTCCCCAGCCAAAGAGCCTTCCGGTGCTCGTGCTGAGTACTACATGGCTCACGCCTGCGCTGATGCTTGATACCCTCTCGTCTGATCCAAGCTCCGCCAGGTTGAGAATCAATGTTGGTGTCAAGGCCACCGCTCGCGCACATCCGAGTCCAAGCTCACCCCTATCGCCCCTACCGCAGGCATAAATTCGCTTGTCGTCAACAACGAAGAATGATGCCTCCCAAGTCGCCCCAATACTCGTGACTCGAGCTGGCTCATCCTCGTCCTCTTTCGCGAACGTTACCGGGCGGAACTCCGTGGCCAGCGTGATTGCGGATGAGACACCGCAACGACCGCTTTCGTTGCTGCCTGTAGCGAACACTCTGCCGGTTGATGTCAGGCACAAAGTATGATTGCCCCCTGCAGCGAATTGTACTATTGACTCATTCGGAAACAGGTCGGTCGCCAGGCGACAAGGCGTCGGAATGTCGACATCGTCCGTATGGCCGATGCCGAGCTGTCCGGAACCATTGGAACCGAAAGCGACGATGCGAACTGGCATACTCGGCCCATCGTGATACACGAAGTTAATAGGATTTGAGCCCGAGGTCACAACTTTGTCTGAAAGTTGGCTGATAAGGCTGGTTTTCCTTGGCAAGGCTATCAATTTGAGGGGCGCTCTTTCTGGTACTGCTTTACGGCTTACATGTTGAGCAACCTGGAAGGACAGTCAATTCGAGTCGTTGAAGCTAGGAAAGAGCACGACGAGAGCAGGCAGTGCGGTGATTGAGATAAGTTGAAATTGTCTGGACCGTAGACAAATTCATTGCTTCCTTGCTTGAGCCCCCGCGATCGAGGCACGGTCCAAGCAGTCGATGAAAAGGCCTGCTATATGGGCTCAGAGTCCTCTCCAGTACGTCGTCTCCGCTACTTTGAAGCTGCCAGCCTTCTCCACGTTCTGACTGCTGTTGCCTACCAAGACCTCAAACTCATCCTTCTCACTCACCCAGGAATCTGCCTGCTCGTCCCAGAAGCTCGTCGCGTACTTCTTGCTGATCTTGATCTCTACCTTCTCCTTCTCTCCTGCCTTCAGGTGTACCTTCGTGAACCCCTTGAGCTCCTTTGGTGGCCGATTGATGCTCGGCGACTTCTGGGAAATGTAGACCTGCACTACTTCTGCGCCAGGAATCTTGCCGGTATTGCTGACCTTGGCTGTAACGCTGATTTCGTCCTTGCCGTCTCGGACGTTCAGGTCGCCGAGCTCGAATGTTGTGTACGACAGACCGTGACCGAAAGCAAAGCCAACGTCCTTCTTGGTCTTCTCGTAGTAGCGGTACCCGACGTAGACGTCTTCGCCGTACAGGGCCCGACCTCGCTCCGATCGGAAGTTGAGGAACGCCGGATTGTCCTCATTTCGTACTGGGAAGGACAGAGGTAGCTTGCCGCTGGGATTCGTCTCGCCGAAGACAACGTCAGCAATGGCGTTGCCCGTTTCGTTGCCGCCGTACCAAGCCTGTAGCAGTGCGTTGGTTCCAGCAAGCCACCTGTGCATCGTCACTGGAGTACCAGACTGTACGACCACTACGGTGTTGGGGTTTACCGCAGTGACCGCCTTGATCAGCTCATCTGAGCCCTTCGGAAGATCCATATGGGCTCGATCATATCCTTCTGACTCCCAATCTGCGTTGAGACCCATGCAGAGGACAACTTGCTCGACCTCCTTCGCGAGTGTCACGGCGCGCTTCAACTCTTCTTCGTAATCGATGACCCGCTCGCATCCTATCCGGAAGCCGCCAGCACCGAAAGCCGTGGCACCAGCATTGCCAATCGTCATGGTCGGCAGAGTGCCAAAGGTAACCAGGACATGATAAGCCTTCCCTTTCTCCAGCTTGACACGGCCGGTCTCTTCTCGTGTGCCGGATCCGAAGAACGAGTCTCCGGGGTACTGCTTGGTCTCATTGTCGACTACCACTTTACCGTCCACGAAGAGCTTCGCCGTGCCAGCAACAGACAGACTGAATTCGAATTCGATAGTCTCTTCTGGTGTGACAGTACCTTCGATCTCAGCATAGTAAAGCTCGCTCTTCGGCTTTTCGGGGTGCTTGTAGTCCACCAACAAGGCATCTGATTTCGTGAGATACAAATGATCGAACGGTTTGCGATCTGGAGTCGAGGGAGGCTCTGTGTATACTCTCATGTCCAAGCCCTTCTTGCCGTCCTTGGTACGGGCCCGTTCCGACAGCAGTGGTAGCGACTTCCACCCAGGAGCACCCAAAGCGTACTTGACTCTTTTGCACGCCCCTTCGACGCCTTCCAGTGGCGAGCGTGCGTAGTACGGCAAGAGCGACGCCGATCCACCTCCGCTGAAGGCAGCAATTGCGGCATTTGGACCAATGACCGCTGTCGTCTTCTCCTTCTTAAACGGCAGAACGTTCTTCTCATTCTTCATCAGCACAATGCCACTGGCACCAATGTTCCGGAGCAGCTTAGCAGTTTCTGGGGTATCGACAGCCTTCTCGGGAGCATTCTCGGGAATGCCGAGAGGATGCGTCCGCTTAATGAGCTGCAAGACTGCTCGAACACGATCGTCCACATCCTTTGTGAACAACTTGCCACAGTTGATGGCTTGGCTGACTTGCGTACCGCGCGCGTATGAAGGACCAGGCATTTCCAGATCAAGTCCAGCTTGTACCGACTCGACTGCGGAGTATGTACCAAACCAGTCACTCATGACCAGACCGTCGAAGCCCCATTCCTCGCGTAGAACCTTCTGCAGGATCCTCGGATCCTCGCTAAGATGTGTACCGTTCAATTGGTTGTAGGCAGTCATATAACACCAGGGTTTGGCATCTCTCTGAGCGATCTGAAATGGCATGAGGTAGATCTCACGCAGGGCCCGCTCTGTGACAATAGAATTGACCGACATCCTCTGGTGTTCTTGGTCGTTTGTGACAAAGTGCTTGACAGTGGCGGCTACTCCTGTCGATTGAATGCCGTTGACAGTAGCGGCAGTCATGGCTCCTGCCAAGCACGGGTCCTCAGAAAAGCTCTCGAAACCACGACCACCAAGCGGCGAACGCTGCATGTTTGTCGTAGGCCCAAGAATCACAACAGCTCCCTTCGCCTTAGCCTCTGCACCCTGTAACTCACCACCCTTGTGGATGAGATCAGTATCCCATGTAGCTGCGAGTCCAGTTCCGCAAGGCAAGCACGCAGCTGGAATACTGTTTCAGAGCATTTTGGTCAACTTTGTCTCGGGAAATGATCATGAAATGGAAGATTGCATGGGAGAGGCGGCAGTCATGTCTCGGGAGATCCTTGTGTGCGTGCTCAAGCCAATGCTCGTGTCAACGCTCAGTTCCCGATACAAGCCTCCGAGGGAACTCACCCGAGGAAGAAACGAGTACCTCGAACGCCATTGGGCCCGTCAGACACTCGTATCGAGGGTACACCCAATCTGTGAACGGGTGCTGTGTGCCAGAAATCTATACCGGAGAGCAGGGCTACCTTCTCGGCGGGCTCCAGCTTTTTGATGACATCCTCGACGTCGAATTCGCCAAGGGGCGGATGTTGTGTCATGTTGATGGCGTTAGGGGACATGTGGGAGAATTGAATGAAGGCCTTGACTAGAGAAAAGAGTCCAAGGGTATGAACAGACGACTTTATGTATGGTCACGTTCATCTGCACAACGTGTTGTGGGCTGCTGTCTGGGACCACAATGTCACGGGGAAATCATGGAGCAACGAGCAGAGTAAGACAGACTTTACTTGCCTGTCGGCACGGCCAACCGCGCCTTCCATCCTGCGGCATTGGCACGACAGCTCACTTTGGCTCCGTTGCTTTGCGTTTCTTTGGAAGAACTCCGGCACGATTGGAAATGTAGAATCGGCCCATGATCGCGGAGTAATTCTGAATGGAGAGACTGCAGGTACATGCTTTGCTCCCGCCCGCCCAGCAAGGAGTGGGACATGATGGACGAAGGAAGCCCACTCTCTTAGGCCGCGTTAGGCCTGGAGCCGAAGTTCAAGCGGCACTGGGTACTAGCTGGTGGTTGGGCCAACCAAAATCTAGCCTTCAAACAATATTGATGGCGAGCTTCACGCGCTGCGCTCTTCCACAGTCGGACAGTAGATGTGTCACGACCGACCTCGTGTGTGTCTACAGGCTAGCCGTGGTTCTATTCGTCGTTGATGGTGGGAGTCTTTCTCCTACTGCTACTTCCATGACCACGCGACGAGAGGCTCTCCACTTGTTGGAACCGCCTGTATTAGCTGCGACAACATCGACCGACGAGTCTGGCACTCTGGTGTCTGTATTCTCACATGAGCTAGATCTCATTCGACCACTGGGCGGCCCTCAGGTGTGATGGCGACAGGGAGACGAGCAAAGCGGCGAGGACAACCGATTGTCCTGGAAGCTGGTCAAGCTCGGCTCCCGATGATGGCTTCATAGTCTTCCAGGCTGGCAAAAATGATGTTGATCAACTCAGTCGAATGTTCCAAGATTTCTCTCGAGCCAGACTGTAGGAGCGACGTTTTGCGAATCCATGTCTGGTGGTGTTTGAAGTCCCCCAAGCAAGAATAGTCTCTGGTTGTTTCTGATGCATGGATGTGGACTCTCGTTGTGATCTTGTTTCTGCTGAGCAATGTCACTGCTCCTATGATGGTCCGTGTTTTGCTTTTGCTACATCACCTTCCCCTCGAGCATCCCCGCCCCTCGACTTGAGAAGATGCCCATAATGCCGAAGCCACTGTAGAACAACGCGAGCGGGTAGCAACGAGGCCACGCATGCCGCTCATTCTTCCCACACTCACAAACATCCCACTGCTGCTGAACGTGCACCACCCGACAGCTAACGACGTCAAAACATAGCCCATGACCGTGTCCATAGGCACCGCAATGCCACACATCGCAGTCATAACCAACGGCAAAAAGCAGTATCCCAGCACGCTCGCGCTTCTGCTGTATGTCAACGTGCTGCTGAAGTGGCCGCCTGCGTGATGACCTGCATCAACATGATCTCTCTGCGCCTGCGCCATCTGACCGTGTGGGTCGGGCGTCTCGTTGGGGTCGACGGGAGGGGTCATCAGGGCGAAGATCCAGTGAAGGGCTATCGAGCCGAAGACGGCAATCCCATAAATGTAGCCGTAGAAGAACTTCCCTGACAGGGCAAGGAACGCGCCGTATAGAATGAGGAAGATGAGACCGCCGTAGAGGTCACTGTCGTCCATGATGTGCGGTGAGGGTCTCGAGAGGGGGTTGAGGACTGCTACCGTCTGAAAAGCTCCTGTCAGCGATGCTGTGTATAATGTTGAAGACCCGGCTCACCTTGGTCTTGATATGGCCGAAGTTCACGCCTAGCTCCTCCATCAGACCAGGCTCACCATCGTAGCCTTCTGTGCCGAAAGCTGCTACCCAGCCTGTTCTTAGGCCACCTTGCTCGCCCATACGCCCACTCACGCTCGCGCCACCGAAGTCGGCGCCGCCGCCTCCTGACCTGGCACCGCCGCCATATGAAGGGTATGCTGACGCCGCGTTTGCGCCGCTGCCTCCGTACCCGCCATATGAGGCCTGTGAGGGTGTGGTGTGGCCGGACACGGCGTCGTAGGAGGATGAGTAGAACTGTAAGTTCTGTGCTGAGCTACCAGCAGCGCCGGAAGGCTGGTAGCCCTGGTTATAGTATGACATGTTGGAATGGAGAGGTGTCAATACGGGGTGTCGGTTGATGAGACCTGGCCGTCCCGGGCCCGCGAGAGTTTGGCACTACCAGCTACGAGCGAGCGGCAGCGATCTTGAGGTGGCAAGTCTGGGACGAAGGATGCTCGTTGATCTGGTAGCGTGACGTGAAGCTGGGTCGTGTAGGTAACGACGTGGAATTTCGCAATGCATGTGCGGCTCGAGAGATTTGGTGAATGCAGTTGATCAGTGCGGAGAACACGCCTGCCTCCCCAATCCTCTTCTGGACAGCCTGGCTTCGCGCCTACAGAGTACGACAGGCACATACCTATCCATCCATAGACGGCGGAACGGCTGCTGCCTGTCACATTGATCTTGGTACTTGACTTTCGACCGTAGAACTTGGAATGCTTGTCTATCGTTGTATTACAGGGGCACTCTCTACAGAAAGTTGATGCCTATCCCGAATTGCACCCCTTTCCGTGCATCCTCTCCTTTCCTTACAACCAAAGGAAGAGAGAAGTTGAGCTCGAACCTGGCCACTGGATGTGCATATACCAAGCCGACACCTGCAGAAGTGCTGGGTAGTCCATCGCCGAGCTGTTGCACGGCTTTTGAGATGCCTGACCTGACGTCCTCACTCGACATCGCTCCTTCCTTCTCTCCCCGCAATGCAAGTAATCTGCCGGAATTTACAAAAGCCTGCAGTCGCAGTGGTCGATCAGCCCGACCCTCGGCAGCGGCATGAGTAAAGAAGCACCGCCAGCAGCATACACATCTCCGCCAACCGCGTCAGCTCCATCGTGCGGCCCTAAACCTGATAACCTAAATCCTCGCACGTCTGTGGGACCTCCCAGCTGAAACCGATCGTTAATTTTCGATGGTGATGGACTGCTCTGACCGGACAAAGCGAGAGGATAGAGCATGCCGGCACGAGCACCGAAGGTGAAGCTGACGCCGCTGTCACCTTTTATGCCTGGTATGGGAATAGGGATCGCCGTCTGTTGTTCCACCTCGCCCTTGAAGAAAGCCACATCGCCTGCTAGGGGCCCGAAGCCGGCCAACTCAGACGTCGTTTTCATGTAGTATCCCCTCGACGGTAACGTCGGGTTATCTCGTCGGTCGTTGACCCAAGTGTGTGATATGCTGCTCTTGAAAGACTCTCCAGCATCGTTCCGCACCGTCGGAGAGGCGTTCTGTGCCAGTCCAGTCACCGTTCTTCTGAAGCCATTGTAGCCGACCTCATGTACACCTGCCTTCGACAGCCACCGCAGTTTCGAGAAGCCGCCTCGCAGGATCTCTTCGTGGCTCGCGAAGAGCTTCTGCGTCGAGCTCTGCAGACCGCCTAGTTGGAATTTGAGGTCTGGGTTGCTGAACACTGGTGTGTCGATCGTTGCTGAATAGGAGGAGCGTGTCTTCGTGCCGAAGGAAGCATTGACGTCCAGTGTCTCCGCCCCTCCAAAGATATTCCGCCATTGTGCATTTGCATATGCTGAACCCTCTGCATTGCCTAAGTCTGTGCCGGTTTTCAAGAAAAGCCGACTCCGCTCTTTCACCGAGTAGAAGATCGCGACATCGGTCGGTGTGGTATCCGCATCGATTTGTGGTGGCTTATCGAAGTATATCGAGACCGGGTCGTGGAAAATGTCTGTCTGGTCAGTACCTGAGCGAGCTTGCGACCGCAGGACGCTCACCAAATGCTCTCAGCTTCTCTGCGACCGCTGCTGACTCTCGTATAACCTCGGACTGCGTATATGGCCTGTCACGGTTCGCGCTCAGTAGCGGATCGACCACGCCTTTGAGAAAGCTTCGTCTTGTGTTCGTTGCACCGAGGACAGTGACTGCCGATACTGTTGTCGGCAACGTCGAGTTTCGGTCTATTAGCTCAGCGAGTCTTAGCTGGCTCTTCTGGAAGGTCGCCTGCAGCCTCTCGTTGATAGCCTCCTGCCGCTGCTCGAGCTCTTTCGGGTCTGCTCGTTTGAGCTTTGCGAAGATGTCGTCCGACACTTCGGTCTCAACCGAGGCCATTGAGGCCGGCTGTCGATCTACCTGGAGATTCTCAAGAGCTCGGAGGCGTTATTTGCTTAGGCGTGTGACATTGGTTCCGGTGCTCGAAGCTCTTCCCGCAAGCTTGCCCGAGCATGCCAAGGAAATTTATCGGGACTAGTTTCAAGCCGGATGACAACGCTTTCGACAGTTCACGACACGGTGCCTAGACGCTGATGCATTATAACTTTCGGACAACAGGACCTTGACATATGTGTCACTCGTTGTGTTTGCTATAACCTCATGCCCAGATGATCATGATCAGACAAGCCGCTTCTCGCACATTGGTCCTCTTTCTCTGATCAGTCTGCTCGAAGATGCTAACACTCCTCACAGGCCCAATGGATTCTGGGCAGTCTGCTTGCTCTCGTCCCCAGCGCTGCTACCTGTGGCTTTGCCAATGGTATTCTTTGTGGTATCGCCGGCACCTTTCACCGTATTGCCTAGACCGGAGCTCACACCTCCCAAAGTGTCGCCCACGCCCTTGCCAGCGCTTCCAACAGTATTGCCAACAGTATCGGTCACACCGCTCAACGCGTTGCCAGCGGTCTCGCCTAAGCCACCTAAGATTCCTCCGGTGAGTCAGGGTGGGCTCTGGGGAAGAGGAAGGGGGATAGGAAAAGAAGCCTGCGTACCACCGGATTTCTTCTGTTCAGACATTATTGTGTTTGTGACTAAGTATCGATAGTCGTGTATAGTGCTTTTGAAGGTTCCGTTGCCTATTGTTTGGAGGTGAAGAAGTGGCACAGTATATATGGCTGGCGTAGACATATGAGATCACGCACGGCACAGAGACTCGACCTGAGGCTTGCACGCGGACCTACTGTGGCTTGACGTCAATCGACTGGGATCAGTCACTTTGACGAGTGTCTCGTGGACCTGAATGGTTGGGGCACGAGCATGCTGACAAGGTATTGGAGAGAATGAACAGTTGGCCAGGGATGCCTGTGTGAGGAGAAACAGGTTCAGTCTCCTCCTCGACGCTGATGGCCGCGCCACACTTGAGATCCAGAGAAAGTCCAAGTCGTTTGTGGCGGGGCAGGTCTACACAATAATCGCGAAGATGGTGGTACGAGAAGAGGAGAAGGGGGGAACTGGAAGGTAGAGGGGCACAGAAATGATGTCATTTTCATGTCAGACGTGGTTGCCTTGTTCTTGCCTCAGCCACCCAGCTTTTCGAAGTGTTCTCATGACTCCCACCGGAAGATCTCGTTCCATTTTGATCATGTATTCAGCCATGGCAGCAACGTTCTCGTCTTGCTCTTCTGCAAGGCTACATGAGCCAGCCCAATTCAGTGTTTTAGCACGCGCTCAATCCTCAATGCTGCATAGGGGGCCTCAGGCTTGTCGCAGCCGAGAAGGCTGTGCCAGCTACGGCCCGGACTATGGCCAATCAAGTATGATGACTACTGACTGGCGCGACAGTGTGCTGTCTAGCGAAGAGAACTTTGGTAAGCGAGACTATCGGTAGGTTGTTTGGTTTTGCAACAGTACGCACTGTGCCGATGGTAATATCACAAACAATGCCCAAGTATCATGTCACGAGAATATCCGGCCTCGAATTCGATCAATCAGGTTATCAATTCGTAGCACCATCACTTTCACTGAAAGAACAGGATGACCATAGAAGCTTCAGAATGGACATCATCAGACTGGGCTCCCCTACCAACGCTCCATTCCATCCGTCTGCTCAGGGTTACACTTACAGATGAGGTGCCTATCGAATTGGACATCTCTCTTCGCGTCGTCGATCTGAACGATAATCCAACGTACAACTGCCTATCCTACACATGGGGTAACCCTCTCATGAATGACACCAATCATTATGCCGACCACCGCGTTCTCTGCAACAACAAATGGACCTATGTTGGCTACAACCTCTTCGAAGCTCTACGCACACTCACCGAATTGGACGCACAACATACAGCAGACATCTGGGTCGACAAACTCTCCATCAATCAATTGGATGTGGAAGAGCGATCTTCGCAGGTGAGAATGATGGGAAGAATATATCGAGGCGCCACAAACGTGCTCGCATGGCTAGGTCCTGCAGACGAAGACACCGCGATTGCTGTTCAAGTAATCGAGACGTTGTCACAGGCAAACATCGACAACGACAAGATTCATGTGAATGGCAACCCGCAGATTCATAAAAATCAGAAGGCGAGCAGCTCCTTGACGAGAGCACGTACACAAATTTTGAGATCCCGTTCATCAAACTGGATCATTGGCGCTCCTATGTGAACTTGCTTTCGCGCAGTTACTTCAGCCGAGTAAGTGCTCCTCACAGTCATGAATCACAGACGCTCGGCGATGAATCAGCCTGTGTCTGCTGCATCTGAGAGCCCCCCTGACCAGCTGGACAATCGAGTTGCTTCCGTCACGCTGAAGGGTGAGTTTCTGCGCTGACGCTACGAAAGGCATGGGTTCTACAAGAGGGCTGGCTGGCTGCGAACCTACACTTCTACTGCGGCAACTATCACATAAGCTTCGACACCATGGCCGATCATCACTGGAACATGCACCACATGCCCTGGGATCACTGGCACGGCAGACAACGACCGAGTTCTGATCTAGCAAGATTGCAGCGTGAGACCGGAAACGAGACCTATATTTATGCAAGAAGCCAGATCAATTCGATCAAGAACCATCGTCGTATGGTCCGAAACGCCGACCTGAAGAAAGCCAAACCTGGCGATGGTCTATTGTATCCGCTTAACATCATAGGCTCGATTGAGATGTTCCAGGATCACTCCGGCGCCTCTAATCGTGGGCGCTTTGCAACTGATCCACGGGACATGATCTTCTCCACGCTCTCGATGTCGAATTATCCCCATCTAATTCCAGATTACAGCCAGTCCGTGCGCGACACTTTCACACATATAGCAAAGTATGTGGAGGAGAAATCATGCTTCTTCGGCATGGGCCACATTGAAGACCATTCTTTCCGTGTGCGACACGACCTTCCCTCATGGATGGCAGACTACACGTCAGTGCTTCGCCCCAGTCCGTTCTCATCTAAAGGCGGATTCTACAGAGCTTCGGGCGAGCTGGGCGAGGTCCTAAAAGTTGTTTTCGACGACACAGCAAACGACATCCTTGCAGTGAAAGCGCTACACATCGACACCGTGGCTCAAGTCGAGGGCACTTGGGCAGACCTGATGGCAGGTGACGCAATAGCTGGATATATAGATCTGGTCAACAAGATGCCTGTGACGTACAAGAACGGCGAAAATCGTGCGGAGGCTCTCTGGAGAACTCTCATTGCCGGACGGCCAGGTAACGGGCCTCGTCCGCCAGACTCGAGCTGGACGGCCTTTGTCCGCGAGGCTTTATTTATGCTTGTGATATATTCGGTCACGAAGTCGATGTACGCAGCGGAGTTCGCACCTCCCACAGATACGGGCACTGGTCATCCTCGAAGTCTCAAGGATGTCCTCAGAATTCAGACTATGCTGAATAAGATGAGAGCGATCTCAGCGACCGACGGCACCGATGTGTTTCCAGATCCGGATGCGGTTAACGACTTCTACAGCCAGCAACACCAACAAGTCGAAGATGCTATTGCTATGCAGGATGAGCCAGGGTCCTTGCTCAACATGTTTCCCGGTGCATGGGAGTACTATGATGCTCTTCGAAACTTCCTGCCTTATCGACGTCTGTTCAGAACAAAGTCCGGCTACATTGGAATCGCTGGACAGTCTCTTCAAGCTGGGGACGAGGTGGTGCTGGCACAGGGGTCGGGACAGCCTTGGATCGTCAGACATAGACCAGATAGTGAGCGTTACAGGTTTGTGGCGGCTGCTTTTTTGCATGGCATCATGAATGGGGAACTGGTTGAAGACTTGAAGGAGAACGCTGTGCGGATGGAACTAGACTGAAAATGTTGTTCCTAGAGTCTCAAGCGATCTGCTTGTCATCCCACTCCAGATCAGCCCAAGGCCTTCCCTTGGTCTCCTCCGCTAGATCCTTCATCGTCTTCCACTTCCACACCGTCTCCCCAGGGTCAACCACCTCATTATCAGAACCCAAGCCCCCATGCGCTCTGTGATCAATCTTACCCTCCCCCATCAGAAACCTCAAGTACTTACTCGGATCACTCGTCCTCTCCCTGATCGTCTCCTCCTTCCACTTCCCCAAATCCCTCTCCTCGATCTCAATGTCCCCACCACCCGCCGCCTTCATCAACTTAGCAATCTCCCTCGTACTGACCGTATCCCCCGCAACATGAATCTCCTCCAAAACACCCACCATTTCCGCCCTTGCCGCCTGCGCAACCACCTTCCCCGCGTCGTCTAGACTCGTATACGATACCTTCGCATCTGCCGAGCCGACACATTCATACCGCCCCTCTCGTGTATGAAACCCGAACCACGGGCCAATACTCTCCTCCAGAAACAATCCCACAAAAATCCTCAATACCCTCGTCTTATTGGGATCAAGCAGCTGTCGAGTAAGTTCAAAATGCGCCTTCTTGTGGTCCCACTCCACATGCCGGAAATCGTGCACCGTGTGATCTACGCCGAATTCGGAGGGGATGTACAGCTTCACGTTCACTGAAGGGTCGGCGAGGGCGCTGACGAGGCTGTCCTTGAAGTCGTGTCCGGTGGGGCCGACGGCGGAGATGAGCACGTCGATGTCGGTGAGGGAGGCGGCGATGTTAGCTGGGTCGTATATCCGGAATTCTGTGGTGGAGGTGTCTAGGTGTGCTGGGAGGGTGGATTTGCTGTTCGGCCGGACGAGGATGACGATGGCGGCGTAGGAGGGGCGGAAGGTTGGGGCGAGGAGAGCTGCGAGGATGTGTGTGCCTAGCGCCGGTGGCGCCGGCGAGGGCAATTGTTGGTTTGTGGTCTGAGGTCATGTTTTGGTGTGCTGTAATGTGCTCGCTTGGTTGGTGGCGAGTGTGCTAGTGTGAGCTGCTGATATAGTGTGCCTTCCAGTATAACTACCTTAGATGGTCGAGTTTCTGGATTTTTACCATACGAGAATGATGTTATGCTATGCTGCCGTGTTCATATAGCATAGTCAGGGCGTGCTTGCTATACGCGAAGGTTGCATGATTGAGGATGTCGGACACATTCGAAACGCTGCATTTATCCGACTGAGGACTAAGGTAGCCCCTAGTGCGTCGGATACCGATCAGAGACGGGCTGTGCTTAGGCAGTGACATTTTGGCTTGACCTCAGTGATTCCATGACTACGTGCGAGGTCTGCGCACCCAGCGAATATGCTCTGGTACTGGAACGCCCAAAGACACGATCTTAGCTAACACAATCAGGAGCTCTAAGGAGTTTTGTGTCTTCGTACGCCTGAAGTCATACTCAGAATGATTATGAAAAGCGCATGGTTCAGCGGAGTATTCTGCCCTCACTTCCAATTCAACCTGACCAACTTGCATTCGGTCCGGGAAAAGCTCTGTCCTCAGTAGAGCACCTGTATGAGCCTCCAGTGTTTGCGTCAGGCAAGAAGGTTCCTCATGTCCAGTGGCTACTTCCAGGTCCCAACCAGACCCTCCTCCGCCTTCCCTAAGATAGGATCGTTCTCTGGCTTCGGCACTGCCCAGACTTTCTGCATGGACCGAGTCAGTATAGTCTTGAACGCACTCGAGCACGGCCAGACAGGCTCCATTCGCAATCAGCATGCATGCACAGTAGCGTCAACACTCACCTCATACTCCCCTTCACTCTCCCCGCCCTGCGCAAAGTCCCACTCCCCGCTCCCAATAGGGTACGCCCCAATCATCGTGAACCCATCCAACTTCAACTTCTCCAGCGCAAGCCTCACGTCCCCTCCCTCCATACTCGCATCAATCCGATGCCCATCGCCCGGCGTCAACAACTTGAACCCCTCATCCGGCGACACCGCATGAGTCTTATGCGCAGTCCCGGCCGGTAGCACAAATACATCCCCAACATTTGCATCCACCACTATCCCACCGCTCTCATACCCGTCCCCAGTAGTATTCGCCTCCATGTCCTCCGTCGTGTCCGCCACCCCGAATCGGATCCGCGCCCTTCCCGATAGCACGGCCATGCACTCATGCGCCGCGCTATGGTAGTGGGAGCGCTGGGTCGCGCCGTAGCGGAAGATCCATTGCGTGCGCCAGCCGTTGGCGGTGAAGGTGTCGTGGACGCTTGGGGCTGAGCAGTCGAGATCCTTGAGGAGGCCGGGATAGTGCAGCAGGGGCTGTGGGGAGTTGGGGACGAGGGCGGTGGGAGGGAGGTGGTACATTTTGACTTCGACCATGGCTGTCAGTCACCAGTTGGCTGCTGCTCGGGTTGCTGTGTCGGCTCCTTGCGAAGGGGAAATGGCGGCGAATGCCTGGTCAGGGTGGAAGATGCGCGCTTGGAGTAAGTGTACGTGTGTCTGGTGCTGAGATGATCTTGCTGGTCCACAGGACTTGCTATAGAAATGCTAGTGAGCTCGTTGAAGGGCGCCTGGCAAGTGATTGTCCTATACGCAACCGTGGATGACTGGTGGTAGGTAGTGGAGAACCATCGAATAGATATATGCATCCTCGGCATTGTCCGTCAACCCTGTAAGTTGAACTTGGAGTTGGAGGTCGGATGGACTTCCGAGTGCGGGCAGACAGAGTCAAATTCAAAAGCAGGCAGCGAATCCTGGCGCCTGGGTTAGTGATACATTTCGGGACATGACAAACAGTGCGCGTATATAGAGTCGAAAAGTGTATGCATTGAACTATACACGAGTCAGAATACACTCATACCACGAATCCCTTACCAGCCAGACGCCGAACGCTCAAGTCGTAGTAGCTCATGCAAGTGCAAACCAAAGCATCTGTACGCCGGCAGACCGCTAGAGTTCCGTGTTCCATTCTTCGTCTGCAACGTCGTCCCCTTTGAGAACGACTTGATCATCATCCACTTCGTCCAAACATATCAGACCAAAAAAGGCAGGATGCTTGCACCGCTCTCGCGCTGAGCTCGTCGCGGTAGCCGTGCTGCTAGTGACAGCTGTGGAACTCGGAGCAGACGTTATGGGGAAGCTTGATGTCTTGGAATGATGGTGGCGATCTCGACAGCCAAAGAAGAGGCCGGGTGTTTTGCATGTCTCTGGCTGGCTTGTCTGCTTTGTTGTCGGCGCTGTGGCTGTTGGTGTTCGATCTTTGCACCCCCACCAGCCCGGATGCTCACAATCTGTGGAAGAGACTGTTCCGGTGTGAGTGGTCGCTGTGTCCGTGGTGGTGGTCACTTCCGTTGTCGCTGGAATGGTAGTCGTTGTGATTGTAGTATTCTTCTCTTCATTGCAGCCAAACCAGCCTGGCGAAACGCACGTCGTCGTTGTATAGGTGGTGGTCACGATCTGCTGCGTTGTAGTCTCGTCGAGACATCCCCACCAGCCGGGTGTCTTACATGTTGAAGTCCGTGTGCGAGTGTTCGAAGTCGTGGTGGTGGACGTTTTAGTTGTGGTAGGATCCGAACCGTTGCTCTCGAAGTACTTCCAATTGAAGCAATCCACGCACTCATTGTCCGGCACACATTTCGGCACCTTGTCGTACTTCTTTATGACGTTGTCGATGACGTTATGAATCTTGTGATTGCCAATACCGATGCGCCATCGCAGATCCGTGACGGTGTCGTAGACACACTGCAGCCCGGTATGACACTGTGACTCCATTGCATAGCCTCCAAGAGTACAAGTCGCAGTAGCTCCATTACATGTTCCCATGAAGACTGGATCAGCGGTATGGCCGATATGTACCGAGCCAGTGTAAGCACGTCTGTAGGCTTTGTTCGGGTCTCCCGTTGGAGGTCGAGGCAGCCCAAGTCGTTTGGCAGCAAGGTCATCGCCGGGTGCCTCGAATGTGACTACAGGTCGTCCGAAGGTCATACCGAGTAGACTGCTGACAGAGCCCCCGAGAGAGTGTCCGACAAGCCAGATGTTTGAGTCAGGGTATATCTTGGTCACATTCGTGTAAAGCTCGATGGAAGCACGATAGTACCTATTCTCGCGTCGAAGAGCCTGACCAAGACAGGTCGAGTTGCAGGTGTATGAGCTGTCATAGCAGTCGCAGACCTGCCGCCAGAAGTACTGACCACCCGCACCGCAACAGCAGCTGAAGAACAAATTGTCGTTGATCTTGTCCCGTGTCGTTGTGCCGTCTCCATCGAATACAGCAGGCGAGGTGCCCTTCAGACTGATCACGATCGTTTCATTCTTGTCATCTGCAAAGATGTAGCCTCGAAGGCCATCACCTTGCCAGCCAAAGTTTGTATTGTTATCGTAGCCTTGAGTAACATTCTCCCATTCGCCCTCGTAGGGCGTTGGCACGTAAGCATTTGCTGCCATTACGGCCATGTTTATGACGGTATCTTTGCTTGTGACATCTGGCGCCGACACCTCGTCTATGGTCCAATCCTCTGCACCGAGGGCAGCTGGCTGCCCTGTGAGACGCGCATAACTGAGGTGTTGCTCAATACTGGCGGGTGATCTGTCGACCAGTCGCTCTATAGGCGTCTTCCTCGATCTCACTGAAACTCTTGGGGGCGGGTGCTCTTCCTCGGCAGCATGTATATCCCTCTTGACGTGCAAATTCGGATTCTGGTAGGTACCGCGATGATATATGTGTCGCAGTGTAAAGTCATGCGTCTGTGCATCTGGTACTACGGGCGCCGGAACCCATGGCTCGATTGCGGGTGCCTGCTCAAGAGCGGCTACCGATGTGGCGAGGATGGAAAGGACTGTAAGGGCGGTGATCCGACGACTCGATGAGCAGCCATGCGAACGACTTATCCGCGGCTTCATCTTTTGAGTTGTGTATGACTTAGCAATAAGAACTAAAGAGCGTGATTGTAGTCGTAATGGATTCGGCGAAGATGAAGGCGGGTGTGGATGGTCTCGATGTGGTCACCTGGAGATGCCTCGTCGTCATAGGCATGTGATTGGCTCCCCACCTGATGGTCTCTCAGGTACACGACAACACCGCGTCCTCTCTCACACGCTCACGTATGACTGATGACGGAGACAGCGGACATCGCGGGTTGTTGTCAGACAGCTTGAATGGGTGTAATCACAACTCTCCCAGGCATCTAAATTGCAAGACTTGGAGCCAGGAGCTCCGATCACTCGTTTCGTATGCACTGAAACATAACATGTCTACCTGCTGTCCAGAACAGGCACGGTGATTAGGTATCAAGTACTTGCAGTCTCTCACTTTTTCTTCGACGGTAACAGTCCGATCATCATTCATGTAGCACCATGTCACGAACAGCTTCGGCCTCGACGGGCAAGAACAGACCCTCCCCTCTATCTTCAAAGTCCTTCGCTCGCTACGAACCTTCCACCACGTCGAGTAGGGATCGAGCCAGCACCATCGCATCGCCGGTGTCAGTCAAGTCCCCTTTACACAATGGGCCGAGCAAAGAAGATGTCTTTGAGAAGCCTGAGGAGGATGAGGATGAGCCTATCAGTCCAAGCATCACCAAGAGCACCAGTCTGCCCGATAAGTTCGATGAATTACCCATTGAGCTGGCAAGCTTGACGGATCGCTTCATAGACTCCTTGAGTGCCAAGGTCTTCACCGAGCCACCAACGATAGATCAATTAGCAGACATATTCCAGGAGTTCTACATCAAAGCGTCTGGCAGTATATCTACACACATCTCTGCTCTCATGCTGCGGATGAACAGAGATGCATCGCCCTCGTCAAAATCGAAAGTTACAGCAGCGAAAAAGGGTGCAGACTCACTGGCGCCGCCAGAACGAGCGTCAGGGTCTCAGCAGATGCTAACAGCCAATGAGGTCACCGAGAAGCGGAAAGCGAGACGCATGCTCGAGTACAAAAGGTTGCTTCTGGAAGAAGCTGTGGAGCGGCGGGCATGTGAGAAGATATACAAGAAGATTTGGAGGCATAAGAGCACTCTTGACGAGGTGCGAGATGAGAAGTTGCGATCCAAGACGGCGGCACTGGCGTTGGTTGGCATTGGACTTAGAGATCTGGGTATCGAGATGAACGAAAAGTCGGAAACAACTGCTGAAGATCTGCAAGAGTCCCTCGTACCTGCCAGGGAAGGCCTTGCGAAAATGAACGACGAGCACTACCCACTTGGAAAATTGCAGCACCTCACAACAGCGCACAAGGCAATAGTGGACACACTATCCGCCATCAAACCATCTTCCTCGTCTGCCGACGAGATCTTACCCACACTCATATACACTCTCATCACCTCACCAGTCGAAGGCATCAACATCATCAGCAACCTGAATTTCATTCAACGATTCCGCACTGCCAGCAAGATAGACGGCGAAGCAGCTTACTGCCTGACAAATCTGGAAGCTGCCATCAGCTTTCTCGAAAACGTCGAATTAGCGAGCCTGAGAGCGGATGAGAGACCAGAAGGGCCCGATAAGCCACCAAGCATGGAGACGCCTTCAGACGATCGGCCAGAGCCCTTTCCAAGGTTTCCTTCAGACGGGCCATCAATCTCGACTTCGGAGCCGCTTACATCTACGACTACATCATCCGCCTCTGGCACGCCAGCCGAGCCATCAAGGAAACCTTCGTTAGCGATCCAGAAGCCACCAGCTCCGCGACATCAGCGCACACTCTCCGACCTACTCCAGCCCATCTCGAACGCGCCCGGTGCTGTGCGAACGAGCGCTGAAGAGTCTCTCAAGAATATAAGCACAACGCTCGACAACAGCTTCAAGGTCTTATTCGGCAAGCTGCGCGAACGTGGGAACGAGAACTCGAGTGCGGAAGTGGTCGTGCCTAAGACGCTTGACGAAGCGCGGCAGTTGGTGTCTCGGCCATTGACACCCCCGGATGCAGACGACACAGCAATCAGCGAGACGAGCTCAATAGCGGGTGATAGCTCTCACACGCCACCAAATAGGCTCTCTGCAACAGAGGAGAAAGTATTGGGCCTGTTTGGCGGACGGCGGCGAACGGCCTCGCTCATTAGAGATCGGAGTGCCGATTCGCAGCGCAGCACCACAAGCAGTACAACCAAAGATGCTGCTGCCGGCTCCAGAAAGGTGGCATTTGCAGCAACTGGCTCTGCTACGGATTTGAGCAAGGCGGCTGCCCCAACGAACGCTCCACTGATGAATCCGCTCGATTCAGTCAAAACCTTTGGTCAATCAATCAACATAAATCCACTCAACAACATCTCATCTGCGTTCGGCGGCGCCTTTCGATCTTTTGGTCGACAGCCGAGCTCGAATGCCAACCCCAGCTCGCCACGAACGGAGAAAAGCAATCCCTTCGCGATAAGATCAGCTTCTGCCACTACTGCGCCCGCCTCGCCAGGGATCCCCATGCCAGAGCCGACGGCAGAACAGATCTCGTTACGCGCACCGTCCAGGGGAGAGACGGCACATATCCGTGCTGAGCCACCCAAGGCACGATTCGTCAACGCGGCTGATGCCGACGAGCTCAAAATCAGCGAGGTTGACGAATTGCTGAAGGATTATCAGAGACTGGCGAAGATCCTTGACGGACTGAGGATCGTAGGCGAGGAAGAGGCGGAGGCTGAAGCAGAGCCGACAGCGTCGTAGGAAGTGCTGCGGCGACGAGTTAAAGCTCGACAGATGCTTCGAAACTCGAGCTTGATGGATGTTTGAGTCCATCCTCCGAGATGGAGTGCACATATAGAAAATCGCATACTTTCCTGACTTCACCATACTCTACTCTTTCGTTCGTGATCATAGCTGTGTCAAGGCGCAGATTGGACTAGGGTATACGCTCAGGCTGCATCCAGGCTTCAAGAAAGAAGTGTGAGGCACATCTCGATGAGGTCCCGAGGGAGAGCACGTACACCGAACAGCAGCATGTACGCCAAGGCTATACCTCGCCGCCGCCCACATCTGGCAACTTTGGCGAGATGAGCGACAGCGAGGATGCGCGGCCGTGCGGGGAAGGTCGCCTTCCGAATTGGGAAATTGGACCAGCTTCTATCTGAAAAAGTGCCAAGATGTAAATTTACAAAATTCTGTGAGTTTGCAAAAACTCTCACATTGTTACGCTTGGCACTTTTCCAGATAGAAGTCAGGACTTCCCAAAGTGGAAGGCGGCCTTCCCAAGGGAGCTGTCCATATGCTGGACGCTGCGCGGCGACTCTGTTGGTGATTTCAGGCAGCCATACCCTCTATATCACGCTGGCACTCGCGAATGACATCGGCGAGCCTGCTGACGCCTTCCCCCAGTAGCTCTTTGTCAGTCCAGGCGAAGCACAATCGAATATTCTGTTTGAAGGATGATTGCGTGCTCGCGTCGTCTCCATCTACGATGAATTTCGGTCCGGCTATGATGACCACGTCTCGCTCCAGCGCCTTCTCGGTGACGTTGTCCGCTTGCAGACGGCCAGGCAGCTTCAGCCAGACGAAATAGCCGCCAGCGACGTCCTTGCCTGGTTGTGGCATGGTCAAGCCTAGGGGAAGCAGATGAGTTTTGATTGCAGCCATCAGCTTGTGGTATCGTTCTGCGTACTCCGGTTGTAAGAAATTCAGAATGTGATCTTGCAAAGTACCAGTCTGGATCATGTTGTGCAAGAACGTTGCGACGAGATGGCTTGGCGCACCGCCAGAGCGTGAGCTGCCCGTTTGCGACAGGCCATATGCAAAGGCAGGGGTACCTTCCGCCCAACCTGTACGAACGCCTGGGCCGACGATCTTGCTGAAGCTGCCGTTTGACATGCAGTGGCCAAATTCATCAATGGGTCCTCCGTCTAGTTCGCGATCAACATCGACAAGGCGCGGCATGTATGCATGCTCGAGGGTCTGCTTGGGCTTTCTCGGATTAGATGGCCATTGTAGCATGTCGTATCTACCCCTTTGGTCAGTCTTTTGTCCTTACCTCGGGTAGTACAGTGTGCGACGCTCGAAATGCGCATTCTCAACGCGAATATTGGCTCTGACAAAGCTGATACTGTGACTTACACATCATCTGCAACGATGAGGGCATCGTATCTCCGGGCGAGCCTTACGAGGTCCTGTCTTCTTCTCAACGACATGATCCGACCAGAAGGATTGCTGAACGATGGGACGCAATAGATGACATGGCGATACAGCTTCCGCCAGGGCTTGGGCTGCTTGATGGTGGCGCCTTCACGTGGCTTGCTATTCTTGAGACCTTCCTCAAGTGCTTTTAGATCGATGCCTTCCTCATCCTCTGGGACCGCCCGTAACCGGCCGTCGAAGGATGCGTCTGCTATTATTCGGCACGCCAGATAGTATGTTGGTGCCACCATCCATACGTGCTGCGTATAAATAGGGTCAGTAAAGGTTGCTAGTGTGTTTCCAAGATTCTGGGAGGCTCCTCCCGTGATGCAAATACGCTCATATCCAATGGTTTCCTTCGGTCGGTAGAATCTAGTGAGCCACGCTGCTATGGAATTGCGAAGGGGCCGGTAGCCCTCATCATCGCCATACTCGAGGATCTCTGTCACGGTTCCTGGGTCTGTCTGCGAGAGTGTGTGGTTGGCCGCGTCCCTGAGAAGCCGTGGAGGCAGAAGCTTCTCGTTCGGCCAGCCTTTGAATAGGTCTATCTGTTTTCGAATCCTTACGGTCATCCTGAAGGCACACTTTCCAGGAGAGGCGATAAGCCTAGCCGTTTGCGAGGTTTTGCGGCGCTGTACAGACCTGATCTGGACAGCCAGCGAGTCCGTTGCTCGTATCATTCACTCTTCCCAGAAGATTCGGGCTGAGCTTACGCGGGCAGGGCTGTGGTACGCGTCAATAGCATAATCGGGAGCCGCCGAGTCCTTGAGGCTCGTGGTGAGATGTCGAAGGCTGCAAAATCAGTGGCGCAGTGCTTTTCCCGCCCGCGTGGCCCTGTTCCTGGGGCCGATGTATGCCTGCTTTCCAGGCGACTCGTGGCTGATCGCCTAGGCGAGAATAAGTTTAGGCTTCCCCACATGACGTCGATTCCAAGATTCGCAAGTGAAGCCGCGCGCAGTGTTTCATACAACGAACGACCATGGGTTCAAGGCAGGGCAAAATGGCCTTTCCGTTGTCAAATTCCTGGCTTAGTCCACTGCACATATGGCGGTACGGCAGTGCTTCATGCTGGCCAACGCCTCATATCTCTAGATATCGCTATTAGTACGAAGAACTCTCCTTAAGAACGCCTCGCCTGGTCACTAATCACACCTACTTGATCCGTGGACCCTGTGCAACCTCGCGTACCTCCACTCCGAACCCTTGAACAACAAAGACATTGTACCAGCAAGCAGGCGGAAAGATGGCGAAGCGATTGTCGAAGGTCTTTTCGTTAGCGAAAGACGATCACAGCACGGACCAGCAACATGCCATACCCAAGGCTGCAACACACCCCTCCCTCGCTCCGCCGGCAAGATTGCACAAGACACTTCCACCGTCGCCATCGAAACCTCAGCTACCCAACGCAACACTCCCAGATCTTCCGATCACACCGTTACAACCTCCGCCGCTGCTGACTGGCGATGGAATGTTCCGCCCACCTAGTAGCGCCGGCTCCGGCAGCAGACCGCCGAGCCAGTCAAGCGTCAGATCCCGTCCTCAGACACCGACCTTCGCCATAACTCCAGTGGATGGCGACTCTCCAGGGCGACCGACGACGCCGGGCTCGGCAACGAAGTTGAATAAGAGGACTTCGTGGCTGCCAGGAAAGGCATCAAAGGGTGCAAAGGAAGATATAAGGCAATCGCATGCATGGATTGCAGGCCTTCCCGACCATGTGCCATATGATCTGAATGCTCTCACGAGCGGAGAGCGGGTGAGTCCCAAACACTTTGAACGTCATATACCGTCTGACAGAAGTACTAGGTCATTGATCTGTGGGACGCGCAAGGCGACACTACACTGTATCTCTTCCCTCAAGGCTCTCGGAAAGGGCCATCCTTCAAGATTAGCTCCTCGCTCTTTGAGGAGTCGGCTGCTCTCAAGCTTCTCCGTCTTGAAGCAGCAGCCGCGTCGACACAGACCAGGGGACTGCAACAGCAGTTCTCACACATGTCAATGCATACCGGTCCTCACGAATACTACCGTGGCACACCTGTAGATCAGAATGGCTGGTCGCATGGAGATGGCTATCAACCTCACCAGGAAGAAGTCCATCTCTATCTACCCTTGGAATTCGATGCAGACATGTCTGGAACCGATTCCAGGCCCCACGGGGACGACGTGGAGCTGCTCGTACTTTACCGAAACTTCTTCGCATTCTTACAAGGCGGCGCACTTGTGGCCACAGCTCGGCAGACTAGCTTGTATGCCATATTCATGGGCATTAGCAGTATCCTGAAGCGCTTTCGGTTCTCAAACGCTGATGGGTCTACTTGGGGTGATGTTGCAACACAAAGTTTCAGTCGCTATTGCCAGGAGCTGCGTTTAGCAGATGTCCGGGCGAGTCGAGAGAAGACCATCGAGGCGCTTGTACTGGGCGAGCAGTTGCGATTCTGGCCTATGTATAATGAAGGATTTGTACATGCTGCTGGACGTCTGGACGACATCAAACGCATCAAGACCCCGAAGTACCAGCAGGTCGGCCCCGTTACAATGAATCGGCTTGAGCGAGCTTCACTGGACATCGAGCAGCGACTTCTTGTGGTTCGAAACAAATTGGAAACCTTTGATTTCCCCTCCATGTTTGCAGGAGTAGCAAATTCTCAGACTGCCACGGAAGCCAAGCTTGTTCGTTTCAAGACTTGGAAAGCGGCCTTCCTAGATCTGCGCAAATTCACCATCAGCTATTACAAGCGCAAGTATGGAGCTTGGCCGCCGAAAGCCAGCTCGAAGAAGAACAACTTCGAGGAGAGTGGCCTAAACAGGAGACTACTGCAAGAAGTCTACAACGACTTCACCGACCTATATGACATGCTCGCAGACAAGCGTAACTTGACGACTCGGACCACCGATATGGCCCCACTGGATGAGAGTGCTGTGGCGGACGATGTAAACGAATCGATCCAGCACGCGATCCGGCGCGTAGAGAGTGAGTACGATCGTGCTACACCTCCAGTCATGCCGCCGATACCGTTCGACGTTCCCACCATACCTGGCTTCAAACAGTCTTTCAACAGAACACACGTCGTAGCATCGAAATCGGCCAATAGTGTGCGCCGCCTTAAGGACAACGAAGTCACTGAAGTTCTTCTTGGGTCGTACAACCGAGATCAGATCACATCCAACGTGTTCATTCAGGAATTCATTGAGTACGAGCGCAGATCGAATCAGGGCAACACGATCGATGAACTGGTGGACAGTCGTTGCGGTAAATGGCTGTTTATGTATGCTGTGCTCCAATCACTGCCCATGATGGTGGTTGACGCGCGAGACATCCAATTCAAGGACGGCGTTGAGTACTTCCTGTGCATCGCGCCACGAGGCGGCCGGCCATGGATGAAAGAAGACACTTCTCAATCAAGGGCCTGGACCAATATTCCGAGCGGTGGCGGCATGGTGTCTCTGCCGGCCGATATGATCGACCACAGTGTCGAGGGCATCTACCGCCGCAGTCACTGCTGGGAGATCGCCACGAAGTGGGCTACGGAGCTTGGTGTTGATCCTGCGCGTACAAATGCGACCCTACTCGGCGGACTGCCACCACCACCAGCGCTCAACACTTCTAGCTTGACTGGTCATGATGGTTTCCGCACTTCCTATTCAGCACACTCATCACCAGCCGGGTCACCACTATTGAAGCCAACGTCTGCCCACCCTGATGGAGGTCGGCTCAGTACACTGTCCTCTCGCAGCTCAGGCGGCGCAAGTCACGAGTATCCAGCTTCGGCCACCACGGATCGAAGCAGACCGAACTCTGAATATAATCCTACCATAACCTTTGATCAGATCCTGGCTGGTACACCAACCGACGGCAAGAAGAGGAAGTCCAAGAAATAGTATGAAGGCGTGTCTTGTGTCTCAAGGACTTGAGAGATGGCGTCATGTTGGTTATCAAAAGGACGGACCTGGCTATCTCAAGCATGAAGCGTTGGCAAGCGATACCTTGGATGTCACCTTTTTGCCGTTAGTCCTGTAGCATTCGAGCCTCGGATGGGCAAAGTCTTCGGACCAATTGTGATGCGCAGTATCTTTTTCCGCATATTCGCCATTGGCTGTCTTGTTGACTCTCGCGAACCTGTAGCAATACATGGGTGGCCCGTATCTGTCAGGGTCCTGGCCAGTATGGCCAGAGACTCCACAAGCATTTGAGAGGCGAACGAATGACATGAACCCCGAACACAAGCTCTTCGAAGCTTCACCAACCGACGCCATTTGAGTTTACCTTAATGCAGAGGTAGCTCGAGCATTGTGCTGCTACCTTCCCTTTCAGTTCTTAGTCGATGCTAGCATTGCAACTCGCAACGCAAGGTACGCAGTGAATTAACGGCGTCATTGATGCTGAGTTCACGGGACACCCGCGCAGCTCGAAATGATTTATCAACATGTGCTTCGCCTGTGGGCAGGCTTCAACCAGACATTCTTAAGACCTTGTACGTGAAGAAGCGGCCGCAATGTTGGCGCATCCGTTATTGTGGTCCCTATGTGTTGTCCAGCTAGCTGCGGCGAGGTATTTCAACACTTAACCATGGCACGCGACATCGCTAACAGTTGGTCAGTCATTTTCCAGGTCCAGTTCCGCTGACGAAAAGGCAAGCTGTAGACCCAGAAGAGCTATATACAGCCTACAATTTATCTGTACCAGTGGATCACTTTCACAATGAGTCGAGATATGAACCGTACGTATTCGCATAAACCCGAATCGGGCGAGACGTCGGTCTCCTGGTTCTGGTTCTTCCCGCTACACGTGCATTCTGACAGGTGAATCAGTCATTCCAATGGAACCTTCAACCTACGGTACTACTTCGACCCGACCTACTACAAACCTGGCGGACCTGTAATTCTGTTACAAAGTGGCGAGACATCCGTGACTGGTCGACTGCCATATCTGCAGAAAGGCATTGTCTACCAACTGGCCAAGGCAACAGGTGGCATGGGCGTCATTCTTGAGCATCGCTACTATGGCACGAGCTTCCCGGTCGACAACCTCGAGACTGAGAGTCTTCGCTTTTTGACTACGCAACAAGCTATGGCAGATCAAGCATATTTTCAACAGAACGTAGTGTTCCCAGGATTCGAAGATCAGAACTTGACCGCACCAAACACGCCCTATATCACTTATGGTGGGTCATATGCGGGCGCCTTCGTCGCGTTCATGCGAACCATCTACCCCGAGTTCACTTGGGGCGCCATAAGCTCATCTGGTGTCACCGAGGCCATCTGGGACTTTTGGGAGTACTATGAGGCGATTCGACTCAATGCCCCTGCCGACTGCGTGCGCAACCAGCAGGTCCTCATGAACATCATCGATAACATTATAATGAAGAACGACTCGCAGACTATTGACGATCTGAAGAACGCTTTTGGTCTCGGAGAGGTCTCCAACCCTGTCGATGTCGCCAACGTGATCTCTTTCGGTATACAAAGCTGGCAAGGCCGTAACTGGGATCCAGAAGTGGGCGATCCCAGCTTTTACGAGTACTGCGGCAACATCACCAATACCACACTTCAATGGTTCGATACGACTGATCTGGCATCAAATGCATCTGCGCTGATCGAGGCCGGCGGATGGGGCAATGAAAGCGAGACCCTAACGCCAATAATGCTGAATTTGATTGGGTATACGAATTTCACCGAAGTATCGAGCTGCGAACTCACACAGAACGAGTGCTTTGCCAACGACAACGCATCCCAGCCGATGTACACAGACAAGAGCATTGACAACCAAGGCAACTTGTCCTGGGCATATCAGTATTGCACTCAATGGGGCTACATTCAAACGGGCTCTGGAGTTCCTGCGGACCAATTGCCCCTCATTCCGCGAGTGCTTGATCTCGAATACCTCACTTCGATCTGTCGGTATGCATTCAACTTGACGACACCAGCCAAAGTCGAGGAGATCAATCAGTATGGCGGCTTCAACATCAGTTATCCACGACTTGCAATAGTTGGTGGCTCGGCGGATCCTTGGCGTGCTGCCTCCCCTCTGGCTCTTGATGTTCCGGATAGGTTGAACGAGACCAGCACGGTTAGCCAGCCTCTGATATTGATCGAAGGTGCGGTACATCATTGGGATGAGAATGGACTATTCCCAAATGAGACGACACCAGAACTGCCGCCTCCAGCGGTTGCAAGTGCTCAGGCAGAGCTCGCACAGGTCGTGCAGGCGTGGCTCCAGGAATGGGCGTCCAGCAATTCCTCGACGCCGGCCCAGACTACTCCGTACACTGGCGCCGCTTCAGCGGTTTCCTACAGCACGGCTGTGATCGTCTTCGGCGCCCTTCTCACTGCTGTCGCGCTGCTGTAAGCCACCTTTGGCCTGAGACCAAATCAAGTCGTTTTAGATCGATGGAGCAAGACTTTAATAGAATACCGTGTCGGCCATGAAAAGACTGAAACAGTTGTAGAAATGCACCGACCTCTTAGCAGATATTCAGATGAAGTGCAAAGGCCGCCCTAGCAAACGAGCAGACTATCCGATAGCTCTTGACCTCACTGCTGCCTATTTCGTCAGACTGAGCCGTTCTAGCAGGTCACAGCGAGGAAGCTGGGATGAATGTAGTTGCCTTGAATAAACCCGACGTGGTCGAGTCATCCGGCTTGAGCTAGGCACTTTCGTTCAACGGATTTGCCCTGATCGACGGGTGCCAGGGCTGGCCCTTCCGTATAAAAGCGAGCCTAACCCCCAAATCCCACGAGTTCCTTGATGATCTCCGAGATGATACGTCATGGGGACCGAACCAGCACGACCTTTTGTTCCAGGCAGAGGCTTCGGTGCATACATTGCGACATGGGAGCATGATTCTCCGGCTTAGATTGCAGCGTTTTCATATCGCCGAGTTGATACTGAGATCTCAGGGGTGCCTAGTCCGAAGTCTCGCAAGATTCTAGAAGCCGAGGCTAGTTACGAACTCATGAATATATTTACACTCCTGAAAACCTACGCCAGAGTTTCTTGCTCACATCTCAGTGCCTGATCCTGTCAGAGACAGAACCACACAAGTCAAGCGTATCGATTCCGAAAGGGAACCACAGAGAAGAAATTACAGCCCGAAGCGCACTGCAACACCGTCATTTGTAGGAGAGCGGCAACGATCCAGCACAACCACGTTCAGCGTCCTTCACGAACCCTGCGAACAACACCACAGCTATCACTGTACGCCATCATGCCGATCCACCTCAACCCGGTCTCCAAAATCCCGCCCTCAGAAGCCACAAATCACGAATCCGACGTGTACCTCCTGCCGGCCATCAGTACCATCCACTTCTACGCCCTCCTCTGTACCAAGCTCCACCAGACGCTCTACCCCGGACCAAAGTCCACTCATCCCGGCATCATCGAGGCCAATCTGCAGCGCAATCGGAAAGCATTATTGGATGATCCCGAGTACCAGATCACGACGTGCGTGGGCTGCCATGACCCAGAGGTGGGAGAGGAGTGGAACGTTGTTGGCTTTGTGAAGTATCTTGTCAAGGAGGGTCGGCGGGGTAACGCAACGGCTGGCAAGCAGGTCGCGAATGGGGAAGGTCAAGGTCAAGAAGAGCCCGTTGGCGTCCCTGGCCCTCCGCCTGCTGAGGTACCAAAACTGGAGGAGAAACGCGTCTGGCCCGAGGGCACGCACACGGCGCTAGTGGAACACTTATGGCCGAAGCTACTGGCCGTACGCCAGAAATACGACAAAGAGCTGCAAGATTATATATTCGTGGATATATTAGGTACGGATCCTAGCTGGCAGCGGCAAGGAGTGGGGAAGCTGTTGATGGAGGATGAGGTATGTAAAGTTGCAGACCAGAAGGGAATACCGGTATGGTTGGAGGCGACGCAGGAAGGCAGGGGCTTGTATGAGAAGCTGGGTTTCATGGAGAAGGAGAAGATTTGGGTTGATCTGGGCAGGTGGGAGAATGGGCAAGACAAGGGAGAAGATTGGAGAGGGGACGGCAAGGGAAAGGAAGGTGAGGGTGAGGGATGGTATGTGTTGGTGATCATGGTGAGAGAGGCACGGGCGAGCAATGGGGTTTGACATACAGTGCGAGTGTCTCTTGGGCATAGACATAGACAAGTCCTTTTGAACATTGACGAATACATGCTCTACAAGGTCTGGGGCACTTCGACTGAGCCAGCAGCAGCAGCAGCAGCAGCATCGACGTCTCGTAGAACGTGACCCACGAGATACAGGCTACCTGCGATCACAACGAGCTCGTCAGGCGTCGTCGCAGCCAGCGCGGCACGAATGGCATCCACTGGCCTCACCATGGCGATGACAGGCTTTGAGGTCAGGGGCGTGGCTACGCTCTCCAGGTCTTGGACGCCGTATGGCTTTACCCAAGGCATGCCGTCGACCGGATCGAATGCGCACACAACCACGCGATCATTTTCCCGGACAAGCTCCGTCATTATTTCTCTTACGTCCTTACCAGAGCTCATGCCTAGTATCCAGGTCGCCGGGCTAGGTTGACGTGAGGGCAGACGATCGAGAAACTCGCGAAGACGCGCAGCACCTTCTCGATTGTGTGCTCCGTCGACGAGACAGAGCCTCGGTTCCTTGTACTCGTCCGACAGGACTGCCAGGTCTACCCACTGGAGTCGCCCCTGCCAGTTTCTCTTCACGGTCGCAATTGCTCGCCGCAGGTCTTTCAAGTTAAGAGGCTCGAGATCTAGCTCTTTCCCCACGATCTCGTAGACTTTTGTTGCTGTGGCAAGATTTTCCTGGGAGGAAATTCCTTCTGGGAAGTCCTCTTTGCCGAGGATAGAAACATGCTCGTCGCTCGCGTGGTAAGGCGAGCCGTTAGAAGCCGCAGCGGCCTTCAGAACGTCTCGTACAGATTGATGATTGTTGCGGTCGACTACCAGCGGTACGCCCTTTTTGGTGATGCCAGCCTTTTCAGCGGCGATTTTCTCCAGCGTATTACCCAGCATGTCTTGATGATCAAGCGAAATCCGAGTTATTGCGCTACAGAGAACTTCTTCAGGAGTCAAAATGTTTGTCGCGTCGAGCCTTCCGCCGAGACCACATTCGACTACAGCGACTTGCACCTTCCGCTGAGCAAAGATCTCGAAAGCGGTTGCCGTGAGCAGCTCGAAAGAGGTTGCACCGATCTTTCCGTCGGCATCTCGGCGCTTGACCAATTTCTCTACTTCTAAGAAGTGGTCTTTGTCCACGGTCTGCTCATTAAGAACGATGCAGTCATGGCGATACTTGAGATGGGGTGAATTGAATCGCCCGACATTGATACCCTTGCCATGCAGGAATGCCGAGAGAAAAGCAGCGGTAGTGCCTTTGCCGTTGGTACCGGCTATGTGTATGGCCTTCCAGGGAAGAATTGCATGATAGTCACGGACCAGCCTCGTTATCCGATGCAGTTGCAAGTCCATGAAGACATTGTTGCCGAGGTGAGCATCGGATGAAACTGGTGGTCGTGGACTTGCAGGAAATGAGTGAGATCTTGTTCAATGGTGGGCCTAGCCGTGCTCGGCCTAGCATTTTACCCTGAGATTTTTTCGATTCGCCAATCGCCTTGTCCCCGGCTGCGGCTGTCAGGCGTTGCCTAGCAACCGCGACGCCTTACGTGAAGACGCGGCTCAGTACCATGACTATCCATGATGGAGGGCCAGAGGGCTTCGCAGTCCTTGCAATTATTCGTCCAACCGCACGCTATCGTGCACATGCGCGTCTATCAGAGTTTATAGGCTCGGTTGCTGCAAAAGCATCAGTCACTGTGGCTGGACGCGGCAGCACCGCTCTATCTCACTGCATGTTTACACCTGCAGAAAACCTGCCACCTCGATAGCCACCTGAGTAGAAGATCTCGCAGCGCTCGCATAAGCAACCTTCCCTGTTAAACAACGGCTCTCTACACACCATCATGGATATATAACACTACAAGACTAGGAGGGACAAGATAATTCATTTCGATTCCGAGACAGACTCGGACGGTCGCAGGACGACCCGCACCCGACGCCGGTCATATTTGAAATTGTGAGATGATGGTCACTCGAGACGCCGAGCGATGAGACCACACTGCAACCTTGCGTCTCTTCTGGCTGTGGCGACGCCAGTATTGAGCGCTCAATTCCCGTACAGCGCGACGACACTCCTCACGGCAGGCAACGGCTCAATCACGTATGTATTGGACCCGGGCTCTGGTTCTCAGGCGTCGCTAGGGGTATTCAATGCTTCTGGCAGTATCGCCGCAAATTCGCAATCGAACACACTTTTCACGACGCTACCGTTCCTGTCGAGCTCCGAATCAAAGCCATATATTCCCCTTGTCGACGACCAGGGCATCACAGTGCTGACGGGAGACTGCGATACAAATGGCGGTGCGCCGGAGCTGTGGCGTTTCGCAGCCTCGTCAGGTGGCATCAATGGGACATGGACAAAGCTGAAGCTTTCTGTAAATGGGTACAACCTCAAACCGAACTACCTGTCCGCAGGAGTCGCTTTTCCTGCTTCTGACGACGATGTCGTCCCAACATTATACGCCTTTGGGGGCATGTGTCCCTCCAGCGCTTCGTCGACTGCGAGCGACTGGATCGCCGATGCCAACTATTCCTCGCAGATGCTAGCACTCTCGCCCGCTACGTCGACTGATCCGTTGTCACCATACAGCATGGCGGCCGCCGGTTTAAGGGCACCTCCTATACCGGAAGCGGGCCTGACCATGACACCGCTTGCAGCAGCATTCTCAGGTTCCGGACCAGCATCGCAACAACAAAATTTTGTGCTCATCGGTGGTCATACCCAGAATGCCTTCATCAACATGTCACAGGTCGCAATGTTTTCATTGCCGCAGGCTCGTGGGCTTTTCTGCCTGTTGCTCAGCCGCAAGAAAACGACAACACTGAGCTAGTGCGAAGAGACAGCGTAACCGTCGAGCCAAGATCCGGCCACACTGCGGTTTTGACTCAAGATGGAACGCAGATTGTCGTTGTTGGCGGTTGGGTAGGGGACACCAATACTCCTGCTCAGCCACAGGTCGCCGTCTTGAATGTGGGCGAGGATTATGGCGGCCGGGGCGACTTGCAATGGTCGGTTCCCACAACGAAAAGCCCTTTCAGCGCCACTTCTGGGATTTATGGCCACGGAGCCACTCTCTTACAAGGTGGCGTAATGATGGTAGCTGGTGGATTCGGCATTGGCAGCGGCGCCTCGAAGGCCAAAAGACAAAGCAGCAGCAACTACCACTTCCTGAACACCACCTCTATGGAATGGAGCACGTCTTACACTTATCCAAGCTCAGCGTCCGGCCCGAGCGTGGACAGCAATAATTCAGCTTCCAGTGGCCTGAACAAGTCGGAAAAGGTCGGCATTGGTGCTGGTGTAGGATTGAGCTTCGCGGCGATTGCGATCATTGTGTCCGTATGGTTCTGGTACAGTCGGAGAATCCGCAGGGAGCGCTATTTGAGGGAGAAGGAGTTGCGAGAGCTCGCACTTGGTGCTGAAAGGTCGTTCGATCCTGGAATGGATGGAGGTGTCGACCAGAGATTTCCCGAACGTCGCTCGGCAAGCTGGGCTGATATGCAAGAGAAGTCAATGCAGGGCGTCAGTCGCTCCTTGCCCTGGAACAACAATCATGTCGACGATATCCGACAAGCAGAGAGAACAGGCGCTCATATGGACGTCCCAAGCCCGACGCGGGGTCTTCGCAAGAACTTACAAGCACGGCCTCAATTCGGTCAACAAGGCGGCTATCTGCCCGGAGGTCCTCCTGGCTCGGTCTTCAGGATAGACGAAGAGGAGGAGAACAGCCAAAGTGGCTCCTTGCGCAAGGTCCGGACGCCGCAACAAGTCGTTGATCGAAGCTCAGCATATAGTGACCCTTTCAAGGATCCTCCTCGGACAGCCGATTCTGCCGATGACGCAGCTGAACAGAGAAAGAAGGAAGTCCAGAGTTGGGTCGAGGACTGGCAGTCCGCCGCCGAGTCCATGCTATCTCGCAACCCAAGTCAAGCCCAGACCGACAGGACATACTCGAATCTTTCGCAAGCCTATGCTCCTTCTCACGCACGATCGAAGAGCAACGGCAGCAACCTACCATCTGGTCGAGGTTCACCCGAGAAGTCTGATCGCACAGGCAGCAATCTGTCTGAACAGAGTGTATACTCGCAGATGTCATTCCAACGATCTACTGCAGGAACAGTGTCGCGAAAAGAGTCGCAAAGGAGTGCAAGCGCAGGTCAGGCCATATTCTCTGGAGCAGCCGCAGCTGCACTGGGTCGTTTGAGAGGACAGCCACAGCCTGACAGCGCTGATGTAGCGTCTCGAGAGAAGCTTCGAAGCGCAGCGTGTCTATGCGCGACTATTTCCTGACAAGTCGACAGCCAGAGATGCGAGAACGGACAGACACGTTCTCGTCGTCGCCAGAGCGAAGATCTTTTGGCCCTATTCAGCCTGGAGAAAGGCATGCCCTACTCGGAAAGCTCGATACTCAATTCCCGCGTGGATATGGTGATGATGAAGAAACGTCTCCGACGAAAGCAACCCGAGAAGTGAAGTACACGCGAACGAGCAGCCTGACGAGTAGGACAGGCGCCATGGCCATGGGACTGTTGGGTAGTGTAAAGCGAGTTATAACCGGCACTGGAAGCGTCAACGTACACGACCGTGTTGCGGCATTTGAGAATAAGAGCGGCCAAACGAGTCCGACGAAGACCGATCGTGACGAATCACCCAAGCGGCCGCTCAGTCCGAGTCAGGAATTCTGGAAAGGCAAACAAGGACCACAAGATTGGGGCGACGCATCCGTATCACAATCAACGGGAACAGTCCGGCGAAAACCGTTGCCGAATAATGCCTTTCGACATTCTAGTGGCGATGCTGAGGAGTGGGACGTTGAAAGCGCTGTGCAGAATCGGGTGGTCCAGGTCATGTTCACCATGCCGAAAGAGAAGCTGAGAGTTGTCAATGCTGACGCGCTGAGCTTGTTGAGTAGCAATCAGAGTGATATAGACCACGAGGAAGCGAAGGACCGCGAGAAAGAGGTTAAACGAATGTCAAGCGTTCGAGAAGCTGACGAGCCTGACGCCCATGACAAGGGAAAGGTCTTGGGTTGCGATGTTGATTGAGGTACAGGCAGGCCTCCGGATGTACAGAGTTGTCTGGATACAGAGCGGGAGATTTGAGCGACTGCTTGGAGCTTGCCATGATTCGACGACGTAGACAAGGTCGTAGCTGCTGTATATACTGTCTTACTACCTGTGAATGCAATTACGATACATCATCACTGCTCGCATGTGCGAAACACTCATTAATCTAGAACTGGAAGCAGCAAATGCGACTGCACCTGACGCACTAGGCGGTCGCTGTTGCGGGGAAATTTGGCGGCTCGGTAGAAATCAACTTTTACTTCAACACGGCTTCCACCAATGCCGACCTCTCAATCCTCCCTAGATGCCCACCCAGGCGTGGAAGAGCTAGCAGATTCATTGCTGACGCTCGTGATCTATGGCCAGAATGGTGCCGATTACCGCCACCCAAACTTTCGCCTGGAAGTGTTCCCCGCCCTCACCACCTATGATGGCTCCCAACAGGCCGGTTGGAATTCCGCGACCACAGATTTGGGCTCGTGGAAGCGAGCTCGGCGAGATCTACTGGCAAAAAGTCTGGGGGAAAGCCAACTCGTGTTGGACTTCTGTTCTTACAACATCTCCCACAGTTGAGCGACCATCCCACCAGGAAAAATCGCGCCACAGTAAGTCCTGGTTCGGTTTCGAATATGGGCGACAGCATCACAGAACGTGACGAGACTCGAGCCGCGACTGCACGAGCACTGACACTGACGTCGCATGGCTAAACCCCGCCTGTATCCAGCAAAACATGCCCGGGAGCAGAGGAGTCGCAACCTCGACGGTCACGATCATTTTCACCGTCCTCTCAACCGTCTTCATCGCCGGTCGAATATTCACCAGAACGTATCTTGTGCGGAGTATCAAGAACGACGACTGGTGGATCCTCGCTGCCTGGTTCGTCGGCGTCGCATTCTCAACTTCAATATGCGTCGGCGTACGTTATGGTCTGGGTACGCACCGTGATGAGATCTCGGACGAGAGCTTTGCAGCTCTCAAGAAGGCCGAATATGCTTTTGCGATCTTGTACAACCCGGCGCTGATGCTCACGAAGACGTCAATTCTAGCCTTTTACTTAGCGGTTATGAGCAAGGATGTCGACAAGGTGTTCAAGTGGTGCAACTGGTTGACTCTAGCAGTGGTCAACATTGGTGGAGCGGCCTTTACGTTTCTCGCAATATTCCAGTGTCGGCCAATTCCAGCTGCTTACAGGTATCCCGTCGCCGAAGGTGCTAGATGTACGGATATTGTCACGCTATATCTTTCCTCAGCACCTGTCAACATCATCACGGACATTGCTATACTGCTACTTCCCATGCCGATCCTCACAGGTATGCGCTTACCGAAGAAGCAGAAAATCATTCTGGTTGTCACGTTCAGCTTTGGTGCTTTCGTTGCGGTTGTTGATGTCGTCCGGCTGGCGTATCTGCAGAATGCTGCATCTGACAGGATACACGAAGCGGTTACGAACAGCAGTTCTTCAACGACGTCTGGCACGCAGGGCGGAAACGACTTCTCCTGGGACGCCAGTCTGAGCTTCATGTGGAGCGCCGTCGAGGTCCATCTCGGCATACTCTGCGCCTGCGTGCCAGGACTTAAACCGCTATTTATGCGATTCCTTCCACAATTCATCAAAGACGCAGGCGACCCGGATACGCAACTTGACACTCGCGACAGCGTCGATGTAGGCCAGCCAAAGGCTATGGCGGCCCCGATGAAAGGCGGCGACATCTCAATGCTCAACAACCCTGCAGCCTTCCGTAAACCTGCAGTGAAAGAATACGCTGGCAGCGATGACGGCGACAATATGGGCTTCCTCAATATGCTCAGCGGACCAGATGACGACGCACCCGAGCTGAACAGGGCTGGTACTCGGAAGTCCACTTCTGCCATGTCGCGCACGTTGACACGGAAAAGTACAGCTCCCAGTGCGTCCGACTTCGGTTTTGTGAAAATGGCAGGCGCGAAAAATATGTTGAAGCTGAACAATCGGCAGAGCTGCTGGCCAATCGCGGTAGTGACAGTGATCTTCTTTCTTTGGGGCTTTGCGTACGGATTGCTCGACCAGCTGAATGCGCAATTCCAGCGAGTCGTTAAGATATCAACGGCGCAGGGCTTAGGATTGCATGCAGCATATTTTTCTGGATATCTGGTGGGACCGTTGACGTTAGGAAGATTCATACTGAAACGCTACGGCTTCAAAGCAGCGATGATGACAGGACTCTGTGTGTATGGAGCCGGCACCCTGGTTTTCTGGCCGTCAGCAGTACTCACTTCCTACGTTGCGTTTGTCATATCGAACTTCATCGTCGGTTTCGGCTTGTCGTGTCTGGAGATTGCAGCGAATCCATACATTGCGCTTTGTGGGCCGTTGGAGTACGCTGAAGTGCGACTAAATCTGTCTCAGGCATTTCAAGCCATTGGCACAGTAGTTTCTCCGCTGCTTGCGCGGAAGGCTCTTTTCGATCAAACGCAGGCTGGAGCGTCACTCGTGGACACGCAGTGGGCCTACCTGGGTATCGCACTCTTCGTGTTTGCACTGGCGATCGCGTTCTACTACATCCCACTTCCCGAAGCCAGCGACGAGGAGCTTGCTGAGCAAGCTGATCGGAGAGAAGCTGTCTACGCGACCAAAGTCGGCCCGTATAAGGTGATATACGTCACCCTTGCCTTCGGAGTCTTTAACCAATGGTGCTATGTTGGACTCCAAGAAGCTGTCGGCAATGAGCTGCAACCGCTCTACTCGCGTGTTCTTCCCAACGCAAGCCTGGCTCCTCCAGACTTCCAGACAGTCGCCCATACAGTCTTCGCAGTGGGCCGCTTCCTCGCAGCCTTTCTGAACTACCTGTTCAAGCCTCGCTGGATCCTACTGGGCTTGTGGCTTGGCATGATTCTCACAAACGCTCTACAGATGCGCTTGGCCGGCACTGGCGCCGCGGCCGTAGCCCAACTCACTGAACTGTTCGAGGCTGGCGCCTTCTCCATCATTTTCGCCATGTGCATGCGCGGCCTGGGGACACACACTAAGACAGGGTCCGCCTTCATGACAGCCGCCATCTCAGGAGGCGCCGTATTCCCACCCATTCAGTGGGCAGCGTCCAATGCTGGTGGAGTTCGCTACTCATATTGTGTGCCGCTCGCCGTCGCCTGCTTCGGTGCGCTCTTCCCGATCTACCTCAATCTTGTCCCAGCGGCGCGCAAGCAGGTTGATCCCGTCCACGAGAAACGTGCAGCACGCCGGGAAAGGCGGAAGCAGATCGTTGAGCGCAGCGATAGTACCTTCTCCACGGCGACGCAATCAAACGAGTTCGGTCTTCGTGGAATCTTAGCGCGACATCGGAAGGAGAAGCAATACAAGGAGAAGTCGCGAGCAGCCGAGGAGGTCGAGCACAGCAGCAATAGCTTTGCGCCTGGGACGACTGAAATGGCGGGAGGCAAGCCGCCGCTCTCTCCACTGACTATGTCTAGTCCAAACTGGAATCACGAAGAGTTCGTCCAGATGAGCTCGCCGAAGGGGCATATCGGAGACCTGAAGCCGTTCAGCGGCGACGCCACCGGGCGGTACTCCGAGAGCCACCAGGAGGAAAGCGCGGAGAGCAGTACAGCCGCCAGTGGAAGTGGAAGCTCGAAGAGCAAAGACTTTGCTTCTCGCGGTCAGCAAGCGGAGAGGGGACCGACTAGACATCGGCCCAACTTCAACGATGCTGATGACGACGACGACTCGGAAGTAATTGATTACCATGCTTTCATGCGAACATGAAGAGAGGACGGACTGTGTATAGGGATGCATGCCTCCGCACCATTTGGGGGTGGTCCTAGCATGAACTGTAGCGAGGCTGAAGGAGCCCGCTAGCTTATGGGGGCTTGCTGCTTCACTCTTACCCTATCGGTTGATTGTATAGCGTTCCAGCGACTGCGTCTTCATATAACGAATCTACGATACTTCTCCTTGTGCTATTGCTTCTCATGGAAGTCAAGTCAAGCGAAACACAGAATACCCCACTTACATACCGATGATCTCATCGACAAAATGCTTGAGAACGACCCGTTCAATAAATTGTGACTTGCAGTGCCCTGCCCATTACATGGCAGGATGTCATCGTCGACCGAAAACACCGACATCTCGTCCGCAGCGACCAACGCCGGGAACGCGCCAAATTTGAATAGCCACGACAAGCCATGCACCCTCTGCAGTACTCCACGACCTGTTCTCGTGCGCTGCCAGGTAGGAGAAAGCAGAGAAGTATGAGTAGGATGGATGATAACCAACTCAGGTCGATGACACCGGCAAGTGGCACTTCGTTTGTCCTGGGAAGTGCTGGACCTCTGTGTCCGGCGGCGTAGAGGATGCGAAGGGGCTGGAGGGCAAGTACCCTTACTATAGATATGGCGGCATGGTAAGTTCGTACCAAATGGGGCGCCTTTCGCGATGAAACGCAATGCTGAAGATAGAGGCGTCCGGTCCCGTGATTAAGCGAGCTGGACACGTGCTGATATAAGGTGCACTAGTGGAAGAATAAACACGCGGACGGTCCATTGAGTGCAAAGAAGCCCAAACGAGTCAAGGAGAGGCAGAAGAGACAGAGAGCGCAGGGGAGAGGGGAGCGAGCAGCCCAGACAGAATGCAACGGCGGCAACGATAGTGATGGTAGCGACAGGAACAGCAGCGACGGCCGTGGGGGCGAGGCTGGCGGCGATACTGGAACACATGAGATCAGCGAGGAGACTTATTGAGGATGTCTGCCGGGTTGCTGAGCCTTGCCCCAACTCCTACCTGCAACGAAGCTCGGTTGCGGCGCTGACCGACTCTGTGACAGTGACAGGTGTCAGTTGCACCGAAAGTGACGGCGTACAATATCCGTTGAATTGCCATGTCTTTGGACTCGGCTCCCGCCGGTTCGAGCCTGAGGTCCAGCCAGCAAGTCGTGGTCTGAAATGCCTAGACAAATGCTGTGTTTGAGTTGGCCGTCCAAGCGTGCTCTGAGCTACGCTTTGCAAGTTGCAATGCTTGGGAGACCTGCTATGCACCCTCTTGCCAGTCGCGATCGAATCAGCAAAGCCCAGCCACTGTATACTGTCGAAAGTTTGGAAAAGTGCCGCATATCGGCGTTGCATCGCGCCTGCATCTGCATATTGTACATGGGTAAATGCCATGGCAAAGCCGTTGGGATCGGTTGGCTACCCGTTCGTGGGAGCTGCAGGTACAGACCGCTATTCATCCAATTGGCCAGTAAGGCCCTGAGAGGGTGGTATAGAAACTGCAGTCAAGTGTCGTGGGCATTGGCGGCCACGCGATGTGCCATTGTATATGGGCCGTCAGAGTTTTCCTGCAACAATTGTGGGTGTGTACTGTATGCACACGAAGTCGAGCGTGCCTGAAAATTCCTGCCCTTGCAGGAGCTGCAGGAACGTCGAGAGGAATGGAGTTTCGTCTCCTTCCATTGTTGCTTACGCACCCCATCGGGCAATCGGCTTCAGCGACTCCCAGAATGTCTGTTGTCGCTGAGTTCCTGCCTTACTTCACAGTGAGAAAGACGAAAGAAGTCAGCCTGATGAAAGGAGCGAGTTGCGGCCGATCCTTGCTCGCGAAGTTCACCCACAACATGTCCCTGGTAGGCGAACTTTTGAGTGCCGAACGCTCAGGGGAAAGAGCCAATCCTGCCTTAGAGCTTGTGAATAAGCTTCATTCGGGATCTGCTCCCGGGTCTGCCACGCAAGTTCATCCGGGTTTCATCGCGGGCCAACGTTCTTGGAGTCAAATTCTGCGTCGTAAACACCGCCGAAAAACGTAACCAGGCATGCGGTCTCGTCCAGCGCAGAGCACAGCACGCCAGGATGGCTGTAGGAGCATGTGTGGCTCATGACAAGCCTAGAGGCCATCAGAGGCGCAGAGCGCGAGCAAATGATGTTTCTCGGCTTCGAGTAAGCCTCTCTTCGGCATGGTGGCATCCCTGCTGGCCCACGTTGTCAACACGACTAGCCCGCTGGTCTCGGACCAACAGCTCATCGGGCGCAATCGCAAGAAATCCAGTTCTGCTTTCTCTCCATCCCTCCCTTCTGCATCCCTCAGGCGGTATTCTACAGACCGCAGCATTCGTTCTTTGTTGCGACCGCTGAGTCGGTCCCACCAATTCATTCATTCTTTATCCCGGCCTTCCCACGGACTCCCAAGTAGCACACTTCTTTGTGCCAGATTTATCTCACTGAGACCTTTCATTTAACAGACAGTCTCTTGACTAGACGTCGAGACTCGCCTCTCCCTTGCCCTCAGGACCATTCATTCTCTTGAGACACCCCCAAACAAGACTGCTCTTCAGCAACTTGCCCTTCAGTCCACTCATTGCCGGTCCAATTCCAGCCTTTGAGAGGAAGAACAAGGTCGTCGCGCTCTGGTAGAAGCTGCGTCGCAACACCATACACCACCGAACGGCAGAACGAACTCCCAACTATACCAACAGACACCAGCACCCTTACCGAGATGGCCCCTCTCAAGTCAGTGCTCGTCGCCGCCTTCGCGCTGGCCTCTACGGCCTCCGCCATCCCTCTCGCTGTCGAAAGGAGAGATGCCGCGCCCAACGTCGTTACCGAGACCGTATGGGTGACAATGGATACTACAACCACTGTATGGGTCCCAGCTTCCCTCAGTACTCAGGCCCCGCCTCCACCTCCTGCAGCCGCGACCACGACTACAACCCCACCAGCTCCAATTGTTCAACCTGTATTGACCTCGTCTTCACAGCCTCCTCCACCAGCGGCACCCACAGACGCGCCGGCCGCGTTCGCTGCTGAGGCTCAACCAGCTCAACCAAGTCAGTCTACTACCCCTGTTGCGCCGGTCGCTCCAGTTGTCTCAACCCCTCAATACAGCGCCCCTCAAGCTGCTCCCTCTCCAGCTCCTGTCTCACAATCATCAGGACAAGTCAGCGGCGGCCCTTGCCAGGGTCAGGGCAATGCCTGCACAGGCGACGTGACTCACTACGATGGTGGTCTCGGAGCTTGTGGCTGGAACGTCAACACTGCCAGTGACATGCAAATTGCCCTGCCATACGGCTTGATGGGCACCCTCTCCAACAGCAACCCTTACTGCGGCAAGAGTCTCAGCATCAAAGCCACCGACGGCTCCATCGTGCAAGCGACTGTCGGCGACAAGTGTATGGGTTGCGAGGGCGACTCCATTGATCTGACGGACGCTCTGTTCAAGGCTGTCGCTCCCAACGGCGACGGTCGTGTCCATGGCGTGCAGTGGTGGTTCAACTGAGCTTGTCCGGGGACGGTACCGTCGCGCGAACAACATCTATGACACATCCCATCGTGCTCGATCTGGGTCGACCCACTCTCCTTCACGACTTCGCTTCTCGCCCCAGGAAATTCAAGCAAAGCACGTCCAAACTTTTCACTTCTTTTTTAACGACGTAACGACACGCAAAGGACCCGGAAAATCACGCATGCAAAGGCGCACGATTGGAAAATTGAAAAGTCGCAACAGGGACAGGAAAGGAGCGCATCTCTTGACGAGACGCCGTCACTGATCTGTTCCTCCGCACCCCACGAGCCGCTTCGCCCACATGCTCGCGACTTTCTTGCCGCGGGCGAGTGAGCGTGGTACACGTGGAAGACTGCACGGTATCACCATTGCCACGGTAGCGGCATTTCGGGCTTGGGACGGGAACCCATATTTGGAAAACTCCCAGCATCTTGAACATATCTAGACATGCTATACTCTCCTGGCTGCCTCTGGACTTGACAGACATGATTGGAGAGCTAGATGCTTCCCATGCAGTCAATGTTGTGGGGCGAAGTCGTGTCCTCTCTGTTCAATTACGCAGCCTTGGCTTGTATGCTGAGCGAGAGGATAGGAAGTTGGTGCATACTTTTTACATACAAATTCAAACATTTGCAGACATAATTGATGGTCTTTATGTCCTCGGGATGACCACTTTCATTCAGTGATATTCCTCTGCTCGAACGAATCTCTTCAGGTGTGGTGACAGGGGTGGCTGTCCACTTAGCCATCGATATTTCATCCAGGCGTTGTATCATGATCGTGACCGGGCCAAGCTTCAGGCTTAACTCAGACCGGTCGACAAAGTCCAACTTATCTGTCGTCCGGCAGGAGCGAGTAAGGCTGAGATAACCGACGATGCTTGTCGCTACCTTCGAAGTAGGTCTGAGAAGTAGGACTATGGCCGGCGTGGTTCTTTTCCTGCTGCTGTGGGCAATCCTTGGTTCCTGGCGCTCGGGAAGGCGCTGACAGCCCATCAGGCCCAGGTTGAGACTTCCGTCACCTTTGGTTTTCGGGGGCAGCATAGCTCGACGAGACAAGGAAGTCTTGCAAAGCTTCACGAAGATCTCGGCCTTCCCGCAAAGGCTCAACATCATGCTTCTTCACCAGTCCGATGTGATTGTTCCAGCACACCCTCATCCCAACCCCGGCAGCTCCTTGTATATCGGTAGGGCTGCCAGCCAGAAACAAGGCTTGCTCCGGGATCAGATCCAACTTCTCGAGCACGTCCCTATACGGTTGTGGTTTGGGCTTGTAGTTGCCACTTTCCTCTGCCGTCACGACCGCATCAAAGGCGAAATCCTCGGATCCGGTCTTCTCTCTCACGAACCTCTCCGTGTTCTTCACGACGCGTCGTCCGAGCTCATCCGAGATGTTCGTGGCAACTCCTAGCTTCATACCTTGCCTCTTCAACTGAACAAGGACTTCTGGTACTTCTGGCCAGGGCTCGATTTCGAGATAACGCTGGAATAGAGCCTCGGGGGCTGCCTTTGAGAGCCCGACGTCGGTAGCGCCTTGTTCGACGAGACTTTCGTATGGTTTGTAGCTTCCACATGCAAACGCGAGCTCTAAGTAGCGCTTGCGCCATGTTGTGCCGTCTGTGATGTGTCGTTCAGATTCTGGGATGACAGCGTCCCAGACGGCCCAACTGTCCAACAAGCCAGTCAGGAGGTCAAAAATGACGGCTCTGGGCTGTGTCATGGTGAGAAGTTAAGTCAATGGTGTCCCGCTCTTGTGATCTGTTTTTGCGTAGCTATTTCCGACGCCTGTGCTGTGTCGACTGAGGGATGCTCGTGGCACTGACTGGCATATATACGATCCTGGCACAACGTTTAGGCGGGGTTCGTAGCATCTCCACGATTGTCGCAAGTCTAAGAATCCGAATGCACCCGCGAAGGCGGTAACTTGACGTGAGGCTCGAGGTGAGTTTGTCGAAGTGGGAAGAGAGCTTCACGATAAGCCTCCGGGCAGTAAGATGATGCTGTGGAAGTATGGTGGAGTGTCACCTGATGTTCGAATATTAAAGTTTCGAACGATGCTTGTACGTTTGAGATCGATATCGAATATCAGCGGAAGCACTACAGTACACAAGAAATCCGGTCTTATGTTCAATTTGTTGAGAACCAGTTCCCTGCAACTCGCGGCGGAGCTGATTCTTTCGACCAGAGCAAAAGTGGGTGACTGAATTCCAATAGGAGCGATTACCTTCGTGATCATGATGCCATCTCATAGAACCTCAGTACCTTGAGCGTCCCCTGCCACCACGAACGCCCCCAGACCCGTTCACCGGCAGCCGTTCCCCTCTCCTCCACTCCCCAGCCGGCACCGGCGCACCGAAATCGCCTCTTCCTCTCCCATAGCCGCCACCTGGCAGTCCACCACCACGTCCCGGACCTCCTCTTGCACTGTAGCCATTCTCCCTGCCACCCCGCCCACCATATGTAGGCTCCATCGCACTACCCCTGCTCACCACACTCCCATCACTCAAAGGGGGAAACACCGCGACATCCACAAAATCTCCGATCACAAACCTTGCTTCCTCAAGCGTTTTGTCTGCATCCTCTCCACCCAAGTCAAGACCATCCGTACCATTCTCAGTGTGGCCATTCTGATCCTCTTTCCCCTTCGCCGGCGCACTTATCACTACCGACCCCATCTCTCGCGTAGTATACCTCCCCCTCCCACCACCATCATCCCACAACCTCCCACCTCTTCCCTCGCCCCCACCCACACTACGCATATCCGGGTACACCAGCCTGAACACCAGCCTCGTCCCCACTGCCGTCTGTCCTTCCGGCACCAAACTCGGCAGCGCACTCGTCAACAACAGCGCAAGTTCGCGTAATGTGCAGTCCATCCACGTGTAGATCTCGACGTGTGGAGGCAGGCGCGGTTTCGGGTCCTGTGGTGTGGGGATGGGGAAGGATGGGAGCGGGTTGAAGGCGGAGGTGCGGTAGGTGAAGTTTAGGAGGAAGGGGCACGTTGTCGGGCGGTCGATGTGTGTCGAGGAGGGCCCTGTGGGAGGTGGTGAGGCGGACATTCTGGGCTGGTACAGGTGCTAGGTATGTAGGCAGCGTCGAGGGTGGTGGTTGCGCGCGTCGCTGGCGGAGGTGGGCGGCGATCTTTAGTCTGCTACACGAGCATCTTGTTGATGTGTTATCGGGCTGCCTAGCGTAGTTGAGGGATTGGGCAGATAGCAGTATGTTGAAGATGCTAATGATCAACATGCATGTCAAATCATAGGTGAGTTAACGGTACCCGACTCTATGTAGGTACCGAGGTCATGTATCCACAATTACGAGCTGTCGATCCCCGAACCTAACCTAGACTCCTGAATATTCGAAGGCAGCGAGGTGGACTTCACAGAGCACTACTCACTACACATTTTGCATGTGTGCTTGGTGAAGTCATGAGCGACGTTCGAAGACCGAGCTGCCGATATCACACAGAGGGTGTGGTTGGCCGGGCGGTCATTGATGGAGGAGCTCAGTTCAACTATCTGAGCTATTCACCTACGTCGATCATTTTGTCATCGACTCCCGAGATCTCCTCCCAGAAATGAGCAATCGTCACACGACGCGCCTGTACAAGTCCCAAATGTTCGTCGTTCTGTCTTCATCTGCACCAGATCCCTCCCAGTACATCCTCGCCTTCTCTAAGCTTGGTGAAACATGGCAAGAGTCTGTCCGAAACCATTCCGATGATCAGCTCCAATAGCTGCAGGCTGGCCATTAACGTTCACCATGTTGACCGACGCCTTGGTCGTCAGGCCAAATAGGTACACCTCGTTCGAACACTGGATGTCGATCATGTTCTCCTGGCAGCTTTCCGGTCCCAAGCAGGTTTGATCATAATCCTCAAAGAAGGAGTACAGTCCGCCTCCAAGCATGTACACGTTCGATGAATCGAGGACTCGCAGTCCCCAAGTCTTCTTGCATGCGCCAGTTGTGCAGTCCGAGAAGTCTGGATCAGAGTAGCTTGGGTTTGGGGTGAAGCCACTACCAAGTGCATCTGGAAGTGACTGCATGTATGCAGTTTCTGTCTGGATGAAGCCCATGAAGATGTCTCGAGCATTGCTGACTTGGTAGTTGTACAGGACGTGGTGCTCAGATGAAGTGCCGTAGAGCCAAACTGGACCTTGAGATTCGATCAAGACACCGCGTCCGTTGTAGATATTGAGCTTGTCTTCGCCAGGCTTGTCCAGCTCGTGGTCAGCGACCCAAAACCAGCAGTTCTCGAAATAGGCGGTAGCTTCTTGCGTGATGTGCATCATGAGGAAAGCACCATAGCAGTTTGAGTTGAAGGTCTTGCTATCAGGTGTCGATCCGCGGCACTGATCAGTCTGGAGTTGTGTGCCTGCAGATCCACCAACGCGGATGTGGACGTCCCACATGCCGTTGACACCTTGTTGGCCAGTAGGGTCCTGAACATTCCATTCCATGATGATGGCGCCTGGAGCTGGACCACGAGTCTCGAACATGAGATCTGTGATTTCGACCGAGCCCGCATCGCCTGGCTGGCCAACACGGAAGACTGGCTGAGGACTGTTGACATCACTGAATGAAGGGCCATCAACCATGATAAGAGGCCAGATCTCGCCAACAATGCGGATATCTTTCGGTACATTGATTGTTTTCTTGACGAGGTAAGCACCATGGTCGAAGTAGACGATCTGACCTGTGGTAGCAGAATTTAAGACGTTCTGGATTGCATCAGAGTCGTCAGTAATTCCATCGCCTCTTGCACCCTGAGATTTGACACTGATAAACGAAGATGCTGGAACATCCTGATATTGCGGCTTAGCTCGTTCGAACAGTGCTCCGTTGGAGTTCAGTAGCGAGCTGGAGAACGACGGTTTGTTCCAGACTTGCGCGAGAGTCGTAGGCTGAGCAGCGGCGGCGGGACTCTGGCACGCTCCTGGTACTCGCTTTGCAGTGGAGCTTGCGGAGGCTGAGGCTGAGCTGGTGGAAGACGCTCCAACACTGCTATCGACAGATGGCTCGGGGGACGAAGTGGGTACGGTGTTCGTGGTGCTCGTGGAAGTCGTGGAGCTCGGGAAGCTCGTGAATGTCTCGCTTGACACGCCTGCAGGAGACAGACTGGCGCCGGCAGTTGAGTCGCTTCCTGTCGCGGTGCTGACCACAGAGCCATCAGAGGCAGTGAAGAGTGTGACGACTACAGTTGTCCACGTGGTCGAGGTCGCTACAGCGGCGACAGCAGCGTTAGTAACGCCGACGGCAGAAGTAGGAGATTCTGTCACAGAGCCTGGAATGGGGAAGTAGTTGGAGGTAGATTCGACGCATCCGTCCATCGGTGTGTTTGCTTGAGGAGCCCGCTTAGCGGCTGAGTTTGGACTGTCAGCAGCGAGAGCAGGACTTCCCTCTTCGGCTGCAACGTAAGCATCACCCTGAATCCACATGCCAATTGATGAACCGCCTGGAAGGATGGTGTCGCCGTTCACACCAATGATCGCGCTCGTCGTACCAGAAAAGTCAACGTTCTGCACGACAAGTGTGCCAGCCGTGTCTGGGAGGCTGGTCGCGTTGCGCGAAGTCTTGATGCCAGCGGCGGAATTTCTGATGAAGCTGTCCACCAGCAGAACAGACCCGACTGTCTGGTTGACCCCGTTTTGCAATGCGCTCATATCGATCGCGACATCAGCGCCGGTCACTGAAACTGATTTGAATGTCCACAGCCAGTCCCAACCAAGCTGAATAGCAGTCTGACAGCCAACAAAAGTCAAGTTGCGTGTCGTGAATTGCTGGTTACTAACAGCCATCCCGATCGCACCTCCGTTGAATGTCAAATCCGACATCATGCCTCCACTGCCGTTCTCCATATAAATGCCTTGCTGCTTGTTGGTACCACTCTTCGGCTTCATGTTGAAGACGAGGTTCTGCAGACTTGTGGCTTGAGCAACTTGCCAGTGCAAGCCAGCAGGACCGGAGACGCCATCAGGGTTGACCTCAGGCATGTCAGTCAAATCGATATTGAAATTGCGAAGTTGTCGAAAGAAGTTGTTCTGATTACGATACCAGTTGATGCCACTACCATCAGGATTCTGCTGGCCAGGGTAGTACGGGTTGGAGTCAATGAGTGCGATACCCTCAAACGTCGAAAGACCTTTGATTGTTGGAATTTGCACAGCGTCGCCAACCATCTGTGTATAGTACGGCATGACGATAGGCTTGGAAATCCGATACGTGCCTGGAGGAAAGTAGACCAGCGCTGGCAGAACGGTTGAGGAGTTGCAATTATCAAGACACCGATTGCCATCAATCATCGCCCGAGTAATGGCCTCGAAATCGTCTGTGTTGCCATCTCCGGTCGCGCCGAAGTCGTGGACATTGCGAAACACTCGGTAGCCATCGGACGGCGGAATAGGAGAGTCCGTAGTGTATGCGACGGTGCCCTGGCGCTGTACTTGCGATAGCCACCAGGAAGATGCTGAGGCTTGCCGACTCTCAAATTCGTGATTTGAAGGAGCGCTTTGGACCAGCCAAGGTGCGCAGACCGAGAGAAGCAGAACGAGAAGTCCGAGTTGTGCCATAGCTGTGCCGGGACAGAACTATTTTGGAGTATCTGTGGTGTGCGTGCTGTGGTAGACGGGGGTGATGAAAACAGGGCCGGACGTGATTAATATCTTGTTGAAGTTCTTGCCTGCGCCCTAGGCTATTCAGAGTCAAACAACAATAGCGGCGCTGTTGGCCGGGCAGGCTGATTGATGCTGTTGCTGGGGAGGTCAATTCACTTGTGCTGTTGCTATCTCCGTTTGATTCCGATCAATAAAGGCAAGAGAAGGCCATGCTGAAGATGAATAGGTCCACAAGGAATAATCACAGTCGCTGAATAAACGAATGACAAGAAAAGAGTGTGATGGAAAAGAGCGGATGGGTTTTGCTGAGGTTCAGTGCTGTGATGAAGGAAGGCAAGAAGGAAAGGCAAGTAGGGCAGGTGCCTCTGTGATCAGGTCACTTGAGTGCCCAAGACAACATGACCTTTGCTTCTTTCACTTGAACGTTCTCTCGACTTACTCATTCGGTCTTCGAACTAGAGCTGCACCCAGCATATTCTTGATGGAACCATTGACCTTTTGATTCAGGATTCGGACCTTATTCTGTGCTGTAGGCGGAACTCAAACCACTTTCCGCTCTGTGCAAGTACAATCCCCAGCATCCGGAATGCACTGATCCTCCCCCTGGACCAGCCAGCAGGACATCTCGGTCGGGCAACCGCATGGAAGCGACAGAGACCCAAAGTTGGACCCAGTCCCATGATTCGACTGGTAGACAAAGAATGGAAGATTGACACACATTTCAGGCGGAGCTTAAAAGTGGCCCAGGGTGTGACCTCTGAAACATCCTAGCCCGTCGTCAAGCAGGTATGCCAGGCACAGGCGGCGATGATACAGTGACTTCAACTCCTCTTTCTGTCTGTTGCAACATCGACCTGAGGTACGGCAGCTCTGTGGTGCTGCGATCACCAGGGCGGCTAGGGAAGGGGTCAGCTGGAAACAGTCAACGTCGTCCATCGGCAGTTGTTGCATCACGTCTTGGCTGGCCCGAAGCTTCTGATTGGTAGGGGAAATGTCTGAGGCTACAGCGTTCACGCGTGAATGCTGAAGATACCTTCATCGCGTCCTCAGTATCGTCCAGGAATCGTTGACTCGGAAGGAGGCAGCTGTTCGTCGCACAACTCACCGACATGCCCAGTTGATCGCTAAATCGCAGCCTTGGGATACGTCGGCATGCTAATCTTCGATGTGTCACATTGCCCTGCCATGATCATCTGCCACGGGCTTCCTGACCGGATCGCGTGGCATCCAGGACAGATACGTCTACCGCTGTTCTTTGCAGAAACCTTGGTCTTTCAAGCCTGTACAGTTGTATTCAGTGAAATCAACCTGAGCTCCAGTGCGTTGAACGAAGAAGGTGCCTTGCTCCTAGCTCTGGGCCGCGGTTAGGGGCGCCGCTCCAGCACGGCAAACTGACCGATGACAAACCGCTTGGCTTGAGGGGCACCACAGTAAGAGTATCATACACAACTCTGTCGAGTAACATTCAAATCACCAAGAAACATCTCACACAGCTAGTTCGCCCTCGAAGCGCTTCTCAGGTCAGTACAGCAGGCCTACAACACCGCCCAATACCTCCGCGGATAGCCATTCATGGCTGACCACCCGAACCAAACATTCAATCCGTCCTCCCATTCCCCATTCTCCCCAACCTACAGCCACATCTCCCGCATCCCCCTGTCCTCCACTCACACACTCATCTCCGTCGCCGGCCAAGTCGGCCACAACCCCACCACAAACACCACCGGCGCCACTCTAGCAGAACAATGCACCATCGCCTTTGCCAATGTCGACAAGTGTTTAGCCGCCGCCGGCGCGAGGAAGGAAGACATCGTGCAGGTGCGGCAATATGTGGTCGACCTACTGAGGGGAGGAAAAGGCCAAGATCCGGAGAGAGCGAGGCTGTATGTGGAGTGGATGGGCGGGTTGAAGCCGCCGAGTACGTTGTTGGGGGTCGAGGCGTTGGCGCGGGAGGATTTGAAGTATGAGATTGAGGTCATCGCTGTTGTGAGGTCGGAGGGGTGAGGTGTGGGCGGTGCTGGGGATGAATGTAAGTAGCTGAGCTGGTTTCTGGAGAACAGATTCAGGAGTGGAGGATGTTAGTGCTTGAGACATGAAGGTCGGAGAGAGTCGTAGGAATGCGAAATGTGAGGCAGATGCAGACAACCATGCGCAGCGTTATTAGCAACGGAAAAGGGACTCATGATAGACTGGCTGAATGGCGAACGTTGTGCCTATTGGCAACTTTTGATACACTATCTTCGTTCATTTCGCTGTGTAACGCTAGATTCGTACAGGTAGCCAACTTCGTTACACTCGCCCAGATCACCATCATGCTAGAAGCGTATCCTGCTATCCAGATGCATGCCAGCATGGTCTCCAGGCGTTGCAGTAATCATGTACAATTCGTCTCTCGGTCTGCAACTCGACAAGAGAAACCTAGTATGCTCTCTTCTCCGGACTACGACTCCGGCCCCTCGCTCCTTGTCCTTTGCTTGGGCTTTGGTGCCACTCAATCTGCCTATTCTCGCCCCACGCAGTATCGTTCTGTCGTCGTTCTGTGCTAGGCGTCTGCGGTTCGTACGGCAGCGCAGGTGTGTTGGGCATGTAGCCCACTTGAGCTGGAGGTGCGGCATAGCTAGGATGCTGATAGCTCGCAGACGGGTGAGACATGTATTGAGGAGGATGGCTCTGGTAGTTGTCGTGCGGTCGCCGCAAGTAGACGAAGGTAGCGTTCGAGACGACGAAAGAGGTGACCACAATAATGACGCTGAATGCCAGAGTTCTGAAGCTGATGGGCTCGACGAAGCTGTTGAAGATCTGGGCGAACGTCTGTGCCGACAGTTGGGCACGCTTGACGGCTTGAGGGTCGCGTTCCATGCAGATCTTCCAATTCGAGCAGGTCTGTTCGAGCGCAGGCAAAGGCTTCATGCAATTGTTCTCCAGATACTGCCGATTGCAGTCCTTGATCTCCGAGATGATCACAGCAACGGCTTCGTCTCCAGCGCGGTCGACATCGGCTCGGACTGTTTGGTAAAAGGAGAAGATGATCCAGCCGAAGAATGTGAGGAGTGCGAAGTTGAAGAAGACTTGAAGGTAGCGGGAGAGGATGGCGGGCAAGTCTGGGTTTGAGCTCAGCAGCGAGAAGAAGCTGGAGAGAGCGTGAGGCTCTGGTTGTGGTGGCGGAGGTGGGAGTGCTTTGTCGTGCTGTTTGGATGGTGATCGCCTCACGACCGTGATGGGCTCATCGTCGCTGGATGCAACGTCGCTGTCTCGTCGAACAACCACCATCTGCTGTTTATCGAGAGCTCTCCGCCTTCTCTTGTGTATTCTCCGTTCCAGCACATCGCTGAAGGGTCGTGTGATTCGTGATGATGTAGGTGCGAATCTGCCATACATCCCAAACAGCGAGTTCCGCTTGGTGGACTTTGTGGATTTTGGCGGACTAGCCTTGAATTCGAATTTACCATCTGGTGTCTCTTCGTTGTCGGCTTCCACAGGCGACGAGTTCTCGGGTCCAGAGGAGAAGTCAACATCGATCTTGCGGGGAGTAGTGAAGGACGGTGCTCGGAAGGGCGATGTTGATGGCGTTGGCGGTAATGGCATGTCTGAGAAGAAGAATGGCTTGCCGTTCGGAGGACCATAGGAGGGCGCTTGTGACTTGTTGCTCGCTTCGAATTCATAATGTGTGCCTGAAGGGTAAGAATACTGCAATGAAGAGTTCGAGCCACTCAACTTACGCTTCTTGTTGTGTTGCTGCTCCATGGCGAAGCGCGAGAAGGGCGATGTTGCGTCTAAAGGGCCGTTGCTTCGTACTGCCAGTCCATCGGCGCTTCTGTACCTCTGAAAGACATGTTTGATTTGTTTGCTGCGGGAGCAATTATTAAAGCAAGACAAGCCAAAATCGCAGTTCGACTCAGTTGCCTGCAAGGCGGCCCCGTTCAGGTACGGTTGCCGCGGCGATCAACACTGAAGATCTAATTCCGCTTGTCTCCGGTGCGCGTACTTTTGGAGATGGAAAGATTCCAGCAAAAACGAAAGACTTAAAGTATTGGTCTGTACCAAGGCAGTAACCTTGGAAGCCTCCTCGTTGTACGTGACACCGTGAAAGGCATGTATTGAGGCACATTGGGGCAGCGGGATGTCAAAATAGGGCAGATCTGGGTGTCTGAAGTCCATATCTTTCTCACCTAGCCCATCATGCCTGAACAGAGTGACGAAGCTGCCTGGTGGTTCCAAGCGGTGTACAGAGCAATACAACAGATTCCACACGGCCGGGTCACTTCGTACGGGCATATTGCGCGTCTGCTGGATTATCCGAAGCGAGCCAGGCAGGTCGGCGTGTGTTTGAAGCATCTACCTACTTACGATCCTGCACACCCGGATGACTATGTCCATCATAGTGCCAACGTGCCTTGGCAGCGAGTGGTCAACTCGAAAGGAGGTATCTCTGCGCGAGGAGACGAAGGTCTGGCCGCTAATCGCCAGGTTGAACGGCTACGCGGTGAAGGAGTCACGGTGCAGAAGGCCGTGGGATAGAGGAAGCTCACGTTGACTTTGGGACCTTTGGTTGGTTTCCGGACAGGCTGCCAAATCCTATTGATAGCGACGATGATGATGACTCAGGAACAGAGAATGAGGGGGAAATTGGTGGATGAATGCTGCTGTTGATGACTCTGAAGCTGGACGCAACAGGGCTTCAGGCTTGCGCGCGTGGCATTGAGGTCATCATACGCTGCCGCATTCCACTCATTATCAACGGCTCCATCAGTCACACACGATCGAAACCGTGACCGCAGCAGGTCATGGACATGCTGATGGCGACGAAACGGCAGAAACCAGATTGTTCCCAAATTAGGTCGCTTCATAACGACTTGAACGCGATCTCAACAGGATTTTGACCTTGCAAAGCAATGGTTCTGACGACAGCATACAAAAGCCCAATGCTCTGAGGCCCGGATCTGGGGGACCGAGGCATGACTTGCAGAGAGGGGAACTTGGCCCCGATCCATGCGCTCCGGGCTTGGTTCAAGCCCCCAAGCCCAGCTTAGCCGACTTTTACCGGCGCATCAGGCGCCTAAGTGACGTCGGCCGATCACATGCTGATTTCGTTATCAGTGCATCAGCTCGTGCTATTCTCAGCGACAAATCAAAACAGCGCAATCAGAGCATGGCACAGCCTGGCATCCTCAACGATCAAGCTCCCCACGACCATGGCACACCCTCAGCCCCAACTTGGACACTTCGTGGCGTTGATAGCAATCATCCTCCCGCGATAGCTCCCGCACCCGACCAAAACATGCACGACTCCTCACTCACGTAACTGTGAATCACAAACCTGATATGTATGACTCCGACGCGAGTCCCCACGAGTCACCCTCTCTCTCCCCTCTTCGCTGACCCGTGCCTCGCAGTCACTGATAAGGTGACTGAAGCTCTTATTGTTGATACTTGTCTGTCGTAACTGCCTTTCTTTGTTCCTTCCCTACCCACCCTGACCAAAGTCACTACTTCCCGCCACCACCGCTTTCGTCTACAAAGGGCCAACGCGTCATACCTTCTAGCACCTTCTCAGTTCAAGAAGCTATCAGGCTCATCTCCATTCATCAGACTACCAAGCCCTTAACTATCATTTCCACAGAGCACTCCGCCTCCTACGAACATCTCACCTTCGCCATGCCTACTCGGTTCGCAAGCGACCTCCGCAGCGACGCGAAAGACTTCAAGCGAGACAAGAAGCATACTAAGAAATGGGCCACCGGTGAAATGCTCAAGCCTGGCATGATGGCCGAAGTGCCTGAGCCCGGCAAGGTCCGACCAAAGCCACATTCTTCAAAACTCTACGCCCAGAGGGAGAGAGAGGGACGTCGTACCGTCCATTCAGCGGCTACGAAGCGACAGCAATCGGTCCGTGCTGAGATTGAGGACGCTTTGGGCGAGGCTCATGGCATCGATACGTCGTCTGACGAGGATTTCTACGACGCGTCGACTGCGCCTCTTCCGGCTGACTTTGCCACCTTCGAATCTGCTTCCGGTCCGGCTGCTGGCCGCGATGTGCTCTCTGCTGCTCTCAGCAAGGCGGTGCAACGCTTCGAACACCTCGAGACCGAGAAGCTCGTCACTCGCGAGTGGGACGTCATCGATCAATCGAAGCTGAATGAGGACATTTCCGCCGACGAGGACGCCGAATTCGAATTTGTCGACGCTCACACTCTGTGATCACATTCCTACAAATCCATTGGCGCACATTGCTTTCCACCTTGTAATCACGGGACATGGGAATCGGGGTTCTTCACAACGGACATGACACCCCAACAGATCGTTAGGAAAGCACAGCAGGATACATGTATGATAACGGAACTGCATTCTTGCAAGGCGCTCTCTCAGGACACGATCGGCCATCAACGGGGCGGGAATATCTTTACACAACGTCGACTGCGTGCTCAAGTGCTGAGCCAGTCTGACTCGGGTGCGGACATTAGTAGGTGCTATTGGCGTTTGGTACCTATACTGTCTGATATTGAGGCATTCACAACGCAAGGCAAGTGCCTAGCGTAATTGATACAAATTGAAACCATCAGCGAACAAGCTTGATTTCATAGATTTATTTCCACATCCAATGCTACTGCTGTCTCCTAAGTGAGTTCGGCGTGTTTGTTGACGCGTTCAGCCTGCCGTGGTATGATCTCATCGTGCAGCTGCCCCGGGCCGGCGCTTTTCAAGTGGGTCCCGGAGATCTCGAAATTCACGACAGCGACTTCACAGACTCACAGTGCAAACATCTGAGTATCAACAGATCAACTCGCCGGATTGCGCAGCCTGATTTTCCCAGAACTTCAGATGCCCTTTGATTGAGCGCCTGTCACTGAGGTCGATCCATCTATCACTCAAGCAGAGCGCTAGTCGTCTGCTCTGTACTCGAAGCAAGATTATGGTTTAGGCCGCAGTGTCCTTTATTCTGAGCGACATGTCGGCAGCCTTGCAATCATATCTTGCAAAAAACTACCTCAACGCCACCACCGTCGACGGCTCGGATCTTTCGGATCGACCCAAGAAGCGGCGCAAGAGGGACAAGAAAGCCGCGACCGAAGGTCTTGTCATCGCTGACGACGATGCGGACTTGTCCCTTTCGTCACAGCCCACGACTGACAGGCGGCGGCGAGGACTTTTGCAGCAAGGCGGTGGAGATCTAGGAGCTGACGACGACACGCCCCAAGTCTATGACGGCAGAGTGAAGAGCGCAGAGTTCAGGAAGAAGAAAGGTGGCTCGAGCAGTGGCTGGCGGAGCGTGCCCGACGCTATCCCAATGGCCGACAACGCAAATGGCTCAGTCCGGGCGAACGATGAAGAGGCAGAAGCAGATCGCATCATTGCACAAGCGCAGGCGGCCGACGACGAACGGCGACGCGGTATCGATGATGAAGACGCGCCTGCTGTTGCCGATCGCACAGAAGATAGCGGACCACGAATGGAGTCAGGCGTGCGTGCCGGTCTCCAAACCGCTGCGGATACAGCCAAACTAGTTGAAGCAGAAGAGGCGCAACGACTCGCAGAAGAGCGTGCCGCCCGCCGTGAAAAGAAACTTCGCAAACAGCAGCAAGAAAAGGACGGTGGTGAGCCACCAGCGGAGCAACAAACAATCTACCGTGATGCTACAGGTCGACGAATCGATGTCACTGCGAAACGTGCCGAAGCGCGGCAAGCTGAGATCGAGAAGGAGAAGGAGCGGCAGAGGGAGCGAGAGAACGCCATGGGCGACGTGCAGCGGAAGATGCGGGAAGAACGCAAGCAGGAAGTCGAGGATGCACGATTCCTCACTGTCGCAAGGGGTGTAGATGATGAGGCGATGAACGATGATTTGAAGAAGGCTGAGCGCTGGGGCGATACGATGGCGGGCTATATTGCGCAGACACGAGCAGAAGAGGATGCTGCAGCAGGTGGTGGTCGCGGTGAGGGACGCTCGAAAGTGACGCTCAACGAAGGAGCGAAGAACCAGAAGAAGACGTACCGAGGTGCTGCTCCGCCGAATAGGTATGGGATCGTGCCGGGCTGGCGGTGGGATGGGGTGGACAGGGGTAATGGGTTTGAGAAAGAGTGGTTCCAGGCCAGGAGTAAGTGTAAGCGCAACGAGGAATTGAGCTATCAGTGGCAGATGGATGAATAATGAACGGAAAGGAGAGGGAGACTCTCGCCTGTCTACTGTGCGGCCTGCCATCTAATTTGGCGGAGACTACGAACGACATATACTACGGGGGCGGAGCATGTGGACGAGTACTTGAGTGGTCTCTTATCAATCAATATTCGTCACCGGACCAACCAAAAGCCAAGTGACTCAAGTACTTCTCATTGCGAGCGATCGGGCGAATGCAATCTACGGTCACTTGCCAAGCCTGCTTCTATTGTCCGGCCAACTCGATGCCATCATCCGGTTTATCCTCCACTTCAACTTGTTGCGACTTGACCTACGGTAGGCAAGTGTGCTTCGAGAGCGTCCTATGGACGCAATAACGTGTCTGTTCACCTCCAAGTGGCGCCTCAAGCGAACAGTCTTCCAAGGTCTCATATGAACGACCGAGTCTATTGGTGGCATCCTCAAACAAGGTTGGACTCCCCCTGCAATTCACCTCGCCTGTTCTCACGCACGTTCGCTACTCCTCTAACATGACATTCGGCTGACAGATATCAAGCAAACCTCTACAGCATGGAACTGAGATTGCACGGCCCGCCAAAGGCGCCTAGACTGGGCGTGGACAAAGCTGACAACGACGGCATAGACGAGCTGAACACAGGCGATCCTGTAGCCTTGATCAAACAACTGAAACTCGATGACGCCAGATTGATGGATATCGACGAGAACAATCTTTCATCATTGTACAAAAAGGTGGCAAACCTCTGCGGGCACCCCACCCCGGTACTCATAACTCTGAAAGAGGTCAAGCTGAAATCCAGCGCCCTGTCAAAGAGTATCTTCCAGAACTGGAGGTTGCTGAATTCTATACTTCAACGCCATGAAGCAGTCATTCAGAAACGCTGGAGAAAGCGCTCGGTCGAGCAGCGTAGGAAGGTCCTCCTGAGTGCTTGGGATGGCCCCATGCCGTCCAATCACCGACCCGACTTCGAGGCCTTCCATAAAGAGACCAACGCACAGCGGCGCTCGGGCACTCGGCATCGCGATGCATTCGTGTGGCCATACATCAACCAGGAAGACCTTACAAAGCCGAGGACACTGCTTCTCTTCCTCAATTCTCGAGGGCGTCATGGTCCCGACAAATTTGCCAGCGCTGATGTAAATGCTATGCACCTAGGAATGGCTGCTGATGCGGTCTCGCCCGCATTCCTCCACGGTTACATAATGCTGTTTCGAGGTCGTGATGATGCAGAATCGTACGGAGAGATCGTCAAAATCGACGAGCATCGGCACGGGATCGAGTTGTTGTTCACCCAGAAAGAGCCTCATGCAGGCCTCGGGCTGCTCATACTGGAGATACAAGATCGAATAATTGCTTTTCTGCTCAAATGTGCACGAGACATCCTTTTCGATTTCTCGGACACGCAGGTCTTCGACAGTGAGGTCCGTCTCGAACCCCCTTCAGCATCCGAATTGGGGTCTGGCTTCACTTCGCTGGCGATCCTGGCAGCAGAAGCGCCATACCGAGTACCTTACCAGCTTGATATGCCTCGCATCGAGTCTCTTCTGGCGGCCAAGCGCGATCAGGCTGCTGATCATTTGTGGTCCCTTCGGGAGGATCCCAAATATTTCATGCACGCGATCAACGAAGTTGCAGAACATCAAGTGGAGCAACTCAACAGCTCTCGAGGTCGATCTCATGCGTTTTCTCGTCAAGAGCAGCAAGATTTCCTGTGGGAAGACGCGGTGAGCACGGTTCTGACTACCTCATACTTGGAACTCGAAACCTGGTCAGAACTGGAGAGCCAAGCGAGATCGCTGGGAACTATGTACCTCAAATATGGTCCAACGCTCCGGGTACAAGATGACTTGCCAGCAGACTTCTATTACGCGATCCTCACTTTTCGTTATTGGTTGGACAAGACAGCCCAGGTTCACGTCCTCACGCTCAAACCAACAATCGCAGGGTCGGCACTCTTCCGGCCTTATGTTGAAGGCCAGCCTGCTACGGCTCCGACGACACCTGGGCGTCACGCACGGCAGAAGCTGAATGTCAAGCTTGATAAGCTACCGAAAGAAGTTCTGTGGCTTTTGGGTGTCCTGTGGGGAGAAGAGCCGGAATTGCGCTCAATACCAAAGACCATCGTCGTGGATGAGCTGCAACGGTTGCTGAGCACCAGTGACTATGCTGACGAACTCATTTCCGAGTATGTGGCTGCACTGATAGCCGACATTTCTATCATCAGCGAGTGCATGAATCAGATTGATTTATTTCAGCCCTGGGCAAATACTTATCAATGCGGATTGCAGCGTCACGGAGAGAACTTGCGCAAGGATTTCGCGAAGAGTATTCAAGTTTCAATGCGTTTGTTGGACGCCTTCTGCGGAGACGATGCGAGTTCTCTGGTTCGCTTTATGGCACCCGGTGAGGTGGACTTCCACTATCCAGTCGACAAGCGAAGAACCAAGCAGCACGTCGAGGCGATGCAAATGGCAGAAAAGAACCTCGACAGATTCTGGGCGCGCGTGGACGACATCACTAAGCGAAAAGTAGGGAACTTGAATGGCACTGCAACTGGAGCCTTGTTGAAGGGAAGCCGCACCCTGAGTCGTACCGCTGATTGGATTGAGCCTGTGAAGTCAGCGGTCATGACAAACGTGCTTACCGAGTTCGAGAGGCCGCTCTCTGAGCTTTACCTTGAGCTGCAGCGTCGGACGGAACGTACCATAACGAGAAGCGCTATCTCTGCACAAGCAAAGGCCAAACGAAAGACTCGTGGCGCTGTTAATTTGCCGTCGACCACAGCCGGTTACTCACCACCACCAGAGGCCAGCGCTGACGACGCTCAACCAGCGTTCAAAGTCGGCGCCCGTGCTCTCAGAGTTTTCAAGAACCTCTTCCATACTCCCTCACTCACAGCGGCGCCAGGCGAGATTGACTGGGCAGACTTCCTACACGCGCTAGCCTCGATTGGCTTCGGCGCAGAGAAGCTCTACGGATCAGTATGGCAGTTCAATCCGACCAGAATAGACGTCGACAGAGCGATACAGTTCCATGAGCCACATCCATCCGGCAAGATCCCATTCTTCGCAGCGCGAAGACACGGTAGGCGGCTGAACCGGGCTTATGGATGGCATGGTGGGATGTTTGTGCTGGCGGAGAAGACTTGAGGGCGAGAGAGGCTATTTGCTGCAGCCTTGCTGCGTCCGGCAAGCGGGAAGGTGGACGATACTGCTCGTTGAGTCGTCGACGATCAAAGCTCCGATTGGGCTGTAGTGGTTCGGTACGCACAGGTTTGCCAGACCCATGCGGCGCTTCGTCATTCGCACCGTACTAGACCTTTGTGATCTAGATGTGCGTTCTCGATTGAAGGACCGCTGAACCAATCGAATGACAAGCACGCACCACTGCGGTGTTCAGACGCACGACTGCCGCTCGGATCTTTGCGTGCTCGCCTAGTTGATATCGTCAACATCAACAAACGAAGGGTCTGAAGAAGAGGACTCTGGAAATGGTCTTTGGATAGCCTACGGATGTTGCTGTGCCTTCCACTGCCATCTGCAGAACTTTTGAATCAGGCAAGATTTGGATAGGTCAAAAGATCTACCTAGGTAGCTAGCTACTCTACTAAAAGCAATCCAGTGAACAAGACTTAATGAAATCTGATCAGATCATCGGAGTATCAGCGTGCGTCATTATACTTCGTCGTGCCGTCTTACGAGTAGCTCTTATCGAGACAGTAGACAGGTGCAGATTAATGCTTTCAGGGAGTCTCAGTCAATTTGTCAAGGCGAGCACACCTACTACTGTCATGGGAGGAGCGCCCTGCGTCAGCCAGTCCTCGAGAAGTCATCCGCTTCCTTCGGAAAGCAATCCCGATCGCTCTCATCCGGTCTGGCATCGATCCGTTCCATTACTCTAGCCTGAGTACCTAGACCTGTTCAAGAAAGATCCGGTCAGACCTCCGGCCGTGCCTCGACGGCAAAGCTTCGCCGGCGATGGTCAGAAGACGTGGGTAAGGACGGTCCAAGATGTCTGTAACAGCCGGTATGACACGAATTCCTGAGGATGCCTGCTCGCTCTCCAGCAAAAGTGGTTGCTGTCGGACTGCCGCTCAATCTTGGTAGCAGTCTGCAACCATAGTCTGATATGGCAGGTAGGTTTGTCCATATGCAGAAGGGTGTTGGTGGCGTATGATGGACATCTACCGTGATACACATCCAGCTTGACTTACGCGGAGCACAATGAGCCGCACTTTTGGGTCCTTATTGCTCCGTCTCATGTAGCGTCATCGGCAGAATCCGAGGCACTGAATCGTTAGCAGATGGCCGTCGGTCTTCAGACAAGGACAGTGGCGGGACAAGCGCACCATCGACCAGCGAGAGAAGCTCTCGGTCTGCCTCGCCATATAGGGCAAGGGTGCTGTAATATGAGGTAGTCATGGTTGTTGGCCCGTGACCGATCGAGTATCAAGCAGGCTAAATGCAGAATGCGGGAGGATCCAAAGATCTGGATTTGAACATACTTTCGGTTGAATAGGCGAGGATTTGCCGCAGATTTTAGGGACCGCCGATCAATGTTAATTGTTATCGTCCTGAATGGCTCTGGCTTCGGACCGCTCTGCAACCATTTTCGGGTTTTCGAACTTGCGGTGCTCATCATTCTTGTACCACAGGAAGATATCTATTCGGTTGACGAAATCTGCACTTCCCTTGTCACCGAGAATCGAAAGCGCTTGGTGGTTCTTCGGATGCGTTGCTTGTGCTGACCAGACTGGACAGGTCATATCGGTCATGATGTGCAGTGTCACTGAGGTTGTCCGATGGGATCTATCCGACCGTTATGAGTAAGTCCTCAGGTTCCAGGTCAGTTGCGACCTTTATGCACAACATGATGCGTCCAATGCCACGTGCTCGACCAGCTCGTTTAGGCGGTGCGACCTGACATCCGCGCCGGTGTGCACAACCATCCAAATCCTAAAACGCTTGGTGTCTGCATCGACGCGTTCCGTGTTGGTGTCCTGCGCCCGTCGCTATTGTCTTCGGCGTTGACTCAAGAGATGGTCGAGCGTCGCCCACAACCTATCGCACTTCTGTCGTGCCAAAAACAGGAGAGTGAGCAGACTGGAAAAGGGCTCATGATGTCGCATTAAGCTTGTTGATCCATATGCAGAGGCGTCCAGAGATAGTGCTGCGGTAAGCAGCAGGGGTTTGGCGAATGGATATGGGATACCCGCGCTGTCCCCGGCTTCATATGCATTCTCATGCACAGTAATGGCCAATGAAGTCGTTGCTGTATACATTCAGGAACTTGTGCGGTCCAAGCTACTGCACCGGATGCTGCTGAGGCATCACCTCGCCCTGGACCTACAATCTCGCCTGGTTCAGCAATGGTCTTATCAGCCTCTCAAGCTGACAGTGAGCAGACAGTAGGCATTGCCCGGAAGCTTTATCAGCGGTAGCGTTCGGGTAACGACAAAATATTTTTGGATTGATCTCGCGAAGATTTTATGCTTGCTGGGTGGTACTGTATCCGACATCAGATACATAGCACGCTGGCGCATAGATTGTCTCGCGATTGAGAGCTCAGGCGAAACCTAGATTGCCAGGTGCCGAGGAAGACGTCTCAAATATCTGGACGAAACAGAGCCGGGTGCAAGAATACGAGCTGCTCGTGTCGCATCCTTGCAAAGCCTCGAGGTCAAGCTGTGTAAGATGCATGTCGCTGGTCTATCAGGTAGTTCAGGCACTCGCGCTTGGCAGCTCGTGGCTTTGTGAAGAGCATAGGAATATCAAAGCCTTGGTGTTGTGGGGCACTTATCCGCTCAGCATAAACAGCAGATATGAAGATGGCCGGCTCTCTGGACTTGCAGGTGAACATCAGTAGACTGTGAAATGCAGCCGCAAATGATAATAGCCTGCAGATTGCGCGGGCGGCATGGAGACACCATGACAAGCATGTTCTAGCCATGGAGAGTTAGTTCTGTACGCCGACACGCGGCTCGCGAGCCTCAACTTGGTGGCATGACCTTGAGTACAGGACGCGGAGAAATGGCATGTTATTTTATGTTAGTGGCTTCTGCATCCTTCTCAGGGCATGGAGTCACCTGGAGTTGGAGCTCCCTGTTCGTGTGCTTACAGGTCCTGTAGATATCAAACAGTCAGGAGCCTCCATGAACGGGGAAATGCGTGTGAGATGTTAATTTTTAGTTAAGCAAGGATAAATTTCGCTTTTCTCGAAGGTGACGAGAATGAACCTTGGATAAACTGTAATTGCCTTCGGGGCCTGATACGAGCTGTCAGGTACCTTAGAGGACCTCCTTGTTGAAGAAGACGTTACATCAGGATCGCACAGCACATGCTTGCCATGAGGCAATGGCTGGCCAAGGGACTTGGGGACTTCTGCCTTAGAGTCAGGGGCCAGGTGCCAGCTGCTCGGCCCTACTGAGTGCACCCAGCACTGTCAGAAGTGAAAGCTGGCTCAGACTGTAGTCACCACTGCTTTCGCGATCGCTTTTCGCGGTCTTGGTGTAGCGTCTTCGTAAGTGTAGGCATACTTGGAAATGCCACTTTCGTGCGACGATCACGAACGTCTGGACTCGCCAAAGGGCTGCGGCTCCGGCAGTGTGGCCGATCGACGGCGGGCGAGACGTTCTGCCGAGCATGACCAGGTTTTGATCGTATGCACTCCAGCTAGGGTTGTTTGTAGCCTTTGACTCTTAGAGGCTGAACAGCGCGTCTATTGACTAACGCCTAGGAGGCGTCTGGGCCGCGGCTGTTGCGCGCGAATGAAGCGTTAGTATGCTGCGCAATGATCGAAGAAATATGGATGCTTGCTCGATGTTGAACATTTTTGACAGGTGCCACCGACGCCCCAAGCACGTCGTATGGACAGGCGGGTGAATTCGAGGGCGGGGTGCATATTTTCTGCAGCCGTAGGAAACCACGACTCCAATTCGAGAGTGACTACTGCCCCTCGTACACCACTCTCAATTCTGCTTGTCTATGGAGCATCACCGTGCTACTGCAAGAACAGAAGTTGCGAGTCGCTCCATGGATCTTGCGCGAGAGATGACCTTTCCACGACCCTCGAGATACTTTCACAGTCAGCCTGAGACCCGCCAGTACCCTACACGTTCATCCGTGGTTCTGGGCGAGAGCCACTTCGTGCTCCATATTGTTCTCAAAGGATCATGGAGTAAGTCCCTCCGGCGAAGGTTTCTTCAACGTCTCAGACCCGGATTGTCTGAAGATGGATCCCAGCAAATCCATGTCAGCTTCCCCTTTCACACCAACCACGCGTTCGTCCAATCGTAGGCTCGCGGTGCCTAAGTATTCTCGCTTGCCGTGGTTTATTGCCTTCCCGGCCTAAAAATCACATCTTTCCAGAGCGGGCCGGACGCGTGCTCGTGCCCAATCCCTGGATAACCGACCCGACCAGGGGCTCTAATCCCTGCCATGGCGCGCTGCACTTCTGCTTCATCCGGCGCTGTAGGCTAGTAATAACGCAACACCTAGCCTGAAGCAAGCGAATGGAGAGAGGAAACACAGAGGTCCCGATGGCGAGCGCTCCAGCCCACGATCCCATGCGTGTGCTTGGACGAAGAAAACCGTTTTACAGCAAATGATTTTCGCTACCGTCAGATCTCAATCTCCCTCTCACTCCTTTCATGAACAGGCGATTACTCCATATCCCATGTGCAGGACCTTGTGCGTAAGCATTCAATCTGCCCTGGGTCGGTCGCCTCTTCCTCTTCCTGTGCACAAGTCGTCCTGCGACTCTTCATCTTTCAGCCGAGGACAATGCAACTTTAAAGCATTCTGTGACGACGTTCGAAAGAAACCCAGAGAGACTGGGAAGAGGAAATGGATTTAGGCGGCCTTGTCCGCGCAGGTACGTCTGCCAGACCTACCCGCGGCGCGCTCTGTTCATTAACATGGTACAGTGACGGCAGCATTCCAGGATGGCGGAAAGTTGGTCACCAAGATTCGCGATGATCGCGCAAGCACCGATAGGGCTCTGCCCGAGGATCCTACGCGTGACCTGCTCGACTCGCTTCAGCTAGGTCCGCTGCTAGTGAAAGGTCAATATGACCGAGACTTCAAGAGATTCGGCGAGCAGCTGGCATGCGGCGACAACCTGGCGAGGGAGCAGATGAAGGATGTGCTCATAAACCTGCAAATGGCTCTTATCATATCACTACGTGGCGTCTCGATGGGCGGCGATGAGAATCTGGACTTTGACTCGCTTCAGCAAACTTCGGACGACTGTCGAACGAACGCTGGTGTCTGTCTGGGGCAGTATTCCCAGAGACTTTCCGACCGTGCCAAGCCGACGCCATGATGCCCGAGAGTGAGCTCGAGTTGCCTAACACCAAGTACGCTTCGATTGGCTACTCGAGTAGCCGCAGTACTCGAAGCACGCGTTCACGAGAGTCCCGTACGCCGGTGGAGAGCATGCACCAACAGTACCAAGGTCAAGACGACGGCGCAACTGTGCGCCCCATTGTCAAAGAGCGTAAAAGAGCCAATAGCTCCGCATCTAATTCGAAACGAGGCTATCAGCCTAGGCGGCCTACAACGCCCTCATCGCAAGCCTCACGGGGACAAGCTATCACTACGCAGCACGCACCTACTGAGCGACGTCTTCGAGGAGTTTCTTCCCAAGAAGTGCTGACACCGCCAGACGAGGAGACCTTGAGAGTCATTCGTAATGGCTACGTCGACTCGCGACCCACTGGCAGAGCGAGCAATGCCACAAGGGCAGATTCTGGCTATGGCACGGCTTCCTACGTCGGCGGCAGCCGAAAAGGCACGTCGACTGCGTATTCCATGGCGTCCTCCAGATCTGCGGGCTCCTATAAGACGGCCCACGACCCGATGCCTAGGATGCCCATCAGAGCAGCAAAGTTCGGCGGAATTTCGTCGCAGCCGGCTTCATATGCCAGTCGTGACTCTGTTGATGAGTACGCCATGTCAACTCTCGATGACCCGACTACGTCTGAGGAGGACGATATACTCAGCCTCAGGAGACCAAGCTCACATGCTCTCGGACCCGAAGAGCATGACATGCTGTCACCAAGACTGAACGAGTTCCCAAATAGGCCAGCGTCCTCCGCAAGGTCGTATGTGGTCTCGTTGCCTGATGCTGACTTACATGAGCCGCCGTCTCCCATTTCGGTTGTCTCGGAGGGTGACGAGGAGGCAGCAGAGCTCGAGCACGAGTCACTGCTTGTTTCTCCGGAGCTACTCGCGGCGAACACGTACCATCCAGACGACCTCGAGCCGCCTGCGCACTATGCCCTCGATGATGCTACTCCGACGCTCGGTCCTGGCGAGTTTGGGCAAGCTACCATCTATGAGACGTCAAGGATTCGACCGGTAGAAAATATGCCACGAGATGTGCCAGCTCCTCGAATGCGCGTACCTCGTCAAGATTCACTGTCACGCGTCCGCAACTCTCGCTTGATCACGGGAGATGATCTTAGAGCAGGTCGCAGCACGCCACAACCACGGTCGCAAGAGGAGATGTCCGCGACTGTCCGAGCAGCTGAAGCTCGCGTAAAGCACTACAGAGCTCGACCGCAAGGCCTGCAGCACTCCGAGTCTGTGCGTGAGAACCAACCGCAGGTGATGTACGGCATCCCTGAACAAGAGCCGCGTGTGCAGCACATTGCCAATCTGCAGCAGAATGCGCCAGTTCCGCGACATCTGGCAGACATGCCCTTGCCGGCGCCGCCAGGATTCGATCAGCGGCCAGATTCTCGCAACCGCTACAGCCCAAAGCATAGGGCACCGCAGGGATACAAGGTCTTTCCCGCGCAGGCGCAGCAGCAATCTACACACAGGGGAGCGCCCGCGCCGCCTCCAGACATTGCGTTACCGGCTCCGCCTCCTGCTCGTGGGCCCAAGTGGATGGCGGAAGCAGCCGCAACGGGCCTTCGGCCATCTACATCGCCGCAGCCTCCCGCAAATGCTGCGAGTGCTGCAAAGTTACCTGTACCACGCGTGTCTGAGCCAGAACTGCGTCCAACGATATCCAATGCCCCGACCGTCGAAGACAAGGAAATTTCCGCCCTGCCAGAAGACGGCCCCGGGCCATCTGAGCGTGGTGATTCGATCGAATCACCGCCGCCAACAGCCATCTCGAAAACCTCATCCAACAGCTCGAATCCACGAATGGTCAAGATCGTGCCAATGCATATGGCGATGTTCGGAGGTGTGTACACGGCACCTACCCCCAAGGTCCCGAAAGCTGACAAGCCCGTTGCGACCTCGTCGGCGAGTACCAAAAGTACCACCGCGACTTCTGCTCCCGCTCCCATCCCTGTGCCCCCTATGCCCTTGACAATGCCATTGACGCTACCCACCGAGAAACAGCTGCAAGGCTTCTGCAAAGGAGCCCACCGCTTGTTTCTAGGTGTCGACAGCAAGACAATGCGCATCTCATCTCGTCCCATTGGAATCTCAGGTAACGTGCATTTCTGGGTGTGTCACAAATGTCACTTTCAGGGTCCCGTCAGCACTATCTCCAAAACTGAGGTTGGGAAGAAGGGCAAGACGAAGGTCAAGGAGGAGAGAATATATGACCCGAAGCCGAGATCGAGCACGATCAGAGGGCTCGACGGCGAAGTGGGCGGTGTACGGTACAAATGGGTGTTTTTGGCAAAGTGTCATGTGCCGCTGAAGGCGATGACTGAGGAGCTTGCACTGGGCGCAGGAGCGGCCGGCAAGGGTGAATGGGGCGGCTTTGGGTGTTTGTTTTGTTGTGCCGAGGGTGTTCGGCGAGGCTGGACTGATAGAGATGCGCGTGGGAAACTTGTTGTTGCCGATGGCATGAGCATCATGAGTGGTAGTACAGGGAGTGGAGATACCACTAAGAGTGGATCTGGGGTGTCGAAGGACACTCCGGTCTTCAAGGATCTAGAGGCCTTCATGGGTCATTTGGAAATGCACAGAAAGGAGGACTGCTGGCCTGGACAAGAAATGATGGGCCGGATGCGATGTGTGGTTGGAAGGCGGGCAATGGATGGTGAGGAATGGGAGATCAACTTCCTTCCTTTGAAGATGGACAAGGCTGACGAGCACTAACGAACGAAAAAAGAGCGGGACGGCGCAAAGCGATGAGAAGGGCCTCTTCTATGTTTCAATGTGGCTGGTCGGAAAAAGAGTAGACACGCATGGAGGAGCGAGGCGAAAATCTGGTTTTATTCGATACCCCCTTTTGGCATGTCCAACTATTGTCTATACCAAATTTCTTGCATCAGATCGTCTGAGCTGGAGAAGACTACAGAAGTGCTTTTGTTGAACTCATGTACATACTGCCGAGTCGTAGCACCAGAGATGCTGACAAGACCCTCGACCTTCTCCCACCTAGCCTTCATCCTGTCCCGTCCATCCTCCCCTCTGCATCGCTTCACGATCCCTTCCCTGCCTCGGCCAACTTCCTCAACTTCTCCCCCTCAACCTGACACCCCAACCACTCCTCCTTCAAGAACGCCCCTACCGAATCACTCAGATAGAAATCAATGCTCGGCTTGTTCCAGTTCAGCACACTCCACTGCAGCCTTCCCATGCCCCAGGGATTGATCTCGTCGGACTTGACCTCGCGGGCGAGTGCGGAGAGGAGTGCCTTGCCGTAGCCTTTGCCGCGGTGCGATTTGGTGATGATCAGGTCTTCGAGGTAGATGCCGGGGCCGGTCCAGGTGCTGTAGTTGGGGAAGTAGATTGCGAGGCCGGCGACGAGAGAAGGGTTTGAGGTGGGGGAGATGAGGAGGGTGCGGGCGTAGCCTTTGGTAAATGATGGGGTGTGTTGGTTGTTGGTGTCGCTGGTGGTGCTGCTGGAGTCGGATGAGGGAATGGGGAAGGACAGGGTTTTGAGCAGGATCTCCTCGGTCATTCTACATGAGGCAAGTTCCTTTTCATATTCGGCCAATTCGTGTATAAGACGCAAGATAGCTGGCACGTCGGACTCGGTGGCGTAGCGGATCGTGTGTTTGTCGGTAGTAATTGTCGCCATGATGCTGTCTGGGTAAGATTGTTTCTTATGCTTGAAGAGTTGGACGAGTCACTTGCGGGCAGACACGAGTGGGAATATGAAAGTATACACGGTGGGTCCATTATGTAAAGCAAAGGGCGTCATGAAAGCGGTATTCGCATACAGAATCAGGTAAAACTTCTACAGCCCATGAATCGATCGCACCCGTGCCCGGGCGATGACCTGAGCGTGTTCCACGAATGTAGAGCAGTCACAAAGCGTCCGACTTGCATGATGAGTAGGAAGGTGGATATAGTTCAGACCGGATGACTTCAGAGCGCAGCGGTCTGTCATCCGGCTTGCTTGAAGACATCCAGTCAACCGGCTCATCAAAAGGCGCAGTGTCAACTGGGTGTGCCTCGGTATCAGGGTTCAATCGGTCTGAGTTCAAGCACGCGAGATTCGAGTTGCATGTATCCATCATGCCCTTCCGGAGAGGTGTGACCGCTACGTGCGTTCATCAGCTCACCCTTTCTCCATACCAGTCCAACGTAAAGGGCAACGCCGGTGCATCATGACGAATGTGTTTGGTGGCGCAGATATGTCCGTAATTATGGCAAAGTACTGCAGGTCGACGGGTCGACGAACACGTTCCAGACACGAGTCCGCAATCGGGAACAGATTTGACCGAGAAGACATATGGAAAAGGTCCATCTCAACCAGGGCGAGTAATTGACAGGCCATTTCTACCATCACTCATGTTCAATAGACCACCAAAGAGGTGTCAACAGCGTTCCAAATTCCAACTTAGTAGGTATCTTCGATTTCTCGCTTGCTCGCTCACATAAGGACACAGCAGCTGTTCTGCTTCTTCGCTTGCTGGTAGAACATTTTACTCTGGGCGCTGAGTCCGTCACTCTTCTGCACGAGGCTGTCAATCTTCTCTCCGCGTTCCAGTACGCTTTCAATCGTCTTGTGAAGAACGATCTTGGTTTCGTCAAGTTCTCGCTGAACTTTCATAATGCTGTCCGCCTGGTTCGGGTCTTGGTATTTGGTGATGTACTCCTTCAGTTGTGGAAACCGCACGGATGTGACGGATGTTGAGATGTAGGACGACTGTGGATTTTGTGTCGTGAACTCGTCGATTATCTTGGAGAGGACTTGGTGCGCAACAAGAGCGGGATACTCGGCGTCGGAGATGATGATGCCTGCAACGCCAGCCGTCGATCCGTAGGCGTGGAACGTGTATGATTTCTCTTCGATGTCTTGTCGGACGCCCGGTCGAGTCCTTTCCGCCACTGTCTTCGCAAACACCGACATGAACTCGCCATAGCTGCACACAGATCAGTCACAGTACTGGACCAGCTCCTAGCTGTACGGACCTGTCTCGGGTAAAACGTGAGAAGGACGAGAGGTCTCGCTCCACCGCTAATTCAGTTGCTGGATGAGGATCATTTCGAATTATCTTCGGAGATATTAGTTTACCGTCTCATGCCTAGTAGCCATCGCACTCACTCCCATGTAGAAGATCTTCATCGTGGCGGTGTTTGAGTACGGGAAGTCGACGAATGCGTTGGGAGAGCGCGAGTGACCGAGTGAACTGATCTGGACGAAGACTTGATCGAGGAGTGAAGGGCAGTACTGTCGACGACACAATCGAAGGAGCCTGTTGCAGGAGATCACATGTACATTGTTCGCTGATATCGGTGAAGTTGCTCTTTGTCTCCAGCCGTCTTGTCGCAGGCGGTAACCGTGGCGCCTAAACGAAAGCCCAAAGACCCCTATTAGATGCCCCTCCGCTTTGTCACCAATCACGCTGTGGTCGGCTTCTTGGCAGCACTTCGCATACAAAACTTCAAGCTTTCGCCTTGCGCGTTGCCTGCACTCCCCCAAAGCTTCCCCTATGTCAAACGCGGGCGAGCATGACAACTTTCTGGTTGCTTAAAATTGCATATCCGGGAACGTGAAGGGGGATTGGATTTTGTACTCTCAAGTCGGCCACGGGACGGATTGAAGCTCGATTGGGGAAGGTGACTTGCCTGTCTGGGAATGCCACAGCCTTGTCGCCCCGCGAGATATTTTCCATGTGGGAGTCATCGATATCAACTCACTACTCCATATCTGCTTCGTTCGCATTGCAGCATGAACGGCCAATTGTAGTGCCCCTGGCTTCCAGAACGCGTTGTTCTCGATCCCACAGATGATTATGGCGCCCGTCTTCCAGTCGGAGGAGCAATGGCTCGCGGAAGTACGTGCAATGCGGGAGGCAATGGCAAATCTGCCACCCTTGGAGAGCCTTCCACATCTCAATCAACATATGTATGGCGACGACATCGACTTGACATATTCATCAAACGACGAGGAAGATATATGGGACGTCGACGGTGACAGTGATCCAGACGACACACCACCGAGTGAGGATGCTCATATCAATGGCTTTTCTACACCAGAACTTCCTGCACAATCCGGTCATTCTCGATCCTGGCTGAAACAGAAATGTCAGGACTTTTCTCGGACCAGATCTGGCATAGATGCCGCCGACCTGGAGCAGCAACTAGTGGCACTTCTTGCATCCGACAGCTCAGACGAGGAACTGCAGATGCTCCTGGCCGACATGATCGGCTATGATGACCTTGACTTCGTGATCGAACTCATTTCCCATCGGAAGGAAGCCCTCTCCGATCCACCTGCGTCGCACAAGCAGACAGATGACCTCTTTGCTGGCTTACAGACCAAGAAGGAACGGCATGCCATGCTTCGACAGCAGGACTTCGAGCACAAGCACGCCCCTCTTGCTGGCGCACAAGATCGAGCTGGCCCTCACTATCCTCACGTCTACAAGTCCGACATTGCTGCTATCGGGAACACATTGGATGTCTCTGGCCGGAGGTACGGCTTGCCACTGGGCAGTGAGCGCCAGGAACATCCAAAGTACGAAGAGTACTCGATTCCGGCTGTAAAAGTGGGCTCTGTTGCATCAGGACAACGACTGGTACCAATCAGCGAGATGGATGGTCTTTGTCAGAGGACTTTCAAGGGTTACAGCACTCTCAATCGCATGCAGAGTCTGCTATATCCCGTCGCTTACACCACCAGCGAGAACATGCTCATTTGTGCTCCAACAGGTGCAGGTAAAACCGACGCAGCAATGCTGACAATACTCAACACGATCGCTCACAACATCGTGCCAAACCCAATCGAGAGTCCTGATGCAACTGAATTCGAGCTACTCGCCCAGGACTTCAAGATCGTCTACGTTGCACCCATGAAGGCGTTGGCGGCGGAAGTCACGGAGAAGCTAGGAAAGCGACTGGCATGGCTTGGTGTCCAGGTCAGGGAATATACCGGCGACATGCAGTTGACGAGGGATGAGATACGAGCGTCGCAGATCTTGGTAGTAACGCCGGAAAAGTGGGACATTGCTACACGGACTGGCTCAGGCGATACTGAGCTGGTGCAGAAAGTTCGCCTGTTGATCATCGATGAGGTCCACATGCTCCATGACGAGCGTGGTGCCGTTCTTGAGTCGTTGGTCGCTCGCACCGAACGCCAGGTGGAAAGCACGCAGTCCCTCATTCGTCTCGTTGGCCTCTCTGCAACATTGCCCAACTACATCGATGTGGCAGACTTCCTTAAGGTCAATCGGATGGCTGGCTTGTTCTACTTCGATGCGTCCTTTCGACCAGTGCCCCTCGAGCAGCACTTCATTGGTGTGAAGGGCAAACCCGGCAGCAAAGCCTCGCGAGACAACCTTGACGCCGTCACCTTTGAGAAGGTGAAGTCCTTGCTCAAGCAGGACAAGCAGGTCATGGTCTTTGTGCATTCGCGCAAGGATACCGTCAACGCCGCCAAATCTTTGTACACCATGGCGATCGACGACGGCTGCACAGACCTCTTCGTGCCGGATCCTGGTGACCCAGTATATGTGCAAGCCCTTGCCGACCTGAAGCAAACTCGGGCACGAGAGCTTCGCGATATCGTTCCCCAGGGTTTCGGCTGTCACAATGCTGGTATGCCGCGAAGTGACCGCAACTTTGTGGAGCGCATTTTCGCTCAAGGTGCCATCAGGGTTCTGTGCTGTACAGCTACACTTGCTTGGGGTGTCAACTTGCCCGCTGCGGCTGTCATCATCAAAGGCACGCAGCTCTACTCGGCAGAAGTCGCAAGATTCGTGGATCTTGGCATCTTAGATGTGTTGCAGATCTTTGGTCGTGCAGGTCGACCACAATTTCAGGATACTGGTATCGGCTTTATCTGCACAACTCAAGACAAGCTCCAGCACTATCTGTCGGCTGTAACTCAACAGCAGCCAATTGAGTCAAAGTTTTCCAAGCGCCTGGTTGACAACCTGAATGCTGAAATCGCGCTGGGCACCGTCACGAACGTCGCCGAAGGAATCGCGTGGCTGGGATACTCTTACCTTTTCGTTCGCATGCGACGGAATCCTCAAGCTTATGGCATAGAATGGGACGAGTTCCAGGACGATCCTCAGCTTGGCCAGCGACGACGTAAGCTCATCATCGACGCAGCTCGCACTTTGCATCGTAGCCAGATGATCATCTTCAATGAGACGACAGACGAACTCAAGCCAAAGGATGTTGGCCGAATCGCCAGCCATAAGTATATTATGCAAGACAGCGTCGAGATCTTCAACACCATGATGCGGCCGCAGGCCAGCGAGGCTGACATCCTGAAGATGCTCAGCATGAGTGGAGAGTTTGACCAAATACAATCTCGTGATACTGAAGCGCAGGAGCTGCAACGACTCCGTAGCGAAGCCACCGTGTGCGAGGTCGAGGACAAGAAGAGTGCGCAGTCAAGTAATCCTGCCGCAACCGCTGATACCAATGCCAACGTCAAAGTCAAAGTCAAGGGCAAAGACAATGCCGCGGATCAGGAGACAAAGACAATTCAGAATCACGCAAAGACGAACATCCTGCTCCAGGCATACATCTCCCGCGCTCGCATCGAAGACTTCACACTGGTGTCCGACTCCAACTACATTGCTCAAAACGCTGGCAGAATCTGTCGGGCCTTATTTGAGATCGCATTGAAGCGAGGTTGGGGTCACCAATGCTTAGTCCTTTTGTCGATGTGCAAAGCCATCGAGAAGCGGATCTGGCCGTTCCAACATCCCTTGTACCAGTTCGACCTGCCTCAGCCTGTCATGAAGAACCTCGATGAGAAAATCCCTACGTCCAACATTGACAGCTTGAGAGAGATGGAACCCGCTGAGATTGGTGCGCTGGTGCACAATCAAAAGATGGGTGGCACTATCACCAAGATACTGAGGAACTTCCCCACGGTCTCTGTCGAAGCTGAGATCGCGCCCTTGAACCGCGACGTTCTTCGCCTAAAGCTTTTCCTCTATCCGGAGTTCTCCTGGAACGACAGACACCATGGTAAGATGGAGTCTTATTGGGTCTGGGTCGAGAACTCCGAATCGTCAGAGATATATCACCACGAACGATTCATGCTCGAGCGCAAGAAACTACACCACGATCATGAGCTCGAGTTTACGATTCCACTCGCAGATCCATTGCCGTCACAGATCTACGTGAGGGTGGTCTCGGATCGCTGGCTGGGTGCTGAGACCGTCCATCCGGTCTCCTTCCAGCACCTGATACGACCAGACACGGAAAGCGTGTTCACAGATCTGTTGAACCTGCAGCCACTTCCAGTCACGGCTCTCAAGAACCCGCCGTTGGAAGAGGTCTACAGTCAGAAATTTTCGTACTTTAACGCGATGCAGACCCAGATCTTTCACACTCTGTACCACACGTCGAACAACGTCTTTCTTGGTTCTCCGACTGGCTCCGGAAAGACTCTGGCTGCTGAGTTGGCCATGTGGCAAGCATTCCGAGACCATCCTGGCAGCAAAGTCGTGTACATTGCGCCGATGAAAGCACTGGTCCGCGAGCGGCTTAATGACTGGGGTAAGCGTCTTGCACGTCCTCTGGGCCTCCGTTTGGTGGAACTCACCGGCGACAATACTCCCGATACACGAGCCATCAACGATGCGGATATCATTGTCACCACTCCAGAGAAATGGGATGGCATTTCTCGATCTTGGCAAAACCGGTCCTACGTTCGAAAGGTCTCTTTGGTCATCATCGACGAGATCCATCTACTTGGCGGCGATCGAGGTCCAATTCTAGAGATCATTGTCTCCCGCATGAACTACATCGCTACGCAGGCTGAGGCTGGCACAATCAGGCTACTCGGCATGTCTACGGCAGCTGCTAATGCGGTGGATCTTGCCAACTGGCTAGGAGTCAAGCCTGGCAATAACCAAGCTTGTTCAACTTCCGCCATAGCGTGCGACCTGTGCCCTTAGAGACTTTCATTGATGGCTTCGATGAGCGAGGGTTTTGTCGTCTCATGCAGACCATGAATAGACCAACGTACATGGCCATCAAGACACACAGCCCAACAAAACCTGTCATCGTGTTTGTCGCATCCCGAAAGCAGACACGCTTGACGGCCAAGGAACTTGTGAATCTCTGTGGCATGGAAGACAACCCGCGTCGATTCTCGCACTTCGACAGTGAGGAGGATCTCGAGCTGACGCTATCTACCGTCAAAGATGATTCCTTCCGCGAAGCGCTCAGCTTCGGAATTGGTCTTCACCATGCCGGTCTCGTCGAGTCGGATCGATCGCTCGCTGAACAGCTGTTCGCGACAAACAAGATTCAGATTCTGGTGGCAACTGCAACGCTAGCCTGGGGTGTCAATCTGCCCGCACACCTGGTGGTTGTGAAAGGCACGCAATTCTTCGATGCCAAGACAGAAGGCTACAAAGATATGGACCTGACAGACGTCTTGCAGATGCTTGGTCGCGCAGGTCGTCCACAGTTCGACACTTCAGGTGTGGCGAGAATCTTCACTCAGGATGCCAAGAAGTCATTCTACAAGCACTTCCTGCATACTGGATTCCCTGTCGAATCAACCTTACACAAGACGCTGGACAACCATTTGGGTGCCGAGATCTCTGCTGGGACCATCACTACCAAGCAGGACGCGCTGGACTACCTGACCTGGACATTCTTCTTCCGCCGTCTCCACAAGAACCCGAGCTACTATGGCCTCGAGCTTTCGGCAGAAGAGCACAAAGAAAATCCGTTGGCTGCGCGACAACTAGCGGCCGACTATGTTGTGTCGCTCGTCGATAAGTCGGTCGCAGACTTGACCGATTCCTCCTGCATTGAGTCCGAGCCCAACGGCAATGTCGACCCTACACCATTTGGCAAGATCATGAGTTACTACTATCTCTCGCATTCATCAATTCGGAACTTCATCGCAAAAGCCCGAGCTACACCAGTCGGCAAAGCTGACATTGGCGCCGTACTCTCCTGGGCAGCTCAAGCTACGGAATACGATGAGATCCCGGTGCGACACAATGAGGACATCACAAATGCCTCCATCGCGCCGAATATGCCCTACAATGCTCTTGAGCTCATGAAAGACATGCCGATGTGGGACCCACATCTGAAAGCATTCCTGCTCATCCAGTGCCACATTCTGCGTATTGACTCGCACAACTCAGAGTACATCACAGATCAGAATACCGTGCTCGATCAAGTTGTGCGTATCATTCAGGCTGGCATTGACACCATGGTCGAGATTGATAATGGTCGACTAGACGCAGTACGCTCCTACATTGCGCTGCTACAAAGCATCAAGAGCGCTCGCTGGCCTAGCGACTATCCTCTAAGCATTTTGCCTGGCGTCAACGACAAGTGGGACGAGACCCTCAACGGAAAGGTCCCAAGAGATCTGAATGCACTCGTGCACACCATGCATAACACTGGTCGCAATAACAACTCACTCGACAAGATCATGGACGCCTTGTCAGTCAACACATCCCACCGACGAGGCGAGTTCGTTCGTGCCGCAAGATATCTGCCAGACCTCGACCCCAAAGCCGAAGCACATTCGAAGGAAGCCGATGGGAGTCCGGAGATCACCCTCACAGTCACACGCAAGAACCCACTCGTCAACGCGAACGAGGCCAAGATCTACGCGCCACGTTTCCCCAAGTCGCAGACGGAGGCTACTTCGCCATTGTCACCGCTCCAGGAGAGAAAAGCAACGAGATCAGCGTGCTGAAGCGGCTAAGCTGGAATGTCGGCAAAGGAACGCCCAATGGCCCGACATCGAATCCGAGAAGGGCTGGTCAAGGCCAACAGCTGACCACGAACGTCAAGCTACGACTCGAGCCCGCGACATTCGACCGCGAAGTCGATGTCGTCGTGATCAGCGACTGCTACCCCGGCATGGAGTGGCGTGTTGAGCGGGTTGCTGTGCCGAGGACAGAGCCTCCCAAGAAGGAAAACGTCGACACAGTGGAGGTGTCGATTGATGAGGGTCTAGTTAGGAAAGCAAAGCAGAAGAAAGAAGCTGAGGAAGCTGCGAAGAAGAAAGAGTAGCTGTAGGTGGACAAGTAGTGCCTTAACCTCGACCCGAGCCTTTTTCTTCTCAACCATTGCCTCTACTCTGAAGAGCTGTAGACTCATGATCGCACTTCCCGGAGCCATGCAGGTCGCCGCTTCCTGCGCCCCTCTCGGCGTGCCTTCCTACATCACTCATGTTGCACCTTCCTCCGTCCAGTCGTACCTGCCTATCTGCGTCCCTCTGGACGTGCCTTCCTCTGGGCCTCCGGTCGTGCCTTCCTCCGGGCCGTCAGTCGTACTTGCCTCTGTCACTCAAGTCGCACCTTCCTCCGTCCACTCGTGCCTGCCTATCTACGTCTCTCTAATCGTGCCTTCCTGTGAGCCTTTGGTCGTGCCTTCCTCTGAGCCTCGGATCGTGCCTCCCTATCTACATGTCCATGGTCGCGCCTTCCACAGTCTTCCACAATCGCAAACTTCCATGACCACCAGAATCACTGGGTCCCGCCGATGCTGCAGACTTGTGCCTTGTCATGTGATACTAAGGTCTTTGCTTGTGCCTTCCTTCGTTTAATGGACCGCGCCGCGTGAGTACAGGTCGTGTCTGCTGAGCAGGATTGTTTATTGCACATGGCAGGACCAAAAGAGCGGCGGCCACAGGCAGGCGACCTAGAACACGGGGAAGAGTGGCTGATGAGATGAGCCAGGACTGATAGGGTTTATGACCAGCACCTCGATAATGGAGGCTTTCCCTTAGTGATATCAATAGTGATGGGCTGTCCTACTAACAATGCAATGCTATTTTAGGGTGTACTACGCTTCCGTCGCTTTCGTGATGCGTATTCCACTTTTTGAAATGATGCCGCAACGACCTGCTCCTGCCGCCGACTCCTGTATCCCATCACTCGTGATGGTCCACTCTCTTCACAGCTGCAACCTATAAGTCGCAACCTCAAACGGTCTCAACTCGATCTCGATCGTCGTATAGTTCTTTGTGTCGAACTTGACCTTCTCCAAGTCATCCTCGAGCACATTGGTCTTGAACACCTTCTTCACTGGCAAAGTTGTGCGGATTATGCCCCTACTCTTACCGCCAAGACTTTCGTAAATGCGCAAGATGACACTGCGGCCGTCGCGTTTGGTCAGCTCGCCACGAGACACGTCCTCGTCGTCCTCACCACGCTTGACCGCGTCAAGGACAAGAGATTTGCTGCCCGACAGGGACACTGCTCTGAAGATGTCCGCGTCGAAGCTTGCGTAGGCGTCACTCGTAATAGAGACGAGTTTCATCGGGTTGTTGAAGTTGTGGGCGGCACGAATCGTCTCAGGTCCGAGGTTGCCAATATGAGGCATAATCGCCCACTCAATGTGGTGAGACCCCATGTCAGCGTGTGCGTCAGGTGCCTTGGGCGCACGTAGCAGTGAAAGGCGCATCAGGTTTCCGCATGTCGCGAAACCATACTTGGAGTCGTTCAAGATGGAAACGCCGTAATTGGACTCCGACAGGTCGGCGAACTTGTGGCAGCACACCTCGAACTTGGCCATGTCCCAGCTATGATTGGTTAGCAGAGTTGGAGGACAAGACAGGAATGAAGCTTACCTTGTGTTGTAGTGCGTCGGTCGCCGGACGATTCCGTACTGACACTCGTAACTCGCTTCTGTGTTAACCACATCGACAGGGAATTCAACCTTCAAGAATTTCATCGTCTCATGCCACTCCACCTCAGCCTCCACGCGGACGTAGCTGGGCACATCATCGCTATCGGTTGCGTCGAGGCTGATGATAGTTTTGACCCAGCTCTTATCGCTGACTTGTGTCTTTGTAACAACACTGGCGCGGTACGGGCCCGCTTGGAAGATCTCGGATGCGTCAGAGGTAAGCTCCTTGCGTGAGTCAAGATGGAACACTTCAACGTCCCAGGCTTGCCAGTACAGGGGCTTGTCGTCGAAGATGACCAGCTGATTGCCTTTGCCACCTGTGGCAATCACCTCTCGATCCGCACGCACATCGAACAGAGATGTGATACAACCTTTCTCAACTTCGACACGGAAGTGTCTGTTTGAGAGGACGAACACGCCCTTGCTCTTCTGCTCGACCGTAGCCTCGGACTTCAATATCGAGGCCGCGTGTGTCTTTGCCAGTCCTGGTCCACCGTGAACGAGGGCGTAATGACTCTGTTCACTATCTGCCTGTGCTTGTGGTACCTTGACCAGCTCTGTCCGGCTCCAGCCAGAGTGTTGACGGCAGCGATCTCAGCCTTTGGCTTGAGATTCTCGGACAATTGCAGCACAGAGAGCGCCTCCTGTATCAGCTTGCGGCCAACACTATGGTTGTGGGCATACAGCTTGTCCGAATCATCGTAGCACATCTCGATCGAACTTCCAGGCAAACAATCGTGGAACTGGCAGAGGAGTATGTTCTCCCACAAATCGTCGATGTCCTTCTTGGGGTACTTGTAGCTCTTGTTTTGTAACGTCGCAAGTGTGGCCAAATATTCGATGTCGCGCATCATGATCTCTTGCTTGCGGTTGTTCTTCTTGTTGTTGGCTTGAGTGGTGTACGTGCCTCGGTGCAGTTCGAAATAGAGCTCGCCATACCACGTCACGAGCTCCAGACCCTTGGAAATCTTGTGCTCGAGCTGATTAAAGAAATCTTCCACAGAGTTGCCCATCTTGACTCGAGGCAGAGACCCCGTTGTGTCGCTCAGGCCTCGACAACGACGAAGTCTCTCCAACATCTCCCAGGTCGGGCCGCCTCCACCGTCGCCTTTGCCAAAGACGAGGAGCGACGTATTGTCCTGGTCCATGCTCTTGTGCTGGCTGACACTGCGAGCAACATCTCCGTACCAGGCATCGGCTGTATAAGTCTCACTGGGTGCCATGTGACAGATGACTTGACTCTTGTCGAGACTGACCCAATTGAATGTAGTATGAGGGAAGTTGTTGATGTTGTTCCAGCTGAGCTTCTGTGTGAAGAATCTCTGCATATCAGCTAATCGACAGATCTGTGGCAGTTGCGCCGAGTAGCCGAAAGTGTCTGGCAGCCAAAAAGTTCGACATCTCTCACCAAAGTTGCTCTCAAAGAAGCGTTGGCCATAGAGGAACTGCCGGACTAGTGACTCGCCACTGGGCATGTTTGTATCGTGCTCGACCCAACTGCCTCCGATGGGTTGGAAGCTACCTTTCTTCACCTTGCCTTTGACCCGATCGAACACAGAAGGATAGTACTGCTTGAGCCATTTGTACTGTTGCGCTTGACTGACAGCAAAGCGATGTTCCGGGTAGCGGTCCATCAGGTCACACTGATTTGACCAACTGCGAGCTACCTTGCGCTTGGTCTCGTCCCATGGCCACAGCCAGCAAGTATCGATGTGACAATGTCCAACAGCATAGACGATGCTCTCCAGGTCAGAGTCGTAGACCTTGGAAGAGTCCACGTTCTTACCCAGGTACTCCTGGGCGATCTTGCGACCTTGAAGAATGGACTCGTTGGAGCCATTTCCGGCGATGAATGCATCGATGATGCGGTTACAAACGTCGAGAGCCTTGTGCTTCTCCCAACTCTGGTCAGACATCTCGCGTGCAGCGTCGCTGATGATCCAGAAATCATATCTCAGACCTCGGGCGGCGAGGTTGACATCGACGATCCGTGCCTCTTGAAGTTGGAAGTACACGTTCGGGTCTGGAGGCTGAATGCTGTCCCCATTGCTACCGTTGCCAAAGATCTTGTTGCAAGCAACTTCGATGTAGATAATATGCTCTTTGCCGTCTCTGAATTCTTTCGGTATGACCCAGTCGTTCCGCTCTCCGCCACCTGTCAAGCCTTGTAACGGATGGCCCTTCTCGTTCCAGATCATGGCTTCGCTCTGTGAGTCCCATCGGAACTCGACTTGCTCAGCATCTTTCATGGAAGCTGGCACAGTCAACGTGACCTCGAACCAATGTGTAGACCATGATGGCCCGAAGGATTCGCCTCTCTTCGTAGGCTTGAATTTGTGAGAGGTGGCATCCTTGAAGGTGGGACGAGTCAGGCCGGGTGCGGACCAAACAGCGAGGCCGACGTGCTTGCTGTCGTCGACAGAATCGTTGTAGAATTTTGCTGTGAGGCTTTGATTGTAGTACTGGCCACCGCTGCTAGTGAATTGGCCTAGGCGGTCTGTGTAGATGCCTTTGATCTTCTGACCGACGGGCTTGGGTGCCAATTGAGGATAAGACGAAGACATGGTCGGCACCAGCCGGGAGTCCGATCCTCCGCCCATGTTGATGCTGCGCTGAGTCTTGTTGTACTACGACCAAGTGTGATGGAGGAATCCAATACAGTGTACAAGCCTGCGGGCAATGCAACAAACTCCATGACTGAATGACCTACAAGTTGGAGTTACAGAGCAGCTGCAGCTCATGCGGGGTGTCAGGTGGCGTTGCGGCGCGTGGCAGGAGCGTGTGCCAGAGTTTGGAGTGGCGATTGGGGCAGGTCATCGGGGAAGGTGCCCTGGAGAATGCCTATATCAGCGCCGGACGACAAGATTTATGCTGGGGCAATATCGCAAACCGGATGACAAGTTCGCTGTGGAAGGTTCGATACGTCAGACGGGGTCCTTCCTTCTCAAGCGATATTCTGTTCGGTGCTATCTACTATTCATGCTGCATGTACTTCAGCTATTCTACTCCCACCATTTCCTCGGGTCTTCCCTTGCATGCACGCCTTTTGTGATCTCTGTAGGTCCAACCAACTTGATCTTATTCTTGAGCTTCTCTCGTCTCTTTTCAGACGCAGTCCTTGTGAGCTTGTGCTTTGCACCCTCAAAGAAGCCCATCTTCTCACCATCATCTGTCTTGTTCGAGTCTTTGCTAGAGCGCTTGTCTCTCCTACGCTTCTTCTTGTCATCTTTCTCCCATGATGCTTCGCCATAAAGCTGATAAGATGTTGGCTGAATGGCGAGATTCTTCCGTGGTGGCGTCCAGTCGCTTGTGCGGGCGGTGTTTGCAGTATTTGCCGTGGCCGAGGACTCCACGCTCTTGCGCACTGACATCGCTCGCATAATTACACCTGTAGCCCGTGTCGACATGCTCGAGATTGTACTCGACCGTTTCGGCTTATGTTGAGGTGTAACATTCATGCCCGGGTATTTCTCCGACGCGTACGACATGATCCTATGCTTCTCATCCTCAGTAAATCGCTGCGATGTGAGCATCTCCTGATCCGGTCCAGGCTCGATTGAGGGCTGATAATGAACAAACTTGTCTGTGGAGGAGACTATCGAGCTATTCTTCCGTGCTTGGACTTGCAGAAATTCCTGAAAGCTGTTATTGTCCCCAGCAGACTGCGCACGCTGTGCGATTTCTGGCGGCGAGATACTGCGGCTGGCTCGACTTAAGTCCAGTGGAGGCGGAATCATGTCGTTGGTGACCACGTGGCTGATGGTCCCTGACATTGGTCCGGGTAGATGACTGTCACTGGTATCGAATGCCACAGGATGCATGTTGGGCGATTCTTTTGGCGTCGGAGGAGCAAGCGCTGCGAGAGCAAGATGTCGGTGATAGCTCTCCGTGTCCTCCGACGACAAGGGAGAGACGATGTCACCTCGCTTTTGAGACAAATTGCGAGTGAATTCGCTGAAGCTCGGCGCGTTCTTGCTGTCTGCAGGCGATACAGGCGGAGACCTCTGCGGATGGACTTCTGGCGAGACCGCAATTTGCTGTGGCGGGTCTGGGGAATAGTTCGTTGTTCTTTCAAGTGCGAAAGGCAATGCTGGCACCTCAGTAATGTTAGGCGACATGGGCGGCGTTACGTCTTGGTAGATGCTGGGCGATGGGAGTATGCTTGGAGAACGCGTCCGTGGGTAGATCGAGCTATCAACGGCAAGGTGGTCGGCCAGAGGTGGTGGAGATTCGGCGCCGCTGGACTTCCTGATGACTAGTGGGAGCGGAGGAGGGGATGCTCCGCCACTGTAGCGTGCAGCCATCAGTGGAGCGAGGGTGTCTCTATAAGCCTGCGCCCTTTGTGGGCTAGACAGGGCTGCTTCTTCCGCATCATGGCCGTTGTAAAGTGAAATTATGTTTGAGATCGTAGTCGACACGCTGTACACGCTCGAGGCTCTGCGGTCGATCTCGGGCGGCTCAAGCGGGAGTGGCTTGTCCAGATCTGAAGGCGTGGTGCGAATAGAGCTGTTGTACGACGGCGCATGGAGGCTCAGGCTCGAGCTCGATGGACCTAGCTCCAGACCAAGCTGCTGCAATTTCAGCAGGGACGACGAAGGTGGTGGCGAGACGGGAGGTCTCCGTGGAGATTTTGGGGGCGACAGAAGGCCACTGCTATCTTGTCTCACATCGAGATACACCTCCTGCGCAACAATGTCTGTAGCCATGGTGGCATTGATGCTCGGGAGGCCTTCAGCGTATTCAGAAGGTGTCGATCTAAAAATGCATCAGAACGCCCAGCTAATTCTCAACAAAGGCACGCAAGTTGTGCCTCTTCCGTTTTCGGCCTCCTACGCGTCGCTCCAGGCAGCTTCTTCTTTGTCCGCCATGGCACTCCCTGCTCTTGAATATGACTGCTCACATAGCTCGATGCCGAGTCTACAGGCTTGCTGCTTTCGCAAGGTCCTCTTTGGTCAACTCGTCGTCGGATTTGCGATACTCGCCCAGCCGGCCAATCCGCCGCAGTCGACCGATCATGTCTTCGTCACCAAAATGCGAGTTGTGCTCGAAAGTAGGTTCTTGGGCGTAAGCATAGCGTGAAGCATCGACGAGAATCCTGGCGGTCATCCCAAAGACTCGGTATCTTTCCAAGGACTCCAGGTGATCTGCTGCTTGCTTTTGCCCTTCGGTCTTCTTGGGCTTAGCAACAATTTGATTGGTGACCGGGACAAAGAAATTGTGCATACGCCAGCGGCTCTGGTGCCAGTCTGTCCACATGCCTTTGTACCACTGCTTCGGCCTGCCTGGGAGATTGTCTTGGCTCGGAAGATCTTCACTGTACAGAAAATTCTTGAAGGGAGCCGAGAAGACTGCCGCAACTTCTCGAGCATCCAAGACTGGTAGAAGTTTGTCTGCCACACTAGCATCGAGACCAGATTCCGGATCGTGAGAATGGACAAAGGCGACGCACGGACGCACCACTAGCTCAGTCTTTGCCAAATTCGTCGGCATCTCGCACAGATGCTCAATGCGAAACGGTGCCGGAAGTTCTGTTCCGAGGGGTGCCAGGCCTATCTCCTCGGCGGCTTCTCGTCGTGCTGTGTGAAAGGCCTCTTCGCCCTCCTCTGCCTTTCCTCCTGGTAAAGCTGCTTGCCCTGAGTAAGACGAAAGTGTGGCAGCTCTCATGGTTATGACTACTCGCAGATCACCTTTGGGGTCTGCGAAGAGGAGGATCAGTACTGCCGCCTTCCTTGATAGTGGCATCGAAGCCCATGCTGTCGGTGGCCCTTTGTATTCTCGTAGCCTCTGTACCGCCCTCTGTGAGCTTGTCAGCAATTCATACTTTGCCACGCATGTATCTCTGCCTACCCTGGACTCTTCGGATAATGGCGCCATGGCCGGTCCGGCAGCTTGCGCGTTGCGATAATCGGCGAAGCTGCTACCGCGTCGGACCGAGCGATGTAGGTGCTGGCGACAGCGAGCAACCTGCACACGGCGAAGCATATATGTACAGTCTACTAAGCTCGAATACAATAGAGCGAGTGAGACAAGCGAGGTTGATGATTGACTTTGTAGGCGCCGAGGCAAAGTTCATGTCACCGGCAATAGGCACGGGTCTTGGCAAAGCCCGAGATCTGTCCTTGCTGCCAAATAGATGGAGCTACTTCTATCAAAACCTCTCTCCGCCCTGGATTCGGCCGACCGACTGAAGAGCTGCCTGTCTGACCTTGCCCACCAACAGTAGGCCTCCTTACTACAGCCGCAGACGCTGGCTTGCACTCTGATATATGTTCTGGCTTGCTTGGGAGCATTGCCACCGGCTCAAGGTCCATAGAATCCGGTATTGGACGTAAGAAGCCGGTTTTGAGTCCTCAAGGGGATCGGAGACAACCATTGTAGTCAAGGCCTTGCGGCTAGTATGTGAGTCTAGTCAGAACAATTGTAGGGGAGAGGTTCAGTCTCCTGCGTCGGCATTCTGCCTTCGTTGGAGTCTCAAACTTACAAGACCTCCAGCTGGCAGCAGAAGTCAGCTGTGTTGCCGGCTCACGTTCTCGGGAATGACACCTTGATGGATCATTCCGATGGCCTGATGTCCTGGTTGTACGCGTCCAGTATCGTCCGTGCTTCGGGTTGTCGAAAGTGAACGCTACCCGAGCGCTGCGCAGCCCGAACCGCGCAGTAGTATTCGTAGAATCGTTGCATTTCGCTTGTTAGGTTTTCAGTCGTCATGTCCCTTCCTTGAGTTGAAAGATATCTTCTGCCGCTTGCTCGGCCGATCTGACTCCTCATCATGCTGCGCCGCAGCCTTCTTCTTCTTCTTGTCTGCCGTCTTGTCCGCTGCAAAGCTCCCGGTCGGTGTGCCAGCGTGTGCAGGCGTGCTCACTGCACTACTAGGTGTGTCCGAGTCCCGCATGTATGATACAGAACTCTTAGAGAACACCCTGTCGCTATCGCTGACCGCCGCCTTGCGTCGCTTGCGCCAACGCCGCCTCCTGCAGCACTGCCAGAAATCGTCCCGCCGGCTGAGTTGGCAGACGAGGTGACAGCGGAGGCTTTGATGTAATTGTCGAAGCCCTTGACGATGTTGCCTGCCGCAGACGTTTCTTCGAGGTATGCGGTCTCTTGTCGATAGATCGTTTCTTCGATAGCAGCCATGTTTCGGTCGATCAGGCGCTTCTTCTGTAGTGTGTCGCGCAAGTCGCGTCGTAGTTTCTCGTAGTAGGGCAGTCCAGGTCGGTCGCCATTGGCGGCCGGCTTCGATGCTGAGCCTGGAGGCACGTTTTCTGCCATCACTCGCACTGGCGCAATGCGCGCGGACTGTAGCCGTCCAGTCGATGGAGTTTGAGATGTTGAGGACTGCGATTAGTTGTCCAAGCTGAGCCGGGCTCCGCGTAGGCGACTTGAGGTGAAACTCTGGCCACGTGACTGGACAATGGTGGGGTCCGTGACAGCGCTCCTCGAGTGCAACTACATCCAGGTGTCCTTCATAGAGTATACTCAGTCTTGCCTCCATTTCACCTGCATAACGCTGGACGTGCTCATCCACAACATCACCTTTGATTTTACGCCGACGCCTTGCTACGATGATGGACCACGACCACATGGACCATGGAGCCACATGGGCCATGGAGGAGACATGGACATGGGGGAGGGACAGTGCTCGATGAATGTCAGGAGCCCAGAGTTGCGCATGCTTACTGGATGTCATGGCTAACATGGCCAGATGCTCTTCACCTGGTCCTCGAAGAACTTGTGCATAATCTTCCCTCAATGGCGAGTCACTGGGACGGCGTCTTTGCTCATCTCCCTCCTTGCGATCATCGTTCTTACAGCAGGCTACGAATGGGTACGGGACATGAGCAGGCGGTACGAGCAGAGCCACAGTGCCCACTTGCAAGCATACAACGGCAACACGCAGCGTATGTGACTGTCTCTACCCTGTACTCGATCATTAGCTCAAAGCTTTTGCCAGCCGAAGAGTCCAGAGTCAGTGAAATAAGCTCATTGCTTTCGCCAGGAAAAGACGCCAGAACAAATGCTGAGAAGAAGGGCGTGATCATAAAAGCGGCGTTCTATGCCGCTCAGGTCTTCTACAGCTTCTTCATCATGTGAGTTGAAGGTCCGGCGAAATAGTGCTTGGGCTGACCAGCAGGCTGTTGTTCATGACCTATAATGGTTGGGTAATGTTGGCAGTGGCAACTGGCGCTTTCGTTGGCTACATCGCATTCGGATCCCAGAGCGTCGCCACCAAGTCTGTAGCGTGCCACTAGTGGTCAGTCTTCGGGTTCGCTTTCGAGATCATCACCAAATCCGAAGCTGAAAGCACCACTACTAGCATTCTCGACACTGGCTGGTGCCACAACTTCCTCCCACTTTCGTTTCCTAGACTTATCCGCATCGTCCCTCTTCAGCTCAACGGCCAGGCCGGGATACTCTTCTTTGAGTCGCCCCAGGAACAGCTCCAGGGGATCTGTGACGTCGTCCTTGAAACCGGAGATTTGAGCACGTTTTCGATCCAGAAAGTCCACCACTGAGCCAACATGGGATCGCGGCACAAAGTTCTGGGTAATGGCAATGGCTGGGTCGAGATTGACGACAAGGTGCCACCACCCGCTCGGCACATGCAAGACCTCGCCTTCTTCGCATACACCCTCTAAGCAACCAGAAGTTTGTCTGGCCTCCTCGTGGAAGGAGAGTAGCCACTCGCCAATGCTTAAGGGGCTTGTGACTTCACTTTGATCATCCGAAACGAAAACGCCCGGCGGCATGATGTAGGGTGGGAACATGATCCAGTATTTCGAGCCACGCACTACAGCGTTCCACGCAGACGTGGCATTCGGGTCCTTGTGGAACGTTGACCCGCTTCGCTCTGGCCCGATGATGAGCCAACGATGGTCAGGCCTTTGGTCTCCCAGAACTGCAAAGAGGTCTTCTTGGAAGCATGAAGGCGCTTCGTAGTCGCCTGCTGGACCGACCTCGAGCTTCATCTTCTGGCAAACGCCCGATCGAAGAGATAAAGCGGACTCTCATCGCTTGTGTTTCTCATGTACTCCATGTATCTCCTCATGGGCCAGTCGACCGCTTCTGCTCGGAAGCTGATGTGCGCATATCGTTCCGCGAGAGCTTCCCAAGACCAGCTTTGGTATGCTCTCCAGCGCTTGACAGGGTCGGTCAGTATGAAGGGTCGATCTGTCCAGGCATGGTTGAAGTCGTCCGTGGACAGGTCGGACAATCTAGGGATGGGATGTGCGAAGTCTCTCGGATTTGCGTATTGCTGAAGATCCAATCTCGAGCAGAGGAACGGCCGGTGAAGTGCGTCAGAGAAAACATTTCGACAATCAATGGATGACTGTGAATCTCCTGACAAGCGCCGCAACGATGCCCTCCACGAACCACGCCATTCAAAGTCGACCGCAGATGAATTGATGGCCAAGTCTCGCCAGAGCTGATCGTATGTGCAGTACGCGAAGAAGCTTTTGCACGTGCTACCCAATGCCGTCAGTGCTTGCTGGTCCAGGAACTCAAGTAGTGTCAAAATCAGAGTATCAGGCAACCGAGCGAAATCTCCCATGCTCGAAGCAGCATTTTGAGCAGATGTCAGAGCGTTACCGGCGGGTCGCACTCCGAGCGGATGACGAAAAGACTCATGCTCGTTGGATTTAATGCTCTTGACCTTGGTAGAAACGTATGAATCCTCGTGTGCCTGGAGAGTCTCAGTGATACTCATGATTGCTCCATTCGCTGCTGCTAAATCGCCAAAGTACTGCCGGAGCGGGACTACACCGAAGGTCTGCGACTCGAAAGGGCTCTTCACCGAAGATCGTGTCAGGCTGAGTGAAGCATTCTACATCGGACTAGGCACTTCCAGCAGCAAGAATGCCTGAACTTGCCACCAGAAGTGCAGAAGCCAGGAGAATTTGCCTGAGAATTGTGCGCAGCATCACTGAACAGCCATTCACATGAGTCACGTGTGTAACGCTAGCCTGCTTCAAGGCAAGTGCCTTGGCAAGAGGCAAAGCCGGCTACCTGAAATGCCCCAAATAAAACTTTTGATAAAAATGTCCTTAGAGATTTCCCTTCCTTTTCATAACCACACACAACCAAGGAACACAATCACAACCACAGAAACAACCAGATTCTCATTGAAGAGAATCTTTTTGTATCACTAAAAGTTCACAGAACAGAAATCTGAACGACTTAGACGCCTGCGCAGCGTGCTAAGTCAACAACCACCCCACTTCCCAACTTTTCCAGATCACGGCCCGGCGCCTGTGATCTCCTGCGACCTACTCGCAATCATGGCTGACAAAGGACTCGAGGAGGTTCCCGAGAGTGAGTCTACACCTTTGTACATACACTGCGACGCTTGCGACAGTTTCGCATCTCAAATGCGCCTGCGCAGTTGCGGTGGTGACGAGCAGCATCCTTTCTGCTGACTGCCAAAATCTCGAACAATTACTGACTGAGACTGAAGGCCAAATCGAGTCGAACTACGATGAGGTCACCGACTCCTTCGATAGCATGAGCCTGAAGGCCGAACTCCTTCGAGGTACGTCAAATTCGGACTCGATCGCAATACAGCAGTCTAACAAACGCAGGAATCTATGCCTACGGTTTCGAACGCCCGTCCGCTATCCAGCAGCGTGCCATCATGCCCGTCATCAAGGGTAAGTCTACAAAAAGTATCTCCCAGCAACAGTATACACTGACACGTTGAAAAGGCTCCGATGTCATCGCTCAAGCCCAGTCCGGTACTGGCAAAACCGCCACCTTCTCCATTTCTGCGCTCCAGAAGATCGATGGCAACCTCAAGGCTTGCCAGGCCCTCATCCTTGCTCCCACTCGTGAGCTCGCCCAGCAGATCCAGAAGGTCGTTGTTGCCATCGGTGACTTCATGAACATTGAGTGCCACGCCTGCATTGGCGGCACCAACGTCCGTGAGGACATGAAGGCTCTTCAAGATGGTCCTCAAGTCGTCGTCGGTACCCCAGGTCGCGTCCAGGACATGATTCAGCGTCGCGTTCTCAAGACCGACAACATCAAGATGTTCATCCTCGATGAGGCTGACGAAATGCTGTCCCGTGGTTTCACTGAGCAGATCTACGACATCTTCCAGCTCCTGCCTCAGTCCACTCAGGTCGTCCTTCTCTCTGCGACCATGCCTCAGGATGTGCTCGAGGTCACCACCAAGTTCATGCGCGACCCCGTCCGCATTCTCGTCAAGAAGGCTGAGCTCACCCTTGAAGGTATCAAGCAGTTCTACATTGCCGTCGAGAAGGAGGACTGGAAGCTCGACACCCTTTCCGATCTGTACGAGACCGTCACCATCACCCAGGCCGTCATCTTCTGCAATACTCGCAGAAAGGTCGACTGGCTCACCGACAAACTCACTCAGCGTGACTTCACGGTCTCAGCGATGCACGGCGACATGGAGCAGGCTCAGCGCGATGTCATCATGAAGGAATTCCGGTCCGGCTCTTCTCGTGTTCTGATTGCCACCGATCTCCTGGCTCGTGGTATCGACGTCCAGCAGGTCTCTCTGGTCATCAACTATGATCTGCCTGCCAACCGCGAGAACTACATTCACCGCATCGGTCGTGGTGGACGATTTGGCCGAAAGGGTGTTGCCATCAACTTCGTCACCGCTGATGACGTCCGAATGATGAGAGAGATTGAGCAGTTCTACAGCACTCAGATCGAGGAGATGCCAATGAACGTTGCCGACCTCATCTAAAGCAGACCATTCCTATGCGATACCCGCATCCGACTTCTCCTGTATCAGGCGGCATTATCGGCGTTAGGTTGCACACGATACCTGCAAGTGGGCCGAAGAGAAAAGTGGGATGAAGCATGCCTCTGACTGCTTGACTCTGGGTCTGCTTTTTTGCGAAAAGTCGTTATTTCATTTGATGGGCACGTCCAGTCCAGTTTCCACAATTCACTCAAGTGGCAGCTCCTTGACTGGCATCGACTCTGAACATCTACCATGGTGAACATCTACCATGATAGGCTCAGATTGCTCGAGACTCACCTACGACGTATTGGCTATTTCTCGATCGATTCGACAGATACGATCAGCTGCTCTTATGCGATGAGGGAGCATAGCATGAGTGCAGCATCGATTGCTCTGTGGGTCAATAGAAAGGGTAGACAACGTTAATGCTTCAAAGTCAGCCTTCTTCGTGTTGGCGTTTTCTTGTCCGTCGCTCCTGCCTTTTTCCCTCCTTCCTCCTGGGCACGCCAAGCCCACACGATTCACCTCGTGACTTCTCAGTAAGTCCAGCTTCGCTTTGACATCAGACACACCTCACAGACCCTCATAGACTGGCCGTAGCATACTGGTACTCCAGCAACAACCATGTTAGAACGGTCCAGGGCGAATCTACCGCAAGGCATCGACCTCCTCTGGAGCCATCAGATTCGACGTGAGAATACTCTGCTGCACAAACAAGTTCAGCAGCTACAAGCCCGCATCGACGAAATCCAGGATCTGCAGTCATGCCTGTCGAGTACTGTCGAAAGCTTGCAGGTAGACTCCGCTGCGTGTTCCTCGAGAACTGAATCTGTTCAAGCTCAGGTCGACATCGCTGAAGCAAAGCTCACCCGTTACTCGGATCTGGCCACCTCGACGAGCCTGAGAGTCGATCAAGTCTCTGCTGACCTAGCATCTACCAGCAAGTCCGATGGTGAAAAGATCCAGAAGTTGTCTGAACGGGTCGATGATGTCCACGCATACCTCTGTGGATTGGAGGAGGATGGGGAGAAAAGAACGAACAAATTGGCACAAGATCTTCAACAATTATCAGCGAACATCGACGGGCATCAGCAACAACCGGTCATAGACGCTCTCCTGGCACGGATGTCAAGTCTAGAGGCTCGGATCGATCGCTGTACCTGCTCGTCAGACACACCGAGACTGGCAAACAACTGTGATCGTGAGGCCACCAAACTTCGAGGATCCTATGATGAATCAGCAGATTCTGTCGTCACGAATACAGTGTCGAGCTCGGGTCCGGGAAGTCAGGAGGAGCCGATGCTCACTCTGCAAGATGTCGAAGACAAGTATCCAACGCTCACACCCGAGCCAAGCATTGATCTGGATGAGAATGTCGCAACACCATCCTATGCTGCCCATCAAAGACCACAGTCTAGAGTGCCCGAATCCCTTCAGCCTATCGTTTTGAGTAGTCCTCGGATTGCAGCCCGTCCAAACTACTCCCAGCTCAAGCAAGGAAGATATCATAGCTGGGACAGATATCTAGCAGAAGCGCAGACGTTGATAAAAACTCTTCCGCATGACCAAGAGAAGGAGTTCGTCCGGAGTTTTGTGGATGGCCTTCACGCCGAAGGCAATCGAGAGCAGTGTCGACAGTGCTCGAGCACAATGGCTGGACATGGGACAGTGTTGTGTCCTATGGAATGTCTGGCACACCCGCTTTGCCACTGGCGGCTACTACCAGACCGACCGTTGCTCGGAAGAGCCAGGCTTCCGCGCAAGTTCCGCATGAGCATCCTCCCGATTCCAGTCTGACGAGAACCTCAGCACCGGTGGAGAAGCGAAGAGGCAAAGACGCAGAGGCTACCGTGCCTTCGAGCGAGCGCCGGGATGGCCGGCCTGTTGTTCCTGTCCAAGAGCCTCGAAGAAGCCAACGTCTTGCCGGCATTGCGGCTCAGTGTTCTGGGATCGAGGTCACACCTAAGAAGCGCCGAAAGCTGCGCCATCTGAGACAAGCGATCGGCCAAAGAAGAGACAGAATCGCAAGATCGGCGGGAGAACCAAGCCGGAGTCCAAGACAGCCAAAGCGAACCAAGTGAAGCTTCGACCGCCCACACAAATCACGGAGCCCGCGACCAGCAACGACCACAACAAGGATTTCGCGATTCCTCCCTCACACCAACCTGAGAGAGAGGTATCATACGAGATTCCTATGACACGGGCTACCTCCGCTCAATCAGCAGAGACGCAAACGCCAGCGCTTCCATCCACACCTCCCAGCAAATTGAAGGTACGCAGCCGACCGGGTCAACCATCAGCTCAGACGGCCTCCCGACCGAGTGGCTCCATCCATCATCGTCAGATCAGTAGCAGTAGTGATATCGTCACGATGCTCAACGACAGGACCCGAATTGCGTCTCGCCGGCTCCAGCAGGACATTGAGTCGGAAGAAGGGGAGCCACAGCTTCCGCGAATCCCAACACCGCCTCCTGCTCCCCGTAAGATAAGCCGCCTCCCGACCCTCATCAGGAATAACAAGTCGCGAGCCACCCTTGCCGGCACGAACGACAGAAAGCATCAACGTCAGCCCACATCTGTTGACCATGCTGCCCCTGTCGTCAAGCGTGTCAAGAAGGTACGGCGACCTCCACCTAAGATTCCGATCTTGCCGACTTCGGAGCTGTAGCCTGCTCACAAGAGTAATACTCAAAAGACGGGCTCATGGATTCGATCATGAACCTGTGGAGACAAGGAGATAGGCGGTTGTCGACGATTATTGCAACACTTTCCATAATATGAGTACGGAAGGCACCTTATCTACCAGAATGTGGCCGAACATCTATGTTAACATCCGTTCGTCCAATGTGCGAAGGACAAATTGCCATTCAGTATGAAGTGAGAGAGGGATACGGAAACAAAATCATCCAGACTTGAAATAACATAGCTGTTCCTCCATACAGGGTTTTAACCGCAGAATCTTATCACCATTTCACTGCACCGGCTGTAGGCGTTGACTTCGGTTGTCTTCCCCTCGCAGCGTTTAAGATCGTCGTCTCGAGTGACCAGGCCGCCAGACAGTATTGAAAGTCGTCTCTCTCTACTTGTGTTGCGTTCTACCGGCATTGTTCAGAAGATAACTCCCTAGTATAGAGAAGCGCCTCATCAGCCCATTTCCGCAAGACCCACGACATCCTCTTAGACCTTCCACAGTAGGACGGTCTTCCCGACGGGAAGCACCATCCGAACTCCGAGCGAGCGGCACAGGTGGCTAGTGATTACTTGTGGCGTTTTCGCTTATCCTCGATCCCTTTGTGCAGCGAGGCTAATTTCGCTGGCGAACGATCGCCTCATCTGCCTGTGATCCGGTGGTGTATTTCCGGGCTCAAGAGGTTTGCATATCCTTCGCGCCCGACGAACTCGTTTCTTGGGTGAAGTCGAGTGCTTGCGTTTCCGAGTTCGAGCCTTTCGCACGACTGTTTCAAAGTGAGTAGTTCTGATGAGGCTCGGTGTTTGGCCGGCGGTCAGGTGTTGACTTTGGACATTTTGAGGGACGCCGTTGGTTTCTGCTGCTGCATTATGCAGGAGACAACGGTGCTTGACAGCTATGACTTGCCCTCAGACCGCGCGTCAGCGGGACCGGAGTATGGACTTTTGTGATGTCTTGTGACATGCTAGCCATTGGAGAGACTCGTCTGCCTGGCGGGCTTCATCATCCCCAGCGCTGGAACACTCTGTGCAGAACCTCATGACCTTACTCTCACCATCCAGTGCAATGCGATCGCAATAGCTGGACCTTACAAATCTGTTGCGCCATACCCGCGCAACAAACGCCAAGCAGCAACATCCGTAATGATAATCGTTCGCCAGGTCGCCGTGTGCCCGTCGTTGCTGCAAGCTATGAGGTGCCGCGACGACGTGATCTCTCTCTCGAGCAGTGGCTTGCCTGCCTCGTGGCTGAAGGCGGAGTCCAAGCAACACGTCGAGGAAAATATGGGAAGTACGTATGCAATTCGGAGCCGCCGCAGGGAACCAGGGTTTCAATATTTTTGACTTCAAGCCGCAGGTACTCCGTAGACCGGCGCTAGCCTCTGCTTGTGGTGAACTCTGCGGGTATAAGTTTGTGCCGCGTGGGAAAGGAGCTCACTGGCCTTGACAGAGCGTTGCGCTCGATGTGTGCGCACTGGTGGACCTTGGGAGCACTGGTATGCATGGCTGACCACAATGCTGACCTTGATGGTTTGGCCACAGTGTGAGCGTACAAGACGCCTGTACGGATGTTCAGAGAAACGGCCTCGCCATGCCCCTCAATGTTCGACGGTTTGACAGCCGCGCTAGGGAGCTAATGGTTCGAATTCTCACGCTGTAGGTTCGGGAGGTAAGATTATTTTCCGCAAACTCACCTTGAAATTGCGTGAGCTCAGATGGCGGCGTGGAAACGATTGCCGATGGCTCCATAGTACATAGGTACGAGTGAAAGCACAGGCTGCGTCTGCGATCTCGGAAGCAGCATCGATGATTGTGGTCGTCAGGAGGTGCGGATGGAGGCGTTCTGAGGGCGTCAAGGTTGACAGAGGGCTGGCTGCGCAATCGCAGATCGTCTCCGCCTCGAAGAATTGTAATTTGTGGCGGATTGAGCCCGATGGCCATCGAGACTGATGCGCGTGGCTTCCTGTTCCAACAATGTATCGCGCCTATGCAACCTGGGCTATGCCAGGCATACGACAGTTCAATAGCGTGGGAGACGAATATCAGGCTGAAGATATCTGCGAAGTGGGAAATGGATTGTTTGAAGAAGCCTGCAGCTCCGATTTTGCTCAGATAGCATTTGATACATGGAGGAAGGTACAATCGGGTATCATTGCTCTTGCTTCGAGCATCATCATGTCAGAATGACTCTTGCTCGACAACTATACGAAAGTTCTTGATCGTTTTGCAACGATATCGAAACCTTCTGATTCGAAATTCCTCTGAAAACACCGTGCAAAGCAAGTTTCCCAATCCCGATTCTGAAGATCTGAAACGTATCGCGTGATCATATGTGCCCATCATTCGTGACCTGACAAAGGAATGTTCGTTTAAAGTGACGCGTTTGGTCCAGATGACACAGAGTCTGGCGTCTGGTAAGTTGACAGAGAGATATTTGTAGTTGATGCAGTAGCGGACGATTGCCAGAAGTCTGTCGAGGAGAAGATGTCCTTGTAGAGTGACGCAAAGTCCTCGTCCTCAACCACGTTCTCTTTCTCAGCCGGTGAAGCTTTCTTGCTTACCGAGGTTGACAAGCGTATCTTAGGATTCGAAAGCGAGCCACGTCGAGAGTTCTGTCTAGACGCTGCACGCTTCTTGATGGAGCTCCTCCTGGACTCGCCCGTCAGAGCGCCGAGTGTAGCAGAATCGGCCCGTTTGAGACCAGCATCTGGTTCTGGCTCATCGCTTGCTGTCGGGTCCTGGACTAATGGAATGCCTGCAACAGGCTGTGAGACTGTTCGGACACTTCGTTGTGACCGAAGAAGGGGAGACGAGCTTGTTGTGGGCATCGAGACTGAGCGCTCTCCTTCGGGTGTCACTGGGATCGATGATGCTCTTGGCGTAGTCGCGGGCGTGGTCGACTTCCTCTTCTTCTTCCGCCGTAGTGACTTCACTGCGTCTCGAGATGGCTCGCGTGCTCGAGCGCTTGGATATAGGTCGATCTCATGGACTCAACCATCTTGCGGATGTCGTCTTTGGTGGTAAACGTATCTGATTCCGCGATACTAGTTCTGGTTGTAAATGATGATGCATATCCCCCAGCAGACGACATGAAAGAATGTGGCCGTTGCGAAGACTCATCGGACGTGTCGTCGTGGCGAGCGTCACTCCGAGATCTTCGTCTAGTCTTCTGCTTATTGTCTTTCGGTTCGAAACTAGGACGGGGCAGAGGGTCTAGAGCCACTGGCGTGACCTGCTCATCTTCGATTATTGATAGCTTCTTCTGATCCCCAGGCATCTCTCCGAAGCTTTTCTCAACACCCGCTTGACCATATATGGTGACCAAACGGCTGTACTCTGCTTTCCAAAGGGCACGAATCGTAGCACTTTGTTCCGCGGGTGCCTCGACGTGCTGGGAACCGTTCTTGAGTATACCCTGCGGAGGCTGCTCGAAGATTCCCAGTCCATCAATTGGTGAATTTTGTTGATGTGATGTCGGCCGCCCCATTGAATCCGCAAAGCCTGAGCTCTGAGGCGTAGACATCGAATGCCGTGTAGTCAGATGGGTAGGCGAGTTCTCGGGGATGTCGAGCAATGGAGACGAGCCAGAGAATGGTGCCCAGGCTGCCGGCGCTGATCCTGGTGGTCGCCGTTGAGACGGTGACGAAGATAATGACGAATGAGAGGGCCGTCTTTCGTTTAGTGTGGAATTGCGCAAAGACAAGGTGCGAGAGTCTCGCCGCGGAACGAAGATATCAGCATCTTCGATTCCAGCAAGCACTGATTCCGAGCTGAGCAGCTCTCCAGAACGGCTGGCATGTAGTTTGATGGGCCCGTTGCCTTTGTGAGGGAGGTCGCCGATCTCTGGCGGGGTCCCAGCTCTGCTAGTTCGATAGGATACTCCTTGCAGTGCAGAGGTGTCGCTCTTGCGCTTTTCTTTGAGGTTGCGACCTAAGGGTTGGTGAATAAAGATCGGTCTTCGTTTCCCTTCCGATGCAGCTTGGTAGGGAACACTGTGAATCTCGAGCTCCGAATTCCGTTTCGCGCGTCGCGACGTCCAGAACTTGACACGGAAACGCGATTCCATCTGTGCTGCATGGGTCTACTCAACCCGGAATCTCGTCCACCACAACTCTCCAAACTGGCCAGCAGTGATATAGCAGACGTCGTGAGGTGAAGGGAAACCAGATCGAGAGATCTACTCGGGGGTCGAGAGATATGGAAGAACGCGCCTAGCGGGCAACATGCTTTTGTTGCTGAAATCACGGTCTGACTGAAATGGGACAGGATACATATTTGGGGCCGGCAACGAACGCGCTTGTTGGATCGGAAAAGCAGACGAGGCACAGAAGCCGGCAAATCCATGTTCAAAAAGCCACCTAAAGCCAAAGTCGAACCCAGAACCCAGATCCCTGGGAAACAAGGCTCACGTTTTGTAAGTGGAGCCGCTTGAGTTTGACGCGCAGGAGGGCTTTCGCCCAAATTTGGTCGAGTGAGAGTGGTGTATCAAAACCACACCAATGAGATGAAGTAGCTGCCACCATGCTGGCCAAGCTGCTGCAGCGTTTGACAGGACCGCTAGACTTGTGCTGCCATGAATGTCAACTGGACTAATGGATCTCGGGAGACACAACGGGCTTGTGTAGTCCACCGCTTCAGGTTCGAGGGGATCGAGGCAGCTATTGTTTCTAGTCGTGGTGTGTCCTGCCCATCGATCGATTCGAGGGACGGCTGTTTAGCGAAACCCGGGGGCGCGATCCTCAAGCCGCTGATCTCCATTTCCTCTACTAAGGTAGATACCTGGCCTACCACTGACATTGATCAGCGTATCGGCGAATTTCCATGCGCAGAAAAGCTTCATCAAAAACCATGATGAGGCGCGACCAGGGCGCGCTTCCTCGTATACAGGGCTTGACTCGAAGCCAACATTAAGCTAACTCGCCAAACACAACAGAAGTACCCATGATCTCGGAGCTGTCAGTCAAGCCAACTTCAAGTCAGCTAGGCGCAGCTGCGCATTGATACGGGACCCTGTCAATGACAAAACACGATAGCAGCCAAAATCTGACGTGGCACAACAAACAGTCGCACCTAGGGCAACAACTGGTTGACTTTGCGATGTCTAGAGTCTGCAACTCATTTGACGCTGTAGCATATCAGGGCTGTCCCTTGCGAACTTGAAAGTACCTTCCACATCCGAGAAAGCAGAAATTACAGTGTTGCTCTCGCCAGGCTTGACGTGTTTGCTGTGTGTATGGATCTGGACGAGCAGCTGATAGCTATAGCCCAAGCGGTTGTCGGTGTACGGCCTCTTATCTGACGATCGCGCAGGTAGCCGTTTGAGCGATCTGGATGGCGGCTAAGACATTGCCATTCGTGCTACCCTCCTCTCGCCCAGCCCATGACTTGGTCTTCTCGCCTCTGCTTGGGGGTTGTCTGAAGATCAGGTAAGCGTGCAGGGCAGGGCAGCTTCGTCCTTCACGACAAGTGCATTGGGTCAGTCTCTAACACAACGTGCCATGCTTTGTTGTCATCAATAGCAATATCGCAGGGTCTTCCCAACACCTAAGCAACGCGAATGCGCTGTAGGTGCCGACTGCTGCTTGAGCCTCGTGGCTGAAACTTGATTTGCCACATGGCCTACAGGGAGGGTGTCTTCGTCCTAGCTTGGACTGGGACTGCAATGTGGCATATTCGGACGGCAGCTACGACTCTCAATTTGGAGCAAAAGTCAGCGCTCGGCCATGAAGGCATTGATGGCAATAATGTCGGAGAACTTGACATGTAGCGCCCAAAGATGCTCGATACATACAACGGTATGTAGAGACTGATCCAGCAGTCGTCGAGTGTTGTGTCAAAGTAAAGTACCTATAAGCGGACACGACAGGCGCGGAGACTGTCGCAATAATGATGCATCGTTGTGTGATGGAGATAGCAACTTGAATGCACGCTGCCAAACGTGTCCACCCGGACATAGCTCCCGGGTCCCAGGCTCAGAAGTGCTGGTGTGCAAGTCGTCTACACACTGATCGCATCACAAGACGCTCGCAGCTAGAGCGGAGGCAATGAACAACTTGTAGAGACTTAAGGTAGTGCTAGTCGTCACTGACTTGTTGGTACTCCAAGCTGAGGCATCACAGCGAAATCTGATAGGGCTGAGGCTTAGGTCAGGAGCGGAAGAGGCCGTCTCCAAAAGGGCCTGGACAATCTGTGAGTGCCCGTTCTCACGCCGAGCAAAGCGGTGCAGCTTTCTTTGATCGTCTCGATGCAACGTTTCAGTGACACCTCTCCATACCTCCCCATCAGTCTTTCGTCCACTGTCTGTACATTTTGGGTGGGAGGGTACAACATGCCTTGACTTTTTGGGCCTATGTTACAATCATGTTTGCTCCGTATGCTCCGTCGCCCCTACTACAGTACTCATCGCCATCTGCCGTTGCGAGAGTACTGCTAGACTGCTACCATAATCCTCTCCGGCCCTTACCGTGACCTAGCCATTGGCACAGTCACTTGAGGGTCACTCAAGCCCAGCGGACTGGGTCGCAGTCTTGATCGCTCACTTCGGTCGCATCATATCTTTAATCATTCCCAGAATGCCCTTCTCTTGTATGTACGATTCTTGACAAAGAACCCAAGTCGCTCCCTCGCCTCACTCGTTGCGACAGCCCCTACGCCTCACTAGCCCGACAAGCCTGTCCGCCCCTCGTTATCGCGATGATGCCCCTCGACTTGCTTCAAACACTCTTGCAGTCTATCATACGGAGTGCCATGAGCATGCTGATCTATCCTACTGCAGCCAAGGCCCTGCCGCCTACGCTATCGTACGCGGATGTCGAGCGGAAGCGGTCGTTCAAACCCCTCCAGACCTTTGCCGACGAAGTCGATAGGGTGTTCCGCTACCCATGTTCAATTCGACGCATGCTCAAGATGTCTGCTGCGATGAAGGATCAATTCCGGGAAAAGCTGCAAAAGAGTGATGCCTGCATGCTGCCGTCATATTGTACGGCCATGCCGCGTGGTCAAGAGACGGGCACCTTTGTCGCTCTGGATGTTGGAGGATCGACGTTCAGGGTTGCTCTGATCGAGCTGAAGGCCGCTCAGCAGGCAGTGATGGAATGATCATACACCACATGACCTCCAACAAGATCGACGAGCCCATCAGACGGCTACGAGGCACATTATTCTTTGAATGGATGGCAGCAAAGATTCAAGCTATGCTGGCCGAGTGCCTTGAGGCGAGGCCCAAAGACCAGGTCATTGCGCTCGGTCTCACATGGAGTTTTCCTCTCGAACAGACGAGCTATCGCACCGGCAAGATTCAGGCGATGGGAAAGGGATTTCAGTGCGCTCACGATAATCTTGGGGCAGATCTGGCCGCACTGCTCGAAAACGCTTGTACGACACTAGGGTTAGCCGTCCGTGTCGAGGCAATCATCAACGACGGAGCCGCGACTCTGCTCTCACAAGCCTACCTCGAGCCAACCACATCAATGGGCTTGATTCTAGGTACCGGCACTAATGCTGCCGCTTTCCTACCAACACTGTCGATGGGCCGGTCAAAGTTCGGTTTGCGAAGTCCTTCATGGTTCACACGAGCAGAGAAGGTCATCGTCAACACGGAATCGTCCATGTTTGGCGGCGGTATACTTCCCCGGAGTAATTGGGACGAAGTTCTCAACCGCAACCACGCACTACCTGACTTTCAACCTCTGGAATACATGACCACTGGGCGCTACCTTGGCGAGCTCATGCGGCTGATCGTCCTGGACGCAGTGCAATCCTGCAACATGTTTGGTGGCACTATTCCTGCCGAACTTCTGGAACCTTACAGCTTGGATACTGCAATACTTGCTCAGATCGAAGAGGACCAGTCGTCGGATATGAAGGATACATCGGTGTTGCTTGTCCAGGCATTTGGACTTCTCGATCCACCCTCGCGCAGCAGCTCGCATTCTTACGTCTGGTGGCCCACTCGATATCCAGGCGAGCATCAGCTTACATGGCAGTCGCGGTTCATGCTCTGTGGAGCCTACAAAAGGAAACTTCGATCACATCGGAACCGACCACTACGGCAGCGAAAACATCAATTGCTTGCAACGGCAGTGTGATTCTTAAGTATCCTGGCTTTAAGTCAAGGTGCGAAGGGTTCATGGCGAGAATGATCGCTGAAGGACCGGACATGACATCCTTGCAGCGTTCCGAGCGGATATGCCTCGAGCGACATACGAGTCGGCTTTGTTTGGCGCAGCAGTTGCGATCACTCTTGCCGAAGATACATGAGCTGGCTTCAGGCGGACGGTTCTTGTCCACAACTATACAGTACATGTGCTCGTGAAGCAAGCGTCACGATGCGCAGCAAGGCGGCGAACGCTAATCTACGAGCGTCGGTTTGACGTGTTCCGAAAAGGAAAATCACGCAGCGTCCGGCACAGTCGACCAGCCAGGGTGTCAGTCCTCCTGAGTACCGGTCGGTCTGCAGCCTGTCACAGCTGGCCGCTGCAACAGCAATGGCACCCTTTTCGACTCGGCCCAGAAGGCCGCCCGTGGCATCGTCGGCATTGGCCGACGACTAAGCCGTCGCGTCCAAGCCTCTCAATCGCTGGGCAGATGACGGCCTCAGGGCAAGAGATCGGCAACGACGCACACATATATATATAGAGCAATCTATACAAAAGAGCATAGTTATCCACAGCTCTGGAATAATACACAGGCACATTGTATGCCACTATAGGTTCACGCTTCCTCGTTGAATTGAATGCTCCATTTCACGGAAACCTTCCCGAGCTCAAGGTTGTCTTCGCACGGTGTAAACGACTAGTAGGAATGTTGGAGAAAGGAAAGGAATACCCCCCACTTTCAATGTTAGCATAACCCCAATTGCCGAAGAAAATCACCGACCGATGTCGTTGTCGGCGCACGCATATGCTTGGGTCCCAGCAGACAGAACACTAGTTACGGGCCAGGAGAGACGAGAGTGCTCTCCAACCGCGAACACAGTCCAAGTCTGGTGTCTTACAGCCAAAATCTCTACACATCCATTCTCGCAGCAGCAGCTCGCCCGCGGTCTCCTTTGATCAGCACAGCAAGCTCATTGCGCAACATTGGTCGTCCTTAGAGAAGAGCTGGCCACATACGTTCGGTACTGGTCAAGACCATGGCATCTGTAGCAGCAGTGAAAAAGAATTGTCGCAAGGTCGTGTGCATCGGGCGGAACTATGCGTGAGCCTCCTTCCTCGTTCCCAGTGCTCCCTTCTACACTCATGGCCGGAGCCAGCCGTTCAGCATGCGGGCCAGCATTGACAAGCGCATGCACGCATTGTTGCGTGGTCACGGCGCAGTCCAGTTGTCAAGGCTGCTAGGACTCGGTTCTACGACCCAGTCTGGCTCTCTCCAGTCCACCTCCAGTGTCTACTGGGATGATTGCAATAGTGACTGGACTGACTTTGCAATCTTCAGCGACCACATAACCGAGCTCTCCTCCGCCCGCCCCTCGCAACCGTTCTTCTTCCTGAAGCCTCCGTCCTCCATCCTCCTGCCGGCCAGCGGACCCCTCATCCGTCCCAAGGGCGTGTCGTTACACCACGAAATCGAACTCGGCCTGATCATCGGGCCCCCACCTTCCGGCAAATCCTCCTGGAAGAACATGCCCAACGATGCGTCCACTGCATTGTCCGCAGTCAGCGGCTACCTTCTCACCATCGATATGACAGCGCGCAACGTCCAGAACGAGGCCAAGAAGAAGGGCCTACCATGGAGTATTGCTAAAGGATTTGATACATTTTTGCCCGTCAGCAACGTGATTGCGAAGGAGAAGATTCCAGATCCGCATGATATCGAGATCTACCTGAGCATCAACGGAGAGGATAAACAGAGGGATAGCACAAATCTAATGCTGTTCAATATTCCGTGGATGCTGAGCGACATCAGTCAAGTGATGGCGCTGGAGGAGGGCGATTTGGTGCTCACGGGGACGCCAAAGGGTGTCGGGCCAGTGGTCGCTGGGGACAAGCTGAAATGTGGACTGCTTGTGGGTGGGAAGGAGCTGGAGGAGGCGAGGTTGGAGGTGGAGTGTGTGGACCAGGGAGCGGAAGAGCCGTATGAGTATAGGGAAACGTGAAAAGTAAGGCCAGCCCAATTGCCGGCGGCTCTGACAGCTCTATCGATTTTACATTTGTGGCAACTGATCTTGCTCCCACGTGTGTCGAGTCAAACGATATCGTGGCTGCCCGAAAATGCATGATCGTGTCAACCGGCTGCAGGACGCCTTGTGCCAGAACAACTGAGGCTCAAGTCTTATCAAATCGAAATGCTTGCATCGTTCCGCGCACCTTTACTGGCAGTAGAACCACAACTCGTCCAATGCGCTGCCCTGTCTATAGAGTGAAATCTAAATGGTCCGCGGCCCGCAGCTATCGAATGCAGCTTTCTGAGTAGCGGTCCAGTAAGAGCAAAGTCAGAGCGGACTGCGAGATGGCCTTATAGTATTCGCCTCATGTCCAGATACAGGAATGGCAAAGTCATAGCGAACTGCGAGACAGGTTGATAATGATCACCATGAACGCGTCCGAAGCTCATTGTGGGACATTACTGTGCGGCGAAACGCTGTGAAGGACACAATCACACTTCAACAATCACCAAAACCTTCAGCCACAATCCAAGAGCCCACTAGACAGCAAAATGAAGCTCGTCCTTCTCCGTGCAGTAGAGCATGACATAGATCAGATACTCCATCTCACCTATGACACGTTCGGACGATCAGACGACATGCTGCACATCGTTCTCGGCACCCATGAGAGCGCTGTCGGACGGGCTCGCGCAAAGACTTACTATCTGGACCACTTCAAGCATCCCGAAAATGCATTGATGTGCGTCAAAGACCTCGATGAACAGACTGAGGTAGCCATAATCGACGAGAAGACCGGAGATGTTGAGCGAAAAGAGGTCCAGTCACGCATCCTTTGCGTTTCGGAATGGAAGATCTTCCACGATACGTCCCCGAGAAACCGATGTACGGTTTGAGGACGTCTGAGGGCGGGGAACCGATCAGAGGAAGTGATCTGAGATACATAGAGGACTCCTCGAAGCGGGACGACGCGGCAGAAGTCCTCAACGTATACCTCGATCAGCAGCGAGAGCAGCGCACTGAGCCACATATTTACCTGAATATGCTATTCACCGACTCGGCGTTCCAAGATCGCGGGTTGGGGAATACAATGATGGAATGGGGCAATGAGCTGGCGGACAGTTTGATGGTGGCAAGTTGGGTCGAGGCTTCGGAGCACGGGCAGAAACTGTATTTGAAGGCTGGTTACGAGGCAGGACAGTCGGTTCTGGTGAAGAACAAGAGCTGGACCGTGGAATGGCTGCCTATGCGGAGGCCTGCAAAGCAGCTAAAGCATGTGGACATCAAGTAGAATGTGTGAACGTGCGTCGAGCAGTCCAGATGCCAGTGGTTTAGGAGTACTGTGGTACTACTAGTACTCAGGAATCATCCTTGAAGTGATGTCATAGACACGTGACTTCGAGAGAAGAACTAAATTGGGTGGCACGTCCGCTCGACGCGTCGAACGTGAACGCGCTACCTTTAGTACGAGTGGGGAGAAAACACTGGAATGACTGCTTATTGATCTCGCTCGACTCCCGACCTTGCTCTTCTCTTCAGCACACCTTACCAACATTCAGTCTCAAACGCTTTCCGTCCTGTCTTTGGGTGATTCTGCAAGCGTGACTTGTGACAGAGTGCGAGTCTTTGCTCGTTGCCACTCGCAACTTCCCTCTATATAGCACGCTCCTTCAGAACACGCCGGCACCATGTTCGTCTTCAAGCGAGGTACGTGACTACTGATCTACCTACTACTTCTGCGGAAAATGGCTGACAAGACTTCCAGACGGACGCAAGGAACGCGTGCAGTTCGACAAGATCACAGCTCGCGTGTCAAGATTGTGCTATGGACTCGACCCAGATCATGTCGACCCGGCTGCCATCACACAGAAGGTTATCTCTGGTGTCTACCAGGGCGTGACCACTGTCGAGCTTGACAATCTGGTATGTATCCACGACGCCCACAAGCATGGCTCTCACTAACACGACACAGGCGGCCGAAACTGCAGCATACATGACCGTCACCCACCCTGACTATGCCATCCTTGCCGCACGTATTGCCGTGTCAAACCTTCACAAGCAGACCAAGAAGCAGTTCTCCTCCGTGGTCCAGGACCTGTACAGCTGGATCAACCCCAAGACTGGCAAGCCAGCACCCATGATCTCAGACGAGACATACAACAGCATTATGAAGCATGCAGATGAGCTCAACTCGGCCATCGTCTATGACCGAGACTTCAACTACCAATACTTCGGCTTCAAGACACTTGAGCGATCATACCTGCTCAAGATCGGCAAGAAGGTGGCCGAGAGACCTCAGCACATGTTGATGCGTGTCGCTGTTGGCATCCACGGTGACGACGTTGAGAAGGCCATCGAGACCTACAACCTCTTGTCCCAGAAGACCTTCACACACGCCTCACCAACACTGTTCGCAGCTGGCACGCCCCACCCACAACTGTCGTCTTGCTTCCTCATCGACATGAAGTCGGACAGCATTGATGGCATCTACGATACTCTCAAGACATGTGCCATGATCTCAAAGAGTGCTGGTGGTGTTGGTCTCAACGCTCACTGCATCCGTGCCACTGGCTCCTACATTGCGGGCACAAACGGTACCTCCAATGGCCTCATTCCCATGCTGAGAGTCTTCAACAACACTGCTCGCTATGTTGATCAAGGTGGCAACAAGCGTCCGGGTGCATTTGCCGTGTACCTCGAGCCATGGCACGCTGATATCTTCGAGTTTCTCAACCTACGCAAGAACCACGGCAAGGAAGAGGTCCGCGCTCGAGACCTGTTCTACGGCTTGTGGACGCCTGATTTGTTCATGCAGCGTGTGGAGAAGAACCAAGATTGGACACTGATGTGCCCAAACGAGTGCCCAGGTCTAGCTGATGTGTACGGCGAAGAGTTCGAGGCTCTGTACACCAGATACGAGCAAGAAGGTCGTGGTAGGTCGACCATCAAAGCACAAAAGCTCTGGTACGCCATTCTCGAGGCTCAGACCGAAACCGGCACCCCATACATGCTCTACAAGGATGCTTGCAACCGCAAGTCCAACCAGAAAAACCTTGGCACCATCCGGAGCTCCAACTTGTGCACTGAGATCATCGAGTACACTGCTCCGGATGAGGTCGCTGTCTGCAACTTGGCTTCTTTGTCGCTGCCAGCATTCGTTGACCAGTCCCGTGGTGAATACGACTTCGGTCGTCTGCACGAGGTCGCTCAAGTTGTGACCCGCAACTTGAACAAGATCATCGACATCAACTACTACCCTGTTGAAGAAGCCAAGAAGAGCAACTTCAGACACCGACCCATCGGTCTTGGTGTCCAAGGTCTCGCCGATGCCTTCCTTGCACTTCGTCTACCATTTGACTCTCCTGAAGCAAGGCAGCTCAACATACAGATCTTTGAGACTATCTACCATGCTGCTCTCACAGCTTCGTGCGCACTGGCGAAAGAGCTTGGCCCGTACGAGACATATCAGGGCTCACCTGTCTCACAAGGCATCCTCCAGTACGACATGTGGAATGTCACTCCTACGGACCTGTGGGACTGGGATTCGCTGAAGGCTGATATCGCTCAACACGGTGTTCGCAACTCACTGCTGCTGGCTCCCATGCCTACAGCCTCAACATCCCAGATCTTGGGTAACAATGAGTGCTTCGAGCCTTACACATCCAACATCTACTCTCGCCGAGTTCTTGCTGGCGAGTTCCAGGTTGTTAACCCCTGGCTGCTCAAGGACCTGGTCGATCTCGGCTTGTGGTCAGACAACATGAAGAACCGCATCATTGCTGAGGGCGGCTCTATCCAGAATGTGCCAAACGTCCCGGCTGACATCAAGGCACTTTACAAGACAGTGTGGGAGATCTCACAACGTACTGTTCTGCAGATGGCTGCTGACCGTGGTGCCTTCATCGATCAGTCTCAGTCACTCAACATCCACTTGAAGGAGCCGACGATGGGCAAGATTACCAGCATGCACTTCGCTGGCTGGAAGATGGGTCTCAAGACTGGCATGTACTACCTCCGTACCATGGCCGCCTCTGCGCTATCCAATTCACCGTCGACCAAGAAGCGCTGAAGGTCGCTGACACCAACACCGCTCGAGAGAAGTACGGGCCTCGCAAGCGGGCCAGTCTCGGACCCGAGGCTACCCTCTCTGCTATCCCACGGCCAATGTACATTGCCAAGGGTGGTAATGGCAGTGCTGAGCGCATCTCTGGCATGATCACACCAGCGCCCACACCTCCTCCAGGTGATGACAACACCAAGCAGCTGGGCAGCCAGCTTGCCAGAACCAGACTTTCGGACGGGTCAAGTAGTGGAGAGCCCAGCCCGAAAGTCTTGGCCACAGATCCTGTCGACACGCCTGATCTAGACGAGGAGCTCGGCGCCAAGAAGACACAGGAAGAGGATGAAGAGGAGAGTGAAGATCGTGAAGGCGATATCTATGCACAGAAAGTGCTTGCTTGTGAGTTTTGATTCTTCCCATTGACTTGACAGCATGAACTGACATGTGACTCCAGGCTCGATCGAGAACAAGGAAGCCTGCATGATGTGCAGCGGCTGAGCCTCAAGCGATGACCGAGAGATGTGCGCTGATGATTGACGGAGACGATGGAGCGAACCTGGTCTTTTCCCTTTTCTTTCCGATCTCTAAATACCAAGTCCACCGCTGCTGGATACGGTGCCGTGTGTGAAGGATATACCTGTGTACGATGAAAATACGTGGGCATTTGCAGACGCGTTCGCGGCGGGATCACGCGAGAGGGATTCGTCATTTCTGTACTGCTTTGCATGGCGTTAGACTATTCATGTCGCTCCAGACCTGTGTATTGAGGCTGGGCTAATTCATGTTCAAACAATATGGGAATCTCTTCGTTACTTCGTGAGCCGTTCAAGCTTCCTTGACCAGCGCTGTTGTACATCTGATCAGGGTCCTTCGTGAGCGTCCGCGGCTGCAGTCAAGCGAGTACCACGTAGGAACTTCATCTCCTACACATGGCTCGACCTTCTCAATCTCGTGTAGGACTCTCCCATGGACGTTTGGCCCCGCTCATGCCGCCTCACAAATGCGGCTGCTCGATCCTCAACGCCACCGTCCCACCGACCGCCCGCCGCAACGCTATCCTCCGACTCGCAACCCCAATCCGGCTCTCCTCAAACATCTCATCCGGATCCGCCACAATCCCGCCCGGGTCCTGCTTCCCACCTCGATCCTCAAACGCCGCGGCCGCTAGTCCCTCAACGCTCAACTTCGCCACCATGTCCCTCGTCTCCGGCGAGGACAGGTATAGCGCACGCACCGCGAGTACTAACGCGAAGAGCACAAACAGCGAGTTCGCAGCGACTAGAGCCATGAACGCCCACAGTGGCACGGAGGCGACGAGGATCGACGAGCGGCGGGCTTGGTCTATGTTGGTGCGGGGCGTCATGACGGAGGCGATGAGGGCGATGGTGTCCTGGGAGTGAAGGTTTGCGTAGGAGCGTGCGAAGGAGGTCATGGAGTCTGTGAGGGAGGCGAGGGACTGGGCTTGGCTGAGGGAGGGCATGCCCATGGCTTGCATGCTATGGGCGAGCTCGAGGATGCTGCCGTTGGTCGTGGGGTGGGACGTTAGGGAGTGGATCGCGTTATTGGACCATGTGTAGTTGACGTCGTGGGCGGTGACGCTGCAGTTGAGGGTGTAGGCGATGAGTGGGCTTCCAGGTAGCGCGAGCGCGGATGGAGAGTCGGCAAGGAGGGCTTGGCCCTCGGCGTTATTCTGGACAGGGACGAGGCCGGCGATGGCGAGGTAGTAGGTCGTGAGGAGCTTGTCGTCGGGCAGGGAGATGCGCCCGACGAGTCGGCTGCTTCGCCAGGTACGCCTCCGATGGAGTTATAAGGTGTGCTCAGGTTGGCATCGGAGAAATATGCGTACTGAAAGTTGCGGTCAAGCTTAAAGTTGAAATCTGGCGTAGTTGAGTCGGTTCGAGTCCAGGTCACGGTGTCTGCAGCAAGAGTCTCGGGTGCGCCGAGTACTCCTCTGAAGTTTTCGGTGCAGTTAAACAAGATGTATGTGTCGTTCTGGCTATCACCTTCGTGAACCCGGACATTGCATTGCTGTGTTGATGGAAAGCACTGTGTCGACACCGCGACGGTTGACGCCACGAAGTCTTGGTCCGAGTCGAGCAAGCTCGGCTGTGGCGTCAACAGGATCAGGTCCTGGGCTGGGTTCTCTGGATCTTGAGCTTGCCAGGCACTGTTAATCTTGGATCGATTCGCCCCCATAGCAATAATCTCGCCTGAATCAAACGCTATGGCGTTCCCTCCTACTGATGCGTCAGCTACGACGGTGCATGGCATCCCTTGATTTGCAGCACGATCGAAGCCGATGCAGTGTGGTGCAAGGCCTCGCCCATTACTGCCGATATTTTCATGCTCCACGATGGACAGGCTGATGGGAACGGTCGACGTGAAGTTGTGTATTCCCACATCCGCCAGGAGGACGAGTCCTGCCAGTATCGCGCTAGCTAGGAGAATAGCTGCGGAAGAAGTGAGGATGGTGGCTTTCTTAGCACGAAATCGTCGGCATCGATACAAGACATACTTGCGGAGCGCTTCGAGTGAACCTGCGGAAAGGCCGATGAGCATGCTGAGCTGTTGCGGGGTTGGCAGGCGGTTTGTGTCGCCTTCCGAGGACGACTCGAACAACTTGAGTGATGTCGGATAGTGCCATAGAGTCATCAAGCTCCCGAGAATCATCGGGGCAACGGTGCTGCCAAAGCCTGCGATGAAAACAAGTCGGGTCGAGGAGAATTGTACCAGTATGTTCGATCGACCGGTGCTCGAATGTTGCTCATTGCTGAAGGGGCTGTCTGAATCAGTAGTGATGCGGTGTGCAGCGATTAACGCGATGAATGTTGCTGTAAAAGCCAGCACTGGGATCACTGTCAATGCCGCCGTCCACCACAATGGTAGGTTCCATGAACGATGAAAAGACGAATGCGGAGACTGCGAATCGACCTCCGTTGATGTCTCCGACCAGCAGCCCTTCGCGCGTGCCAGTGGGAGCGGCTCCTTTGTCTCGATGTTGTACAAAGTCGGGACATTGCCAACATCGCGCTTATATGCATCAAGAGCTTTCCGGGCTGCGAAAGCCTGTACCGACTCTGCACTAGGAGGCTGGCGCAGGACTCGCTGTCTCTGCGCAAAGGACTGGATGGACTCTGAACTCTTGGGTTGTCGTACTTGGCTGGTGACAGGAATGCTGTTCGAGAACTGGAAAGCCATGGCGAGGCAGAGAGTGGTGAGCACGTAACACAGTTCACGAGTAGAGGCGACATGTTTCAGTCACAGAAACAACAAGATACATATCTCAAACCAGTCGGTCCGTCAAGGAAATAGTCTCCGTGGCGGACAGTGTAGGTCAGTGTGAGAGCGCTTACATGTGTGTTCAAACGTGGTCTGGTGTGAGCCGCAACTTGAGGCGCTTAATCGTGACATTCTCATTGGCATAGACACAGGCGGCGCAGGAACAGCCACTTGCATGACCTGAACGTCCTGCATCATATATGCGGCCACTCCGGCCATTTTCTCCCCCTGCGTCGAAGCGAAGGCTGTGATGCAGCGAGGCCGCTCGAGTGAACGAGGAGGGAGGGTGGAAGGAAGAATCAGAGAATAACTCGCAGCTGCCGTCCGTGTACCTCCAAGCCTAGCCCTAAGCCTAACCCTAGGCTCACGAACTGCTACGCCACACAAAGGAAAGAGTCGGCGAAAGTGTGCAGGTATCACATATTTGTGGGCATGCGTCTATTCATTCAGGCTTAAGATCTACGTGCAAGATGGCAACAGCATGAGCTCTTTTGAACGACTCTGGTAAGGTGCAACCAACGATCATGCGATCAGCTGGAACTCTCGTCCGAACGTACCACTACGAACCTTGTGTAATGAGCTCGAACTCCTCGTCCAAGTAGTACCACTCATCATACTCCGTCGGCTTCGGCGCCGCTGGCTCCGGCTTAGACTCTTTCGGTATCTCGAATGCCCTTGTCGTATCCTGCGGCTTGATATAACTTTCATACTCTGGGTACGAAGTCTGGTTAAAATTGATCTGGCCTGGATCCTCCTCGCCGGACACCAATTGCTTCCAATACTCGTAGCCTTGTGGTATGACATCGTCGATGATCATCGACGCGCTCTGGTAGCTCTCGCCGATGATGGGGATGACACCATCTCCACGAGCGACTTTGTAGTAAGTGAACCAGTCATAGAAAGCTTGCGTTACACCAGGCCGATACTGCTCGACATCCTCCCACGAGTCCACAAGGTCAGCGATGGGGTCCTTGACGTCGATCACGAGGATCTTCCAGTCCGTCTCATCACCGTCGTTGGGCGCTATGCCGCCGAGGATTTTGACCTGCTTGACCTGGCCGAAGTAACCGATGTCTTGGCCGATGTCGAAGAAATCGATTGGATCATTGTCCCCTGGAAAGCCAGTGAAGGAGTGGTTGACATTGGGATTTTCCCAGGTCTGCGGGATTGAGCCATACACGAAAGGATACGTGTGGTGCGGCCAGACTGACTCAACGAAGCGCGGAGCGTCGTTGCGATCGTCGTGGAAGATCGGGTTCAGCGGCTCTGGGCGACGGATCTCGATCTTGCCATCTGTCCACCGCGGGATCTCGACGACAGCGTTGATGATGGCTGGCTTGCTGGGATCGGGATAGAGTGGGACATCATGCCAGAATGAGATGGCCTGGCATTTGTGCTCGAGCCAGATCCGCCAGTCCTGGTCAATTGTGTCAGCGCGAAGAGCCGTCGATCCGAGTTGGATACGTACCAGAGTATTCCTTGCACCAACTTCCCTCAGATTAAGCGCATCGTAGTCGAACTTGCCGTCGTCAGGTCCCGGTTTGCATCCTTTGGCGGGCGGCGAAGGCGGCGACGGCTTCGACGGGCCGGCACCGGGTCCTCCTGGACCGACAGGACTGCCGAGGGCCGTTGCAGCTACGCACAGACATGTGGCGATATGAGAGGCGTGCATCATTCCAGTCGAATATTTCAAGTTCCTGGGAGGAGGGGGCGGGCAGAGTCTCAGATACACATTTGACAAACCTGTCTCATACTTCCTGTCTTATACTTGACCTTTGGTGTGGACAGAGCATTTTCCTTCGAATCTCTTATTCCACCCATATCCACTGTCATCACCGAAGAAGCAACGAGCAGTCGCCTCCATCAGAGCAGTCGCGAAGGACGTGTGGTGCACAAGAAAACGGAGAGCGCACGAGAAGATGGCACCTTCCCATATAGGCCCAAGATCATCTTGAGGTGGAACATGTATGTGCAGTACACGATGTCGTGAGCAAATGATGCTTCTGAACGTCGACCACGTGTTCGCTATTGTCCGAGATTGCAAAGCGGAAGGTCTGGGCGCCAAGCGTCAGAAGCCGTGCCGCTCTCGCCGCCGACGCGAGATCTCGGTGTCGAGATCCGGATCCTGGTTGGGATATGAGTATCTATGAGCTTGTGAAAGCATGCTTCTCTAATAGTCCAACGGAAGAATGTCAACTACGTGACTTCCTCGGAAACGCTTATTAGACATGCGTCTGGCAGTTATCGCAAACCAAATCCTCGGTTTCTCCGAGATTCTTCAAGCTGTACCACCCATCACGACCAGCCGTTCGTTCTTCTTCGCTATTCGCATGGACGATGGTCGTGCACATAGTCCGACCAGACCATCTGAGAAGCTGCCTGACTTTCCGCATGTCCATGTGGGAACCTCTTAATTGCCCCAGGTCCTTGTACGCCACGCCTCCTTTTATGTCAACGTAAACCTCCAGGCGCGCTTCGTGACCGGAAAGGCAGATCCAGCCGGGCACCACTTGGATGGACGACTTCCATTGCGTATCTTGCGCTTTCCGCCCACCGTCGAGCGCAACATCCTTAGCTCCAGTGCTCAGGATCGCGAGTCCGTCATGTGTGATTCCCATCAGCGATTTCTGAGCATCAATGTCCGGCGAACTGGAGTTCGCAAAGATGAGCGCAGCGGATTTGATCATATCGACAGACGAGTCAAAGGTCTGCACCACGGACGGTCCGAATAGAGCACTGGGCGCAGTTGTGGCTAGCATATTCTTACGCTGTTCTGGTGTGGTCTCTGCGTAGTATCGACGCAAGAAGGAGATGATGCCGTGGCGTTTTGGAAGGAGCCGTGGGGCCACGAACATTCTTGCGAGGACGAAGGACAACCGGAAAATGGCCTCTGCAACTGTCGCGCTACATTGCTCTGGATGCGGATGAGCCTCACCTTGCTGGAGCTTGCCGCCTACGCAATACGCACATGGACAGATTCGTCGAATCTCGGTGTAAGTCCTGTCGAACACTGCGCCAAGTTCGTCGTGAGTCATCTTGGCATACTTCCTAAATCGTGGCACCAGCCTGCGAAGCTCTGGAAACCATGCTGTCAGGGTGTCGGCGAGTCCAACAGATTGCTCTCCCGACAGGGAGGACTGCGATAGGATCTCGAATGCCCAATTTGGTCTCTCCTTGTCCAGTATGTGCTTGACAATGTTGGACGCTGAGTAGATCATAGCAGCCAACAAGTCATCGGGTAGGGAAGTGAAAGCGTTCCCAAAGCAAGAACGGAACAAATGATCGAACGCGACTCGGCCGCCTCGGATGGGACTAGTCGTGATGGCCTTTTCCGAGAGTGAGAGCTTTTGAACGTGATCCCCAATCGAGGAGGATCGAACAAATACAACATTGGCGTCCTCCTCGCCTTGAACGGATTGACTCGTGTAGAGAAGAGCTCCGGTTCCGGACACGACGGCTGTTCTGAGCCCGAAGAGCCATTCAGCAACCGTGGTTAAGAAGGTAATGTCACTTCCCGACCGTAATTTTCGACGACTGGTCTGCTTGCTGTCATTCAATTGGAGCAAACTGTCCAGAAGCTGTTGCACGTCCAGGACAGATCCAACCAGGGGCTCGCTCTCGACAGCGTCTTCAACATTGCTCAGCAGAACCCCAAACGACGAGGCGGCGAGTACGCCGTTCAGGCAACGCACCATTCTCCTCCACTGGTGCTCCAGAGGACGCCAGGCCATCGGTAAACCTGACCTCGCGCATAGTTGCAGGAACAGCTCGACTACGACCTCCGCAGCGAAGTACTCAGAGAGCGCACCGACGACTGCAGCGAGTCGGAACCCTTCGTCGGATTTGAGAATGGAGTGGATCACGTGTGATTGTCCATACCCAATCTCAAAATCATCCTGTGACGCGAGGTTGGTAGGCAGCGCGTCGAATGCATTGGACAGGTTTCGTTGACCATAGGGTGAAAAAGTGAAATCCTTACAAAGGATCTGGCCGACCTGGACAGTAAGTGGATCGAGGTTCGCGGCGCTGTATCTTCGCAAGTCGTCGATGGTAAGAGCTCGAACCTTACCAAATGCTGAAAGATCCACGTCGGTGGCCGATTCTCCCATAGCCGGCAGTGTTTTCGTGTGATCTCGATTAAGACTCACTGCGACTGGAATGACATGTTATATCATAGCGTGAACCTGAAAACTGCTTAGAAGGCCGCCCGGTCTAGCTCCTTGATGAGTCAAGACATACTTCGGATTGCGGGGTTAGGAGCGTAAGTTCAGGACTCAGAAACATCTCAGCCAATGACGTTTTGAAAAATTGGCGGGCGCAATGTCCAAGGCGTCGTCTTCTGTACGAGCTGCGACCAGTCTATCTCTTGCTTGCCAGGAGCAACGATACAGGCCATACTGCTCGTGACTGACCGGAAGGAGCGAGAGCCTTCTCAAGCTGCTCTAGCGTCTCCAGGAGACGTCGCTGGTCAACGCGAGGCGACAGACTCTGGAACCAGCCTCGCATCCAGTCAAGATCTATGGTCTGAGTCCAGTCAGCATCCTCGATCAGCTCGAGATGTTCGCTCTCTGCCACACGACTGTCGTATCTCATGCCAGATAGATCGTCGTCTCGGATCCAGATATCCCGGTCGTCACCAGTGTTGAACTTGATGCGATTGACCGCTACCCACTGTGATTTTGGGAAAGCAATGCAATCGTACCCTGTCTGTTCTATCCACAGCGTCCGCCCGCTCTCAGCACTGAAGTCTTTCCGTAGTTTACACCAGTGTCCCTGAAGCGACCTGAACAGACGCTCAATGGCAGGACTGTCTGGAAATCTCGGCTGGGTATAGTACCAAGCCGCAAAAGTCCCACCAGACTTGAGGACCCGATGGGCAGCTTCTAGGGTCCTTGCAGTATCCGTCCAGTGCAGAGCTTCGCTCATGGTGACCATTTCGATCGTCCCTGGCTCGATCCAGGACATATCTTCCGCACTCGAAACCTTGAACGTGAATAAGGCATTGGCTGTTCTTCCATTCGACCCCAACAGATGGTCTCGGGCAGCAGCGACGGCGGACTCGGAGTGGTCGGAACATATCAGATGCTTGAATTGAAGAGCAAGAATCTCAGCCGTGATACCTGGCCCACATCCAGCGTCGTGTGCTGTACCATCAAAGGAGCCGCCATTCGCTATGTGGTACGTGTAGATTCGTTGGAAAAGCGAATGAGGATATTTGGGTCGGTACTTACGATAGATCATCCAGAGATCATTGTCGACTTGGCTGTAGGCGTTGCTCCTAGGTAATGGGGACGTTTTAGTGTCCGGCATGGTCAAATGAGCGGCGAGAGCAGCGCGAATGACAAAATGCGTCGGGTTTGCTACAAATGCATAAGCATCATAAGGGACGATTTGGCAGAAATGGCTCTTCTGGTTTTGAAAAGCAGTGCAGCACGAGGCTCATCAAACATGCTTTTGCGCCCAACGAGGGGTCGATTGACTGCAACTTACGCTACTTTATTAGTCGTCGAAACAGTCACAGCCAGAACGAATTGCTAATACGTCCTCCTGCTCGTCGCACCTGCTCCATTATATGTGTCTGCATTATAGGCAAATGAAAGTTAGCGCCACCGCGCCGGACCTCTGACCCATGGCAAGACCCTGCTTTGACATCTAAGTCGTTAAAGACCACAAAATGCAGCATCGCTTGAGGCTGAAATGATCAAGAATAGAATGTACGTACGAATACTAAATGATATAGGCCATAGAGAGGAAGGTGGAAGTGATGGCCGGCTCGTAGATTGAGGAAGTGATGCAGGCATTACGGTTGGGCCTAGAGCACACTTGCCTCACGTTTGGAAGTTCAATTTATTTCTCGAACTTCTGAAACTTGACTGCTCTTTGACCACTTCGCATCGCCCTTGTTAGCCTCATGGAGTCGCCCGCGACCGACCCAGATCGCGAAGGCGACTCGGCTGACCTCTTCACGGACTTCAAGAAGTACCAAGAGCAGGTCACCGCATCGCTGGTGGCCATCACGAGGAGCGCAAGTTCTTTGGCAAACCAGGACTTGAGCTTTCACCGATCGTCGAGCGAACAGGTCTCGCGTTCTCTTGACCGGCAGAATGCCCATCTCCTGAGACTCACCAACAAGCTGCTCAAGTCTGTAACGCAAGATACAAGTACCAAGCCTCCCCAGCCAAAGACGAAGGATGACATCGAAGACAGCTGGAGCGGCTTGGTCGACGTGTTCGATGGTTTGCTCGAAAAGGCAGACGGGTCGCTAGACGAGTATACAGGGGCCATCAAACGTATGAGCCCTGCTGTGGACCATGCTCCTACGCCGTCCAAAGCCGTTGCCTATGCGGAAAATAGAGCCTTTCGCCCACGATATTCCCGCTACGAAATGGACAAACCCCAGCTCCTTTTCAATAGGAAGGTGAACAACCACGAGACTAGCCCGTTCAAGCCCTTGCTCATCCATAAGCCTCATGCAATCGTCTCGCTTGAGGAGTCTTTGGCGGACAACACCCAAGGGTATGCTCCTTTCAGCTAGATCAACGACAAGACTGACCATCATGCAGGTACGCGCATCCCTATGCAAAGGAGATCGAAGCCTACGAATATCCTCCAGAGGTCTACCAGCAAGCCGAGCCACAACCCTACTGGCCACCTGAACGAGAGCCCGCTGTATACGTCGATACCGAAAAGGGCGTTCATCTTATGCTACAAGAGCTCAGAGCTGCAAAAGAGATTGCCGTCGATCTCGAACACCACGACTTGCATACGTATACTGGTGTTGTCTGCCTCATGCAGATCAGCACGCGCGAAAAAGACTGGATTGTTGACACGCTCAAGCCATGGCGGGAGAACTTGCAGGTGTTGAACGAGGTCTTCGCCGATCCCAACATCCTAAAGGTTTTCCACGGCTCGGCAAGCGACATGGTGTGGCTTCAGCGTGATCTTGGTCTTTATGTCGTTGGTCTGTTCGACACATACTATGCTTGCGACGCTTGTCATTCCCCGGCAGAGGTCTAAAATATCTTCTGCAACGCTTCGCAGGATTCGAGGCTCAGAAGCAGTATCAACTGTCTGACTGGCGGCAGCGTCCACTCGGCCCGGAGCTAATCGACTATGCGAGATCTGATACGCATTACCTGCTCTACATCTACGATGAAGTTCGCAACCTACTGGTCGAGAATTCGACAGAGAACGACAACTTGGTTAACAAAGTTCTCGCTGGGTCGAAGAAGGAGGCTTTGCAGAAGTATGAGCGCTTCAATTACGATTTTGAGTCAGGGCGCGGCTCAGGCGGCTGGTTCGGCATGTATGTGGACAGAAACATCAGCTTCAGTCCGCAGCAATTTGCTGTCTACAAAGCTCTGCATCGCTGGCGGGATGACAAAGCGCGCGAGCTAGACGAGAGTCCTCACTACCTCATGAAGCCCACTGACCTACTCGCAATTGCTGAAGCGATGCCCAAGAACATGACTGCCTTGTACAAGTGCAGTCGTCCGCAGCTCAAGTTTGCGCAGACAGAGTTCGCGCCAGAGATCTTCCCTGTCGTTGCAAAGGCCATGGACGACAGCAAAGCAGACCCACCGGTTCACGAGCAAATACGTCAGAACGAACTCAAGTATGGCGAGCGTCCACAGAACCGTTGGCGGAAGCCACAGGTTCCAGCGGAACGTCGACCTCCTACCTATGATGGGCTGGCTGCAACTCTCAAGCAGATTCAGGCGAATGGCGACCTAGATCCGGCACCCGCCACAGATGTCCAGATGGCAGGCAACAACACCAATATGCAAACGGTGCTCAGAAGTCAGCAGTCAGATCTGTGGGGCTCGGTCATGCCCTTCCTGGGGTTGCCGCTCATGAATCCTATGATGAACGCCATGGCTCTGAACTATCTGCTGCCTTTGCCCGATTTATCCGCCAACGCTTTCTTGATCGAACAACCAGCTGCTGTTCCAGCCCAGAACAACCAAGTTCCGATCCCGGTCACGACAAGCCTCCCGAGCACGCCTAACAACAATAGCTTCACACTTCACGATCGATCGACGCGCAAGCGCAAGGCCACGGACGTCCTCGACGACGACAACGAGTCTGCCGACCCTTTTGCCAATCAATCACTTAACGGCTTTACTGACACAGAAGCGATGGTCTACGCGAAACCCGGCCAAGGATCCGCAGCTATGAGCGCTGAGCGGGCCTCGACTAAAAGTGAGCGCAAGGCAGAGAAGCGAGCTCGTCGTGCGGCCGACGACGAAGAGAAAGATCGGAAAGCGGGCGAAATGGTCCCCTTCGACTATGATGCCGCCGAACCGATGCTGAATGGCTCACCTACGGCCTCGAATGGCGTAGGCCAAGCCAGCAAGGGTAAGAAACCCCACATGAATCCCTTTGCTAAAGCGCTCGATACCGGCACGGGTGCGAGACGCAACAAACTAGGTCAAGAGGGAGCTGGCAAGAGCATGACTTTCAGGTCCTGATTCTCTATCCCATCCTTTTGCATCAACACCTGCACGGGTCTTGCTTTTCAAGGCCATGCCGTCGTGAACCCGACATCTGCTTGGTATCTCGTGAGAGGCAGGACCCCAGCGATGGTCTGAACGTCGTAACGGAAGGCAGACAATGAAAGAGCTTTCCGAACATCACTATCTTTTTCCCATCTACTGTGACCTGCCGTCCAGCTTGAATCCTGCTCGTTATTCTCTTTTCCTATTCCGGCACAAACGCTTCGTATCATTTGCCGTAGAAGTGCCTACGATATGAGTCTGAACTGACACAGAAATGAAGCGCCAGATGTATAGAAGGCGTTAGAAAGGAAGATCCGCTATGACAAGTTTACCATCGGGACTGTACTTTATACCCTTCGCGGTACACAAAACTAAAGTGAGCCACCATATTCGGGCGCGGACTATCACGGCCCAGCTCAACTTGGGTCACCAGAGATCCAAGCGCTTTCCACATGCACGTCTACCATCGCCAAGCGTAACCTCTCAAGACCTGAAATGACCGTAACACCGGCCTGCATGCGCCGACGGACAAGGGTGAAATACAATTCCTGCTCGTGGCAGGTTTCTGTTGAATGCGCATCTTGAGTAGGCAACAGGTAGTGGACGCAGGAATCGAATGAGAAGAAGTGTCGAGATCCTCAACATCACATGGCCATCTCAGCCTGCAGCTTCCGTAATTCTTCCTCCTCATCTTCTTCTTCGGCTCTTCCTCTGACTGTAGCGCAGTTAGCTTACATGTCTCCATTCGGGTGTCGAAATACTTACGAGGTTGGTTGCCCACACTGGGCAGTTTGGCCGGCTCGCCACCCACAGGCATGGGCCGGTCTTGAGCATCTTTTCGTCCAAAGCCTCTTGTTCCAAGCCCTCCAGCTCATCTTCCAGGTCTTGCTCATCAATAGGCTCGCCAATAGGAGCGCCTGCGATGGCAGTGGCGATCTCTTCGCCAAGTGCATGCTGCTCGCGCAGCTCATCCATAGTCGCGTCGACTTTGTCGATGGTCAGGTTTCCATGGATCTGCTTCATGGCTTGGCCTGCATTCTTCATCGCGTTCAGGGTTTCTTGGTTGATGTTCGCTGCCTCGATGGAATAGATCTGTTGTTCCACCTGCTGCATCTGTGCGATTGTCTGTTCGAGAGTCTTTTCGTGTAACTTCTTTCGCCGTAGTGCTGCCTTGGCCGCTGAAATGCGCATCAGATCCGTGTCCATATGATCAATCAATAGGGCCCATTCTTACCTGTTTTATTTGAGCTAATATTCTTCCTCGCGATGGCCTCTTGCTCTGCCATCTGTGACTCAAGATGTCGTTCGCGCTTCTGCAGCATGTCTTGTTGCTGCCGCAACATCAGGATGGCATTCTTGGGTGCATCTTTCCGTTTCTGAGCGGCAGCCCCGCCAAACCAACCCCACATGTTTAGTGATGATCAAAGTTGGACGGGGAGGTCGAGGAGGTAGTCGCAGGTCGACCCTGGGTATCGTGGGCCAGTGGAAGTACGTTTGGAAGATGCACGATTGGATGTCGCCTTTATCGTGTGATGAGTTCTGTGGCCGGGTCTTCAGATACGTCACCGGACAGCAGTTGGTGGAGGGTGAGGGTGTGCCTAACACAGTCCGATAGGTCCAAGTCGGAGATCGAGACACAAGTAGATTGGTTTGTAGGGCTGTAGGTATTCCCGGAACTGAATGAAGGAAAAGGCGGTTGTTGGGCGTGCAGGCTGAAGAGAAGAAGAGAGGTCAGGTTGACTAAAGCCTGGAATGACATCGTTGCCCGCTCGGATCTGGCTCGGCGTTCCACCTGACAATGCCAAGACAACGCTTCTTTCTCTCAGCAATGATCCCCTTGTCACTCTACAACTCTTCCATCAGTTCTTGCCTTGGAGCCACTTGATGATCTCTGGTCTCAGATCAACCCTTTGGTGCAATGCTCATAGTGTTCACCGGCAGTGGGATAAGTCGCGGCGCTGCGGATAATCGACATGAGCGTGCCTTCGACTAGTGCTCCCGCACCTTCTCACCATGTCTTCCTATCTGAGCTCGGCAAGTGCAAGGTAGGCAGCAAGGTAAGATTCTTGAGCTGGTATGCTAATTTCTCGCCCCAATTGCTACTCATGCCGCATCTGAGACTGTCCCAGCATCTTGGAGTACGATGTTGAGCAAGGCCGACTTTGCGTCGAGCACGCCTTCCCAGCAGACGCGCATCCGACTCCCAAAGCTTATATCGATATGAATGTTGTCTTAGGAAGCATGAAACGACAGGACCTGGGCATTGGTATGTGGCTGAATACCGTAGGCTATGTGCGACCATCGCTCGAGGACTCCTCTGGAGCTCTTCCGAGCCTGGTGCAGATACCCATCGTTCAGGCTGTCATGATGTGGCCTGCTGGCAGTCTCAACGTTCAACGATACGAGACTACTTTGCAAGCCACTATTGCCCATCTGCGGACTAGCCAAAGGCCGCCTTTCTACGAGTCTGAGGACAGCGACAGTGAGAGCGACGAAAGCTGATCTTGATAAATGCCAAACTCATCGGCGCAGCATGAGTCGGCTCGATATGCACTTCTTTCACAGACAAATGATCCTACACTCGTGTTTCGAGAGCTGTCCGCTGCCATTCTCCCGGGTAGCCTAGCGATGAAATCAATCATGGCACTCTTTTGTCAGCTGTTGATGTCCATACGACAGGCATGTGTGCGGGCAGGATGCACGAGCTTCTAGGCACCCTCCTAAGGTACCTGAACAGTGCGGGTACAGGTACTACCGAAGTACTTGGCTTGGACCCTCGGACGAATTTGGGGAAATAACTCCGGGCACCACTGAGATCATCGAATAGACGGCTCGCTTACAATTACACGGCCCGCCGGCTGCATCCTGTTCCCTCACTGACCACCGCCGTTCTTGACAGATATTGCTAGCACCAATAGGTGTAAGACTGAACGGAATAGCGAACAAGTACGCAACCACAGGAACGCCGAAGATCACCCAAACTTTCTGAGCGGCTATATTAAAGAGATGCTATTGTCGACGTAGTGTGCCTTCACGGAACCAGCACAACAATTTTGCAAACTAGACTCTGGCAAAGCATAGCATACACAGTCAGCCACGCATCTCCTTTCCACAACGATTCCTCCGCGAGCATACGTCTGACTCCCAACGATGCCTTTCCTTCCTGTTTCCAACGCCGTCCTCAAATACGAAGTCTATCCTTCTGCTCTAGCTCTTCACCTACCACTCTTGGTTTTGATCCACGGCGGAAACGGTAGCGGTGACATCTTCCAGAATGCCGCCACGGCCCTGCAAGATACTTTCCGCGTCTGTTTCTACGACCGCCGTGGCTTCACCCGCTCTGCCCTCACCGGCCCCCAGGACTACAGCACTGGATCCGCGCGCCTGGCCACCGACACCGACGACGTCCGCGCCTTAATCGAGCAACTCAACAAGGACGCAGATTCCAAGAACGCATTCATCTTCGGCAACTCATCCGGAGCCGTGGTTGCTCTTGAGACTCTGACCCGTCATGCAGATGTCATCACTCTCTGCCTGGCCCACGAAACGCCAGCTGCACACCCGAGGCCTGATCGCGAAGCCGTCATGGAAGTCCAGAGATCTATCTACGACATCTACCGTAAGCAGGGGCATATTGCAGCCATGGCCGAATTCCAGAAGTATGTGCATGCGGACAAGGACAGTGGATTCGGCACAGGCGCTGATCCACGTGAGAATCCGTATTTCATGGGGAACCTCCTCTACTGGTTTGAGAGGGAAGTGCTGGGATACATCGACCACGAGTTTGACCTGAAGACGTTACGACAAGAAAAGGAGAAGCTAGTACTGGTCAATGGCAAAGGAAGCTACCATGACAGTCCGCAGATCTTATGTAATGAGGCACTGGAACAGGAGTTGGGCTCCGAGATAGTGATGTTCGAAGGTGGGCATATCAATTACAAGGTCGATCCGGAGAAGTTCGCGGAGGATGTGAAGCGAACTGTGAAGGCTAGGCAGGGATAAGCCACTCGCAGTAAGGGATCTAGAGTCGAAACGCAGTCTGAATGATGGAGTTGAGCAACTTGCTGTACGCCACTTCTTCAGACGCCTCGTAGTGCGGTGGGAAACATGCTATAGCGACGGCACCTGGAGCATCATTCGTATGGTTGCACCAGCGCCAAGCACTTCCTTGGCCGCGAAACATTTATTTGGTACAGGAACATTTGGTGGACAAACGAGCGAGCAAGCCATGGGGCCTTTCTCCTGAGGATCTGCCGTCGATCCGCTAAGTAGACACAGTATAAAGCATGAGAGGTTTTACAAGAAGAGACGGCCAATGTCAAACAATGTGTCCTGTCAGATCTAAATATTGAAGACCTCTGACGATGATCAAGTCGTCCTTCCTGGACAATCCTCCCCAAGCTTCGTGTTCAGACGACTGAGCCGCTCCTTCTCCATCATCAGCTCGCCGTTGACATCGCTCCTTCCTGTGCAGCGTTCCGTAGCATCGCTTCTTCCTCATCATCGCTCCTTCCTCACCACAAGTCGCTCCTGCCTCACCACGAGTCGCTCCTGCCTCACGTCGCTCCTTCCTTAGCATCGCTCCTTCCTCAGCATCGCTCCTTCTTCAGCATCGCTCCTTCTTCAGCATCGCTCCTTCTTCAGCATCGCTCCTTCTTCAGCATCGCTCCTTCCTCAGCATCGTTCCTTCCTCAGCATCGCTCCTTCCTCAGCATCGCCGCTTACTCGGCGTCGTTCCTTCCCTGACCAGGGAGGGTCAATCGCAGCAGGGCAGTTTGCGCAGACCACTGTCAACAGAGAGCTGCTCTCCGATGTTGAAGCTCTATGCTGGGCCGTGGCTCGGAACGTTCAACAGAATTGTATGCTGTTAATGCTTGGCGGGTTGTACGTTGCCGCAATCCGAACAGTACTTCGATAGCTTCAAAGGCTGAGCCAGATAGTATAAGGAAATTATGCAACACTGGTGACTCGGCTGTGTGCGGGCGACCGATGCTGCCCGCAATTGTCCCGAATGGGGCACAAGTGAGTGAGTGTTTCGGGCCCGAAGAACGAAGGCCACGGACGTAGCGATTCTCGGTGATGGGAGCACAAGCATGCCCGGGCCACTGCAAGGCAGATCAGACATTTCGATCCTTCGTAAGTAGTTCTGAGGCGAAACATAGATTGAACGGGACGACATAAGACAGTCGGATCCGAACGTCCGAGCCACTTAGGTATTGCCGAACATGTAGTCGTACCTACGATCACTGAGCAGCACTGGTGACCACTCAGTATTGAACCAACCTTTGATGATATACTTCGGCTTCATTGATGCGTCGCCTGCTGTTGTAGTAGCGCCGTGTGTCGTCGACCCAATGGACGAAGCCGAGCTTCCTGCACCGCTCCCCTCTTTTACCTGTGCCCATGACCACAGCTCCTGGCCAGCAAGATCCAGTCTACCATAAATCCTCCGTACTTCGGCCCTACACGCCTCCAGAGACAGATGGAGAAGCATCCGCTCTGAGTACAAGCCATCGCGTCGAGGGGGAGGCTCGAAGCCGACCTCGACGTTCTTCATCCACTTAATGTTGCAGTCCTCGTCATGATTTAGGCTTTGCAGCGCCTCCTTGAAGCACTTTGGGCAGTGGAAGCGTACCATTAGGGCCGACAGCAGAGGGAAGACTTCTGCATCGAGCTCGCGACAGACCGAGAGCAGTTGAACGCCATGCGCGTGCTTGAAATCGGCGGTGAGTCTCTGTCGGCGACCTCGCAGATTGTCCAGAATCGACCTCTTCTGAGGCGGCTGACTGACGGCTGCAATGTCAGCCGGTGGTGGTGATACTGTTGTCCGAGACGGAGCGCATAAGTCGACAACGAAATCTCCCGAAGAGGGAATAATGAAGTCGTAGATCCGTAAGCGGACCTCAGCGGGCAATCCGAGGAGGGAATTGGTAGGGCTGCCGGGTTGCTTGTTTCGGGGTGAGTTTGCCATGTTCATCGGATCGGCCGAATGAACCAAAGAATCGACCGAAACGGGGTCAGTCATGGCGGGCTCGCACGCTGGCGATACTGTAGCTCGCCCATGCAATGCGAACTCGGATCTTGCCAGCTGTTAGACGGTCAGACTGTCGGCGTACGCGGTAATCAAGAATCGTTGCGCGCTCTTGCCTCGTCGCAGAGGTGGTGAGGGTCGTGTTCGGCCGAAGTCATGAAAATGTCATCGTCGTCCTTGGTCGCTTGCTGAAGGTTAGATGCGGGAATCAGGCGTCGCAAGATACATTTTAGGCAACCGCTTTACGGAAAGTTATAGCTAAGAAGCCCGGGGTCCACGAGTCATCGCTACTAACAATTTGGGGTAACGACTGCGGCCAAAACCCTCCTTAAAGCGGCAGCAGCATCCTGTGCTGACGTCCATGGGTACAACCGTTCTATTTGATATGCATGATATGACAATCAGATACAGCGCGGTGTTCTGCCAAATTGAACACGACGCCATTGCGGCACACAGGTTCTCCGACTGAATTGTGCTGCTACTGACTTACTGGACCTTCTTACCCTCTGCGATCCTCGTCCGTCTCTCCGCAGCTCGCTGTTTGGCGAACTCATTGTCCTTGAACACCTGCGACCTTGCGCCATTCCATGTCTTTCGTTTCCCTGTCTCGAACAGCCTGAAGATAGCAGGTGAGAACAGCCCAGTTCGGCAAATCTTGTAAAGCTCGCGGTCATTCCACCAGAGTGACCACCCTTTCGCACTGAACCACCCACAATTCTCAAGACCTAGGCCAGCAGTCTTGTTTAAGAAGTCTAGCGTTTCACCGAGTGGAAGTAGGACTGAGTAGTGAGTGGCATTCGTCGTCATCCTGCCGTGCTTGGCGTTGAAGTCGTCTAGGTTGGCCTTATACCAGGCCAGCCTCTCCTTGTAGGACGGCAGCTTCGAGTTGCCTTTCCAGACTTGCGCGATAGCCATAGACTGGACCTCGAACATAGAGAATCCCGAGAAGAAAGCCGCGCCTTGCCCAAGAAACGCAAGACTGTCGCGCACGCCTTCGTCGTCGTGCAGCGAGAAGATGTTACGGTACAGCTTAGGCGGGACTCCATGCACGGGCGCGGGTTGGTATTCTGTCGGAAGACTGGGCTGGTCGAAATGGTAGCCCGTACAGTAGATCTGTGCTTAATTAGTCTGCAGTCAGGCAACCAAGCAGTGACAAAACGGAGATTCTTCGCACTTACGATACGATCCACGTCATCAAGGACACGTCCATCATTGAGTTCCACCGATCGAGGGCCTGTAACGCGTCGGATGCTACCGATCGGCTCAACAAAGCCATTATCAATGTATGGCACCAAGACATCGGCAGCAACAGGGGTTGTCGTTGCCATCGAAGGCGCGGGAAGGAAGTTGTTGTACTTCTTTAAGCTGGGAAACTGTTTCTTGGTTTGCGACGCCATGAAGTTGTCGAGAAGCCAGTAGAAGAATCTCGGGCAGACGGCCTCAAAGATTGCGATGACTGAGCAGAAGACCATTGTCTGAGTTTGGTCGAATGGTCTTCCCTCATCATCGAATTTCCTCAGCAGCAGCAGATTGTTTCGTCGCGATAGATAGACCTTCTTGGACCGGTCTGTGCCAAAGATTCTGACGTGTCTACTGCCGTGGCATGGAATCCTATAAGGAGGACTTTCTTGTCCTTGTAGTCTTCTGAGGGTGTGTAGTGGAGTGAGTGAGTGACGTGTTTCGGATCGAACAGCTCGATGCCTGGTACGGTTGGGTACTTTGGAGTCTGGAAAGATCCGGTAGCTACGAGGATTTTGTCGAAGATCTCGGTGTAGACGTCTTCGTTGCCAACCGTCTGTAGTTCAAGCTCCCATCTGCCGCCAACTCGCCGTATAGTGTTCACCGATGTATTGAGTCTGATATGATCTCGCAGCTTGAATGCGTCTGCGTAGTCCTGCAAATAATCGTAGAGTTGGTCGCAGGTAGGGTAGTCGCTGACAGTCTCGCTGAAAGGAAAGTCTGTGAAGGCACTGCGACTTCGACTTCCGTTGAACACCGTGTTTGGAACGACAGAGATTCTGCCGTCCTGAGAGTGCTTCCAGATCCCACCCACATAGCCGCGCCTTTCGAATCCGATGGCATCAAACCCAGCTTCTCTCATGTTCTTCAAACCAGCCAGGCCAAATGGGCCAGCGCCAATGACAGCAACACGTGCAGACATGGTTGAGGTTGTATAATTGTAACGACTTCAGAGTGTGGCGATGTGCCAATGTTCAACAGTGATGCCCTCGTAGGCGAGAGTGCTGCGACAGACAAGAAGACAGACGAAGTAAGCAGCAAGAACTTGATATACAAACGTGAGATCTGCGGCTTCCCAAGTAACTTGCTATGAGGTAAGTACGGTGGCTGTGATGACCAGCCGAATTGAGCAGCGGTGTTTCAGCGAGTTTGTCTGAAAACAGGGTGGTCAGATAGCAGGGACACAATGGCGCAACTGCTCGATACCTTGTATCACCTGATCGTGCCTGCTTTGAAATTTGGTTGGTTAGTGGACAGGATACGGCGTGAGAAAACAGTTCGACTAAAGCATTTAGTTGGATGGCCTAAAGCGGTCATTACTGCGGGCAGCGCGGAGATATACACCTTAACAACACATAAGGCGAGAGCGGAGTATAAATGAACTGGAAAAGCTGAGTACAAGGTTAGACTCTCGGAGGATGAGAGCTTTGCTAAGGTCTGATCTGGAGACTTCTGTCAGATCATGCCAACTTCGCCAACCAAAGCCGCGTGGACGAACGAAATATGTCTGCTTCAAGTGGTCCGGAAACATAGCTCGGCGACTATTCGCCAGGCGCCGAGCATTTTGATATCCTGGAAAGGGCTGCTGTGAGAGCTAGCATACGTGAAGCGAAACGTAGCGCCAGGACCATTAGCTAGGCAACCCTCGAAAAGCCAAGCATCGTTCAGTAATGCCCATGACCGGGCAATGTTGTCGAGAGAAACATCCAGTCATACAGGCATATCCGATGTTCGAGGCTGCTTGTACTGTGATGTGCACAGTTGATGGGTACTGACCAAGGCAGACGAGTACAGCAACGTTGCCTCATCCGTTATCAGCGTCGTGTCGTAAGTACGGTCCGGCATTCAGCCGCAGGGAATTTAGATCCACAGCTCGCGGACCCCAAAGTATCTCGGATTCTTGTAGTATCGATTGGGAAAGTATTTCGAGGACCCTGATTCTGGAAGTAGGTAGCCTAACGGCCCAACGCTGCTTTACTGGCTACAAGCTGATCGAATTGCTCGAATGTGCTATTTCAATGGGGATTTGGTTAGCATCACGTTGACATACATAATGTATATGGGAAGGACGGTACGCGCAAGTCTTGAACGGTCTTTGAGTATATGTCTGGAGGGGTCTCTTGCACGCTCACTCGAGCTTCTGCTCGCCTGACTGCACTTCAAAACGACGTTGCACTTACAATTTGCCTCCGACTGGAATCGTCAACATCCACTTGAGCCATGTCAGACTCAGTACCGGAACGCCATGTTTCCTCAGGCGAGACCAGGCAAAGAGGGGTGTTTCGATGGCGTGTGCACCAAAGAGGAAGTAGAAGAGGAAGTTCTGGATGTAGCGCGCTGCGGTGTACAGTCGGCTGTCATAAGATAGCACCTTGTCCCTGTCAATACTCACTTGAGTCAACACAAGGTAAGGCCTAGGGACATACATTGTTATAAAGGACGGAACCTGGCTCGATGATGCTCCGCTTGGCGGATAGCAGCATAATAATGCCAGTGATCAAGACCTTTCGCCCCAGCTCACCCTTGGGGAATTGGTATTCTCGGATCTGAACTGGTTTGGAGTTTGAGGCCATTTTGCCTGGAAGAGCTCGTTGAATTGAGCTTGCAAGAAGTTGTCACGTTGCTCGTGTCGCGAAGTGTGCTTGCTGATAAAGTACTAAGCACCATCAAGGTGCCGAGGTCCCGAGGGTAGCCCCGCGGAGCCGGTTAACCCCCTTCCTTGGCCTGAGAACACCTGTTGAACTGCCGGATCATTGTAGGCAACTCCAGGATACTCCTCAACAATATACCACGGCTTTGCCGAATGACAGTTGTATGGTGACGCGTGCTCGTCGTCTGAGCCTTCGTTTTCTTGCGAAGCGTGACATCTTAAATATCAGACAGGCGAAGCGTCAGATCGTTGAGTGTCGTAGCAGGCTGATGTCGGTCGGCCCATCGCAATGGCTACACGACGCATAGCATACGATTGCGATAGAATCGTTCCCGCTCGATTAGGAGCCTGAGCAAGCTGTATCATCGTGTCTGAGCCGTGCGGGCCGGAAAGTGCGCGCAACGGTGTCTCTTTCATGCTAGAGTGATTCCGAACACACCGCTCAGTACCGCCGACGCCCATGTTGATGGCTGGGTGCCTGCTTCCGGATCGCTGATGTTGCTCTCCCGTTGCAGCACGGAGAATGCAGCTTGAGATATGATATCCTGAGTTTCAACAAACTTGTTCACGACTCTGGACGCTCGTCGGGAACAATAGCCAGCCATTCTGTGACGATCGACTGCGAGATGGTGAATGGAATCGAGAGGCGGATTCCCGAGCAGTGAAGTCGTATCCCTAGCATTCCAATACCTCGATGCTCGACCACACATTTCGCCCAGGAGATTTCGACGTACAGCAACATCCTGACTACCTTCCAACAACTCAGAGAGCACAGAAAGGCCGCAGTACAACACAATTCGTTTGATCGAGGCAAAGGGTACGTGGGGAGCGTGCAAAGTGAACTTCAGCTTTTTAGCGTCGCACATCGCGAGCAACAACTTCCATGCGGCGAGCATGTCGACGACGTCTTGTGGCGTCTGTGCAAGATCTTCTATGATATGTTGTTGATCGAGCATGAAGACATCCTATGAGCCCAGTTAGTACAGCTCTTGACCTCATCAGATTATCGGGTGAAAATGGCGCTCCTGTGACACTTTCCAGCAAAACAGTATTTGATAGCCCTTGCGTAGGTACAGTGTACCCTTGCTACCTCTCAAAGCGTTCAAAGAGGAGCCACGCAGAACCGCTGTGAAGGACCGCAGTCGAGTCTATTCGCTTCAGGAGGGGAGGATGGGCACGTGGAGGGGCTCGGGCGACTTACGACTGCTCCCAGGTACGTGTCGTCATCCCAGTCCTTGAACGCCTCGTCGGCGTCATTCATGACCACGCATAGCGCTTCAAGGAAATTATCGAGCATGAACATTGCGCGGAAAAGCACCTGACGAAAGGAGAGGCGTTTCTTGTCTCGTGTGACATGATCTCGCACCTTGTCCGCCACGCCTTCCTCATTCGACTGAGGGTAATAGTAATCCACGAGCACATGGGCAAGGTGCCACATGCGGACGTCCTGCTGCTTGAGATCAATGTAGAAGATCAGATCTCTGGCGTTACCGTGGACCGGCGAGATCGAAGGCATTGTTCGAGGTCGAGTGCGGCGATAACTTGCACACAGCCCTGCTTCGTGTTCGTGAATCAATTCATGCAGCGCATGATTGACCCGACGTAGTGTGAGGAGGTCTTTGACTTCCAGAATTTCTAGGACTTTGGCTCGAATTTCAGGTGGCTGTCGAATGAGAAGTCTCAGAACATCACTTTGGCCTCCATCACTCGTCTCTGACAGCTCTGAAACGGCATGGTCAACGGCCGACAAGGAGAGTGCTTCCATTGCATCGAAGTAGTCGCGTAACGATGAGGACGTTTCAGCGTTCAACAGATCGATGGCTATCCTGGACAGCGGATTCGACGCAGGTGGATCTTTTCTATCATTGCGGTGCACATCAAGTACGTGCAACTCTTGCTTTGTCGGTAGTGATCGAGAGACCTCGATTCAGTGCCGGCGAACAAGTCCATATCTCCCGATGTCGAGTGACGATAACTGTTGCCTTGATACTAGGCGCGTGAAGGCAAACGTGATGATGCACAGATCTCGCGTTGGGGCGCTGATCCGCGGATCGACGGCTAGGCCCGTAGACAAACTCTAAATTGCCCCTCCATTACAGATGGCCAACAATTTTTTGGCGCGCTGCAAAAACATTCGGCTTGACGACTTACAGCGACATCAGTGCGTGTACGGTCATCATGGCTCCTAGAGATGCCGAATCATCGTCAGAAGACGACAACGATGGCTATACTACGACGAACGTGACTCTAGGATACGCATCACACGAGCCAGTCGGCGACGACATCAGCCACCTGGGAGGTCATTCGACCTGGATCGATGATGGTCACAAACCGTCTGGAGCGCTTGCGAAGTGTAAAGTCTGCAATGGCTATACATCGCTACTTCTTCAGCTCAATGCAGACTTGCAACAGCAGTTTCCCAATGACGATCGCCGACTTCATATTTTCTGCTGTCGCAAGAAGACCTGCTCCAAAAAGATTGGAAGTGTAAGAGCATTCCGAGAAGTGCGGAAGCCAGCAGTCAGACAGCGTCAGACAGAGTCAAAGAATGCCGTTGAAAACGCAGCGGATGTCAAGTCGAACGTGGACATTGGTTCTGCGTTATTTGGTTCTGCTGCTAACAAAGCCTCGCCAAACGCGAACCCGTTTTCTCTATTTTCGAGCTCATCTGCTGCAGTGAATCCCTTCTCGACGTCCTCAACATCTGCCTCGCTGGCAGCGATCCCGCCGCAGAGTCCTGTAAATGACAGTGAGCCACCCATAGCAACGTTTGCAGACAAGCTGAAGATATCGACTGCTTCATCCACAAGCCCGTCAAGCACCCAGCCTGCGGAGCCTTGGCCGGTACTCTCGTCGCTGCCTCCAGCGTTCCCACACTGTTACCTTGATGCAGAAGCAGAGGAATTGGAGCCTGAGGCGACGGCGGCAGAAGGGTCAAAAGCAGCAGCAGCAGTCAACCAATTTGATACAGATGATTCAAGCGCCGTCGGTGCAGACAAGGACACCTTCGAGTCGACGCTCGATAAAACATTCCAAAAATTCTCGGATCGCATAGCCCAGAATTCGGAACAAGTACTGCGGTATGAGTTCAAGGGCCAACCTCTTCTCTACTCTGGTCATGACGACGTGGCCTCTCGCTTTGTTGTGCCACATGGCAAAGCAGGCGCCGTTAGAGGCATTCCGAGATGTCAGAGCTGTGGTGCACAAAGAGCCTTCGAGCTACAGTTGGTGCCAGGACTCATCTTTGAGCTAGAGAAGGACGAAACCATGGACCTAGATGATGGAATGGAATGGGGTACGATACTGGTTGGCACATGTACGAATAATTGTGGGGATACTGGCCAAATCAGCTTCCGGGAAGAGTGGGTGGGAGTGCAATGGGAGGAGAGGACTGCGAAGACGACTTGATGACACGACAGGCTGCGATGATCTCACGATTGCACGCACGTCGAAAGCGCTTTCGCAAGACTGCTCGAAAAGCTCAAGGATTTGTGTCAAGCGTGTAGAGAGCACATCCGGCACAGAACATCCCTTGAACAGAAAGACGTGTCATGCACCTGGGACCTGCTTGCAAACGAAGAAGCCGATACTGCTGCATCGAAGATCTGGTCGTTGCCGCAGCTTGCCGGTTCCAGGCCGGAGGTTATGCCACCACACTCAGCGACGATGGCCATGGTTCGAGGCGTCGTTCTTGACATTCGGGGCTCATTTCGCTTGAGGATTTCCAACAACCTACTTGACGAAGCTTCGAGCGGCACGACTCTAGCTTGACTTCCGAGGCGCTACAGCTACCATGTCAAGCTGGAAGATGATGAGAAGAACCTTCTGAGCCACGCATTTATCTATTCTACCATCCGACCATCATCAAATCTGCAGTGCTTGATCGTCGGGTGCGCCCACGACCGGCATGTTGTACACGAGCTCTGCGGCACGCCGGCACAGTATCGCTCGCAGTGATAACTCGCTCGCCTTGACCATGAGTTGGATCCAAGTTCAGGAGGGCGCCAAAGCAGCCGGAATCTCGGGATGTCTAGCGTAGAGCAGTTCTGATTGGCACAGCCACGCGGCCGCTAGTGCTGCAGCCGATCAACGCCACAGTAGCGAAAGTCGCGTGGCCGTGCCCAGATCCAATCAATGGCATATCGAGCTCATTTAACCAAGACATCCTGCCCGCTGTCGCCGAACTTTTGCGAGGTGCTGACGGCAAAGTATCTTTTCCTCGCGAAAGATGTTTCCGTAGAGCAACCTTCGCATGGACCAGACCCAAAACGTGCTTCTATCTCCGCTTCGCTTATCAGACAACGATGCGTAATAATGCACGGCCAGGTAGTCAGATACTCCGGGCGTGGTGTAGACCGGCGTTGAGCGCCGACCACATCGCTGTCAACCTCCTTTTGACAGTTTTGACAAACCGCCGGGCGAACTACTAGCAACCATCAGGCCAGCCACGGGTTGGCAGTGTGCAGTCAGAGCTACATCGAGCTCGCCAGCAGACGTAGATGCCCTTCGAAAGTGAACCAGCCAGCTCACCTGGAAGCTTGGGCACTACTCTACCTCGTACTGCCTGCGGCATACGCTATAAGGCGTGACCAACGGCCCCAATTTCCCAGATCCGACAGAACATCATCCACACGGTGATTCTGCATGACTTATACCATATCCAGCAATGTTCAAAATCTCACACGAACAGTAAAATTAAACCCAGATCTGCCATGCTGCAGAAGCAGGGAAAACAAGGGACCACTTTTGGCGCGAAAGGAACACGAAATGAACACCAGATGTTCGCGCCTTCCTTCTTCAAGGAAAGCCGGGGTCGCTTATCGGCCCTTGACATCATGCTGGCAGGGTTCTACGCGTAAAGTGGACGCGGTTTTGATAAAAAAGTTTTGGGGATGCTGAGGGGCGTCCCCACGCGGAAGGCTCTGTGAATCTTTGAGGGGTTGGTCTTTTGCGATCATGATGGTCAATCGAGCGTCGATGCAAGTAGTACATCGCAGAACGTAGGGGCCTCATCAGCCGGATTTCTGTCAGTGAGAGCGAGGTCGGGCAGCTGCGAGGGATCGTCAGCGCGTGTCGCGTGTCTTAATTGTTCCGGATGTCGGCAGGAGAACAACGTGCCAGCCACTATCATTCCAGGCCCTTCTTGCTGCCGAATGCCAATATAGAAAGTAGTAGCTGTTTATCAGCATCGTTCTGCCAGGCGATCTGACTCGGTCTGACACAAAATCGTAACTGATCACGGAGCAGGAGCGACCTGGAGGAGAGGAACCAGATCAGCAATTGTATCGAGATTTGTATTGCCGATCACAGCCAAGTGCTGTGAACACACGCTTCGCTATTGCTACTGCTACCTAAGTATGCTATGCTATGATGTGCTTGCTGTGACCCTTCCGCCTGCGCCATTGAGGCTCCTATGCAAGCATGGGCCCTCTGGTCGTTCCTTCCCCACTCTCTGCTGACCTAATCCCATTCCTTCATAATGTTCCTCGCAATTTCCACTGCCATCAGCATTAGAGCTGGTGGTTTGTTTCGTAATATTCGACCAGCGAAAAGAGTACAGATGATTGTGCTTGTGACATAGGTGTTGAAGTTCATCAAGGCTGCTTGATGATTCGAGAATGCATGATTCCTTGCTCGGAAACACCAGAAACAAGAGACATGCTGATAAAGACAACGCTGTAAATCAAGTAGTGACGGAAAAGAAACGTAGTTCTTGCGATATCGACCACAACGATTGATCATCGAGGCAGCTCCTCGCCTAGCTGTAGTGCAAGGCCTTGACTTGTCGGAGGTTTTCGTAGAGTGTCCATACCCGTAGGTCGTCCGAACCGTCCGGGTGTTCTCAAGGCAGGGGCACGACTACCCCATGGTGCCTGTGCTGGACTAGGTGTGACGTTGCAGTAGTCTGCAAGATTGAAGTTCTGTCCAGGCGTCAGAGCCCCATTGAATAGACCAAGGCTCTGGCCAGGAGTGTTCATCATCGACGATGGCAGATGATTGTGCTGGGGCGGTGTCGAGGGCGGTTTGGATGAGCTGGAAATGTGAGTGACGTTGATGGCAGGAGATCGCGAGGGCGAGTTGGCCAAGTAGAGGAGGAGATCAGCTCCAGCTTGCTTCGTGTTTTGAAGGCGACGTCTCGTTGGCGGGGGAGTCCGTGGTGGCGACGTCGATATGATGCTGCTGGACGGCTCATGACCCAACTCAGCACCTTCATCGTCGCTGTGAACATCGAACATGGGAGAGTCTTCCATCTCATGCAAAGTCGACTCGAAAGGTGCAGAGTGGGTATGATTGTGTGCAGGGGAGGTATGGGCCATGCCATTCTCTTGCCTCCAATTGCCAGAGAAATGCACAGTCTTGTCTGCAGCCGTGGCAGAAGCAGAACGGACTCTCTTTCTGGAAGAAGTGTATGGCTGGTTGGGAGCCCTGAAATTTGTGGTGTTTGCTCGTCTGAGCCCACCGAGGGGAGGTAAGTCGTCCGAGTCGTCTGAGAGCATGTCCTCACTATGAGGCCGCTTCCTTTTCAGCTGCTCTGCAACTTCTGGTTCGATCGAGCGAAGGGTTCTGTCCTGCCAGCCATTCTGAGCTTTGAAGCTTGCAAAGGCGAGGCAGTCTTGCAGATTTCTAGCAACCTGTAGTCACAGCGTATCAGCACTCGGAAAAGCAGCCGAGGATATGGGGTTGGCTACTTTAGAGATCTCGATTCTTCTCAAGACCTTGTTCTCAATGTCTGAAGTGCCGTAGGAATTCACCTGTGTGGGAGCCATAGTAGTCGAGGTGAAAGAGTCTGCAAGCAGCATTGAGATGTGGTAAGATAGATGGATGGTGTGCAGGTGTGAGCAAGAGGGGCGGGCGGCTGAGCTGAAATGGCTTGTTCGGCACTCAATCCTAAACTTGAACGAGCATGCGAGCACTTCAACTCTGGTGATTTTTAAAGGAGGAAGATGATGAATAGTCTCTTGAGGCTCTTGAGTATCTCCTAGAAGAATTCCTCGACACACAGGGAGAATTCAGGGTGGACAAGGCTCAACAGGTGAACAATGAGCAAGCGATTACTGCAGCCAGGGCCTGACATGAACTTGAAGAATGAACGTTGCCCAAGGAATGATTGGCCAGTGGGGTTCTATAATAGTGGCTCGAAGCGACCCCAAACCCACCGCAGGTTACCTTACCAGCCCAGCCCGCCTGCGCAGGAGCCAGCTACCGGTGCATTTTGAGAGCACTGTGGTTGCCCCAGATACTTCGTTCAAGAACACCCACGGCCTCTCTCATGCTGACCTATTGCTTGTCCTCCAGACCGCTCTACTATTGCAATTGAACACATTCTTGTTCACCTCAAGTTGCTATCAGAATGGTAACAAAGGTTCCACAACGGCCAAGGCCAACCCTCCTCATTTATTCTCGGTCTCGGGAGGAGTGGCATCTCTGCAATGCATCGCCGATTGAATCTGCGCTGGTACCTGAGAATCCCTGTATATGCAAGATTCGAGTTTTCGAGTATCTTTCTTTGCTCTAGCTTCCGACGCGGACGATGTCTCTGTCCCTGATTTCTTACAAGCCCAAATTCTTGATAGATGGGTCGTGTGCTGGCAGATCGATCATGTACGCGTCCTGGACTCGAAGCGACAGCGAGTCCGTAACCATAGCTGGAAGCTTGCGTTCTTCCCGTTGGGAGAGGACTCTACTAGTACTGGAGTTCCGTTTCCTCCGTGTGCTGCATGATAATTCTCCATGTTGCAAATAATTCGTCGGAGACATGCAGCGCCAATTTCAAGAGACGCAGTGACAGCTCTGCTTGCTGTCTCGTCTGCAGCAAATTTGTCGTGTGTGTCAGTCTGTGATTCAATGCCCGGCGGAAGACCGTCTCCTGGCAGCGAAGGTGCTCTACATCGCAGCGCACATTACGGCCGATTCATGCATTCGACGACTTGAGGGTGATTTCTGTGTTCACTTCGTAGCGAATTATATATCCGATCAAGCCCGCTGGTCCCTACGCTCTCGAGCTTCAGAACCGCCCCTGGGCACTAATGACTTCCTCAGACCAGCGTAGCGTACACAAGCCTCTAGGCTCCGGTTCATTCAGAGTCTTCAAGCGCATTTACTGCAGATATTCAGACACTTTGCTGGAATTAATGCGATGCTTTCTTCCATCATACTCACTCCTTCATTCTATCCACGGCTCTGGAATGCCGATTCTAACCAGATCTCGTTAGGTGCCGTTGCTAAGCTTAATCCAACCCTGAGATGGTGGGCATGACGATTGGACCATGCGCAGGTCTTTATCGCATGGAGAAAGAGCTTGTTGGCCCATGAAATGTGATGCAGGTGCTTGCGCATCATTCATCAGGGCCAAGACACATGCTTGCTCAACCTCCGGGGACTGGATGATGAGGTGCGATCAACCATCGCAGTTTCCTCTTGTTACATTCGACATCGTCGCTAATTCTTCTCTCACTGTCGTTCGAAGCACCATCATCTCCTACTCGCCTTTATCGCCTGTCGTTCTTTTATTCATCCAGTCAACTAATTGAGCGTGCACGTCGCGAGAAATCTACATCCGGTTGACGCCCGACATCTGCAAGCGGTTCCCACCAAAGTCGCAAGCTTTGCTTTGCTTGAATACCCGCGCGGCGTTTCCGTCAAACAACACTGTCGTCTGGCCGTGCTTACATCGCTGTCTGGCTCCCCAGGCCGTCAGTCTTTTGCATTGACTTGGACTCGCCATGCCCTTCTTCAAAGAGCTGCGTCGGCGCTCAAAGGCTAGCTTCCGAACATCCGATTCGTCCAACGAGTCGCATGGTACAGTTCCTACGACCAAGTCTTCTTCAACATTGAGCTCTGCCTTGGGTGGTAGCACTACACCGCCGTCGACTCAGTACACGAATGGCTCGTCTGGAAACCTCGCGCAGGCGCGGCCACCAGCAGACGCCGCTTCTGCCCCACCCATACCTCAGCGACCTAATGTTGTACCATATTCGAACAGGAACAGCATGATTGTAAGTACGCTTCGATCTCGTATGGATAGCACTCATGCCAAACGCAGACCTTGTCACCGTCTGGCACGACGCCGACGATGCGCATGCCTGCGCCGACCTCGCCGTATGCGCCGAAGATCACATCAATATTAGACGGATCAGTCGTGTACCAAAAAGTGTTGTTGATACAGGGAGAGATCGGAGATCCCAACGTTAAGGCCATTGACGGCACTCTGACCCTGCAACATGATAAGGACGGTCTTTCGTTTCCTCCTACCTACTGGCCAGTCTCGGAGTCTTACTTCAAAGCATTGGTCTATTTGTCACCGGGCTGGAATAAGATTCGTTTTGATTTCAATTCGCCTAAGCTCAGCAATAGTGGTGGGTCGGCCACTCCAACCATGCATTCATCTTTCATGATGCTTAATTATCTCCCACTGAACAGCGCACCACCACTACATCTTGCAATTCTGGTCGGGTCCGACTCGCCAGGTACGTACGACGCAACTCCGGAGCGAAAGGAGAAGGAAGGCAACGACTTGCCTCTTGCTGTCCGGAAGTTCCGCATGGCTGCCCACCTCTGGCAGGCATTTACTGCTGAGCAAATGTACCGTCAGAAATTCGGCCGGCGATGTTTCCGCTTCGACGAAGAATGGCAACCAGGTACACTGTCCATTCGGGATTGGGAAGCCGGCCACATGAAAAACGAAGCCAAAGTTCACATTGTGCGTTCGGAACGAACTGTCGAAGAGCTTCGGGATCTTAGCCGTGCTCAACAAAACACTGGCGCCGATAACAAAGGCGATCTGTATTCGATTGCTGCAGAGGCCATTAAGAAGTATTTCAATATACGCGACGGTCAGAAACAGTATGTTGCGTGTCTCATACTTGATTCGCACTGGGATCGCGAAAGCAACACTATTCTCGCCCATGCTGCCCTTGGAGGTTGCTCGGATACTCTGAACCTGGGCATCTTCGGCTCCCACGCTGTGCAGAGTTACCCGTCGTGCATCGAAGAAGTCGTCCCAAGTTTCATGGACTGCACTCCAACCGATCTGGACTACGTAGCCAATGACTGTGGCGAATCTGGCAGCAGCTGGGAAGCGGCGAATATCGGTATTGGAGCACACATGCATGAAGTAGGACATCTTTTCGGCTGTCCTCATCAGGAGAACGGTGTGATGCTGCGCGACTACGTCACGCTCAACAGAACATTCATGATCAAGGAATGCTACTCAACCCGGACGCAATCGCAAGGAATGAAAGTTTGCAGGATAGAAGACGAGTGCAGTTGGCATCGTCTTGATACACTGCGTTTTCGGTACCATCCCTGCTTCAGACTCCCGAGCGACGATACATCTGCATCGCAAGATGACAGCATTCAATATTTCGCCGTGGACAATGGTAGACTCATCTGCTCGGCAGCCAGCGGCATATCGTTCATCGAAATCTTCACTGAAGGCGATGACTTGTGCAGACACTACATCGATTACACACCGAACGATCCTCGAAATGCTGCGATCCCACGGCAGGTTACCTTGACCGCATCGGAAATCAGGGGTCGGCTTCCAGAAGAGCTCAAAAAACGCAAGATCAGGCTAGACATATTCTCAGGAGGCTCTGGCAGAATAGTGATCGAAGATCTGGATGAGCTGTTGTCAAAAAATAATACGATCCGTCTACCGCCTGTCAGACAAGCTCCACGTCAGGACGAAGGTCTTACTATGAACGCGTTCAACGGGGTCGTTGGTCTTGGCAAGTCTTTCGAGACTCGACTAGGCTTCAAGAGCAACAAGTTTGGTGCCTCAGCAATGGAAGGAACCAAAGAGCAAGTGGTCATACTGGACAGTGCTACATTACAAACGAAACTCCTGACATCGGTCAAAGTCTACGCGGGCCTTGCGGTCGATGGTATCGAGTTCTGCTATGAAGATGGCAAGAATCAGCTCTTCGGTGCTCGGGGAGGCAAGCCTGGTGGTGATGAATTCTTTCTTGGTGAGCCAGAACCGCGCAACGTCTAAGCCGCTACTAATACGTGTCAGATACGAGAAGGGGCGAAACGGTTCTCGGATTCTATGTACGTGCGGGAGCTTGGATCGACGGCATCGAAATCTTGACGAGCACTGGTCGACGGTCTGGAATTTTCGGGTCACCTGGTGGTTCAGGGTAAGTCGAGACGCAAGCATCTGGTCTAGCATTGCTAACAATCGTTCAGGCATACATTGATGGTCCCTAGAGGGTACTACCTGGCCGGAGTTATTGGGACTTTCGGATCCTGGATGGATGGGTTCCAGATCATCATCACCCGATGAGCCGACTTGATCTGAGTCGACATCGCATTCTAAGAACAAGGCCAAAGCCACGCGACAGAAGCCAGTGGCACCCAGCCATTGTTCTACTTCCTTCGGACACTGCCTACAAACTCCAGGAGAGACCTACAACAGTTCCGTGCTCAGCTGCACACCGAACATCCTTAATTGGCATACAGAGCCAACGGTAATACCTAATACGCATGGCAAGACAGCATTGTGTTTTAAGACTGCCACACTTTCAGGGGACCTGTACATTGCTGAGTGCTGTTGGAGGAAGCAAAGACGCTTCCGACCATCGTAGGAACTGAAGACGACGGAAACATTTTCCGACGTGCGACCATCGAGTCGCATCGAACGATGAAGATCACCCGGCAACAAGGGAGAAGGAAGACGTGCCGAAACTGCACATGTGATACGTCACGGTCCAATTTCTTGCAATAACGGATGCTGAAGAAGCATGAGAACGAACGAAAAGTGCCTGAAGGTGACCTACGTACACGTCCTCATCCTTAGCATCAAATCATCATCATGAGTGATCCCTGCCAGGGCGCTTCGAGAATCCATTCGAAAGACTCTCAATCAATTTCGGACCCTGGTCGTAAGAAAGTATCTGTGATGCAATGCAATTTCTGCAGGCCGTTGATGGTGATTTATTGCCGCCTGGACAATGCGCAATACCTTGCCTATGGCTAGCATGATGTCTTACGCCGGGCAAGTGATGATTTCGTTGTCGCCGTTGAGATTTGACGGCTTGTCCCGCTCGGGGCTGTATGCCGAAGTCGAAACCCACCAAGTCGGGTTCGACGCCCAAGGCTGAGGGGGCCATAAGCGAGACATATCGATCTCATTGATCAACGATAACACACAGATCTATTGCATTTACGCGAGGGCACGAAGAACTCGCGAATTGACATATTGGGTTGCCCGCCGGTCTTTATACTGCTCACGTCGTCGTCGGCGACTTGCCCGTGAAGCGGTGAATCTATCGACGCCACATGGGGGTCTTAGCGACGACGACATGCGCTACCCAAGCCATTGGTGCCCCGCCGTGCCGTACTCCGTATCTTGCCTGGCTTAGCGATGTCATGTCGACAGCTCGTCGCTCAGTTCTCACGGTTGAAGCTTGCGGCAGTCACGTTGTCGATAGCGAAGTCTACTTGCACGTCGCTTGGTCTCGGAGCGACGAATAACAAGGTAAGTATTCCGTCAATTGTTCGTAACGAAGGCGATCGCTTCAATAATGCATGCCCATATGGAATCGGGTTCAGACGATGCTTGGGTTGGGAACTCCAAAGTCGCTTCTCCTTTGGGTGCCAGGCGAAAAGGTCACCAGCAGTGCCAGAAAGGGCGCAACAATAATGCCCCAACAAGGTTCAGCAGTTGCAAGAGAATATCTTCGCTGTCGAGCGTGCGAAGAATGCGCATTTGCTTGGAAGGATTGGCTTAGCCTAATGTAGGCAACCATGTCACAATGTGCAACGAAGCGGTTTCATGACTCCGAGTCATCTGGCTCACGTTGTTCAGCCTATATGAAATGATGTCATCTTGCGCTGCCCTCTATTGCAGGATGGGTGATGCACTCGGCTTTGACGCCGTCAGAGAGTCGAGCATCGCAAATCAAACGATCGTGATTTGAATCTCATGTGAGAGGGGAAGGCTTTCGAGCTTTCGAGCCTGTGTCAGCCTCCTACGGCAGTTCTCGGTATTGAACGGTCACTAGGCGCATCTGATCACGGCCAAATCCATAGATCGGGCTACTCAGCATCTGGAACGTTCACTGTGTTTCTTCAATCGCTCGGCGCTCTCCAATCATTCAATGACTCCAACAGCTAAGCTGCGAAGGTTGTCTCACGGCCGACACTGATAGCGTACGATATTGCGCACTTCCGACAGTCAGCAAATACAGGTCACGAGGAGATATGTGAGCGCGATCGTGATCACTGTACGATATCGATGCGAAGGACAATCGCTTCCAGAAGGATTGTCACGAAACGGAATGCTTCGAGGTGATACTGAGAGGACTCCTCACTCCAGCCCGCGCTGCAGGGTTGTCTCAAGTCGGCTCGACGGTACTCTTGACGGGAGTAACGGCTCTGCCACACTTCGAGGCACGTTCAAGCCACAGCACGATCGGCAAGAGGAGTGCGTAAGCCCAAGGGTTGGCATTCATGTCAACGAATCACGGCAATCGAGCCACAATCAGAGGGGTCCAGGTTCGCCACAATGTGGCGGTGCTGAGGAGTTTTGCATCGTCGATTCCCGCAGAGAATGAGGTCGATGGCGATCATGGAAATGAGACGAAGAACGAAATCTGCTGGCAAATTTAGCCATAGGCTCCAAGGGACACAAGGCCGCCGAGAGGATAGCCTATTCGCATTCAGCTAAGCTGGGTTGCAGGGAACCCTGGTCGTTATGGGCCCTTTTCTCGCTCCGCGCATGATCATGAAATGTCGTTTCAGAGACGGTGCGGCTAGGCCGTGGCTTGTAAGCTTTGTGAGCGCCACAGGTCAGTTCCACTGTGTCGACAGTCGTCCACTCACGGCTTGCGGAGCACACCACCCAGGCTCTACAGTCCAGTGAACTTTACCGCTTCCCTTGGATGCCCGACTGATGAGGTGGCTCACACGGTGCCACACCGACCTAGCGTTGTTGACTCTACACTGACATGAGGGCATCAGCGTGGGCCTTCTTCGGAGCGTCGCGTCGATTTCACCCTTGTCTTGGACTTCCAGTCCTCCGTTCGCATCCCTGCAATCTCACACTTACTACGATGCGTGTCTAACCATTCTCATCCATCCCATCTCCCATGACCCATGTTCCGGAAATCCACTTATGAGTGGCCCTACCATGCCACTCGTGGCTGTTGGCCTCTACACTGACCTCGACTTCAACTTCATCATTCGATTGTCGATCTTTCCTTTACATCTATATCGCGCCCGACTCTGGATCCAGGCCTCTTCGCTCGTCGTCTAATGACGCTACAGTCTATGCATATCCGAATATAACGACCTGGATCGCCAAACGCGCAAGCAGCCAGAGGCGCAGCACGGATTGTACTTCATTCTAGCGTCCTACACAATTGCACAACTATACAGAACGTCAGTGATTATTGTGCTAGCCTATCGAGCAGTTCACACCAATTATCCGACAACTGTCAGACCGACGCTCGCTTTCAACCAGATGATTTGACAACAACCCATCCCGACAACCCACCTGCGACGCTTTAGCCACCGCAAATGTTTCGTACCTAGGCAACCCTACTTTGGTACTAACCACTACCGCTCCGTAACAAGAAACGGCCAACACTCAGCGGCATGTTTTCTCGCAGACGCAATTCTCAGAAACCCGGTGCTGAGCTATACGCGGCCTTTAAACAATCCTTTCCAGATGTTGGACCTGGCTCCGGTGGAGCGCCTACTGGGTCGGTCCCTGCTCACGCTGAAAGATCGGCCTCGCTAAGTGAGGCATTGATCGAGGCTCCTTCAGCCCAGAGGTATGTCTCTCTCGCTTATCCCACTACATGTTCCTCCCTTGCACCCACAATGTCGTCGCTGCCTACCATTCTTGCACTTTGACATGTCTGTTGTTGCTGAGGAAGATGAAATGAAAACCAACACTGAGACCTCGTCTGACTATTTCGGCAGACCCTTTGATGCGGTCGGTGATGGCAAGGAAGTCGACGCTTCACCAAAACCATTCGGCGACTCATGGAGGTTAACTCCATCCCTGATGGACCCCAACTCTTTCGCATTCAGCGCATTTGCGAATCAGCCGCCTGGCTACTACACACCAACGCCTGGCGGCTTCAACACCCTCTACCACAGTCAGGCTGGCGACTTACACACGCCTGGAATGGGCATGAACACGCCTTTATCGATGCCGCATTCGTTGCATAGCCTGCACGCTGCCGACACAACGATGCATCTCCAGCACTTCAACCCTCAGTTCCTCCACCAGCACCACCCCCAGCTGTTTCATGATCCTTTCGGACAACACCATCACCAACACCAGCAACAGCATCAGCAAACATATGCGCCCCACCAGTTCTTACAACATCAGGATTCAGGATATGTTGAACTGGATGGGTCTCCGCACAAGACGACTCCACAAGAGAATCATATGGTGATGGCACCAAGTGTTCAACAAGGTATCCAGACATCAATGGCAGTCATTCCATCGATACCTAACATGCCTACGGGTGGAGACAAGTATGGCCTGACAAGCGATTTACATAGAGCCAACACTGACCGCAGTAGGTTTCGCTTTCACACCACGTTGAATGCGCCAACAGCAATGATCAAGCACTCCGACGAGATTCCCGTGACCTACTTAAATAAGGGTCAGGCCTACACTCTGTCAATATTTGACACAAAAGCACCAATGATGCAGCTCAGTGGACCAGTCCGGTACAGAACATTTGTGCGCATCTCGTTTGAAGACGAGCAACAGAGAGCGCGGCCTGGGGCATGCTGGCAGCTTTGGAAGGAAGGCCGCGGAACCAACGAGGCACATCAAAGAGGCGGCAAGCTTCTTGCCGTGGAATATGTCGACCCTAACCAAGGTGGTGACGATGCGATCCGAAAGTCCCAGGTCGAGCTGGAGCATGCGTCCTTCGATGGTTTTGCAGTGACCTGGTATCCGAATCCCAAGAACGCCATCGGGGTTCCCGACTTGACCTTGTCCTGCCGCTTCAACTTTCTCTCAACCGACTTTAGTCATTCGAAAGGAGTCAAAGGGATCCCAGTCCGCCTGTGCGCGAAGACTGAGCTACTCGTGCCGCAAGCTAATGAGGCCAATGACCCCGAGGTCTGCTTTTCGAAGGTCAAACTCTTCCGCGATCACGGGGCTGAGCGAAAACTGTCAAACGACGTAGCTCACGTCAAAAAGACGATCGAAAAGCTCAAGCAACAGATTGCACAGGCAGAAGCCGGCTTGGGTGGTTCAGGAAAGAGGAAGCGCAGCGGCTCTACGGTCAAACCTTCATCCTCGAAACCTGGAAAGGTCCTGAAACACAAGCGGACGTGGAGTGTGGACAACTCGGACGTCGAAGTTGGTCGCTCTGCCGCCGAAGAGGATCTTCACATGAAGCTCGTCAGTATGCAGGATATGTTTTCGTCGACTCGTCCGATTAGCGTACTGTACCTTCAAGGAGAGCCTGAGGACGATCCAGATCTGTTTCCCGTGAAGCTCACAGGCGGTGATGTGGTAGAAAGAAACATCATGACACGGACAGAGACCTGGGAGTCCAAAGCCAGCATTGAATCTCCAGTATCGAATGCTTCACCTACAAGCAGTTCCTCAACACAGGTTACGCCGAAGCGGAAATTCTCGGAACTGCAACAATCCACAATCGTCGAAGAGGCAGACGAAGACAGCGTCATCAGCAGCCGCCAAAGATCACCTAGGCCAACCAAGATTCCGAAGTCTGAGGCGAGCAAACCAGATCTGCTTGCACTGGACGTCGACAAGACCTACGAGCCACCCGCGGAGCCAGCGATTAAACCAGGTAGGTTGCGCAAATCCAGGTTCACGATTGTCACTAACATACGTGCAGTTGCGTGCTTCTATGTACGGCAGAAAGATGATGGGAAAGACTACTATCGTGCAGTCTACCTCACGCAGCGGACCGTACACGATCTCGTAAACGGTATCTCGCAGAAATTCAACATTGACGCACATCGGGTAACATCCGTCATGCACGTCAATGCAAAAGGATTGCACATTATAGTGGACGAGGATGTGGTCCGAGAGCTTCCTGAAGGCCAGGACATGCTCGTGGAATTCGCGCCCGGCCAGACTGGGGCAACTGCTGTGAAGCAGGAATTCGCGTCCAATGCCGTTACTGAAGCAATGGTCGACGGCATAATCGATCCGGCGACGACTGCAGTATCCGATCCGTTGGAGATGTGGCTAAACTACTGACGCGGGCGACCTCTCGACCGCGATGTACTTTGTGTCTCCCCCGACCCTGAGACTGAAAACCCACACGGTTTTTCTTTTACGTTTGATGATACCCCAACAGCTACGAACAACGGCGACTGCCTCTCTTAACGAACACGAGCATATATACATATTCTTCACTGGGCGGCGCATGCGACTTTGGTTCATATTCACTTGAACACTCCTGCGGTCTATACGCAAGAGGACCGACCACCTTTCGATTCTTCGGCCCGGACTTTCAACCCCGAGAGGTATCCGCGCTTTTCTTTGTAACGAGTACACGACTATTCGATACCCGTGGTGGCCTGTGAGGATGGCCCATTTGTTCTGTTTTGGAGTGTCATAACTTATATGACAGCTGTATCGGATCAGGCTCGCGCCCGAAAAAACCAATCGATACAAGTCTACCATTTTTCTCTCTTCTCTGGGAGCTGTCCGCAGACTTGACCGCCAGTCAGTCTGCAGTGGACTTGCGACTTTATTACAAGAAACATCCTTGAAAGGATTGATGCGTTGTTAGAGCATTTGGGAGGGCATTGATGGCTCAATGGGTAATGCTGGTAGACGGATTGTTCTCTGCCGAGTTCAGGCGTCAAGCGCTCATCTGAAGGCAAGGGATGCTAGGCAAGAAAATTATTCTCGGCGCGCTCATGACGATGACAGCTCATCTGATGCAAAGTACTCATGGAGCTGTTTCCGTTTCAAGATAACTCCCATTTCTGTGAAGAATCGGCTGCTGCAGGAACGCAGGTCCAGCGCTGAGATTAGCAAGGCGGATGTGCGTTAGTTGCGCATCGCGTGGTTGCCAGTGAATACCATTCCTCCCTCATCGTGTTCTCGACGCCCATTCCTTGTTTCACCAGCTTCTGTCCCGTCGTTCGCTGTCAGTTCTGGATGGATCCTTGGAGTAGCATGTATAAGGCGGCTACAATGCCGCCGAATTCTAAGAGTCCTTTCCTCAGCCACAAGTGCCGTGCGTTTCATCGTGGCCCGGCGTCTAGACCAGACTAGTCCATTGCCCGGCGTGGGATCTTTCATTTAACAGCGACATCGCCGATCGATCGCATCGCCATCGCATGAAGACGCCATACCGCCATGTGCCTCCCACGGGTCAGAACGGGCAGCTGCCGGGGAGGTCATCAGGCACATTTCGAATCGGCCCCAGAAATGAAGCTCTTTCAGAAGCTCCAGTATTACGTGCCCAAGGTTTTTGGAGCACATTGTGACAATTTGCTGCATAGGATTAACGTTTATGCACAACTTGAAGCGTAGCTTGGGCAGCGCGACCCGACTTTTGCGTCAAGCTTTTTGAGCTCATGTGACTGAATCGTCGTATTCGTGCACTTCAAGTTCTCTTGGCCGTCCAGTCGCAGAATAATGATAGACGAACATTCATTTCAGAGCCGCGTCAGCGTTTACTTTCGATGTGAACTTTGTAGCTACTTCACAGACAGCACTGAACTCCAACGACTCTGCTACCTCCGCAAGGAAAGCCCCAATCAGTAATCACACCGCTCGCGCAATACGCGACTCGGAACTCTATGATCGACTAAGATGAGCATGTGTGGCGCAAAGAGAAACCCTATCTCGATGGTGCTCAAATTCAATACGAAAGCCATCTTTACACGACGCTCACCACCCTGTGTTGACTCTTATGTGATCGCACGCGTTCAATGACAAACATCAGCCGTGCTCTGATGACAGGCGATGAAGCAATTAAGAAGTTGCCACAGCTACGAACAAGAGCCGCTGTCTCAGGCGAAGGCTTTGTACAGCAAACCTGAAGGAATTAGACTGCCGAAAGCTTCACACCGTTACAACGGCTCAAATCAGCCGTCCGGCGTATGGGTACCAATTGGGCACCTTCACGAGTTTGATCATCAGCCGGTCGAATCGAACACCGAACACATCATAGGTACCGACGCGGGATGGGCTTGTGATTTCGCTGGTAACTTCAACGTTAGCCTCGTAAACCAGAGTCATGATGGCTACAGGAGTCGGTCCAGATCCTCGGGTCCTAAATTCTGCCGCACCGCCACATTTTTAGCCACATCTCTAGCCACATCTTCCTGAAAGCCACAGCACGTGGGTACATGTGGCTGTGTCTGTGGCTGAAAAGCTGGGGAGTAGTTTCTGTCACGCACGCTAGACCCCTCGAACGAACCTTGAATTCACCTGCACTGCAACCCGTTCGAGACCCGATATGCATGAAGCCAGCACTACTTCGTCTTAGGACAATTCTCGATGTCGCTAGCACGGCGCTGTTATCACGGCAGCCTAAAGGAACAACAGATCTAATGACCTTTACTTACCCCTCTCTAGCTACGATGCTGCATGCGGGAAGTGTCATACTACGCCAGAGATAGCCAGTGCTGTCCAACCAACCGCACGTCTTCTGCTGGCGGAACAATGTGACAGTCCGCGGCGTATCACAAACCCACTCGATCCCGATCGTGACAATATTCGACCTTGCACACGGCAAGCACCGACAGCGAAGTGTTGTCACGTCAGATGACGATCTTCACCGCTCTTGTGAGGATCTAGCGCCACGATGCTGTCGGTTCCTGAACTGCTATGCAGGGTCTTTGTGGCTGTGCAAAATCGCTTCGATGATTTATTCCGGCCCTTCGGATAGGTGCTACACTTATCCTCTCTTTGGACTGAAAGAGCAATCACAACGACGATCATAGGCAAGCGAGCACACACGAAGTGTTCACCCCTGAGCAGCTGAGTTCGCAGATTCTAGGCTTGTTCCCGTGTCTGTGCACTGTACCTAACCTATCCGAATGCTTGATCCTATCTCCCGCTACAGAGTCTCGATATTCGGTATCGATCTTCACTTTCCCCCTCTCCCGCATCACCTCTACACGCGTTCGCAGGACGCAGCACTAAGTGCGAGACACGCATGTACGACGGCGGGAGCTTGGCGCTCACAAGACGCAGGTTCGACGACTTCGTCTCGTCCTTGAGGCGTCAGCGAGCACCAGTACCAGGTAATCGCTACACTTGCTCGATGGACTCTTTCGCAGTATGAGTCAGAATCGGTGCAAGCCTGCCGCTGAGCCGCTAAACCACTGACTTCGCAATATCCCTCGCGCTACACTGATCAGACCGTCCAATGAAATGGTCAGGTTACCTGTTAGAGCATGTTGAATGGCGCTGAAGTACGGTAGGTACTTCACGGAGGGACTGCTTACTGCTGGACTTGCACCTGGTGCACCGCCTTATGCTTGAGAGGGTCATTTCTAGGCATCGAGATTGGTTCAACTTCGAGATTTTCCATTATCGACTGACAGCTCGAGAGACTGTTGCGGCTCTCTACGGCTCTGGTCACGATCGTGGAGCTGGCCAGGAGTCCGGTAGGCGAGTCATCTGTGTGTCAAGACTCTACGCGTCAATCACGCACGAGCGTCCGTTCCCAAATCGATGGCCTCTCGAAAATCATTCGATTCAGCCAGCCGGCAGGTACCTGCCTCGCTAAGTGACCATTCCGCGATCACGTAGGCCATGACAGAAGTTTCCAGCTATTCGAACCATGCTGCAGTATCGTTCGTGAGCTTCGTCAGCTAGATCAAGCACCGCACTTGCGGAGCTCTTACCGCTTCGGCCCTCGTTGCCGCTGGAAGAAGCCTCCCGGCCAAACGTCCAACCCGTCCTGCATCAATCGCCCTACGCTACTGCAGGACTGGTACCCAATGGGCTCACCAGGATGGCTTCTCTTGGCGGTCGCCTTCTTGTTGGCGTGGAGTGTCATTCCCAACTTCACGCAGATGCGAGGTCTCGATTCCGGTCACTGAAAAGATGAGGAGCCCGCTAGCTGTTCGTTTCGAAGTTTTGCAACGTGGCATTTCCCTAAAACTGGATAAAGGTCAGGTGTGGCGGTGTGGTCTCTTGCCAAAATTGCCGCAATTTGACGCACAAGAACCCGTTTTCTCTGAGATGCTTGCAGTGAGGGCTCAGCAGCATTCTTTGCCTTGTTCGTCTTGATCGATAATCTGCAGGACTCTCCGCGGCAGGTGCTGACAGCGGCATCTCGATGCATCGAGCAAAGGACTTATCCAAGTCATGCGAAGAAAGCGTTCCAAGGATTTTCACCACCGACGGATGGGCTTAAATTTGAGGAATCTTCATCAGCAACTAGTTGCGCATTTTTATCGTCCGCAGGCGCGGCTCAGGGCAAGTTCCCTAGGTCAATGCCCTGTCCGACGGCTGAGCGATGTGTTCTGAACACCCCGGGACCAAAAGCGAGGCTCTCAAGATGGTACACAGGGATATGCTTTGTTCGCCATCATTGGCTGCTCTGCACAGCGACGGCGGCTTCCATCGGGCGGCGTGCCTCAGTGAGGAGAAGTGGTTGCAGTTTCAAGGTGAAGGATCCAGGACCTGACGATCTCTGTGTCATCTCCATTCTCGAAGGAAGCAGTTCTACTATGCCTCCGCCACTGCCCATAAACAAGTTCAATAGACTCGATTCAGTACCCCCTGACATCAGTGCCCTCATGCACACGCAGCCTACCAGGGGCTACTTGTGTGTCCTTGCACACCCAGGGTTTGTGGACACTCTGTCTGCAGCATCAGTCGTTCAGGACTCAGGTGAACCTACCGAGAATTATATTTCTTCTACCAATTTTTCCAACGAGCATCATCTTTCATCGACACGTTCCATACACTCGACCGATCTACCGTTCAGAGGTGCTTCATTGTTATAGCTGTGCCACTGTGTCTGGCTAGCAGCAAGACTGTCCTACTTCCGCTGCCTCGACAAACTGCATAGCCTTAACTCAAACCGGTAGACACAGTTCGGACTCTTGTCATCCGGTTTGGAATGATGCCTCGTAACCGCCTCGTACCTTCCCCAAGTTTCAAGGTCGGCGGCTCTGACGTACACCATTTGGTTTAGTCAAGTATGCAACGACTGTCCTAAGGTCGAGCTGCTGAAGCTGCACCAAGTGGCGAACTGCTGCTTGTAGGCACCGTGGTAGCCTCGTCACGTCGCAACCGGGGAGGCTCCCATGCGTACTTGCCGTTTCCGAAATACGAGGACCATTACGGCAGGCACCCTCTGGTAATCCAGGGTCGATCATTCCGCGTCGTCTCTCAGGTTTGACTGCCTAGGTGCTCATGATCTCGCTCTACTTTTCGACCTCGCCTCTCATCACGGAGCTCTGTTTGAAACGCCAAGTTGGAGTTCGAATAGCGTCAGCTTCCTACCAGTACACGAGGCTCCTCCGAGGCTGCGATTTGAACCCGCCATTATTTGTTTTCTGCTGTCACGTTGAACGGTCGTAGCGCCACGCCAATTTCCTGTGCCTACCTTGGGAGGGTACACTGCTCACGGCATAAGTCAGATCAAATGTGTTCAAAGACAGCATCTTCATAAGATCAGTCTCTTACAATCTGATGGACCCGGACGAGAATGACCCGGAGTACGATGGTACCGACGACGATGCTTCCGGCATTGAAGGAGGAGACGATGATGACCAGATTGAGGAACGTCGCAAGACCTATTGAAGCCAATCACACTTATACCATCAGGCCGACAAATGGAGCACCACCTCAGCATTCTGCTTTGCAGATGCTACCTCTCTTCAGTCACAAGCACTCCTCTATAGCCATCTGATCATGGCTCTATCTCTCGACCACTAGCACCCATCGCACCCAGTGCATGTTGATGCTGTAAACGCAAAGCCGTCTTCCTTCGAAATGCGCATTCTCCATATCTCTCGTTTCCCTATCTTCGACAGGTGAGTCACACTTTGGTGCAAGTGGCACTCGAATTTGTTCATACCTGGATCTAGATGAATCTCATTTGCTGCGATGGCTGCTTGCTGGACCTCGATTACCGTACGTCGGTGTACAACTTCTCCCGAGACCGAGTCTTGTGTGTGCCAGAGCAGATTGAGCGCAGTCGGAAGCCGCTGAAACGCCATGCTGCGTTGATAGAACACAGTATAGCATGACAAGTCCAGAGGTGTGGTGCTCTGGAGCATCTTTGCGCTCGAGATGGCATCCACATCTCAGTAGTCGACGACGAGATGCGTATCAGCCGATGTGAGCGGCGGGTCTACGAACACTTTGTTCCATCCGAACCATAAGTGCTACAGCCTCGTTGAAGACGGTGAATGTTACGGCGCTAGAGATCTTGCAAACGTTTTGTCAGCATGAATGACATGAACACGTCCTGGAGGTCAGACTTACCGTCAAACGTGCCAGACGAGGGGTGGTTGCGCGCCAGAAGACCAGTGGTCCCTCAGTCCTGAGCATCTGACGGGCCATACCGATCATGCCGCCAGAGGCCGTCCGCGAGGACGCCTGGACTCTGGTCTTTATATTATCGAATGGCATAGAAGCGTAGCTTGGAAGACGTCAGCAAATGACACGATCCTGAAAAAGCCCTAAACTGGGCTCACAGACAAAGGGTGCGGGGGCAGACTGGATGAAGGTGCTGGGTGAGACACTTACGTCGTGACGACCCCGCTGGCTGCCCCAGCCGTTAACGTCCCTCCCACGCCAGCATGTGGCCATAGCGTATTGCATGTGTCCTTCAGCCAACCAAACGTGGCGAACCTCACGGCACTGTTTGTGCCTTGCTTGCAGAGAATCGGGACAAGACCGCTCCACAGCGCTTGAAAGCCTTCCACGCGGACGACGCTGACAGCAACCTGGGCAAGACCCTGTTGGTTGGAAGCTGTTCTGATACCTGACGTCGCTAGCGAAGAGCGCGCTTGTATGATCTTGGTCTTCAGGGCTTCTCCAGGCGTTACGACAAGTAACGACTCTGTCCCGCCAGCGATCAGGCCGGCGAGTACATTGGTGAGACTTGGATTTGAGGAGCCAAACCGCGTGGTACGCAGAAATGCCTGGGCCTTGGTGAATGAGAGGAAGCGGATGCCGCCTTTTGCAGCATTGCTGAGCACCAAGGCCGAGCAGCCTGAGTACAGCCCTCTAACGCCTGATGAGGAGATGGTCTCACGAAGCAATCGAAGTGATGAGGGCGACTGCAGTGAGTTTGCTGCCGTCGGTAGCTGTCGCCGGGTCTTCAGATACTCCAGTGGGTACTATGATGCGCGTTAGTACTCGTGCTGATTTGCATTGGAGGTAAGATTGCCCACTGACTGTGATCAACGTCTCACTCGCTCCAGCAGCAGCTCCTGCGAGCATGCTTACCGGTACGCTGGGTGTGCGGTCCATTATCGCTAATCAGTGTGTTGCGTGTGCGACCAGATGTTACGAGAGCAAGTGACGGTATCAGGCGCTCTGAGAGCTCCTGCCAGTGACTGACCAGCTCCTCCATTTCACGAGATTGCACAGGTCCATATGTTTGTTCAGTTGAACGGCGTGCTACTCGCGTCGCATTTGGAATCGCGCACGCATTTCTGACCGGAACTTGTCGTTGAGGCGGACCATGCCCGAGGAGCGTATCTGCGACGGCATGGCGCGCACCGTGTTGTGCATGTTTCCTGATATCAGACGCCGGTCGGGGCGGCGTTGATCCTGGTCGGGCCTTCACGGTGTGGAAGATGGCCGAGCGAGGTCCACTCCTGCCCACCCGTGGGGCGATCAAATGCACGAGCGGGCTTGACTCTCAGGCTCCGCCCCCTTTCCTCTTCCAGGGAAGTCTGGCCTGGTCTTGCAAAACTCGAAGCGGTCATGAGTAACGCAAGGTGTTCTGCGCAGTACATTGAGGATTCAGGCACCTTCAGAAGTCTCACTTGCGGCTCGTGCTGTTTGACAGACACTGGGAGCAGACTGAACAACTGAACACTGAACGACGTCATTTGCGAGTGGCCACTAGGCACAGCATCGACCGTGACCGTCTCGAGTGACGCCAACCATTATTAAATGAGCTGGTAGTGCTACATGTATAACCTTCCGTTCACGATTGCATTCACTCTGCCTCAACCGGTGATTCAGTCGAATTCCTCAGGAGGCAAGTTAGGTATTACTATTCCGCCCACGGCATGAACACTCGGACGACCGCCTGCAGTGGCCATACTGGTTGGCATGACGTTGCCATCACTCACTGGATGTGGCCACGTGTGCCATCCAGCTCGATCCTCCCCAGGCAATGCAATCAATCCTGGGGTAAGTTCAAGCCACTGGACATCTTGCACGACATGCTGCGCTGTTGTCGACATATCTGCGAATGACGCCGTATCTGTGTGGTCATCATCCAGTTGCGCAGTCAGCAATGCCGCTGTCAAGGTAGCATCCTGTGGGCCCCTTGAAGATCGCGAAGCAGTGAGATGTGGACGCTTTGCAAGCTCCTCGTAGATTAGACGGAGCCCGTTTGCCACGACTGTCGCAAGGATTAGCATGTGGAAGGTCTCCCAGAAGTGAGACAATCTTACTGGGACTCGAATCTTGCATAATCTCTAGCACCTCGATACAGTACTCCAAGCGTTCCGACGAGGGTGACGCTACATCTGAGCTGGCTTCTCTCTCGTGTAGAAAGACCGATACGGCTGTGTAGATTGAGTAGCCCAGCGACAGTATGACAAAGCCAAGTCCGAAGGTTCGGCGGAACAGGTCGAAGATGGTGACTATCTCGTTAGCGGAGGACAAACATTCTGCAGCTTGTGCTTTTCGGTCATAGGGCAAATCTGTGTTCTTCGAAGTGTGAGAAGACAGCATCGTGCGGTGGACCAGGATGTTGACAGTGTGGTATAAGCAGCTGAGAAAATTAGTGATTTTCGAGAGCATAGCCTGACGCCAACCTACTTGAGTAGAACAACGTGACAAGGAGGACATTGAACCGGTGGACTAGTCGTTGAGATCTTCAGAAAGGAAGGAACGTCCTGCCACCAGTTGCGGAGCCTTGAAGCGACTTCAGCCGTCGATGATGGTGCTTGTGTTCGTGAATTTTGTGGCTCGGGGCTGTACAAGTGGCGGAGCAGCTGGTCAAGAATATCTGCCAGACGACACATGTAGGTGAAGCACGAGATCGAGTAAGCCTGCTGGGGTGGATAGTCAAGTGCTGGCGCTTCCTCGCTGCCATACGGTACCCAGAGGTCGAACCTATTGCACCCATCAGAATGAACATGTAGTGAGAAGAACCAGAGTTGGGGGCTCGGTCTCTTCCCAGATTCAGATTCGTGGGTACACATACTCTGCAGAGTCATCCACTACGTATAGGTTCAGCACCGAAAGTATCTTGGGCGGGCTCTGACTTACTTATTACCTGCGGCGGGCTCATGGATGTGTTCCGTAGCATGGGTGTCCGGCCAAAGTACAAGCAAATGATCTTCTCCCACACGAAAGTGCTCCAATAGATTCTACTGCGAATCTCGATGTCTTCGTCGTTGAGCTGGGCTGAGCCAGGGTACTTTCTACCGTCGATGTTTAGTCCCATGTCTTCAACGAGCCGTATTGCCATTCCACAAAACATCCATGCTTGACTTCGATGACCACGACCACACTCTTGTGCACTCAGTAACAACAATGTTTGAATTGTTGTGATTGTACACTGTCCGTTCTGTATGTTACTGAGTGTATCACTTATCGCCCACTTGAAGAAGTCCCGGCCGCCGTCGAAAGGCTCGAGATACGGTGCCACACTAACATCGTTTCGTGCCCATCTGAGCGAGTGAGACATCATCGCGTACATTAGGGCGGATGAATAGTATTGTCCGTGGATTTTCATGTCTCCTGGGCGGTCTTAGCTTGATAAAGTTCGTGGATGTGCTGACACTCACGCGTGAAGGCCGGACGGTACACGAAGTTAAATACAGGTTGGATCCAGCACCAGTGTAGTTGCATTAGGTGTTTCAATGGATACTAGACTGATTTTAGTGAGCATCAAACAGAGTGGAAAGTCCATACGGGTAGCCTGCTGTTCTCTTCCTGGGACCGCTCAATCCACGCACTGGTGGTCAATTTGACTTGGCCATCGGACATAGTAGCGTGCTCAATCTGGCGCGTTGCGTCTGCCTCATCGTCTCTTGAGAGCTTGAAGAAGCTACCCGGCCCGTGGACCGTTGTAGACCCATCTTCCCTCAATTGAAGTCCCTGAAAATGGGCTGCGATGTCGAAGCTTGCTGTTGCATCACCGGCGTCGTTCAAGGAGCCTGAAGCTACCTCTCCAAACGTAGAGAGCTCGGGTGTGTTCTCTACGTTGCTGCCGGCTGCGTGATTCTGGTACAGCGAGAGTGCAGCCTCGAGCTTAGCAACCTTGTCTTCGAGCAAGGCAGTGTAAGAAAGGGTGGGAGGCCTCTATTGTCAACATGAGCCTGTGACAAGCATGAGGACTTACAAGACATATTCACATGTGTTGCCCAGAAGGACGCAGCGAGAGCAGCTTGGCTTGGCACCATCGCATCTGATCTGACCTGCGGCGTAAGCACCTGCTCAGCTGAATGCAGAAGGTTAAGGGGGGGAGTACCTTCCGTCTCCGGCACGCTTTACACGTGAAGGCGCTGTTTTTGAGCCTCGTCCTTGCCTTTTTCGCGGTTCTGGAGTCATGTGATCTCAATTTGGGAGGCCTCCGAGTCTCTGGTCGGCCAGGTCGTCATCTGCCAAACGCCAACTCAGTCATTAGTGGCACAGACCCCCGACAGACAGCTGGGAGCTTTTATTGGTACTCCGCAGCACAACCCGATCGTTCGGGGGTTTTCGCAATGGCGAATGAGTATTCTCTGTCGGCGTACAGGCCGTCCATCGCGTGGCAAACCGCGAGACGTATGCCCGCTACGGTGAAGGTCATATCTCGGTTTCAACGGCGACATGCCGGGGTGAGACAGAGATTCTCCGTGGGTTGAACCGGGGCTAGGCGCTACAGGCGTGTGGGGAGGGAATTTGAGTGCCCTCCCCTCCACTGGCAGTGGGCTGGGCTGGGCAAGCAGCGAGACAAAGGCTCCACAGCGGTCAACTTCCATTCCAAAAGTACCCACAAGATCGGTGCTGCGACCCGCTCTATCCTTCCCACCAGTTCTCACCTCAATATGACTGGGCAGCCAAGGCCGAACAAGGCAATACCAAGACGGCTGTGCACATTGGAAGAGAATGCTTCGGACGCTTCGTCTAGGCCAAGCAGGCTTAAACCCACTTACACACTTCTCGCATCGCTGGTGTTGCAACAACGTCCACGACATGAGGAGCTATAAAGACTGGGTCTGGGGACCCCCTTCCCCGTGGGAGAGGCACCTACAACAACGACCTACAACGACACAAAGCACTCCCAGAACAACCCAGAGCATCACAACATGGGTGTCTTCAACCGCAAAGCAGAACTAGCAGACACGCCCAGCGAGGTTCTGAACTGGCGTCTATACTGGTCCACTTTCGTTTTCGGTATCCTTGGCGCGAGCCGTGGACTCGATGAGGGCCTCGTTGGGGGCATGGTCGGTATGAAGAGCTTCAAGCACGAGTTTCCCGCCATGGAACAAGGCAGTGAGGACGCGCAGGCCAACCGAGAATCCAACGTGACAAGCATGGTCCAACTAGGATCCATAGCTGGCGCCCTCCTGGCCTTTCTACTCTGCGACAAGATCGGCCGCGTGCGATCGCTGCAGGCCTTGTGTGTGTTGTGGCTCACAGGCTTTATTATCGTGGTCACCAGTTACGGCAACCTTGGTCAAATCCTAGCTGGTCGCTTCATAGCCGGGCTCGGTGTCGGAATGACCACCGTCGTTGGCCCAACTTACCTTGTCGAGGTGGCCCCCAGGGCCATCAGAGGCATGTTGACGAACATCTTTGCCGGTTCAGTCTATTTGGGAGTTATGGTCGCCTATTTCAGCAACTGGGGCGCATCTATCAACCTTCCTAGCTCTTCGAGGCTACAATGGGTTGCGCCCCAGACAGCCCATATTGGATTCGCCGGACTGCTTCTAATCCTTAGCTTTACCGTCAATGAAACGCCAAGGTTCCTGATAATGAGCGGACAGCATGAAAAGGCCATCAAGAACCTCTGTCTACTCCGACAGCTGCCCGAAGACCATCCATTCGTTTCTAGCGAAATCTTGGATGTCAAAGAGCAACTTGAAAGAGAGAAAGAAGCGACCATGGGGACCACCCGGTGGGGTAAGCTTCGTGAATTGGTCATGATTCCTTCCAACCGCTACCGCTTCATGCTCGGTATCATGTCACAACTGCTTGGTCAGTGGTCAGGCGCAAGTGCAATCACCATCTACGCCGCTCAATTCTTCGCGACACTCGGCAAAACCGGTCAGTCGGAGAAGCTCTTCGCCACCTGCATTCTCGGCGTGGTCAAACTTTGCTCGGCTTACCTGTGCGCTTTCTTCCTCATTGATTTCTTCGGCCGTCGACGATCGCTGTACATGGGCATCACACTCCAGTTCTTAGCCATCCTCTACATCGCCATCTACCTAACAGTGGTCCCGCCTTCAACGCTCGAAAGTCTTGAGCTTTCGCCTTCCCAGAAGCATGCTGCTACGGCTGCTATTGCTTCTATCTACCTATCTGGTTTTGGATGGGTGAGTCCCCCCCGAGCCCCATATCAATTGAGTTCTCGGTGTACTAAATGTGTTATCTTAGGCTATGGGTTGGAACTCCTTCCAATACCTCGTCAATGCTGAAGTCTACCCGGTCCGGCTACGCGCTCTTGGTTCCTCAATCGTCATGTGCTTCCACTTTGTCAACCAATTCGGCAACACCAAGGCAGTTCCGACAATGCTCCTGAAGATGGGCACCTCCGGCTTCTTCTTCTTCTGCTCGGTGATCTGCATCCTCGGATTGGCCTGGGTCTGGTTTTTCGTGCCCGAGACGCGCGGACGATCGTTGGAGAGCATGGACACGCTCTTCAGCCTTCCATGGCATCAAATTGGCCGCAACGGAAGGAAGCTCACTGAGCATTGCGGCGCGCACGCGGACGAGGAGGTTGGCGGCCAGGACACCGAGAAAGAAGCAAAAGTGCAGCTGGAGACAGTTCAGGCACGGTAAAACATGGAGCCAAATATGCGTGGGACTGTTGTCGCTCTGGACCGCACTGCTCTGCGTCTGTCCCGTCTGGCGTCAGGGCGGCTCGTGGCAGGTGGAACAGCTCGGAAATACGCATCGATTAGTTCCTTTCAACAGAACATTTAGAGTGAACATAGATAGATGCGTATGACATAGTTCGAAGATTGTGATTCGGTCTGTCATAATGCTGAACGTCTCGCTGAGGGAGCGGTCACCAATGGGCTATATTTCGGGAGCATTGCCTAGAAAGTCTGTGGAAGCCAAGTACCACGCAGCCCCCGCTCTTTTTCCAGGCAAGCCCGCCGAGGGGCAATCGGTTCCTGGCCCATGCCGACGAAGTAATACCCCATCGAGAAGGTGAGTTGAACCAAAAGTGATATGAAATATCTTTGACGATAGCCCAAGAGAGTCGCTACAAAGTCGTAAGTACACAACTTCCTTTTGCTTCTGAACGCTGTAGCTCTAGTACTGCAAGCACGAGTCCTAGGCCAAGCAGAATCACCCCAGAGGCATCATGGGGTCAGAGTGGCAGTCAGTCCACTACACGCAAAGCATACCTGACATCACCAAACCGTTCGACATAAGATGTCCCCCTGGAACGGATGTATGGGAGAAGCCACCGTCCACGCATTCGTTCAATGCTCCGATCATATACAAGACCACGACCGTTGGTGCCTTCAAAAAGGCTCGGGTCACAGTGTCGGCCAATTGGAGGGATCGGTACGACCAAGGAGGACTCGCTCTTGTGGTCAACTTGGATGCCGGTCGTCAATGGATCAAGAGTGGAATCGAGTACGAGAACGATGAGTGCAATGTGGCTACCGTAGCTACTTCAAAATGGAGTGATTGGAGTCTGATGCCAGTTAAGGATCAGGCGAAAGCCACTTTAGAGCTGGAGCGGATAAGTGACGGATCGCTCTGGGTCTGGCTCGTTGGCAACGGGGGCAAGAGATCTGGGCTGCGAGAGGTGACCTGGTGGTCGACTCTTCCTGAGGACGCTGAGCTTTGGGTCGGGGTAATGGCAGCCAAGGTAAGTGTTACGACCGGCTTCCAATGTAAGTCGAAGTTGACATGATGCAGCCTGCACCGAACGGCGAGAAGGAGGACTTAGTGGTTCACTTCGAAGATCTGAGTATCGACCTGGCTTGAGATTGATAGCTGCGACGGTTTTGGGCGAGGACTACACCAAGAGCGTCTCGAAGCGCTGCGATCGGAGCAACAAGCGAGAAGACAAAGATTCGTCTACAGTGTGAATCAAGGATCTAGCATACAATCCAGCCCGTGCTCGAATGAAGCCTGTAGAGTTGAATGGTATGGTTTGTCCCTGAATGGAGGCGCTCATTTGATGCCAATGTGTTGTAAGAATCTCCGTAGCAAATCGCGTCAAAGTGGACGCGATTGAACGCGATCGACCGAGTCCGCGAAGCTCCACACTTGAACTTGCAATTGCGGTGCGCAAGACGTCGCTCGTCACAGTGAAGAAGGCACACATTCGCGCCTGCCGTTGCCTTCGCTGTCGCGCCCAGTGAATGCGCACCTTCCTCGCCGACATGCGCTCTCTACCGACTTAGCTTGTACCACAACTTTTACACGCCATGGCAAAGGGTTTGCGAGCGAAGCCCGCCCGCCAAAGCCAGGACGCATCAACCGAAAAAGCCTACGACATTCCTGGTCTTGACTTCGAGCAGCCTTTGACTTGGAGGCCAGGCAAGGCTATCCCTATCGCTGACCTGCTTGACCGGCTGAAGGACTTGCGCGAGAAGTTGGCAGCATTTGACGACGACCAGCCTGACTCGCGACTGTGGACCGGGCTAGCCGGCGATCTTGTCAATGCCAACCTGCTCGGTCATAAGGACAGAGGCATTCGAGCATATGCTGTGACATGCATTTTGGACGTGCTGAAGATATGCGCTCCAGATGCTCCCTTTCAGAACCATCAGCTCAAGGTCTGACTTTCATGCTGAGGTTTCAGGCGCAGTGCTAACGTGTTGTAGGACATTTTCAATGTTGTCATCAACTACATCTTACCGGCGCTGTCTGACCCGACGAATGCATACAATTCTCAGCATGTCTATGTGCTTCAGTCGCTGTCCGAGTCTCAGAGCATCCTGCTGCTCGCAGATGTGGACAACCCGGAATCACTGACCTCCGCCCTGTTCACAAATTCTTTCGATATATTTGCGGAGCCGTCCTCTGGCCGCGATGTCGAGATCTCAAAGACTGTGGAATACCACCTGAAGAACCTGCTAGGCTTGGTGATAGATGAAATTGATGTTCCTCACGAGGTCACCGACATCATCATTTCTCAATTCATGAGGGTTGCTGCCCGAAAGCAACCAGAGTCAGCCGTGAAGAGCAGGAAGAGCGAAGTGAACGATATGAGCCAAAGCAAGCTTCAGCTCAAAGAATACCCAGTTGCGTACAACATTGCCAAATCGATCTGTACGACCTGCCTGGATAAGATGACGGCTCAAATCACTCACTATTTCAACGCTGTGATCGTCGATGCAGGAACTGCCACAAACAACAGCGACCCTTCGAAGGTCAAGCGTCTTTATGGCAACGATGCTGGTGACGAGGACGATGGTCTGGCCGATCTACGCAAAGCTCATCGATTGCTGCGAGAATTATGGAGAGCATGTCCAGATGTCATCGCAAATGTGATTCCGCAAGTCGAAGCAGAGCTTCAGGCTGACTCAGTTGCTTTACGGCGACTCGCGACCGAGACTCTGGGCGACATCGCCGCCGGCATTGGTATTGCAGGGTTCGTCCTGAGTGCCAGCATTGATCCCGCCGCATACCCGCAAATCTCAATTGATCAGGCAGAGCCTGCTTCAACACAGCTGAACCCTCTCCTGACCCCAGCATCTCCCAAGCCCTTCGCCGCGGTGCACCGGATTCCGTACCAGAATTTCATGGGCCGCCGCAACGATAGGTCGCCCATCGTTCGAGAAGCATGGGTCGAAGCTGCCTCACGTGTACTGTCTACCCGAGCCGGCGGCATCGGTCTTGGTGATGATGAGCAGGCTGAACTTCTGGCGGGGTATGCTCAGGCTCTACGTGATCCGGATGAGCATGTTAGATTGGCAGCGATCAGAGCCTTATCGAAGTTCAGCTATCACGGCGCCATCACGATTCTGGCTGCTGATGGTGGTCTAGCAAAATCGTCTTCCGTATTTTCTGCTCTCGCCGAGCGGATTCCTGATCGCAAAATCGGCGTTCGTGAGGAGCTATAACGCTGGTGTCAAAGATATGGGGCGCGGCCTCCTATGACATCCAGAGAGGCAACGAGGCCGTACAAATTGCGGCAGGGGATTTTGCGAGCCGAATCTTCAACGCATACTACATCAAGGACGAGCACTTGCATGCACAGCTTGAGAGGGTGCTCTTCGAAGCCCTCGTCCCGCTAAACTTCCCTTCAAGCAAGGGAAGCCAAACCGGCAAGCGCAAATCGAAAGCCAATGAGACCAATACACTTGACGGGCCTGATGAGGTCAGGGCTCTACGCATCCTGACGCTTGTCAGAAGCCTCGACGAGCGCTCGCGACGAGTGCTGCTAGGCATGCAAGGGCGTCAGTCTCAGATCAGCAGAGGTGTCAGGGTCTTTCTTGAGGCTTGTGAGTCCTACAACGGAGGCGTTGTCCAAGACGAAGACGGCGAGGCCAAGATCCGTGCGAAGCTTTCTGCTTGTATCGACAGCTTGTGCAAGCCCTTCTATGACGCTCCAAGAACCTCCGCCGACTTGTGGAAGTTTGCCAAGCAGCACGATCGACGCAACTATCAGCTCATTAAATTCGCCGTATCGCCAGAACACGACTACAAGACCATGTCAAACGGTGTGAAAGAGCTGTTCAAGCGCATACGCGAAGGTTCTACTTCAACACAATCGATAGTGCCGTCACTGCAAGAACTCATCTTTCGAAGTGCGGTTATGATGTATAACCGCAGCCACGTTCCTGCCATTATGGACGTTGCGCGAACAGATCAGTTCGGCTTGGGCGCAACAGCTCACGAAGTGCTTCGTGAGATCTCCTCCAAGACTCCTGAGGTCCTCAAATCCCACGTCACTGCCCTTTGTGCAGAGCTGGAGCAGACAGCTCCGTCAGCCACCAACTTCGAGGAATCGAGTGCAGCCGATACACTCAAGGCTTGTTCGCAATATGCCCGCAAGTATCCCCAAGAAGTCTCTAAAGATCGCAAATTTCTCACAGCCTTGTCAAACTTTGCCTTATACTCGCAGTCACCTCGAGCCGCCAAACATGCTGTTACGATTTTGTTGACGGTCAGCGATCGCAAAGAAATGCATGCGAGAGACATCTTGACCAAAATTCTGAAAGATTGTCGGCCTGGTTCGCCGAACTTCCTGAGTCGGCTCGCCGCCATTGGACAGATCTGCAGATACGCTCCTGACATCGCGAATGCGGAAGCTGATGCAATCGGCCATCTTGTCCTTGCAGACATCCTGAGCAAGAACCGGAAGTCTTCCAAATCTGATGCCGCGGGTGAATGGACGGACCATCCTGATGAGGAGACGCAGGCTAAGGAGATATCCCTCAAGATCCTTGTCAATCAGTGCAGAGGCGAAGGGATCGAAGCCAGTGAAGACTTCGTGGCAGTCGCAGAGACAAACTACAAAACTCTCTTCGAGCTCATCGAGAATGATGGAGAGATATCCACCGCCAAAGATACTCCGCCCGGACAACGCAACCGGTTACGGCTCGCTGCCGCCAGAATGATTTTGAAGCTGTGCACCTCAAATCGACAATTTGAAGCGCTGACCACGCCAACCCGGTTTCATGCCCTAGCTTGGATTGTCATCCATCCTCCCAACGATGTTCGCACCAGCTTCGTGTCACAAGTCCGGAAATATTACGCCCAGAATAGACTATCTACCAGATGGTTGACGATCATGTTCCTTCTAGCATTTGAGCCTGACGACGAGCTACGGTCTTCTGCTCTCAACTTCCTCAAATCTCGTACTCAAGCTTTTGAGCGAAAGCAGCAGGATAACAAATCTGGCAGCGATGCAACGTGATGGAAATGACTTCCGCCCGCCTCCTGAGCTTGATGGCGTATCATCCTGACTATCCTCCAGCGGACGACGGGTTTGATGTCGAGCTTCTTGAGTACTCGAAGTACATTGTCTTCTATCTCGTTGCAGTCGCTAACGAGAACAACATCTCCCTGATATTCCACATCGCCCAACGTGTCAAACAGATGCGAGACAACGTCGAGGCCGACGACGAGCACAGCCAGCGGCTGTATGTGCTCAGCGACCTTGCACAAGCCGTCATTAGAAATTTCGCTGATACCATGCCGCATGCGAAAGGCGCAAATGTGTTGCAGACTTGGCCGGGCAAAGTCAACCTCCATAAGTCGCTCTTCCGGCCAATGTCCAGCCATGCTGAGGCGCAAAAGGTTGCAGAGAAAAACTATCTGCCGGAAGATACTGCGCTTGGCCTGGAGAAGTTCGTCAAAGACACCATGAAGCAACTGAAAGGCGTCAAAGCCGTGCGGCGTCCCTCGCAACTACCAACGGCGGCTCAGAAACGCAAGAGCGTCTCTGTTGAGCCTGACGATGACGACGACAAGCCGAGAAAGAAGAAGAAGAGCAGTCTGCCTATCAGAAAGACGCCAAAGGCCAAGACCCAGAAGACCAAGGTCAATGATGCTACAACCGAGTCTCATGAGCCCTCAAGAAAGAGCGCTCGAGCGTCCAACGCGATCAGCTATGCCGAAGGTAGCAGTGATGAGGAGGAGGACGACGATGATCAAGTTATGGAAGATGTACAAGCGACTAGCACTCCGGCGCAGCCAAGCGCATGGGACGGCACCAACTGTCTAGTCCCGCCATCATCGAGGTTGGGACAAAGCGGGCAAAAGACAATGGCGGTGATACAGATATGCAGGAGAACGGCAATGGCATCGACATCCACGAAGATGATAGCGACCAAGACGTGGGCGATGACGATAGAGCAGTAACACCATCACCGAGTCCATTGAAGGAGCGTGAGAATACGCCTGGTCCGACCTCGCCGGCTAAGAAGAAGGGCAAGCAGAATGGGGCCAGCAAGAAGACCGCCACAGCAGCTGAGAAGAAGCAGACTTCGGCAAAAGCAACACCCGTCTCGTCGAAGCGGAAGTCCACCGCTGAAGCAACGTCGGCTACGAAATCTGCTTCGGTCAAGAAAGCTAAGTCAGCAAAAGCTGTGGGTACTGGTGAAGACGAAGCGCCGGTGGAGGAGAACACGCGGAGCACGCGCGCTACGAGGCGGAGTCGCGGATGAACGACTAGCAGCGCAGAGGATCTATGTGACGCCGAAGGCTCTCAACAGTGAGCACGGCGGACGCCCACGATGAGCGTGCTCGAGCTCGCCTGGATACAGATGATGTGGTGGATGCAAGCCGGGTGTACTCTGCCCGGCAGCATGTATGGCCTCGACGATGTAACAACTAGTCTAATTCGACAGATGAGCGATCCATGGCTCAAGCCATAGCTACATGTAGCTATCGTCGACGATAAGACACCGAAATTCTACACAAACAATCTGAGTTATGGGACAGACAGTGATCGACCAGAACTCCCTGATGAAGCAAATCGAAGTATAAGTGCTTTGCACCAAACACACTGGCCTGGACCCAAGCAACTCTTATGTACAATGTACCGAAAATGTGGGCCAGGAGGCCTGATGGTATCAGGAGATATGTTGTACAATGATATGTAAGTCGCGTCTCATTCGTGTAGTCGGCCGCGCCGTTCGTATTGTCGTTATTCATGAATGTCGTGGCTGCATTCAGTTACTCGTGAGGTTGATGAAGTCAGAAGAGCGATACTTGGCAGCTTTGTTCTCTGTTGGAGAAAAAGGAGATGGCTTTGTCATATTTGGCAAATGAGGGCTGAAAGGTACGCGTAGAAGGGGTAACGATCTTCGTGGGTTTCCTTCAGCTTGACGGATCATTGAGCTGTTGGGGCTACTAGCACCACATCCTCCCCAGGATCAGACCATTGTCCACAGCGGTCGCGGCAGCTCAATCTCTCTCTGACCCTCAACCTGAACCCCTCGCCCCATAAAGCCCTTGGCTCGCTCATCGATGCCGACATATGCCTCTCGCATGTTCGGCATTCCCTGTGCTTCGCGCGTGACACTCCATGTGCGCAGGCCATAGTATGACCCAACACAGTGGACAAGCCAACGTGCGAAGCTGGCTCCACGGTCGTCCTCAAGGGCATCAAAGACCATCTTTGAGTCGGAGATGGTGGCGTTGTCTTCGGTCATTTCGACGTCTTGCAACGCCGTCGGTGGGGGCTCCATCGAGATATCGCCATCCGTCGTGGTCGCAGAGCTGCCATCCCCGACAACGACGCCCTTACGTCCCACGAACACGATCTCTTCGTCTTCTTCATCCGTCTCGTCCAACACAACTGCGCCACTGTCTGCGCTCTCCGTTGTCTCCGCACGAGGCCTGTACACGAGGTTCTTGTGCTGAGTCGGCCCGCTGATTCCACGGCCCTGTAACTCAGCCTCATTCCAGCCCTTGACCCAACCTCTGACCTCCTCTTCCAGATCTTGCAGGAGACCTTTGGCAGCCCGGCTCTTCTTTAGCCTCGCTTTAACTTCCTTCGGGATATTGCTAGCAGCCTCCTCGATAGGGCTCATCCCGGGGAACTTCAATGAGCCATGCTTTCTTGCGCGCTTCCGAGCCGTGGAGCCGCGTCGACTGCTCCCAGTGAGCTTCGCTTCGATCGCGCGTTGGAACTCGGCGGCATCCCTATTGCACTTGTCAGACAGAGCATGTTTCGGGAGGAACCTGAAGCGGGAAGATCGTGTCTCGCCCGATCCCGGTTCATAGGCATACGTACCAAAGGGGTGCTAGGTAGTAGGGCACGCTGCGGCGTGGGTAGGTTGGCGGACTTCCCAGTCGGAGGGTAGAGGAGGCTCCACCCAGGGGTTGGAGAGCAGGCGGTCTGCGCGTGTGGCTCATGTCAGTCACACCATTTGACACAGGGTGTGAGATGTATGTATTCAGGTGCACCAGCGTGTGGCATAGGAGAAACGCGTGGCTCGTGGATGAAGCTTACCATTCTCCCATCGCCTGCGCTGTCGACTGCCTTCCTTGCCCTTCAAGAATGCTTCTCGTCTATCGAGGCTATCCCGGCGGACGAGCCTGCGCGCAGGAGGCGACGTGGCGACGGCCGCAGTGCTCGGGGCCGACGCTGCAGCAGTGCTCACTGTCCGAACTGGCAGGGAGGTTGCGGCGATAGTCACGCGTGCTGCCGTCGGCGATGCAGGAGTGGGCAGAGCTGTCGACATCGTATTTACGTTCTCCATGATTGATTGCTAACTGCCGGGAGTCTTCGTCTATAGTCGATAAGTAGATCCGGAATATGGTCCGAAGTTGTTGGGGAATGATAAGCACGAAAGGAGTTCTTGAGGCTTAGCAGGGTGCAGCTCTGTTTGCTGGATACCATGGTAGAGGCGAATGAACGAGGAGTGTGCAAACGACGTCTAGATGTTGCTGTCGTTGAGTGTCGATGAGTCCCACGATCTCGGATGTTCGATTCATTGACTCAACCACGAGGGCCGCCGGAGGCGCTGATTGGCTGTGCGAGTGCCAAGACACAGGATGGAGACCGGAATGCAGGGACCAGCCTTCCGCTATCGCGGCGGAGGAATCTGTGAACACGGCATATTTACGGTATGACTCCTTCGAAGTCATTGTAGTCAGGCGCAGACGAGGACTCATGTGCACGGCAAGAGGACTGGCGTGGTCTGCTCACCGACACTACGCCACTGTGGACTGGACTAATGACCACTGGATTATTCGCTGCTTTGTCTGCCATAGCGCGACTGCTACGGCGGAGGCTAGCAAGCAGGATTCGCTACAATTCGGACAGCATGGTGGCTCCTACTGTGTCGATCTGAACTGCTCGTGTACCGATGGGATTGCCTACAGCTCTGCATGAGGATCTGGTTGCCGGTATCTGCTTTGAGCAGGTGTCCTTCCCGACCAGGTAATCCGACGAGTTCTATCTGTTAAATGAGTCTGGAAGGCCGAATTGTTTCGGGCAGGTCTCCTTCTCTTTCAGGAAATGCGTTGACTTCTATCTGTCATAGCAACCTTGGAAGGTCGAATCGCTTTGGGAAGGCGTCCTTCCCTACTGGGAAATACATCAGGTTCTATCTGTTAACCCTACCATCCTACCATTCGACCTTCCATGTCGTCCTCCGAGTGGTTCGAAACTACTTGACAATTTTAGCTATTTCGACATTTTTGAGCCGATTCGGCCTCGAATACGGTTCATGAGGCCCCTCCACTTAAGCAGCGCTCAGTGGGCCTCGCTCACGAGCATTGTGCTTCACGGCAGCTTGTCGGAGGTCATGATATTGGACTCGAACCAAAGACAAGCCGCTAATGGGCTGCTGTGATAAGAATGTCGCGGATCTCGCGTTGTCGAAGCGCTGCTGCGACTGTGGCTGTAAATGCAGAAAGATCTACGGATGGGCAGACAGGACCGTACTCGTCAATCTCCCAGGTCTACGATTTGACCTCGCTGCTCTCGGTGAATGCTAATCGCTTGTTACAGCCAACACTTCACTACTGAGAGTCAATGGCAGACTGCACCAGCACTGATCACGATAGAATATTTCGAGCTCTATATATACCGGACTCATGTTGGCTTTGACACCGAAGTTTCCATACGAATATCTGCCTCTGATATAACATAACCGACCTTCCTCCCGGGCCAGACTAGACCAGCCGACCTTCCAAGCATTCGACCTTTCTGCCCGCCCGACGAGTCGCTGCTACGTCTAGTGGATCCCTGAAAGCTGAAAGGTTGGTTCATGCAGAAAAGACGCAGCATGTCGCAAACGAACGACTTGTTCGGTCACAGCGGTAGGACTCGAGAGGCTCACGTGTTTGCTCCTGATGTCGGGCAACTGGATACTTCTGTCATTGGTACTCCCGGCAATCCACCCACCAGATTGATCGCGTCCAGTGCCAGGCTAGTCACGAATCCACTCAATCCTCTCCTCGCTGCACATTCCGCTCAGTCCCCACTACCCCCGCAACAATACGTGTCAACTCAGAGCGCCCAGTCCCACACCACGCAACCTCAGAATCAGCAAGGCCAGAAAGCACCACCTCAGTACCATCATTCCCACACTGCGCCATCGCAATATCAGCAGGCTCAGAACGTATCACCTCACAAATCGGAGATGAATGGTCGTCCAGCTCGGCACACGCAGGATCCGACCAGATCAGCTCAAACCCCGCCATTCCCTACCACAACACAGGCTCAAGGTCAAGGCCAAACATCATATGGTCCAATCAGATCCAATTCAAGCCATCTCCCCGCAGCTGGCGCCAACAACTGGGCTGCCCCGCAACCCTATACCGGCTACGCCCCTGAGTCTGTCAAGACGCCGAACATGAATGTTGGTACAGGCCAGTCGTCCGGAGGATCAATCTTCAACGGCTTGTCCAATACTGCCGATCGTCCGACAATCTCGTCGCCGTACGCCAGAAATGGCTCTGCTCCCCCTAGCAATTCGCAGGCTCACCTTCAGGCGCAGTTTCAAGAGCAAGGGACCGGCGACTCCTCCCCTGGTTACTCCCGCCTTCCGAACGATTCAGAAGATCAGTCTGGAGTTGCTGCCGGCAGTCACATTGGTGGCACACCCTTAGGATCGATGCACGTGTACATGACTGATGACGGGGTTAAGTGCACTTTTGGACACAGTTCAACGAATGTGAGTTATATCTTGCACGCTCCAAGGGACCAGGTTGTCGGACTGACGAAAACAGGGTAAGAATATGGTCTCGCTGATGTTCGAGGTTCCGCAGAATGAAGATTGGGAGCGGGTCATTCGTGCTGCTGCCGGAGCGGCGGAAAGAACTAAGGTCAGTCAGTGCCCTTCGGAATATGCTTTTCTGTGCTAACATAGGATAGGTGACGATGGACATTGCCTTCGAGGTGTTGGAATTGGTTGCTCCAGGGTCAACGAAGCGACCTGGCAATTTCGGTGATGAGGATCGTCGTCGACCTTACGCCCCTTTCCGCGGATAGATCGGATCCCAGCATATCGAAACATCATCCAGTCAAGCGGATCAGGCTGCTTTGGGCTGCATTATGGCTCGTTGCGATATTCGCACCATACGGAGTTCATCAGGGAACAAGTGCAGAAGGGTCGAGCCAAGTTGTCGCAATCATGGCTGAAAACCGGGCATGCTTGCACAGCTGGACATAGTTGCAGTCTTCGTTGGCAGAACCACTTGAGCTGGAGAGAGCAGTTCTACATGAATCGGTTGACGGCGCCTGATTGTCGCGCTAGATGCAAGAAAGGCACGTTTGGAAATATCTTAGCATCAGAACGGTGATGGTCGGGTGGCAGCCAATCCAGCAAAGCTAGAGCAGACCAGTATTTTCAAGCATAACGTCCGCCTTTCGAGTCCCAAGCGTGAGATTAGTGATGATACGCACTTATTGCAAGCGCATGGCGGGAATGCCTGATCTTATCTTTTGTGCATCACCGGACAGGCTCTTCCGAGACCAGATGGCGGCGTACTGCTTCAGATGGTTCATGAACAGCACCAGTGGCCGCACGAAACTGGCAGATTTGACAAGTATGTTGTGCCACTCATTGGAAGTTCGCATGGGAGTCCGCATGGGAGTCTTCCATCTGTGATGACGCCGACTTGAGTGCGGGCAGCGCTGGAGTAGGCAGTCCTAGCCGCTGCACGATCTCGCATGATGCCGGAGATCAGATGAGGCTCAACAACAGTGCGGTCTACTCCAGACCGGCTACGAGCAGCTGTCCCGCGGATTCTCTCACCAAACCTCATGATGGCTGCAGGCTGCCAGGTCGTTGAAGCATGCAGAGGAACATTCCAGAAGCTCGACCCGTGTAACCTCTCGACGCAATGTGAGTGCATTGAGGTCGCGCAAACATACCACTGGTCCTCGGCACACTTGATCTGTCGATATATGGTCGTCGCTGGTGGGCGAAGTACATGAATGCAGGTGAGCCAGCCTGTCAGAGTTGATGCAGATTCTCGTAATCGCGTGACTTAACAGCACGTGACTGTCGTTGCATATACAGTACTGAGCAGGGATGTGTGTTTTGCCCAGCTTGGAAAGTCCAAGCCGAAGCGACGTATTTGACAGGCACTTCTGCTTCTGAAAGCCGCATTGTCCCGATCGTTGCATGAGGCTATGGGTAGAAGAAAAATCTAGAGCAGTCACAAAGATCCGACAGCGTTCGGGAATTTCTTTGGTCCATAGGGCTCAGGCGCTGATGTATGTATTGTCGCCCTGGTTGACGACGCCGGCCAAGATTGCTGGCCAACCGTGAGCTGATGTTTGCTCGCCATCAACCCCGTTCATGAGCATCCAAGCAGTGACAGACTGTCTGTAGCACGGTCCGGACATATGATGTCAATCATGCACGCACCACAGCAGCTCAACACGACCCCGGCGCATCAACTAACGCGGCAGGTGAAGCTCTCACAACTATGCAGGCATCCTAGCTTATACCTTGTAGACAATGATTAGTGGACGAACGATGGAGTTCTTTCCAGCCAAATAGCTCAGTAGCTTCAGCCAGTAGCAAGATCGCCTGGCGTCTGAGCTACTTACCGAATTCTCTGACGCTATAGTGGGATGGCGGCCTGCAGTGAAGCTATGAATCGTGATGCTGTGCAACACCCCACCTCAAGCCAGAGCATGGTAAGACATGTTGCACAAGAACAATCGCTTGACGTCGATCGTTTGAGACGGGCCGACGGCAGGCATGTTTCGGAGAATTGCTGACGATCGCTCAAGAATCGATTCTGCGAGCACGCAAAAGCATCAGTCGCGTAGTTCAAGCAGCGCAATGATTGTTGGTCTCAATGATGTCGGTTACCGATATCCACTGACCACTGCTCAGGCCTGGGCATGGAGATTCTCACATGCTCATGCCAGGGGTACATTTGTTGCATGCAGCGTGCTCGACTAGTGTCAGATGCAAAATGAGGCAGCACAATGGGACGTGATGTGTGGTGCCCTCAGCGAATGATGTTAAAGGCAGCCACAGCGGGGCAAGGGGAGTACAGTCTGCAGGTTGGGCCGCGCTGAGTGGAAAGTAGCGAGTCTGCGCGAACAGCTGCTCTGCTATCACGCCAGGCCCAAAGAAGGACGCCATCCTCATCGTCGGCTGAGGCACTCAACGATGGGTGACGAGGCAGCAATATGCACGAGTCACCAATGAATGGAAGTTGGACAACGCATCAAAATAAGCTATCTTAGCGCCTCGGCAGTAAGGGCCAACCCGTGTCGCGTCCGGGGCCTGCCGTAGGACGCCTTTGGCGAAAGCGGCGCACATTTTTCGCCCTACAGTAACCATCCTCCGCATCCCTCCATAGACTGATCTCACTTCCCGCTGCCCGATTCAATTTTATTTGCCGTCTTGCATACTGACAACTGTCCTTCATTCGCCATCTTCCACCGTGCTCGTTTCGATGCGTCGTGACATGACCGTTTGGGCCCCTCGGCTGCGAATGCATAGTGAATGTGGTTCGGAAAATTCTGATGGCTCGCGTGGTGGCACAGCCATGGTCGTCCCAACTCTCTACCCGTCCGACACAAAGGTGTCACAGCTAAGTAGCACGCCGCTAGCAGTCCATGGTTTGCCCAGTCGTCCATGACTTCGTTTGTGCTATCGATCTGTTCTGGGTTCTTGCGAGTCTGTTAGGTTGACTGATATCTTGCTTGTATGCCCCGGGTCGTGACTACCACTTCTAGCTCTTCAACCAAAGTTCTTCAGAGGCTGGCACGCTACTTTAGTCGCTGAAAATCTTCTCATATCATCGGAGACTTGTCAATCAAGCATCTTTTGGCCTTCGGTCATGAGCTCTCGTTCTTCACAGTCGAGCCGCAGTTCGTCCGCGTCATCGAGTCACAGCACTGGCTCGCAGCGTACTTACAAAACCAACCTTACTTCTCACTCAGACGTTCGTCCAGGGCTACAGCACTACGATACAGCTCCAGCGAAGGTTTTCTGGTTCGCAGACGACCTGGGAGAGTGTCCAGACGGACAGTCGGACCCACGCTCATCGGCGGAGACGTATGCTTCTACGGTCTCTCCGAGTGAGGATTTGGGCACTCAACCTGAATATGAGCTTCCACAGGATCGCCCCAGAGTCTTCGACAGTGAAGCCATTCCTTCAACGCCTTCTGATTTCTCCAAGCTGTTCCCGACCACTCGTCGCCTACTCATTCAGCACGATGACACGACCTCGGACGGCAACATGAACATCCGAGTCGACACCGAAGCACTCTCTCCAGCAGGTGAAAGGCTGAAGATGACGATCTTCCACCTTCGGATGAAGAATTTGTACGAACGTCAATTTTCGCTCCGACGATACTGCCGTGATTCGGGCCGTGAGGTGTGCAATTCTACGAAGAAATATGTCAAGCCGCTGCCTCCGGGACTGCCGCAACAGAAACCACCATTCTCAAGGTCGATCACCACTGCCCTTCACAACCTTGGCAGGAAGCGAACTCATCGACAGGACGCGGACTCTGATTCTGAAGATGGCGAGGATCTCGAGCACGAGCTGAGGAACTTCACCTTGACGTCGGAAGTCAAGGCCGATATTCCTACCAACACTATACGCTTGGAGTTCTCCAACTATGCCCAAGTCGAGCTGCATCGGCGACGTGGCCATGCTCATAGCAAGCAGTGGGACTTTGAGTATTGGGGCGAGCCTTACTCATGGCAAAGAGATCTCAAGGATGATGATGGCGATGTCTTCTACACCTACGACCTTATTAACCTACGTACAGGTGCTGAGGTTGCGCATATACTTCCAGACAAGCTCGAGCCGCAGCAAGCAGCATTGGAGTGCCGACAAGGCAGCTGGATCCCACCATCAAGCATGCGACTCAGAGATGGTACCATCTCCGCGGATCTCGCAGACGTAATTGTCTCGACTGGACTGACTGCTATGGTCGACGACTGCATCAAGCGTCGGTGGCACAGTAGAGGCACGGTCAGGCTACACGCTCCTAGCGCAGACGCGAAAGAGTACCTGGAACCAGAAGAAATCGTGGATCGAGTCTTTCCAAGGCGTGCAACAAATCAACGACGGTAGTCTACACTTGTCACGATCCCTCCAGTCAATATGCAGACTTCGGCGTACCAAGTTGTGCACAACTTCTTCCTCTTCTTTCGATTCAAATGAAGTTTTCACGCCTTGGTGGATTCTCGCCACACCAAATGGGCGCAGTGCCAAGCACCTGGTCATGGGCATTTGTAAAGAGTACAAAGACCGCCCGCAGAGCGTAGAAGTCCCATCACTTTGCGGCGTGGTGGTCTCTGCAGCAAAAGCAAGTCGTCCCGTAGATGTACAATAGAAAAGTTTCTCACGTGACTTGGCCAAGACACCCGAGGCAAAATGAGCTTCGAATTGTTTCCCCTGGCTTGCTCCTCCCTCACTCCTCGCCCAACGAACTCCATGTCGCATCGCTGATGCCCAACCAGTGGAGCAGCGAATGATCTTTGTGATCGTGGCCTCGGGACCATTCTTGACCTCATCTGAAGCTCCATGAGCTGCCTGCTATCCCAAGCTAAGCTCGGGGTTCTCATCGCAACGGTGCGATCCGGTACCTCACAGCCGAAAATGATGGCCGGTGTCAGTATACCTGAACGTAGGATGTGGACATACAACCAAACGGGTCTCCACTGGCCTTCCTTTAGACCCAATGACTCCGCCACATCGCATCCCACCTCAACGACTATCATGCATACCATTGCTGGAAGTCTGGCCGAAGCCACCTGAGGACCGCTTTTGTGCGTTAGCGTTAATGCGCTGGCAGCACCGAATACTCCCCAGCTTCACTCGAGAATTTGCTGTAATTTTCACTATACATTATTGACGTCTCTCGGATGTCAGAAGCCCTGCTGTGTCACCTCACCATCATCAGAATCGAATAATGCCGGGACTGGGCTGCAGTAAGTACTGTATCACAAGACACAGAGATCACGTTGCACACAATAGGAACGGATCTATCAACCCTGTTCCAGTACATCGGGTTGGACTACTGCACCAACAGCATCGATCTGGCAGCTAGGGCACGCATCAATACTCAGATATTGTAGCTGCCTGAAGCTGCCATATTGCTGCATCGCAATGTGAGTAGTCTCGCGACTCTGGCCCATATCTTCTACATAATATCCGCTCGCCCTCGACTGTTCTATCTGCCGGTACCGTCTGCTACCTCTCTATAGTCGCACACCTGCAGAAGACATCGAGCGACTTGACTTTTCGCTGGCCGCGCTATCGACATCACCTGCCTAGAACCTTCACTAAGCATTCCTCAAATAACACAGAGACAACTTGCCTTATCACAAGCATGGCCGGTACCAAGGACTCTCGCAAGTGGCAAGACTCACTCAAAGGCAAGTTGACTTGCTAAAGAAAGATGAAGGGGCTCACTGACGCTCTGAGTAGCCGAGTGTAGACGCCGTGGCCTCCCAGAACCTGTGTTCTCCCACGTCTCCGACCGCCGTGGTAAGTCGCCGTCTACAGACATGACACACCTGATACTGATGTCTATCCTCTAGGTGGCCGCACTGCCTGGTCGTCATCCGTCACAGTCTCCGGTGTCAACATTTCAGCTCGCTTCTGGTACGATGGCCAGAACCTAAACAACGCGAACGAAGATGCCGCTGAGGTCCTTCTGACACGTATGCGCAACCCAAGCGTGTACGGAGATCTCTTCGCTGGCCGCTCTGCGCGATCAGCTTCTTCGGTTTCATCTTCCGCATCTCGAACGACGGACCGTTTCGGCGCCCGCTAAGTCGCTCTCCCACGGTCGGCTGTATGACCAATTCAACTCCTCAGCGTTCGAGCGAAGGATCATACTAGGAATTTCATGGCGTTGAAGGAGCACGCGTTGTATTCTATGCAGGCATGGCGACGGCGTTGGAGTTGGTCGCAATGGTCGCGGCAGTCAGGTGCATGTTTCGGGTCTTTCACCATTATGCAGCTCGACACAGACGATGCTACAATCACATCGAGATCACAGTCTCAAAACCAGAAATTTCAGTACAGGCATATTGCTACAGCTTCTCTTGTCTCAGAATTCCAGGGGCGTGCCTGATTCACTCAGTGCCTTCCTTCCGCGAAAGATGCTGCTACTCCCGTGACGTTTGAAGACCTTTCCAGCAACAGTCGAGACTAGAAGACATGCGACGTTGTGCAAGCATGAATGCTGATCGTCTTGACGTGCGTACAGCGGCAGGGATGGCGACGTTTGACCTGTCGTGCCACCAAAAGAATTGGGCAAATGATGCCTCTCCAAAAAAGAAATCTCCGGCCCACGCACCTCAAAGTTCATCACGCTGCATCTGCATCTCTCTATTTCGATCCTTCCCTTGACAGATCCGAAGACATGCGGTATCCAGCTTTTCGGTTCTCATGAAAGTAAGCGCGACCTGCAGCGGGCGCTACTAGATGACGTGCATGCCATCGTGGAATTATTGACACCTGTCACGCTTTCCTACAGTTTGTGGCTGCAGACACCGCATGCACAGAAGTCTTCAATGTCGGTTTGACGCGCTCATCGCTGCACGAAGACTTCGTCCAGTCTGGCCCCATGCGTATTTCTACGCGCACAACATGTCAAGCAAAGCCTCGTCGCCTGCCTTGACGTTCGAGCTCAAGGGCCAATGCTCGGTACGCACGCCCATACGTCCCCAGACTACGTGAGTATATGGCGGAACACTGACAAATTTCCCGAACCTGAATAGACGAGCAAAGCACGAGCATCCACCCTCACACTCCCACACGGATCCGTTGATCTCCCTATCTTCATGCCAGTAGCGACTCAGGCATCGCTGAAGGGTTTGACACCGGAGCAGTTAGAAGAAACTGGATGCAAATTATGTCTGAACAATACATATCATCTCGGACTCAAGCCTGGTCAGGCGGTCCTTGACACTATCGGGGGAGCTCACAAGTTCCAGGGTTGGAATTACAATATTCTGACTGACAGTGGTGGGTCGGTGATTTCCTAGCTGGTCCCAACTACAACGGAACAAAGATCCCATGAATGACTGACATTTCCTGGCCAGCTTTCAAATGGTCTCGCTACTCAAGTTAGCCAAAGTCACCGAGGAAGGCGTCCGCTTTCTCAGTCCTCACGATGGCACTCCGATGTAAGTACCTTCACCTGTCAAAGAAGACACGCCACGCCCCCCCAGACCTGGCGATTCAACCCCGGCTGACTTACCCGAAAGGCTGCTTACTCCCGAGCATTCTATTGACCTTCAGAACTCTATCGGCTCGGACATCATAATGCAGCTCGACGATGTCATTCAAACGACTTCACCAGATCGTGCGCGCATGGAGGAAGCCATGTTGCGGAGTGTCAGATGGCTTGATCGCTGTATGACCGCTCACAAGCGCCCAAACGATCAGAATCTCTTCTGTATCATTCAAGGAGGGCTTGACCTCGACCTCAGACGTGAATGCTGTCAAGAAATGGTCAAGCGAGACACGCCTGGAATAGCTGTCGGCGGACTGTCTGGTGGCGAGGCCAAAAGTGATTTCTGCAAAGTGTACGTACCTTTTTTCCGAACCCCACAACGAGTTGGCCCCTGCCAACCAACCCCGAAATTGGTGCCACCTCCGCGTATGCAGGCTGTCGAACTGACACTCGGTGCCCACGACAGGGTCGACACGTGCACCAGCCTCCTTCCAGCACACAAGCCCCGATACGTGATGGGCATTGGCTACCCGGAGGACATCGTGGTGGCTGTAGCCTTGGGTGCCGATATGTTCGACTGTGTGTGGCCGACACGAACGGCTCGATTCGGAAATGCTATCACAGCTTTTGGTGTGCTCAACCTGAAGCACGCGAGGTACGCCAATGACTTTGAGCCGATGGAAGCAGGCTGCAAGTGTATAGCATGCCGACCACGTACAGAGGGTGGCTTGGGCATCTCGAGAGCCTACATCAACCATCTCGCCGCCAAGGAGACCGTTGGCGCTCATCTGGTCACGATGCATAATGTTCATCATATGCTGAACTTGATGCAGCGGATACGCAATGCTATCTTGGAGAATGACTACGCGCACTTTGCGGCGGACTTCTTTTCGAAGTACTTTCCAAAGGAGAAAGGACCGCCAGAATGGGCTGTTGAAGCGTTGCGAGGTGTTGGAATAGATATTTTGGCACGGAAGGCTCCTTGAGAGCTACCGAGGTCCTAAGAGAGAGCTTTCTCAACTGAGAACAGAGCTACACAATGTCAATGGTGTGAGGAAGGCAAGCTAGTCAGATTACCGATTCAAATATACCTCTGTCATCCGGCTTGAGTGAATTCCACCCAGAGAAATCGGCAGGCACGGCACTGGATTAGATATTGGGTGCATCTGCCATATAAATATCAAGGTCACTCGGTCTCACTTACGCCCTCATGGCACTGTTCAACCACAGAACGAGATAGGAGCAAATGGGATCGAGGTACTTGTGAAGGCATATGTATTTCCGACTCCGATTCAACGCACTTCTTGATGAACCCACCTTAACAACAAATGCTTCGACAAAATTATGCGCAAAACAATCCGACTCACCTCTTTTGCTCTCGTCCTCGACTTGCCTTACCCACTCACTTACCTCGGCCTCTGCTACCGCCACCGCGGGCGCCACGATTGTGCCCACGACCGCCACCGTTTTGCTTGAAGCCAGCACCTGCGTGCTTCGGGCCACCACCGTTGCTCTGCTTACCTGAGTGATGGTGGCCGTTCTTATGACCACTGTTGTTATGGCCATTGCCGTTGCCATTGCCACTGGGCTTCCCGCCATCTTTCTGGAACTTACCTTTCCCGTTCTGATGCTTGCCGCCGTGCTTCTTCCCCCTGTCACTGTCATTGCCGTTCTTATCATGACGGCCCTTACCATTCCCATTGCCACGGTCACCATGCTTACCGTGTCCACTCGTCCGATGACTGCCCAACTTACCATTGAACCAACCATCCTTACCCTTCTCCCTCAGACTGATCTCGGTGAGTAGGGAACTCCATCTGCCCTTCTCTACACTCCCACCACCCTCCTTACCTAACGTGGTCAGATGCTGCCTGAACCAGTTCAGCTGGTCCAGGTTGAGCTGCACGCAGAGATGCCCACATGCTTCGGTGCTTTCACCGTTGAAAGCGCCGACGGTGATGGTCGCTAGGTCGAAGCGGTCTCCATTGAGAGCGTAGAGGTACTGTGGGAGGTAGATCTCCCTTCGACGATCGGGTGACCGTTCTCAGCGTCGATGTACATGTCGGTCTCGTCGAAGGTGACCACATTCGGGCGTGCAGCTTTGTCGATGGCAGCTCGGTAGAGCGCGTAGTCCACGTCCTGAAGAGAGCGGACAAACTCATGGCGCTTCTTCTCGGGTGCCTTGCCCTCGAAGATCTTCTTTGAGCTTGTTATGGGACTTAGTACTCGAAAGTCAACGAAAACGCGCATATGTGTCTTGCGGCTGATTCTCTCGCAAGCAATGCGGATGTCTTCGCGGAGGTTCTCGTTCGCGGCGCGGAGAGAGTGCGTGAAGATCTTGTTCAATCGAGCATGCCGTTCCTGGAAGTCTTTAGCTATAGCTAGCTTCTGCTTCATAGCCTCAGATGCCGCTTCGTAGCTGGCAAATCGTTGACCATCGAAAGTCCACGTGCCGCCATGATGCGGCACATCGATTGCTGTCCTGTCGAATATCTTCGACTTTGGGGTCTCGGGTTCCTGTTGTGCTGCAGCTGGATCTCGCTGGCTCGAGAGTGGCTGTACTCTAGTTATGGTCCTTCGTGGTGGTGCTGTGCCTTTCCAGATGTAGCTGAACTGTCGGTAACTGGGCTGAGTGCCGTATCTGTTCATGCGAGGCGCAAAACCGGCATAAAGGATTGACTCGCCCGTCTCTGAGACGGGCAGCGGGATAACAATTTGGTGCTGTCGGCCAGCAGCGTTGCCGCGGCAGTCGTAGGCCATCGGTTTTGCTTGACGAACAGTCTGAGGAGGTTCGCCGGGGAACCAGTTGATCTTGCCGACGAACCTCGTGTCAATGGGGCCCATGGTAGGCTGGCCCAGCGGACGCACAACGTAGTCCTTGGTCCAGGCAGACTCCATGTCGGGCTTTCGGGCTTGCGCGTGAGTCCGAGCCGCAAGACGGCGGCCGGTTACCAGGGTCGGATCATTGGTCCAGCGCGAGGCGACAGTCTCAGTGATCATCTTCCGTTTCGGTTCCCAGAGAGTTTTGCGAGCGTATGTGCGTAGCTCGCTGCGGCGCTCGGCCGTTCGTTGTTTCCTTCGTTCGTCGGCGGTTTTGATGTGGTTGAGCGCCGCATCTTGGTATTTTGCGATGTCGAATGCATATGGATCTGCGGGTGCTGCTGGTGTAGCCTTTACAAAGTGGTAGGGATACATCCAATCTGGTGGGCTAACGGGCACCACCGGTGTTGAGTGTGTCATGTTTGGTCGAGAGATTCGGGTATCGGTGGCGTTGAGGGTTGTGGCGTTGGTAGACGGCGTTGGTCTGTGCTTCGTGTGACGAGTTGCGAGCACGGACACATTGTTTGAGGCGGTCTGAGCTCGAAATAACGATGAAAACTAACAAAGATCGTATGAAAAGCGAGTTGGCTTTGTGACGACAATGGCGTGTGGTCAGCGGCACCAAGGACTCTTTGCTCGAGTCCACAACGGAACTTGCCTTGTGCCTTTGTGATATGTCGAGAGTTCTTTGATATGCGCTGTGACATTGAAATGCGATTCAGGCGCCCATACCGTCTTCGACAAGACCTTCTTGGAAATCACATCAGCCGCAAAACAGAATCGAACGTACAAACCACCAGTTTTTCCGAACCACAAACGCTGCCATGAGCGATACCCCCAACAAGAACTCCGTCGTCACGATGACGATCTGGATCATTGTCGCGATTATGATCGTCATACTCCTGATAATCATCGGGTGTGTGATGAAGCAAAGACGTCGTGGTGCTGCAAGGCGCCGCGGAGGCGTTGAAGCTGGCCTGAAGCAGAAGATCGGCCGGCCAACACCATACAACGCGCCTATCCGCAAGCTGCCGCACGGCCCTCGCCCGACCATACCTCCGCGCACCTCTTCTCGTCAGCATCCCGTGCCAGTCCACAAACACGCAACACACCATCTCCCAACTAACCCAAAGGTCGGACCACGACCGATGCTTCCTCCTGGAGCTATTGTGCGACAGGCAGGCCGGCCTGTACCTCCCATGAAGGGACCACCTCCAAGCCAGCCCTTGCCAGCACCGCCTCAGAGAGCTAAGTTGTCCCTGAAAACTAATTTTGGCCCAACTATGGGCCGAAACAGCCCGGTGAGTCCGATGACGCGTAAGGATTGGGCTTATAGAGGAAACAGCGTTGTCAGCCCTATGTAAGGGCAGGATGGAGGCGTCCGCGAGGTAGGTATCGCAGTGACATGGGCGAGGAGCATCAAGGTGAGTGCAAGTAGTCAGCTAGATCAACAAAGTCAAGCTATTTCCCTCAGATCTCTAGTGTCCCTCCAGAATCGACCTTGTTCGCATTGTGAGTCGCGTCGAAGCAGTGCCGGCAGGATCTCAACTATGAACTACTGCATAGAGCGGTCGAACAAGGACACTTGATGTATGTAGCAAAGAAGTTGAAGCTGGACCCCATCTCTCTTTTCATTGTCGGTCGAAGAGCGGTGTATTTCGAAAAGAGCAAAGACCCTGCCTCAGCCACGAGAACGAGTTTCCTGGGCTCTCTTTCCCTCAAGGAGATATCGACACCGACTACAGCAAGCAAGCTCGCTGTCAGGAATGAGCGGGGCTTGGTCGGTCTGGGTGACTTCGAATGGCTATCTGAGGTTTCGCCAGCAACGGACATCGTAGGTGAGCCCAACCTTGGGATCTCGTATATCGCACGGAAATGGGGCCTGGCATCATAAGCTGATGCAGTTTTGGAGGCGGTTACCCATATTGGGTGATTCTTCCTCGTCAACGCTTTCGCACAGAATCTCAGTTCCCAAGGCTAGCCTTCAAAATAGCAGAAGCCATAATTTTAGCAAGAACTAGTAGCACGTGAAATCATCACGTGATATGGGCAGGAATAAGTCCGGATGACAAAAAGTAATCTCAGCTTCTTTTCTAAGCAGGTCGATGACTTTGGCGTTCCGCGCAAGTCCTGGTTTCACACCTGCTCTCACGCTTCCAACGCCTGCGTTCAGCGTACCACTTGCTACGTGGAGGTTTGAGCTATCATGGTGACTTAGCGTTCACTACGCCTGGTTGCTACGTAGCTCAGAATAGGCACGATGCAATGCAGTCCTTGGCGCTGTACTGCAGTCACAGGCGTGGTAAGTTTTGGCGACCATGCGGACGAGACCCGGATCCAGGATGCCCGATGAAAGTGCCTAGCCACGTCTTTGTCTCTTACTGGTCAAGGAGACGGCATCTCAAGCACGTTCTTCGTTAAGCGACAATCGATGGGCTTGGCGTGTTGCCCGGTTTTGCAGCGCGTGCACCTGATCAACGCTAGCGAACTGAAGAGTGCGAAGTCTAGCGTGGGGTCGTGTCGCGACAGGAGTTGGGCACCAATGTCTTGCTCTGAGTCGAATTCTAGACAAGGTGGTGGCAGATTACGGCTACATCTGATGAGGACATCTCGTCCTCGTCGCAACTATATCTCCTTATTCATGCATAAGCTGTGACAGTCCACGATCACAGCTCCGTGGATGTCACCATGGCGCCGAAAACGCGACGAAAAGTATACAGCGATTCCCTTCAGCACACATTTCCCACCCATGCTTTCTGGGAGCCTGAGACAAGTGCCAACATTTGGATTGGCGATGTCGGCTACATCGATCACGATGGCAATTGGCAAAGATTACGCAGGCATACTATTCAGAATGTGACAACCGATCAACATGACTGGGGTGTCGTGCATTCTGAGAACGTCAAGAAAAGAAGCGTGCAAGGCAAGGCCGCGTGAGTCAGCCACCTCATACCTACCAATATACTGATGCTTGATCCTCAGCTTGAAAGCACCAGATGCGCCTGCTGGAGCACAGGCTCATACCAGGTACACATCCGATAGTCAATTTGGAGCGATGCTGGTCACTCAAGGCCCTGTCAGGCGCCACCAGTGTGGAAAGGAATCCGATGCTCGAAATCATGTGATGAACCACCGGAAGGAACTAGCCTGCAACTTCCCAGATGTGATCGAATATGGCGTTTGCGTCGTTACTAAAATATGGACATCGCGTAAAGCATCGACGACAGCCTGGTCTTCCGGCTCCAAGACGAAAGCAGTAGCATTTGATGTGACGGTATTCGACGTGGGAACGATGGGTGGAGGCGTGCAGCGAGAGATTGTACAACATGTTGGTCCTGACTTTCGTTACTGGAAGGTACGTGTCCGCACACCCAACACCACCCAGGTCCATCGAAATTAACATGCTGACAGGGAAGCGCACAAGACTCATGCATACTGGGATTTGGGGGCCTCAAGTTCAGATACCACAAATTGATCTGTGGAATACTCGTGTTCTCTGAGCTCGATCCAGAAAATGACAGGACCAAATGGCGTACGCTACGGATGTTCCGCAAACAATCGAACAGATCCGAAGGTGATTTCAAAGACCTTCCTGTATCGGATAAGCAGTGTTCAGCCTCTTCTAGCGAGACCCTAGTGGAAAGTGTGTCTCCACGGACTGGCCAAGCTAGGAAAATCTCGAAGCTGGAAGAGCTGGAAGAGCTCAGTATCAAGGTGCGTTCTTTCTCAATGGTCCCATCCATGAAGCTAATACCTAGCAGGAAGTCCAAGACCTCCAAGAGAAAGCCAAGAACGACGACAAAGCCCAACATTCCTACCTTGTTGAAGATGGACTCGTATTCTGGGTCCAGGCGGTAGTAGACCATGTGCAACGATTTGGACCACCTCCGCCCGATAATGACCCCGCCTCAATGGATCGCCACACAGAAAGTCGTGCAAAATTCAACGGCCCGATAGATCAGATGCGTGGTCTCGGTCTCGCGTCACAGCCACAGTCGGAGCGCTCGTTCAACAAACAGAATCCTTCTGTGAATTTCTCGAGACATTATACTCCCATCACTAAGCACGAGCCCTACAAGAGCTCCAAGTATGAAATGGGCTACTCCAGCCTGCCGAGGGGGAATGCGAGACACGAAGTTGGATCTCTGAGAACGACCAGACACATCGACAGCCATCAAAGTGACGTTGGCAACAGGAATGACATCGACGGCTCGGTCAACCCACGGCACGATTCCAATCTCATATCTCAGCGGCGGTCACAGCGCTCGACGAACAAGCAAAATATCGCCCGCGAGGCGAATAAGAGCTCCGAACATAGAACAAAAGACCCCAGCAATCCCAGACACCCGACCAGAAACTCAAGACACGACGACAGTACCCCAGAGCGACAAAATATGCGGACAGCCATTACAGTGACGATGAAACCAGCGACAGTACCGACGCTACTGACGATGGTACCGAGAGCGACGATGGACCGGTCCGTGTGTTAGGGCGGGCGAGTGCCGCGCCTCGAGCTTCTGGTCGCATCGGCCAGACAAACAGGTCTTTGGACACTCGCAAGCACACTGATCGAAAGTCTGGCAGTACAAACGACAGGCTTCATGGCAGACCGGAACAGCGAAAGAAAGATGATCGTTCCCGTGCTAGCGACAGACATCGTTAGTGATGAGATGTGATGTTTTGTGGGGCTTGCCGCAAGGAGGGAGTCAAGTCTTGGGGGCATTTGTGCTGGGACAAGGTCAGTGAGGTCATCTATTACAAGGTCCTTTCTTGGCCATGATTCAAGTAGTGGTCAGTACCGCTCAAGAAGGACTCATTGACGACAGTGGAAGAAAACATGTATCTGGATGTGACGCTCAAGCAATGGATAGATGACGAGGAGTGAAGACGAGTTGAATTTGGCTCTGATGACTGTAATTACAGACTCGTCGCTCTCGTCGAGTCCTGCTGTTGTCAGGCTAGGTAAGCACCCCAAGTCCTTGATCCGCCCACCATGCCTGACTGTCGTCGAAGTCGAAATCGAACATCGCTGTGTTCAGAGCATCATACGGCATCATGCTGTTCATGTCGAACGTCTGCATGGGCGCTTGCATGACAGCTGTTGGAAGTGGTAGATCTGGCTGAGGCATCACCTCTGCCGTCGGAGTATGGTCGTAACCAGCAGTCTGCATCTCCATCAGGTCGTTGTGCAACTTCACCATGCGATTGACCGACTCGAGGACGAACTCCTCGGGCTCGGTTGCGGAGGAGAGCTTCATTTTGGCCAAGCTCAAGGCGCTCGACCCCATCCAGTAGGAGTGGAAGCCCTGGCCAAGTGCTTTGACCCGTCGGCCTGAGAGGTCCACACATTTGCTGATCAGATTGACAGTGAGGGTCTTGTCTTGCATCATGTCCTGACGGCCGCCTGCCGCCACCGCAATGTCGTGACAAGCTGCGAGACTCGCTCGGAAGCCATCGGCCCGGATATTGCACAATGTGAGACCAGTCGGCTCGCTCAATTCAACATATGTCTTCATAATGTGAAGCGAGCTTTCTCGACGTGTGCATCTTGAGTAGAAGTACTGCGACTGGGCGAGCCGTTGTGTGGCGAATGGCTGATGCAAAAGAAGAAGGTAGTCATGAGGTACCAATGTTGCTAGGGCTCTGGCCGCCTCGGTAATAGGCTTGTCCGGCCATGTTGCCAGGTTGTCGAGCTCTTCCCGAATCTGATTGTCAAACTGCATTACCGTCTCGAGATCTAATGTCCGCGAGATGCTGTTGACCCTCGTCAAGATGTCAATGCGCAGTGGCAAGTGGCGGGTTTGCTGTGCAAGAAAACTTGTTCTGGTAAAATCGCCGAGTGGTTTCGAAGTTGGCAAGGTCTGTGTGCTATCATTAAAGTCTTCGTCATGCACGTTCAATGGTGGTAGACAATCCCAGTCGTCCGGGCCGATAGACACTCGCATTCCACGATCGCAGGATATCTCCAGGTTTATCTCAAGTATCGTATACCAGAGTCGGCGACGCATTTCCTGATCGAACGGCGAGATCTTATTCGACAATGTCGTTGGCTCTCGATGTAGACCGGCGCTCATTGCCATGGATAAAAGGCTCTGTGCGGCAATCCACTCCCGCTTGATTTTGTAACAGGTCATGACCTTGGCGATAAGCAAAAGGACATGGGTCTGATAGTACTCGAGAGTGGTGTGCTTGTGTGACTGCTGGTCCAGCCAGACTTCGACCGCCTCGAGCCACCGGTGAGAAGTTGTTCGTCCGACAGAGCTCCGACCGATGAAGCCTTCCGCGCCGCCAGCGAAGACGCAATTGATGGCAGCCATGACAAGTAGCATCTGTACAACAAATTCGATTTCCACACTTTCGGGCTCCGTCCAGAACGCTTCATAGCTCTGTAAGAATGACGGGACATGCAGAACGCGGTAAGTCGTCTCGAATATGTCCAGATATCCGTGCACCAGTAGATCGGCCCTCTCTCGTGGAGGAACCATTGCAGCAAACGATTCGAGACTTCCTGCGGTCAACGGCTTCGAACCTGAGGACGTTTCTGCTGTGCTGCGAACTTTCTTGAAGACATCTCTGGACTTCTCGAAATTGGGCATACGCGCCAGTATGTCCTTGACGAAAACGGAAAGCTCTTCGAACTGGAGCAGGAGACTGACAGCGTTACTCGGACCATAGTACTGCGTCTTGAACGAGCGACCTCGCAATAACGAGCGCTCGAACTCCTGCGGTTTGTCCTTGGGACGGGTGCCGGGTCCTTGCGGATGACCCAGGCCCAGGAACATCTGCTGCGAGACAGGTTTCGCTCCTGCCGATCGCATATATGTTTCCAGTTCGAAGACGCGTTCCTGTAACTCTTCGAGAGTTCTCGTGGGTGCTGGAGGTCGCTTCACTGCTTGTCTATTGGCGTTTGGGTGCGTTGCGATAGCTTTGGCACCGCTCTTGCTGACCTTATGGTATGTGGCGGCCTCCTCCGTCCACGAGTCTTCCGCCTCTGAGTGGTCGTCGCGGTGTCCCTCAGGGCTGTCGTCTTCAGGTGTCAGTAAGTTACCAGGGTCGTATGCAACATATTTGCAGGTATCGCCCTGCCCACCTCTTATGCAACGAACGCAAGAAGGAAGCTCTCGACCACACTTTACTTTCCTCCGACGGCAGTCCACGCAAGACAAGGCAAGCCTCCTTCGCTTTTGGCCCATCCTGAAAAGGCGCTCTGCTAGAGATTACTTGATCTTGAGTATACTTTTGAACCGAGTCTCGAAATAGTTATGACCGGAGACCGTGATCACCTGAGCGTCTCAACGATATGAATTAGTAGCCGTGAAACGAACCCTGCTTATGTCACAACCGCGATGCAAGATTGACGTTACAGCGCCCACCCCAACGACCCAAGACGTTTTGAAGCCCTACAAAGTCGGCCGAGCAGGTGCTTTAGAAGTAGTCGGTCAAGCTTGAAGGGAGACGACGAAGGGTCCATCACATAATCAGTTGCACCAAAGAAATCTTTGGAGGGCGCCTGAGACTATGCCTGAACGTCGCTTCGGATCTTCAAATCCGTCCGCTGCTCGGCTATAACACTCGCTCGCTCTCGGAGATAGAAGTAGGAGCTTCAGCGCTATCTGCTCGAGCGATTCGAAGTTCCCTTACCATCGTCGCCACACTCTGTGTGTCTGCGCTATCGTGTGATGCGATACTTGCACGTCGTAGGTAGCGACTTTCTTTACGTCCTCGTCGTGGCCAAATACTCGTACAATGCGGGTGATGCCTGGTGCTGGGAAGGAACGACGCCTGGGAGGCAGAAGGGTGGGAAGTCTGGGCAGTGGTGGAGTGCCCATGGGAGCCAGGCGTTCGGGCGGCAAGCTGAGCCCTGTCGCGTCGGCGCGCTTTGGTTGGCTGCAGGGTGACGTGGTGTTTCTTAGGTATTATTGTTTGCCAGATACTATTGACCTCTTTCTGTCACCTGCCAACACCACAAGGACACTTGCGACAAATGCGCATGAAAAGCGTTGTCAGACGCAATGGATTCAGATCCCGATGTCCCATTGCCATCCATAGAGGGCGATGGGGCAAGCAAACCCGCCCACAGCACAACCATCACCGGCCGCCCTTCCATCACAAATACATCAATTGCGCCGCCCGTCACACCCAAGTCTAAGTCATTAAGTCGATCGCCTCCGAAGCTTCAGACATCGCCTGCTGCGTCTCGTCCATCAACCGCGCGATCGCCGTCAGTCGCGAGTGCAAAGAGTGACAGGCAACCCTCCCCCGCCCCCGCGCTTCGGGCGCGACAATCCCTCAACAACCTGAAGTCATCGCGCAGTGGTACACCACAGATGGCTCAGTTCCGTCGAGCGTCTTCGAATCTCAACCCACTATCGCCTGTCTCTGGTCAAAAGCATGGCACGATGCAGACAGCGCAGCACAAGGCTCTGACACCAAACGAAGTGGCAAAGTCATTCTTTGCGAAAGAGATCGATCAACAGGTCGCACAGACGTCAGAGGTAGTAGTGATAGTCCACGATTCATGCTATGGCCACCGCTTCTCCCGTCCGAAAGCGACCAAGGCTGCCCTCAGTTCGATTGTGGAAAGACCAGAACGCATCCAGGCCACTCTGCTCGGCGCATCTCTGGCATACGTTCGTCTTGGTGGCCGACATGCTGATGGCAGATATCCGCCTCACCCCAAGAATACTACGCCTGCTCACAGCGCCCCGTTTCACATCAACAAGACGAATCGATATGTTCCACTCAACCATGCAGCTGTCACCGCTGTACACGGCGCCAAGTGGATGGAGGAACTTCAGATCATGTGCGACACGGCAGAGGCGAAGCTGGCCATGAATGGAAAGGAGCTGGTCAGACCGATCGGCTATGGCAAGGATGAGAATGGCAAGTCACTTCCAAAATTGCACGAAGGAGATCTCTACCTTTGCTCCGAATCACTGGCAGCACTACAGGGTTGTCTAGGAGGTGTTTGCGAGGCCGTGGACACAGTATTCGCTGGCAAAATCACAAAGCGGGCATTTGTATGCATTCGACCACCCGGCCATCATTGCTCCGCGGACTTCCCGTCAGGCTTCTGCTGGCTCAACAATGTCCACGTGGGCATCAAGTACGCTGCGATGACGCATGGTCTCACACATGCAGCGATCATCGACTTTGATCTCCACCACGGTGACGGATCTCAGATGATCGCATGGGATCATAACACAAAGGCCAAGGAAATGCCGAAAGGTGCGACTTCTCACAAAACCACACCCATCGGCTACTACAGCTTACACGACATCAATTCATACCCCTGCGAATGGGGAGATGAGGAGAAGGTCCGCAATGCTAGTGTCTGTGTTGAGAATGCTCATGGTTTATCCATCTGGAACGTGCACCTTGAAGAGTGGAAGGACCATGCTGAGTTTTGGAAGCTATACGAGACGCGGTATCTAGTCCTGCTCGAGAAGACGAGGAAATTCCTGAGACATCATGCTGCGGCTATGCGCTCAAAAGGCATACAGCCTAAGGCGGCGATCTTCGTCTCTGCTGGGTTCGACGCTAGCGAGTGGGAAATGGCCGGCATGCAACGACACGGTGTTAGTGTCCCAACCGAGTTCTACGCTCGCTTCACCTCCGACATCGTCAAGATTTCCATGGAAGAAGGTACGGGTGTCGATGGGCGGATCATCAGCGTACTCGAGGGCGGCTATAGCGATCGTGCACTGGCGAGTGGCGTCCTGAGCCATGTTTGCGGCCTTGTCAACGAGCCTGTTACCGATATCAGCGGTGCAGGAGCTCGTGGACTTGGTGCCTCAATGTCTGGCCTAACTCTTGAGTCTGTTCGTGACAGCACATCAGCTCTCGGACCGCACGTTGACAAGTGCGAGTCCAGTTGGTGGAGTCCACATGCATTGGAGACTATCGAAGCAATCGTTGCTGGTCGTTTGCCTCCCTCGAAGGAAGTCATCGATAAATCTCCGGGCAATTACTCGTCGCCGACACAAGCTTCGAATGCTAAGATGACTCGCACTGCGCGAGAACGCCAGTCTCTCAACGCAGAGTTGGAGGCACGTCTCTCTTTGCTGGAACGACCTCCACCACCTCCACCAGACGTCGAATGGGAGATCGCAGCTTACGAGCTCTCCCAACTTATCATACCAGGTGATCGTCAAATATCTAGCTGCCGGCACGATGAGCTCAATGCCGAAGCCACGAAAGCAAGACGGGCACGTCAGTCAGGAGTCGGCATCGAGCATGCCGAGCCAATGCAGCTACGCGATCGTAAAAGTAAAGCTCCAGCCTTGCCTGCTGCTGCCATACGCTCGACTTCTCGAACGAGGAGTGAGAGTCGCAGAACGACGATTGCTTCATTTGCGGACTTACCTGATCCCGATGAGCCAGTGCCTCCACTTCCAGCACAAGTTATCCCTCGCCCACGGAGGCGTTCGAGCGCTGGTTCGAGTATTGTGTCAGGTTTCTCAGACATGAAATTGACTGATGAGTTTAAACAACCTGCAGTTTCGGTCAAGTCGTCGCCTCGTAAGGTCGCAGCCACTGCGAATGCTGCCAAGGGTTCGAAAGGTACTGCAACGAGAAGGACTCACACAGTGGCCACGAAGCCTCCTGCCCCGACAAAAGTTCTACCTCGGAAGGCCGTGCCTGCCTTGTCCCGTCAGACCTCAAACTCATCGGACAAGGCTTCAACAATCCTTCAGCAGACTTCCAGCAACCAGTCTAGACAAGCTAGTACCAACAGTGATGCATCTGCAGACATGGACAATATCACGAGTGGTCTCAAAAAGATCAAATTGAAGATGCCCACCAAAGAGCAACATGATCAGAACCAGAGAAAGCTTGAGGAACAAATGCAGCAGAAGGCCAAACCGAAACCGGCGCGCAAGATTCCTGTGCCGAGAGCAAAGGCCACCTCGGCAGCATCGTCTGTCCCAGCAGACCACGCCACAGTCCCGTCTTCAGGTGTTTTGGTCCCTCCGACCACAAACGATCATGCGCTACCTGGAAATGGCCCAGAAGTGGGCGCGAATGAGGCAGAGGCATCGACACATGAATCAATCGGTCCGAGTCGCACCGCTCCATCGCCCGTAATGACACAGTCTGCTGTTCCCGAGGCTCCAACAGCGACGAGCACTGGTACGAATGTCAATGAGCAAGCCCCGGTCGTTGGTCATGACACTTTTCTGGTGATGCCACCACCTCCGCCACCAACGCATGGTAACGTGTCGTTCTCGCAGCCTTCGGGAGAGCACAGTGCTCCGGCCAACACCTTCGCGACCCCAAAGATGCCGCAGGAGCAACATCCTGGCACAGTCCGAGTAGATGATGCGATGATCCATCATCAACACTCGCATCCTGCACCGGCTTTTGTGCCTGCTAGCAATCAGTGGCGCTTCGTCACGCCAAATACAGGTCAGCCCGGCAGTGCGAATGTCTCACGACCCATGACACCACAGAAGTACCAGCTTCCAACGTTTACGTCGACATCACCTATACCCTTTGCGAAAACGCAGACAACAGGTTTACCCGAGAACAACGCGAGACAAGAGCACAGCGGGATATGGGATATCCCAGACACTCCTCGCTAGCGGCCGAGAAGCTTAGTCGCATCATAAGTTTGAATGCAGTACGGAGTTGAATGTTTAAGGCAGTGTATCCTTTGAGGAAGGCACTCGGTGATTTTATGATACCCCATAGAGTTGGATATAGCAGCGGCGTTGGGGTCCCGATCGTTCGGAAGTGCTATTTAGAACTAGGTTTCCAAGCAGATACTCCCTACACGCATCTCCGACATGCCTCGTGCTGTCAAATAGTACGACGTGCGAGTCGTTGCACAGTAATGGAAGATCGAAGTGATAATAATAGGTAGGTAGGCCTCAGGTCGAGAGTCGGACCCGAGACGCGCCGGACGACATCCAAGCAGCCACGCTCCACAATCTTGACTCCGTGCCCACTACCAGTTGACCGCCACGAAGCAAAGTGTCCACTTCCCACCGTGAAGGACTCCGGAACGGCCCACCATGGGCATCAAAGGGTTGGCACTTTTCACTGCCTGCTTCGAAAGTTGAATACTAAGATATTCGACAGGTTCTGGGAAGTCCTCACGGACCATGACTCGAAGCATCCCGAATCACCCATCGTGAAAGACGTGAACATCGCGGAACTTGCCGCTAAGCACATCGACACTTACAAGCGCCCGTACCGGATAGCAGTCGATGCTGCGTATTGGCACTACTAGAATGTTGATCTAGCTCAGACAAAGGCGATCAGGGAAGGCTCCCATAGGACTTCCAATCCCTCCGAGAAGCAGATTCTATACCGCGCCTTGCGTTATGCTAAGCTTGGTATCCAATGCCTGTTCGTCTTCGATGGGCCGAAGCGTCCCAGGAAGAGGCACGGCGAGCATGTCTACAACATCAAGTGGGACAGTAAATTAACGAAGGAGACCCTTCGTGCCATTGGAGTTCCCTGCTGGTACGCGCCTGGGGAGGCGGAAGCGGAGTGCGCTGCCCTTCAGCGCGAGGGTCATGTCGATGCTGTCTTCTCGAACGATGGAGACTCCTTCATGTTTGGCGCCACTACTGTCATGACTTTCAAGTATGACGACGGCAAGAAGAAGTCTAACGACATGGTTTGCTTGGTCAAGGCTGACGACCTCAGGAAGCAGTTCCAGGGTATCGATCAGGAAGGCATCTGTCTCTTCGCTCTTCTGACTGGGAACGACTACGATACCGAAGGCCTCCCACAATGCGGAGGTGTTGCGGCAGTTGAAGCTGTCAAAGCCGGCTTCGGATCCTCCCTGACGGCTGCGTATCACAACAAGCAACTCCGCCAGTGGAAACATGCACTACAGGAGCATTTCAGGACCTGTGGAAGGCCAATTACTGTCTCCAACAGTTGGGCTTCTGAGGCGATAGTCAGATTGTGCCTGGAGCCAACTGTACTGACCCAACAGAAGCGACAACAAAAGTCAGTCGAGAGTCCTACTGGAACAACTTCGTCGAACTTGACGGCTTGAAAGACATCCTGACTACGCGATTCAACTTCTCAGCCCAAGAATTTCTAGCTTGGTTGCCACAGGTCCTGCTTGTCCGCAGACTATTGAACAACGAGGACGTCGAAGGTCTCAAGCTCGAGATTGGGCGCAAGATATCGAGAAAGGAGTTCGGCAGCGCATCTGTGTCGTCTGCGTCATACAGTAGTGAAGCACTTGGTCTTACGGAAAGGTATCTTGTTACCTGGCCCCAAAACGATACCAGGGATACGTCTAGGATCAAGGACTATGCATACGAAGAACGACTGCACGCCGACATTGTGGACAAAGTCCTGGAGGCTGGAGGCATATCGACCTTTGCAACATCCAAGCAGGGCTCTAAGCGGAAGAGCGCGGATACTTCCGACCATCCACGTCCTTGCAAACAAAAGAAACCGGCCAGAGGCTCAAAGAGCCTCGATCATATTAAGCAAACCCTGAGCGAAGATGCTTTGCGAAAGCAGCCTTCCACCACAAAAGCACCAGGTACAACCTGCTCACAGTCGAAGCTCGTTTCCACGGCTCCTGCAGTCAGTACCACTGCTATACACAGCGAGCATATAGCTGAAGTAGGCAGTCGTGCTATTACATAGGAGATCAGATACGTATGATGCTAAATGTTGATTTGGATGCACATGAGGGCGGCAAGCCGTGTACCCAGCGTCCACAACGGAATCAGCAAGTCGTGTTATCTACGCCAACACGAAGCTAGACGGGATCTCAAAAGATCGAATGCGACCATAAATTTGGCTGCTGGAGTGACCACGGTGACGTTGGTCCAGAGATAGACTCAAGAGAAAGACACGACAAAGGCAACGTCATCCGGCTTCGAGAACCGACGCCATGACTGTCCACCAACGGCGGACAATAACAATCCCGCTAGAATCCGGATCCTGGTCATCCGGTCTTGCCAGGAGCCACACCCGAACCGACATCTTCGTCCGCGTGCCTTCCACACCGGGATTCTTTGTCAACCGGCAACAGTTAAGCCCACTTCTTCAGAACAGGAACAGAAAGCATTCATCTCTATTATTCTACAAGCCTCTTTTCGCCCACTGCTCGGCCTCGTATAGGCACAGGTTTTACTACACGACCGACTTCTCCTGCCTCTCCTCCTCCTCCTCAACCACGCCGACAGTCTTGCCGTGCATCTTCCGGCTCACATCATTCGTCAAGAACTGACCATAGTTGATCGTGAAACAAGCACAGCCGAGCGCAAGGACTGCGAACGCAACGACAGCATACCACACGTAGCTTTTTTGAGGTCAGCCAACGGCTTCTTGGGGTTCAAGGGCATGGATGGACTCACTGGAAAGCATCACTCGCTGCATTGCTCTGTGCCGCGGCCGCAGCAGCCAGGATCTCCGGCGAGATACCAGGCACGTCATCCAAACCCACACCCGTCGTCAGACCCGTCAACAATGCAGGGACGCTGGACAGTGGCAGACCCAAAGCTGTCACAGCTTCGGTGACTCGAGGTGGGACAAAAGCAGTAAGCTTATTGTTGAGGATAGCAACACAGATTGCTAAGCCAACAGACGCACCGCCAGATCGGATCGAGCCTAACGCACCGAGTGCCACGCCGATGTCTTCGGTTGGGAGCGCCAAGGGCGCGATAGCGAGTGAGCAGAGCTCGAGAGCGCCAACGGAGGTGGTCGCGAGAAGCATGAATGCAACGCCCTTCGCCTCGTCACCGACCTCGACATCGATCATAGCAGCACAGAAGGCCAAAAGACTCGCAGCGCACCCAATCAGGATGAAGCGCGAGCGTTTGATATACTGACAGAGCACTGCAGCGATAATCTGGCCAAGCAAGGCGCCGCCACCAACGACACAAGCAAGCCAGCCTTTGTGAATGGCGGACCCTAGGAAAGCAGATTAATCAATGTCCGAAGTCCGACGAGAACGATAAACTTACCTCCAAAAAGGAAAGCGATTTGCTGAGGCCAAAGCACGTTCATACCGTAGTACACGATACTGCCAACAGTCGCGGTGACAACCATAGCCAAATACCCAGGACTCTTGAACAGGTGCATTGGCAGCAGCGGGTCACCCTTGTGCAGCTTCGCATCATAGATGACAAAAGCGACGAGCGCAACGAAGCCCACCACGATAGTACCGATCACATGTGCCGAGCTCCATGGGTACAGCGAGCCTCCCCAATTCAGACCCATCAAAAAGATGACCAGACCGCCAGTGAAGAGGACCAATCCAACAGCATCCTGTCGCTTCACCTGCTGCATCTTACTGCGACCGACGTGTAACTGGTGGAACGTGGGAGGGTGGTAAAAGAAGAACATGCACAGAGTCGCTGCGCCGGCCATGGCGATATTGATGTAATACGAGCATCTCCAGCCAGCACTCGTGCCGGTGACGAATGCCTGTGCGATGACAGGACCAAAGCACGCAAACTGGAAGCTTGAGGAGAAGATGGCACCGAGCCAGATTGGCCTGTGTTTGTTGGGCACCAGCTCCGATATGGCAGTGGTGAATGTTATTTGCACCGCTCCAGCAAGGCCATTTAGCAGGTTGGCGCCGATCAGCGTATCGACTTCGTTCGTGGTTGCACCGATGATTGCACCGATGCAGCCAATGCCGTTCCCAATGATAAAGAACCACCGTCTCCCGAATATGTCGGAAAGTCGACCGATGATCAGGAAGCCAATGGTCAATCCAAGCGTGTACGAGAGGGCCACCCAGGTGATGTTTGGCGAAGGCCCGATGTCCGCATTGATGATCAGTAGCGAGTTGCTGGGAAGCACCCATCCCGTATAGTTAGAGATATTGCCAAAGCAGAGCCCAACGACTGTGCCGATGAACCCAACCGAACGGTAGTAGTTCTTAGGCAGGTTCTGCCCGAGAGCGGACTCTGCGATATCGTAGGTATCGTTATGGATGGCAACATGCTCGTGGCCATGCTCAGCAGTGGCCGCAGTAATCTTGTCGCCACCACTGCCATTCAGCGAACTGCTCTCAATCTGATTGGTTGAAGCCATGTCTTTGTTGGCGTCTGGTACAGACGACATGGTATCGTTCGTGACACACTATGCAGTGTTGAGGAGAAGGATCTATCAGCGTGAGAAGCGTGCTCGTGAACAGGTCAGCCAGAAGAATATGGCACTGTGCTGGGAGTGTGACAGGTAGCCAAAGAGTGTCTCGGAATGGAAGTGATGGGTATATGCTCTATCACTGTCCAAGCAGACGAGGTATCCAAGGGACTAGTTACGCTAGCAGTAAAAGACCGTGGCTGCTCCAGAGCATTCTTGTCGCAAGGCTCGTGGTAGCCTTCATTTCGCATCAGCAAATTGCTGAAGGCAGTCTGGAACATCGCAGACCCGCCCCGGACACCCATACTCAACAGCGTGGAGCTGTCAAATCTCCATATGGAGTGTAAGCTGATCGAAAGCGGCCAAGAAGCGAGTGCCCCGGAAAACGACAACCTGAGTTTGGAAGTTGGAGACCCCAGCTCGCCCGGACCTCCGTGCCCCAGTCCACCACATCTTATGGGGTAACTTCCCTCCCTGCCAACCTTGGAAGGTCAACGACCACGGACTGCACTAGTGACTGCGGCATGATGAGATGCCGATGGCTACTAGATGCTGGTTGCCTGCAGAATCAATGGCAGCTAACACCTGTCATTTGCTTGCTTGTCTGACGCGTGTAGTAGGAGCGATAGCCACCGCTGGATACGCACTTTGCACTCCGGACCTTCGCAGATCCAATCGAGTAATTCGAGATGCTACAGTAGACTGGCAAGGCTGTCCGCCTTGAGATCTCGCTAGACCTCAAGACAGGGAGCCCGACTGAGAGTGCACAGCATGGCATCGCTGCTAAAAGGTGTAGGATTCGTGACTGGAGCTGCAGCAGGTGTGTTGACTTGCTATCCCGCCCGAACGAGTGCAGAAGACCCGGAACCTTCATTAACCCAAAGTGTAGGAATTGGCAAAGCAACAGCACAGTCGTTTGTCCGCCACGGCGTACGCCGCTTGGCCATTGGGGATATCAATCTTCCCGCTCTAAAGGAGACAGCGTCGGACCTTAAATTGCAATATCCCGACCTCGAGGTTGTGCCGCTGGAGCTCGACACGTCGTCGGAGTCGCTGGTGGACAAGTCTATCGCCGACACGGTCAAGCATTTCGGACGCATTGACTATGCTGTCAACAACGCTGGTATAGCGGGCAAGGCGTGGCGTAGCGCCGACTCGGATCTCGAGGGGTGGAACAAGACTGTGGACGTTAACCTTACTGGTGTGTGGCTCTGTTCGAGAGCACAGATCAGGGCCATGCTAAAGCAAAATCCACTCGAGGCGAGGTGGGTGCCCCGGGACGTGGTCATTGAACCTATATGCTGACATCGCCACAGCCCAAGATTCAACAGAGGAGTGATCATCAATGTCGCCTCCATGTACGGCATCATTGGGACACCATTGGAGGTTGGCGCCGTGGTCTACACAGCGACTAAGCACGGAGTGGTGGGAATGACGAAGGCGGACGCTATTGCATATGCTGGGGAGAACATCAGGATCAACGCAATATGTCCTGGGTAAGTCAGATCGATCGCAAGTTGTGAAGGTCACTCACAAGAATGCCTAGGTATGTTGCGACGCCTCTTCTCAAGAGCGCAGCAGCGGAAGCATGGCAGGTGAGATCGCACGGACGCCAGCGAAGCGGCTGGCGGAGATGGACGAGATTGGCGACAGCATTACTTACATGGCTAGCCCGCTGTCGTCTTTCATGTACGGATCGGCTATGGTCGTTGATGGTGGCTACACAATACAGTGAGACTAACATGAATCTGCAAGAGACATTGACAATTGTTGTTGGGCTGCTCCTGCCTGCAGAGGCATATTGGCAGGAACGTAACATATCGGACAGAAGGGGCGCACAAAGTATGCTCGCCCATTTGATTTGCGACGCTGATGTGCAAAGTCATCGATGAGAGGTAACACATTGCTTCTTGTTCAGATGACATATACCCGTCCTGATAACGCCATACACATTGACTGCCGATTTACAAGTTCGCTTGAAGCTCCTTATCGCCCGCAAAATTAACCGCCGCTCTTGAAGTGATCGTGCCCGACTTGTTCAAGATCTCCCTCCTCTTCCCTTTCGACTGGAACTCCTGATCGTCGTGCTCCCTGACGTAGTATGCCCAGTCCGCCGTTGGATCACTCTCACACTGCGAGAAGCCACTGCCCAACCAGGTGAATCTGTTGCTGTTGTACTTGACTTCCATATCCTCCCACCGTACTTCTGATAACGCCTCAATGTAATGAAGTGTCGAGCCTGGCCAGAGTGCCGTGACGGGCGCATCTGCTTGGTTTGCTTTGTACCAGCTTCGACATGGGTCAGCCCAAACAGTCTGCTTCATGAACTCGTCTTTCCATAGGAGGAAGTCGTCAATCGCCTCTCGCTTGGGAGCAATACTGTGGATGTTGGAGGTTTGGTACCTGTCGATGACGGCCATCATCCAGTCGGCCTGAGCTTCGATGGCGGAAAGAACTGGTCCATTGCCGATGGGGCAGTTGGGACCCAAGAAAATCATGTAATTGGGAAAGTCGGCAGCCGCGAGTCCAAGGTACGAACGTGGCTCTTTTGCCCATTCGTCCTGCAAATTGTTGCCGGTGGGACCGATGAGTGGGAAGCGAGGCTTGAATGTAGTGTCAAATCCAGTCGCACAGATGAGGACGTCGACAGGATGTTCGTTGCCATTGTCCGAGAGACATCCTTTCTCTGTGACGGCAGTGATCTCGCCATAGACGACTTCGACGTTCTCCTTCGTCAAAGACTCCAGGTAGCCTACACCAGGAGTCAATCGCCGGCAGCCAAGAGACCAGTCTGGGATGAGCTTTGACTCCAGAAACTTGTTGTTCAGTTTCGTCTTCATCTGGTCAATCATGTACGCACGGGTGTCATTGTTGGTCTGGGTGCCCTTCAAGAAGAGACTGAACTGGCCATTCAGACCTGTCTCAACTTCTTTCCTGTATTTCAGCAGAGTGCCGGGCTTTTGCTTGAAATCCCGCAGCTCCTGAGGCGAGAAGACGTGCTGCTCCAGTCCTTGCACGGGCGAGACGTAAGTGGGCTCTCGAATGAAAGTTGTGACCTTCCGTACATGTGGCTGTATGGTGGGCAAAACCTGGATTCCAGACGATCCATTGCCGATCAAGCCGACGTGCTTGCCCTTGAGATCCACGCTGTTATCCCAATTTGCGGTGTGCAGCAGTGTGCCCTTGTACTTGTCTAGGCCAGGAATCGCAGGCCACCGCCAAGCGTTGAGAATGCCTCCTGCGTTGATGAGAATGTCACAGTAGTCGGTGAACGTCTCGCCGGAAACCACATCTTGTACCGCAACATCGTAGCCGCCCTTCTCAACATTCCACCTTGCACCGACTACCTTGTGCTCGGCCTTGCAATATCGTTTCAAGTCGTACCTTTTGGCGAAATCGTTGAAGTAGTTGTAGATTTCTCCGCTCCCGGCGTACACTGCCGACCAGTCCAGCTTCGGTTCGAACGACCAAGTGTAGTTGTGAGCTGGAACATCGCAAGCACATCCAGGACTTTGCCAGGGTCAGACTCGTGGTGATCGAAGACAAGATTGAAAACTTACTATTTGTTCTCCCACCATGTCCCAGATAGCTCCTTATTCTTCTCGTACACGACCAGTTCGAAGTTCCGAAAGCTCCGTTGCAGTTTGTACGCGAAAAGCAACCCACTGGCCCCAGCCCCTATGCATATGATCCTCATATGCCGCTCTGAATGAATTGGTGCATTCTTTCGCCTCCGAACATCGTTCATGCCACCCCAGTGTTTTCGCTCATTGGATGAGGGCATAAGAAAGTCTGCCATAATGTCGATGTCTTGTGAGCTTTAAAAGATGGTAGACGTGTTGACAGATGTTGCGATCGCGAGAGCAAATGAACGAGGGCACATGGTCATAATGTATCGCAAGACCAACACAACAGGGATACTGCTACCTGGAGTTGCGGGGCCGGCGAGCTACACAAGCCTGGAATCACGCCTGGCGTGGAAAACTGGGGGGCAAGCTTTGGCGGTCCGTCGAGACCTGCTGAAGCGTGCATTTTGATCGGTTTGCTGGGCCTGAGACTCACACGAGTCAGCAAGCTTAGGCCTCGGCTGTGTTCAGCCAGACTGGTTCAGTAGCCGACGGCTCCAACATAGAATACGTCAACAGCTCTGGCGCGCTGGAACACTTTGTGCTAGAGTAACACCGTGCAGCATTCTGAGGTTTCGAACTATATGGTACGAAGCTGCGAAGATGGCATCACTCGCAACGATGACTTCAATTTTGACGAGGTACAGATCTTGGCAGAGATTATGTAAGGTGCCTAAGTACCTAGGTACCAACCAAGGTGGATAGGAGAGCTCTATCCAGATACAGAAACCACCGCCTGCTGAAAGAGCTGTCCAAAAAACCCTCCAACACCTTGCAAAAGCACAACCGGGATAAATGTCACACAAAATCCTCATCGTCCATCTGAAACATCGTGCTGCGACGAATCTCAGAGCCTCGCTCGACACTAGCGACCCTCAGTGCCTCTCCTCAAGATATCGGCCAGCCCAGCCATTGTTTTCGAGAAAGTCCGGCTGTCGACTTCGCTTTGGGAGCGTGAACGTGAGAAATTTCCGACGGTAGGGCCGTAGGGTCCCGAAAAATTTGAGTTGAGATGCGTGCCATTCTGCGAGAAAGTTCGATGCAATTCAGACCCGATGTTTGATGGCACTTTCGCTGGTGGCACCATGGTATTCCCGTCGTACAGTCTCGAATCATCGTTCACGTCTGGCTGATCGGTCTCCATCTCGCTGTGAACCGTGTCCAGACCCACAGAGTCAAATCCTGCCCCAAGACCAGCTGGCATGCCCAAACTACCAAAATCAAGTCGGTCATCAGGATTGAGAAGCCCGACGAAATCTGGAAATGTAAGATCTTGTATCTCGTGCATTGCAGCCGGACGAGGCTGGGATCTTTGACCCTGGGGATTCGAGAAGGGTGTTGTAAGCGGCGGCGTGGAGAAGCCCATATTAGGTGTTTCTGCGCCCATCCATGCGTTGTTGGAGCGATATTGCGTGAAATTGAGGCCGTGAGGAACTGAGTTAGACAGATTGACCTGTCCAGAGACGTCGTCGCTACCCGTCTGGGTCGATGAGACAGCTGACTCGTGGTTGTTATTCGCGATTTCGTCGAAGTTTGTGTGCTGCGCAAGTCCAGACCAGGCACTGTCTGCGCCCGACGAGCCGACCATTGTCCACCCATCGCTACCTGATGGAAGCGACCCAGGCATCACGTTCGCAGCCGGCTTTGATGCCTGAGGCTGCTGTGTTCCAAGAACATGATCGTGTCTGACTTGACCTCCGTTAGCACCATTGAGCATGGACTGACTTGCGCTGTGACGGAAGTCGTTGCCACCATTTCTCGTCTCGTCGTGATGGAACGATTGATGCCGCTTGAATGAACCGTTCGGGCGATTCTCATGATGTGAGCTGCGTCGCCTTCGAGGAGGCTTCTGCCTGGGCTCCGGCACAGCATCCCGCAGCTCGATGATCACTGCGGCGAGTACATTGGACATCTTCTCGGCTGGCACATAAGTGTGCGACATATCTTGCAAGGCGGCAGCCAGACATTCGAGGTACTGCATATTGCTGTTTCGCGTTCCTCGATCTTTCACGTATGCTAGGGCCGCGACTAGAGCTGTTGCAGCAGTGCCAGCGTGCTGAAGGCCTGTCACAAAGATTCGCCTCGTATCGAATCTCGTTCGGTGTTGCCAAAATATCTTCGCGATCCTCACAGCGCTATTTCGAATATGTTAGACGTACTGCCCCAATCGAAACATGGGACGCAGGGATCGCAAGCAGGCTGGTACTTACTGCTGAGTGCAGATCGTCCGGGACAACGCAGAGAAATGGTTGGTGGGATCCATCACCTTCCCTGCTGCAGCCGCATCCAAGTCGTCCTCACTACTATCTCCTGCATCTGGGTCAGGGCGAATGGTTTTTGCGTCGTCGTAGCGAGCGAAAGGCCGATGCAACAAAATGAGCGTTGCACTGTACTGCTGATGGAGCAGGAAAAAGGAGAACGGTGCGGTCGAGATGTTAGATGCGTTCCACGCCAACGCCTCTGGAAGCCGAGAATACCATGATTCTAATTCCCGATGCAGTGCTGACATGCGAAAATAGACGTGATGATCGATGTTGCTGCTGAGCTTGGATGCTGAGTCCATGATCTCCGTTATTTTGCCCGCCAATTCCATGAGGTCAAGTAAAGCTTCGTAGACCTGGGTTTCACGGCTTTGAGCAGGTCCAGAAGGTAGGCTCGTGCCCATCCGCTCAAATTCGACGCTGAGCCTGTATACTTCGAGGTCTGACGGTTTCATCATGGTCGGTCGACCAAGGAATAGTGCCCAGTACTTGTCGTAGATAATGCAAGCCCAAAGCGTCATGCGCCCAATCTCGATATCTCTTTGGCTGGCCCCAGTATTGCTGGCGTCGAGATGTAGGCCTATATCGAAACACAAACGATTCGCCATGCCAGCATATAGCCAGCCCAGGTTGTCTCGACCTGAACCAGTCTCAAGATCGCCCAGAATAAGCAGCGCTGTGATTGATGGAATTCCACCCGGCCGCTCAATCTCGTATTCTAGCATGTATTTGGCTTCGCGCTGCAGAGTGCTTTCCTTGTCCGGCAGGGCGATCTTCTGCATGTCCGGTCGCTCTTTGTCGCAGAACTTGTACCCGGCAGCGAGAATGCAGAGGTGGAGGAATCCAGAATAGTACGGGCCTCGGCCAGCTTCCATACCTTCTTCAAATGCAGCTCTGTGCACGACATGTATGACGCAGTTGTAGTACTCCCAGAACAAGCCCAACAAGTAATCATGGGTCTCCATGGAGATTGATCGTAATGCCTTCTCGGCCCGTCTCTGTTGCTCCATCGCTTTGCGATTTGCTTCCTGAGTTTGATCCTTTAGCTCAACGTGGACGTGACAATTGGCTACCGGCCCGAAGTACCGCAAACGACCGCTGAGCTGATCGAAGCTCAAATGACCTGAGCTCGATAACAGCTTGCTGACCATGCTGGCCCCGCCATATGAGCTGACAGACTTGGGCGACACGCCATCGAGGTCTGATCCCGAGGCGAAAACGTCGCCACCTTGCAAAGAGGAGATCGAGGGAGGCTGTGGTACGACAGCATCATGCACAGCAGCAGAATCTCCTGGTTCAGACAGCAAGGCTTTGGCTGAGGATTCTGGCGGCTTAGCCACGGGTTCTGTAGGTCGATCGTCTCGTTGATCCCGTTCGCGAAGTTGATTTTCAAGCTGTGTTATTCGCTCTGTCAAGGAGGTCATGTAAGCCTTGCTCGATGGCTTGCGGCGCTCATCGTCGTGGTTGACTACGCATTCGCGGTTGTTCAACTTGCATTGTGTGCATGCCTCCTCGCCCGGTGGAATGACACATCTTGTCCTTTTCTCCCTGCATGATGTGCATGCAACTGAAGCCCGATGTCTGGGTTTCTCTCGCTTCTCCGTCAATGCTGAGTTCTCGACAGGTGGCGCGGCGTCCACGTGTGTAACTTGGACTTGTGATTCCATGTAATCACCCTTTCGGGAGCTCCACTCAATGTGATTGTCTGTACCAGGTGGTCTGTAGGAGTTGTTTTCCGGGGCCGTATGAGCTACTTGAATCTGTGCCTACACACTGCCTGAACTGATGCAAATTTCCAGGACAGAAAGCTGAACACGTTACTCCGGATTCCGAAGAGGAACGGGCAAGAAGATTGCGTCCCCGCTGCCGAGCTTCGTCCTAGTGCCATGGCTTGGTTGTCCGAACGTGAGCACGGGCGAAAAAAGCAGTGCCGATTGACTTTTCGTCGACCTACAGTAGAAGGCCGAAAGGGCTAGATGCTGCACCTAAGCGGCCAGGCGGGGTTGCAATCGCCCCATGCTTGCCATGTGGATCATCTCCGCGCCTCGGTTGCAGTAGGCGCACACCCCTGCCCCTGATTTACCGCCATGACTCGCCATCCGCCGTCAGCATTTTGTACGGCATTCAAAGAAGTACAGACTCGAGTACACTGGCAAACGGAGCGAGTCAATTATCGCGTCCCATGGTCGGGTGAGAATTGTACATCACAGCAATATCGCAACAGGTTCGCGGAATCCTGTTGGCAATTTTTGATTTCCACCCTCCACGAGTGCTACAAAACCATCTGTTACAGTCTATGTGCCCGCGACTGGGTATTAAGCCACTGTGAGAGTATATTTCTCAGTATGGCGACGAATGCAACATCTTCATTCGAGTTCTCGGCCAAAAGTCTCCCCCTTCAGCTGTTCATCGACAACGCATATGTGGACTCGAAGTCGAACAAGTATTTGACTGTTCACAATCCCAAAGACGGGAGCCTTGTGAGCGACAAGGTCCCTCTTGCAAACGATCAAGATGTCGACGCCGCAGTAGTAGCCGCAGAGAACGCGCTCCCAGGCTGGAAAAAGATTTCTGCTAGCCAGCGACGAGACATCCTTCTCAAATTCGCAGGACTACTTGAAAAGCATACGGCGCCGCTTGCTGAGTTGACCCGCATCACACTTGGTGCGCCATTTGGGTCGTTTGGTGCCTTCGAGGTCGGTCTGGCAGCGGAGGCATTCAAATACGTAAGTCGCTGTCTTATCGCAAGATTCTTGACCGCAAGCCGGATGTTACTTCGAGGGTTGCCCTGAGATGAGGCTAACGTGGCATACAGAATGCTGGTTGGATTGATAAGTTCCTCGGTGAGGCCGTGCCTCAAGAGAACGGCTTTATGCAGATCACTCGTAATGAGCCGTTGGGGGTCACTGCGGGCATAGTGCCTTGGAACGGTCCCTTGGGCACTGTCGGACTGAAGGCGGCACCTGCACTTGCGACGGGAAATTGCTTCATTCTGAAGCCATCGGAGAAGACGCCGTTTGCTGCTGCAGCTCTGGGACCATTGATAAAAGAAGCTGGCTTCCCGCCTGGTGTATTCCAGGTATTGACAGGTGATGGAACGACTGGAGCACTGATTGCGAGCCATATGCGCATCCGCAAGGTCTCTTTTACTGGTAGCATTCCGACGGGAAAGAAGATCCAGGAAATGGCTGCGAAATCAAACCTGAAGCGAGTTACCCTGGAGCTGGGAGGGAAGTCTCCTGCTGTGGTTTTCGACGACTGCAACTTGGAGAACGCAGCGACGTGGTGTGCTAATGCACTAGCAGCAAACACCGGGCAAGTCTGCTTTGCAGCGACTCGAGTATACGTTCAAGAAGGAATCTTCGACAAATTCGCCAAACTATACAAGGAGAAGCTCGAAGAGAAAGCAAAGACGATTGGTGATCCGGACCAGGAAGGGACCCAGATGGGCCCATTAGTCGACAAATCACAATTTGAGCGCGTCAATGGCTTCATAGAACGGGGCATCTCAGGAAGCCAAGGTACTGTGCTCATAGGTGGCAACAAGACCGACAAAACTGGTTACTATGTCGAGCCTACAGTATTCACAAACGTCTCCGCCGATGCAGAAATTTACTCGAACGAGATTTTCGGCCCGGTATCGATCCTCAACTCTTTCAAAACGGAAGAAGAAGTGGTCAAGGCAGCAAATGCTACCGAGTACGGCCTCATGGCTGGTGTGTTCACACAGGATATCAACAAAGCTCTGCGTGTAGCCAGTGACTTCGATTCTGGCATGGTCGGTATCAATTGCGTCAGCCTGACATTCTTGACGGCACCATTTGGCGGCAGCAAAGAGAGTGGCTTGGGCAGAGAATGTGGCAGAGCGGCACTACAAGCGTTCACCGAGCCGAAGACAATTATGATCAACATGACATACTAAAACTTATGCTTTGGGAAGGGCCTATATAGACTGTTCAGAAGCCTCCTTCAATCATCGAAAACCACGACTTTCCTTCTCTGACTCTGCCCGGCATGCATCTCGTTCACCATGTCGTTGAGTTCTTCCAGCTTCCTGAACTCAACTTCCGGCAGTATATTGTGCTTCGCGGTAAATTCAATTGCTTTCCCCATCCTCTGAGGCGTGGACGTGCTCTCTGCCATAATGCGATAGTTTGCCACGGCTAGATCATAGGTGCTGACCTGCAGTGGCTCTTTCGCAATTCCAATGACCATCAAAATCCCGTTCACTCGCAAAAGACTTGGAGCAGACGAGTAAGCAACGTTCGACGCGCTGAAGACAGCCGCAGCATGAAAGCCTCCGTCGGACAGCTGCTTGATTTCCTCAACGTACTTAGGGTTGGTCTTCGAGTTGAAGACGTGAGCTGCGCCTTGAGACCTGCATACTTCAAGTGTGCCGTCGTTGATGTCGATGGCGATCACATTGAGACCCATTGCTTTCGCGTATTGTGTCGCTAGTTGTCCCAAGCCGCCCGCGCCAATCACGCCAAACCATTGACCTGGTTTGAGATCGCACGAATTGACCGCGTGAAATGCTACCAATTCATCAGCGCAGGACTCCATAAATCTGTCTCATACACACCAGTAATACCAGCACAGAAGATAGGCGAACACTTTTTAATGTCCAGATTCGATGGCAACGCGACGCAATTCTGCCAGTCGACAGTGGCATACTCCTGGAAAAAGCCGTCCGTCGTGAAGCCATGGAGCAAAGCTGTGCTTTTCTTGCACTGCGAGTTGTGGGCTAAGCAGCCCTCGCACTCGTAGCAGCCCCCATCGAAGTACAAGAACCCCACGGCGTCGCCAATCTGGAAGCCTTTCCCTCAGCTCCAGAACCTATCTCATGAATATAGCCAGTGCCTTCATGACCAATTGTGATGGGTGCACCCCCTCCAGCCTGAGCAGCCTGTATAGCTAGAAGATCTGAGTGGCAGAGGGACGCGCTTTTGATCTTTATCAGATACTGTCCTGGCCCAGGCTGTGGTACTGCAATGTCATTGACAACACACTTCTGCTGCTTGGGATCGTATTGTCCTGCTCGCATCGTGGTAGCGCCCGTCGATCCCATGATAGAGCGCCCCTGTAGGTCATAGAATGATGTGATCAAAGTGGCTCAGAGCCTGATTGACTTCGGTATGGAATGAACACTGCCGGTCTGACCCAAAGGCACGATTGGTAAACTTGAATAGATCTCATGTGCCAAGATTCCCAAGATCACCAATCCGAATGGTCGAAATCAAAATCTGCTTACGTAAATGGGCGATGCTTAGCGTGCTCTGTCACCGACGAGAGCGTTGCTGCCTGCCTCTTGTCAGTCGCGCTCCGTCGCATAACACGCCTTCTTGGAGCCGCAAATGAACATGACGGAAGTGATGACCTGCAGGGTTGGCCGGTCAAGTCGTCCCTTCCTAAAACAGCTAGAGGTTTCCCCAAGCTCGCTTGCAAATTGCACGAGTCATGCAGAGTCCGGGGCGCGGCAAGGGGGTGAACCCCCGCTTTCTGGAAGGCGCCGCGTTCAGCACGCCCGGAAGTCGTTTTCCTGACTTCTCCGCACCAGACACCCACGTCTTGAACCAATCGACGCAAGTTGAATGACCCATGAATCCACAAGTGCATGACCGGCAGAGACAATGGCCGGGTACGGCAATCGATTCAATGAAGACATGGCGAGCGTAGCTCGGGCTGTCCGCACGGCAAAGCAGAATGGAGACTAACGAGACTGCTTCTGGCGCCGATGCTTGGCTACACGCAGGAAGCAACTAACGACACCGTCTCACATTGTCTGAGAGCTCAAGAGCACCACCTGGGCTTGCGTACAGCCCATCTGTAGCGCCAGGAGACTACAGAACATTCGTGCTCGTGCTTGCGATTTGAATACGGCCAAGATGAGCGATGCCAATGCTCTCACCGGCATGGCTCAAGGGCGCTCGATAACAGCAGCTCTCACACTGCTTGCTGTCGCCAGTATCGGCCTGGTCTTCGCTTACACCATCGCACTATGGACATACAACCTCTTCTTTCATCCCCTTGCGAAGTTCCCGGGACCACGGCTGAATGCCATGAGCCCGATTCCGGGCATATACTCACTGCTCAGAGGACGTCTTCCACTGGAGAACAAGCAATTGCACGATAAGTATGGGCCTGTCGTAAGGGTTTCGCCGAATGAGCTTGCATTCAACTCTGCTCAAGCATGGGAGGATATCTATGGCCATCGGCAGGGACGTCCAAATATGCACAAAGACCCAATCCACGTCGGCTCCGTCGACCCTTTGCCCGGAGCCACAACTCTCACCATGGCTGATGATGACAATCACGCTCGCCAGAGGCGGGCATTGGCTCACTCGTTCAGCACAAAGGCTCTAATGGAACAGGAGGATATCATTCAAGGTTATGTGAGCTCTCTGATCAAGAACCTGGGCAAGATGGCGGATAGATCAGAGGAATTCAACATGGTCAATTGGCTCAACTTCACGACGTTTGATATCATTGGCGATTTGGCCTTCGGAGACCCATTCGGATGTCTTGAATTAGGCGCTTTTCACTCCTGGGTTGCTCTGATCTACGAGACTGTCAAGGTCGGCGCTCTCGAGCAGGCAACTCGCCGTTTCTCGCCAGCTGGGACATGGCTCCAATCACAACTTCTGAATATGATCCCACAAAAGGTCCGTCAGCGGCGCCGGGACCATCTCACCTTTTCCAGAGAGAAGGTCCTTCGAAGACTCGCGGACGACACAACGCAACACAAGGATTTCATTCATTACATTGTCAAGCAGCGTGAGAAGCACGACCTACAAGACAACGAGATCGTCTTGAATGGTGCGCTCTTCATCGTAGCAGGATCCGAGACCACAGCCAACCTTTTGTCCGGCCTCATTGCCCGGCTACTCTGGAACCCGGACAAGTACGAAAAGCTTGTAGCCGAGATCCGATCCTCGTTTGGTAGGGAGCAAGATATCACCTATGACGCGACTTCAAACCTCGTCTACCTAAATGCTTGCCTCGAGGAAGGCCTTCGCATTCATCCTCCAGTCCCAACGGGGCTACTACGGACGGTTCCTAAGGGAGGAGACTATATCGACGGCAATTGGGTTCCAAGCGGTACATCTGTTGCTGTCAGCAGCTGGGCGGCAGCACACAATCCGGTGAACTTCAAAGATTGTGATAGCTTCATCCCCGAGCGGTTCATCGACCCTGAATGGGCTACGACGGACAACAAGAAGGCCTATCAGCCATTCAGTCTTGGACCAAGAGGGTGTATCGGCAAGAACCTCAGCTATATGGAGATGCGGCTAATTTTGACGAGGGTGCTGTGGAACTTTGACATCAAGAGCGTGGATGGTGCATGGCAGTGGGATCCTAAAGGCGAAATGGGAAATATGCGGGCTTTCATGACTTGGGAGAAGCCGGATTTGAATTGCACTGCTGTGCGGGTCAAGCGATAGGTCAGTAGTATCAGGATACTCATTCGCTTGTTTTCAAGACATAGCAATACATTGTGGACGGATCTCGAGTCCTTGACACTTCAGTACGGGCATTCTCAACAGGGTTGTAAGATTTTGAGCTCCTGTACTTCTGGACGCTAGACTTCATGGAATAATCTTCGCCTTCCTGAACCTGTCGAAGGCAAGGTACCACGAATCCTCCCTCGACCACACGTCCACTTTGGCACCAGCCTTCTTTAGCATGTCATGTGCCTTCGTCAGATCCAGCTGCCTGTCGAAGTCCAGCATCGTCATGATGAAGTACGGGAAGCCGCCGAAGGACCGCTCATTCCCGACTCTACCTTTCTGCAGGCCGTGCTTCTCTTCGAGCTCCAGCCACTTCTCCCTGTTGTCTGACATGTAGCCGACTGGATCTGGACCTGAGCCGTTCGTAGGTGCCACACCCTTGAGCCCGAAGTATTTGCATACAATTGGCCATTTCTCGCTCCAGGTCGAGGGCTGAGGGTCGTCCGCTGTGTTGTAGCTCTGACCACCACTCAGCTCTGGATGTAAGCTGGCCTGAATTGCAAATCGTGCGATAAGATCTTGTGAGGAGTCGTTCACGAGATTGTTCCAGCTGTTGTCAGTGCCCGGGAACACGACTTCGGCGCCCTCACCGTTGATATACCGATACAGAGACAGATACAGGCCAAGGGCTTGGGGAAGACAATAGATGTTGTTGTGGGGAACGAAGCCGATGATGACATCTGGGATGACGTCGCAAAATGTCCATGGTTTGTTGGCCGACAGCTGCTTGAGGTGGTCCAGCTGGTTGTAGTAGAACATCTCACTGGCGTAAGGCTCTGGTATCCGCGGGTGGGACTCCTTGAGCGGCAATGCGTTGGCGTGCGGAAAGTTATCGCGAAGCAGATGAACACCATAGGCCTGTGATCCTGCGTGAGCGGCTGCTTTGGTTCAGCCGAGGGGCTTGACTAACCTTCGTGCCAGTTGGGAGCACCACGTACTTCAAGCTGGACGAGATGCTGTCTATCGCATTTACAGCGCGCTCTAACAAGTCGACGTTGATCGAGATCTCCTTCGCCGGATCAGGGTCCATGATATAGGCAAAGAACTGCGATCCTCATCAGCATCGGCTCGGCGAAGTGGTGCTTGGTCCATCCCAGGAACAGAAGAACAACCAGAACGTGTTTGCCGGCTCAAGACATATGCTTTGAGTGGCACTCGAAACATGATTGAACCCGGACACGACTTCGCCTTTCCAGAATGACTTACATAAACGTGTGTGACTGTGTCGACGCCGTTCACTCTGGCTTTCAAGGACTCCTCCAGTTCCTGCTGACTGCCTTTGAGGAGGTCAAGACCAGATACAATGTTCAGTCTCTCATCGGACGGCCATTGCGAGACCTCCTGGGTCAAGGGCCTGTTCGTCAAAGCCGTCACCTTAGAAAATGTCGACGGGTCAGGGTAGCCGTTGAGAATCTCGTTGACGATCGCCCATCCTGTGATTCCTGATGCGCCAAAAACCAGCGCATGGTTGTTGCCTGCTGAAGTCATGGCCGCGACCTCTGACCCAAGTATAAGACACCAACACAGATACCAGATCCACAAATCTCCCCACAGCCTCGACAAATTGGTTTCGGGTTTCAAGGTGACTTCGATTACTGACTGAACGCGGGTGTCCTTATTCAACTCGTACCACCAGCAATGATACTCCTCGAGCACTTACGTCGCGTCCTTACCTAACTTGTGAAGCGGCAAGTACGATATCCGTGTGTGGTCGTCGTCAGCAACGCTGATGAGGAGCGTAAAAGCTAGGTGCTATTCAAGACGCGTGCATCAACACGGCTTCATAATCCAAACAGCGATGGTCCGATATACGGCGGCCAGTGGCCGAGTTGATTCGGGTCTGCGCTACAATGCAACGCTCCTGGCCAGCTCTAGGTCTCGTCGCGTACGAGCTGAGGAGATCAATGGGGAAAATGAAAGCCGAATTCTGGTGCGGGGAATGGCAGGCTCACGCCTGGGGCTGCTGCCTACGAGCATTACGATGGGCGGAGGCAGGAGCTTCCTCCACTTCTCGGGGCGCCATGCCGCCAACCTTGGAACTGTGTTGGGTACTAAGTACATACTCGACTCATGCAACATGATATGAATCTCCAAACAGCGTATCTGTCATCAATTCTCAAGGTCACACTGAAGCACATAGACAACAATGGCAGCGACACGAAGTGCATCAAGCGTACCACAAGTCGCCAGCAAACGCCAGAAAGTTGACCATCATGTAAATGGTAATGGCACGGCTCAGGTCCACTCGAACAAAAGATGTCCTCGTGGTCAGGGGCCGATCAGAATCGGAGGAGCTTCAGGCGGCTTCACGGATAGACAGCGATCAATCTTGTCCTTCGCCAGGGATTGCGATGTCGATGTGATTATTGGGGACTGGATGTCCGAGATGACGATGGAATGGCACGGTGTAGCAAAGAACGACGACATCAAGAAGGGTCTCTCGAACGAGGAGCGCGTTGGGATGTTTGATCCAAGCTTCATGGGGACATTGACTCCAGCACTTCGGCACCTGGAGGAGCGGAACGTCAAGGTTGCTGTAAACGCTGGAGCCAGTGATGCAGAAATGTTGGCCAGTCTGGTCCAGAAGGAAGTTACGAAACAAGGACTAGGTCTGAAGGTGGCCTGGATACAAGGCGACGAAGTGTTCGAGGTCGTTCAGCGTCTTCTGAAGAAAGGCGAAAAGTTCGAAAACGTCTGCTTCGGAACAAATCTGGAAGACTGGGGCATCGAGCCGATCACAGCTCAGTGTTACCTTGGAGGAGCTGGGATAGCAGAGGCATTCAAAGCAGGCGCAGATATCGTGATCTGCGGTAGAGTATCGGATGCAGCCCCGGTAATCGGTTCTGCGATGTGGTGGCACGGCTGGGATCGCAATTCCCAATTCGACGAGATTGCTCACTCGCTGATCGCGGGACATCTGATTGAATGCTCAACATATGTCTGCGGCGGTTACTACAGCGCCTTCAAGAGCCTTTTCGACGGCTGCGAGGATATAGGCTTCCCAATCGCCGCGATCAACGCAGACGGCACCTTCGTGCTGGAAAAGGAGCCAAATACTGGCGGAGAAATGTCAGTAGGAACAGCAACCTCTCAACTTCTCTATGAGATCCAGGGCCCACAGTACTATGGATCGGACGTTGTTGCCGTGCTCGAAGGCATAGAAATGATTCAGCTGGCGAAAGACCAAGTGCTTGTCCGTGGAGTCAAGGGTAACCCACCGCCCACCACCACCAAAGTCGGCATAACAGCACGCGGAGGCTGGCAAGCCGAGTTTCACTACTACCTGTGCGGTCTCGACCTGAAGCAAAAAGCCGAATGGACCGAGAAACAGATTCGCAAGTCAATCGGTAAAGACGTCGAGAAGTATTCGCTGCTCAAGTTCAGTCTGAACGGCTGGAGTCAGGAGGACCCAGAGAATCAGGATGTCGCCACCGTCGACCTCCGAATATTTGTACAAACCAAGGACAAAAGCGTCATCGGCGCGGGAAATATGGTCGGCTTCCAACGAAGCTGCATGGAAAACTTCTTGTCAAGTTGTCCCGGTGCGTCGATAGAGAATGATCTGAGACAGTCAGCGCCGAAGGAGTACTTCGAATATTGGGGCGCTCTCCTACCGCAATCAGAAGTCAGCCACAGTGTAGAACTGCCGTGGCTGCAGAAGTCAATACCCGTTCCACCGTCGACAGCTGTCAAAGACTACGGTAAGTTCTACGATACACGGCAATGGAGCTACGAGACAACAGAGCCCGTCGACTTAGCATCCTTTGGCCCGACGACTCGAGCACCGTTGGGCTACGTCGTGCTTGGAAGATCAGGAGACAAGTCGTCCGACTGCAACGTTGGCTTCTTCACACGACATGATGATGAATGGGACTGGTTAAGGAGCTTGATGACAATCCCAAGGATGAAGCAGCTTTTGGGACCAGAGTACAATGGCAAGGACATCGATCGGTTTGAGATCCCAGCGATAAGGGCTGTCCACTTCATGCTTCACGATCATTTAGACCGGTCATGGGGCGCAAGCAGCACTTACGACGGGCTTGGGAAGAACCTTTGCGAGTATATCAGAGCGAAGCACGTGGATATGCCGAACTTGTTCCTTCGCAGAGGTCGAGTTTGAGGTACCACTACTGGCCACCCTTTTCAAATCAGCGATCGACAGAATAGATGAACACTCTTGCTATCCAAATTGCGTGAAGATGTGTCAACCGTGCTCTGTTGCCTCTGCTTCGACAGCGCAACTACCAGGATTCTGTATTGTCTCTCGTGCTCAAATGCGATCATGTCGTCAGCGCCGCGCTAAGGATTTTTGCACGTGATCGGAATGCTCAGAGCTGAGAGAACTTCGTAAATCAATTATTTGCCACTGGAGAGCACGTTTTCAATCCACATTCGCGCTGAACCTCTTTACCTGAAAACGCGTCTGTGATTCGCACGTCTGCAGAGGGTCCAATAACCTCACACCTGGGCATGGTCTCGAATATCTCCGACCCACACTGCCCCTGAGAGCCTGGCCTGGCCAGAAGCCCGGGGTAACTTTGGGGAAAACGATTCCCGGAAGCCAGAACCGGCACGACGAACCTTGCTCACCAGTCTGCAAGCATGCCCCTCACGGAGATTCACTCAGGCATGCACCTCATGACTACGAGATGCCAAGCAGTAAGGATCGCTCTGTGGTCTGGTCGAGTCGATCGGCGGACGGGAATGGTGCAGCACTGCCGTCCGAGCCAGCCTGATAGGGTCCTGTCCTACTGTGGTTGATTGTGAAGTTCTGGTCTTGGCTAGTACAGACAACATTCATTCTCGACTGTGGCAGTGTTCACTGTACCTCAGCGGCACTCTTCCTGTCTCTCGCTAGAGTATAGATTCTGCCTATTCGAGACCAGCAACGATGGGTGATGCAGGAGAGCCAATACCCCGGGGAGGCCAGCCCAACATGGCGACAACTCACCCAGACATCTCATACGAATATCCAGAGGAACAGCCGACAGGCTCTTACAGAGTGCTACAGCAGTATCATTCGAAGCCATCGAAGATGCGTGTAGCGTGTGTGGGCGCTGGAGCGTCGGGACTTTGCCTTGCGTACAAGATGGAACGCATGCTTGTGCCAGACTCTTGGGAGCTCACATTGTTCGACAAGAACCCTCACTTTGGCGGCACTTGGTATGAGAACACCTATCCAGGTGTGGCCTGCGACATTCCATCGCATCTCTATACATTCACATTCGACCCAAATCCAGATTGGTCGTACTATTTCGCGTATGGGGACGAGATTCAGCGCTATTTCGAGAACTTTGCAGACCGATATGGCTCCCGGAAGTACATGAAACTCAACACCAAGGTGATCGAATGCAGATGGAACGACGACAAGGGATACTGGGACATCACGCTCGAAGACCAGAAAACCAAGGAGACTTGGAAGGACTGGGCGCACTGTGTTGTCAACGGGACTGGCATTCTCAATAACTGGAAGTGGCCAGAAATTGAAGGACTACATGACTTCAAAGGTCCATTGATGCACTCAGCGTCATGGAACCATGATGTGGACTTCAAGGGCAAGACAGCGGCGGTCATTGGCACGGGATCGACCAGCGTTCAGATTGTACCTCAACTACAACAGACATGTGAGCAAGTGCAAGTCTACATGCGAAGCCCGACTTGGATCTCTCCGCCATTCGGCGCAGGCGCCCTTTCGACCGATCTAGGACAGAGTGCCGAGAGCGATCCAGGCCACCGCCAGTACAAGTTCTCCGAGGCAGATAAGCAGCGGTTCCGGGACGATCCAGCATATCATCTGGACTTCCGGAAACGGATAGAGGCAGAAATCAATGGTCTCTTCGGCATGTATCGACAGGGCAGCGATCTATCACATCTCTTCCGGAAGGTCATCACTGAGGAGATGCACAGGCGGATGGGTCCCGGACACGAGGAGCTGAAGCAATTCATTATTCCGAAGTGGGCGCCTGGCTGCCGGAGAATCTCCCCTGGTGATGGCTACCTCGAAGCTCTCGTCAAGCCCAACGTGCAGACCATCTTTGGTGGCATCAAGAAGGTGACACCCGAAGGAATTGTCACTGAGGATGGTGTTGAGCACAAAGCGGACATCCTCGTCTGCGCTACGGGCTTCAACGTGGCTTTCAAGCCGGCGTTCAAGGTCATCGGCAATCACGGCAAGTCCGTTCAAGAAGATTGGGGAGACAGTGTGAATCTCTACTTCGGTGTATCTGCACCACGATTCCCGAATTATTTCACAATAGTGGGACCTGGAGCGACGTGGTCAAATGGCACGCTATTGTAAGCTATGTTCCTCTGTCCCACGTATCACATACTGACATGTATTGCAGGCCGAGCATAGAGACAACTATTGAATATTCCGTCAAATGCATGAGGAAGATGCAACATGAGACCATCAAGAGCATTGCAGTCAAGCAAGAAGCCCTCGATGACATCTACGCCCACTTCGACGAATTCCACAGGAACACCGTTTGGCAGGAAGAGTGTCGAAGTTGGTTCAAGGATGGCAAAGTGAAGAATCGTATCTACCTATGGCCTGGTCCGGTAAGTCCAGCGAGAATATTCCTGTGTGAATCACAGCTAATCGAGGTATAGACGATACATTTCCTCAAGACCATGCAAGAGCCAAGATTCGAAGACTATGACATCAAGTACAGGTATGGAAACAGATTTGCATTCCTAGGGAATGGCGACATGAAGGCACATCTTACAGGGGTATGTGAAAACCGGGCGAGACACCAGTCTCCCGGCCCTAGTTCTCACCGATACATGTTCTTTCTGACACGTGCTATAGGACACCATGGGTCTCGCGAGATACATCAGAAGCAACGACGACGACTGGGTTGTTGACTAATGGGCTGAGGTGGTGCGAGGTGATGGTTTTTGAGCATTTTCAGGGGTTCCGTGGTCAGACAGAGAACTTGTGTGCGATAGTGCAGAAACTTTTGGTGGGGTAGCACGCGTGCTATAGCATGACTGTTGGACAGATTTCAGGGCTCTTCAAGAAAGGCGCTATGTTTCCAAGCAGGTGTCTCTTCATGCTCGTGCTCGCACCGTCTGCTGAGCCTCACCACCCTTATGACTTCGCGCTGTCACTCTCCGAAGCCCAGATGATACCCGAAGCGAGTTTGCCAAAGAAGTCTTGCGCGTGGCCAGCAAGATGCTGACTCGGAAACGTCCAGCTATAGTGTGGATAGCCTGGGTAAGCGTCATACCTGACCTGCACACCAGAGCTCTCCAGCGCTCCTTTCATTAGTCGAGCATCGTCGCGCAAAGTGTCCGTGCCTGATTCTGTTATGTAGACCCTGCGAAGGGACTTGAGACCAGGGTGAAGCAGCGGCGAGAGGTATTTGTTGTCCTTTGGTCCGTTGTAGATGTCTGAAATCATGGTCAGCCGTGACTATCAGCAAGACTTCACCTCGACTCACTAAAGAAAGCCTCCATCGCGTCCTTCGTGTTGACTGTATGATTCGCATGCTCGTCGTAGCTTGTATAGTTTGCCTTCAAGTCCTCAGGCACCGCATCAGGATGAACAGTGACAGGCACCATGGCGACAACGCCAGCTACTCTGCTTCCCAGGCCCTCATCTGCTAACCTCAGAGCTGTCGAGATCGCCAGGTTTCCACCTGCACTCGCTCCGCTGATCACGATGCCCCGTTTCGGGTCGGCTCCCCACTCCCCGGCATGCTCGATGCAGTACTTTGTCGCCTCGTAGCAGTCCTCATGCGCGGCTGGCCAGACATGTGCAGGCGCAAGTCGATACTCGACACTCACGACGATTGAGCTGCAGGCTTTAGCTATGATCCGCGGAATGGCATCCTCCGCGTCAACAGAGCCCATAGCCCAGCCGCCTCCATGAATGTACATGGTCACAAGAGCATCTTTGGGAGCATTTGGAGGGGTGTACACGCGGATCCAGTAGTTGCTGTTCGGGTGGATGTCCTGTGTTGTGACCGAAGTGTCTGGTGCTGGGAAGGTGAGTTTGGAGGCGAGGACACCGACGAGAGCATCCCAGTCGCCGATGAGGTTGGAGTGTGCGGGACCGTGCAGGAGGGGAACTTGGTTGATCTCTTTGCAGAACTATGGCGAAGGTGAGTTAGTATTGTCCATCGATTATGGGCGACTTCATCGCCTCCTTTGCGTTCATGGCTATCGATGAGATGGGTGACGAGGAACTCACTTCTTTCCAGGGACCCGCGTAGATTCTCTCTTCGGTTTCGGTCAGCATATCGAGAATCGTTCAATTGGCAGTAGACGGGTTGAAGAATGTTAGGCCTCGTGATGGCCCAATGTCTGGAAGAGCTGTCTCGATAATTGTACACCTACTGTAGTGTAAGCCGGGAGACACGATCACGATAATTACTATCGTAGGATCAGAAAACGAATCCCCAGCGTGCTTCGAACGTCCGTCGTTTGAGCTGAGTTTGTCCTCAATGGTACGTCGTGATGCGTGGTATAAGATGGTATCCACTCCACTTGCATTGGTCATTGGCTGAAGGCCAATACGGGGCAGTCAGGCGAACCGAAGAGCTGCGGGCCCAGGGGCGTGTCGAAAGCCCAGGGTCTGGGAGTGCCTCGGCTGTCCATGGCTAACTTAGCCCGAGGCGCTAGGGAGAAACAACTACCACTTGACTTCCCAGTCTGTACTTGACAACCGTTTCCGGCAATCAGAACTTTGCCCGACCTTCATCAGCGGGTTGCCGACATAAGCAAGAACATGGCCAGCAACAACGACGTCGCAGCTCTGCTTGAGGAGGTGCCGTTTAAGAACTATCCACCTTGGGTGGTTCAAAAACTCCGCCCACAAGCTGTTGACTTGATTCGCAGAGTTCACAAATGGGTGGAAAACGAATGTATACCGGCAGAGCCGATCCTGAAGGCTCAGTTGGCTCAGGGAAAGTCGCGATGGGTCACGCCTCCTCTGATCTATGAACTTCGGAAGAAGGCCAAAGCCCAGGGCCTATTCAACATATTCCTTCCCAACCACTTCAAGGAATCCCCGGGATTGACGAATCTGGAATACAGCTGCTGTGCGGAGCTGATGGGACGAGTGTACTGGGCAGCGCAAACCATGAACTGCCATGCTCCGGACACCGGTAACATGGAGCTACTTGCCAAATACTGCAGTGAGGAGCAGAAACAGAAGTGGCTGAAACCACTGATGGACGGAGAGGCCTTCTCGGCTTACTCCATGACCGAGCCAGACGTCGCTAGCAGTGATGCTACGAACATCTCATGCCGCCTCACGCTGGACAAGTCGACAAATGAGTATGTCATCAATGGCAGAAAGCTGTATGGCAACGTGCTGTGGAACGACGAAGTCAAATTCCACATCCTCATGGCATGTAGCGATCCCGGAAATCCTAACCCCTGGCGTCGACACACGATGATTATTGTGCCGCGAGACACGCCTGGCCACAGGCAGGTTCGCAATCTGAGTATCATGGGTTACGATCAGTAAGTTCACATGCCGCTCCCGAGATATTACAAGCAAGTGCTGACCGCTTCCAGTGCTCCCGATGGACATGGAGAGTATATCTACGAAAACGCTCGCGTTCCAGCAGAAAATGTGATTTGGGGCGAAGGTCGGGCTTTTGATATTGCTCAAGGTCGCCTAGGCCCCGGTAGAATTCACCACTGCATGCGTCTCGTTGGCCAGGCAGAGCGAGCCTATGAGTTTGCTTTGTTGCGGTGTATGGATGAGCGCAAGAAGCCAAGAGGCAGGTTGATCGGCTCTTTCGACAGCAACATAGAAAGAATTGCCCAAATGAGGCTGGAGATCGACTCGATGAAGCTGGTAGTCATGAATGCTGCTGATACAATGGATATCAGGGGGAACAAGGCAGGAAGATATGTCATCGCCCAGTCAAAGATAATGGTCCCGGAAAAGCTGGCGGCGGTGATTGATGATTGTATGCAGATGTATGGCGGTCAAGGGCTTACTCAGCACACGCCACTGCCAGAGATGTGGACATACGCTAGGTTTGTGCGACTGGCAGATGGGCCCGATGCTGCTCATCGACATCAGGTCGGGCGTGATCAACTAAAGGCTGCCAAGAAGGAGAATTTGGTCAGCAAGTATGAAGGTTATCGAGACCGTGAACGCGATCTGCGGAAGTTGTGGAAGATGGAAGGGCTAGACGACGAGTTTGACTGGGAGTACATACCGTTGGCGTCAAGCAGCAAGTTGTAACTGAAGGTCATTAGGGAAATCCGAAGAGGAAGTTATAGATAGACTGCATCAGGCGCGTCTGCCTCATCATATTTTTCCAGGTTTCGAAGACGTTTCCAGTCTCACGGCCACTCAATGTAGCTTCGGTAGGAGTCAAGGCCATCGAGAACGTACCAATGTCCGCAAAGCGACGAGATGTGTGAGCCTTAGGCCGAGCAAGACCAGGCAGCGGTTCCCAACCACTTCGAAGACGTTGTATCGGCGATTGAAACCACTCATGTAAACAGCAGTAACGCTAGGATCAGACGTTGCTCAGCGAGAGACCTTGATCGCAATGAAATGTGTCCTTTACCTACACATGCGTAGATGATGCGATGTCTAGGCAGTGGAGGCTTTTGGCAGAGGATAAGCTAGTCGCGTCTGGTAACGACGCGACAAAGGGTCTATAAACACAGTAAATCAGCTTTGCGCAGGTCTTGCGTGGAAGTTGCTCTAGAAGCGCAGATTCTGACCGCATCTAGATATTGTGACATGGCAGGCATGTGTGTAGGTTGCTAGACAGGAGGTGACGCGAAGGAAGCAACACCTCAGGTCAAAGTGGATCCCCAAGACCACCCATTCCGCTGAGTCTGGCCAATAGGAGCGTCTAGAGGTCAGCCTCTCCTGGCTTTTACATTCTACCTTGACTATTTATCAGATGGGCATACTTATTGAGCGTTTCATTCGGTATATACGCGTCAACCGGTCGCTTTGAGACACACAATCGGCCTGGGCAAATCCACATTCTCTGACATTACCACGCCATTCTACGAACACTGTCTCGGATCTCTATTTCAAAGGCACGTGACGGAGCCATCACGATATTCACTTTAAACATTGTCCTGCCACATGATCTGGATTTCGTCAATGATGAATATGCCGACTCCAATTGAAAGTTCGTGGTCGTTCAGCATCTCGCCATGATGGCCGAGTTTTCCTTGCCTATTCTTACCAAAATCAACCCCCAGATACCCGCAGAGCTCTCTGCACACTTTGCGTGGAGTCGAGAACGCGACGTCTACCTGCAGAGGAGCTTTTTGCAACGAAACCTACGGGTATTTATTGATCTCCATCGAAAAGCTCGCGATAGGACTCCAACACCTGTAGGATTCGTGAACACGACGCCAAGGGAGACAGCACAACAACGTCCAGAAGTCGAAACTCGCTCACTAGACGGTCCTGTGGTAGAGGAGACTCCGCCTAGACCTGCTTCGGACCTGTGTGGCAAGCCTATGCTTGAAGCAGTTTCTAGAGATACGATCATGGTCAAGATCATGAAATCAGAGTATCAACCAAGCACAAGAAGGAGCCTGAGACATCTCACACGGGAGTTCGATGACGATGAGGCTGAGCTTACTTTCGCTCCTATCAGTATACGGAAAAAGATAAATTTCAAGGACAACAGACCAAATGAGAACGATCGCCCTGCAAAGAGAAGCAGGACGGATCCAGAGGTACAGAGTACAAAATGCCACTGTACGTTGACCATATGGGACAATAGAGACGGCATAGAAGAGTCTGCGGCAGCCTTGGCGGAAAAGCATATTGCGTGCACGGTCTTCTGGGCTCAATACGAAAGCAAGGGCCATGTTGTGGACATTCAGCCGGACAAGCCTTTTACCTTACGAGCGGGCGACCTCAAGATTCCAATTCGTAACGATATCGGCGAGTCAGAGTTGAGGATGTCCGACAAGTATTTCATGGAGATCAAGATCTGGCCGACCAGAGACATCAAGCTTTGGCCACCAATCCCTTTGTTAGGCAAAAGCGACGGCGATGTCAACAGACTGAACAGAGCAGCACACGGTCTGCTAGCTGGCTCGTTGGTCGCTAAATACAACAGTTTGCCTGACCTGCCCGACGCAAACACGCCAATGAGCATCTTCTACATTGATGAGTCTGGGCGTATGCTCAGGACCAAATATGGCCTTGAGGTTTCTGGATGCTGGAGTAAATCTAGCACTGCTTTCCCATCCTCTCCCGGGCTGCTCAACAACCAACTCTCCTGGACTTTTGATGACGAAGGTCGTTCCTTTGGTCGGGAGAAGCGAGCTCGCGCAGTGTCATTCAAGGAAAGCCCTCCAAAGCGTGTGCAGGTCGAGAAAGCTGTACCGATCAAGCAAACAACTCCAAAAATCTCATATTTCTGGGAGCCACCGTCCGAGGCTGCATCTTGGGAAGCACACGACGCTATGCAGATGACTGAGCTTACGGGTCTTGGATGCCCTGCATGTCCGACATTTGAGGGGCAAAACATTCTGGAGCTTCGATTCCATTTTGTCAATACCCACTACAGATTCAACTTCATCGTCAGCGACGAGAAGTACGATGCTACCTCCGGCGACCTCATCAGTGCATTGTTCCGGGTGTCAGACAGCCGCAGACGACTCGGCGACGAGACAGAAATCAAGTATGAGGCCAAATCAACGCCGTTCGATCTCTCGGCCTACCTCAACGGCGACAGTAGCTGGACTGGACAGAAGGATGGCCGTCCTCCTCAAAGGCCACAAAGGTCGCGTCTCGGGAACATCGTCCGGTTTGACTCGTCGGCGAGCGCGTCCATAAATGACTCGTTGCTGGTTCCAGACCCACTGATAGCGCTACGCAAGCAGAACAGAGGATACCTCCAACCAGACCAAGTTCCCGACTTCCGCCAGCCCGCTAGGCAGAAGTTCAAGCCCATTCAGCTCATCCGTCACACCGACAATAATACCACGATGTACGACTCGATCACACACCGCCGCATCGCGCCCTCCGAAGGAGAAATGTCCGAAACTGACGACGAGCGCGACGACGTATGGTATCTCCAACGGCACCTTGAAGACCTCGACATGGATGCCGAGCAGGTCAATCGTCCAGACGCGAAGCGCGAACTCTTCAGGCGATGGGACAGCCACCGCTTCAAAGAGAAGCTCGATCATATTGCCTTTCTGTCTGAGTCACTCTTCCGCTTCGTGAAGCAAGAGCGAGAGTGGCTGCGAGCTGGCGGACTAGAGCTCAAGCAGGCTTTTGGCACCTTCACGGCGAATCTGCTGCATGACCGACTCATCGACGAGCAAGTTGAGCGGCAGGTACGTCGTATGATCTGGGATTCCCACAGGGATGATTCCTCGCTCCAAAAGGCCGAGGCTGGATCTGGCAAGACATCGTCTGACCTACCGATGCATGCCCCCGAGAGTGCGGCCAAGACCGACCTTCTCGCAACAACGACGGACACGGCAGAGACACTCCAGCAGTGGCGCGCCTGCCTCAATAGTCTGCCTCGGGGGACCTGCGGTATCTGCTCGCAGCAGATTGACCAAGCTGCAGATACGTCAGTGGTGTGTACGGCAAGAAAGTGCGGTACCGCTTTGGTGAGATACCACTGGGCCTGCGTCAAACTCGATCCGCCTCCGAAAGCCAAGCCGGTCAAGGCATGGAAATGCATGGCTTGTCGGGTCGAAGCTATGCGGAAGACTGGAAAACTCAGCAACGATAACAGGAAGGGAAAGCTCAGTAACAACAATGGCAAGGGGAAGGGGAAGGCAAAAGAGCCTGCGTTTGAGATCGACCATGGCGAGATGGCCTTCGTTCTGATGCTTCTGAAAGATATAGACTCAGAAGGTTACGAGCAGAATAGAGCAGACATTGAAGGGCGGTTAGCTCTTGCTTCAAAGGAGGGAGGTCCGGAAGAGTTCCAGCGGGTCTCGAAGCAGATCGCTCGTGTCATGAAAGAGATGAACCCCCAGGGATACGAAGCGGCCAGAGAAGAAGCTCGACAGTGGGAAAGGCTGATGGAGATTGAAAATCGTATCTACAAGGGGTCGCCGGAGCGCGCGAAAGATTTGGCGCATTACAAAAAGTGTCGGGAGCAATTCGACCTTTGGGACTGCAACCTGCTTGCGACGGGCGGAGCAAACAAGCCCCCGAATGATTTGGTAGCATGAAAAGATCTCAGCAGAATCGTGGCGGCGGCGCGTACCATATATAGCTTAGAAAGCTTTGGCTGCATCTATGCAGCTAAGCAGCGAATCGAGATATTCTGAGGATCGTCGTTCTGGAAATAATTTTCATTTTCGGTCTTGCTTTTTTGAGGGCATCTTGAACTGCGTGACACGCTCCCGAGCTCAATGACCCTCGTGCTACAACTACACCACGCTCGGGCTACCCAACTTGCTTGGGCCATGCCTGCTTTCTGCGCAGCAGTCATCAGGTGGGGTGTGTGCTGCTCCGGCAGATCAGCCTACAGTGAGTGGTGGTCGTCTAAGCATCGTAACCCAAACTATTGTCCTAGGCGGCGATGAACGGGTCCAATTGAGGAGGTTTCGACCACTCGTGAGCTGGGTTTCCGTGAAGATTGCATAAGCCAGGGAGTATGACCATGGCTTTGACAGCCCACAGACGGGCCAAATGTCGAGCCGCTTGCGCTGCGTCTTGCTCAGCTCATAAGAATTCTTAGCCCTGCATCTCCTCATCTTCATCGGGCTCCTCGAAATCCTCGTCATCGTCATCTTCATCGTCTTCAGCATCCTGACCGTCGGCGCGCAGCTTTTCCTCGGCTTCAGCCCAGTTGATATCCTTATTCCGGGTGCGGCTACCGATGATGTTGCCAGTGTCGATTTCTTCCATGTCTTCATCGTCTTCCTCTTCTGAACAGGTTATGTTAGCGGTTGAGCTGCTTGAGAAGAACTTCGCTTTGGAGATGAGATGATCTGCAGGCATAGCTCAGGCGGAGCGCAGTCGCTGTAGGCTCATCCATGACCCGGAGAGATCAGGGAGATCGTCCTAGGGCTCTAGTTGAGGTGTAGCTTACCTTCGGGAGCCTGCCACAGTCATTAGCTGATATGTTTGCCAACGTTCATAAGGAATAGCTTACCTCCTCGTTGCCGCTCTCCTCTTCCTCCTCGTCCTCTTCAATCTCAGGCTGTGCAGATTGCGCGACAGACTTGCCCTTGCCCTTGACGTCCTCAACCCCGGCGGTGTCCTGGGGGACTGCTGAACCGTTGGCCGACATGTTTGCGGTGTGTCTGTGAGTGTAGTAAAAGAAGTGTGAGAGAGTTTCGGAGTGAAGAAGAGGTATCGCGATGGAGTAGATGCCCTGGTATGTGGGTTTCGCAAGGTAGGAAGTCGTATAAAGGATGCAAACAGTGGTAGGAAGAAGAGGTAGAAAGTTGGGTCATGGTTGCTGGAGGTCGCGAAATGCGGGCTGGTGGAGTCGCTCGCGACAGCACTAAGCCAAATCGGAGATAGTGGCATTTGACCGCCTTGTGGCGAAAAAGGTACCGATCCTGAGGAAAACATTGCATCAGATCATTTGAGATACATGAGCAGAAGAGATTGAATAGTCCAGATGGCAGGCGATGCTGTTGCTGCCAATGTGCTTGGAACGGCAGGAGCAATTTGCTGGTCTGTACAGGTAGGTGCAATGACTTGCGACCGAGAAGCTGCTGGCTCTGATCAACATTGGGAATCAGTTGATCCCTCAGATCATCATCAACTACCGCAGACATGACACTACCGGTCTTCAGCCAACTATGATGTTGTTGTGGGCATGCGCAGGGTGTCCACTCGGCGTCTATAACATTGTCTCCGACTTCAACATTGCTTTGCAGATACAGCCGCAGATCTTGACTTTCCTCAGTCTCTTGACATGGACTCAGTGTAAGTATTATGGCAGCAAGTGGACGCCAACGAAATGCTGTCTGCGTGCTATCCCCATCGGAGCGCTCATGGGTGGCGTGGAAAGTGGGCTTGTTCTCGGTCTCAGGGAAGCTAGGTCTGACAACGTGACCTGGCCAATAACCTTGATGGCTGTGTTGGCTGCGGTGCTGCTGTCGCTGGGCGTGTTGAGACACTACTGGGATATCTTCCAGGAACGTACCGTACGCGGAATCTCTTTCACCTTCGTCGCCATTGATGCGCTTGGCGACCTAACCTCGTTGATGTCGATATTCTTCGAGCCACATCTGGATATCCTTGGCATGGTCATTTATGGCTCGGAGCTGGTATTGTGGCTAGGTGTCATGGCTGCGGGGGGATACTACAACCTGATACCCTGGGCACAACAGAGACTGCAACAGTGGATGTCGAATCAACAGCAGCGCAGGCAGGCTACTTCAAGCCCGTACGAAATCACACACGCAAGGTCATCCAGTTCGGTATTCCAGACCGCTTCTGCCAACGGCGAACCATCTGAGAGCCTGCCCACCGCGATGAGGCTGCGAGCTGTGCCTTCTCAGGGCTGAGGCTATGGAACGAACACCACCAGCTACATATAGAAGGGTTGGAAAAATTCCTACAATCAAATGCCCTATGTTGCCATCAGCCACGAACACTGGGCTGCTGACGCAGACCTCGTCGTCTAGAAGACGTTGCATAGTCATACCAGGCTCTACATAGAAAGTCGCATTATCCACGGTGTCACGAAAATGATGGCTGTCACGCGTGTTGGGCTTCGCTGGGACAATCGTATGTGCCAAAGGCCCCAGCCACGTCAATCTCGCCGGGACCGCAGATGCTGATACAGTGGTCTGAGCTTTTCCCAGGCAACGTGGAGGACTTTCGGCCCGCAAAAGTCTTTGGTGTGCCCCGCTATGACCTCAGACTTGGCAATTTCAGTGGTTTTCGAAAAATTTCCATTAAGTTAGAAGACTGGCACGAGCAAACATCACGATCACAATGAGTTTGACACAACACCTGATGTCGGTCTATTGCAGTGTAGCAAATCTGTAGAAGATGGGAGTGCTTGAGTGAAGCAGCAGGCTAGTGCATGCACGAAGTTGCCTGATTGTTGTGGTGCAAACGTGAAAACCCTGGTCGCTTCTAGTAACTGCTGTGGTGGAAGCTTCCAGAAAGTGCAAGTGACAATCCTCTGCAGTGCAGGCATTCTTAAACACCAGCCCTCTAAGATTTTTTCTGTCGAACTTCCTCTTCATACCACACGATAAAACTACCCTGAACTCATTCGATTGAGTCTTCTTCTCTTCATACGCAACACTAAACCGCAACGCATACCCACAGCGTCTTCTTTCCACCACCACACACTTCACAATGGCTCCGGCTATCGGTATCGATCTTGGTACGACCTACTCGTGCGTAGGCATCTTTCGAGATGACCGCATTGAGATTATCGCCAATGACCAAGGTAACCGCACAACTCCCTCGTTCGTCGCTTTCACCGACACCGAGCGTCTCATCGGCGATGCCGCGAAGAATCAGGTCGCCATGAACCCCCACAACACTGTCTTCGATGCGAAGCGGTTGATTGGCCGCAAGTTCAACGATGCTGAGGTACAGGCTGATATGAAGCACTTCCCCTTCAAGGTCGTCAACAAGGCCGACAAGCCAGTCGTTCAAGTCGAATTCAAGGGCGAGGACAAGACCTTCACCCCAGAAGAGATCTCAGCCATGATCTTGACCAAGATGCGAGAGACTGCTGAATCATACCTCGGTGGCACGGTCAACAACGCTGTTGTAACAGTCCCTGCCTACTTCAATGACTCTCAACGTCAGGCTACCAAGGACGCCGGCCTCATCGCTGGTCTCAACGTTCTTCGAATTATCAACGAGCCAACTGCGGCTGCCATCGCCTACGGTCTCGACAAGAAGTCCGAGGGTGAGCGCAACGTTCTCATCTTCGATCTCGGTGGCGGTACTTTCGATGTCTCCCTCTTGACCATTGAGGAGGGTATCTTTGAAGTCAAGTCCACTGCTGGTGACACTCACTTGGGTGGTGAAGATTTCGACAATCGTCTGGTCAACCACTTCGTGAACGAATTCAAGCGTAAGTTTTCCACTTCAGAGTCCGCCTCAACGGTTGCTAACGGTATTTCAGGGAAACACAAGAAGGATCTCAGCAGCAATGCTCGCGCCCTCCGTCGTCTTCGCACTGCTTGCGAGCGTGCCAAGCGTACCCTCTCATCATCCGCACAGACCTCGATCGAGATCGACTCTCTCTTCGAGGGTATCGACTTCTACACCTCCATCACCCGTGCTCGCTTCGAAGAGCTGTGCCAGGATCTCTTCCGCTCCACCATGGAGCCGGTTGAGCGTGTCCTGCGCGATGCCAAGATCGACAAGTCCTCCGTCCACGAGATCGTCCTCGTTGGCGGTTCCACCCGTATTCCTCGCATTCAGAAGATGGTTTCCGACTTCTTCAACGGCAAGGAGCCCAACCGATCCATCAACCCCGACGAGGCCGTCGCCTACGGTGCTGCTGTCCAGGCTGCTATCTTGTCCGGTGACACTACTTCCAAGTCTACCAACGAGATCTTGTTGCTCGACGTCGCACCGCTCTCCATCGGTATCGAGACTGCTGGCGGTGTCATGACTGCTCTCATCAAGCGCAACACCACCATTCCCACCAAGAAGTCCGAGACCTTCTCTACCTTCTCTGACAACCAGCCTGGTGTCTTGATCCAGGTCTACGAAGGTGAGCGTGCTCGCACCAAGGACAACAACCTGCTCGGCAAGTTCGAACTCTCCGGTATCCCGCCCGCTCCTCGTGGTGTCCCCCAGATCGAGGTCACATTCGATGTTGATGCCAACGGTATCATCAACGTGTCTGCTCTCGAGAAGGGCACTGGCAAGACCAACAAGATTGTCATCACCAACGACAAGGGTCGTCTGTCCAAGGAGGAGATCGAGCGCATGTTGTCCGAGGCCGAGAAGTACAAGGCTGAGGATGAGGCTGAAGCTGGTCGCATCGGTGCCAAGAACGGTCTCGAGTCATACGCCTATTCGCTCAAGAACACCATTTCCGACTCCAAGGTCGAGGAGAAGCTCGATGCTTCCGACAAGTCTACCCTCGAGGCCAAGATCTCCGAGACCATCAGCTGGCTCGACGAAAACCAGACTGCTACCAAGGAGGAGTATGAGGATCGCCAGAAGGAGCTCGAAGGCGTCGCCAACCCCATCATGATGAAGTTCTACGGTGCTGGTGCTGGTGGCGCTGGTGGTATGCCTGGTGGCATGCCCGGTGGTCCTGGTGGTTTCCCTGGTGCTGGCGGCCCTGGTGGCGCTCCTGGCGGCAACGACGGCCCGAGTGTCGAGGAGGTGGACTAAGCCATCGTCTGTAATCATCACAGTGACCGTCTAGCCACATCACAGGCAGATTGGTCCAGATTGACTTCTTCGACTACGACGACGAAAGGCGTTCAGGAGTTTCAAAATGGGAAGATACCTCGACAAGTGTGGGGCAGCGCATAGCATAGATTTCCTGCATACGAAGTTCTCGCCAGACGGCTGGCTGGGAATGAATGAATGAAAGATTCCAGATTCATACCATGACCTTGACTCTTTCCCTTTCGCTACCTGCTCCTTGCTCCTGGTACGTCGTACCTTCTTGATGAACTGTGATAGCTGAGACCATGACACGCCCAAACCCCTTGTCGCAGGCCAGCCCTCACTCCGCCGTGTCTCTCTGCGCCAGGGAGGGCGCTGAGGGTGTGTCATTTCTTGGCTGGTCTACTCAGTGGGCTCGAGATGAGCCTCACCAAAGGGTCAACTAGCAGGAATAACCTATCGTGGATCTTCTGTCCAGGGACCGCGTTGCAGGAAAATTTTATACAAAGAAGTTACATGCACGCGCGGTCCTACGCAACTCTAAGTGTTCGTGCTGGAATGCAATTTCCATGTGCCCGCATATCTCCACAGAGAGATCTATCATCTCTGGTGGCCTCCCAGGCGTCTGTGGCGTGGTCCTGAGCCTGGCAAGTCCTTTGCCTATGTCCCCCACCCCACTGGCTTGCCGGCAGCTTGGCATCTGAGCCGAGCTGTGTTTCTGTACGTCTCTCATTCATTCCTATGTTCAGCACGATCTCTGCCTCGACGGACTTGAGGCTTGCTTGTCTTCTGCTTGAGATTGCCGGCCCTAGCTTTGACACCTGCGCATGTTGTATGACTCATCAGAGGGGCGCTTTCCGCGCCGAGCTTCACAGGGTGGTCGCTGCCATGCTCTCACAACTTCATCCCCGGAAGGAGCTCTACAAGCGGCCCAAGGGGGACTACGGTTTGACGACCACTTCAGCACTGGTCGTCAAACTGATCATGGCTTGCATCTCAACGGTGACTTCATGACCACTTCTTTGTCCCTGCTCGCGACAGGTTTGTCGCCTGGAGATGCGGAACCTGGTGAAAGCTTCGATGAAGTACCTGGTTGCATGCTAAGCTTCAAAGACTATCGTGAAGCTGCAAAGCACACAGCATATGATACCTGAATTCTTCCTGAATCCTTATGGAGCTCAAGTGAGTCACACGCCTTGTCACCGAGTCCTTCAATGACTGGACCGCTTGGACGCAGGCGGCTGCCTGGATGCCTTGCAGGTATATAACAAGTGATGTTTGCTCTGCAGCAGGCCACTTTTTCTTCACCACCTCGGTCGCCTTTCTTTCTTTTTCAAGCCCTCTACTTCGTTCTTTCAAGGTGGGCACACAGTCAGTCTCGGTATCAGGCTGAGCTTAGGATATCGCTGGAATTTCGCTGAGCGGCAGCAATCATCGATATGGCGTTACATAGCCGTCTGCTACACGACCTGGCAGACCTTCAGAAGCACCCCTACCCAAACATCGCCTTCGTATCGCACGAGAACAATGTTCGTAAGGCATGTCTCATCTTGGGCGCCGGCGACCGCGAGCCACTGCATCTGACTGTAACCTTTCCAATCACCTACCCTCTGATCTCGCCCACGATCAGCATCGATAGTACCGTCAGACACTTCAATGTGTTCTCTGACTATATCTGTGCATCGATCCTGAACACCGACGAAGACTGGACTCCTGCTTACACCATGAAAGCCATCGCCATGCAGCTTCTGAGCTTCTTCAGCAGCGATAAGCTGGAGCAACAGCATGGTCGACCAGGCGCTGCAATCAACCTTGACGAGTTCCGTCTTCCAAATGGCAGCTGGCAAGCTCGCGGCGGAGCAGTGCAATGTAATGTTTGTGGCTACGATCGACCTCATTCCCTGTATCAAACAAGCGATCCTGCCGCTTGGAAAGCGTGGGCTGTCAGTATGCGCAGTCGCTTTGGATTTCCTCCTTTCGCTGGCGAGATTCAGACACAATCTGCCGTACCTTCTCCTCGTTCTATCGATCTGATGGACATTGACTACGATGAAGCATTTCCACCAATCGGTCAGTCTCCAATCAGCAAGGTCACGGCATCGTCGAATCACAAGGAGGCAACTACGTCTCAGGAGGGCGCCGTAGAGCCCGTCACTTCGGCGCCCAGTCTCGTTGATGGTGCTCCCAATGAGGCTGCTGTAGAGCATGCGAGTCTGGCGCCTGGCCCGATTGATAAGCTTCCGGCGGAGATTCTTGTTGCCATCTGTGATAGGATGGACGATGAGACTCTTATGACCTTCATGAGGTCTTGGGATCGTATTGGCAGCAAGTCTGGTGTGGTTGCTCAGTTCAGCATTCTTCGGAAGCGAGATCTGCGATGCTTCGTGCTCAAGAAGTCCTTTGCTGAGACTCGGCTGGGCACAGGTGTCGCCATCAACTTCGGTAGAGGTCGTCAAGGCGAGCTCTCGTCCGAATTCGACCTCCTGTCCAAGACGGCTTTCGATGATCATGGCATTCGTGAATCGGTCATGGGCCTGCCCTTCAGCAACTTCCTCCCGTTGCCGATCAACCAGCGACACTACAGTTCAGTCAAGGATGAAGTCCTCACTTCACTCGCTCAGCTCGGCCAGAGCGCTCAACTCTCATCGACAGCGCCTTCCGACGTGGTCATCTCGTTCATGAACGACATCGTGGTCAAGTTGTGCTCCGACACCAAAGGTGTAAGCGACGCGAGCGCACTCGGCCGAGCATCCGAGCGAGCTATCGAAAGCTACTACCACCTCTTCCACCTGCTCCTCTGTCTGGCCACAAGTAACACTGGAATCGTCCGGGCGATCAACATGACCGTCAGCGGCCTTCTTAAATCCAAGCCACAATCTGACAAGACGACGATCCCCAACCTCGGCCACCTGCTCATCGCGCTCCTCCTCACCGACCACCCAATCACCGAGAAGATCCTCAAGAACCTCATCCAAGAAGCCATCACCCGCAACGTCGTCTGGATGCTCGACCAGCAAAAAGGCTCGGGCATGGTCGAACTCGCGTACCTCGAGGCCGACCCTATCTCCTACTACCGCCTCAAGAAGACTTTCGAAGCCAGCCGCACCTCCTACACCCTCTTGATGTTCCAGAACCTCTTCCGCCAGACCATCAATCGTGGCACCGGCACAGCACGCAAGTCTCTAGTGACAATGCGCGACGAGCTCTTCCAAGCACACGGTGGCCCTCCCAGAGGCACAGCGGAGCGTCTGGCGAAGAAGATTGGCGAGCTTCAAGCAGTGGACAACTTCAGGGACTTCATCCAGCACATGGGTGTCACACTCCCGAGCCAGCAATTCTTCACTTCTTTCCTACGAGGCTGCGTGGTTGGGAGTGTGGAGAAGGGCTACTCGCGGTGGGGTGTCAGTCAGGAGAGAGCGTACCGGCTTCGTGTCCAGCGGGATCCGACGGTTCAGCCGCGGCTCAGCTGGCCGGACGGCATGCTTGAGCCGAAGGGCCCAGATATCGTTGAGTCCTTCTTCCCGAATGGTGGTGGGCGTGGTGGTCGAGGTGGTCGTGGTCGAGGACGTGGTGGGCGTGGTGGTCGAGGTGGCCGTGGCTACTAAGGTGTAGGTGGAGATGGTAAGGGTTTTGGTGAGGACGATGCAAACCATGCAACGGGGAGTCCTTCGATGGAACTTCCTGCTGCACAGTGTGATACCCTAGTGAATTTTTTAGCGAAGGCGTTCAAGGAGAAGAGTCTACTGACTCACAAAATGGATGTGCTATTGGGAAGCTGAAGCTGGCATGCTTCGCTTAGCGGCAGCAAAGAGACATTGGATTGCCCTCCAGTGAGCGATAGCTAGACGATAAGTCGTGTCTCAAGCCTCCCATGCATGTGCTACAATCAAAGTCATCTCATAGACATATCTCCGTTGCACATGGATTCGTGTGCGCCGTGTGACAAGAACACATCAGACTTGCCATAGTAGATGGTGCACTTCGAGAACACACTTCAGGTCGGGCGTGATACAACGCAAGCAGCATATCAGCCGTCTTGCTACAGTGCAGTTGAATATACCCGCAGGACGGGCTGACATACGCTTTCATACGCTGACAAGACCGGAGGATATGGTCCTTTGGCATCCGCGAAGACCTTCTATCTTCTTAGCAGACGAATGACAGCAAGAGCGAATGGAAATTAATCTTTCCCATGGGAAGTCCTTCACGGCATCTCTAATGAGTGAGAATGCGCTCCCTTCAATTGCCTGTCGGCCTGTCAACCGGCTTGACCTAAACTCAGGTGAGACCGGATGACTAGCACCACCACTCTTTGCAACGCGACTCGTTAACCTCTGTCGATGACTGGCAGGAGTCGAAGTTGCAGCAGCTTGAAAAATTGTCACGGTCTTCTGCACCGTAAGGTGGAGACATCAAGTTGTTTGTCCTCGTCCTCGCATAAATTTCGTTGCAATCTCTCATTATCCCATACAGCCACGGAGCGCCGCTATCCCGCCGTTTCGGCATTGCCGTGGCCTAAACCCCATTCGTCGTTTCACTGCCTGCAGGGCCTCCGCTGTTACAGAATTTCTGCGATCTCCAACTTTCGCTGGGCCTGAGAAGAGATCTCTTCGCGGTCTTTTCTTTCTCACGCATACCAGTACTCTAAATCCAGCAGACATACCGGGAGCACTCCAACGGATAAGATGACTACCACCGGGACCGATGACGGGCAAATCAAAGCTGCCTTCGAGGAGCTGGGCGCACTCGAGAACGAGTTTGCTGATGTTGAGCTTGACGCTTGTAAGCCATTTCTTCTCCTCTACTCCCACGGCCAATGCCTGCTCTTGTGGTGTTGCGCCCAGGCTTGCTCGCTGTCAACTTGACTGACACATGCCCTGTGAATAGTGAGGCGCAAGGAACACTCCCTCACACCCCTCTACGCTCGCCGAGCGCCCATCCTTCAACGCATTCCAGACTTCTGGGCCACAGTATTCATGAACGCGCCCGAGGAGATCTCAGGCCTGTATTCGTCCGCCGACATCTCAGCCATCGCCGCCATCAAAGACTTCAAGGTCGAGCGCTATGCCATCTCCTCCGAGACCGAAGGCGAGCCGCGCAGCCTCCGGTTCACCTTCGATTTCGCCAGCAACGATAATTTCGGGGCATGCACCTTGGTGAAAGAGTTCGAGTACAAGGCATCGACAGACAGGCGTGGCGGACCAGGCGCATTGGTGAGCAAGGCGGTGAAAATCCCTTGGAAGAATAAGAAAAGTGATCTGACGAAGGGAATGTTGGATATGGCCGTTGAGTTAGAGGCTGCTGAAGAGACGATGAAGTTGAAGAAGGGCGGCGAGGAGGTCGAACTGGTTGAGCGGGAGGGTCTGTGGCAGTACGGAAAGTTGAGAGAGGCGATCGAGAAGAGCGAGGACGCGGGTGATGAAGAGCCGACGTTTTTAAACTGGTTCGGTTTCAGAGGTGCGGTCGAGAAGCGGAGCGAGACCAAGGAGGCCAATGGTGATGCCGTGGATGAGGACGATGAGGAGGACGATGAGTGGGACGATGGTCTGCTTGACGTTGAGATCTTTCCGGCTGGTGAGGACCTGGCTATCGCCTTGGCCGAGGACCTCTGGCCTGAGGCCATTGACATTTGGAGTATGTTCCCTCTCTTGTTTCCGCCATGCTCGATTTGCTGACTGCCACAGTGCAAGCCAATGCCGACGATGAAGATGACGACAGCGAAGGATTCGAAGGCTTCGAGGAGATGGAGGAGGACGGTGATGAGGCACCTGCCCTCGTGAAAGCCGACGATGAGGAAGGCGCTGAGGACGAGAAGCCACCCAAGAAGCGTGTGCGCACGGGATAATGGCGCAGTTCGGTCGTTCCTGCCGTGAACGGACCCTCGTTCTGCTCGTTGCTTCCTTTCAATTCCTTTGCCTGACTGTACAGGCTTGCTCGATACCCCTGCGCCGCCACCAACGGCGCCCAGAAGTTTTCTGCGTCAGCGGCCGATGCTGAAGCTCTGATAGATAGACCGTCTGCCAAGTTGAGTGATCTCAAAGATCCTGGATTCAAATCCAAAAGCAGTTCCCATTGCCCAGCAGTTCCCATTGCCCAGCAGTTCCCATTGCCCAGCACTTCCTCCTCATATCACAATGACCAATATCAGTAGCAGTATGAGGACGAAGATCAACACCGCAATACAACAACTACTCAAACCATCCTCGTTCTTCCTGATCACCTCCCCCACCCTCTTCACCCCAACCTGCAACTTCCCACCCACCCGATCCGCCAGCGTGTCAACATCCTCCAACATCGCCCCTTGCTCTTCCAATTCCCGGCCCATGTCCTCTGCTTGATTGCGCAGGACACCTACTGACCGGAACACGCCGTCCAATTGCTGATCCTGCTCTTCCATCATGACTTGTTGCTGTTGCTGCTCGAATTCCGCGTTATAGTCCGCGTCCTCGTCATCGTCAGGGGTCGAGGTTCCGCCGGCGGCCGCGTCTCCGCTCGTCGTACTCATCATCGACCTCGAACGCGCCAGGCGACGGTAAGCCTTGCGCGCCGGCCGCTATATTATTTCCGCCGCTGCTCTGATCAGCCAACTCCCGCCTCATCCCCTCTACCTCTCCCGCCGTCTCCCTTACGAAACCTTTGCGCCTCCCCACCTCCACCGTGTCCAGCCCGAAGCGGTATGGGTCATCCTCAACGGCCGCTATTGACTCCAACAAGTCCTGCAAGTCGGCGGATAAAGTAGCGAGGTTCTCCTCTAGATCAGTGCGCGCTTGCACCAGTTCTTCTGATTTCTGGCTCGGACGCGCGGAGGCGAGAGTGCGGATGCGCAGATACGAGGAGAAGAGGGTGCGGGTCTGCGTGAGGGTCGTCTGCACGTCGGACTGTACGGAGAGAAAGGGATCATCGTTGTTGGCAGAGGCCATGGCTGGCCGAAGGGTTCGACGTTGTGGCTCAGAAGAGCAGGGCGGATGTGTTGTGGAGCATTCGAGACTCTGACGGGAAGCCGTGTATCTCTGTCTATCATGTACGAGGAGGTCAAGTCAAAGTCCGGGTGTGCTGGTGCCTTGCGCGTTTGTGATGGCGCCGTGCGGTGTTCATTGGGATAAAGTCGGGATGGCAGTCAACCGGTTCCGCGCGATCGACCAAGTCTCCCGGCGATAGATAAGTCCTAATGGCATGTCAGTTGCGTCAGCCGGCGTCTCCAACGTTACTCCGGGGAAGCGGCGTTGAATGCGGAGATTTGCCCCCTGTTCCCAACCTACCGTCTTCTCCTCAGAAGCATGATCTTCGATCCAACCGTTGCAATGACTTTCCATCGTCATCAGCCGCAATATCTGTACGACTGCCCAGGTTCAGCATTTCAACATCGCTCTATTCACTCCTGTACACCGGTCCGTGGGCGACACCGCCCATCCAGAAACCGCAAATGGCACCAGCATGGCGGAGATGAATCGCCAAAACTACCAACCCCATGGCCGATGGGAAGGCGTTCGTTATGCCCCTACTATGTACTTCGTACCGTGACCTCAGGTAACCCCATGTTCCAATGCTCCACGTGCCCTGCCGCAAGCCACCCACGCCACTGTAGATCCTTTGGCGATGCAGCAGACGCACTTTTCACGATGTTCAAGATACCGCACGATGGCGGATCCCCAGTTTGCTAGTGCTTAATTTGACATTAGGTCTTGTTACGCCTTTGTTATCGTGTCAGTCAACACGTTCACGACTTCTATACAATGATGCCACGGACTTACTATCCTACAAATCCGGTGACGATGGTTATATCATGTATACATGGATCTCTTCCCCAGATTCTACTTCCTCCACATCCTCCACCTCCACGATGGCGAAATTCCAGTACAACATCTACGGTCGTGGTCGACCCCTGCGATGGGCCATCACATTCGCCTGCCAACTCGCCTTCGTCCTCTTCGGCTATGATCAAGGCGTCTTTTCAGGCATTGTAGGTAATCAGCATTTCCGGGAGACCTTCGGCAACCCTGACGACAGTCTCACTGGTATCATTGTTTCCATATACAACCTAGGATGTTTCAGTGGATGTATTCTGAACTTCTTCATCGGCGACTATCTTGGTCGGAGATTGGCAATGTGGTTCGCAATGTGTTGGATCATCGTGGGAGCTGTTCTGCAGACATCCGCTTTCTCTGTTCCCCATATCCTTGTTGCGCGGTACATCACAGGTACGGAAACTCTTGTGCAGCGAGCCAAGTACTGATCCTTGCAGGAATTGGCACTGGCATCGAGACATCCACAGTGCCCATGTATCAGGCGTGAGTCCCCTAACCCTCGAAGATTCCTCACGTCCGACACAAGTATTGACACACATGCAGCGAACTCGCGGAAGCCCATCGTCGCGGCCGATTGGTGTGCTCAGAGCCACTCTTTGTCGGAATCGGCATCGTCATATCCTACTTCTTCGACTATGGCATGTCATACGTCAATGCGCCCCCTGGTATCGCCTGGCGTCTACCGATCGCCTGCCAAATCATCTTCGCTTTCATCGTCGTTGGTATGGTCTTCGGTCTCCCGGAGAGCCCGCGTTACTGCTATCAAAAGGGTCGCCACGAAGAGGCCATCAAGATCCTCTGTGACGTCTATGACGGCACGCCCGAAACTCCCAAGATTGCGCGCGAGCAGCAAGAGATCATGGAGGCTCTTGAGGTTGAGCGAGAATTTGGCGAGTACAAGTGGCGTAACATTCTCACCAAGGACAAGGTCCAGACTGGTAGACGTGTCTTGCTTGCATACGGAAGTGAGTAATGGCGGTATATGTTGCTGTTGGAGCATTGCTGACGGTACCACCAGTGCAATTCATGAATCAGATGGGCGGGATCAACCTTGTCGTCTACTTCGTCCCCACCGCCCTCCAAGAGAACGTCGGCCTCTCACACAACACGGCACTTCTCATCGGCGGCGGCGTTCAGTGCATGTTTGTCCTCGGCTCGCTGTACCCGACCTTCTTCATTGATCGATCCGGCCGTCGACCGCCGATGATATGGGGGTCCATTGGCCTCGGTATCAGCATGATGTAACAGAGCTTCTGCCCCAAACCACATACCAGACTAACTCTTCCCAGGATGATCTCAGTCCTTCTATCATTGAACAAGCAGGCCGCAAGCTCAGCTTCCATCGCCTTTGTGAGTTCACCCATCCATCCCAGGACCACAGCCCAAGCACTCGCAGCGCTGCACATCCAGCGCCCCTCCCTCTTCGCACTCGCTATCTCCTCTAACACCACCCACAGTTCTTCACCTACATGCTAATTTTTGGCGCTTCCGTCAATTGCGTCCCCTGGTGCTACGTTCCCGAGATCCTCCCCCTCCACGCCCGCGCCAAAGGCACCGCCGTCGGGATCTCCTCCAATTGGCTATGGAACTTTTTCGTCGTCATGATCACCCCCGTCATCATCAACCGCCTTCAATGGAAAGCCTACCTGATCTTCATGTGCCTCAATTTCGCATTCGTCCCGCTCGTGTACTTCTGCTACCCGGAGACGGCGAATTTGACGCTCGAGGAGATCGATTTCATCTTTGCGGATCATAGTAAGAGTACAGTCAAGGTCAGTAAGGAGTTGTGTAAGGAGAGGATGAAGTATGGGGGTGCGAGGAAGGGGAGTTTTGTGGAGCAGTTCCATAGTGATGAGAGGGAGAGAAGGAGGAGCAAACGTGGTGATAGTGAGGGAACGGCGGTCGCGGAGCATGAGGAAGAGAAGAACGTTTAAGATGTTGGTCTGCTGGACTCGAGGTTATATGAGTCGGCTTTCTTTTGCTGACTGGTTCAGCACATCAGCACGCCAGTTATTGAATAGCAACCAGCAACTTCATGTATTTTGTTGCTGCGAATCCGTCAACCGGTCTGGGTGGAGACCCCCGAGACTTCTACTGCAGCAGCAGCGAGTGGATGACGGCATTTGCACCTGCCTCTCTGGAAACGTACTGAGGCAGGCGCGACCGGGTGATGGCACTCGCACTTGCTTCTTCAAATACTAACTGCAGCAGGAGCGAGCAGTCGTTCGCACCTGGCTTTCCAAATTACTCTCTGTGGCAGTAGCGACCAAACAATCGCACCCGCGCCTGCTCTTTCTGTTTGACCTCCACGGCAGAGGCGAACAATTGATGGCATTCGTGCCTGGTTCTTCTGGATACTTGCTGCGGCAGGAGCGACCAGGCTTCCGTACCTGCCGCGCCGAACGCTTCTCGCAGCAGGGGCGACCGAACGACAGCATTCGCGCCTGCGCCCTCCGGAAACTATTCACGGCAGGGACGACTGGACGTGCAGGATTTGCTCTGTTCCGCAGGTGCCACATAGAACACTTCTTGGAGGCTGGGTCAGTTGCCCCAGCGGTTTTCAAGCTATGTCAAGGAAATGCTCTAGCAGCCAACTCAAGCTGAGAATTCCCCATCCCGTCAGTGCCTATAGCTTGAAGCGCGGATTGTACTGCACCTGTCCAAGCCTCACGGTCCCCTCTGGATCTCCGGAGATCTGTGAGCATTTCCACGATTTACCGCGACCCTATCGCGCTGGGGAACATTGTCCCATATACACTCCTCCGGCGAACGCGGTCTACAGTGTGCCAGAAGCGCCATCGATGCTTCTGAGCCCAAGGAACACGTCCTTCCACTCTATTCCTGGCGTACCGGGTTCCAATAACTCCCCATCTTCATCATGTGCTGCATCGCATCCGTCTGGTTTCTACAGCTCGGAGAATCATGGTCCTCCTTACTGCCCCAAGGCCATATGGCAACAAAGCACAACTCATCTATCTCACAGGCTCTTTTGTCGCCGCAAAAGGACCACTGTGGCCAGCGAAGGTAGTCCATCAGTGCATGGAGATGCTCTTTTTGGCCTTGTAGGTCGTCCGCCAAGGATGGTTGCGCGACGATGTCGTGCAAGGTGGTGCATATTTGCTTTGCGACTGCCGAGATGGCTTCATGGGACATTGGCCCCGCATCCTGCGGACTTTGGGTGAGGTGTGGGGGTATGAAGCCGTTGATACAGCGGTCGATGGCTCCGTCACTGCCCCTTAGCGTGTCAGCATCGTCATCGAGGTAGACCATGTACATGTCTTCTGCTGCACTTCTGAGCTCTTTGGCATCGTCGAAACTCATCAGGTACTGCAACCGATTTGCATACCTGGCAACATATAGGTCTGCGACAGCTTGCCAGTCTGTGGCATCGCCACTGCTGAGTGCGGAGTCTTCAGTAGCGACGCGACTCATCACCAGATCCTTCACCTGCTCGTTGAGCCGATAAGCGATCTCGTCTGTCACGCCACTCAAGTCCGGCAGCTTTCCGTCGATACTCTTCCCGAACAGGTCCAGATCAGGCTCAGAATACGCAGTAACCCACCGGTCTGTCCAGACCCCTAACCGATCACGTCCGATGCCCCACCACCTGTCTTCGCCAATAGCTTTCAGGAACTGGAAGACACCGCCCACATGGGCGGTGCCGCCGGTAACGCTTCGGCTTTTGCTCACAGCACTCTCAAATTGAACCTTTGCGAAGTCGCACAGAATAATCTCAAACCCATGCTCCATCCTGACAAAGCCGTCGATCTTGCCATTCCATTCGGTCTGAGCTAGATCGCACAGTCCAGTCGCACGCGAGACTTCTCCACGCATGGGATCTGGTGGTCCAGGACGGTATGACGAATTTCGCAGCAGGACGTCATCTTGCGAAGCAAGCGTGCCGAGATCGCATTTCGCTGCTGACATGCCATCGATATAGAGAAGGTGGAGGTCTGAGATCGGTGAGTACCTGTGCAGATACCCGGAGTCGATGCAAAAATGTTTGGGGAGACGTGGCGGGCCTTTTGGAGGCGGAGCAAGTATACTTTGCTGATCCCGTGGACGAGGGTCGTCATTGTGTGGCAATCGCAAGTATGGTCCATGTCTAGAGTCTGGTGGACAGATGCAGCCATCCGGAAACCCCTGCTGCGTGGCGCTGCTAGCATAGGCGAACAACTGCTCTGGGCTGAGCCACCACTTTGCACTTCCGTCAGAGCTGATCAGGTGTTCTGGACCTTTGGCTCGCGAGTCGGAATGACTTTGATCTGGCAGCTCACAGACCCGAATGGCAAAATTGCTGGCATGCTCTGGCTCAAAAGCCAGCCATTCGAACCCGCTCTCGACTGGTTGCTTACCTCCTCTGCCGTGGTAGAGGCGTGTACCAGCGGGCACTGTAGCCAAGAAGTACGACACGCCGTTATGGTTGAGACTCGATGGGAACTGGCGGCCGGCAGACACCAGTGTACGAAAGATGTGCTCTGGATTGGGTAAGCTGGTCTCGTGGATTTTCTGATAGCTCCGTGCTGCTGATAGTGAGTATGCATGGATAAGATGCGCTTGGTAGCCCTGTGGGGCTAGCCATATAGAAAGCAGCACAATGGTCTTCGAGATTGGAGGTCGCATGGTGGCGCGCTTTCGTACGACGCCCGGCTGTTCTTGGCCTTAGTCCATGTACGCCCGGACAGTAGTTGAGAGGTCATTGTCGTGGACCATGTGCTCGATGTTGTACTCTTGAGATAGTAATCAGTTATGACGGGCGCCTGAATTGGGCGCCGATCTGTCACCGACGATTCCCCATTGGACGGCTAGCGAAAGGCCCTTATGGGGTTGGCTTCCCCACTGTATGGTTGGGTTACGACTGGTCTCTCATGAGCCACGTAAGGTTTGCGTACTCATTCTCCTAGTCTCATACGCGTCGAACAACGATGCGTGCCATGGAAGGGGTCCGTCCACCTGCGTCGTTCGAGGCAACTGGAATCTTGCCTCGATAGCCTGGCATCCCTCGTTTCCGTCATTGTGATTGAGGGGGATTAGTGAACGCCGTCCTACCGAGCACGTTGAGCAGGAGGTTGCATTATCAATCTGCTTTCTTCACAAGCGCGAATCACGTCGTGCGACTCATGCACTGCAGGCCTACGGCCGCAAAGCTTTAAGCGGCCGGCCCTCATGATGAAAAGCACGTGCCGCGCAACGGTACTCTTTCGGGGCGGCAAGTTCAGCTCAAGCACGCGCTCCCAAGAACGCGATCACTGGGACAGACATCTGCCCCAGAGCTGCAGAGCTCGAATCCGAGTCAATGGCTGGTGTCTGCTCTCAATTGGCTCGCTTCTCATTTGGCCCCTGAATCGAAAGCCTACCAAGAATCCATGCGGGATCCTAGGACATGAGAGCTCGTGGTGCCCCGGAGTTTCGGCCATCAATCTGTATCGACAATAGACACCTATATATTCACCTCGTCATCCTAGGAGCAACACCTGTTTTGAACATTGTGATTTTCGAAGGAATGAATCTAACATCCAGGCAATTGATCTTTGACGAACATCTGAATCCAACCACAGTGGATGCCATCCGACCTCGACAACGAGCTTTCCACCACAAAGAGAGGGGTGGCTGCTTGACTTGTACAGCTCGGCATGTGAAGTGTGATCGCACAAGACCCGCCTGCAATCGCTGTCGCGATGCTAAACGTCGATGTCTGGGCTATCCTCCACCGCTGACGGGAAAGCTGAGACGCAACAGGAAGAAGTCGGGACCTCGAGAACGTGAAAGGTCCCCACCATCACAGTGTGGTGCCACGAGAATCAATGTGCCTGCGAATAATGTGTCTGCCCAGTCTGAGCAGAGAATGTCGGACGTACGATCGGGCAAGTATACCTTCATTATGACAAATCCACTGGATGATATCCACACCACGGCTCATGAGCGATCCTCCCTTGATATGTTTCAACGGACTGTTGCCCGCTTTCACGCCCAGCGTATGCATTCGGCTGCTCACATCTGGGAGACACTCATCCCGCAAGTCGCACATAGCTATCCCACGTTGCGGAATGCTCTGGTCGCGATTGGCACCGTCACCTTGTCGCTGTGGGGGGGTTTCAACGAAGAACCAATCCGGAAGGCTTTGATTGATGCCAGAAAGTACATGAGTCGCTCAGTGTCCGATTTATTGGATGCTTCCGTGGCCTTCGCTTTACCGAAAGTTGTTCTCACGCTTGTGGCGTTAGCCTTCTGGCAGTACGAAAGTATGAAAGGAGCATTCGAGGACAGTATTGTGCATGTTGAAGCAGCCGCCCGGCTCGCGACTGAGTTCGAGGGGAAGAATCAGGAGGAAGAAGCTGTTGCCGCAATCATTCCCCGATATGCTTCGTTGACCCGACGGCAGACTGAGACTTCATCCACCGCTATCCAAATTTAGGAGCTCGACAGTCATCTATGAAAGTGCGGAAAGCAGTCGGCGTTCTGTTATGTCAACGAACGCTGAAACAGGTTGTGATTGAAGAAAGGAAGATGAATCTGGGCGACACGTCTGTGTGGTGCGTCACCGAGATGGTACTGATTATGAAGGCTCTGAAACGGTTGCGTGGGGACCTCGAGTGCGTGTTGAGAATGTGGCTGCCGCAAGTGAGTGCTGAGGACATGGCGGAAGTGCCTTCCCTATGGCAAGGAAGTATTGCATCACCCTACCTCCAGAACTTGAACTCTGGTGTCTACTCGGCAGCGAAGCTGTGCGCGGAGTGCAGCACCTCTGTGTCCACGTTCGTGTCGCGTTTGATACGAGACGACAGACCTGCAAGAATTGAGTATTGTAAGATGATAAGCATGATGGACTCGGCCGCCGCAGCGGCGAGCGAGTGATGAGACGAGTCTGCCTAATGCCTCTGGCCAGCAAACGCGACTTCCCGACCAGAGAAAATTGGTGGCCTTCGCTTCGACCGGTTGACTAAGACTGAGACATCGCCGGATGACTTTCTGAAGGCCTGTCGCATCCCCGGATTTGCCCCACATTACCCACCTCGGCAGTATACATCGCTTACGGAAACCCATCACATCTCCCACATCATTTGCCGTGCTCCTCTTTGCGGTCGACACGGTGACGCATAGCTTCTCGAAAGTGCCATAGCTCGAGCACTTGAGCACTTGGCCATCGAATTACCAACTTTCGTTGCTACCAGGATGGCGATGAACTCCAGCATGACGTTGACACCTGGCTGGGGTGATGCTTCACAAGCATATATGGCAGGTAAGACCGTTGGACTGTTGCCAGCTAGACCACTGCCACGCCATGAATGGCTCGTTGCATCGACATGTTCCTTACCTGGTGCAAACTATTGGTGGCTGCCCTAACACTGTGCAGCAATATCAACGCTTCTGCTATACCAGTGGAATGCTCTGTTGCTGTATTCGACAACATACTTGCTGCCGCCGGACTTGCAGAAACTGCCAAAGTCGTCTATGCGGTGCCGATTGAAGAGGGCGGCGCCTCATTCGATCCCAGTCCGCCGTTCCAGAGCAATGTCACGCAGCTGCCGGAGGTCTGTGCCGTTAAGGTCGAGGTGCAGAGCTCGGAGTCATCCTCATACAGGTTTGCCATGTTCCTCCCTCCATCAGAAGCCTGGAACGGTAGGATGATGACCACTGGTAATGGTGGGTTTGGTGGAGGTATCAATGTGAGTGGATGCAGAACCTCTCTGCCCATACACTATCAGAGCTGACCATACTTAGTACATCGACATGGGCCATCTCAGTCACTACTCGTTCGCCACCTTATCGACGGACACTGGACATCTTTCGGCCACCTCAGACGGCATGTGGGCCATGAACAATCCCGAGAGCGTTACAGACTGGGGCTACCGTGCCATGCATGGTTCTGTCGAGGCCGGAAAGCAGATTTTGCACCAATACTATGGGAAAGAAATCGAGTACTCGTACTACGCTGGCTGTTCGACAGGCGGTCGCCAGGGTCTGAAGGAAATGCAGATCTCACCGGACTCTTTTGATGGTATTTTGGCTGGTGCGCCTGCTTGGTGGACTACACATCTTCAATCCTGGACGACCTGGTACCCACTCCAGAACAAGCCGGACTCGCCCGGCCATATCCCCGCTGAACGCTTCCTCGATATCGCAGTGGCCATCAACAAACAGTGCGACCCACAAGACGGACTCGTGGACGGTATCACACAAAATCCCTTCCACTGCGCTATCGACTACACTGCCCTCAACCTGACCGAGCCACAGATTGCAACACTCAATCATCTATACAGCAACTGGACCTCTCCCGATGGCTCATTCAACTTCGCCTCTCTCAGTCCCGGATCAATACTCAGCCTTGCAGACCCATATAACCCCAACCCGCTGGGCTACACGTTCTATTCGTACTTCATCTACAACAACCCTTCTTACAACTTCACAGATTTCACGCTTGACGATCTCGCCCTCGCAGACAAGATCAACCTGGCTCAGCAAACGCAGACATGTTCTCAGCTATCGAGCCTTTCGCAAACAGAGGCGGCAAGCTCATGATGTATCATGGCTGGCAGGATATGGCTATCCCGACCGGCTCGAGTCTCCGTTACTACAACATGACAACCCAGGCCGTCTCCTCTGGCTCTAACATCGATGACTACTTCCGCCTTTTCCTGGTGCCAAACATGGGCCATTGTTCCGGCTCGCAGCCGCCAGGATCGGACGCCCCTTGGTATTTCAGTGCTGCCAGTCAGAATCCTGGACCTGCGAGGAGTGGAATCACGAGCGGTGTGCCTAGCACTGATACCGAGGGGAGACAATATGAATATGACGCGATTCTGGCATTGATGCGGTGGGTCGAAGAAGGAAAGGCGCCTGAGAGAATTGTTGCGACAAAGTTCAAAGGTGATAATAGCACGGAGGTGGTGAGGCGAGGTGTCATTTGCAAATGGCCTGAGAGAGCGGTCTGGAAGGGTAAAGACGACGATGATGCTGCGACAGATGTTGATGGATGGGTCTGTGAAGCGTGAGATCGAATTGACAGAGGTGATGTCCCGAGATTTTCGCTGGCGGTAGCGGCTCTGTATATGCTGGAGCCCTTCTCATGACTCTTGTTTGCCCCCACTTTCAACCTCACTATGCTTGAATCCAGCATTGCCCAACGGCTTGCCGTCAATCTTGATCGGCTCTGCCGCTGTCAAGATGAAGTAGACTCTCGCAGGCTTATCGTGCGGATTTGTCCAACCATGTATCGTGCCTCGCTGAACACATACATCACCAGCCTTCATGTGAACGACCTCACCATTGTCAAGGTGACTGTTCCATTGAGTCAGTCAGATCCACAGCCTCAGCCATTCGCATCACACCCAGCGACCCAGCTGCTATGGTCATCGCAATGGCAGAGACTACTCACCAATCGATCTCCCCCTCAAACAAAATCCCAAAGTCGAGGCTGACCGTCCGGTGATATAACGTCTCCGTCCTGGGTGGGAAGTCCACCACTCTCAGCACCACGCCAGAATCGTTGGCAAGACTAGCGGTTCGTGCTTCGGCAGGATCCACGAAAGGCTCGTCGTTCGATGCTGGGAACTTATGTGTCTCGTAGAGCACGGCGAAATTGCACTTGATTGGAGTTGGCAGGCAGGGAATCTCGCTGTCTTTGAGCACAGTGCTGGCGCCGTCCAAGGTATGTCCGGTGACGATGCGGCGGGGATGTGGGAAGTACTGCTCGTTGGAGGTCATGACGCTTGTGGTGGTGATATGAGATTCGCGCTTCCTGGTCCAGGAGATGATGGCGGCTCAGACGATAGAGATCTGACCGAAGAATCCTGGGATCGAGCCACGTGTGACAATTGTCAGCCCTTGTGTATCAATGACAGCGCTAGTAGCTGCCACGAACGGCCATGTTTAAGTAAGTTTGCATACTTGGGTCAACCAGACAACGTCCGGGTCCACAACGAACGCGGGGTAGTAACGTCTTGCAGGCCCCGGGACAGTCATCAAGCTTGGCAGGCGTCCAGGCGTGGTCGAGGTTGCCTTGTTGTGTAGGACGACAACAACTCTCTGTTGGGCGAACACCAGCATCACCGGCGCCGATGGTGAACCGCGCGTCTAGAAGGAGGGAGCCTCTGCTGTACGAGTGAGCATATGACGAAAAACAGGTCCTGGCAGTCGGCAACATTCTCTCGCGCCCTCTGAGCCAACCTCAAAACCTTCCGGTCACGTCGAGCCACGAGATCATGACGATCCCATCATCGACCACACCGAGCACTTTATGGATCTGGCGCTCGTCATCAAACCTGTTGTAGCCATGAATGTCTCTTACGGGTGCAATTTCCCCAGGAGCTGTTGCCAAACGCACCTGATGACTGTTGCCGATCCACTGTCTGATGGGAAGGAGTCATCAAGAAGCACTGACACCTCACATACTGCGCGCTCAGCCCCGGGCCTTAGCCGCCCTTCCATTTGAATGTGGTCAAGCCGAGTCGAGATGGAGCTGTCGCTGCCCGCGACTTCATCAGTCTTCCCACCTCAATGACCATCTGAAACCGAGATTCCGAAGGGAGCACGGATGTCTGTAGCCGCCGGCTCCGTGGCAAGCAGTCCATGGATCCCAACGATCCCAAGGGCAATTTGCGGTGTTCCAGTCACGCTCTGAGCTAGCATAAAGCGGGTTTCTATTGCTGCTGTACGATACGCGCAGAGTGCTGGAAGCTGCTATGTAATTCTCTAAGTCGACGTTGCTAGCAGATGGGTCTTGCCTCCACGGTGTCCGTGTGAAGCCGAAGCTGAAGAGGCATGCTGTCACAACAGCAAACATGTTCAGGCATTCAGGTGACAAGGAGCCCAATGACTTACTGCTTTCAATCCTCCATTTGTTTTCTCAATCCTTCATTTAATTCCCGCCCCCCCAGAGAACTTCTAAGCGCAAGACTTGATTGCCGACGAGAAAACGACACACATCATACGTTGCAACTATGCCCAAGAAGGTCAAGAGCAAGAGACCTGCGAACGACCATGGCCAGGCCACATCCACGAGCCAGTCTGAGACTACGGATCACCTCGCGTCTTCTTTGCCAATTATCCCAGCTTCAATTACAACCCGCGAGCACCAGCCTGGCAAGAGTTTGATCTTCTGGTACGACACATGGGCTGGGCACGCAGAAGCGCTACATACAGAGATGCACGTACGGACTTCCGGAGAGCCCTGGTTATGGACTTCAACTTCCGCTTCGGAACAGACGAGCAAAAGTTGGAAGCGTGGCAAAATATCTGTGAAATTCTAGGGATTCAGCCGCTGCCAGAGTCTATTACAAAGTGCCGCCAGGTAAGTGCCCTTAGGGTACGGTCATGCAGCCACTAACAGAGTCCAGGCTATCAAGAAGGTGAAGGTCAACATCTGCGATCTGCTGGATTGTTTGCGCGCCGGCGACGAGGCTGAAGAGCTACGAACATTCAGGACTGTGAAGCAGCTCCAAAAGTACAGCACAGCGAACAAAAAGATCTTTCCGAAGGACGAAGCCAAAGCTGGTGGCTTGCTGAGGCACCTACTTCGGCTCTTCTACCCTCACAAGCAGGCCACCGACGATACCACTTAGCTTCAACGAGATTTCGGGCTCTTTTTCCATGGCGCAATCCCGACAGGGCAAGTGGTACGCTGCGATGGGTCATGAGACTTGGGTGTACAGTAGGATAGCTACTCACTGTCTTTGGTCTTCTGGCACGGCTTCCGCTATAACGGAGAATTGCCGGTGCGATGCAGGGCGATAGATCCGCTAAACTAGGACCTCTACGAGGAGCAGGCGAAGGCATGAGCACATATGCATCCGAGATCCAGGTAGATGAAGTCAGAAGCTCATACCTTCTTAAGTATCTACTACGAATCCTATGCTGTGGCACGGTACTTTACCCTTGCTTCTTCCCTCGTGCAGCGCTATCCCAGGTCTCCTGTCCATCAGCAATGGTACAACGATGTTTTACAACGGCTTCATGTTCGGTATTCTGCTCCGCAGTCGCCCATGATTTCAAACATCTCTTTCCTCTTGCTCTTTCGCAGCACGACATCAATTGCTTCCCGATCTTCGTCATTCAGGCTCCAGCCAAAGCTCGCCAGATTGTCGTCGGAATGGTCGCTGACGCCCATCCGTGCGCCTACTATTACAGCGCCCACGCACGGCCAGTCTAGTACCCATCGAGTCGCCACGTTGGAGATGCCCGGCACGTCATGTTTCGTGGCTATACTGCGTAGCACCTGTAGCAGCTCTTGTAGCAACTCCCATCCACCCCAGTTGGAGATCATCGAAAAGTACTTGCGCTGACTTGGTGTAGTGGCGCTTGCTGCGCTGTAGAGATCTGGCTCCGCCTTACCAAGCCATTTGTCTGACAGGAAACCGCCACAGAGAGTGCCGTAGGTGAGAAGCTTGACGCCGTGCTCGTCACAGAATGCTGCCATCTTCTCGGCTGGCCGCGAGTCGATCAGTGAGAACTGCACTTGATTGGTATGGATTTTGATGCCGGACTCGATCGCCAGTTGCATGTTAGCAGTGTCAAAGTTGCAAAGACCGAGCTTGCCCACGCGATCGTCTTCCTGCAGGAAGCGAAGGGCGTCCAGATAGGATCCATCGTCGTAGTACTGCCAATGAAATTGAACAAGATCAAGCTTGCTCATTTGCAGCCTCTTGCAGCGTTCGCTTACGTTGGCAGCCATTGCTTCTCGTGTGACATTTGGCATCCGCTGGAAAATGCAGATCTTGGTGGCCGCAAAGACGGCCTCTTTGTGTGGGTAGCGCGCCCGGAAGCGGCCGAAGATCAACTCAGCATCACCATAGTGGTCGGCCATGTCGAAGGATGTGAAACCGCTACTTACATGCTTGCCCAGCTGACCCATTATCATGGACATCGGCGCCGACCCCCACGATGGACTCGACATCTGCCAAAGCCCTGAGAAGATCCGCGGCAAAGTAAGCTGGCTAATAATAAAGGTCTCCCCGGCTGCTGGTGGCGGAGGAGTGTGTCGCAGGGCATCTGAATCGGCTTGGGTCTCGTCCTCGGACGGATCGATACCCAGAATGCCGGCTGATGCTGTCCGACCCCTGTCGAATATATATCCGCTGCCTGCCGTACTATTTCTACTCACTGAAGTCGAAACACTGTCAAAGAGATCTCGTACAGCGAGCCTCTCATGATTCGTAAGCTCTCGTGTGCCGGAAGCTACCGTGACGGCTTTCTGTACCGCTGTGACTGCTTGAACCAGATCTCCGTCAATTGATGCTAGCAGAGCAGATTTCCTCTCCCGATCATTCGTCTGCAATTTGGCTGCGGAATCTGCGAGCTTGGCGAGCAGTGGCAGAACCTCGAAGACGAGACCGGAGCCGACCATACACCTACACACAAGTTGCGTCTGCTCCAAGTCCTTCAGCCCACATTCTGTGTCAAGAGATTGGAACAGAGCCGTTGCACGCTCTCTGACGTACAAGCGTGTATAATGCTCGAATGACTTGGTGAATTGTGGATGGACGGCGAGCATAGAACGCGTGACTGATCGTAGTCCATCTGGTGGTAGCGACGATATAAGGGTATCCTTGTGATCGTCAGAATGGTAAAGCAAATCTATGTGATAATGTCCGTCATACCGTCATCATGTTGAGATGTAGCTGCGTTTGGGCATCATGTGTGCCTCCATTGACGATGACCGTCATCTCCACGCTTTGCTTTTGTTGACTGTTCGCTTTGTGTGTCAATTCGAGTCTTTCGTGTCAATTCGAGTCTCTCGTGTCAATTCGAGTCTTTCCCTGTGTGTACTCGTCGTGAGCAATAGCAGAAAGCCCCGGCTGCAATGTTCCCTGTCCTCGCGAAAATAGACCTTAACAGGCTCACCTGAGCGCCTTCTGGACTGATGCCGGCCAATTTTGATAGAACGCCGAACGGCAATCAGGATCAGGATAACAGCTGTGCCGCCCTCAGATAAGCCATTAGAAAGTCAGAAAGAGGCCGCTTGCTGTCGGAGGCCATAAGTGGTAAAGCCTCGGCCTCCACGATAGGGCAGATCCCGGGGCGCTGATAGCCTATCTTCAGCGAGAATGCGCCCTATGGTTCAGCAAGATAGTGAAGTGAGGGTGAACCCCTAAATCGCAGCGTCTGAGTTCTAAGGTTGTTCCGCGTGCATCATCGAAACTCAGGACTCCCCAAGTCTTCTCGTGGCCTTTACAACGCCAAGAGGCATGCGCTTAGATGGCGAGCGTCAACGCGTGCCTTGCGTGTCGCAAGGTCAAGATGAAATGCCATCTGGGTGACTCGCCGCGTGCAAAATGTCAGCGATGTGCTAGAAAGTCGCTAGACTGTGTATTCCGCGAACACAGGCGTGGCCGAAAGCCAGGGACGAGGTCAGCCACTAATAGGGAGATTGATCACCGCTGTCGCTGTGCTAACAATAATAATTTGACAGACTGTCCAGGAAAGGTGTCGAAGTGGGTGCCATCGGGCACGAGACGCCTGCTGCGAGAGCGCTGGGCTCCGCTGGCCAAAAGGAGCAAGCACGTACCATCGCACTGGAGAATGAACATCTTGGGTCTTTCAGCAACAGCAACTTGCAGCCTTCAGGGGTCCTCAATCGCCGTGCCATGCGAGGGAGATACTCTCTTCATGATCTCCTTGTTCAAAACGATAGCAGTGACGAGCAGCAGGCAGCTGCTGAGCCTGAACCAAGCACTAGTGAGGATCCCATCTCTTTGGGATTCGTCAACTTGGCCATAGCAAGATCGCTCTTCGACAGGTATGTAGTGTATATTTCAGCACAACCACAGGGAGAATACTGATAGAAAGCATAGTTTCATCCTGGTGCTTAATCCGTTCGTCTCACAACTGGATCCTGCACTTCACGATTTTGCCTACGTCCGACAGAGATCGCCATTTCTGCTGACTGCGATCCTTGCGGCGTCGGCCAAAGCCTTCCACCCAGTCTTATATCCTCGACTCTATCAGCACGCTCAGGACTTGCTGATAGTCGTATTTCGTCATGGTCACAAGTCCATAGAGGTTGTTCAGGCCATTCTGCTGCAGACTTACTGGAAGGAGCCCCACGACAACCGTGTCTGGACTCTCGTGGGATATGCTATCCGTATATGCACAGAAATGGGATGGCACAGACTAGAGCCCGGTCGGTCAAGTGGTCATGGCATGACCGAACGGCGCCGAAGAGAGATGAGGAACATAGAGAGGACATGGCTGGTGCTGTTTGTTTATGACAGAAGGTAAGTGGTAACGAACGCGTCTGCGCGACTTGCTAATCGCATAAAGCATAAGTCTGCAAACAGGCAAACCATGCATGATAGAGAGCGACCCACTGATCGAGTCCATCACATCTTGGATCAAGCACCCTTTAGCTATCGAGAATGACAGGCTACTTGCAGCACTTGTAACACTGCGCCTGGAAACTTCAACCGCCTTTGGCCTGATGGTACCCAGATCCAACGCCGCCAGCGGAAGGCTGCCCACTGGACTTGGTTCGTTATTCGCCATTCTTAGTCGGCAAATCGACGCCTGGGAGGCGACTTGGGGTCATCCTACTGAGCCTCCTCAGATTCCTGCCGAAGAGGAGGGCTGCCACGACTTTTTGATAGCCTTCTATGGCTGTCATATACGCTTGCAAATCTCCTCATTGCAGCTTCAAGATCATTTGTCGCCATCCTCAGCCACCACTCCTGATGTGGAGAGCCTATGGGCGGCTTATTCTAGCGCGCTTCGCATGCTTCGACTGATACCGCGCCACTCGAGTCATGTGAGCTTCGCCCAAGATAGTGTACACGTTATGCTAGCTTATTGTGCAGCTTTTCTTGTTAAGGTGTGTGCAACATCCTGTCATTCCATTGGGAGTACTTCAGTATTGACTCGAGTGTAGCTCCTACATTTGGCACCACGGTCCTTCGGTGAAGAGCTCGAGTCTGACATTCTGCTTGCCATTCAGGAAGCATCGACCACGTTTGGAAGACTCGACACTGGCGCCAGTTCGAGCTGCGCATTGCAAGCAAGGTTTCTCGGCAGGATCGCAACCAGATTGCAAAGCGCAGCAAGCCACCGAGGAGACGAAGCTGCGCACGCAGGAGCGGCCGACGCAGACATCTCTGAAGATTACATGCTTCAGAATGCATTTCTAGACGCCAACATGGGCTTTCCCTTCATTGGCGGCGACAATTGGGACCAGATCTTCGCCGATACAGGATACAGCATTGAAGCTGCTACCATGATCCAGTGAGGGCTGTCCAATCAGCTCAAAGGCACCACTGTTGTCTCGCCATGCTCGAATTTCCTGATGCCTTCCCGGATTATCCTCAGCTGAGAAGGGCAGTGAGGATCCGGACATGCTATCAGCGCATCTGTGGACATCCAATCATTCTTGTGCGTCGGTCTCTGTTTGGCAGGCAGCAAAGGCAAGACCGCCGCTGCGACTCGTCAGTGTTGGCACAAGGGACTGATCACCACGTACCAAGGCTGTACAAACTGATGCCTTGTCCAGCTGGCAAATACAACATCTCTCCTTGGAGCGTGAAATAGTCCCCGGACTTTGCACCGCAGAGAATGAGTTGGTTCGGGGGACAAACTACCTCCACGCGCAGATCGAAGAGCTCAAAAGATTCGTCTGTCATGTCGATGCAAGATGTTGACGGTACTGCTCGTATGCCGTAAAGTTGATTCTGTGAGCCCGACGGTATGGCGGCTTCATCAAATACTTTGCGACGGTGTGCCCTGTGAGACGGCGCCAGATTGCAGATGAGACTTTCGTGTTGCCCCACGCAAACGTTGAGCCGAACTCGAATTTCACTTCGAATCAATTCGCCGCATACCGGCGATCGGCTTTCAAAGATAAGGCGTGTTCTCGGCAGACGACCTTCACTCCACCACAGGTTCTGGAACGATAGTGGCAGGGTCCTACCTATGCTACAAGTTCGTGATATATAGATGGTCCTGTCCACATTCTCCGACGTCGTCAAGTCGCGAAGGAGCTTGTTGTTGTGAAAACGACCCAACATACAAATGGCTGCTAAAGACCCCACCGCTGTATCTACTGCGGCAGACATGACTAAAGATGAGGTTGCGTCGAGTGCAAGCGGAGATGTCGAGGCTCAAGCATACAACAGCAACAGTGCCGATTCCACTGGGCATTTGAAGAGGGATCTGAGTTCAAGACACATTAACATGATCGCAATTGCAGGCATGATTGTGAGTCTAGCGAGCACATGGACGTGCTTGAAGCTGACATCGACAAAGGGCACCGGCCTCTTTCTCGGATCTGGCCAAACGATTGCAACCGCGGGCCCTGTTGGAGCACTCCTTGCCTATCTTCTGATGGGAGCGGCTGCCGCGGGTATCTCATTCATGACCGGAGAGGTCACAGCGTTTTCGACAGCGACTGGCGGCTTTGTTCGACACGCTACACAGTTCGTGGAGCCCGCCCTTGGTGCTGCTGCTGGATGGAATTTCTGTAGGCTTTATCCTACCATCAGAAGTCATCGTACTAACGCTCATTAGGGTATAGTAAGTATCCTGCCGTTCTAAGAAGCGTTCCTGCCATGGGACTTCAACGAAGCAGGAGGTGTCCAAGCTAACATGAGCACCGCTAGCTATTGCGATCGCCGTGCCTGCTGAGATCAGTGCTGCCGCCGTTCTCGTTCAATACTGGAATCAGTCGGTTGATCCTGCGGTGTGGATCACTATCTTCATGGTCTTCATCGTCATTCTCAACTTCTGTGGTGTTCGCCTATATGGAGAGGTATTTGCAATCACCTTAGCCGTTCTAATGATGACTGACCAGTGGTAGTCTGAAGTGTTCTTCGCTACCCTCAAGATTCTGCTGATTGTTGGCCTGATCATTGGTGGACTAGTCATCGACTTGGGCGGCGGTCCAGATGGCGACCGGCTGGGCTTCAGGTATTGGAAAAATCCTGGCGCTTTCAACACCTATATCTTGACTGGATCAGCTGGCGGCTTCCTAGCATTCTGGAAATCCATGGTCCCAGCCGCATTCAGCTATGGCAACATCCAGATCGTGGCGATCTCTGGTTCTGAAACTCGCGACCCGCGGAGACTGATTCCTTCGGCAACGAAGAAAGTCTTCTGGCGAATTCTTATCTTCTATATCCTCAGCTTGTTCATTGTCGGACTGATCGTGTATGTTTGAATTCTTACCGAATTAGTCCAAGAGCTGACCATATAGTCCGTATGACGATGAGGCACTGCAGATATCAACGGGGACTGCTGCTCAATCGCCCTTCACGATCGCCTTCCATCGATCTGGCGTTTCTGTTGTCCCATCTATCATTAATGCGGTCGTCTGTACGTCCGCCATTTCTGCGGCATCGGCGTGCATCTTCATTTCCTCGCGAACACTGTTCGGCCTGAGCTGCGATGGTCATGCTCCCAAATTTGTACAGAAGTGCAATCGTCTGGGAGTTCCATACTACGCTGTCGGCATCAGCTGCTTACCTCTTCCCCTCGTGTACATGACTGAAACCACCAATGCGTCTGTCGTGTTTGGATGGTTCCTGAATATCACTACTCTCGCTGGGTTGGTGGGATGGATCGTGATATGCATCACTTATATTCGGTTCTACAATGGGTTGAATCGCCAGGGGTATACCCGAGATGGTATGTCGCATAGGCGCTTGCTTGACGTCGATCATGATGCTGACTCTGAACAGAGCTGCCTTACAAGAGCCCACTTCAGCCGTATCTGTCCTACTTCACCCTGGTTGTTGTTTCTTTGGTCGTCCTGTTTTCAGGCTTCGACGTCTTTGTTAAGGGAAATTGGTCAGCCGCAGGCTTCATTACCTGCTATCTCAATCTTGCAATCTTTGCAGGTGAGTCTCACACATTTCCTTAGCTTGTGACTATGCTGACAGGACCCCTCAAGCGCTGTACATCGTGTTCAAAATTCTCCTGAAGTCCAAAATCATCAGCGCTTCTGATATCGACTTTCAGACGGAGTTTGCAAAGATCGTAGAAGAGAAGCGACTTGAAGCAACGAGTCAGGAGCGAGTGAACGATGGGACCTTCCGAAAGATGTATTATGCTCTTCGTCATAAGAGCATGGGTCGTTGAGGTAATAACTTGGTGGTTTGCAGTTTCCATGTCAACTCAACGACAGGACCAAGCGTGACGTCATCCAATGCAGCCTCTCGAGGTCTGGTCAGATAGCTCAATACAATCATATTACTCATGCCTGAGCTTCTTAGAGCACTCCTTGGGCTAGTCATCCATAAACGAGGCTTCACGTACGCCGAAGATGACTTCGCGACAATCTCTTGAGGTGTCGTCGGCCCATGGCCCTGCCAACATTCTGTTCGAGCTTCACCGAAGATTTGGCTTCCGCTCAAGGGAGGTTCACGGCAGCGCTGCACCGTGTCCGGAGCGGATGTCGATGGCGTGGTTCACGGTCCGCGACCTGCACAGATAACACTGCATGGCCGGCCCCCGAGCGCTCCATGCAAGCAAGCCTGATATCAAGCTATCGATATATAATGCGCGACACGTCGGCGACCCATTGTACAGTGGAGGCCGGTCTTGTCAAAGCATATGCAGATCCTCGGGCAATGCTCGGTTTGCCAAAGGCTTAACGGTAGGATAGTTGACAGCACGATACTGCCCTATGAATTCTGCGGTAGCCTTGGAGGTAATAAAGCATGAGCAGCTCGCTCACGTTGCTCACGAGGTCTCTGTCAAGTCTGGTCATCTTCAAGCCCTCAGCTACACGATCAAGATGAAAGCATATAACTTCCTGGTTTTGCTTCTCACAGGGCCAGTATCAGTCTTTGCTGATACCCTTCCATGGATGAACCAATCCTTGTCTGTGGAGGACCGTCTCAAGCTGTTCGTCGGGTCACTCAACAACACCCAGAAGCAGCGGATGACATCTGGCGACACCGAGGTTGGTTTGCCAAGACAATATGATCAGTGCCGACTAACACACACAGCTCGATGATAACGGCACTGGAGTCAATGCGTGTATTGGTCACATCAGTGCTGACGAGTCAAGTGGTGTACCAGGTATTTGCATGGGCGATGGTCCTGCAGGTGTGAGCAATGCCAGTACGTTCATTGCCAGCCTTTACAGCCCCAGTGGAGGCCATTTCATTTATCTATCGGGTGCTAAACATGTATGCAGTGACCAATGTGACCACATTTCCTGCTCCAGTGCTGTCTGCCAGCTCTTGGAACTCCACCGTACAATATGTGTATGGTCAAGCCATGGCCGCCGAGCACCGTGGCAAAGGTCGGAACGTTGTCCTTGCCCCAACACTGAACATCCTCCGGTCTCCGCTCTGGGGTCGTTCCGCTGAGACCTTTTCAGAGGATCCGTGGCTAACTTCGCGTTTTGCTGTTGCTGCCGTCCAAGGTATTCAGAGCCAGGGAGTCCTCGCATGTCCCAAACATTTCGCAGCTTATAACCAGGAAACAAATCGCTTCGGCCCTCTGCCTGACTACAATGCTGTCGATGCACAAGTGACGATAGAACCCTCCACGAGGTGTACTTCCCAGCCTTCAAGGCTACGGTGAAAGAGGCCGATCCTGGGTGCGTGATGTGCTCATACAATAAGGTCAATGGACAGTACGCTTGTCAGAATGATTATCTGCTCAATACTGTGCTCAAAGACGACTGGGGTTTCCAAGGGTTTGTGGTTGCTGATTGGTACTTTTCAACACGGAGCACCGTCCCGTCCATCATGGGCGGCCTGGACATCAATATGCCCGGAGGGGACCTCTACGAGCTGTTCGGGCTTGCGGACTTTTTCGGGGAGCCCTTCACCGAAGCGCTGGGCAACGGCACAGTCACTCAAGAACGTCTCGATGACATGGTCGAGAGAGTGTGGCGCTACATGTTCAAGCTCGGGCAGGTTGACTACCCCACTGAAGGAAACTCCACCGCCCCAGTCAGAACTCAAGAGCATCTTGACCTGGCTCAAAGCATGGTGGAAGATGGAGCCGTGCTGTTGAAGAACGAGGCAGCCACCTTGCCACTGTCTCCGGAGAATTACACAAAGATAGCTGTCTTCGGGATTGGTGCGACCAAGCAGAATCAAGTCACCCTGAACCATGGTGGCTTTGTCAAAGATTCCACTATGGTGGTTCAAGCACCGCTCGACGCTCTGGACAAGCGATCAACTGCCGAGAACATCACATTGAAGTATGCTGAAGCCTATCCTGGCAACGGCATCTTTCCGACGATTCCACCTTCGATGTTCAAGGAGGGCGGCGTCAATGTCACGTACTTTACGAATCTTGACTTCGAACGCCCAGCGAACACCACGGATTTCCTGCCAAACATCACATCTGCAACGTATCCTGACTACCTCTGGGAATCATATCCGGATACGTTCTCTGCTATTTACGAGGCGACCTTTCTTCCAAATACGACCGGCGGCTATCACTTCTCCATGGTCGGGCAAGGCACCGCGTTATTGTACTTGAACGATGTCCTCGTCGGGAACATGTCATATCACAACTTCGGTGGCAACTACATCCAGGGATACGCTTACCTGGAAGCCGGTGCCGAGGTTAAACTCACGCTGAAGTATGACATGGGCTACTCTTTGCTGACAGGAGCATTTGGCATCACTCTCGGCGTGTCCACTGGCAATTTGACCAGGGATAGCGAAGCCGAAGAGCTAGCCGAGTGGGCAGATATCAGTGTCGTATTTGCCAACGACAGGATCTCCGAAGGCATGGACAGTGGCGTCGGTCTCGCGTTGCCAGGTGACCAGAATGCCGTGATCGACCGGCTGTCGAAGGCCTCCTCGAAGACAGTCGTTGTGCTCAATACCAATTCCGCCATCCTCATGCCATGGATCGACCAGGTTGATGCCGTCATGGAGATATGGTATCCGGGTCAGCAGGTAGGGCTCGCTCTTGAGCGGCTTTTGTTTGGCGACGTCAGCCCGAGCGGACACCTGCCAGTGACCTTTCCCATGCAACTTGACGATGCCATCCTAATCAACACGAATATCGAGGCGCCCTTCGATGAGGGACTTTATGTCGGCTACAAGATGTTCGACAAGAAGGGAATAGAACCTCTGTTTCCCTTCGGCCATGGCCTGACGTACACGGACTGGCAACTCGAGAACCTAGATGTCACCAAGAATGACACAGCCATCTCAGCTACACTGGTATTGGAGAACACAGGCGATGTCGATGCGCGACAGGTAGTCCAACTATACGTGGCGTTCCCAGAGGCTGCGGACGAGCCGCCAAAGTTGCTCAAGGCGTTCGAAAAATGCTACGTCGAGGCAGGTCAGAACGTGGCACTTGCATTGTCCGTGGCTTTCGATGATTTACAGGTATACAGTGAAGAGACGAAAGACTGGGAAATGGTTGCAGGGGAGTATAACGTCATGCTCGGCTTCTCTGCGGGCGACATGAAGCTCCAGCAGGCCGTCCAATTACCATAGCAGGGCGGACTACCGTATCAGGAGTACTTGGGTACTTCTGAAGGAGTCCTGCCTTCCCGTAAGCGAATCACTCATGATTCGTGCATTGCGTCGTCATGCCCTCGGCACCTGGGCCTGGCCCGGGTGGGTCTACGTCTCAGATTTATGCACGCTTGGTCAGCATCGCTTTTGCCCGATGGCCTCCATAGGTACTGTCCGATTCGCTGTGAGACTGAAAAATCATCCTCTAAACCGCAACGCGGAGGCGGTCTACCTGGGACGTTCAGAGCATTTGATACATGATGCGCGTTACAGTGCTCTAAATCTCGACCAAAGCATGAGTACAGCGTTGGGCGATGGCGCCATCAATTTGATGGTGTGCGCCATGTTGAGACGGACTGGCGAACCAGAAGGTCGAAAGGACCCATTTCTCGTATTCCACCTGCATGCTTACCTATGCACAGGAACGTGGCACGACGTTCCGATTTCTGATGCGACACGCACACAAGATAGCGAATGGTACAAGTACTTGCCAAGTCCTTCAGATGCTAGGGACCTTTGCCGCCACGTTGGTTGCGCAAAGACCTTGTGAATCACCCTAGAGATCACTCTACGAGCACGCCGAGGGGATGGAACGTAAGGAAACACCTTTGGACGACATTGCAAGCTCGATTGCTAGTGGGCACGATGTCGCGCCAGATCGGATCAGTGAAAAGGCCGAAGAGGCGACCACGGTACATTGGTACAGGAGCACGCTGTTCAACATTTTCCTGGTAGGAGTCATCTCTTTGACTCAGTCGGGCCTGTGGGCTGCCTTGAACAGTGAGCCCCAATACTAGCCAGACTGAACTCAAGATGCTGACTTCATGGTAGATACTGGTGCTGGTGGTCAACAGAAGCCGTATCTGGTCATAGGCTCAACTGCGATCATCTTTGGCGTGATGACCATAGGCTGTCCGCTTGCCGCCATCCTTCTAAACAGAATTGGACCGAAGCCAATGCTGATCGTCAGCACCTTGGGTCTCGCGCCATACTCAGCCTCGCTGTATCTAAACAATCGATATGGTCTCGAGTGGTATGTGCTGTTCGGTGCTGTGCTCACCGGCATCTCTGCTTCTGCCGCTTGGACCACGGATACCGCTATTGCGATCACGTATGCTCCTTTACAGCAGATGGGCACGTACCTTGCAATCTGTCTTGGACTGCGAGAGCTCGGTCAGATTTTAGGTGCCGCCATAGCTTTATCAGTGAATCACTCAATCGATCATCTCGGAAAAGTGTCTTACAAGACTTACCTCATATTCATCGGCATAGAATGCCTTGGCCTTCCGCTGGCGTTTTTGTTCTCCTCGCCGCGGAAAGCGTTGCGCTCAGACGGCTTGACAGTGGCATCCGTTGTGCAGCACCGACGCGCACAATTATCCTTCAACGACGTTTTGTCCGTCTTGCGACAGAAGTGGTTGCTGCTGCTCATTCCAGTCTCCATCTGTTTCCAATGGAATAATGCGTACCAGGGCATATATTTGACCAGCTACTTCACTGTGCGGACTCGCACTCTGGCCTCACTAGTATCCGGCGTCGTCGTTACTATCGCGGACTTTGGAACGGGATGGTTTCTAGACTCTAAAAGTCGATCGACCGACCAAAGCCAAGTGCATTGTTGTTTCGTTCTCGGTGTTCGTGGTGTCGTTGCTAGCGTGGCAGATCTCGAATGAGTACAAATACTCGCAGGAAGCGAGCACCAGCATTGATTGGACCAGCAAAGAATTTGGACGCGCTTTTACCGTGCACATCTTGGTGCGTTTCTTCAACGAAGCCCATGTTGTAGCCGTTTTCTGGTTTGTTGGCGCCTTTACATCAGATCCACGGGCGATAGCATCTGGCTGTGGTCTGGTTAATGGCTTTGAGGCGTTAGGATCGACTATCAGCAATGCCATCGGGTCGTCAGCGAAAATTGCTCCTGGAATCAATCTGTGGATCGCGTTTGCGTTGTTCACTGCGAGCATCGGACCAACTGTACGAGTAGCGTGGATGGTGCCAAAGACGCCTCAAGGCCATGACGGGATGGCTGTTCGAGGTCTCGAATCTGAAAGTGAGCTAGGTCAAAGTACGGGTAGGCGCGATGGACGACCTCAGTCTTCTGCTTGCCTTTAACCTGCAGCGGCAGTAGACAGCAATGGCGTCCGAGCACGGATGCCGCGTGAGATGCGAGCTAATTCCTATGCAGCCATGCCAGTGAGCTCATAAGAGATGACAACATCATGATGCTTCTTGTAAATGTGATTTTGAATACCTTCCAAGGTTCTCGTCATACGCGACTAGCCTCTGTCTCTTTAGGCTCTGTAACGCTCCACATTGAGATCGTGGGCTCAGATCAAGCTTTTGTCAGGTTAACAGATTAAGCACCTTCCCGGCGGGCATAAGCTTTCACGTACCTTCGTATTACTGTTCAGTCCCAAATTCGCTGACAGGCAACACTTACAAGCGGAGTTGACCTGACAGCGCAGGGTATGGCAAGTCCATGGCTCCCATCAGGATCGCTGCGCCAGAGCCAGTTGTTTCATCGGCCAAGGTGGACAGCGAAATTTCGCCCAGAACCACCGCGTTTCGTGGGAAGTTTCTTTGGGTCAATCACGATGCCAACAACATGAAAGCGCGCCCGAACCGGCACCAGGTCTTCACACACGTACAAAGTCAGTATCGACCCTGGAAGAAGAGACATAATCTCATCGCCAGCAAGACGCCATCTACGTCTCTAGTGCCCTCTGGTAGCGATCCTCATGTCGATGAAGAGGGCCACCCAAAAGATGTCCCATCACCATCATCAATATTGCGCAAGGGAAATTCCGATCCATTTTCAGCTTTGCCTGTGACCGTCGGCCCGGAAGAAAATCAACTCATAGTCTTCTACCGGGACTTCTACTTGAAGTATCAGTACGGAGGCAGTTATCCCACCAGGGAGCACCTCGCGCGCCGTGATTGGAAGGACTCGACGAAAGGCCTACAGGACATAGGCATCGCACATGGTTCCTTTGCGCGATGGGGTTACATGGTCAAGAATCCACGCCTCTACGCTACGGCCTGTATGCATCAGTTGAAGGCGACGCAATCGCTTCAGCGGAAGATTGCAAGCGGGGCGGATTTGCAAACCTACGACAACTACATGCATTTGAATATGCTGTATTCTGCAGAGACTCTGCGCCGGAATGCTGCTGGAGCCCGCGTGCATGGTGAGATGCTCCGGTCAATGTTCGAAGAAGCCTGGTCCCGGGGCACTCTAGACTACACCTTGCTTGTGTACCAGGTGCACAACGATGTCCAAACAGGCGCGAGTTTGCTTGTCCCGACGGTGTTCGACTTCGAGGAGTTCGTTCCGACGGTGCTTTCGTCCCTGAAGCGGTCTTGTATCGATCTGACAGAGCTGACTGACTCTGAGTCCGAATCAGTCAGAGCCTCAATGAACAGCTCTATATCCGGGTCTCTGGCGGACGTCTTTGTAGAGACTCGGTCGTTCTGGGCAAGCCTGAGGAAGAAAGCTAACCCCCTTGACGACACGGAGCCCGCCAGCGTGGTCCTGGTAAACTCATTGACTCCCTTGAGGAACATCGGTAAGTTGGTGAGCCTTTACATCGTAATTAGGGATCGGTTGAAGTGGAAGCTAGAACTATCTCAGCGGGTGGTCCTTCTAGCTCATGCCTTCCTGACATTGGCGGCAATTTACACGACCAAGAGTGTTGATTGTGATGCTTGGATTTTGGGCAGACCACTTTTCGACATGCGTCCTGAAATCATTCCAGCACTACGCAACTCCTTGGTCGAATTCAACACGATTGCCGTCGACTCAGAGCGCCAAAAATTTGCGACGGCTCGGGTGTGGGCGCTCTACGTTGGCGCCATGTGCGAGCAACAGTCTTTGTTACACGCGGAGACTGACGCCCGTTGCTTCTTCCACAACCACCTGGCTATCGAGGCTGGTGCTCTTGGCTTGACAAGCTGGAAAGCGATACATCCTGTGTTGGAGGGCTTCGTTTACAGCGATAAGATGAGACCGTCGGGTGAGTTGTGGTTCAACCGTCTCATGGCTGCGCCGGCGACGACAGAGCCAGCAAAACCAGCCACAGCTCATGATGCACATAATAGCTGACACCGCTCACTGAGGTCGTGAACTTCAATTTGAAGCCGAAGCTCCGCTGCCATCTGACCTCGTGTCAGCCACTTGCTCCGCGGTACGACTGATTTTGGGTCCCTTAATACAGGTCGCTCGTTGTGAGTCTCCCAGTACTAAAGTTCGTGGTATACACGATTCTGCTCGACAAGACCTGTATGTCTGGTGCATGCGGCTTTCGCCGCAGATCAACGGGCGGTTAGGCTGACTTGAGATGTCCGGGCACACACATCTTGTGACACGCAGGGGTATTCTGAGGGCCAGGCAACCACAAGAAGGTGGACAGGTTGACCATTATCCCTATCTCCTGCCAACTCGAACTATGGCAGATCTGCACACCGTTCCGGAGGACTAATCAGGTGCCAGTTGGCTACGGTAAGCCAATCGATGTATCAAATGTGCCTGAACAGCGGCACAATTTGCCCGAAAGGGGAACTTTTGTCGGCCCCAAAAATGCCGATCGTCTCCACGTGGGACTAAAGAACGATCTCAGATTCTTGGTCCTTTTGTCTGAGGTCAGCCAATGACTTCGGACGGGACGCAGGCACATCGGACCACATCTCCACCATGCCCGCAGCACCGGTATCCCATAGCTGGTTGTCGCGCCGCTCTCCGTCAATCGGGAAATATTCGCTTGGCGGCGCCGCCATACCATCCGGACCTCATGGCGCATAAGTTTTGTTTCGTTGCTTTCGAGACACCACTCGAGGCTGTCTAAGTGTGTCAAAGGTGCCTGCGCACGAGACGATTTGCTCGAGGCCAGTCCCGCCTCCTTCAGCTGAATGTGAAGCGGCATGTCGCTCCTGAAAGGGATGCGGCGACGACGGTGAAAAGGAGTGTGAGAGCAAGGAGGGCCTTAGAGGGAGTCAGTCGCGACACATATAAGAGCGTCGAGGCAAGAGGCCAGGTCAATGGTCCAAAACACAAGTTATCAGCGCAACTTCCATCATCAAAGGCCGCCCTACACCAGCACAACTCAAGCTCGCCCACATATAAGTCGGTTGAACGGAAGGGGGTCCATTCACCAACAAACATACAGCAACCCAGGCAGATATCGCTATCCATGCCAGAGTCGGACCATGCCTCGCTGAAGAATAGTCAAAGTCAACAAAGACAGAATCAGTCCACCAAGGATCACCAAGGCCGGGACACGAAGTCACCTCAGAGATCGAGGAGTGCTACCGTAATGGCCGAATCCTCCGACAGTGCCATTGCTGGACAGCAGAATCGTAAAACGGGAAGGCAAGGGAACGGGAAAGGCCAGGATAGCAAGATGCCACCATCCACTGGATTCATTGGCGACTCAATTACTGGCAACGTACCGAAGGAAGACTCGACCAAGAAATGAGGTGAGGGGCAGCCGCAGTACCAGCAGGTCTTATATGATCTGATCTCAACCTGCGTGTACGAGACTTAGCGACTGGTGCTGGGCCAGCAGCACGAGGGATGCAGGGTCTATTCACCTGCGTTCCTGGCGATAGGCAGAGGAAGTAGGCTCGCAGCAACGAGAACGAGGACTGGTTGTTTCACGGCATTCCGGGCGATCAGTAATCTACACAGGTGTTATAACGGCGTCCGAAGTATATGCGAACATACTTCTACATTTGTACAATGGCAGGCATTAAACCAAGCAACAGCCGTACTCCCCTGCGTTGCCAATTGTCGCAGATTGCTGTGCAGTCCGCCCTGGCGGGATACACACTGGTCGCCTCAGGTCAAAGATTTGTGCGAGATCTTGAGGTCTGGGAGACTTCCAGTCTGCCTACGTGTGGTGTGTCTGATGGGCTACTGTAATTGCGTCGCTTCCTGCCCACGAAGCCATTCTTCTCGAGAGCCAAACAATCTTAGGCCACACAGCTGCCTCAAGTGTGCGCCTGCCTAGTAGCCCTGCGCTGCAACAAGTCGACCATGCCTTCCGCATTTGCGTCAGATCGACCCTGCCCATCTCGCGCCTTCCTGTTGTCCAACGATAGCATAACATGAATACTGAGGAAAATGCGTTGGGTGTCTGAGTCAAGGTCTACGAGCTGTGCGTAGCCCAAAGAAAAGGAGGTTTGTTCGTTCCTCTTTGACAGGTGGTTTGACGACCCTGTGTAGAGCAATGACTTGCGGAATTGACTAGAGCGCTGCTTGATCTGCGATGTCAGCTGCCACTATATTCGTGATGTATTTGTTGCGCCTGAGAGGCAGCTCACCTTACATTCACAGACAGGACTTCTTGATTGTCGACACAATTATTCCATGTTAGTGACTACTCTTGCTCTTGGTTATTAAAGACAACTTTTTCAGAGTTATGCCTGCCTCTGGATTATGTATCTCTCCTTTTCTCACGACATGCTTTGCATTCTCTTCCATCCTCGACCTGCCGCGCTAGACCGGAAGTTTTGATCTGTACCATCATGGTCAACTTGGTGCTCAAGCCAGTCAGTGCCTTCTCACCTAGCCTGCGAGTCTCACCTACCTACCGCCGTTGAGACTATGTCGTGTAGTCGCTCACCAAAGGGACTTCTCCTGCCCGTGCTGCAAAAACTTGCTGCCATTAGAGAGACCCGTGCTGTTTGCTCCCTTAACTTCGAGAAGCAGTCGGCATGCTGTGCAGCGGTCTGACAATTTCCATACCCGTGGAACCAGTCCAGCAAAACAAGGACTTCGTACGTTGTTTGACATGTTCTCATTTTCCCCGTGATCATACGTATCTACATCCTAAATCATGATCGTGCCATATATGCATTTTCATCCAGACCCACCCACTCGATCCTACCCAACTTCCTGTGCAAACACTCCCTTCGGGTCTTCTTCCTTCGCCAATCGATCAGCGTCGAACCACAGCTCCCAGTTCCATCTCGCCCTAACCACAGCCAAACCACCGGCTTGCGACTCCACCGTCCTGCCACGGCCCCTGTCATTCAGATCCTGTGGTCCAGGCGGCGGCTGGTCGAAGCCGTGAAGAGTGTTGATAGATGGGTCTTTGAAGTACTCCGGGTTCTTGGTATCTTCTGCGCCGACCGGGAGCTGGTCGACGGCCATAATCTGCTGCAGGACCACGGGGTCAGTGATGCCCGTCATGTCTTTGTTATACGTCCACCAACTACCGAACAGACCATCCTGGTTCACGGTCGCCTCTGCGGCGGCGGCATTGTGATTGACCCACTTTCCATAGGCGGCGCATTTCTCCTGATGCTGTTTCCACACATCAGGTTGCAGCCCCCAAGATGGGTCTTCTCGAATCCAATCCTCTTCGAAGTCCCACATCGGACGGCAGAACTCGGCGAAGTGCGTGAAGAAGATTCCTTTGAATGTCTGGCCGTCCTGGCTGCACTCGCCCCGGTGATCGCATGCTTCCTCGAGGACGCCGCCGCGGCCGAGACCCTGCCATTGAGTGCCGTTGATCCAGGGCCAGCCTGTTGCGCGGAGAACATTCTCGATGAGGCGATGGCCGTCGTCGAGGTAGCTGCGTCGGCCGGTGGCAAGGTAGAGGCCGCGACTGGCGGAGAGGATGACGCCCTGGTTATATGTGTATACCATTGTGTCGAGCTGGTCGCATTCGCCAGTGCCTATTTTCTTCTTGTTTTCCCAGTCTTTTATATGGAAGCCGTCTGAGTAAAGTCCAGCGGTGAGTCCGACGTCGTTAATCATGTGCGAGTCTTGCAGCCATTGATAGCTTTTGACGGCAAAATCCAAGTATCGCTGCTCATGTGGTCGGCTGTCCTCGTTGGCAAACTTAACCTTCTCCTTTTTATTTGCGCCCGTAGTGGCGCCTTGGAATGGCGAGTCGTTCTCGTCTCCTGGATGATACAGGTACATGCCGATGCTAGCGGCACAGAAGAGCTGGTTGGTGATGGCATTCTTGTATGGTACCAAATTCGGATTCCAGACCATTCCACCGTGACAGAGCTTCTCGTCCCAGCCGACGCTTGCCAACTCCCAGAAGATGCGTGCTCGATGTGCCGCGTTAGGGCTGAACTGGTTCCCGTGCCAATCCGGTGCCGGACGCATGTGCTTGATCCCTTGAAAATGCCTGCGAGAATGATAGACGGAAAACTTGATGTTCTCGAGCCAGCCGAGAACCACCCATAGCATATCGTCGTATGCCTGATTGCGAAGGCTAAAAGTGTTCTCTCCGAAATAGAACATCGAAGTGTGTGCGAAGTATTTATTGATCAGATTGTGCCACGCAACGGCAGTCTTGCATTCTTCAGTGACTGGTGGAAACGAGCTGGCAAGGCTAGTGAGTGTCGCTGACACCTGGGTGCCCAAGACAGCCGCCGTCCAATCTATGGCAGTTGCCCATATTGCCACGTCGAGACTGAAATATCTTGCCTGCATTGTGTTCAAAACGTCCATCATGTTCTGGAGGTGTTTGGGGTTGCCATCTGTTCTTTCAGCCTCTGGAACTGCCACAAGAGGCTGCTGATTGCATTCCGCCCGCGGCTGGAAGATATTCCTTGCGCCCGCGAGGAGCGGGAACAGGAGGAGTGAAATTCGCATCGTGGGAAGATGGCTACCTTGTTCTCATTATGGCGTTGATGAGTTTCCTCATGCAGGTGAGCTCACCGGGAGCTTTGAATCTACATGCGCATGGAGGGGGAGAATGTAGGAGTGAGGAGGTGAGCTCCTTCTGCGGTGGTCAGGCGACAAAGGCCGAATGACCCAAAGACACCGTGGATGCCAGGTGTTCCTGGACCATTTCTGCAGGTCCAAGAAAACCGAGGGATGGTAGGCCAATCAGCACCTCCCACCTTCCCAAAACCTGGGGTCGGTATTTTCTGGGCGGCCGGATTAGTGCCGGAGCCCAGAATTATCGGGCTTGGGGCCCCTAACACTTACCCGTGCTGCAAATTTCTGGGCAAGCTGATGACTGTGCAAAAAAGGCGTCTCGTTGTTGTCGATAGCAAAATACTTGACTTCCTACTTGTCACTCAGGTCAGCCGTGACCACGCAACGAAACCTCTCAACGGAACCGAAACCGCGTCGGAAGAACGTGAACGCTACAATGATTCTCGTGATATCGTAGAAGCAGCCGTAGCCGGATGAGCCGCAGGTAACGCACAAGACTCCCATCACAATTAGGAAGTTCAGGTCCTGTGCGACCGCCGCATAAGGCAACGCTTACATGTTGCCGATGGAATCTTGATTTCATGTGCGTGCACAGAATATGGCTCCGACGCTGTGCCACAGCCAAAATACTGCCTCTAGCGTTCGACTACCACTTGTGGTTTGGATTCCACTGCCGGGTGGCATGACGTGCGTCTCGCAAGTCGTGCTTGCTCTCCTCACTTCAAGTTGCCAGTTGGATTTATAAGCTCCAACTCCGTACCTAGGTAGATTCGGCCGATGCATTTACCACTACCTGTGTAACGTCGGACCTCTCTGAACTAAATAGCTGCACCTCAATCAACCTCTGTCGCCGTTCACTGACATAGATCTGACCATGGCTCCTCTCGACCTTGTCATCCGCTTTGGCGGAGCAGGATTCGGTGACACCAGCAAGTTCAAGGAAGCAAAGGACGCTCGACCACTGTTCGACGTACTCAAAGAACAAGGCATTACCCACATCGACACAGCACATCTCTACGGAAACTCAGAGACTTACCTGGGCGAGATCGACGCGGGGAAGGAGTTCCAATTTGACACGAAATGGAAGGGAGGCTTTTCGCCAGGCAGTGTGACGAAAGATAAGATCATCGAGACAGCCGATGAGAGCTTGAAGAAGCTGGGCGTGAAGAAGGTGAGAAGATGCAGAAGATCAATGAGGTGGCTGCTAAGAGTCAGGGCAGCTTGATATCTTCTATCTCCATGCTCCTGATACATCGATCCCATGGACTGAACAGCTCGAAGGCGTGAATGAGGTCTACAAGAAGGGCACCTTCGAGCGCTTTGGCGTCTCGGTAAGTGCTCTTGATCTGTGTACCAGTCTCGACTAACAAGTCTGCAGAACTTCTCGGCAGCTCAAGTTCAGGAAGTCTACGATATCTGCAAGGAGAAGGGCTATCCTCTTCCCGTGGTCTATCAAGGCAATTACGCTGCTCTCACGCGAGTTCCCGAGGTCGAGCTGTTCCCTCTACTGCGCAAGCTCAAGATCGCTTTCTACGCCTACTCGCCTCTCGTTGGAGGTCTCCTGACCAAGACGGCCGACGAAATCAAGGCTGGTGTTGGCAGATTCGGAAATCCTGCGCTGTATGGTGGAATGTACAACAAACCCAAGTACCTTGAAGCATTGGGCGAGTGGGAAAAGGCCGCAAAGGAGGAGGGCGTTGGTCGAGCTGAGCTTGGTTTTCGGTGGATTGCATGGCACTCGGCTCTCGACTCCACGGGCAAGAGTGGTGACGGACTCGTTGTGGGGGCATCACGACCGGAGCAAGTGTCTACAACCCTCGACTACATTCGCAAAGGTCCGCTGAGCGACAAAGCCGTCAAGACCATCGACCATATGTGGGAGCTAGTCAAGGAGGAGGCTCCGATTGACAACTTCAATAGGTGAGGAGGCTCCAATTCATGACTTCAACAAGTCAGTTGAGGTTGAATCTACTACAGCGCGAGGAGCCAACGTTCCGCCAGGAAGCCGAGGAAGCCACGGATGTAGGAGAGTGGCAGCAGTCACGCCCTTTCACAGCGATCGAGTAATGTATACGTAACGATATCGCGCTTTTGCTATGAAGAGATCTTGCACACAATGACGGGAGTAATGACTGAGAAGCCCGCAAGCTGTACCGCTTAGAATTGGAGAAAAAACATTCTGGTGGGGGACCCCTGCGGAGGGGCATCGGCGAGCACCGATAGGCGAGGGGCAATCACGTACCTGAGCACGCAAAATATTTGAAGAACACGCGCTCGCTGTGCGACATTTGCGGTACTTGCACTGACACAGAGCACCCACCGTAGATTTGGTGGCCCTGTACGACTATCAGACAAGTCGCTCCGCCGATATCAACCGCCCCAGTCCCCAGACAGTACCTATATCAGTCAGTCAGTCAAGCACGCCTTCTGTTGGCTCAGGGCATCAATCGACGAACAAGAGTAGGAACCGTTGACATCTTCCTCGAGCGGAACCAGTCCTCGAGCTTCCTTATATCCAGCCGTCCTCCACCTGATCACGCACCTATCATTTCCAAAAACCTACACCATGGAGATCCCAATCAACACCGAGTCCCTTGCCGACAAACTCACCGAGCAAGCACGCGACCACCTCCCCAATCTCTCCGCCCACTCGACCGCAGACATAAGCGTCACGCCCATACCCAGTCCACTCATCGACACCACCTTCTCCTCCGCCACGTCCCTCTCGACCTCCGTTCTCAACGCCTCTATCCATTCTTTCTCCGACCAATGGTTCGCCGAAGCGTCGAACCTCCTCAACCCAGCGAAACCGATATGGAAGGAAGGCTACTACGTGCACGCGGGAAAGTGGTATGATGGGTGGGAGACGAGACGGCATAATACTGCAGAGTATGACTGGGTGGTGATCAAGTTGGGCGTCGTGTGCGTGATTGAGGGCGTGGAGGTTGATACGGCGTTCTTTAAGGGTAATGAGGCACCGGAGGCTGGGCTGGATGCTGCGTTCGTGGAAGAGGGAAAAGAGGGAGAGGTCAAGGGTGGTCAAGGGGAGTGGATTGGTTGGGAGGAGGTACTGCCGAAGCAGACGTGTGGGCCGAGTCAGCGGCAGGCGTGGAGGGTCAAGGGGAAGGGTGTCGAGGAGAAGGAAGTTAACTTCTTGAAGCTGAAGATGTATCCTGATGGTGGGATTGCTAGGTTGCGGGTGTATGGTAGGGTGGTGAGTCCTCCGTTGCCGGTCAAGGTTAGGGAAGGTGGGGAGGAGAGGCCGCAGGAAGATCTCGCGGCGGCGTTGAATGGAGGTGTTGCTGTGGCGCGGAGTGATGAGCATTTTGGGACGAAGTCGAACTTGTTGCTGCCGGGCAGAGGGAAGGATATGGGAGATGGGTGGGAGACCAGTCGGTCAAGGACGAAGGGCCACGTCGATTGGGTCATTGTTAAGCTGGGTTTGAAAGGACGAGTGATCGAAAAGGTTGTCGTCGATACGAAGGACTTCCGAGGGAACTTCCCACGAGCAGTGAAGGTCGAAGGATGGTCAGAGTCGGCAGCGAAGGCTGCGTTGGGCACAGAGGAAGAGCCCAAGCATGATGGTCCTGGTTGGCGAGAATTGGTCAAAGGTGAGCAGAAATGCCAGTCGGACCATGAGCATGTATTTGAAGGAGATGCGTTGGCAGTGCAGCAGCCGCCGGAAGGAGAGGTGTGGACGCACGTCAAGATGACCATCATCCCAGATGGCGGTGTCAAGCGGCTGAGGATTTTTGGACGGAGGGCATAAGTTAGAAGTAAAGCGTCGATTGCGAAGTCCAAAACGAACGTCAACCGGTATTCCTCGTTCCCAGTGCATGGCTCCTTCCCTGTGTGCCAACCTGCAGGTTCCCCATCCTCGTCATCCGGGCGCCGTCCCAGAGGAGTCCTGGCCTGCTTTCATCTTCGAGGCCGGGTCCCTTGAAGCGTCCTGGTCATTGCTTGTATCTTACACCTTAAGCAGTGCTCACTCACTACTTGTTACTCAAAGTGCTTCCCATCGGCCGTGATTGTAAGAGCAAAAGAAGTGCCAGTGACTGGACCAGTTCTAGAAGCAGGGCACACGGCCAGCGCCCCAGGCCATTGGACGATCTCTCACTTATGGGCCTGGCCAAGAGCATCTTCTCCGCATTTCCAGGCCTGGCCGAGGTCGGCCTGCAGAGTTCCTGCTAGCGCAAAATTACAGTGTGGTGCACTTCCACTCGCCTCGTGCCTCCGTCCACCCTCGTTCTGACTCAAAACCTCGTGTGCAGCACTTTAATAACCCAGATCGGAACCGTGAGCTTGCCACTGACTCCCAGTATCGCGCAATTCAGCATGGCTACGAAAATGCTGCCAATAAGACAAGGCACGAGTGCCATAAGATCTTTGTCAAAACGCCGGCCCTCATGCTCACAGTCATTTTCCACCACTACACCAGCGGCGGCCGTGTCGCCATACAGGAAATCTCAAAAACACATCTCAAAAAATGAGACAACCAAGAGACCAGCGACTACAGCTGCTGCACCCGCACCGTAAGCCTAGCGCACATAAGAACATGCAGTTCGTTGCTAACAAGATATAGAAATCAGCGGCCCATACCAGCGCCAGCGTTTAACCAAGACCACAGAAATGAGCCTTCACCCTTGGTGAACCGGCAAGCGCCAGAGCTCGATGACTCGTACGTCTGCATGTTACTTGCAGCTGAAATACATGCTGACCACTTTTGCAGATTTGTGGGATTGAGTGGCGGGCAGATCTTCCACGAGATGATGCTGCGGCAAGGTGTCAAGCATATCTGTATGGTCTTCGGTCCTCTTCAATACTACATGGAGCTAACGAGATTTAGTCGGATACCCTGGCGGTGCCATTCTTCCCGTATTCGATGCCATCTACAACTCGAAACATTTCGACTTCATCCTTCCCAAACACGAACAGGGCGCAGGCCATATGGCTGAAGGTTACGCACGAGCTTCCGGCAAGCCAGGCGTTGTTCTTGTGACGTCTGGGCCTGGCGCAACCAACGTCATTACTCCTATGCAAGATGCTATGTCCGACGGTACACCCATGGTCGTTTTCTGCGGTCAGGTGGTAACTACAGCTATCGGCAGCGATGCCTTTCAAGAAGCGGACGTCGTTGGCATCTCAAGAGCGTGCACAAAATGGAACGTCATGGTAAAGAGTGTAGCCGAGCTACCTAAGCGCATCAACGAAGCATTCGAGATCGCCATGTCTGGCCGTCCAGGACCAGTTTTGGTCGATCTCCCGAAAGATGTCACAGCTGGTATTCTCAGGAGAGCCATTCCCACACAATCTGCTCTGCCAGCACATCCGTCAGCAGCGACCATTGCGGCCAAGGCTCAAGCAAAGCGCATGCTGAACGCAACCATCAGCCGCGTGGCTGACCTCGTCAACATCGCCAAGAAGCCCATCATCTACGCTGGTCAAGGCATGCTCGCGACTCCAGAAGGTCCCAAGTTGCTCAAGGAGCTCTCGGACAAGGCTCAGATCCCGGTGACTACGACTTTGCAGGGCCTGGGAGCATTCGACGAGACAGATCCCAAGTCTTTGCACATGCTCGGCATGCACGGATCAGCGTATGCAAACATGGCCATGCAGGATGCTGATCTCATCATCGCGTTGGGAGCTCGATTCGACGACCGTGTGACTGGAGCTGTCGCAAAGTTCGCGCCCCAAGCAAAGGCTGCGGCTGCTGAAGGCAGAGGAGGAATCGTCCACTTCGAAATCATGCCAAAGAACATCAACAAGGTTGTACAAGCGACTGAAGCTGTGGAGGGAGACGTGGCCCAAAATCTGGCCCTTTTGCTGCCAAAGGTCAAGAGTGTAAGCGACAGGCCCGAGTGGTTTGGCCAAATCAACGACTGGAAGGAGAGATTCCCTCTTACTGCCTTCGAACGCGGCACGCCCGATGGACTGATCAAACCCCAAGAGTTGATCGAGAAGTTGTCAGTATTGACTAGCCACATGAAGGACAAGACCATCATTGCGACCGGCGTGGGCCAGCATCAGATGTGGACCGCACAACATTTCCGATGGACGTCGCCACGATCAATGGTCACATCTGGTGGTCTCGGCACGATGGGCTATGGTCTACCAGCAGCCATCGGAGCCAAGGTAGCGTGCCCCGATCACCTCGTGGTGGACATCGATGGTGACGCATCCTTCAATATGACTTTGACAGAACTGAGCACGGCGGCACAGTTCAACATTGGCGTGAAGATTATCGTTCTGAACAACGAGGAACAGGGCATGGTCACGCAATGGCAGAGCCTGTTCTACGAAAACCGATTCGCGCACACACATCAAAAGAACCCCGATTTCATCAAGCTCGCAGATGCCATGGGCGTGCAGTCAAGGAGGTGCATCAAGCCAGACGACGTTGAAGACAGCTTGAAGTGGTTGATCGAGGGCAGCGGCGATGGTCCAGCTCTCCTGGAAGTCGTCACCGACAAGAAGGTACCAGTGTTGCCCATGGTGCCTGGTGGCAACGCTTTGCACGAGGTGTTGGTGTATGATGCCGAGAAGGAGAAGGTGCGGAGAGAAGCGTTGATGAAGACCTGGAAACAACCGGAATAAATGCGTCGGCCAGATGCATTCTTTTCTACTTCTTCGGCCGCGATCGGTCTTCATGGTCCTGCAAAAGTTCGATACCACAATTTCTGCAGCGTTTGTACACATCGAATGCATGATTCCTGCAGATCTATTGTCTCTAAGCATGAACTCTCACCCATCTCCGCCGATGATCTGGGCTCGACAGGCCTTACGCTCTTCTCCCTGGCAGGTCTTCGTCCATTCCAGACAAAGCGGTCCTTCAACTCGCCCGGTTCTTGGCCGCCATGTGGCAGGCACAGGCACATCTCTGGCCTTTATTTTGTCAAGCGCTACCGACCCATGGCACTGCTGCGAGCCGCTCCTGCCGCTATAATGCATGTTACAGCATTCGGAGCGAGCCTTCCCGGCCCATGAACTGCAATTCAAGTCAGTTGTTTTCTCCCATGCGCAATGCCACGTCTATTCTTTTTGCAGCTTCAGCTCTTCAGACGCACTGTACTTGCAGTATTCACTCGTCACTCTCCCCATGGAATGATATTATATTGACAATCTCTATTCAGGCATTCAGCACTTCACTTACTATCGATCGATCTCTCAGTCATCTATTCATCATCTGATTGAGCTTACACCATGATTGAGTCATATCTCTTGGTGGTCGGTGCCTTTGGGTATAACCTCATCGCCGCCGCAGCTGATGACACTTCTCATCGCACACTCGACACGTCGATCTCTTCTCTCTGCACAGTGCCAGTCAACGATCTGGCATGCAGAGCACTCCTGGCTTTACTTCTTCTTACGACTACATCGTCACCCTCTCTTTCTCACTTCTTATCCCGCTTTATCGTCGCCTGTAGGAGAATCCGCAACAAGATGTTTCTCGCTTCGATCCTGCGCGATATCAACGTCCAGGAGGAGGGTTTTGTGAAGAGAAAACGAGATGCTTCTGACATTGCTCGAGTCGCCCAACAGAACAAGAAAATGCGGCTGTGCACTTCGAATGCGGTCCGACGGCAGCCTCAGCATGTCAAGAAGGGCATTACGCTCGATACGCTACCAGGAGAGATTCGAAATCGTATTTACGAGTACGTCTTCGAAGCAAGCGAAATCACAATCTTCTATTGTGCTCCAGATCCGGCTGCAAGGAAGGCAGATCCACCTATCTACCTGGAACCAAATCCGTCCGATGGCAGAACCATCGCAAAGTTTCGCGACCGTGACAACAACTTATTCGCGGTCCTGGCAGACAAACACACTGGATACGGCATCACACAAGTCAGCCGCCAGCTGCACAACGAGACGAGAGAGCTATTTTTCCACAGGTCCACTTTCTCATCTCCCGACCAGAACCTCACTGGCGTGTTCTGCACACATATGCCACCCGACTGGAAGCAACATGTACGCTCCTTCTCCGGCAGCATTGTTGGCCCGTACCCAAAGTACCACCATATCCTTCCTACCGATGCCTCGCATTTCCTGAATCTCCAGAGCGTGACTCTCACAGCACCAATGGACGAGAGGGAGGACTTCCACGCCTGGTATTCCCTTAAATCATTGACCCAAATGTCCACTGAGGAACTCAAGGAAGAGTTTCTGCCCGCCTCACAACAGCTGCCCCTATCTGCTCTCGACATCCACAACCACGCGGCATATCGACGACGGGTGACTCGCGCTGCACCTCGTTACTGGCCACCCACGAAGACCACATCTCCCGCGACTAAGTGCGTTGCCGCTCATGCCCTTATCGACACACGCGCCGACCTCAACTGGAGCTTACGCGGGACTTCTGGGTAGGACACATTCACCAGAGCCCTCCCGACGCGATGCAACGCGCCAAGAGAGTGCACATGTTCGGACGCTATACCGTTTGCTGGAGCAATCGTACGCCAGAGAAGGTGGTTCGAGACTTCAGGCACGCCACCGTGGACGGAAGGGTGCAGCAGTGGCTGTCGCGGGAGGTCATGGAGAAATTTGATGTGGATGGGACGTGGAGGGCGCGATGGAGGAGCAATGGAGGAGTCGAAAGTAGGGATGGGAGGTTGAGTGGTGGGAATGTGGTAAAGGGAAAGGAGAGGCGTACTCCAGCCGTTGGGGTGCGTGGGTGGATGTCCAACGCGGGATGGTAGCATACGGGTGAGTCGACCACTACTTTCATATCACTCCAACATTCCCATGCTCAACTCTCTCGCCAGCCCCAGCCTCAGCCGCTTCAGCACCTCCTTAGGCAGCTCTTCGTCAGGTAAATCTCCGAATGCAGTCCGCCAGTCCCACTGCCTCCTCAGATCACTTTCATCCTGCATATCGTTCCTTCCTCCGCCGACAAGCACCGCACTCCCTTCACTCCTCCCCGCCCCAAGACCAGCACTCGTCCCGCTACCAGCCATGCTGAAGCTGAAATTCGTGCTGTTCGTCAAGCCGGAACTCATGCTCTTTTTCAGCATGTCCTCTCGTCCGCCGCCGCCGTTGCTGTTGGATGCCGAGCGCAATTGCTCTATGCTATCCACGATCGCTGCTTCTGCCGCCTCTTTGACGTGTGGAGCAACGGTCTCAAAGTCCTCAATTGCGGCCAGGAGAGCGTAGATTTGTGCGTCGGTGAAGACTGGGCTGTCTTGGGAGAGGAAAGCAGTAGCCTCGCCCAACAATACCAGCAGCATCTCGTGACTAATCGCTGTCTGGCGCTCTGAGTCGTACAGACCACCATAGATGCTATCTGCTGCGCTGTTGACGGCCGCTACGAGTGCTTTGGCGGCGAGACGCTTGCGCTGTGCAGAAGCAATGGGTCCGCTATTGCTATTGGACTTGCTGTGCTCAGGTGGGTTATCGCGGTAGGTGTACACTCTTCTGATGCAAGCATATCCAACGACGTAGAATTGCAGAAGTGCCGCCGCTTCGGGGTCTGTCTCGATCATGTTGGCGAATGCAGCCTTGGGACTCTCGACCAGGGCAAGCAGAGTCTCGTCGATGTTGTTCTCGGATGGCCACGCGCGAGACTGTACCAAGCAGTTTGAGACCAGCATCTCCGTCAGCTTCCTGATCCGTGAGCCTTTGTGGCTGTTGGCGTAGCACATCAGGGCCATCCCATACTTGTACGTGTTGTCAGATAGATAGTCGCCCAGCTTCTCGGACATGCTACGCGCCTGTGCCGTGAACCGCAGGTCCATGCAGAGACTGATCGCTCGCTGCATGCGCTCCTCGTGGCTGACATCGAGCTGAGCGAGTAGGTCATCTACTGTCTCATTCATTTGTTCTTGCTCGTCCATGCGGCTTAGCACTGACAGCGCGACTTCCCAGCCGTCGATGTGGTTGCCATCGGGAAAGCGAAGATTGTTATGCTGGGCCAGCTCGGAGGCGTATGTGACTAGGATGTCGTCTTTCGTGAGCGTGCCGGAGGGGTTTGCGACGCTCAATACCAGGAGGTCAGATTGATTGAAGCCGGTCTGCCGTGAGCCGGAATCCAACCAGCCGGCGGCCGAGGAGAGCTCTGCGACGGCCGCGGTGATGCATTGCGAGAGGCCACGCATTACACCAAGAGCGCTGGTAACGCTTCCCTGCAAGATGGAGGCCAGCCCTACTTCCACGGGTGACATGCTATTAATGGCAAACGTTTCTTGTGCATCTGGGTCTGTGACGCAAAGGAAGGCATCGCGCAGTCGAGTCAGGTAGGGGTTAATGCCGGCATTGGGAGGCGCTGAGCGCGTGGCACGACCGACTGCAAGACTCCAGTCTGCGATCTGGGCATCCGAGGTACCGTCCCACCAGACTGTCAGAGCACACGCCGCCTCCAGCCAGTCCTGGGACTGCGTGATGATCTCTGTTGAGCTGCCAATTAGAATGCCATATAAGATCCGGATGCCCTGGTAGATGCTCCAAGGTAGGTTACGCGATCGCTGTGACCGTCGAAGGAGGTCTCTCCGAGGCTTTTGTACGCCAAAGTTTTCTGCCTCGAACTCGTCCTCGTCGCCCTGTTCACCAGACGCAAGTTGGCCGAGGCTGTCCAGCTCGAACTCGACATTACTTCGATACCTGGCCCATTCTTCTGAAGCAGTGTCCCAGTTGCCTTTCATGGCTGGGCAAGCATTGATGACTTGCCTGACTTTGAAGACTGTACCTTGGATCGTCTGGAGCTGAGCACCTCGGAAGCCAGGCTCTGGTTCGTTGTCATCGAGCACTGCAGAGACAGCATACGAGAAGTCTGCATTCTGCAAGAGCCGCATAACGCCTTGCAGACGACCACGCAGGGTCAGGCTGAGGACCACGTCCCAAAACTGCTCGTGAGCGGTGGCGTTCGGAGTGAAATCGGCCACCATCTGAGCCAAGGGGTCGTAGGAGACATGGTGATTTTGAAGCCATACGAGAATGGTCTCGGGCAGAGTCGAGTGATCAGGATGATGCAGCGTGAGAAGCAATGACGAGAGGTAGTAGGCCTTGTCGAATGCTGTTGATGGCTCCGGAGGGCCAAGATCGGCTGTTGTATGACTTGCTTGAGTGATGTTAGACCTCCATAAGTTCAGCAGATCCCTAGCCTGCGCGTCCAGCAGCGATTGCAGGTTGTTGTCATCCTGCGCTTGATGCCGCTCATTATTGAGCTGCTGCAAGAATAATTCAGTGTCAAGTATCAGAGTATCGTCCTTTTCAAGTGGCGCCGGATCTGACTGTTGTGCTAGACCGCGTGCGAGATTTGGCACGACGTCTGGATTGCCCTTATGCGGTAGTACTGAATGCGACCGAGTTGATCGTCTGAAGACGGATTGTCTATTCGATTTTGTGCTGTTCGTGCTGAACTTCATGAGCGACTGTACTGGAACAGGAGCGTCCTCCTCGTATTCATGGCCTTCGTCGTCATCATCGTCCCCGTCATCTTCAACATACTGACGCGAAGCGGTCCGGTTTGAGAATGGGCTGATGCCCTTCTGGTGTTGGAGACTCCGCGTGTTGGCAAAGCGAGGAGGTGTACGGTCAACAAACCTGCTGTCGTTCGGAGACGACGCGGGCTTCGAGAAGAGGCTCTTTCCGGTGCCCAGGCGTGAGCTGCCGAAGACGGTGGACGGTGGGGGGACCAGCGGTGTTGTGCTGATATTCGGCTCGTTGAAGAAGAGTCCCTTGTTCCGAGGCGGCGTGTTCGTCGGACTGGACGAGTAGTCAGCCGTGAAACGATTCATCGTGACCAGGCCGCGCTATCTGGTCATCACGAGCATGTGCGAATGTGTAAATACGGCAGGCGCATAAATTAGTCGCGGTTCTAAAAGTTCGAGGTGGAAGTCGCGTCGACCCGCGGAGCGGAGAAACTTGGAGACGCGACGCCGGTTGACAGCGAGTGTCGACTTGCAGGCTTGCAGCCTACCAGAGCCCGCCCTGAGATACGTACTTGCGAGCACAAGGGTAGACACAAGGACGGTCATTTATGTCAATCGTGCAGACTGATGTTACATATATTAACATTATCTGAAATCACTTCCACGCGCGATACCATATGAGTCCAACTGCCTTCTCTGCGTATCATCAAACGGCGTAGGCGTATTGTGCCTGCTATAGCTCGGAAGCACAGCCAGAGGACTCAGGCTCCGCGGCGACATAGCAGCGCGTGACTCGTTGTCCTCTATATCGCGCTGCTCCTCAATGCTGACAAGCTCCGTGAACCCTTCAGAATCGGTATGTGGCCGCACACTGACTATGCCAGACGACTTTGTGTTCGAGTCGCGCTTGCTGCCGCTGGGCTTCCAGTGGTCTTTCGGTATCCCTCCGGACGCAGTGCGAGAATGCTTCGAGTCCTTCGTAGTAACCCCAATCCAGCTAGGTACGAATTTGACGAGGAACTTTTTGGCAGCTGGCAAGCACGCACAGATGATCGCGACGTGGGCCTCAACTACGGACCATATCGCAGCTGCTGTGTAGTCGTATGTTGGATTGAGCGAGTTGCCAAACGTGATGAGCGTGTTGAGCCGGAGTATGCAGACAATCGTGACAATAAGACCGAAGCTGAACATTACGAAGATGTGAGACTTCTGCCGCCAAGAATAATGCCGCTGCAACCGGTAAATCAACGGAAGCGGCATGATTAAGATGGCGATGTCGAACACCATGTTGAGCGCCGCGTGCGCGAAACCTCCGACATAGACATTGATGCACGAGCCTTCGTGCTCACCGTCCCACCTGAGCCAGGCATATGAGACAGGGGTGCACTGGAACGTCAGCGCGAAGAAGAAGCTGATCCAAAAGGCGATGCATAACCCGACCATGACTTTGCAGATCGTCTTGAACGTTTGGTTCGGGAAGACTTTGAGATAGAACAGAAGTATCGCAATCTTGACTAAGACTGTGCAGGTGAGCTGTAATCATGGTCAGCCGCAGCAACGTGGAAGATAGAAGAGCAGTGGTTGTCTCGAGTGTCTGTGAAGAGGATGGGAAAACCAGAGTTGTGGTTCATCTGCTTCCCATCCAGATCTGCGCATCTTCGGACGGAGACTGCGCATAATCTTCGCATCTTTGATTGTAGTAGGAGACAGTACTTACATATGGCATTTCGCCAGCCCAAAAGTACTTGAGCAACTGCGTAATGTCGTCGAATGGCACCCGCCAGATGTCTTTCCCTAATCCGTGCTTGTAAAGGAAGACATCGAGCACTGAAAGTGGCAGGACAGCCAACCACGCTACAGTAATGATAACGTCATCCCAGCCGGACAGCTCACTCTTCGTCGGGTTTCTGACGATGAGGCGTAAGATAACAAAGACGAGACTGACGCCAGCTAGCACTGGTCCTATGACAGCGACGTCAATGCCCTTGTCACGGACAGGCCATTTGCACCCCTCTGCCGCAACACTTTGCGTTGCTGTGGTTCTCGATTAGAGTGCTCCTGGTGTATAGATCTCGACAAGTACTGACTGAGACCTTCCCTGGTAGTGCAGTTTGCCAGGACACACGCCTCCATATCCGTCCATACTTGTTCGCTTTGACAGATACATTCAAGGTCTGTCAGCGCGCAACCACTTGCGGGTGCATATTGTATTGTGCAAGTGATCTACCCCCTTCAGTATCAAATTCATCAACTCAGGTGGAGGGCCAACTCACTGCACAAGGGGGTAGCTTTCGCAGGAACTGGTCGATTTGTGCCGCTGCGATTGCGACGAATAGGAAAAGCGTTAATACCGACCTCATCACGAAATATTGAGCTGCCAAAGTCACAAAATCCGGGCGACGAACACGATTGCCGAGCAGTTCTGATATAAACGAAATCAACCAGCCGTTAGGCTTACATGCTTCGGTGATGAGTGTCTTGGACCCATAACGAAGAGGAATAGCGTACGAAAGTCTTTGCTCGTGCAGTAGCCAAAGAAGTATAGGGCTGCCCTCGTGGCAAGGAAGTGTCCATGAGACAATGTGGCGCTCGTGGGCCAAAATCTATCTGGAAGATGCATTGAAGTTTCCGCCGGGCACTAGGTCAAGGTCCGGCGCGCGAAACAACTCCTGAGGGACCCAGCCTGGGTCTGGTAGGCAACATGACGTGAAGAAATTGGGAGTCTGGAGCGTTTCGAATAGTCCTCCAAGGCACAGGGATGCCGAGAGCCGTTGAGAGACGTCCTGATGAATCGCGCCTTAGCAAACCATTGGCGGCCTGCCTGACATTGATGAGATCGTGCAATTCCGAAAAATGCCCCTGTCTCGCTCTTCTCTCGGCGGGCCACAAGCAAATTGTGTAGACTGTCAGTTTCTCACCAGTTGCATCTCGCCCGGGACCTAGATTGCGGACAGTCTTACATCCTGCTCTCAGGCGCTTCCATCATGTTTCGAAGACTTGTCATAGAGTTCGTGTGTCGTGATTTTGCGAGAAGGTGGTGACGAGATTCTCGCGCTTACCCGGGGATGGAAAGAAGGTTTGCCAAGCCTGGTGGAGGCTTCTTTTGACAGCAGCGGCCATGGATTTCAGCTCCTCCCCTTTGTTTCGTCTCTTCTCGTCCACCGCGGTGGTGCTGGGGCCATGGGGAGCCGGAAGTCCTGCCTCTTTCGAAATAATCCGGTGTGAGCAGGTCTCCCGTCCTCAGCACAACAACCCTGCCAGCAGGATGCTTGTCATCACCCCTCGGCCATCATTTTGCAGCTCCTCGTCCATCTCCGCAGTAGTAAATGGCGAGGTCGGACGCTAACGAATTTGACAGCTGCAATTCGGAACAATTAAATCACAATGGTCTTGCAGCTGTGGCACAGCGTGGCTACTTGCATAAGTGGAAGCCACCATGCAGCAATCTAGCCACGCTGCAATGCCCACGCTCGCGCATAATCGCACAACTGATTTTTCACGGGACATTTGACATAGGTTTGCCTCGCAGTCTGATTATAATCGCGTTCCTGCTTGCGAAGATATCCCCGAGCAAATATGTGCTGGTGGTTCACGGACGAGGTGCTCGCTGGGGCTCTTGTGTGGTAATGTTCACGCAGGTCTTACATACCAGTGCGGTAGAAGGAAATGGCAAGAGTGCAGATCTGCCGAACATGAAGCAGAGCATAGCCGTCCAGCCGGTCTCTGTTCGACAATGTCGCCGGAGATTTTTGTGCATCGTAACCACTAGTGAGTTTCCAAACCTGGTTTCGACGAGCTCCTGTATGGTGCCTGGCACTGCCTGCTACTCGTTCCGATGGCATGCATATCGACAATCTAATCAAGGCACTAGTAGCTCGCATTATTGGCTAGCACCAATAGCTACCCATGTACCCCGCGTAGCGGATGGGAAGGGATATTCTGGACCTCTCACACACGCGAGCCGATCGTAAGACCAGACTGTGTTATCCTGTTCTGCTGCACGTGAGTTCGCGAAGACTTGCCGAGGGTCATGGACAAGAGGCTCCTATGCCGCGAGCCATCCTGCACGATCGCACAGCAAGCTGCCACAGCAAATGGTACATGTTCGTCACTGGGACCGGCCACAGCTTTGATTCCTCGATCTAGTGCATGCGACGGACAAAACAGCCTTCTCCGTACCTCTGGACGGTATAGACCGTCGTCGGCAGGCATGCCAACGTCAAGGACGTTGATCGTTGGTGACAGAACCCTTCACGGGTGCATTTGGTGTAAAGTTAGTGATCTACACGACTCATTCTGAAACGAAGAAGCATGAATGAGGGCGCATGGACGAAATAAGATTGAGCTGTATCGATGATGACTCTTCACGGCGAATATCATAGAGCTTTGTCATTCAAAGCGAGTACGAGCTCGGGGCCTTGTTGGCAGGCACAGTCCGGGGTAAGAGTGAGGTCGGGACAAGCAAGCGCGAACCTGAACTAGCTAGACTTGAATGTCAGCAGGCACAACTCAGAATGCGAGCGAAGCCGAGGTAAGCAAGCACGAACTCGAGCAACTTGACAAGTAACGGCAGATCCAGCTGAGTTGGCCCGTGACCTGTCAGAGCTGGACTAGTAGCTTATGTGGCTGTACGTTGAAACCAGTAGCCTACAAACCGCGTCTGACCTTGCTCTCTGTAGCACGCTCATCTAGTGATGTGCTCTGCCCATAGCTACCGTCTCGCAGCTGTGGGCAATGTCTGCCCAATTGTCGTTGTCGTATGCTGTTGTTCCCTATCCAGTCGAGAATTCATGGTCTTCATCTGCAAAACGCCGAACTCGCATCACAGGAAGCAATGCATATCGCAACGCGCATCAGAAGACCAGCCTTCTCTACTGCAGTCTCGCATCGTACTTAGCGTACTGATGCTGACGAACATTGAGCTGAGGTCACTTTCGACGCGACAAGTTTTTCGAGAGGAAAGCTGTCGATGACATCGAAATTGAAAACTCGGCTCTTTGCTTTTTCTAGGCGTCCTTGCTTCGCCAACCAATCAGCGTGCACCTGGAATGTCTGACAGGACTGAACGCCTTGCGTTCTCAACCTCATGCTCCTTCCTAAGAGCAATCGAGCCGCATAATCCTTGAGCTAGGTCCGACGCGCCCGTAAGTGACGGTGCTGTCCCTCAATCTTTGCGTATTCCCTTGTGCGTAGCTTCCCACCAGCGCAAGACGAACTCGTCGCTGCACAGCGAAACATGGCCGACCCCACGTCAGCGCCCTCACTGGCAGAATCAATCGATGCGTCCATTGCTAGTTTCTTCGCTTCACACAACCCTCTAACATATCTCTTGCTCGCCATAATTACTGGCATCCTCGTCTACCCGCTCATTGTCGGCCAAGACCCGGACATCCACCCATTTCTCCTCGCTCGCCAATCCTCAGCCGCACCAATTCGTAATCCGAAGGAATCTCCAGTCTACCGAGCACTCGACGTGCCACACGGCTACCCTTTGCGCAACGCACTCGGAGTCAAGGACATCGGCGCACCGAAATGGACTTCTGGCAGACGCGGCGATCTTCGTGATGTCTTGGCGCGAGCGGTGTCCGGGCCGCTCAATGCTGAGTCCACTGCTCACGATGCGAGTAAGGTCGGCAAAGTGTGGACACTGTCCGGCAAGGACAAGTCCACCCCGACGGAGATGAAGGAGCTAATGAGAATGGTCAAGACGCTTGGAAGCTTTGCCAAGGACAAGGCTGGTGCGGATGGCAAGGTTGCTGTGTGCTTGAGCAACAGTGTTGAGCTACTTGCCAGCATTTTCGGTTCGTGATCTCGTCGTTGTCATCTGAAAATGTCTAACGCATCCCAGCCGCCGCATTCTACGACTACGAAGTGGCCATCATCCCGACTGGCCTCCCTCAAAACCAGACCGACAATCTCCTCGCTCAGACCAACCCGAACATCCTCATCGCCGAAGCCGGCGAGCTAGACCTCACGACCGCCCTCCCCAAATGCGGGACATCTCTCAAGGAACTCATCCTCATCGCCAAGCCCGACAGCAAGCACATGGACTGGGCGTCCACCCCGACCCCCAAAGGCGTCTCCGTCACCACCTGGGATGACCTTCTCTCCTCCAGCTCCGCCACCTCCGACATTCCCTCCATCGAAAAGGACGCTCCCAAACCGAAGCCTCTCAGCACCTTCACCTCAACTACCTCCGGCTTATTCACCCTCACGACATTTACCTCAGACAACCTCATCGCTGGCACCGCCGCCCTCCTAACCTCCCTCCCCCGCACTCAACCCCTTTCGCCCACCGACACGCTCCTTCCCACCACCTCGATCTCCAACCCTTACACACTGACGTGGATCCTCGCCGCGCTATACAGCAACGCCTCCATCGCCCTCAACTCCGTCTCTGGCCCCAACGTCGACCTCTTCGCCACTACAGCTTCCTTCCAGCCTACCATCCTAGTCACCTCACCCGGCACCCTCCAGAAGTACCTGACAAACTACACGAAGACTGGTCTAGGACCATCCCGGTTCACGAAATTCTTCCACCGCCGCAGCCTCCGCCAGGGTATCATGCCCAGCCGCAAGCCGATTCCGGACCTTGGCGGCGGAAAAGACGCCGTGTTCCTGGTCATGGAGCTCGCTGCCCTCTCGAAACTCCGCGCTGTTTTCGTCGGGCACGACACGTCAGCGGATAAAGCCAACTCCCTCACTAGCAGCGATCTGGATAGCTTGAGGACAGAGCTGGGCGTAAAGATCAGCTACGCGCTTACCTCCGGACAAGTGGCGGGCGCGGTGGCGCAGGGGAATCTGCATGACTATCGGGATAAAGGGGAGAAGGTGGTTTGCGTGGGCGCGCCGGCGGGGAGTGTGGAGATTAAGTTGGTGGGGGATGATGATGGGGTCGTGGGGAGGGGGAGGGGCGGTGAGGGATTCGTAAGTCACTCGTTTCGTGTCATTGCTAGCAGAGCTAACCAGATGACGCAGATTGTCGTCAATGGTCCGGCGGTCGCGGGCGAGAAGGGCGAGGTGCAGCTTGATGTCAAGGCTAAGATTGATACTGATCATACCTTGTTGTTGTTGTGAGTTGTCGACCATCAAACACCACTTTGAGGGTATGGCTGCTCCGCCTTGTCGATGGCGGAGGTGTCAAAAGTATACATGCACATATATATCACTACACGGCCATTGCAGCAGCGACTTAGCTGCTCCCAACCGGCCCATGGATCTTCTCAATGGCCGCCACGAACCGCTCGAGTTCTCTCGGCTTCTCAGGCTCCCTTGCAGCCACTTCCCGGAACTTCTGTAACCGCTCCTGTAACGTCTGGCTAACGTCCTTGAGACGCTGCGCAAATGCAGTCTTTTCTTCTTTTCTTACTCCCTCCGGGATCTTGCTGGCGAACTTCATACCACTCCAGAGTGGAATGAGTGAGCGAGTCATGATAGCGGCGGCACCAATGTCAGTCCACCGGCCAGATTCCGCACGCGGGTAAGCCTGCCCAAATTCCGGAAAGGACAGATCGACAGCACCGGTCTGCTGGTCTTGTGATAGAGCAAGTACTCGAGAAACGGCATTCTGTAGCTCGGGAATATTGTCGCCAGCCACAGCGTGCAGCTCGAGCAAGACACCGTGCACCATTAGACTGTAGCGCATGTCATAGTGTTTGTCCGGAATTCGTCCTCGGCAATGGTGCTCCTTTTCCATCAACGCCACAAGCCGCCTTGCCAGAGTCCGCGACTCTTTCAATGCATTGCCTTTGAAGCCAGCGGCTACAGCACGGTCATGGCATCCCAGGAACATCTTCTCTGTGACGTACGGATGGCAGAGCCGGACGCCAGTGTCTTGAGGGTACTCGATACACTCCATGAAGACCTGGTGCTTGCTGTGTATGTTTGCATATCGCGCCAGGGCGTCGACAAAAGCCATGGTCGTGTGGTATGGAGAGTCTTTCAGGCCGTGTAGGAATGGGTACACATTCTGCCATGCTTCGTCCGAGGCTCCGTTCTTGTAGATGTTGAGTATTTGTCTAAAGGTTTCGACCTTGTTTGGTCTTTCTGACATCTTCATGGGTTTAAGTTGGACCTCCTCTTCGTCGGTGATACTGACTGAGACGCCGGGATCGTTGGTGAGGACGCCTTGTCTCGTAGGTCGATAAATCAGCCGCTGGTGGGTTTGTGACAGGCTGGTTGGGATGAAGACCTTTTCTCGGTAGTCGTTGAAGATGGTATCGAGGGCGGGCTCTGATGTGGGCACGAATTCTGGTACATAGCCTGTATACCGTCAGTATACGCCCGGTGCCATACAGAAGACCATACCTCGATCTTTGCGGAGGGTTGTGCTAAACGGTCGTTGTGAAGCTCGGCTGCATCTTGTGCAGAGATCTGCGAGGGGCTTCAATCGGGGCCGCATCGTCACTGCACAGCGACCGAATCTTCACGCTGCTGAGAATGTCGGTCGAGGAAGTTGTGGTGGAGGAGGAAGCAGTCGCATGTAAATCTTTTCGGTTGACTTGCCCAATTCGGACACAGATGAACTTCACCTCTTCGACGCATCTAGATCAGTCCAATACGTCCACCTCGAGTCTTTACAGATACTAGATACAGTCGCGTCGGTCATGTCGCAGTCACTATCTCGGCGACTGGCGGCCTGCTGTCTGCGGTCCGATGCCGCAAAAGTAGGGTCTGGGCCGAAGCATCTACGAAGGACAGTAGTCACAATCCAACGACAGATCCCCGAACGACTACGAGTCCCGGAGGATCTTCCCTCACAGTACTGGGCACAGCTGCCGCCGCGGCTGCGACCAGATTTTGGTACGTGGCATCTAGGATGATTGCTGGCTGTCACTAATCAAGCCAGTCAAACGAGAAATTACAGTCCATCCTCCACCACCTTCGGAGGTTGAGCAATGTAAAGAGCCGATCAAGCTCATAGACGCACAACAGCTGGCACGGCTAGACCCTACCGGCGCCCGACAGAGGATGTTCGACAGGACAAATCGAGACCGGTCACAGCCTGGCGACATATTACACGTCACGTTCAAAACAGGCGAACCATTTTCGGGCGTCATCATGTGGATCAAAGGGTCTGGTCCGCACAAGTCAGTCATGCTGAGGAGCCAGCTTACAGGAGTCGGAATGGAGATGAGCATCAAGATACATAGTCCGGAGGTGCAGAGTATGGAGATTGTGAAGAGAGCGGCAAAGAGAGCGAGGAGGAACAAATTGACATATCTACGGAAGCCCGAGCACGATCAGGGAAGTGTCCAGAGGACGGTCGACCAGTATCTGCGGGAACGAGCACAGCTTATGGGCAAGAAAACTGCTACCACGACGCCTGTGGTGAGGAAAAAGAGGGCGAGGAGGTAACACAGCTGGTCCAAGGACATATACCCATCATCGTCATCCCGGTGATTGTCACAATACGAGCGACGTGTATTCTTCAAATGGTCAAAGGTCTGGTTGCTTCGCGTACTCGAATACCGGAAGCTCCATTGAAGTGTGGAAGTAAGTCCAGGCGATGGGAAAATTGCTGCTGCAGATCCGTCAGGAGGGCTCTGTGAAGATCGGCATCACCATCGCACTTCACTTGCCATCAATCACGCTACTTCAGTAACTTGATCTGTCGAATCAACCCTCGTGCTCTTCGTTCTCCAAGATGGCACAACCTCGACACTCCTGCCCTTCAATGAATCCGAACGCTATGATCTTAAGTCCATCGCTGAACCGAGAGTCCGCCCGAGCATCTGAGGTTGTCGCCATAGTACCACTGGTGCCTGCCGCAACGCAGCTGCCGTCACAAGATCGACTCGCAGTTCGCAATCCTAATCTGTCGTCCGAGCGACTGTTGTTGCCCAGTAGTCGACCACCTCAATGCCTGTCGTCTAACATGGACTCCGCTTCACGCTATCGAAATCTCGTCAACGATCTCGCTGACGCCTCCGCATCTCTCGCGTCTCCAGACGCCGACAACCCTCCACCGCCATACACAAGTCTGACAACCGACGACAACATCCGCCACGCCCTCGAGACCTGGAATAGAGTCAAAGCCAGCGGCAAGATCAACAAACACGATACCTCTCTAATCTCTGCGGAGCCCGCCTCGGATCAGGTTGCCATGATCAAGGTCACCCTCGTCTTCGAGTAAGTATCGCCATCAGTCTGTCCGTCTGCCTATCTAAGCTAACGCTATATAGTCCAGTACAGGCAAATCCGCTCGATGCTGCCACTGATGGACGCAAAACGCTCTACATGTCTCGAGCGCAGCTCCAGCTGGTGCTAGGACCCATCACTACCAAGGCTAAACTCGCAGAGATCCGCCGAGGCGACGTCGTCCTCGAAGACGTCCTACCAACCACATTCAACGCGATCGCTCAATGGCTGAATGGCAAGGCTATCCTACACACCATCCCTGCAGCCGTCAGAAACAAGACATTGCGCGAGCTCGTTTACATCTACATCCTGGCGGCCAGACTTGGTCATAGAGCTATCGTCCATGATTGCGTCAACAATATGCCACGCGTTGATTCACCATTCGAATTTCTTGAGACGTGCGCTCTGGTCTACAAGCGTGGATGTGCTGGCGTGGCATTCCGGAACTTCTTCAGGAAGAACCTGCCTATCATTCTCGAGACGACGTCATTCGACCACACAGATCGTGTTGGAGCACTTTTGCAGGAGTCGTCGGAATTGGCCACGGATTTTGCGGAGACGATGGTCGGCGTGATGCGTCAGGCGCGCGAACCAGTCGAGATGCTTCCACAGAGCACAGAACCTTTCCCATCTCTATCCCACGGTACACCACACCAGACGCAGAACACGGCAGAGCCCTGTTCGTGTGGCTTGCATGACTGCACCTGCACGTTCGAGACCGCCAGCATCGTCCGTCCGTTTGACACACAGAACATTCCTAGACGATCTGGCTACGTTGAGACTGCTCCACCGAGTGATATGGGAGATAGCAGTGGTTGGGACGGTCCGGTGCCTTGGGTCCAACGTGACGATAGTGCTGGCTGGGACTACCTGCATCGACCAGTGCCATCCGGATCTGCTATCCCTGGTCCTCCACTGAGCAACGACGACGCTGAAGACTGGCAACCCATCCGACCTCGAAACTGGAGCAGCGCTCATATTGGACACAACTCAAATTGGGCGGATGTGGCTGGCGAGGAAGAATCTCTGATTAGTGGGTGGGATGAGGGAGTTGAGCCGCCTGCACCGAATTGGACGCCTGCTTCGAATCAGTGGCAAGACTCACGCTCAAGCAGGCCTCGATCTCGGCCAGAATCTGGAGCACTCATACCGGCAGATGGACTTGCGAAGCACGCTGCGGATCTTGAAGCTCGACTTCGTAATGTCGAGCAGCAGCTCAACAGAGCCAGTCATCGTCCAACCGCCGCCAACCCCAACAGGGTGGGCTCTGGCGAGTTGGCGCGCAAAGGCGATTCGGGCTCAAGCAATACTACAAAGAAGCCTTTGGCCACCTCGAATATGCCACCGGCACCACTTCTTCATCCAGGCGTGCCGCCTGTCGGCATGCCAAATTATGTGCCAGGCTATGGCTACAACCGCTACGTTCAAATTGGCAATGGCGTCGTGCACCCCACGGGACCCGGTCCGTATGGTCTCGCTGGGCGCTCAATGGTCGCTGTTCGCGACTCTGATTTCCTCAATTGCACGCTCAGCTTCAGAGCCGGCGAGCTCATCGAGTGTGTAGTGCCGTGTGAGGAAGGCCGCTCAACCACCCAACACCAGCCGTGGAACCATACTGGTCAGCGTATGCAAGGCATTTGCCGGACCCAAGCTGGTTCGTTCCCTGCTGAGTACGTTCGAGAGGCGCACGGCGCTGCTGTCCCTGGTGCCGGCGTGCCACATGGTATGTTTCGACCCCAGGCGGCCTCTGCAGGTCCCAAAGTTGCTACCCCAATCAACGCAGGGCTGACAACGAGCAATACCGCTCCTGCAAACGCTAAGACACCGGCTGTTACACCCACACAAACCACCGCTGCAAACGTCGACCACGAATGGCTCCAGAAGGCAAGTCCCAGTGAAAGCATGCAAACACAGCCAGCACCTCAGGGCCGCCCAGGCAGACTGCGTAGAAGCTCTACAAATACGGCAGCCACTCGCCGCAAGCACCTCCCAGGTTGTACCTCCGAGCTGGCACCATGGGCGAGTTGCAATTGCCCTGTGGTCACTCAAGCACAGCAGCCGCACTGGCAATCCACTCCGCGATATGATAACGTTGGCAGTTGGGATACGGAGGACGACGGGAATGCTTCGATTTCTGACTTCGGAGGCCTCCCGGCCGGTACGAAGCGGTGAATTGTGATGAAGTTGAGATTTGAGGGAGGAAACGACTGGGGAGGCCTTTGGTGGGTTGCTCAGTTGCAGATGTGTACATAGCTTGAGCTTGGTTACAAACGTGGTTTGATGATGAAATGAAGTGCTTCGATCTGACATTCTCTCCCGCAGAGTCCTCCCTGTGACATTTCGACCGCCACAACTTCACTCTTCGGTGGGCGTGCTCGATGCCACGATCGGCTAACCCAAATAGTGATTGAGTGATGCGGAATATACTTGCAACATGCCTTTCCCATCGCCTAGTTGGCCAAAGTTTCGGAAACTCACCGCATTTCTTCTCTTACAGGTATTTCATGCATTGTCGATGCTCACATCATACTACAGCATGGATTACTGCCGAGCGAAAGGGCACGGACGCAGCAAACACGGATGATCTTGTGTCCAAGAGCGAGATGATATTCTGTCATCCGGTCTTGTCAGAGGCTCTGTGACCTGGTCACCCGGTCTCGCGAAAAGCCTATCAGGTGCATTATCCGGCGTCAGATAACGCCTTGCGGTTATGGACCGTCGCTCCTTCCCTTGCGCTGTACTTGCCACTTTCCCGGACAGTGGTTCAATCCTTCGCAGCTTCCTTTGTTAGACCTGCAATGCTGATAATAGACAAGGCAGTTACGCATGTGGCTGCTGTTTGCACAAGAAGGTGCGATAGGTACTGCAAGACATCACTAGTCATCCGGTCTTGATCAATTTTTCACGAGACCGGTTGACGAGGCGCACAACGCGTTACAGCTGGACCTAACTGCCTCTCCCAACGTGTTGCCTTTCTACCTGTCAGTGATCCGCGTATGTCACAAATGGAGTAGAACAAGACGCGCGACGCGGGACTGGCGCCCATAGCCAGTTGAAGCAGACTCATTGCCAGCAAGCCTTTAGGTCGCAGCCTGCAAAACCTTCCCGAATTTCAGTTCGGTTCTGCAGAACGGACACGTCATCTGCGCTCTCTGAGTGAGCCATGGCTGGATGCACTGAAGGTGGAAACGGTGCATGCCATTGCACGGTATGATGGCCATAACGTCGCCGGTTTTGTAGTCCTCAATACAGATACCACAACACTTGTCCTGCTCTATGGCCTCGGGACGGAGAAGTGGAATGTGTGTTTCGGGAAAAGGACCGTTGTGGATAGTGATCAGCTCGCTTGGATTGGCGTGCTGTGAGGAGGTAGTCCATTGGTGAGTGATGAATCTGTCGTCGATGACTGGAGTTCCGGGGTTCGGGTCGGTCGGATTTGTCCCATGTCTGCGCGGCGTTTGGGTCATACCTGTGCTGGGCAACTCTTGCTCTGCGATGTCTTGGAGAAGCCACGCCTCGACATCAGGGGCAGTCGTCGGCAGATGATCCTGGGGCGGGAGCATGAAACTCTCGGCATCACTGTCGGAGTCTTCAACGAGACTTTCCCTGGTCTGAGCTATCTCGACAGCAACGTCAGAATCTTCGACGAGGCTTTCTCTGATAGCTGGCGGGAGGATAAAACTCTCGGCATCACTGTCAGAGTCATCTGCTAGGTCTTCTCTGATGATACGCTGACGGCGTGCATTCGCGGCTGTCATTGGTGGTCGAGATAGACTCCAAAAGGGACTCTGAGATGGTTCAGCTGTCATCGGTGGAGAAGACGGAGGCCAGATGGGACTTTGAGGCGGTCCAGCTGTCATCAGCGGAGGTGATGGAGGCCAGATAGGACTCTGAGGTGATTCAGCTGCCACCAATGGAGGAGAAGGCGGCGAGATAGGACTCCGAGGTAGGTGTGATGTGGCAGTAGGACTAGCCAATCTGCGCCATCTGGCCATCGATTGCACGTAGTCATGCCCATAGCTGTTCTGATCTCCGCGGACCATTGTTTCACTAGCTGCCGTAACTGGAAAGTTGTGGTTGTGGTTGATAGAAGACATTGTTGGAGATAGAATGGTTGCAGAGGACAAGAGGTTAGCAGAACATCATGGTCAAATTATACAGAACACACGCAACGCAACTTGCCTGGGCGACTGCGGTTTGCCTCACGGGCTGCCTGCCATGGCAGACTATTCTTCACCTGCTGTCACTTACAAAGGATCATGATCTTCACGTGCAACTAGGACAGCTTCACAGTGACAGAACAAGCAGGCTATGCTTTGTTCAACGTGGCTGAGGAGCCCGAGATCCAGCTTCAGGTGCTCTTCAGCTTGACATCCTGAGGTCACGTCGATGGAAGCGGCTGTAGGATGGACTGAAATCACTTGATTGGGTCCACCAGCAAGTAGTGTGATCACCTTGACAAGGGCCCGACAGTCGTCCAGTGATGCCGGTTGGCAGTGTGCACAGCGAGCGTAGCTTGAAGTCTGGACGCATAAGCTAGGGTGGAAGTTGAGGGCTGCCAACAAGCTTTAGGCACGAACGAGACCGGATGACGAGATTGTTTTTGACCCATACTTCATTGTGAAACTCTCAGAACGACAACTGCTGGCTCGCCTGAATTCAGGAGCTGCATATCGGATTCAGACAGTCCGCGACTGCAACAATAATGCTCTGACCTGGCTGAACAGGGCATCGTAAGACACAACACCACTGGTGACAGGCTCCTTCCGCTCGGCTGTAGAATGCCGAGCATTGAAGGCTTACCGAGGTTGCCTAAAGCCAAGGCTCGGACTATATACCTAACCATCATGGGCGAGAATACGTGTGCTTGTCAGCACACGTCGTGATCATAGCGAAGCTGTCGCCTTGTAGACCAAGTCTCAGATCATGGCAGGCGTCCCAAACTTTCCGTCCCTCTTCAGCCTTGATGGCAAGACAGCACTCATCACCGGCGGTGCGCCCAACTAGCCTCCTTCCCAAACACTTACCTGACGAAGTCCGACAGGCAGCACAGGCATAGGCTACGACATCGCCGCCGGCTTCCTCCAAGCCGGCGCCTCCAAAGTAATCATCGCTTCGCGCAAAGAGGATGGCCTCAAGTCAGCAGTGAAGGATTTGAATTCGATCTCGGGTATCAAGGGTAAGGCAGTCTACGTGGTGGGGAATGTGAGCACGATGGAGGGAGTTGATGCGATGGTGCAGGCTCTGGAAGCAGGGGAGTTGAAGGACGGAAAGTTGCATGTGTTGGTGAATAATGCTGGGGCGAGTTGGGCCGGGCTGTTTGAGACTTATGATGATTGTAAGTCTTGAGGAGGGCTCCACCCGCAATTGCTGGAGCTTGTGTGTTGATTGTGCATGGGTTTGCTGACGCGTTCTGCAGGGAGGACGGCGAAGACATTCGACGTCAACGTCAGGGGGCCATTCAACTTGACTAGAAGGTATGTCCTCTCCTGGCGGCTCTGACACTCTCGCGAGACCACCCAGAAGGCTGACAATCCTTTGTCCAGGATGGTCCGCTTCCTGGCTCGCGCTGGCACATCCACCGATCCAGCCCGTATTATCAACGTCTCCTCCGTCGGCGGCACGACAGTTCCGCATATCGGCGAGAACGGCGCCATCGCATACGCTATCTCCAAAGCCAGCATGCACCACCTGAGCCGTAACCTGGCTCTCGAGCTGGCGCCGCAGCACATTACCACGAACACAATCGCGCCCGGGTGGTTCCCCACCAGGTTAGCCAATCCTGCGATTGAGAAGTATGGAGGCATTGACGCCGCGGGTGCGGATAATCCGTTAGGGCGGCTGGGCATCAGGGAGGATATGGCGGGTGTGGCGATCTACCTAGCGAGCAAGGCGGGCGCCTATGTCAATGGTGAGGATATTGCTGTTGATGGGGGAAGCCGGTTAGGAAGGTCGACGAAGACGAGGCGAAGGCCAAATTGTGATGTCCTAGCGAATTCGTTCGTTCTCGGGCCAGAATTCATTCCACTTGAACCGGTGGCGTCGTCGCACGTAGCCTCCAGATTCGTATCGGGCTGACTACGTTATGGAAACATCCGGTCTGCCTGTCAAACGGCAGTGGCTTGAACTCTGTGTCGGTGACTTCTTCGACTGACAGAGTCTTACGACACGCGTCCAAAAAGACCTCCATAGTTTCAAGGTTGCGCTGTGTAGCCGAGATGAGGATAGTGGCATCCGGGTTTCGCTGGGCTAGGACTGAAAGAGTGGAAGCGAGGGCGAGGCACGCGTCCGGGTGGTAGGTGACGTCTGCGCCAATGATGAGGTCGATCTTTGAGCTTGGCGACAGTTCTCCCTCAACATCGTCCTGGCTGTTGAGAATGGCGTTCATATCATCTTCATCGGCCCAGAACAGCTTCTTGACCAGAGGTGCTCTCGTATTCGCGGCGTCATAGCTCGACTTGTTCAACGCAACGTTGTGTCGTAGACTCGTGATCACATCATCGTGCCCATCTGTAACAACAATGCGCGCAGGACAGAGGTACGCTGCGCAGAAAATCGAGAGAAAGCCTGTACCAGCACCGACTTCGAGCACAGAACGTGATCGAGTGAGATGAGGCTTCTGGTAAAGATAGTGAGCAAGACGTAGCGAGGCTTCCCATGTTCGCAAGCCGGTGTTGGGACCAGAGCCAATGATCTTCTTCGCCTCCAGAATGTTGATCGGTTGCACGTCCTCATCATAGCTGACAGGAGGGAAGTATGACACCAAAGTCTTGCTGAGATCGAGTTGTGTGCGAGATGGCGGCAGTGTGGCAAGTAAGGTCATCAGGTGATCTGAGACTTCCTGCGAGTAGTAACATATGGTCTCAGTCGCGGATGCCAAACTCTTCCACTTACCTGGACCAAAATTGAAGTGGCATGGATCGATCTTACCTCTTCTTCAGGGTCTGTGATGGCAGTCTGTATCCGCTCGACAACAGTGCGCAGAATCTTCGCCTGATATGCAGAAAGGTCTTCTGCTGCGACATTGAAAAAGTGCCGCTCAAGAGCCAATTGGACATCTGGGTTTTTGAGAACAGCACCAGATGGAACATTTGGTGGGTCTATCTGTTGCTTGAACTTGCGGTAAAATTCCACAAGTGAGCGATCCATCATGTAGCCACTGACAACAGTCGACCGTACATTGACATAACCGTTGTTGTTGAGAAGCACGGCAGTGTTGAGAACGTTTTCCAGGTAACAAAGATTGAGAGGAGAAAATTGAAGTGGTCCCTCAACAGACCGGATGACTGGGCTGAGTCACAGCGTGACTCGAAGATCCAAATACGGCTAGCTGAGAATCAGCCAAGACTTCAGATTTACCGCACGCCAAGATTCTGAGACTTACCGCAGGCAATCTACACCACCAACTAACATCATTGCGACCACACCACTCCTCTGCAGTTCCACAAAGACAAACACCGACTGCAATCATGGCTGACGGCCAAGTCACCATTCGAACTCGCAAGTTCATCACCAACCGCTTGCTCTCGCGCAAGCAGATGGTTGTGTAAGTCTCCTCCGTTGTCGACGACATGAAGAAAGATATGGAAATCTATATATCTCGGGCTGGCGGCGACTGCTTTAGCACACAATGCAATCTCGCACACTCCACTAATGATTCGTTCAACAGCGATGTCCTCCACCCCTCCCAAGCCAACGTCTCGAAAGACGACCTCCGCGGCAAGCTCGCCGAAGTCTACAAGTCCAACAAGGACCAAATCAACGTCTTCGGCATGCGCACCCAATATGGTGGCGGCAAGTCCACCGGCTTCGCCCTCATCTACGATTCCGTCGAAGCGATGAAGAAGTTCGAGCCCCACTATAGACTCGTCCGTGTCGGCCACGCGAGCAAGATCGAGAAGGCCAGTCGGCAGCAGCGCAAGCAGCGGAAGAATAGGAGCAAGGAGTTTAGAGGCACGGCGAAGACGAAGGGTGGAAAGAAGAAGAAGGAGGGCAAATAGATGTGCTGATCATTTGGTGGTGGCATGGGAAGGTGCTGGTTGTGGCGAGGTAGCGTGGGCTGTGGCGATGAGAGTCCTGGTAGACTGGTCTGCAGCCGTTCAACCCAGCATGAAGACAATCGCCGATGAAAGCAGCATAAGCACTTCCACGGATAGCGCCGACCGAGGAGAGAATGCATGGCAGCAAGGCACGATGGAGATCCAAGCACGATGGTCCACACAGTTGCTAGAAGCATCAAAATGTGCATAAGGCTGTTCCCTGATCGATAGAGTGGCCAAGCCAGGCGCAAGTACCAAATCAAACATTTCGAAATCATCTCGAATTTTGTTGCTTGATGATCACCGTTTGGTACAAAGCTTGCCTCCCACACTCATGCCATCAGCATGACAGTGACTATTGCTGATGAAGCAGATACAAGCACAGAACACGGGCGAGCATGCAAGTCTACCGTAAGTGGACTCTTCGAAGATCTTCGCCCCACCAGGTAGCAGCAGATGCTATCAGGACATGGCAATCCCCCTTCTTCCTCCCCTTTCCTCTACGGAAGAGATGAAGATGAAAGAAGAAGCCGAGGGCAAGCCCACTACTTATACCTCTCCAGCACAGTGGCTGCCAAGGCAAACGGTGAATGATCACTCTACTGACTCGGCCAGGAGGCATTCACTGTGTCTGCACGATTCAGACTCATTCGACGTTCATGGAAGTCTCGAAGAGCTTGGGCCTCGCCCCAACAAGTAGCAAAGCGTGCTATTCTGGCATGGCAAGTAGGTCCAGCGCCAGATGCTTTAACCTGGAGAGATGAGGGAGAACGAGAAGAAGTCGAGGGCGGGACAAGTATTTGTATCCGTTCAAAGGGAAACAAGGATAGACACGCAACAATCACTCTCGTGACTCGGCAGGAAGGCATTCGCTGTCACTGTACTTGCATGACTCACACAGGATGCGTGCTTTCACTGGAAGTACAAGCGAGCAAGAACGATGGAATTCGCGATCGAGCCTGCCCTCACAAATGTTATACATGCTGTTGCCCGAGGGCGCTGATCCCAAGAGTCGCGCTTACTCAACCTCACCACTTCGCTTGTGGCGACTTCCATATCTAATACATTACTTCTTCCTCCGCTTGGCAGGCACCCAATTGAATGGATATCTCCTCATAATCTCCCTCTCTCTCGAGAAACACTTCGCAGCATGCGATGCCAATGTGCTCAAACTCAAACCACAGACCGAGATGTAGGGACCGAGAAAGTACAGACCATGACCAAACGCAAATACAGACCAGTGGATAGAGACGCCGCAACGCAATGCTTTGACGAGGCAGTTTGAGATCGACGAACGCAATGAGATAGATGAGCGATGAACATGTCCGCATGTTTGTACAAATCCGACGTCTCTATTAGGTGGTGGGCGATGAAAGAAGTCCTGGTGGCCGCATGACGAGTGAACGTTGTGGACTTTAGCGAAGGCGATAGAAACAAAACCCGAGAATGCTTGTAAACGTCGATTGGGAGCAGTGAGATTCCTGGAAGAAGCCAGCGATGGCGAGCGCCCTGTGTGTAGTCGGAACGTGCGAGCACATCCATTGTCTTGGGATGGATCGTGTCTCGCCGTTGATGTAGCGTATTCCTTGTCTCATTCAAGGTGCTGGTCAACAACGACGAGGCCACGAAGTCTGGTTTCGCAGCCATGTTGAAGACGACGGTTTGAGCGCTGATATGCACGACCTTCGCATGTCTCCGAGGCTTCAACGATCGTTGGTCGATCGCCGACTGCTGGCCATAGTTCTGGACCGGCTCGATACAGAAGCCGTCGCAGTCGAGCCATATCGTCCGTCTTGCTGGCTGTAGGCATCGGCTGTGTACTCAACGCCATCACCAGCGCGGTTCGAATTGTCTGCAAGTCCAAGTCTGTTGGACACATCATGGCCATAGCGAGACGACCCAGCATGGTACTCCGAACTAATGTCAGTGCCAATGCCGTAGTTGAGATTGGACATCATCGATGTCGATGAGCCAGCTGAGCCACGTGCAGATGCATACATGGAGAGACCAGGATTGACAGACGTCAGTCGACCGGTACCCATTCCCGATGTAGCAGCGCCCCGTGTTTGAGAGTGAGGTGATGGTATCACCAATGCGTTGCCCGTGAAAGCTGATGAGGGATGGAGGTGGGCGGCTGTCGTGTAACCATCACCTCCGGTGCCGCCATGTGTGTGACAGGTCGATGCATGTCTGCCACTCGACTCTGGCATTGTGGTGCATGCTTCGATCGTGGCGGTGGATGATGTCTGGCTGCAGCTCACGTTATCAGAAGTGGGCAGAGGCGATGCGGAAACACTTGTCGCGGAGTTTCTGCTACTGCTCACATTTTCCGGACCGCCAGCTGCAGCGCTATAGGGATTTGTGGCGTAGGCGGGCTCGTTCGAGGAGGCCGCGCTTGGTTCGGAAACGTCTCCGGGGTTGTTGCAATTATCGTTCGTATTGCTTGCATCGCCGCTCACATAGCCATCGCTGCGACGGCCATGTTCATTAAGATTGCTTGTGATGCTGGATGGCTGCAAAGGTGTCGCTTCCGTGGAGATTGTTTCAGATCGTTCATACTGTGAACGATTCTGCACGGATCCTCGAACGGTCGAAGAAGTGTTCTCAGTAACCCCTGTGATGGCCGTGGCTGTCATTCCTCGCGCTCCAGTCGCGTCCGAGCAACAAGGTAGACTAAGTTCATCAGCGGCTCCAAGACTATTATGCGGCACTGCTTGCTGAGGGCTGTTGTCATAGCTTGGATACTGGTATGCTAAATCTTTGGAACCCTGGTAGCCACGTTGCATGTAGGACCGGTCTGTGATGTAGTCGTTCGCTCCTGGAGTACCACCTGTGAGACTAGTCTGACTGGAAACATGGCTGGCGTTACTGGCAGAGTCTGTCGACCATCCGACCGAGGAGCGATGTGATACAGCAGAAAGTGGGAGATTTTCCTGCGCGGAGGAGTGCTGAGCACTCGAATAGTTCTGGCTTCCAGGTCGAGGCAGGGTCCGATCGCTCGCGCAGCTGTTGCTCATAGACGCTGTGTTGGTATTGAGTGGGTAAGGAACGCCGGCTTGTGCAGAGTTACCAGGCTCGCTCACAGACGGGTCGAAAGATGCTCGTGGAGTTTCGGAGCCCGTATGGCTACTGTATGTATTTGCAAGCAGGTTGGAATCGGTCCAGACTTGACTGTTCAGGCGACTGTATGGCGTCATCCCAGCATTGTAACTCGTGTTCGCTGCCACGCCAATCGGATTTGTGTTTGGCAGGAGGAAGCTCGCTGGTTGCTGTGGTAAAGCGTAGTCTGTCGTATGTGCTGTAGCAGACATGTCGTTGTCATAGCCACTATATGCCGAATATGATGCAGGTCTGGTCCAAGAGATACCATGATTGACGTCTGTGGAATAGGGAGAACTGTACTCTGAGCTATAGTAAGTCGAAGCCGGCTGACTATAATTGGAGGGCGAGGCTGTGGGGTAAGAGCCGTAGGTGGAGGACGACTGTCGATTGTAATGGTGTGATGCAGACGGGAGAGGATAAGGACTGTAGCGGTGCATGTGGCTGCTCGCATGTTGGTAATGTGGTACGTGGGTGCGAGATCGTTGTTGCTGATATGCAAAGTAGGCATGCGCGTCGGTCAGTGTCGAAACCTCTATCTGTCAGCTCGCTCCTGCCTCGTCAAAGGAAACGTTACCCTATTGAAGTAGCAGCCGCTCAGTCCTGCATTCCTACAATTGCTGCAGCCGCCCCCATTTTCGTCCCCAGAGCACTTGATCTTGCGTTTCCTACAACGCTCGCACTGATCATTTTACGATCAGCAACTGTACTCGGAAATGAAACAAGATGCAACTTACAGCGACTGGGACACGCTTCCGAGGTGGTCCGTTGGCATGTCTGCCATCGTTGTCAGCGCTCGAGGGAGTAGTTCTGTGCCCATGGCCTCCGTTATCGTAGTGATCTTGGAGTATCGTTGAGTTGTGCCCTAAAGGCATTCGCACACCTCCATCTGATCGTCGATAGAACTCGATTCCGGTATTCCCGTTCTGATGATGACCGAGGGGGTCGGGATAGTAGGATTGCCGTGAGGTTATCTGTCACGGATGAGTGTCTCGGCGTGCGCACGGAAGCAGAGTTTTGAGATGGTGAACATACCATGGCGCAATACACTAAGTGATCTGCTGACGAGGACCACGCACTTGCCCTCAACAGACGACAGAGAACGCTTCTCTAGCAGCGAGAGGTAGATAGGTTGGTTGATGAAGATAACGTAGGGGTCAACGGTATTGAGGTAAGTGAGCGATTGAAGGTAGGGACTGACAGGGATGCCTGAAGTGTCGATTGCGGACAGAACGAGTAGACCAGGGTGAGCAGGTGGCCACGCAGGTCTTGAAAAGCACAAAGAAAACGACAGTAGTCCCATGCAGATGAGAGCCTAACTGCTTCGCCCCCTCCTCGAATATGAGACGATCAGAGATGGGCCCAAGCTATGTGTCATGTTCACTTAGCATCTTCTTTCAACGACTCAGGCTGTTGTGGTCCAAGCTATCCCCTCACACATCAACGTTGAGGTCGTCCTCTGAAACTCACTTGTGTCGTGAGATTTTGCTGCGCAGAACATGTAAATGCCCGGATTGTGCAACCCGATACCGTGAGTACTAAAAGAACAGGAATTTTCGAGCCTGGCCGCAGAGGAGAATCTTGATCAGACACCCAATAGGATGATTTGACGCAAGAGCTGCTTGAACAGTGGGACATCGCCGGGCCTCAAGCCAATTATTGACCTCTAGAAGGAGAATTAGCCATATCAAGCCAGATCAGATCAAGACAGAGCAAGTGCGCTCGTGCATGAGACATGACCACAGCGGTGACGAACACGAACACCAGGGTGGCAAGAATTGCAACAGGGGCTGGAGACAGGGGCGGAGAACAAGCAGCATTACCCAGTGGATATGAACGATCATACAGATGCAGTCCGCTGCCCACTGCTTCGCAGGGAATTTTCACACCGGGGGCTTTGCCTAATTTGTCTCTGCATGATCTGATGATGGCCTAAGCCATCAGCAAGCCTCACGAATCACGAAGGGTGTCTTAACTTGCCGCATTTCACGGCGACTCAAGAGAAGCGCGCAATCGTTCTCCCTGGGCTCGTGCGCATTGCAGTTTGATGCCCTCCGACCACGGGCAGGCAAAAAGTGGGAGTCGTAAGTCGTCCGGAGCGTGACCTCAGGTTGCTCGGCGATTGGTGCTGTCAGCTGCATCAACGTTTCAACTGCCGCGTGTGGAAGGACATCGATCGAAATCATTCCACGAAATTCTCGGAGATTTTCCATGCACGACATTCAAGAGGCAAGAAGATTGCCCGGCGAGCTGACGCCATGGAGATGTGCAGCCAGGTTGACCACAGTACTGCGCAGGATTTTGGTGTGGTCGACCAAGAACCAGGTTGGCCCCTGGAGGAAATTCCTGCGGACTGCCTACGCTTGCGTGCAGCAACGGCGTAGTACAAGATGCCAGAGACTGTCAGGTGGAGTAATCGAGAAGACCTTCGTGCCAGTTGAGATTGACAAATCACATACAAGCTGTAGTTGATAGCAATTGTCGTACGAGTGCAATGTTAGTGATGCAAATATCTGTTGGCCATAGTTGCCTTGAACCTGACAAGCACCTGTCACAGAAGAGGACACTGTATGGCGCGGCATACCTGTTGTCTGGCTCGTCGTGGCTCACAATAGCTTCTCGATGTTTCCCGACTTCGGGCAGGAGCCAGGTCAACCCAGGGAGGAAGCTACAAACCGCTGGTGATTCCGCACGAATGAGCATCCAAGGAGTTTAGGGCAGGTGCAGCGCCCACGTGCCGGATCATCCACCAGGTACGGGGATTGCTGTTCTCAACCGGATGAGGATTTGCTGCAGCCGGCCGGTATAACAACAACAGATTGAACCAGGTCACTTTCGATTCGATATGACGCCTAGCCCCTGAGCGGCTGTGTGCAAGCAGCCCTGGTCGTAGAACAGTTTTCGAAGCCAGAGGAAGAGAGCTCGTGTCAAATCGGGGGATTTTTGTATCACTATGGCAGCCTCTGTAACATGGTAGAGATCGCACAGATATGTTGGCGCCGCAGCAGCTATGCAGATGAGACGACCGAGATCGGCGCAGATTCTGTATACAGCAGTGTCAATTCAGATTGGATTTTGAGCCCGACCAGCGCCTGAAAACCGAAGGCTGGTGCTGCAAGGCTCGTGTCGTCGTGGGGCGATAGCATCGGCGGAACTCGACGCCTGACAAGCTTGCATCGATGTTCCAGCATCTTACCTTAGCATCGATCACCGAGAAGTAATCCTCATGCCGTTGATGAATCGCTATTGATGAAAATCTGGAATTCGAAAAGCGCGTCAAGATGAAGCTCGAGTCACTAATTCCCAAATTTGCCACCTTGGATCTCCCAGGCAGCCGTACTCGCCGAACGTCCAGGCGATCATTCTCAGCCAAAAAGTGATTCCTTTAGTCACCGTGAACATTACGGTAGCGTACAGACAACCAAAGTCTCAGCGTAGATACTATCAAACCACGCGAATGACGAGAACGCAGAGGCATTGATTGCAAAACCGCGGGGCCTGAACACATGAAGGATGAGTGTGATCTTGGAGACTTCGCTGGGAGACCTGGTAGTCGACCTCTTGGTCGATGATGCGCCCAGGTCGTGCGAGAAGTAAGTCGACCCGTGCAGATCAATTGGGATGCTTACTGACAAGTATGTACAGTTTCCTTAAGCTATGTAAAGTCAAATACTACAACTTTTCGCCTGTTCACAGTCTTCAGAAAGGCTCCTCATTTCAGACTGGAGACCCTCTTGGCCCGGATTCGAAGGACAGTGATGGAGGCTGCTCGATATGGGGCCTACTACAGGGCTCTGCAAAGCGAACCTACGTCGCGGATATCAACACGAAACTCAAGCATGACGAACGTGGTACTGTCAGTATGGCCACGATACCTTCGCCACACGATCCTGATGAGAAACTTGCAGCCAGCCAATTCATCGTGACTCTTGGCGACGACATAGACTATCTTAATGGCAAAGCGGTGCCGTTCGGCAAGGTCGTGGAAGGCTTTGATGTCCTTGAAAAGATTGACGGCGCTTTCGCTGATGTTAAGGGACGACCTCTGAAGGATATTCGGATACGCCATACCGTTGTGCTCGACGATCCCTTCGATGACCCTGCCGGCTTAGAAGTACCGGATCAAAGCCCAGTACCAACTAAAGCGCAATTGTCGACAGTCATGATCGCCGACGACGAGGAGCTTGAAGACAATGTCGACGAAGAAGCCATGGAGAAGATGCGTCGAGAACGAGAGGCACGGGCACAGGCTCTCACGCTCGAAATGGTCGGAGATCTGCCGTTCGCTGAGGTCAAGCCTCCGGAGAACGTTCTCTTCGTCTGCAAACTCAACCCAGTCACGCATGATGAGGACCTCGAACTCATTTTCAGCCGATTTGGCAAAATCATATCCTGCGAAGTCATTCGAGACAAGAAGACAGGCGACAGCCTACAGTATGCTTTCATCGAATTCGAGAACGAAAAAGACTGCGAGCAAGCCTACTTCAAGATGCAAGGGGTCCTGATCGACGATCATCGCATTCACGTCGACTTCTCACAAAGCGTGTCAAAGATCTCAAACTTGTGGAGAGATGCAACTAATTCGAAACGAGCAAGGAACAAGGGTGGGTTTGGAGGTATCGACAGTCTGCAGAAGAAGAGTCACTACCGTGAGGGCGGTGAGGACCGGAGGAATCGCAACTACCGCATGGTCTTTGACAAGAACGATAGAAGGAAAGGACAGTCGGATGCCGAGAATGATTCGGCGCAAAGGAAACGGAGCAGAAGCCGGAGTCGTAGTCGAGAACGCTATCGCAGCAGGAGTAGAAGTCCAAAGAGAGCTCCCAGATATGACGAAGAGAGAAGGTATCGACAGCAAGACGATAGGCATTATGGGCGGCGTGAGCGAGACCCGTATTCGCGGTCTGATAGACACGACCGTGATCGCAGGCGCTGAAATACCATAAATATCGCCCTCGAAGGAAAGTCCGACGGTCATCACCACGTTCCTAATATTGTGTACTATTCACCAACCCGGATGACTAGATTGTGCTGAAGCCTTGGCACCCCGCCGATCATGACATCGATCGCTCCTGCGCGTTGGCATCTCAACCGTGTCTGACCCGCTAAGCTGCAGCTGCCAGTGTCTGTGCTCTCGCAGGCTGGCTTCCTCTTTCTCCTGGCAATGACTGATGGTACACAGAGAGTATAGCAGCATCATTCTCTAGACATCACGTATCCTATAGTTGGCAGAGTCCGTTAGCATACTTCCACTCGTCTGTTTATTGTTCGTCTGTCGCTATGGCTGAAGTCCTTAGGAAAGGCCTTGAGAAAGTCGGGCTTAAGTCTCCTGAGCCAGAGGGAATCCCGCCAACAGAGCCCGCCGCAAATGACCTTGCAGAGCTTCGAGAGAAGTATGAGAAAGCGGAGCAAGACCATGTCTTCGCATTCTACGATGAGCTTGATACAGCAGGCAAGGCTGCCCTGTACGAACAACTCTCAGGCATTGACCCGCGCCGCATCAATATCCTAGCCGACAAGGCTCTTCACCCTCCGAAGCAAGATGAGGACAAACAGCCTACCATAGAACCGCTCCCCTCGGAAGCTGTCGACTCCCTGCTCGAGACAGATGAAGAACAAATCAAGAAATGGTATGAGGCAGGGCTGGATCTGGTAGCTGAAGACAAGGTCGCGGTCGTTCTCATGGCTGGCGGACAAGGAACCAGACTGGGAAGTTCAGATCCCAAGGGCTGCTTCAACATCGGGCTACCCAGCAACAAATCACTATTTCAAATGCAAGCAGAGCGCATCACAAAGATTCAGCAGCTGGCACGTAAGAAGAAAGGCTTAGATGAGGATGCAACGGTGCCATGGTATGTGATGACGAGTGGCCCTACGAGGAGGCCAACACAGGAATTCTTCGAGAAGAACAAGTACTTCGGCCTAGACAAGAAGGATGTCATCATCTTTGAACAGGGCGTGCTGCCTTGTATATCCAATGAAGGCAAGATTCTGATGGAAAGCAAATCGAAAGTTGCCGTGGCGCCAGACGGGAATGGCGGCATATATCAGGCATTGATCATGTCAGAGGCACGTGGTGACATGCGCAAGCGAGGCATCGAGCATATCCATGCATACTGCGTCGACAATTGCCTTGTCAAGGTCGCGGATCCCGTCTTCATTGGTGTAGCTGCAGAGAAGAAGGTCGACATTGCCACGAAAGTCGTCCGCAAACGTGCGGCCAAGGAGTCTGTCGGGCTTATCGTACAGAAGGATGGTAAGCCAGACGTGATTGAATACTCCGAGATGGACGAAGAAATGGCGAAAGCCACGGATTCGGGAGATCGACTGAAGTTCCGAGCGGCTAATATCGTCAATCATTATTATTCCTTCAAGTTCTTCGAGAGCATTGAAGAGTGGTACAACAAACTGCCACATCACGTCGCGCGAAAGAAGATTCCGTACATCGACACAGAGAAAGGAGAGTCTGTCAAGCCAGAGAAGCCCAACGGCATCAAGCTGGAGCAGTTCGTCTTCGACGTCTTCCCGCTGGTCGGCATGGACAAGTTTGCTTGTCTCGAGGTCGATCGCGCGGAGGAATTCTCGCCGCTCAAGAATGCTGCCGGTACTGGTGAAGACGATCCTGAGACCAGCAAGAAGGACATCATGCAACAGGGGGCGAGATGGTTGAAGAATGCTGGTGCCACTGTCGTAAGCGAAAGCGATCAGACCGGTGTGGAAGTGTCCCCACTGATCAGCTATGTAAGTCATCATTTGACAGTGTTCGCTGTGTTCGTTCGTGGCTAACCAGTGCTTAGGGTGGCGAAGGACTGGATTATCTTAAGGGCAGAGAAGTCAAAGCCCCAGCGGTCATCGAGAAGAGCGGTGCACAGTAGTTTCGTGTCATTGACGGAGACCTCTACACATACGATCACGGTGATGAGTGGGTCGCGCAGTCGGTTGAGGTGGGACTCCAATGTGATGCGAGAGGCAGAGAATCAGGTACTGGCTGCAAGATTTTCCGACCGGAGTTGACCTTCTGGCCAGCATGACCGTCCGGAAGTCGACAACGACATCCATAACGACATGAGAAAACGACAATGCTGCATGATATAGATCGGACGTTAGTCCAGCGAATACAATGACCATCGCTATCACGTGAAACACTTCATGAGACGTTCCTTTCCGCATTAGTAATGCTTGGCGTAGGGGGGTGGAAAACGATCCGCACCTGCGCCGAAGCCTACAATCCTTGCACAAAGTTCCTCATACTGCGCAAAACATACTGCATCTTACCGGTGTCGAAGGGTTGTCGGTAGTCTTTCGAAGGGAGAAGGAAGCGTTGGAACAGGAAGGAATAGGAAGTAGCGGGCAGCGGTAGAAGAGTAAGCAGGTCCTCGTGCACCCCTTGAGCCCAGCGCTGCAGGAAGCCGAAGAGCAGCAACCACGGTTGGCACTCGCGCTTGCACTTTTGCGAAGACGGCCTTCGAACCAAGCCGCAAGCATGAATTGTTGCAAACGCTCCCTTGACGGTGCCATGCACACATACCCCTCGTCAGCGACACCGGCAATGGACTGCCTATCCAGCGACGGCGGATGCTCATGTGGTCAAGATTGTTCTACGGCCGGCGCACTGACACCTTCGCGTAGCAGAAGTACCTCATCGTCCTCCCTCAAGATGTCGTCCCTCACTCGTCGAGCATGCTACAAATGTGGCAACGTCGGCCACTACGCTGAAGTGTGCACCTCGTCCGAACGCCTCTGCTATAATTGCAAGCAGCCCGGTCACGAGAGCAACCAGTGCCCTCACCCTCGGACAACTGAAAGTAAGAGGCCGCGACTCGAGCATAGCACGGTGATCTGACAGTGTACTCAGCCAAGCAGTGCTATCACTGTCAAGGCCTAGGTCATGTCCAGGCCGACTGCCCAACTTTGCGAATCACTGGCGGGGCCGCCGGCGGCCGCTGCTACTCCTGCGGACAGATGGGGCACATCGCACGCAACTGTCCAGGCGGCGCTCCCATGGGCGGTCCACCGATGCGTGGTGGATACCAGGGAGGCAGGGGAGGGTTTCGCGGCGGCTACGCTGGTGTGCAAAACAACCGTGCCGCTACCTGCTATAAGTGTGGAGGGCCGAATCATTATGCACGCGACTGCCAGGCGCAAGCAATGAAATGCTACGCCTGCGGCAAGCTGGTGAGCTAGGTTGGGCCTCCCATTGCCGCATACGCTGACGACTTCAGGGACACATCTCGCGAGACTGTACTGCACCCAACGGCGGACCTCTCAACGCGGCGGGCAAGACTTGCTACAAGTGCGGACAGCCTGGGCATATCAGCAAGGACTGCACGGCTGCTGATGCTGGCGGTAAGTGGCCAGTCTGGTCGTGCGACGCAACGACTAACGAAAGCAGCGGCTCCTGCCGAGGGTATCGATGTCGCCGCTGTCCCCACTGCAACTGTTGCATAGGCGCCAAATTCCGAACGCCGAAGCCGCAAGCGGATCTCGAAGAAACTCTCCGCTCACGCATTTTCTTATCTCTTTTTGATTGTTACCATTGACCACGCTCGTTACTGATTTTGTTGCGCTGTTCACCGAAACGATGCCACGGCTGAACACGCCTTCAGCACCGACTGTTCAGGCCTGCTGAGCAACCGGCATTTCCTGGTTTCAGCGCATGAGCCCAATGCCCGGAATCGAGCAAATGACCTGGCCCGGTCTCTGAGACCACGATACGTACAGCATTACGGACCAATATACCCGGAACGGCGTTCATGGCCTTACATTAAGTGTACTTGAGGAGACTTTCGGGCCTCCAAATCGACAGAAGTCATTGTGGGCTTTTCGTACGAGCCTTCTATGGCAGATCCTGGGACGACTCTTTGAGAAGAGCGACGGAGGAGTGACCGCACCGAGGGACAGTTGAGGGAACAAGTATGCTTCGGATGTGAAGTGTGTACGAGTGACAAGGTAGGCGGCGGGTATGGCATGATGGTCGTTGGTGGTGGAGGCGAAGTCAAGTCAGGGTCCAGACTTGTCAAGATGAGGATCGAATTGAGCTGAGGTAGCTATGTCTGACAGCGAAGCATAGTTGGACGTGATTCGTGAATCACAGCGACCAAGATATTCCCCTGTGCTACGTTCACTTTTCTGGAGTCTGGTGCGCAGGACAGCAAATGTTACTGACAGCCACCTCAGACTTCCGGATCCTTCGCCTGGATCCCGGGACCATTGCCGGCAAATGAAGTACACTAAGTCTCTGTTGAACGTGACACTGGTCCAGCACGGGGCCTGAGCAATGACTGTCTGTGGAATCGCAGTTCCCGCCGATGAGATGAGAGACAAATGATCGCGAGGGAAGCTCAACGTCACTGTCGCTGCTTCATCGGAATCTCAGAGCACCGCTCAGTTCATGCCCCGAAGTGCTTCACGCGATGCTCCAAATCCAGTCACTCGTTCTTTGGCTTCCCAATTGGGCCTGCATTTCTGTCTATTTAATCCCCTTGTACTCTCTTCAGTCCTCTGTCCACCTCTCTTACAACCCTTTCGTCTCTTCAAGCACTTCTCGATCTGATCCTTTGATTAGACTACCACCCAATCAAGGTCCTCGATCAAGGTCCAGAGAAAGCGATTTGATCTGCGATCAATCTACTTGCCTCGGACTACCAAGCCTCGTCCATTCCCATTCCCAGACGGGCCTCTTTGATTCACCGCCTTCCGCATCGACCTCACACACACCACCAAGATGCCACGCCAAGCCACCGCCAACCGCGAGGACTTCGCCAAATATACCAAGAACGGCACGATCAAGATCATAATCGGCAGCTCCGCCTTTCCGCAAAACGCCGACCAACCACCCCAAAAAGCACATGTCTTCCACATCTACCGCGACCTCCTCACCAGTACCTCCCCTTACTTCCGCGACAAGCTCAACACCGCCGACAACGACCCTCAGGCCCGACCACAACCACAACCTCATCCTCACCGAGCTCATGTCGCCAACGACAACGGCCCATTGTTCGTCCCCCAAGACACTCCGGAAGTCACTGAGCCAGACGTCCTCCGCGAGCCCACCCTCGACCTCATCCCATTCACCTGGTTCATCAACTGGATCTACAACAAATCCCTCAACCCCCTAGTGCGCGATCCGGTCGTGACAGTCGACACCTACCTCATGGCACACGAGCTCGGATCGGAGCGCTTCCGCAACGACATCGTCGATGCCCTCCGCTCGCATCACGCCCGTCGTCCGGATGACCAGTTGGGCTTGAGGGCCTTGTTGAAGCTCGCTGATCGCATGCCCCCTGAGAATAAGGCAAATGAGGGCAAGAACAAGCTTCTTGAATTCCTGGTCGCGCAGATGACGTACAAGGTTATCACACGCGGCTGGGAAGCTGGAGGATTCGCAGGCAATGGACTGGTCAAGCAGCTGTTCGGTAGGCACAGAGAGGTCGTCATGTGGCATTGCGACGCTCTGTGGGAGATGTTGGGCGAGTCAGGGGTCAGTGAGGCTATGGGATGTTTGGGAAGGGACGAGAGGGTGGTGAAGATGGAGGCCAATGGTCATCTTGATGAGGACGAGGATCGTAAGATGAATGTCAAGAGGCCGGCGCTGTGCTTGCCTTGCAACCCGGCGGAGAAGGAAGGGTGTGCGTTTCATGAGCACAAATCCAGGGAGAGTCGGTGTGGGAATGCGATGCTGATTGACTGAGCAGGTTTGCTGGACAGGCAAATCGATGTTGAAGGCTGTCGGTGGCTGTTGAATCTATTCCGACGACTAGGATCAGCTTGACGCCCAAGAGGACTCCTCGACAGAGCATTTGTTTGAGCAGAAGCCAAGCCATTCATCAACGACACAGAGGCCGAGCTGGATTACATGCTGCATCGAGCGAGATCGACACAGCCCTCAAAGCAGGAGTCAAGCCCAAGTCACCAGGCACACGAGATGGTGGCCGGCAGACTCCTCACTCCGACGAACATTGACACGCACACGAAAGTCAGAATCGCTTCGAAAAGGCTTCAGTCGAGACCCATCAGGTGGCGCCACTATGATGCCAGGGATAGGGATCTGTGAGCTCGAGATGATCGGTGGCGCCTTTCGACAGAAGCTGTCTCTCTGGATTGGCTCGTGCAGAAAATCAGATTGCGGAAAGACACATTTTGTCAAACGAAACTTCAGATATGCAGATAGCTTCAGACATAACACAATGATATATGCGTTAGATAATGATGCTTGATTGCCGCTTTTCTTAGGGATCACCTAGGACGTCATGTTCGGGACTCTTGGACAGCGCCGAGATGTCTCATGCGAATGACAACTCCCAGGAGTGTTCCCAACGTCTACATCTAACCCGACCTCGACGTGAGCCGATATACCAGCAGTGACGATTCATGTTACACAATCCTCCGACATTCGGCATAGCACCTTAGCTACGTAGTCAGTTGAGACTCTCAATGCCATTCTTCAGAGCATCCTTCCTTCGTTCTGTTTTTCTTGCCATGGTAGATCACTTCTCCACACTGCTCCTTTGTGGTTTTCTTCTCGCGATGGCGAAGGTGCAACTTGTGATGACGATGTGCTTTGGCTGGTGCTAGTCTCGGAGTCAGCGATGGCGATAACAAAGAGCTCTTAGCATCATGTACTGGCTGAGCGTGAACTGGCGGCGGATGAGGACGTGGATCGCTGGCCTCATGCCCCGGCTTCGTGTCCGCAGAAAACGACACCCTCGATCGCATCGATGGCATAGATGTCTCTGAACGACTAGCAGAATCCCGAAGCTTCTTCGAATATGGATGCAATTTGTCGTCTGCTGGCTTTGTATCGCCAGAAAAGGCCACTTTGGGGAGGTGAGGTGTGCTGTTGGTGCCAGACCAGTGCCCATGCTCATCATAGATAGTACTGGCGCTGACAGTGGACGGCGCGTCATCGCTACTCAGACCTAACCAACGGCGTAAGGGGCCCTATGCCTTCAGGTTCTCGGAGCTGCCTGCGCCAATTCCCCTCTTTCTGCCTTCAATAAGTGCTTTGAGGGCCCGACCGACGCCCTCGAGGTCACCCATGAGGCCGACATGGCCACGGTCACTTTCGATCCTTCCGCCCCTCACCACCCGGTAACCTTCTGGAAGCTGTGCAGCGCTGGCTAGTACGACCCCATCACCTGCGGCGAAGGCGAGGTCGTCAAAGCAGGTAGTATACTTGATCGCCTCCTTCGAAGCGACACGGGCGCCATACACAGTCGGTACAGTCTTGCCGAAGATTAGGCGTGCGGTGGATAGCGGTTGGACGTTTGCAGATCGATGTTGTGGACAAGAGCACGCTTGAAGCAAGTGTCTCCGCAAGTGTCCGGGTCAGGTACTCATATACTTCGTCAGGATCGAGCGTGCAAGCCGTTGCCACAGAGGTCTTGCTTGAAGATGAATGCATCGTTGGCTCAACAGTTGCTTCGCCGAGGGGATCTGCGACCAGATGCTCTGCATATTGCGCTGTACTGCTTGCTGCTGATCGCGCCGTAGAGGACGGAACTTTTGTGCTGGAAGATCCAGAGCTCGCTATCGACCTGCTCGTGTGCGAACCCTCCCGAGATGCGTCAGAATTTCCACCGAACAGGTTAGGTCTCGGCAGACTTGTGACACTTTGTGTCATCATCGACACGAGACTCTTGCTGCGCTCTCGCTGCCTCAGAATGGCAGGAGGTGTTTGAGCGGGATTTATGCATGGCGAGAGACGCCACTCGTGCCAAGTCCATGGATCGAAGAAGTCCAAGTCGTAACGCTCGTTCGTGTCCTTCTGTATGAAACATCTTCCGTCTTCCGGGAGCAGTGCAAAGCTTGTTCGAATGGTGAAATTGACCTGAGCAGTCAGCACCTTTGAGCTCAACAAGACGTTGTCGCCGTTACGGAGTGGACCAAGGATGTTGACACAATTCATTGGTGTGCCAGCGTAGAGCACTCCCGCGAAGAGCTCTGGACGTTGATTCACAACATATCTGGTGATCAAGCCACCGAGACTGTGCGCAATCATCCATGCACCCCGTTTCTCTGGCGGCGTGTGCGGCTGGTTGCATTCGAGGCCTTCTAGAAAGGTTATGAGTCTGCCAGCCAGCAAGTCCGGGCTCAGTCTCCAGTCGTAACCCCAGTCATGTGTTCTCAGCTTCCCTGCCTTCGCGTTGGAGCATTTCCGAGAATGCTTTAGGAGCCGGCGACAGATGTCTATTGGGCCAATGTTGGCAAGAATGCCGGACGCAATGATTTTTTCGTGAGCCTTTTCTTCGTCTTCTCTGTAGAGACCGACCTCGAGATCTACGTTCCGCAAGCCTAAGCCGACTTTGACAGGTGCCCACAATTGACGGTGCGACTTGGCATCTCGCAATATAGAGCCTCGATAGCCTCCCATGATGACAAGATCGCCTTCTAGCTCGTCGAGGGCTTCAAAGAACAAAGGATGCGCTCGGTGGGGATTGGTCTCCAGCTCGATCAATTTCTTTGATTTTTTGATGTCGTGTATACTCGTGTACTGATGGATGTGCTCATTCTTCGAGGACCGAGCATTGATCACGGTGTTTCTAGTTGTCTCTGTCGAGACATTTTTGCTCTGATTGGCCGTTTGCAAAGCATTCATGAAACGAGGGAAGCGGATCGTCGAGTTCTGTAAGCTGTCTGTGATTGCCTTGAACCGTGAGTTGGCCATATCAGTCACATTGGCAAAAAGACTCGTGTCGTCGTACGTGGATGCTGATGTCACTCGGCGGCTCAGATACAGCGAGCTCTCTGAGTTCCGTCTCATCTGGGCGGTGGTGCCAGGAGAGTTGGGCTCAAGCATTGATGCAGCGCTGCCATCTAGACCATGGGAGGACTCGTGGGCGAGTGTCGCTGAAGGAGCTACTGCAGGATCGCTGTGCCGCTTGGAACGAGTTGTCCGTGAACTATCAGTCCTCCTGATCGCTGCATTGAACATGTCTCTGACCCCGTCAGACTGAGGTATGGGACCTGGCTGTTTGTCGGCTGGGCCGTCTACACCACCAATGTACGAGTAGAATGGCTTCGATCGTGTGGGAAGTGTCTCGATCGCCCTCCCACCTCCGTCGCCACTCGAGGCAGATGTCTTTGAACTCTCGTTGGAGGATTGCCTCGTCGCCATATCGGTGCCACCTACATTCGTGATTGATTTCAGGTTGGGAAGAGACGGCAGATCTGGCAGCATCTTGATCAGGCTCCCGAACATGTTTGAACTTGACCGCGAACGTCGTTTGGTTGAATTCCTTGCATCGTTGAAAGCGCCGGATATGGATGACTTTTGGTCGGCGGATGGGTGGGCTTGCCATGGCGATACCACAGGTGAGTGATTAGGAGACGAGTCGTCGTTGTCCGCGGCCTCTGGGATTGTGTCCGGCTTCGTTTGCTGGTCAAAGTAGTCTAGGCTCCGTTCGAGTACACGTTGCTTTTCGATTGCTGGGGTTTGAGGTGACTTCAATAGCGACTGAGCACCAGAGATGCTAACGCCGATGACATCTTCCTGAGCCGGGTCCGGAATTGCCTCGTCTGAGCTTTCCTGGTCTGTGAGAGGCGAGTCATTTGATTCGATCGAACTAAGCAGACGTCGGTGGTCTGTATCCAGTGGTGGAAGCGAGGTGGGCTGACTGTAAGTGGTCATGTTGGCAATGGAGAACCATCACCGATGGAGCCTCAAGTGAATGAGACCATATCAATACGCGAACTGATGATAAGTTATGAAGACAGGATTAGGTGAGTGTAAGTACAATGTTTTTTCTCGCGAGGTCACCAAAGATATGAGATCTGTCAGATGGTCGTTCTTTCCTGGGCAGGGGCGAGAAGCCTTGGGAAGGAGCGATCTTTAGTTCCAGCGGCCGAAATGGAAGGATCAAGTAAGTGAAGTATCTATCAGAGACCGGGGCTGAAGGTCTCACCATGCCAGCTCTAGAACACTTCTGCGAAAAGATCCAGCGTCGCAATTGCAGCACGGATCCGGCTGTGAGTTGATTCCTGCCGGAGCGACCGGGAGGCCTTGTTTGTCAATTTGTGCACGCATCCGTGATGATGTCAAAACGTGGCCAACATCCCTGCTTCCGAGGCTCACATTCACGGTCATCCGCCATCATTACTGCTCATCACGAAGCCTGGCTTGATGGCTTTCCGCACAACTGCGCTTCATGGAGGATAGGCAAGGTGCATAGATCCCGGGGTTCGAAGGGGTTGTGGGCGCCTTTCGCGTGGCATTCCAACCAACCTCGTGTTCGAATTCGCCTATCCGTACATAAATCTCGCGCTAATTTTAAGCTGCGGCTCCCACAGAAAGCTTGACCTTGAGAGCCTCTTATCAGCTCCTCAGCGGCTGTTCAGCCTTGCCTACCACCATTGTATATCGTACAGGACGAGGCAGCAGCCTATCGTGCGTCGCGTGTCGCAGTCCTGTCCACGGTCAATCACGCGAACCTATGTTCGTTCACTGCCTTCAATCTGGCGCAAGCACGCGGCTCCCTGCGCCCGAAATTCTCTTTGCACTTCCCCAGTGGGTACTGATGAGGTCTCTGATCTGATGCATGCGGCATCGGCACCCTCAGTTTTGGTTGATCGCTTCGCAACGTGGGGTATGCCCATCAGCGACACGCCTGCACTGGCCAGCTTTGCGTCTCGAATAAGTGCACGACGAGGCTGTTTGAGGTAGGCAGTATGAGATGGCCTATGCCTTTGCTGTGGTGAATTCGTCGAACGCCTGGTTTGTCCACGATTCACGATACGCTGCCATGGCGTCTATATGTTGAGAAAGGCCGCTGCGACATGAATAAAGTCATGATACAGAATGCCTTCATCCTTTCGTAAGTTCCTTGAGTCGCCATGGCTCGAGGTTGGACTAGACCATGCACTGGGTCGAAGAAGCCTACTCTTTCCGCAGACTACAAAGGCGCCAAGAAGGATGAATATGGCCCTTGGGAGCCTCTTGGTCGACTGCTGCTGCCAGACTGGCACCGGAAGGCGGATGAGATCGTAGAGCAACGGAGGAGAAAATTTCTACCCGCTTCTGGCGGTAGTGAAGAAACTGGCAGGTCCTTTACTATTCTTTCGCACTACTTGCTGACTCGCAGGCTCAGATGCTCAAGAGCCATCCGATGGCGTAGTGCAGCCAACAGATATCACCGAGACTGGCTCTCGACAGGACAATAGGCTACCACAGGCTGATGAAATGCCGACCTCGGTTCACCACGGTACTGACGACCAGCAAACGGCCGGAGACAGTCAGCCAGAAAGTCAGAGTACTCACGAAAATGCCCAAGGTGGTGAGGGGAACGATAACAGCAGCGCTACGAGGGCAGAGCCGGCTGCAGCAGCAGCGGCTGGATCTGACGAATCCAGTGAAGAACAACGGGAACATCTGGACAGCCGAGACGAACAGCGGTCTAACCCGCAGATCGTGCCAGCATTTCGTATATCGCAATCACATATCGCCTCTGACACCACGACCAGCCCAACTACTGGATTACCTGGACCGTCATTGACCGACCTCGACCACTTCCCAGACTCTTGCTGCCTCTGCCACTGGCGACTGACCGGACTCGTTCCTCAGTACCTCACAGACATCCTATGCGAAGACTGCTTCGCGCTTTGCACACGTATGGGCAGCCCAATGAACTCTTCAAACCTCGCCGTGGTCCCATATGACGGTCAGCCACCGCCGTTGCCGTCCTGGCCAACGTCTCCGGGACCAACGTCATCAACCTCCGCCTCGTCTGTCGCAAGCCGAAGCAGCAGTCCCAGAGAACGGCCGCTGTATCCGTCTACCCACTATCGATGCAGTACACCACGAGGAGCCGTGCGCATCCAACCAGAAGTCGATCGACACAGTGCGCCCGCTTGCCGCTCAAGCACACCACCTCCAGCGTACGCTCGCCACGCCGACCCGCTCTACCGCTACCCTTACGAGCGTCCTCACGGGCAGCGTATGCCTCCTGGTCCATTCGACCCCTTGTACCACTACCCACACGGACGCCCAGGCAGGACTGATGCTACGCTAGACCAGGATGTCGCTGCTGCTAATCAGGTCTTCTTCGCCAACTATCCCGCCGGACCTCCAACATCGATCAATGCATTCTACCCTCCACCAGGGTGTGATACTGACGGACAAGCCTTCTTCGACCACCTCCTTCACACGGGGCCAGCTCTCACAAATCCTGGCTTTGCGCCCCAGCCGCCACCCTTTCAGCGTCCCGACCTCCACTACGACTTCCCGCAAGTAACGCTAGCCGACACACGCCGTCTCGTCATCTGCGAGGACCAACACTGCCAGATCCCGATGTGGAAGGCTCCGGATCTGGCCTCTCCGTTCGAGCACAGTCCATTCCACGTTCCTGGTTTCCGACCAAAAGAACCCCTCTTCTTCGTTCCATCGGGTGCCGAAGAGCCTGAGCGGTTCGGTGGTCCCTGCCAGTGGTGAGGTGATCTGGACGTCTGAAGATGTGAGATCCGCGACGAGGCATCGGTGGACTATCTTGAGCATCCCACGACGAGGCCACTATTCGGACAAATCTCGAGCTGAGGTACTGCGACGCTCGTGTGAAGACGTTTTAGGCTGCATATAGACGGCGCGATTTATCTTAGACATTCTCCCAGGGCGCTTCTCTCACGCAAGCATGGCTCTAGCATACTTCAGCAATCACACATGGTAAAGTTCAAGAATCTAGCGGAGAATGGCTGAAGTCTTTCATTTCATTCTTCCCATCACTTGTTGTAGTGTAGTGCTTTTCTTCGTCTCCTTCAATGTACGGGGTTTCCTACAGCTGCTGCTCCTCTACCTCCTTGGACAACAACAGAGCTAGTGCTCGATGAGGCTCTGAACAGCCGTGGCCATGGCCCTTTGTCGCCCTGCCACATTCCAAATCCGGACGCTCCGCTATACAGTGATCGGACTCGTGTGCCCACCCACAATTGCAGCCCAGCTGGCTGGCTGACCTGAAAAAGAAACACCCCTGCCATGCGATTGACGTTGATGATCCCTACAGACGGCACTTCGTCATGCTCCGTATCGATGTTCCCTTCATTATTCATAGATCCATATTCGTATACCAACAGCCAACAGTCGGCGCGAATGAAAATCGAGTGGCGAATTTTGGAGTGATGACGACTTTCGTAGGTGTGACAAGGGTTCTTGAGCCTCTCGAACGTAATTTGTCTCCAAAGTAGAGGTCTGCAGCCTCGATTGATGCTTCACGCTCGAATCCTCTTGGCATCAGGTTCGCCATTGCTCCGTCCAGAGCTGCTGCCTGCCACAGAGGCAGGCGCACACATCGTACCGTTTGACAAGCGTTGCTCGGCAGCTCTTTGCTCCCGTATTCGAATGGCTTCCGTGCCGTCGTCGACGAGAGTCTCCTTGAACCAAGGATGCTTCAGGGCCTGCTTGGCCGTTATGCGCTGCTTGGGATCGTACACGAAGATCTTTCGAAGTAGGTCAAGGAATTGCTTGTTGAAGCTGGTGCTGGGGAGAATGAAATCCTGTAAAGCATGTTAGCAAACGAATCCATTACAACTTTGACCCAAACGTACCTGCAGCGGCTTCATAGCCTTGACATACTTCCTACTGGCCTTGTTAGTCTCAGAGGATGGGTAGTCGAGCTTGCCCCGGACGAAGAATTTTGCTGCCGAATTGGCGTTTGCGCCTCGGCCGCCTGAAGTGACAGCTTTGATCAGCTTAGCGTCAATCTTGCCGCCACAAACAGAGTCCATCATGGCCAGATGTTCCAGATTGTCGTGCGTTTGGAAGAGAGCATCGCCGGTGAAAAACTCGACAAGGATACAGCCTATGCTCCAGATGTCACAAGGGAAAGACCAGCCCAGTTGCAGAATGATCTCCGGCGCTCGATAATGCCGGGTCGAGACTACGGAGGAGTGATACTCGTCGTCGAATGTTGCAGAGCCAAAGTCGATGAGACGGATATCGCTGTCAAGGAGTACACGCCTTTGGCGAGCGGTCCGAGCAGTGCTCGATGACGATGAGGGAATCGTCCTGTTGTACGTAAATGTCTGATAGGCGCTCTGCACGAGCAGAATATTTTCAGGCTTCAGGTCTGTGTGTATGAGATTGAGGTCGTGCAAGACTGCGACATGGTCAGTATTGGCTATATCAGAGGTGGACGTCAACTTACAGGCAACGCTCGTGAAGAGCTGCCGGGCAAAGCTCTGTATTTGAGAGCTCGGAAACGGCGTGAAACCATTGCTCTTGAGGAAGTCAAATACACTGGAGCCCAGCAAGTCTGTAACAATACAGATATGGTTCCGAAAGTCGAAGCAGTCGCGTAGGTGTATACACTTGTTCCGATTGACGGTGTCGTTCAGCTTGAGAGTCGATAGCACCCTGAGCTCTATTCGAGATGCGTCTCTATACTTCTGTACTGAACGGATAATTTTGACAGCACACTTTGACTTCTTCCGCTTGTCGTATGCTTCAACGACCTTGCCGAAGGTGCCTTGGCCGAGTAACTTGATGATATCGTCTGCAATATTGTTAGAATGAGTTGGACAAGGGTGTGAGAAGACCTACATCTGTCTGTCATGACAGAATTTGGATGTACAACGTAATGCCCATCGTCGTCATCCACTTTTGCGTTCTTGTGGAGGTTATCACGAATGACAGGAACAGCCACCTCGGCTGACTTCTTTACTGGTTTCGCTGGTGGAACATAGTCGGTGAAGGCATCTGGGACGGACTCTTGCCGCTTCCTCTTCGACGGATTACGCTCGGGCTGTACTCTTTTCCGTTTATTACCTGTTCTGACATCCTCATAAGAATTGTTGGCACCGTTGCTACCATAGGACTCGAGAGATGTTGGAGCAGTGGTGGTCTGCAACGACGCCGTTCGGTCTCCAGACTGGTATGAAGCCGCAGAAGAAGAAGCACCAAACTTCGCTGGATGGGTCGAGTAGGTCGGGCTATCGTTGTATTCGACCTCGTAGCCCTGGTCAACCTTTCTTTTTCGACCGCCGTAGGAAGAGAATGAGCCTTGCTCTTGCCTTAGTCTTTGATTCTCTTTGGCTGACCTCTGAGGCTCGGCTGATGCGTCGTCGTCATCGTCAATAACTATGATCTCCTTCGGGACACCATTCCTGTAGAACTCGTTCCAGTCTGGGGCCGTTTTCCGTTTGGCAGCGGCCATCTCGGAAGCCGAGTGTGAGGGAGCGATCGAGGGAGCGTGGGAGAGTTGCTTGTACGAAGCCGGGGACTGTGGTGGCCTCGAGTAGTGGCTCAAGCTGGGATAGCTCTGGTAGGTGGGTGCCAACCTTGGGGGCGCAGGCAAGGTGGTTTGTGTGGGGTACTGGTGAACAGCTGCGGTGTACGGATTTTGGTGGGCGTACGAGTACTGTGAATAGTTCGTCGGCAGCGTTGCAATCGAGGGCGTAGACATGACGCCGAAGGTCTCGTGTTCAGAGTGGGAAGAGATTTCAGCAGAAACGATATGCGTCAACAATATCGTGGGTGCTGCTCTTATATCTTGAGTGCAGTGAATAACCAAATTGGTGAATTCTGGTGGCTTTCGACGTTCTTCGAGGTCATTGAATGCGATATCGAGTCGTCATTCGTCGAGTTGGGCGTTGTGAAGTCGTGGTGAGCGCTGCGTCACAACGGCAGTGCACGACGTTGAAAATGAGTAATGCCGTGCCTGAAGAGGGCAAGCCTCATCGAGCTGGCATCATGAACATATTGGACAGATTGTCGATATGTGGGCTACTCGAAAGTCGAATTGAATCCCATCCACGAGCCTCAATATGACAGTGGACGTCGTGTATGTGTGCGGTGATGTCTTGAGATGTGGTGAAGTGAGAGGTTCGGGACGCAGACGAGACTCGAACACCATTGGCCACGCTGAAACGCTCCACCCAACAGCACTGTGTACAGGAACGCCGCAGAATTACGACATGCCTGAACATCCCCTCTCCGGGCCCTTGATCATTGTGCTTGGTACTACTCTACTCTACAGCAACCAGGAGTGACAGCTACGAGACACAAGAAACAAAGTCAGCATGAAAGTTGTCTCCTGCTGTGCTTCCTAACACATTCTGTGGTAGAACTCTACTTCTGTTCTTCGTAGGCTGGCTTTATTTTCAGCGGCGAGAAACGCGCCTCTCGAGCGGATTAAGAATAAGTAAGCCGAGCCTTCCATGCAGGATGTCCGTCAAGGCGACCTTCCGGGGGCAAATAGCATCAGGCCTTGGAAGGTGCGGGCGAGAACGGGAACAGTATACCACTATCAATCACAACCACCGCGGCTAAATGCTGCAGGCTTGGTGGTGCCGGGCAGGTGCAACCCCGGGTTTTGTCGAATCAGCGTCAGAGGCAAGATGACCTCATTCTGAGAACACGATTTCTTCAGATTGTTATCGCGTGCGGATTGATGAGCCGGAATCCATGATGGGCTGAACAAAACGTGCAATGAGGTTGAAATCGCTCTGGAATACTGGGAGAAAGACTTGCATTTCTTTCAACCAGAACCTACGGACTACTGGTATAAGCCAGCATAGCCCTACTACCACGAAACGTGACGAAAGGATCTCGCGCGGCCTTGCTTCTTGCGCACCTTATCAATGCTTTGCCTCTCAATCTTAACGCCAAACCCATTTGCCGTGATGCATGACTGATCCAACACGTCCAACGCCGCAGTAATATTGTCGGGCCTCTCTGAAGAGACCGTGCTATCAACACAACATCATCGAATAATAAGCCCCTCATCGCAACGTCGCACTCCCTCGAGTGTATGCTCTGGTTGCCTTGCCGTCGATCTGGAGTACTGAAAGGACATCTCTGGCTTGGATGCCAGGGTCCTTGTCCTCGTCCCAGGCCGAAAAGAGCTTCTCCCTGGCCACAGGCTTTGGCTTCTCGACTGCCTTAGGTGTACTTGCAGCAGATGATCCCGCCCCGAGGCCTGGTTTCGTAGGGGTCGACGTACCACTGGCTGCACCGCCTGCCATCCAGGCGTACTTCTTCGACTTCTTCATTATGCCGCCGAGCGCCATCTGAGCAGCCGTGTTGACCGTATTGTGTTGCTGCGCTTCTCTGAGCTTGTTCTGCTCCACTTTGGCTGCCTTCTGAGATTTCTTGGGCTCTTCAGCCGACGCCTTGTTTACAGCATCGTCTTCCTTCGCTCTGCGTTCCTTCTCGGCAGCTTCGTCCGCTGCGGCTTTCCTCTTCGCACGTTTCGCTCTTCTTGCATCTTCAGCGATCTTCTCCTCGGCCATGACCCGTCGTAGAATGGCCACCTGCGAATTTGGAGGTAGAGAGGCTGATCGTTCGCTCATGCCGTCGCTGTTTGCTTGGTCGAGAGTACCTGTCAAAGTTAGCTCTGCATAGTCACGTCTCTAGACGAAACATACGTTTGAGTGGGTTGGGAGTCACAGTGGCTGCTGCACCTTCGACCGCCACCGCATCGCCTGTAGCATCTAAGGGCACAGCCAAATCCTCCCACTCAGTCGGTACTCTTCCTTTTGAGTGCAAACGCCTCTCCTTTGCGAGTCGCGAGGACTGGCTCACCAGTCCAGTAAGCCGTGTCTTAGTTGCCAGCATGACACATTTCAGGATGTCACCTAGTCGATCGCCCTTGTGGTAGTCCAGAATCGCTTGGCCTTTGTCGATGACACGCGTCGCACCCTGCTCGCCATTAACTCTAGCCACTGGTGGAGGTCCGCCCTTATGCGTGTTGACCAGTACTCCAGCTTGCGGATCCGTAAGGTGCTCCTGCTGACTAATTTTGCGCATGCGTTCGTTCAGGTTGCCTCCGTATAGAAACGGCTGCCACAGAGGATTTTGTACCTTCCGAGACTCCTCCCAGTCCAGTCTTGCTTCATGTCGCGCTTGGTCCTCGTGAGTGTTCCTCGACTGGTCAGCGGGGCCGTCGATGCTGTTGGTTGGCGGTATCCCTTGCGTGGGTGTCGTTGGAGTCCAGTCCAGGCGATTGAGGTTTTGTTGGTTTTCTTCGAGCTTAACACCTGCGCCAGTCCAAGTATTGCTGTCTTGTTGCGCATTACCCATTTCTCGGTCGACTGGGCGCTGTGGAGGAGGCATTGTCCCTGGTCGCGTCGGCTGAGGCATTGCGCCATTGACTGATGGTCCAGCTAACGGAGATGTCGCTTGCGCAGTAGGAGTAAGAGGATGTGGGGACCCGCTGAATGATGGCGGCCCATCTTCTAACCTCGGCCGCTTAGCAGCTGGCTGCGAAAAAGTCGGGCTGAACTGAGACTGTGGTGACGGCGAATTGAACGACGCCTGTGGCGAAGGTATGTTCACTGGACTGGGTCTGCCATTCGGCTGGCTATAATCGCTGCGGTACGAGACATTGTTCGGAGGGAATTGCGGTCGCTGCGGCGGCGCATGCGAATTGACGCCGTGGCTGTTCATCTTGAGAGCTTGTGCCTGTGCGATCGCTTTGATCCTGAGAGGGGTGCGGAGGATGCGAGCGAGCAACCGTGCTCCTCTCTGACCCGAGGACGTACTCTCATCACCGGCCAATCATCTATTTTCTGGTTGAGCCTTCTTGCGTGTTGAGTGATGAGGTGCGCGAGTGTCCTTTGGTAGGCCTATTTGATATGCGCGAGAGGTGGTGAATGTTTGATGGAGAGAATGACAGTGAAAGATGCCTGTCTGCTGTTCTTTCATGACCCCATCCCGTTCTCAAGGGCCTTGGCAACTGAGCACGTGATCACATGGATTCGGAGACTTCAAAGTTGACCTGCGGTCCTGCGATCTTCGAATTAACTTCACTCTCTCGTAGCATTGCCCTTGTCCGTCGCAAATCACGATCGTGTGCTAGCAAGGACAGTAAATAACATGAAATGCGACGCATAGGGCAGAAAGACTCGATACGTCAATCGATTTGCTAGGTAGCGTCGAGGACGCCATTACCACGCGTTGCTTTGAACACTCGCAAGGGCACTCGGTGCCTTATGGTAGCACATGCGCCAGGACCTCCCTCTAAACCCAGAGGAGCCCTTTTTGCTTGTGCAGTATGGCGGGCAAAAGGAAGGCATCCGCGATGGCAACATCGACCGATGTAGACGACGACCCTGTCAGCCCGGAAGATGAGCTCGTCTTCACAGGCTTGGGGGGTTGCCAGGAAGTCGGTAGATCATGCCATGTGATACAGTACAAAGGGAAGACGGTGATGGTGAGACTCGACTCTGCGGCAGTGCGAGGCCCTGCTGACCGTCTAATAGCTCGATGTAGGCATGCATACCGGCAGAGAAGGCATGTCGGCCATGCCCTTCCTCGACGAATTCGACCTCAGCACCGTCGACATTCTGCTCATCAGCCAGTACGTACCTCTCCCCTCCCGCGTTGCTTCGGTTCTTGCTCCCATAGAGACATCGACAGAAAGCGTTTGTTGGCGGACGGTCGAGGAGTGGTCTCCTGTCAGACTTGATGGAAATCGAGAGGCATCAAGAGGAGGGTCACTTCCACAGCCAGATGTGTAGCAACACCAATACAACACATTCCCACAACAAGCCTGTACCCGTGTTGTCTCTCCCGCTGCCCTGAGCCCGACTTCGGTGTCCATTACATCCTCTGCACCGAATCGACAACTGACCACCATATAGTTTCCACTTAGATCATGCAGCAGCCCTCCCGTACGTGCTAGCGAAGACGAACTTTCGCGGCCGAGTGTTCATGACACATCCCACAAAAGCCATCTACAAGTGGCTCATACAAGATTCAGTCCGAGTCGGCAACACATCCTCTACATCCGATCAGCGGACATCCCTATACACAGAAGCAGACCACGTCGCAACACTGCCGCGAATAGAGACCATCGACTTCTACACGACGCACACAGTCTCAGGAGTGCAAATAACGCCCTACCCAGCCGGTCATGTTTTGGGTGCTGCGATGTTCCTGATCAACATCGCCGGACTCAACGTTTTCTTCACGGGTGACTATTCACGGGAGCAAGATCGACATCTGGTCGCAGCACAAGTACCCGATGTCTCCAGAACAGGCAAAATCGATGTTCTCATCACGGAGTCAACCTTCGGCATCTCCAACGCCCCACCACGAGCTGAGCGAGAGGCTGGACTGCTAAAAGCGGTTACCAACGTCGTGAACCGAGGCGGCAGAGTTCTCATGCCCGTATTCGCCTTGGGCAGAGCTCAGGAGCTGCTTTTGATCCTTGAAGACTACTGGCAACGACATCCAGATCTACAGAAGATCCCTATCTACTATACAGGCAACACTGCCCGGAAATGCATGGTCGTCTACCAAACATACATCAACGCAATGAATGACAACATCAAGCGAATCTTCAGAGAGAGGATGGCCGAAGCCGAAGCAAGTGGCAACGCCAAGGGCGTGAGTGCCGGTCCGTGGGACTTCCGCTTCGTACGAAGTCTGCGCAACCTCGACAAATTTGACGATATCGGACCCTGCGTCATGTTGGCGTCGCCGGGTATGCTTCAATCTAGCATGTCCAGGATTTTGCTGGAAAGGTGGGCGCCCGATCAGAAGAATGGCGTGGTCATGACCGGATACAACGTTGAAGGCACCATGGCAAGGACGATCCTTACCGAGCCCGACCAGATCCCCGCCATTATGAGCGGCAGCAATCCTGGAGCACAGGCCATGGGCCGCAAGGTCCGCGATGACGGTGCAGCAGTCATGATCCCACGTCGTTGCACAGTCGAGGAGTTCCAATTCGCAGCACATGTGACTGGTGTGGAGAATGTCGAATTCATCGAGCAAGTCGCAGCTCCGCATGTCATCCTCGTGCACGGTGAGAAGTCACAAGCTGCAAGGCTGAGATCACGATTACTCGACCTCAACACGAGACGAACTACTAGCGATCCCAATGCGCAGCAAACGAAAGTGTACAGCCCCGAGAACGGTGCCGAGATCCACATTCCATTCCGGAAGGACAAGATGGCCAAGGTTGTAGGCAAATTGGCACAATTGCCTCCTCCAAAGACTACAGATCCAGAAGACAGCCGCATGCTGAACGGAGTGCTCGTCCAGAATGGTTTCAAGCTGAGCCTCATGGCGCCCGAGGACCTCCGCGAGTATGCAGGCCTGACCACAACCACCATTCTCTGCCGACAACACATCACGCTCGCTGCCGCGAGCATCGACCTGATCAAATGGGCATTAGAAGGCACATTCGGCAGCATCGAGGAGATAGGAGGACCAGTCAAGGACGAAATCCTCACAAACGGCGGCATGAAAGCCGAATCCAACGGCATCAAGGACGAAGCAGACGAAGAAATTCCACTCGAACAGCCCCGCCTCTTCGTCGTCATGGGCTGCATCACACTGAAGTGGTCAGGTCGCGAGAAGCAGGTAGAGCTGGAATGGGAGGGCAATACCGCGAACGACGGCATTGCAGATGCAGTAATGGCGGTTCTGATGACCGTGGAGAGCAGTCCGGCGTCGGTGAAGCATTCGAGTCGACAGCATAGCCATGATCACCACCACAAGCACACGAATGGAGACACGAAGCAGCGGAACATACACGCCTATCTGTCGCCTAAAGAGCGATTCAGTCGGTTGTGCATGTTTCTGGAGGAGCAATTTGGGGAGAATATCACACCGATCGAGACGGCTCCGCCGCGGCAGGATGACATGATGGTGGATAAGGGGGATCCAGGCGTTGAAGATGGTGATAGAGATGCCAGCGAGCGTGCACGTCTAGCCGCCATGGGTATCCCAGTGCCTGGCTTGGAAATCAAAATCGACAAGTTCGTCGCAAAGCTGTGGCTGGAGAATCTGGAGGTGGAGTGTGCACAGAAGGTGCTCAAAGATCGCATACAGGCTGTTGTTGAGCGAGCCGTGGAGACGGTTGCGCCGTTGTGGTCGGTTGCTGGAGCTCATAGCTAGTGATTTTGCAGCATTTGATGGAATGGTCAGTTGCAAGACCATCTTGCACATCAGTCTGCACTGGCAATACGGGCATTCGTCACGTGACATGAAGTGATCAGGCCTGCCTCTGCTAGTGAGTCTATTTCGACTTAATGAAACGCGTTGGCCCAGGATCCTTTCTCTGGGAGATGCTGCTTGTCGGTTTCCACGTGCAAATCGCGCCGCACCGTACATATCGATATCGACCCGAATGTTGCGGATAGGGTTCTTGCGGGATGGCTGAAGCCCGCCGGGTATCCAGTGGAGCGTGAAAGATGCATCTCACTCGTATGGACATATACGACACATGGCTTGCGAGCTCCCCACGAATTCAAAAGGCAAAGCTGGGGTCACAGTGAAGTATAGACTTTCCCCCGCTCACAGAATACCAAAGCCTAGTAATGGTGGCGTATGGTAGGAGGCGCGATAGACTGCCTCGGCTAAGCGCGTGCTCAGTCCCTCTGCATTTATATACATATCCATGAAGCACATACGACAACCGAACCTTATCAAAACCACCATCCAGTTTCAGCATTTCCCACACGTAGACACAGCATGGGATCCATCCGCACAAAACACGCAGTAATCTCCGGAGCATGCTCAGGCATCGGCCTGGCCCTTGCCCGCTCTCTCCTCGACCAACCCGACTGGAAGGTCGTCTGCGCAGACATCCGGCCCGAGTCATGGAAGAACCTGAATCCTCCACTGGACTCCTCCCGGGCGACGTTTGTCGAATGCGATATCGCTGACTGGGATAGCCATGCTGCGCTGTTCAAGAAGGCTTTCGAGTGGACCGGCGGGCAGATCGACTTCTACGCCGCCAATGCAGGCATCGGCGACCGAGAGAGCTTGCTATTTCCTTGGGACCTTGAGGCTGAGCCTACGAAGCCCAATCTGGACTGTATTGCTGTGTGTGAGCTGGCTAACTACTATGGCATGAAGCTCTTCGTGCACTATGCACGGAAGACTCAGCAGCGGCTAGGTGCAGACCATGCGAAGATCTATCATCCTAAAGTCGTCATGACAGCCAGCTGCGTCGCGCAGTATCCATTCCCAATCGCGCCACAGTATAGCGCGGCCAAGCATGCCATACTGGGATACACACGCGCCATCGGCGGCACCTTGTACGCCAAGGATAACATCACTGTCAATTGCATCATGCCTGCCGTGGTCGACACGGGCATCCTACCCGGTGACCTGAAGGAACGCTGGCCGAAAGGCTGGCTCACGCCTTTGAGCACGATGGTGCGCGCATTCCAAGAGCTCATCGACGAGACTGGGAAGGTGCAACAAGATGGCAAGAGTGATGGTAAGGATGGGGTTGTGAAGACGGCTCAGAGCGTGGAGTGTGCGCTTGACCGACTGTACTATAGGGAGCCTGTGGCGGCGCCGGATGAGAGCCAGGCGTTCATGGTGAAGGATAGCGTTGATCCGAACGGTGTATGGGCAGCCTCGGTGAATGCAGTTTGGCAGGCGAGGGTTGCGGCTGGCGATACTAGTAGCAGTGTTGGTGGTCAGTAGTGTAGCACATACTGAAGTCTGTGTTCATGCATTGTACCGTGGATTTTGCAGTCTTCTCGATCTAGCGCACCTTGAAGTCCGCCCACCGTTGTTCTAATTGAGTAGTGCTGCTTGCAGTGAGCAGAAATAATGGAAAGGGACGCCTCGAATTGTGCTCCCTGCCACTGGTCCCTGGAATTCGCAGCCTTGCGGGCAGTCACGACCGTCATCTTGGCGCCCCGCACCAGTCAACCGGCGTCACATCGGAAAATTGGAGGCAGAACTACGCCCTCGTTCACTTCGACTTCCTCTGATCTGGCATCCGTCGACCATCATCTACGCCACTGTCATCGTCTCTCACACCCATATACCACCGCAACAATGTCGCACGCCCGCATAGAAGAAGTCTCCGACTCCGACCCTGAGATCGACGACCCAGAAGCCTTCCTGCCCGATTCCTCCCAACATGCCCTGCAACCCGCGTCAGCGCCCCATAGCGCAGTGGCCGCCACAGCTGTCGCAGAAAACCGCACAACACAAACCACAACCAACCACACAGCAGTCCACAAACCCGACTCTCCTCCGCAATGGACCACCCACGTCCTTCTCCGCTCCCTCACACCAGCAGTCGGCCAGGAACAACAACCTCCCACCAGATCTCAAAAGCCACTGCCTTCTCTACCCAGTCTATTTCGACGCAACCCGCACACGCTCTACTGGCCGCCGCGTGCCTCCGTCGCTCGCGATCAAGAACCCGCTAGCCTACTCCCTCATCTCTGCCCTCCAGTCCATTCTCAAGTCAAACCCCGCGCCCTCCCAACTACAAATAACATTTGAGCCCGACAAGCTCCATCCCAACGACTGGGCCAACCCCGGCCGTGTACGCATCAAGCTATTCGATACAGAAACACACAAGCCCTTACACCCTGGCATCAAAAGTAAAGCACACCTCTACAAACTTATCGGCGAATATCTAGTCGCGAACCCAACACAGAAAGACAGCCCCCTGGATTTGCGAATCCAAGGTCTGCCCATACCGGAGAACTTCCTCGAGGAGAGCGGCGAAGTCAAGCCGCCGCGAGGATGGAAGATGGGCACGATCTTACCGGTACACAGTGCTGCGGTGAGTGGTGGCGGGGTCAGTGAGAATTTCTTGAAGGAGGCGATGGAGGAGATGAAGGCTATGGGCGGTGCGCCTGGAGCAGGAGGCATGCCAGGTGCTGGTGGGGGAGGGATGCCGGATATGGCGGCGCTGCAGAGCATGATGGGCGGGATGGGGGGCTTGGGTGGGATGATGGGTGGTGGAGGAGGTGGGCCGAGTGGTGGAGGGGCGATCGAGGGAGGTGGCGGTGGGAAGAAGGGAAAGGGAAAGAAGAAGTGAATCAACCCGTCGCCATTGGCAGAGCCGTGGAATCTACGTGCGCCGATGTCCACGGCTGGAATTACCATTCACCTAATTGCAGCTCTTTGGCTAGGGAGTGCACAATCGTCCATCCGCGCGTCCTGGTACCTGTCGATGATCTTGACGTCCTGCTGACATGGACCGCGGACGGAACGCTGATGCTCCTGGACAGGATGCGTAAGCAAGCTCGACGATTCCCACCATCTTCTTGCGTGAGTTGTCGGGTCCCGTCGCCTTTTATCTCAGTTCCGCACGTCGACCTTCCGTCGCTGTTTTTGACTTCCGGCGCTTCAGAATTGTAGCGGCAGTAATTCTGCTCAAGAAGAACAGCACCTGTTGACCGGTTCAGGTTGTTCAGAAGCCAAACGTGGCGTGTTAGGATCGCCGGGATCAGCTGCCTCAGACTCAGCCTCCCCTGCCACGCGGCACGAAGCCTCCTCTACCACGCGACGAAGAACCTGCTCGTGGTGTGGCCCCTCCTCGTGGTATGCTGCCGCGGACCGCGCCACTCCCACGACCTCCGAAGCCAGTGAAAGTTGATGTTGGAGTGGATGGATCGCCTGAATCGGACACGGCTACTTCTGACAACTTACGCCTCTTCGCGCTTGCGGAGCTAATGTCGCCAGAGTTGACTATCTGTGTTGCATCGGGATCCGATTTAATACCACCAGATCCGTCGCACTTGTTGCCTTCGTGGACATGGAACGAGCAGCCTCCTGGAGCTGCTGGACTAGCGGAGTCCTTGCCGAGAACGATACAATTGTGATATTCAGAGAAGAGCTCCTTGGTGAGATGATCAGGAAAAGTCTTCCAGTCTTCGGATGAGGTGAAATTTGTGAAAAGAGTATCGTGCTTTGTCAAATTCCAGGCGGTATTTGCGAACCAGAACTTCATCAGCTCAGAACCTGCGTTTGTCATCTCGGACAATCGACTCAGTCGCCGCAGTGTCACGTCAGCGTGTTTTTGCCGGTGATTGTTGACGGCTGGAGATGGATTTTGGATTATTGCATTTGCGCGGTGCATTCGAGCACGAACCTGATCCATCGCCTCATTCTGAAGACCTTCACACAGGAGGCGGTCGGCCAGGATCCATGTGTCTTCCAGGTCGTTGATGGGCGCAGTCTTCAACTCGTCGCGACGAAGTAGCCACCCCAGGAAGTACTCAAATGTGCGAACATCGGTTTTCGTGAGCAGGACCTCGCCGGATGCCGCTTCCGCAAAGTTGCCATTGAGACATCCTCGGAAGTAACCCGAGACCGACTTCAGGAGACCCGATGGCAGATACCACGACTTGGCATTTTCGGCCGGTCCGACGACGACCTTGACAGGCGGTTCTGCTATGTAGCTGGGAACTGTCAGCCTCCGACCATCCTTAGTTTCTCCCAGACACGCGACTCACTTCAGCGACCAAGTTGGGCTCTCAACACCGGTATGTACCTCGATAGCGGGCTCGGGTTGGGATGTGGTCGCCATAGTACTTTTCGCAGCTGTCTCTAGTGAAAGTTTTCGTGGTTTCGGATGCCATTAAGAGACGGAATTTCTGAGAGGCATTGAAACAAACTGCCAAGAAATAACGGCAACTTCTTTGTCAGGTGAAATCTGGCGGTGCAATGGCACTCGAGTGAAGCCGTTGCCAGGAGTGATGCTCGGATGTAGGTGTCGAAAGAATTGACGCAACGAAACTTGGAGTCTGCTCATGCATTTACTCAGTGCATTTCAGCACACAGTTTGAAGTTTGAGAGCTGTGCAAACGCTTCAATTGGTTGTGCCTTCCGTCGAACGCTCCAGCACGACAGCACGACCGAGTCTCGGAGAATCGTAGTCATGGCTCGTCCACCGGCAGACAACAGCAACCAAGCGACAAGATGCCCTAAACGTCCGATCATCAAAGCAGAACACCTTAGAGAGACGCCTGTCAAGATAGTCGTTGGGACCGGCGACAAGGCCGCCACCTACCATCTTCCACCGACGCCGCTAAAAGTCATATCACCATACTTCAGAGCATGTCTAAGCGACGAGTTTTCCGAAGGCGCTACCAACGTCGTCCACCTCCGCGATGCAAATCCAGCGGTCTTCCACCACTTTGTCGCGTGGCTACTGCGTATTCACGATCTTGGCGGCAATCTCGATAGGACCAAGCCACTCATCGGCTTATGGATCCTGGGAGACAGCATCATGTGTGAGGATCTACAGAACAGAGCGATGGACGTCATGAGGCAACTTCATCTTGAGTATTCGGGACACGATTGGCATGCTTCTGCTGGGTGCATCCTGTTCGCTGAACTCGCTTCCATTGTTGCACATACGTGCGAGGGCTCGGAGTTGTCAAGCTATGCCATGGACAAGATCGCCCACGCCATGACAAGAGGACTGAAACTGCGCGAACTGATGAAGTCCGGAGCTTACTGGGCCAGGATCCCGGAGACAGTCAAGACTGAAATCTTCTTGCGTTACCAGCATTATGTCGACCTGGGATCGAAGGACTCAGACCCTGCTCAGGGTGAGGGTTGCCGCTACCATGTGCATGACGACACGGAGAGTAGGGTCACATCCGAAAACGGACAGAAGGCTGGTACGAAGTAGGAAGAGAGCCACGAGTTCTTCCAATTCAGAGTCTGCGACCACGCTAGCCTAATCTTCTGACGAGAACATGACAGCGTTCAGCATATGGGCTGTGGTCTTGGACACATTCAGCCAGAATACGGCAACCAAGCAGATACGGTCCATCGATTGAGCTGGCGTATCTGAGGCAATTCAGACATTCCTAAGTAGGCCTTCAGCGTGGTGTAGGCATGCAATTCAATTCGATCTTCGTTGCTGAACCTATCAACGTGTCGTAGGCCACTCTCACCTTTGACCTCTTGGTGAATCTTTCAAGCCTCTCGCTACCAGCCGGTCGTTGAAGTCAAGCTCTTTGTTTGACCTCGCCTCGAATGCGACAATACTGTTTCCTGGAGACATACGTGCCACTCTCGCACACGTACGTGGCGGCTTCGCCGTCCATAGCAGCAGTCTTCTGCCCTTAGCAGTTTCCGCTCATCGTGATTGCGTCCTCCAGGCTATCTGGTTTCCAACTACCACTCCGTATCTTGATTGTTGGTGTCGATGGACGCAGTAGTCGCGTGCACAGCCCTAAACTTGGCTTCGCACTCGTCCTTTGAGGTGTCGACGTGTACGTGCCAGTGACAGCCTGCTAGCGCTGCAGGTGAAACATACATCCTTTCTCTCTCTTCCATGTACTTCAGGAAGAGATCTTTGGTTGCCTCTGCGCTCGCCTGATCCCAAACTTGGTCGAGCTCCTTCAGCCAGGACTCATGTTTCGGCGAGTGTCCGGTATCAAAGGAGGCTTTTCGAGTACGGGCCATAGAAGAAGCCATCTGCTGCGTGTAAAATGCCTTGAGTTGCCCGCCAGCAGACACTCGTTTACCTATGACCTTGACACATCCAGAAACTGTCTTCTGATGCGAAACTGTCGCTCTGATCGAATCCATGCAGTAGTTTTGGCAATCCTCCGCAAGAAGTCGGTCCGCCAAGATCCAGAGGTCAATCATATTCATCTCAGTCTCCCTAGCGTCCTTGGAATCAACTGCTGCGACGTGCCAGATCTTTTCCGAGAAGAGCCACTGGACGAAGAATGCGAACGTCTTGGGGTTGACATCGTCCAGGGTGATGATGTTCTGCTCAGATTCTTTGAATGACCCGGACAGGCAGCCTCTGAAGTAAGCCGACTTCGCTTTCAAAGCTGCCGGAGGGAGGTGGTAGATGACTTGATAGCCGTCTTCGCCGACAACGACCCTGACAGTCTCTTCTGTCGCATACCTGTGACGCATTAGCTTGTCTGGAACGCAGTCATATGAGTCTCTTACTGAGCCCATTCCAGAGCGACTGAAGCGTTCCGCTTCCCAACAAATGAATCGTCGCCCATCTTGTGTTGAAATGTGGTAGGTGAAGAAGACTTCGTTCGATGAGGGTAGTAGTTATTGAGACAGCTCGCGGTGGGTGAACAGGATGTCGCTGTTAAGTGCCTGCAGTCGAGTGTCGCATCAGAAATTTGGACTATGCTAGCAAAGGTTGCCTTGTTTGAGTGTCTTGGCGTTCATCTTCAGATGTCTTGTCTATCACCGAGTCGGAAGTCAAACGGAAATCCCCAAAAAACACGAGGAGAGAACGACTTCGAGATAGCCCGCCGGTAGAGCGAGGACAAATGCGTGATACCTTGTTCACGCGTGGTCAGCTCGATGGCCTCGAGATCAGTGTGCTGAGAAAGATGAGACTCGCGTTGGTGATACTCTGATTATCGTGGATGTAACGGCATCGCCATCGTCGGTCGCGATCGCGTGCCTCCGTCTGGCTAATTCTGAACCTGGCGACCTCTCGGGACATCAGTCTTGAGCAGTCTGACGCCTCAACACTGCATCGTGTGCTCGTCGTTGTGATGGAGTCTCGACTATTCTGAAGCCTTGATACCAAGGTTGCCCGTTGCCTGGTCAAATCTTCTGCTTCTTACGCTTGGACTGGCACTCCCCCTTGGATGTCTCGACGTGGAGATGCCAGTCGCAGTCGTCTGACTTAGCGGGATCCTTCCTATTCTTCTCTGCGATCCTGAACAGTCTGTTGGACTCCACAAAAATGCGCGTGACCTTGTCTGCTTGCAACTGCTCCCAACTCGAGCACTTCACCGTGGACTCCGAGATGCCTTCGTTCACACAATCGAATGCAATCTGCTTGGTGATGTATTGTAGCATTAGATTGTCCGATATACCGCGTCCTGAACCTCTTTGAGAACGAATGTGGAAAGTCTCTCAGTTGCACTTGCCATGCGCAGAATGTCCATGCAGTGATTTTGAAATTCTTCCGCGATCAGACGATCTCCCAGAAGCCACAATTCTGCAGCGAAGGACTGTATGTCAGAGCCGTAATACTGACCGTCGCTGTCATCCTTGGCGAAGGCTTCGACCGCTTCAGCTGTCCAGACATGTCCAGTGTAGATCCACTGAACGAACAACGTGAAGCACTCTAGATCCACGTCATGCAAGATAACTTCTCCATTAACCGCTTCGATGAATGAACCCTCATCGCGGAAGCACCCACGAAAGAATCCTGACTTTGCCGATAGTAGAGACGCAGGAAGGTAATGTGTGGTCGAGTTTTGCCCATCATTGAGTAGAACAACTTTTACTGGAGCCTCGGTTGTGTGTCTGGGACAAAGTCAGAGCGAGTAGGAGGGCCGCAGTCAATGATCCCTACCGAGAGATGGTGGTACCCATGTCCAGTGGATTTGCCATGATACCAGTGGCGTTCGGCATGATGACGCCCAGGAAGAAATCGAATAGATGGAGGGGGAATTTCTGAGTTGAAGAGGATTCAAGTCGAAATTGTTATTAGATGAGGAGAATTCTTGAGGCAGCACTCGAGGAATCAATTGCAAGCACTCGGTTTGTCATTGTGGGCGATGGGCGCTTTGGGTGGGGACAGTCGTCAACAGTTGTAGTGAATGGCTGTGGTGACATTTACAGCAAAGCAGCTCAGGCGCCGCATCGTGGAACGGACGTCACTTGTGACTTGATGAGATGTGTCGATCCTCTGCAGCTGGACTTGGCTTGAGCTCAGCAGATCAGTGTTGGTGGCAGCCGGCCACCTCAATCAGGATTCGACGCCGACGACAGCTCAGAATCACTGCTTTCGTCTGACGACTCCTTCATGGCGGCGACCGCGCTGGCTCTCAACCCACGATAGACCTCGCTGTTGCGCCGCCGTTGCTGTCGTCGAGCTCCCTGTGCCAACTCACGCGGCGTGGGATTATCTCGACTGGTATTGCCCGCGCTGGCCAGCCGCATGCGTTGTTGGTCGTCGAAGTCCGAGCCTACGAATTTGCTGCGACCAGGACTGGTGACAAGCAGTTTGAACACCGGGCCATCTGCCTCGCCATGGGCCATATCTTGAAGGGTGTTCATCACCTTGCGACATTCTGCAGCCCATGTGTGCTTTTCGAAAGCGTCAATGCCGTCAATGATGCAGAAGATGACAGGGTCATCAGGTACTTGTTCCACGACGTATGCAAAGCATGCGCATAAGGTTGAGAGATCGTGCGACTCCAGAAGTTTTCGATTTCGTGGGTTGTGTGGAAACTTGAGCGCTGTGGAAGCATTCAAATATCGTGCAACTTGGTGGATCAAGTTCCTCATCATACCTTTCGGTCCGTGAAACAGATCGTCAACTCTGACGTGGCGGCGACAGAAGTGATGGATCGTTATGTCCTGCTGGAGGACATCGGTGACGATGCAACTGAGTAGCGAAAGTGATGTGTATCGATTTCCGCTTACCATGGGCTGTCCCCCTTCGATGAACAACGCGCCGGAGTCATTTGCGGATACCCAGTCAGTGTATATTTGCCCAACTATGATCCCATGTGGTACTTGAGCATCTGAGGCTGAGAGCGACTGACATCCTCGACGGACTGCCATCCGGTCGTTCTCTGCAAGATTTTCGTCGACGTCGATGATCTCTAGCAGATCTGAAAGGGAGGCAGCACTCCCAGATGTTTCGAGTCTTTTGACCTTTCGTCTGAGTTGTCGGATCTGCTTAGCTGCATTCGACTGCCCTATGAAGGTGTGAGCACATCTGAGCGAAACAGGGACGTCAACGCTTACACTCCGCATTCTGACGGGAAAGTGTCATAGCTTCGGTCGCTTCATGAATGGCTCTTTGCACGTCTGTCATTTTATCCACCGCTGCATGGGTAGCATGTTGAGCGTCATGGATATCTTCAATTCGCGCTCTGGTAGCACGTTGGGTAGATTGAACGTCGCCGATGCGCGTATTGATTCCCTCTCCAACCCACTGAGCTTCCGTCTTGACCTGTATGAGTCGAGCGTCCGTGCCATTGGCGGTGCGCATGAGGTCCTCCGCGCCGCTCTGCAAGGTTTGAACAAGCTCACGGGTGTCCTTAGTGGTGACCTCGATTTCGCCTGTAGTGGTTGCAACCTGACCAACAAGCGTATGTGTGGTTTTGACGGTCTTGTGAGTATCCACGATGGCACCATCGCGAAGTGTGTCGCACCTTTTCTTGAAGGACTCCAGAGCATCGTCAAGGGCTTTGATGTTTTGCTTGAAGGCCTTGTTGTACAGTGGACCTTGAACCAAAGCTGCAGTCTGCTTGCCTGTAGTGCTCGATTAGCTTCCCTTCGCTGTCTCAAGCTCGTACTGACCAATAGGGTTCTTCGCGAACCACTCGACAGCGCCCTGGAGGGCGGTGAATATGGATAGATATAGCTCATCTGCTTTATCGTCGAGACTTAGATCCGGTGGGAACGTCTCCACAGCATGCTCAGCTTGGAGAATGATCTCAGGCATATCCTCAATGGTTCGGAGTACTTCCTCGCGTGCATTGCTCAGGTGCATGGCCGACTATTAACCACTTAGCGGGCGTCTGAGGATCGGTAGTTATGCACATGTACTTGCCTCAAAGACTACCTTCAGTCCTCCGCAAATCATTGACGTATAAGTGCCATTCGGAATGATCCTGAGAAAGGGCAGAACCGACTCTGACTGCCTCCCGAGGAACCTGCTAGCTCTCCTGACCGGCTTCTGGCCAGCTCGTATGTACTTATCCTGTGCAGTTCTCACCACACGAAAGACTTCGTCCCAAGAATGCGTCTTGCTCAGATCAAGATCTTTGATCTGCTTTTCCGTTACAGAATGCCTATACTCCTCGACGATCTCTCGGAACTTCTGGGCATGCATCTCAAGTTGAGGGCTTTGCTGTTAGCCTGGACTCAACTTGCAGGCCTCTGTCCCAGAAACGTGTCATGACTTACTTGAACTGCACCGTTCGAGGTGGGAGGGATCGTTGCTCCATGTATCTCTGGTCAGGTCCGTGATTGTGAGAAAGGCGTACCTGAGCAGCAAGACTATTCGCAAGCGTACTTTCCGCGGCCTGCACGTAAGTCGCAGTTTCATCGCTGATAGTGCCTATATCGTCTGGTCTCAAGGTTGTAGCTTCGTCATCGTCTGGTCTCAAAGTCGCAGCCTCATCATCGGCTTCCACACGTGGGTTCATCCTGCACTGGTAGCCGAATCTTCAGAACGAGAGAAGCTGCTGCTCTGGAGTTGACCGAAAGCGTGCAGACAGACTTGTCCTTGGGCCGAGATATGAGGCAGTGCTGTGTATCGATCATGATGCAGATCAGGAGTCTTCATCTGGAGAGTGAACCGCTCGGCGCCCACCACATCCCACGGAGGATGCATAGCTTTTCGCCTTGTAGGCAATCCAGGGCGCACGAACACGAGTTCGCCTTTGTCTGCCTTGCTGTTCGAATTCATGCACGCCCCGCCCCATACCCCAGTAGATTGGAGCTGACAACACATCAAGGCAACTACCTGCAGCTTCTGAGCTCCTTACTTGCCAAACGACTACCTCGATACGAACGTCACAGAACAGGTGTGGTTGTACAATACAAACAGCCTGAGCCTGAACCTAGCCTGATGTCGCGAGGGGTGGCGGTCTTGTGTCCCGAGGTCGACAGGCGGGCCGAACCTTCCAGGCTGTGGGCTAAAATTACTGGGCGGGCTTCCCACTTCTCCTACCGTGACCACGCCTGTGTGCCGCTCATTTTGGATTTCGAACTCCGGGAGGGTACTGAAGGCCTGCGATTGTTTAACTGATCAAGTCGATGGATTTGGGACGAGCCTGACTTGAGCGTCGATTGCTAGGAAAAAGGCACCGAGAAAACCTAACTACCTGGTAGCCAGGGAGGACGCTACAGAAATTGACACCGAGTAGCCTCGGAGTAGGAGAAAAGGCAAGGCTCGTGTTCCCACAGCTTGGCCTGCCACCGGAGCTGACGCTAATGGGCTTAGCTCATTGATGGCAACTGCGAACCAGCTTTCCATCTTTCCTTCCTGAAACGACCCATGTCAAGTCAAGTCGCCTTACCTCTTTCCCCAGTGTTGAGCCGATCAGCCTTCTGCACCCTTTGTGTCTGCGTGCGTGAAAAAACATTGCAATTGGCAGGATGAACGCGTTCCGTGCATTATGGTGTGCCGGAAGTCCCTCGCTTTTTGCTAACCATCTGCCCGGGTCCCGGACCACGGCGACCACCTGAAATGGTTACATATAGTGTTCATGGAGTCCCTGGTGCCTGCTCCTCGCTTTTGCTCTCTTTTCGGGTCGTTATAGCGCCGTAGCGGCCAGATTGAACCAGCTGTCTTTGACTCCCTGAGGAGACATGGGTTCATTGGATTTCGATATCAGGTAAGTCTTCTCCATCAATCAGCTCCTTCATGATCACGGCGGTGCTGGAGAACATATCGCTGACCCTCCATTCTTGGTCTCATACAGCTCCTCATGGAGTGATGAGAAGTATTCGAGAGCAGATGCAAATGGGCTCTCTGTACCCAACAATCCGGCTGTCGATGACGCCGGCTCCGAGCAGGATGATGGTGATCAAGCCTCGCGTTCTGGTTCTGTCCCGAATGTCTCCGGTGCCTTGACTGTGGACGAGTCTCTGTCCGGTATCGTCCAACATCGCGCAGACGGCCAGCCTCGGGTAGCGAACACTGAATTCGAACGGAGGTTGCGACATCTGGAGCGTACAGTGAACCCGGCTCAGGATGACGGCACAAGCTCGCTCAGTAGAGTCAGGGCGGGCCCTGTGAGAGCGACATCAAGCGGTACTTTCCACCAGACCGGCATTAACAGAAGCCCCGACGCTCAGCGTACCCTTCCAATACTGAGCGAGAAAACTTGGAACGAATTTATGAACAAGTCCGCAAGTGACGATGTTGAAGCTTCAATTGATATCCTGGTCGAGCTGCCTGAATATCTAGCTCCGAAGGCCGCTGTCTCAGGCATCGGTGCTAAAAGTGGGAACGCGCGTGGTGCTCGTACGCAGCAATCTGATCCATCGCCTGTCCTGCAAGCGAAAGAGAACAGGCCAGTTCCTGAGCGTATTCGCATCAATTCTCTGTTGACTCTCAAGTTGCTGAAATCAATTGATGACCACATATCAGAGACAACAGCTCTTGTCATGATGAGACCGTTCAAGTTTCTGGTGTACCACGAGGACCAGATCGAAGGCCTAGCAAGAGAACTGGAGCAACAGGCTTCTGTGCTCCCAGCAGACGAGCCTTCGGATTTCCAGGGAAGTCGTACATCTTACCAGCTTTACGACGAACAAGAACGCACCGAAGCTCTCAAGCATCTGCGGTGCCTGACAAGCTTTACAGCGAAGTACATCAAGCCAACACTCGAGCGGCTTAGGGACAACTCCACAAGCATGATAAGTTTCGCAGACTTGTGGTACATCTTCCAGCCAGGCGAAGATATTCACATGCCTCTGAAGATTCAGGGGACTTCCATCGACGCTGAGGCTGTCGGAATCTCATCCGAGACATTCTACAGTCGGTACAATCAGCTATGGCGGGTGACTTGCGTCACTGGAGGTCGCCCGAACATCGCCACTGCGCAGGAACGCCATGGCACATCGAAGCCAAATCCATTCAAGGTCGATTGTTACTACATCGACTTTCATGGCAGGTAAGAGAAGCTCCTTATGCTTGAGCAGCATCCTATAGCACTAGTACGCCGCTCACAATGATGCTAACCTGCCGGATAGGTACCTTCGACCGACCGTTCACACGTTCGAGATTGCCCCATTCAGAGGCGAGAGGGAAATAACTTCTCTCGAGTTCTATCCAACTCGCTTCTTAAGCAAAGAGCAGCGGGAGCAGCGCTTTCAAGGCCGGCTCGATCGCGGCAAGATGGTGTTTGATGCCATAGTGAAATCTTCTTCGCCTTTCTTCTACTCCGGACCGACACTCATGGTTCAGCCGTGCGGCTGTAAGTTCAAGGATGGTCCAGCCACTCAGGAGCACGTCGATAGCGAGGTCATCGTGGACTTCAAGCTTGCTCTACGGAAGCATCCAACGTGGGCTCCAGAACGCGAGCCATGGAAGCCGCCTGTTGAGCATCGTGCTGAGCTACATGAGAAGACGCCAGTACAGTATTGGGACAAGCAAGACAAGACAAAACTCTCTTATGCACAGTACGACCAGGTCTACAACGACTATCTTATCGACAGGGAGGACGCCGTGGCTTTCAGCCAGAAGGAGAAAATCTTTGCTCCGATTCCTTCTGGCTGGATCTCAAATGAGTCTATGGTACCAGAGAAGGATGTCTCGCTGCTTCCAGGCCGAGTCTTTGCTTTTGTTCTTCGCACACGCACATTCGGTGAGATCTTTTGTCTGAGTCCTTTCATTCACTAACGGCGTGCTATAGCTCCCCTATGGCTATCAATGTTGCAGCCCATTCGGGCGAAGATGGACGGCCTCAACACTCTACAGCTCGAAGACAACACATTCAAAGACACTTTGCAGGCACTGGTCAAGACCCACTTCATGCAACGACTAGGACAGGAGACCAACCATTTCGAGTACGACATTGTACGCGGCAAGGGAAGAGGGCTTGTCATCTTGCTGCATAGTGCGCCTGGAACTGGCAAGACACTCACTGCTGAAAGTATCGCTGCTGCAACTGGACAGCCCTTGCTGCAAGTCACATGTGGTGACCTCGGCTTGAAGCCCAAGGAGGTCGATTCGGCGCTCAAGGAAATCTTCCACCTCGCCTCTCACTGGAAGTGTGTACTTCTGCTCGATGAGTGTGACATTTTTCTGACTCAAAGAAATCGAGAGGATGTCAAACGCAACGCTCTCGTGTCTGTCTTCCTCCGTGTTCTTGAGTTCTACACTGGAGTGCTGTTCCTCACCACGAATCGCGTCGGCGCATTGGACGAAGCCATTAACTCTCGAATCACGTGGATCATGTACTACCCTCCTTTAAACTGGGCGCAAACCGAAGAGATCTGGAAGACCAACCTAAAGAACGTCAGGAAAGGCAATAAGAAGCTCAAAGTCGATAAGGCGGGCATCCTCGCGTTTGCAGAGGATCAATTCTACGAGACCCAGGACCTCAAGAATGCATCTTGGAATGGCAGGCGGATTCAGAACGCCTTCAAAGTCGCTGTCGCTCTTGCCTACTGGGAGACTTACACTAATGATGAGCGCGGTGAAGCATGGCTAGCGAACACGAACGTCAGCAAACACAAGCGTCGCGCAACATTGACGGCCGCCCACTTCCAGTCCTATGCCGCGAGTGCTGCCAAGTTCGACAGCTATCGGATGGAGGCTATCGGCGGCACTGATGGCGATCGCGCCTTCCAAGCCATGGATCGAGCTGATGACTTCAAAGAGGTGGAATCGGCGATACCGTATGTCCCGACGCTGCTGTCTCCAGATGATCACAGAAGGACTTCGACCACCCCGAACGCGCGGAGTCCAATCGTGCGAGCTTCAACAGTAGCTGGTCGGGTGCCGACTGCTCACTATTTCCAGTCGCAGCAGCAGACACAACAAAGTCACGCTCAGATAGGCACCTCCTTTGGTGGCCAAGATACATGGGCCAACGCATCTCATCAGCCGAGAGTCTCTCGTCGTAAGTCAAGCACACTCAGTCAGACTGGTCCTCTCAGTCCACGGCCGAGCAGGCTCGGAGGACGACAGATGCAGATCAGCCACGTACTGCCCAGCGTGACTTCCGCGATCAAGACACTGCACAACAGAGCGATAGTGATACTGATTCGGAGGACGATGAAGCTGTTGAGACTGGGTCAGGGTCGGCTACAGGGTCCGAAGGTCGGTATTGAGCAGGAGCAATTTGGCAAAGACAGCAGGCTGTGCTTTTGCGAGACAGTCTCTACTTCATTGCAGCTACTTACACCACTGCAAGTCTGCGTTTGTTCCTATTTAGGAAGCCTCCTAATCTATGTCAGGACAGAAACTTGCTTCGAATTTAAGTCACACGAAGCTCTGCCACAGGCAGCGTGCCTCCCCATGTACAGCCACACTGCTATCCACTGACACCAAACATGACTTCTTTCTAAGCGCATGCCCTCGTGTCATTGCGACACGCTGTCCGACAACTCCACCCCGCTTCATCGCAGGCCATGCATGGCTGCGATGCTGTGCTGTGTGCGTGCCTTGTGTTGATGGCTGCCGTAGCCTGAGAACGACTTGAAAGGCCTATTGGTGCAGGCGGGCCCTGCGTGCCAGGCTCATGATCAAGTTGCAATGAAACCGAACACGTCGAAACAAGTAGTTCAACGCGTCCGAGGGGCCGGTATACCATGGTGAGCGTATATCGCGCGGTCTATGTCGTTGTCATTGTTTCTGAGGAGCGCGGTCGCTCGGTCAGCAGAAACACGAAGGGTCCTCACGAGCAGCTTGACTTTGTCATCATGAGGGTTCTGGCTGGGAGCTGCGTGGCGTCCATCTTCTTCAGGCCTCGTGCGCTGTCCAGTTGCACCATGTTGCCGCACGATCGCCAACAACACCTCATTAAGCACATCCTTCTCCAACTGCGACCAAGCCTGGGCTTTCATCAAAAGCTGCCCCTTCGTAGGAACTTGCATCGCCTTAGCCACCAGCTCGATGTACCACCTTCGTAGAGAAGAGCTAGCTGTCTGTCCACTCTGCGTGATGTGCAACAGTAATTCAGCCTTGGCCTCCTCGGGAACTCGAAAGTCCGGCCCAAATGTGGTTCCAGGCGTGATGGTATGGAGACTCCGCAACCGACCGAGGCAGTCATGTCCGAGTCGGTCGCAGAGCAGACGGTCGGCCAGCAGCCAAAGGTCGATGCACTGAGACGATGTCAAGGAGGACATTGTGGGTGTAGGTTGGGCGAGCCAGTCGACAAATAGAGCGAAGGTCGAAGCGTCGGTCTCGGGGAGTGTGACTTCGTGGCTCAGAGCTTCAGCGAACGAATTTGATAGGCAGCCACGGAAGTAAGCCGATGACTGGTGTAGCATGGTAGATGGAAGGTGGAAAGTCTTCGTGGTCGAATCATTGGTGACGTGAACGGCGATGATTTGAGACTGAACATGACTGAGTGGAAGAATGTGTCAGTATAAGGACCGAGAGCGGCACGCACGTCTTGAGGTCGACGAAAGGGATACTGTAGCTTACTCAGAGTACCTCATCTTCGCGATCGGTGTGCTAGAGGTCGCCTTCGTGGCTGACTGGTCCTGCGGGGTGGCCATCTCTCGAGGTAATGTGGTCGATCAAAAGCAATGATGCGCGGGGAAAACGGGCTTCTAAGTGATTTTGCAGTCGATATCACTTGTCGCTTCTATGTGTGACTGATTGACGAGTAGAACAAAGTGACAAAGTGAAGTAGTGACTGTTTGTTGCTCGGCTAGCAAGGAGGCAGGTAACCGAATTGACTTCCTCACCAGCCGGAGGTGAAGTGTTCGGGTCCTGCCAGTTCGTCTGATGCAAGTCGCCCTTGCCAGTTGGCCCTTCCTTCACAGGACGCCGCTCTACACTACGTACTGCAACACCGTCCAAAATCTTCTGAAGCACTCTGCGATGGTTCTCAATAGCCCCGGCTCTCTTGTAACCTCTTGTTTGATGCACATGGCTAGCTGAGGCGTCGTGGCTGAACCAGTACTCCGTCGTCGTTCTCGTCGCCACTCGCAACGCATGACTGTTTGATTGAACACGTCACGTGCCTTCATCCTGGTTTGGTGAGATTGGTAGTAATTCAATGCGTCACCAGTGGTCCTGATCCCATACCGGGAGAACTTTGTGATTGTTCTCGATACAAGCTCGCATTCTCTTCGCATCGGCTGCTGGGCACTGCACCCCACGCTCTTTCTCATGTACATGGAAAGTGCAGTCCTGCATTGTGGAAGGAGCCGCACGGTTCGTGTCACTGCTGTAGGCAGCGAGTTGTTCCATTAGTCGCATATGCACCGCCCAGGCGAGGCGCTTAGCGGATGGACTCTTGTCAAAGCTCTTTTTGGAAGTCCCGTTGAAGTCGTGCGCAAGACGGTAAGCCAGCTCCTCGACCAAGTATTGCATCAGCTTGCTATTTTCATGACCGGCTTTTTGAAGATCTTCGATGCCATCGATAAGCATGTCGCCGTCGTCATGGTGCTCCTTCAAAAGATCCAGCGTCTCGTCCACTAACTGTGTGCATCCAATGTAATGGGCGAGGATCCAGACGTCGACCAGATCGTCAGACTTATGACTTGGCTTAAGAAAGCCTACATAGAGCCAATCGACAAAGATAGAGAATGCTTCGCTGGTGTATTCTTCGAGGATGACTTCGTTGTCGACCTTCTCTTTGAACCCATGAATGAACATTGTGTTGAAATACTCAGAGTTGTCTCTCATCAGATTCAAGTGTATGCGGAAGGTTCGCTTATCTTCGTCTGTCCCGACATGAACAGTGGTGACAGGACCTTCAGCATGTCTGAGACAAGTCAGCATCGTACATTGCCAACCGGGAGGTCTCTTACTGTACTGAGAAGCCCACGGACCTTGTTCCGTTGCCGCTGCCTTCTTTACCGTGTGCGTCATGCGACATGGCGCAACCGGCGTCCTCACAGCTGCCTTCATGCTCGCACCACATCGTTGCCAACAATTTGTTGCCCAGGTCGGAGTATTGCGAAGCTGCTAGGCAAGAATGATGTCGCTGGTCGTTCACATGAGCGTTCACTCTAGGGAGGCCTTCATGTCGCAATATTATCGCCAGAGCAAAGGAATTTGTGTCAAGAATGGCTGCGATTCACTGTGAGAGGAACAGTTTCGTTGCTATGCCAAGACCAGCTCAAGAAAAGTAATCTTGGCGACGACTTCGATACTTAGTAGTTCTGCTTTCGGACGATGACAGCTGGATTCTGCTTGCTTCGCATAAAAGCCCCCACACAGTTTCATGCACCCAACCGGAAGCAATTGCTAGGCCTGTTCGTGAGCCTCACAGAGATCGATTTCTCATCACCCATAGGAAGCTGCCGTGTCCTGGTCATGGATGCCCAACCAACAATCGTCTGAAGCGCCGTAGTTGCTGTTTCTGAGTCTAGCAACCGGTCCAGAACGTCGGAGTCGATCAAGTCGAAGGTATCAAACCACAGGAATTGCCACAAGGACTCACGGACCGACACGATCCCAAGTGACTTCGCCAGTTGTATGAAGTTGATTGCACAATACTGCACGTCGTCCGAATCAACGGAGCAAATGATGCCAACGGCCAAGATCCAGAGCTCGAGCGTCGTTGCGAGCTTACACTGACGCAGCGCAAGGCCTAGGCGCGTGCCACGACCTGGCACAAGCTTGAGGAAACTGTCCGAGGGAACAAATCCTGGGCTGTAGGACATCAGGCTGGTGGGGAGGTAGGACAGCCACATCAGCAGAGCTATGACTGTACACTCCATGAGCTTATTCCCACATGGCATTAGTTCCAGGACTCGAAAAGTCAGTTCCTCGCTTCGAGCAATCATGTGAGAGGCTGTCTGCTTCAGTCCTGTAGGGAGAGCTTCGTGGCGAAATCTGTCAACGTTATTCGCTAGTGCCACAATATCGTCGATCACCGTGCAGAGCTTGCGGCCAAGTACGTCGGTGTAATCATCGAAATGGCTTGCCGCCGACTTGTCAAGGTTGGGCCATGCACAAAGCGACTGCGACGTCTGCTTGAAGATCGGTGGAGCAACTAATGAGGCAGCACTGAAGAGGTCGATGTTGCAGCATAGTCGCTGCAAATATCCCTTCAACCCATGGTGACCGTAAACCTTCTCCATGGCAGCAAGATGAATCCTAGCTCCCTCTAGATTAAAGCAGTAGGTCTCGTATGCAGACAGAAAAAGCATCACTACCGCGATGTGCTGATTGACAACTATGGCATCAGTCCGACCGATCTCCTTCTTGAGCTGAGCCATCGCAAGATTTGCATGCCGCTCTGCTAGAACGCTTGCATCATGCATGACAAACATGCGCCGATTAACAGCAGCAAGAAACGCATGAGCGCACATGTTGTCTGACATCACCTGCTGAACAACCACAGACGTTGTTGCATGATTGTCAGACCTGTGCAGATGGCTCGTGGCAGACTGGAACGCAGATTCGGCCCAGTTCGTTTGGAAATATCTGATGGCTCTGCCGGCTTCGAGGTCGATGCTGTAATTGAAAACCGAGAATGGGTCAGTAGGCGACAGCTTCGACACAGGTGAAGGCAACTGCACAGTGTTTGGTGCAGTCGCTGCCGAGATGGTCGCTTCGTATGGCTTGTCTTTGACTGATGATGTATTTGTCGCCACCTCTGCCAAGAACACAGTGTTCCCTCCATTCCTATGCGATCGACGTGCGACATAAGACCGCCTCGCGGCATCGACAAGCTCAACATCTCGACGTGCGGTTCCCGGCAGCTGGTACGGGACGAAAAATAGCTTGTCTACGTCATCCGCGCCGAGGCTCTTACTGAATTCATCGCTCTCAGTGCGATGCTGCTTCCTCTTTCGAGTTCGGACCACTGGAGCTGTATGCTGCTTGTGTGCCGGTCCAGGAACCTTCATCGATTCGCTCGACAGTTTCCTGCAATTTCGTGCCTTGAGAGGAACCGGACAGATCTTCAGCTGGTGTTCGAACAAAGGACTGAGATGTACGTTGAGCGCCGGATTTGTTCTCCATGAGCGGGATCCAATCACAAGAGGCCGGGGTGGATGGGACCCTCGACGCGTGGCCGTAGCTTCGGATTATCTCTGACGACGTCCACGAGATCTTGCGTCACATACGAGCGTTGTGTATGACTCAAGCCACTTCGAATAGACTCACCGTCATGCCTTCCTGGTAATTATCGCATCACAAGGCTGCCATTTCTTCGATCCATCAGGTCTGTCCCCCGACGCCTCAGGCCGTTCTCGACCGGCTTATTCTTGTCGTTGATGAATGGCTTGCGAGGCCAACTTTTTGCTATGTCGATGTTCGATCTTGGGTACAATATTTCCAGGAACAGGAAAATGAGATAGTCGATGATTGCACATAAGCAGAACAATTTGCCTGCCCATATCCCGCAGCCGTAGTATCGCTTCAGCCTATCGATCAATGCATAGCTGTGGACACCAGTCCTGCCGCGCACTCCGCTCCAGGTTGCTCGCACATGTTGGCCGTAGAATTCCTCTTCGCTGATAGCGCCAGTGATCCCGTCATAAACGCGTTCAGTGCGTTGTGCAACATCTGCCCAGGAGTACATGAGCTTGACCTGATCATGAAAACGTTCTGTTCGCACCTTTCCGGCACGAAGGTCCATGATGGCCTTACTCATTGCTGCAACAAGGTCGTCCTCTTCCGGTTTCGCAAAAGCGGTCATGTGAGCGGGCAGAACCTCAGGAATGCCACCCACGCGGGTGCACACGACGTAGAGCCCACAACTTGCAGCCTCAACAACGACAGTGCCGAAGGCTTCTGTTAAACTTGGATTAAGGTAGATATGGCCTCTAACCATGACATCGCGAACTCCTTCGTGCGTCACTGGGCCTAGGAGCTCCACTTTGTCCTGTAGCACTCTCCTTTCAAGCATTTGCTCCAAGTCAATCGCTTTCGGACCAGAGCCGGCAATAATGAAGCGTACTTTGGAATGAACAGCTAGAATTCGAGGAATGACGGCAATCAAGAGATCAGTGCCCTTGTTGTAGAACAGCCGAGAGACAACGACTATGACGACCTCATCGTTCGGACCTAGTCTCTTTGCCATGTGGCGTGGTCTCATGTACGCTTGATCCTCAGGCTTCGGTTGATAATGCAAGGGCTGGAAATTCTCTGCCACCACAGCGTTGGGGATGACAGAGACCATCAGAGGGTCTAGTGACGCTCGTAGAACAGTATTCTCCTTGCACGTATGACTGACACAAATCACATGGTCGACATCGCTCATCGTGAACTTGAGCAACTTGTTGGTAAGAATTGAGCCCGCATCAGCGAAGCCAAAAAGCGAATGATCCGTGAAGACCGTTCTCAGACCCATGGTCCTGGCGTGTAATATGCCTTCATGGCAAAAGCTACTCAGACTGCCATGGCCGTGGACGATTTGGATTTGTTCGCGTACAAAGATGTTCCGAAAGATGGGAAAGCAGGAGAACACTGTTGGCATCGTCGTCTCTCGGAAGATGACCAGGAACGGAACATGGTACACTTTGAGTCCATTGGTAAGATAGTGGATGCCTGTCCGGCCCTGATACGCGTGTGTGATGATGATGACCTTGTGGCCGCGGTCTATCAATTTCGATGAGACTTGGTAGATATGGCTTTCGACTCCTCCTGGTTGCGGGTAGAAGAAGTCGCATACCATGGCAATGTTGTAAGGCATGTCGTCTCGGACGAGGCAGACATGATCCTGGTGAGTCTGCTCGAATCTGGTCTCTCAAGGCATCAATGAGGGATGGCTATCGTGATTAATGACAGATGCTGCTCAGTCTCACTTAAGCAGGAGCGCGTGTCGCGTCAAGATGTCTGATCTGCATCCCAGGCTTGGATGACTTAGAGTCTTAGACCTCCAAGGTTCTGGCCCGAACTGGGGTCTGTCCAGGAGCTCGTCGGTCTATCTCCGGGCGCTTTTGGGCTTCGTGCGGGGGCATGAGTTTTTGTTCTCCAACGACATGCGGTACGTAACTTTTTTTTTTGGATATGGCATCGTCCTCGTAGGCGTGGCAGACCGACCTCGAAAAAGCGCTGGACGGCGGGGCAGAGAATGTCACAGTTCTATGCGCGATATGTGCCACCTGCCTCAAAATCAGACATCTCCAACGAAGCCTCAAGGTCGAGCGCGAAGAGAAAGAGCCATGCAAAAGAAGACCTTGCTCCTCCGAAGCAGAAGAAGCAGCGCAAGGCAATAGATGATGGAGTCAAGGTCGAGCCTGCAGCCTCCTCGAGGAACGACGGAGACGAGGCCACAGTGAATCCCCGGACCATAAAGGACATTCCAGAAGGCGACACTCTACAGCCACAAGTGTCGAAGAGGGCAGGAAATCCACAGCAGTCCGTTCCAGCGGAAGCAGCAAAGGCGGAGGTGAAGAAGAGTAAGAAGAAATCCAGGCGAGAACCTCCGATCGAGCCCGACAACACGGAAGACGCAGAAGAGTCATATAATCGCAAGCATGGGAATGTGCTCTCGAAGTTCCAGAAAGCTCGAGCAGAGCAGCCAGTTAAGCAGGACGACCAAGAAACGGACGCAGAAGGTCCTGCAGAGTTACACGGCTTAGAGCCCATCCCGCAGCCAGATGTCGTCGAACGTCCCAGACAGAGGCCGACCTACACCACACTCGCGCCGTGGCAGGCGAATGCTATAAGAGTGGTTCATCGAGAATCGAAAAGCTTTGCAGAACTTGGTGTTTCAGAGGCGGTGGTTGACAATCTGCGGAAGAATGGTGTTCAGAAGTCGTTCCCGATCCAGACGACGGTGCTGCCATTATTGCTTGCGGGCAAGCAGCTTCATGCTGGGGACATCTGCGTGTCAGCAGCAACAGGCTCCGGCAAGACACTTGCTTACGTTGTGCCATTAATCGAGGATCTGAAAGACTCTTCAAACACGCAACTACGAGCTGTGATTGTCGTACCTACGCGGGAACTGGTGCAGCAAGTACGACAGTCATGTGAAATTTGCGCGGCAGGTACGAAGCTCAAGATCGCGGCAGCTTCTGGAAGCAAAAGTATGAAGGAAGAGCAGGAGCTGCTCACGTGTGAAGAAGAAATTTACGACCCTGAACAATGGCAGCGAGAACAGCGCGCCCCAATGGACTGGTCCAAGTTCTCCATGACCACATTTCTGGACGAGGTGGAAAGGCAACGAAGCTCAAGGTCCATTCACTTTGTGAGACGATTTTGCTCGAAGGTTGATATTTTGATCACAACGCCTGGCAGGCTGGTCGATCACCTGCGCTCAACGTCAGGCTTCAATCTCGATCACGTCCAGTGGATGGTTGTAGATGAGGCAGATCGATTGCTCAACGAGAGCTATCAAGACTGGATTGACACCGTCGTTCCCGCACTGCAATCACAAGCCGCGACCGCCAGGAGGGACGAGCTGTTGAAGCACATGCGAATGGAGCCGCCACCGCGAGTTGTGCGAAAGGTCCTCCTTTCCGCGACCATGACGAGTGATATCTCGAAACTCTCCTCACTCGGCTTGGACAATCCCAAGCTGATCGTGCTTGGTCAGCTTCAGGGGAGTAAAAAGGACACGGAGCAAGATGCGATCCCAGCCCCGACCACGGAAGGCGATTACCATCTACCACCATCACTCACTGAGAATGTGATACCTATCAAGGACGGGTACGAGAAACCATTGTATCTCCTCTCGCTGCTCCAGAAGAGAATCTTCGCATCTCCTCGGAACGGATTGAAGGAAAAGGGCGTCGGAAACACTGCCAGAAAGCAGCAGAGTGATGGCGATTCAGACTCAGAGGCATCTTCGGCCTCTTCATCATCTGACAACGAAGGGTCAACGTCAAGCTCAGAAATCAGCTCAACGTCTGACTCTGACTCCGACTCCGACTCGGAAAGCGCAGCCTCAACTTCATCGCAGTCTTCCGCTTCAAGCACCGTCTCTCCCGCCCACGACTTCCTCCATCCCATCAGTACATCAAGATCCAGCCCCGTCCGGGCTCTGATATTCACACGCTCAACCTCTGCCACCCAACGCCTGTTCCGCCTCCTCTCGCTCCTGGACCCGACCCTCTCTTCCTCCATCAGCACACTCACCAAGTCCACCTCGACTTCCTCAGCCTCTCGCCGTGCCCTGTCGTTATTCCGTTCCGGAAAGACGGCCGTCCTCATAGCGACGGATCGTGCCTCTCGTGGTCTGGACATACCTGACCTCAGCCACGTGGTATCCTATGACGTGCCCAGTAGCGCGCTGACCTATGTGCATCGTGTCGGCAGGACAGCCAGGGCTGGGAAAGAGGGAACTGCGTGGACATTGGTGGAGCATAGGGAAGCAAAGTGGTTCTGGGGTGAAATTGGAGGGAAAGGTGGTGAGCTGGGAGCTGAAGGCGGGAAAATAGGCAGGCAAGGAGGGAAGAAGCCGGTCAAGGTCAACGACTTGGAGGTTGACGCCGAGAAGTGGAAGGAGCGGTATGAGGAAGCTTTGGCGAAGTTGGGAGAGGAGGTCCGGGGGTCGTGAATGTGAAGTGTTCATGTCAGAGGGAGGCTTAACCGTACGCGTATAATGATGTGAGGACCTCCCGAGTCTTCTCGCAGTTCACATGCTTCGTGTACGCCTCACAGTATCGGGCGCTTTTTCTGCTGCGATTGCAGTGGTTTCCACGGGTGCAAGGCATCGCTTCTGTGCCCATCTTGGACTAAAGTCCAGCGCTGCCGCAACCTGGCTCCAATCGATCGTCGCATCACGCGCTCCACCACCGACTACCACTCCTTGATCGTGTCTCCCCGCAGCTTCCCTCTCAGATCGTACTTCCCCTGCATCGTTCAACCCTTGTCAGCATATCCGTCCATAGACTCGGTGGCGCTGATCCCTTTCCTGTAGGATAACGCCGAGTATCCTCCTAGCTGGACAAGAGACAGGAAAGTTTACTCACATCTGTCTCCTTGAACAAATACGCCATGCTGCCTGGAACCACGATCATGTACATGACCACTAGCCTCGCGATTCTGGGTGTCCACTTGAAGTACTTGTATCTGTTTTTCATGTACTCTGCAGAAGTGATATGTCAGTGTTTCTGTTCGCCTGAGGGACTCGAGTAGGTGTTTGGCGCAGGTTCGACGACTTGTTGCGCTGAACCATCGTCTCCGATGCTGGGCCGCACGTAGAGCGCAGATCCTACCATTGTATTTGGCCAGCGCTGGGTCCATCCGGAAAGCTGTAGGTACATTGTCAGTGACTGCTGTCTTCGATTGTGGACTGCGGGGGCGTGTTGGTGGCTCTTACAACTTGGACCGTGCGCCATGATTGCGGTTGGCTCTCGCGCTGGCGAGAGAGCTTTGGTGCAGGTCAAGAGGGCGAAGCTGGCTGAAATTGGCATCAACAAGGTCAGAGTCGATGAGGTGTAGTTCGAGCTGCGGCGGCGTGGAGAATGGTCACGTGGTCATCGGATAGGAAGTCCGCTCTCCCGCGTGCTCATGTCATTTGAATCATATTTGAACTTGAATACTGCGAAGTTCTTCTCTTTTGAGCAACACTTGAGCATCAACCTGTCACATTGTCGTGACTCCCAGGACGGATGTGTCTCCATTGGAAGTCGCGATCGCGGGTTTCTTCTCGGCAAGTACGTTGCGAGGCGCAGCCGCCGGACTTGAAACATGCACAAAAACATGACACGCAGGCCGCCTAACATTCGTTCGTACGCGTCTCCCATGGCCTTTGCTCGTGACTATTGTTCCCTTCAGTGCTTGTCTTTGTTCTAGCCAGACCGAGTCCAGTATTGGCACGGTTGGCTGCCGTGATTGCGCGGGTGCTTGGGCTTTGGTACAATTGGCCTGCTGTGAGTCAAGCAGACTTTTACGCGGGATGGAGCGCGATGGCTTGACAATTCAACGGAAGAGGACGCACCGCAAAAGCAGGTTGGGATGTAGGACTTGTCGGTAAGTCCGTCGATTAGTGCTATGACAGATATCCAGAGGAAGACTGACCTGAAATTCTGGTCAAAGCATAAGACGCGTCAAATGCGACGAGCAAAAACCCATCTGTAACGCTTGTGATAGGCTTGGTCACATCTGCATGTACTACAATTCTACGGCTGGCGTCCTTCGGGCGAGCTCCAGTCTGATGGCTGTGAAGCCAGTCGCCGCTGGCAAGGGAACGCCAGATCCTTACAATGTGCCAAACGGCATGTTGACACCGCTCGAAAACCAGTCCGAGTGGCAATTTTACCAGATGTTCCAGAACGAACATATGAAGTGGTTCATGAACGCTCCATGCGAGGATGACGGCCTATGCACTTTGATCTGGACGAACTTGATTTTACCTCTCATGCACGCGCAAGCACTGTTCAAGCATTTGGTGCTCGCTGTTTCCGCCGCTCAGACATTTGGCAACCCTGACGGCACTCCTGCTGGAGGCTACTTTGGAGCGGCTGCAGTCAACGAGCCCTTCTTCTTGTACCACTACGGGAAAGTCTTACGGTTGACGATGGAGGCAAAGGAACGCGGAGACATATCGGCCGTCATCTGTGCGGCGTCGGTCCTTTGCGTAGTGGAGGCCTGCCGCCATCGACCTACAGAGCTGGTTTCTCATCTCACATCGGCGCTCAAGCTCATTCGGCAGATGGACTCGGTACAATCGGAGTTTCTGACTGTGCCACGTAGTCATATCGACAGAATAGTCAAGCCAACTATGTACACGTTGGAGAAGAACCATCACTGGGTACTCGAGGCAATCTCTGCAATACAAATTCGCTGAATCTCTGACAGCAACTCCTACTTCCGTGCAATCACGATCGTCGATTCTAAGGGCAAGCGAAGCTGTCCTTGGTCATTCATAACCACTCCGTCCGATCCGGATCCAGAGAGCTTGTCCTCCAGCGCCTTCAACGCTGTGTCCCAGCGTTCCTCGTCTTGTTTCGACCAGCCAGTGGTGGTGCCGCCGAGGATGCTCCACATCAGCCCCAGGTATCGAGTCCTGGCCTTCTCGTCTGTCCAAGGTGCAAGCGCTACTACTTCCTGGGACAGAACTGTCATCTTGCGTCTCTGGAAACCTACTCCCTTGACCAACGATAGCAAAAACTCCGGCTTCAACATGTCTCCGCCCATTCCCATCAGAAGTTGACCACCATCGTCTGCTCTGGTGGCGTTATGCACATCCGTTATTGCGTCAGCGAAGCTGATTCGATTCCAATTCGTGATCACAGCTATGCCACCTGGTCGAAGAGTGCGCCAGATCTCGCTCAAGATCTGTCCATTCTGGTCCGGCATAGGACCAGAGTTGATCAGGAAGTTGGTGAAAGAGTGCGTAAAGTGGTTGTCGGGAAATTTGAGGGATACAGCGTCCTGGACCTCCGCTGAGATCTTGACGTTCTGGCCCAGAGCTGGATGGTCTCTCAGCTTCTCCTGGAAACCTTTGACCATGGCTTCGTTATTGTCGGTCCCAACAACTTCAATGCTGTCAACTGGAATGGCCGAGGCAACGTTCAGCAATGCGCGAGTGACTTCACCGTAGCCACACGCATTGTCATGCACAACCCAAGATGAGAAGGCTGATGACTTCTCTTGGTCGCTCGTGATGTTCTTGAGGAAAACATCTGCAATGTTGCAAGTTGCTGGATGACAGAGTTCGCTCAGAACTTCTGGGGCACGTGGTGCCAATTGTTTGGGGACAAATGGCTGCGTGGCTGGTGCCATTTCGCTTGCTGTGTCACGAATGCAGCCTGGGAAGTTTCTACTTGGTTCGGTCTACGAGGCGAAGTGAGAGAGGATTTGGTCACGATCTACTCAGGCAAGCGGTGTTCGTACTCTTATAGATGGCTCAGTTGTCTCAGCTAATTCATATTGGGCTACTTTCGCTGACGTTCCAACATGTCTGGCTAATGATGCTCGGTCGTGAACGACAGAATGTCTGTCTCACGCATTGCGGACGGGGGATTCTAGCAATCTGTAGACATCAGTCGCAGGCATTATGCGAGCCTCTCGCTGTGAGTTGAAGAGCACCATCGGTAGACCAATCATGTGAGAGTATGAACGATGGGGGCCAGAGTAGAGCGGATGCCATGTATCGGTCAACAAGGACCGATACTGTTTCCTATGCAAACCATCGAGTTCTTTTAGAAGAGCTTCGCTCAAGCTTCTCAATGCCCTCGATCTGGTGAGAGCAGGCGAGGGCTGTGACCCCTAGGACCTTTCGTCGCAGGACTGCCTTGCCACTCTCTTAGCCCATCGCCAAGGTTCAAGTTGAAGCCCGTGGCTCCATCAAGTTGCGTCATGGGCTCTTATCAAAATGCTATCATACATCTCACCTAGGTTCAATAATATTTTCCACCGAGCGCAATACAATCGTGATCGTGACACGTGCCGTTTTGGGGGATTCAAGGAAGGCCTGAGCTACGAACCGAGGCTCTTTTCTGGCAAGACCATTGCTAGAGAGGTGGGGTCTTTTCCACGCGAGGTGCTGCGCTGTGGAATATATACCACTACTCTCATTACCAGCCCAAAAGGAATTGTCACCTGAATCAACAGCGGCAGCAGCAGTTCTTGCTCCATCATGGCCACCGAGGCCGCGCCGAAGATCACCCTCCACTGGTGAGTCGAAAGCAATGTTACCTGCATGGCGTCTTGAGAATGATCGCTGATGGTGGCCGGCGCTGGCTAGGTTGGAGGTGTCGAGAGCGCATAGGATACTGTGGCTCTTGGAGGAGCTGAATATTCCCTATGAGTTAAAGACCTACAAGCGCACCAAGGACAGACTTGCTCCGCCTGAGCTCAAGCAGGTTCATCCTTTAGGCAAATCGCCAGTCATCAGTGTCGATGGGATTCCCGGACGCGCCGAACCGTTGGTACTTGCTGAGTCCGCCGCGATTACCGAATATCTGTGTAAGCTCGTCCATTTCGCGGTTTGCCGTGCGCATTGGACCAGGCTCCTGACTTCCAACAGGCGATTATTATGGCAAGCATCTGATTCCTCAACGATACCCAGCAGGCGAGGACGGCAAGATCGGACGTGAAACCGAGGAGTGGATTCGATATCGGTTCTTCATGCACTATGTACTGTGATCACACCTGTCCGGAGGCCAGCGACTGACTTTTGTAGACCGAGGGGAGCATCATGCCTTTCATGGTAATGTCCTTGATACCCAGCAGTGAGTCTTAATAACTGTCATACGTGCCTAGCATTTACTCAACTGGGCAATAGGCATCAGGAGTGCTCCGGTCCCCTTCTTTATTCGTCCCATCACCAATTCAGTGGCTGCAAAAGTCGAAGAGTTCCTTACACCAAACTTCAAAACACATTATACTTTCCTAGAGCAGCAGCTCGAGACCTCTCCGAACGACGGTGAATATCTCTGTGGCAAGGAGATCACTGCCGCGGATATTCTGATGTCATTTCCGTTGGAAGCGGGTAAGAGCCGTTCGGGAATGACGAAGGAGCAGTGTCCTCGTGTTTGGGCATATATTGATCGCCTGCATCAGCGAGAGGCGTACAAACGATCGGTCCAGAAGATTGAGAGCATCGAAGGGTCCTTTAAAAGCAATCTGTAGTATGAGCTTGTGTCAATCATATGATGGGGCCAATCTGGTGTCCACTTCACAAGTGCAGGTTCGTCGCTAGGTGCTGTGATACTAAGACGGAAGACGAGTACCAGCAACGATTGTCGAATAACCGTGACCTTGATCGCGCGCTGAAGTCCATAACCTTTGTCTATCCAGTATCTTCATCCAATGGCGTAAGCTTTGTCTGACCATCAGGTCGATTCCATGTTGAGCTCACGACAGGCGAAGTTGGGGGCCGAATTGAAACACTGGTTTATGATCAGCAATGCTCGAGTCGCACCTGCTTCACGGTCAGCTAACGGTTGTTCCTTCCTGCTGAACCTCAAATACGGTAAGTAGCCAAGCCGCATCTACACAAATAGTGAGAGCTAGGCAGTAGCGACTGCTGTCTACGCAAACCTTGGTTTACCAAAGTCCTTCTAACGCGGCAGCAATAGCATTTGCCTGCAATACTCGGATTCGCTTGCACTGAGGCGGTACCAAAATCACACTGCCACGTGGCGCACATTGGTTGCCTTGTCGTTCGTGCCCAGACTCCTCAATATCAACTCTTCAGATCGTTCTGGACATTGTACTCGGGCCACAGCCTTTCTCGTCAAGAACAGTATATCGCCTCGAGGCACGCCCAAAGGAGATCGAAATCGGCAGCAGCTGAGCACCTTCCACAAGCACGCTAATCTGCCTGCCCCTCAACTCGACCCGAGCAACGTCAACGGCGCGATCTGGTCCTGCATATTAGGGCTAGCCGCTCGCACTAGACTGGCGTGTTTCGACAATCCCGTTCCCTGGATCGCGACTATCCGAGTTGCATGCAGGACCCCTGGCGACTTCATCGCAAAGCCGGCCAGTAGGGGCGTGATCAAAACGCGGGAGCTGGCTGTCTCCGCCCTTGAGGCCAAGACCTCGGAATTGTGACACCTCATCCTAGCAAATTTGAGTTATACATGCCGATGCAGTCTTTTGTATTGCTAACAGCATCGCAGAACTTGACTTTCGGTGGATTACTCGATTACGAATCTCCCTGCATCACAAGACGCTTCATCGATCAGCGCTTTCCGAGTGAACCAATTACCTGGCATCGCCCCTACTGACTCAGGGCTTACTCATCGGGAACTCACGCCAAGTCCCACCATTTTGCCCTCAGAAGCTCGTTTCTTAGGCCTATTGTCAAGGCTTTGGTACCGCCAGTTTGCACCCGGAAGATAGCCCATTCCTACCGCAGCAGAGGCTGGACGCTAGATTCTCTGGGCCGTTGCACACTTGACGGCTATGGGCAAGGCGTGTGGCCTCAGACCACAGCGGAGCACAGCGGTGTGCTGCTGAAGTCCGACGGTCTCCGCGTACACCTGGACCTGCTTTTAAGCAAACCCTCTACCAGTGATGACGGCTCCACATCATACTTCCGATTTCGACAACGGTGCCACCCACTCATCAGACACTACTTCTGAGACAAACTTGACTTCCCCAGCCTTTTCTACTTCCCCCATTACGGCTGGTGATAACCACCGTGTTGTGAGCGCTACTAATCAACCCCTTGGTTTCTCATCCTCTCAATCCGGCGCTTTCCCGGTCCAATCTGCTTACCCTCAAAATGATCTGAGCCTTGCTTTTACCCATCCTGCGAGCTTTACGAAGAGCTCCAGTCATTCTACGACATTGCCACATTCGACTGCCAACACGCAGTCTGACATTCCCGAACTAGCGGACCTCACTTTTGCCGCTGATGTGTCCCCGACTCTAAGCAACTTTGGGTCGAATCCCAACCTACCATACATAAATTTCGCCCCAAGACCGCTGTATGAACCGACGGGCGAATTGATCAATGAGCAAATCGACGGCTTTTTGGCATTTGACAGTCCTAGTACGCTCCGACACACTTTCCGTGGGCCACTAAACAACCACCCCGAGTCAAAAAGCGCCACTCAGACAGCCACTTTGCAACAGCAGAATCGAAGTCGAAGCCTTCCTGATGTCCCTTTACCGTCCAAGTCGGCTCTCAAACGCAAAGCAGAAGCTCTTGATAGCGGTGGTGCAGGCCTGACTAACGGTGCTAACGGTGCGCGCCCAGTCAAGCAACGCACTGTCTCCTTCGAGCGCATGTCGAACCGAGAAGGCGGGTCTCCAGGAGAGACTTCCGGACGGACATCTGCAACACAGACGCGACCCGGACCAAACAGCCCTCATGCTCGCCGAGGTAGGCCGTCACTGCCATCGTCTACTCCCAAGCCATCAATAGAGACCGACAGAGTTCCGCCGCCTGGTCCGACCACTCGACCAATTCGTGGTACTAAGCATCCCTCAGGACACCCTCCATCGATACTGCCGCCTGAGAAGGTGTTCCCTGTAAGCTTCCTCGTCTCTCCCTAGAGGAATTCGGCATGAAATATGTCGAACAGGCCGTTGCGCCTTCGGCATTTGCATCAGTCGTCTGCGGCCGGAGCAGTCCCTCTTGATGGATGGTAGTCATGAAGTTTGCTGACAGCTGCTACAGATTCAGATAGGTTCAGATCTGTTTCGATTGTCGGGAGCATCAATATCGTCGGACGCTCCTTCTTACTTTACGCAGTTCTTTGAGGAGCAAATCCGCGAGAATTCGGAGTCTGGGGGTGTGCGAACTCTGTACATCGATCGCGACCCTATTACGTTCCGCGACGTCGCTCGGCATTTACAGGGCTATTATGTCAAGCCTCAAGATGGCAGTCACTTCGTCAAGTTATTCGCTGATGCGCAGTTCTACAGCTTACCGCGATTGATAGATCAACTCTTCGAAAGCGAGATCTTCATTCAGATAGGTGAACGCCACTTCCAGATACCGAAGGACATTTTCTCCGAGCCAGGGAACTCTCCCAATTTCTTCTCTTTAGGTTTCGCAGTCTTCTTCAGCACTCCTGGTGAAGTCTTTCCCGGACTCGATAGACGGGGCTTGTTAAGGCCACCCAGCATAACGCCCCCTTACGTACCGAACCGGAGTGCTGAGATCTTTGCGGAGTTGCTGCATTTGTTGCGAGGGTATCCACTGAAAATACGGGATGACAATCATCGTCAAGAGTTGTTGCGAGACTGTAGATATTTCCACCTTCGAGGTCTGGAGCAAAAGATCATCGCGCACGAAATCAGCTATAATCTGCAGAGAAGCAGGCAAGAGATAGCATTGAGACTTGAAGACGTCAAGCCAAGCGGAATAAGCTACAGACCAAGCGACGACGATGAGGGAACCCACAAGGACGACAAGGACGAGAGCGATGAGGAAGACGAAGAGGCCATGGCAACAGACGAGGGCGCTGGTTCCAAAGAGAAGGCTTCTCAACAACCTGGAGGTTGGGTCTACTACGCTCGGCCTTTCGTAGACGAGGCGTCTTATGAGCTCGTCATTGAGATCGGAAACGAAGCTACCCAGTTGGATCTCAGAGACATGCGCGCCGACTTCCATGGACTTACGAAAGCTAGGGTCAGCAGCTTACTTCAGGTTGTCGCGAATAAGATGAACCTACCGACCAATGCGCCGTGGGGCTTGCTGGTACTTGGACAAAGTGGTGGAGCGGCCACACAGGCATCAAGTCCTGGCCATACGCCACTGAGTGAAGACCGAGTCAAGGTGCGCTTCGACCATGCCAGCTCAGTGAGCCTGGACGGCGCAAAGTGGGAGATTGACTGGAAAAGTGATCTTGGCCGAAGGCTGCGACTTGGACACGAAGGCCTGAGAGATGCCACTGCGGCCGACGAAGGGGATGAAGACGAGGACAGCGAGTCCGAAGGCGAAGAAGACAGTGAAGCACCTCGTCCTGCTGCGCAATCGCACGCGTCTCGTCATCGTCAGCAACCACAACAGCGACAAGCCACGACAAAGAGTTCTGGACCGCAGACAAAATCCAAAACGCCACTGCAGACTTCTGCTTCGGCAGCAGGCGGCAAAAAGCGTAAACGTCCCGGCTACGAACAACCTCCGCAGGCCTCCGCTACAACGTCAGTGGCGAGTGCGCAACACACAGCACATCATCTCGGCCAACAAGCGCAACCTCAGCAGGTCGAGAACGATACAACGTGGACTATCAAGACAGCACAGTTTCGCTTGCGGATCCAAGCATGTCGCCCTGACCGAGGAGAAGGTGGACTAGAAGTTGTCTTCATGGTCGTGAAAATGGATGCGTGGAGGGGAGAGAAGGCCAGGAATGAGCAGAGGGGTTTCCTTGGTACATGATTTGCTGGTATCACATCAACGAACGTGCTTGCTCTGGCCTGGCGTCAGCTAAAATTTCGTCGCCAGGAGCGATGATCATCGACACGACACGACCAGCAGATAGCGTTGCATTGGGACACTGTGTCCTTGCTTCGGGATCACCGCCAATACTCTAGCATACACGATCGTGCGCGTGGCATCCGGTGTTACGCGTTTCCGCGCAATGGCGTGCGTGAGAAGTCCGCAACCCTGGCGGGAATGTATCTGGCATGGCACATGGCAGTATCTCATGTGCGGTGCCACTCAACTGAATCCAGATCGAGAGGAAGACCGAGTGACTGATATGATCGAGGTCAGACCAGTGTCTGAGACTGGCAAGTGGGTAGTCTACGCGATCTGCTTGGCGGAATCAGCAGCATGTGTCGCTAGACGATAAATCGACAGCTACAGACCAGGTTGCCCCTGGTTCCTCCGCCACTACAGCAATTACGCGAGAAACGGAGGAGATCACTAGTAGTGCGGCTCTACCTAATCCGGAGGGGAAAGGAGCCGGCATCATTGGGCTTGGTGGGCTCCTTGTGCGATCCTTGAGTAACCTGTTGTAACCTGGAGTGCTTAACGCCTCGACCCAGAGAGGCAGTGGCTAGGAGATCATCATCACCTAGGTGCGCTGGCTTAGCACAGTTCAGGCAATGGGCCGGCGCCTCATGCTATTGGTCTGACTCATTGAGGCTATGCCATCTAGCATATTCGGTCCTTCGATACCGCTAAGGATCGATGGGGTCGTCGTATCCAGAATATTGTGCACAGAGTCCATTCTGGAGTAGAAGTCTGGGGACTTAGGAGGGCGACTGTCTGCCTAGGAAGGAACTGATCAACCTCAGACACGAGGTGGGCGTGTTTCGTGCTGCAGCACAGCACGAACGCGTCACTAATTCCACGCACGACCATGGTGGAGACCAGTGCAATGCGTCAAGCTCCTGGGATTTCTGGCACTGAATACAGTGCTAGTGCGCAGTACCGACGTCCTAACGTCCTGAGCACGACGGTGGGCACCAGCTACGAGCTCACTGAGTGGAATTGAGACACAGAACAACGCCTAGCCGTAAACTTGCAGATCGAACTCGTGTAAGCAAGATCTATGGATTACCTCGATTCGAGAGCCAAGCAAAAAGGACTGCCTGTCAAAGATGCGACTAGTTGCTGCAATGTAATCAGGCACGGCCAAGATATCATGATTGAGGGGACACTCGAATGGTTGATTGTCTGTGTGAGACTGTGTGCACAGACGGCCGGTGTTCTTCGGCGGCTCTCTGGCGTCCTGTTCAATTGTACAAAGGCATGAGCCTACCGAAGACCGGGCTATGTCACCGTACCACAGAGGACTACACAACTGCTGTTATCGAATAAATTCCCTGGCAGCAGATATCATTGCGCCGGACTAGAAGCGCCGACTACCCACAGAAGCAATAGGATTCGGAGATCCATGAACTTGGAAGGCGCCCCTGAAATTAGGATGGTTCGTGAAATGCAGGAGGCGAGGGATGCAATCACATCCGGTCAATGCGATGCCCAATACGGCACTGACCTAGCTCCGCCGCCACCGCTAGTTCAGCCATATGGCAATATGGGTCCCAGATCTGTACACGTGCCATCATGTCAGCAACTCTGAGTTCGTCATCAACGGGAGAGGTGGAAGGCGTCTGGGCCGGCGAACCAGGGTCTTGATGTGACCCACACAGCCTGATGACATGGGAGCTAGTATGCTGAGCAGATCATGTCGGTGCGGAAGTGGAGTATGCCCACCTCGATGTTCCGGTTTTGGGGGTTTTGTGCAAGCCGTTACCATCTCTGAATCGACCGCCACACAAGGACCATGCATATGGATCTGAAACCGCTTGAACTGCGGGCGAGCAGGTGGGATGTGGCAAGCACATGGCGACACCATCAGTAGCCCGCTCTGCATCGTGTCGGCAAATCTCGACATTGTGGAGCTCTCAGCACGTGTTCGAGGCAAGTTATCGGAATCCGTTCGCTGACGGCGTTCGATGACTCGCGCTCCAACCGATGGGCCAGGCTGACGAGATGAGTCTCGCCGGAATCCAGCCAGAGAGAACGACAAGATCAGACCGCTAGTCTGCGGTCAAATCCTGAGATCTGCGCTAGGCGTCAATCCAAAAAGGCCCTCAAATCCGAGCAAAGGACATTGGACTTAAGATCAAGATCGAGCGCTACCATCTGTTGTGGTATTGTTGCGCGACAGTGGTTGCCTTATGGTGACGAGTCCTGTCGGTTTCTCAGCGACGTCTGAAACAGAGTGCTACGTGGAGCCGGTGGCGGCGAGGTACGTTGACCTTTCTAGTAGTCAAACAGCACGACTGCGAAACCGACCAGAATCAATTGCGGTATCGGCATGACCTAAATGCGGCATTCTTTCGGTCTTCTGCTCACTTTGGTAGCCTGTGACTAAGGCCATAGTGGCAATCCGCATAAGGCAGGCGACTGATTGCCACGGATTCGCTCATCGATGTGGTCTACGTAGAAGGAGTCTTCGGCGCGCGGGCCTACATTCAAGCGGCCACCATGACTAGAATCGTGGGGAAGAGCAAAAGGACGGTGCGGATGTCTGTCTCCGGTCGATCACTTCTGATCCGTTGTGTTGGTGCGTGCCTAGAGATGTCCGGTGCGTCAAAGGCTCGAAGCCCGCGTGATTACTGAGTGTACAACAGTGACCTGTAGTAGTCAACATGTATCCAGTTCTGATTGGCTCTCTGTCAAATGTGGCGTCGATTTCATGATTTCCACTGTGGCGAGTATTTGTGGCGAAAGACCGAAGGGTTTTCGTCACGACACAACCAGTACCCTCGTAGGAAAGAGCTCAAGTACACGAATTAGTCATCTCGCGCGTCGTGCGTGATGCGCGATGAGATACTCGAATTGAACGGCGTCTGAAATATGCCCGTTCACAACGACTTCGCTGTAAGTTGCTCGATTCGGCATCTGCTATTGTTGGCAGTCGATTGGTCACTCACTGCGATGGGAACGACGTTTGTGACGACGCCTGATGTGTCAGTCGCTTGAGCGGTATTTGCAATATTGCTTGCGGTGAGATGTAGATGAAGTGCCGGCCCGTCAAATTCAGGCAGGAAGGCAGATTGTTCGAATTGGACCTGGGATTAGGTAGGGATTAGGTAAGTGTGCATGGGAAGCAGTAGTCGGTCATTCCAAGCAGGTTGCTTCTTGGGCTAGTGCCAGTGTTGCCAGCGATTCTGGTACCGGACGTGCTCAATGTTGAAGTCGTCGTCATTGTGCCTGACCTAGTTGCATATGACTGGATTTGTGGTGCAGGATACCGAGGAAGGGGGGCCCAAGTTTTTGCGAGGAGCTGACATGGAGATACGTTTGTCATCGATGCCTCAGGATTAAGCGTAAAGGCTAACGTTCGGGGTCGGTCTTGGCGAACAGATCAATGACAGCTGGTCGAGGCCGATTCAGTCTCTCATGGCTAGTCGAGAAGTAATGTTCTTGCTCAGAGACAGCCTGAGTCCTCATCGCAAGGCAAGACTTCGTCCGTGTCGTATGCTGGCGGGCTGTTTGCTAATGAGATAGGAGGAACGGAATCGTGGATGATGCTGGGCCACGATGAACACAGCCTCGCAGAGATTCAATCCGCTGCAGTATGTTTCTAAGTATCGTGAAGGTCGGCCGCAGGAAAGCGAGAATGGGGGATCAACAGTCTACTGGTCGAAGATCGTCCTGAGCATGCCTTGCAGGCGTGATGCGCCTGTGGTAACTAGTCTGTTGCGTGAGTGGACCTCCCTCCATGGGCTCGTATCTGGAAAGTGGACTGACCGCAAAATCAGTGGGACCGAGGACCTAGACGGGAAGACGGAAGTGTTCGGCGATGAGTATACGCGATGAGCACAGAGGCGAATGATCAGTACACATGTATGCATGCGCAACAGCGTTCATCGCTGCTGCCATGCTCAACTTGTGGTGGGAAATGCACAGGGCAAGTTGCATACCTAGGTGCGTAAGTCGCAGCTGCGTTTTCGTGGTACCATTACTACCTGGTATGTACGTCGGCTTACGAGACGTGAGGTCAGCGCGTCGGTCTTTGACCCTGCCAGCGACCCCTGAACACCTTCTTGTGAGCTTCCTGCCGCTCAGCATGCGCCCACTGTTTTGTGGCCGCGCACCTCCGTTTGTACACTCTTTCGTTGTATCACATGCGAGTATTCGTGCTTGTCATGCACGAAGATGAACCTCGCTGTCTCGCGCGGGCAGCTTCCATGCCCATCCGTGGGTAGTTCCTGCCGCGGATTGCAGCGACTGCCTAGCTCTCCCTGCCGCTCACTCTCTCACTCCAGCCATGCGGACCTTCCACGTCTGGCCACCAGCTTGTTCTCAATCAACCCCTCACTGTGCAGCCCTCACAACCTTCTCGAACTTCAGCTCAGTCCTACAAAACGGACACGACATCTTCGCTTTAGGGGTACCCTGGTACTGAGCGAGCCATTTCTCGATACATTCGCGGTGATAGCGGTGCAGGCCCTTGCATGGTACAATTGCCATGACGTCGCCAGCTTGATAGTCTTCCAGACAAATACCACAAGACATGTCCTGCTGTGCAGCTCGGGACGAACGAGGGGGATTTGTGTCTCAGGGAAAGGATCGTTGCGAATGGTTATGGTGGCACCTGGCTCCGCGTCCTGTGAAGACGTACCCCATCGGTGAGTGACAAGGCCGTGATCGGCGACGGTAGTCCTGGTCGTGGCAGCCACCGGACTGACCCTATCTCTGTATATCCCTGCCATCCGCATAAGACGCCGGGCTTCATGAAAGTCTCTGGTTGTGCTTTGTGTTTGCTGTCTCACTCTGTCAATTGCCGCGGCCAGACGCTCATCTGCAGGTCTTGGTACGTTGGCGCCGCCATTCGGGAGTTGGTGCGTCATAGCAAGACCTTCGCCGACAGCATCCTGTTGCGCCCACTGTCTCTGCTGACCTTCCAAACGCTCCTGCAGCCGTCTCTGTTCATTTTCCAAGCGCTGCTGCAGAGACGCGACTTCGGATACACGGCGCCGAGGTTCGGGGACCGCATCCGGGCGAGAAGCATCGGCAACGTTGTGAGAAGTACCAGCGGCTGTAGAAAGTCGAGGTGGTGGATAAGGTGGATAGAATGAAGTCTCAGGTGTGATGTATGGCGAGTATGGAGGATAGACAGGACTGTGAGAACTCTGGGCTGGCACTGATGGCGACTGGATTGGGCTCCGGGCAGCTCGTTGAACTTGGGGGCTTTCCTGACGAAATCCTCGACGACTGACTTGGACTTGTGGGATGTGTGGCGGACTCAATGGCTGAAGTCTGGCGCCAGTGGTGCTGTCTGTGGCTCGTAGAAGGGAGGGGGATAGGGATAGTGGACCGGCGTATAGCTGTCGTGAAGTTCGCGACCTACAGATCCTCCAGTTGAGCCTTCTTGTTGCTGCTGACGAGCTATGAGTGACGCGCCGACGGACCGATATTGCGGTGTGGCTACTTGGGGCATGGTTGAGAAGTCGGGTGGTAGGTAGTCGATGTCCAAGTGACTGTAAAATTCAAGGACTCCCCCTTCCTGATCTGACGACGCCGATGCACCACTATTGTGGTCGATCGAAGACATTTTGTTGGGCTGCGTAAGTGTGCAGAAGAGATGTGCGTAAAGAGGCACGTTCAGAATATATGGACGTGAGAAGGCGTGTTGCCTGGACAATAGCCCTCAGGTGTAAGTGCACATCTTCACTACAAATCACATCCGCAGGCAAAAGAATTCTTCACCTGCTGTCACTCTCAATAGATTTGAGCTTCACGTGGACCCCTCGTAGCCTTAGGGTGACAGAACAGAACAGCCAGGCTACTCGCTATCTACAAGGGACGATGAACCTCTATGATGTCCATCGTCACTTGTCGAGAGTTCTTTGTCCAAAAGCGTGCCCTGCCCTGGCAGTGTGACAGCCCGAGACATTAGGAGACATCGTCTCCTCAGAGACCCGTACCCGAGAGCGAGCGACAGGCCGGACATACACAGCCACCTACGCGTCGAAGAGGTATGTACAATTACTGAACGCCAATTTGAGGAGTAGTCGATCATGCCGGTTGACACAGCATATAAGTCGTCCGCATGGCAGAAGGTGAATCAACTCGAAGATCAGTGCAGCTGCGAATACCTAGGTAAGCTTTAAGACATAAACGAAACCGGTTGACAAGGATATCCTTACACCACGACTAGCATTTTGAGTCGTCTGAAATTCGCAGAAAGGCTTTGCCATTGTCATCTTCTCACCCGTACAATCGTCAAGCCTTACTATCGGCAGCGATGCACCGCTCAAGCCGCCTTGCAAGGTCAAACATCTTCCCGTCTAGCCCTGAAGCGCACACCAGACTTGCACCAAACGGCATTTGGCCCGCACCACTGCTTCCCTCCACCCAGCCAGCATTCAGACTCACAGCACAGAGATCGAGAACGTTGCCGAAGTGCGTGAAGTTACCAAGTTTCGCATTAAGACCGATTGGGTCTGCGTCCATCTCTTCTCTGGTAGGGTGGCATGTCGTAGTGGGCGTCACCAGCACATCGATCTTCCCCTCATGCGGCGAGAACAAACTTGCAGCTTGTCTTGTCAGCTGCGCTTGCAAGTGCTGGTCTCGGTAGATCTCGTAAGGCTTGGTAGGTCGTTCAAGCACCGCTGAGAACAAAGCACGCGTTGCTGGGTGGAGTTTGTAGAGGTTCTGTGCAATGAAATCCGGACCAATGCTAGCGATACGTTCGTGCACGAGTGTGCCTGAGTAGAGCAGGTCCGAGGCGGTCTGGAAAGGTGCGTATTGGTCCGCTGTCAGCTGTACGAGCGTTCCGCCCATGGATCGAAGCTTGGTAACCGTGGATGCGAACGCGGTCCGGTACTCTGGAGTGCACGAGTCGGCGATGATGGACGATGGAGGTATGGCAAAGGTGAAATGTGGGTTGGGTCTATAGTTGGAGGGCACCAGCGGTAGTGTACTCTGCGGCTTGGCATATGCATCGTCGCAGTCGTATTGGTCAGCTGCGTACCAGACTTTCCGCGCATCTGAGATGTCATGGGCGAAAATCGAGGCAGTGTCGAGGCTAGCGCAAGCCGGAACAATACCGCGTGCGGACAATGTGCCCTTCGTGGGCTTGTATCCTACGATGCCGTTGAATGCAGCGGGCACACGTCCACTGCCTGCTGTGTCCGTGCCAAGTGCAAAGGTCACCAGGTTCGATGCCACTGCGACGCCTGAGCCGGACGAGGAGCCGCCAGATATATAGCGACCGTTGCCGTAAACACTGACAGGATCGCCTGAAGGGCAACGGCAGCCGTTGAGGCCAGTAGCTAACTGATCCATGCTGGTCTTTCCGATGAGGATGGCACCTGCGTCTATCAGGAGCTGGATCGTTTTGGCATTTTCTGTCGGCATGTAGCGGTATTCAACGCAGGCTGCCTCGGTCGGTAGTCCTTTGAAATCGAAGTTGTCCTTGACTGCAAATGGAATGCCATACAGCGGCGGCAGCAACTCGTTGTCAATGTACTTGCGCTCCAAAGCAGTCACTTCGGCAAGTACATCATCTCGAGAACGAAGGAAGGTCCAAATGCGACTGTCCGAGGCTGCCGCAGCAATCATTACCTTGCGATATAGCTCACCAAGGGGCATTTTCCTGCTTCGTATATGCGGTGCGAGTGAAGCCATATCCAGACTGCGTCCCAAGGTGTTGGCGTATCTGGCGGTGTGGTCTGCACGCTGCTGGCAACGAACTCGCCACTCTTTGCAACGAAGCCGAAGAGGCCATCATAAGAGCAGAACATGTTGAGGGAGACATCCACAGAGACGGCATTGAAGCCTGAGGTGCAATCTGTCAGAATGCAGCACTCGAAGCCTCGGTCGTTGGCCTCCCTGGCAGTTGTTGTGACGCAGCACTCAGTTGTGACACCACAGATGAGCAGATGGGTGATACCTCGAGCCATCAATGTTCGATGTAAAGTAGTATTCCAGAATGAGCCTTTGCCGGGCTTGTCAATCACGGGTTCGTCTGGGAGTGGCCGTAACTCGTCGATGATGTCGTGGCCATACTCTCCTTGCACAAGCAGCCTGCCCATCGGTCCCTCATCGCCAATGCCAATTGTATGATGGCCACTTGGGGCCTTCATCTGGCGATCGCGTTTTGTGGCTGCGAGATCTGAGAGATCGGGTCGATGCCCTTCCCGAGTGTGAATGACATGGAGTCCGAGTTTCCTAGCAGCACCAAGAGCACTTTTGATGGCCGGTACAATGCTCCGGACTGAACTGAAGATCTCGTCATTACCGCACTGGATGGCACCGAAGCCGTTTGGGTCGACAAAGTCGCGCTGTACATCGATGATGACCAAAGCTGTGTGTTCAGGCTCGTATTTGAAGGCGTATGGTCTAGCCGTGGACAGTATAAGTTGTTGGCCCTCCATGGTTGATTGGTAGCTTGCTATGTTTGATGGCTTGGTGCTGTAGGGGTTGAGCAGGCTTGAAGGCCTTATCTATGTTCAGCACAGCAATTGAAGGTTGCTACGACCCGATCACGGATGCTACCTTGTCAACAACAACCTCAATGCATCAACGCACGGCCAGACTCGAGGGTCGCCTGCGGCGCCCCGCGTTTTGGCCGCCGTTCTTGGCTGCCGGCGGCGCGTGGGGAAGTGGCCGGCGCACGACACATCGCCATTGATAAGGGCACTTGATAGAGCGTAAGACAATTGTTGATAAGGGTTCATGCGGGTGGGAAATCTCCACTCCTATATATGTGGAGGTGGAAGATGCCCACCCTCCAGAACGACGAACTTGATGAAGATCAGCAAGAAAGAACACGACGACTTCGTTGACGTGACGGCTTTGCATATCCTGAGGCTTTGACATGTCATCAAGACCTGTATGCGTCGTTCAGTATAAGCATTGGCGGCTCACGAGCAATCATGAGGCTAGGAGATTGAAGGACTCTTGCATGTGACAATAATATATGACTTTTGTCTGATAGTAACATTTACATTCGTCAGGCAGCGGCCTTGACGGCATCCGGTCCTAGTCTGCTCTGAGCTAATCTCTTGTAGACATATTCCCCAGCCAATACAGGCTCATACTTGCTCTTCTTTCCCTCGTCGAGACAAGAGTCCAGCGTCTTGATGGTTGCGTCATAATTGACGCCAAAGAAGAAGGGAATCGAGTAACGTTCCTGGCCAGTGATATTCCACACCCGATGAACAGTTGAGATGAATCGGTCGTTCGTCCACCTAGCGAGCATGTCGCCGATATTGACGACGAACGTTCCAGGGACTGGAGGGGCTTGGATCCACTCTCCATCCACGTTTAATATCTGCAGAGCTGGGACTGTGCCCTGGCACAGTATTGTAAAGCATTCGATATCTGTATGACTCCCAATCCCAAGCGCATTCGGATCAGACGCTGACTGAGGAGGATAGTGAATCATTCTACCCATCGCGCCTGGAGTCGACACTAACGAGTCGAAGAAGTCAGGTGGCAGAAGTAGTACCTCTGCGAATAGCTTGATCATTCGCCTTGCGAGACCCAAAACTTCACCATAGTATTGACCGACGGTCTCCTTGAAGTCTGGAAAATCTGGCCACACGTTCTCCCCTGACATAGGATTGTCGCTCCAGTCTGGCTGGGTCAGTATTCGAGCCCAATATCATCTTACTGGGACTCACCTGGCTGCTTAGTTTCAGACTTGCTTCGAGCAGGATCTAAGGATCGTTCATAGCCCCAATTGAACGCCTCATTCAGATCTGGCTTCCGTGTCTCATCGGTCCTGACCTCAGCAGGTGGTTCATAGCCGCGCAGGATTTTCGACTTCTTGTAGTTGATCTCGTTCTTCTTGGCTGAGGACTGGGCAAAGAAGGATTCAGCCATGGCAAAGAGCCCGTCGATCTTCTCTTGTGGAACACCATGGTCCTTCAGGTAGAAGAAGCCGACACGTGTGCATGCGTCTGTGAGCTGAGCCAGGAGATCGGCTTTGTCGGCTTTCAAGGAAATGATTGGAATCTCATTGAAGTCCGCTCGACGCGCCGCATCGGACACGATAGACCGTTGATTGCCAGAGAATGATGTAAAACTCATGTTGACTCGTCGTTGAACGCAGTGAAGGTGTTCGTATGACTTACAACATGTAGAATATAAAGCATCCCACACTTTGCAGAATGCCCACTGAGTGGGCACTTTTAGGTGGGAAGGAGATCTCTCGGCGTCTGTTCCGGGCCCACCTTCTAAGATCGAGCCCTTATCAAAGATAAGGCCGTCGGCGACTGCTGGGCACCCGCCGCAGGGTTCACACGCCGCCGGCCCCGTGCCTGCAGTAGACGCGCTAGCAGTGTATCGATATCGTTCATTGCTCTGGAGCGTGGACACCTTCAGATCCAGTATGATAAGGTCGCTCCATGCAGAGGCATATTTAGTGAAGTCTTCTCCCACCCAGTCTCAGGGTTCACCAAGTCATCATCAACAAGACAACCATGGAGAATCTCAGACAGCGAACACAGCGAGTGACCGAGAACGTCAAATCCAAGCGATCCAAGGAGGGCTGGGTATTGCCCAAGACTGCGGTCACCTTTGCCGATGAGAACACATGGAGCAACATTGACAGCGATGTCACCCCTCTCGAGCGAAGGACGTGGACTTCTTGGACAATCTTGGGCTTTTGGCTGAGTGATGCCCTGTCTGCTCAGTCCTGGGCCGGAGCAAGCGCTGTCATTGCTGTTGGTCTCACATGGAGAGAGGCAGTGTACTGTCTCGTGCTGGGGACTTTCACCGTTACCATCCCGCTCGTCCTCAACGGTGCCGCTGGTGCTGAGTTACACGTCCCATTCCCAGTCGTCGCAAGATCCAGCTTCGGCTTCTACTTTTCGCGCTTCGCCGTCATCATTCGTATGGTCACTGCGTTGTTCTGGCATGGTAAGTCGAATCGGCCCGCTACCACAACGTTCCTGACAGTCAGCAGCGATCCAAACCTACTCTGGTTCGACAGCCATGACCCAGGTCATTCGGGCTATCTGGCCATCCTATCTCGAGATACCTAATCACCTACCTGCCTCAGCTGGAATCACAACGCAGCAGATGATCTCACACTTCATCTTCTGGTCGGTCCAATTCCCGATCTTGCTGATTTCGCCGCACAAGTTGAAGTGGTTCTTCGTCTTCAAAGCTGTGATTGTGCTGCTTGCCGCATTCGGTACTGTTATAGGAATGACACAGCTTGCTGGAAGTGCTGGTGATATCTGGAGTCAACAACCTACCGTCCATGGTGCCACAAAAGCTTGGCTCATTGTCTCATCGATGAGCTCTATGACTGGAGGATGGGCTACTATGGCGACCAACGTTGCCGACTTCACAAGATACCTGAAGCAGTCCCGAGGAGTGTACTGGCAAGTGTTGTTTGTGCCAATCATCATGACACTACTTGGAGTCTTCGGTAAGTGACCAGAGAACGCAACTATATTTTGGCGGACGCTGACTATCTTCAGGCATAATTGGAACAAGTGCGGCAAAAGTCGTGTATGGCGAGTACATCTGGGATCCGCTGGCTCTTGCGTCCATGTGGGACGGTCCCGGCGGTCGTGCTGCAGCTTTCTTCGTCGGCGTGAGCTGGTGTATTGCTCAGATCGGAACGAATCTGTCAGCGAACGTTATTTCTTGCTCCAACGACATGGTGAGCTTGTTTCCGAAGTACCTCAACATCCGAAGAGGCGTCATAATCACCACTGTCACCGCTGGCTGGATAATAGTCCCATGGAAGATCATCTCGTCTGCAGCCTCGCTGTTGAATTTCATGGCCTCGCTGGGCTGTTTCCTGGCGCCACTTGCAGCAATCCTTGGTGCTGATTACTGGTTCGTCAACAAAAAGGCAATTGACGTGCCAGCGTTGTACCGTCGCTACGGACGTTACCGATATGGGAACAAGGCCGGTACAAATTGGCGCGCGGTCATTGCGTTGCTGGTCGGTGTTGTACCAAACCTTCCAGGTCTTGTTCACGCAGTCAACCCATCGATCGAAATTGGAGGTGCCAGCCACATCTATGCGATGTTCTACCTCTATGGCTTTATTTCGACATTCGTGGTATATATTGCCTTGTCGAAGCTGTTCCCGAGCGAGAGCACGCTCCTCCCAGCGCCCATCTTTGAGGACATTGTCATTGTCGATGGCGTCGAGAAAATCAACGACGGAGTTACCTCAGTCGCGCCAGTGGATAAGTTGGGTGTAAGCGTCGACGTTCGTGGCGCAGAGTCGGAGGAGAAAAGGGCTTTCTCAGTTGTGTGATAGAAAGATAGTATGCGCGACATCGAGACCATACAATGCCATCAATGATACCACTTGACAACTTTAATCCCAATGTCTCTAAGCCGCCTGCAAGCTACAACCACAAGCCCCTGTAAGCGCACGAACAGATAACATGGACCGCTGTTCTTATCTGAATGTAGAGACAAGTTCTTAGACTGCTGAGGCATTGATGTCAGCGACAGTGCCAGTGATCCTGTGGTCAAGATCGCGTGGTTTTCTCCACTCCTTAGCCTTATGCAATATCGCGGGCGATCTCTAGAGTCACTCCTCATGGACCTCACCGCACTTTCTGAGGCGTCGCACTCGAGTCCAGAGACTCACTTCCGCTCGCAATCGGGCTCTGTACCTGATCGGCCATGTGACACATGCAGGAAGCGCAAGTCGCGCTGCGAGAAAGAACCCGGCAGCCACAAATGTGTCCTGTGCGCTTTCCATAAACGAGAATGCACGTATCTCGATGCACCTACCAGGAGAAAGCGGAAGCGCGATGAGGATGGCCGGGAAGTCACAGCAGTAGCGAGGCCTACGTAAGTCGAGAAATCAAATGAGGTGTCGAAGTAGTCCTGTGTGCTGATATGTGCCTCTTCCCAGGACTGCGACCAGTGCCGCAAAATCCGCACAGCCTCCCAATTCTCTACTTGATTCTACGCTGGGTTTGCACAGGTCGTCGCACTCACGGCATGTAGGGTCGACCTCCTACCACGAACCTGCCCTATGGCCGTTCGATGCGCCCTTATCGAGCTTCCGGCGACTAAGTAGCGGGACTTATTTCGTTACAGCAGCCGACGAGGAGACATCTTTTCATGATCAAGAGCGAAATGAGATCGATCGAATTGAGGCCATAGTTTCGCCGCATGGTCCGCTCCTCGTGGACGTCTACTTTAGGATAGTCCATCCTTCCTATCCTATCCTCCACAAAGGCGTCTTTCTCGAAAAGTATGCTCGATCTTACACTGAATTTTCCCCACCGCTGCTGGCAGCTGTGTATCTGCTAGCTATGGACTGGTGGGATTACGATCCTGATCTATCGGCAAAAGCAAAGCCAGAGAGTACTGTCCTGCTACAGTGTGCTATCAGGGCTTTCACTTCTGTTGTGAGCCGACCGAAACTATCGACTGTCCAAGCAGGACTTCTGCTTTTGCAGAGGTCACGAGGCGGCTCGTGGGTCATGACCGGCCAGGTGCTTGCTGTGGCTGAGGAGCTCGGCCTGCACCTGGATTGCTCTCTCTGGACCATTCCCGAGTGGGAGAAGGGCCTGCGCCGAAGATTGGCTTGGGCAGTGATAATGCAGGATCTCTGGGGGGCTTTCTTATATGGGCGTCCCTCACACGTGAGTCTGCAGAACTGGCAGGCGAATCGTGTGACGCTACATGACTTTCCTGAGACGGCGGCCGATCAAGATGATAAGGACGGCAGTACAGAGGTCGAGAAAGGCCGCCAACTCTTCATTCATCTGGCGGCTCTGACTGAAATCCTGTCCGAGGTCTTGAAATTCTGCACACAAGTGGACCTGCAACCAGACATCCAGCTTGAGGATGTCCTTCAGCTCGCAAAGCCGCTTGTTATGCAAATGCGGGATTGGAAAGCGAACATGCCTGCCGGCCTGGACATTGACGACCTGACACCACGAAAACTCTGCTCGAACGGCTACCTACATCTTTCATTCTTCGCTCTCCAGATTCTCGTACATCGCCGCATCGTTAGATCAATACAGCCACATTCGAGTCGAAACGTTGTCAGTCTATGTCGCGATGCTGCCAAAGCTCGACTGGACCACGCCGTTGCTTTCATCGCCCAATTACGTCCAGAGCACTTACATGCGTTCTGGTGGTTCGCGGCTGTGGAAAGTGTCGTGCTTATCGGTACGTTCGCTGCATCCCTATGGTCTTCGAGCGCCGTGCCTGAGGAGGCCGACTTGCTTAAGACAAAGCTGGAAGAGTTCAAATGGGATCTGAAAATCCGGTCAAAAGGTGTCAATTTTGTAACAGCAGCTGTTCAAGAACTGGATAGAAGTCTTCCTCCCCTGGACAGTATCAACAAAAGCTACAAAATTGGCGGCACTAATTACCCCGAGGATGGCCAGAGTTCGTATGCATCTCCTGGCCTAGGTCAAGAGACGCCCGGTCAATTCGAGTTTGACTTCGGCGCTTTTGATGATGCATTTACACCTTTCTCCATTGGCCAAGAATCCGGGTTTGCATCGTTCCCAAGCAAAACATTCTCCAAAGATGACGGGTGAAGGTCTCCTCTGTGCCAGTTCCACCCGACATTCCCGCGTCTTCTGCTGTGCGCCACGGCATGGAGAAGGGCGCCACAAGAGCTCTGAGCAATCTGCACGCATAACGCACTAGGTCGGCTTCAACACAGCGGGTCATGTTCCAGAGGGCACGCGTCCTTGCTTATCGCGCTGAAGTCTGTCCAATATCTCCTCGCCTAATGGGACATTGAGAAAGCCATCCGATGGCATGCATCTCAACGCACCTCGGCGAATGCCATGTGGACTGTCCCAAGTCGAGTTGGTCGTTGTGGTCGGATCCAGCCCCTGCCTCGCAAGCACTTGATCTCTCGCGAAGTATCGTAATCTCGCAGCATTCTGGCGTCACAACTGGGCGAATCTCGACTACTAAATCATGTCTGCTTCCGACAGCGTCCTTTTGTACCGCCAAGTGGCTAGGCCAACGAAACAGATGCGTATCAGCGCCAAGAGTTCGTACCTAATACCAAGATGCGAGCATAAGGCAACCAGCAGGAAGTCCATGCTAGCATAAAAGCGGCAGAACCACGCGACTGCATATCTGTGCCTTGCATTTGTAAAGCACTTAAAAGCCATAGATTACGGCATCGCCTAGAATATATAAAGTGTTGGCATACGGTTGCAAACATAGGTATTCCAAAAGCCTGCAATTTACACTTTCAATCGCAATGACTTCGACAACCAACATCCTCATTACGGGGACCAGGAAGGGCTGCGGGCTGGGCCTACTCAAAGGCTATGCCGCCCTTGACAACCACACGATCGTCGCAGCAATCAACTATGCACCGGAGTCAGGAGAAGCCAAAACCATGCTCGCTGCCCTCACTCTTGGTACCAACACCACCGTCATCCCAGTCGCCTACGACGCCGCCTCGCCCACATCAGCAGCCACCATGGTCCGAAATTTACCCTCCACATTCAACCACATCGATATCCTAATCGCCAACGCCGCCTTTAACCGCGCCAATCTAGCCAAAGACCAAGGCCTTGACGAACTAGAAGTGCTCCTCAAGACCAATGCTCTTGGTCCCCTGGCCCTTTATCAGGCGACCCGTGACCTTCTCGAAGCCGCGTCCAAACCAAGGTACATCTACATCTCCACTCTCGCAGCGTCCATGGCCGAGAGCCCACAACTGCCAATCCCACTCACCGCCGTTAGCATGAGCAAGGCAGCGGGCAATGCGTTTGTGGTTCAAGCGAACAAGGAGGAGAAGAAAATTGTGCTGGTGACCATGAACCCGGGTTGGGTGCAGAGTGAGAGCGGGAATATGGTGGCGAATATGTTAGGTATGGAGAAAGCGCCGACTGAGATGGGGTGGTTCGTGGAAAAGGTTATGCGGACGATTGACGGGATGACGAAGCAAAATTCGGGTGGCAGATTTATCAATGCAAAGGGAGAGGCTGTGCCTTGGTGAGGTGAGCTGGCGATTAGATGGGCAAATAGCGTAGACCGACTAGACATCAATATTTAGACTCGCGGAGTATGACATTCGCGCAGGATACCGCCTCACCCATCACAAGAACTTCTCCCCGACTAGCTCCTCGCTCAGCTTCCAGAGCCTCGAGGCTTGATCGACATCCTTGACCCACGGCTTCTGCTCCGACTCTGGCAACACGTCACAATCCTTGAGGAATACCCCAGAATACAAATCAGGTGCAACAGCAGCATACACCGTGGTTGCGATGCCCTGCTCAATCGACTTCGGCTCCTCTGGCTTGGACTCCTCGCCATTGGCCTCAGCGGCCTTCTTGGAGCTCTCCATAGCCTTATTCAGCTCGTCCATCGAGATGTTCTGCAAGATTCCACTGCTGAGTACCAGTCCAGGATGTAGCACAACAGCTTTGATCGGCAAATTCTTCGCCGCGGCGCGCCGAGCAAGCTCTTTGATCATCATCACGTTCGCGGACTTAGCTTGGCCGTACGCGACCCAGGGGTTGTAGTTGTCGCCGTTAGAGAAATTGTAATTGTCTAGCAGGACGTGGCTGGCCTCGTAGCCCATGCTGGTGAGTGAGATGACGCGAGCGTCCTTGCTGGCGAGGAGCTTGGGCATGAGGAGCCCTGTGAGGAGAAAGTGCCCCACGTGGCAGGCGGCGAATTGCATTTCGATGCCGTCGGTGGAGGTTTGGTAGTTCTGGAGGGCCATGACGCCTCCGGAGTTGATGAGAATGTCGATCTGGGGGACCTTCCGGAGGATCTGGGCTGCGGCGTCGCGAACAGATGCATTGGAGGCGAGGTCGGTAGGAATGAAGTCGACTTTGATGGACGAGCTGAGCTGTCGGATGCGGTCGATGACAGGCTGAATTTTGGCCAGAGTGCGCCCGAGTAAGAGAATGTGTGCTGGTGGTGGAGTGGCACCAGCGAACGTGTAGGCTGTGTGGGCGCCGAGAGACTTGTCCGATGGGCCTGTGATAGCGACTGCCAATACGTCAGATCTTGACGCTGCCGAGCTGGGTGATTATAGACAGCACTTACTTATCTTGCCGCTGACGGCATTAGGATAGCGCTCATGACCTCCTTGGCAGTGGTGCTCTTGTCAAAGCGCGCCATCGTGAGGTTCTAAGAGTTGCTGTTCGGGAGTCCTTTAGTAGGCTCAGTTGATGTTGCTAGGTCGTCGTTAACTCCTCCTGGAAACAATGAGAGGACAGGGCATGACTTTATACATGGCGGACTCTAGCACGGGCAATGCGTGTGCTGCCCTCGAGACCCTCGTCATTGCACCAACATTCATGGCGCTCTGCGGTTCAACAACCATCCTTGTCCGCCGTCGACCGATGATCTTGCCATACGGCAGGCCACATAAGAGTCCAAGGAGTCGTCAGTCCGCTCCGCCAGGTTCGTCCGCTGTGCTCGGCATAACCTGTCGCCGCATAGAAACGTTGTCAATCTCAAACTTTGGCCCAGGTCTCGGGATGCTCAAATAAGAACTCTTAGGAGGGTCAGTTACATCAGATGAGTAAGTTCGCAAACCTTGTGTCGCTGCCTGATGAGGCCAGAGGCCCCCAATTTGCTTTTCATCATGATCTCATAATTATTTGTCTGCAAGTCCGACTGTCTAGGATGATCGAACGGTGCCAGCAATCCACCGCTGTTGCTATTCACGATCGGTGTCTTGGTCCAAGACGCTCGAAGTCGAGATCATCACGTTCGAGTCGCCGAAGCGCAATCATGCCTGCCAGAGACCAAAGTCGATGATCTTGACTGAGGTTTGAATGCTGACGCGTGAAAGAAACCGCCCTGTAGCTTGCGGGCCCGTGTCAGTGAGACTAAGAAGAGAACCTCCCACGACACCGGTCGACAGGAAATGATAAAGCGGTAAATCACCTGTACAGCGTACCTTCCAAGGTTACCTAGGTATGATCACGATACGGCGAATACTTGCGTGTATATTTGGTGGCACTTGGCAGACCGGTTGACGAATGTATCTCAGATCTTCAAGGGCATGACTTGCTTGATTGATTCTATTGAATAACACCACCATGCATGCATGCGGTCGCGACTATCATGTCGAGTCGAAAACTGCAAAGGCTGGGTACGAGCAGGCCGGAATAAAGACCTGGAATGGGCTGATCAAGCCAATCACTTTCTCCGCCTACGCTTCCCGAAATGGCAAGTTCCTTTGCATGACCACAAGAAAGGTCATCAGTTTCCGACTCCACTGCTAGAAGGCGAGTAGCTCGGGGGATGATCTGAAGCTACTGAGTCAGAATGACCGCTGTCAAAGGAAGACCACTCACTTACTATCTTAGTGAACAGCTCGGACTGTCTCCGTAACTCCTAGCTCACCAGCCTTCCCGCCAAGCTTAGCCGTCGACGAAAAGTTCTCCTTGTCGTTGATAGCTGTATTCGAGGCAGCCGCCATCCGCTGGAAGCATTCCGCATACGCCTGATGAACCTCGGGGATCTCCATGCCGTACTCCCTCATCTTAGCGACAAGCTTGGTCGTATCTAGCTCGCAGTTGCTGCGGCCAGCCTTGATTACCTTTGCCTGCTCCTCTAGGCTGAAGTTGGCCCATGTAAAGCTTGGGTCGACATAGCGCTTGTACAGGGTCAGAACCTCGTTGTGACTAATCGCGCCAGGATTCGTGAAGTTGTACACCCCTGTGACTTTGTTCTCTGCAAGCTTGATGCCGCAAGGGAGCAGGTCGGTGAGGATACTGTTGCTATTGGGAATGTCGACCACATGAGCATACTTGGTGATTTTTGTGACGAACGAGCGAGGGTTTAGATCGTCGGAGACAGGCATGCGGAGTCGCAGAATGAGGGTGTTGGCGGAGTAAGCGGATACGATCATGCGTTCGGCATGTGCTTTGACGAAGGAGTAGTAGGAACCCGAGAAGTTGGCTGGATCGGTCTCGGTGAAACCCTTGCCAGACCCCATGGGGTGGGCATCATCGTATGCGTATATGCCTGCGGGTGAGTAACGCTGTCAGTTGTGTGCTTTTGACCTTCGTGTTGTGCAAGGGCTCTCGGATGATGACCATCAGCCCCACGAGATGATTTGTGGGTTACACAGACAGTGAGCTGGAGGTCAACGCCAAGGATAAGGGCAAGGAGTAGTAATCATTAGGCACAGGAAGCGGTCAGGCTTGCCCTGACGGTGCAGATTATGTGTCAGGATCGCCGACATTTCTTCGGACCAGTCCGACTCCGCGAAAACGAGGCTGTTGGGGTTGATTATGAAAGATTGACTCACAACCAGTAGCATAGATGGTGCAATGGATACCCAGAAGAAAGCAACAGTCGGCCAGATTGGAGGTTCCGATAAGATTGGCACGAATTGTAGCGTCCTTGTTGTCTTCGCACCAATCCACGTTCGGTCGACCTGTGACACCGGCGCAGTTGAAGACATGAGTCGGCTTGACGCGTTGCAACTCAGCCATTACTTGCTCGCGATTCTCCATTCGAATCGTCGTGGAATGAACGTTTCGTCCTTGTTGTTGCAGCATGTCGTATAGGATGCCGGCAATCCATCCGTTACCACCCCAGATGAGGAATACCTCATTGCTATTGCCGAGACTGCCCATATTGTCGTTGATTGATGCGTATTTGATGTGCAATGAGACTTGCAAAGTGTTCAGATGAGGGAAGGGAAAGGTATTTGATTGTCGTAAACCCCTTCACACGTTAAAGTATGCAAAGTAACGGTAGGATGCAAGGGATAAAGGGGGAGGCGTGATACTAAGCCCTGAACTTTGAACCTCAAAAACATTCAAAACACGGCAGTCTGTAATGGAATCTCTTTCCTTCCGTTGCACAGAATGTCAAGAATATTCCGGAGTCATATCGCTAAGGGCCTCATCACGTTTGCTGCGTATTGGATAATTTTGTGAGTTTGCCATATGAGCCCATTACTCTGAGGCAAGCTGATGTTGATTGCAACAAAGCCAGTTTCTCAGGAACATAGCAAGCTCCCAGCGTGTGCGATCATACTTGCCAACTATACCAGAGCTTCCCTCAATCACATTCGACTATCACAAACCACTGTACAATGAGACGAAGGTGGCATTGCTTATCGAAAATCGACCAATGGTGCGATCGCGCCGATGATGCTGCACATGATGTCGACATTACCGCCTGACTGGCGATTCAAGTTCATGGGATCCGACACGTCTGTGGCCCATGTCAACAAATCCGCGTCAGTTCGACAGCAAGTGAAGGCTGGCAAGCTCGACCTCATGTACATCCCATCGAACATGAGTACTGCAGGCCAGGAGATGATCAGTCGCTTTCTGACGAATCAATGGCTGTATGAGACCGTTCTCGCACCTGCAGAATGGCTGCTGATGTATCAGACCGACAGTAAGCGTGGTCAAAATAATCTTCGTGCTTTCTCGCTTGGTCTGCAGCTAACGTGCCGTGTTCTAGGCATGATGTGCGGCAATCACAAGGGTACGCTTGACGAGTGGTTGGACTATGATTGGGTCGGAGCGCCATGGTATCTGGAAAGTCGATACGGCGGCAATGGCGGCCTATCTCTGCGCCGAGTCAGCTCGATCCTTGAGGTCTTGCGTCACCAGCAGCGAGCCAATAATTCTGATCCTGAGGATGTCTGGTTGACGGAGCGATTGGGCCATCTGCCAAACTCCCGGACGGCCAATGGCACCGAGTCACTCATGTTCTCGGGCGAAGCTCATTGGTATGACTACCCTCTGGGCTATCACACCGGCGGAAGCGGTGAATGGCTGGTTGGGGGCATCTGGGGAACACCTGAGAAACGGAACCACATCTATAAATATTGTCCGGAGATGAAGCTGACGCTGAAGATGGACACGAAGAATGTTTACCCGACGGTGTGCAACCAGCAGTGTAGAATGGCAATACCTTGCCTACGCACTGGCAGGCAACTCAGCTGAACAGAATTTTGGCTTTCGAAGTCGCGCCGTGGATTTCCTCCTCGTAGGCACTTTTAGCTTTTGTTAAACGGGTCCAACGCCGGATGACAATAGTTGAAACCTTGGAAACTCGTGGACCCTGGAAGGTGAGCTTGCCACGTCAGAAATTCAAGGAGCGTCCTTGGACCTTCCTCCTTGCAGCATCACATATATTCAGCAGACAGGCGCGACCGCCGGATTGCGACGATTTTAAAGATGCGTTCGAGACACTTCTTAAACTATGTTCTACGTCCACCTCATCATCATCATCACTGGTCTGAGTGAGCTATGGCAATTACCGAACGTTTCACACATTATCTCTTCTCGTCTGCCTGTACCTCGCGGGCTAGTTCCTGCTGAGCCTTCTTATGTTTGAACATCACCTGCGAGTACCTAGACCTGTTAGCATCCGCAAGTACAAGGGTTTCATGCTTCAACTTACATCACGATTCCGGTAATCGCCATGAAAATACCGAAGATGCCACGATCGTTGGCGCTCCGGCCGCTTGTAATCCATCCCAGAGCCACGATTGAGCAAGTCTTCAAGTGACCGACAACCGTACTGCTAACTGCTCCCGCTCCAGCCACAATGTAGAACTGCGAGATGTTGATGAGCGCCGCCATCAGTCCGCTCTGCTGTTTGTCAGTAACTCGCAGGATACCCGTCAGAAGCGACTCACAAACAAGATCAACAAATACTTGTTCAACCCAAGGCTCGACCACTGTGGCGTTTGATCGGTGAATGGAATAGCATACAGCAGCAGGAAAACGCTGATGGGTGCTTGGTTGAGCAGCAGCTGCATGCTGTTCAGGTTGAACTTCTTGTGGTATGTCCCAATCCAGACGGTGTACAATGCACTCGCAACGACCCCGGAAAACGCAAAGAAGACACCCAGGGTTGATGTCTGTGGGACACTCCCGGTCGACTTGTGGGTATCGAAGTATGACATGATTCCAACCCCAAGGCAAATCGGGAACAGCGCATACACAGCTTGTCGAGGCATGCTGATACCGTAAAAGGCGAAATTGATGATGGCAGTCAACGGTGTGAGCAATACCCGGACCAATTGGTAGAACTCCACGGACGAGAAACTCAGCGACAGGTTGGGCAGGATGACGTTGAGGCACATGGCTGCGCCCAGTGGCAGCATCCCGACGAAAGGTGCTCGCGAGCGCGTGAACATGCCGATGCTCGGTCTCGACAGGTACCATAACGTCCCCGTCGTCACAACGAAGTGGAAAGCTGCAAATGTCGACTGATTTTTGCGCAAGGAAGGATCTTTGAAGATCTCTTTATTCGTAAAGACCTGGATGGTGTGAGTTACAGTACAGGCCATGCGAGCTACTCACGATTGCTATGGTGGCCAGGGTGTTGATTGTCGTCCATATCAGAAATTGTCGGCCTTTGTTCTCTTGCGACTGTTCCTGAGGATCTGCGGCCTTTTCGATATCGATGGTATAGTCGGGGGGCTTCTCATTATCAAGTATCAATCGAGCAGACTCGTCACCAGAGGGCAGCTGAGTGGTCTTGTCATCGGTTTCCATGATCCTGAGGTTCCGGTCGGCAAATCTCCGTTGTTCGTAAGAACGGCTGTCGTTGAACAGAACATACTGCAAGCTCGACGTTGTTCTCGTCTCATGCAGCGTGTATTTGAGATGCGCGGGCCAGGGTCATAGGGTTCTGGCGCAAGGGGGAGGTTGGCACGTTGAAAGGGGGCAGAATGCTCAATCTCCCCATTGCAGCACGAAAGGAGAGCCACTCCAGGGAGCAAACCTACACCAAGCATTCATATCAGGCCATGATTAGGGAAGCATGCTGGTTCCGTTGATCAACTTTCCAAAGGCCTTTGACCATTGTGCCAGGCTTCATCAATTGACACCTCAAAACCTTGTCACGGTCGCGACAGGGCCAACTGATCAACCTCACAAGTCTTTCTGAGGCCTCGAAGAGTGCAATTGACTGCTACGACCTCTTGGCTGCTTTCATTTAGTTACGCACAACATTTCCACAACCGTTGTTCAGGTGTTAGAGAGTGCACATCATATCATCGCGACGTACCACAGATATTAGCGCTCCGCAGAAGATGCCTTCAGCCATTAGCGAGCACATGAATGGCACCCATGTGGTGCCGCCTATACTGCGAGGCACAGTCAAGCACGATCCGGACTTCAATGTTCGCAACATTATGATCACGGGGGGTGCTGGATTCATGTAAGTCTATGCGACGATTCTGTCGAATTCGCTAAGAACCAGCAGTGGCTCATGGGTAGTCCGGCATCTGACTCTCACCTATCCACAAGCATATCATATCATCTGCTACGACAAGCTCGACTACTGTGCCACACTCAACAACACCAAATGTCTCGACAATGCGCACAATTTCTCCTTCGTGTTCGGCGACATCACTGACCAGGCTGCTGTCCTCCGCTGTATCAAGGAATACCAAGTCGATACCATCATGCACTTCGCTGCGCAGTCTCACGTCGATTTGTCTTTTGGCAACTCCTTCGCCTTCACAGAGAACAATGTCTTCGGAACACACAAGCTACTCGAAGCAGCTGTGAAGTGTAACGTCAAAAAGTTCATCCATGTCTCGACCGACGAGGTCAACGGCGAGAACGAAACCGAAGAAGCATTCACTGAAGAAAGCCTGCTCAAACCGACGAATCCCTATGCAGCTAGCAAGGCTGCTGCGGAAATGTTCGTGAATGCGTACTCGAGGTCCTATAAGCTTCCGTGTATCATTGTCCGGAGCAACAATGTTTACGGACCTCATCAGTATCCTGAGAGTAAGTCCAGTTCTTAAAGTCCAGTGGCACTTTGTGTCCGAGTATTCGCTCATTCTTCGTCAATGGGACTAACCAACGTTCCAGAAATCATTCCCAAGTTTTCTTGTCTCCTGGATCGTGGTCTCCCACTGCCACTCCATGGCCAAGGGACCGCTCGTCGCAGCTTTCTTTACGCCTCAGATGCGGCCGATGCGTTCGACACTATCCTGCACAAAGGTGTTCCTGGAGAGGTGTATGTCGTTGAATCTCAAGATGAGGTCGGTAATCTTGACCTGGCTCATCGCATGCTCAACATCTTCAACATTGCCGAGGCCGATCATTCCACGTGGATCAATCATGTGGTTGATCGTCCTTTCAATGACCAGCGATACAAAATGCATGCTACGAAGCTACCAGCCTTGGGCTGGCAACAGAAAGTCAGATTTGAGCAAGGACTCGCTGACACCGTGGCGTGGTACCGTCGTTGGGGTAGACATTGGTGGAAGGGCACCGATGCTCTTTTCAAGACCAGTCTCGCGCATCCGGAGGTTGGCGGTGAGGGTATCCCTGGTTCGGGCATGCCCCGGACGCCTCTCATCGAAGTTCAGCAAGACCGTCTATTCGCTGCAAATGCTGCGGCTGGCACTGCTCATGTTCCTGCACCCAACGGCAAGGAGAATGGCGGCAAGGATATCTTCCAGGACAATACCGAAAGCGCACCTCAATCTGGCTTCTTGGCACCCCCAACACCTGCGATCATGAACTCGATCGCCGCCGAGACTGCTATCAATCTGGCTCCTGCTGCACCAGAGCTTGCGAAGCGCAACACTAGGAAGCGCGCCAGGGAGAGTGAGGAAGATGAAGGCAAGGAGAATCAGGATGTGTCGAGCAAGCGACAGATGCTGGGCGAAGACCTTGCTGCTGGCGGCGATACCGTCCGCTAGGCTGTGGCAGTGATGATGCTGCTTCATTCAGGAGTTCAGGTAATTCCATCGTGGTCCTTTGGGCATTAGAATGTGGGTTCGGGACCTTGGGTCCTCTCAGTGTAGGAGCCGCCGTGAATTGGGAGTCGGAATTGTCTCTGCCTACCGCAGCGAGATAGCGTTTCCACAGACCTCGGTGCCAAGCAGTACCGCTTTCTTGCAGGAGTCATGATAATCAGAATTGCATACCTCTTAGTGCCGATACTTTCATCCCATGCACATGAACTCCATCTTACAGCTCGTCAAATCTCTGAATGGGCATTATGCCTTTGTGAGGGCTTAGCTGACACATGCAGCGAGATCAGTAGAAAGGGGCGCCCGGCAAGGGAGCATGCCCTGAAGAATGGGTACCATGTCCACTGTATGCAAGGCTCTCATCCCTTGCGTCCATAGCGAAATCACGTTGAGGCTCTCTCGAGGCTCTGCAGCATGCGCCAGGGAACCTTCACTGCACGTGAATTCGCATCCGATGCTTGCTCCTGCCGAACGTTGGAAATTGAAATGAGCGTCATGATGAGTGGCAGGTAGACAGCGAAAGAACCGATTGAGTGCGGGATCTTCTTACCACACATCCTCCCGTACAGACCAACGGCGCTCAGGATGGTTCTGAAGAAGACGACGAACGAGCTGCGTCGTGTCTGGCACGAGAATGGGGGAGGCAACACTGTCCCATGGCCAACAATATTGGGCGAGGCGGCGATCTTCCCAATGCTGGTGGTTTTGGCCGTGGTGTAAGTTGAGCCTTCAGAAGTTCCGACCCTGAAATGGCTGTCAAACGGGCTGCTGCACGAGCGTCGCGGCTGCGATAAGACATTATTCACGCGCACAAGCACAATTAGCTGACGTTGGAACAACTTTAACAGATGGCTTCTCCCGCACAACCCCTACCCAACACGACTGAAGTCTACCCTCATGAGCCAATACGCCGCTCTGCCCTCGATACAAATCGACCGACATCCGACCGCAACCTTTCTCTCACGATACCCAGCCAACAAGACGGCGCTGTATATCGAGCTCGAGCCGATCTCCCCTTCCTCGTCCCTCTACTGCTACATATGATCATGGTCGTACCTCCAGACTGGCGCTTCCTCTTTTATGGCTCGTCCGCCACTGTGACTCAGGTGCGCGAATCGTACACTGCGGCAATGTACGAGGCCATGGGCAAATTGAATATCCGGAATTTGGAGGACAGCTATGGCGAGGGGTGGGGACGGAGGTATGGATGGGAAGAACCCAAGGATGGGCGGGTGTTGAGTGCGGAGGAGATGACGAATCGACTGTTGACGAATAAGACGTTCTATGAGGGGGACCTCGCGGATACGGAGTGGCTGCTGGTATGGCATAGTGATGCTATCTTGTGTGCAAACAGTGAGGTGGGCCTAGATGACTGGTTGGGCTGGGACTGGGTTGGCGCGCCATGGTGAGTACCGCGCTTCTGGGGAGTCCCAGAACCCCTCCGGGACATGGTGAAATTGACAGACTCTGCAGGGATGGCGATCACAAGTTTGGCGGAAATGGTGGCCTATCGCTGCGACGACTGTCTAGGATCCGAGAGGTGCTGGAGTTTCAAAAGCGTCAGGATGACTCCAATTCGGAAGATGTTTGGTTCGCGTCCCGCCTTGGCCTGCTTCCGGGAGCAAACATGTGCCCTCCTGAAAAGGAGAAGGAATTTGCCGTTGAATCAGTCTGGTACGATAAACCCATGGGATACCACATGTTGCCTGGTAATAGTCCAGCCCCAAACGTCTGGGCCATACATCAGCGCCGTAGGGAGATTTACGACTATTGCCCCGAGGTCAAGATCATACTTGACATGTACCTCGAGCGTGAGAAATGTGGCGACCAGAGAACCGCGGAGGATAGAGAGGATGAGGAGTTCCGCAAACTGCTGGAGGCGGATGCCGAGAGTGCGAAGAAGAAGCTGGAGGAGGAGAATGCAGGAGCTGAGGAAGAGAGAAAGAAGCAAGAGGAAAGGGCGAAACAGAGGAAGGAAAAGGAGAGGGTAGAAGCAGCGAAGGTCAAGATGGAGGAGGCTGAGGTGGCGGAAAGGGCGAAGAAGCTGTTGGAGGACCAGAAGAGAAAGAAAGTAGAGGCGTTGGAGGGAATAAGTGTTGTGAAAGATATTAGTAGAATCGAGGAGGAAGCGAAGAGTCACGATAAGCATGCTTGGGAGGAAGGTGGGGCGCCGGAGCTGGATGATGCTGCGGAGGAAGGAGCAAGAAAGTCGTTAGACGAGCACAAGACCGAGAACCTAGGGGAACCCGGGAAAAACATCGCGTCCAAAGAGGATGAACCAGCAACTGGCAGTGATGAAACCCTGGACGATGGCAAGATGACGGATTCGGACCATGTTGAGGAGAAGGAGAAGGCCGAGTCGGATGAGTCTGACGAAGGTAAAGCCGAGGAGCAAGCAGAGCCTCCAGCCTCTGCTGCTGATACAAAGCGGGAAGAAGAGAAAGATGATGATGGCGCTGGGGAAAAGGGCGAGCATGCAGAGGCAGAGCCCGAGCAGGAAGACGATGTTGCGGAGTCATCAAAGGAGCCTCCTTCAACAGCAGAAGGCCACGCAGACGACAAGGTCGAGGATCCGGATTCGAAAGACGCGGTTGAGGATCCAGGTTCCAAAGCCTAAACTGTGACCTTTGGTCGTGGTACGAATGCACAGATCTTTGGCGTACTTCCAGCTGGCATGTTAGCTCACGGCGTCCCTTGAAGCTTCACTCTCCTCCACATCCCAACATGCACAATGCCCTCCTCGTCCCATCTGCCGAGCCTTTCATCAGTCACGAATTGCTGCCGCTCATACATCTTCTCAACCTCCAGCTGTGCATGCGCCAGCAGATTTCCCTGCCAACCCCCGCCAACCTCACGAGCATGCGTAGCCAGCCACTTACAAGCCGCGTCCACCAACGCCCGACTGAGCCCTTGACCTCTCACCTCCTTCAGCGTCGCCACCCGTCCCAACTTACAATAGGGCTCCTCGTTCGGGTCCTCGAACCCGTTCGGGTGTGCTGCGTGCGGCGGCGGGACGATGCGGATCACTGACACTGGTCTTGCGGACTGGGGTTCACCATTTCGTGGTTGTTGGTAGGCGACCCAGTGCCAGGAGCGAGGGTCGTCCTCGTCTAGCTCGGGTTCGAGAGCGCAATTCTGCTCATCGCAGAAGACGCGTATCCGGACATCCATTGCGTCGAGGAAGAGTTGGGGAGCATTGGGTGGACGCGGGTCGGCGGGAAAGCCGTTGGGAGCAACGATCGAGCCCGGTGGTGGGAGCATGGCTAGAATGTAGAGTGTTCCATCCTTGGCTGTGAAGGTAGTGGTATGACTAGACTTCGCCATGATGGCTACGGCCTCGTATTCGTGGGCGGTCCTGACAGGACGGTATTGACTGGCCAGTATGTTGTGGGTGGTAGCGACTGACTGTGATCTATGGTAGCTCCTGCTGAAATGTCTGCTTCAGGACCGTGCGTGACTACTGAGACACTCTCCGTCCATCGACCTCCTCTACTGCCTCACTTCTGACCACATCTAGCTCCCGGTCTCCAGGACTATGATGCCATGCCTGCCCATCCCGACATTTTGTCCATAAGAGAAGTGAAGTGAATTAGCCCGAGTCCAGATCTAGATTAGCGTAGTCAACCGGCGCAAGTCAAGAACCTCGAATTTCTGGTGAACTTCTCGCAAGTTTGCCTACTACCAGCACCGCGATTTTCTGATGTTGCCGCCCTGATGTCGCTCTACTACGATGCCGTGACCATCCTGACGGGCGAAGAGCAGCGAGGCTCTCTCAAGTCACGCATCTACGGCAGCAAAAGCGGACTCAAATCCAAGCCCGCACATCTCTATGCCCTGATCTCAGAATGCGCAAAGTACGACACCTTTCTGAGGGAGGTCATTGAGAAGTCCCAAATACTCGAGCACGAGCCCAAGGTGAGCCGCGGTCATATCGATACAACACGTCGCCGCTGACTGACTCAGCCATCGCGGCTCAAGGTAGGTCACTCCATTACTCTCGCTTCTTCTCCTCCACGACCATTTCTTCGCGAAGGGTGGCATTGCGGCGTCCGCAAGTCATCCGTTGAGGCAAGCAGTAGAGAGACATAAGGCTCGCTTACAAGCAGAGTTCACCAAGGCGAGGCTGAGAAAAAGATGTGGTACGGTCGAGGACTTGAAGAGGGTGCTTGCTGAGGGCAAGGTTGGCATAAATTTCAATTCTGTATCGCAGCCAAGGTGGGTTCGCGTGAACACATTGAAAAGCAGCGTATCCGCGCAGTCGCGTTCGACGTTTGCTGGGTACTCGAAGGTGCAGAAGATAGGTAATGTAGCTGGGGCTGGTTGGGGCAACGCATTCTGCACAGACGAACATGTGCCGGACCTGATTGCTGTGCCCCCGGATGCGTCGTTGGTAAAGACGAAAGCCTATCTGGATGGGGAGTTGATCTTACAGGACAAAGCCTCGTGCTTTCCGGCGCACCTTCTGCTGGGCAATGACAACGAATTTACTGGCGATGTAATTGATGGCTGTGCGGCGCCTGGGAACAAGACTACGCATGCTGCTGCTATCCTGCGATCTAGATCACCCAAAGATGGCAAGCGCAAGCATCGCATATTTGCTTGCGAGCGGGACGGCAGGCGCTCTGAGATTCTCCAGACTATGGTTGACAAAGCAGGCGCGACTAATGTCCACGTTCTGCCCAAGCAAGACTTCCTCGCCCTAGATCCCAATGATGAGCAATTCCGCAACGTCTCTCATCTCCTCCTCGACCCTAGCTGCTCCGGCAGCGGTATAGTTGGCCGAGAAGACATTCCTAAGTTCGACTTGCCAATCAAATCACAGCCAAAGGCGCAACCTCCGAAAGGTCCAAACGCCTCGAAGAAGCGCAAACACGAGTCCATCACGACCGCCGAAGAACAAAGTCCTCCCGAAGAGGACGAGCAGCCAAACGCAAGCACAACAAAAGACCCCGAGCGCCTAGCAAAGCTAGCTGGCCTGCAGTCCAAGATCGTCGAGCACGCTTTCGCCTTTACAGCCGCCACGAGGATCACGTACTCAACATGCTCGCTTCATGAGGAGGAGAACGAGGCGGTCGTAAGTCTGTGCTGGCATCGGAAGTGGCAAAAACGCGTGGCTGGCGGGTCTTGCCGAAGGACCTGCAACCTGGTGGCTTGAGAGAGTGGCCGCATCGTGGCAAAAGTGGAAGTGGGAATGTTGATTCAGGGCACACTTTGAGTGAGGAGGAGTTGGAAGGGTGCATACGATGCTATCCTGGTGATGAGCAAGGCACCATGGGGTTTTTCGTCGTCTGCTTCGTTCGCGATCGGCCTGGGTCGGAGAACGGTCAGGTCAGCTCGGGTGGGATGGCACTTGACGACCATGATGATGCTGGTAGTGCAGGCGAGGCAGAAGATGACTGGGATGGATTCAGCGACTGAAGGTAATCTTCTTCGTCCAGATCATTCCGTAAGGCACATGTTACACGACACGAATACCCGGCTGAAGTACAATAGACGAAGTCTCGTAAATATACATAATTATACAGCACGACTCCCTCTCCTCACCTTCCTGCACTCCTCCGCCGCACCGCCACTACCGTCACCAACTCCCAGATACATCAGATGATCTGCCCTTTGACTCGGTGGTGGCGCATACTGGCCCTCTTCCACTTCCTCCTTGCTATCCACCAACACGATCGGATCATCGACCACAGTATCAGGATGCACTTCGAAGACGTATTTCCTCAATCCCATTGCCATCTCCGATTCCTTCGACTGCTCTTGTCCATTACGATCGCGAGCAAAAGCAATCAAAGCCGAGAGACTGACCTCTCCCTCACCCTGCTGTCGCTGCAGCGACGTCCTCGAAGCAGTACGGTGCAACTTGAGCTCCTCGGCCGTGGGCGGCGGCATAATGTCGTCGTTGTTGGTCGGGATGATTGGCCCAGCTGGTGGCTTTGTCTCGCGCTTGATCACCGAGACTGCACGACTGAGAAGACCCGGCTGCGGAGGGCGCGCAGCCTTCTTTCGTTCTTTAGCGGCTTTGCGACGCATGCGCATGTGAAACAATTTCCTGATCGGTGTGGTGAGCTTCAGGAAGTACTTGTTTGGGATGCAGCGCACGGCAACGCCCAGCGGGAGTGTCAAGACGCCGAGTACGATGGAAGTGGCCCACTGAGAACCGGTGGGTCGAGCTGTCTGGAAGGCGTTGCCGCCGAATATGACGATCAGGGTTTGGCCGGTCACGGTGACGGCTTGGACGAAGAAGAAGAATGGATTACGCATGATGCCTTCGAAGATGTTGAGACGCGAGTCGGGCGTCCGGCAGTTGGTTTGGTTGAACAGCTGCATGAAGATGTAAGTGTTGAAGGCGGTGGTCTGGATTTGAGAGGCCTGGTGTTCGGTGTTGGCCGCCCATAACTTGTCGCCAGCATAATGTATGACGAAGATTACGATCATCTGGTAGACGGTCTGGACGACGATCATCTTCCACATAGAGACTGTGATGATGGGCTGGTTGCGTGGCTCAGGTTTGCGTTGAAGAACGCCGCGAGTCGGATAGTCTGTGGCAAGGGAAAGGGCGGCGAAGCTGCAGAAACACCATTAGCATATATGCTCAATTGACAGGAGCAGGAGTGACTCACGTATCCATGATAATGTTCACCCACAGTAGCTGGACAACAGTGAAGACGGCCTCATCGACCTCGCCTACTAGAGCAGTGATGGCAGTCAACAGCCCGGCCGAAAAATTGATCGTAAGCTGGAACTGCAAGAACTTCTTCACAGCATCGTTGACGGTCCGGCCCCAGGAGATTGCTTTCACGATCGAAGTGAAGTTGTCATCCATTAAAATAATGCTGCTTGCTTCCTTGGCGACTTCAGTGCCAGCTATGCCCATCGCGAAGCCGACATCCGCAGCCTTGAGAGCGAGCGCGTCATTCGTGCCATCTCCTGTCACTGCAACGATCTCTCGCTGGGCCCGCAAGCGATTGACCAGGACTCGCTTGTCTTCTGGAGACGATCTCGCCAGTACTTGAAGTCTAGGCACAATGGAGTCAAGTTGGGACGGTGTGAGCTTTCGAAACGTTGGTCCATCCATTGCGACACCTCCAGACGCGTATATTCCACAGTCGCGGGCGATTGCCTTCGCTGTGTTGAAGTTGTCTCCTGTTACCATTCTGACCTGCACGCCGGCTGACTGGCACTGTTGGACAGACTGTATTACATCGGGTCGCAAAGGGTCTCGTAGACCGGCAATGCTGACGTATGTCATATCGTGAAGGACATCGTCAAGCTTCAGATGATCTGAGGAGCTGAAAGTCGTGCTGATTGGAGGCCATGACGGGAAGTCTCGATAAGCAATAGCAAGCACTCGGAGGGATCTTTCTGCTAAGTTTTGGATGTGTGACTGCAACTTAGTGCTGTCATGCTCTTGCAGCGACCTCACATCCCCATCAAGGACACGCGTGCAACGGTCGATCATGCTCTCAGCAGCGCCCTTAGCGAACATTCGGAACGTGCCGTGAGGCAATGCCACCACTGCGGCCATGGCCTTTGATGCGGATTGGAAGGGGAACATGTGGATGATTCGCATACTGTTACGTGCCGAGGTCAGCTGGTCAAGTCCAAGGTGGTCGTACGCGAACTGGACCAGGGCGACCTCGGTGCTTGACCCTTGTAGATCACATTTTCCTGCGTCATCTCGTTCTGTGGCGGTTGTGTTCATGACTATGGATGTTCTGAGAAGCTGTCGGACTTGATCCGACATATTGAGAACCGATGCCATGGTCTGAGCGCGCTTCTCTCGAGTTGCGTTATCGGTTGTGTCAGAGCCATCAAGCATCTGCGTGTCCTCATACTTGTCATCAAGACCCATAAGACAACTGACCACGGTCATCTTGTTCTGAGTGAGCGTGCCTGTTTTGTCCGAGCATATGGTAGTGGCATTGCCCATGATCTCGCAGGACCGAAGTAGACGGACCAGATTGTTGTCCTTGAGCATTCGCGTCGTGGCGAAGGCGAGCGCAAGCGTGACCGCAAGTGCAAGTCCTTCTGGAACTCCAATAACAACCATCGTTACTGACAACATGAACAGCTCCAAGAAGCTCTCGCCCTTCGCGCGCGGACCGCCTTCAATCGACGGGAGGCGGACCAGAAATCGAATCAGAAGGATGAAGAAGAAGACGACTCCAAAAAGTGAGCCGAAGAGCAAGATGTACTTGGACAGTGATCCAAGCTTCTGCTGAAGAGGTGTCTCCTGCGGCACGTCACGCAGGGACATCAAGATACGCCCATACGATGAGTTGACGCCGACTGCGGTGACCACGAAGGTTCCGACGCCATTCGCGACCTTGCTGCCACTGAGGATGAAGGGGTCGATTTTCTCGGATGCCTTAGTGGGTTCGGAGTGCTGATCGCGTCCGTGGCGTTCTCTGAAAGGTGTTTTCTCGATAAGATCGCTCTCTCCAGTCGTCGAAGATTCGTCGCATTCAACATCAAAGCCGTCCAGCAATATGCCATCTGCTGGTATGATGTCTCCAGTTTCGAGTTTCACAAGGTCGCCGACGAGGATATCGTCTATGGAGATCTGAACAAGTTTACCCAAGCGGACGACTTTGACGTAGCGCTCTGCTTTGCGCTTGTTGAGCTTCTCAAACTTTCCTGCATACAGGTCAATACCTGTATACCCCTCCTTGGGCCAAGGTTCGATACTTACTGTTCTTCTGCCAGTCATTTGTCGCTGTAGCTGTCAAGATTATGATGATGGCAATCACGATAGTAACGCCTTCGACCCACTCGACGTTAGACCCGGGCTCGGAAGGGTCAACAGACTGGTAGATGCCTAGCGAGAGTGAGATGACGGCCGAGAACGTCAACAGGAACATCAATTTGTCGTTGAAGGCATCCCACACGAGCCCGAGGTAGCTCCGCGATTTCCTTGGAGGCAGTCTGTTGTCAGAGTACGCATGTCGGCGGTCGCTGAATCCCTTGCTATCTTCGCCTTCAAGGTGAAGAGGAATGATGGACTGTTTTCGCTTCACAGGCTCTGGTCGTCCATTTCCGAGCTGCTGTAGGACATCTTCATCGTTGTCGAGGCCATGGGTAAAGTTCGTCCGCAGGGCGACCTCCAGCCCTGATGGCCCGCCTACATGCCATAGTCTCGAGACATCTTTTGATGAGACGAGTTTATGCAAGAAATCGGGAGAAAGGGTGAATTTGGACGAGAAGGCTTCGCTCGTTGATCCTGCGGCCTCCTCGTCTTTGCTGGTACGTGTCGCAATAGTGTCCACACGCTCGAGCGTGCTTGAAGAAGCGCTGGCGGATCCAGAAGTTTGATTCGCTTCCTGTTTGTCTGTCATCTCGCGTGGAAAATGAGTGGTATCTTGGATACGTTGTGTCAATTAAGAGACAATGCCTTGGGCTTCTGGCGACAATGAACGGGAGATATACTTCAACCAATCTGGGGACGACGTGTACGCTACCTTGGCATCGACTTGTCAAACGCCCATGACACCGTGGCGCCAAATGAGTAATGGGTCCCGCGAAGCTGAACTTTTGCGTAGCGGGGCGGGACTTTCGTATGCTTGTCTTCACTCCTTAGTATGCTGCCAATCGGCGCTCTAGAGGAGTCTGAGCAGCGGAAGACGAGCATCATGTGAACGCGCTGCGCCATCAGTGGCGGAGACAGAGAGAACAATTCGTTCGTCATCGGTACGGGCGGCGCGCAAAGCACCACTGGCGTGTGATGGACATAGCTAAGAGGACGACAAGAGCTCAGGCTTGGCAGGTGGAAGTCACGGCAGGAAGGACCCTGGACGCGGAGTTGCGCCGGCTATACTTTTCTCCGTGAGCTCCTCCCAGAAGTACGATGCACATTCGACACAGTCAACTTGAGTACTGTATTCATAGAGTTCGTGCAATTGCTGTACGTCTCGTGTTCTAAGAGACTACATCTGTCTTGTTCACTGACTTTCAGTCCAAGATCAAGGGTAGCGCCGCCGAACATCTCTGAATCTGTGCTTCGACTTCGACTTCAAAACTCGAAATCAACCCGGGCAGCATCTCCCGATGTTCTTGCGACCACCGTAAGCTCTCGCCCTCGCGTTTTGCACGACACCGTGGACAGACAGCCGCGAATATCTCTTCGAGACGCTGCCGGTACTTCTCCAGGAAGTCATTTAGTTCATTGATTGAATCAAGCTCTAGAGCTGTTGCCTCCCACATGCCGGCGTGCCGTCCGCCTCGGGGTTCATTCGACTGGGGTTTTAAACGCTGCAACGAATACATCAGTGCCAATGTCCGGGCCTTCGCTGCTTTCAGGGACGGCAGTAGTGAAACTTCTGGCTCGGCGTAGAGAGACTCGAGCACGGAGATGCCGCAGTCCCAGCCACTGGATATGGAAAGGATCCTCTCTGTTGCTCGTTCCAGTGTTAGCGGCACATTAGTGTCGCGATGTGGCACGAAAGGCGGGCTCTTAGATGGCGCGTTACTCTCAGTATTGTCAGGGCACTCCATCCATCCCGCCCGGGTCTTTTTCATCCTTTTGCCACGATGAACGGTGAAATCATCGGGTGTACTCCTGTACGCCTCGGAAGGAGCATCCTCCCAGATCTCGAAGCTAGCATATCCTCCTGAAGGACTGTCATTGGGCGAATTCCGCTTCGGCTTCCCGAACCTTTTCATATACTTTTGGTACTCGGTGTGGTCCGTCATGATCTCGTACGCTTGTTTAAGCTCTTTGAACATTATATCTGCCCATACCTGCCGATGGATATTCTTGTCTGGGTGATATTGCCGTGCGAGTTGGTGGTACCTTCTCTTGACCTCTTCGCGCGACGCATCGCGTCTGACACCGAGGATTTGATGCGGTGGTTGGGAAAGTTCCTTCATGTTGGCAAATCCTCTCAAATGTGGTGTTCCGTGCAATGTTCCGTGAGTTATTCCGATTCTGCTGATGAGTGTGGTTTTTAATGCTGGCGAGGACTGAGTGCGATGCACCAGGGTGACGAGCATGAGAGATGTCTGACGATGCTGAGCGATAATGATGATGATGGATAGCACGGCTGATTGAGGATGATGCGCGACGAAGGTGTGTGATGATGAACTTTCGGCGCGATAACTGCGGACGATGCCCGGCCGCGATGATCCATGATTCTGGTTGTGGGAGAAGTGAACACACTAGTAGATCTACCGAGCTGTTTTGTGTGGTTGCCTGTCTGAGCTGAATGCATGTTCAGGTTAAGGTATACAACTTTCAGCATTCCAGGTACACGTACCAGCCGCCCGGAACCGACCAGCGCTGGCACTTTCCATCATGGTAAACTATAGCGCCTACCAAACCAGGCAGCCATACGGAATACCAGCAGATGCGTCCGGCCTGGTATCTATTCGCTCGAAAGGCCGTGATGTTCGTCGCCGTTGAGAATAATCGAATTCTAGGTCCACTCCTCACAAAGCGCGCAGAGATGGAGGTATGCGATCCTGCGGTGCGAACACTTCCCTTGCTGCACAGAAAGTGACCATCGTAACTTACTCAAATGGACATGCAAGCACCAGACGCATATAGCAGCACAAATTTACTGTAGCTTCGCGCTGGAAGTGCCGCCCTGACATTACAACCTTGTGAAGCATCGGTGCCGACGGCCAAGCTTGACAGAAGTACTCTGTCATCTGTTTGCGGGCATTTGTGATAGCCTGCGGATAACACGCGGGTGAGGATGACTCCAAGACCAAGAGCAAAGGTAACGTCGGCGTTGTTTGGGGATGTCTGACCAAGGGGGCGGATTGATGTCCTTCAATATGAATGGCAGTGTCACATATCATTGCTTCTGTGGCGCTAAACCGCTAGGTGCGTAGTCAGTTCAGTCAGTCGAAAAAGTTTGGGGAGAGGCGCGGGACACCGTGGCGCGGTGGAAGGGGCAGGACCACATTCGTCCCAAGAAGTAGACCGTTCTCTTCGTTCTTGATAGAGCTCTACTACTATGCGATCGAGTAGATCAAAAGCCTGGACAGCCATCGACGGCTCCGCAATTCACAAGTCGCGTTCGCAGTGTCCACAAAGCGACCGTCAACGTCCTTAAGCCACATCCCGGGGTTGACGGCGCGTGGATCTGGCACAATCGATGCCTCACGACGCGACCGAGACCGCGCGAAGATTCTGGGGTCGAAGCCTGTCATTCGCGTGGGCGAAGCGGGTATGCAGTGGCGAAATGGCCCGCAGGTCAAACGAGACCTCTATTATAAGCCAACGGTGCCGGGCGATTGACTGCGAGAACAAACATCGCGGAGCTATGCAGATGTAGGAGAAGGAAAGTTGCTCCTGTTTTGGAGAGTGTTTCTGAGGTTCGTTGTGTTTCGAAATCTTCGCTGCTGGGGCTTGGTAGCCGGCGTTCATTGGGTAGACGCTCGGCGAGGCTGTTCTGATGCCGCAGCCTCGCCATTCCATGAGCAGGCTCGAACACTCTGCTCTTCATCGGTGTCGCAAGTCATTGCGTCTGAGCACGAATGTAAGTTGTTCGTCTGCAGGCGCAGACGAAGCTCAGCTGCGGGTTGTGGACCGGCACAATACCACGCGGACGGGGATTCGATGCTTGGTTCTTTCGATGGACAAGGGTCTCAACGTTCTTTCCGTGATCTAACGCGGCTTGAGAACCACTAGAACCTCGTTGATCGGCTTTTTCGAGATGTTTGTGGAGCTCAGAGGAAGTATGCGCTACGTAAGATATTGACTCTTGGTGAGGTGAGTGTGATGGGATGATGCGAGGGGCGAAGAAGGTCACGGTAGGATTGGGCATTAGGAAGAGGATAGTATAAGAACGTGTGCGTCCTGCCCGGATGCAGGATGGGAGCACTTGCAACCCGTCATTGACCTCCATTCCTTTCTTTCCTTCGGCTTCAACTGGTAATTCATACGTTCATTTCGTGCTGGTCACGTCCTTTCATACTTGTTACAGCACTGTTCACTCGACCCGAAAACCAATAAAGCATTCTTGCGAATCTCCTACACATCAGCCAAGATGGTTCACTTCAGCGCCGTCCTTCTCTTCTCAACCCTTACCGCCCTCGTCGCCGCTCAAGGGACAGGCACGCAGTTCATCACCGGCCCATGCACGTCTGACGCCGATTGTGCATCCGGCTGCTGCGGCTTCAACTCGGGGAAATGCGCGGGCGCCATCATAGCACTCGAACGTGACGGCGGGTGCGGTCGTGGCGCAACCCCCAACGACAATGCAGCCCGAAAGCTAGGCTTCACGGGCACTTTCAACCCGGGCTCAGGGAGTGGCGCAAATGCTGCCGCGCCCGCCAGCACGGGTACCGCAAGTGCTGCCAACCCCGCAACAGGTGGCGGCAATGGGGCCACTGCCGGTGCGGGTACACAATTCATCACAGGTGCCTGCACATCGGACGCCGATTGTGCGTCAGGATGCTGTGGGTTCAACAGCGGCAAGTGTGCCGGTGCGATCGTTGCCCTTGAGCGAGATGGGGGATGCGGGAGGGGATCGGGCACTCCCAACGATAATGCGGCGCGCAAGTTGGGTTTCACCGGTACTTTCAATCCTGGGTCTGGAAGTGGGGCTGCTGCCAACAATGCCGCAGCTGGAGGCGTCGCCACTGGAAACAGCAATACCGGCATGGCAACGGGGAATGCCAATACCGGTACGGGTGCGGCGGGTAATGGCGCTGCAGCTGGAGGCAATGGAGCGCAGTTCATCACAGGTCCTTGTCAGAGCGATGCTGCTTGCGCTTCGGGTTGCTGCGGCTTCAACTCAGGAAAGTGCGCGGGACCTGTCATTGCTCAAGAACGAGACGGCGGATGCGGCTTCGGCGACAATGCGCCCAACGATCGTGCGGCGCAGGCTTTCCGTGCAGGTCAGAAGCGGGGGTTGGAGTTCGAATGGGAGTGAACGCGGAAACATTCAAGGTGGTGGAGGTTTGCTTCTCGTTTGCATAGCGCGGCGAATGTGTGGAAAGACCCCGTACTGGTTGCGGAATTTTGGATGACCTGCATCTTCAAGTTGGGCGCTGCGTATTCATAACTTTCATAAATGACAGACAATAAAACGTTTCATTTCAACATCCGTCATGAAGTGGTGGTTGTCGCGTGCGAGTATCCGTAATGCCAGTCCTCGCGTTGCAGATCCTCCCGCACCTTGTAATTTGCTTCCGCGATGTCCAGCAGCTTCATGTCAGTCTCAATGACGCGCACACCTAGCTCACCGTCTTCGAAGCTGTTCGGCAACGTACCCATGATCGGCATTGTCACACCGCTAAGCCCAACATAGCCTTCTTCGCGTGGACCGCCAGCATTGCAGAACACAATACAAGCGGTGTTCTCAAAGGCTCGCGCCACAAGTGTTGATTTCAGGAAGAGCGTTTCTGCGTCCTTGTTGTATGCTAAGCCTTCGGCTGACATGTCAAAGGCCGTCCAGAACGTTGGAATGATGATGATTTTGGCGCCTTGCAGGATCAGTGAGCGAAATGCTTCTGGGAAGCCAAGGTCCCAGCAGATGAGTATGCCGACGGGTCCCAGAGGCGTCTCGATGACCGTGTGAGGCTCTGGCCGCTCATGAGGAGCGTCGAGACTGCTTTGCGATTGTGGACCTGATGTCAGATGTGGTCGCTCAGGATGCCATAAATTAGCTTTGGTGTAGCTACCAAGTATCTCTCCGGTGTACGAGATGAAGGGCGAAATATTGTGCAATGGCGGCGCTGCAGAGTCCTCTGTGTCCCGAGCAGCGCCGTTCTGCTGAGACTGATCACTCGTAACGATTGTGCCAGGCACGATATTGATCTTGTGCTCTTTCGCCAGTTCCTGATACTTGGCAACATACTCATATGCAGTAACAGCCAGCTTAGCGAATCCTGGATCGTGAGGGACCCATCCGCTTAGATGATACTCTGGCAGCACGGCCAGCGATGCGCCCTGAGAAGCAGCTTCCCGGATATGGGTCGCCGCAGCCTGGAAATTAGTCTCTGGATCCAGAGGCTGCACAGCGTCAGTCGTCATCGGGGCGTGAACGGCAGTGTCGCCATTGACAGAAAAACACACGTAGGCCTACCTTTGGACATATCTGAATCACAGCGATCTTCACCTTAGCCGCAACCTCCTCGTAAGATGTCGCCATGGCCTTCTAACAATCGTATTAGGTCGCTGTGAACACAACTTTTGATAAATCCTCCATTCGATGGGTGGTACCAAGATACATGGGCGGCAGAATTGGAGACCGGATGACGGTGCCAAGATTTCGACTTACCCCACGCGCCCAACTTTTTGCGACCACACCAGCGAGTGCACAACATACTGTCTAGGCGGCTTTCAAGTTGTTCTTGGAACGACACGAATTGAAATTGTGATCTGTGACGGCGTTGCATACTCCTGCGAACTCTCGACGCCGAAGGACCTATCACACCCTTCAACATGGCCTACGTCAATGGCAACCGACCAGTCGAATTCGACGACGATGACCGCGATGAGGAGGCCCTCGTGGCCGACTATCAGGAACAAGTCAACTATGAAGGTGGCGAGGGACTCGAACGTGGGGACAGTCTCGGTGGCCCAGCAGATTTAAGAGCACAACTCGAAGCAGCGGCTGCACCTTTAGAGTACCAGGCTTGTACGTATACCTACGAACGAAGCGGGCGAGACATCAAACTCCCGGTTCTGGCTCTTCCTGATACCTGTTCATTCTAACAATCGAAACAGCGCTCGAAACGAAATTCTCGTCGTACGATAACTACTGCTCACTATTCCACTACATTCTCAATTCAGAAGGCCCCGTCGACATCGAGCAGCCCTCATATTACTGGGCCTGGGATGTGATCGACGAATTTATCTACCAATTCGAGTCCTTCTGTCGCTATCGCAATCGCGTAGCCCGCACGAACCCCGGCGATGAAGAAGCCCAGATTCTCCGCGAGAACCCAAACACCTGGGGTTGCTACTCCGTCCTCAACGTCCTCTACTCCCTCATCCAGCGCTCCCAAATCAACGAGCAGCTCGCAGCCCAGAAGCGCAATGAAGACCCCGCAAACGTCGCTGGCGAGTACGGCTCCCGTCCTATGTACCGCATGCTCGGCTACTTCTCCATCATCGGCCTCCTCCGAGTCCACTGCCTACTGGGCGACTTCAGCCTGGCGCTCAAAACCCTCGACGACATCGAGATGAACAAGAAAGCCATGTTCGCCCGCGTCATGGCCGCCCACCTCAACACCTACTACTACGTCGCTTCAGCTACATGATGCTACGCCGTTACGCCGACGCCGTGCGCATGTTCAGCCACATCCTCGTCTACGTTTCCCGTACCAAGAATTTCCAAAAGGGCGGCAATCAACAAAGTGGCTACGACGCTATCGCCAAGAAGACCGAACAGATGTACGCGCTCATCGCCATCTGCGTCTCCTTCGCACCTACCCGCCTCGATGACACGATCCACACCGTCCTCCGCGAGAAATACGGCGACAAGTTTAACAAACTCCAGCGCGGCGGTCCAGATTCGCTCCCCGTCTACCGCGAGCTCTTTCAAACCGCCTGCCCCAAATTCATCTCCCCCACCCCGCCAGACTTTGACAACCCGAGCCTCAACATCGATCCCGTCGAGCACCACACCGAGATCTTCATGGACGAAGTCAAAAACACCCTCTTCAACCCCACTGTGAAATCATATCTCAAGCTCTACACGACCATGGACCTGAAGAAACTCAGCAGTTTCCTGGATGTCGAGCCGGAGAAGCTGCGCAGCTGGCTTCTGGTGAATAAGCAGCGAAGCAGGCAGATTCGGTGGACGGAGGGCGGGTTGTTGGATGGAGAGGTTGTGAATGGAAGCGAGCTAGATTATGCGGTTGAGGGGGATCTGATTCACATCAGTGAGGCGAAGCAAGGAAGGAGGCTTGTGGATTGGTATCTGAGGAACTTGGCGAGGGCATATTGAGTGAAGAGACCGGAAAATTGGCGTGATCGCGGCCGAGAGAGGATCGTTCGAGATCGTGTGTGCTGCTACCGTTCGGCGTCGACCTGTGTCTGGGGGTGACCTGGTCAGTCGCGGAGGAATGATGCGTCAACCGGTCCGCCAGGAGCGCACAGCAGCTACCTATCTGGGTTGGTAATCACGACTTCGTCACGTCCGCTGTGTGAAGGAACACGGCTATTGTGAGCGGCTATGGCACAGCGCACGACGGATGTTGACTACCCACGTCGAAAGCAGGCCCCGAAGTTTCGAGGCCACATCCATGATATTCCAAATATATCTGAGGCTACACGACATATGTCAATTGTCACGGCTGGACCTGCCGCGCTCAGTAGGAGCCAAGCTGAGAACACTTGTTCCTGGTCGAGAACTCGGACTTCGGACCATTCCTCAATGTGTGCCTTATTTTCTGAAGAGCCGCGATCGTGAGCGAAGCTGGAGATGTCGAAGTTGGGCGCCAAGGAAGGCACGACGTTCGGCGGTTAGCTGAGACTGCCACTTCACAGCAAAAGAAGCACTGGCTGATACACAGATATCGGCTTTCAATAGTCAATTTACGAGAGGACTGCAAGAACTCCTCGATCCTGCATGACTGACTCGCTCAGCCCTGTTGTTGCTGCCAGCCCGACATATCTGACTCAACTTGGTGCAAGCGTAGGTGTGTTGTATTTCATGCGAGTTTAATTCCGCCACTAGGATCCACATGGTGTAGCACAACCGCAATGTGCGAGTTTAGCTACCACTTCGCACTGTGTTACCTCACTTGTCGTGGATGTCGCTCTCGAACGGTTGCCAGCGACGCCACATAACCTTGAGCTGCGGTTCCCGGTGTTGGTCCACGGGCTGCGGACTCTGGGCGTGAGCGGAAGACGAGGACTGAGTTGACCTGAGTGTGTATCGACGACTTTGCGTGACCTCTGCTGATCTTGCGATGACACAATGGGCATCACCTGGTATCAAGAACGTGACTTCCCTCAGGGCCTTCAATGGTCCCCTTTGCCCAGCCATCTCTAGCTGCTCGAAAGCAACATCTGCCTCCGCCTGATCCACCACCAGTATCCCCATTTCCGTGAGGTGATTCATCGTGACTGCAGCTTCAATGATGTCCCTCCTTGCAGCCTCGGGAAATGCCAAGGTAAGTCTTATCAGCTGTGCTGTCGCCCTCAGTAGACTCTTCATCGCGTCCACCGCAGCCCCCGAGATCACATGCAGCGAGCCAACCGTCAATCGCTTGAGGTGGGGACCATGTTTCACCGCAATAGCATCGAACATCTCCGTTGTGAGGAAAGGGGACTTGTCCTTTGTTGCTTCAGGCGGGTCCATGATCATGAGCACTCTCAATGGTTGCATTCTCGCTATGACCCTCGGTGTGATACTTTGCATCGGGTCTCCACCGCAGTGAAAGAAAGGCTCGCGCATGATGTTGCCGGAAGGATGGATGTGCAGTTCTTGCAGACTTGACATCCGGGTGAACGCCAGTTCTGTTCCCTCCGGAGTGCTGTGCGAGAAGCCGGAAATCCGCAAGTGAGTCAGCTTGTGAAGGTTCGGTACTCGGTCGAGGTAATAGTTGTCGATGTTTAGCGAGAGTTGTATTATGTTGGGTAAGTTGACGATGGAGTCCAGCACGCCTTCCGCCAGCAGTAAAGGCGCACTATTGGCCAATGGCTCGTACGGTCTGGCCAGTGTTATTGAGGCTAAGGCTTGAAGCTGCGAGAGAGCTTTGTCGAGGCGTTGTATTTCTGTTGTGTACGGATCGGCCACGTTCTTAGTATGACCGGTGAGGAGAAGCCTTGTAAGAAAAGGACGCATAGAGTCCGGGTCGAGATCTGTGAGAGCGAGTACCAGGGTGTTAAATCGGGGTGAGCTGCTCATGTGGACAGCGCGCGATGAATTGGACCAGTCTTTTCTGAGACCGAAACGCAATTGGTCGAGCCATGAAGGATGCAATAGCCTCCTTGTATACTGCTCGGCAGGTGCAAAGAAGCTCAGATGGTCGTTTCTGGAAAGTGATGCTACTTCCTGGAATATTTGCTGACGGACCTCCGATGGAAGGCCCATGAACTGCCAAGCAGCACCAGTGAGACTGATCGAGCGAGGCCGTGAACAAGCAAGCTCTGTCATGGTGTAGACCTGGGATTGCATCGTGGTGTATCGTGGAATTGGTGGATCGACAAAACTGGCCCGCGGTAACCGGGCGAGGGCTCGCAGTCGGACGATATATGATCCTCATCATACATATAGATCATGAGGTTGCGGCTGGTGAAAATATGAATTGTGTCTGAGATTCCAGCCAATTGCTGCCGACTGAACCTCAGACGGCAGCTGTGATCGCCTGGGCTTTCGGCGGCAAGAACGTGTTTTCTCAGCGGAGCTGGAATCATTCCTCGATCCATGAGGACTTACTGTCTCCTGCGAAGCCACCCACGCAGGTGTGACAGGGCCGAACGGCAGACGACCGGGCAGCCTCTCCTCAGCATGGCCCAGCAGCAACCGCAAGCGGACCAAAGAACCTCTGTCCCTGACGCATACGAGTTGGTGGCTTTATCCTGTCTTCGCAATATGGCTGGAAAGTCGGACGAACTTTCCGAATTAAGTACACTTGAGCATATTTGGAACGTGATCGATCCATGTGGTCGCCATGACCTCGTATGTATGCCATTCCAGCTACGCACGTGGCTTTGAAGGGGCGCTCCAATGTCCGCTGTCGATCCTACGAAAGGACAGAGTGCCAGCCTGATGAGGCCGGAGGCGTACGTTGTGTGGATGCATCGATAATGATGAGCCAATAGCCGCATGCATGTCCTTCGTGCCAGGATTAATTGAGTGAGGGAGCATGTCTCTGCGAACGGCGGCGCGTTGCGTAGATCGTGGCTAGCGCCAACATCCTGCAGGGCTGGTAAGCGAGTGGTAAAGGTCGGACCCAGAATATCGGATACTGCAGCTGTTTGTGCTGAGCAGCACTGTGATTTGCATTGTTTGAACAAGGCAAAAGCAACTCGTACGCCGTACCTTAGAAGTCGCCAGCGAGCATGCGTTCTGCACTGCTGCCCGACTCGAGGTCAACTGTCCGGCGCAGCGATAGGCGAGAGAACTGGAAGCCATGCTGGTCAGTGCTGCTACATAGACGGCAGCCGTAGGGATGGACCCGCGATCGTCGAGGTTGACATCTAGCCACGTGAAATGCATGATATACGAGCTGTCAGATTTAGCCTGCGCCCAAGTGACAGGGTTCTGACACGTGGCGAATGTCTCTCAACCAATCCAATGTTCTGTTTCTTGTGAAGGTATCCGAAACTGGCTGAGGAAACGAGCAATGCAAGGTTCTAGGCCACGTGGAATCGATGGAAAGCAGCGATTCTGGCGTCGCTACCCAACACAGCAGCAGCTACTGACAGCTTTTGGCGCCACATCGACAGGAATGTACTGTACGGGTGTCGCACCTGACTTACTCGAGAGCAATGAGGTCGAAGGGCAAGCCCAGCTCGCAGCGATGGTCAGTGTTTCGTGGCGAGGCGTTCGGCAAGGAAAGTGCCACCTTCATGATCGGTAGGTCCATGGCTTCCTTCCAGGGTTAGCATGGATGGCTCATTAAGCGCAGAATACCTCATCGGAGTCGTCCGAGACATGAAGTCCGCCTCAGGAGCAATACGACACGCGACGCCGGATATCTTGGTCGGGAAGACATTTTGATGGAAAGCGCTCAGTTCTGATATTCTCAATGCTGTTCAGCACGCCATGCAGCTCCTTCCGCTCGTTGCAAGTATAGATACAGAAGCTCGCTTTTAAAGTCAGACCAAAGTCCTCCCAAGCCAGAGTCCTCCCAAGAACGACCGTGCACACCGTTTGTCAATGCCTGGGATATTCAACGATTTAGACCCGCATAAGCTTGGCGGCGTATCCAGTTATGGTATCGATCTGTGGGAAACTCATTTCTTCCAATTTCTGAGCATACGGCGTAGGTACCTCTGCACCCGTGACCCGGACTGCTGGCGCCTTGAGATAATCGAAAGCATACTCCATGGTCAAGGCAAGAATTTCGGAGGCAACACCGAAGGCAGGGAAACCTGATTCGACAGCCATCAAGTGACCGGTCTTCTTGACCGACTTAACGATAGCCTCCACGTCGAGTGGCTTCACGGACCGAAGGTTGATGACTTCAGCCTCGACGCCGTATTTCTGTTTCAATTGATCGGCAGCTTCCAGTGCCTGACCGACGCATCGGGATAGCGTTACGATGGTCAGATCGCTGCCGGCACGCTCAACCTTGGCTTTGCCGAAGGGCAGGACGAAATCGCTCTTAAGAGCTTCCTCACTCATCGGGAAGGCTTGACCGTATAGCAGTCTGATGTGTTAGTAGATTTATCCATGGATGCCAGCGCAGTCACTCACTCATTTTCAAGCACAACGACCGGGTTGGGGTCACGGATAGCTGCCTTTAGTAGCCCTTTGGCATCCTCGGCACTCCAAGGCGCCACAACCTTGAGACCTGGGATCGAGCCGTACCACGCTGAGTAGTCTTGAGAGTGCTGAGCCGCCACACCGGCAGCAAAGCCATTGGGACCTCGGAATGTGATATTGCAGGGCTGAATGCCTCCAGACATGTAGTGCGTCTTTGCCGCCGAGTTGATGACTTGATCAATCGCTTGCATGGCAAAGTTGAACGTCATGAACCTAACGATCCTGGTTAGTGGTGACTCCTCGTGTGCGTGACTTCAGAGTGCTTACTCGCAGATAGGATGTAGTCCGGCGAGGGCAGCACCAACTGCTAAGCCGCAGAACCCGGACTCGGTGATGGGAGTGTCGATAACCCGCTTGGGACCGAACTTATCTAGTAGGCCCTTTGTGACTTTGTATGCCCCGTTATACTGCGCTACCTCCTCTCCCAGTATGAAGACCTTGTCGTTGGACTCGAGCTCCTCCGCTAATGCTTCGTTGAGCGCATCACGGACAGTGACGGTTTGTGTCTGGCTGGCATAGCTCCGTATCGAGGAAGACGCTGAAAGGGCAGCCCTGCGGACTGACCGAGACACTGTGCGAGGAAAGGTAGGCTGAGAGACGAGCCTTGAGGCAGGCCGCAAGAGTCTGGCTGCGGACATATTGGGATGTCGTGATTAAGGCAGGGCGATTAGGAGGTCGCAGCGATGAAGTCCAAATGGTCTGCAAGGCGTCAAGCAACAGTGACGGACGGCGTCAGCTACAGCGAAGTTCCGGCACCTAAGAGAAGGAAAGAGTGACTGGCGGCGGAGGAAGGAGGATGAGTGTTGGCTATGTCTGTGTCGGGATCTGCTGTCTCTACACTTTTTGGTTGGGAGAGCTCCAAATCCAAGGTTCGCGACCAACCCTAACCCTCATCAACAAGCACGCTCCTTTGTCTCTACAATGCCTACAAGCCCATGTTCTTTGTCTCTGTTCTGCTCTCCTTCGGTCTTGACTATTATTCTCTGAGAGATGATATGTGTAAAGTCAACCTCGCCGCGGTAGTGCTACTGTTAGGAGTGGTGTCTGCAGGACAGCCAACCGCTCCTGACCCGTATGAGGCGCCACTCAGGGATCTAACGTTCGGCCAGCTCAATTTCCTCCACACAACAGATACCCATGGCTGGCACGCCGGACATTTGCTGGAGAAGTCATACAGCGCTGACTGGGGCGACTATGTGGATTTTGCCGATCGCTTAAGGGAGCGTCTGGAGGACGATGCCAAGGATCTACTCCTCATCGATACTGGTGATCGGATAGAGGGCAACGGTCTATACGATGCTTCATCTCCTAGGGGCAAGTACACATTTGACATCTTCAAGGAGCAGCAGATAGACCTGATATGTTCAGGTAACCATGAGCTGTATAAAGCGTCGTCCGCCCTCGACGAGCATCATATCACTGTTCCAGATTTCAATGATGCCTATTTGGCTTCCAATCTGGATATCCTGGATCCCGAGACAGGTGCCTTCGTGCCGCTGGCAGCTAAATGGAAGAAGTTCGCCACAAAGAAGCAGGGCATTCGAGTCATGTCCTTCGGGTTTATCTACGATTTCACACGAAACTCCAACAATACCCGTGTTCAACCCGTTGAGGACACCCTGAGGGAGACCTGGTTTCAGGACGCTATCCGTGATGAAGAGGTTGACCTGTTCATCGTCATTGGCCACGCCGCAGTCCGGTCAGACGAGTTCAGCGCCATCTATAAAGAGATCCGGTCCGCACGTTGGGATACACCCATCCAATTCTTTGGCGGCCATTTTCATATCCGCGACTACAAGAAATTCGATGCTGCTGCCTACGGTCTAGCTTCTGGTCGATTTATGGAGACCATAGGATTCCAGAGTATCAACGGCTTGTCAACGAATGATTTCGAACGGCAAAGAACCCCAACCTTCTCCAGACGCTATATTGACAACAACTTGTACTCTTTCTATCACCATTCGGGACACAATGCAAGCACCTTTCATTCTAAGAAAGGTCGGCATGTATCCAAACTTATACAAAAGTCAAGGTCTGCTCTTGACCTCGATCACGTGTACGGATGTGCCACCGATGACCTTTGGATGAGCCGAAGCCCGTACCCAAGCAACTCTAGTATTTTCAGCTGGCTCGAAGAGCAAGTCCTGCCGGTGATTGCCAATGAGACCTCGCGCAGTCACAAGGCGCGCTTCGTGCTCCTGAACACAGGAGCCATTCGATTCGACATTTTCAAAGGTCCATTCACCAGAGATTCAACCTTCATTGTTTCTCCGTTCACAAGCTCGTTGCGAGTCTTACCGGACGTGCCGTATGGAAAAGCCAAACAGCTCATCAAGATTCTCAATTCAGCTGGCCAGATCTTTTCGCAGGTCACGGACAAAAAGCTCGATCTTCGCGACCTTGCTCCTGCTAGCCAGCACACCGTTGACTCGACCAGCGATTCGACTAGAGCCTCGCAGATCGTCCAGTCGAACGAGGTACAACGCGTTCTTATTGGGCATGCTGACACTAGTGCTTTGACATCCTCCGTCACGCTTCAGCCTGGTTACACCACAAGCGATGACGCCGGCAAGGACGGCGATGACACTATCCATTCGACAATCGACTTTTATCGCGTGCCAAATGTTATCCAAAGCTTTGTTAACAGCACCAGCAACCCTCTTTCTGACGAGGACACAGTGGATGTTGTCTTCAACGAGTTCATCCAGCCTTATCTGCTGCTAGCACTCCGCTTCGTGGGCCAAATTTATGAGGACGGTGATACCAAGACCTACCTGAAGGGCACGAGTTTTACAAAGCTACTATCGGAGTGGATAGTGGATAACTGGGGGAAGAACTGCTGAGGCTCTTAACGCTGTATATCAAGGTAGATTCAGACCTAGGCAATGTGAATCGATGCCGAACGATCGAAGAATGGAATCCTAGGCGCGTATTTCCCCACTCCAGAGTAGAAAGCCCTGGAGAGCAGTCTTGGGAGGTAATTTCCACGTGCTCCTGCAGTTGGAGAAAGTTTTGCAACATTCAACATCCGATGGGCATGAGTCTTGCATCTATCGTACGATCATCATCCACCCGAACAGTCCTCAACACGATTGCTCCTGTAACTGACTACTCCTGCTTCAATCTAGCACAAGTACGGCTCTTTCCTCCTCACATTGGGCACACAATCTCTTCCCTTCGCCATGACTTTGTTTCTCTGAAAATGTCGAACTCGTCCTTGCCACAGCATGCGTGGTGGACGGCTTCGTGCCACAACTCTCAGATGCAGCGGTCGACCTGTTGTCAACGCCTCCTGGACGTCGCGTGGGCTAAAGCGCCGGCAAATTCAACGCAACGGAAGTACATTTACTCGTAGCGCTTCATCCGCCCAGGGACTACAGTGGCGTATACCAAGCCGTCGAAATTCGCAACTGCTTCCGACTCTACGGGCAAATTCCTTTCACATCAGGTCAATCGCGACACAGGCTGTCGAGGTCGAGCGCGTAGCCGAAGATGAAGGCGGGTACGAGCAGGATCCCGAAAGAGATGGAGTGCGACCACCCAGAGACCTCGATTCGTATAAACTGCTAGAACTAGCCCTGGACCGAAAACGTGCTCCTAGCGGATCGGATCCCCGCCAGTCTACTGCGTCAGGACCTCCACCGAAAAGCCACGCTCAACGTGTGACTGAAGCTCAGAACAAAACCTATACCGGGGTCATCCCTCCCAATGTATTTCCCCAGATTGTGCGAGCCATCCGCTCTGCAAGAGTACAGGGCTTGCCTGATCAGACGGGTGGACTTGTGGGCGAGAGTGAGAAAGTCTCGGCAGACGAAAGAGCTGCTCCAGTCCCAATAAACAAATTCAGTGTACGGCGGCTCAAAGAGGGAGCTTCTATGAGAGCTAGTCGAGAATGGGCCTGGCAACAGACACATCCAAAGTATCTCGCCAAACGCGAAGCGCGCCGCAAGCTGCCAATAATGGCCGCGAGTCGCGACAGAGAGATCATGGCAGCTCTGACCAAAGCCGATGTTCTCATCATCCCTGGCGAAACAGGGTCAGGCAAATCCACCCAGGTACCACAGATAATCCTCGACTGGGCTACAGAACGCGGTCGCGCGGGCTTTACAAACGTCATCAGTGCTCAGCCTCGACGTCTTTCAGCCAAGTCCATTGCAGCTCGAGTAGCTTTCGAACGAAACGAGGAAGTTGGGGACCGAGTCGGTCATCAAGTTCGATTTGACAGAGAGGCGCCGCGGTCTTATGGCGTCGGCAGCATTCTCTTCTGCACCACTGGTGTCTTGTGGAATACACTGACATATCAGAACGAGTCATTTTACGACAACTACACGCATGTCATCCTTGACGAAGTCCACATGAGGACTGCTGAGATGGACATATTGCTCCTGACCCTGAGGAATGAACTTTTCAAACGGCGCGCAGCTGGTCAGCCGTGCCCGAAGCTGATTCTAATGTCGGCGACAATCGATACGCAGAAGTTTGTGGACTATTTCACCGTGCCTGGCAATGAGAGCGCCTCGTTTCGTACGAGCGTTTACTACGTGCCCGGCCGAACATATCCAGTTGTCTCGCAGTATCTCGAGGATATGTTGCCAGCCTGAAGAAAACCAAGCCAGCCATGCCGCTCCTTTCGAGTAATGCTTGCAAGGACTACTTCACTGCCGTGGGACTAGGTGACAGCCAGGCCAACACAGTGGACTCCGCAGAGAAGCCTTGTCCGGCAATGCAGGAAGGTTCGGCGCCAGTCGCAAACCTCCGAACGTCGCTGGGCCACGAGCATTCTGGGGAAGCCGAAGACGAAGATTCAGAATATGTTACAGTGCCGCCTGCCCTCGTCGCTGCTGCAGTTGTACATCTTCTCGAAACGACTACGACCGGTGACATTTTGGTCTTTCTTCCAGGCATGGCTGACATAGAGGAAACGGTAGAGATCCTTGAGCGGCCTCAGTCCGTCGATGGGCCCGCGACTTCATCCCTTCTCGGATTCAAGATATTTAAGCTGCACTCACTTCTCAGCGACACCAACGGCGATGTTTTCAACGATGTGCCTTCGGGCGAGCGACGTGTCATCCTTTCAACTAATATCGCAGAAACGTCGATCACGCTGCCCGGAGTGAGACATGTTATCGATACCGGAACAAGCAAAGACCTTATACTGGATCATAGCAATGGCAGTGAATCGTTGTTGTGCACCTGGATTGATCAGCAAAGTCAGCGGCAACGTCGTGGAAGAGCAGGTCGCACTAGCCCAGGCAACTTTTACGCGTTGTATACCAAATCCAAGAGCGAAAGTCTCCCCGAGTATCCCCAACCAGAACTACACCGGCGGGATTTGACGGATGTCTTGCTCAGGTTGAAGTTGAACGGTAGTACGCATGGCATTGAAGAATTGCTTTCTATGGCTCCTGATCCGCCGCCCGCACGGAATGTGCAAGAGGCAATCCATGAGATGAAGCGATTGGGGGCTCTGTCAAACGACGATAAGCTAACGCCATTGGGCCGCGTACTGTCGCAACTACCGGTTGCCCCACGCGCCGCCAAGGCCTTGTTGTTGGGCATACTGTTCCGGTGCTTTGAGCCCATGCTGATCGCTGCTGCTGCTATGAGTCAACCACATCTGATACAAAACAAAGAAGGAACTGCCAGAGAAGCGCGCACAGCACGAAGGGGTTATGCTGCCACGTCTGACAGCGACACCATCTCGATTATCAACGCGGTCAAGAAATGCCGCGAGGATAAGACCGTCGAAGACGTGTTCGGATTGGGGCGACGTGCAATCTTTGACCTGAATGCCGAGGTACAGGCACTTTGCAATACGCTCACTCGCATGGGATTGCTTCCCAGGTTCCCTATGCCCCATGCTGGTGCTTTCCCTTCGCTGCCGCCGGAGCTCAGTGTCAACGCGCACAGCATTCCGCTTATCAAGGCTTTGCTTGGATTCACCATCGAACCGGAGACTGCAGTGTGCGTGACGAAATCCAAATACGTTGGCAGGCAAGGCTTCGTTGTGCCACATAGAACAGGGGTAAACTTTCCCGGGGGCAACTCGGAGCTGCTTGAAAATGAGGGGCGCGTGTACGAGCAAGGTGATCTGGCAAGCTACTCGTACGCGAGTAATAAGGGCGCAGACTTCACGAACATGATGCAGACGAGCATGATGACTCATATGGCCGCGCTCCTTACTTGCCAGAATGTGTCCGTTTCCACTGAGGACGCGTCGATGGTCATTGATGAGACGATCAAAGTGAAGCTGGACTTCCTACAAGACTCATCCGCTCTGACGCCGTCTCAGAAAACGATGCTACTGCACGAGTATCGTAAAATGATCGAGCGCTTCCTGCATCTTGCTTGGGCCACGTTGGATCAGGCTGTCCTGGAAGACAAATACTACAAGGCTAGCGTCGTTGTGCCAGTCAGTATGTTTGCAGGCGAGAACGCACTCCGGGACGCTGTGGTACAAGGGTTTCTCGACGTACTTTCGGCAGATGCTGAAGCGCATGAGATTATGCTTGCCGACCGCCGCGTCGAAGGCATGTCTCGGGCCCGTGCCAAAGCGGAGATAAAGCAACAAAAAGCGACCCAAAAGTCGGCCGAGGATGTCTACAAGGAGTCGTTTCTTGGAAAGCTCATGGCAAGTCAGAAGCAGGAACTGCCAGCCCTAGACCGACAAAACGCGGTGATCAATAGCGCAGCCCCCGAAGAGCCGGCCTGGCTTGAGGGGGCGCAACAAACAATGAGAAGGACGGATGCCACCCGAAGGGGCGACTCATTGCCAACGAGGACCAAGGGGCGGGGACAAATGACCCGCCTTGAGGCAGCGATGTCTCCCCCACGGGGATGAGCAGAGATGAGACTAGAGCGGGAGCAGAGAGTGAAGAGTACTGATGGCTGCCAAAGCGCCCAGAGGAAATCGTCTCTTGCGCAACCCATGACGGGTGAGAAACTTGAGAAGATGACTGAAGCTCGAAGTCAAACAGGACCTAGAATTCTTGTGTACAGTATGCAGCGGAGCGCCATGGAACATCGTCGACTCAGGACGATCTATAACGATGAGAGCATTGTACAAAATGAGTTTATACGACAGCCTATGATCATTTTGGCCACTTTGTAAATGTGGGCGTCATACATAGAAAACACTTTCCTCCACTATTCAGCGGCTGTGGACAGGTAGCAAGGCGAGCGAGAGGGCATAGCTCATGAGTCTCTGGATGGCTTTAATCTGGCAGAGGTGATAGGATTGAAGCGAGGCTCATTCGAGCGTCAGTGCAAAAGATAGGTATCTCGTAGATTTTCTGGCCAGGGAGGGCGCTGTAGGAAAAAAGCTGCCAAGATATGACGTGTTTCAAATCGAGAGCTGCCAGTGATGTGGGGGCTTACCCAGGCCAACCTCTCCGATTCGTCATAGCGCCCGCCCCGTAGCAATAGGCAACCGCTTTCCGATCGCATCCATTTCATCACATATTCATCACCTCCATCTACTCTACCTCTTTCAAAATTACCCCCAGGGAGGCCTCTGCATCGAAAAATCCAGTCGCCCAAAATGAAGACAACCACCGCGCTCGCAGCCCTCGTCGGCACCGCCGCTGCCGGCGTGCACAAGATGAAGCTCGAAAAGGTCCCTCTCGAGCAGCAGCTCTCAGCTGCTAGCATCAATGACCACGTCAACGCTCTGCGCCATAAGTACACCCAGAAGCTCCTCGGCGGCCCTTCTGAGGACATCTTCCGCCACACAGCGATCGATCTGGAGAAAGGGCCGCACGAAGTACCTATCGAGAACTTCCTGAATGCTCAATGTAAGCTTCAGAGCCCTCCCCGACGTGGTAAGCAATGCTAACCCACTCCTATAGACTTCTCTACCATCGCCCTCGGAACTCCCGCACAAGAGTTCAAGGTCATCCTCGACACCGGAAGCAGCAACCTCTGGGTCCCAAGCTCCGAGTGCGGCAGCATCGCGTGCTACCTGCATCAGAAGTATGATTCATCCTCTTCGTCGACATTCAAGAAGAACGGCTCCGAATTCGGCATTAGATACGGGTCAGGAGAGGTGTCGGGCTTCATCTCGCGCGATACAATGCAGATAGGCGATCTGAAGGTTAAGGACCAGCTGTTCGGCGAAGTCACCAACGAGCCAGGTCTTGCATTTGCCTTCGGCCGATTCGATGGCATTCTCGGGCTGGGCTACGACACGATCGCGGTCAACAAGGTTCCGCCTCCATTCTACGAGATGGTCAACCAGAAGCTGCTGGACGAGCCTGTCTTTGCGTTCTATCTCGGCGACACCAACTCTGGCGAGGAGTCCGCTGTGACCTTCGGCGGCGTGGATAAGAGCCACTACACTGGCAAGCTCACCAAGATCCCTCTCCGTCGCAAGGCCTACTGGGAAGTCAACCTTGACGCCATTACCTTTGGGGAAGACAGCGCCGACCTGGAGAACACCGGCGCTATCCTCGACACGGGCACGTCCCTCATCGCCCTGCCCAGCACTCTTGCCGACCTGTTGAACGCCAAGATTGGCGCTAAGAAGGGCTTCAACGGACAGTACACGGTCGACTGCAGCAAGCGCGACAGCGCGCCAGATATGACCTTCACTCTCTCCGGCTACAACTTCTCCATCACCGCTAAGGACTACATCATGGATGTGCAGGGCTCCTGCATTTCCGCTTTCATGGGCATCGATTTGCCAGAACCAGTTGGTAAGTCATTTTTCGGGCCAGGGAGGGCGCTGTAGAGCCTGATGATGTTTGGCAATTGAGAAGGGTTTCTGAGACGAGCCTCACTTGAGCGTCACCGCGCAAGATCTGTGCCTCAAATTTTTCATGCCAGGGCGGACGCTGGTCGAAAAGTCGATTGTCATGGAATCATTGCTAACCAATCTTGCAGGACCACTCGCTATTCTCGGAGATACGTTCCTCCGCCCTTGGTACAGCGTCTACGACCTCGGCAGCGACTCCGTTGCCCTCGCTCGCGCGGCTTAAAGAGTTGCGAATCTGGCTGGGAAGGACTCTGTGGGGTTTGTGGAGGAAGTTGATGTCAATGATGTTGAGGACGATTAACAGTCTTAGAATCACCTCCAGGGAGGCCTCTGTATCATAAGATCGAATTGCCAGGCCAAAAGTCCGCTTCTACTTGTCTCTTACTTGACTGTCACTTCGGCGTCACTGACCGAAAATCACAGCTCGATTTCTCTGTGCCAGGGAGGGCTCTGTGTAAAGAATGAATTGGACTGCAAGGATGAAAATTGTACAGCATATTCATTCAGTATCGCTGGTAAGGGCGCTTAGACAGCGCCCTCCCTGGCCAAGTCTTCCATCATGATTCTGTTCCTACGGAGTGACGCTTGGGTGACGCTCATCCCAAGCCTGCCCATTGAGTATTGATAGCACCCCAATCTTGGACCAGCAGCGCCCTCTCTGACGGGGGCGGGCACGATCAATTATGCCTACCATGTGACGCTCCTCCTCCCAAGTATTATGGTTGGGGCACAAGACTGTATTTATGGATAGTTCGAGTTGTGTCTATCAATAACAAGACGTGCTGTGTACGCGGTTCAGGACTAGCCGCTGCATTGAGTGTCCATAGCTAGCTTGACATCGCCTCCCATACCTATCACCTGAGTGTCAGGGCTAGCTCCACAGGCCCCCGAATGACTAGTATTTGAGAGTCAAAGCTGGGTTGAAGTCGGCCTTTTCGTCGGTCGCTTGAGCAATATTGACTAGCAGCTCACCCGGGAGTATTTGCAGGCCAGGGAGGGCGCTGTGTCAATGAACCGCACATTCTGCTGATCCTTGACCTCATTAAAAGAGGCTCGTGAGCTTCAATAGCTGTCACGTGAGCTCATGGATTGCGGCCAACTCACTGCAAGGTTGACGGACTGCATAATGACGGCGACCGCGGCAACTGACGCCGGATACGAAATGAAGCTCAGACCATAGGCACGGTGACTGTACCTCGTGCACACTCATCAGTTTGGACAAAGGGAGTTATCGCCCGAGCTTTTACTGCTAGTGGGATTGTACCTGTTGTTGGAAAGGTGGGGTTGATCGCGACGCTACCCCTGCAGCAGATCATCTTGTTCGTTGTATAAATGCTTCCATGCCCCCAGTTCGGAAGGGGAGCTTAATTGCAGGCGGTTCGTGAACCGCGACTTCTCCAAATATTTTGTACCTCTTTCCTCCGCAAGTGACGACTGAGGAAGTTGCATAGTAGGTGACCTATTGTTGGGAGCAGTCACTTGCTCGCCCTTGTTTGCCACGAGTCTCGTTCCGAACCTCCTACGCGACGCGGTCGCTGCGCTTTTCGCATACTTGGAGTGACTTTCTACACTTCGAGCGAAGCATTTGAGTCGTTACGCTTTGCACGCGTGCATCGCGATCTTCCTGCTACATTTTTACAGAGTGCCTCGACGAAGCACTCTGATAGCCGCGAAAGACTCCGCAACCTCTTCGCAACGGCCTCACACAACCCAATGCGCTCCACATTGACCCTCCACCGTTCGAGATCACAATGCTCCTCCGCCTCCCCACAAGCCTACACTACCCAATCCGCATCACCGAGATTCACAAGCGCGTCGGCGAGTCCATAGTCCTCGGCGATCGGCTCTTCAGCTACACATACCGCACCAAAGTAACCGAGGGGCGGCGCGGCGAAGAGGAAGACCAATTAGTCGAGCGCGAATTCCCTGCCCACTTCTCCAGCACACTCGAAGGCACCATTACCGCATGGCATGTCTGGAATGGGGACACAATAGCCTTCCCACGAGATGTTGCCAAAGTCGAAGAAGATTGTACGCATGAAGTGCAGTTTAACGGGCTGTGCATAAACTGCGGGAAGGACCTTACGCAGGAGGCGTCCCCAACGGGTGGTGCGAGTAGTGGCATTGAGGCACGGGCGCCGATAGTGTTCGACCATGATACTACAGGTTTGACGATCAGTCAGGATGCGGCAAGAGCGATTGATGTGGAGAGTAAGCGGAGACTGTTGGCGGAGAAGAAGTTGAGTCTGGTGGTCGATCTAGATCAGACAATCATTCATGCCGCAGTGGATCCGACAATTGGGAAGTGGCAGCAAGACCCCGAGGATCCGAACCATGAGGCTGTCAAGAACGTGAGAAGTTTCCAGCTGTTCGACAATGCCCGAGCCGACTGGTACTATATCAAGCTCCGCCCGGGGCTGGAGGACTTCTTGGAGACTATCGCGAAAATGTATGAGATGCATATCTACACCGCGGGCACGAAGCAGTATGCGATACAGATCGCGAAGATTGTGGATCCGACTGGGAAGCTCTTTGGTGATAGGATTCTCAGCAGGGACGAGAGTGGGAGCGCCACTTCAAAGCATCTCGAGCGGTTGTTTCCGATTGATACAAAGATGGTGGTGATCATTGATGACAGAGGGGATGTGTGGAAGTACAGCGCAAATTTGGTACGGGTCACAGAGTTTCAGTTCTTCCCGGGGCAAGGGGACATCAACGCGAGCTTCCTGCCAAAGAGGGTGGGCGCGCCTGTTGGGGACGGGCAATCTCTGCCAGCAGCGGAGACAGCGGCGGTGGTGCAACCAGATGGAGAGGGCCGTGGTCAGCAGCCGAACGGTGTCGCAGAGGACGGGACGTCAACGGTACAGAACGGTACGTCTACTTTGGGCACGCTGCTGGCCATGAGTGGCAGCAACGATGCCGCAGTCCTTCAAGAACAGACCAGCTTGCAGGAGAAGACGATCGAGGCACAACTCGTTGAGAAGCCTCTGGAGAAGATGCAGCGTGAGCAGGACGAGAAGGACGCAGCAGCTGAGAACGGTGATGGCGAAGCACTACTCGGAGTGGCGCAAGAGTCCACGGGCGAGGCGGCCGAGTCACCGGGCGATCGAGAACCAACTCCGACGGACTCCGAATCAGGAGGAACGCCCAAGAAGCAACGGCACTCCATCCTCAAAGACAACGACGAAGAGCTTATACATCTTGAGGCCGCTCTTGCTAGGGTGCACAGCGCGTTCTACAAGGAGTGGGACCGCAAACGGCACAGTAAGGGCGGACGTGTCGCTGCGCTGGCTGGGGGTCGAAAGCCTCCGCTACCTGAGCCCGCTGCAGAAGAGGAAAATCTCGCCCTCGTCCCGGATATCAAGCGTATCCTGCCACCGATGAAGCTGCCTGTCCTGCGTGGCGTCACTATCGTCTTTTCTGGCGTTATTCAATTAGGCTTCGACATCCAAACTGCGGACATCTCCAATTGGGCGAGGAGCTTCGGCGCAACCATCCGCGACGACATCAGCGTGAAGTGACGCATCTCGTCGCAAGAAAGAATGGCACGGCGAAAGTGAAGAAGGCGAATCGCCGCGGCATCAAAGTAGTCAGTGAACGATGGTTGTTGGAGAGTATGCAGCAGTGGCGCAAGCTCGATGAGCGACCGTACCTGCTTGAGGGCGCAAGCAAGCCTGAGAGTATACCCGCCAGCAGTCCAGTCGCCGCTCCGCCGTCAGAGAATGGAGAAGCGGGCCATCATGGGATACCATTCGCGAATGACTTTCTGCTCAGCGACTCCGAGAACACGGATCTGAGCAGCGGGTCAGAAGATGATGAGGACGGATCCCGTGGATTGTCTCGACCGAGGAAGCGTCTTAAGCTCGAGACGGAAGATCTGGGGTTGGACGACGAGGATCTGGAAGAGTACACCCCGCCGACGCTCAACCAGGAGGAGTATGATAAAATCCAGGAGGAGTTGAGGGACTTCATGGGCAGTGATATGGAGAGTGGAGAGAGTGATACGGAGAGCGTGAGGAGTGAGTTGAGTGTACGGAGTCGGAAGCGGCGGAGGGTCGGTGAGGACGAAGAGGTTGTCACGAGTAATTCGTCGACAAATGGGGTCGGTGGATCGAGGTTGAAGGTTGCTTCGACGCCGAATCATCCCAGCCCGAGCGTGTTGAATGAAAGTTCGGCTACGACGACGGCATCAGCGGCGAATCCTGGCACGTCCTCACCAGCTTCGGGAGATGAAGATCGTCTCGAAAACGACCGCATAGCCGAAGACCAGGAGGCAGCAGAAGCACGAGATAGGCATGAGCAGGAAGTGGAAAGTGATAGTGATGACGAAGAGCAGCGGGAGCTGGAAGCGATGCTGGAAGGTGGGAGTGATTGGGATGGCTCTGATAACGAGGATGGAGACTTGGAGGGTTTGGGAGGGGCTTAGGGGACCCAGGGACATCGTTCTGGCAATTCTATCAACATTTTGGCCATATGTGTCTGAGTTGGTCAGAGCACTTCCAAGCCTGGTGAGCAGCGGCGGTCGGCAAGCAATGGGAGCATCAAGCGAGCGTTGCGCAGCATGTAGTGGTATTGAGAGCAACAAGCGGGCAAGCAAGCATAGCCTTTTCCTGCAACAGCGGTATGCGATCAGACCCTTCAGATGACCTGTCCTCCCTTACTGTCGACCGACTGATGTCGATCCTGCTGAGTCTGAGAACGTCGTATCCCCAAGCGCTGCTTCTCAAGTTCACGCGCGTATCCGAGGGCGGGGACGAACGAGGTGTTCCGTATATGGCATTCGAGGTAGAGTCTTCCCGATGCTCTGTGCGCAATCACAGTAAATGCTGGGAAATGTCCTTGCTACATTGGACCTCGAAAGAGAGCCTGCACTCTACTTAGTCCGCTGCTGTCTAATGTGGAGAGATGCATTGCATTGTACCCCTGATCGTACCGACGGCGCAGTAACGCTGATGAACATTGCACCTTTCGATCGCCGTTATGGAAGACAGGACAAAACCTTGGATTCCCTGCTCTGTAGCCATGGAGACCATCACAATCCCACACCGTCCCTGCTCACCCTTATACCTAGCCATTGAGACATCCTATCCGGATCCTGAGCCAACGCCAAACTCCACCACCGTTTCAATCAAGGCTTTTGGGATCAATCACGCCGAATAGTACATGTGTCTGGGCCAATGGCCTGAGTCGCGTGAGGTGCCAGGCATTGAGTGTGTCGGCATTGTGTCTGCATGCCCTTCAAGGAAGTTTCCTGTTGGGCAAAGGTGGCGGGCATCATGGGTGGCTTGGGGAGACCATTCAGGGGGGCTGCGCAGAGAAGGTGAATGTGCCGGATGGGAATGTGGTTTTATTGGAGGAGGCGGGAAACGGGATCAATGAGGAGGGCGTGGGAGGGTTGAGCTGGGCGGAGGTGGCGGCGATCCCGAAGAATCATGCTACGGCGTGGAGTGTGGTTAGCCAAAATCTCGAGGTCAAAGCTGGCGATAGGGATTTCGTCCGGGGAGTCAGCACCGCGGTCGGCACAGTGACTCTCAGCCTCGCTGCGAAGAGCATTGGTGCGCAGGTCTGGGGGACCACGAGGTAGAAAGCGCGCTTGCAGGCTCTGCTAGATCTTGGAGCAGAAGGAGCTATATTGGAAGGTCCAGGCCCGTCCGCTCGCCCCAAGGAGAAGGGCGTGGTGTTCGATGGGGTCCTCGACCTCATCGACAACAGCGTACTCCTGGACTCGCTCGAGATCCCGCGCCGCGGCGGTCGTGTCTGCCAAGCTGGGCTTCTGGGCGGACTGGGCCGGATCGAAGTCAACCCATTCTCGGATATGCCAAGCGGTGTGCACCTGTCCTTTTTCGGGAGTTTTGTCTATGGGATGCAGTGGTTTCCGTTGAGTGACGTGCCACTGGCGGGCATTGTGAGGGATGTTGCGAAGGGGAAGTGGGATGCGAAGCCGAGTGAGGTGTTCAGTTTTGAGGAGATTGGGGAGGCTCATAGGCATATGGAGGAGGGGAGTGCTGGTGGGAAGATGGTTGTTGTGGTGTGAGATCTCTCAATGGAGCTTGTAGCCTGTAGGGACTCGCGAATAGTACCTCATTGTCATCCTGCACGGTCCCAAACTCAATAAATTCCAAGGTTGTGTATCTGCGCTGACGAAAGCTGCTGGCTTGATCTTACCTTGTGCGTGGTAGTGGCTGTCATCGAGCCGTCGAACAAATGCTCCTTATCATTTCGAATACTTACTCGATACATAGCAAGCGCAGGTGCAGCCCAGGAAACTGATTTCGTTTCCCGCTCTTTCCCTCCTGAACACAAAAGCTAGTTCCGTTATTGCCCCTGGCTCAGCTACCAACGCTGAGGAAGCTGCCAGGGACCGCCATAGGCAGGTGAGAGCACGCATGCTACCGCTGCAGCCTGTCCCATGCCTGCGTAGGACGACTGTCAATTTTGCAATAGAACAATTTTGGGCTTAAATTCGGCTGAACGACACGTTCAAAGGGACAGAGGAAGTGAAAAAAAGCTCTCGAAGCTGTTGAGGAAGAGTGGGTCGCGGGGCTGATCAGATTTTAGCTATATATTTTCATCCACCAATTTTTTGCTCACAATTCATCGCGGAAACGCAACGAATTATGCCATGGTTGAATCATTCAACACGATGCTCAGCATCCTCCATGGCGCAATTGGCTAGCGCGTCTGACGTGAGTACTCACCAATACACACAGCAAGTCGTCCTTTCCTAACGATATCCTACAGTGTTAATCAGGAGGTTGGAAGTTCGAGCCTTCCTGGGGGAGTTTTCTTTTTGCTTCTTTGGCGATTGCTACCCGCGATTTGAGTTGCGCTGGGCTCCAGTGACTGCTGTATGCCCCTAAGCTCCAGGTCGAACCGTCATCGAGTCGAAAAAGTGGCGAGCAAAAATGTTTTGGTGTGCTTCGTGCCGAGCCTGAAGGCCAGAAAGCTTGGCGCTTGTGTATCTCTGTCGACGCTGCTGCCATGGCACACTCTCGTCTGCTGCGTCAACTGCACAGTACACAGAGACGAGCGACTGCTTCGCCGTACTCAGATGGCTTGCATCGGTGGCTGTGGGATCCTGGGCCGCAGCCTCAACAAACTACGAAATTCCTCCTGCGTCAAAGTCTCCTGCGAAGAGCTCACTGGCAGCTACGCTGAAGGGATCGAAGCATGACCCACATGCTTTCTGCTGTCAGATAGCTCCTGCTACTGGCGAATGGTAGGTCTTACTGTATTGCGATCATAGCTTGAGCATCTAGTCATCGGCTGTTTACCACGGGATTGTAGGTATGGCAATGTCCAAGTTTGTTCTACGATTGGGCTGTCAAGCAGGACACTGATAGGTGATCCTCATCTTTTGCTGGCTAATCCTCGCGCCATATGTGCGGCATGTGGCACCTGCCTGCGGGTTAAGTCGTGAGCGAGATAAAGAAAAGCATCTGGTTGGAGACCAGGATCAGGTTCCCCAGTCCTAATCGGGCTATATTGACACTACACGTCAATATGATAACGCGACGCGAACGCGAAACGCCCCAATGACTAACTAGTCCTGTTCGTAACAGACAGGCTGCGATTCGCTTCCAGGCCGATCTGTAACGCCAAGCAAGGTCTGTAGAGCAATAAGCAACTTTCCTCAATCTGCAGGCCTCCTGGAATGCATATGGATCCGCGGTTTCAACCGATAGCCGACCTTGATGTCTCAAAATCCCCTGCGGTTGCCGCGAGCAACAATCAGTAACGACGGCAACAGCTCTTTACCACATGCAAGAGCGGTGCTGCTGCCTGGATGTCACAAAAGTGACATGTCATATCCCAAGGTCTCTACGAAATTGATGGGACATAAAAGAGTGGTCGAACATCCATGATGGTCTATGAACCACAGTTCGACAGCACAACCTTCTGTCCTCATCAAGTCATCACACTGCAACCACAACGAAGACCGCTTGCCTATCATCATGGCAAATATCCCGACAGCCGGGGCTCCTGCCGTGCAAACCATGGCCTCACGAGCGCTGCTCCAACTGTCAGCCCAGCAAGCCTTCCAAGACTTCTCTGCCCTGCCACCAGGAGCCCAAGCTACTGTGTTCAAGGGACTCCTGAGCCAGCTACATAGCTTCCGACAGATGCCGTTGGTCGATCGTCACCTCGTCGTTGATCGACCTCATCGCGACGTGCCCGGACCCAGTGCATTCGAAGGCGCCCAAGCCTTCCGCAAGTCTTGGTCGTTTGGCGGCCCGGCTGATTACACCGAAGACTTCCCCCATCAACGTGGCACGCTTCACTGGAATTCTGACGACATGGACTTTTCCCGGTCGAATAAGGACCAACCGTTCCGCTACATACCAGAGTCCGAGCGGCAGGAGCGGTACAAAGGCAGTCACGACTGCAGCCTGCACTTCAGGAATGCTATCTCAAGTCCGCTCTTGTTCTATCGCCTGCGTGCTGCGTTCGGTCCTTGGGACGACAGTGACCTTGGCATTGACGGCGATCAGTCAGGCCGTGAGTGGCAGCTATGTCTGCTTTACACGCCCAGTCTCAGACAAGCAGATGAGGGATCTCATCCTTCTGGCAGGCTCCACTTTTACGATTACAGGGGAAAATGCTATGTGTACTTCGATGGCACTGTCGAGGTTTCGGACAAGGCGGTTGAATTGGTCAACTACCTTCTCAGCGACGAGTGTGTCCATGAGTGCGAGGAGACATTGACTGCTTGTTCTTCGCAGGACTGACAACATACTCTAGCACATACTCAGTCTTTGAGAAGCCACGGCGGAGAAGTCGTGAATGGAGGCAAGCATACTTGGTCGCAGGGAGTCAGCTGCGCGTCCGCGACACAGCTCTCTTCGCGCACTGTTTCGGGATAATGTTCAACGGCTTGTTAGTGAAATTATCAGATCTAAGTCTATAAAAAATTCTTTTCGAGAAAGGTGTGCGATATTATTTGATATAGGAGACATGGGTTTGTGACTTCCTGGTCAAGCCGAGCAACCAGCCAGTACACCATCGTAGGTGTGCGCACACTTAGGACCGACCAAATAATTGACCAGCTCTAGCGCGTTCTCCGAAGCTTCCTGAGACCCACCAAAGAAAACGCTACACCACCCCTTGAAGTCCTGGAAAAGGAGCCAGGATGGAGGCGCATCCTCAGAGGCGCCGTCCCCAGTGGTGGTCGCCGCCGCGTCAGCTTCCTTCTTGTAGACCAAATTCAAGTCCCAGCACGACTTGTAGCGCTCGGTCGCCTCGCAGCTTAGTGGCAGCGCTCCGAAAGTAGCGCACAGGCGATAAAGCAGTAGCTGGCTTGAGATACCATTGTTGAAGCGCAACGGCAGTTTCTTAACGACATCGAATCGCGCAGACATTTCGTCAAAGAACATATGGCGATACGGCTCATCCTCACTGAAGCGGATGATATCGGGCCCACCCTGCCAGTCGACCCCTCCCAGGAAACTCCTCGGAATCTCTTCGCGTACATAGGTGTCACTGTACTGCCAGGCCTGACGGAAAGCCTCCGCGGCCTCGCAGGGATCATGCACGTAGTCAGTGCCCTCCTCGAGACGGTGACAGTGGTTCAGGGCGACATGACGGTCTGCCGCAGGCAAGCGAGCGATGGATTGCTGAAGGTTTTCCTCTTTCTGCTGCAGCTCGCGGTGTTGGCTGAGCAGATCTCCAAAGAGGTTTGTTTGGGCTACTGGTGGGAGACCTGTGAAGCTTTGTTTCGCTTCTTCGATAGGGAGTTGTATTAGCACTGCTTGGGTGTTGAGGGCTTGCAAGGAAGTTGCGCCAGTAGTTGGTTCTTCGGCCATGATAATTTAGGGTTGTTTCTGTTACTTTTGAGCTGCTGTTTGATCAGGGGAGCGGGACAACCATTCATATACCTTACCACTTTATGATGGTCGCGGTCTGTGCGCTGTCAAGTCCGCGACATCCAGGCTGCAACATGTCTACCGTAGGCAGCAGAACCCCTTCTCTGTACATACAGATTATTCATGAATACGACTCAATGCACATGAGACATAGCAGTGGACATAACACTTCGCTGATCATCATTATAGGCTGCCGTTCAGGGTTGCAGCCCTGAGCACCCGTCATTTTGCAAGCGGCCGAAGGACCTTGAGCTGTCTTGATGAGGACATGGAGTAGCATTTAAGGCTGACGTTAAATGACAGGCTTCAGAGTCTAATGACGGCACGTGACGATAACTTTCCGCCGATCGTGCCTGCCTGCCAGTGGTCGGTGACTTCATCCTACAAAGCAGCCCATCCATGACAATTGTTACTGCCATCACAAACAAAAAGTCTTTAACACTCCATTCTTTCCCGGGCAACACTCAACATTCAAGATAGTCGCTATCAGCAGAGGCTTCTTCTGTTCCCTCCCTGCTATCCTCACACGACAACCATCTCGCTCCGCATTTGCGCTTCTCCGATCCTCCGTCTACACTACTCAACATTAGAAGCGTACCTATCGCAGTGCAGCCAGTTTCTACATCGCGAACTCGACCCACCTCAGCAATGGCAACCAAAGCCGCTCACAAGCGCCTCACGCGCGAATACGCCGCCATACAAGCCAACCCTCCGCCCTACATCGAAGCACATCCCTCCGAGTCCAACATCCTGGAATGGCACTACATCCTTACCGGCGCGCCCGACACACCCTACCGCGCGGTCAATACTGGGGCACACTAGTCTTCCCGTCAGACTACCCCTTCGCTCCACCCGCCATCCGCATGCACACCCCAAGCGGCCGCTTCCAGACCTCCACGAGATTATGCCTGTCGATATCAGACTTCCACCCCAAGAGCTTCAATCCAGCGTGGTCAGTGAGCACGATACTGATTGGACTGCTCAGTTTCATGAACTCGGAGGAGATGACAGCGGGTAGTTTGAGCAGTAGCAAGCGAGAGCGGAGTTGGCTAGCCGCGAGGAGTCGGTGGTGGAACAGCACAGGAGGTGGGAGTTGCGGAACCAAGACACGGCCCGGGAATAACATCTCGACGACGAAAAGCAGTGGCAACGCCAACATTAAGGCCGGCGACGGTGGGAGGCGGTTCCGTGAGGAGTTCGAGGAGCTTGATGCGGAGAACTGGAAGTGGATGGAGGAAGTGGGAATCGATCCGACGACAGGCAAGGTGGCGCCTCCGCCTACAGCGACCACGGAACAGGGAGGTCAGAATACAGCCGGTCAAGCAAATTCAGTACCCGAATGCAGTCCTGAAGTTGCACGGTTACGAGGAATACTTGGCGGCGGCGCAGGCGGCACAAGCCTAGGACAAGCAGCGAGAGAAGCAGGCGAAGGATGGATCGGTCGGTGGAAATGGTATCTCGTTGGCGGCTTCGTGGCGTACGTCATCGCTACAAGGGTGGTGTCTTGGGATTAGAGCTGATTGTGTCGTGCTGAGAAAGACACGCGAGAAGAGAAAGTGTGCTGAAGTCTCACTCGCGACCGGCGTCCAGCGAAAGGTCTCATGCGCATCCGAAGGTCCATCATGGATCTAGCCGTGCCAGCGCCGTTGCGAAGACAGTGAGGTACCGGAGCACCGGTGCGAGAGCCATGTCCTCCAGCAAATTCTTCGCACGACCATCGTCATCACGGATCTATTGCTAGCATGCTAGCAGAATCCTAGATGATCACAACGGCTCCTAGAATCGGTCACTTGCTGCCCATTATCAAGTGGACTCGTCTAAGCGGTATCAACAGTAGAGGGGATATAAATGTAACCAAGACCACTCGACCTCATGTTCCAATGAACTCTACATACACGTACGAAGGTGATATATCACACCACAGCAACGTCTTCACGCATCTAGCTATTGCTTCACTCGCAGTATCCCTGTCCTAACTTTCAGGGCGGTAGAATGTCAGTCATCCCGTCGCTGTGATAACTCTTTGTCAGCCGGTCTCAGCAAGAACAATTTGTCATCCGGCGATAGATAAGTCTCATCAGCATTTCGGTCATCCGGTCTCGTATGAGCCTGCTTGTCAACCGGCTTCCCAAATACCGTTGTCATCCGGTCCTGAACTACCCTGCCACTCGGTATGTCCTGCGATGCCAGTCACGCAGATCCTCATTCTCCATCCCCGTCTCATACTCCGCCCCCCAGCAGCGTCTTCGACACATCGCTCCAGCCATTAGCCATCGCTGTGCATCGCTGGAAGGTCATCCTCATGAATCACGCCTGCCGCAAAGGGTGACTGCTAAGGAAGGCGCGAACGCCGTCGGACGCTACTGCTGCTGCATATGTAGAGTGAGGTAGGTGCGAATGCCGTCAGCTGGAAGCTCCTGCCCCGGAGAGCTTCTCGGAGAGGCAGGTGCGACCCCGGCTGGCTGGATCCTCCTGCCGCGGATAGCGTATGCAGCGGCAGGTGCGAGTACGGTCAGCTGGTCGCTCTTGCCGCAGAAATCCTCCGGAAGGCAGGTGCGAATACCATCAGCCACTCGCTCTTGCTGCTGCTGAAAGTAGCAGGAGAGGCAGGCGCGGATCCTGCCGGACGTACCTGCCACAGACAGCGTTTGGGAAGGCAGGTGCGAATGTCGCCAATCGATCGTCCCTGCAGTGCTGCAGAAGGTGTCCAGCAAGGCAGGGGCGGATTTCCATGAGCCGGGCGCTCTTGCTGCTGAAAGTGTTGGGTAAGGCAGGTGCGAGTACTATCCGAGGGACGCTCCTGCCGCAGGAAGGTATCTGAAGAGGGCAGGTACGGATGCCCTCAGTTGATTGCTCCTGCCTCATTGCGAAGTGGATCTGGCGAGGCAGGTGCGAATGCCATCAATCGACCGCTCCTGCAGTCTGCAGCAATCGTCCCGCGAGACAGGTGCGATTGTCCTCAGCGGATCGCTCCTGCATTGCTATGGAGGATGGTGAGTGAGGCAGGTACGAAGGCCGCCAGTCGATCGCTCCTGTCGTGCTGTAGCAGATATCGATTGAGGCAGGTGCGACCGCCTTCAGTCGATCGCTCCTGCCGTGCTACCATGAAACGTCAGGCAAGGCAGGTGCGGATCTCGCTGGCTGGACGCTCCTTCCGCTGAAAGGTATCTGGAGAGGCAGGTGCGAGTGCAGTCAGCTGGTCGCTCCGCAGCACAAGGTGCCTGGCAAGGCAGTCGCGAGAAGTTGTCAACCGGTCTTGAGATCCCCTGGTCAACCGGTTTTGGAGCTTGGCTGTCAACCGGTCTCGGCTAAGTCTATCGTGCTCATGGGTGTCGACTGAAGTGGAAAGCCTCGGAGCCTCCTAGGATCGCCAGTGCTACATGTACAGTCAACGGAGAGATCTGTCTTACCGTATTGATGGACTCGAGTCGCACTGTATCGACTTGCTGCTCTGATCTCGAGCCCTTGGGCCATGGCGTGTGGTGACGGCGTGGCTTCGTTGAGGGGGACCCTTGCGTGACATTAGGGTGCTTGTTGGGGGCAAAGTTGAGAGCGTCAGATGAGTGAAGCTGCTGGGACTGCATTGATTGATCTCCAGGACGGCATTGCAAGGTTTGACCTCGCGTAAGTGCTGGCTAAGTGACCTGCCTGTGCGCTTCCACTTTTGAGGCTGTTCTATTGCTTGAACTCCGCACTCTATAATGTCCGGCTATGCGCTGGCGTCCCGCAGTGGTCTCTCCAGGGGTCAGCGCCAGATCAATCATCCAGTAATTCTTCGTCACTATCACCCATGGCCGCTACCGCCGCATTCAGTGCATCGTCTCCATGCCCATTGACCACTCTTTCTTCCCCGTCATCATCGTCCCGCATCGGTCTCGTCCCATTGCTAGTATCCAATGCCACCTCCGCGTCCTCTGCGGCTTCCACCTCGACCATATCCACATCAGCCTCACCACCCTCCAACGCTCCTTGCTCCTCTTGTATACGTGCCGCTTCTTGTGCCTCTTCGAACGCAATAGCATCCCTCTCTATCTGCGCATATTCGTCCTTGAATGCGTAGTCGTACTCTCCTCTTCGCTGAACGCGATCGTATGTTTCTCGTGGATCAAGCTCCCGGGGCCGGTACATATACATATCCGCGGCCTCGATGTTCTCGTCATCTTCTCGGTTTGCCTGACTGGCATGTGGATTGTTGATCTTGCTCCGATCGGCCCTGAAGCGCACGTTGTCTGCTATTGGGTAGACGTAGGCGGCTTTGCCTTGTTTGAGCTTTTGCGCCGTGGGCGGCATAATGTTCTTGTCTGACTGCGGATTGTACAAGCCTATAGCCCATAACCGACGGGGATCAACGAGTTGCTGAGTGACGCTGTGAAAGACACGTTTGCGCTCGAACTCGACGCGCATTTGAGAGGAGGCAGATTTGGTGAGTAAGGGTTCCACGAGGGCAGGTGAGTCCCGGTCCGGATGACCATCGTAGAGGTGTTTGCGAATGGAGGAGACGTCGTGGGAGGTTGGGGTGGCCATGACCCAGATGTTGGGCTCGGGGCCGGGGTCGTCATAGTTGGCGGGGTCTGCGTCGAAGGCGTCCTTTTTGGCTTTCCATTCTGGTAGGAGGGATTCGTTGGGGATGGTCTGGAAGGTCGCGACGTCGATGCGGTCGTCGCGGCGGCCGTGGTCGGCGGGGAGTGGAGGCTTGTCGAATTTGATGCGCTGCCAGAGACCGCCTTGGTCGTTTGTGGCTTCGAAGTCGTGGAGGACGGGGTAGAAGTCGACGGGGTAGATGTCGCGAGCGCCAGAGGGATGCTTGGGCTTGTCCCAGGCTTCTCGCTCGGCGGCTGTTCGAGGTAGAGAGCGGACAGACTCGTGATTGTAGGGGATGGTGTCAGGATAGGCGAGGTCGAAGCCCTTTTGCACATTGCGCTTGACGTTCTCTTTGTCGTCGCGATCGACTGGCGGTTCTTCCTTGCGATTGAGTGGTTGTCTTGGGCGGGAGGATTTTGTGAAGAGGTCGACGGATTTGCTGTTGGAGGTGGAGAGAATCTGGGTCTTGCGGAGGAAGGAAACATTTCTCGACGTGTTTTGCGCTTTGATCTGGTCGACTGAGAGCAGGAGCTCGGCGTCGGCTGGATCGAGCAGAGGTGGTCGCTCAGGTGCCATGATGGCAGACTCGTCGCCGAGAAAATAGCCCGGCACACCGATCATATCGATGGGCATACCTCCTTCGGCGTCGACCTCAATGTTGGGCTCCTCTCGGCGCACGAGACCCGAGGCATAGCTGGTCGTGAGGTAGTTCTCGATGCCACCCGTGTCGATGTCCAGGAATTTTGGGGGCATCGGTGGTGGAGGGAGGTCATTCTTGTAGCGGGCAGAGACAATCAAGTCCTGCTTGAACTGCTTGTCACCAGACGCCATGACTGAAGGGAACAGGGAGGCTGCTGGTTACCAGAGAGGCATATCACGTTCACTCGATTGAGTAGGAGCGAATGTTTCGGTGTTGACCTGGACCGCTTCAGAACTTGGAGAAGACGTGAGGTAAATCAGGCATTTCACAAGACCGGATGACAAAGCACGGCTTATCGAAAGAGGAAGTCTGCCTTCCCTTTTCAACTTTCATCCGTCCATCCTGGGCCCCTAAGGCACAAAATTCGATTTCCTGCTCTCCCTTCTGCCGCCCCCGGCATGAAAATCCTGCGCAAACGAGAGATTATCTTACGGCACCACACTTGACGCAGGGGAACCTCGGGGCAGTGAGAAGTGCATCGGGGCCAGGGAGCTGAAGTTTTGTATGGGAAACTTATGCTCTTCGGCTAACATTCCAGATTGGAAATCGCGACTGCACATGTGATCAGAGTTCAATGCCATCATACACCTTCGCCGCCTCTTGATCCCGTTCACACGAGCACCACAACTTCCAGCCGGGAGTCCTTTAGGCATACAGAACAAATACTTCGGGATCGACAGTCACTATGGGCTGGTTCTGGTCAGACACAAACCCGAGCGCACCTCGACCGAGCCCTGCACCACCACAACCGACAGCCGCAAGTCCGCCTCCATCATGTCCAATGCACAAGTCGGACTCAAAATCTTCACCCTTCAACCGCACATCTGAACCCGCGAGACCGTCAGCATGTCCAGTCAAAGACCCGACAAATCACCCTCTACTCAACACACCCAAACAACCCCAGTCCACATCAACGCCACCCTCACAATCACAATCCCAACCCTCCCTCCTCTCCAAATATAACCCTCTCAACCTCATCCCCACTGGCCTCACGAACACCCGCTCCGAGTCCCAAACCCGAGCGCTCCCCCTCGACCGTGAAGCTCCTCCATCCCTCGCTCCGACACAAATGCCAACTGGGAGTATCCCTCGCCACAACAGATGTACAACGCCATGCTCCGGAAAGGCTACACAGACACACCTATCGATGCCGTTGAGTCTATGGTCGCCGTGCACAACTTTTTGAACGAAGGCGCCTGGGCTGAGATCGTCGAATGGGAAAGCCTCTTCTCGCAAGGCCTCTCCGCAGGCTGGCAGAATTGTGCGAGAGGAGAGGGCTTCATCGCCTTTCATCGCGCGAAGAGGGAACAGATGGCGGAGAGAAGGCTAAGTCTAGGTCTCCCGGAGCAGAGTTCGACAGAGGTAGCAGCAGAACCAAAGTTGGTGCGCTTTCAGGGCCGGCCGAAGGAGCCTACACCAAAAGCACGAATATTGAGTCTACTGGGCATGGCATTCCCAGCAACGTTTGGCTCAGAGCCGCCTTTTGACAGGCACGACTGGTACGTCTCCCGCCGAGGTCCGGATGGCACCGAGAAACAGGTGCGTTATGTAATCGACTACTACGGCGGAGGCGTGCAAGAGACAGGCGAGCCAGTCTTCTACCTCGATATCAGACCTGCGCTGGACACGCCCACCGCCGCTGCGGAAAGAGCCATTCGATGGAGCGGCGACTTGTGGTGGCGCGCTAGCGGAGGAGTGGCGAGAGAGATGGACAGGGTGAGGCAGCAGCAGGAGGATGCGCTGGCGAGGCGGGAGGCAGAAGGCTGAAAGGGTCACGATCACGATCACGAAAGACGAGTCGACTCTATCATTCTATGGCCTCCAAAAAGGTGTAATCAGCTCAACTTGCCAGCAAATCATCTCCACTCTACACGTCGATTTCACGCTCCCAGGATCGAGCTGGCGTTGAGTGCTCAGCGCGACGAATTCGTTCGGCCTACGTTGGTGGCTTCTTCGTGCGCAGCCGCTTTTGGCGTCTTCTTTCAGCGACGTTATGTATTCTTTTTAGTCATGTATGTATGTACCACGTCTTCAACGATTCCCCATCTCATCGTGCCTCGGCGCTTCGTGCGGCTTGTCTCCCGGTCGGAGGGCTACCACTCGCTTCTGCGTGTCATCGTGTTTAATGTGACAATGTTGATGTGAGGATTGACGACCGTGGAGGCGAGAAAGAGCAGGAGCAAGAGCAGGACCAAGAGCAGGAGCAATAGCAGCGGTAGAAGTAGAAGCAGGAGCACGAGAATGTTCCTATCTGCTTTGCATCCAGTCGCGCTGGGCGTCAGTACACTCGAAGCAAATTGCAAAAACCGAGGATTTTGGACATGTGCAAAACCGACTGTGTGGTTTGGTACAAACAGAGTGGGAAGCAGCAAGAGCATTCACGAACGGTTGACTTCAGAGTTCTTGATTTCGTTGTCGTACTTTAGTGGAAGGATGTTCTAAGGTTATTCTATACTGGATCTCTCAACTTCCTCTCCATTGCAGATCTCTGCGAGCTCCTTGTACCCAGCACCCAGCTTCGGTAGCCCCCATCTCGACTAAAGCACGCCGCCATCTGCAACCCTCCTCACCGCCCCAGGCAGTCCCACCTTGCCCGGACTCGCCGCCCGCTTCTGCGGCAGCTTACCGTCACCCACACTCTTGATCCCATTCCCGCGCATACTTGCGCCACGCTTCGGCCCCTGTGCTGCACTGCTCGCGCTCGCAGCACTGTCCCGACTCCCCACCTTCCCCAATCCACCGCCGAGGACGTCGACGGTATCCACTGAGCTCACACTGCCCATACTATCTGGCCGTACAAGACTGGAGGGGATATCCGGCAGCTCAAATTTATTCTGGCTGCAAATGAACGTGCGTGGCGTTGCTGGATCGAGGGTGGAGGCGGAGAAATGACTCGTTTGTGCGCCCAAGTAGAGTGGCTGCGGCGGTGCCAGTGATGACAGGTTGGTGGTGACGGTGTTGGAGCGGGTTGGCGGAGGGGATGTCGAGATGGGCATAGCGACCGCAGTGCCTATTTCGCCGGCAGTGAAGTTTGTGGCTGTTGTTGCCGTTGAGGCTCGGTTGGATTTTGATGGCAGCGCCGGGATAGGTGGCGGGAGATTGCGGGAGGTGACAGTGACCGGGTTGGGATTGGGCTTGCTGTTCGTGTTGAAGTTCTGCTTGACTGGCAGCGGAGGGGCGAGCTCGACTTGACTGATTTGCACTGCACCTCCAGCGAAGCCGGCCTTCTCGTCGAGAATTGTGGTTGGCGGCGACGAGCTCCCTTTGCCATATAAGTTGATGAAGGTGTTCTCGCTGTACGTCGTCCTTGCCGCATGGCCAGCCACTTCAGAGGCCTCGGAATCGCTCCAGCGGGACGACTCTTTGTTGCTGCCGCCACCAGCGCCAAAGAACCACTTTGCCGTGCCGCTGCGTCTGGGCCAGGAAGACAGCCGTTCCGAGAGGCGTGTAAATGGATTGTAGAAGCCACCATTCGCCACCCATCCCGCCGTATTCACGTTATCTTTTGGTGATGAAGCTTGTAAGCCGCTCCCTGTCCTGACATGGGCCGGAACCCGTCTGCTACCATAGTCGCGCTAGCCGTCGGATTGCTCTCCATATCATCACCCTTCCATGGATCTGTAATCTTGCGGCGCGGCGGTGCAGGCCGATCACTACCGAAGATGAACTGCAACGGCCACTTCCAGTCCTGTGGACTTGTGCCCAGTCGCTCGGACCGCTTGTCACGGTAGTGTCGTCGGCGGTCAGAGTACCATGTCCGAACGGGCACACAGAAGCGGAAGAGGCAGTACAGACCTGCGACGAGGAGAGCGACGCCCAGCACGGTACAGCCGGCAATGATGGCAATGCGTTCTTCTGGAGCTGGTCCGGCTGATATGCCAGCAGAATCAGCGACCCCGGTCGGGAAGGCGGACGCGGCTGCTTGATTCGGGCCGGAGGGAGTGGCTTCGATGATCAGAGTCGACTTTGTGGCAGTCGGTGACGAGATCGTGGTCGGTCGGTCATTGACAGTTGCGACGCCGGCGGCACCGATCGTACCTGTGGCACTGGAGGTGGTGTTCGAGGTCGGAGATGGCAGAGTGGTTGCATCCTCATCCTCGGTATTGCTGCTAAAACCATCAGACTCGATGCCGGACTCAGATGATCCTTCTGTTTCGAGCTCGATCGGTGGCGAGAGAGTGGCGGCGGGTGGGGGAGGTCGCGGAGGTGGCGCCGAGACTTGTCGCTGAATGTGGGAGCGTTTGGGATGGCGCTTGATCTTGTCAAGACGCATACGTCGACGTGTGTTGCGTGGCTGAGCCTGAAGCAATTCTGGTTGTACTGTTGGAAGTGGACCCAGTATTTGCCAGCCTGACATTGAGGGCGGCTGCGAGATAGCCTTCTGTTGAGGTCCAGTGGTAGTGGCCGGCTCACCCTCAATGAGGTCCTCTTCTTCGGATGTCTCACCGGGCCCGTCGGAGGTATCATCGCCACTAGTGCCATCTTCATCGCTGCCTTCGCTGTCATCTTCGTCATCCTCTCCTCCATCTGCGCCATCGTTGTCGTCCTCTTCTTCGTCGTCGGCAGCATCGTACTCTTCGATCTCATCTGCTCCTGTCGTTTGACCTTTGTCGATGACGAGTCGTGAGTCCACATCAGTCTAGACGAGTACGTAAAAGGGTCTGCCCTCTCCAGCCCACTTGTTGTTGATGTTGAGCGTACCTCCATTTGCCGCTGTGCCAACGTTTTTGACCTGGACATCTTTGATGATTTTATTACTTCGCTGGGACGATGACCTCTTTGCACCAGATGTTTGGTCTGATGACCGAGATAGCTTTTCCTGTAATCGACTAGTCCATCAATCCAGTTGAGCATAATAGAAGGGACAGCAGGCGTTGGAAAGCTGAACAGTAGAAAGGTCACGCCACCAAGCACAGCGCACAGCACAAGAAGAAGAAGACGATACTTTGGGGTCGTCCAGCAACCTACCAAGAAGAGACCAAGAAAGAAAGAGCACACGACAGCTCTGGCTCCCCAGACATTATCAACGAAATGCCCAAGCCGTCTCAGGCACAACCTTAGCGAGAGTCTTGTGTTGTCTTTGTTTGGCCTGCTGTCGATCCGGTAGAATAGTGGGGCACTCGATAGACAGCGGAAAGGGTCTGCCGGGCAGGTGCTCCGGGCCAGCAGATTCAGTCATGTGGCAGTGGACAGAGTCGTAGCGGCGACTTAGCGATGCATCATACTCTCCACAAGCTTCGTCAGGTGCAGCCGGAGGCAGCATGAATGCACAGCCTAGGAGGAGATGCGACGACGGAGCAATGCAAGACAGGGAGGGACGATACGAAGGCCGTTTCATATTTGCCGCCCTCGGCGGAAGGAGGAAAGTTGGTCAAGGAGGGAGTGGTGGAAAGGAGATCTTGGAGAAGAAGATGAAACGAAGGGGTCGTGACTGCCAAGAAGTCTTGCGTATCTTGTCTCGCGGAAGGAACGATCCATCGTGGGACTCTCGTGGCTACCTCGATGAGTGCTGTAGAAAGAGTAAATCCTGTCCGGAAGGCAGCATCATATCGCTGTAAAGCTCTATGACTAAAGCACCTGCGGCACAGTCATTGTTTTTGGCCAGGAGAGCCTTCTGATGGCTCATGTACCATTTTACAACGTATGACTCGGGCCAGGATTGCCAAGGACGATCTTGAAACCACATGGAGAGGAGGCTCGAAGTGTGTTCCGAGGGCCTTCTGCAACACATGTTGAGTTAGTATTTGTGTTATGTCAGTCGCGTCAACCCTTCGTGAACCACAGGTCTGAGATTCTACACATCGACCCAGTACAAATAGCATGACAGCCCTCGAGCTTACGTTGGTTCTGTGCAAGCACTGAAAAGGAGCAAATGTCAGATTTATGATGGTCATCATTCTCTACAATACGGGATGTGTCAAGGAGAGCTGTCTCCGAGTAGTCATGGTATACCCTAGCTGCACATGATCTTCCAGATCTATGCCTTCGATGTCAGCGTCCTGAACAATCACCGATGCGTGCCGCCACCCGGCAACCACGGCTCGGCCCTGTCATGCCCTGTAGTCGTCGGCGTCGATGCTCCAGTCAATGGAGATGCGCCCTCTGTGGCACCACCTGTACCAATGGTTGGAAGTGGCTTCCGACGAATGCCTTGCTGCATTCTCGACTCCTCGTTGAATGAGAATGGACGCTGGTGCCCAGCGACGGGCGACGGTTGCGCTGGACCAGCACCACGATATGCTCCGACGACGCTGGCACCTCCAACAACACTCGTCGGCACACTCGTAGGGTAAAGCCCCACATCACTCCGAGGTTTGTCTGCGAAGAAAACCTTGTCGTCCAGCGCAGGTCGGTAGGTGCGATCTACCATTTGTTGGTATTCTCTGTTTTCCTTCCACCTCTTAAGCGGTCCGCAGCCCCAGAAAAGGATAATGACAAGCGCTGCAATGACCACAATGGCTGCTGCAATTCCTCCCGCTACGGCTGCTGTGTTGACGCCGCCTTTGCTAGCACTGGTAGGTTCGGGCGTCGCAGAAGCTGCAGCTGTCGAAGCCGACGTAGCGCTTGTTGAGGTGGCAGAAGTTGTGCTCTCGCTCGTTGACTCCGATGTCACAGATGTCTCGGAGCTTGTCTCGGTGGAGGTTGACCGAGCCGAGGCGCTCGTCTTTGTTTTGGTATTCTCCTTGCTCGATGTCTTGGTGGCAGTCGACCGTGCAGTAGTTGTTTCATCGTCGTCCTCGTCGTCATCGTCTTTCTTAGGCGTCTTTGTGGCTGCCGGTTCATCCTTATCTGGTGTTGGTGGCGTTGGTGGCGGTGGTGGTGTTGGTTCAGGGTCAGGATCGAACGCGCTCGAGATGTCGTTCGCGATCGAGTCTAGAGCATCAAGCAATTGCCGCTTATATAGTCGCGTATTCTCCGTGATAATATGGCGCTCCTGTACGATGGAAACGCCGAATGGAATGGCCCGCACTGCGGAAAACAGAAGAAAAGAAAGCAATACAACAAAAGCCTGCCTCATGTCGAACGAGTGCGGTGTATATTCAGGACTATGGTGTAAAGATGTGTAGCGAACGCAACGGAGGCTGCGACGGGCCCTCTGGAGAAAAGGAGCGGGCCAGCTTGCCTACAATATGTAGACACAAAGACACTGAGAGTCGCTTAAACACAAGTGCATCATGACAGCAACAGACAGGATGGACAAACCAAGATGCTCATCATGCCGTGAAGTGAGACTTAGCGACCGCGGCGCAGAGACTGGGTGGTCCTCGAACGGAAGCCTGGGAAATTAACTTGACGTCTGCCGTTGAATGGTCCGAGGCAACTATTGGTGAGATCAAGTTTAAGATGAAACGAAGATGGTCGATCAGGTAAGCGCTGATTGGAGTTGTTTGCTCCCGCCAGCGGGAGCAGGCGCCCATAGAACATCGCTGTGCCATCATAAACACTCAACACTCATCCCGGCGTCGCATCGTCGCGCCCGCAGTCTGAGCAAAACAAACCCGTGGGTGTGGAACGCGTTGGGCAATTTGAAGACCTCGGGAAGCCTCAGCCTCCCAAACTTGGATGTCGGAGATCAGGGGCACGCTAGCTTTCTACGCTTGGCGCATCTCGGAAGAGTTGCCTTGCAGCCTGAGGGCTGGCTTTATGACGTCGGGCTTCTCTTGGTGCTTGCCAGTGGGACGCGTGCCCGTTCTTGAAACGAGTGCGAAGCTGGCTTCATGTTGCTGTTCATCTCGATTGCTGCAGTACGCGATGAAGTCGATCGACAATGGCACTGCCGACTGCCGAGATCGTGGGCGAGGCGATCAGGCTCCGGGCGACGCACAGCGGGCCCAAGGGAGCGTGTATGGCTTGTGCGCACATCGAAGGCTCTAGCTCCCTAGAAGCAGAGATCAACAACGTTGCCGTGCAAGGTGACCGCAGATGAAACTCATGACCGCAGTCACAGTATCATGAACCGCTACAGCCTTTTTCCACCGGATGGAATAAGTCGGCTCCCAATCATGGCGGCATGAGGAACCTCTACAAGAACACCATCGACGCTGCTAAGCTCGTTGGGAGGCACATACTGCCGACCGTGAGGTTACCGGAGGACGGGAAAGTCGGACTTGATGTACTGGATGAGACTGCTCAGTCGCTAGACTGAGGTCTGCCAACGTACAGCTCGGTCCTGCAACGAAGACGAACAGTCAAGTAATGCTGAAGCAAATGTTGGATATAGCGAGCATAGGTCGCCAGCCGATGGAGTGCTCGAAAGGATCATTGCGGCCTCATCGCCTCCGAGGTGTTTGCACAGGCCTGAGTGCAGGAGCCTGCGACCATGTTCCGGAGAGTTGTAGAAGTGGCTCAGCGGACGTGGCTCAGTATATGAGGCTCAGCACTAGTGAGCAACCCTCTGCAGAGACCCCTCGCTTCTTCGAACAAAGCGCCTTCTGCTTTGTGTGTGGACAAGACTCTTACGCCTGTCTTCCAGCAGACGCGCGCAGTCCCGGATTCCAGCCTCGATTAGATTCAGCTTGAAGAGCCTGTGCCCAACGCAGCGGGATCCTACTGCCCGTGATGATGGACAATCCGAAATGTACCTTCAACATATCCGCGCGGTCTACAATGGGAAATACACGTTGCCTCTCCATCGCAATGGCAGGCTGGCTCGCATCAGTAGCAGCAGCCAGACCTGTGTCCGCGACAATCGCTCATTGTGAATCAATGCACATCGACTTGAGGCAGTCGCGATCGCGTACGGGTTGAAATGAGCATACTGGTGGTATGAGACAAATTCGCGTGGAAGCGGCTCATGCATAGACTGAGCCGTCATGATAAGGCTCTTCTGCGTCAATGGACGGACGAGGAAGACATGTACCACGCGCACTTGTTCCTGGAGCTCAGATGCCCGTTCATGCATGTCGGTGGCTGCAGAATGAACCAGATCTGCAAGCCGGTACGGGTGGGAGCTGAATGGAACGCAATAGGCTAAGTCGCATGCCACCAGCATCAGTACGTCGTAAGAGCCTTCCCAAACCGAGTGCGGCAGTTCAGTTGCGCTTCTCGGTAAGCCGATATGGACGACGTGGCTAGCTGTAACCACAAAGGTCTGGATGAGCTAGATGTTTCGCTTAAAAGAGTTGGGTACACTAGTTGGTCGCTTAACGGATCGGGCGTAGTTCCACTTTGGACTTCCCAAAATTCCTACACCAGCCAGCTCTCATGCTGCTGATAGAGCAACAGCAGCGTGGCAAAGGCCAACAATCTCATGACAACACGACCAGAGACACAGCAGCGCATGATGACTCGTTGGATCCGCTCACATCGCTTGCGAACACAAGAGAGCGACAGCCGTGCCCGGATAATGTTTTATCGGTGATAGGCGAGGCAACAAGCGAGGCGACAAGCGAGGCGTTCACCGGCACAATTGGCGGTCGATTGAGATTTTTCTGTCGCCCGCCTTCACCGACAACCTAGCGTCAAAAGGCCGCACAGGCGTAGCGTTGCTGCTTCTCGTCCCGTGTGCCTTGAAAGTCTCTCAGACTCGAGCCTTACCCTGTGGTATGTGGCAGGTCTGCTCCGCTCGCCATATCCTTTGCATGAGGGTCAGGGGCAATGTAAACCCGCGGAGGCGATGAATCCCCCAGGTCAAGGCAACTCGCTGCGATGGACTTGCCTGGCTGCTAGAATGGGCAGCTGTGCTTGCCTGACCACGACCCAACGATCCGCTTTGCAGAAGATGGCAAGAACAGTCTAGATCTAGCTTGCGGTCTGCCCGAATCGGCTGCTGCTACAGGGATTCGCTTCCTTTTTCGGACATGATGACTCTCTGGAACCAAGACAGGGATCTACATCAAGACGACCAGATTGTGCATGAACGAGGCGCCAAATATGGCCTTTAGCTGCAGCTATGCCTCCACGAGCTGATGTGCTGGCGGTTCTTTGGTGGAAGCGATGATCTGTTGTCGCTGAGACAGTACAGCTTAGCGAAATGCAAAGCTACTTGCCATCGACGCTCGAATGTGCGATATCGCAGCCACCGGCTTCGGAACGCGCATCGCATTGGACTGCCTGCACATTGGACCCACGACGCTCGCTCAGAGGAGTGTTGGTGTTGTGTGGATCAGGAGACGCTGCTGAGAGGCCGATAAGAGAACCTTTGCCTTTGGAGCTGCGGTACAAGTCGGCGCATTGTGCCTGAGGACCTCAATATCCGGCTAGCGTCTGGCTGCGGCTAGAATTGCCATCTGGCCTCTTGCGATGAGCTTGCATATCGGCCGTTTGTTGAGAGAACCTTCCAAGGTTGGAACCTTGGGAGCCTCAATACGCAGTCATTACAATAATACACACAATACTGTCTAATACGTCAGGTAACGACATCATACAAGGGACTGTACCCGACCCTGAGGTACCTTTCCTCTGTGGAACCTCAGAAGCAATCGGATACACTGTTCGTGATCATGCGTGGGACGTGGGGTGCCATGCACCAGCTACAATTGACTTCACAGTGAGACACTGCATCCATGTGCCTGTCTGTACCTGACTTGTGCGACCAATTCCGAAACCTTATTCCCGCATTCGCCTTGTTGCATTATCTCTGGTTCTGATAGGCAAGTCACTTCGGTCGAGAGCAGAATTCAGCACAATCAGCAAGGCCCGGTCTGCCCCCAGCGTGCCGCATTGCCCATTCGAGGTCCAGATATTATTGATTGGGAGCCGTCTACTCCCGACAGCGGCCAGATGTGACTCGGCGAAGCAAAGTCTCACATCAAGGACTTCGGTGATGAACTAGATGTGTCAGTGCTGCGCCAGCCACTCGTAAGCCGGACGCTCTCTGTGAGCTCGCTGAGCTAGTCCAGACCAATTTCTGCCCATCTCAGCGCTTACGGGCACGATCGAAAGCCTAGACGTTGGGCGTCGAGGCCTGGCCGTGCGCTATATCCCTCTGACCTAGAGCTGGGACTGCTTGGAGTCGAGTCCCCCGCAACATTTTAGACAGTGCTCATCAGGTTCACCTTCGCTGTCGCCCCCCTCTCGAGAGCATACCAACAATATGGCTCTGCGACTCGTCACGGCATCACCAGAATTGGTCCGCGTAAATGGCAAACCTCACGCCGAAAGTGTGTTCGACGATATCGAAGCCATGCTTGAACGTAAAGGCGAAAGAGGTGACAAGTCGGAGAAGTCAGACAAGGTGTGTGAGCTTGTGCTCCAGGACATCAGCGCATGTACTGACGAGATAAAGCTTGCGCCAACAGTGTCAGTTGTCGAGATCAAAGAGATGAAACAACCCGCAAAGGGCAAGCATGATACTGCCTACCTGGACGGTCTACGAGGCTTTGCTGCCCTCCTGGTATACTCATTACACCACCAAGTCTGGGGACATTCTGGAGTTCAGGGCGAGCTAATCCTTGAGAATGTATTCGGATGGGAGGGACAGTACTACTTCGTCTGTCTCCCTGGCATACGCCTCCTATTTTCTGGCGGTCACTTTGCGGTCGCCATCTTCTTCGTGATCTCCGGCTATGTCTTGTCCTTGGGACCTTTGCGAGCGCTTCATGCCCAGGACCAGTCCGGCTTGGCCAGGAGGCTGGGATCAGCGCTGTTCAGAAGATGGGTTCGACTCTTTCTTCCGGTTCTCGCAACAACTTTCGTGTGGATGACTACGTGGCACATGTTCGGGATTAAGAACAACAACCCCATTGCGGACCCTCCGCAAAGCAATTATCTTGATGAACTGTGGAAGTGGTATTGCGACTTCAAGAACTTCAGTTTCGTCTTCACAGGCGAACCGGCGAACGCATACAATGATCACACTTGGTCCATTCCCATGGAGTTTCGCGGCTCTATCGTTGTGTACACCGCTTGTTTGGCCTTCACAGAACTTTCAACGAATAGCCGTCTGCTATGTGAGGCAGGACTCGTATGGTACTTCCTCTACATTGTCGACGGCTGGTTCTGCTGTCTCTTCATGGTCGGCATGCTCTTCTGCGACTTGAATCTCCTTGCGAAGGGCGGTGAACTGCCGAGACTGCTCGAGAGACTTCGACCGACGCGACGCTGGATCTTCTATATCCTCTTCACTGCCGCCATTTATCTTGCAGGCGTGCCGTCCATCAGTAACGATCTTCCGCATCTCCGAAGATCACCAGGATGGTGGCTCTTATCATTCCTCAAGCCACAGGCTGTCTACGACTTTCGGTGGTTCTACCGCGTCATCGCTGCTATCCTGGCTATGGTGTCCATCCCCAATTTGCCCTGGATCAAGGCCTTCTTCGAGACGAGGTTCTGTCAGTACCTGGGGAAGATCTCATTTGGTCTCTACCTTGTCCATGGCCCTGTGCTATGGAGTCTGGGCGACCGAGTCTACGCAGCAGTCGGATGTGTGCGTGAGGGTCATGCAAGCGCAACACCCGGCTGGATCAATCTGGCACCATTCTCTGATTGGGGACCGTTTGGTCTGGAGGTCAACTATCTGGCGGCTCAGCTCATTCTTCTGCCGTTCACGATCTGGCTCGCAGATCTGGTCACCCGAGCGATCGATGAGCCAAGTGTGAAATTCTCTCAGTACCTTCTCAAGCGCGCCAGCTCATCAGCTTCGGCTTTGCCGGCGGTGGAGCCGGCACGGGAGAAAAGAAGGCATCTGCGCTCTTGCACGGAGTAACTCGCAACGCCTCATAGCATGATTAGGGTTAGAAATGAGTTCGAGGCGCTGCATGGTTCTAAGCTGAGGGTGCTTGAGATTCGCCGTGATGATTTGACAGCACGCACAAGTCTTTAGCGCTCGAATCGCTGGAGGGAGAGCTATCTCATGGCTGAGCTGAGCAATATTTTCAGGGCGCCCAGCTATCTGTAGCCCAACGCTGACCATACCTTGGGTTCTGTTCGCTCCGAGCACTGTACAGTAGCCCAATGCAGCCTGCACGGCTTGCTCTGAGTCGGGACTCCGATCGGACTACCTATGAAGAGGCTCCTACTCCAGGCTCTACAAGCCTTCCAAGTTATGTTGAGCTGGAGCGCTCTCTGTGCGTAGCTGAAGCTTACCTATGGTGGTCGAGTCGAGATCCCGATCTTTTGCTCGTCCAGAACACGCAGAGTCTCTCCACCAGAAGGCTTATCATCTCTGCCAAGATACAGTACAGTACCTGCCCGTATTGATGCTGAAGGATGGATCTGCCCGATACCTCGTTGGGCTTCATACTCAAGCTGAAAGTCTCGTGTATGCTACTTGCTGCATGATGCATGGGGCTTTGCCAGATCCGAATTGACCTTCCCACAAACGGATGTACACATTGAGTAAACGGTGGGACAAATGTCACCATTTTAAGCCCGATCGGCATGTCTCTGCTCACTGGGGAGGGAAGGCTTGTCTGACCGACATCGGCCTATGACAACCCATGCCACATGGCCCACTTGCTGCTGCAGCACCTCGCCCATATCACGTCGCTTGTGAAGAGGGTGTGTAGGTACCTCTGCACCAAAAACGCCACGAAATGTACTGAGCTGGTTGAACTTCGCTCTGCCATGTGGCCTTTCTTGCCGAGCATGGGGACCCAGGTGCTCTCTTATATCGATGGCCTTCGCTAGAGCTTCATCTTTCCAGCCTCTTTATACGCCAACTACGCTCGCTGGGATCTGGTCTCTCGTTGCTCGGACAACATGTTGTTCGCGGTTGCTGTTGTCCTCTCGCTTTTTGTTTTTACTTCGTCTACGGTCATCAGCACTTGCAGCGTAAGGAACCAAATGATCAGAACTATGAGGATCTACATTGACACTGCTGATTCAGGATACTTGCTTCACGGGGGCTTTCGCCAAGACTGATTGTTCTGTGAGAGATTCGTACTGCATTTGCAGCTCAGAAGTGTTCGCAGCCAAATTCACCGACTGCCTTGGAGAATCGTGCTCGTCAGAGGATCCCGAGAGTGAGCTCATCTTTTTTAAATCTACCTACGACCACTAACGGAGAACAGCTCTCTTCAAGAAGATCGAGAGCTTCTGTGAAGCGGTTGGAGGTGTAGAGAAGCGCGACGCAGCGCCCGAGGCCAACAACAACCCGCCATCATGGTGGAAGGGTGGTTTCCGTGGCGGACAGTCTGGCAGCAGGTGGCCATGGAAGCCGCAGCCAGGGGACAAGACGCCATGGAAGCCTGGCAACAAGTGGCCTTGGAAGCCACAGCCTGGTCAAGGGCAACCGCCTCACAATGGTGGAGGGTGGCAACCACCAAAACCTCCTCACAACCCAACGAAGCCGGATGGTCCTCATTTCCCGACGAAGCCGCACGATCCGCATCATACAGCATGGTATGATTGATGAGGTGCCTTTGGAAATTTGTGACATAGACTATTTTTGTGTCGGGGGCGTTACTGAAGGTTCATAATCTACCTGTAATTTGCAACCGGACTGGCATAGAGACAACCGAGAACATGGGCAGCAACCTTTCAGCGAGACCTTTCAGATTGGATTCGTGACTCAGATGCAGTAGCTCCTGTCCCGGTCGTACCTGCTACCAGCTTCATGAGAAGCCTACCACTGGCAGGCGCGATGAACAACGGGCTCGTGGCTTGCCGAGCTGATTTTGTTGGGCTGAGCCCAGGCACTTTGGGAAGGTGCAATGAGCGTCGACCGCCACTTCCAACCGGTCAATGCAGCAGTGTTCGACGTAAGCCTCTTGCGTCGACAGGTGCAGGTACGAATGTCAACGTGCTTTAGTCTCTTTTATGAGTAGCACATGCCAAACGTGGTTGGACCGACAGCTCTGCCTCATAGGAGCTCGAGAGAAAAGTGCCGGCCATTGTGCTGATCCCAATGGATCAGACTCGTCACGACTGTCTAGCAGCCTTCTCAGTCAGTATAGAGTCGATTCCGACGATAGTCCCTTTGGAAATCGAACCAGACAGCCGAATTGACAGTGGGAAAGACATTGGTCTCAGACCTTCATCGGCGAGCCATTCAGATCCTGGTGAAAGTATCAGGCACACGTACGTCTTCGTTGTCATGGCTGGCTGCTATGAACTTCCATGGACCCCATGGGAGAATACCACAGGGTTGTTCGGATAGATTCTGTCTGAGACATGCATTGTATAGTCAAGCCATCGCCTGGCTTCGAGGCTACGATACGCCGATCGAAAAGATAAGGCGGCTCTTATGCATTTGTTGAAAGCGCCCAGAAGTCGAGCCTGCCCCGAGAACCAGGATAGGCAGTATATCGTGGCAACTGAGTATAGCGCAGAGCCGGAAAGAGTAATGACAACCAGGGGTTTATCAATTTGGCCGTGTAGATCGTGTCATAGGAGTTGGGAGACGGACGAGGACTTCATTGGCTCGCAATTCAACGACGAGTCGATTGGTCCACACGATGTCTCGTACCAGCCTATTGGTGCGACCCGAACCTGTGGACTGTGGGTGTGAGCTATACAATAGAGTGACTTTTCAGATCTGCCGGAACTTGTAGCTCACCCATCTGGCTTCGGGATTCCGGTCCGCAACTCAACGAGATCTGGAAAGCAAATTGCGCGGTTCATCAGACGATAGCCGGGCGAGTCCCCCTATACACAAGCCACCGACGCGATGAGTCGAGAGCCTCATCCATGCTGCAGAATACCGACAGATAGTGGCAGATACTCTAGTAGCAAAAAAGCTACCCGGGCCTTCAGAGCTTCAAACGAGTCAAACTCGCCAGTGGTGAGCAGTCATCGAATTAAGCTTCACCAGGGAAGCCTGCAAGGCTGAGTCGACTTCAGGTAAGGTTCGGGGAAAGCGCGGGCTACGCAAAAGTTCCGGAGTCCCGGTGCCCACGTTTTTGCCGTGTTTCTCAACGGCCAATTGCGACATCTGACTCAGGCACACAACGGTCCTTATCTTCTTCATGACACCCTTTCATGTTGGTGGCTGATCGCGTCGAAGCTTGTACATGCAAGCGATGGCAAATACACAGTTCAGCATCTGCAAGCACAAAAGCCATATTCGTGATTGCGGATACCCGCCTCCGTCGCTGCCAATCGATCTGGGTCAACGCTGGCATTTTATTTCAGCAGCGCCTGGAACAGCGCTATATCACATTGGCATACTGACCGACGCTCAGGCGATGTCTACTGTTTACGTGGTACAAGCCTGGCGGTATCTATCAAATTCGGACTGACAAGGGTACCTGCATCACCGAATTGGGCTTCTCACAGTCCTATCAGTTGTACAAATGAATTGGTGGTGTGGAGCACTCATTCTCCCTCGAACAGTGGTTCATAGCCCGGATCTCTGATCGTCAGACCGTCTGGTGTCTTGTATTGTCGGCATGTCATTAGATCTTGACAAACATGGCCTTTCGGGTTTCATCGCTCTCAGCGTACGGACGAGGGATCGCATCCCACTTGGGACCTTCACGGACTAGCAGCCTAGATCCTCATAGGTCTGCTGCTGCCCTATTGGCACCCAGCTGAGTGCGTATCGACCTGTGCTATCTGGCTTATACCGTGTGCTATCTGACTTATACCCTGCGCAAATCAATGGTCAAGGAGCAGCTCCTGCTCGATGAAGTGATCAGAGCAAATCGACCCTCTTCCTACATGATACAGCCACGCTGACGTACACGATACTATTGTGTCGCTCTTGTACAATCTAGCAACCCAAACTCCTTCCTGGTGTGCCTCAGGTTCAGGTCTACACAACTGCCACTGCCACGTCAACCAGAGATGTATCTCAAGTCTCTGCAATCAAAAGCAGATCTTTTCCTCGATGGCGCCGCACCGAAGGAGCGACGACATGCTCTTTGGCATAAAGTCGCTAACGAAGTTCGCCAAATGGCCGTCCTGGTCACAGCGCTGATCGTGTTCTTCACGTTGTATCAAGCATTCGGCAAGACACAGCATCACCCACTCAGCCCGACTAGATCCCCGACCTTCCCTCGCAAGATATGGCAATCGTGGAAAGTCGACCCAACCAATTTCGAGGATCGCGATGCTGAGCGCGTGCGATCATGGATAGCTTTGAATCCTGACCTGCGGTACGAGGTCCTCACAGACGGTAACGGCGAAGCCTACGTTGAGGAAGTATTTGGAAGGTCGGGCTTCAACAGGCCTGATATCGTCCACGTCTACAAATCGCTCAATGCAAGAATCATTCAGGCGGACCTATTACGTTACATCATTATGTATGCCGAAGGAGGCATATGGGCGGACATCGATGTCGAAGCTCTACAGCCGTTCGGCAATTGGATACCAGCCAAATACCACGAGACGGATGTTGACATGATCATCGGCATCGAGACCGACGAGCCGGGCTTCAAAGACCACCCTACTCTGGGGTCAAAGGCGCAGTCCTTTGTCCAGTGGACCTTTGCCTGCAAGCCACAGCTTCCTGTCATGCTCTCGCTGATCGAACATATCCTTGTGTGGTTGCAAGGAATTTCCGAGAAGGAAGGCAAACCAATCGGCTCTATCGAGCTCGACTTCGACGAGGTCTTGACTGGCACTGGCCCGTCTGCATTCACAGACGCTGTCCTCGCTCAGATGGCTAGGTCTGAGCGGAGGAACGTCACATGGAACGAGTTCCACAACCTGGACGAATCAAAGGTCGTCGGTCGGGTACTGGTGCTGCCCTCTGAAGCCTTTGCAGCTGGCACTGGGCACTCAAAATCGGGCAATCACGGTGGGAAGGGTGCAATGGTAAAGCATCACTTTCACGCGTCATCGTGGACAAAATCTCATCCACGACTAAAGCACCCTATCTACGGAGAGGTCGAAAAGTGCAACTGGGACAAAGAATGCGTTAGATTGTGGGATGAAAACACAGCGTACTTCAACACGTTGCCGATCAAGGACCAGCACAAGCTGATCGCACTTCAAGCCCTCGAAGACGATCCCAACCTGAAGTCTCAATTCCTCGAGTCGCCCCCAGCAGATGCACCACTGGTTCTTCCAGATGCTCTAGCAGACGCTGGAACCGGCTCTATCCCAGCCTTGACGCCTGGACTTGCCCTTGCAGGTCCCCAAGAGAACGTGGCCGAGACGCCACTTGCTGCGGAAGGCGACTCAAGCACTGAAAGCCCGCCAGACGCAGCTGTTCAGGATGTGTCGAGTGGAGGAGACGGAGCCGCAGCTGTTCAGCACGTGTCGACCGAAGGCGACGCAGACGCAGCTAGTCACGTCGAGTCAGGCGGCGGAGCATCCGATAAAGCCTCCTCAGAGTCTGACAATGCGCCCAAGGAAGTCTTGTAGACTACGGTGTTTCTTCACGCGGATGGAATCTGTGCAGCTATCATCAGAGTAACGCGTCGGGGTTCGCTCGAACTCTATTTCTTCGATGTTTGGACTTCTAGGTATAAGCACGGAGTTTAGGTGGGGAGCTCTATACCAGGATGCCGGGGCATAGACGGAAGAATGTTCCTTGTCGATATCGCGAAACTTCAATTCAACTCAGCGTTTGCAGACGAAAGTCTAGCTAGTTATTCTTAAATGATATAGACGGCAAAGAAAACAAGGCGAGTCCTCCCTAGCGTAAGCTTAATGTAGCTTGGTCTGGATCGAAAATCATTGTTGCTTCTCGGAACCTGCACACCCTCTCGAAAATAGCTGATCCGGCTTTTCCTTCCTTCCTTCCTTCGATGTCGAGGTTTACTATCACTACATTGTTGCACGAATACAGGGGCTCTTTCCCCGTGGGTTGGGCTTCAAAGCTGCAGTAAGTGAGACAACAATGCACTCAACCGGTCCTGGAGCTCTGTCCCCGGTCGTTTTTTCTGGCCTTTTTGGTGAGGTGGCAGTCACGCCAGCTGTGTCACCAGGGCTGTGCATCGCATCGCATGCTTGTTGTCAACCCTAGCTTAAGGTTCTATCGAACACTGATAACACTGGAGTGGCTTGCGTAAGTCATTTGCTCGCCGCCCGAAGCAGATATCTGCCAGGACACTCGTGCCTCGTCTGGGCTCGGTTCCTGGATTTCTACCCGACTCCACCTCAACCCCGGAAGACGAAAGACCCGGTCATTTGAAGCACGTTTTCAATACCGCTGTATTCACCAGGAAGTTGCTGCTGTTGTATGGGAAGCGTACTTGCATTTGCTGATCGGACCATTCTTTCTCATGTCACAGTTTAAGACATGCAGCGACCACTTATCGCGTGGCTCCCCAACCGCGGCCACTCCGAGCGTTGACCAGGTGCGGTTGGTACTGTCACTCAGCTCAGCTTGTCAGCTCTAGATCTTCGCCGATTGTCTGATAGCCCGAGCAGATATGGCGAAGATGGCGGCTTGCACAAGGCTTCGGCACCCGCGTGCGCTGGACACCCTCATGTCACGCATTTTCTTTCACTGTGGCTCGATCAGTGGACAGCACTGTTCTGAAGCATGCCACCGAGCCTCAACAGTGCAGGCTGTTCGCATCCTCGCAGTCCTGTGTTCATTTGCGAGTTCTGCCATCACGGGGACATTAAGGGTGGCCAGATGGCGAAGATGAGATTTCGTCGAGTTTCTATACGGCAGGTATTGCTGCTGCTGGTGCCGCTGGTCTCTTTCACATTCTTTGCCCTACGCGTTACCACATTCGGTTCATACGTGGTCCAAACCACAGCGAGGCGATTCGCCCAACCTAGAGACCAAGTCCCTCTGAACACAAGTAGTCCTCTTGACCTTGCGTTGAGCGAAAGCGAAGAAGCACCTGCCGACGAGCCAGAAGGGGAGGAGGAGACCGCCGAAGATGCGAAGAGTCGGTGGAAGGAAAAAGTGCCTGACAAGCCGCGGCTCTACGATTACCGTGAGCTATTCTCAAGAACCACGCGCGACAGGAAATACTTTCCTATCCATTTCGGTTCCGAGACGGCATACAATCCAAACATCATCCCTCACCCAACCAAGCATGAGATGTGGATCGTTGTCGCACAACATGAACAGACGTATGAAGACATTGAATCATCTCAACAACTGACTTGTACTGCTGGGTTCCTGAACGGGGTACTGCTCTGCGCCGATGAGCCGACGGTTCTGCCCATAGCCAAGTCAGTCACAGGCCACTGCGATGGCGACCTGGCTTACATCAATTTTCGGCATGGTCCACGAGACGCCCGAATGTTCATGGGACCGACTGCGCCATACATCGTTTATGGCTCTCAATCGGGTCACACCTGCCTTGGATTATGGTTACAAGATACACGCATGCTTCTCGAGGAGTTCAAGCTCGAACGACATGTCCTTGTCGAGTTCTTCAAGCAAGCCACCGAAATCCAACGGCCGTTGCCCTGGAAGGCCATCGAGAAGAACTTCTTCATCTTTTGGGACGCTGACGGCAAGGCATACGCGCACTACGATCTGTGGCCTCTTCGCAGCTTTGCTCAGATAGACGCAGATGGGTCGGTCGCTGGTGCTGACCTCGCCCCGGCCGCGGAAGCCAATGATCTGATCTGCATGGCCAGATACATGCCCGAGGTGGCATCGAAGCTAGAGTCCATACACCAGGCAACGAACTCGATATCCATCACGCTGTGCCGCCGCAAAGATCCTGGCTGCACTGCTACTGATGACAACACCTTCATCATGCACATATTCCACCACAAGACCTATTATGACTTTCACGGCGTATATGAGCCTTATATCATGCTCTTCCGCCGAAGAGCTCCTTTCGAGCTCTATGCCATTTCAACGCGACCCTTCTGGATTCATGGCAGGGCTGCTCTTACCAGTCAGAGTGGTTCCATGCAATTCAAGGATCGCGAGGAATGGATTCCTGAGGGGCACACAGAGTTCTTCTACATAGTCAGTATGAGTTGGATGTCACATGGACAGAAGTACCATGGATACCTTGACGATAAGATGATGTTGTCGTTTGGCATAGAAGACACTCGGTCGGGAGCCATGGATGTGCTTGCGGCTGATCTGGTACAGGATCTTGGGCTATGTTGAACACTAGAACGGGGCGTCCTGCGCAATGCTGGCAGTCACAATATCATAATTAGGTACGGCAGGCAGATAGACTTGAATGAACGTAGGCAGTAGGCGAGCCGCGGGGCACACGTGGAGGTAAAGCGGCCCAAGAGGTATATACTGTAGATGAGTGGCCCTGCTGCAGATCCCTGGCATCACCCGCACCTCTGGGTGTTCAAGCCACTCTCGGTATTGGCTGCATCCTCTACAGCAAACGCAGCTGTGGCATCATCACGTTCGTGGCAGTGCACGTGTACGATCCTCACTCGAAACCACTCTATATAGACTCTTACGCTCTGATCCGGACTTGTACCTCCACTCCTCTTCCCACGCATTGTACGTGACAATCCACCATGCCCTCAGTCAGCGGCCTTGCCTCCAAGTTCTCGAAGCGTCTCGAGGACTCACTCAACAAACATGTCTCCGAATTCTTCAACAACGACTCAAGCAGTCATGATTCACCATATCCTTACCAACAACCAATTCACCAGCAAAATGCACCGGCGCCTTACAGACACAACCCTGGTCCCTACTTCTTCCCACAGCGCCGCCCGCCAGGTAGTCCAGCACCTGTACGCCATCCTAGCAGCGATCCTCGCAAGGTCGAGGTCGCACATGTCGAAGAGCTCGGCGTCGTCAAGTCCAGCACGACTCGCGTCGAGCGGGATCTAGGATTCCAGGGTCGACTAGGTGATCACGTCCTTATTACATATGGCGACACGATGTTTCGGGACGAGAATTGGAGCGACAACTTCATTGGCATGACGTGCAACTCGGTGGCCATTGCAACTCCCAACCCTATCTCTGTGTATGATCCGTTGTTGGACGATCGTGGATTTCCGAAGCATCTTCTTGAACCGAGTAAAGAGTATGGAGAGACTCACCATTCTCTGGGTATCACTAACGTAGTCGAGCTTGAGGATGGCCGGGGTGAGTAGACATACCACGCTCGGCCTGTTCATGTATGCGCTAACAAGTTCAGGGCTTCTGTACTTCCTGCTCAATTACCGTGAACACGTCGAGTCCGATATCCAGGGCGCTGGCGTCGCAGAGGTTTATGTAGACGTCGACCAACATTCCGGCCAGCCTGTACCACGAGCTACACGCCTCTGCCGATGGTGGTGGGATGGCAAGACAGAGCCATGGTATGGCGATTGTTGTAGCGTGCGCTTCAACGGGTTCGTGTACGCTCTCGGTCATAAGAACGAGAACCCTTGGGTCTACGTTGCCAGAGTTCCGGAACGAGAAGCCTTTAATCTTGAGGCATACGAGTATTGGAACGGTACAGGCTGGCAGCGTGAGAGACTGATCGGCGCGCTCGGGGAGAAAGAGAGTATTATGTGGCAGACTGGTCAAGGTCAGATCTTCTGGTCGGAGTACCACGGCTGTCTTTGCTTCGTGTACTGTGATGCTTGGTGGACGGATCAGGTGCTGGTAGGTCGTCATGAACCGTGTTCCGTGGTTTACCTTGCTGATTTGCTCCAAGATTCGCACGGCAAAGTGCCCGGAGGGCCCATGGACGGAGGCTCAGACGTTATACAAGGCGATACGTCATAGATCTGATGGGTGTATATATGCTGCAACGCCCCATCCATACTTCGATCCGAGTGGTAAGACGTTGGTCATCACATACACCAACATGCCAGCGGTTGTCGAGGCTATCAAAGTCGTAAGTTCGTCTCACCCACATGAGGAACCTACCTGACAGCTCTCGAGACTTTTGTGTAGTACATGAAGACGGTAACAGTAGCTGTGAACAATACTTTGGACTCATTGAGCCATGGACTGCTTGAAATTGGCTTTCAAAGGATTATGATAACCTCGTGCATCATATTCGCACGTCATGACTGAACGCCATGCACCGACAAGTTGTTTCACAAATCGGACATAGACTTGTTCTTCCTTAGCGGTGGTTTCACAGCTGTCTTGTCCTTCGACAGGGAGTTCAAGAACTCCTCTCGCCTGGAGCCGGTCAAGTTCAGGTGCTCCGCAACCCTACTCCCGGTCAGACCAGCCTGCGGAATGTTTGTAACAGAACTCACATAGTTGCCGGAGTCTGGGCAAGCCACTGCTCTAGGGAAAAGTCCTCAAACTTTGGTGCCCGAAACATTTCAAGCATCTCAACTGGCTCGTCGCCGATGTTCTCGACGAAATGAGCATTGTTCTTGGGCACGATGCCCACGTCTCCAGCCTGATAGTTGAAAGTTCTTGCAACGCCGTTAGCAGCGAAGATGGTCACTCGAGCTTTTCCTCGCAGGAAGAAGGACCATTCGTCGGCGTTAGGGTGCTAGTCTGTCAGCAAGATCTGACCACGGGGGACTAGCAACTTACCCAGTGCATCTCTCTCAGCGCATGCGGATTGATCAAGACGTGGGCTGCGGCGATAGTCTTTGAGATTGTGAAGTTGGTGCTGTCTGTGATACGCACTTCACCTCCGGGGAATTTGAGAGGTTTCTGCTTCAGCATTCTATGCGTGATTTATGCTTCGAAGGATTGACCTTCTTCCTGTCCTGGTCAAGTGGTCCAGGCTAGTCACATTGTGGTCAGCAGGGGCACGTGAGAAGTCGATCAACGTTACAAGGCCGGCCTCAATGTGGTTTCAAGACGCCTGCTACGTCAAGCAAATCAAAACATACCATTGTGCCTTGGAAAATATACTTTTCGCGCTGACTGAGCGAATTGAAGACTCTCTCATCGACCCGAAAATTCTTGCTGAGGACCTCCTTGGGTGTTCTTGCCAGGTAATCTGTGAGCAAAAACGTCGAGTCTTCGGAGAAGTTGCCATCGTCGAAAATCAGTAAAAACTCTGTGCCTTCCTTTCCGAGACCTTGGATGGAATGGGGATACCCCGTTGGGAAGTACCTATTGCACGTCAGTACCTGCCTACGAGCGACTGAGAAAACACACCATAGATCGCCTTCTTCTAAGTCATCGATAAAGGAGCCACCTTCAGTGTCAAGCACAGTGATACGACACTGCCCTTTGATGATGTACGCCCATTCAGCTTCGTTGTGCCAGTGCAGCTCTCTGTACACCCCGGCTTCGAGGCGCATGTTCACACCAGCGATTTCTTTGGATGTCGGTAGCTCGCGTACTGTCGTCTCTCTTGCCCATCCGCCTTCTTCCAAGCGCATATGCGAATCCGTGAATGACCACTTCATGTTCGGCATTTTGCCGCTATGTATCTCAGCGACCAGTCAGGGCGGGCTTCAGATGGTGTCTTGCTTACCTGTCCGTGATCGGAGGGCATATTGTATCAGGCTCCTGCCTCTGACGATCCGGGTTCTGGGGTCCCAGGATGTCGCTGCCCTTCCCATCGCTTCGACTTGGCGAGGGCACCTTGACATTGGCTGGGAAGGCCGGGTCGCGGCGCCAGTCGAGAACGCTGACTGTTTGCCGCGTCATATTTGGTGTGGAGGACTCCCGATGATGGAGGTCGGCTACGTCCCAGAGCTTATGTATCTCGTAGTCGAGTGCAGTCTGTTCAAGCAGTGTGTCGTGATTGTATAGATGTGGAGTACCTCAGCTTGAGCAACCGAGCCGACTCGGACGTCATCATCATGAACCTTGTTTAGCCTTTCGCGCGACGCGACACCTCGTCCTTTCCGTGCCTGGAGACACAAGCAGCTTACGCAGCCATTGGCGCGGAAACGTCGGCGTAAGGCTCATGGCCGTGCAAAGATGGCAGTGGCTACGGAGACGTGTACCTGCTCGTTTTGGAGCGACGAGCGGTGCACACACCTGGGAATCTGGCCGCGACATCGTCACAAAAGCTGACAACCGCGCTATTGACTAGGCAGGCTGTCGATCACAGTCGCTCAGCGGTACGCAGACATGGACGACCACGCCAGTCTTGGTGACGGCACCGACTACAGCAAGAAGCGCCGTCTCTTGGATCATCTGTTGCAAGAGATCGATCCGGCTTGGGCAGGTCAGTACGAGCCCATGAGAAGCCCCATCATCAAGTGCTCCGGATGTCCCAAGTCTACGAACTTTCACATTTGTGGAGTTAGGCTGACAAAGAATCGTGACAGATCTAACGCTTCTCATGCTCTGCTTTCTCACTGGAATAGTTGACAGCGCGGTGTTCAAGGAATGGGATTGTTTCGTCAGCATGCAGACCGGAAACACCATCTACGTTGGCTTGGCTGCTGCGGGAGAGACTCTCAACAGACCGTACCGATGGGCAAAATCAGGCATAGCAATTCTGGGCTTTTGTCTCGGAGTGTACTGCTTCTCGTTCGTATCACGGCGACTCGGCGAGCTGAAGCGCAGCACGATATGCTGCTCGCTTGGTGTCCAAGCTATCATATGCATTGGCGCAGCGATCATGGTACAAACGGACGTTGTGCCTCGCGGCGCGGGTGAGATGCTGCCAAAGAATTGCATCGTACTCGCCCCGTTGAGCCTGTTGTCGTTCCAGAGCGCGGGACAAATCGTTATCAGCCGATTCCTGGCCTACACCGAGATACCGACCCTGGTCTTGACCAATGCTTACTGCGACCTTTTCATGGATCCGATGCTCTTCTTTGCGCCGATCACACAGGACGTCGAGCGCAACCGTCGAGCACTCTCGGCGGTGACAATGTTGGCAGGTGCGGCCCTTGGAGCCTTTTTGACCCGCAGCGGTTCTACAGCCATAGCTTTGTGGGTCGTAGCGGCTGGCAAGATTGTGCTTGTCGGAGTATGGCTTGTGTGGCCTGGTAGAACGCCGATTCGTCTGGAATGAGTAGGAGTACGATGGAAATTGGGAGCCGCCAAGTGTTGCGCGCTGCAGTGCGATCTCCGTACTTACGGTATCTGGAGGCTGCAGATCCAAGACCGGGCTTGAATGATCGTGGGCGACTCAGGGAACGGAAGTGCGGCTGCCAGTTGAGACTTGCACAATGCTCAGAACCAGCAACCTCGACAAGTTCTTCGCCGACTATGAAGATCCCTACGTCCTCTTCAAGTGTAGTTATATTCTCATACCACACTCATGTCCAATGGGCTTGACGACGAGAATCTAATTTTGTTACATCTCTGCACGTGCAACGGGAGCACAGATCTGCCTCGAGGGAGTTCAGCACGCACAGCACCGTTCTAGAGGACTTTGCTGCTGACAGCTTCGACCAGATGCGCTGAAGAACTTTCCAGTCATCCGGTCATCCGGTTATCGGGCTTTCTAGTCAACCGGTCTCGCCAGAGCTTGAGTAAGACCAGAGATGAAGTTGTCGATACCAATGCAGGTCTTTGTTGCCACATGACAGTCGCTCAACGGCAATGCCATAGATGGATCTACAGCTTGCTCTCGCCCCGATCTATCCTGCCCGTGGCCTTGACACGAAACTCGACCCTCGGGAAATGTAGCCTCAGCTTTACCGTCTTGGCCGCATCACCATCCGCAAGTACGTCTGGCTCAATCACAATTTCTTCCGGAGTGCTTGCGAGCAGCTTGCCGACACTTGGGTGATTCATGCCTGTATCGCTTGGCCATACGCTGATATTCGCCCCCATCACTAAGCCTCTTTGCTCGTCCAGAGTCACATTGCGGCCAGCAGGCGTTGGTAGGACCGGAACTTCATGCTCGTAGTTCGTAGCACGCAGCTGATCAACGACTGTCTCCAGACCCTTGATATCGTCTTTCTCAATTCGCGTTTCTGTTGATGGCAGCCTGTCAAAGTACGTCTGCATCCGATCAAACCATGCATTGACCATAGGGTATCGCTCAAACAATGCCTCGGCCCCCGGCTCGCCCCCGTCAGGAACTTCTCCCGCCGTCAGATCGAAGACATTGTATCCAAGTGCAGTCTCTCGCCCCCACCGTAACATGTAGAAGACACTGATATCTAGCATTCCAGGTCGGTGATCCTGTCGTGTGGAGGACATCCACAGCGGTTTGGCTCGGTGTATCCCATCCACGATACCCTGCCGGTCCAGCAACAAACTCTCAAGCATACTCAGATGCAAGTCAAGACTGCTCATCATCTCTGGGATCTTCCGATCCAGCTTCTCCGGATCGAGTGTGTGGCCGATCAACGAGGCGCGATCCCTGCCGAATTGCGAGCGCCACACAGAGGCAGGCATCAGACCGCACACGGCGCGGAAAAAGGGACGGTCAGTGAAGTAAGATGTCAAAAGACGAGAAGTTGTCCTGCCGCCCTTGTAGGGATAGAGCGTTGGGTGTTGCGGTGACGGTGGGAGGTAGTGCTCGAGAGCGGTGGTTTGTAGTGAGGTGTCAATGTAGGCCTGAATGGACTTTTCAGCACGGGAACGTTCGGAGCATCTTATCGAAAGGGCGTTTAGAGGGGACTGACCTCCCTACCAAGCATAAGGATCGGGATCTTCCGGTAGGTGATGTTGAAGTAATCGCGTAGAACAGGGCGTGGCATCATGGAGGGGACGACGACAAATGCTTGTGGTGTTTCTCGCGTTAGCCATGATAACGGGGGCATTTCTCTCGCGGTCGTGGCCTCGGTCGGGTTTCAAGGTCCTTGAACTTACTGTAGGGAATCTGCCTCGTTGCCAGAACCAGGCGCATCTTCTGCGTGAAGGCAGATGCTACGAAGCATCAGATCTGCGAGCTTCAGGGCAGACTAAAGGACGAACGCACAGTCATAGCCAAAGAGCACCACAAGGGCTCTGCTCTTTACACCTGCCATCTTCAACGCCCTGAGGACCCGTTCTCGGTTTGCTGCTGCGTTTCTATTGCATTGGATGGGCCAATGAGAACGATGCTAGTACACAGTGATCAGTAGATGCAGATAGTTAACCGGCACTCTGTGAACGAGGCCGCAATCCTGTCCCCAGTGGTCGTGATGATTGTTCGCTTGACAGAGAGATGGATTGGATTGCCTGAGATTCTCTATCAGAAGTTTATGCCTTGTAATGAGTGAGAGCTTGTGGTCGATGTCTTACAGTATCGATGCCTCGGCCGAGGGTGCTTACGTAAACCAAGTGGAGAGGAAGGCCTGAAAATCGTCACCATAACGGTGAGAGCAAACGATCGTACCTGCAGTAACGTTGTTCACGCGTGTTCATAAAAAAATCGCGTTCCTTTTATCATCTATTACGCAGAACGCCAATCCTGGAGGATCGCAGCGCGTCGAGGCTATTTGTTTGCGCCATGGTGTCCATCGACGTGTGGAAGTGGCCCTAGGTATGCAGCGATCTCTTTCGACAGGACTCACCTAGACCCGGAACCGGACACACCTTTCGAGGCCAGACTCCCGAACACGAGCTTGCTGGCGAGACGCACAATAGATTGCGTTGAGGATCTAATTCGCCGAGGTTCCAGCACAAGTATGAACTAATCGTAGTACTTGGCTTTCACTCCCTTCAAGATCTCCTGCTCTTTGATCTCACTGCGGGCGGACTGGCTTTTATTGACTCCTGCCTTTACGCGGGCCTTGACCCACTCGCCAGCAGTGATACCTTCCGCAAGTTGGTTCTCCTCATCGGGTTTGTATCCAAGCTTATCGAGCACACTACTCTGCACCGGCTTCAATTCCAGGTCGTTCTCAGGACGAACAAAATATAGGACTCCTAGGCGGTCGATGTTCGCCTGATCAGCGGGAGGCGCGACGACCCGATGAATCGAGCTCTTGAGAAAGCCATTCGTCAGGAACTGTAGCGCATCTGCAATGTTCACTGTGATGCTGCCATCATGGGGCTTGACCCATTTCCAGCCTCCATCGGGTCCGCGTACTTGCAGAGCGGCGACGGGCTGGCGGAACAGCAGAGTGAGACTCCCGAAATCGGTATGCCCCTTTACCCAGATGTCGTCCAGCTTCGCGTTTGTGGCAGCGTCTCGGTGATGATACTTCATGTATCGCAGATGGCAATCAGAGACCGCCTCGTCGTATCTGTGTCGAGCGGTGAAATAGTCCTCAGGGAGCTCGAGAATGATCGCGAATAGCGTTAAGAGCTTCAACACGATCTCTGAGTGGATGTGTCGAGCGAAGTACTCGATTTCATCCTTGTTGGAGTTGACGATCGAAGGATGGGAGCGTTCGAGCTCTGGGATGAACTTTGGTATGTTGTAGATCTCGGTGTTGTCGAAAATGCCTGGTCTTACTTCCTGTGGAGGGTCTCAGCCAACATCCTGTTCCTTGTTAAGAACTACTTACGCGGAGTCCTAGGGGCTTATAGCCGTTGTAACCACCGTGCTCTAGGTCAGCGCGATACTTCAGCTTTTCTGAAGTTGGCAGCTCGAAGAGCTGTTTGCCGATACCAAATTGGCGATCGACCTCTTCTTGAGTCAGTCCAAAGTTGACAATATAGAAGAATCCGATGTTCTGGATGGCATCAAAAAGCTGCTTGGCCAATGCCTCTTTTCCGCCAGGGGCATCAAATTTAGACAGGTCGAGTGTCACTAGATCCGCCCATTCGACTGGAAAGGGTCAGCTACAGCTACACTGTCTCAGACTGGCATTCATCGCTCACGATCGTATTTGGTTTCAGGTACCTGTTCATAGGCTTGCAAGACGTTTTGCTGGTGCACCGAGGGAGGTGAAAGCACTGCGGCAGCCATGGTGATCTGACAATGATGTCGAAGCAACCACGAAAATCACGTCTTTGCTGTTATCTGATCCTCCCTACTCTGTGTCTGCAGGTGTATATGAATGCTTGAAGCATTCAAAGAGGGTCTGATGCTTGGCAGGACTTCCTGGAGCGGCCGAATGCCGGATCCCGGTGTCCCACGTGAGAGGAGTGTGACCCACAAGAATATGTCGCCATTTGGAGCCACCATCACGACTTCATTTACAAAAGTCCCATCATCGACATGTGCCACCATACTTTGTGCGACCACGTGTGGTAGTCCATAACAGACGGTATAGCCGCTGCACACACAGTCAAAGTCGCACGCGCACGGTCTGTGCTCTAGGGACTACTGGCAGCACTCGGAAACTCAGCTCTCTGTCGTGCGCTACGTTACTGACAATCAAGACCTCATTGCGCGCGGGGCGGACTCGAGGATGTTCACATCTGCAGGATGTCTGGTCCACCCTTGCGTGGGCATACACTATGGCGTGCTGTCTATCCGCAGCGACAGATTGGAGCCCTGCAGCAAATCGACTATGCGAAGCTTGACGCCTTTCGTTTAAGCCACTCTTTCATTGTTATGGCATGAAGCTAATGTCGACTTCGGTTCAAGGCCGCTCATTGAGTGTTGCGATCAGCGTGCGTACGGCGTTCTTTCGGTTTCTCGTGGAGGCTTGTCATCGTTTCCAACCCTCTTTCATGCAGGGCGAGAACAATTGCAGCACGCAATATCATGCTAAGAGTGTGCCATTCCGCTCAACATCGGTACTGCGAGCCGAAGAAAATATTCACTAGTCGACCGATGCGCAAAGACCGGGCCTGCGAAAGTGAGTATAAGAAAGACCTCAGAAGGCGGCCCTCTGAACTGGAAATGACCATAGCAACCGCGCCCCAAACACATTATGGCGGATAAACAGACAGATGTCGCCCTGACCAACGCTGTTCTCGACTCGGGCCTGAGCAGTGAGACCGCAAGCAGAGAGGACGTGCGAACCAAGGATGCCGATGTGACCTTCGCGCGCCGTGGTGAGGTGATTGACGATGCTGCTGGTCAAGATGCAGATGGGTTCGACGCTGAGAGAATGCGCGGAAGGGCTCTTCTGACAGCGGAGGAAGAAAAGGCACTCATGAGACGCGTGGATTGGCGTATGATGACCATTTGTTCGATACTGTTCTTGCTCAAGAACATCGACGCGGACAACATTTCAAATGCTCGGATCATGAATCGCGGTACCTCTCAGAACATCATGACCGAGCTTAAGATGACTGCCGATCAGTACAACTTGCTGACTGTGTTATATTATGTGAGTCGCACCGATGTTAAGCACGGCAGGAGCTGACTTTGTTAGGTCCCATACATCGTCTTCGAGGCCCCGTCCAACTTGGTGTTAAAGAAGTTTTCGCCGAGCACATGGCAGTCCCGCATCATGATATCGTGGGGTATTGCATTACTGTGTCATGTTCCAGTCTCGAACAAAGGTGGCATATACGGCACGAGATTCTTGCTTGGTCTTGCAGAGGCTGGGATGTTTCCTGGTGTGATCCTACAGATGACTTATTGGTACCGGCCAGATGAGATGTCGGTACGGCTCCTGTACTTCTGTAAGTCCCATTGAATGCACGAGCCGCTCAGACTGACCGTTGCAGACATGCTCGGCAACCTTTCGGGCATCTTCAGCGGCCTGTTGGCTTTTGCTTTTGACACGATCTCTGGCTACGGAGGCCTTTCAGGTTGGCAGTGGCTGTTCTTGAGCGAAGGGCTTGTGACGGTCGTCTTTGGTGTGGCAGTCAACTTCATCCTCCCTGACTGTACGTGGCCCTCATTTCATTCGACTCAAGCTAATCCATGACAGTCCCGCCTACAGCGAAGTGGCTGACCGAAAGGGAGAAGACGTTTATCCAGGCCCGACTGCCTCCAAACGCTCCACGCGCTGCCGAAGAGGACTTCAGCTTCCGTGAAATCGTCAATACACTAAAGGATCGTCGTTTGTGGCTGTTCACACTAATCTGGGCCACGTTCACCGTCGGGACATCTGGCGTGCGCTTCTACCAGCGACGGTCATTGCCAACCTTGGGTTCACAACAATTGCAAAGGCCCAGTTGCTCAACCTGCCAATCTCAATCCTCTCGCTGGTTGTCATCGGCGCGACTGGACTTGTGGCCGACAATGGAAGACTGCCTCGTCCACTTTATCCTCTCAGCATGTTTGCAATCATCATTGCCTGCTACGCTGTCTTAGTCGTATACCCCTCAAACGGGGCAGTATACACCGCGACTCTGATCGGCAATGCCTGCACATCGGCTTTCTTCCCACTGATGTGGCCATGGCGTGTCCAAACGACGAGTCGGGCCACAGGTTCTGCCTTCGGCATCGGCTTCGTCAATAGCTACGGCCAGATCGGCGGAGCAGTTGGGCCCCAGATCTTCCGCCAGCAGTACGCTCCGAGGTACCGAGAAAGTTTTGCCAGCGCGATGGCTTTGGTGGGAGCATGTACGTGTGTGACGTTGGTGACTTGGTGGGTCACAAGGAAGACGGAAGCAGATACTCGTCGGTTGAAAAGATTGCGCGTCAAGGCACAGAAGGATGATCTGACTGTCTTGACCGATGTTGTGGATCGCGATTTGGCAAAAGCTAAGAACGAAGTTTAAGCACGAATGCGAAGTGGATGGTCACGGGTACACAGGCATCGTTGTCGTTGCTCGGCGGAACAGCAACAGCGCGCTTCTGTTCGGGCGATGACTCTCGATAAGGGAAAGACTGTTTATTACTATAGCCTCGAGTATAACTGGAAATTCTCTCCCATCAAGGTGAAACTCAGATGTCCTCCGTCCCATTCATGGCAATGTACCACTTCCCCTCGGTCGTCGAATTCGTCAGATTCGTTTGCACAACCTGACCATTCCTCACATATCCATTCTCGACCACTGCACCAATGGCCGTGCTGCCATTCGCCCATCTCCCCAAACAATTCGCTCCATTGTACACACTGAAGTTAGCCAGCGATATCTCCCCGTCATTACGATCCACGATCGTCGGCATTCCGAAGTACTTCGCGTCGACCTTCTCCTTGCTGAAATGCAGCTCGAAGTAGCCTCGGTAGTAGACTTCTGACCACTGGAGCTCACGATTGGCGGCGACGAGGAGGGAGGAGTGGTTGTTCGCGGCAGCGAGGGAGACGTTCTGGCCGCGCGGGGATGGAGAGGAGACAGCGGTGCCGGCGAATTCGACGCCGATGGAGCCGGCGCCTGTTGATGGGTTGTAGGGGGCGTGAGTGTCGGAGTCGAGCCAGACGAGGTCGGAGACCCAGTTTGCGTGGGAGTCACCTGCGATCTAGTGTCTGTCAGCATAGGGTCTACGTGCCGTGAGAAGACCTCGATGTGTGTGTGTCTTAGATGTGTGGGTGGTACTAGTACTTACGACAATGTTGTTTCCAATGTTGTGCTCATATAGCGTCTGGAAAGTACGATTGCGGTTGGCTTGGTAGCCATCCCAAGCATCGTAGTCCAGAGGGTTGACATTACCATACGCCTCTGACTCGTTGACGCGGCTGAAGACCGTCTGCGAGCCGATCAAACGCCACGTTGCGCCACGGTTGGCAGACTCGACCAGAGACTTGTAAAACCAGTACTCCTGTCTGGGGCCCATCATGCTACGGCCAGCATCATTACTAATAGCGTGGATGTAGTCTGTGTTCCAATAGAGATCGGTGATCGAGCGATCGTAGTTGCGTGTGTCAAGCATGACGAGATCAATCAGGTTGCCGATAGCGAACGACCTCCAAATCCGAAGGGAGTCGTCCATTTCGACCTGCCGGATAGGCATCCATTCGAAATATGCCCGAACGGCGTTCATCTTGCGCTGGTCAACAGACACACCGCCATCCTCGATGAAGGATGCTTCGGTGTTGTTGAGTTCCGAAGAGCCGTCTCTGTACGAGTTGTCTGCCGTCTCGTGATCATCCCATACTGCGATCCAGGGGAACTGAGAATGCGACAGAACAAGATCCTGATCGGTCCGATAGGTGGCATGCCTTTTGCGGTAATCATAGAGTGTATAAATTTGACGATCAGGCAACGGGATTCGGTCAATTGAGTAGCCATACCCGTATTCACCTTCAGCGTATTCGTAAATATAGTCCCCGAGATGGATGACATAGTCAACGGAGTCCTTGCGAACGGGGTTGCCATAGGCGTTGAAGAAGCCGAATGGGTAGTTGCTGCATGAGTATACTGCGATTCCGACATTTGTTGTGTCATCCGTGGGATTTGGAGTGGTTTTCGTCCTGCCGATGATGCTCTTCTTGTCAGAACCACAGATGCTGAACTGGTAGTAGTAGCGAGTGAACGGCTGGAGACCAGTAGCTTCGACCTTGACTGTATAGTCGACATCTGAACTGGTGTAAGCTGTACCCTGGCTGACGACTTGCGTGAAGTTGACGTCGTTCGCGACCGCCCAGCTGACACAGACAGGAGCATTGGAGGGTGGTCGGTTCTCATCTGTGTCATTGTAGATGGGCACGGGGTTAAAGTTGGGGACAAGGCCAGAAACCGTGCTGTTGTCGTCCACGTCGTCGAAGGTCGGCGAGCAGCGGGTCCACAAGATCACACTGTTTGGGTAGGGATCTCCGGACGCAACTCCATGAGTGAAGTTGAGCTGGCTGGGGTCGAAGGCAGAGGCTGGGTCATTTCTCTTCACGACTTTGCGCACAGATATGCCTAGTCCAGGGTGATGAAGGGATGGGGAGCGATAGTTCAAATTGGCACCAAAGCTCGCTAGGGCCGGAGCCGCCAGACAGCTGAGAGGTAGAGCAAGCTTCATGATGTTTGCAGATGAGGCAGGAACAGATTCCGACTTACCAGTGCGGACAGTCTTGCCTGTCCGGCGGCCTTTATAGATGTGGCCACGGCCCTGTACCTCTCAGACTGACCGCTCGCAATGCTCGCAATGTATCGCGGAAATGCATCTCGCACCATGGACATGGACGCAAGCTTTCCACAAGCTCGCCGTCAACAAGAAAAAGCATGGCCACAGCCAATGGCATTGTACGCTGAATGCTTGAGGTAGGGTCAAGTTGGACCTAGTGGTAACGTCCTGCCTCTTGCAACTTAGTCTTGTCAGAGTTTGGCAGGATTTGTTGTTGAGCAGCACAAGTGAGTGTTCGAACGGCAAGCACGTGTTTGACCGGCGCACGTTAGCGCGCAACGTACTGTTGATCCAAGTACGATACCCGACACCGCGGTGTGGGGAGATGTGGTCGGCAAACAGCAAATCACCACCGATGTGAATGGTTACATCATTCGTGGTAATAGGCTTACGCTGATTGGCTGCGAGGCATAAATCACCCCGTCGCGGGGGGAGGGGCGCGTTACCAGAGCAAGGCTCAGCGCGGACCTCGTGACCTGCGGCTGTATGTTGATGCTGGATGTACTTCAGCTGTAGCCTGGAACTTGTCGTTGCAGACTTCTTGACGGTATTAGCAATCAGCATATCAACAGCTGCCGTCACCTGAACATCACACCTAGTACTCCAGTAAATCGCCAGGCAGTCCTATCTCTCGACGCAAACATGGCCGCCGCAGCAGTCTGTCCTGTCGTTGGCACGACCAACACGATGCTACCTCCGTCCCACCCCTCAGTCGATCTCTCGAAGGATGGACTAGTCTGCCCCGTCACCAAAGCCAAGACTGACCACCATCATAACCTCGAGAAGCATCCGGGCATACCGGCTGATAGCAGCAATGCGGAGGAGTGCCCTGCGCTACAGAAGATCGTGAGCAAACCTGATCAGAAGGCTATGGACGAGGGAATCTGCCCGGTCATCGGAACTGCCACGAGTGTCCTGCCACCGGATCATCCAAGCCTGTCGGGAAAGAATGACAGTGATGTCTGCCCAGTCACGAACGCGAAGCTTGGTGACCATAAGGACAAGATAACCCAGCACCCGAGCGTGGAGGGAGCGGCTAAGGACGCGGTCTGCCCTGTCGTTGGACGGTCTGCGTGAAGCACCGGATAAATGGGAACATCAGGGAGAACAGCACTCATCGGGTGGCAAGTTCGATTTATCTGCTGCCCGCCACAGCATGGTTGTGCTTGCGTGGTTGGGCTGACGGCACTGACACCACTGGGAGGACTTCGAGTTTGATACCATAATCAGGTCAAGGCTTTTGGGCATTTGGATTTTCGCATTTTAGGGCAATATAAAGGACGTGTTACAAGCAATGCTGATTCCCCGCCGAGCTTGCCAAGATGCCTTGCGCGCCTTTTTGCACGGCATACCTCGTACAACCTGTCTTCATTCTACAGCGTCGGCTGAAAAGGTGTTCGGGTGGGGGCCGAATAACAAAAAGTTCTGAATCTCAAAATCTCCAAGTCTAGGCGCCCTTGTAGGCTTGCATGCCTAAACAGACATGCCCGGGAGTAGCAGGAGATAGCAAGCTCTTTGTGTTGATCGGGCTCAGATCAAGTACCTCTTTTTGATTTATCTCTACCTGATGATTACTATTATACAAGACCGCTTAGAGTAGAGGTTCTAGTCTGAGTATTACTATTGTGACTTACGCTTCCTCACAATCGAAGTGCGCTGTAGAGAAATTCATCGCCGAATGTGAGGCTTTGTTGATGTTGACAAGTTTGATGTTCGGCCCCCACCCGAACACCTTTTCAGCCGGCGCTGTATGTTCCAACGCCGTTTCATCGACTGACATCCATGTCGTCCCCGAACGCCGATAAAGTTGGGCGTAGCACGCCGTATCGCGCTCAACATCGAAATGCATTGTGTGCTGCTTATGGAGCTGCACCAAATGCGGGCTGTCTAGGTCCGCCTGCTCATGGCGGCTCAAAGCACAAAGGGACGTGAGCGTGAGCTTGCGAAGTGACGCGTTTCTGCCCAATTGCCTATTTCGCATCGTTCAGCTGACTCCCAGGTACTCTTGGTATAGATTGATGCTCGGACGTCTGCCGACGAAAGCTCTGTGCCTCAAGCGAAGCGACTGGACGCGACAGTACCGCGAATACACTGACTTGGCCCGGGCTCAGGCTCTTATTGCATAGACATCGTTGGATTCGAGAGCCGTATTCACTATTTGGACACCTCCCCTCCCAGTGTCAAGGTGATAGACCGAGCCATCCGATAAACGCGCACGATGGGCTTCTACGACGTAGGTCACTCACTCTTGGGACTCGCTGTCTGCCTTACTTACTACTGCTCAAGTGGATGATATGGACACAACGATACATAAACGGAACCCTTGGTCTGTCTGTTCCTAAGAACACAAATCCATTGCGCTTTGGCGTCCTTGGAGCGGCAGACTTCAGTCCTGTGGGCCTCTTCGATCCTGCATCCACGCATCCCGATGTCCTCGTCGTTGCAATTGGAGCACGCAGCCTTGCCAAAGCACAAGCACAAGCCTCGAAATGGAACATTCCGCTCGCCTTTGGCTCCTACCAGGAGGTTCTCGACCAGCCAGACATCGACGCTGTCTACATCCCGCTGCCAATCGCGCACCACGCTGAGTGGACGATCAAGGCTGTGAGGGCTGGCAAACATGTACTCTGCGAGAAATCGCTGTGTTGTAATCAAGACGAAGCCCGAGCTGTCCAGAAAGCTGCAAGAGAAACTGGCAAGGTCGTGCTGGAAGCCTTTCACTGGCAGTTCCATCCGGTCAACCACGTGCTGAAGACTCTGGTTGACAGTGGAAAGTTCGGACGGATGCAGTCGATCGTCACAGAAATGAGAACGGTCTTTGCTCACACGCCTGACGACATTCGTCTGAAATACGAAATGGGTGGCGGTGGTAAGTGATGGCTGAGCAACAAGTGTGCGGCGGTGTCTCAGAATGCTGACCCTGCCCAAGCATGCCTTGACCTAGCATATGTCTTCTCCGGTCTCCGATACTTCGTTGGCAGCAAGGGAGAATTTGTCGTCACACGAACTAAACCGACGCTCTACCCCAACGACAAGCGTGTCGACTACAAGATGGAAGCTGACCTTGACTTCCATCCCGATAATGGTGAGCCAGCGATACACTGCAAAGCGATCGCGGACCTCACGCAACCACGAATATTGGGCATCATCCCAACGATTGAACCACCGCGGCTCAAGATCGAGTTCGAGTACGCTACCGTGAAGCTGGATGGGTAAGACTATCCCGTCTCGGCATCTTCCTCTTCGTGCTGCCCTCTTGACGAATTCTTTCCTCCCCTTAATCCCCTCCCGAAAATTCTCCTTTCCGACCCAAAATTAACCTCCCATACCTCCAACAGCTGGGTCGCCCCCCACTACCCGCACAACCTCCTCATAACCGACAAGCGCACCAACATCACCGCGAAACAAAAACACTACAACTTTGGCCCCAAATGGCAGGCTATCGGCGAGACATACTGGACGACGTACCGTTACCAGCTGGAGGCGTTTGTCATGAAGGTCAGGGGCCTGGAGCCGCCGCATTGGATTGATCTGGAGGAGAGCGTGGAGGTGTTGGGGATCATTGGGGATGTTTATGAGCATGCTGGGATGGCGTGGAGGGGGAAGACGGTGGAGGAGATGAGTGTGTGATAGGGCACGGATTTGATTTGATTGTGACGTTCTTGTGGTGGGTCTGTCGGGAGCAGGTCTGGGATGGGACGCTATTGCTGGTAATCTTGGTCTCCAAGGAAGGAGGTTTGAAGTAAACGACGGCCCTGGATGACAAAATCTTGGGGTCGGGTTTTATGCCGTACGTACTTCGAACCAAGGATGCTGTGCTCAAGTTCCTTTTGATAGCACAGTGCCGCATGCCCCGTCCGACTGGAACGAGTGCAGAATAGCAGCGATTGTGGACAGCTTCGAAGCTGTTGAAGGGCCTGCTACCTTGGGTCTTCGTGAAAACGAGGCAGCGTAAGCGTAAATAGACGCGCCAGACAGTCCAATTCGAGCGAAACAAGAGGAACAGAGCTACATTTGCAAGCGTAACGTGAAGTAACTCTCTTATTTGGTACAAATTGAAGACGCGACAAGGAATCTAAGCTGAAGACGACTTTTGGAGGCTAAGCTAATGTACAGTTTCAGAAGACAGGAAATGGAAGACGGTGCCGAAAAGCCGATTTTGCTCATCTCTTGCCGTTGAGTAGACTCTTGAGACAGCCGCTGGGACGACTGCTAGCGACTCGCACAGTGTGCGCGCGAGCGGGCTTGGATGTATCGTGAGTTGATGTCTGCTTGGAGTTTGAGAAGGACCGTGAGACACTGGAATGGATTTGCTTTGGTCTAGTCGCATCCCGGCCAATGGTGTGTACGCTTGAGTTGGCGTGGTGGTTGGCCAGCACTGCTGCAAGTGATGCGTCAAGCCGAGAAGAGCTCCAAGGCGATGGCGTTGCGTTCGGTCGGTGTCCGTAGCATCCATCATTACGTGGTTATGAGATGTGACAGCAGGATGTTGCCTTTCATCTTTCCGCGTCTTCGATCCGTGGAATTCAAGGTGCATATACGTAGTGTCATCCAAAAGAGGCTCGAGTGAGCACACGCATGGTGTGGACATGATGTGTCTCAAATCGGCTCTGCGCAGATCATGCATGCCCCTGTGGGCCCGGTAATCGAGAGTATGCAGCAGATTTCGCTTGTAGACGTCTGTGAACATAGATCGGGGCCACGCCTCCTTGCTGTGTGGCAGACGCGAAGCAAGCGAGCCGGATCTGTGGTGTTGCTCTGTCGAGCACCAGGGGAATAGACAGCTGTGTCATATTTCCAGGTAGACGCCATGACGTAGTGGGCGATGTACTTGGGGATCTTCTGTGAGAACGAACTCCTGCTCCGAGGTTTTGCCCTGCAGATCAGGATCGCAGGCTTCTGGAGAAGGAGCAGGGTAGACGGCGGCCTGGGAAAAATCTGTACCTTGGTTGAGGCCCGAGGGCAGTGCAGTGTAGTTCATAGATTGTGGGTTCACTCGGTTCTCATTGACTTGCGGCGCGAGTGCCGGTGGAGAGACCGTGACTCGTTTAACCGCGAACTCGACGGATTTCCAACACATCTCTAGATGCTCGTACAAACGATTGCCGCTTGCGAACTCGGAACCGCAATTGCGGCAGATTCGTGGCTCTGGTGCTAGAACATGGTATGACGCGCCGCTATGTTCAGCATCATGGTCTGCCAATGGGTGGTCGTCAGCCGCAGGAAGAGCCATCTTCGACTGGCGAGCTCGTGGTGACGTGCCACTTATGTGGCGCCCCAACCTTGTAGGTGAGTCCGAGATGGACGACCGGATCCGGGCATGAAGTGCTGCTCGTACGTCTGCTACTTTTCGTGCCCAACGTTGCAGTTCCGTGTTGAAGCTCATGATCGTCCACTCCACGTCCTCGATTCGCTGCATCCATTCTAGATGTTCGAGGTCAGTAGCTGAAGCCATGGCGCTCGATGACCTTGCGATCATCGCGTCCCGTACTTTTCGAAGTTTTCGCGTTTGGCTCTTAAACATGGACAACAACCCGTTAATGGTGTGCGGCAAGGCTGCAAGCTCCGGATGAACAATGGACTTGGTGTACCCAGACTTGTCAGCACAGTGCTTCAGCAGCTCGGTGACATAGGCTGCTCGTGCTGTAAAGAGGACGACATGGCGGTTGACTTTATTAATTGTGCCGTTGAGCATCGAACGGCGGTACACCATGGAAGCGAGCACCGCAGAGTCTGTGCTGCCATCTTGAATTCCCTTCAGCGACGGTGGTTCGAGCAACTCTCTCAGGAGAATGGCGTTCGCCGAGGCCTCATGAAAATCTTCCGACAAGCGTTCGATAGGCTGTAGAAGTTCTGCATCTTCGGCATTATGCAAGACCGCGGAGTCAGACAATGATTCGTGCAGAGACACTTCAGACGTAGCTAAGTCTGAATCTCGCGGCTCGATCATGGCCTTGGAAGAGACAGAATCGTCTTGCATGCGATCTCCAACGTCGATCACGGTGGGCACGATGTCAGATTCGTTGTTTTGATGTGGCTTATTGGTAGTCAACGGCCAAGTTAATTTTGTTGTTGCAGCGTCTCCCCGTGAAGTCGAGAGTCTCCATAGTCGCTGGTCTAGCTGTACAATCTGGGCAGTAAGGTACCTGATCCAGTTGAACATCGAGGTAGCATACGTATGCAGCTGCTCGTTGTCATAAGTGCGTAAAGCGTCAGAAGCATCAGATCTGTCCAAGATGTGAGATTGACAGGCACTCAACAACAGGTCAAATAAGTCGAACTGCGTCTGGTCTCGATCAATGTTCTCGGCCAGGGTTGCGATGGCCAGACCCAATTTCCGGGCAACAGCGAACTCGTTATCAAAAGTGGGATCTCGCATGCCAACCAGTAGATGGTGTCTTAGCCATTCGTTCATGTAGTCAAGCCGCGCATTTACGCGCGCACAGCTCAGCACACTTGTTTCGGCGAGTCCAAGAAAGTCTGCGTGGGGTGCACCTACTCGTAGTTTGGTCTGCATATACTGTGAAGCGTTGCTGGAGAGGCTTTGACGTTTGTCAGGGTCTGGATAAACCCCAATCCGTTCTGTCAGAATCCTTTGCGTGGCGACCTGGGTTAGGATCGTTCGCCGCAGACTCCCAAGTCCGGAAAGGAGTATCGAATCCTCGGTACTGTATTGTCTCATCGGAGACACTTCCCCAATTACTTGGGATGATCTATGAGCAATTCCGGCCGTATCGGTGTGAAGTGTAGGAGGTGCGGAGCATCCTGCGACATCTATATACCTGCCTGGCAACCACTTTCCAATTTGTTGCTCCGAAAGTCCAGACCAATTGGGCTGAGCCTGTGATAGTCTACGCTTATAGCCGCTTCGCGATAGACTCACATGACTAGCAATGGTCGTCAGAGAAAGGGAATCTGATGATGGCGAGTTTCGGTGATTCCTCAACTTGACATTAGTTGATGCAATGGAGGCCGTATCGCTGCGAAGTAGGAGCGCTAAGTAGTCTGTGACCTTCATGTCATCTCCTGGAACTGGCTGCACCCCCCATAATAGAGACTCCGTTGACTGAGGCTGCAAGGAGTCCTGCTTTGGGAAGTCTCGCGAAGGAAGCTGGCGCATCTTTCGCAACTCGGCCTTCGTTTTCTCGAGGGCATCACGGTATTGATTGATCTCGGCGCGATGTGACTTATCTCTTGCCTCAAGCTCTTTTCGATGGGATGCGAAGACCGCGGCGAGTGCTAGTTCCGCTGCACGTTCAGCACTGATTCTCTCGCGTCCAAATTTGTCCGAATCTCCCGTCAGGGCATTTCCGTCTATGGCTCCTGTCTGGACGTGAGGGGCTTCTTCTGCTGCGTGTCGGGTGCTCGGTGGCAGGCCGAGGCCGAAATTAAAGCTATCGAGCCGTGACAGCATCCGGGAATAATTGACGCCTCTGTAGTCTTTCTCTGCGCAGGTAATCCAAAAGAGCTTTCTGCGCTCGATAGGGGCCCGGCCTTGCACGTAGGAGTCCAGCCAGACTGCCAATATCGCCTCAACAAGCCCCTGGGTTTGTCTGACTGCAGTAGAGCCAGTCTCTTCTGTCGGCACCGCTCCCGAATGCTCTGACAGTAAAATCGATTGTCCAGGCCAACTCAGGCCATCCCGTACTGCGAATCTATAGTGACTTGAGTTTCGTCCCCTGGCGTGTTCTCTTAACCGCCGATTCAGTGATATTAAAGCGACGCCCACATGCAATCTATTGTTGTCGGGCGTACTGTCTGCCCAGGGCTTGGACAAGAGGACTCCGTAGACCCCAGGCTTGTCAGAATTTACCGGTGGCAGATGCTGCAGTTGCGCATACGTTGGGGCCTGCTTAGCACCAAGTAGCCTCTTGACAGCAGTCGGTATCGAGGCCGAGATATCGGACAGCCATTCGACATCTGGTTTCGTTGCCAATAGCTGAGCCCACTCAGGTGCAATATCGGATCCCAGCAATGCGGCCCAGATGAGCTGTAGGCGAGTTTGGAACAACGCAAGCTGCACATGCTCCGTGTGCTCATCGGTGTCCTCAACGGCTACGGGACTCTCAGGCTTCCCAATGGTGGTGAGCTCTTGTATCTTCTGTTCAACTTGCGATATGTCACGACGCATATATAAAGCGATTTGCGTGGATGACCAATTCAAATCCTTCTGAATTCGCTTCAGGTCGTAGTCTTCTTCCTGGGTCCAGGCGTGCTTCTTCTTTCTCTGCATTAATAGAGATTCGAGATCTGTCTCGAGGAAACGAGTTGCAAGCTTGATCGCCTCATTCGGAAGACAACCAGTCTGGCGACATGCGTCAAAGATAGAGCCACCTTCTGCCAGTAAGCATCTTCGGACTCGATCTACACGGAGTCGATCTACATGGCTTGGGGTCTTGAGTGACTCTACACGCCTTCCGAACTTGAGTGACTCGCGGGTCATGGCCTTTGCAGCAGTCGTACCCTGGGATCCTTCGGGTAACCATGACTCTGTAACACCGAACTCCGGTCCGCCCCCTACAAGGTCGTCGGAGTCATGAGTTGACCTCTGTTGCGTTCGCTGTACCCCGGCTTCCGTCTGGTCTTGCGATATTGGTTCTTCATCAGGGACCAGACCAGTCGAGGACGACTGTTCTGGCAACAGAGCTTGTTTTGATCTGCTTCTGGGCGTATTTGAGCTTCTGTACTGGAGCCTTGGTGATCCTCGGGTTGTGCGATTAGTTAGACGGATTATGTCCGTTCTTCGTTTTGTACCACGCTTCGGTGACATCCTCGCTTTGCGCGTCAATGCGAGCCACCCGGGTGACAAGCTTCGCACAGCGTCATTCGGCGGCGAAGACCCCGGCATTGGGGTCGTCCTCCTCTTTGCAGCACTGCGCAAAGTAGAGGATCTGCCCCTGCTCGATATTCTTCGCACCGTGAGCTCTGGCGGCGAAGGGCCGGGCGTTTCCTTTTCAACCACATCAGCGGACTGAGTAGACGACTTGCGTACGAATGCAAGCACTGGAGCGCGAAATTTGGGTCTGAGGAGGTTGACCTCAGACCCCATTGGTGGTTGCAACGCTGTACGCTGAAGCACACAAAACCGGTCCCTTCGAGCTTGCCCATAATGCTCCAGATGCGCCCTCAGCGTTACCGAGGGGATTCCAACATCTCGGGTCAACCGCATCTCCTGCTCTTGGCAAGCGAGAGCTGCTGTGGCTAGATGCTAGGTTGTGAAGTCCAGCGGCATGATAGCACTCTGATATGCGGCTGCATGTGCCCCTCGGCAGCATGCTGCACACAGCACCCTTGACCTCGTTGATGAATCGCAAGCCATGTGCCAGAGGGTGTAGAAAGTTGATCGCTGCCGTAACTAGCGTTACTCGTCAAACCTTGCTCGACGTCTAGGAACGCAATAGGTCCTGCACCTCCTCCGCCAGGTGTATCCTGGTCAAGTTTTTTGTGCTGTCGATACTCGAACAGATAGGAGCTTCTGCCCGAGCAGAGCAATTGATGAAAGTTGATATCTGCTTAAGCGATCGTGTCGCGTAGTGCTCGATGAACATTGATCTACGGAGATTGAGGCGCTAACCCCCGGCAGTCCAAGCCTTAAAGCCTTAAGCCATTCCATCGACTTTCTCACCTTCTCCAACAATTGTACATCTTCTCCGATAGTATCTACATCCGCCGCGGATCGCAGCCACCGATCATGGACTTCAAAAAGCTGATGTCGGCCCAGATCTCAAAGTCGAGACCTGTGGCAAACGGTGAGAATACATCGTCGAAATACTTACGCCGCGCAGAACTTGAAGCCGAGCGACAAGCACGTTACGTAGAGGATCAGCAGAGACTTGCAGCAGAAAAGGAGGAGCGACTGTCCAAGAAGCGAAAGCTTGACGAGGAAGAAGCCGAGCAAAATGCGCAGCGTGAGTTGAAGCTGCAACGACTAGCGGCGGAGAGCAAAGCACGACGAGAAGCGAAAGAGCTAGAGGAAGAACAAGCCAGAAGACGACGGTTGGGGTTGCCGCCGCTGCCTGAAAATGGTGCCGAGGATCCAAGCGCAGTGCCTGAGGGTTTCGAGGACGTTCCCGATGACGAGCTGCGGCTCAAGCTGAGAGGCCTGCACCAGCCCGCGAGCGTATTCGCTGAAACACATTCAGCACGGTTGCATAGATACTACAAACTGGTAAAGAAGGAAGTGTCAAGGCCACAGCTGAGCAAAGGGCCAATACCATCCACATTGGAGCCTGTCGCAGAGAGGGACATGCTTATCCCGGATTCTGTGCCGGCCAAGGATAAGATCGATGATGTCAAATTCCTGTATCGACAACTGGCGTCTTACTTCACATTACTGCTGACAGAGTGGTCAATCATGCTTTCGCAACGAGACGAAGCAATTCAAGCTTCAGCATCTGGTCGCGCAGCATATGCCTCCTACAAGATAGTCTTATCAGATTTGACGCCAATGTACCGGCGGATGGAGTCCAACACGATCGAGGCAGACCTGATTCCTCCTCTGTGTGAGATCGTACGCTTCATACAGAAACGCCAGTACGTTAAGGCCAACGACTCATACCTGACGCTCAGTATTGGGAAAGCTGCTTGGCCAATTGGTGTGACGATGGTAGGCATCCACGAACGAAGTGCACGGGAAAAGCTGCACGAGCAAGACAAGCAAGCGCATATCATGAGCGACGAGGTAACGAGGAAAATGTTGCAATCAGTAAAGCGATGTATTAGCTTTGCGCAGAGCCGATGGCCACCTGACGGTCTAGCGCAGCTCATGGGTTAAATTGAGATGAACGGGAGGGAGCAGGCTGAACAAAAACTTGGGAAGGCAGGTGCGGTCAATGCTTGCTGTAAGGCAACTGCAGGCTCCCTAAATACTTGCTCGAAGTAGGCGGCATAGCAACCAGTCGTGCTGCTACGTTTCTTTGTTACCTTCGCACTTGACACGCGAGTCGCCCAACAATTTCTACATTCGCGTCCTTGCTTTCTTTGTAACCACCAAGCAATATCGTGAGGCAAAGGACACACCACTGCTTGGCATCTTCTCATCAAAAGTCGCCTTGAAACGTGGCTCGCAGCATTATGATACTCACGATCGTAGTCATCGTGCTTTGTGTCTACTTTCCCAAGCTACGCTACGCTATCTTCGAAGGCGACAGACGCTACGGAATCACGGAGGACTCTGAGGATGCTCAAACAGTCTCGGCTGGTACAGAGTCTAAAGTGCAGTGAGCACCAACCCTAACCCCAACGATCCTCGCCCTCCACCGCACGTTCCCCAGTCCCCCGTCGACTAGTACGGGAACACTCCTCCAGATTCAGGATCACTTTGCTCTCCGGATAGTGTCAACCATCACTGCCAGGGCCGAGGCCTCGGAACTTTGTATTTGTGCGCATTGTATCGACTTGGAACGCCACAATGGATTTCGAAAGTCTTAAGAACCAGGTCAGCAATTTGACACTGTACGATGTCAAGGCCGGCGTCCGCAAGGTACAGAATGGTGAGATACAGCACTCGACTCTGTCATCTAATCAGCTGGACTGACTATCGAAGCTGTCATGAACCTCACAGAAATGGAAGCCAAGGTAGGCATCATGCTGCTGCTGGGGTGGTCCCAATCCAGCTGATCCATCCTCCAGGTGCGGGAAGCAACGAATGGCGATCCATGGGGCGCATCTGCAACATTGATGCAAGAGATTGCACGAGGGACACACAACTAGTGAGCATGGTAGCCGCTGCCATAGTAGACGCTTCTGACGAAATCTCAGCCAACAGTTGAACGAAATCATGCCCATCATATACAAGCGATTTACCGACAAGACTGCGGAAGAATGGCGACAGATATACAAGGTACATCAGACGTGGACGATCTTTGCTCAGGCAGCTGACGCCCAAGGCAGGCACTTCAACTCCTTGAATTTCTCGTCAAGAATGGCTCCGAGAGAGTGGTCGACGACGCCAGGTCACATCTGTCCCTCTTGCGGATGCTGCGGCAGTTTCACTACATCGATCCAAACGGCAAAGACCAAGGTATCAACGTGCGCAACCGATCTGCAGAATTGACGAAGCTACTCGGGGATGTGGACGCCATAAGATCGGAGCGAAAGAAGGCACGCTCCAACAAGAACAAATACGGTGGGGTTGAAGGTGGTGCGGGCGGTGGCTTCTCCAGCGGCAGTGGTGGACGATATGGTGGCTTCGGCAGCGAGACCGGTGGCTTCGGCGGGTATCAAGGCGAGGTCTACGGGGACGGTGGTGGCTTCGGCGGACGGGAGACTGATTTCTCTGGCACGCAGCGTCGAGCTGACCAGTTTGAGGAGTACGACGAGGAAGAGGAGGGTGCCAGTGGTCGACCTAGTGCGTCTCGGGCTACCATCTCGAGTTCGGCGACTAGGAAGCCTGCGCCAAAGCCTAAAGAACCGGAACCAGATCTGTTCGAATTTGGGGATGACGAACCAGCCACAAGCAGTGGCAAGGCGCCAGCTACCACATCAGGAGGCCTTGCTGATTTGTCTTCACCCGCAGCTACCGGGGATGATGATGATTTCGATGACTTTCAATCAGCGACTTCGCCTGCGGTGAGCGCCCCTCCTGGCGTCGGGCAGTTGGGTGGCATACTTGCACCACCAACAGCCTCGACAACCACGGCTGCCACGCAGTTTGCGGCTCCGAAGCCTATGGTAGCTTCGCAAGCGACAAATATCAGCAGCATTCTGAGCACACCTTCACCCGCACCACCTTCAAGCGCGACGCCGTCGGTGGCCTCTTTGGCATCGCCATCATCACAGTCGCAAGTATCCCAGCCCTACAAGCCATCTGGCCCGAACTACTTCGCATCGGTGAATGCATCACTCAACAGCACACAGTCTACGCCGTCTGCATTCGCGGCTCGGCCGACTGCCAGTACAGCCAATCAATCCTCCTTCAGCTCATCGAAAACGACCAAGACCACCATGGCCGACTTGGGCAAATCGACAGCCAAGCCAGGTGGTGCAGCGCCCGGCTCCGGTGACGCTTTCGCTTCGCTGTGGTCCAATGCAGGCTCAAAAGCAGGCGTTCAGAAGACTGCTACCTCAAAAGGGCCAGATCTTGCAAGTATGGCCAAGGCAAAGACAGATGCAGGCATTTGGGGCGCTCCAGCTGCATCAACGACACTGCAGCAACGGCCAGGGGCGACGAACCCGACCCCGAATACCGCTGCGCAGAATTCGAAACCTTTGGGGAATGGACTAGATGATCTACTAGGATGAAAGAACAATGATAGGCAGCACACTGCACAGCGAGTTAGCTGGCAGTCGTTCGCACATGCCATCTCCCAAGTCGTTGGAGTTGCTGGTTCAGGCCAAGCAAGACCAAGCGCTGAACAGCGCTCAATGATGACACAGGTATGAACGATCTGCTTATACAACGACTGCGACTTAGGACGGGATGAAGGTGTCAGCAACAGCTAAATCGCGTCCGTAGACGATGTGTCTGAAGTTGGACGAGGCACAAGATCTAGAGTGGTACAGTGTAAGCATCTTATCGGTTGTCTGTCCACGGGTACCTGTGCCTGTGCCTGGTGTTGGTTCATTCTCAAATTTCCTAGAACTTTAGCCGTAGTTCACTAGGGCAGCCAAGTCGTCATCTTGCATCTGATAGCGGGGCAGTCGCATCTTTGAGCAATGTCGTAGTTAATTTTCTTATTGCGAGTACTGCGGGAGAAGAGAAGGTTTACTTTTCGGTGACAGAGCATCACGGTGGGGTGTTGGGGTGGAAAGAACAGCTCAGCATCTCTTGATCGATTGATCTTCACCGCATCAACCACGAGTTGGTATGCATCTTCTCTCTTTTCAATATTCTTACCCAATCGTGTCACTCACTGCATTGGCATCTTGAGCCTGCGGCTCGCTGACAACGAGTCATGGACGACAACAACAGACTTACACATAAACGCTCCAAGAGCTCGAGGATTCGTAATATACTCCGCGGCGACGCCGCTTCAACAGAAGGCGCAGCAGAGGTATCGTCTGAGAACGGGTTGTTGACTGCCAGCAACGTTGACCCGGATCGCCTGTCGCCCTTGAGTCCCGCCGTTACCAGGACGTCCCAGACTTCCATGGATAGTGCTCCACCTTCACCCTCCGTGGCCGGAGATGATGTCGATCAGGTCCCGCGGGGATCTCACCCGTCGCCGGCGGGTCCATAGACGATTCTGTACGCACCTTTCGTGTGTTCGAAACGCTCCGAGGCAAAGACCCTGCTGCCGTCACTAAGGCCATCCGAGACAACCAGCCATCGGCCTCGCATCCTCAGCCTATTCCAGGCACGACGATACTACACCTCGCGATCCAGTGTGCGGAGCCACAGATCGTGGAGCAGGTGATTGAAGAAGGCAAGAACCTCGACATAAATGCACAGGACAAGGAGGGAAACACACCGCTGCACCTTGCGGCGCAACTTGGTCGCGCTCCCGTCGTGGTCAAGCTATTAGACCAGGCCGATGTCAACGATACAATCGTCAATCGACATGGCAAGTTGCCCATTGATCTCGCGAGGACGCCGGAGATTTTTGGACAGTTACAACTAGCACGTTCTCTGTTCTTGGACAAGATCGTGAAGCAGGTTCAAGACTATGTTGCCAAAGGCGACTACAAGCAGTTGGAAGAGCTGCTGGGTGAGGCTCGGGTTGAAGGTACATTGGATGTCAATGCACTCGAATTGCCCACCGAGCCTCAGACCGTGCAGACGGGAGGTACCCTGCTCCATGAAGCGGCGAGGAAAAGAGATATTCAACTCGCCCAATTGCTACTGCTACGAGGTGCCGATCCATTCAGACGTGATCGAAAGGGAAAACTACCTCAAGATGTCACAAAGGACGACCGCACGAGAGCGATACTGAAGAAGTCACCAGCCGCCGCGGCCGCACAGCGTGGCATCCAGGAAAAAGCTATCCTCGGCAGCCATCCCTCTCACAACCGGACAGGGTCGGCCAACGTAGCTGATACCAGCAAAGATGCTCGAGAAATGAAGGGCTACCTCAAAAAGTGGACCAACTACACTAGTGGATACAAGCTGCGCTGGTTCGTGCTCGAAGACGGCGTGATGAGCTACTACAAACATCAGGATGACGCGGGATCGGCCTGTCGTGGTGCCATCAACATGCGTATCGCTCGATTGCACATGGACGCTCAGGACAAGACTCGTTTCGAAATTCACGGCAAGTCTTCTGTCAAATACCATCTCAAAGCCAACCACGTTGTCGAGGCCAAGAGATGGTTTTGGTCGCTCAACAATGCTATTCAGTATGCGAAAGATGAGGTCAAGGAAGAGGCCCACAGACGTGCTCCTGATGCCGATGCTGCCCGTCAAGCTCCATCTGAGGCCCAGGCGTCCAATGTTAGCGTCACGAGTGCACGACCGAAGGGCTCTCAGCAGCTAGGAGTGCCGCCTAGTGTGTCACGGGTCAGCTTCAGGTCAGAAGGAGACTCTGCATCGGTCTACGAGTCGCAAGAGCACAGTGTTATGGGAGACGATCTCCAGCGTGTTCCGACCAACGCGGGCACAGCCACTGTTGATGGTGACGAGGACATGGACGGTGACGACGCTAGTAGCCATGAAGTCCACCATCCTGGGAGCAAGGACGCGTTTAACATCACTGCACAGTCGGCGAAGCTTCAGCTCGACCTGTTGTCTCGTGTTTCGGGTGCACTGGTCAGTAGATCGTCATCACAGCCGGATACCAAATTGGCAGATCCAGACGTCGCGTCGGCGCTGTCCGCATACGAAACAGCTGTCAGTAGTCTCAATAGTCTGATCGCGGACTTGTTGAAGATATCGCGGGATCGCGACGCGTACTGGCAATACCGTCTGGACCGAGATGCGGACGCCAGAAAGATGTGGGAAGAGAGCATGGCTCAAATTGCGTATGAGCACGAAGATCTGAAGAAGTTCATTTCCGAGTCTGAGGAGAAGCGTAAGCGCACCAAGCGAGCGCTGAAAGAGGCTCTCGAGGGCCAATCCCATCCTGAAAGTCGTCCCGGATCGACACATGGTCAAGAAGCGCCAAAGGTTGAGTTTGCAGAAGCATACCAGGAGCAGATCCGTCCTGAGGCCAAGAAGGCCGCCGTGACCAGGAATAGGCGTATGTCGACCACTATACGCGAAGGCAATAGGCGGAAGTCGGTGATTGCGCAATATACGAATCTGTCAGACTCTGAGTCTGGCGATGACGAGGAGTTTTTCGACGCAGTCGACGCCGACGAAGTCGAGGTCATTGAACGATTCGAATCAGACACGAGTGTGGAACCCGAGCAAGTCAAAGAAGAGACGGACGACGAGCGGACAACGAAAGCAAAGTCGATTGAGCCGTCCTTTGCCGGCTACGAAGATCCGATACGTAAGAAGTTGAAGCTTGATGCCGACAATCGTCCCAAGATCTCCCTTTGGGGAATCCTCAAGTCGATGATCGGCAAGGACATGACCAAGATGACCTTGCCAGTCACATTCAACGAACCGACTTCATTACTCCAGCGTGTGGCTGAGGACATGGAGTATACGGACCTCCTGGATCTGGCCGCCGATCGAATCGATTCCACAGAACGCATGGTCTACGTCGCAGCTTTTGCGGCATCAGAATACGCATCCACAATCGGGCGTGTCGCGAAGCCCTTCAATCCGCTCCTCGGTGAGACATACGAGTATGTGCGACCCGACAAGGGCTATCGCTTCCTGGTAGAGCAGGTTAGTCACCACCCGCCGATTGGTGCTGCATATGCCGAATCAGCACGCTGGGACTACTGGGGTGAGTCGGCAGTGAAGTCGAAGTTCTACGGTAAGAGCTTCGACATCAACCCGTTGGGGACCTGGTTCTTACGCATCCGGCCCAAATCCGGCAAGCCCGAGATCTACACCTGGAAGAAAGTGACCTCTTCCGTCGTGGGCATCATCACCGGCAACCCTGTTGTCGACAACTACGGCCCAATGGAGATCAAGAACTGGACGACGGGCGAGGTCTGCGTCCTGGAGTTCAAAGCTCGCGGCTGGAAGCCCAGCTCCGCCTACCACGTCCAGGGCAAGGTCTCCGACGCCTCCGGCGTGACGAAATGGAGTATCGGGGGACGCTGGAATGACAAGATCTACGCACGGAAGACGGAAGGCTTTGAGGATGTCGAAGTCGGCGGCTCGCGAGCAAACCAGGCCATGCTGGTGTGGCAAGCCCACGATCGCCCGACGGGGATCCCATTCAACCTCACGCCTTTCGTAGTGACGCTCAATGCCGTGCCGGAGAAGCTTCAGGAGAGACTCCCGCCCACGGACACGCGCCTCCGTCCCGATCAGCGCGCGATGGAGGATGGAGAGTATGATTTCGCTGCGACGGAGAAGAATCGCGTTGAGGAGAAGCAAAGAGCGGCGAGAAGGGTGAGGGAGAATGAGGGTGTGGAATGGAAGCCGAAATGGTTCAATAAGAAGAGGGATGAGTTGACTGGGGAGAGTTACTGGGCTTTTGGTGGTGAGGGCGGCAGTTACTGGGAGAGCAGGCAGAAGGGAGATTGGTCGGTCAGCGACGATATCTTCTAGGGGGAGGTTGAGGTCGTGGAGCCGGACAATGTGAAGAACAAGGGGAAGGCGAAGGAGAAAGGTGGGAAGCTGGATGGCAAAGGTGAGAAAGGGCGTAGTAACGACCGCATTGTCAAGACGCCCAAAAAGAGCCATGGTCGAAGGCGAGGTAAGGACAGCAGTGGAGGCCGTCAAGCCAGGATAGAGGAAGAGACTGAGCCAGAGGTCGAGCCAGGGCAGGTGCCGGCGAAGGAGGATGATCCGAAAGTGGTCGAGCCCCAAGCTATCACACCAAAGCAGTCACCTGCGAAGGATGTCGTGCGGGAAGCGGTTGAGCCGAACGACATAAGGCCAAACCAGGTCGAGGTCAAGGGTTCCAAGCTCGAAGACTTGTCGGCAACGGAGGTACAAGTGGAGGGCTTGTCAGCAACTCACACGAAGTCGCAGGTAAAGGGTTGGACAGTGAAGATGGGTGGTGGTTGGTCACTCACGTCCTGATGAATTGGCAGTCGTGTCGACAGGTCTTGTCCTGGGGTTGATGGTGCACATTGGTCCTTGGATCGTGCCTAGTGCGGTTGAAAAGGACAAACTGCTTGAGTAGCAGTACAACCTATCTGTAGATGAAACGACGACCACGACATTCTTACCCTCTCTAGAGAAGTTGCCTTCGAAACCGAGTAACATGCATTCAAGACTGCTGAGTTGTGCTCAGCCAAGACTGGTGTCCTGTTCTGGCTCACGTCTATATTTCGAGGCCTTGTCGCAGACCGGTTGACGCCTCTCGAACCGGCTTCGAGTTCGCGCTTGCCACAATCCTTTCGAATTGAGGAAAGCTGAAGTAGTCGCAGAAGGCACGAACAAGCTTGTGGGCTCTTCCCGCCTCGCACCTGCCTCACGAGGCCATCCTGCACTGTGTCGATACGTACACAGTAGGTAGTAGCGCTCAACAGAATGTCCAGATCCGGCAGGCAGTCATTTCACCCACGAGGCTTGAAAGCCACGCGACAGCGCCCGAAAGGTAGATCTCAAATCTATCGGGACGACGCGTATCTACAACTTCTGGAATTGCCTGTTCCTGCCGAGTGGATGTACTCCGCTGATAAAGGAAGATCTGGGGCTCAGGGTTGATGTTGCCTTTCGAAAGGCGGAGCGAAACTGATAGCCTTCCTGTTTGGGTACTAGCATCGCCAATGCCTCGGCGGAAGAGTGGGCAACAGATATCGGCAGCGGGTTGTGTCCTTATCAACGCGATAGCAACCTTCACGACAGCTATATAGCTTCAAAGTCCGCTTCGGATGGCCCGTTGCGCTCAAACGACAAGCTTGTGGTGATAGCGACTGTCCCGTACACCACGACAGCCGTGCTCGAGAGGTGAGGAAGAGATTTGTAACGAAAGCAACGACGTCATTTTACCCAACACCTGGGGAAGCGTGACAGGATGGGGTTTCTGTACAACGTCCGCAAAGCGGTCTGGGGCGAGCCGGCGGCGACGAAGGCGGAGAGGAGACTGATTGTGAAGATCGACGCGTTCATTCTCACCTACGTCTGCTTGATGGTAAGTCGGCGCGTGTCGAAGGCCAGGGACAAAAACTAATGCGGGTGACCAGTACTGGGTCAACTACCTTGACCGAGCGAATTTGAACAATGCCGTAAGTGTCTGCTCTTCACGCGACCCAAGGCCAGGCATTGATTGATCGATTTGCAGTATGTCTCCGGCATGCGCGAAGATCTGGGCTTCGTCGGCACCCAGCTCAACCAGATCAACACCTGTTTCTACGGTGGCTATCTGCTCGGCCAGATTCCCAACAACTTGATCATGCAGAAGATCTCCCCTCGTCTCTGGCTGCCCATGACTTGCTTCTGCTGGGGCCTTCTCACTCTGGGCACGGCCTTCGTCCACCATCCATGGGAGATCATGGTCATTCGATTCTTTCAGGGCGTGTTCGAAGCGTCCTGCTTCGTCGGCGTACAGTGGATTCTGGGCTCGTGGTACAAGCCTTCGGAGATCGGCAAGCGTACTGCAATCTTCACTTCTAGCGGACTGGCGGGCCAAATGTTCAGCGGCATCATGCAGGGCGCGATCTATCGGAATCTTAACGGCAGGCATGGTTTTGCTGGATGGCGATGGCTTTTTGTGATCGATGCGCTAATCACCATTCCTGTGGCGTTCTTCGGGTGGCTGTGCTTTCCCGACACGCCAGAGTCCACGCAGGCGAAGTACCTGTCGACTGAGGAGCGGATCCTTGCGACTGAGAGACTGCCGGAGGTGAAAGTTGTTCGTGGTAAGATTGGGTTGACTTTGATCAAGAGAGTGCTTGGGACCTGGCACTGGTGGGCGTTCGTAACTCTGTGGATCGCAAAGTGAGTTGTCCTTCCCCAATCCTGAACCCTGTCGCCAGACGCAGTGCTGACAATAGCTTCCGCACAGCTCCAACACAGAAATGTTCTCTACAAACGGCAACTACCAGCTCTGGATGCGCGGCACAGGTGACTACAGCATCGAACAAGTCAACTACGTCCCAACCTCGCAGCCTGGCTTCGGCATCGTCTGCACGCTCTTGCTGGGATGGTACTCCGACTACAACCCGCGCAGAAACCGCTGGCAAGTCGGCTATCTGTTGACTATCACAGCGATCATCTCGGGCGCGCTCATGCTGAGCAAACCTAGCGCGGCGGGCAGATTTGCGGCGTTTATCATCAATGGTGCTCAGTTTGCGGGCCAGACTGTACGTTTCCTTCCTTCCCACCTCAGCACCTGACCTGCTGGCAAGCACAAACCCGAGGCTAACGATTCATCAATAGGTAATGTTCGCCTGGGCCAACGACCTAACGCGCCACGACGACGCCAAGCGCGCCGTCATCATGTCCTCGATGAACATGTTCTCCGTCGCGATCTACATGTGGTGGAGCATTGTCTTCTACAATGCCACACAAGCGCCCGACTGGCATGACGGCAGTATTGCGATGCTGTGCATGGCGGCTTTCTTGGGTGTGGTGAACACGTGGTGCTTGTGGGGACAGAAGCGGCAGGAGAAGCAGGAGAGGCTGGAGGGTGAGGGACATGGGGGAAGTTTTGATGAGGGGTATGACCCGGAGAAGGTTGATGATTTGGTCAGGGGGGAGGAGAAGGGGAGGGGACGGGTTGCGGTGGAGTGATGCGGAGGAGAATCTTAGGGTAGGATGGGCTTTTGGTTGTGATCAGACTGGACGGCAACCAAGGAACAGGACGGGAGGAAGGTTCAAGGAGAGTGGTGGTGAAGACTGAGTGACCAATCAAGCTCAAAACGGCTCGCGGTACAGGGTCTCTGGGTACCTGAAGTGTGTCTCGAGCAGCTCCCGCCATATCATTCTCCTTATACAACCCTCACACAGACCTTCCCAAGCACCGCCCCGATCCGCTTCTTCCTCAAACTCTCATTCGTCCCCGCCATCGCAACCCCTAGAAGCGCCTTATACCTCTCTCCCTTTCCCCAGCCTTCCATTATTTCCCTCGCTGCCCTGTTTCGGGCCTTGGTCGTGCCCGAAGGTGGCCACATTCCGTCCAACGCGCCCAGGACCTCGTCTAGAACTCCCTCCATTCTTTCACTGCCACCATACGCACCCGCCCACCGCCCATCGGCTTGCGCTTTAGCAACTTCCTCCTCTCCGCGCCGATGCATGCGGCCCTCAGCGCGTAAGCGTTCGATATGCGCGACGTTGATGGCCGACCAGGTTGACTTCGGGCGGCGTGGCGTGAAGCGTGAGAGGACGGTATTCGTTGTTGGATCTGGTGCTAAGCGGGCTTGGCCGTCGATCCAGCCGTGCGTGAGGGCGATGTCGAGGGCGAAGGGGAGGGTTAGTGTGGTCGTGGATTTGGTGCCGGATTTGGGCTTCTTGGCGAGGTGCAGCCAGATGCCGGTCGAGGTGGAGGCATTGGTGGCGAGAAAGGCGTCGAACGCGGCTGGGTCGGGGAAGAGGATGGCGTTATCGGGAACTGAGCCGGGTGACTTGGCCGCGGCGGCTGAGATGGAGTCCGTAGGTGGTATAGATTCTGATGATGCGGGCAGAGGATAAGCTCCCGAAGCATTTACCTGCTTGAGCGTGGCTACTGTTGCTGCTTTCGATGAAGATGATGCAGCAATAGCCTTCGCTGCTTTGCTCTTTGGTTTAGATGCGGGCTTTGTGACTCTGTTATTCGAGGGATTTGCTGCGGCATTACTTGCGCCGCTTGAGCTCTGCTTTGAACGCGTCGAAACACGCGTTGTGGGGGCCATGGCGAGCTGTGGAACGCAAGTATTCCTTGATGGGGATATGAACGGCCTGGAGCAGACTAAAATGTAAATAGACCTGGCTCTGTTGACCATGTGCTGCCTGCTGCGAAGCCCAGAGTCGACTCAATGGTAGAAAGCGATTCGGGCCCAGATAGTGCTCGACGCAAGGCAACCCTTTGACCCATTGGGCTTGCTTGGCGTAAGGCAATCACGTGCAACGGGAAGAGGATTAGCAACTGATACCCCGGTATGAAAGCGAAGACTAAATGTCAGGATTCGAAGATCAACCTGGACCACAGATCCATGACCAGAAATTGCAATGAAGTTGCCAGAAGTCTATAGCTCGCACATCAGGACAAACTACCACTTTGACCTTAGCTTCCGACCCTCCCCTTCTGCGGACAAATGTCCCAGATCCTGATCAAAAGATCTTATCATTAACCCCTTTCCTCTTCTCATCCTCCTTATACCCCTCCCCATGCCGCACAAACATATGCCTCACATACCACCCTGCCCTCCCAATATACCAAAACACCTTCCCCAATGTCGCCTTCGCTCCACCTCCACCACCCCGCTTCCTGACCCTGAAGAACCAGTACAGCGCAATCGCCGCCATGATGTTGAAGCCGATATACGCCCACCCGATCCCGAAGTTGCGCCAGCGCTGGTCATAGTAGATGCTGCTGGCGGCGAGAAACTGGTCGCCGTTGCTGAGGGAGCAGTACTCGCAGCCGTTGGTAGCATCGGGGTTGTACAGCTGGCCGGGTGCTTGAGTGAGGTATTGTTCCAGGTATTGTCCGCAGGTTTGGCCGTTGGGGGCGTCGAATATGGCGAGTTCGTCTTGTGAGCAGGTCACCTGGCGCCCGGAGATGGTTGTGGCGGCGAGGCCGCCGACGATATAGGTCAGGGGACTAACGCGCCACATAAACAGCCAGAAGCCGGGGAGGGCGCTGGGTGGTTGAAGGACGCCGTTGAAGGTGAGCATGAGCGAGAACAAAGTTGTGGCGATGTTGCCTGCTGTTTCGGCATCCGGGAGGGCGGCGATCAGCATGTGGGCGAAGGTGCTGGTGAAGATCTGGAATTGGATCGAGAAGAGGAGGAAGAGGCCTTGACGCTCGGAGGATTGGTTGGTGCCGAAGACGGGGAAGTATAGGCACGCCCAAACCAGGATGGCGACGATGATTTGGTAGGGGATTTCGACGATGATGTTGGCGATAAGGAAGGCGGACCATGAGTAGGCTTTCGAAGGGCGCTCGCGGACTTCGTATAGAGATCGCTGGAGTACGAAGCGTGGCATAATCTGTTGGACGAGGGTTGAGAAGGTGGTGACCAGCATGAAGAGGGAGAAGAGAGAGTTCTGGAGGCCGGTGGAGGAGTCTGCTGGCTGAAAGAAGGAGAAGCCGACGAAGAGTGAGGACGCCACGCAAAGGATAATCTTGCCCATGACTATGTCTTGTTAGCTGGCCGAAGCGGATGGTGTGAGGAGTGAGCTTACCGTAACCTGGCGTTCGCCAATACTGCTGGAATACTCGGTAGACAGTTTCCTTGATCTGGGCACTCAGAGGCATGGCAAATTCGGCGTTTGTGTTAGAGTCTCCGGCTGGAGGCTCCTTCGCTTTCTCGGCATGGATGCGGTCCAATTCTTCTTGAACACCCTTTGACTGTGGAGATTCTTTCCAGATCGCAGGCCAGTCTGCTGTAGGTTTGCCTCCAGGACCAGCCCCTACAGTCTCAAGCATGAATTCGGCAGGATTCTCTTCAGAGCCGCATGAGCGAGCGCCGTTGCCCTCGAAGTAGTCCAGAAGAGTTCTTGAGTTGTGGCCAATATCGCCGAAATACACCGTCTTGCCTCCCTTGGCCAAGAAGAGAAGGCGGTCGAATTCCTGGAAGAGAATGGCTGACGGCTGATGGATCGTGGCCAGCACTGCTTGTCCGTTGTCTGCCAAAGTGCGCAGGAATGCTACAATGCCCCAAGAGCTCTGTGAGTCAAGACCAGATGTTGGCTCGTCCAGGAAGCTGGCAGATAGTTAGCAGATACTTAATCTGACGAAGGGAAGACTCACAGAAGAAGAGCAGGCTTTGCGGCAAGCTCAACACCGATGGTCAACAACTTCCGCTGTTCGACGTTGAGACCAGAACCCGGGTTGCCCACCACTGCCTCGGAGAAGTCTTCCATATGTAGCATCTTTATCACATCCTCAACGTAAGCAAGCTTCTCCTCCTTCGGAGTCGATTTCGGCTGCCGCAGCATAGCGGAAAATCTCAATGCTTCACGAACGGTTGTCGTTTCCAGATGCAGATCCTGCTGTTGGACGTATCCGGTCTTTCGCTGGAAGCTAGCATCTAGTGGTTTGCCATTCACCAGCATATCGCCTGTGATGACACCCATAGTGGTCCGTTGTGCTAGTACATCCAGGAGAGTCGTCTTGCCCGCACCAGAGACACCCATCAAAGCTGTTAGCGTGCCCGGCTTCACCCAGCCGCTGACGTGGTCGAGCAGTCGCCTCGGCTCACCCTTTATTTCAATGTCGTAGACCACATCTCGCCACGTGAAAATGTCTTTCTGAGCTGGGATGGCGTTAAGGGCTTCGTCGTCCTTTGTTTTGTCGTCTGAGCTGACCGACTGGATTTGCTTTGCTTCCACAGCTTGAGGGTTCTCCTCGTCTGGGCTGTCTGTCAAGTACGATGGAACATGTCCACGTCGGAAGATCAAGAATTCTCCACTTGACGCCGAAGCAAAGTTGAGCTCGGTGGCTGCAATGTAGACAGCCCAGAAGAAGAGCAAGAAAGCGACCAAGAAGCCAAAATTGCGCCAAACATGACTGAAGCTGTAGCCATATTGTGTGTTCATCCAGGCGTCGCCCGATACGGTCGTTTCGCCGGCTACTGCTCCCTGCACAGCGCATGCGAAGTTATTGGGTCCGACATCGACACCGTATGGTGGTACGAGGGTCGAGCAATCGTAGCGGACGCCATGGACTTGGCTCGCCAAGATACACTCGTAGCCGTACGCCACCGGGTTGATCCACGAGATCCACTTGAACCATGGGTGCATGTATTTCCTTTGAATCGTGAAGCCAGTGTACACAACGATTGCAAGAATCATAACGCCTGCTATTGCGAGTGCTGTGGCGATGTTCTTGGTTGCGGCTGCCAGAGTTCTGAAGATGGCAGACATGACAAGACCGGTCATGAATGTGATCAGGTAGAAGAAGAAGAACTTCCCTGCGTCATAATCGAGACCACCGAGGAAATACAGGATAATGTTGAAGAAGACCGAAGTGATGAACTTGATCGGAATGTCGCTGACTATACCAGCGATCGCTTCGGAGAAGGCATGGTAGAAGGCAAAGTTGACATGGCGTTCCACAATCGGTCTCTGCTCATACAAACCGTTGATCTCAGTGATGGCATTGAGACCAGCAAGGAGAATGGCAAAGAAGAGAATCGAGCCTTTGGAGAAGAAAGCTGCCGTCGAGTTTGGTGTGCCGTAGAAGATAGAGCCGATGATCAACGACATGATGATCTGACTGCCGATGATCGTTATCGTCGATGTTTTGTCGTTCCATAACCTTTGGTAAGCGCGAGTCGTGCAGAGCTTGATTTGCATAGGAATTGAAATCATGTAGGGTGATTTGCGTCTGACATGCTTTGCTTGTGCCTCGTGTTGAGCATCTCTGAATGTTCCGATGGTCCCGTCGGCACCAATGGGGTAGTCACCTTCATGCTCCTCCATCTCAGCCAAGCCGCGTTTGCAATTCTCCGACGCCCGCCAGTACTTTTCGAATTCATCAGGCGTGCGCGGCACCTTGTCCTCGAATCCTTCCTTCGCGCGTCTTTCGGACGGATTCGTCACTGACGTGAGAAAGTCCCCCGTGGTCTGCCTTGCCGGACAGTGGTACCCCATGGCCTCGAAGTAAGCCCTCGCCTCGCCAGCAGGACCGTAGTAGATCTGCCTGCCTTCATACAGCACAATGGCTTTGTCGAACAGATCGTAGATGGCTTGACTGGCCTGATAGATGGCTACAGCTTGCGTAGCGCCTCCAATATTGGCCATGATACGTAGAGCTTTCGTGAACTCAAGCGCTGTCGCAGCATCGAGACCTCTCGTCGAATTATCCCAGCAGCAAATCGGGCTACCGCTCAGCGCCATCTCAGCAATGGAAACTCGCTTCCGCTCACCGCCGCTGACACCTCTGACATAGTCGTTGCCGACTTTGGTGTTGTATGTGTGGCTAAGACCGAAGATTGTCATTACCACCTGCGTGACATGCTTAGCGAAATCGTTCCGACTAAGCCCGCGAACTCTGTTCGACGGTGTGCGCGCCTTCGCTGCAAATTCGAGAGTCTCACCAACCGTAAGGTGGGGAAAGTGTTGATCGGTTTCTGCGTTGTAGGTGACATCGCCTCGGAGCTCTTTCTTGTAGATGTCCTGAGGAATACCATTGTAGTGCACAACGGACTCCTTTGCGACATTCAAGCCTCTCGTTTCGCCAGTCATCGTCTTGAGGAATGTTGTACAGCCTGAGCCAGGTTTGCCAAGCACTATCAGCATTTCTCCGTGCTTCAAGACGCCGTTAAAGTCTCGGAGAATTTTCTTTTCCTGCTTGTTCCCGCTCTTTTCGAAGATGCGGACAGGTGCCATGTACACATCTGATAAGTCTTCCTGAAGATGAATTGACGAACCAGTGCCAGTGACGGTGAGATTCTTGAAGCTGAAGCCGGCTCTCCTGTGCTTGATTCCATCTGTCTCCATTTGATGCATGAACATCCTGACCCATTTGTAGAAGTCGAATTGGCTGGACCCGGGGTCGAGAACGGGGTCATCCTCCTCTATTCCAGCAAGCGTATCCTTGCGTTCCAGAGTGCCTTGTCGTGTAGCACTTTCGCGGGTCCTCCGGGTTTCGCCCCTGGTGAGAAGGGATGCCAGGTGAGCCAATGCAGGACGGTCTTCATCGCGCGTGAACGTCCGAATGATATCGGCATGGCGATCATCGTTACCGAAGTACTCCTGCTGTGCTTGATCCAATCCAGGTGTCTGGATAGCATGGATACGTTCTTGGGTCTCGCTCGCCTCGGACGACGAGTCCGATGAGAGTGAAGAACGTGTCGACATCGCGTTCCAAGTTCTCCGACCTAGACCGTCAACGACAACAGCAGACAAACAAATGTCTGAAGTTGAGATAAGGAGGGGACGCTTGGGCTGAATTCACTTTACATAGTCTATACGAATGTACGAAGAGAGTTTTGTTGACAGCACAAGTCGGAATCGACATGTGGTTGTCCCGAGCATAACAAACTTACATTCATTGCTCGGACGAATTCATCGCTCGCAGGTCCACCACGTCGTATCCTAGTCCATCTCAGGGTCGATTGGATGCTTGACTGCGCCTAGAAGCCAAGGACTGATCTGTCAATCACTGCTCATGAAACGCAGCCATTTGACAACTTAGTCGCTCGAATTCGTAACGCCGTGTTAGTCTGCCATTTTGGCAGAAAGATGCGACGCGCTTGGGGCGTTAGGCAAGCAATTATTTTAGTTAGCCCATTCGAATCATGCCGAGCTACCGATATGGGTCCCAATGTGCTTCATCTGGCCGTCCTATTGGTGAGAGTATATTGGCGGAAGGCTTGAGCTCTGGTGACTCAGCTCTTCACAGGGCTTGGAAGAGAATGATCCCAGGCGGCGCAGTTGGCCCCCGGCCTTAGGGCTTGCGTTATGCCGCCTAGGTGCATCTCTACTGTGCGACTCGAAGTCTCCGGGATTGCGAGGGTTCCTTCCCTCATGGCATCGTGTAGCAGTATACTATACAGCCTTCCCTTGTCCCAGCGTGATGCTCATCGTTTCTGCTGTTGGCTTCAGGTTGCAGTGAGACGTGTCCATTACCATGTCTGATCGCTGCGAAGAACGCTGGTGGGACGTACACGTTTACTACTGCTCCCGGCCTAGTGAGTGGGCAGTTCACAGCGTCCCTTATGGCATCATTGCCGCCTTGTGGGGTGCGTCGGTGTGTACACAGCCTTGTGGTTGACAACGACGCCGATAGTACTTCTCAACGGTGTTGAGCGCCAGAATGTCTGCCACAAGAAGAAGACCGGAATCTCCGCGAGCCATGTTACTGCGATCTGGGCCACTAGCTGAAGATCGACATGAGTTATGCGTGCCCGGAGGGGATTATGCATAACCTGCTCTGCGGCTCTGCTACTCCGCCGATACGCCAAAAACCTTCTGGATGACGTTGCAAGTTAATGTGAGTAAAATTTGTTCTGGAATCGGCCGCACAAAGGATCCGACTTCAGCACTGGCATCATCATTGCCTGAAGTTAAGCATTTTCATGGATTGCTCGGATGCAATATGACGAATCGCCAAGTATCGCCACACTCCTTGTGTGCGAGGTTTGCGGCCTTGAGATCGAGGACAATGCCCACGAACACCACAGGGTAGCGAGACGAGACTTCGGTAGCCATCAGTGTGCGGTCGCGCCTTTCCACTGATATATGGATTTTGGAACGAATGAGCTGTGAATACTGTCGTCTCATAAACCGAATCGCATCGCCGCAGCTTTCACCTTCCGGAAAGCGTAGAGGGTCCAATCGATGTACTTCTCACTTCGTCCGCGACACTGGCGGAATCCTGCTGAGCTTGATGCCCACTTCATCACGGTCCCCTCTGATGGCTACCTCACGCGGCCCTTCGATAGGAATCGGGTAGGTGTTGCCTCGTACCCCACTCGCCAGGCGGCCACGATTGTCCGGAATGGCCAGATACCACCTTTTGAGGTTCGCTGCTCTCCCTACCGGGATCTATTTCCTGGACTGTTGCTGCAAACATGGGAGGATATCTTGGCGTTATGTGCGATGCTGGTAAGATTGGCAGAGGTTCCCTGCATGCAGATTCGTCACTGTGCTACCGGAGAAGAGTGCAGCATCGTCACACGACCCCTCAACAACGTAGGTGTCCGCTGCAGTCGAGAACGTGATGCTTCCTGAGATATGAATCTTGCGAGCAGTATCAATCCGGCAGGAAGGACTCCGGCCAGCTCTTTTGCAGTCATTGCAGTTGCCATGGCAGCATGAGCTGCAGACGGAAGTAGCGATCAAAATCGAACAGAAGGAAGGTGCAATTGACGAGCTATTTATTTTGCTGGCAAGTGATTCAAGTTTCGTCTCACCAACCACTACCCGTCACAACAGTAACCAAACAGTATTTGGACTCCAACGGTATCTTAATTTCAAGCACAATTCTCGTATCCACTGCAAGACACACCTCACCGTTCTCAATCAGTCTACTCGGCGTCCATTTTGAACCTCATCTTCACGAAGCGCGCGCGACAACTGAACACTCGTACCGACACGAGAAGCTCAAGTCAAGATGGTCGACGCTTCTGCCACAGTAGCTCCAACGGAGAGCAATGGCGCTGGAGTTGCTCCCACAGCTACATCGCCAAAGAAGAAGGTGCCTCTCATCCAACGTATCAAGAACAAGCTCAAACAGTTGAAGTAAGTTCATACGAGAATCCCCTTCGACGCCATTTGAGGCAATGACTGACTTCTCGTCCGCAGTGAGAAGCGTAAGAAGGGCAAGACCAACGGTGCTGGCGTACTTAACCGAGGTACCAACGGCAGTGGCACTGTTCATCCTGCTACAAACCATGCTAGTGGTCATGTCGACGGCAGTGCCTATGGCAACCCATCATCCGCTCCTGTCGCTGTCAACGCTCAACCACCTCCAAGCACGCCTCTCCGCTAGACGAGGTGCAGGCCCGCTTACAGCGTGTCCACTACCACCTCGACGGACTCGATTGCGGAGGATCAAGAAACACAAAGCGTGGGCTCAGCTCATGATCAGCCACGACGGAAATGAGCTCCGGTGAAAGATTCTGAAGGGCACATCAAAGATTCTGAAGGGCACATCTAGCACGAAGGGCGCGTTGATCCGAACCACAAAAGCGTATCACTACTCGCAACTCTTCCCAAGGACTCCACGACAGGATGGCCAGTCCCTTGCATCAGGATGCCTAGAAATGGTCATGGTCCAGTGGTAGAGGATTACATTACACACAATGCCACCATGGGACGAGGGCGCGCGGAATGCTAGACCAATTGATTCAAGAAAGCATGCATAACAAGATAGACGGCTTGGTCTTGAACTCTTGCCTAATAATCACAATCGAGTATTCAGACCCTTTGATCTCGTAACTTATGCGAGCCATTCGCAACGTCTGACCTACCATCTCAAGCAGGACATTGAGATCTCTGGGCAGGCCAAGCTCTCTGATCATTCAGCGCCTGTTCTACGCAGAATTTGCAGGTCAGTCAGTCGCACCAGTGAAATAATCGGGACAGGATCTGAACGACCTGAACGGTCTTCTCTATTTTTGTATATGCATTACTCGCACGAAGTCCCCAGTCAGTCCCTCGCCCTCTTCTTGAGACTCCCTGACCAGACAGACCATCCGAAAAGAAATTTCATACATCTATTCATCTCCTCCCATGCCCGTTCGCCCCGTCCAGCTCCGCCACAAACCTCCCACACGGCCCGCCATCCATCTCACTCACAACCCTCTGCCCGCTCATCTCAACCGGATGATGCCGTCCACCACCCAACTCCGCACTCTGCTCCGGCGAGTACGCCGTGTACGGATATTTCTGCTCTCCTTGCCCACCATTCACAACTCCCTGCGCTCCGCCGGAGGGATATCGCGGTAGCTGTTGATGCTGGCCGGGACTGCCCTGTGGGAGGGGTGTGAACTCGTGCTTCTCGCCCTTCCCTGCCGAAACAGAAGTGCGTTGGGTAGTGTTGCGACGTGAGCGCCTGCGACGCAAGAACCAGAAGAGGATGCCTGCAAGAACGGCGAGGGCGGCGAGGCCGACGCCGACGCCTATGCCTATTGTGGCGCCTGAGGAGAGGCCGCTGTCTGATGATGATGATGACGGGGAGGATGGAGAGGGGGAGGAGGCGGGGGACGTTGAGTTTGAGGTATTTGAGCCCTCGGCTTCGGCGTTGCTGCTGTTGGATGTGCTTGTTCCTGTGGGGACGCTTGCACCTGCATCTATTTGTTCTTGGTCAGCGATTTTCGAGGTATACCAAAAGGGAACAGAACATACCAGTAGCAGTAGGCGCGCTCTCCGTCGTCTGCGAAACAACATCCGCGTTCCACAGATCGTCGTTCTTGGCTTTGATCTCGAACAGGGCTTTGTCTGTGGTGACATTGGGTCTGGCGATGCAGGCGTTCGACATTGTGTCCATGAAATTGCCCAGCACCACAGATCCTTTGCGGGCTCTCAAACAACTCGCACAATCAGGTGCATAGTTCGGATACACCTTCGAGTTCTCGTCGCAGTACTCATACAGCGCCTGTGGTGGACTAGTGTCGCCCCATAAGTTCGTGAGGACTGGTTTCAGAGGCGCACACTCGACGTCGCAGGACTTAATGTCGTTGCCTGAGGTCTCGGCGGCGGTGTCGTAGAGGCAGTATTGTTGAGTGTATTTAAGGTGAACTATGCAGTAGATTATGTCAGCATGGGAGGCAGGGAACGAGGCTGTTTCGTGGACGAAGGAGAGATTTCAAGGGTGAGGCGGAGGGGCGCAAGGTCGGCGGAGGACAAGAGCATACACATGAACCAGTACTGATCATTCCCAACGCCGCCGTCCTCGCTGGCATTCGTGTAAGTGCTGTCCTGGAGACATGGTAGGCATTCCCGCATCCGCTTTCCAACGGTCGTTCCAGACGCGGGATCATACTCGGCGTCGACACATGTCAAATCACTTGTTTCGGTGTTCTTGCCACCATCACAGGCTTCGAAGCATGGAGATGCTCCCCCCAAGCGGAGGGCGGATGTATATTGCAGGAGTGGAAGGAGAAGCAACGTTGAACGTAGGACAGTGCGCATTGTGGTAGTGTGAGACGCCAGCGCGCCAACTGGACGTGTTGGACTCGACTCTCGTATGATGTGGTCTATGTCGAAGACTTTGTGTTCGTGAACCAGACGTGGTATCCGTCGTCTGTCTTAGCCGATGTGCTTCTCGCAAGAAATGTATGCACCGTACAATATCGTCAATTGAAACGCTGAACCGGGGTAGGAGAGTCTAGGGCAGACAGTCGAAAACGTGCTGTACGAAAATCGTGAAAGACAGGAAACGCAACAGCAAAGCAAGTAGTTCGCACTCGAGACAAACTTGAGGAAAAGAATGTGCCCGTAGTTAGAAATCCTGTAGTGAACGAGCCACTATTGGCTTTCGGTTCGTAACTTAGCTCGTGCTTTCCGTGTGATTATGAAACGGAAAGGGAATGGCCGTCGGGCCATGGCAAAATTATTTCGAGGCCTGCCGCCTTTTTGGCGCCGTCGAGGGGCCGGTGCTGCATAGCTGGCTGCCAGCTGTCAATCATTTGTCACTCGATGACTCGAGGGCCACCGTGTCGAACTTGTCCGTCTGTTTGCCCGTCGCTCGGACGCCTGGATCAGTGTCGCCATCTCGAAACTTGCGGTGTTCATGCTCAGGGTCGCTGCGAATTCTTTTCCAACGAGTCAATCGATTGTGGCTTCGCTCGCCCGCAGAGGCTCTCCCGCTGTTTCGTCATCGCAAAGTGGACTCGAAGAGTCGCACAAGCCACTGCTAAGTCAGTCTTAGCTGCAGTCGTGGAGGCAGTTCAATCTCATCAGCCCCAAAGGACCAGGGTGTTGTCCGGATGTCAAGTTATTCAATTGGTCTGCCCTACAGAATAAGGCGCCCACGGAGGCGTACTCCGGTGTGGTCAGCCCCTGCCAAGGAGTGCGGGCGGTCCGGTCAGGCGATTGCCGTTGCGAGATCATGGGGGTCGGCATGTGTTTGGAAAGCGTTTTCGGAGAGGCTTGTGTCCGGCTCGGCGGTGTTTTGTGAAGCGCAGTGCTTCGACACTAGAGGACTGCAGACAATGATTCACTGTATGTCGAGAAATGGTTGTTGAGGTTGTGCTCGTAGAGATATAAGAGGACTGACTAGTTTAAGCAGAGGGCTACTGAACGAGACGGCTGCGCCAGCCGTTGAAAGGTGGGGTCCTAAAATTGACAAGCGGGCGGAATTCGGATGAATCGACGGAGGGGCTCGTGGTGAACTAGCCTTTATCAATCAAGATCAGGTTCCAGCTTGAGTGCCGTATGAGTTCGCGGTTGTTCGGTGCTGACATGTTCAAAGGATGTCTGGAGAGCACTCCCGGAGATTGGAGAAGCAGTCACGATTCATGGGAATTGTCACCCGGTCTGATTCGGTTCGTGAATATATACGCGGTGTTGATGGCCTACTACCCAGTCATTCAAGGTTCCTGAGCCGCGGACTCATTTCCAAGCATTCAACCCCGCCCACGGATCCCCCTGCCCTCCACCTGCACTTCCATTCTGTTGTTGCTGACCTTGTCCGGCACTCCCGCCCGGCGCGCGCTGCTGATAATTCGCATAGCCTCCAGGCCCACTCGCCCACTGCTGTTGCTGCCCCTGCGGCGGTCCATACTGCGTGTGTTGCTGCTGCGGTGGTGGCGGTGGCGGGACATATGATTGCGGGAGCGAGTATGGAGACTGGAAGCCCGGTGAGGCTTGAGGTTGGGCGTATGGCTGCTGCTGTTGAGGCTGGGCGTATTGCGGTTGCTGCGGCTGATATGATGCGTGCTGGCCGAAGCTCGAGGGATGATGTGGCTGGGTGGTGCTTGTAGGAGATGTGAAGTTCAACTGATGGTACGAGGGCTGACTTTGAGGCTGATGGAGCTGCTGCTGCTGTTGGTGATATTGATGCTGTTGCTGCTGAGGCGGGAAGAAGCTCTGTGGTTGTTGCTGCGGCGGGGGTGATGTTATCGGAGAGAACGGGTACGTGTGCTGAGGTTGCTGTGGCTGTGACTGTTGCGGAGACGTTATGTTCCGGTCAGGATACGCCATAGGATTATATGCTTGCGAAAGTGGTGCGGCGGCACCTTGGGAGTACGGGTGTTGCTGGCTTTGTGTTGATTGTGGTCGTTCCACGGGCGATTGATTCTGAATAGGTTGGGCGTAGCTGGGGACACCATTGGTGAAGACCGGCACAGGATCTTCCCGTGGCGGAATGGTGAACCGAGGATCTTGGTAGACCTGATGGGGTGGCGGCGAGCGTACAGCATTTGCACTCGATGGCTGCGGTGGTACTGTTGGCGGACGCTGCGAGGTTGGCGACGTGTTCGGATCCATCGACAGCCTCTGCATGAGCTCCTGCATTCGCTTCTGCTCTGCTGCTGCTTGTCCACCGGCATCACCCGCCTTCTTTTGCTCGATCGAGCTGAGCAGTTGTGCACCCTCTGCTCGTCGATTGCTGACGAACGTCTCTACGTTCTTCTCAAGACTATCCACACTCTCTTTCATCTCGCTGTAGAAGGCCTGCGCACGCATTAGACCTTGTGCCAAATCTCCGTGCGCGGTATAAGCTCTTCGGTAGCGATGCAGCACATTGCTTCTGGCTTTTTGAATACCCTCGTATCGCTGTTGGTCCGATCGTATTCGCTTGTCCTGGAGCAAATCCCCGTATGTTTTGGTTAAGTCCTTCAGAAGCGAGGACTGCTTATGTACAGTTGAGATCAGTCTGTTCTGATGTGATCGAAACTTTTCGAGTTCGGCTTGGAACAACTGGGTCTCCTGACCCGTGAGTGACTTTTTGTTGAGAATGAGAATATTAGATATGTCGTCCGTGTGCACCTTCTCTTTCAAGTCCTTCAGCACTTGCATGCGCTCACGCTTCACCAAGTTGAGTCTCTTCAGAATATCTTCCACTCTAGCGATCTGATCGGTCACGGTCGGACCAGCCTCGCCATAATCCTCGTCCAGCAGGTTTTCTGACTGTTGCGATGATCTGTCGATTTTGGTGCCACTTTTGATGAGTGCTTGCTGATAGAGTACGTCTGCCTCTCCTCGTTCACCGGCTGATCGCATCTCCTCGAACTCGGACTCAAACTGCCTGGAGGTGCCCATCAGTTGATTATCCTGGCTTGCGGCTTCGTCCACGGTGTCACGGTAGCTCTTAATGTCGTTCCGCAGAGTCGAGGTAAGCCGTGAACTTGGCTGCTGTGTCCATTCTCCGCCATACTTCGACCGCATCTTTTCGCATACACTTGCTTCCATATCTAGTTGTTTGGAGCTTTTGTCCAAGCTCTCGAGGACTGCCGCCTTTTCCCGCTGGAGCTGGTCGAAGGCTGTGGAGAATGATCCATGATTGGAGACCTCGGAACACCATCGTTCGAATTCCGGATCGAGGCTCATCTCGCATCCAGGCCGCCCTTCAGCACATTCAAGCTGTTTGGAAGCTTTAAGTAATCTAGACTTGCCGCCATTTCGCCGTTGGCTTGTTCGACCTTCTCGGCTTCTGATCGAATGAGCTTGGCCTTCTCCTCGTCGTACATGCTGGCCTGCTCGGTAACTGCCATGGGCACAATTTTCTGGAAAATGTCGGGTCCTATGATGCGTTGGATGTCCTGACCTTGGTACAGCTCCGACACAGGGATCGCCTTAGCCGCAGGCATCTTAGTCACGGGCTGTATGGCGGCCTCTGCTGGCACAGTCTGGTGGTAGATGTAGTCGTTGTCCTTCACGAGCGAGATCTGCTTTTCCTGTGCCACCTCCAGCTGCCGCTTCGTGATGGCTTGTAGAGTGGACGCGGTGTCGGAGCCTAGGTTTGACGTGCTGGCGGGAGAGGCTGGAAATGTGCGAGATGCCTGGTACGCCGCCTTGCTAGCTCTCTCAGCAATAGCAAGTCTCGCAATAGCAGAACCCTGTAAGTTGCCCTCATCCTCAGTGAGCGCCTGGTAGTATTGGGCCAAACTTTCGAAATGCAGATGCTTGACCTGGATGAACTTTGTCCACGACGTATCGAAGACCAGCTTAGACGTCTCCGTGTCCAGACCTTCCTTTGCCTGCCCGTACAGGTAGTGAGCCTGGGCCGCAAGTTTGGCTAACAAGCCTGACTTCTTGCCATCCCGTACTTGCTTCTCGAGGAACGATTCCTGTGCCTGTGCCATTGTGATGCTGATCATAGTCTTGACGGTGTCTCGGTTCAGGTCTTGTGATGGTGCATGTAGAAAGTTCTCGTTGATATATGTGAACATGCCAGCGGAGGCTTGGAATGAATGGTATGCCGTCTTAAGGCCGTTGTCTTCGGCCCTGTTCTGTGATGCGGCATGGCATGAAAGCACGGCGGAGATGTTGAAGATGACAGAGGCTTTCTCGAAGGCCAGTGAGTACTGTGAGGTTGGTTTGTGTGTGAATGCATCGAACCTGGCTAGTCAGCTAGTGTTCTACACGGCACACACACGGACATAGACCTACCATGTGAAGGAGATTTTGATATGGTTCTCGTCCACGGGAAAGCGCAAGTCCAGCAACTCCAGCTGGCCATAGTATCTATACAACAGGTCTCTTCCAGAAGCACTGTCTGAACCGGCTCCCCGCATGTCCTGTCGTAGGCGATTGAGCGTGGCGCATTCCTCATTATACTTGTCCGGGTCGTCGCCGTATGTCATTCGAATGTAATTCTTTAGCGGCCCAACCCAGTCCACCTCACCTGTCTGCTTGAGCGGACATGACAGCATCGGGGCTTGCACCATCTTCACGGCGTATGCGGCCGCGATGCGGCCGGGAAATTAGTGGGATGGACTCGCTACAGGTCGCGGGGAATACGGCTGGTTTCCATCGATGCAGTAGCGGCTATGCAGAGAGAGTATAGTGCTGGTAAAGAGTGAGTCCAGGATTCAGTATTATTAGCTGCTTCCGCAAGAAGTCAATGATATGTTCAAACCAGAAAAGGAAAGTAGGCAAGGCAACGGTATTCTAGAAGCTGGGTCGAGATCTATGCGGCTAATGTGGCACCGCGCTGCAGGTGAAGTGATTCGGATAGCTTCTCCGGGCGCTTCGAGATGCCTGATACTTCATAGGCTCAATCAAATTGCCTTGTTCACAGAACAGTAGACGAGTGTCGAAAGGAACGCACAGGCAGGTGCAACGGATGATTGGTATTGGGAAGGCGCGATCTGATTACCAGATACTCAGTGACTATACTATAGCTTTACATGACCGCTCAATTCTATCAACCAACAATTATAGATCATCAAAGTGGTATGGACAGAAGTTGGGAGTGTTGCTGAAAATGGTATTACACCCAGGACCGGCCTCAACCAGATCCTGATGCTTTCTTTGGCTCTTCGTCGGCCTTGTCGGTCTTTTCGGTCTTCGTCGCAGAAGTTGCGTCGGTCTTGGTCGGCTCATCAGGTTCAAGGTTATCGTGCTGGTGCGTCAACCGATGCCAGGCGGATTTCAGAAAGCCTTCGTTCTTGTGGTCGGAAGCTTTGTTCGACGTGCCGGGCGTCTTTGGGCTGCTGGCGTCGGATGGAGCGCTGCAATGAGTCAGTACGTGGTGGCATAGGCCGAGCGGGACAACTCACTCTTTGTACTGACCAACATTCATGATTCTCTTGGCCGTCTTATCTCCCATCTCGTCCGCTAGCATTTCGAGAATTGTCCGTTGGTTCGACGACAAGTACTTGGGCATCTGGACCTTGAACTCGACCCTCAGATCTCCCGAAGGCGAACCACGACCACCCAACCGGCGCATGCCCTTCCCACCCAATGTGATCTTGTCGCCAGTCCCGGTGCCAGTCGCGACCTTGACCTTGACTTCTCCGTCTAGCGTTGGCACACGGACCTCGCCTCCAAGGAGAGCCGTCGTCAACGGTATCGATGCGTTGTACAGTATATCGGCGCCACTGCGGTTGAAACGGGCGTCTGGTGATACTCTGATGAAGACATAAAGATCTCCTCGCTGTGTCCGTGTTTTGGGGTCTGCGGCCGTTCCTGTGGGCGGGGCATCACCTTCGCCGGATACTCGCAACCTCATGCCATCATCAACGCCACCAGGGATATCGACTTCGACAGTCTTCCTTTGACGGACCACGCCGTTGCCGGAACAGCTACCGCACTCGGAGCCGCGAGGTATTGTGATTCCCTGACCACCACAGGATTCGCATGTGCTCGCCATGTGGAAACCTTGCTGCATGACGTGCACTCTTTGGCCGGTTCCGCCACAGCGCTTGCACGTTTGCCGCGATGAGCCCTTCTTCAGTCCATCTCCTTTACATGTGCCGCACTGCACAAGCGGTGTAATCGTGATATTCTTCGTCACGCCTTTCGCGGCGTCCATAAATGAGATATTGGCCTGGACTTCAATGTTCTCGCCCACCAGTATCTCCTGAGCCGCCCGTCCACGTCGTCCGCCTCTTCCGCCGGTGAAGGCACTAAACAAATCCTCGAAGTTCACATCGCCTCCGCCTCCGAAACCTCCACCGAAGCCGCTGAACGGATTGCCACCGCCGCCGAAACCGCCAGCCCCCGCGAAGGGGTTTCCACCTGCTGCGCCGGAGGGGTCAAACCCGGCTCCCTGGTCAAAAGCTGCGGCACCATAGTTATCCCAGGCAGCCTTCTTCTGAGGGTCATTCAACATTTCATACGCAGATTGTGCATCGGTGAACTTCTCTTTCGCGCTGGGATCCTTGTTCGTATCTGGGTGGTATTTCTTCGCCATTGCGTAGTACGCTTTCTTAATTTCCGACGCTGAGGCGCTGCTGCCGACACCTAGAGTCTTATATGGGTCTTTCGTAGCGTACGCCGGAGCGCTGGAGGAGAACGCTCGAATCGACCCCGGCGAGCATTTGATGGTGCATCTCCGCTTCGCCGTAGGACGGCCAGATCGGGTCTGCGACGTGGTTGATAATGGTCGGCTTTGCCGTGATCGTGAGAACTGGTCATACTGTCGTGAACACTGGCTCAAAGGCCTGGCTATTCGAAATGGCAGGGCTGCCGTATGCGCCAGGCCGGGTCCTGCGACACTCATCGGGAATGCTTGCTGCTGACCAGAACCTGTTCTTTAGAGTGTCATCGGCGCCCACCCGAATGATATCGACCGTCTTCTTGAGTCCAGCCCAAGCCACGCCTTGATCGAATGCTGCGACTGAAAATGAAATCTGGGGTAGGAGAGAAGATTCGAGTAAGGTCGGTTGAAGCAATGAACGTCGAAAAAGTTATGCCGATTCTGGCCGACGCGGAGATGGGCGACGTAACTCCGGGTCAGTGAGTCGTCGATATTGGAGATCATCATAGAAAGATATTGGTGTCGAGTGCGCAATCATTCTGCTACCTGGCGTTGCCGTTGTCAGTTCTACATAGCTGCGGAGGATCCCATAAGCATCGGTAGGGCAGTTACAGACTACTTCAGACCAGAAGCTCTTACCATCAGTCACCCGACTCAGCAGCACTGTCCCAGCGGCCTCGCTGTCGCCTCCGATCATGCTCCGCGGCCAACGCCTGCCGTGGCGAATAGCTCTTCAGCACTCGTCGCGTCCAGTATGTAGGGAGTGTCTGCGCCAGTTTAGTCGGCAGAGTTCTATTATCGCTCAACAGCGATCTACAGCAGCGTCCAGCGCCGCCATTTCATCTGCCCATCGATTACAAATCCGCCAATTCTCCTCCCAGCCGGCGCGGCGGAAAGAGAAGACAGACGATGACGCGCCAGTTGGTCCAGAGGCGGACATCGAAGAGAAGGCTGAGGAGACACAGAAAGAGGTAGCTGAAGCTCCTACGGGTGAAGACGCCACCGAAGCCAAGAAGTCGCCATCGGAACCGGAGCCTATACCGCAACCTGACGGCAAAGCGTCGACGGGCGGATCAGGTCCGGACGGCTCGAATGGCGCGGGATCAGGCAGTGGGAGCGATCAAGGCGGCAAACGAGGTCGGAGAGCAACGCAAATATCCAAGCCAACCGTCCCAGAAGTATATCCTCAGGTAATGGCGATCCCTATAGCAAAGAGGCCGCTTTTCCCGGGATTCTACAAGGCCGTCACCATCAAAGATGCCAATGTGGTAGCAGCCATCCACGAGATGCTCAGGAGAGGGCAGCCCTATGTAGGCGCATTCCTGTTCAAGGACGAAGCTATGGACAAGGACATCATCGAGCAGCCAGAAGATGTCTACGACGTCGGGGTCTTTGCTCAAATCACGAGCGTCATACCTCAACCAGGAGATGAGAACACAGTCACCGCTGTCCTGTACCCCCACCGCAGGATAAAAATGACCAGTCTACTGCCACCTGGCTCGACCGACGCAGCCACTCCTGCCCCAACAATCACGATAGACGTCCTACCGGCAGGGGAAGAGAAGACCGCAGAGGAGAAGCCTCAAACAGACGGCACGACAGAGAACAAAGGAGACGTTGTAGCCAGCTTCGAGGAGCCGAATAAGCAAGAACAGACCGATGTTGCAGTATACGAACCTACTGCATTCCTACGAAAGTTCCCCGTTTCGCTGGTCAATGTCAAGAATATGCCAGAAGTCCCTTATGACAAGAAGAGCGCCAACGTCAAAGCTCTAGCATCTGAGCTCGTTAATGTTTTCCGCGAGATCGCATCTATCAACCCAATGTTCAAGGATCAAATATCCGACTTCAGCATGTCATATCCAGGCAATGTGACGGAAGAGCCCTCTAAGCTGGCCGACTTTGCTGCTGCCGTCTCCACCGGCGACATCGAGGAGCTTCAAGACATTCTCCAGACCATGGATCTGGAGCAGAGGCTGCACAAATCCTTCACAGTACTCAAGAACGAGCTCATGAACGCCAAGCTGCAGTCAAAGATCACCAAAGACGTCGAGAACAAGATCCAGAAGCGTCAGCGAGAATACTGGCTGATGGAGCAGATGAAGGGTATCAAGCGCGAGCTGGGACTTGAGTCCGATGGCAAGGACAAGCTAGTGGAGAAGTTCAAGGAAAAGCAATCAAAGCTTGCAATGCCAGACGCGGTCAGTAAGGTCTTCGACGAGGAGCTGAATAAGCTTCAGCATCTCGAGCCAGCCGCTTCCGAGTTCAATGTGACCAGAAATTATCTCGACTGGCTTACGCAGATACCTTGGGGTCAGAGGAGCGCTGAGAACTTCGGCATCAAGAACGCCATGACTGTGCTCGACGAAGATCACTATGGTCTCAAGGATGTCAAGGATCGTATCCTGGAGTTTATCGCGGTTGGCAAGCTTCGTGGTACAGTTGAAGGCAAAATCCTTTGCTTCGTCGGACCTCCTGGTGTCGGCAAGACGTCGATTGGCAAGTCAATTGCCCGAGCGCTGAACAGGCAGTACTACCGCTTCAGTGTTGGTGGACTGACTGATGTTGCTGAAATCAAGGGTCACAGGCGAACATACGTTGGTGCTTTGCCCGGTCGCGTCATTCAAGCCTTGAAGAAATGTCAGACCGAGAATCCTCTCATCCTTATCGATGAGGTGGACAAGATCGGCCGAGGCCATCAAGGTGATCCTTCTTCTGCTCTGTTGGAGCTCCTAGATCCGGAACAGAACTCGAGCTTCCTCGACCACTACATGGATGTGCCTGTGGATTTGTCGAAGGTGCTCTTCGTGTGCACAGCCAACATGACTGATACTATCCCTCGACCACTTCTGGACCGCATGGAAGTGATTGAGCTGTCCGGCTACGTGGCAGACGAGAAGAAGGCGATTGCTGATCGCTACCTTGCTCCACAAGCCAAAGAACTGTCTGGCCTCAAGACTGTGGATGTCACCCTCGACGAATCTGCCATTGAGACATTAATCAACAAGTACTGCCGCGAGTCTGGTGTTCGCAACCTGAAGAAGCAGATCGAAAAAGTCTACCGCAAATCCGCCCTCAAGATCATTCAGGATCTCGGCGAAGATGCTCTACCCGAATCCGAAGCACTCACGGAGGCCGGCAAAACAGCCATGGCTGAGTCGGTCAAGAACGAGACCGAGTCTTCTGATCCGAAGGACACTCCAGAGAACATCGCCGCCGAAACCACGGAAGAGCCGCGCAAGCCCATGCAGCTGCAAGTTCCCGACTCAGTCCACGTCAAGATCACTAGCGACAACCTTGCAGACTACGTCGGTCCTCCGATCTTCAAGTCCGACCGCCTCTACGAGACCACGCCTCCGGGCGTCGTCATGGGCCTGGCCTGGACTTCGATGGGTGGCACTGCCCTCTACGTCGAATCAATCCTCGAATCTGCACTCAACGCCAACTCCCGGTCTGGCTTCGAGCGCACCGGCAACCTGAAGCCTGTGATGAAAGAGTCTAGTACCATCGCATACTCGTTCGCCAAATCTGTCCTCGCTACTAAGTTCCCCGAGAATAAATTCTTCGATCACGCGAAGATCCATCTTCACTGCCCCGAAGGAGCGGTACCGAAAGATGGACCCAGTGCCGGCATCACTATGTCGACAGCGCTGCTGAGCTTAGCAATGGGCAAGGAGGTCAGCCCGAAGCTTGCCATGACAGGCGAGCTCACCGTGACTGGTAAGGTCCTGCGAATAGGAGGTCTCAGAGAGAAGACCGTCGCTGCACGAAGAGCCGGCTGTGAGACCATATTGTTCCCCAAGGAGAACCAAGGTGATTGGGACGAGTTGCCAGCCGTGAGTCCTATTCCTTCCTTTACTGCTTGTTCATCGTGCTAACTAGTGACCACAGAACATCAAAGAAGGCCTCACGGGACACGCAGTCGACTGGTACCACGAAGTCTTTGATATTGTCTTCCCTGACCTGGATGCGAAGAAAGTCAACACTGTGTGGAAAGAGCAGTTGAAAGAGACGGAAAAGAAGGGCAAGAAAGAGAAGAAGCCGAAGAAGGCCAAAGAGGAGGAGGAGTCTGAGGACGACTCGGACGATGATGATTGAGCGATGTCGATTGGGTGCGGTGGACTTGAAACTTTGGCGTCAATAGATGGATATGTCATCTTCTACTCGCGGAGCCTTGTCACACAGCTTTCGATACTGGTGGCTCAATGATCGAACGCATGAATATCGTTAAAAGTGGCGGCATCGGTGAAGGGAAAGGGCGATTGCATCACATATTGGACACGATATTGTTCGGCAGGAATCTCAACTCGCATGGAAGGGCGCAAACAATTGATCGTGCTGTGTACGATAGATGAAAGACATGGGTAGCGTTGTAGACAGACAGCCCTAGGTGTAATCATATCCAGGGTATGACAAGATATTTGGAACGTCCTCCTTGGATCACCACCGCATCGTTCTCGCAGTCACAGCGCAGGCAGGCATTGATATTGGGAGACATAAGGCACACCAAACGACAATCCAACCCACGTCATGCAGACATGCCACGACGCCATTCTGCAGATTGTCAAGTCTTTCGGCGCAGAGGCCTCCCTGGCACGCGGACTGGACTGTGCAGTGTTGACTGATGATCCTCAATAGACGAGCAAGTGAATGATGGACGTTTGTAGACATTGTCGCTGGGACTCAGGGATTTCGACGTAGCGACCTCGTGGGCAGGAAAATCCGACAGGGTGCCATTTTGTAGCCAATATCGAATCTTCCACACAGAGTCCTCCCTGGCGTGAGAAATCTACCGGGTAAGGCTCAAATCAGTGACACTCAATTGACGGAAGTCGAAGACGAGTTAGAATCAGCTGTGACGCTCACTTAAGAGATGATTCTCTCGGATTCGAATTAGTTTGCAAAACTCCAAAATTTCGACGCAGAGGCCTCCCTGGCATGAAAAATTCAGCTGGATGACATTTAAATGAGAGACGCTCAATTGAGGGAAGTCGAAGGCGAGTCGAAGGCGAGTTAGAATCAGCTGTGAAGCTCATCCAAGAGATAGTTCCTCAAATTCGAATTGCTTGAGCTTTACCAGAGTATTCGAAGCGAGTGACTTGTCATTTCATGCTACCTTGCTATGCTATGCTATGCTTGCTATTTGGGTATCTCAAAAATCATGGATTATTCAGCTGAAGCCCGCCCTGGAGGTCAAATTGCCAAATCGCGACTTTCAGCACTTGAAATCGCGCGTGTATGCTCACTTCTTCGACTTCTTCTCTAGGGAGGCCTCTACCTCCTCGAGTGCCATATCCAGAGCCTCCTGTGTAGAGACGGCCTTTGCTTCCTCCTCCGCAGCCAGGAAGTCGGCGTCGTCGATGCTGTTGAAGCTCTGGCTCGGCTGGATCGTAGCTGGAGCGCGAGCGGGAGTCAGGTCGTCTTCGGACTTGATTGGGAGGCCGCCTGCAGTCGGGTTGGTTGAGTGGGAGGTCTTGGTGCGCTTGGGAGCGTTGTTGGAATCAGAAGTGAGTGGGTTGGTGGTAGGGAGCTCGAGAACGGTGGCTGTACGGAGTCCAACGACTGAGCGCGCGGCGTCGTTGAAGATGGAAGAGTTGAGAGCGCCGGCAGGTTGGTGGGTTGCGAGACGAGCATGGCGGAGAACAGGAGTGGCGGGCGGATTGCCGATGGCCTCGCGTTCGTTCATGGCGGCGGTGAGGTCTCGATCTTCGCTTTCTAGGTCACCTAGAGCTGATTGCTGCGTACGAGGATTGGATCGGAGTTTCTCGGCCTTGCTCAAGGCGTGATACTTTTCGGGAGTCATGGTTTTGTCGAGGACTTTTGGCTGAGGTTGTTTGCCGTGGTCGACAAGGAAACGCGACTTAGCGTAGACTTCGGGATCGCTTGCGAGACGCAGAGGAGGGCGACCGTAGTGCTCAAGGGCGTCGTGAGAGTCGTCACCAGTAATCTCGTGGGCAGGCGGAGAGACGTGCTCAAAGCGTGCGGTGCGGTCTGAGAAGATTCTGACGTTTCTGGTAGGAGGAGTGGTGGTTGCAGGTTGAGCGATGTAGCCTGGTGCGGGACCAAATTCATCGTCGAAATGGTCGGCTAGGTTGCTGAGATCGGCTGACGTGTTCGCAGACATGTCTTCAACTTTGCGCTTTGACATCACGACGCCGCTCTTCAGCTTCTGCCTAGACGTCTTCGGTGTTGAAGATTCCTTCGAAATGAGTGAACGTGGTCCGCTGAGCTTGGATTGTAGTGAAACAGGTGCTAAGCATGGAAGACCGTGCTTGTTGTCCGCGACAAGGTCACGTGGGGTCGGCGACAAGGCTTTGAGCAGGTCAGCGTCCGACAACTCGTCTTCAACATTCAGGATGTCCAACGCAGTCTTGTCGACCAAGGTGTCCCCCTGTGAATCGTACTCGATGCTCCCTTGGGACTTCGCTGGCGATGGCTCGGCTGACTCGTTGTTTTCCAGAACTTCATCCTCGTTCTCGGTCTCTGTTGCTGTCCTAGCGATAGCTGTCGCTTTTCCTTTAGGCTTCGAGATCGGCCTCGAGAAGAACGCGTTGAGTCGAGGTTGACTCGCCGTCACCTTTCCCCAGGTATCCTCAACCGAGATCCGTCCTTCCTGAAGCAACTTTTGCTGGGCTTCTCGATCCCTGGCCTCCTTCTCCTCGCGCTGACGACGATTGGCCTTACGTTTGCGCTCTTTACCTTCGACATCCTGGCGACGGGCTTCGAGCTCATCGGCTCGCTCTGCTCGTCTCAATTGAGAGGCAGTGAACTTGAACTTGATAGGGTCCTTCTTGTGAGCTCGCTTAGCCTCTTTCGAGGTCATGGGCGGCCGAGGAGGGAGCGGCATGGTGGGCCATTTGCAAGGGCTCCTTCCTTTGTTGACTTTCAGAGCGGTGATGGGCAGGTTCACATTGTACTACAGGTGCAGAAGGAGTGAGGTTGAATGTCAACAAATGCCCAGACGCTAGTAAGTGGAGGCTTCAAAGCAGATACGGTGGCCTAGGCGCTCAGAGCTGCACTGGCTGGAATGAATCACAAGCAAGCACCTCCTGCACAACTGTGGCTTCTGGCTGGTCCAGTAATGCATTGTGAGGGTGGTAAAGGAGGAGCACGAAGTACTTAAGGTACTTAGGGCTCTATGCTGAACATGAAATGTCGACTTCGAAGAAGCCACCTTGCTGTCAACTGCCATCCCCCGCATCCGACTCAATGTCAGAATCCTCCTCTTCAATTGGGAATGTCAAAATCGCCGCAATGCCACCAAGACCCTCAAGCCGCCTGCCACTCTCATGATCAGCGCTGAGTATCCGAACATCACCGCCTTCGACGTCTCGGACCTGATCAACGAGCTTCACCCACCTCCGCCGGACCGCAATCTGATCGCTCCGGAACAACGAGTGGCTGATCAGGAGAGCTCCTCCACCTCGACCGACTGCACCCTTTTCCACCGCCCGCTCAACCTCACTAGGCCCATACCAAGCCCTGCCGTCGTCTTTCCGGAGGAGCTCGAAGAACTTGTCCATCAGATTCGTTTCCTTTGCATATTTTGTATTCTTCATATTTGCCAGAACTTCTGGACTCTTTAGGACTTCGTTCAGGCTGTGCAGATGGCCAGAACTGCTGTGTATCACCAAGAAAGCTTTCCGCCTAAGTAGATCCTGAAGTAGCTTCTCACCCTTCGTTGAGCCTACTTCGTTGAGGTACTTGAGAAAGCCGGCTGCTGTGAATCCTGGACTGGCGAGCAAGATGGGGAACGTCGCGTCAGGCTTGTTTTCGAGCAAAGTCAAGATCTGCCTCATGAGCGTCTCATATATGACATTGAAGAATTTCTGCAATCCCTTGTCGTGATCCGCTGACCTTCCAGCTCCAGCTCGCTTCCGAGGTACTGCGTGCTCTATCCTCTGCCGAAGATTGGTTTGATGCTGTGTGATGAAACAGATATTGGCAAGGCCTTCCTGCATGACGATTGCCACGGCCTCTGTACCATTCGTAGGATCTGTTGCCTCTGCAAGTTGCTGTATTGCCACGCTGTCCCATCCTTCCCCTGCTTCCGGATCCTTTTCGAGCGTGAAGTTGCGATGTAGTTCAAGGTCAAGAGTGTGATACTGGCCGAGTTGCAGGAAGTTGTTCTCTCGTGCAGTCTGGCCGTTCACGCGTAGCTGCCCGGCTTGTGGATCGAAGTCCAGTGACTTGACTCGGATCGTTAACTTCATATGCACGGTCTGTGATCGTGTCGAACCTGTGTTGCTGGTTTCGTCCTTTATCCTTCGTACAGCCTGTGCAGTGAGTAGATCCAGTGGCCGGATCAGGTTGTAGGCGTGCCACATATCTTCTGGCTCCTCTGGGCATAATGTGACGAAGCCTGTGCCATCGCGCTCTATTTTACGCTTGAGGAGTTTCATGGCCGATGAATTCCAGGCTCTACCGCCTTGTGTTCTCGATCAGGAAACCTGTGAAGGAGTCCGACCTGTCGATTGTGTTCGAGGCGTTCAACCACTACAATGGCTGACCGGAAAGATGTGAATGAAAATACCTGATCTAATGTGGTCCGAAAAGCGTGAGTAGGCAAGCGGCGAGATGGGACGCAGGAGCGTCTAGGTTCATGAGCATATATAAAACTTCACCCGAGCGCCTTCTCGAGAGTATCTTCGATTCTTATGCCATCACGTCAATCGAGTACAGTTTCAAATGACAAGGTAGAAGCCAGCAGACTGTCATTTGAACAAAGGAAGCATAAACCCACCTGCAGGTGGACTTCCAAGTTCCTAGACTTCGTCTTCGATTCTCCTTCCTCTCTCGACCACCGCTGCAATCGCTGACTGATAGCGATTGAGATGCTTGGCCTGCCTCACTTGTGTCGAACTGGCTTCACGTTAGCAACCAAGAATCTTTTGGCTGATCTGGCATACCTCGAGCAATTTGTACTCCTTCCGGTACTTCTCGACGATGGGAGGGTTGAGTTCACTGAATTCTTTGTACCTCTTGTGGAACGTCTGATCGTCATCGGTCTCTCTGCCTGCAAGCTTCCTTGAGCGAAAGCGCTTCTTGGCTAGATCTTCCGTACAATTGAAGAGCAGAACGAGCTTTGGGCTTCCGATCTGTGATTGTATCAACTCAATTCTGCTGGTTCGCCTTTGGCAGGTACTTACGAGAGCTTCGATAGGTGCCACCTGGTTCAGTCTTCTGGGGAAACCGTCGATCAAGATCTTCTTGTGGCCGTTGCTGATCGCTTCCTCGACCTTTGATTTCAATATGGAGCCCAGTGCTCTCACAAGTATCAGTTCTCCACGCTTGACACTGGCGATGACATCGTTGTCGATCTCAATGTCGGTATCCTTGTCAGTGTCTTTGTCGTTTTCGATCGCGGCCACACGCTGTCTCAGGCTGTCGCCAATGGACAGATGACAGAAGCCAAAGTCCTTCGACAGCTTCTTGCACAGGGTGCCCTTCCCGGATGCTGGAGCACCTTCAATTCGTTAGCTCTTGCTCGAGCTATTCGATCAAGAGCGCCACTCACCAATGACAAAGATGATTGACGCTTCAAGTGCGGCCATGCTGACTTGTCGGATGTTTGCTTGGCTTGTTGCAGTTCTCTAGGGCAGATGGCGATGCAGCAATGTGTCTGTTTCATGAGGTGAGTAACGCCTGGGGCAGCTTTGAGATGTTTAACTTGTCGCACTATCAAGCAAAGTTGTGAAGTTTGCAGACGTCCTTGTCTAGCTGGCAATCAAGCAAACACTCGCACAAGCAGCAGTGTGGTCTGTTATCAACTATTTGAATGCGTTCTCTGCTCCATCTTGTACGTTCAGACTGATCACAGTTGACCAGGCGATCAACGCAGCAACTCATCATGGCGATCTTTACATACGTCCTGCTATCTGTTGTCTCAGTCATACTGCTCTACAAGGTGTACCAGCATTACTCCAGCCAACGACCCGTAGCCGTCAACTACCACTTCACCCGACGATGCAACAAGACCTGCGGCTTCTGCTTCCACACCGCCACAACCTCGTACATCGAAACACCCGAACGAGCCAAAGAAGGTCTGAAGCTCCTCAAGCAAGCTGGTATGCGCAAGATCTACTTCGCCGGCGGGTGGCGAGCCCTTCCTCTACCCCAAGTTCCTCGGCGAAATGATCGACTACTGCAAAGAGACTCTCCACCTCGAATCAGTGTCGATAGTCTCCAACGGCAGTCTCATCCAAGAAAACTTCCTCAAGAAGCACGGCCACAACATCGACATCCTAGCTGTGTCCTGCGACTCCTTCGACGAGGCCACGAATATCAAGATCGGTCGTGGTTCCGGCAACCAGGTCCCACAGCTGTACAAGCTCAAGTCATGGTGCGAGAAGTACGGTATCAAGTTCAAGATCAACGCTGTCGTCTGCCGCCTAAACTACAACGAGGACATGAATGTACATCTCGACGAACTCCAGCCCTTCCGGTGGAAGTGTTTCCAGGTCCTGATCGTGGCAATTGAGAACGGCTCGGAAGAGAGACTGCGCAATGGGCACGACTTCACGATCACGGATAAGGAATACGAAAGCTTCTGCGATCGACATAAGCAGCAGAAGTCGTTTGTTCCAGAGCCAAATCACCTCATGGCGAAGTCCTATCTGATCTTGGACGAGTACATGAGGTTCTTGGACCGTGATGGTCGGCAGCCGTCGAAGCCAATATTGGAGATTGGGGTGGGTGAAGCACTGAAGAGTGTCTTCTGGGACGAGCAGGCTTTCAAGGATCGTGGTGGCGTTTACGACTGGAGTCGTGAGGATTCATGCGGCAAAGAGAGGCAAGAGATCGACTGGTGAAAACATTGATGCTCTCAGGTGCAACGCACTGATGTTCTGCGAAAGAGTTGGCTATGGGTTGGCAAGCGTCGTTGGTCAACATGGGACAATGGGAAAGGAGCATTCCTGGACTGTCGGTCTGGACGACAGCTGCCTGCTATGTGTCGCCATGGACTGCCTCTCGAAGGTCGTTGGGATAGACTGGGCCAAGAGCCTTATGGAGTCTGAAGCTACCTATGAGTCACTGTCGCGAGATCGACCGGACGCTAGGATAAGAGCGCTGCCAACACTTTACCTCTGCCTAGTGTAAACAAGTCCAATTGACACGGCATCATGCACTTTCTAAGTCATCGACGTGAATGTTTCTGGTTGCCTCACCTTGTGGTTACTGATCGTAATGCTCGAGACTTGTGATCGTGTAGTGCCTGCAGCTCTGTAGACCGACTATATCACCCGCCGTACACAGACCTCAATGACGACAAACTTCAGCTTACCCATCGACCTGTCTCATCTACAGAATGATCGAATTAAGTTAGTCCCGCTCGAGGTACGCACCGTGACTCGAACACCACTACTCACTCATCCTCACGCCCTGGGGCCCTGACCCACCACTGCCCACCTCAGCCCTCGCACGACACATCACAATCATCTAATCCTCCACAACAGGACAAGCTCCAAGAATGGACCACCCTCTGGATCTCAACAGTCCATACCCACCCCCAAACCTACGCCTACCTCCTCTACGGCCCCTTTGCCACCCCAGCCGACTTCATCTCCTGGTACGACACCTCCATCCGCCATGACCGCTCCACTTTGATGCTGGCCATCATCCTCAAGCCTGGGACCATAGTCCCTGCTCGAACACAGCGCTCGCTCAACGCCACTGACGCTTCGAACGAGCCAGAAGAGGAACTGGTGATTGAGGAGGACACGTTTGCTGGCCTAGCGGGCTTGACTACACCGACAGCTTCCACCGCAACGTCCAACCTAACAGCAGACATGGGCCAGCTCCTCCTCCCACGCTACCACCGCACATTCGTCGGCACGCACGCCAACGGCTTATTGTTGCACCACCTGCTGGACCCAACACCCAACGGACTGGCGTTGAGGAGGGTGCAATGGCAGCCCAACGCCTCCAATACGGCAAGCGTGAACGCGGCGAAAAGGCTGGGGTTCAGGCTGGAGGGGGTTATGAGGTGGGCTGTGGTTCTGCCTTGGGGAAAGATTGGTGACACGGTCAGGGAAGGGCGGGAACAGGGGGAGACAAAGGGCAGGAAGGCGAGGCATACAGCGATGTTGGCGCTGTGTTGGGATGATTGGGAGGGCGGAGGGAGGGATTATGTTGATCGGCTGATGGCGCGGTGAACGAGGAGAGTCGTGAAGTCAAAGCTATCAAGGTGCGTGATTGCAATTCTTGTAGAGGAGTCCACCTTGATAGTCGAGTAAAGAGACGAATGCAGTGAGAAGAATGATTCATTGCAATACCCTAGTCCTTGAATGACTGATCATGTCTCGTGCGAAACGCCTCTTCAAGGACTGCCTGCCATGTCCATTGGCTCCAGCAGCAGAAGGAACAGAACACCCTTGCTCCCACCATCCCATTCCACGTCGTTTCGTCTGTTCTCCCGTCCATTTGTTTCAATCTACTCACGCTCAATTGGCCAGTGATCAATCCCATAGCTCCATACGCGGACGGCTATGACCCTCACTTCGCGCACAACAGCAGCAGTCGACACAGGTTGGTCTGCTTCCTCGAGCCAGGACTCGTGCGGCGAGCGCGTTCGCTTGCAGCTCCATCCTCACGTCCTCCTCCACTTAGAATCCTCGCAGCACGTTCCATGCCGCTGTTCTCATACTAAGTAACAGTCTTCTGCTGGCTTAAAGGATCCAGCTGCTCAACCCCCTCATACTCCTCCCTCCGCATGAGGCCCTCGACAGGACCCAACAACCTCTTGAACCCATCTCGTCCCAACTTCGCAACCTTGACGGCACCCTTAGCCACAATGCTTGCCGCACGAGGCTTGTCGTCGAGCAACGCCAACTCTCCAAAGAAGTCGCCACGGGTGTACTCCTTGACGGGGTGGTCAATATTTTGCTTATATGCGGTAGCCGAGCCAGACTCAAGCAGGTAGAACGCATCGCCTGGCTCGCCTTCAGTGATGATATTCTCGCCGTCTCCGAATTTGACGGTCTCAAGTGCGTCGGCAATTTTGGCGCGCTCATAAGGCTTCAGCGACGACAGCAATGGGACATCCTCGAGGAAGCCTTCGTACATCTTGCGCTTCTCGAAGGCACTGGTCATGAGAATGCGGCGGAAGGTGATGCGGTCGAGCGCCCAGAGCAATCCACCCTTACCAGCACTTACGACGGTTGCAGCACGAGGAGCATTGTACATCAGAGCGAGCTCGCCGAAACTGCCTCCGGGACCAATCGTGGCAACCTTGTTGCCCATACCCTCAGAGCCCGGCTGCAGACTTCCACTAGAATGAATGTAGATGTCAAACTCGCCTTGCTCGATAACGTAGAAGTAGTCGCCTTCGTCGCCCTGGCTGATGACCTTGATGTTCTGTGCAGGAATGGACTTTTCGACGAGAGCATCGAGGACAGTGCTGAAAGAGTCTTCGTCGAGTTGGGAGAAGAGGAAGTTGGCGGCGACAGCTTTCTTCAAGCGGTCGAGCTGGTCTGGTGTCTTGGAGTGCTTAGGTGGCTTCCAGTTGGAGGACTCGGCGTCGGGCTGCATGCTCTCTGCGGACACAGATGTGCGTCGGTTGCCTGCGTAGTTGGTAGGGAGTGGTTGCTGGGAGTTGTCCTGCTCGCTTTGACCTTGGCTGCCGAGCCAGTTGCCGAAGAGGCTGCCACCTGCACCGCCAGCAGCAGCTCCGCCGGCAGCAGCACCGAATGGAGAGGTGTTGCCAAAGGGTGATGAACCGCTGTTGCCCGACTTGAACCTCGAGTCGGTAGGCGAGCCTAGGGTGTCGTGCTCCTCCTCCTCTTCTTGTATCGAATTGACATTCTTGCTGGTCCCGAACGGGCTGGCAGTGTCTGCCATCTTGTTACCGTTGGCGGCGCCTCGATCAGCGGACCCGCGGTGGGTTGTTCGTTCGAGGGACAGCTTCTGGTTGAAGAAGTTGGCACAGAACTGGAGGATGTCGTCAGGGTTGTTGGACTTCAACTCTCGAACGAGCTCGTCAATGTGTGTTTGCTGGTGGGAGGGCAGCGACATTGAGTGAGGAGGGAGGAAGCAGCAGCAGATGTCGTAAAGTGAGATAGCAGGTGAAATGTGGGGTGTCTGTGTCGTAGTTCGCGCAGGTGGTCTGTGCCGTACTGCAGCCTGTGCCCTCTTTTTTCGGTTGCGGAGGGGCGCCGATGAGCGAGAAGAAGCTCGCCTGGTCTGATGCAATGGGATCTTCAGGCGCTCGAATTGCCCCACTTGGAGGTCTGTTTCGATACTCTCTCGTTCTTGGTCACAATTCAGTGAGGCTCGATTGCAGTGGATAGAGTGATGGAGACAAGGTGAGGTGAGATGGAGTTGCAGATGAGAAGCTCCAGGGAGTACGACGAAGTACGCTCAGCAAGATAGGCAAGGAAGGTGGTGAGTGAGTGAGCGAGGTCTCAATCAATCTTCAGCTGAGGCAACCACCACCCCCGGATTTCAAGCTTAGCAGTCGTACAGGTACTTTTCCTAGGGTCAAGGAAGGTTGGATAGAGCTTGATGATAATCGCCGAGCAGCGGTGATTGAAGCTTCTGCTTGTGAATTTCTGGAGTCACTGAAGAAGAGGGGAAATCCTCGCAGCAAGAAGTACTTGTAGCTTCAGACCAGTGTCTCGGAGATGGAAAGACAAGATGTTGATCATACACGCTCGTGTTGCCAATGTAGAGCTCGTGAGTCAATTGACAGCTATCGAAGTGACTGGTCGGGAAAGAGCTCTTGTCCCTGCCAGCACCACTTCCTTCTGCCATCTGCTGTTGGGTGCTCCTGCCATAAGCTCTGAATAAGGCGGGGTAAATCGTGCGCAGCATGCATCTGGGCAAGGGTGGGCGTCGATCCAGCCAATTTCCTGATGCAATCCCTTCCAGAAGCCTTCCAGAAGGCTCGATAGAATCAGGGGAAGCTCGACTCATTGCTTGATCACGAGACAGCATTCCAGGTCGATATGGACAAGTGACGACAGGATGAAGATTGCTCTGATTACTACTGTAGAGTATATCCTCCTTCCGATGCGATGCAAGAACAGCAAACTTGATCAACTCCAGCAACTGCGAAAGCGACCAACGTTCCGGGGATATCTACAATGACAACAAATAGTCCAACTACCGTACATCCAGTGCGCAACTCGTGTCTTCGGTCCCTTCAATGTACATGCACTTAGGCCTTTGTTCGAGCCAGATCAGCTCCTCAAGCAGGCAGAGGCCCGTGAGAACAGTCAAGATTCTCGCACCACTAGTTCATGATCTTCTTGAAGAATGAGCTGATCCGGTTCTTCTTTTTCTTTTCCTTGGTAGCGGGACTGCTTTCTGGTGTGGCAGCTGGTTTCTTAGTAGGTGTGCTGGTCGTGCTCGTGGGTGCAGTTGCCTTTGCCTCCGTTGTCGGGTTAGCAATAGCAGCAGTCGCGCCAGTCGCGGCCGTCAGAGGTTTCGTGGTTTCCTTGGTAGACTCGACCGGCTTCTCGTCTTTGGCACCATCCGTAGCACTGAGGTCGCCAGTCTCGTTCTGATTCATCATCTTGACCGCAGGCTCATCGGCAAGACCAGGGTCAGCGCCATCCGAGACTGCGGCGGCTGCGCCGCTTGACACGCCTGGAGCAGCGCTACCGGTCGGTGGAGGAGCATATTCTGTCGCGTCGCCTTCGCTCTTATCTGTGGTAGTGGTGGTCGTCTTGGGCGCAGCGAGCTCCTCGCCGTCACCAGCGCCGTCGGACACTGCAGCCGCAGCATGCGAGGAAGCACCTGGCGCAGTCTTTTCGCTCGAGGCAATGCCTGCGGCTCCAGCAGCCGCAGCACCAGTGACAGCAGCGCCGGTTGCAGCAGGAGCCACAGCTGAAGTCTCAGCACTGACTACAGGCGCGGGCTCACCAGTCGCCTCGGACGTCGGCACCTTCTGGGCCAGCTCGCGCTCTAGAGCAGTCTTCTCCGCGACGACGGACGGGTCAGCCGCAGCTTCTGGTGATGCACCAGACTTGGCGATAGACTCCTCTACGGGCTTCGGCACGCTAGTAGCCAGGCCATGATAGCTTGACTGACCCGCGATTGCAACCTTTGCGTCTTCGCTTGTGCTTTCCACGGGAGACGTCTTGGACAAGAGCTCCTTCTCGAGCGCAGACTTCTCCTTGACAGCCTCTGGAGACGCAGCCGCCTCAGCAGACTGGTGTGCTTCAGCCAGCGATTCTTTGACCTGCTCAGGCACGCCATCGGCGACCTTAGACGACTCAAGAGGTACGTTGGCAGCGAGCGCAGCAGTGGTCGAGCCGGGACCAACAGATGAGATATGAGGACCTGCATCTGCGCCAGTTCCGGCATCTGCGCCCATGGGCAGGGATGATTCAGGGATGAGGTTCTTGATTTGCTTCTCATTGTCCTCCTTCTTGCCGATACCGATGGCCGCAGCTGCACCAGCCAAGGTGCCAGCGACTGCTGCACCCGCGGCAGGCAGACCATAGTTTGTGCCAGCCTTCTCGTAGTCCTCTTTCGATGTAGTGACGGTAGAATCAACAGTGTGAGCAGATCTGACCTGCTCTGGCAAACCCTCGCCCGGCTTTGTAGAAACTGGATTGCCGATGCCTTCTGAAGCCGGGATGGGATTGACGCCGAAAGTCTTTTCCTCGCCGCTTGTGCCAGGGAACTCAGAGCTGCCTGCGTTATCGTACGCCTCTTTCGAGGTTGTGGCGTTCGAGCCGATAGCGTCAGCTGTCACGCTCTCGGGGACCTTATCGCCAGCAGGGACGTTGACCGGGTTGCCAGCGCCTGACGAAGCAGGTATAGGCGCAACACCGAAGCTCGGCTCAGCTTCATTCGCTGGCGTCTCAGGGAATGCGCCCGGCGCACTAGCAAATGGCTGCGCACCTGCTAGGCCAGCGGTGGTGCTTTCGGGACCGACGCCAGATCGGAAAGCAGAAGCTTTTGTGATCTGCTCTGGATGGAGGACATTGTTCACGTTGCCGCTTCCATCATCTTCCTTGGGACCTTCGTGGTCGGTGGTCCAGTTGCCATCGACAACAAACTTGTAGAGGATCTTCGTGTCGGCATCTTTCAAAACTACCTCTTTCTGGAAGACGTCGCCGACCTTCTCGAGCTTCTCAGACTTGGCCCAGTCATCAAATGTGCCGGTTACGTAGACCTCGCTGGCAGAATGCGGCCTGCGATGATCAGAGAAATTAGTGTTCAAGCTCTGGAATGCTGGGGATGGGGATCTTCAGCTGTCTCGTGCTCACCATTTGAAAAGGAATGAACCCATTATTGCTTGTAGCTTCCAAGATACTCGATGCGACAGCTACAGATGGTGGTGAAATGGATGCGATGCGATGCGATGCGTGACGCGGATTCGAAATTGGGAGAAAAGGTCGTTGGGGATTTGAGGAGTTAATTCGGTGGTGGTGGCAGTGACGACAGCTGGCATGAACCCGTGGGTAGTCGCGATGGGCTCTCGCTTGTCGGCCTGGTGATGGGTTGAACCTGGCAAAGCAGCGACTAGTATTCTATAATGTCGACGATATGCAAGCTTTGATGAAGGGATCCTTGACTTGTAGAAGAAGATCGAATCGCAGTATTAATTATTAAGTTATGACCATCGAATGCATCTATTTAGGCGGCAGGAATAGAGCAATCTCGGAAAGTGTGGCTGGGAGCGCGTCACTTCACGTGATGAAGCTATCCAACCTGAAGGCCACGATGATAGCTGAAAGCAGCTTTTTACTTTCCCTTTCAGCTCTTCCTGGATCTTCATTTCTGTCACCCGCTCGCTCCTACTCGTCGGGTGGATAGCCCTGAAACGACGTCACCATCCATCCATTCGTCTCATTGTACATGTCTGGCGGCGTTGTACCCGTCAAGACCTCATATCTCGCATAACCTGGACAATCCGTCGAGGTACCGTTCAGGCATGCGATAATCGTCTCAGCAGCTGCTTGTCCCTCATACCATGCTCCATGAAGGAAGCCGTAGTACTCTTGGCTGGTCGCTTCACCTGCAAAATACAGACGGCCCAAGTTGCTCCGGAGGTTTTGGTGTCCTTCCAAGGATGTGCCAGCTGGCCAATTCGAATATGAGCCAAACGTCCATGGCTCTAATGACCAGCTCGGGTATAATACGTCCGTGGGTTCTGGGATGTCGTCGCCGTACATGCTGCGCAATACGGCCATGACTTCCTCCTGAGTCACGGTGGAGTTCTGTGCTTCGACCGTGTAGCTCTGATCTTGCACCACAGTCACGAAGAGGATGCCGCTGCCTTCGAGGAACCCTGGTCCATCGAGTGACTGGAACACCGGTAGTATCCCCTCTCTTTCGGGTCAGCATACAAAAAGAACTGTGTGTCCGTGTCCCAGAACACCTCGTCAGGTGGAAACTGCAGGAAGATCTTGGTGTAAGTCCCCATCTGAAAAGTATAGATCGAGCGGAGCTTCCAGTCTGGCAGCTCGGGATCGAACGTGACAACCTCGTTCTGCAAAACTCCCAGACTGAACGTCATGATAGCGAAGTCCGCCTCGACGCAGCTCCCGTCCTCATTGAGAGCGATAACGCCCTCATCCGACCACGAGATATTGGTGACAATCGTGTTGAGCATCAATCTGCTGTCGCCACTGCAGTTGTAGTCGGCAGTGCAGTTCTCCAGGAACTCCGCGGCCTCACCCTTCACAATAGTATTGAAGCCCCTCGAATCCCATACAAAGTTGTTCTCATCACTCCACTGATAGAAGGTAGTGTTGTAGTTGACAACTCCGAATTGCGCAGACGACACTTCTGGCTGCCACGCATACTCCCAGTCCCACGTCCACCACTCCACTGCCTGCCGCTCCGCATCCTTGCCCGGCTTCCAACCGCCCAGGCTGAAGCCACTTCGCACGCTGTAGTCCTGAATGTTCTGCGTAATGAATTCCCCAACGTTCTGCTCCATCACAGTCCACCCGTCCTCGACATCATCAATCAAGTCCGCATAATCCGCCGGCCCATCCTGCGTGAACGTCTCAATGCTCGAATAATTAGAATACGTGTTGTTCAACCCATACTTCTGCGCCAACAACCAGATAGGATTCACCGCGCCCGTCTCGGCGTTCTCAATACCTTGAACCCAGTTGGCACCGAGTTCGATGACATATGGTTCGCTGCTGTTGGGTTGCTTGCCGAAGGTGGTGTGGGCGACTCGGCCGCCGAGGTCATTGTTGTATTCGATGATGACGAAGTCAGTGAGGGAGGCGTTTGCAAGGGTCTGTGCGGCGGTGATGCCGCTACGCCGCCGCCGAGGACGAGGACTTGGGTTTTACGGCATTGAGTGCTGTTGGTGTCTTGGCGTTTGGGGTGGAATGGTGTGCTGGTGGCAGCGGTGGTGAGGAGAAGTAGTGCTTTCAGCACGGCAGTGATTCTTAGGCTGAGCATTCTGGCTGTTGATAATGATGATTGTTAGGAGAGGGAGAGCAAGAGGAGCAATGTCAATCGAACACCGTTCAATCCATAGCAAAAAGCTACCACGAGGACTCCATCGAGCTTCTAAAGCAGGTACAGATACTTATTGATTCGTCACTGAGCACCGAGGCGCCCACGCGAGCGTCGATCGACAGGTAACCATTATCATGGTCGGTGTGGCAAGCGCGGCCGGATCGCGCTTGCACCCGGGCACTGGCATGGTCGAAGCTTCCCGCCTTAAGGTGCGCTTGCACATCGAAGTGAGGGGCTCCTAGCGAGCAGACAGCTTAGAGGTGTCCATCGCGGACACATCCTATGACCAGAACGGTAAGGATGAAGGCATAATTGCAAGTGATAAGCAACTGCACAACAGTAGTAGACGGCACATTTCTGGGGTTGTTATCTCTAACAGCAAGGTAGCTCGGAACTATGCGGTCATGAATCTTACGAGTTGAAGATATGCAGGCGGAGCTCCCCACGTTGTTTCTAACGCTTCTGGGCATGCATAAGCGAGCATTGACCTCGTATCATGCAATTGCCATCTACCCAAGGGAGACATTCGGACTGGACCTGCATAGCTACTTCTCGACGAGCACCTCGCCGCCCCAACTACACGGAGAGTGCATTGAGTACCTTCGCTACTCCTTGGTCAGTGACTCAGGACCATGCAAGGCAGAGTGAATGCATCTTGGACGAACCAGTGAAGCGACCATTTCGCTCTGCGCTGGATCTTTGATTGTGTGGAAAGGTATAAGTATTGATCTCGCCCCCGACCTCAAGCATCTTCTCTTCGTCGCAATGACACCAAGATCAACAGTCCTTCATTGTCACGCCTCGGTAGTATCTGTTACTACCTGGCGGGACAAGCAACTTCGTGATGTTGTCGGGTCTGCCTCCGGGAGCGCGTTGAAAAGATCCACCCAGTCAGCGACGATCGTTCCGAGGCAGCGAATTCCATGATCATACGTAGCCAGATCTAAGAGACGCTTGGAACACAGTATTCCATTCGCAAAGCATATAAGGGCAAGCTCGAGGTAAGTAAAGAAATTTGGCTGCTGCGGACTCGCGACAAGCCATCTCCGACCAAGTATCTCTCACCATCACAATATAGCAGTCAGGACCAATAGTACAGACGCAACGCCGGCAAACGAGCTCAGTATCATTCTATCGGCGCTGCTGGTATCTTTGGGGGCCACATGCGTGGTCGAGTTCGCACTGCTCGACTGTGTCGGGATGCTATGGCTAGATGACGCTGTGGTGCTGTGATCCACAGTCCCGATAGAGGTGATGGAGGGCGCATCAACGCTTGGAGCAGTAACGCGAGGGGTGTTGATACCTGTGACCGTGATGTTGAGGGAGGTGGCTTGAGTGAAGGGCGTCAATTCACCCGCAGTGATCGTGACCGGAAACAGAAGCTGCGAGTCGAAGTGCGCAGTGAACGGGGCGGGAAGGGTGAAGCCTGTCTCGAACTGCTCGATCTCATAACCAGCAGGAAACTCTTGGATGGCGCAGTCGGCACCCGCTCCCGCGGTCAAGCTGCAGTCCCAAACAACCTTACGGTCATCCGGCACCAACGCAGCAGCAAATGTCGACGGACCTTGTAGGACAATCGCATCCGCCCAATAGTTGCAGGAGTTTTCGCAGTCGATCATCATAGTCGTGGCCACTTCGTCCTGTCCACGTTCAGTATTTTCTGCCCAGGGTTCGAGATGATTGAGAACCTACAGCTCCGAGCGCTGAAGCGAAGTGGTAAACCGGCATGAATGCATACGGCTTGAAAACTGAGACAACTGGCTGCCCAGCTGAGATAGTTGCGGTTGAATTGACGGCCATGGTGATTATCGTCAGCCTCGCGGCTGATGCCCAATCTGTATATCTTCTGCGCGGGCTGGGCAGTACGATTTTGTGTTCAATAGCGCGCAAGTCCTATCTTATAGATCCACGGTTCCTTGCTGAAGTGGATGATCCAGGCAGCGTACTTGCTGCGATCCCTAGGTGCGAGACACAGAAGAGTAAGCGCTGGTAGTTGCCGAGGCCACTAGCATAGAAATCGTGGACGAACGAACGGGTGGTTTCACATAACGGTCAAATTGAGTATGATGAGTCTCTTTCCGGCACAAACGAGGGATTCGGGGTGCCAAGATGTGTCGAAGACAGGGAGCTGAGTGCGCCTTGCATGGCGCCTCAGAATACCTGGACGCGTCGAGCCCTGGCACGAAGGACTAGAGCTCTGACGGGCGTGCCTGTTGGCGCTTGGCGTGTTGTGAGGCTATATGCACGATATTGCGTAGCATGAGGAGGCCTTCAACATCGTGGTCATGTGTCGTCGAAGTCTATAGATAATCGAAGCCCTGCGTACATGTTTATGTGTTCAGCATGAAGCCAGGAGTTGGCTACGGACAGACTTTTTTGCATGTTGGCGACAGTACACTTTAGTCTCGAGATAAGCGGTTTCTTTCCCAGATGTCGTCCAAGCGTCAACGTACCAACTAATTGAGCGAGATTGGACTGTGTGCTGCGCCCCTCTACATGATCAAGCGACCGCTGCGAGGTTGCGCCAACACCCATTCAACCACCCATGCTTCGCTGCTCAATGAGCCTGTCTCAATGAAGAGCGGAGGTCGGTGAAATGAATGTAAAGATCGACAGCTGTTCCTTGCAAGTGAAACAACAGTCGAAGCAACCTGTGAACTTGAACCTACACTTCACTGCAAAAAGGGTTCTTGGCAATCAGTCAGTCATGTGACCGAGTGAAGTGAACTTGAAGTGAACTTGAAGTCAACAACTCGACTTCACCACCACGATATTGACATTGAAAATAGTATGGACCCGACAATCATGAACATATCTATTCCAAATACCGCACACTCAAGAACAGCTGCGCCATGGCCGGCTCCTTTACTCGGACCTGTATCCTTGAAGTGGAGCGCAAATTCCGTCCACTCAACGCTAGAGAGCTGGTCTTTAACAACGTCTATGAAAGCAGAAAGCCGAGCATCAGATACCACGGTGTCAAAACCTTAAGCGACGCGTACTATGATCGATCCAAGCTGCTAAGCTCAGCGGGAATCTGGGTAAGGGAACGCAACGAACGATGGCAGGCAAAGGTCAAACATGGCGGCAGCTTCAACCACTCTAAGTTCGAGGACCTCACAGAGCCTCGTGATATCGCGGAACGCGTGGGCAAAGTCCTAGGGGAGGAAGTCTCAGCAGATGACAAGTTTGGGCTTGGATGCATTGCACAGTTCACAACGATCCGACATACCTACCTGGCCAACGACGAGTTCAAGATTGTTCTGGACACAACACATTTCTTCCATAGTGTTGGCGAGGTCGAGTTACAGAAGAAGTTCAAGTTCACAGCGACGACAGAACAGGACCTTGCACTACAAAAGCAGAACGCTATGGAAGACATGGACCAGCGTATTGCTAAGTTTATGGACCGATATTCATGGACATTCTCACAAGGTGAAGCAAAAGGCAAGCTGACGGCATGGTTCGAGAAAGAGGCAAGGCAAGCCAAGATATCGGCCGATTACATTCGACAGCATAGCTCGAATGCTTGATGTGGCACCGAATCTAACTTATGCGACCGATCTCAATCATGGGTATCGTTCGGCACTATTAGAAAGCCTTGGACAGCAAGCGCCGCTCCGAAGAGCGAGTCAACCCATTCGGCATCGCAAACATCTTGCGCCTTTTTGGTCGCAACGAGCACATGGGCAGGTCATTGTCAGAGAGCAAGCATGCTAGCAGTTCGCTACATAGGTGAGCATGGACGAACTCGCACGTTCGAGCTTTGGCCGCAGACGAGGAGTCAACATCTACGATATCCACAAGACAGAAGATCTTTTCTCGGTGCGAGAAGACACTCTACGCGTCGAAAGCTGATGTCGACCCGATCGGTTCGAACCTCTTGAACACCGCAGAGCGAGCCCAAGTTTGGCGTCGATGGCAAGAAGGCTATCTCCGAGTGATCGGTCCCTTCCTATAGATCCTCGAGCCCTCATCGTTATGACTCACATCTAAGGATGGAGTCTAAATAATCAAGCTCTTCAACTTTGCATATGAATGACCACACAAATTGGTCTGATAGTGTAGTGGTAAGCACGCCAGATTTTGACAGGCTTGTGGATCACGCAGTGATATGGCTCTTGAAGTTCTGGTGGCCTTGGTTCGATCCCAAGTCAGACCTCTTCGTATCTTTTTGCTTCGCTCCCACAATGGGCATCGAAGGTGGCCTTCTGTTGTCGTTCGCCTTCATATACTCTCCGGATGGTGATGATACCAACAGGTACTATCCAGCCAACCCCAACCTTTCCACTGCACGGCCCGTTCAGTTCGCCACATTGATCAAAATACTCTTCCAAACCAAATACTCCTTAATCCCATGAATGCCCCCCTCGGTCCCATACCCCGTCTCCTTGACCCCTCCAAACTGGCTCTCACTCGCACTCAACAGCCCCAAGTTCACACCCACCATCCCCACCTCCAGTGCTTCACTGACTCTCCACATCCTCGCGATATTCTCCGTCTGGATGAAGCTTCCCAACCCCACGTCGCAGTCATTGGCGGTGGCGATGACTTCTTCTTCGGTTGAGAACTCGTAGAGGGCGACGACGGGCGCAAAGGTCTCTTCGCGCGTGGTGAGCATTTCGCGGGACATGTGGGTGATGACGGTGGGTTGGATGAAGTAGCCTTTGTGGGTGGTGTCGAGAGGGGCGCCGCCGAGGATTACTTTTGCGCCGTGCTTTTTGGCATCTGGCAGGGTGTTAGCGTTACTAAAGTATTCAAGGCACGATCCATATCATGCTGATAGCAGAAGATGCACATACCCTCGATATGCCCCATCGCCTTCTCAACCGCACGATCATGCGTCAACGGCCCAACAAACACATCCTTCTCCCAACCCGCCCCAACCTTCAACCCCTTGATCCTCTCCGTCAGCGCCTTCGCAAACTCATCATACACCCCCTTTTGCACAAAGATCCGATTCGCCGTCACACACGTCTGCCCGCTGTTCCTGAACTTCGCCATGATAGCCGCCTCAACAGCCGTCTCGATCTTGCAGTCGTCGAAGACGATGAACGGACTGTTACCGCCAAGCTCGAGGGTCAGCTTGGTAAGCGAGTTGGCGCACTGCGCAGCCAGGATCTTGCCTACGCGTGTGCTGCCAGTGAAGGACATCTTGCGCACGCGCTTGTCTTCGCAGAGCTTCTTGCCGATCTCGGCGACATTGTCCAGCGTAAGTACAACATTGATCGCTCCTTTGGGAAACCCAGCTTCCTGAGCAAGCACAGCCTGCGCGAGAGCCGAAAGAGGCGTCTCCCCAGCTGGCTTCCACACCGTCGTGCACCCAGCGGCCAGCGCAGCGCCCGCTTTGCGCGTGATCATGGCAATAGGGAAGTTCCACGGCGTCATGCACGCGGCAACACCAATAGGCTGGCGCATCGTGATAATCCGCTGGTTCAGATTCGCAGGCGGAACATACTCGCCATGGATCCGCTCGGCCTCACCCGCGAACCACTCGATAAAGGAAGCCCCGTAGATGACTTCACCCTTGGCTTCAGTGAGGGTCTTGCCGTTCTCGAGCATGAGGATCAGGCCAAGTCGTCGGCGTGATCGAGGATGAGGTCGTTCCATTTGCGCATCCAGCGGGCGCGTTGGCGGGCGGAGGTCTTCTTGTAGGTGGCGAAGGCGGTGTGGGCGGCGGAGATGGCGGCGTCGGTGTCCTCGACGGTCATCTCGGGGAGGGTGGCGAGTTTTTCGAGGTTGGCGGGGTTGACGACGTCGAAGGTCTCGCCGCCGCTGGAGGGTTTGGTCCAGTCGCCATTGATGTAGCCGCCGGATTGGAGGAGGTCTTTGCGTTTGAGATCGTTGAGGGATGACATGATGGGTGGAGGTGTGTGTTCTGAGTTAGAGATATTCAGTCGTACGCTGGGTGCGTGAACGCTGATGTAGAGAACTTGCAGAGATGATGATCTACGATGACCCTACCTCGTGGCAAACACTCAGTCATTCAAGATGGTCGACGTATAGCTCACGTTACCCACATGGAGGTACGTACTAGTGTCGTCAACATCATACTCCAACCCGAGGTCGAGCGGAGGGAGAGGGGCATTGGGGTAAGTACGGGGAAAGCTTTCTGAGAACATTCGAAATGTCGACTCGACGTTGGGGAAGAACCGGCCCGGTCAATTGGTCGTGTTAGACTCGTCTGCGTAGAAATGTTTCATTTGGTACTTCAGTTGTATATGTAGGTGGTGGTAGTCAAAAATTGAGCACAGCCTGGGAAGGCTGATGCCGCCTGGCGCTGCATTCGTGGATAGCCCACACTGTCCAGCGCTACCTAAGGCGCTGCGATATGGTAAATACTCGCATTCACCTCAAACTCCTCGTGCGTAGCACAGATTCGCGGCTCGAGACCTAGTCTCCGTCATCCGAAAGACGCCCATCGTCCAGGCCGACGTCGTGAAGGGGCATCACATAGTCATGCATTCGTTGCAGAATCGTTATCATTAGCTGCGTGTAGCGCCGAAATGAATGTTCGATGTAACGCCAATGATGTAATACCTGTATTCTTTTCAACGCCATGCAGGGTACTGCTAACTCGTAGTAAGCAACAACAGTTCGTAATAGATAGCAAGGTGTCGAAAGCATCCGTCCGCAAGTGCTGTCCCACTAGAAGCGGCTGGTCGCGTAATCTCTGCGTGCCGCAGTCGCTAAGCCGAGAAGTTAGGTGAACGGAACAAACATGATCTATAAGTGTGTGGTATGGAATTGCAGTTGCCTGTCAGAATAGCTGTATTGGATAGAGGATAGCGGTGGAAGAATTGCTGAGAAGAGATTGACGCAGCTCGATGCCAAAGACTCGGCGCTGGGCGTCGTAGATGACTTCGACTCTTGGTTGACTGTGGAGGTCGATGCCCGTCTGGCCGATCGCAGAGCGTTGCTATTCTGCATAGGTCCTATAGTCAATGAGAAGAATGCGGACCACATCGCTGCTGAACTCGTAATTCTACAAGTCAGGATGATGCCGCGGTGAGCGTGTCTAATGCGGACTGGTTCACTCTGCCAACAAGGCCGCTTTTGTGGGATGGCAGTTAGAAACAACGCTGCGCAGGTTGTCCGTGAGCGCCGGTGTCAGTGTCCTTTAGTTGCGCCTGCCGGGCACAACTTGGTCCAGCAACGGCATGTTCGTCAAAGACGCCTGTGTGAGCCTTCCACATTTGCGAGCGAGGTAGTGAAGTAGAGAGGGCATCGATTCATCCTCAATCGCCCGATACTTGGTCACCGGAGGTCTTGGGAGCGTCCGACACCGCCGCAGTTGAAGCAGCCGCTTCTTCTGACCGCTCGAGACTCGCATTGTGAGCGATCGCTTTTGGCACGATCAACGGAGCTTCATTTTCTTCCAGGCGAGCTAATGGTGTTGATTCTCGGCTGACTGGTTCTGACTCATTGTTCAGAACGGCGGGCGTGGTTGTCTGCGGTGGCACATTATCATTCGGTGTAGCACCCGCTGGTAGTGTGATAGGCGTATGCGCTGCTTCTGCTCTCGGGGTTTCTGTTCCACGACTTTCGGGGCCTGAAGGCTCTTGAGGAATTCTGAAGCTGGTATCTGAGCGCTCTAGTGTAGGAGGGACAATTTGTTGGGCAGTCTGCTCTTCCGCAACATGCTCTGATTTAGACATGGTTGCAACTAGCCTTTGGTTATGCTGTCGTTCAGATGGCACTCTCTCTTGCTCCGAGACTGGCTGATGTGGTGCTGGCAACATATCATCAAAGTCCGATGGCTCATGAAAGCCAGAGTCTGCATACGATAGACTTGGCGGAGGCTGAGGGGAGGGCAAGACCAGTCGCTCATGTGTGTTTGGAGACGGAGAAAATCTGCTTGCAAGACAGTCTCGCGCGTCCACAGCAGAGACGCTTGCGCCGGCTTCGGTGCCAGGCTGTTCACGACCATCGACTTTCAAGCCGTGTGTCATGGTGTTGTTGCTGGAAACGGCGGAAACACGAGCATTGCCCATTGCACTTTCACCTTCGGCTAAATCGTTCGCATGAGAACCTTTGCGCGAATGTGACAGAATCTGCAAATCCTCATCTGTAAATGTGTTGCGCGCAAATCAAAAAGGGCTTCCCATCGAGCTCGATTTCCTCGTATTGTGGACCTTGACGAGGTGATACCGACAGAACTTGCGGCTCGAGCTCGTCAGTGGGTGATGAAGGCATCTCGCGTGGAGACCAACCACGTCTCTCACGGTAGCTAAGATGCTCAATGTTCGTTGGCAGTGCTCTGCCCCGCGGTCGATCATACTCCGATGTTTCGCTGCCTACTTGATAGTTCGAGGACTTCGGATATGTGAATGACTTTCGGTCTTTCGAACTCGCTGGCGAATATTCGACACTATAGGTTCGGCTTCCCGTACCAAATCGCGCAATGTCCTCGCGCTCCACGGCATCATCAGGATTGATGTAGCGCTTTTGTTCCCTGAACTCGAAGTGCTCTGGGAAGAATGACAGGGGACGCGGAGTGGTGTTCTGTGTCGATGGAAGCATTTTCAGCAATTCTCTGGCCGGCTTCCGCTTTCGGGGCTTAGGATCCAAGCATATCCTGATAATTTCCTTGTACTCCCACGGTACCTCAGCAGGTAGTACATCCACTGAGACAGGTGAGTCGTGCCTTTCGGGTTCGTCATCATCCGCTGCAAGACCCCATAATGTCATACCTAGCTGATACAGATCAGACTTTTCGCCAATGTACATGGAGATACGCTGGTGGCTTGCGATTTTGACAGCAATCTCTGGAGGCTCCCAGCCTACGGGGCAGCCGCGGCGATTGATGTCGATAATTTTTGCATTGTTGTCTGCGTCAACGACAATGTTCGAGAGGGTGAAATCGCCCTGGACGTATCCTTCGTCATGAATTTCAGAAAGCCCAGCAACTGCGTCTCTGCCCCATCGAAGGCGATCTTCGAGTGCAATCTGCCCTTTGAAATCATACAGCAGATCGACGATGGCTCCTCGTTCAGCATAACTTATCAGCAGGCCTTTGACAGACAGGTGATCGTCGTCGACCACTATAGCCTCTAGCTGAATCACGTTGGAGCAATCATGTAGTGCGTGCAGAGCATTGATCTCGTACAAGAACTCATCCACGGTGTCAGGTCCAGGGATTTCCTTCTTAATATATGTCTTGCCGTCATATGAGACCTTGTATACAAACCCTGACAGGTGCGAATCGAAGACAAGTGCCGATTCTGGGACTTCCATAGGTCGGTACTCGTCGCTGTCAAGAATATGAGATACTGTGCTGCGTGGTGGATATGGTATTGTCTCATTCACATCCTCCGTAACGTGGACATGCAGTCTACCGTCAGTCGTCTCGAGCTTCAAGTTGGTGACAGTGTCGTAAAACTGAATCTCGGGCAGTGACTCTCGTATGGATTCGTAGATCTGCAAGCTCTTGTCACGTTGGAACTGGAGCTCTTTCAGATCCATTTCGAGCGATCCCGACTCGCAACCACGATAATCGCAAGACACGGTCACGCGCCTCCAACTTGTTGGGGTCTCAGCGTATGTGACGAAAAACTTCTCGCGATCAGACTTGTCTCTGAAGTGCATAGAGAGATTCAAGATCCACTTCGTGTCGAGTTCTGCTTTGATCATAGCCTTATCGTCCACTTCGACTACTTCCGGATGCTGTGACAAGGCAGACGAAGTTATTGACGGTGGTCGCGGCGGCCTAAACTCCCTTTCTTCTCGATGATCACCATCAAGGCTCCGCTGGCTGGGTGGCGCAGCTGCTGCTGTGGTGATAGAGGTCGGAGCAACATCTTGGAATTGGTGTCGATGGGTGAGGGGCACGGTTGGCGCTGAAAGCGTTGCTGGATGATAGAGAGGCGGTGTCGAGTTTGCTCGATTCCGCTGAGCCACTTTCACAGCCGTCACAGGCCTGACTGTAGATGTTGCTCGGCGTTCTGCTGGACCGGGCTCGACTGGTAACAAGTGCTCCTTCTTCTCTGAGTTGATGCGTCGGAGAGTCGCTTGCCGAGGCAGTCCAATGCTCACCGGATGACCAGCCCAGTCTCTCTTTGGGCCCCTTGGCGTTCCATCCGCCCAGGAAGTCCTCGGTTCCGGTGCTGCATCATCCGACCAGTAGCCTCTTGGACCCGGCGGCGGTTGATCTGACCACGCCGTATCGTCGGGTTCTGGAATAGGCGGGGCGTGGTGATCACCTCGTGAAAAGAAGCCATGGAAGCGCGGGAAACGTTGCAACATTCCCACGCGGAAGCCGTGTTTGGAGTGAGACTGGGGCTCGGGCGTAATGGGGCGTTGATCAGAGCGTCCATCTTGATGTCTTATGCCCATTTCAAGATGGCGCTATGTGGCCAGGCCACCGGTGAGGGTAAGGATTGGCAGCGGAGGTGACACTGGCACAACGTTGGAAGTCCTGGACAGTACATGAGGAGGTAACACAAGGACTTTATCGCTCGAATAGGGTCTGTGCGACTTGAGCGGTGGAATGGATTGGCGGAGCGGAGGTCGGTATGGTGGGCGGTGAGACGTCCAGCTCGAGGTTGTGTATGGTCTGACAGCGGCAGGTGACCTTGCGCCAACGTGATTGATGGCTGAGAAACCGCATGGGCCGTCGAATTTAAAGGCGCATGCGATGAAGTAGTGTTTCAGTAGAGAGCGGTTGACAATTTGACATTGATGATACAGGAGGCGGTATATCCAGGATTCAATGTAGAGGTACTGTGGTCCCCACTATGGATGTGAAGCAACCAATTCCGGTCAGGTTTGAATGAGGCTGGTGAATTGAATTCGCTCACCGCTCGATTGGCCTCTATTTTAGTCGATACAGCACCGGTGTGAAGTGGCCCGATCCGTGGTGCGCGATACTCTTGATGAACGTCGTAATACTTGTTGGGTCGCAACAGCAGAAATGACTGGCGATGAGGAAGAAGAAATGAACAAGCAAGTCTCTGTGTGGATGCGCAGAATGCCGACGAGGTTGGTCAATCGCGACTCAGCACACCTGATGCGTGAGAGGAGAATGCGGCCATGCGCCCGTCGTGGATGCCCAGGTGCCCATTAGGTGTTATTGGAACGTCATTAGGCCTATTCGATACCTAGAGCCTCTATGGCTTAGGCCGTCGCGGCAGCCTCTTTGGAAGCCGTCCCCAGCGACTAGTGATGCTCGGAGAATTTTCTAGGCTTAGCTGAATCATGCAGAGGTAATCGAGATCCACCTCGCGACCAAAGACCATTCCATTCCATCTCGGTTCTACGGCGCGCTGCAATGCTGCAGTACTTTCACATCTGCCTAACGAACAAGCTTGTGGCTCAGCAAACACTGACGACGATGTCGACGACGACTGGCTACGCACTGTTGGCTGCTGCTGTGACCGTCGCTGCTGAGTCTGCGCCCGCATATGACGATTGTATTGCGCTCTGCACTGCGCTCTCACGGCCATGCCTGCTCCTTCCGCATACTCCCGAATCGCGCTACTTCTGTCGGTACCAGAGAGGTGCGAAGCTGACATGCCAGGGCCCATCGATCGCATAGCAGCTGCGATGCAAGCCACAGCACATTGTCACACTCATCCGAAGACAGATTTCAAACACGAAGTCGAGTGGGTTGGGCATCGTCACAGACAATCCCAGTTACAAAACTGATGTGCTGGCAAGCTTCTCTCTGTCTCCTCTTCTCCAGTCTGGCGCGGGGGTGTCTTCTGGTCGACCACTCAAGAACTACGAGTACCCGCCATCCCCAGCATCAAGCTTCTTTATCGTTGATTAATTGTTCGTGCTCAGCAAGCAAAGTTGGGAGACAAGAGCTCTTTGCATACATCCATTCACAGCCAACCTCTAGTATGAGAGGGTGATCGAATACTGCAAAGCGCTGCAGGCCGATGGATAGCAAACAACAACATGCATCATGGCACGTGTCCTCCACTCAACGGCCTGCCGCCTAACACAAACTTCCGCTCCACTGTTCTTCCATCAGAAGCATAGGTCGCGCAGTAGTGCTGCGTCAGATTGAATCAGGCCATACAAAAGCCCTCGTCTCTGTCTGCTGCAAACATCACTCGTCGCATTGTTCTATCGGGCACCAACCCAAATATCCTGCGAACCACATGGAGCTTGCTGCGAGACGACATCACTGCAGACTCCACGTCCGTTCTTACTTTGACTGCAAACAAAACTTCCAACCGCGTGGTTGACTGTGTGGTCGATGCTATGCCCAACCCCCAGGATGGCATGCTGGATGCGGTTCGGTGCCTCGTTCGAACAGATGTCTTGGATTGCTCCATTACCTGGTTTCTGGTCGTCTCCTGCTACCGATCTCGACAGGGAGCCGATGTTGTGAGTAATGAACGACCAGGACTCCACACAGGGATTGTCTCGACCCAAATCTTTGACGCTGACAGGCCCGACATCGGCTATCATCTCGCAATTTGCGCAGACGACCACGGGATTGCGCTTTCCGTTTGTACAGTCGAAATGAGGACCTTGAGCCTCGAGGCCGTGCAATCCCGGCTGTCAATGGGAGCGGTGAGCTGTACGGTATCCAGCACGCAAGAAGAGAGCTTTCGTTTCGCTTTGACAACACTGAACCTGCTCAAACTTGGAAGTGCACGATCTGGGTCCATTCGAAAGCCCTTGCTTCACGACTGGAATCTGCAGCAACATCTTTGGCATACCATAATTCGACATCGATTGAGTAAATGCTGTGACCGAGGCTTGCAGACATATCGGAGTGGTCGCTACACACTTGCTCGCCAAATGTAGGTTCCGTTGCCGCAGACGCTGCGGTTTCACTTTTACACTGCTGTGACCGTGCTGCTCTATCGGGCAGGCATGACTGCGGCCGCGAAATCGCTTTGGGCCACGGCTTTTCTCTGGAAGCACTGGGTCTTCCCTGCCTCCTCGAGCATGCACAGCAAAGTTACGGACAGACAGCACATGTCCATCGCCAATTTGTAAAGCCCTCAACTTCGAGCACTGACTTGAACAGCAGTCTACCAGAACACATGATCAGCACATCGTGGGTCGCACTCTCAACGCGCTCTCTCGAGCTAGCTCAGGCTTTGCGAGCTTGAGAACAAGAACCAGAATATCTACTGCAGAAGCCTTTCCAACCTACTGATTACAATTCCTGGCTGGGCCTTACACGATCGCTACATTTTCCCAGTTCTGAGAACACCACAGACGAGCCTCCTTCGACAACGAACTTAGCTAAGCTAGAAATGATGGCTCGTCAGTGCTCTATGAGGTTGATCCCGTGCACGGCAAGGTAGGTCGGTCTGAGAATCCAGCCACTGCTCCCTTGAGGGGATACTATCCTCATACATCTCTAGTATTGAGAAAGACGAGGAGACTTTGTGCTCTGCACAGTGTAGAGTCCAAAGTTAGCCAGGAGTTATTCAAGCAAGTAAGTCAGGTGCACCTCGCGTGTGCTAGTGGATTCAGTTTCTGGGGCTTATATTTCGTCAAGCCGGATGACTGTATGCTCCTTCACTCAGAGTCTATGCAGCATGGGCCTGCACATGGTCTACGCGATCAATAATTGAAATCAATTACCAGACACAGTGATCGCACGTCTACGTGCATATTTGTCTTTTCTACCATTCCATGGTAACTCAAGAAGTGGACCAAACACTAGTCTCGCGTGGAGGCTCGCAGCCTCATTATGGTCGAACCTATGACATGCTATATCCTGCGCATTCCCTCCTCATTGGATTCCAATGATATGTCATTTCAAGCAGATCAAGTCCTCGCTTTCAGACCGTGCTTATCTGGCAGCTCCAACCACCTTCTCCTCCTGTGCCAACTCCCACTCACCCAGTCACGTCACCGACTACGAAACCGCAACCGAAATCCAACACCACCGCCCTCATCCCTCCTCACCTCCCGCCCCTGGCTCCCCATCCCCCACCCGTGCCCGTCCCCACCACTGCCTTCCGTCCGCACGCCCTCGCGCCGCGCGTCGTCCCGCGTTATGTATAGGAACCGCGCGATCGTTTCCGCCTCGTCAGCTGTTGCGCGGGGAAGTGTTTGCGTATGGCGAGGGAGAGGGCTTGGGGCGTTTGTTGGTGGATTTGGTGTGGATGAAGGGGAGCTTGTTCTGGTATTGTGGTGGAAGGGTCTGAGGGGTCGGATGTTGGGGAGGTGGCCGAGGCTGTGATGGCGACGTCGGTGGTGGAGTAGTGATCTGTGCCATTCGTGGTCATCTTCGGCTCGCCAGCTTTTGTGGTCGTAGTCGAAGTTTTTGACTTCTTCTTGCTAGAGCCGTTGCTCTTGTCTTGTGATGTGCGTTGAGACTGACGGAACTCGTGCATACGTTTACGCGCAAGGACCGCGGAGGGGGCGCGGAGAGCAGTCTGTGAGGACTTGTAGAGGATGTCGGCGTGTGGTTGGGTGTAGCAGGTGGGTGTGGGAAGTTGGTAGGCGGTGCGGTAGGTTATGAGGCTCAGGGGCGGGAGGGTGGTCCAGTCTGTCTGTGAGGGCATTAGTAGCGGTCCTCGGACTCACATAACATGCAACTGTCATCAATGGCGGTGGCACATGCCAATCACGCCTGTGAATTTCTTCTCGGAGACTGGTGACACGTACCTTTGGCACTGGCGGTGCTGCAGTTACGGGATGCTCTGCCGCTGTGCCGTTGGCCAGGGCTTTTGCAATACTGTTGCTGGCAGCGGCAGCCGCAGCACTTTTCTTGCCCTTGGAGATGCCTGCGCCTGTGGCAGCACCGAAAGCAGCCTTCTCCTTGAGCCAACTACTGTGCTCGCCTCTGATCTGGAGTCGTCCACGATTCGCGGCCGCGCTGGTGCCATGGTCGGTGATCAGTGTACTTTCGCCGCGGCGGTACTGTCTTATGGGACAGAACTTTCAGCAGAACCAAACGAGTGAGACTGTATTCGTCTGTTGTGCTGTTGCTTGTCTCCTCACCCGAGAGCGCCTGCGGTTCAAGTTTGGCTCGCTACCACCTCGCGCTTTCGAGTTGGGGAAAAAGTCGCGCTACGGCACGACGACGTCATTCTTGGCACTGTCTTGTCATCCGGCGTTGTCTACCTACCTACCTACCTACCTACCTACCTACGTACTTTAGGTATCTAGGCAGGTGTGGTCTCCCATTTCGCAATGGGAATTTCGAAGAACGCCGATGAGGGCAGTGGAAACAACACATCATTGACGACTACCCCGAGCGGCGTCCTCGGCACTTCTCTGGACTTGAAGATGTAGCTCTCGCTCGCTTGCAATCGTGTTTACTATCGCAGCTATACCGTCGTCACGAGAGACTGTATAGTAAGAATAGCGTGATTGCTGACATCGACCGTAATATCCAGCGTGTTGCATTGGTACAGACGAGCACCACAATACCGTTCCGTGGCCATTCTACGCATTGATCTGAATCAAACCACCACTCGCCACTAGGTAGCCCGAGCGCCGGCCAAGAGTTACAGCACGCAGACCGGGCTGACTCATCGAGACGGACTATTGTTGATGGGGAACAACACTCGACGCTCACTGCTTCTACTAATCCGCTTCCCGCCTTTAATGGACTTCCTGAGACTCACCTCTGCCATACACAGAGTTCTTGCCTACCTCAGCTTCTAAGGGAGTGAGCATGGCCTCTTGGGGTCGCAAGGAGTTGACTTCTGCATAGCGCTTCCTGGGCCCTGCCTGCGGACTTCGTGATGGTGGACCGATGCTCGAGACTGGCATTCACTACTGCATCGTTTTCCGCATTGCGATAGGTGGCGGCAAGGTGGCCCTCTGTTAGGTGGTTGCAATCGTAAAGCTTTAAGCTGTAACAGATTCGAGGTTGACGGCAAAGACATGGGCCACTTTCAAGCTGTAGAGATGGAGTGCTAGAACGCGGTTGATGGCTGGATTATGGACGATTTGCCGATCTGGAACGTGTTGATTTCGGTCTGGTGCTTGATGCATTCGCATCACGTCGATGCATCTCCCCGCCGCCTGTGTACTATCGGCCTGATCCAGGCAGGTGACTCCGAGAGGTTCTTCGAAGAGAGCTATAATCTGACAGGATAGTGCGCGGGCAAGTAGGCCTTGGAGGGTTTCTCCCTTCCCTACAGCTCTCACATGGCCAAGCAGCATTAGTTCATCGGCTCAACGAGGCGCCATCTCAATACTCGACAAGGATCAACTCGAGCGAAGTCACTGTGGGTCGTGTATGATAGCCTGCTCAACCTCACGGGCAGGTCTGACCTACACCGCCACTTACCTCAGCTCGTCGTTTCTCACCGTATGAGCGCTCATGCCCGAGGGAAGCTGCTTGGCTCGGGGCATCACCCGCACACCCACGTGCTCGAGACTCAGGCTAATCCCTTTCCAAGACGAAAATGTGTCGGAGCGGGATATTTGATCGATGGGGTAGTGCTAGTGAAGCAGAAAATCCCGCAAGGCGTCATCTGCTTGGCCTCGCCCGCTACGGGGCACGAGACGACGGGACACAATTGGGGAACGCCATCGTCGGAAGCACCGATCGGACCAAAACCTTCTTGCGTGCAGGCCTGCGCCGATGGAAGTCGCTCTCGTCAAGCTCGCAGTTCATGGCATGAGGGATTATGGTCTCATTCCACGCAGATGAAAAGTCAAACTCCGGCGGACGGATCCGTTTGAGCTGCCACACCTGGGCGGACGAAGAGGTGGTATGGCGACGTCGGCGACGAAACAGCGGTGACAGCCTTCTGGCGGCGTACACGTAGGGGTGGTGTTATTTCCTTATCGTGGAAACCATTGAAGATTTTTCTGGTCCGAAAACTTTTTGGTGGATCAGGTACCGGATTTGATCTCCCCGAAGCATGTGAATCTTACCTGTAGCATCGGGAGATAACCCACGAGCCCACCTTGCGGTCCGGACACCGCACTCCGAGTCCAACAAAGTGGACGGCGAGGGCGGCCCGCATTGTGATTGCGGCTGAAGTGAGTGATGTATATTTTGAATGATACCGAAGTGAAGGCGAAGTCGGAAATCCGACAGCCCTTCCGCAGGTTTTGGTTGCAGACTCGTAGCCGAGCAATATTCAGGCGTCTGCAGCCCTGCAGGGCAAATCCCATGCATGCACCGTAATCGTTGCGGCTGCCGCGTTTCTCGTATGGTGTTCGTGTGCTCTGACTCGTCACTATCTGTCAGTGGTCGAAGCAGTGACAATGTGCAGTGAGACGGTCGATGAGCAGGGCGCTCTTGACATGCGTTAGATAGCACTTCATCGCTGTGTGATATGTCGTCAGCGGAGTGAGTCTGGGCCTGGTGCTCAAAAGGGAGAAATTCCCCCACACCCAAGGAAATTGGTGTGTCGCCCACGTGCAAAGAATCAGGCAAATGTTCGGACCGCGGGACAGACTTCTGCCACAGCGCCCAGGCTTCTGGACGCCTAGAACGTTCTCAGAACACGATAGGAAGGCACCGCCCGGACGTCCCGGTCAATAATGTACCTTTAGGACGAATGCGTCAGCCGTGTCGAAACAGGTAGTGTAGCTCCGGGGAACACATCGCATCTTCGCCTGATATGGAGCAGAAGGAATGTCTCAGGGAGTCAAGGTTATCATAAGCGGGCTGCAAACATGGGGTATAGATAAGATGCGGCATACCCGAGGAACTCATGTAGCTTTCGAAGCATGCGTCCCAATCTCGGTTTCACGGTTAAAGTAGAACGGAGGCGGCAGCGGATGAATGAGTTGACTCAGCTCAGCATATACGTGGAAGTGGAAGGTACTTGTCACCCTCGGTAGGAAGCTGCGACGCGCGCTTCTGCGGAGGCGATCAATGCAGGTACGTACTGCTGCTACTGTATCATTCCGAGAAGTAGCCCAGACCGAAAAGTGCACTGTTACGGGCATGGAGACTTGCGAGAATCGCATGAGGAAGTCATCATTGCGATAGCCTGAGATTCTCTGAGACGCTTTTCCCGCTCCGGCGGTCACTGGGCTCAGGCTATTTCTTTTGCAGCACTCAGATATCAGAAGCAATCATGGATGGATGGAATTTGACGTGAGGTTGTCTGCAATCAGCACATGTCAGAAGTTGGTGCCTTGAAACGTTCTGCGATAGCGAATCACACCATCGACTTCAACCATGAGAAGGTGGTCGTTGATTTTCATCGGTTCCACAGATGAGTGAGAAATTTCATATCGTCCATTTTCACGTGCTTACAGCTCGTCCACCTTGATACGGGACTCGCCTTTCACATGTCAGCAGCGCACAATATTGTTCGCCAACCCGGTGAAGGCGACGGTATGGCCATAACATATTCGTCCCAAGGGACCGTTCTGACGTGTACATGGTACCTCGCGAAAGGGTACCTACGAATGGGCTCACGAAGTATTGCGAGACAGCGTCTTATCAATCCCCACAAAACGGAAATGCTGCTGTCAGATTAGACTGCCCCACGTTGCTCCAGCTTATACTGGAGCAGTAGGTACAACCTCTCGGTGGATGAGTCCGGACCCCCGAGACGAGACATCGCCCCCCTAGAGAGACCCAAGGAGATTGAGTAGTAAAGTTTCGGTGGCATCGCAAAATAGTGACGAGGCAAGTTCAAACGCCGATGAAACCGGCCTGATATCCTTTGGCCCGTAAGGATTTCATTGCTGGCGGCTGGCGAAACATCGCGGCGGCAAATGGTGACGTCGTGGTCATTGTGAAGGCGATATGTTGAGAGTTCAACCACCGAGCGATGACCGTGAACATACCGCTACTGAGTCTTATAGATCTGAGGACCTATTCTTGTAGCACGAGGACATCGGCATACAGTCCGACGCCAAGATGACTGGGGAGGGTTCTTGATAACAGCGTTCCATGAGAAGCTGAGATCAGGCCGAGCTGCCGGAGTTCGACCCCAGAGAAGGCGGGCTGTAAGGCGGCGTGCGTAGCATGGCATCACTCGGCAGGTCTCAATCTCTGGGAAAGCAGAAGATTTGACCGCTGGATCAAGAAAACACGTGCGTCAGTCGTGCTGTAGAAGAGGCCGAAATAACAGCGGCTTGGAGCCTTGGATGACACGTATCTGGAGGATCCGAGAAATTTTCGTTTCCCACATAAGTCGTCCCGCACACAATTTCTATGGAGTGATACTTCGGTCTCACCCAGCATTTATCCATACCTTATGGTGTCATCTCCAGTTAGGTTTTTTGGGGCAAATCTGAAGATTGAGCAAGAAATTTTCGACGCAGACAGACACGACAACACCTGGTGGTGTCATCGTGATTAATATTGTCATCAGAGTCCTCAACGGATGAAATCAGAGGGAAAAGAAAGCGCGCAACCTTGAGCTGGGTCGCTTCTTCCTTGCTCCAACAACTACTGTGGGAAGCAAAATTCCTGGGCGGCTGTCATTGCCATCAAATCCCAATATTCGCCCTTATCCGGTGCAGCAAGGCAGATCACTCCTGCTCCCCGCAAAATACCCCTGAAAGCCTCACCGAGTCACCGATCCGCAGGTCAATAAGCATTCTCCAGGCGTGCCTCCAGGCATCGGCCATCACCCATCTCGAAGGCATCAGCGTTTGCTTCTTCGCCCTTTCAGGCTCTCCCCACGCCCACCGCTTTTGCCGACACTTGGCCACATCCTTTCCGTACCCGAGACGGGCGCTCCTGGTATCAAGGTAGACTCTCGGCCCCAGTCACCTCATCGCTCTTGCCAAAATCCGGGCCACAGCCCAATCTTTCATCATCCATCCTTCAACTTCCACCATCTTCTCAGCTGTTGGGTGGCACAGTCTGGCCGCCGGCTAATCTCCCCTCGGCCCTCCCTTGCTCGGATCTCCAACCACAACTCAGCGCCCTCCCCCTTGTTGGACTGCAATCATCACCCACGCTCCAACCTTTTCCCTCGATTACTCCGTACCCCACGAAACGATAAGCGATCACTCTGTGGCACTCAGGCCGAATCAGTCGTGCCTAAGTCGCCCTGATGCAACGCTCTTCGTCAGCACACTTTACTTCTATCCTTAATCCGCCCTCTCCCGACTCTCCTTCCTCTTTTTCCCCAGATTCTCAAAAAATTACACCCACACCCCAGGAGTCACAACATCCACCCACATCAACTATGGCCGCCGTCGCCAACCCTTCGATGCCGCAGAGCATCACACCATCCACCAGTCCTTCATTAGCCAACGTCAACATGAATGGCATGAATGGTCAGGCAGATCAGCAGTCAACGCCAGACATGCCACGCCCCTACAAGTGTCCTCTGTGCGATCGAGCCTTTCACCGTCTAGAGCATCAGACAAGACATATTCGTACGCATACTGGCGAGAAGCCTCATGCCTGCACATTCCCAGGTTGCACGAAGCGCTTCAGCAGATCTGACGAATTGACTCGCCACTCGAGAATACACAACAACCCGAACTCTCGTCGCAACAACAAGGCCCATCAAGTCGCGGCCGCTGCAGTCGCTGCTGGTTTGCAGGACACTCCAAACGGCAACTATTCATCGCAAGCACAGATGATGCCGCCTCCGCACAGGACAATGGGCCCTCGATCTGCTCCCACTTCCATGGCTGGCTCGCCCAATGTCTCGCCGCCTCACTCTTTCGCTGCGGCGAACTCAAGTCACCCTTCCGACCGTGGCAACATCATGGACATAAACCTGCTGGCATCTGCCGCTTCTCAGATCGAACGAGAAGAGAACCACGTTGCACGAGTGCCTTATCAACACCAGCATCATCTTTTCAGTCACCGCAATGGGCCGAGCAATGGACGACTGCCTTCATTATCTGCCTACGCTATCTCACAGTCAATGTCTCGTAGTCACTCTCAAGAAACACACGAGGATCATCATCGAGTCAAGCGCTCGCGACCCAACTCGCCCCATTCGACTGCTCCATCTTCTCCTACATTTTCCCACGAGTCGATCTCGCCTACGCCCGATCATACCCCGCTTGCCACTCCAGGTCATTCGCCAAGGTTACGACCGCATGATAGCGACCTACAACTTCCCGGTCTCCGTCATCTTTCAATTGGGCAACACACACCACTTTTGGCACCGATGGAACCTTCTGCAGATGGCTCATATGCTCACATCGAGCCTCCGAGACACACCGGCCCATCCATCTCAGATATCGTAACTGGTGGGCAGCGAAAGTTGCCAGTGCCACAACTCCCAAAAGTCCACGAGATGCTCCATTTGCCAAGCGGACTTTCTGGCGATTCCAGTACGGCATCCTCAATCAACGGAGATCAACATCGGCCATAATCCACGCGCGATGATTGCAGGTGTATTGTTGTCAACAAGGTACAAATCACAGACGGAGTCTACTCATCCGCAAGGCAATCGGGCAGTTGATACGTGGCAACGATTATTTTTCTACTTTGTACAAGCGGTGTGCTTTTAGCGTGGAGAACAACTATAGACGGAACTGGGATCATGGCACGGGGTATATGTGCATGATACAAGGATAGACTTACGGCTCTCGCCCTTCTTGGGCCACTTCACACGATACCAGCATTTATCTGGCAGGACCAGTCGCATCGCTACCAAATGCAGCATGCAAGTATGCAGAGTTATAATTTGACACATCACTCAACCCCAACGTTGCTTCTTCTCGATTCCTCCATATTCCAGCCTGACTTCTGATTCTCAGCCATGCCCAACCTGACTCGATCAGCTCTGGACCAGGATTGTACCCCCAATTTTGACACACTTCCATTCTACTGGCTTCGAGTGCATGTTTGCTCTCTGACGCCTTATCAGCGACCTATGGCGCATTGGCGCGTATCTAGTACTAATCTACTCCATGAATCGGCGATATTCTTCCAAAGTTTGCCCAAGAACACATCATAGACGTTCGACTGCCCTCGCCAAACCCCACACTATCAGCCTGTGCTCTTCCGCCTCCATTTCCTGTTTAGTGTGGGCGGTCTTTCTACGGAAAGGAAGAAAAACCTGGAGTACTCCGTAATCTCTACGGATTATCTCATTCCAAGCCTTACCAGGCATGCACGGGACATGCAGTCAGTCCAGTCACGACTCTCGAAGGCGATGTATGCATACTCTTACGCAGTACGAGCTGATCAGCCCTGCTCCCGCCCCCCGACCCTAGGCCGTTACACGAGCTTCAACCAACCGGTTGGTTCGCAGGGGCCTAACAGGAAAATGCGGAGGCCACCCTTGTCTATCGGCTGATATGAGTGATTGTCCGCCTTGGGCGCATGCCTGCCGAAGAACTGATAGCAAACCAAACAGTTCCTTCATCCGAAGTTTCGAAACGACTGGTCAACGTCACCTTACTCAAGCGAAATTTGTTGGATGAGCTGGCGGTCTGAAGGGTTGATGTCAACCGTTGACGGCTGTAGAGTGCTGTGTATGGATTTATGGCTCTCAGGCGCCGAGACATGTGAGACGGTGTCATACCCCAATGACACGGCTATGGTGCCCCTATCAGCTTTGATCCAGGATCTACGGTGCCTTACTGTGCCGATACGCGTTCTCTCTTCATGACTTGTCCTTTGGGTCGGAAATTCCGCCAGTCTGCACAGGTGAGGTAAACATTCAAGGTTCAGACGGGGCCGATTATGCTTCGAAGACAATCATCTGCCGAGGCACGACCGATAAAGATGCGGAGGACGCCGCGGCGTCACCATTCCAGTCGCGAGATGATGTCGCAATTCCGGGGTGAGGTCTCACCACCATAACCGTGGCAATCACTTGTGCGCCCACAAAATAATAATCACATACGGTACCGAGGGCGTGACTCGGTTGTCGTCGGTTGTTCAGTGTTCACGAACCCTCGGACAGATGGCCACGAATCCGAGTAGCTTCTGCTCGCTGTCGCACATCTGACGTACCACACGCAACTTGAATACGACTCGCATTACCTAACACTCAAGTCCCCAGTGGTGCCAGTAGGATATAACCCGCCTGGAAACACAACCGAATCAGAGCTGCCATACGTGGACGGTCCGATACCAGTACTGAGCAGTCACCGCGCTAACGTATCCGCCCACATCTCTCCTACGGCTTTCGCGCCCGGATACCGCAATTCCCTCAATACATCAGAAGCAATTCCAAGGACCTTGACCACTCTTCCTTACCACCTCGGCAATCATCACCATCTCATAACATGATATCAGGCCGCTCGTGCTCAGGCTTATCGCTGAAGTCCAAACTCAGAAATGCTGTGCGCTCTCGCCCCAACCTTCCCCGTATCGCGAAACCTTACTATGCGTTCCTTTTACCCCAGATCCGCCCGACTTCCGCGGTACCTGTATGCTTGAAGTACCTCTTCCGACAGATTTTTCCCGTCATCCCCGACTCGCTTGAGACAGTGATGACATTGACGATGGTCATTGCTTGATCGAGTAGTCGCTGTTCGGTGTTGTTGGCGCGATCATGCCGGTCATGTTCGGGATGCTCAGTTCAGTGGAATGCCATGAGGGATTCGTGTCGCCGCGATATCACCGAAGAACTGGCCGATTTGGATGCGGCGATAAAGCGGCCTTGTCAACCACACCTGAAGGTTTGTCCGCGATGCGCTGAAAACCAGTTCGGGGATGATAAGGCACCAACTCTATTACCCCAGCACGCAAGACAAGCCGACTCCCCGTAAAGATCGACATGGGCACATCAGGCCGACGGGTACGTGAACTTTATCTCCTCTATCCGCGGGGAAGGCATAGTGAGGTGTTGAGTGCGGTCAATATCGTCCGAGACATGTGAGGTTCATGCAAAACGAAGGAGATGCGGTCTGTACCATTTGAGATGGTCTGAACAGGCAGCAGCTGACCATGACTCATCTGACAAGCAGTGAATACCATGTGGCAGAGTCAGTGAAGTGATATTTTCGGTAGGCTTCGGATTTTCACTTCATTGAAGAGGTATAAGTATCTGCCCTGCCCTCGAGACACTCCTTCTCCTTTCCCTCAAGTGGAAGAGACGAGATTCACATTGCCATACCTGGTGGCACTTGCTGCTCTCTGGTGAGGCGAGATTCCTCACTAATCTGCAGAAGACTATCAGAGGGAGGACCCTCGTACTGAAATCGCAGTCATCATCCTTACCGGGTCAAAGCTGGAATCGACGGTCCCATCTAGGCAGAGCTGTCAGCGACGATGAAGAAAATAGTGGAAGTGTGATCGTTTGTAAATGAAATCGTCAACAGTCCAGTTGACAGATCTGTTCAGAAATGAATGATTTTGTAAGATGCTTGAAACACACTGTCTATGGCCTAGATAATCATTTGTATGTCTTCCGACGGTCTCACGGCAGCGGTGATCCTCCTACGAAGCTTCCAGAATGGTGCTCTCGAGCTCAGGCTTCTCTCGCCATATTCTGCCTCAAACCAGGCACAATAGCCGCAGTCGCCTTGCCATCCTGCCCAATAGTGAAGTCAATCTCATCGACATTCAAACCACCATACAGCCACGCTCCAGCAGTGAACCACGTATAGCAGGCATCTTCAAAGATCGTACCCGTTGAATTCGTCTCCGAGATAGACTTGAACATCGCACGCCAACGATTGTCTGCACCCACTGGATAGATCCTCACCTCGGCATCGATAGCGTTCTGCGCATCGGAGCCAAAGAACTCTACCCACGCGTCCTTGACAGCTTTGCCACCAGTAGTCCAGGTCTCGACCTTGAGACCGGGACAGCGTCGACAACGAGCTCGAGCGCTGAGCCGCCGCTACCGTAGCGGCCGGCGTAGTTCGCCTTGGCTTGTTCTCTGCGGACGGAGTCGTAGTGCGGGACGGAGTAGCGGACGATGTAGTCCATCAGAGCGCGAAGTGCTGGATCGTCGCCTACACCTGCGACGTTGACACTGTAGCCCAGCTGGTACTCTGGAATGACTGCGACGTAGCCATTGTAGTAGCCTTGGCCGCCGGGCATGGTGAAGATTTCGACGGGACGATCGCCGGATTCAGGGCCAAGAACATTGGTGGGGGTGCGGATTGTCCAGGGCATGCCGATTGCTTCGTTCTTGCTGGTTGGGGAGAAGGAGGCGGGCTTTAGCCATGTAGCGAGGTCGGTGCTCGAGAGGAGCTCGTTGTTGAGGAGACCGCGGAGGAAGCGAGACAGGTCGTTAGGGGTGGCGTACATGCCGGCGGAGCCATTGTAAAATCCAATATCCTGAGTACCAAATTCATCGACCTCACCTGGAATCACCAGACGAGCCGGATCTGGAGTCTTCAGCCCAAGCGCGTCCAAGCCCAGAGGATTAGCGATACTGTCTTGCATGACATCGGGCAACGACTTTCCAGTGAAAGCCTCGATAGCAAAGCCAAGTATGCTGAAGCCGAAGTTCGAGTATGCTGGGGTACGCCCTGCGGGCCAGACGTAGCTGCTAACGCGTAGACCTTCAAGGAATTCTAGAGATGTCACAGTAAGTATGCTATCCCCTTACTATGGCTCATTTGCAGAATACTCACCGGCTTGGGAAGCGCATTGGCCATACTGAACCGAATTGCATATAGGGAAGCCTTCAGGCAAAACAGGATCAGCAGGCAGACCCAGTTCACCCTGAAGGAACTCGGGACGGCCTCTGAGAGAGGTGTCGAAGGCGTAGCCTACAGAGCTGTCAGCACCGATGTCTGGGGTTCTATCTTCTGAGCCATGTCTGGAGTGGGTACCCACCGTCACGCGGTGCTCCGCCTAGATGACTCGCAAGCATCCTTAGAGTGGTGTTCTCGAAATTCGGCGATCTTTCAAGCTCTGGTACCCACTTCCAGATGTAGTCATCCAGGTCCAGTCCTTCCTGAAGCAATGCAGAAAGGACCGTGAACATCTTGGTGACCGAGAAGACGCGGTAGACAGTGTCACCATCCACCTTGCTGACGCCGACAGTGGTGTTGACATTAGGAGCAGTCCAATGGTATTCGAACACCTTGTCTTCGGTCGTGGTTATTGTGACCGAGAACGATGTTGAAGACGTGTTGAACAAGAGTGAGTCGCTAGCCAGTTCGTCGAGTACGGCCGTCAATGGTGCAGGGTCGAAAGCGGGTGCGACCGTCAGGTCGGGATGTGGCAAAAGAGGGATTCCTGCTGGTGCGCAATACTCAACGGCACTCGCCAGGTGCGAGCAGCCCAGAGCTGCAGCAAGTGAGATATGCTGTCTCATCGTGTATACAGTGGTAGTAGATTAGTCTAGGCAAGTCTTCGTCGTGAATTGTCGTGTGTTGTTGATAGCGCTGGACGCAAGCTATACAACTTCATTGCATCTTTATACATGTTGTCGCTGTTCATCATGGTCGACCGAGTGACTACGAATCCTGCCGGCAGTGCATCTCGTCATCGTCTGCCTGCCACCCAGTGGGACCGTCGTTCGCAAACAGCTCTGTTAACAGCATAGCGATGCCACTGTCACGTCCGTACCTAGCCTCGTAGCAGCGGAGTCAATCTTGGGAGACGGCTCATGTGGACTAATTTAGTCGCGGAGGTGAGGACATAATGCCTCGTAGGTATCTATTTGTGAAGAACGTCAGGGCAGATAGCTAGCAACCTGCGGCCAAGCTTGCTGGGCGCCGAGTCCCTACCGCCTAGAAAACAGTTGCCAAGGGCCATCACGGTCGGATCAAGGAGTGGCTCGGCATTGATTTGCAGTAAGGTGCTTCACAAGTAGATTGAATTTGCGAGTAGCCGTGGTTACATCAGCAAGGCGCCTTACGGAACGGCCGATACAGATCGCCAAGCATTTGAACCTCACCTCAAGCAGTATATTTTGCGATTGGTCTACACTTCATCCACACGGCACAGCGGTCAACACACCTATCGACAAGCCCGTAAAGTTGGACGTTTCATCGTACAGTAGTCACGCCTGGTCACCTTTCCGCCACCTCTCCGCGCGAAAGCTGCTGTCCGGTGTTCTCGGGGTCACGCCGAGGCCCAGTGTATCGAAGCGCCTGGAGACCCGAGATTGGCATCAAAAATGTCAGGCCGACGTCTTGCACGCATGCATGAGAGATCGAATGAGTTGCGATGCTACCGCAACAGGAAGTTGGCCGTATCCCGATCAGTCTCGGCATCTTGGATGCATGCATAGACATTGCAGTCTGGTCAATACTAGACAAGATGTGCCCAGTCATCGGATCTGCCACTATTCGGGCTCTCCTGAAAGTCGAGTCCGTTGCGGAGCTTCGATGTGAACTGTCCAAAGTATTCCATTAGACTCAGGTCATTGCGACACTCCGCGATCTGGGAGTCAACAGTCTACAGCCACAGACTGAGCATTTTATCTTGCATGGTTGAAAGAGGCAGTTCGACGTGGACTCAATAGGCTCTTGCTCGACAGGCACAGCGCATCTTTTTCATGTCTCGCCGGTATGATCTGACCCGGGAATCGTTTCGGCTTGTTGAAGCCAATGCAATATTGGATCGAGACTATCTGAAATCCTGTCGGCTGTCATCTCGGATCGTTCAGTAATCTCGAATCGCTTCTGATTACAGACGATGCTTCTAACCCCAGTGGTCAATAGTCACAGCTACAAAGCCAAGCGTCGTAGATAAGTTCAAGCTGAGTCATTGCAGCCACGATGGACTATCTTTATAGCTGCTGGCATTCTGGAAAGCTAAAGAACACTGCTGCGGCCAAGGGACAGGTATGAATATAGGAACCATCGTAGATGCCTTGCATTAACGTCCACGGCTAACGGAGTTTAGAACCATAATTGAAAGTCTGCCAAGCATCTAGCACTATGGGCCAAGAGAGCTTTAGCCTGGTCAGGCATGCGGGAAGTCATGATGTTGCGGTTCGGCCTCAAAGACCGGCCGTAAACATACCAAAACACTATCCGTCCGTGTGTTGCATGCACTGTTCAACATTTGACACAATCTCTGAAGCATGACCACACGGCAGGGGTGATAATGCACTACCAGCTCGACGTATATAAGTCTCGCGCGAAGCCCAGCATGAGTGCCAGTTATTCTATCTTAGCAACACACCAAGATCCCGGAAACGAGACAGATCTTCGAAGACACCTCTCAACCCTACTCTACGATAAGTCTTCCAGCAGCACCACACCAATAAGAACATCGCAATGTCTGCCCAGGACCAACTTTATACCAATCCTACCACTGGACTCATCCACAGCTACGGAGGTGACGAAGCCAATTGCACGATCTCAGTCTGCCCCGTTGAGCTCAGCATCTACGGCTACCGACCATCTCTTCCCTTCTCTGCTGTCCTGATCGCTCTCTATTCCCTAGCCATCATCGCTCAGGGATACCTTGGCATCAAGTACAAGAAATGGGGCTTCATGGTTTCGATGATGCTCGGCTGCACTGCCGAGATCATTGGCTATGTTGGCCGCATGCTCTACAATCAGAACCCGTGGGGCGATATTGGCTTTCTCATTCAGATCAGTACGCTACCATAAACCTCCCCTGTATCTCTCAGACCGACGACTAACATACCTTCCAGTCCTCATCACCATTGGTCCCGTCTTCTTCGCTGCTGCCATCTATGTTCTTCTCTACCAAATTGTCTGCTACATCGACCGCTCTGCTTCGCGCGTCAACCCGAAGTTCTTCTATTGGGTCTTCATCCCTGCCGACATCATTAGCTTGATCCTGCAAGCCGCTGGTGGCGCCATGTCAGCTTCTGCTGAGGATGGTTCTGACTCAGGTGTCGATATTGCACTAGCGGGTCTAATCCTGCAGGTCGTCACCCTGACGTTCTTCTCCGTCTGTGTGCTCGACTACATGTGGTGCAGCAGGTCGACATGGAAGAGCACGAAGCTACCCAAGCCCTTTATCAGCTTTGCTGCGTTCCTGGCTTTGGCGACAGTTCTCATCCAGATCCGCTGTGTGTACCGAGTCTATGAGTTGAGCGAGGGGTACTCGCGTGACAGCGAGGCGCTTCGGGATGAGGCCATGTTCAATGGTCTTGAAGGAGTGTGAGTCCATTCTAACCATGTCCATGAACCAAGACTGACTTCGATGATTACAGTATGATCATTCTTGCTGCCCTGTGCCTGATCCCGGCACATCCAGGCTTCGTCTTCAAGAACAATGAGACCTTGAAGCGCGACTCTCAGGTCGAGGAGCCCAAGCTAGTGCAGGAAGCATAAGCATAGAAACGCCTGTCACGATCGAGCTATGCAAGGACATCGGCGTCTCGTCCCTCACATGTTTGGCCTGGTGGACGAAGGGTTTTCAGATCTTCAGGCGCGGTCAAGGTGGCAGAAAGCAATTGGCAAAACAGTGGCCTGATTGGATTTAGATGGAGGTAATTTGACAGACAGGGTATTGGTATGCTTGCGTTATTTGGAGGGCGTCTCATAGAAAGTTATCTGCAATAGCTTGTATATATCGACCAAATCTGTCCTCCCATCAAGTGATCTCGATTCGTCGAGTAAGAACTATCATACCTGTATTTCCCTTCAGCAGTACTGTTCCTCTCGACTGCTTTCGGCCTTGCTAGTCGACAAAGCTGCTCAGCACATCTCATATCGGGTTCGCATCAACTTTGCTGACTCCCTCGGCGCCTTGGAAGGTCTCCGTGTGGACGAGCTTCGGCCAGATTTCACAGCCCCAACCTTTCTCCAGCTTCGAGAGCCAGATAAGGGTTACTGTTACCCGCGTTTAGCGAAACCTTAAAAATTTTCATGCAGTCTTATTGGCTCCTTGGGATCCACTATGTTTTGTCACAGAAGGTAACACAATAATTTACATTATTGCAAATTATTTCAAATTATTTTAAATTATTTTAAACAGCGCTAGAACATTGAAATCGTTTTCTTCGTCAGGGTATGCGA